AGATAGTTATAAATTTAATTATAAGATTATAATTAATATTATATATATAAATAGAAAACTAGTTTTATATATTATTAATTTTAATATATTATTCTAAACTATTTATTTTCTATCTAATATATTAATAAAATTAGTTTAGTAAACTTTTTAATTTTACTAGATTAATATATAATAGGAACTATTTAATTAGATTATAATAGATTTTAGAATAAGTTTCTAAGTAGTTAAATTCTATTAAAAGATATAGATAATAACTATATTTATTAAAGAAATACTAATTAAAGTTTATAATAATATTAGAAAGATTAAAAGATATTATTTTTTTATTAGATAGATTTATAATATTATTTAATTAGAGAATTTATTTATTATATTAGAATTTATACTTTAGATATCTATTAAAGCTATTAATAATATAGCTAGTTCTAATAGATTTATACTAATATTTCTTATTTTTAATATATATTCTTAAGTTACTAATAATTATATATTATATCTATTAATTATTAAATAAACTAATATATTATATAAAACTATTAATAAAATTAGATACTATATAGCTAAATAAATAATTAATAAAGTATTAGTAATAAAAAATAATCTAATTACTATATTAATATTAAGCCTATTATTATAATTAAAATACTATAAAATAGATATAATATATATATATACTATTAATATAATTAAATAACTTTTATAATTAAAGTTAATATTTATTCTAATAATTATAATATAATAATTAATAACTAATTAAATAGAGTATATTTTCTTATATCTACTGATTAAAATATATTTCTATCTATAAAAGAGAAAGCTAATCTAAAACTTATTATCTCTTTTTAAAAAGAAAGTAGAATTTAATTTTCTAATAAATTATTTAAAAAATTAAACTAATATAAAATTAATATATTAATAAATTAAAATATTTTTAAGATTATATTATTTAATAAGAAATAATATATTAGAATATATATATTTAGTTTATAAATAATTAATAAGATTAAAAATAACAAAATAGATATACTATATAAGAAATTAAACTAGTAATCTAAGAATATACTAATAATAGAAAATAATCTATTTTAATCTAGGCTTTAATAATCTAATATATAAGCTAATATTTAAATCTTAGTTTTATATTATTACTTCTATATAATAATAATTAGATATATCTATAGTTATATAATATAATCTAGATATATATCTAATTAATAATTAGATTAAATTAAACTATTTTTATATAATTATTTATACTAATTTAATATTTATATCTATTTAACTTTATAATAATTATTAAAAAGCTATTATATAATACTATATAAATAAATACTTACTAATTAAATATATAAAATATATACTATAAAAAAAACTCTTAATAGAATTATCTATATATAATCCCTACTTATTAATTATAATATTAGAAAAAAATATATTTAGAATTATTAGAATATAAATTAATAATATAATTAGCTTATTAGATAAAGTATTTAACTATTATAAGAAAGAGTAACTAATTAATATTTAATTTATTATAAAACTAAAGTACTACTTTATATTTAATAAACTAATAATTTTTAATAGTAGAATTATATAAATTAATAATAATAGTATTATCTATTTAAAATAAAAAGAATAGAGGAAAAAACTATAAATAATTAATTATAATAATTTAATTTTTTTTAAGTTTTTTACTATATATAAGAAATATTCTAAGATCAGGCTATATATAACTAGATCTATATAATTTATTTTTAACTAAATTTTAATCTATATTTAATTTTTATTTTTTTTTATTTTTTTATTTATATAAGCTAAAATAAGATAATAATATCTTTAAAAACTCTAAGAAAAGCTTACTAAATATATAACTTAATTATAAACTCTAAGAGAAAATACTTATTATTTATAATTAATTATAATATCTCTCTAAGTTTATTATTACTAATTATAAATAACTAGATCTCTTTTTATAATTATAATAATAAATATCTCTAATATTATTATTCCCTATAGCTAAGATCTAGTTATTATATATAATTAGATCTTTAACTATATAATAATAATAATTAAGTTTATACTCTATTATTAAATTCCTTATAACTATAAAGCTACTTTTAATTATATAGATCTAGTAGTTATAACTACTAGATCTAATATTATATTATAAAGTTTATAAGAAATAAATAATAAATTCTACTCTATATAAAATATTTAAGAAGAAGAAACTAAATAATAATTTCTAAATACTTAATAATTATAATAATTTAAAATATAGTTTCTAGTTTTAATATATTATATATTATATAGAATTAATTATTATATAGTATAACTAAGTATATATAAATAAATATTAGATTAATATTAAATTTATATTATTTAATAAAAATTTTCTCTAGTAGTAAATATATACTATATTTATAAATATAAACTTAATTAATAATCTTAAATAACTAATTTTTCTCTTATTTCTAAATAAATATAATTTAGATTAAATTAAAATAAACTCTAATATATTAATACTAAACTTAATCTAATCTAATTAATATTCTAATCTAAACTATTTTAAAATATAAAAAGCTTAATTAATAAACTAATTCTTAAGAACTATTTTTATTTTTATTAATTTAATATAGTATATAATATACTAAAACTATAAGTTATATATTAGACTATAGTAAGCCTATATAAGAGAGTAGTTATTTTTAAGATATAGTATTTACTTAAGCTAATTTTAATTCTCTATAAGTATCTATAGTAGCTATAAATACTATAGATAGTAGACTATATAATAAAGTAATAAACTAAGTAGATATAGCTACTGGATTTATATTATTAAAAGTAGCTTTATTATTATAAGTAGATTCTTAACTATTTAGAGGGATATATTATAAATATAGTTAGTAAATAGCTATATTAGATTATCTTAGATAATAGTTATTATTACTTTAAAGATCTTATTAGAAGTATTAACCAGATCTTAAGAGATTAGAATATTTATATTAAATATTATAGCTATTTAAGATTATACTAGTTATCTAGTAATTAATTAATTAAGTAATTAATTAATAGTATAATTTAATTAATTAATTAATTAAGATAAACTTTAAAGTTTTAATAGAAATAAAAAATAATTACTATTATTAGATAATAAGCTTCCCTCCTTAGGAGCTATAGCTATAGCTAGACTATTTATATATCTAGCTATATAAATAGCTCCTATTATTAGAGTTTTTAAGATATTAATATCTATACTCAGACTAAAAGTATTTAATTTTAACTTTATTTTATAGTATTAAAGATTTAGATATAAATTACTAATTATATTCTTTAAAAAATTATATAATCTAGTTATATATTATCTGATCTTAGAATATACTCTTATTTATAGTAAAACTAATAAAAAAAAATATAGAATTAATATAAATAGAGATTACTTTTAAAGTTTAATATTAATATTCTAATATTAGTAGAATAGTATTTAGATAGATAGAAAAGAATTAAATAAAATTAAATTATTAAAAAGTTTATTAGATAGAAAAGTTAAATTAAATAAGATTAATATAATAATATCTAGAATATAGTAGATTAATTAATTATTATTATAGAATTTTAAAGAAAATTATAATAGCTAATTATAAAGTTATTATATATTAATAAAAACTAAATATAGTTTATATAGTATAATTATAATAACAAAATAACTAAATATAAATATATTAAATAATATATTTATAATATATATATTATATCTATTTACTAGCTAGAAACTTATTTTAATCTATTAACTACTATTTAATATAAGAATCTAATAAAGAAATAGTTTAAATTATTTAATTAAAGAATTAAATAGTAAATAGATTATTTTAATTATAAACTATCTTTTATCCCTTTTAATCTCTAATTAATTAAACTCTTTATCTTTATTAATAAATTCTTTACTAATAATATTAATCTAATTTTATTACTTAGCTTTATTATTATACTAGAAAATAAATATAATATTAATAATAATTTATTCTATCTAATTAGAAATATTATCTATTTTAATTTAATAAAATATAAATAAATTATTTAGAGTATTTTAATATTAGAAATCTATAGAATAATAGTAGAAGTTAATATTATTTATATAATCTTAATAACTCTCTAATAGATAACTAATAAACTATCTTTTCTAATTATTCTTATAATTATTTATACTAATTTATACTTACTATATAAATATCTAATTAAGCTTAATATAATTAAGGAAAAATATCTAATAATTAATATTATAGTATTAAGATAATCTTATAAATAGTATAAATTAATAGAAATCTATTAAATTAATAGTAATAATAATCTAGCTAATTATTTTACTAAAATTAAACTAAACTATTTATTAGAATAATTTATTTAAATAGAAATATAATTATTATATATAAAAAGAAATAGATTATATAAAACTAATAATAAATAGATATATATAATATTATAATATTTATACTAGGATTTTAAATAGATCTAATAGATTTATAAGTATATAGTTTTATAATTTTATAACTTTATAATTATCTATATAGCTAGTTATTAATCTAATAAAAATAAAAAGTTATCTATATAGATATATTATTCTGATTTATTAATTTATTAATAAGTTAATAAGTTAATAAGTTAGTTATCTACTAAGATAAACCTTCCGTTAGACTATATAAGAGATAGCTTTTTCCCTCCTTTATCTATAATACAATCTTGCTTTAAATAATCATTTGCTTTTTACTGTAACAGCTGTTACTCTAGTTAACCCACAGTTTCCGTTCAATTGGTTACCGCCTGTCTCTTCCCTTCAATGGCTCGGAGCATACCATCAATTTGCGCAAGGAAATGGTGCATTCATTTACTCTGCTGACTGACTTTTCGCTACCCAAGTACATGTTCGTCCAACACAATTAATTTAATTTCAATTGACCTTATGAACATCATCATCAAGATGCCCACTGACGATTTCCGGGCAAATACTAAACAGCAGAGGTCTTTGGCACATCACTGGATTTGACCCTGGTCTCGAAACCAGACCGTGATCCCGTAGTGATACTCGCCTGACCAGCAGTCTTTGCAGCGCTTCCACTGCTGGTGCTCACGATCGAACCAGTGGCAGTTGAGCTCGCAGAGATGGTCGCGTTTGCCGTGGTGGTCGCCGTGGATATCGTCTGCTCAACAAGACCTCCGATGTCGATGATGCCAGGTCCTGGGATCTTATAACTGTGGAAGTTGCCATATACACTGACAAGAATACCCATGTCATCGGGCTTGTAGAACTGCGTGGCAAACATCCCATCGGGAAGCTCTGTCCCGGACCCTTCGACCTTGATGTTGAAGCACTGCGGGTAGTTCTGCGCGCCATTCATTTTCCCCGACCCGTGCAGGGCAATGATCTCATGGCGGAGGACGTAGTCACCCGGCTTGAGCTTCTCTGGGATCCGAACGAGCCAGCCCTTGTTCTGCGCCAGGACGTCGGTGTAGAACTTGTTCGTCCCGTTGCGGAGGCCAGCATCCGCGATCTTGAAGAACTTCAAGCTGCTCTTGTCCACCGCCTCGCAGCCTTTGCTGCCACAAGGGGCTAGGTAATCTAGTATGGGGCCTACGTGGCCGGTCGGCCAGCCGTTCCACTGCAGCCAGACGGAGTCGCCGGCCTTAACGGTGACATAGCCACCAGCATTTGCGGCGTCGCGGTGGCATATGATGTGCGGTGTGGTGTATTCATTTGGTGAGACGAAGCCGAGATTTGTCTGTTTCTCTGACCAGGCAGCGAGGGTCGGAGGCTTGGACATTGAAGGGTATTTGTTGGGGAGATAGCCGCCGTAGGCAACGCCGTTGACGATCATCTGACGGACAAATCCGTGGGCAACACCTGTGGTGGCCGTGGCCAAGAGAAACGTAAAGGGGATAAGTATCGAGAGCATGGTTCCAGAACCGATGGCCAGCTCTTTAGAAGAAGAGGCGAAGAAATGAATTGTTGATATCGATGAAGCTCAATAAATCTTTAGTCAATAGAGGCATGGACAATGAAGCAGAAAGAGAGTAAAGCTCAAACATAAAAATGTTAGTAATTGAGAGTTATGCTGAAGACAAATTGGATTGATTGTCTTGGGCTTGGGATCAACGGACTATTAATAAATTCATTTTGCTATAGTGAAATCGTTTGTTCTCAGCTTGCTTTATTTTCGATGAATAGACGATGAATTCTAAGCGACCAAGCAATAGGCGCTCGCTTTCTCCTTGCAGGTTTCAGAGAACAAAAGGCCGGCCTTCCGGAAGACCTGCTTGTTGGCGCTCTTCATTGTCGAATCAGTAGCACATGGAGTTTCGAAAAACAACTAAAATGGGGGACGGAAGTTTTCCGCAATGGGGCAGCTGAAAATGACGGTTGGTAGCCTGTGTCTCGCGTAGAAATTGGTCTGCATGGCGATGCGTTTATTAGCCGCCGTGGACAGTGTAAGACTAATAATAGATCTTCACGGTGGGAAGGCTACGATTTCAAAAGACGTCGAGATATGTTAGCTAAATCATGCTCAAAGCGAGTTCTTGCGCCTAGGGAATAACCCAGGGATTTTGCTACTTGATGAAGCGCCGATGCATCCTCTCCGTGGTCAGCGCCTGAGATGGATGCCCCCCACAACAGGCTTGGTCTGGACTGTGCGTCTCTCCCTGCCTGTTGTGTGATGGGATACATGTTTGGATTTTTCTGGTAGAAGATTATACTCGGAATACGCCCTTTACAAGTTACATACTCACAGCACAGTTGGAATTGTTGATATCTGGAAGATAAACGAGAATCGTTCCCGACTTACTTCACTACTGCTGGTAGTATTCTTCATCAAATTTTGTCTGCAAATTCTTCCCACCCAAGTTTTGCCTGGCAATTGCCACGCATTTTCTGCCCTTTGACCCTAGATGCTCCCAGCTCCCTAGGGTGATCCGTCTTAGTTACTCTCTCATCCCCATGATCTAATGAGTGAACAGCTCAAATTTTTGACTAGAGGTATCTTCGAAATCTCGTTAAGCACTCCTAGGCGTAGTGCCTGTAGTATGCAAACCGGCACATGTGGCCAGGAGCAAGAGGCGCGATTTTGGTCTACGAGATTGCACGTGCAAAGAGACATCTCGATAAGAAGAATTGTGCATTTTCCCCCAATTCTTAACCAGTAGTCTTTTATAGAGATGCAAGGATTTGATGTAGAATGTTTCATGATCCATGGATCACGACTAGAATATTGGAGAACACACGGCCTAACTCACCCACCCACCCACTCGATCCACGTCGACGGACCGACATCTTCGGCCCGTGTTGCTAGTCTAAAGATTGACTCTCGGATGTGCGTTTTTCTTTGCTTTCCCCCCCTCTCCCTCTTTAGGAAGTGAGCTCATACTTCCATTTGATTTCTAGGTTTCTAGTGAGTCAGTGTTGAAACCAGATGCCTACCGGGCAACGCTTCAAGGATCTCCAGGTCCCAATTTGCTAGGTCTTCGTTAGAAGAAAGTTTCAAAGGAAAAGTCAGCAGACTTCATTCCATGTCAGTATTTTTATCAAGGCCATTGTTCTTAAGTCTTGGTCGTGAATGGATCGATCTCCACACCTGCGCTTATTTTTGCCCTGGCTTTTTTATTCTTCCCTTTTTAGAGAGAATTTGGAAGCCATTAAGCCCTGCTTACAGCTAGGAAAGGTCACTGCTCCGGTTTTTATTCTTTTCTTTTCGAGAACCCAAAGGTATTCAAGCGGAGACGTACGGAGTGAGGCTGATGGCAGTGAGGTGTTCCTTGTCTTGCTGCAGCCAGTTTTGGCAGTCCCTGCAGCTTGAGGGGATTTCAGGGTTCCAGCGGTTGTGGACGTACGTGGCGCCTCATGCACCTGTGGGTTCACGAAGGTGAAAAATCAGACATTGCCTGGGTGTTATAGTTGCGTGGAAGACACGATGAAGAGGGTGACATTTAACAAGGCACGTATATTTTTGCGGTATCCTAACCTGGATAAACACATTGTTAGATTAAAGTAGTGAATGCCTTTTTATTCGTTCACAGTCAGTAGCCAGAGCGGCTCGTCACAAGCAAGCAGGACGATGTCTTACCTTTGGCAACGTTCCACACGGGCCAAGGATGTTTGCGCGGTTTTAAGTAGGTTTAGCTGCTTCCACAAGGCACCTTGATGGTTCACTACTGAGCAATTTGATAGGCTGGACGCCCTCTAGCTCAGGTGCTACTCTGAATCGTAAAGACTGAATTTTTCGGGACAGCGGGCCAGACCCCATTTGTTCCCCCCAATTGCATTGGAACGATTGCTGATGAGCAATATTGCCGCTGGTATTTTTCCTATCTCATCTCTGCCTGCAGCAGATAACCACCTACTTATTGGGGCAAAGTGAATGCCCGATTTCCCCTCTTGTTTATGCTGTATCTCTCACTGAACCAGTCATTATTGCTCCTCATTTTTCAGTACTCACCAGCGCCCAACCGAGCTGTGACGGTTTGATTGCGTGCTGCTCTGCCTGAAGCGTGTTAACAATACCGTCCCAGGACAGCTTGGGGTCGGACTGCCATCATGAGTAACGCCTCCATCCGCCAGACCGAGGCTAGAGTCCACCAAGCATCTTCCGAGGATCGCGAACTAGCGATCGCACTCAAGAGCTATGAGCCGGACACAGAAGAGGAGAAGAGGCTAGTGCGAAAGATTGATTTCATCCTGCTGCCGTGCCTGTGGTGGATGTACATCTTGGCGTATCTGGACAAGGGCAACATCGTAGGTCACACCCTCAACTACTACCTTGCAATGTCTTGCGCTGACAAGAGCCTCGTGGAATGTAGGCAAACGCCAACGCTGCTGGCCTAAGCGAAGATCTGGGTCTATCTGACAATGGTAAGTTGCCCCAGCCCAGCAGAAGCTCAACCCTAGCCAGTGAGGCCATCTATTTACACCGAAATGGCTAGAGTATTCCCTGTTCATCTCCGTCTTCTTCGTGGGGTACTTCCTCCTCGAGGTACCTTCCAACTTGGTCATGGTTAGGATAAGACCTTCTATCTACCTGTCCATTATTGTGTTCGTATGGGGTTGCATCGTCACGGGCATGTCCCAGGCAAAAACACTGAAGGAGTTCCTCGTGGGACGATTCTTTCTAGGCTGCGCGGAAGCTGGAATGTTTCCCGGTGCCCTGTACGTCCTGACATGTTGGTACACTAAGAAGGAAGTCGGTACGTTGCGAGAATCAACAGGATGACCCCGAGAACCGTTGCAGGACTTTAGTCTTCTAACTTGATCGTTAGGTAAACGCTTTTGCATTTTCTACACTTCAGGATGCATAGCCCCTGCCCTCGGTGGGATAATGGCTGGCGCCATCATCAAAAGCCTCGACGGGGCTAGAGGCATGACCGGATGGAGATGGCTTCTATTAGTTGAAGGCCTCATCACCGTGTTTTGCTCCGGCTGTCTCTTCTTCCTCATCCCCGACTACCCCCACAATACGCGGCGGTTCAAGCAGGATGAGCGTCGTCTAGCCCATGTCCGCATCATGTACGATCAAAAGGTCAACGTAGTACTGGAGAACAGCACCCTGACCGCCTTCCAAGCGCTGAAAGCCGTGATAGCCGACCCAAAGACGTGGCTATTCTTGGTGCTATACAACCTGAACGGAACCTGCACCACAATTTCCTACTTCATCCCTACCATTCTGAAGACTCTGGGGTACACCAAGGTGACGGCACAATGGATGACTGTCCCCATCTACATTACGGGAGCCGTGTCGATGCTCATCTTCTCGTATACCTCAGATAAGATGCAGGACCGCCGCTGGCATCTGTCTCTCCTACACCTGGCCCCAGTGACGGCATGCTTGGTTTCTTTATTCGTCACGAACGCGGTGGTCAAGTACATTATGATGTGCCTCTTCGTTGGCGGGTTGTATACCGCTCTCCCCCTTATACTCAACTGGGCGAGCGAGTGCATCTCCTTCCCAAACAAGAAGCGGTCCGTGGCCATCGCTTTCATCAACACGTTCTGCAACCTGTCGATGCTTTACGGGAGTTTCCTGTGGCCGAGTGCCGATGCACCCCGCCACGTCCTGGGTTTCGCTACCATGTGTTCGTTCACCGGTGCCGCGTCCATCCTGGCTGCTGTGATGCCGCTCATATTCCCGTTGTTACCCAAGCAGCCTGGGACTAAGGCGGAGAGAGATATTCTGGCTCTGGCGGCGAGCGAGAGCCAGACCTCTATTGACGAAGATAGGGGTATCATGGTACCCCAAGTCATTGTGAAGAACCAGACCAAGACCGACCAGGACCAACGAGGCGAACAACATCACCAACATCACGCGACTTCTGTATGATTTTATGACAAGACACGCCTTAAGACGCCGTCGAAGTAGATCCGGCAAATGTAACCCTGTTTTTAGAATAGTAAATTGACCGGTCCGGCAATTGTCGCTCTTAAAATTCCGTACGCGCGTCCCCATTATTCCGTTGGGCTGAATGACATGCTTCGAAGATCAAACGATGAGGCGTTCTAGCCTAGAAATCTTAATAACCATGCCGTTGGTGCCGTGCCAAGCGCGGAGCACGTGGGTTTCTGACATGAGAACATTCCTGTTCTGGGGTTTCGGTAGATGGTTCTCCGTGAGGCTAAGATGACGAATGGCCCATACCACTCCACAGCTATTAGACTTGCTGTGAGATGCTTCATGCTGATGAGCCCATCATATTCCGCCAAGTGAGCCATGATTGAGAATTCTTCCGGCCGTAGGGGTTAAAATGCCACGGGACCTCGCCGTGAGGTTGTCCCTCGCTTCTCTCTTCAGCTCAGTTCTGGCAGGACAGAACTGAATCTACGGACATTACGATGAAGACCGCGTTCTTTGCCTCTCTCTTTGCTGCCCTCGTGAGCTCCAGCGCCGCCGCCGGCGTTACCGGCGCAGCTGAGGGTTTCGCCAAGGGAGTCACCGGAGGTGCCAGTGGGAGCACCGTCACGCCCACAACCACGGCCGAGCTGGTCTCGTATCTCGGCGACAGCTCTGCTCGTGTGATCCTCCTGACCAAGACCTTTGACTTCACCGGATCCGAGGGCTCGGTCACAGCGACAGGGTGTGCTCCGTACGGAACGGGATCGGCATGCCAGAAGGCCATCAACCAGAACAGCTGGTGCGACAACTACCAGCCCAACGCTGCCAAGGTCAGCGTCACCTATGACAAGGCCGGAGTGAGCGCGATCACGGTCGGCAGCAACAAGTCGCTTGTGGGAGTGGGCAGCGCGGGTGTGATCAAGGGCAAGGGCCTGAAGATCGTGAGCGGTGCAAAGAACGTCATCATCCAGAACGTCCACATCACGAACCTCAACCCCAGCCTGGTCTGGGGCGGTGATGCCATCACCATCAACAATGCTGATTTGGTCTGGATTGACCATGTTACCACCTCGTTGATTGGCCGTCAGCACATTGTGCTCGGCACCAGCGCTAGCAACCGTGTGACTATCTCCAACAGCAAGATTGATGGAAAAACCAGCTGGTCTGCCTACTGCGACACCTACCACTACTGGGGAGTTTACTTTGCTGGCTCTTCCGACGTAAGTCTACTCAGCCCCAGAGGGTCCTGTGTATCATAACACTAACATGCCTTGTCCTTAGCTGGTCACCTTCAAGAACAACTACATCTACCACACCTCCGGCCGCAGCCCCAAGGTCAGTGGCAACACCCTCCTCCACGCCGTCAACAACTACTGGTACGACAACAACCGCCACGCGTTCGAGGTCGACTCGGGCGCCATGGTCGTCGCCGAGGGCAACGTGTTCCAGAACGTTGTCGCCGCCGTCGAGTCTGGTGGTGCCGGCAAGATGTTCTCTAGCCCTGACAGTGGCACCAACGCGGCCTGCTCCTCCTACCTCGGCCATGCTTGCCAGGTCAATGGTTACGGAAGCTCTGGCAGTCTTTCCGGCACTGACACCAGCTTCTTCTCCAACTTCAATGGCAAGAATGTCGCGTCTGCCTTGAGCTATAGTGATGCTAAGAACGTGGCTACCACTGCTGGCTTTGGCACCATCTAAAGGATTGGTTTGATACCAACACGCCGGAATTAGATTCGGACAAGATGGGCTTATATATGCTTAAACTGAATAAAAAATGTTTTTTTTATCTTCGAACCCATCTGACCTTTATGATGTCTGTTACGATTATATGGGAAGCCGTCGCTTGTAATCCATTCCTCACAGTATTGCTTGTGTTTGTGTTTTATGTTATTGTCTTAGTATTGAGGCTTTGAAACAATGATAATCCAAATAGCTGAAGAAATTAAAAGATTTGGGCCATATAACGAACAAATCAATCCAAACGATGCAGCAGCTGGGTAATGAGTCCTTGGGAGAACTCCCCACAAGTCTGAACCAATTCTTGAAACTCCTTGTTGCCCCAGAGCTTCTCCATATTACAAGCCGCAAACATGCATAACAGCGATCTCAGGTCCTCCGCCCCATCAGTACGGGCTATAGTGTTCTCATAACAGTAGTTGATCAGCTGGATCACATCATATACAGCCTCATCATACATCTGAAAATGTTCCAATGTCTGTCGTAGCTTTCGCAGGGACAGCAGCCTCAGAGGCGCTATGTCATAGCACTCGGCGAAGACATACACCCGAGCGTGGCTCAGCAACATCTCCGTTGTATCATCACTAGATGAATTCGTTGGAATCGGTCCTTCCAGACCCGTGTCCGCATGTAGGGACTTGAACTTGGCCCAGAGGAGATTCTTCTTCTCTTTCAGGGCAGTTTCCTCCACCCTCTTTCTCCCAGACCACGATCTTGGAGCTGGAGCCCTGGCCGCCGAGCTTGCCTGTAACACGGAGCGCGCGTAAATCGGGGGGACAGTATTTGGCTCCTCATTCGTGTACGGCACGGTTTTGGAGTGTTGAGACGATGGAGAGGCTGAGGTTTGGCTGGCCGTGGCCGAACACTCGGATCCCTGCCGCGGCTGGAACTTGGCTTCGTAGTAGTCTCCAGTGTATGCGAATTGGCTGAATCGAATGAACGTCTCGGTATCGACCTCGGTCCAATGGACCTTGCCCTCGAAGGCCTCCTTCATTTGGCCATTAACTAACCGATCGAGGACCTTGGACTGGGAGGCGAGGAGGGCGCTGTGGATGATGAACTCGGATTTGTCGGGTCCTATCAGGCACTTGAACATACCTGAGGAAAGAATACTGGGACCTCGTTAGTCATATGCCTCATGGATTTTCTAGACGTGAATTTCGACCTACGCGTCGTATAGAATGGTAGCCATGATAAGTAGTTGAAAAGGGGGGGCAAGTGGGCGTCAGAATAATAGGGACTTGATCAGCTGAGAGGGGAACGCAGGCATAAATCTACGTCGAGGACGATAATGCAGGAAGAATCCAAGGAGCGCTTGCTTGTCTCTGGCTTCCAGAGTGCATACATGAACTTGAATGTGCTGAAGTTGTGAATCATGCAAGCACGGCATCGATTCATGCTACTGATGGGGCAACGCCTACATGTATTATATATACACAATCAATGCTTACGTGGCTAGGCAGCCAGTTCTGTTTACGAAAAAGTAAGTTCCCTTATGCAGACCTATCAAGCCACGGAATTCGCGACACGTCTGCAGTCCACATAAACAAACACAACAGAGTTCACAGCAAGTGAGTCACGGCAAAGAAGCACGCGACTGACATAAAGTAAGCCATACCCAGAATCTCCAGTGTTGAATTTCAACACAATATCAAGAAAATATCAAAGAATTGATCAGTAACAGATGCAATATCAAGTTAAATATTGTAGAATAATAGTTCCCAATTATCTGTTATTATGTTTAGTATCATTGAGAAGAAAATGAGGCCCCTGACTTACGTGAACAGAGCTTTGGGTGCCATGTTTTATGTCAGTTGCCGAGTGACAACTCTAGCCGCGAAGGTTGGCGCAGACCTCTGATCTATTAAGCTCTCGAGGTAACTGTCGGTTTTTTTAACACGTAACTTGAGAATTGTATCAGGGGCTAATTTGCACGTGGCCTGGAACTCATTTCCTTCTACCAATTGAGGTCATGATTGTTTTTTTAAGACTTAAACTACAAAAACAAACACAAACACAATAATAGTATAGGTACCTAGTGGATTACGCGTCACCTTTTCCGTTTCATCGCGAGTAAACAAAATTGCTATCATGAGTGAATAAATGGTTTCAGTGTTCTTGTTTCTTTAAAAGTCAATAGAGCAGGGACAATGAAACGAGGATAGTATTTTCTAGTATTCTACGCTAAAGTGAAACAGCCTGCGCACTGAGTAAAAGGCACATGTGAACAAAACCTGAATGTTCCAGTCCTTTGACGGCCCGCATCATTCTAACACTCGCCAAGCTTGGTGGGCTCGCAGTCACCGTTGGCCTTGTCGCATCCCTCGTAAGCCTGGCACTGGACCTTGGGGTAGCAGTTGTTGGAGTAGGTAGCCTGAGGGGAAGAAACTGTTAGCCGTCATGGTCAGAGCGGTGAGAGTTCCAAAGCTGCATACCTTGTCACCGAGGTTGGTGTTAATGCCCATGAGCTCACCGCCGTCAACAGCAGTGGTGCCCTCCATGTGGACGGTACGGGCGCAGTTGCCCTTGCAGTTACCGCAAGAGCGGTAGACCTTGCCGTAGTCGTTGGCGTAGAAGTTGACGATGTTGACGTGACCACATCCGTTGTGCTGAATGACCTTGTCAGAGGCATGGTAGGCACCGCCGCCGATGATGTTAGCGGTTCCGTCACCCTTGATCGAGATAGCATCCTCGCAGACGTCCTCGAACCAAACAAACTCGAGATTACAGCTGCCCAAGCAGTAGACACCCTCGCCCTGGTCGGCACCGATGATGACGTTCTTCAGGGTTGCACCGTCACGGAGAACGAAGACAGTATCAGCCTCACCTGTGATGATTCCAGTTAGAATGTTTACCCAACAGTAGTCGGGGATAGATTCAGTCCTTACCTCCCTCGGATTGACCTCCACACGCCACACCACGGTCATACTTAACCCAACCGGCATCGAAGGTCTCGCCCGCTTCGATATAGTAAGGCTCACTGAGACTCTTGGTGCCAGTGGGCGTGGGCAGACCACCTTCGTAACCCAGGCAGGCCATAGCTGCGGGCACGGCGGCAAGAGCAGAGAGAAGAGCAGCAGAATGCATGATGAAAGCTGTTTTTGATCGAGAAAGGCGAAATGAAGAGGAAATGCTATCAGATACTGTTCTAGACACCAGGTCGTTGTTGAGAACAATGTAAATATCAAAATGGAGTGACACTTGCTCGGTATATATATACACGATCACGATGTCAATACCGGGTTCGTCATTAATAGGTCTGAAATAAGCTTTTCTTATGCTTCTTTCAGGGGTCAGATAAAGTACTGGCGTCCTGAAACAGCCGAAATGAAGTGTAAATGGCGCTGGATCCTGAAACTGTTCTGACGGACGGTGACCTCCCGTCCTCCGTTTCCAGTCAATTCTGGGTCTTGAAACCCCCACTAACAGCAACGCATGATCTTTAACTCCAGTGTTTTGGAGCGCTTGCTGGGGTGTTTACCGCGCCACTGTCCGTTGCGGAAAGTGGGCAGGGCCTCCAGCTGTTTCTTCATTGTCATGTTGCATGATCATCGTCACCGCTTCCAGTTTTGGCTCTGAACCGCCAACTTGTTAACCCCTTGGTCCCGGTTCGTTGACGGGAAAATAGGTGTGTATGTGGGCGGTGGCACACTCCCGAAACTCATTCGCTCTCCCGCATCAACTTCCTTGTTAACTTGTGGATATTTCCACTTATTTCCATGAAGGGAGGATTCCTTGTCGCGCAATTAGTCCATCGATGGAAACGAGTACTGTCGAACACGGAGAAATCAGACATCAGACGGGACGAAGAAATCGGATTCAAAGGAGGGATAGATCGTCCTAGAAGCCATTTATGATGTCACAACCTCTCGATCTACTTCTTGGATGGAACAAAGAGGCAAGTGGTAGCACCTACCCGAGTGATGGGTGGTTGTATTGCAGATCTCTCAGATAACCGCTGTGAACAGGGTGTACGCGGCCACCACTTCTCACGAGCCCCCGAGAACTGCTCGGTGCGACGGCCCGATACAAAGCCAAGAATCCCAAGCCGCCCTGCATAGATGATGAATCTTTTCTAGCTACTCAATTCATCTTGTGGACGAAGTGTTCTTGCCCCTGTGACACTGACGATCAGTCCGTCGGAAAATTCTTTCATTCGTGTAATTCTCTCGCATGTTTGACTAAGTTACATGGCCATTCATAAAGGTAAGCAAATCTCTTTGAAACTGGCTCTCGAAGCTCGGTACCGAGGCTTGCCGACGGACTCATTGATATTATCCGAAACACGAACTGGAATGATGGACTCGCCGTCTAGTAGGACGATTTCATCCACCAATGTTCCAAAGTTTACAATGATGCCAAGAAATGATCATCGTCCTTGCCCTTGGCATCTGTCTTGCTACGGATTCTTCAGATGAACCCACAGTATTTACCATACCCAGCGTGCGGAGCTGGCCAGCACATGCATTGACCACATCTTGAAATCTCTCATCCTCAGACAGGGATACAACAGGGACCTTGGGTAGACCTCAGCAGAGCAAGTTTTTGATGGAAGGCCCACAGATGCTGCCCCATCAGCTAACTTCCGGGCCAGCTGTGAGGCCTCCTTTGTGATCAAGTCAGCTACCCAGCCTACCAACAAGATAAGCCAGTTTAGGAAACAGGCCACGGAGCCAACGACCTTGCTGATTATCTTAATATTGTGTCCGATTATAACTCCTCTCAAGAATTAACGTTTTAACTGAGCCAGGGTGTGCAGACGGACCATAGTCCTCCGATCAAGACACGCTCTGATCTATTAAACTCGCAATAGCTGATATGTAGTCCGTTATCGCCGTAATTAGAACCATACGGAGCGTTTTCACTACCAAACACTGCACGTATCTAACCTACGGTGGTGTCTACTATATCAAAAGAAACAGTTTGGTGACCAGACAGCCCGCTGCCCTTCAATTTTTCCGTATGTTTAACTGTATGATACCTGCTGTAACTAGAAACCCGGATCTTCCGGCCCAATGAAGACCCGGCTAGCATCCTGGAATCTCACCGCCCCGATTGTGGGTATTCTTGATGTTGGGCAACGTAATGCTCAATCTCCGCGAGAAGATGTATTCAAATTTTTAGGACATGACCCGCAGGGCCTGACCAGGAAGAAAGCCCATCAGGATGCGGTCTGTCGACAGGAACATAGGTGGAAAAGGCAATACTCTTGGGGACGTGAAAGAGTCTCTGGACAAGGAATAATTATCCTTGGAGGTAAACTCTCCTTTACTAAAAAACTAAAATGAATAGTAACCAGGCAGAAAAATATTCCAAGGCCGGAGAAATTGATGCTTGATCACCCAGAAAGACTAGCGGCGAGACTTTCTCCCAAACTCGAGCCTGACCCGCTCTTGTTTATTGGGGAAGAGATATGGTACACTGCCAGATCTCTAATCTTAATACTCCAAGAACACCTTGACCGGTGACCATCTTAGTGATCCTTCAATCTCGAATGTGCTTTCTGTACCGATGAACAGTCACTTAGGAGTAGGCCAGTAGCTGCCGTGGCCGTAAAGTATAATGCAGTTCATCTCCTGTTCTCACAAATCCTAACAGACATCCTGCCATGCCACTCCTTGGGAATGCTAATACTAGAGGAGCTACGTCTTCAGGACCCTGGTATTTGTTTTCGGGAGCCCTTGTTAAGAAGGGGTTGTATGGTAACAGGGCTTTATGGTTACGATGCGCAGTGAATGAATGCTATGCTGTCACTACCAGCCATTACCAAGGAGACATCACACCGATATTCTAAAGAATGCCTGACCACACTAATATTTCCATGTGCAGCAGTAATGGAATGGAGCCTTCCGGTATACATCATGCACTACGAAATTTACCTTGTGCAGAAACAGTGCTCCCACCGCCAACTTGGGTTACAATGCCACCCTGTAACAACCGACTTAATGAGAATGGGGGTCACTCTTATCATCAACCGCGGCAAATTAATCCCACTCAACTTCAATATTCGAAATTAATTTGAACACTTTCCTAATAAAATCGAAATCGAGAGAGCCCTGAAAGCCCTGAAAGCCAAGGTGGAATATTAGAATAGTCGTATCTCGTAGGTGCCTGCTTGCTCCAGCCATTTATTCTCCCACGACTTCGTCACCATCAACCCGATCCGCCTGTAATCTTCCTTGGCGGGGGAGATCTTTTCTAGCCGTAGAAGCTGCGTTTCGATGTCATAATTTCCGGCTCTGTTCCTGTCTCTAGCACCAGGAATGAATCGATTCGTTTGGATGGGCATCAGCCATACATCGGAAGCTCTCGTACCCCCTTCATAGTCATCATGTATCATCATATTGATGAACTCTTTCCCACCTCGGCTTTGAGGGGGCCTGTTGGGAAACTCTTGGACGATTATCTTCTCGCAATCTATAGCGCTCTCCTTTATCAACTTGCAACGTAGAATTACGTGTCCCTGAACACCGTGCGGTCCCCTGTCGTGGATATCCCAAGCTTTGGCCTCAACAAAATATCTCACGTCATGATACCAGACCCAGTCTTTGTTTGTTTTGCCTAACGGAATTTGCGTGTATTTTGATGGCCTGAATACAGAAGCCCAACTCCATGAAGGACATGGAAAGACGCTCACAGCAGTCTTCGCTTTCGGATCGGAAACCTTCCAAAGTAGACTGGGTGCTAATAGTTGGCCTTTCCAAATGCCAGCAACGGGAGTGTCATTTAAAACTCTCCCGATTGCCTCTTGAACACCCTGTATTGCAGCAAGCCTATCCTCGGGCTTTGATAGTTCTCGCTTCAGATAGTTCTCCACAATCTCCAGCCAGTTGTTGAAGACGTCCTCCCGCGTCAGCTTGTTCAGGTTACCATAGCCATCGATCCCCGTCACAATGACACGCCTCATGGCGTATTTCCATTTTCGTCGGCCTCGAATGTCTTCCTGTTCAGGTATGCGCTCCGTACACCGGCCCTCCAAACAGGTCCAGCTCAGTTCACGGTCAGAGCAATGGAGCATCCGGCGGGACAGTAATTCCTCCTGCAACGTCCAGCCTCGAGTTCTAAGAACCGACTTCTTGCCGTTCTCTTCCATCCGGTGTCGCGGTAGTACCATGAGTCTATTGACACAAGAGGTGCGCTTGTTCTCCACTTGGAGATGTGTTTGGGAAGTCCTCTGTTCGGTGGGTGGCGGTAATCTGATGTCTAATGGAACTATTGCGCTCGTTTTCCAACCCCGTTTCCGGAAACAACCATCATTGCAGCTCGAGGAATTCTTTGGGGCAATAGTGAGCCATGCATTGGCGTAAATTTCGCCCATATAGGACAGCTCATGTTGCAGGTCTTGTTCAGAATCTTGCAAGATACACAGTGAATCGACCCAGAGATACTTCAAACCCAGCGCTTTCGTAATTTCGAGCGCATCTGCGATGGTTCGTGGTATTGCTTCACTGGGAATTCCCTCCATATAGGTTTCAACATTGGTTGAAAGGAGGCGGATATTCTGATCTGTTCCCCAGCAGTACGATAACGCCACGTACGGTAATTGTTCCCCCACAGAGATGTGGATTTTGGGAGGGTGCAAGTCACTGGAAATTTCTATTACCCGTGATGGGAGCTTGCCAAGTTTGAGTCGTCGACATGTCTCATGCTTCGCTTCACATCTTTCCATCCACGCCTTTGCAACGGCTAGGCTTCTCTCTGACCCAGTCGTCATGGTGTCTGTGGGGGCAGTCTGGGAGACGGCTTCGTTGATTTGTTCTATGGTCGTTAGAATAGTAATGTTATCAGGCATAGGTACTAGATAAACAAACTTTGAACATGGTTGAGATCCATAAATGAAATCTTCTCGCCACATACTACAATCAATCGGTGGCTTCCGAATCTCGGTACCACTTCTTTGTTCTCGAGAAGCAGTCGTACTTTGGGTTTGACTCCAAGCTCCTCGATCCAGTGTTTGTCAATTTGATGCAATAAACACCAATGGTTGTCTAAAGCCTCGAGGAGTAACTGACAAAGGTCACAGCCACTTTCAGATGATGCTTTCAAGCTGGGAAGATCACGACTATGATCGAATGCAGTGAAGAGAATTTCTCCATTTCGGGTGTTAAACTCGATGCACGCTTTGCATAGGTTTCTCGCCCAATTAATGAGGCCGTTGATACCTGCTCCCAGCCTTAGAAAGCTTTCCATGTGACCTATAAGGGTCTTTGAGAGGTCAGAGATGGCCATATTGGGGTTTAGTAGATTTAATGAACGCGATAGGCCTGATCGAAAAAAGGCATGATGTTCCCGGTCCGATCCTCTGACTCCATGCTCTAGGAGGTGGGACGCGAGGAAAGATGTATTGCCATCAGCCTTCGCATCTAGGCTGAGAGAACATTGATCGTTATTACCTGGGCTACACATAGTTTCCAAGTTTATCTTGCTCAGCAACACCTCGAGTACTGCGGAATGGTGATCCAGAATGGCAATGTCCGCAGGTGTCCAACCTGATTCACACCTTGCTTGGGAGTTGCAATCATGACTTAAAAGACTTTGGACAATATCCACCTGGCCTCCACTCACTGCAAGATGGAGGGCAGTGCCACCTTGGAGAAACTCGGACTTCAACGGTGTCTCTGGACTCGTCCCCCGCTCTAGGAGCAGCTCGATAATAGGCTTATGAGCACGGAAGATGGCTTCGTGAAGCGCCGTCCGGCCTCTTCCATTATACCGAGTTGCATCTGCGCCAAAATTCAATAAGAGGGCCGTCAATTGGACGTTCTCGTCCATGATTGCGCTGAACAATGGCGAGGAGCGGATCAGACCACGACCATCGCCCCATTCTTCATTTGGATCGTGACCGCCTTCAAGGAGTTCCTGGTAACGCTCGTATAGGTTTTCATATAGCCGAGGATACTTTGATGCGAACAGAAACAACGACTCCAGTTCATTCGAGGCCATTGTAAAAATGCTGATGAAGTAGCAAGTTGTTGATGTCAGATTTTCTCCGTCTCACTCAGGAAGAATGACATGCGGGGCAACCGTTTCATTTATAAAGCCAGTGACCCAATTTTCCTGGAGCCTAGAGGAGGTTAGTGTGATCTTACGACGCGGAGATAATGTCAATATCAGGGCGTTCACAACTATCTTCAGAGAATACACAAGGTGGAGGTAATTAGCACAATGAATTGTAAAGTGGCTTTAAACTAGATAGAAGGAACATCCCATCAATCATCATCTATAGAATAAATAGCAGCAGATATTTCTGTTTTCTGTTCTAGATACCTATATATTCTAGCCAGCCAGGTTTCAACACATTGAGATTGTGTACAACTAGCGCGGCGGTTTATGTGAGTCATCTGAAATTGATTCGCATTCTTATAACCCTTGACTACGGAACATTAATACGGGGAGGGATAGTCCCTGGGTTGGCTATACGGGCTGCTGTCACGCTTCCCAAACTTGGCCGAATCGTATTCTTGACCCATGATCATCCTTTCGAGCATTCTTTCGTCCGCCTTTCGTTGCTCTCTTGACAAATCACACAACGGCCAGGACACATATATCAGTAAAGCACGAAGTTCAGGTCCCAGACGTTTCATGGGACCAAGTATCCGCTTGTACGCATCCAACATAGCCTTCTCGGCTTTCGCATCCCCATGGATGCGCGCACGACGAAAGTCGGCAATTATCTGACGCTGCTCTGGGCCCCCATCGCCATAGCCATCACCATAGTATGGGTCTACATCCCGAGCACTGAAGTGAATCTCGAGCTTCAGACGCGTCAAGTCCGCCAACTGTTCCAGGAGCCCAATGGACCATACCCATTCGTCCCAGTCAGACTGACCCGGCGCGAGGTAGTCCGGTGTACATGGAGGAAGGATTACGCGGAGATTTCTCAGACTCGGGATATACTTGTGGGGGAGAAAGTGAAGAAATGACGGCAGGGCCAGCGGATAGATATTATCCTGACCAGAGGCAACTTGATCCAGAGAGGAGCCTGTGTAATGAAGACAAAACATATTTTCTGTGAAGAATACCGCCTGTGCGGCGACCGAGAAGGCTTTGCTTACTCGGAAAAGCGTGCCAGGAGGGGTGCACTGGCAGCGATTGTTGAAGGCAGCGGATTTCTCCAGAAAGCAAAAAGCAGTTCTGCGAACCAAGGGATCAAGGTCTCTTGACGCATCGTCCACAATGCCCACATCCCCGGACTCCGTGGTGTAATACCGGTCTGCATGTTCCTTGCCATCGCAGGTTTGCCAGTAATTCAGGGGCCAGTGAGGCCAAGATGCACGCCAGTGCACGCTGTTACCTCTGTAGTGAGCCATTTTGGTTTGTTGTATAATTTTGATTTGTAGCTCAAGTGGCAAGGCCAAGAAAGGGAACTGCTTGTCTGGTATTGTATCTGTTAACCTTTGCACAACCTGGCGTACAAAAGACTTGGGCTCAAACTCCTGAAAGCCCTTGAGATGATGACCGAGATTGATGCCCAAGTTTTTCAATATCGGCAAGCCGTCGAGAGGATCGAGGATACGCATCGCAGTTTGTGGATCAGCAACATTGGCCGCCAAGTAGAGACTAAGTTGATGGGGTCGAGAATTCTCTCTCAAGCGGGCACAGATTCTTTGCCATTGACTTAAAGCTCTTTTGTCAGTCCAACTGATACAACCAAGAGGTCTGCTATGCGGGGCATTGTCGACAAGGATTTGCGTAGAATCCCAGAATTCCCACCGTTCTGACCGGTCATCGAAGTCCTCCATATCTGGCTTCTGGCAGTAAGGAGTAAGACACTTGCAAGGACATATGCTTATGTAGAGGACCCTGAGCTCTCTGAGACCTGTGTCGCTAAGCATCTCCAATGGTCGCAGGCCCTGGTTACCCGCTAAGCTCACTGCAAAGACATTCTCCGAGTATATTTTGGCCTGGACCTCATCATGGATGAGGTGAGAACCTGCCCACAGAAGTGCGGCAGGAAAGGGTGTTTGGCTGCATCGACAGCACCATGCAAAGGGTGGCCCACGCCACTGAAGCTCCGTCCAATCGTCAACATTGGGTGGCTGCCCGGCATCTTCATTCCGACAAAAACATAAGTCTTTGGCCGTCCAAAGATTCAGGTCGATAAACTCGTCGCCACCAACACCTGCTTCTTCACAGATCCTGTCGCGGATATGTGCTGGCAGGTCCAGAAAAGACGTCCCAGAAATAGGATCGCGCTTTGAAGGGCGGTCAGGTTTGAAGAAATCAGAGATTCTGGTCGCCCTTCGAGCACGAATTTTACCACCGCTCGCCGTTTGTGTTGAAGCCGGGTGGCGCAAGGGGTCGTGGTCAGCAGTAGTCGCCATCTGATAACGATCTGAATATTTTAAGGTAGATTTCAAGTCACTGGCCCGAGTTTACTAGGTACGAACTCTTGTTGGAATGATGAAAAACTACCTCCACTAACAGGCGAGGATTGCTGTCCGACTTTCCTCGTTGCCACGTCATCATTCAAGGGGCATCTCTCACCGTAAGCCGAGATTAGGGCCAATCAAAACCTGAGCTCAAGATCATCATATGACGAAAACCTGCAAATAACATCCAAAAACAAGCTATTTCAAAAAGAAAATTGCATCTAGGGTGGCTAAGATATATGCTGTAAATATTGGACGGAACTGCACCAGCGAATTGATGGCTTATGTTCACCATCGGCCATACCTCCCTTGCACCGTGAGCGAGCGGAGGGTGATGAGATGGCTGCCAAGAAGCCATAGAGAACTCGATCTACTTTTGACTGCGGTAGTGCCTAGCGGAAACCATGATAGCGGCGCGGTCGCTAGTGATGACCAAGGTCTTGAGAAGCCATCATGAGGGTCGTCCATATAACCAACCGTCTCATCAAAGAAAACATTGCCGGTAATGGCAAAGCTGCAGCCGTTGAACCAAGACTCATATCGATGGGCTCCTGCCTTCGGGAAGGCCGTGTCTTGTCGGTGCGCCTCGGCCTCGTCAGTCCTCATTTGGGTCGGAAAGATGAGTGTCCAGAACTCCGTCGAACGCACACTCGGCTTAACTAGTCGGATCAATGTGCCGTAGGAATGCCACAGTGTCACGAAGGAAACCTCGGTTGGTCGGTGAGCACCATATTGGTGATCGTGTTACCTCTTGATTTCGTAAAAGCAAGATTGCTCACCTGACGTCAGCGTCGCTTCCACCGCCCATCTTCATTGAGCAATAATATATCTTGCGATCTCGAGATTGCGTCATATACGATTCATTGCTATGTGAAGTGATAGAAAGGAAGCATGATTGGTCGTCATTACGTTCGGTACGCTACGCTGAAACGTAGGATCAATCGGTAGGAGAAGAAAACGGGTGACAGGTTTCTTATTTCGGAAGCCAACTCATGATGACGACGCCATGTTACCCTGATTTAGGGCTCATTACAGGTCAGGTCTAAGTTTGAAAATTTCTCGTCAGCTTGTAATGAGGTAATACTGTTACACGCATAGACTCCGATGACAAATATATAGTCTTGCTGTACACCTGCTTTGCGAGGAATGCACTGTGGCGTCGCACTTCGACTGAATCCTTTTGGTCGGCGTATCACCTTTCTTAGCTATGTATGTGGCAATGGCTGGGTAGGGGCTTACTCAATCGGGATCTGTGATACAGACCCTTTATTCAATGATACCAAGAGACACAACAGGTGTAAAACATGAAACCGAATTGTGTGATATGGCTAGTACGCAGCGGCTTGACTGTGACTGTTTGCGGTGATACAAAAGTGTGATTCAATTCTACAGTGTGATTCCCTCATGGGATTCTATAGTAAACCAGGAGTCACTATCTGCTTGGACGTTGAGCAGGTAAGCCTGTGGGTGTTTCAAAACAACTCCTTGCAGGCTGACTCTCCGAATAGTCATACTGTTTCACGTTGAAAATGTACAAGAACGAATTTCTTCATGCGTATGGCATGCAAGCTAGATGAGACTTGAGTTGAAAAAATCATAAGATATTCTATTTGGGCAAGAACCTGTAACTGAGACTCATAGTTATCGGCATGGTCGCAGTGCTGGTGGCTTCCATTACTATCACCGGGAATGGCAGCTGTTGCTCTTGAGAAAGGTGTTTGAAAGGCCCAGTTTGATCAAGCTCTTTAACTCAGGCTAGCCAACACGTTTTGGATCGCTTTTATTAATCTCGGACTGCATAATGCAGGCCGAGGTGATATTATTACCCGTGAGAGAAGGTGCTGAGGTCTAGGCTGACGTGACGTGGTAAGGAGTGAACGCTGCACATGGGTCAGCGTAAGTGCTCTGGCAAAGGGACTCCCGGCACTCACTAGGTTAGTATCTTTGTAAGCTGAAAAGCTTTAGGCTTGGCTGAAATGCTTGGATCGGTGTAAGCCAAGTGTACAAAGGAGGCTGTGTGTGTGACAGATGAGTGGGAAATAGATAAGGATAGATAGGGGTCTAACGAGCGGCTCGTCCTGACGACAAGTAAGTCATCAACCTGAAAGGTTTATAGAATTTTCTGCCGTATGACTGTAGCCTGGGATTAGACCTTAGTTATTTTGGCCTTTCATATTCATTGTGTTGAGATGTCAGGTCTGGCATTTACTATTGCTGATTTTACTATGTGAGTCAAGTCACTCGAACTCTCTCACCCGTATTACCTGGAGCAGCATTGTAGTATGTAAGGCAGTCTCACGATGTGATATGTCCTCCCGTGGAAAGCCGACTCCCGAACAGGATACAAACAATGTGCAGAAGACATAGGCAAACAATAAGCCTTTATATTCGCTTTTTATTCTCTCGGTGGCACGTGTACTTCCCGTCTGGTGCTCAGAGACTACGGTACCATGATATCAAGATTTAGCTTTTTGTGCATTTCTCTGTTGCATCTATCCGCCCAAATCGTTACACTTCTAGATTGTGCTCTGGTTACATAGACAGCAGCCAGCTTCATTTAACTTTCACCAATAGTGAGCGATAAAACCTAGAAGCCCCTGCCATTTACATTCCTCAACTAGCTCCCTCATTGGGTTGTCCATCAATGCTTGTTCTTCCCCAGGCTCCAAGATTCAAGTCCACATTGAAGTTTCCACTATTTGAAACTTTATTGCCCGCTTTGCCACTGAGCATTGCCTGCGTGACCTTACCTATTTAAAATGCGCGCCCTCACCTCCACCCATTGTCTTCTCTTGGGCCTCGTCATTTCTTTCACATTAATTGCCCTTGCCACCGCTATCCAAGCTAGCAACATGGATACGCCCCCGTCCGTCTCCAACATGAAGATCAAGGATTCTGTTATGCCGCTCAAAGCAACTAAGCCTGAGGCCTTCGTTCAAAACAAAAGGGATGATGGCAAGACTTCGCAGGTCATTCTTTACGACTCTAAACCAAACGACCCCCCCAACCTCGACTGTACTGGCGACGAAGAAGATCTTGGCGTTTCATGCGACTATCTCCCGTTCGGCGAATGCTGCGCGGGCGACGAGGACACCGTGCTATTTGATAGTGTCTGGCATGAGAAAGCCAAGGGTTGGAAGATGCTGTCAGCCTACACTGGGGACAAAAACACCCCATGCCGACAGGTCTTCACTAGCACGGACAAGGATTACTGCTTGCCTGGTAGCACGGCGGGGATGAGTATCACCGGCGGGATTGTTTACAAGAAAGAGGACATGGACGGCTCAGAGGATGATCTCGGTCCTGGGAAAAGTGGACAAGAAGTTGGCAAAGACGAGACGGGCAGATTTAAAGTACACCGTGCAACTCTGTACACAGCTCAACACAAGAATGGAACGTTCTATCATGTTCGAATGAAGTCTAAGCTTGGAGAACAGTATCGTAAGCTTACTTCCAGGAAAGATAAGAAAAAGTTCATTCTCGCCCATGGGTTTCCGAAAGGAAACCGTTGGGGAGATAAAGATCATGGAGAGGACCAACAGGAAGAGAAACGCCTCGAGGATGAGTCAACAGGAGAAATTCTACAGCGCGACTGAGAATCGTTGGACGTTTTTAGTTTTGATTGAGAAGGGTAATGGGTTTCTGGGCTTGTATCCTAAAGGTTTTACGTGGAGATGAATCAGAGATCGAATACTAGGTTCTAGTAAGAGCTCTTTCAGTTTGGTAGTGCTTCAGGGCTTAAGTTAAAAAAACTGTGCTAAGCACCCAGATGATCAGAATTCTCACGTCAAGAGTTAACTCTACTGTCCTCTTAAATTATGTATACTCCTTTGCTTCGAAGTAATAATAAACCTTCTAGCAGTCTTCTGATCTTGCACGTGACACTAGACAATTGCTATCGGTGTGCTGGGAAAAAAGCTCCCACAAAGCGCTGAACACCCTTACGCACGCATCTGCAACTACCTAGGAGTGTGAAACCATCTAGTCCATTTACGCGTATCACTGGAGAAGTCAAATGCTAGACTTAGAAAAGAGGCGGGGGCGTAGCCTGATTTAACCTCAGTACATGGGCGAGGCTTTGATCCTGCATCTGTACTGCGGGCCTAGCTTTAAAAAGGGCGCCATATTCGGTCATTCATAGCCCAACTCTGTTCTCGTGAGCTAAAGATTGGCGTATATTCCAACCATCGCTGCGCTTTATTTGCAACGTGTACCCAGCACGTAGTCGTGAGTCTTGGTCTTGCTTTCTGTTGAGCGTTCCGACCTTTTAATCCTCTTAGCCGCCTACTCAGTCATTTCATTTTACCTACCCCAAAGACGATTGTTGAGATAACGAGCTTTCTTGTTGTTCAAGAGCGACATACATGATGCAAAAGAGTACAAGCCCAAAGACCATCCGACGCTCCCAGCCGGCTTCAACAAACTCGGATGTGTTTTGTTTTGGGAAGGAATGGAGCGAGGCTCTAGATACTGCCCAGCCATTACCAATCCCGGAAACGATGGGTTCTCAATTCGATGCAGCATCAGAACAGAGCAGTAGTACGTTTATGTTTAATACGGGGCTGGGCAATTCTCAACCTACCTTCAACTTTGCGAGCTCTTCAGGGTCTTCTTGGACGTATGCTCAGCCTAAATCGGAGAGCCCTTCAAAAAGATTTATGTATCAGTCACCAAAGGAAAAAGGGAACATCTCTGGGGCAAACTCATGTTATGAGACAGTCAAGTCCTTCCCCCAGCCCGAAGATCATACCAGTATCCCTGAGCCAGATGCTGAAAGGAATACTACTTCTTATGATGTCCGCAGCGAGTCAACACCCTCACACCCTTTCTTTAGCGAGTTGTTTCAGTCTCAAATACAGGAAGGAAGGGCCATCTCTCAACAAATAACAGAGTTATTTGAAGATTCTAGTTTCTGGTCTGAGCACTCGTCAGTTACAAACCTCGTCGACGATGCAAGGCGACTTTCCGCTTTCCATGTCTCTGATACAAGAACCATAGCCTTAATGGGAGATTCAGGAGAAGGTAAGTAAACTTTCTGGTTATTCAAGACAATTGATCTATATACTCACAGATCTTACAGGGAAGAGTAGCCTCATTAACTCACTTCTGCACTGCCCTGGTATAGCCAAGACCGTAAGTTTTTCAATTTGGCCTATTCTTACCGGAGTCCAACGATTGACTGTTTTAATTACCAGGGTGACATTGGGTCAGCATGCACTTCAGTCGTGACCGAGTATAGGCTTAAGAAACCTGAGAACATGGCTCCCATTACACTCGAAGTCGAGTATATGTCCAAATACGAGATGGAAGAGGTTTTGTCGGAACTCTTGTGGAGTTATCGCCAGCTTTACTTGCCAAATGTGCAATCTAACAAGACGTCTACAAAAGATTATGAACGGTACACCAGGGAGTCCGCCCAAGCTTGGTCCGCCTTGGAAGCCGCCTTCAAACACAAAAGCGAGTTCAACGAAAGCTTCCTTCGTGATATGTCAGATGGAGCCATAGATAGGATAGAATCACAGCTTGTCACATGGTCTCGGGAGATAGACTGGCCTGCTGGAGGTGCGAACGGCATTTGGAGATCTACCGCAGTCACGCCTAGAGAGTGCTGTGAGAAAACCGCAATTTTTATGAGCAATAGGTATTGGCCGTTTCCAAAATTATTCGGTTAGTCGACTCAGATCTCATGTTGTGGATATGAAAAACCTATTAACAATTGCTGATAGGGTTTATCTTGAGTCACGAGTTCTCGAGACAGGACTGATAATTGCAGACTTACCAGGTGCGTTTGACTCCTAGTTTGAGAAATGCGCCATATTCTGACTCTATGAAATAGGCTTACAAGATACGAACTTGGCCAGGGTTCGGGCAACGCATGACTACCTAATGAAGTGTAGCAATATCTTCGTCGTGGCAAAAATCTCCCGCGCTATCACCGACCAGTCTCTCAAGTCATCGTTATACTCGGTTCTTCCTCACCGAGCACGGGAGGGATCGGCAGCGAAGAGCTTGAGCATTGCCATTGTGTGCACCAGATCAGAAGCATGTAACTCTTCTGGCTAACTTATAGGCCAAATATGCTAACTTATGTAGGAAATTAACGAGCAATCTGCTAGGCATGAGTTTGTTGGGACAAAGAAAGGGATTGAATGCTCTATTCTTGAAAAACTTGACAAGGATATCGAAAATGCCAAGGCCAGTGGAAACGCGGAGCTGAAAAAAGCATTGAAGAAACGGTAAGTGATTTTTACATTTCATGTCTCGGAAAGTTGGACTGACATTTACAGTCGAGAGCTTCTGTTCATAGAAGCACGGAACAATCACGTCAAGGACGGCCTTCAAGCCGCATATTCTTCCAAGGTTCCTGAGAAGAGATTAGATGTCTTCTGTGTCTCGAATAAGATGTACGAAAAGTACTCGAAGAAAGGGAACAGCGAGTTCATTGAGGCAAGCGGCATCCCAGACTTGCGCAAATTCTGTTTCCAGATCACAGCCGACGCGCAGCTTCGGGAGGCGAAACACTTCCTCCAATCCTCTCTTTTCAATCTGCTTACTTCGTTTGAAGTTTGCCTGACCAGTCTGGCCTCTTCATCAAATGACGATGTGGCTCTAGTGAAGTCGAAAAAGTTAGCCGATGATGCTATCTCTGCAACGGTATCTGGCTATTCCAACCCCAGCCCAACCCTGGCCTTCGCTGCTAACAGTATATGCAGGAGAGGCTTTCAAGCGCTGCCGCCACGAATCTCCAAACAGATTTTATGGCCTGTTTCGATGATCAAATAATGAAGCTCTCAGGTCAGTCCGAGTGCCCTATTTGATCAAGCAACTCTTCTGACATCGTAAAAAAGACAATAGACACGCAGAATGGATGCTCGCTGCAGAGACTGAAGTATTAAAATGGGAAACTGTGAGTAAAATTTGAGCTGCTAAATTACTGGGTTTGCCAACTGACCAAGATCTAGTGGATGATTATGTGACACCTTTACCCATCCAGTGCTGAAACTAACGAGCGAATATAGCTCAATTCAATGCATGGTGTTTACATGATGGCAACCATGAGACCGATGGACGTGAGCGTGAAGACTGGAATGCCAAGATTATCTGGAAGATGCGTAGCGAGCTCGAATACCAGTGGGAGGTGCTTGAACAGGAGAGATCTGAAGTCTTCAGTACCCTTTTAGGGACAGTAAGCACTCTCTTGGTCTCACTCAAGGGCACTATTCAAAGTAAGAAGGAGCTTTTAACGAGTTTGAGAATGTGATCTGACATAAAATACCAGGCCTTGCTCCAGTTAGAGTCCAAGACTTGCTGGCGGACGGAATTTATTCGCGCATTCGTGGTCTTGAGTATGCGCTCAGTCTTTCTGAGGAAAAGTTTGGTCGAGAAATACGGTGAGATGAAAAATTCCATTTTTGATACGAGATGTATTGACCTCACAAAGACTTATCCGCCGCTCTGCTTCCGAAACAAACTCTACCTCAATCATCCTCAACGAGATGGTCCCAGCTTATCGCGTGGCTAGTTATCAAGGAAGTAAGCTCATTCAAGTTCTCAAATCCGATGAAATGACTATCTACAGAGGCTAATACCAATCCCACCACAAAACAGCCACGGGAAGAGGCGCAGCCCTTCGCCAGAAGGCAGTGATCAATAATCGTATAACTGACGGTGTATTATTCCCAAACTATGGTCAATACGATTTCAACTCGAGTCAGCGCCGCTGTCGACAAGATTGTGAACGATCTAGAAGGCCATATCGAATGCATCATGAAAGCCATCAAAGAGGTTATTCATTCTGCCTTTGCATCCACAGGAAAATCTAGTATTCTCCAATGCCCAATCCATCAAACGCTGACGAGGGTTAAAGATCTACGAAGGCAAGCGGAAGCGATTCATTCCAGGGTAGGCGGAATGTGAATGCTTAAAAACCGATACGATTGCGATAACTCACTATAGCCATTCGTCCATGTGGTCAAGGGTTTCTACAAAGATCTTAGAGAGAATAATGAGATTACACAGTGTTCGGTTGACAAGGGTGGTGATCCTCCATACCGCATCAGAAGGCAGCCGATATCGGTACCTACCCTATAACATCAGTCAGTGACGTTAGGCGGCTGATGATGCGGAAGTTATGGTGGGCTATATAGTTGGGCAGGCAATTGGAACACTGACAAGTTCTGAAATTGAAGAGATGGATGTCGTCTTTTGGAATTTTCCGTAGCGTGATAGATTATACGGTATAAGCATATGGAAGATCACCGTGTGTTTTGGCCATGCATAGGTAAGATCGAGTTCTGTTCGTTGCAGCAACGATATAACCCTAAACAGTTGGCGAAATAAGCATGGAAGGTCGCGTGGCCCAGTGGAAAGGCGTTTGGTTTACAGCTACCAGTTGTATGCCCCCAAAAGATCGCAGGTTCGAACCCTGCCGCGATCATTCTTTTGATTCCATTTTTTTCGACATCCAATCATGCCACCGACTGGTTCTACACAGTCGATGCCTCTTTTTTTTTTTTTATAATGAGCCGAGGAGTTGATGTACGTACCTTCTTGGTGTGGCTCACAGGTCGCATTAAAGATGCGAGTTAGTTATTCAGAACGACGGGCTCCCCGCGCAAAGCGAATCCTCTCTGTTGCAGTCGTTACTTTCCCAAAGAATTGATGGATCTTCTATTGTATTTTTTATTATTATTTATTCTTCCGTCTTCTATGGTACCTATGTTTACAAACCCACTGGGCGAAGACCCCGAAGAGTCCTAAGAGAGCTAGATGTGCTAAGGATGCGTCTCAATAGCTCTTTGTAGTCCCATCCAAGGCCGTTGGCAGCCATCAAAGTTAAACTTGCCTGATCGTCACGGCCTGGTCTTCCCGGGCCAGTCATGTTCTGTTTTCCAGATCAGTTCAATGAAAAAGCTCGAAATGATATCTGTATACGACTTACAGGCTTCATGTTAACATCGAACAGCGCGAATGGAGAATCAGGGGAGTCCTTGAAACGCCGTACGTCAATCCGAATGGGCGCTGTTAAACCTAGCAGAGACGCTGCCTTCTCACACTCCCTCGCCACACGGTTGTATAGAGGGTCGGCGTCGCCGTTTTCTACGACGCGAGAATTAGCCGTGACGGCTACTACGCCGTTGTATGGCGCAATGCCGTCCTGGTGATTGAATCGGGAGACGACGGGAAGAGCCCAATAGCCCTTCCCTTTCTCTGCAGGAGGCATGACAGTCACAGTTGCCTCTTCGCCCTTGAGAAATTCCTCAATCATAAAGCTCATGTTGCCGTCGGAGAGCGCTGAGGCGTGACTGATGAATTCATCTTTCTTGTGGCAGACTCTGACGCCGTGGCTACCACGGCCGCGGATGGGCTTCGCGACCACCGGGTACGACAGCTGCTCAGCGACAGCGGCGATATCCTTGGCGGATCGAGACGGAGCGGTGAAGACGCGAGGCATGGTGAAGCCTCCGACAGAGCGCAGGTAGTCGTTGACGTATTCTTTGTCGTCGTACTTCTCTACCACCAGTGGCCCCTGCCCGATCACGCGTACCTTTTCTTCAAAGGGCGAAAGGCGAGCTGACGTCTGGAGGGGGTGCGACGCGAAGACAATCGTGTTGGACCAGAGGTAGTTGGCGCCCTTGTCGACGGCACTCAAGATGCCCTCCTCGGTATCGGGGAAGCACCAATCGCCATCCTTCTCAGGCACGGGGCTCTGGGTGGGCGTGATGACGTTGACGTTGGCGCACTGGGCCAGGTTGTAGGCAATGTCGGCTCCTGAGTCCTGGTAACCGCCGGGCTTCTTGGGCTTCTGGACGCCATTGATGATGGGAGGCTCGAGAGCTTGGTAGAGGACGGCGACCCGGGGAGAGGCCAATGCCGAGTATCGGGCCAGGCGGTTCGCGTACCGCGACGGAAGCAGCAGCTGGCGAGCTGGTTTGGCGGTAATGTGAAGCATCGTGAACACCAAGACGAGCTGTGTTCGAGGCGAATCAATTCATCAGGATTTATGAATGTCGTATGATGGTTGACTCTGTAGCTCTTTGACACTGAGAAATACCCTCGGGAGGCCGGGTTTGTCCCGATGTTGCTCGTTTGTTTGCTTCAAGTCGGAGCCTCAAAACCGGCGTAAACCCGAGAGTGGGTTTGCACCAAAACCTGAGTTTAGGCGGCCATTGAGACCGGCCATATCCCGACCAGAGTAGCCCAGTTTGGATTGGCCATTGGAGAGTGGCAAAGCAGTGAAGATGGGGATGGGGATGGAAGAGCCAAGTCAAATGAGCATACAACAAGAAACGAGTTGGATTAGATTTTATCATGCACGGTGCGTGGAAATCTTATCAATCTCAGCCCCCTGCCTGGCCATTGCGCTATTTCTTACCTTTCATATGGGCTCCGCTCAGTCCGCTGTGTAGTCTCATTCTACCTCCATGGGAAGATGGTTATAAAATGGGTCGTTCTGCGTTAATAAAACCACATGCAGCTAATTTGAAGGTCATTCATCACTTGTTGGGCGGAGCTCTTCAAGTCTTACAGAGAGCGAGAGGTAGCTTCGGAGGGGGCAAGGCAGAAACATTGAAATCACTTTAATAGTAGATTGAAGTAGAAGAATAGTTGCAAAATAGCATTGATCAAGACTGGAGAGACGTTGATGCCAGGTGGTGATCGATATGACTAGCCCATGATGTCTTATTTGAAGCAAAGCTGGACACCCTGCCAAACAGCTCTCACACTTATTTCATCACCGTTGGCTATTCATATTCCTGAGTACGAGCCAACTCAGGGAGGAAGCAATCAGATCGTGCGCACGAGATCTGTGGATTGAGATGCGTCTGGTGGCGTCTGACCATCAATTAATGAATCCCTTGTCCTGATATAGGTGTAGGTCTGTCACGCTATACAACCTGCCAATGATGTCGAAATGAGGCCTCCTAAATATCGGAAACTGTATCCGTCAAAAGATCATCATTAAATCACTCTACTCTGTCTGAGGCTTTCCTCGAGGAGGTTAGATCAACCGCATCTGCTGACGATAGCCACTCACATTTGCACTGCTGTTTCTACCGCTCTTCTTGTAGCGGAGGTAGAGAGAAATGATCACGAATCCGGTGAAAACGAACACCCCGAAGTAAAGAATGCTACCCAAGGACTCGATTACATATGGTTATCTAATTAATATGAGCGACTGTTGCGACATTTCATTGCATTCATACCTTCCTCAAATATGAGCGAACCCGACTCTGCCCCTGGCTTCCGTTACATCGGTCTACTATCGGACCCAACTTCTCCGCCAGCCAAGCTTCGCTAGGATCCAAGCCTTCCTGTTCGGGGGCATTTCAACCATCTACGTCACATCGGATCGCTTGAGTACTTTCCTCGGGTTAAGACTTATGTCAAATATCCGGATTTTTATCCTGAACCATCAGGCCATTTGTATAGCTATATAGTCAGGCAGATAACCTCAACCCACAAACTATTCTCTTGCAGAGTAGGTTGAATGAACTACTCAAGAGTCTCGTCATGATTTCCATATCGACACTTCTGCCGGCCTCGTTTCTTCTAGCTGGCGGCCTAGTGGCTGCCCAGTCAGAGAATATCGAAGCAGAGCTCTTCAAGCCAACAAGATATATTGTTGAATTTTCCGATGCTGGCTCAGCAAAGTTCAGGAAACGAGATGGGGAGAGTGTAAGTGGCCGGTATCCATTCCTCGGTTGGTTGTCTCCTCTGATCATCTTAGGACACGGATGCTTTTATTAGCATACTCCAGGACGGGGGTGTCAATGCAGAACCAGCCATTACCTTCAACTCTGAACTGTTCCATGGCGCCTCCTTTGAGATCACCAACGCTACGGATCAGGCCATAGCTGACATCCTGAACCTCCCCGAGGTAGGGAGATTGTGGCCAGCAGCGTACATGACACTTGATGCCGAGTCCCAAGGCTTCCTACAGGACTCGGAAGCCCTTGCTGCCTGGGATCCTCATAAAGAAACCAATGTGTCCCAAGTTCACGCCCTAGGCCACAAGGGTGAAGGTGTCGTCGTCGGCATCGTGGACACGGGCGCCGATTACACCCACCCCGCTCTGGGAGGCGGCCTCGGTGCCGGCTTCAAGATCGATGGCGGTTGGGATTTCATAGGCAATTCACCGGATGTCATGGACTGCAATGGCCATGGAACCCACGTTGCCGGCATTATCGGTGCTGATGATAAGTATGTTCAAGGCGTTGCGCCCAAGGCCACGCTCCGCCCATACAAAGTTTTCGATTGCTCGGGCGGTGCAACCGAGGATACTGCCATGGCGGCATTTATCCGGGCATATGAGGAGGGTGCAGATGTAATCAATGGCTCTCTGGGAGCAGACCGAGGATTCCCAGATGGGGCAATCGCTGTATTGCTTTCAAGGATCCAAGAACAAGGTGTTCTTATCGTCGTCGCGGCGGGGAACTCGGGTGCACAAGGTATGTTGATGGAAGTCAAGCCAGATGAAGAGGCACAGTTCGCTAACTGGTGTGATTGTCTGGCAGGGCCTTTTTACACTACGAACCTGGGAAACAACTTTGGCGGCCTCACCATTGGCAGTGTTGAACATGACACTCTGATTGCGTACATGGTTACTGCCTACTCCTCGAGCGGGGAATCCAGAACTTTTGTAAGGCACAAGTTAAATCCACACTCGGTGTCGCAATGAACTGACGTTGTTCTGTAAGGCCTATACCAGCAACGATGGTCGACCATTCAACAGGACCGGAAATGTCACTGCCTCATGGCTGGATGCAGACACACGTACATTCAACCCTTGCCTTCAATGGACGGCGCCGTCCCCAATTCCAGACGATAATCTTATCGTTTTGCCGTGAGTAACCCTTGCTCGCTTTCCAGCTTCTGCTAACATGTTTCAGACGCAACACTCTTTGCAGCTGGCAGAGCCATGATAACATCCTCAACGATAGAGCTGACTGGGCATTTTGGTACAACCTAAAGGATGCTGAGTACGAAGTGCCTACCCGCCTAATATACGATCCCTCAGTCCAGCCCGTAGGCAGTGAGTGAGGTTACTACTCCTTTTTACGCGAGTGACCCGGCTGATGTATATGAATTCAATAGCGGCCTTGATTAGTTACGAAGACGGCGACTGGTTGGTCACCCAACACGAGAACGGTTACGATGTTACCTACAGTTTCGACCCTGACAGCTCTCCGGTGGCTGCTGAGAGACCAAGCTGGGCAGGCGGTAGACTGAACAATTGGAGTTCATGGGGTCCTACCATCGATGGGCGAACGAAGCCTGAGGTCGTTGCGCCAGGTGAGCTTTATAACACTTATCCTTGATATCGCGTTGCAATACTAATGATCATTCTTTTAATAGGTGGTACGATCTACAACACTGCTGCGGGCGGCGGCTGGGTCACGTATTCCGGAACAAGCATGGCTTCTCCATATGTAAGTTATAGAGTCATTCCATCGATCGTGATAGAGGCTGACTGACTGAATCCCTAAACCTAGGCTGCTGGTCTCGGTGCTCTTGTTCTTGGTGTACACGGCACACGCGCGGAGAACTCTGACGCAGCTGCTTCCGCTCGTCGTCGGATAATCGCTAGCACTAGATCGATCAAAAATCCAGACGGATCTGGTGCACCTGCGTAAGAGACAATCTGTTGTAAAGAAATGGTCAGACTGCCAGAATAAATGTGCTGACGATGAATAAAATGTATAGGTCAGTTGGCCAGCAGGGCGCGGGTCTTGTCGATGGACTTAAGGCAGTGCTCTACTCGACTACTGTCAACCCGTCATACATCCAACTCAACGATACGGATAATTTCAAGTCTACCAATGAGATACAGATTACCAACAATGGAGACGAGCAGGTCACATATAAGCTTATCCACAGCACTGAGCCAACGTATTTCCCCCGAAACGCTGAAAGTGGCCTTTTCATCCTATCGCCACCCCATTCCACTGAGAGTGGCGACCTGGCCAGTGTCAAGCTCTCAGTAGAGGAGGTTACCATTGCTGCTGGTGAGACTGTGAACGTTGAGGTTCACTTTACCGAGCCTTCTGCAAGCGACAACAGCACGTTCCCAATATATGGGGGTGCCATTGTTATATCTGGAAACAATGACGAGACCGTCCGAGTATCTTACCTGGGTAAGTTCTTTCCGCATCTTGTCCATGAGACTTTTATCAATCGCGCTAACTTTACGTCCCCCTCTAGGTCTCAAAGGTTCCATCAACAACTTCCCCCACTTTGGTGGTATCAGCCCACCGTTCCTGGATCCTGACGGCCAGGCCATGACAGAAGGAAAGACCTACTCCTTCAATGAGCAAAACGTCCCTTACCTGCCATTCGTGATCGCTTGGTCAACAAAAGAGTTCAGTTTTGATGTAAGTGACAGTATCAAGACTTGGCTAAATCCACGCCCGCTGAATCAATACTGATGCTATGCAGTTTGTCGGCAAAGACTGGTCGCCTGAGGACTGGACCTGGCCACTTGTCCCCGGAGAGAAGAATTTCTTCGGCAGCTTCCGGACTGTTGGTGACGGAGACGACTTCGTGGTCGCTGACTTCCCCGTCGTGAACTTTCCACGGCTAAGCAGAGAATTCCACGCCAGACCATCCGGTACATTCTCATGGGGCGGGGAGCTCGTGGATGGCGAGTATAGGTATCTCAGGAGGTCTTTGAAGACCTTTGGGGACCCGAACAAGATCGAGGATTGGCAGTGGGATTTGTCGCCGTGGTTTGGCGTGCAGCGCGGCGCTTGAGGAGGGTATTGCTGCCTGGTTAGTACCGGTATGGCTCCTTTATCGAATGATGAGTGGGTTGACCACGAAAGCTGTTAATAGCAAATCTATCTCGAACTTGCAACTTTAATTTTTGTGTCTCTTCTACACTTTGAATAAGTGGAATCTTACTTAACGATAAGATTACTACTCATGCTGCCAGTCTAGAACTCAAAAATTGAGCAGCGTTTGCTTCTGAATGATCTATCCTTGCAGCCAGTCCTTGTGGGGTTTGGTGATCGAATCTTGTGCTGCGGCGATGCTTGCTTGCTAGATTCGGCGCATCACGGGCCACGAGCTTGTTCAATTAACGCGCCGCCTAGAGTAGAAAAAACGCTTCATTTTGACTCTCTAAATAAGTAATCAACCGCCATAATAGTCGCTAGCGAAGTGGTTAGTAAGGCTGGAGGGGCCTGGTATCTCATAACCTCCTCGCTTCGCAATTTGATGCGCGGTTGTTCAGCTGGAGCGAAAACGGAGGGGTTGCAGGCATTGACTTGTCCGGAAAGGGCAATTTCGGTCGGACCGTGGCTCGTGCCATCGACGACCCTCCTTAAGCAAACATTTGTGGTGCTGCGGCAGTCGAAAAGAACCAATCAGCACGAGCGCAAGTACACCTTTGTGGCGGATGGTGGTAGAGTGACAAGGTGACTGCAGTTTCCCCCTGCATTGTGAATTCTCAGCGCACGCACCCACCAATCATCAACATGCCCGGCTAAGGTAAATGTAGGTACGTCTATGCGTTGTTCTCAACATTCATTACCTTTATATATAACCCGTATTCCATTTTCTTGCCCTCGAAAATCTCAGTGATGAGGACAGCCGCATACTGAGCCGTTTATTACAGCTATCTTTGCAATCAGCAATCTGGACGACATCCTATTTAACGTTCCATTATTCCAACCACCACTATTCTTGACCAACATGTCACAACAAGATGGAGCGCTCGGTCATTTCCATGGGGGACAACAAGATCCCAACACGGCATGTCCCCAAGAGTTGCGAAACCAGAACGTCCGTAGGTGTTGTCTCCCTTCGCATAGTTAAGCCTTGCGATTCACTACATAGCTTTTTCCAGCAACTACCTGATTTTAAGCTAATTCTTTTTCAGATCCCGGCCATTCATCATCCTTCTCTAGCCCCAGAGCCTCCAATAGCCCATTGGCCTGTCCCTTTTACAAATTCAACCCCGTCCTTTATGATGAATGCAAAAAATTCCAGTTCGCCCGAGTTTGGAATATGAAGCAGCATCTCGTTCGCTCTCACTCAGTGTCCGAACCTTCCACGCTTTCCTGCAATGTGTGCCATAGCCCGTTCGTCGATGAGCAATCTAAGAGGCTTCATCTCCACGATGGTAGCTGTCGCATCGCCGCTGCGCCAGAAAAGCTCTCGCCCCAAGAGGTCGTCAAATTGAAAGAAACAAGATTTCCCCGAGGATCTAGTGCTGCGAGCCAATGGTTTGCTATATGGATCCAGCTCTTCCCCGGACACACCAAGCCACAGACTCCCTACAAGGAGTCCAACAACATCAAGGAGGTAATCTCTCTCATATCGCCTATTGTGGAGAGTCACTTCCATGCTGCCTTCCCTAGTCTGCCTCGGCAGCATCGCCAGAGTGACATCTCACCCGTCAAAATAATCATGGACAATGTCTGTCGTGATTTCTGCAACAGCCTTCCCACCTCGCGTCAGAGGCCTTCTATCAAACTCCCAAGCCTGGATAATGCTGGTCACAGCCCGGATGGCAGGGTTGCCTCCTTCGCTCTAGTATTGCCATCGTCTGGAAATCCAAACCATGATGCTACAGCCGTGCTCGGGCCTCCCTCGTTTGGGAACAACCTGACAAGCATGGGCCCCATTATGGATTCAGCATTTGGCTTCGACCTGCCTGGATTTTCGGAGCCTAATAACACAGGAATAGACGAAGGCCTCTTCAATCCATTTTCGCCCTACATCCATGATCACACCTTTGGGAATGCAGATGTTGATGAGTCCGGGTTAGACGAGTATGTTGGAGATAACTAAATATCCTTCATTGATTGTTTAGGGCTCATATTGGGTATTGATAGGAACCATGGTTGATGCCATATGATTTAATGCCTAGTTTTCTGCTTTTCATCACTGTTTACTTTTGACTTATCCTCCCACTTTCTCCTGTGTCTTTTCATCAGTTGAGGGCTTTTAGACCAAGCAACGACGTTTGGTTTTCTTAATGACAAGGCAAATAAAAAATCAAGGTGATACAGAAGTATTACTATAGGATATCAACCAATGTTTATTTATTTTGTATCCATTTACATCTAAAATTGTGATGACTGCCGCGGGTTTGTGCCTGCGCGACTGTGTTGGCGAATACCACTACCCCGCAATCATGCAAAGCGGTACGTATATTTTTTTGCCTAATTGAGTAGGATAGGTATCCTACTCAAATAGGCAAAAATTTGTACTTTGTAGGTACACAATAAAAGGCCCCGCTACTTAGCATTCAGACGCACTCAGTGCATAGGTAGCTTTTGCAACCAGGTACTTGTTAACGGCGGAGCTGGCTGGTCACGTCCAACACCGGTTATGTATGCATTTTCTTACTGACTACCGGCGAGGATTGTTAGGGCGAGCTTGGACAAGTTACGACTGTACGTTTTTTATGAATTGCAATACAATGACCTGAGGCCATGCAGGTGGAAGTATGTAGCCGGATGGGTTCTTAGTATAGGAGGCAACACGACGTTGAGTAGTTTGCACTCCCGAAAGCAAAGAGGATTAGGAGTCTCAGTCCTTGTTTAACCAGTGTTGATTTTCCGGACCCATCTAAAGCACGTTCACTATGTTCATCTATAAAGGGATATCATTTGAGGAGGATCAGAAGAGAATATGGTATCTAGAAGCTATGCCACCCCTGTAGATGACTTCGATGGCCTTTGCCTCCGCGACTTTGCTAGCGATTCCTTTTTTCGAGGAAGATTAGGAGTCTCAGCCCTTATTTAACGGGTATTGCATTTCCGGAACCATCCGAGGCGCGTCAACTATTTGCATTTAGGAAAGAAATATCATAGGTGGTTGAATGCATCAGACATGGGACTATGCTAATCAGGTGGTCCATCTGAAACCATGAAAGTTCTCTCTGTATATATCGGGATTCATCATACGCTAATAAAAAATTCCAAGTACTCCAACGAGTCAGGGCATTTATCTATTTATTTATTGAGAAGAAGAATTGCGTGCTGTGCGCAAACGCTGGCGGCGCTGTAATACACCCGCCTTCAATGTTGACAAATAATTGAGGTCGCATTACCGTAGTCTGTCGGAAGGTGTTATCAGTTGGCATGCCCCGGTTTCCTCTCCCTTAGGTAGGGACCTATATTAACGCGACCAAGTGCATGTCAGATTTCCTCAACGCGCGGCGTCATCTTACTCCGCTCAAGTGTCATTGAACCCGAGGTTTGAGACCACACGAATCCTCATCACCAGGATCGATAGACATAAGCTTTCTTATCATGCTACTTCAAGCCGTGGCCGCTCTCGCAGTGGCGTGGGCCGTTGCGAGTCTCCTCGAAAGCCTGTGGCAGCCCCAGCCAGATCTCCCCAGAGTGGGTGCAAATCCCGGACCTCTCGGCTTGTGGGCTTGGTGGGCGCGATGGAAATGGTACCAGACCGGACATAGGGACATAATACAGCATTATGATCAGGTAAAGCAAAGAAAAAACATGCGCTCTAAAGATCTGTCCCGGGTCTGACCGCCCGGCAGCAAAGATCCCACGGATCCAACTACATCATCCACACCATAACGGGGAACACTGTCGTTCTTGCACCTAGGTTCCTCAGTGAGCTCAACATGCTCCGAGAGGCTCAGCTGAGCTCCACGGCAGCATTGGTCGACAGCGTTTTGGGCGAGTATTCTGGTGTGGAGGTTCTTCTTCGAGATCACCTAACGTCCGACATCTGCCGAGGAAGTTTTACAAGAAACCTACGTGAGTTGTGATTCCGGATAGTGAGATATCTAACCTAGAACTCACCTTGGTAGCAACGTTTCTTCCCCTCATGTCTGAGGAGCTTGACGACGCTATGCTTAAAGGTCTGGGACATTAAAAGAAAATCTGTTGTTCACTAACTCTTATCAAAAAAGTGGTCAAAATTAGAGTCGTATGTTGCCTTCGAATTTCTGTACTCCATCATTCATCGCATTTCATCCTTAGTTTTCGTGGGCAGGCAACACTGCCATGATCCAGCATGGACACGTGCCGTAACAGATCTTCCCGTCAACGTTGAAATCACGAAATTCATTTTGCTGCCTTTCCCCTCCTCTCTTCGACGTGTGATTGCGCCCCTAATTCCTCGGCGGAATAATATCTTTCGCCAGCGGAAGTTGGCGCGCGATGTGCCCTTCCCATCCGGGAGGGTGGCTGCTGGCAATGAGCCAAGCGTCCTGAAGCTCTTCATAGAGAGCAAAAAGGATCATGATCCTGACAGCTTGACAGCCAGCTTTTGCTTTTAACGGCAGCAGCGGTAAGTGCAAAGTCAATCGTTGTATTGCAAAAAGATGACTAAAGATTTAACATTTAAAGCTTCATACATCGACCATGGCAGCGACCCATGCCCTCTTTGATCCATGTGCTATGCCGGAGTATGTCGGAGCCCTACGAGCAGAGGCGCAGTCGGCTCTAGCAGAGAGTGGCGGAGTGTGGCAGTATTCGACCATCAAGAACCTGCGTCGACTGGATAGTTTCTTAAAAGAATCGCAGCGTGTGAACCAATCCACCTTCCGTAAGTTTCCGTCTTCTCCCAACCCCTCCGCAACAGCACGAGACTTCATTTGACGCTCACGATTACTACATAGTTGGCTTTGATCGTAAAGTCATGTCCACTATCAAATTGTCCAACGGAACTATCCTTCCTCCCGGATCATTGATTATGATGCCCGGGGGACCCATGTCGCGAGACCCGGAATACTATAAGAACCCAGGCAGTTTCGAGGGTCGGCGCTTTTACAGATCTGTCGCTCATCTCAGTGACGATGCCTCGAAGGCTATGGCAAGGACGGCGCAAGACTATAAAGGTATTGAGCCTGGAAATCTTTTATGGGGGAATGGCAGGTTCACTTGTCCGGGACGATGGTACGGCGCCGCCATGATCAAACTGATCCTGGCGAACGTGCTCATCAGGTATGATATCTCGTTTCCTGACGGCCAAACTGAACGTCCAGCAAATACCAAGTATGACACTGAGGTGCATCCTGACTTTGGCGCGAAGGTTTGTTTTGCCAGAAGGCAATTAGACTGAGCAATTCTCTCCCAAAGTACAGCTGTTTGGGGTGACTAGCATACATAGCATCGCATCAAATTGCAGGGACTACTAGCGAGCCATCTTTTTAGACGTTTCCTTGCCGGCTCCAGATGGACAATTTTACAGTCTCCGTCATGCAGGCAGCAACCGAGTTATCCTGGTCCACGTGGAGCTTCGAACTGTCTTATGGCTTTATGAGTTTATGTTCTTTTTCTAAATTGCGATGTATATCTTTTTAGCTGTTAAAAAAGACATATTCTTGTACTTTGCTAGTCCTGATCCTACTCGTAAGGTAGCTATATTATTACAACGCTTAATACTCTTATATATACCAAGATCATTGTATGGCAGCGCTCTGAAGATGCTCGGCATCACTTGGCTCCCATGGAGTGTCCACCTCAATTTGATTGATCAAGTCGATATGCTGGCGACTCCGGGGAGTTATTAGATACTGGAACTTGTTCGGATGTGTCAAGATCCCGGGCTGAGGTTCTAGACTGATGCTGACTTCCTTTCCGTCGTCACCCACGGCATGTCTGAAATCGAACATGGACAGAGACTGCACAATGTTGATGTACAAGCTTGAATCCGCGAAAAATCGTCCGGGACAGATCCTCCTTCCATAGCCAAACACATCAGATGCGGGGTCGGGTTCGTTTCGTGGGGCCAAAAAGCGTTCAGGTTCAAAGGTCTCTGGCTCATGATACACCTGAGGATCATGCAGAAACCAATAGACAGACGGGAGTATGGTTGCCCCTTTGGGGATACGGAAGCCATTGTAGTCAAAGTCGCTATCGACAACATGCGGAAACCCCAGCGGGGTGATGGGCCACCACCTGGCGGCTTCCTTGATCAAGGCGTTGACGTATGGAAGCTTGTCGCGGTCCTCAAATGTCGGTAGTTTACCGAAACCGACCACTCGATCGATTTCATCTTGAGCTTTTCGCTGCACGTCCGGGTAGAGAATCATGGCGGCCGTAAATACCGTGAGTGTTATCACGGTCGTGTCAGACGCGGCGCCATAAAGACTCATAGCCGTCCACATGATTGCATCCTCATCAGCTGAACCCGGGCTTGGCGAATCTCCATAAGATTGAGTGAAATACTCTATCAATTTCGAAACGTAGGAGGGCTGGTGGTTCTTGGCCGTCATCTGGTGCTGGACAAACCGATATGGCAGCTCTGCGGCAGTCTCAAGCCTTCTCCTCATTACACGGGCCTTGCTTATGAATCCTGCACCAGGCGTCCATTTCGGTAAATACTGAAGAAAGGGCAGAATATCAACTGCCCAGGACATTGGTACCGCCGCTTGGGAGAATTCACTCAGCACGCGGTCAGCTAATTCTACCAGATAATCAGGCTTGTGTGGCTCAAGTGTATAGCCGTATGCCATCTTCAAGATGGTGGCAGCGGCGGACCTGGGTTTGTTAGAGTTCCATTTTCCCAACGATACTGAAGATCAGGCTCTCACGTTCTGTAGTGGTCCAATAATTTTTTAGGTGCTCTCAGTGTCCTAATAAGCTGTCGCTTCATTTCCAGTTCCTGAATACCGCGAAATTGGGCAGCTGAAGTTATTGTGCCCAGTTCCTGGTGCAGAAGCTTGCGGTAGAATCTGAAAGTTTTGTTGTACCCCTTGCAAAGTATAATCGATTCATAACCGCACATTTTGTTTGCAAAGATGGAGTCTGGCCGGCCCGAAGTCTTGCTAGCCGTTTTGTCCAACATTTCGTGGGCCATGTCTCTGTCGTTCACTATTATGAGCGTCATCCCCATGATGGTCACAGAGCTAATCGGCCCATATTGATCCTTGTGCTTCACCCAGTGTAGGAATTCCGGCACGCCGGCGGGGGGTAGATCTCGGATATTTCCCACAAGAGGGAGTCCTGGTGGCCCAGGAGGTAACCTGTAGCGATCGTCTCGACGGAGGAAGATTCGATTGATGAAGTAGACAAGCACCGGTACGGCCACAGCCCAAAGGGACCAAGGCGAGGATGGGAACATCGTTTTTGCAGTTTCTTGCTTGAGACTCTCCCGATGAAAGCTCAATGGTGGGTGGGAGGCTACCTTATAAGACGGCCACAAAGAATCACACCTTCAGATTTCAGCGATGACGCACGAATTGGCTTGGCGGCATCTTGACGAATCATGAGTAGTGAGAAACTAGCTCGCTTACATGGCTACGCCAATCATTGGAAGCTTTCATGTGACTAGGTTCTAATTTAAGGACTTTTGTAGTCCAACGACGTATGAATACTGGTGAAGGTTGCGCGAGGGTTGCCTGTTAGAGTAATTTGATTCATCAGGGATACATCACTGAATTGGGCGAAGGCCTCCCATGAGGTTGCATCTCAGCACCTCTCCTCTTGAAGATCGGTGGAACAATCAGGCCAGGCTGGTTAGCCAGAGGGGTGTGTCACTGACCCCTTAAGCGACCGAAGTAGGGCAGAAACTGCGACGATGCCAGTGTGTGGCGCATAAATTCAGTGTTGTATATCCCTTTTCTTTGGTGTCTTTATGTCGCCAGTTGTGTGTAGGTATTCCTCGCTGTGGGAACAGGAGTCTGCATGTAAATGCATGGCCTGTAAAAGGAGCCTGTCACATATTTCCATAGCCACGCATAGACCTTCCTAGTTTCTGGAGTTTTCCCCAATAACAGATGTCCGTGTTTTCGAAATTGAACAAAGGAATATCATCTTAATAAAAGCTGATGCGAGGACACACATTTCCATGTTGTTTAGTTATACCATCTTTGTATCTAATTTTCATGAACTGCACACCACACAACATAGGTTGCCTTCGATTCAAAAATCCGTATAAAAGGATACAAGTAACTTATATCGTTTCTACAAGTATAGCTACCATACAGTATCCAACTTGGAAAAGTAAACAAAACTAACGAGGCGTCTCAAAAGGAGATGTAGCGTGGTACAGTAATTCATGTGATGGGTCCAAGCACTCCCCCCCTTCTTTGACGCAATGAACACAACTGTAGAAACCACCACTAATACATATCTTACAGTGGTACCGAGGCTGAGCATTGCTCATTTTCCTAAGACAGGTATCGCAATGCGCGCCAGATCTAGGGTCATAGTGAGTGACTTCATCATTAACCTCTCGAGGGCCGGTGCTCGCTTCGAGGTTTCGGAAGAGTTCCTGCATACTGGGCGTCGCCGCGTTGTCCAGCCACCATCTAAGGCTTTTCCCATGAAATTCATCAGCGTCCAAAGAGGGCGGCGCGGCATTAAACAATAATTGAGCAACCGCCTCCTTTCCGAGGCGTACTGCCATACCGAGAGGAGTTGATCCGTACATGTCTCGCAAGTGTGTTTGATTTTCGTCCATCTCGATAAGAAGTTTCACTACTTCACACCGACCGTGGGATACCGCAAAAAATATAAGAGATCTTCCGAATGGGTTAACTGGAAGGTTATGAACTCCCACGGCGTCCAGTAGTTGAGTCAAAATCTTAGTGTTCCCACAACATACTGCTCCATTCAGAGGCGTCCACATGCATGAACAGGGGCTTGCCTTGGATGGAACAGTTGGGTCAGCTCCTCGATCAAGCAAGAGCCTCACAACCTCATAGTGCCCTCGTCCAACAGCATCAGTTAATGGGGTGTAGCCGGCATAGTCCTCCGTATTAATGTCTGCCCCTCTTTCCAGCAGTACTCTCGCTGCTTCGAGGTGACCATCATAAGCAGCAGCGTGCAAGGGAGTTCGCCCCGCTGGATCAAGGAACGACACGTCGGCACCAAGGTCTATCAAGAGCTCAACCATGGACGTTTGCCCAGTAGCCAAAACCAAGGATGGGCTTCTGAGTTGAGCGATATTGGGGTCAGCCCCGCACTCAATCAGTGCTTTGACAGCCTCCTTGTGATTAGACAATATCGCGTCGGTAAGAGGGGTGGACTGAATACTGCTCACGGCGCTCAGATCGGCCGAGTACTCGAAGAGGACTCGGATGCAGCTGAGAGAGTTGTTTTCTGCAGCAAAATGCATAGGGGTCATGCCGTAGGCATTCACGTCGCCTGGATCGGCTCCCTTGTCTAACAGGAGCCGTGCCAGCTCAGGTTGGTCCTGTCTGCAGCATACATGCAGCGGCGAATACTGGAATAATTGATGCCTAGCCCTAGGATAAGCGCCCCGATCGAGCAGCAGCCGCGCCAGTTCTGTGTGTCCTTGCTCGATAGCGATGTGAAGAGCACTGCAGCCAGGGTGATGCAAGTGATCAACATCGACCCCAGAGTCAAGAAGGAGCTCGATTAGGTGAGTATGGCCAAGAACCGCCGCCCGTTGAAATAGGCGGACCCGTTCTTCGGCCATGCCTTCACCGTCCAGCCCATGTTCGAGCATGAGTTCCACCATATCCAGGCGCCCACCAAATGCGGCGAGGGAGAGGGGGGAAGCTCCATCGGGGTTTTGAGCTGCAGGATTGGCACCATTCCGGAGCAGAGACTCAACCATCAGGTCATGCCTAGCCATGACTGCCGTACAGAGTGGAGTCGTCTGCCTCTGATCATCACCAGCCTCAAGGTCTGCTCCGTTTGCAAGTAGCAGCTCTGCGATGACCACATGCCCTCCCAAGGCCGCAAGGTGTAAAGCCGTGGTGCCGTTCTCACGCCCCTCCGCACTGACTCCCATTTCGAGGAGTAACATGACGGCTTCCAGCTTTCCTTGGCCGACGACAGCTTGGAGAACTATGCTGCCATGCTCGATCGCGAGTGCCGCCCATCCGTGATCAAAGAGCAGTCTCAGGATCGCGACCTCGCCATTACGTGCAGCTAGGATAAGAGGCATATGCCCGTATGGGATTGAGTCCTCTTGACCGGCCCCGAGCTCAAGAAGAAGGCCAACCATTTCTATATCTCCTTTGCAGATGGACCTAAATAAGCCGTCTGGCCATCACCGCTCGCGGGCCGTACAAGGACTGCCCCGGAATTGACAAGAAGCCTGACAAGCCCGGGGTCACCCAATTGCACCGCACGATGCAAAATCGTGTCGCCGCCGGGGTAAAGGTGATCCAATCGCGCGCCAGCTTCACACAGAACGCGCATCGTGATTGGGTGCCGGGCGAGTGTCGCCGCCTCAATGGCTTCGCCCAGCAACGGGTCACGTTGATAGACGTCGGCGCCGCGATCAAGAAGTAGCTTGACTATGTCGCTGTGGCCAAGGTTTGCTGCCAGGGAGAGAGGCCAATTGCCGGTGCCTTGCTCAACAAGGTCCTCGTCGAGGAAGTGTCGGACCAGCTCGAGGTTGCCGAGGCGGACGGCCCGCGTGAGAGGCGGCGAACCGTCACCTTGCAGGTGGTCTGACAGGACCTCGTTGATTAATGGTTGCAAATATGTCGCATCTCTGGTATCGATTGATTGTGTGGTGGAAGCCATTTTGCTCTGGTATTGTGCTTTGTTGCTCTCTGTGCCTGAACTTGGTGCGGGTATGTGGTGTGCATGAAAATGGAGGGATTTTTTGTGTTTTGCCACGGCGAGACTTCCTCACCAGGACGCAGATTCGATTTAGGCGGGTGCCTAGACGATCGACGAGGCTAAATTTTAAATTGTTGGTTGTTAAACTGTTGGTTGTGACTTGTTGGTCGGTTGTTGGTGACCGGGTGAAGGCGGAGTTAGTTGAATGCTGCTGTGGGTTTCGGTCGAATACGGCGAGTTGGGTTGACTTCCAGTCCCATCAATGCTATGATACAATCGGAATCACTGCTTCCAATGTTCATCACTTTCCCCCGACCTAAATTGACAGCACGGATTTGTATCAATCGGGCCATGTGCTAAACAGCTCTTTATATCTGGCAAGGGGTTGAATTTACCTGCCTACCCTGTAACCACCAGCTCTACCCTACCCTCACTTGATTGCCGCGAACTGCCATTTTCTGACAGAGATCAATGAATTATTCCAGTATCTCAACGCAAATCGAAATTACGGTGATAATCTTGACCCAAGTTGTCCTTTCGCTGTTTGAGTAAGACACGAAAATGACGGAGTAGTAGACACACAAAACAAATGCAAGTAAGAAACCGACACATGTGCTAGTGCCGTTTGAGTCCCTCTTATATGGAGAAGAAAGATTTGACCAGGAGACAGTGACCTATGAGATTGATAGTCAAGGGACATCAATAAGTCTAGTCAAAAGAGAAGGGTTGAGCAGATTTGCCGTCTGGGCTCGTGTTACATTGCAGCCACTCACGACGATTGGGTAACTTACATTCACGTGCGTCAGAAGGCCTGGCCTCCTGCATGAGGGAGATAACTCATGCAGCGCTGCGTAACCAGGAAGGATTAAAAGGTTTCGCCTGGGACCGATTGCTGACATAAATTTTGATTAAGCACACAACCCTTTTGCTCCATCCATCAGTGCCTTCTCAACATGGCACACTCGCCACATAGATCCATTGCAAGCATCTACATTATTGGCTCGCAGTCTACTGGGAAGACAACCCTTGTCAATGGTTTAATGGAAGAGTTCCAAGCGCTGTGTGGTACCATTGCTGTCCCGGAACCTGGTCTAATCGCCGAAGTGGCGAGAAATGTAATAGAGGAAATGAGCTTTGCGACCGAGGATATTAGAAACTCACCGGATCTCAGCCTAATGCTCCAGAAACAAATACTGGCTGCACAAGTGGAAGCAGAACAGACTGCGCTCGGCACAAGTCCCTGGTTTGTCAGTGACAGGTCCGCGCTGGACCCGATCGTGTACGCACACACATATGCTGGTACAGACGCAGCCAAGAAGATAACCGAGTCGGGGACGTGGCAGGCGATCCGGCAGAGGATGGCGGAGTCGGTGGTAATTGTGTGTGAGCCGGTAGTTGAGTGGCTGCAGGATGATGGTGTGCGGCTGTTGCCGAAGGATAATGAGGAGTGGATACAGATTCATCGCGGATTCTGCACCCTGCTGGAAGAGGAAGGCATTGGATATAGTGTACTGGGTTCTGATATACGGAAGTCTAGCGGGCGAGTAGATTTCGTGGTTTCAAGATGGCGTCAGCGACTGGAAGAGCTGTTCAGTCCGAATAGATGAGGGGCGGCATGGAGACAGGCGATACAGTTCTACTGATGATCAGCAAAGAAGACATCTTTTGGCGATCATTCCAATTGATTGAACTCTAGCAATTGGCCACCGAAGCTCCTCAAGATGGACCCAGATGAAGTGGGAATGGCAGGGATGTTTGTTGCGGTGTACATCCACCCTCCTGCACCAGAATCGGAGGAGCTCCCAAAACAAAAGCAACGGAGGGAACACTACTGATGCTTACCAACCCAAGCAGCCGATATAGGGGACTTGGCAGACGGAGGCAAAGAGAGCGAAGGATGGATTAAACACACTCACCCCCACCTTGGGAGCAGAAATTGACAGCGGGTCGGATTTGGGGCAATGAGGTTAATCCAGACAGAGTTTGCCGAGGGGCAAAATGAGAGAAATTATCAATCTAATCTGATGGTGGTGGGACAGTGACAGACTACCCGGCCTGCACTGTGCCCCCCTGGAGGCCTAATGCACCCGCTAAGCTGCGCCACTGATGCACTGTACTCTATCTCGCAGCGGAGGGTGCGCTAGGATGGCCCCGCCAACACTGACTCACTGCACTGACACACGCTGGATTTTAGCGACTGATGTGCTGTGGCGGTCGTTATAGGGGACAGCGCAGCAGTGTAGCGCTGCTGGTGGAGCCCGACGAAGCGTCCAGTCAACTGAGTCTTCTGAACATCACTCCTCAGATCTCCAACTGTCTACAGTTGGTTGCATGCGCGACAAAGCATGGAACGCTGGGCGGTGCCTTGCGAATAACCAACGGCTTAGACTCGCCCTCTTCTTGGCAGCGGGCCAGGTCGGAATCTGCTACGTAAAGAAAAGAAGCGTAAAAGAACCATGGCATCAATGTGCGCAATTAGCGCCGGCCCTGGCCCTAGCAGATGACGATCATCCTGGTTATCAATCAGCGCACTGTATGCACACGGCCCGTTTCTCTCGCGAACCCACTCTTCCTCTCCTCCTCTCCTCCTGTCTGCATTTCTCTGCATTTCGCTCGCCGGCCACATGTAACCATAATCCTTGGCGTCTTGCGTTCTCTCCATCCACAATGCATCCCTCGCTGTCTGTCTGTCCCAACATGGGCGAACGTAGCGGCCCGATCGTCGGGCGGGTCTCGGTCCATGGGCAGCCATTTCCTCCTTGAAAAGATCACGTCTGTCGCCTCGCATTTGACGTGTTTCCTGCTTCTTTTCTCCTCCCTCCCTTGCCCCCTCCTAGACGCCCATTGTCGCCGTTGGTCGCATCCGACGCAGAACGAGATGGCCGCAGAGGACAAGACGGCCTCGAAAGAGGCAACCTCCACTCCGGTCGCAGTGCAGGAGAAGAAAGACGAGCCAAAGTCATCGTCGTTCGTAAGTCGGACCCTGCTCCGAGCTGTCGGCATTCGGTATTCAGCTCTTTCGCCCAGACTAACAATTGATTCTCCATCTCTAGAAGCTCACCAACTTCAAGCAATTCTTCATCTTCTTCCGCGTCCTGTTCGCTGCAGACCCAACATGGCTCGATTACTGCCTCATCGCCTTCGCCACCATCACGGCCGCGGCCGCTGGTGTGCCCTTCCCCCTCATGGGCATCGTCTTCGGCCAGCTTGTTGACGACATGAACGGTGCTACGTGCGCGGCCGAGGGCGAGTCCAACGCCGACCCCTTCTCGTATGAATCCTCCATCAACCAAAAGGTCCTCCTCAATGTCTACATTGGCATTGCTGCGCTGGTCCTGATCTACAGCTACATTGTCGCCTGGAGTGTCATCAGTCAGCGCCTGGCCCACCGTCTTCGCAGTCGCTACGTCGCTGCTCTCCTCCGACAGCCTCCCTCCTTCTTCGACGTACGCGCTGCTGCTGGCGAGGTGTCCAGCCGACTCCACGGTGACATTACTGCTGTGCAGACGGGAACCTCCGAGAAGGTGGGCGTCTTCATCGTCTCCTGGAGTTTCTTCATCACCGTCTTCGTCATCGCCTTCTCCAAGCAGCCTCGGCTCGCTGGAATGCTCGTCTCCATGCTCCCCGTCTACCTGCTGTCGGTCGGAGTGGGCAGCGTCTTCATCCAGAAATTCGCCAAGCAGACCGAGACGGTCGCAGCCGCCTCCTCCATTGCCTCGGAGTCGCTCACCCACATTTCCGTCGTCCAGGCCTTTGGTGCTGCCGAGCGACTCGAGTCCAAATTTGCAACCTATATGCGCGACGCCCGAAATGCAGGGATGAAGCGATCGGCCGTCGTCGCAATCCAGTCTGGCATGCTGTACTTTGTGTCGTATGCTGGAATTGCTCTGGCTTTCTGGCAGGGTAGCAAGATGATTGCTGAATCAGTCAGCAACACTGGGCAAAATGCGACAATTGGTGAGATCTACATGGTAGTGTATCTTCTGATCGATGGTAGGTCATCCACGACAGTCAATTCTTTAGATGGCCGTAGAAGCTAATTGCTGATTTCCATAGCTTCCGTGATGCTGGGCTCCCTTGCCCCCATCTTGCCTGTTCTTGGCGGCGCCACCGCTGCCTATAAACGTCTCATGGAAGATATTGAAGCACCTTCACCCATGGACGGCACCTCAGAGGAGGGCGACAAGCTTACTGTCGGGTCGGCAAAGTCAATCCGCTTCCAGGACGTCACCTTCGAGTATCCAGCCAGACCAGGTCAACAGGTGCTGCGCAGCGTGAGCATGGAGTTCCCCGCTGGTAGCTACACTGCCATCGTCGGTCTATCTGGTAGCGGCAAGTCTACCATCGCGGCTCTCCTTGACCGTCTGTATGATCCTGTCGAAGGAAAGGTTGAGATCGACGGACACGATTTACGAGACCTCAATGTCAAGAATCTGCGTAGCTTCATAAGCTTCGTTCAGCAGGAACCATCGCTACTTGACCGTTCCCTGTTGGAAAACATTGCTCTTGGCCTCGTCAACTCTCCCAACCCTGCCCACCAACACCTGAAGCCTCTTCTATATGGCCCCGAATTGTCCAAGCTGGCTGTCAAAGGAAGAGAAATCTCATCATCAGCCGACAACATCACATCTGACCCTAACCTGAAGGAGCTGGTTGACCTTGTCATCAAGGCTGCCGAGCAGGCCGATGCAATGAGCTTCATTGAACGCCTTGAAGATGGTTTCGGAACAGTCGTCGGTCCCAGAGGCTCTCTTCTGAGTGGAGGGCAGAGGCAGCGCATCGCCCTTGCTCGTGCTCTTATTCGTGATCCAGAAATCCTTGTCCTTGATGAGGCAACTTCCGCTCTTGATTCTGCAACCGAGAAGCGTATCCAATTGGCTATTGAGCGGGCGGCTACCGAGAACAGAACCATTGTCTCCATTGCCCATCGACTGTCAACCATCCGTAACGCCCACAACATTATTGTGATGGAAGCTGGAAAGGTAATTGAGCAGGGTACGTATGTGGACCTGATGGCCAAGGAGGATGGTGCCTTCGCCGGCATGGCCAGACTCCAGTCTGTTGGAACCTTGGATAAAGATGCCCACTCGATCTCTGGTGATTCCATAGATGCATCCACTTTGAAGAGTGACAACCCAGGCCCTGAAAGACTTCTCTCGATGGACAAAGGAACCGAAGTGGACGAACCAGAAGTGGACGAGGAAAAGGAGAAGAAGTCCAAGAAGAAGAAAGAAGAACCCACTTCCAAGGACGGTGAGCTTGATGCCCCGCAGCCTCTGGGACGGACTATGGGTAGAGCCTGGAAGATCATTCGCTCCTCTACTGGATGGATTGCTCTCGCTATCATCTCTGCCATCATTGTTGGTTGCACATTCTCTGGATCTGGTGTCATTTTCGGTTTCACTATCGGTGCTCTCAACCCTTGTGCCAACACTGCTGAGCGAATTCTATCTCTTGGACGCCTCTACTCCGGACTGATGTTCATGTTGGCTTGTGTGGAAGGCTTTGCCAACTTCTTTGCATGGTCTGGATTTGGCGTTATATCGGAGAAGCTCCTGTACTCAGTTCGAGTTCTTTCTTTCCGATCACTGGTGCGACAGGATGTCCAGTGGCACCAGTCGGAGAACCGAAGCCCGTCTGGCCTCCTTGCCATCATCACCAGAGACTGTACCGCTATTGGTGGTTTCAGCGGCTCTACGATTGGTACTCTCTTTGCTGTGTGCGTCAACGTTCTGGTTGCCATTATCCTGTCCCACATCATCGCTTGGAAGATTGCTCTGGTGTGCTTGGTGGTCATCCCCATCATCCTTGGTGCCGGCTTCATGCAGCTGCACCAGCTTGCCCGATACCAGGAGCGTCACACTGAGGCGTTCTCCACCGCTACTTCAGTCGCTACCGAGGCTGTTCAGTCGATCCGTACTGTGGCAGCTCTTTCTCTTGAAAACCAATTCATGGATTCCTACAATCACCTTTTGGCGAAGCCAAGGAAGGAAATGGTGCGCGCTTCCGCTTCCGCCAATATCTGGCTCGCAATCAACCACACAACCAGCACCTTCTTGAACGCTCTCGCATACTGGTGGGGAACTCAGTTGATGATGAAGGGAGAATACACCCAGACCCAGTTCTTGATCATTTTTATCGCAATGTTGACTGCATCCAAGATCTGGGGCTCCATGTTCACGCTCGCCCCTGAGTTCTCCCGCGCCCACATTGCCCTTACTCGCCTGATGACCGTCATCAGCATCGGCCCAGACCAAACCCTCAAGTCCGCTGGCAAGGGACCCCAGAGTGATGTGGAGGCTACTGGTGAGGCCAAACCCCAAACTGAGAAATCGGGACAGCGTGGAGGAGCTAAGATCACCTTCAACAATGTGTCCTTTTCCTACCCAAGTCGCCCTGACGTTCCTGTTCTTGACAATGTGTCCTTCACCATCCAACCCAACCAATTCTGCGGTTTAGTAGGTCCTTCAGGAGCTGGAAAGTCCACCATCATGAACCTCATCCAGCAGTTGTACACACAGACAAACGGTGTCATCTACATGGATGATGCCGACATCGCCAAGGGCCCAGCCTCGTTCAGGGATAGCATTGCACTGGTTCCTCAAGATCCATCGCTCTTCCAAGGCAGCATCCGCTTCAACGTTGGGTTGGGTGCTCCCCCCGGAACCGAAGCAACAGATGATGAGATCGAAGAGGCATGCCGTCTCGCCAATATCCACGACGTCATCATGGACCTTCCCGACAAGTACGACTCTGACTGCGGGCCTTCCGCTTCACACCTGTCGGGTGGCCAGAGGCAGAGACTGGCAATTGCGCGTGCCCTGGTACGTCGACCACGTCTCTTGCTGCTGGACGAGAGCACCAGCGCCCTGGATGCCGCCAGCGAGGCGGCGTTGCAGGAAGGTCTGGAAAAGGCCGCCAGAGGCACAACTGTCCTGGCCATCACCCACCGTCTTCACACAGTACGCAAGGCGGATGTCATCTTCGTGGTTGAGGGTGGACAGATTGTAGACAAGGGACGCCATGGGGAGCTGATGGAGAGGAGAGAGAGTTACAGAATCAACGCGATGCAGCAGATGCTGCAATAAGGGCATTGAAATGCGTGTAAAGCGCTAGTATGTATGCATATAGTTAATACTGAAAAGTTATGTTATGATTAGATCAAAATAGAGTACCCGGCTTCTGGATTCATATACAGATGTATTCATTTAGACCCTACATCAACAGGAGAAATGCCAACTCAGGAACATCTAATTCATTCAATACTATCTCATCTTGCTGGTTGTTGGCCTCTTTGTATCGAAAGCTAACTCAAGAACTAAGAGAGCCCAGCATAGGATTATTCCAGAACTTGATTACTTCCCTTTCTTTGGGAAGCTCATGCGGCCAAACCACACGGTGAAGCAAGGCTTTTACCTCCGGCCAGTGTTCAGAGTCCTGTCTGATTACGCCGCGACAATGTTCAACGAGAGACAGGAATTCAACGCTCAACTCCCGGAATCGTTTGTCACAATCATTTGGTTGGACGTGGGCTATGGTGAGAGCCCCAGCAAACCATTTCCAGATCCACGAAGCCTGTGATTCTTTGCTCCGGGCCTTGAAGTTCAACCAGCTTGTTTCCAAGTCTTGCTTAAGTATCAGTAGTACATGATGTAGAAGAGAGCTCTCCGCTGGGGATCCTTGATTCCATATGCCGAGCACCGATGTCAGGTACATGCCAATGGCAACACAGAATCCAGACCAAGACGAGACAAATCCCGCATTCGCCTGGGAAGATAAGGATGACCCGTTTGAGATAGAGTCCAAGTGAGCGTTTACCACGGCAGACAGCAGCCTCGAAGGGCCACCGCTGTCCCAGAGCTCATAGCGAGAACCAGCATCATATGTCGCCTCAGATCCTGCAAACCTTGCATCATGTTGTTGTGTTATCTGCGTGAGGCAGGAGATAATACCACTAACATCGACGTGGCGGGGGTACTTGGTCACAATTGCCGAGCTAAAGAAGTACGGGAACAGTCTGATTGTCTTAAGTCTGAAGGCAAGACCGGTGGCTTCCTGTACATGCCAGCGATGTAAGACTCTTGCGAGGCCTTTTGGGTCTGAGTCACGAGAGATATTTTCGACTATGGCCGTGCTGGTTAGGAAATCATCTAAGCGGCTTTTTAGACTGTGGACAAAGTTGTAGGCCCTGTGTAACAGGAAATGAGCTACATTAGATTACTGGTGCTTTCAGAAACAAGTTTCGAGGTCCATCTGCATTTAACTTACAGAATAAGGTATCGGTCAGTAAGCTCTCTTTTAATGGTGTCTTCGGAGCTTAAGTCCTGTTCATCGGCCCTGTGGGCATCGATGAACCTCATGAGGCCTTTGAGGTGCGCTTCTGCAACTCGGAAGTTTCCGAGACAGCACTATCGGAAACACACTGTTAGTTCGTAATACCAAACCGTACATGGGATGGCTTACCTCCGTAAAGCTCAGTGTAATGATGTAATTGGCGCAGCTCGTATAATCCTTCCCGCCAGAGGGGCTACTTAACCCTTCATTAACCAGTCGGATAGCTTGGATCTTGTGCAAAAGAAAAGTGGGTTCGAAAGTCTGGAGATCTCCGAGATTCCATGCGTAATGGATGCCGGCAATGAGGAGCATGTTACGGAGGGCGAACGGGTCTTGAACAGCCGAGCTCATACTAGTAGGTAGGGGTGAGCTCATGATCCATGGGCAAGGGCGTGCGGGGACTGACCAATCATCTAGTTGCTGTTCGGGTTGCGGTTCAGACGGCACGGTAAATGCTTCACCGACTTGCCTAACTATCATGCTCTATCAGTCCATGTTGGCTCGGCATGAGAAATGACACCATTCTTACAGTAGTGAAGAAGCTCCTTTGATCTAAGAGGCATCAGGATGGGGAAGGCATCAAAAGTGTTAATCCTCTCCAGCTCAATCAATTTCCAAGGAGCTTGATTCCATGCGTCTCTTGGTTTTGATACCTGTGTCGCTACCTTTGACCAATTCTGGGGACTCGAGTTCTGGACGATCCACGGGGCTTCATCTGAAGATCGTAGTTGTGCCCTGCGATCCCGGAGCGGAACCTTGGCTGGGCCATAAGAGCAAGCCTTTGCCATTTTCGCGCAATTGGAGCTATCACGACCCTAAGGTTAGTCATCGGCTTGTATGGTCCGGCTTTGTATAAGCCTAGCAAAGATATACACTCCCCCAATGATGAGTGCGCAGTCATCGGGGCCATCGTCTTACCATCGTGGCCGCTTCTCATCGCATCGGATACGACGGTCCTTGCAGTTTGAACACCCCGACCTACTCCGCGTGACAAATTGCCTCCTGGTTGGATCTACCTGACGCTCTTCTCCACCCATGATGGCGAGCAGGCTATCGTTGTGAGATAGGGGCCCGGAGAACGTAAGCAGGAGAAGTTGTCAAACTTCGGGACGTGACGCGACACACGGCGATATTCCAAGCTCCACCCAGGCTAAACGCTTAATATAAAGACCCTTGTAAGTGCGGTGAGAGACTGCTAATTCTCAACATTTGTAGAGTGTAGTCGTAGTACCTTATCTGACGTCAGAAACACTTGATATACCTATATGAAATGGTAAAGTTTTCTACCCCGAAGATTCCCCGCGCGGCTTCAAATCGCGTTGCTGGTTAGTAGGAGTAAGATTTGCCACAAGAGGATTGGTCGAGTCTGTGCCTCCACAAGGATTTACCTTGTCTATGCGTCTCGAACTTATCTACTCGCTAACCTATCTTGGGACGAATAAGCGCTCTGGATCTTCGAATGGACGTCAAGGATGCTGCATAGAGCATATACTCGAAACCATTGACTAGCTAACCTGTCTTAAGGCGAATAAGCGCCTGAGATCTTCAAGAATGGCAAGGATTTTTTTCACTTGGACATTTTCTCAATTAAGGGAAGAGAATCACAACTTTTAGAACTAGCTGAGTAGCCTTAAATGGTATGCCTTCGGCCTCTTTTTAACCGTTCTCTACTTCATTATTACAGGTTGCGACACGTTCCGGGATCCGAACCAAAACAGAAATTTCGTTACCGAACAGTCATTCATCATGATTCCTGGATCCAGAATCGACGGCGTTGCCTTAGTTGTTGGGGTAAGCATTTTTATGATTCCAATACATTGCAATTTTCTTTAATTGGACATAGTCAGGGCGTGGCATTGGACAGCAGGCGGCTTTCTCTTTAGCCCAGGCCGGGGCAGAAGCCATCGTATTCGCGGACCTCGACGAGGAAAACGCAGTATTGTCTGCCGAGGAGAGCAAACGCTTCGCAACAAATCCAAAGTACAGAACTGCCACGGTCAAAGTTGATGTGAGGGAGCCCACTGAGGTACAACACATGGTTGACTTCGTTATTCGCGAATTTAGGCGACTTGACTATGCCGTCAACTCTGCGGGAGTGAGTGCAGATCGTATTTTGCCATCTCGCTGCGGAACATCGTCAACTGATCCATTATTTCGCGCAGGTTGACAACGGAGTTCATGTGCCTGTTGCGGATACCGACATTGACAATTTCGACCGGGTGATGAACATTAACGCAAAGGGCATGATGCTTTGCCTCCGCGCAGAGACGGCCGCCATGAGAAAGCAGGAATCTAGAACATACGCTGGGCGTACCGGGAACCGTGACATTGGCCGAGGAGTAATTGTGAACTGTGCTTCTGCGAATTCCTTCGCCGGACTCCCCGGGAAAATGTCATACACGGTTTCCAAGCATGCTGTGATGGCGTTAACAAAAATGACTGGTAAGTTCATCAAGTATCTTTCTTTGGCAGCACCTGAGATAATAGGTTCATGACGTATCGAGCAATGGTTGGCTGAAATTTATCTTAGGACTTGATCACGCAAGCGAAGGGATACGCTGCAATGCAGTCTGTCCGACTTGGGTTCGCACGCCGCTTCTCGACATTGAGCTGGAGAAGAATCCAGACGTCCGAAATGCAATTTCCGCCATTGTGCCTATCAAGCGCGCCGCGGAGTGCGAGGAGGTCTCTGATGCTATTGCTTTTCTTTGCAGCCCTGCCGCCAGCTATATCAACGGCACGAGCCTGGTCATTGATGCGGCTGTGACAACAACTGTCCGCTTGCATTAATATACTTCCTATGGAAATTCATATTTCTAGGTGCCTCAAGGATACACGCGCATGGACATCGGGCGAGGAACGCGAGTTGAGAGTCTGTGAACGATAACTTTCCATGTACTCTGATAGAGCATGGCTGAAATTGAACCCGGACAAATGCGACCAGAAATAGCGAGATATGGCAGAATTTTACCTAGAATCGGCCATTTCAATCATCGCAATTATTGTACCATGCTATTTAACCTCACACCCACCGCTCTGTTGCGCATGAAAGTTCGAATTAGCATGCAAATATGACGGGGTTGAATCTGGCCAAGGTCGTTGACGCTGTGTGATTCTTTGATAAGAAGAAGCTTTTAAAAATTAGCAATGTGAGATGCCTAACCCGACATCTCAACACAATAAAAACACCAAAAAAAGAACGTGCCTATTGACACATCCCGGATATCACAGAACCGGATAGAAACGGGCCACACTGGGAATTGAACCCAGGACCTCTCGCAAGCAGAATCAATTTCCCAAAGCGAGAATCATGCGACTAGACCATGTGGCCAATCCGGTGTTTACTGCTCTGTTGCAAGACCCGCAGATTACGTGTGCCTTTTCCACCCCTGCCTCAAGACGGCTTGGAACAACTTCCTAGGAAGTCGAGCCAAGTGCTAGGCAGCCTAGACTGATAGTCTCGTTTAATCTCTTGAATCGCTCCCAAGTCCCGAATGCCGGTCTCGCACTAGCCCTCCCCCGGATGTACTGGCTGCCTTGTACTGGTCCCTAACCTGAGCTCGCAAGTACCTCGCAATTCGTAGGGACCAGCAGCTACTAGAATTGGTGGCTAATAGCTGGGTGATTATGATCCCAAATGATGAGCTCCCAGTGTTATGCCTTTATTTCAATGTGTTTTCTGCCAGTCTAGAAAAGGGACTATACCTTGGTCTGTTTCGAACCTTCTCTCTTACTCCATACCAAGAAAAGGCTGCTCACGGATACTGGTGGCAAGCTATAGTTATAGTGTCGTTAAGTTCTCAAGTGCTTTCTATGATTTCTCGATTGGATTGGAAGAATTTGGGGTTTTGGCAACTTCGACCTTGGCGATCGCTACACGGCGAAGTTGGACTGTCGGATGAGGCGGCCTCGTTTGAGACGGCGGCGAAGATCAGTCAGTTGAACACTATCAAATATATTTGCCATTTGCATGAACTAATATAGCAACTCCCTAAATAGCAATATGTACAACCGCCAGCTTTATGTCGTTTGGTGATGGCCAGTGATTTTTTCAGCCTCTATCTACATGCTAGAACCCTGTCCTTGAATCTTTTTTCTGGCAAGCACAGGGGCTCTAGAATCTGCTGATCGACTCATGGGTCCAGCTCATGGAATGAACGCGGCTCCCCTAGGTACTTTGATCAAGGTCTACTCGTATGCCACTCTTCGCCTTCCAAGTCCATCGGCCGACCTCCGCGCCATTCTTGCCGCTCTGCGTTCGTTGATCGCCCTTGTTGGATACCTCTTCAGTCCGCGTCTGTTCCTTGGGCTTCGTGGAAGGACGGGCCCCTTCTTCTTGCGGGTGACCATTTTGCATACACCATTGGCGCATTCCGTAACGAGATTTCCCACCTTCGAAGCTCCATCCTTGGTCACCTGAGCGGCGGCACCAAGTTTCTCGGCCCCTTTCTTCCAGGCTGCCTGGAACCCCTTGGATTCAGAAGCAGTGACGGTCGCCGAGGCGGTACTGCAGCAGAATCCAACAGTTCCGAGTGCCCAGGCTCCAATTTTCACGCCATTGGCATTGCAAACAAGGGCTCCTGCCGCACAGGCGACTGCGCCATATTGATATCTGGGGAAGTTTTAGCATGAGTAGAAATAAAGCCGGATTAAGGTGCTCACCCTGCTGACGCAGCCTTGCTGTTCCATTTGGCTGCGGTTGCGAGTGGGGAGGCCGCCAGGGCGTAGAGTAGAGTAATGTCGAAACGCATGGTGGTAAGTGGAAAGTAAGTGCGTGTATGAAGAGTAATGAAGTAGATCTAGGAAAGCGATGAATGGAATGTGTTGTATGATTCTGATGTAGTTGTTGTTCGTGATGTTGCTCGTACTTATATGTGTTCCTCAGTCCTTGACGTTCACCAAGGTTCGTTTCACGTTTAGGTTGTGGTTCATACAAAACTACCGGTAACAGCAAGGGTATGTCGCCAGACCTGTCTGTTTTGCCATCAATCATCCACATTCGGGAGGTGTCTCCCAGCACCAGTACCTTTTTGGTGAGAGAATCATGGTGGTTTTGCCCGGCTGTGGTGCTATTCACCCAGACTACCGTCCTATCTCGGAGACTGTTAATCTTAGCACCCTAGTTTTGTTGCTGCCTGCTCGGTGGGTTATGTAACTACGAATAGATTTTGAGTATAGCTTCACCACTTAGTACTAGGCATCTAATTAGCATGATAGAACAGGGGAGGAAGTCACACGTTTTTGAGATAGCGCGGTACTCAAATGCCGAGCATGACGTCCCACTACGATCCTTCGGGTCTTGACATGGGATTTGGGGAAACTCCATGGTGACTACCGCTGGGAGGTGATTGGTCAAAAAGCGGGCCATTCTTTGCAAAAACAGGTAATTCATTTGATGGCTATTTTGAGCGCTGGTTTTGACCAATGAGACAGGCCAGTAACCCGGGGTGATTGACCTGGTAGGATTGCTTCATGATAGCGTGGGCTAGGGTCCAAAAACACCTCATACAACCACAGCACGCGACGTGTTGCCCTACTAAGTAAATCTCCCTGCTGCTATAATCTCTATTACTTGGCTAATAGTCTCAAGCTTCTATTATTGAAGCAATATGGACAGGCATTGAGGTATCAGTAATATCTTATCAATAACGTCACCGACCTCTCTCGTTACCTCTAGGAGCTATTCATTCTTCCCCTTAATATCCGATGTAAACGATAGCTATCCTCAGTAAGATGGCTTGCCAGGTTGGCCAGACGCTCAAGGGATCTTGTTATCGTCATGAGGATGCTCGCGATAAAGCATAGTCTGGATCGCGCGTAGATGGGTCTTCTGAAAGTTTTTTTTAGCTTAGATAGCTTCCATGCGTGCCTTCGAGGCTCGCAAATACGATATCGTAACTCGGGTGGGCTGTTCTATTTCAGACGATGATAATGATTAAATGATATCATGTCTTGAGGGCTAAAGGCGGCATCATAACAAGGGTTGGAACAGGATAAGTAGTTCGGCTCCGCTTCAAAGAAATTACACCCCACCGTACTCGGTATTTAGAGCCTGCTCTCAGAAGGGATAACTCTCTCCATCAATTTCCACCACCTGGGCATACCATACCCTCTTTGATAAGCTCTATTGTTTGAAAGCCATCATCTTTGATCTTCTCAGGCGTTGTCTTTGATCTTCTTCTGGCTTGAAATGTCGTCCAATACCGATAACCTGCCTCCATACCAGGAGAAGCAGCCCTTCAATGAGACCACAGCGCCTGTTGCCTCTCCACTTGCTGGGCGTATTGCTGGCTCGGTACAAACATGCTCGATCCGGGACAACCAGGTTGATTACCTTAAAATTGTTCGTAATTCTGCAACCAGCTATGATATCTGTCTTACAATCGACCCTACACCGCTATATCGCATTCAACTCGTCTCCTCCTTTAGCAAAGTTGGCAACATCCAAATCTTCTCTTTATCCGACACCACAACTCCTATTGCCGCTGCTCGCTTATCAACCAATCCTAAAAGCAAGAGCGAGCCCATAGCAACAATATGTACTTCGTCCCCGGCTGTGCCGGATGCACTCTGGCGTCCCATGGCTCGGAAAACAGGCACGTTTTCCATCCATGAGTATCAGAGCGACATACCAATCGTCACTGTACCCGGTCTAGCTCCAACACCCCACCGGTTCCTGTGGATGTCGCGGCACCTGTCAGAGCCTTATTATAGACTGGAGTGGGATGGTCCACTTCCCATGACGCCACCTTCAATGTCTGGGGATAGCAAGAAAGGGGATGAGTATGTGTTTGCAACAGTGGCAAGGAAGTCTACTGAGGGAGAGGCCAATCTGGTGGAAATTAGGAGGGGAGGTGGTCTCGAGTTTGAGCTCACTGTGATTTTGCAGTTGTTTGTAATTTTACACTTTAGTCAGGTAGAGTTAATTTGAGGGTGTACCGGTTAGCTGGGATCTTACCATTAGCGAGCCTTGGCAAAGAAATTAAATGGTTGCCTGCTGCCCCATCCCCTCAGAATGCCCAGGATATTGAAAGGCTGGTACACAGGAAAGGAGGCCAGCCCCTGATGGATCCACCACTGAATAGTCTAGAATAGAGAAAGAACAGCTGGAAGATTCCGCTATGGAGATTACCCCATGTCCTTTTGTTTCTTAGACTTTAAGCAGGTGACCGTACGGGCCCCCTTACAATCGACAGCTTCGAGAGGGGGATTAAGGAGAAGGAGGAGGCTCAGCAATGCATCCACTGAAGGCGGTTTGCAGAAATGAGAGCCTGTCGTTAACACCTTTGCTTTAGCAAAAAATCCAAGAACGAAAAGTATTTCCCATAGATCTGCCCTCGTAGGTAACAGAGAAACTTTCTCAACGGTGATTAGAGCAATATTTTGGAGACATTTGCCCCAGTCCACTACTTACCCTGCACCCGAATCACAGCACCTGAGATGTCGAACATGACTAGCAGATCTGTTTATTTCCCTGAAAATCTGTGTAATTGCACGAGCAAAGGGAATCGATGAACTTTCCGTGTTTTTCTCAGCTGTCTCAATTCTTCCATTTCCTAATTAATTGTCTCATAATACGCGTAACATCCTCATGTAGTCACCGCTTCTGAAGCCCTGTTAAACAACTGGATCCAAAGCTCATAAGTTTTGTTAAAATCCAAACTCATACATCTAGCTGTTGTCTAAAGGATTTAATTGGGTTTGCTAATCCATTGAACCACCCAGAGTAGTTACCAACCACTATATTTGACGAGTTTGTATACATCAGCGGAATTGTTCTCCTCACGTGGAAAATGATACCTCGGGTGACAATAATGCGAAATTGGAAGAAAAGAAGAATAAGATCACAAGCCAGGTCTAGATGTATGGAAAGGTGAAGGTTATCATCAATCAGACTGTGGCTCGCAAGATGTAGCTTGTAGGGAAACCGAGCTTTCAGCGCACAGATGGTCACATATAGTCCTATTAGGAATCGGAGTTTGATGCCTGCAATGCTTGCATGAACCGCTTTCTAGGCTAATCTAGACACTCAGCCTCGGGGTATAGTGACTCTTGGCTGGTTCTACATTTCGTGTAAGGTAATGATTGTGACAACCTTTTCCTCTCTTCCACGCCAAAGATAAAATAAGACGCAAATGGTCCAGATTCTACTGTTACTTCGGGAGGGCCAATATTTCATCCAGCTCCTTCAAGTACAGGTCTAAAACCATAAGCATGGATCTCACTCCTACCGTAAATCCAATGTGAAAACTTACCTCCAAGGCTCCAATGCTCTCGAAGCGCAAGCAGACAGGATGTAATTTTCTTCAAGTCGGTTTCAAGCAACTCGTGATGGAAATATCGAATTAGATGGAGCACGCTTCGAAACATGGAACAAAGTACCAGCAGAGATATCCGGTTTATCCTAAGACCCGCGGTGTAGTCGGGACTCATTCGGATCTCATCCAATTTCATCTCGAAAGTTGACTGTAGTTCTTCAGTGGCTCTGCAGCTGATGAACCGCTCCTCACCGCTGGTAGCACACCTTAGGCGCACAGCAGCAACGGCACTGGAAGCGTATTAGTATCTACACATACATGAGCATATCTGGTCCATAAGTGGTCGTCGACTACCTTACCTGATAGACAACGGAGCAACCTCACAAGTTAACAGAGGGGCAATCTGGCTAATCTCAAGCAGCGCTGCGACAAGTTTGTCCGTTCTTGATTTGACCAAGTCCAAGCGGTGAATCGGCACCCTCGAGCTATTGGGCGCAAAGATGAGCGCCTCGCCAATCATTTCCGCGGCTGCAGCTGTCGATTCAAAAGACCAGTGATTCTTTTCGTAAGTCTTAGCTGCCGCCAGCCTTGTTTGCAAGCACTCCAGCGACTTTTCGAAGGAACTATCTGGAGGCGGCGGGACTAGCAGCGGGAAAATGTCGTCAAGGCTGGCCAGAGCGATTAAGCTAAATCCACAGAGCGAGAGTCAGAGGAGTAAGTAGATGAAAGGGCCTCACAATAATCTCACCGGTCTATGATAACTATAGCACTCCAACAGAGCACTTTGGGGTCAGGGGCATCCTCCGGGCCGACATTTAATTGAGAGGCAAGATCCTGGTCAATCCTCAGCAACCTAGCCATGGCTACGCATGACGATAGAGTAAGATATGACTGTCTTGCTAGGCCATGGCCACATTCATACGTCGCGATTAAAATCCCTGCTTGTAGCAAACTGAGCGGCCACTGCCTCTCATCTTGGAAGAGTATGAAAAGTGTTCTTGTGGTGAGATACAGGCTGTTTTCTCCGGCATCATGAATGAAGGAAGAACAACGGCCTTGTGAAACTAAACGCATGGTGAGAAAGAGGAGACAGGCGTGGGTATCAAGGCATGAGAGGTATTGGTCGTGAGGCTCCTTGGCGGCATGCTCCAGTGCTTCCTTGCTTAGAATGGGAAGCCATCTTTGAACTGTTTGGATATATCGATCGATGATACCTCTGAAGCCCTCAGGTTCAGCATCTATCACTGACCCGAACAGCCGCGCGGCATATATGCCGTGAGACTGTGCGGTCTCGTTCTTCTCCTCAATCTCAAGGCAACCACAGGGCTCGCGTAAGGTTACGATTGGTCCCGAAACTTGATGCAGGTTGTGTGATGTGGTCTCCCTTCGTGGAAAGAACGTGTTGAGTGAATAGTCGCAGTGTCTCTTCTTCCTAGCACGGCAAATGGGATGAGAGGAGAGCAGTGGAGAGACAAAGGTATGGCTTACAAATCGCATCGCGAGCATTTTGGAAGAGACTTGTCGCATGATTGCTTCCGCTCACGGCAGAAGGTACAGGCGCGTTGTGACTTTAGGACTAGGGGGATGGCACTCGACATGATGATCGGTCATCCATGAGTATCTAGATTCAGAAACGACAATGAGGGCAAATGGTGAGTGAGGCAAGTTTGGGGTTTATGCATCGGCCGACGCCTTGAGTGGAGGGGTCGGTCAGATTTGCGTGAAAACAGGGGTGAAGCTGCGTCGGCCGATGCATTAGTGGCATCCACATCACTGCACTTTGGCGAGGTAAGGTTGAATTGAATGATTGCTAAACGGAAACATGCATTGATCAGTGTCTAGATGGAGTCTTGTAGGCAAACGATGGTTATATAAGAGCATCGCTTTGTCTACCTATCTTGAACACCGTTCACAACATCGGAATCTTCTCTATCGATTCCGTTTACACGCAAGATTCATTGCTCTGCCCACCATGGCCCCTAAAAGTGTCCTCGTTCTCGGTGCCAATGGCTATATTGGTATTGCTGTATGCAGAGCGTTTGTTTCCGCCGGCTGGCAGGTATACGGAATGCTGAGGAGAGCCGAATCAGTGCCAACTCTCTCATCCCAAGAAGTGATCCCAATTCTGGGATCTCCTTCAAATCTGGACTTTGTTGACGGCCTTCTCAAACATACTGTTACATTTGAAGCCATTGTCGACTGCTCGAATCCAACCGAATATGAGAAATACTTCAACGAGAGTCTGGCTCTGATCCGACTTCTTTCTGAAAAGAGCAATGCCAGCGGCGTTAGACCGCTTGTTCTCTGGACATCAGGCTGCAAGGACTATGGATCAACCGACCTTGACGGGGCAGTTGGACTCAGTCCTCATATTGAATCGTCCCCGCTCAACACGCCAACTATCCTCATTCCCCGGGCTCAATTTTCGCTCAAGATACTCGAACACACTGATCTGTTTGATGCTGCTGTCCTTAGACCAACCAATGTTTTCGGATATAGCAGCAGCATGTATGGTATCATCTTTGACTTTGCAGCCAGTGCCGCTGCGGATGGTGCGCAGTCGCTCACCCTTGTCGACGTTAACCCAAAAACCATCATACATGCAAGTGAGTACTGAATTGCGCATCTGAATGCAGGTCATCATAGAGCGCATATTCTAACGTGTCTTTGTTAGTGCATATAGATGACTGCGCCAGCGCATACGTGGCCCTCGCCGAACATCCGGACAGAGGCTCGGTTTCCGGACAATGTTTCAATATCTCTGGTCGGGAGTACGATACTGTAGAGGGGGTCATGAATGCTCTGACGAAAGAATACGATATTCCCAACCCTCCTCGTTTCGTGTCCGGGTCGGAAGCTCCCGACTTGAAACCTAAGGATCAGTTAATGCAGCTACTTTTCGGGTTTAGCCAATGGGTCGGCAGTGACAAGCTTCGAAAGGTGACTGGATGGGAAGATAAGCGGATCATATTTTCCCAGAACCTTGGAGTTTATCGGCGGTCGTACGAGGCTGCTGTTCATTCAGGCGACGAGGATATTGCAAGAATCCAGGGGAGACAGAATTATTTCGTCACCGCAGTCATCGAGGGTTTCAAAAACAGCAAGTGATCTGGCGCTCGTTCACAAGCCTTTGAAAGATAGTTGGTTACACATGTATCCGTTCTCTGCGCATAGGATAGCTCGTTTGATTGCGAGTCCTCAAAAACGTTTCATGCTGAATTATCATATACCATCACCAATAAGCACCTGGCCGCAATATACGATGTGAAGTATCCACGCAAATTCTAAAGTATTATTTGATGCCAAGCATTGTCACATCTAAGCCTTGGGAGTGTGTTTGGCTCCGGAGCTACCCAGTACTTGATTTCATATCAACGATCTGTAGACTTGATCTCTTGGAAGCCATTATACCCTTTTTAATTCACGAAACACGGTGCTAAAAGTATGGCAGAGTGGTTTCGCTAATACGCTAGATGGGCGAATAAGTTCCCAGATGAAACATTTCTAAACCTGGCTGAAGAACCATAGAGTCAGTCTCAGATCACAGTTTCATACGCCTTCAAAGTAGAACAACTTCAATAAAATTACCGTAACCAGTTGATTGATGCCCGAAGAGAGAACTAACTAGTTACCAGACACAATGCCGGTTTTATGCATTAAAAATCCAACTAAGACACTTGCACCTGCCGCTTGACATGGATCTTGTTCACGGGGATCGGGTCGAGTGGAATATCGTCTGACGCAGCGCTATCGTTGTCGCGGGTGGCCCAACCTTTGGAGTTAGAGTGAAAGCGTCCATTTGGATCGTCATTCCATCTATCAACACTGGCGTTCGGACTGTTGGTTCTCTTGTATCCTGAGCCAGCACGTTGCCCCGAGTCTCCCCATGTTCTTGATTTTGACGATGGTTGGCTTCGGTTGCGAGTAAAGAGTGTCCCGAGCATCGGTAAGCAGGCACATATGATGGCCATGCCTGACTGAAGTGTTGACCATACGACCGTTCTCGAAGTATCGACTGAACAAATATTTTTTAGCGAAAGGCGTTCCGATAGGAATTAGTTTAGATAGACTCACAGTCAAGGGCGACGTTAGGTGGCCGCCAGATATATGTCAACCGAACGATACTTGCAACGCAAACGCTAGAGAAGATTTAGTTCTCCTCATAGGTTTGACCAGATTCACATTTGATACTCACGCTGCACCCATTAAGAACATGGCGATTAGTGACCATTTCCTGCTTGAGCTTAGCTGCAATTTCGAGACGACAAGTGTTGGAATACACAACATGATGACGTCGATGAATAAGTTGCTAAGCTCGTAGCCAAGTAGAACGTGAGGCGTTGAGAGACAATAACCTGGCTCGAAGACCTTTTCCCACATGGCGCTGATCGGAGTACACAGGAAAACGATGACGAAGAAGAAGGCGATCCACCAGGAGACGACGAGGCCGGTTGCGCCCATAATCAAATATCTCTGGGTATTGTTGACTGCGAATATGGTCCAATAGAACGATATGATACTCAGTTTAACGATGGTGATGGTCGACGTAAATAGTAGCATCAGAACATAGCTATTCTGTACAACCTGTTAAATGCAATTATATTGAGGGAAGATTGAATAAGCCTTTACCTTCATGAAGTCCATGGTCTCTTGTATGGAGACGCTATTTGCAGACGGCACAAATGCGCCTTCGAAAGCTCCCACCTCCGAAACATTGAAGATATCTGGCTCTTTGTTAGTCTTGTATATGCAATTGACCTAAGAACTCGCACTGCGTCACGTACAGTTGATCAAAAGTCCACAGTACGTGCCGAATACCGCAAGTGATAGCACACATAGATAATCAGACAAGATAAGCTTCTGGCCGAGATAGAATCGGGTGAAGAATCTAAGCGCCACAACCGCCGTGGAGATGCTGATTGTCACGGCGCATGTCAGGAAGTTCTCCCTGGCTTCCCTCCTCAATTCAATCATAGCCCAAGATTGATATCGCGAGAAACATTGATCAGGTCGTCGTGAACGGATCGATAATCAGCCCGAGTAACCTAGCTTGACCTCGAGATGATGTACATCTAAGAAACGGGACTAAATCGGTAAAAGAATGCAGTAGTGTCCAAGATGTCCGTAGGTGTAATGATAAAATTCAGCGAGACGCCGGCAGATATGGGCAAGCGGTTGACCCATATTGCCAAAGAAGGACGGCGGAATATGAAACTGTCTGCCTTTTCCACCTTTTCTTGGTTCCCGTCCTTGCGTTAGGCGACAAGTTCCCACTGTGAAAGGGAAAAGGGCGCGACAAAAACAGGGACTCATTCATTTCCGACCTCTGTGCCCACTTGTGTGTAAGGGCCACCCAAGTACCTATCCTCAAGAGGCCACTTAATGTCAGCTGCCGGCACCAAGTTAGGCTTAGTGATTATGTTGTTCACTGAGAAGTTCAGGGCCCGTGTCTTGACACGCAGGAGAACTGAGGAAGCAAGGGGTCCTACGTTATTACCCAAACAGGAAGAAAACAACACAGTTGTAACTATTACTATGTACATGCTGATCGAAATATTGATCACTATCTTAGAACCACATTAGCCGCTAATCAGAGAAAGAGATGTCCAAATTGGAATCAGCAGGCCTTACATTCATCACTAATGTTCGAACCATCAGATTGATTCACAACTTGAAAACCTGTTTCTCTTACCTCAGTGGAATGTTCCTAAGATATTCACAACGAAAATGCAATTACTACCTAACTGCCGACGCGAGTCAATAACCTAGTACGGTATATTCCAGTCCAAGGGGGAATCGCGATGGGCCGCACCAAGCGGAGGGTCACCGTTCCGAGGGTCGCCACTTGCCTGGCAGAAACGCAAGCGGGTATGTTATTATGGCTGGGGCAATTTTTTCAACTGTTTGCACGATGTAGGCTGCTAAATCCCGTGTGGGACATCCCAAGAGCTTCAGTACGATGAAGAATCACACCACGCCGGATATAAATGAAATGTCGAGCACGTGGAGCTGAACAAGCCCTGACCCACGTGGATGTAACCAAAAACCAGGTTTAGAACTCAAAGACAGGGTTAAGGTGTCCATGAAGACCGTTTTCTTGTCAGCATTGACCTGGCTTCGGACGGTCATCCTGGTCAGATACCGAGACCATGGCTCGAGTTGTCCATGGTTTATTCCCGCGGGTGGATGATGATGGAGCACCCGTAAGTCCACGTTCAATATTACAATCGGTACAATGTAATTTGTTTCGTTATCTATCGGCATTCTCCCCCGGTCCCCCTCTCTCTCAAGTCCCGGGTGTCCGTCAATTTGTTGGTATCGACTCTTCTTTGATTTTCATAAGTCATAATGGGGTCCCTGCTCTCCCACCAACCGTTAAAGGCTCTGGGATATCTAGGATTTGCCCTTGTTGTTACGCCTTGCTTTCTGCTAGCAAATTCTTCCCGTTTTCTCTTCAGCTCGCTCCGCCAAGATCCAGCATGGAGTATGAAAACTGCCTTGATATGCGCCTACGTGCGCCTCATTACCAGATTCGTGTCGCTTGTAAGGGATCAACCGTATGAGCAAGCAAAGGCTGCAACGTTCAAGGAGCGTTGCGTGAGAATCGAACCTTCCAACCCCAAGCACTTCATCGGACCCATCGCCGAGGGCAGTGTAAAGCCCAGAACGACTACCGGTGTTTGGTTTCCAAGCCTACCAGACGCCGCCGAGCCCGACGAGAAGGTCGCCATTCATTATCCAGGAGGAGCATTCATCCTTGCGTTTGGAGTTGAAATGATTGGTGCCCTGGTAGCTGATAACCTGGTGGAAAAGCTGGGCGCCAACAAGGTGCTCTACGCCCAGTACCGTCTCTCCCGCGACGAAGAGTCTCGCTTCCCCGCCGCTGTGCAGGATGCCGTCACATTCTACAGTTACGTCTTATCCCTTGGTTTCAAGCCAGAGAATATTATCATTTCCGGTGACTCTGCGGGGGGGAACGTCGCACTGGCCTTACTTCGATATCTTGAGACGAACACCACCGACCTTCCACTGCCCAGTGCCGTCATCACCTGGTCGCCATGGGTCGAGGTGCCCTCAGATGCCGGGCTAAAGTTTGACGCGCAACCTAACTCTCACAAAGACATGCTATCTGGAGCGATTCTACAGTGGGGTGCCGACTCATACGGACCAGCCTCGATGTTAGACGAAGAGGTTGAGGCAATGGTAAACCCATTGCATCACCCCTTCAAGACCCGAGTGCCGATATTCTTGCATGCGGGTAGTAACGAAGGATTTTGCGCAACAATCAAGGAGTTCTCGCAAGAGATGGCTGCGCTCAACGGACAAGAAAAGATCAAGTACCATGAGACGCCCTTGGCACCGCATGACATCTTTCTCACGCATCCCGTTGTTGGAATGGGCGAGCAGAACATCACAGCCATTAAATTAGCTCGCTCTTTTCTAGAGAAATGCCGCAGGGGTGTTGAACAACCTACGTTCGAAGACGATCTATAGGCCGCCGGTAGGCAATTGACTTCATTTCAATGTTATATTTTTGAAACTAAAATAAAAGAAAATGAGAAACTCCTGCATCCCTGAATGAACAAACAATCAACTTTGATTTTCAAGAACCCCGACCTTTAGAAGAATTGATTCAGACAATGCCGGATGCCAACGATCGGCAGGTCAAGCATGGTGACAGAGGTAGCGCTTGGATTTGTTCCCGAGTCGAGAAGGTAGAGACGTCTTCCGAAACGATCGAGAAATGGGGAAGACAGCTAGTGAGCCAATTCTTTGACAATGAACAACATGGCCAATTCAACTACTTCAAGGACTCACATGGCAATGTTGCCGCCTTATATTAGTACATTAAGTAAATTCTCACAGAGTGATTACGTGAACGTTCCTTATTGAAAGGAAACTAGGCGAAGTTCAGGGAGTGAGAGTGGAAGCCGGCGTGGCAAGGCACGACCCTGACTCTCTGGAAGACCGCGGAGACCGCCAGATGTGAAGGGGCACACTTTTAGACTTGAGACTATCACGAATGAATAAGCTTATTTGGAAACTTGCGAGCAGACGTAGAGGTAAATTGAAATCCTTGGAAGTAACTCCAACTAGAATGGTGCAGTTGTAACGTAGCATCAAAGTCGACCCAGCATTTGCTTTATCAGTACTGAGGATCATCAGGCATTAGTTGGACAGAATACGACGTCTTAGCTTTTCTAGCCGTTTTATGACCCACCTCATTGATTGCCATTGATGCGATAACTTGTTAGAATACCCGGCAATAGATATGATATTCGCGAATCCTAGGCTGAATGGCACAGAATCACATTTGCCTAAAGTCCAACCTCAAAATTCTGGTATTGTAGTGTACCTTATTGGTAACGTTCCATGACGCTTTTACGAAGTTAGGATGACTGGCGCACAATTCTATTGGCGGCCTCGCAGTGTGTGATGGTTATATATTGTCCCGCATTGCCTATCCCGAGGACTTGTACATACGTAAACTTTCAAAGAAATCATGGTCTCCTTGAGAAATTTTCTAAGTACCGTTACCTATGGCCTTGCCATAGGGGCGGTAGATGCTAAACCGGCTCCATCTCAGACCACGTCGGCTACTGTACCGGCCTTCACATATAATGCTACCTCATTTCTCCTCCATGGAGAACCCTATACCATAATCGGCGGCCAGATGGACCCTCAGCGTATCCCTCACCAGTACTGGAGGGACCGCCTTTCCAAGGCCCGAGCCATGGGTCTCAACACCATATTCACCTACATCTTCTGGAATAATCTCGAGCCAACTCAGGGTCTCTGGTTATCTGATGATCCGCAGAATGACGTGGCCGAATATTTTAGAATTGCTCAGGAGGAAGGTCTGAATGTTGTGCTTCGACCAGGTCCTTATATTTGTGGTGAGCACGATTGGGGAGGCTTCCCCGCCTGGCTCAGTGAAATCCCTGGCATGGTTGTGCGCACGAACAACACCCAATTCATGGAGGAAACCAAAAAGTATATCGTGAATCTGGCGGAGAAGTCAGGCCTCGCAGATCTACAGGTCTCACGTGGTGGCCCGATACTTATGGTCCAAGTTGAAAACGAATATGGGTCCTTTGGCGAGAATCATAATTATACTGCCTCAGTGAGAGACATCCTCTTGGAGAGTTTTGAGGTTCCACTTTACACAAACGACGGAGGTGACTCTTGGCCTCTTGAAGGTGGTTATGTCCCGGGAGTGCTTGCGGCAGTTGACGGTGGTTCATGGGCGCTGCCGGCTCGCGACCTGTACATCAAAGACCCTACATCCCTTGGGCCATTATTGAACGGAGGTATGTTCTTCCATAAAATCAGGCATTGGAGATGAGATAATTAATCCTCAGTGTGTTGAATGTAGAATATTACACGTGGTCTCCAGATCAATGGGGATCCTACAATCCGCACAACACTACAGTTGGAAACGACGACGCTGTTGCAGGAATCTTGAGCGATATTCCTTACCACTTGCACAACTATTCCGCATCTATCAGCTTTTATATGTTTCACGGGGGCACAAACTTTGGCTTCGAGAATGGGGCTTTGTGGCAGAATCGCACCACTGTCTTCACCAACTCTTATGACTATGGCTCACCACTAGATGAGACGGGCCGCACAACGGATCTCTACTTCAAGATGCGAGACGCAATCATTCCGTTCCTAGACGGGGAGGCCATTCCAGAGCCACCAGAAAACCTGCCGAGGTCCACAATCCCTGAGTTCTCGCTCTGTCCTGCCACTAGTCTTTTTGAAGCCCGAGGCAAAAAGACAACTGCCTCTTCGCCTCTAACAATGGAAGCGCTTGGCCAATCCTACGGGTTTACGTTGTATGAGCACACCGCGGTCTGCAAAATTCAAGGCTCTATCAATGCCGGCGATCGCCCTCGCGATCGGATTTTAGTTTACGTGAACGAGAGGATCGCTGGGGTCATGGATAGCCAATACCAACACCCACTGAACGTGAGCGTGTCACTGAAGCCTGGTGACAAGTTGCAGTTACTCGTCGAAAATCTGGGACGTGTCAACTACTACTCGCGGGGGAACCCTTATAAAAACTACCTGCAAGATCCTTGGAAGGGTATCAAGGGAGATGTCTCCATTGACGGGACGGTGCTGAACGGCTGGGACATGTATTCGATGCAGCTCGACACGTTGCCATTTGGAGAATGCAAGCGTTCCCTCGATGGAGATCATCGCTCGACAGACTCACCGCTCTTATATCGTGGTTCATTTGTCGGTCCACAAATACAGCAAAACTCATCTATGACGCTAGATACTTTCGTCGCTGTTCCAAATGGCATCAAGGGAAATGTGTGGGTAAACAACTTCCATCTGGGCCGATACTGGTTAGTTGGGCCTCAACAGTCATTGTACCTTCCAGGGACCATCGTGAAACCTGGAGAAGTCAATGAGGTCGTGATTTTGGAACTGGAACCTTGGCAGATGAACACAACTTCAATGGTAGCATACGGTGAATCGGAGAGGTTTTGGGGCAACAACCCGGACCCGGACTGTCTAGTCTGTGTATAAAGCTGTCTCACTCTTGGTGGAGTGATGGTAGCCATTATCTATACCCTGCCATGGGTTCCTAGTTCTTTTCCTCTTGGAGAGCTGTTGGAGAAAATATAAGGACACATCAAAGCGGACTGGGTTTAAACCACGTTAAACACGATATGGGCTGTGCAGACCGTAACTGTTATACCACTCTACCAACCACCATTTTTCAAGTTGTACTTGGCAAACTTTTAGGTTGGTACCGAAACCAATCTTCTTAGATTGGGATTTCCATGAGCTGTATCCTCCCAGTTGAGACTGGAGCCGTAATAGACGTATATCATGTACACAATGAACATCTTCTCAATGGCGTTTATCACAAAGAGGATTTACTATCTATCAATCATTGTGATTATCACTGTAAACCCAGAAAGATTTCAGGTACATTCCTTCCATGGTGAGAGTCCGTGAGATATTTCAATCGGGCTAATTTAATAATCAATCAACGGTCATCCATTACCAACATTCACTCTTTCTATTTATTCAATGCCTCAATATATATGATCGGGGTTCGCCACCCGGAGTTCAACGAATCCATCCACGAGCCGAGGCGCGGCGAGTGGCATGAGAAATAAGCAATGGCATGGCATCTGAATGCTCAGACCAAGCCTTGGCTGCATGAGTCTGAGACGGCCAGTAATCAGGATGAGAACAGGGATCACGGCAGTGGAGCCTCGCACTCGCTTGCAAGTCTGCTCGCATATGGACAAATGGAGAAATTGCAGCGGACAACAGATCCCTGCCAATGCTTCCCGTCCTACCTATTGTGATAAGTGCCGAGCGAGCTGCTGCTGTGCCCCTGGAAAAGTGTGATTGATTCAAATACCGCCGGAGCTGTCACAGCCCATCTAGTCATTCGTTACAGCCAACACAAATCTGCAATTCATCCATCGCAATGGCTCAAGAATGGGATGTCATCGTGGTCGGCTCGGGCATTGGCGGCATGTCCACGGCCTCTCTCCTCGCCAGAGCCGGTAACAAAAAGGTCCTTGTGCTCGAAAAGCACTTTGAACGAGGTGGCCTGACGCACGTCTTTCGACGCGATGGCGCGTCTTGGGACGTCGGCGTCCATTACGTTGGCAACTTGGGAGAGGGCTCGAGAACGCGCCTGTTTTACGATTTCATGTCGAGCGGCGCCCTTCAATGGAACCGCATGCCGGAAGAATTCGAGCGATTCATCTATCCTGGGCTTGAGCTCTCTGTGCCATCCGATCCCGCCAAGTACCAGGAGCGTTTGATTGAGCAGTTCCCAGACGAAGCCGCGGCTGTGCGACGATACTTTGCTGATGTGAGAACGGCAGCCCAGTGGCATGGCAGGGGGTTTCTGCAGCCAATCCTCCCGTGGCCCCTGAGCTGGATCATGGCCGTATTGCGATGGTGGACTCGGAGTAAAGCAACCCAGACGACGCAGGAGTATCTCGATGAAAACTTCGAATCTCCCAAGCTCAAGGGACTCATTGCCTCGCAATGGGCCGACTATGGCTTACCGCCCTTCGAAGGCACCTTTGCCCTTCACTCTATTGTTGTCAACAGCTTCTTCCACGGTGGCTGGTTCCCAGATGGAGGCTCTAGTCGAATCGCACGCACATTTGAGACCGCCATTGAGGCTGCAGGCGGCGCTGTGAAGGTGTGCAAGGAGGTCACAAGCATCATGACCGATAGCAGCGGCCGCGTAACCGGTGTTAAGGCTCTTGATCTCAGCGGCGACAGTCCGATTGAGATTGAATACCATGCGCCCGTAGTTGTTTCTGACGTCGGCGCTCACCTTACTTACAAGACGCTGTTGCCCACCGATGGCAGGATTGGACAACTGACAGCTCCTATTCGCCGTCTTGTTGATCGCGTCGGCAGCAGCATCTCAGCCGTCACACTATATATCCGTCTAGACAAGCCTGCGTCTTCGTTTGGCATCAAGGGAGAGAACTTCTGGGTCAACACGACCTTCGACCACAACGACATTGACGCCCATGCCAAGGCCACTCTTGCAGGGAAGCCGCATCGATTGTTCATGTCATTTCCATCCGCGAAATCTGGCGACGAGCGTTTCCACACCGCCGAGATGATGACCTTTGTGAAGGGAGACGTGTTCGCAGCCTGGCATGCGACCAAGCATGGCATGCGTGGCAACTCATACCTAGAACTCAAGGACCGTATCTCTCAGGGTCTCTTGGATCTCGCGGAGACGGTTGTGCCCGGATTGAAAGCCTCCGTCCTCTACTCTGAACTCTCAACGCCACTCTCCGTCGAGGATTACGTCTCCAGCCCTGGAGGAGGAATTTATGGCTTGAAGGGAACGCGCGAGAAGTACCAAAACTGGAGCATCTTGACAAGGCCAAGAATCCCAGGTCTCTTCCTCAGCGGATCCGATATGTCATGCCTGGGAGTCTCTGGCGCCATGATGGGCGGTGTCATGGCCGCAAGTCAAGTACTTGGTCCCTTTGGGTTCTTCCAAATTATGAGAGCGATCCGGCTCTCGAAGACGGCGACCGCTACACCAGCAGCCGTATTGAAGTCTTCAGAAAAGAAGAGCGCCGTGGTCGTATCCAAAGCCGCGCTGACTCCCTTTATCTGGCAGCTAGAGCTAGAACTTGAGGAGAAGGTGGAATTTATCCCAGGCCAATTCGCATCACTTCTTGTGGCACCATTCGAGTGGCGTAGCTACTCAATCGCCTCTTCAAAGGAGAACCGCCTGTCGCTGCTCATCAGCACTCGCACCGGCGGCGAGGGGTCCAAGTCAGTTGAGGATATAGAGACGGGGGCCAGGACCGAGGTCGAGCTGCCCTTTGGCTCGTTCCGCCTGCGACAGAACAATAACCGCAAGGTATTCATCGCGACAGGCACGGGTATTGTTCCTTTCCTTCCCATGTTTGCTGCAATGGATGCGGCAGGTGAACTTGAGTCGGCTGAGCTCTATTTCGGATGCCGGTATGAAAAGGAGGACATCACCAGCGGACTCTCGCCTCTACCGAAGACTACCGTCTGCGTGAGTGGTGAGAAAGTAGCCAAGAATGTCTTCCAAGGACGGGTGACAGCAGCGCTCGGCGCGCTTACGTTCGATCCTGAGGCAACAGATTTCTATCTCTGTGGTTCGCCGGCCATGGTGAATGATTGTCAAAGCCTTCTGGCCAAAGCAGGGGCTAAACAAATATATACTGAGCCCTATTGAGGGACGGGAAATTGTTAATGAGAAGCGTGTTAGTATGTTTAAACAGCCTCCTCAGCCCAGTACATGTGATACGTGAAATGAGCCAGAAATTTGGATTGTTACAAATGACCTTGCTCAATGAAACACTGAATTTCCGCGTAAGAACTTCTTATCTTGGGTTTGTTGACTGCCACGAGTGGGATATCGGTCTGTAGGGTAAGCTGAGATTGTTGGTTGGCATGGATTCTCTCCACGGATCTTCCTCCACGGAACGTAGATCAAATTTTAAACGATTACTGATCGGACTCAACCTGGCTCAACTGCGTCGGTTGAACATCAACGCCGACTATCTCCACTCCCCGGTCGAAGATGCAACAAAATACCGACGCTTGATGGTCTGATGAATCGGGCTTACAAATAGACCTCATTAGTAAAAAAATGTCGCCATGGATGGAAGGGAATTATTTAAACTGCTCCCAGACTGCAACAATCGGCTGTGTTTAGCTCTTTACCCAACAAGACACTTCCTCTTATTCAAACCACTAGCTTACAATCGAAATGGCAACAGAGACACAGAAGGCGATTTTCCTCGGTCCCGATGGAGAGGTCTCTGTCAAGGAGGTCACCCAGAACTACACGCCTGCAGGAAATCAGGCCCTTGTGAAGGTCAAGTATTCCGCTATCAATCCCGCCGACCTTCGACATTCATACATGGGCTTGCACGGTTCCGTGGCCGGATATGAATGGGTAGGGACTGCCATTGAGGTTGGAGATGCCTCGCCCTTCACGGTCGGTCAGGAACTTTTCGGCATGGTGGAGGTGGCAGCCAGTAAGCCGCAGTATTTGGGAGCTCACCAGAATTTCCTCGTTGCTGATGGGTAAGTTGAGATTTATTTTCAGTGGATAATGAATTGAGAATAGATCTATTGACTTTGATACCTAGGACCCAGCATACCTGGGCGCTGCCCAAAGGTCTGAGCCCGGAGGTAGCAGTAGGGATGCCAGTCGCTGTGCAAACAGTCGCCGATGCTTTCTTCAATGTGTTTGGCTTCGGTTTCCCTGAAGCCAAAATCTCAGGATCCGATACTGCGAATACCGCAATCCTTATCTGGGGAGGAGCATCTTCCGTGGGAGCGGCAGCCATTCAAATCGCCAAGACAGTAGGATTCAACCCAATCTTCACCACGGCTTCGAAGCATAACCACGCAAGCCTCGAAAAGCTCGGGGCAACGCAGTGCTTCGACTACAAAAGCCCAGAAGTAGTGCAGGAGATTAAAGCTGCCGTCGCCAAATCTGGCAAGAAACTAAGGGTTGTCTTTGACGGCGTGTCTGCCAACATCCCCGTGTTGGGCACCGTCGTACCAGAAGGGGCGATAAGCACCGCCGACCTCGGCCGGCAGGCATGCTCTGAGGATGTCCCAGAGAAGGATCTGCTGCTCTGTGGTGTCCTCCCCGTCCCGACTGACCCGACATGGAAGTTCTGTCTCGGCGTACGAAACTACGGCGATAAGCTGGAAGCTTTGGGAGGGGTGGCCCAGGATCCAGAGTTCCCCATCCGTATGAACAAGTTTATAGTTTGGCTAGTGGCGAATCACGAGAAGCACTGGCAGCAGGCGCTTCGTATTACGAAGGTCAAGGGTGCAGAGGAGGGGGTTCGACAGATACGTCGTGTGTTTGGTGGCGGTGCCTCCATGGAGAAGGTTCTCATCGAGCGGCCCCTGTGAGCTCTCCAGGGGTAAAACTGGGAAAGCTCTCATAGAGCATCAGCATCGTTACTTTCATTCAAGATCACTACTCTCTCTCATTTTCACAAAGCAGGCTTGGAGATCTTGGTAGTAAAGTCATTCTCAATTGTCTAATCGACCACTGAATCCCAACCGTCCAACGCGTACCACTAACGATAATCCTCTCAAAGAACAAGTCTCTCATTCACTCCTCGAAACTAACTTTTCTACTTAAGAAAAGCTTTCAGAACTGCGCACTGTAGTCCCATCTCCCCTATACTGTCTTGGGGAGTACATCCGCCGGGTTGTTGGGCCTTCTCTTGGGCTTGGGCTTGAACTCTGTCTTTGGCTCTGTCTTGGGCTCTTTCTGGGGCTTGTCTTCTGTCTGGGGCTCGGCTTCGGCCTTGGGCTTGGCTTCGGCCTTGGGCGGGGGCGACTTAGATCCCATCACCGTCACCAGCTGATCGATCTTGTTCTTCACCTCCTGGAAGGTGGGCCTTTCCTTACCAATCTGGGCCTCGACGTCGGTAAAGAACTTCTTGACGGGGCCCTGCAGATGCTTCTTCAAATTCTCGTAAGTCTCCCGGGAGATCTCAACCTTGTCCAGCGCGGGTTTCGCATCCTCCCAAGCCTGCTTAATCATTTCGGGCGAGACGACGGACTCTGGTGATATATCGCGCGTCTTCGGTGCAAGCTTGGAGTTGAGGTCACCCAAAAGTCTCGCGCCGAGATGATACCCGTTGGCATAGGTACGGCAAAGCTGCCTCTTGGCTTTTTTCTCCTTCTCACACTGGTGGTAGAGGCTTGAGAGAAGAATATGTCAGGATGGAGCTTGTAGGTATCAGGGAGGGGAAAAGGCATACTCTTCTTTGAACAGCTCGTCGATCTTGAGACGTGCAAGATCGTCGAAGCGATCCTGGGCCTTATAGTTTACGAAGGCAAAGTCGTGGCGAAAGCAGGCGGGCTGTTCCCAATTGTTAATACGAGATAAACATACCCATAATCAAACGGCCTGCAGAGAATCTTACCAAAAAATCAAAGGTCAGAGGCTTGTCCGGCACGGATGTGCAACCGTCACTGTCCCAGTTTAGAGTAGAAGGGTCCATGTTATTGCGCTTCTCAATGAAATCCGGGAGGCTCGTCCTGAAGAGCAAGTCGTCGGTTTTCCTGATGTTCAGCTTCTTATTCTTCTTCGAAGGAGCAGCGAGAGCGCCACCGGCCAGGATTAGGGCAACAATGCTGAGCTTCATTTTGGCTGCGGAGAACAAGGAATGAAAAGGGAGGTTGAACTAAGTGGTAGTATCCTGCGACGAATAGTGATGTGTGGAAGTCCACAGATCTGTTCGGTCACGTAGGTAGTGTCTCAGGCGACGTAAATTGGAAGGCAGTGCGAAGGCCTTGAGGGAAATATGCTCTATTTATAAGTGTATAGAGAGCTAGTATCATCTGAGTAAAACAGGTAGGAGAACTTGGAAATAAAGTTAAACAGGCAGTGGAAGATACCAGGGAGCCCGACATCTCATCACAGACAAAGTGTGTTACGTGTAAGTTTGCCGCGACGTTATTCAACCAACATGCTGTGGCAAATGGGCATCCATCAAACCTGAGCTTTCCAACTCAGAACATCTAATACGAACTGTCCTTACCTTAAGATTCGCAGCATGGATTGGAGTTAATATCCTTCAAGTGGTCGACTTTCATCACCCAATTATTTTCTCTCCTTCATTCAGGTCCCATAATTCATTCATTGATTTTATTATGAAACTTAGCCACGTAGCCTCCGACGATGCCCTCTAGTGATGTACAGGGAGAAAGAACATGAAGGTTTGATCGTCAAATCTTCTCTCCCCCCAAACAAACCAACACACGCACAAAGCACATCGAAAGACGCGTGCGGAAGGATTTTATTGCTGCAGCGCCCAGATAGCACAGGCAATGCATGTCTCCAGAATGCTCGAATTGTTACTTTAATATTCCTTATACTGATAAGGACTGGTAGTCGGTTATTTTCTCTACATCTTCTTATCTGAAGTGACCCATCCAGCTCTCCGATCCAAACGAGAAGTTTTTCCCCTACGCATAACCTCTACTAACAAGTCGCGTGGAGATGGAGACAAACTTTCTGCAGAGTTGAATCCTCGAACACGAGAACTCTAGGTGCCCCGGAAGCCCTCATCAAACTCAGGGCCTGGTCGGGTAGATGGCAAGGCAAACTTTTTAAACGGAAGTTAGTGACGTATCCTTATTCAAGCGCTCAACTTGATGCAAGCTGTCCACAGTGAAAAGAGTTCGGGGTAACGCCTATCCCTCCCTACAACGATATCCAGCGCGAGAAGAATGGGCTCGTCATCTTGCTTCGGAAGGTCCTTGGAATGGTTTTGAAAAGCATCCATCTTGCTGCCAAATACTGTGTACATCTCCTGCAGCTCATGAGTGATGGTTCAACACTATTATGAGTCAGGAACCGATTCTGGGCACGATGAAGTTTGTCATCACTGGCTGAGGCCTGATAATACACAATGAGTTTTAGCCTCGGACGTCCACTTGCACGAGAATTAATTTCAATAGACCCGAAGTCATCTTCCGCCACATGCAGAGCATGGGCTCACAACAGGCCAGCCATTGGAAATCATTGATGCCTTGAAGAGGTGTAACGATAATGAAGTGCAGCCTTAATTATTTATTTTTCCAGTTGTGGTTGGCTTGCTTGGATCGAGGAGAGAAGTGTTGGAGGGTGAAAAAGATTGTTGCTTGCCAGATTCGAACCGATGATCTTGTGGAATTACCTTCTTTGGCGGGAAAGCTTCCGATTTCTAGTTGAGCGGGTAGAATGAAATTTGCTCGGGTCAACTTTTGGCCGTGTTTATGGGTTTGGCGCATGAATGTCTCTGTCAAGTACCCTGAGGTCTCTTAGCTCGCTGTTTCTCCCACGTCTTCTCCATATTTCCTTTTAAAGTACCTATAGCTACAAGCAAAGACTTGAAGGCTCTGATATTCGGCAATTGCAGTCAAAGAGACAGGACAAGGACGTCTTGACAAACAAATACGACTGAATAGTAAAGTAAGCAAATTTTTCTTGAGTAATTTCGTCATTTTGTCATGTGATACACTGCCAGGTTTTGAACCTACAAAGGGTCAGCAGATGGTAGATGAAGAGATGTCGCAGCGTTCAAAATGACATGCAGGCAAAAAGGTGATCATAGTAAATCCTGTCCGACAGCATATACACCGAAACGCGTCGCTAATTTTACCGGCGATTTAGAGAATATTGACCTAATTGCAGTGTACATTGACAAATTATTCCATGAAGAATGTCCACTCATTTGCCAGTGCGAGCTCGGGTTTATGTTGACCAAGCTAGGTCCAGGGTAGGCACAAGATTAGGTCGGTCGGTGGATACCGTGAAACCAGCAAATATTCACGGCGCCCAATCAACGTTTGACTCATCAGTGCTTGTTGCCTCAATCCAATATGAGACAGAGGGAACAGTAAATCCGTCCATTGTAGTAAGCCTTCTTGCATGTTCACGGTGACCTGCCCTGCTGATGGATAACGAAGCGTACGTGAGAGATTTTGTTAAACAGAATTCGACCAGTAATAGCGATCCCGGCGATGATTTCCAAGTTTGGCAGCGGGATGCATCATGGATGAATTCATTATGACGTGGGATTGTCCCCACCATCAAGTTGCCACTCAATATAAAACGAAGACTCTGTATCCTGGTAGAAACAGTTCTTGAGCCTCAACAACCAGTAAATCCTCAATATACAAAGCAATTCACCAGTTCTACTTGTACATCTCCAGATGTCTTCATTTTACTCTTCATCCACCAGTCAGAGCTACTACAGTAGCACCAGTAAAGACGGCAAGACGGACACACACGCCTTCTCAGAACAGACCCGGACAAACCCGCAAGGCACCACGATTCGCACTGCATACAAGGACAACAACAAGCCCGTACAATACACGGAGGATCGTATCCCAGCCAGGAATGCACACCTGGAGGGCACAGCTGACACTTCTCGTCGCATCGAGGACGTGAGCCACGAAGAAGCCGATCGACGGTACACAGAGGCTATGGAGGATGAATATGCGAAGAGAGAAGGCGGGGCTTGAAGTTGATCTAGTCTACGAGATTTTGGAATTATCAATGTTGCGTGGATAAAAGAATGAATTAATACATAAGATTCTCGTGGTTGCATTCTCCTCACAGTCTGCCGTTATAGTTAAACTACCCCTTGTTCACTCAACTTACCCTGCCTCACACATGATACAGTACCAGGTGTTGTATAAAATGGCACTTCTCCAGACAAGGAATTTATCCTTGGGAAAAGTTTAGGTAAGATACCTGAATCCACTTCCAACGGTGTGTTGTCCAGCTGCCTCCTCTTCTGCCTCCTTGGCCTCTAGCTTGCGATTGGCACGCTTCAGCACGAAATGGAGGAGAATGCTGGCGCAAATTGCAATAAAGGCCATGCCAGCGTTCACACTGAAGGCGAGAATGAACCGCGGCGCCGCGCCATTGGGATAGAGAAAGGATCCGTAGATGCTGCACACGGTCGCCAGAGCGTTGTTGAATGCCAATGCTGCCGCTCGCTTGGACACGGGGCGGAAGTTTGTGTTCGCTGTCCACACCATGGACATGTTGAAGCCGGAGTAGATACCGGGGAGCATGATCATGGCGCCGAAGTAGCGAGGCCCAATTTGAGTAGTCGACGCTGAGATGATGAAGCCGGCAAGAGCAGCGGCGATGGACAGGGAGGTATGCCAGAATCTCTCCTGCACGCGATCTGCGTTCCATGCCACCACAGCACATACAATACAGGCCAGCAGATAAGGCGGCGCGGTGATTAACAAGGTGGTAATCTTGTCCTTACCCATGCTGGCAACAATGGTCGGGAAGAAACTGTTGATCGCAATGGCTGATGCCGCGCCGTAGCAAACAACAACCAAGATCCAATTCTTTGGATCCTTGATAAGAAGCTTGAAGCCGTGGAAGAGAGATTGTTTTGATCCTTCAGTCCAGTCCTCCTCGCCGGCGGCATCAAGCTCCATACGCCACATGGCCATAGCTCGCTCCTCCTCGCTCAACCATTTCGTAGTAGCCGGAAAGTTGGGTAGTATGAAGAAGGTTGCAAAGGCAATTAGAACCGTAACTGAGCCCTCGATGATGAAGATCCATCTCCAGGCTAGAAGGCCACGGACGCCGTTCATGCCATTGATAATGCCAGCACCGATCAGACCAGAGAAGGCACCGGAGATCAACGACCCGGAGTAGAAGATGGCCGTTCGGACACCCAGTTCTTTACGAACGTACCAGGCGCTAAGAGTCGCCAAAGCGCCTGGATAGAATGCAGCTTCGACGAACCCGAGGAGGAAACGAGTTGCGACGAGGCTCGAGAAACCTTGGGCGGCTCCAGTGCATGCACATAGAATTCCCTGATATTGTTAGATAATGATTTTGATTTTGCTGGAGAACAATACCACTCACCCAAGCCATCATACAAGCTGAAAGGTATGATGCTGGCTTTCCGATCTTGTTTAGGAGCATGTTGGAAGGAACTTGCATCAGGACATATCCCACAAACAGGATGGACACCGCCGTCTGCAATAATTAGCATCTTTGTAGATCTGATGAAACTGCAATATTTCTTACCTGAAATTCGTCTCCCTTCAAGCCTAGATCATCTTCTAAACCTCCGAGTCGAGCAGCTCCGATGGCGTTTCTGATAAAGATAATGAGCATACTTTCAAGGAGGGTGAGGAGGATAGTGTCATACCGATCAAGATAATTCATGATGTAGATCAGAATCATGCTAGGAAGCAGGCGTATATCAATCTTGCGCCTCAGACGAGTTTCTAGCTGTTTGAGCTCGTCGTCCGAGAGATGCTGCAAGGCTGCTGGTCTTGGAGATGCATATTGGAGATGGCCATCATGCACACTGATGTCGGCCTCGTCCGAGCTCAGCTTTTTCTGAGTGTCTTTCTCCATATTTGAGATGCTTCTGTTCATTCAGGTGAGGAATTGAGTTGATACCTGAACTCTGGAGGCCATGAAGAAAGGTTCTTATACATCCTTGAGGCTTGACAGTTTTATCTCAGAGTCTGGGGCTAATGGTGTCCCCCAGAGTTCCTACGAGACCCCAGAGTGAGGAAGTGCCAAGTCTACGATCGTCCTGTACACCAAGATGAAGATTGGGCTAGAGGCGAGCCTCTAGCCTTCGGCCCAGGAGGCATGTCGGCCGTAGTGTACGATTCGTAGAGGAACTAGACCTCATTAGTTCGGTACATATCTTTGACACTCTTAGCCTCTCCCTCCCCCGCATTGCTACAACTTGCCCTCTCCATCGGGTGACATGGCCAGGACCGTTGATGTTTCCAAATACATGGGTAGACAATAGAAATACGAGGTAAATATTTCTACAGATCCTGTAAGTCACACATTCTACAACACTGACGATGTAGGAGTGTGTGCAAGATGGCCAATCGATGTCCCAGGCAGGTCTCGGCGGACGATAAAAGACATCCCAGAAACGGTTTAGCCAAACAGCTTTGACTCGATACTTCTACCGATAAGATTCATTAGATAGGATGAAAACTTAGTTCCCATACTATGACCTCAGATAACGAGTCAGTGCACTGTCGAGCCACTCGTTCACACCAGAGTCTCCTAATCGAAATCATCAAGACCCTGGAGTATGGAGGTCAAAGATTCGTCATCCGTCCCGACAAATTGATCCAGGCATCGGCCGCTAATGTGAGTGAGCCTATCTGGGCCTTTGCATATGAGCCGGAAATTGGAATGCATTGACGTAAACGTGGTTCGGCCGCTAACGCAAACGAGCCGATCAAGTCTCTGAGCCTCCACTGGCTGGAAAATGGAGAGGCGAAGGATCGCCCACATTGTGTTCACCGTTTCGCTGCTTCTGTCATTCATACTTTCCATACCCTTTTCACACGCATCCATGCAGGCTAGGGCTGTTGTCTCCCCCAGCTAAGTGTACCCCAGAGTCGTGGTTCAGGTCACTTGACTCATCTGACACGTCGGATGGCCTAGACAGCACTGGTTAAGTGTCTCAGCAGCCACCTGAGAGCGGCAACTCCGAGGAACAAGGGACTGTCTCGCTTCTAGACCCCGGCTCTCGGTAACATTGGTACGACTCGCTAGTAGCCAGCAATGAAGACAACTACCAGCAGTGCAATCATCGGTCACTGCGTGGGTGAAAGCAGAGATCTCTCGGCAGTCATCATTTGTCGACTTCGGCTTTCTGGAGCTCAAACGAAATGGGGAGATTCAAAGGCCGCAGCGCAGTTGCATGTACTGTATGCCATTCACAAAAAGTGAAATGTGACGGCGGTACGTACTCGCCCACTGTAACCTTGCCTGTCTAACTCACAAGACAAGCCCAGCCATGCGGAAGATGCGCAACTCGCAACCAGGAATGCATCTACCCCGATAAAAAGACCTATGTGACTGTCCCTGAGACCTACCTGAGGAAGCTGGAAAGCGCAGTTGCCAGCTCTCACACATCTCCATCTCTCGCCACCAATTATAGCAATGCAAGGCCTGAGTATTCGGCCAGCTCCCAAAGTCCTCAGGATCCAGGCCCCGAATCTGAGAACAGGGTAGCGGCCAGGGCTGCCATTCTGGATGACGGCAGTAACGAACGTTTCGTGCATGACCTCAGGCAGTTGACCATCCCAGAGAGCCCGGGCAGACTGCGAGAATCGAGCGGATACACGTATGTGGCCCTCAAGTTCGACTTTCTTGGTAAGACATGTTTCTGCACTTGTATTAGAACTTGAGCCCTAATGACAATTAGAGCCGAGGATGGTTATTAAACTGCCGCCTCAACCACTAGCTGTACAGTTACTGAATACGTTTGAGGAGATATTTTGTGATTATCACTGGTTCTTACGAAGAGACTTTCGTGAACGAGTGGGCCTAATATATTCTGATCCCGATAATCAATTAAAAGACAGGTGTTGGCTAGCACGAGCGTCTCTTGTCTTTGCCCTCGGTACGACATTCATTCATGGGCCCCAGGCATTAACTGGCAGTTCACCGTCAAGGCCGTCCGACGTTCCATTACCTCCCGGATCAGACATGTTTGAACAGGCTGTTGCACTGCTCAACGTTTCTTCAGAAGAGCCAACAACAGAAGATATCGAGGCACTAAACTTGATGGTAGGTTCGTCGATCTCCACACACTGATCAATTGCTAATGATGAGTGAAAGGCATTTTATTGCTATTGTTTGAATCGCCGCAGAATGGCCTATAAATATGCGACACAAAGTCTAGCCGTTGCCAAACTTCTTTATCTCGACAAAGCAGCCGTCTCGTCGTCGAACACGGAACAACAAGTGTTGCTGGAGCATAAAAAGCGACTCTGGTGGACCTCGTTTTGTATGGAGAGGATGGTTGTAGCAGAATTAGGTATATCTCCGGCTCATGGACGAAGCAACCTGGGACTCGCTCTGCCCACGGCAGAGAATGTTCCTGAATCCGAGTTGAACCAGTTCTTCGATTCAAGAGTGCTGTCTCTGCAGACTGAGATGTGCGAGATTAAATGCCAGATAATCGAAGCAGTGAGCCACCTGCGGCAGGTTTCAGACTTGGAGACCATGCTCTTTGAGCTGTGGCCGTGCCTAAGCACTCTCCAGTCTTGGAGACAGCACGTCCCCTCATCAATCTCTTTTGACTTTACAAAAGGGGTGCCAGTAGAGATGATTTACCTCCCGTGTGCTCGTGGACTCGCCTCCCTTTATCTTCGGTATCATCAGGTATGCGTCCTGCCACCAGTAAAAAAGAGGGTAGATGTTGATTTAATGTTGATTAGTGTTTCACTGTTATCTTACGACCTCTTTTCTCCAAAGAGCTCTCTCTTCTTCTGCAAGGAGCAGACCCGAAACAATTTGAGTCTGGACTGACGATGACACAACGTCAACGCATCCAGGTGTTGAAAAGAGAGGGCCTTCAAGCTGCGAGAAATAACTGCAGAATCTTATTGAATCTCGTAGCTCGCGGTAAACTAGGTTCGGAGGCCCATAAAATGACCCCTTCCCCCCTCCGCGTCCAATGTTGCTAACTCATTCCAGCCAAATTCGGATACTGGGACTCGGTCCACGCCTTCAGCAGCCTCTCCATCATGTCTATTTCGCGAGCCGTAGCGCCCGATCTCAGTGAAAGCCCACAGTACAATGATGATGCGTACTTGTATTCCCAGTGCCGCGTCATGCTGAAGGACATGGCCGAGGCGGGGAACCCTGCATCAAAGGACCACCACCTTCTTCTCGCGGACGTTGAGAACATTGTGCAAAACTTGATGGAGAGTGCCGCCCAGGAGAAATCTGCAGAGAGGCCGGTGGAGGTGGAGATTATGACCCCTTCGCTCGACCTCGGGGAGCATATGTGGTCAGATGCGGACTGGGTCAATTTTCTGAATACATATTCACATACGATGTGATGAGCTCTTGGATCTTGTGGAGGCTATGGGGAATTTTCACTCCATAACCTTTATTCACGTTACTTACATTTACAGCACTTAAATGATACGTTTACCCCGATTCATCAAGTAAAAGGCCATCCAACTCCTGCAAGCTGTAGAGTTGTGTACACTCGCTGAGCATGAGACGACCTGACAAGTAGATTGGCTGCCAATGCAGAAAGATAAAATGTAAGACCCAGGGTTTGAGAGGTTGCTTTCTTTAACCAGCTACCCCATGCCTTAGATACTGGGTATGTGGGGAGACGAGCCCAGGTTTTAGACCGAGAGGAGTTGTCGTGTATGATCCATGTACGCTCATGGAGTGCGGAGCCAACCTCTTTCGTACAGGCCTGTTAGTTCAAAAGATAATTACTACTGATTGACATGGAAGACAGAGGTTAATCATGTGGACATCCTGGGCGAGACTGGAGTATCAGTTCCCCATGTCAGTTGCCCCTCGGCCCTAGCGGCCGAGAAGCTTACAGCTGGCAGCTAATGCACTCGCGGCCGACCCCTTAAATTAGAAACCAGAGGTAGGTTCCCTGTACCTCGGAATTAGATTATACCACCGCTTGTAGAGGGATTAATCGGCTATGCCGTAGTACAGGTACTTCAGCACTCATAATGGAATATATGTCAACGCAGGAATGCTGCCCATGCTACCTCCCACTCACTTCTCCACGCCTGATGAGGACTATCGATTATTCTGCGTCCCCCGTATATATTATTTATCTCCGCTATGAATTATTCCCATGGGGCTTATCTATATTGACTGGTCACCCGTACCATAATCCTGAGTTATCATATACCCCTGCAACACGATAGCACTTTACGACTTCGCCCGTGCTGAACTCTCGACCCCTATCGACGGCAAGCTTGATCATAGCTCAACCAACTTTCTAGACCCACGAGCTTGAACCAACGCATATCTGGCACGATGTATCAAACTTCTCAGGTCGTGGTTTGCGAACAAGAGGACAAATCAGGTCCCAATCAGTTCGTGACACTCGCAAACAACCGGATCGAAAGAGACAGCCTCGGAGAGCTGGAAATTCCAGATAACGCTCTCTATGGCATCAACACTCTTCGAGCAGTCAATAACTTCCCTCTCTCAGGTCGGCCACTTGCAACATGGCCCGATTTCATTCACTCATTTGCTGTGATCAAGCACGCAGCAGCTCGTGCCAACAGTGAAGTCGGTAGTGTAACGACACAGCAAGCGGATGCCATATCCGCAGCCTGCGAAGAGATAAAGACCGGCAAACATGACGCGCACTTCGTTGTTGATATCCTCGAGGGTTCCGGTGGCACCTCTACCAATATGAACGTGAATGAGGTGATCGCCAATGTCGCCACAAAGGCCTCAGGTCGAGCGCTGTCAGATTACAGCTTCGTCCATCCCAATGACCACGTGAACATGGGCCAGTCTACCAATGATGTCGTACCCACGGCCATGAAGCTGGCGGTGTATCGCGCAATGCAAGGCGCCCTGGAAACACTCGGACAGCTCGCCGACGCTTTCGCCGTGAAGCGTGAAGAATACGCTTCCCTACTCCGACTTGGACGGACCTGCTTGCAAGACGCCCAGCCCATGACTCTTGGCCAGGCGCTTGGGGGATACGAGTGTGTGGTTCGGCGCCACGTGGAACAGCTCGGCGCGATCCGTGAGCAGTTCCTGACACTCCCTCTTGGAGGCACTGCGATCGGAACGGGATTCGGCTCGAGGCCGGGTTACAAGGCCGCCGTGTTCAAGCATCTTTCCGCTCTCCTTGGGGTTACAGTACATCCTGCGAGTAACCCGTTTGATGGCATGCAGAACATGGACACCTGTGCCCGCCTGTCGGCTGAGCTGCGCAACACCGCAAACAGTTTGTGGAAGATTTCTAATGATCTGATCTTGCTCTCATCAGGCCCTAGTGGAGGCATCTCTGAGATCACCTTGCCGTCAGTCCAGGCTGGGTCATCCATCATGCCTGGAAAGGTCAACCCCGTGATCCCCATCGCGGTCTGCCAGGTTGCCTTCGCCATCAGCGGCAATGATTCTGCTATATCTATGGCCTGCCAACAGGGCATGCTTGAGATCAATCATTTCGAGCTGCTCGTATGTGATCGTCTTTTCGAGAGCATCCGTCTGCTCAAAGGCGCTGCAGAAATATTCTCCAAACGATGCGTGCAAGGACTGGTTGCCAACAAGGAGATATCTGAGCAGCATCTACTTGCTGGTAGTGCCCTGGCCACAGCTCTGGTACCGAAGCTGGGTTACGCAAAGGTTTCGAAAATTGTCCGATCGGCTATGGCAGAGGAGCGGCGTTTTCTTGATGTCGCCGTTGAGGAGGGTCACCTTAGGATAGATGAAGTCAGAGCGGCTCTTGAGCAATCAGTTTTGGTTGACAATTCTTCAACAGCTTAGAACATGCCATAATAATCTAGTCCACTTGAACAACTTCTCAGACCGTATGAAGCGCACCAATTGGTGATGAGCGTCGAGTTTGCATATTACCCAACCATCGAAATCTGACGTGTAATTCGATTGATAGTTCTCGCAATAAGAAACACTTTTTGTTCTCAGACCAACTCGGCCCCTTTATCCTTTCGAAGCGTATACATCCCACGTTGAATTGCTTCGCAGCAAATTAGACGCTTTAGAGTCCAGCCGTGTCAGAATATCAAGCAAAACCGAAAAGTCAGCACGTGCTCTGGTGGCCAGAGGCGAACTCTGATTCCGGTGAATTATCGCTAACAAGCTGGCTCCGATGAGCCGAATCTTCTCAACCTTTACAACCGGTCAGATAGCTCGAAGTTTTGCAGCCTGCGGCAGTGCGACTTACGTATGGCTCCCCATTTACCTGCAACGACCAGAACGGTGCCTCATGCATCACCCGCAGCATATCCCTTGCTATCTCCGTCTTTTTCAGGTCTGCCTGCTCGATGCTGGTGCCAAAGCATGTTGGAAGATCCAGTTTCTCCGCGATTGCCATCTTGAGGCAGTGCAGCGAGACCTGCAGGTTGGCACACTGGATGATGAACTGCTTCGACTGCGTCGTGGTCTCCTTTCCGCCAGTCGCGATAGCTGCGAAGGTGTATGATTGCAAATATGGCGGGAGGTCGTCTAGACATGTGATGAAGTTTACATACAGGGCGTCGAGGCGGCGACGCTGCTCGTTGGTCAAGAGAGCTTGGGGCGGAGCAGAGGCCATTCCTAGGTTTTCCCTGTCATGGATGAGTCGGGCTTCTAACAGAACGTCAGACGCTGCTTGCCAAAGCCGCAGGTTTGCATTGAAGCCTTCGATAAAGTTCCTGCGACTGCTGCCAGGCGAAGGTGCCTCGTTTCCCGGTGAAGGACCAATAGAGGACTCATCTTCGATGCCAGTTGGGTACGAGGTCGTGATGCCGGCTTCGAAAGAGTACTTGTGGATGGTGATGGGCCGATTATTCAAGATGGCGGCAGATTTGTCGCCCATGTACACGATCCAGAATGCCCTTCGCCTCAACTCGGCTTCAATGGGGAACAGTCCCTCAAGCGAAGACTCCTCGTGCAGCTGCATCACCTGCGCAAGTCGTGTGGCCTCACCAAATATGTGCCATGAGTACTTTGGCTTCCCAGCTGCATGGAGGCAGTTGGAGTGAAAGTAGCGAATGGCAATGGAGTTGGCGTTAGGGTTCTCCAAGTCTGCCTCGAGATACTGATTCAAACATCCACGAGAGGCTTGGAGGAAGATATTGGCGACGCTTTCTCCTTCTGCGAATAGGTCCCTGGGCAGCAGAAAGGCGGCCTCGGCGCATACAGCGGTGATGAGAGTGAAAGTCGAATCATGCCACGGCTCTATTATCGAAAGACTGACTGGGGCACCATGCGTGAAATCCGGCCATGCTTCATCTGGTTGACCCGGGACTGCATCTACTCTTGATCGAGAAGCGCTGTTTAGGCTCGTAGATGAGTGAGCCAAAAAGAATACCAGCCCTTCTCGTAGGCTTGGCTCATGAACCAACGGAGTAAGAGGATAGAGATACTCGAAAAACAAATCAAAGCATCGAGTAACCATCTGGTTGATGTTCACGTTGATGAGTGCCAGTGACCGGGAGAGGCCATGCCACCTTTGGATAGCTGAAAGGCGATGAGTCCCTGAAGGATCAGACACAGAGCTGCGAATCGTTTGTGGAGAGAGTGCATGTTCGATATGGAGAGTCTCGCCATGCTCCCACGAGCCAGATGGAGACTCTCCAATGGGGCTCCCAAAGGACGGGACTCCAACCGCCCCATTTGCAGGTGATAGTGCCGAAGGCGCCGTGTTTTCTCTATTCTCGGCGACGGTCGACCCAGTTATCCTTCTGATTTTGGGTCCTCGTCTCGCAGAAGGGACATCAAACGTGCACCTTTCTTCGGCCTCGAGGCATAGGGAGCAGGCATTACTTGTGCCAGACGAGTCGCACTAAGGCAGCTTGGTCAGTAATGGTCACCTCTCTTAGCCTACGAGACATTTCAACCGAGATTAGCTCACCTTCGCTTTTCTCCGCCGACAACGGTCGCAAGCTCTGCTGCTAAGAAGCCGTCGTCGCTGCTGGCTAGGCTGTGGGGATGCTGGACACGGCGGTGAGCTTGGCATGATGGCATATCCTGCTGTTGCCTCTGTTCGGAGAAAAGCAGTCGAGCAGAGGCACCTGTCGGCGTTTTATGACAACATTGTGAACCGAGGCGCGTTGCCTGAATCCCCACAAGAACCGCAGCTGAGCGTTTCTCCGTTTCTCCGGATGATCTTTGCCGGAAACAGGCCCAGCTTGCGGTCGGCAGACGCTGATCTGCGGGGGACAAACAAGAATCTGGGATTCTGGGGAAAAGTCGTCCCTGATCATTTGAGGCAAGGCGTGTAATTTCCTGCCGGCAATTTCCAGGGGGATAGGCAGGTCCCGAATTATAAGGTATGATCATCATCATCTATAAAACGAGATTGTGTCCCTCTATTCACATGATCACGGCACTTTCAGCAACCTCTTCATAGGGTTTTGACAATGAAGTTCAACCATTCTGTTTTGACTTTAACTGCTGGTGCATTGTTCGTCAATGCTCTTCCGTCTGGCTCCTCCAGCGAGTCTAGAGGTCACGATGCACCGCCGTGTAGATTCGCCCTGAAGTGGTCGCAGGAGCAAGTTCTCGAGCGCACGGATGAGTTCATCTCCGACTTGCTCTACTGGGAGGGCAAATTCCACCAAAATGACATTGCTTACAATGCTGTGAACGGCATGTCGTACGATGGCTCTCAGATTGACTGGGTCACGGGCGAGAACACGAAGAAGCATACCTTCAGTGCTGCTAGCAAAGAGGTCAGTTTAACTGCATATTCTTATTGGGCGAAGCTAAAGACAGCTCCAGGCTTTACAAATTATGCTGTACTCCCGCGTCATTGATGGATCTCCAGAAGCGGCCCGGTTTATAAGCCCAAAGAATCCAAAAGATGCTTCAAGCCAAGTCATCTCTATCATGGAGAAGAAACTCAAAACATACCAGCGATTCAACGAAACCTATCCCGGGTTTGGAGGGGCTCTCCCATGGATAGCAACAAGCACTGCAGACGTTTCACCACAGGACGACTGGACCAATCGCGTACCAGGTCTCGACAATGGGTAAGCGCAGATGACCGTCTTGAGTTGATCTACTGTACTGAGAATGTCTATAGTGAATTATGGTGGTCTGTCTATGCATGGATTCAGGTCCTGGAAAAAGTCGACCAGCATGGTTATCAAGATCTAGCCAAGGGCTGGAAGACATGGCTCGACTACACCTTGACAAACATGGTCAAAATCTTTCATAGAGGCAACGGTGTTGTATGCGCTGTCACCGAGATTGGCGACCAAGCTCTGCCGGTCGACGACCCCGCCCAGACATACAAGTGTGAGGGTGAAGGCGTACTGAATGACCCGTATGAGGGTGAACTAGTTCCCTACATGTTCCACCTCTTCGGAAACCTGTCAGAAGAAGATAAGGATGCGTTGTGGGTGGCCAAGCGTCCGCAACTGGTCAAGGATGAATATGAAATGGGCGGTGTTGGCCCGATCACAGTGGAAAGAGGTGAGTTCCCAGGCAAGGCATTTCGCAAGGATGTAGCTGAACTTTACAGGATATTGGTTTTCTGGTCATGAGCCATGGAAGGTCCTCGAACTTCCCTTTTACGATGTCGATATTATCCGGTAAGTCAATTGTCTCTGATGAATCTCCGCAAAGTAAAAGCTGCTGACTTATTGAAGACGCGTATATCACAATGCTGAGAGAGTCCGTACCTGTAACTCAGTGGTAACCAAGGTCCCGGGATTATTCGCGTCTGTCAACAATATTACAGACGTCGAGACCGACACAATAATTGGCTACATCTCTCCGGCCGGTATCCCCTCCATCGCCAACCAGACGGAGCAGTACCTTGATGTCATCACCCCTTATGCCTCTTGGCCGACGATTCTGTTTGACAAGTCTGTCGGTCTCGCTTGGTGGAGAAATATGGTGTCCGGGAAGAAGATGCAGAGTAAGTGCACGAGATACCGTTCAAAGATAAGTGACTGACATTTCTGCGAAGATCCCTATGGAAGTACCGAATCTACAAGAGTCGATGGTGAGGGTGTGTCTGCGCTCTTGACCTGGGACAGCAAGGTCCTCACTGTTGTTTCGATACTTGGGGGAGTCGGTGATCTTGCTCGTGAGAGAATGCAGGCTGATGGCGTGTACAACGAATTTATCCGTATTGCAGAGGTATGTGCCCGTCAATCAACAAGCAGCAGCTTTCAAGAAACAAGGCTAATAATGGCGTCAAGCGAGAGTATTCAATGGTTTTCGGTGACCTCAAGGGAGAGGATATTGAACTCTGTTTGCCTAAGGTACAAATTCCGGATGGGGGACTCAAGGACTTTACGCATTGCGAGGCATAAAATCAAAAATGTCTAAGAAGCATGATAACTGAAGTAGCTTATTCTTTTTTAAAACTAGCACCATCATTCTAAATTATGCAATCAAAGACCAAATAGTGACTCAAGGAGCAAACTGAGAGTCCATCTCTGAAACAACAAAACTATGATTTCTCTCATTATTGATCCATTTTACATGATAGCCCATCGTGGTGGTTTATTACTTAGCGTATTTTGCTACCTATGGCGCAACTTGCTCTAACTGACCTTTGTAGGAGATCAAAGCAATAGGCAACTTATTCATAGCTGGGCTATTCGGAGTGAGCACTTGGGCAGGCTACGGCAAATTAAAACAAATAAACACCAAAGATGATACTAGAATAGGCTCATGAGAGATATTGTATTAGATTCAATGGGTAGTTTTAAGCTATAGATAAAATGTGAATAGGCAGATTATTGAGCACAAACGCGTGGATGGCTATTGTGCAGTCTTCGACTACTTCATACATTCTTCTCCTCCAGATGCTCTCGAACCTGCTCCTCCTTGACTTCCTGAATCTTCTGCACCATCTGCTGTTTTGCACTCTCCCCTTCAAAAAGGTAGGCAAGTTCCTCCAGCGTAGGCCCAGACGTCTCAACAAAAAAGAAGAAAACAATGACGAATACGAAAGCGACCCAGACGCAGTAGTAGATGTAGAACTTCCAGCCAATATTCTCGAGTCCAATTGGATTGACATACCCTCCGAAAATGGAAGCAACCTGGATTGTGAGAAGGACAAAAGCCCACGTCTTGGCACGCATCTGATAGGTGACAATCTCAAGCGGGTACGTGACGATCAAGTTGGTCCACGCACACGTGTAGAAGGCCTGGAAGAGGAAGATGCATGCGAGGACGAGACGGCCAGCGGCGAGAGAGTCACGCTCGAGGTACTGCTGGGCTGCGATTGTCCACACAACAAAGACGACGAGAGTACCACCCGAGCCGACGAGAAAGAAAGTACGACGTTTGAATCTATCGATAAGGGCGGTGACGGTTAGGGCGATGAGATACTGCCAGATTGTAACCATGCCGTTGATGAGGGTGATGTCTGAGTCGTTGTTGATGCCGGTGTCCTTGAGGATCTGTGTGAGGTAGTTGGAGACGAGTAGGTTTCCGGAGCTCTGACTGAAGACAGCTGTTGCGAAACAGAGCGCGATTCGTTTGAGATTGGGAACAGATGAGAAGAAAGCCTTCCACGTGATGTTTTGGAGCTTCTCGTCCTCGATGACCTGCTGGATCTCGGCGAACTCAAAGTTGACGAGTTCTGAATTCGGGTCGCATTCGCCATGATATTTCACCAGAATATCTCTTGCTTTGTCGGCCTTGCCATTGGCAATGAGCCATCTGGGGGATTCGGGACAGAAGAAGATCAATGCGAGCTGGTAAGCGGACGGAACGACCTGAATAAGAGTAGGCAGTCGCCAAGACCACTCTCCCTCTATCTTAAAACAGCCATATGTCGCCCAAGCGCCAATCACATATCCGAGAACTATCGAGGTGTTGTAGAATGTTGTGACCTGAACTCGTTCCTTCGGGTGACTCAGCTCAGTAACGAGCACCGGCGCACCCATTTGGATCAGAGAAGAGCCGATACCGAGCACAATCTTGCCGCCAATGTACATGTTAAGCGAGGTGGCGAAGAATTCGACGAGCGCACCGGCAATGATGATGATTGACCCAATGGCTGTAGGAACTCTTCGGCCAAGGACGTCGCCAATCCATCCGAGGAAGATGAACGGAATCACCCCGCCAATGGCGTTGGAAGCTCCGAAAAAGCCAAGAGTTGAACCCGTAGGGTGGCCGAATGTGTCTTGCCAAGTCGGCAGGACCTGCATACCGTTGGTCATGGACTTGGCGCGAATATCCGTTAGTAAAGAGACTTTCGTGCCAGGCTTTCGGAGGTCCATAACTTACCCCATCAATGCCAAGTGCTGCAGTAGCTAGAAGGGACGACGTGAGGAGGAAATAGAGGAGGATGCCATTTTTGCGTCGCCAGAAAGGGGGGATGGCTTTGAGATCGATAGGCGTATGCAGACCTTCCGTGGTCTGAGCTGCGGAGGGTGCCATTGTTCAAGGTAACAGTTAGATGGAAGAGGCAATGTAACCAGGCAGATTCTGAGCTCCTCGGTAAGTAGTCTTCAGCTTGGGCGTGAGCTCATTGAGCGTACAAAGTCCCGAACAGCATGCGTGTTGCATTTATATAAACATCCTAGACTGTAACAGGGTCTAACAACAAGTTTAGCAAGAAATTAACGACTCAAGCCGAAGAAAAAGTCTCGTTCCCCATGGGGACGTATGGGCTGATCCCCGCCTCGCAGCTTCGGCTAGACGGAGAATCGGAGAAATATGGCGTAGATGCGAGACCGACGCACTATGGCGGATCCGGTTGATCATGAGGCCTCACACTCGAATTTCCTAAATCAGAGCCCTCCTCCTGATCGGAGAAACTGTGGGCAGAAGAAGCTTGGGTGGAGAGAAACCGGTTATTTCCTCGAACGTCATCGCAAAGTAGAGAAGCGTATAAAGAAAGATTCTCAAGAGTTGATGAGGTAAATTTGGACATCAGTACGGTCATTCTTTTTCTGCAGAATTGTTGTTGAGACCTCTAGGCAAAGGGCCAGGATCACCGCCACAACAATGTCAACTCCAGCGCTACCTCCCAACTTCGAGTGGGGATTTGCCACGGCGTCTTACCAGATCGAAGGAGCTGTGGCAGAAGATGGTCGCGGGAAATCCATTTGGGACACGTACTGCCACCTGGAGCCAACAAGAACAAAGGGCGCAAACGGCGATGTCGCTTGCGACCACTACCATCGCTTTGAGCAGGACATCGAACTGCTGAGCAAGTACGGCGCCAAGGCCTACCGCTTCTCCATCTCGTGGTCCCGGATCATCCCCTTGGGCGGGAGAAACGACCCGGTCAATGAAGCCGGGATCGCGTTCTACAACAGGCTGATCGATGGGCTCCTCGCCCGAGGGATCACACCTTGGGTGACACTGTACCATTGGGATCTTCCTCAAGGGTTGCATGATAGATATGGCGGGTGGTTGAATGTGGATGAGATACAGCTCGATTTCGAGAGGTACGCCCGTGTCTGTTTCGAGCGCTTTGGTGATAGGGTCAAAGACTGGATCACATTGAATGAACCGTGGATTCAATCCATATTTGTAAGGCCTCTCCATCATTTCCCTCAAGATCCATAGGTCTAAGATAATCTGCAGGGTTATTCCACAGGAGGCAATGCCCCTGGGCGAAGCAGCACCAACAAACAATCTACCGAAGGAGACTCGACGACTGAGCCCTGGATCACCGGTAAAGCCCAGATCATGAGCCACGCTCGTGCAGTCGCAGCCTACGACAAAGACTTCCGCCCATCTCAAAAAGGTAAGATCGGAGTGTCGCTGAACGGTGACTACTACGAGCCTTGGGACGCAAATGATGAGCGCGACAAGGAGGCCGCGGAACGAAGAATGCAATTCCACATTGGTTGGTTTGCCAATCCAATCTTGTGAGTCAACCACGGAGTATATTCATTCGTCTCCGTTCTGACTTTGAGTAGCTTAAAGCAAGACTACCCCGAATGCATGCGTACGCAGCTGGGCAGGAGGTTGCCGTCCTTCACAGAATCCGACTTTGAGATCTTGAGATCAGCCGAGACGGACTTTTACGGCATGAACTACTACACGTCCCAATTTGCACGCCATCGGGAGACCCCAGCCCCCGACACTGACTATGTTGGTAACGTCGATGAGTTGCAAGAGAACAAGGAAGGTATCCCTGTTGGAGAGAAGAGCGGCCTTCACTGGCTCAGGTCCTGTCCCGGGATGTTCCGCAAACACCTCACCAGAGTGTATCGCCTCTATGGCAAACCAATCTACATAACTGAGAATGGGTGCCCGTGCCCCGGGGAGGACAAGATGTCCCGCGACGAGGCAATCAACGATCCGTATCGCATTCGTTACTTTGAAAAGCATCTCGATTCTATTAGCAAGTCCATCAACGAAGACGGGTCGATAATCAGTGGGTACTTTGCTTGGTCGTTGCTCGACAATCTAGGTAAGTCAAATCTTTTGTGGTACGAAACAGGTGCAGAATACTAATTCATCATAGAATGGTCGGATGGCTATGGACCTCGCTTCGGCGTCACATTCACAGACTACGACACGTTGGAGCGTACGCCCAAGAAGTCGGCCTTGCTTCTCCATAGCATGATTACGGAGAGGCAAGCGGTCAAAGCCACGTCTTGAATTGAAGATTAATATAGAATAGAAAGATGAATACACATCATAGATCCTTTTTATACTTCTTAAGTTGAGTTGTAAAGCGACGGTCGGAAACAAACGCGCAACGCTGCTTCAGCTTGAAAACACTATTTTGCTTGTGTAACTGATGTTCGTTCTAAGTCGGGCCGAACGCAATCGACCAGCGACAAATGGATTGTTTCAACGATAAGCCGCGTTTGTTTATCGTATCATGGTGTAAATACCCAGCTCAATCCATCCTCAGAGTGTGACAGACGAGCCACAGCTCGGAACCACCATTCAATAGGCAAGCCATAGACGAACGACGCCCGATGGTTTATTCAACTTTTAACTAACCGATATGTGCACATTGAGAATCAGCCTCTATCCACTCTAAACGTCCACCGCTCACCAGTAAAGAGGCTGTGCTAGCTATGACGGCGGCGGTCGGAGTGTAGCCAAATTCTCCGTCCCGACCGTGCATTCAATGCTTTATTATCCGATACAGCCCACTTCTACTACATCTCTCTTTCATACCCTTACTATGGACTTAGTCTCCAGAAATACGACCTTGAAATTGATCACTTTCCTTGATATGGATTCATCTCTGCCGCGGTAGGAACCCTTCTACCCGACCCCTCACCGCTACCGGTCACTTCCAGCCGGCTGAGCACATATGCGGTCTCCAATTCAACAATCAGCCGACAAAGGAGAGTCGATGCCAAGAAACGAAATACTATATGGATGGCATCGTTGACTGACACAAATAAGATGCTAGAAAACAGCAGAGTTCCCAAGAAAACATGAGCAGTCGTGTACAATGCAGCAAGCCACGTCAGGACTGTGGACATTGCCGTCGACTTGAGGATCTGGACGCGTTGCTTTCCATCACCGCCTTCGTGGTTGATCAACGTGTGATCCTCATTGGCCGACCGTTTTGACGATGAAGGGGCACGCTGAATGCGGAGATGAACAGCAAGAGCGCCAAGGAGGTGTATCGTCAGGCCGACAAAGGCCCAGATATAGATGAGGAAACCGGCCCGCGTGGCAAACGTAAAGACCGTCCGGGAGCTGATACGGTAGCAAAGCTCGGCAACGTTGGCGATCGAACCCATGGCAAGCAAGTACGCCAGCGACTGGCCCAATACGGGCCACAGCCTCTTTCTCCTCAACGCCTCATCCCCTCTAGGCCTCCATGGGAAAGTCGCCACTCTTCCCTTCTTCTCCTGGAAAATCTGCCGCACAGAGCTGTGATCCAATGTTGGACTCACGGTCGGTGATGCCAACGCCAAGAGCATGGCGAGAGGATATTGTCTGCCCGCCGCAGCAATGACACCAATCTGCACCACACTGGGTCCCAGCAGCGCGAGGATGGTGGGGGCTACACCGAGAAGCACCTGTGAGGCGGCCATGAGCGCCTTGGTAAGCTCTGGTGTATTTTGCAGCAGACATTCGACAAGAAGAAGGGTCGTTGTGTCAATACCGAACAAGCGCTCCACATCGTCAAGTTCGTCGTCAGGGACCCTCGTGGATTTTCTTTTCCCCTCTCTTCTCTCTTGTTGATACTCAAGGTGCTTTCTGTACGCCGCACCGCAGTGCTCATCACTGGTGAGCAGGAATGCGAAGCCGTCACTGACTTGTGGCAGGAAATTATTGAATCCGCTGCGCAAAAAGTCGGCGGACACGATGGGGGTAAGCGCAAGGGCGACCAGGCCCAAAAAAGAAGCAAAACGCATGTTTGGCTGGCAGTGCTAATGTTGCTGTTTGCCGAGAGTGTCTCTCCTAGCTCAAGGCATTGGGGGCGGATTTTCCCAGGCAAACAAAAGGTTGGTCCGTCCTGGGGATTTTGATCTTTTACAAATTTCTGGCACTCTAGATTGCTTGGCTAGTTGTCGACTCCACTGGCAAAAGGGGAAAGACTTCCCAGCAGAGAAAACTCAGCTGCTGTTGGTCCTCCGTGGCGTGACATGGCATGCATGTTGGTGAGACCTGGAGCCTCATCTAGTGGATGTCAGTGGACAGTCTGGTCGAGAGGCGGGCCTTCAGCGCCTCGTCGATGACAGACAGTGGTCAACCAGATGGATCAAGGACAGAGATCGACCCTCCTAGGCCTTCATCTCACCAACCGCCCCACCCCTTGAGCAAGGGAAAGGGCATCAACATTGACTTAACACTGTTCGATATCAGTGCCTCCCAAGTTTTACGGCGTTCTGCGCGTCTCGTTCATTGCAGTCATCAATGGCAAGATTCCATGTTGAGTGGGCGAATCTTTGAAGTCAGCAACACTCTCTCATGGACAACTTGGATCGATTACTTCGGCTCAAGTCTCCTCTTTAAGCCAGGCGCATAAATTCTCAGCGCCTACATACAGCCAAGACTCTATCGTACTAACCTAAAGAGTGCCCAATTCATTGTTGGTTGCCCACCCTTCGTTCTCAACCAACATCAAAACCTATCAACCCCTGCATTTTTCTCGCACTACATGTAACAATTAGTGAAAGGGATTCACTAGCTTTTAAAGGCCTTGACAGCTAGGCCAAAAAGATCTGCATTTCTTGCGGATTTGTATTTCCCTTCGTATTACCCATCGCCTAGGCCTCTCCACAACGGGTGCAGAAAGTTCCAAAACACCTACATAAGGCCATTAATAAATAAACTATAAGTTTAGAAATTAATTATCTAAATAATAATTTTATACCTCTTCTTTATCTTGGCATAAATTATTAGTCAAAACAAGAAAGGTCGAAGCTAACCATTTGCCATGGTGGCAACACAACCCATTGTACATGTGGACGGTGTTGAACTCTTGCTGTATTGTTTTCCTTGGCTCAGTGGCCATTGGCTCGTTCACGGAACCGTTACGAGGCAGGCAGGGCCCTTTTTAACATAGAACAGTACCACCTCATTGAAAAGTTCCATCGTTGGTGTTGCAAATTGCTCAACACATGTGTCTGCGTCTCGAACTTTCGCTCAGCCAGCACCATTCCATTTGGTGATCGGCAGAGATGAGGCCAAGGGAACTATTAAATGTCGGCAGCCAAAACAGCTCCCATTCGGTTCTTGCCGTCCTGTTTGCCTTAATGAATTATAATGGTTTTTGTTGCGTCATTCAGGCGTACGCCATCCCTCGAAGCTGCTGCCAAAAGAGCTCGACCGTCCATGAATTCATGAACATACGCACCGCCCACTAACTCACAATGATAATCAGCCACTGAACCAGTATCCTTCATCCGCCTGAATATCAAGGGTACCCGAGATCTCGGTACTACCCAAACGGTATCTCCCTCTTGCAGGTTCTCTGATCCTAATCCTAGGTATCCCTTCTCTGTCAGAAAAGGTCGCAAGTGCTGCCCATGTGAAAAGAGTGAGCCATACTCAGCCACGGCAGAACTGGCAAGCCCGTGAGCCGGAGCGGAATCATATGCGATGGACAGGCCTTTCCATCCTCTATCCCCTCCACAAAATTCATCGAATCGTTGCTTTAGTTCGTTCCACTGCCGACCTTCTCCTTGAGACACCTTTACTGAGTCAACTTTCTCCCGAAACCATTTCGCAGAGCCCGGACCGAGAAAAGACTGTTTTGAAGGCGCGAGACGTTCCTTACCAGCAGTATTGGCGATGAGAGTTCGCCAAAATGCCTCACATCGGTCTTGTTCCGTGGTCTGGTACCGGGTTGGGAGGGACAGCAGCATGCTCAACAGTCGTGGAAACGGCTCCCCCTTTTGGATGTCGCGCTTTGGCTCCCCGCGAAATGATATTTCGTCGATCATGAGGCCACCAATGGCAACAGTGAGGTTTTCTTCGTCGACAACTGCAGGCCATCTGGCTAATTTCTCCTCTCGGAAGAGATGAGTATCCGGCGGAATGAATCACGCGTCTGCAGAATATCTCTTGTACCCAGTGACTCTAAGACCGAGAGGTGAAGGCTCACTCCAGTCGGGCACCCAGGATGGGAGAGTATCGGCGTTGATCTTTACCTTTTGGAAGGATCTTCCTTCAACGCAAGAGAGTATAAGAAGTTCCTCGCAGTCGCGGAGAAGTTGAATCGCGGTTTTGAGATACGTCCGTGCCGCGCTGCAATCCACCCCAAACTCGGGACGCAAAAGGGGCATTTTCCCAACGTCGACGGAATCTTCGATGAGTCCCATAAGAGCATACACTTTATCCTCCCAATTGGTTGCCTCAAAATCCCGGGACCTAATAAGCGTGTACAAGAGAACATTTGTCCAGTGTTCTGTTGCCATCGATTTCTTCGTTGCCTTGAGAATGGTGGGAATGCCATAATTACGTTGCGGTATGCGAACTGTCTTCGTATCTGACCCAAGTGATTCCATCCCCGTAGCTTGGTTGTAGAAGAATTCTCTCCAAGCACCTGTAGAGATAATGTGAGATGCTTTGGACAGAACGCTCCAGTCTGTCGAATATTTCCCGCAGCGCACAGTGACTTTCTCTGGCAGCACGAGCTCTTGGATGATCCAAGATCTGTTCCAATACGTCCGCTCGAAAAGCTTGGCAGTTGATTTCCAGGAGGACTGGTCACTGCCAAAGTCCACCGAGGCGCTCTAGCTCGTCGACGGCCATTGCGTCCCGACTAGTGGTGGCAGCATTGTGGATTCAGCGAGTTTACTCAAGTGGCCAAAAGCTCGCTCCGTGTGCAAGTCTGCGTCTCCAAGCCATGCAATCACGCACGCCGCAGACCGGTAGATTCGGGCCATCATGGTGCTGACTTGGTGGCTTCGCTCCTTGGGATCGCTTTGATTGATACATACAGCATCAATCCAAAACTCATTCTCTTTCAACTTTTCATCAGATTTAACTTGATCCAAGAAGTCCGAGAGATTCTCGGTAACCTTCACAACGCTGTCGTTGAACTGAATTGACGTGATGGGGTCGTTGGTCATGGTTTTGAATCGGCCCTCGAGGAGAGGTGCTCCCCATCTATACGAGACGGCGTAGTAGCTGGTCGCCTCATCAGCCAAGTTCGCAACCCGGATTTTCCATTTGGCCTGAGCGACGCCTTCGGCTGAGCTTTCTAGTGAGACCAGACGGATCTCATTTAGCCCGAGGGGAATATCAGAATAGTCAAGAGTCGTCATTTGTTAGGCCGTACTAGAGTAGGCGTGGAGTGACAGGCATTGACTGAATGAAATGCTCCAGGAACTAGCGGCATAAAGCCAAGAAAAGAAAGAAGATAAAACCTCAAGCATCCATGCTGCGTGGATTTCGTAGGTCTTGGAGGAAAACGAATGGTGGCCCATCACGAAAGACGTTGCGGCTGACAACGCATCAGCAATCTCGACGCCGCTTTATTGGCTGATGGGTGAGGGGAAATGCATGTGCCTTTTCCACACTGATTATATACGCAAAAGAAGTGACAGCCTGTCACGATCCCGCCAAAATGACTACCCGACCTTGAAGACTCCACGTTTCCCGGTGCTTGTTCTTTATCTTTCTCGCCAAGTTTTGCTTTGCAGCCGTACTTCGCCGCTGTTTCCTTTCTATGCATGCCAGCAACTGGCTGCACTGGTTGCTTACGCCCACCATGACGCCCGATTCGACCTGCGGTTATCAATTCTCATCCGAAGCGGCCTGGTTTATCAACTATGTAGAGGCTTCTCGCGCATGTCCTCAGTCAAAACTGGTAACGCAGCCCAACCTCGGTCTGCTCGACGTCGACTATAAGAGTGGTGATGGCTCGCTGGGTGAAAGTCGAGGCTGGGGCGGGTTTGCTCGCTACGTTCAACACTTGAATAACAAGACAGATCCCAGCACGTCATACAAAGTATTATTAGTCGTGCGACATGGCCGCGGCGTCCATAACGTTGTGATGGACGAGGTTGGCTCAGCCGAATGGAAGGTAGGTAATCAGCGCAGCTTTGCTGGCCTTAAGATTGACATCCTTGGAACTGCAAAGCTGACATCAACGCAGAGACACTGGTCCAAATTAGAAGGGGACGGAAATCGAACCTGGTACGACGCAGAGTTGGTTGACGAGGGAGTAGAACAAGCGAAAGCGCTCGGGACATTCTTCGCGGAAGGCGTCAAGAACATGGGCTTCCCTGTCCCCGATACCTTATACACCAGTCCACTGGCACGATGCCTCGAGACAACAAAGCTCGTATTCAAGGATGTCGTAGAAGGACAAGGAAAGCCCTTCAAGCCGATAGTGAAAGAACTCCTTCGGGAACGACTAACCAACCACACATGTGACAGGAGGAGAGCAACCAAGTGGATTACAGCCACCTACCCAGAATACGAATTAGAGACAGCTTTCGCAGACGAAGATGTGTTGTGGCATGCCGATCGATCAGAGTCCAATGCAGAAAATGCCGCCCGCACGCAGAGGTTGCTCGAAGATATTTGGAAGGAAGACTCGGGGGCCTTTATCGCCCTCATCACCCATTCGTTCGCGCTCTCTTCGATACTCGAAGTGATCCATGCACCCCATTTTCGAGTGGGCGAAGGCGTGATGACCGCTTTTTTAGTGAAAGGGCAAAGGCTGGGAATCAACTAGGCATCGGATATGATAGTTGCCTTGTAGAGCAATCTAGGTGGGACATTTCTGACGAGGTGAAATTGATGTGTTATCATATTGCCTGATATATGCACTTCTTCACGAAACCGAACATGAAAAATCTAGAAAAGATCAGTCCATCCATAACGGTGAAGCAAGAAGTGTTATTCAAAGAATAGGGTCTCCTGTATGATGTATTCAAGCTTAGGTATCCCTAAATCAAAAACACGACACTGACTCGAAGGATACGGAAGAAAGCCCCGTACGATTTACCAGGAGATAACTTTTTGCTTCTCTTTACACCCCGTTTTCATTGCATGTTGACGCAATCATTCCTCCATCGATCTACTTTGTGACAACCGCTATATCATACGAGTAACCACGATGCTCAGCCTGTGATAAATGATATGTCGCCCACTAAAGCTGGGTAGCGCTATAAGGGTTCATGATCCGGATACGTGGAATTATCAATCCTAAAAAGCTGGGAATTGTTGCACACTTTCAACGCGCTTTGATATTCATTACGTCTCATTATACATTAAGTCATAGCTAAGGGTTCGTGTATCATTTCCCGTGTACAAGAATAATAATACCAATAAAAAAATGTGATGGCGATTAGATCCCAAAGTCAAACATTCTGGTGAAGTCGCCGATCCACGACACAATTCTATGTCTCAGCTCAACGCCCAGGCAGCAAGCACCTCGGGCTGCCTCACAACAACAGCATGGAGCTTCGTCACCAATTCCCACCTTGCTTCGTACACATGGTAGTGGTTCAGCCACTGATCGAATGCCTGCCCACCAAAGTTTGAGAGCGAACCCTCCTCCGCTGCCATCTGATCCCACGCGCAGCGGAGCTCATCGTGGGCAGACTTGTACACTGGGAGGGTCTTGGGATTGATGGGGCCCGGGATGCTGGGCTCGTGCTTCCGCAGGATCTCCTCAAACCGGGCCTGGTAGTCGAGAGGAATGTGCTTGAGGTTTGACCGGACCGTCTCCCAGCCGCTGAAAAGGGCGAACTCGGCCGAGGACACCTCGGACCTCATCAGCTTCTTGGCCCAGCCAGAGAGAACCCTGGCGAGGGCATCGACGCCATGCTCCTCGACGAAACAAGAGTTGCAGCGGAGCCCGTCCATGACCGACCGGGTCAATTTGGTATCGTCCCAGTTCCAGGCGCAAAAATCGGGCTCCTCGTTGGCATATATAGGCACCCAGCGCGAGTTCTTGGTGCCGAGGCGGAACGAACGCATCTCCTGCCACTCGGCACACTCAGGGCAGCGTATCATGCGCGTGGGCCAGAACTGCTTGGAACCAGAACTGGAGCCAGCGACGACTTCAGAGAGGGGTCCAAGCCCCACATGCTCTGCGAGTCCGGGGAAGAAGCGGTCTCGTGACGAGGCGAAGGCGAGGCCCCTGCTGGGCTGGATGGGGACGGCGGGGGTGCCTCTCTCGCGGGAGTTGGCCTTGCCCAGCTCCTGGTTCTGGAAGCGGCATTCGTTGCATCTGCGGAGATGGCGTTTGCTGCCCCAGCGCTCATCGGCATCGCCATCTTGGAGCGGCTGCTCTGACACGTCCTCCTTGGGCTGGTGGAATCGCCGTCCCCAGCGCTTCCGGGCAGCGCCCCAGTCGGTGATGGGGTCGGCGGCGGGTGAGCCAGCACCAGGTTTACGATAGCCAAGGCGCATGAGGCTGTGATTGTCAAAGGAGGTGTGAGGGAGGAGGCGAAGACAGCCGGTGCAGGCCCAGCGGTCGGTCTTTGTGCAGCGATCGCGCATCGAGGCAAAATGGATCCACGAGGAGAAAGGAAGTTGGCTCAGGCCGCCCCCGTGCTCCTCTGTGCACTCGAGCTGCAACAGGCGCTGGACGATCTCATGGCGCCCCGGCTGGATGAGGCGGCGGAAGTAGGTGTCTGCCTGGCTGAGGGAGACGAGGGTGGCAGGGTCGAGGAAGCTGATGCTGAGGCACTGCAGCTCGACAGGCAGGGAGAGGATGTCAAAGGTGGGCTCAGCCATTGTCAACTGATGTGAGAGGATTACAGTCTACAAACAATTAGGATAGCAATTTGAAAAGAGGGCAGAGGTCCCTTGATATCTGCAACGGCGTCTCACTGTGGCCGCTTCGGGATGCGGAGAGAGCTGTTCGAATGCCTCTCACAGACCCACAGACTTTCCACTGTTCCCGAGCGCGTGATCACTCCCATTTTTACATCCGATTCCAAACTCTAAACGCCCCATTTAACCTCTCTGTGGAATGGCTGCCCGCGGCGGCATACCCTTTCCATAACATCCGAGCAGAGGGATTGCCCCTTTTGGCAGCCCCAGGGACTGGCTTCGTGGCATCTTACCCACCGATCAACAACGCCCTGAACCCCTATTTCTGTGCTATTCCGGTGCTATTCCTGTGCCTATTCCTGCGACTGTGCCTGTCGCCGATGTCGTGAGCGTCAACCATCGCAGCATCGGTAGGACGTTCTGTCGCAGGCGACTCATCACATGACCGTGATCGCCGCCGCGACGACGCAAATGTGGGCATTGTCATGACGCAGAGGATCGCAGAACTAGGATATTCTATTTCATCCCGATGCTATTCAAATCATGATTCTTCAATGGCCGCCCATGGTCAAGTCAATTGCGCCATCCTCAATCTCACAATCGCATCTTGCCAGCAGCCCTCCACACCACAGCCCACCACACCTCGCTTGCCTCCTTGCCACCTTCTGGACCAGGAACCTGCATGCTGACAACGGGCAGCTCCCCACCACTTCTGCATGCTATTAGCCGTCACTGGATGACACCACCTCAATCTGTAGCTGCGGGGATGGTGAAAGAAGCTTCCGATGGTGGTTGGGCGGTCCACAGCGCCTGCATCCCCTAGCCCCGCCCCCTAGCTCCAGGCCCCAGGGGACCACTGCACGTCTAAGCGACTGCTCCAGAGCCTAGAACCGCTGTAAATTGGGGCCGCCGGAACCACCGGCGCCAGCAAAGGACATGCTGATTGCGGATAACAGATAACATGAATGAGCCGGTCTACATCTTGGACCAGGCGATGCATCACCGATTGATCATCTGATAAGTCGTATCATATATCAACGTCATAGCTTCAAGAGCTCGCACAGCACAGACGTACCTAGCATTGGCAGGCGTCCGAAGATGTGTAATTATCAAGCTACATCCTGGACTACACGATCTTGACACTATAAATCGATGTTGGGTCCATCGGATCCAGGATATGATCATGGTGCGCCAGGCCGATCCTCTCAAATATCGGCTCTCCATCCTCCTCATCCACCACTCGAAGACAAAGGGAAATGTCATGGTCCCGGCCCCTACTTGAAACCGCCTTGCCAAGCCGCAAACAGTAGACCTGCGCTCCTGGGGCGAGCTTCGGCTCGCACAACTCGGGATTCACATCCAGCCGGACAAGTGGCGGGAGTCTGTACGGCTCGCCGCGGATATAGACCTCTGCGCCCCGGGGGTGAAGCACATTGTTCTTGTCGGGGATCGAGAGCGTGGGCTTCTGTATGACCCCGGCCGCCATCGGGCCTTGCACCCTGATGAAGCCATCGCGCAGCTCGCCGTTCGGATCCAAACCAAACGGTTTGACCTTGGCCTCGATGAGCTTTGCGTAGGTGTGGCGGGGATCCAGGTCTATCCAGTCCGCCCATGAGGGGAAGCACTCTGTGACGGAAGCCCAGGACCACGTTGGCGCTCTCCATCGCTTCTGCCGCGTCCTTGGGATCCCCTCGTTGATCCATACTAGATCATTCAGGTTGTTGCTCTTCAGGTCGAGCCACAGACCTGCGCAGTACCGCGCGCCCGGTTTGAGAAGCTGGACCTTGGTTGCCAGGCCGGCCAGTGCGGGGAAGATGTCCTTTGGGAACGTCAATGAGAGCTGAGAATAGGCTCTCACGCAGAGATGCCAAGGATCGGCGTCCCGCTTATCGCGAGGGTTGACATTATCAGGAAGCTTAGGTTGGAGTCTCAGCTGATTCCTATTAACGACATCCATCGGGGTGTGTCCAGCCGAGGGCGACGACAAGTGTTTGAGATGAGATGATTGGCATTGGCAGGTGGCTACGGTCTGGCACTCCCAGACCAATTCGTGCTCGGTGAAGTGAACGACTCTGCGTGAGAGGTACCGCTCTTGGTAGAACCATGCTCTCTTCAGCAGCGGAGCTTGCTTCGGCGTATGTTTCTCCTCCCAGAATGAAAAGTGCGGATATGACCGGTAGACACTGACGGAATACGGGCTTTGTTGTGATGTTCCGGGCCAATCCACTGTATGTACCGCGTGCCGATCGGGCACAGGGATAAAACACCCTCGAGTTGCATTTTGGGCTGACGAGGCGGCGATTGTCAACGTAGAATTCTCGTAAATGGAGGCCATTTGAGCCGACTGGGTTTGCCAGTCCTCATCGTCATCCTGGATAATGCATAGAGAGTCTATCCAGAGAAAACGAATCCCCAGCCTACGACAAGTAATTGCCGCATCCTGAAATGTCTTTGGGAGGTCTTGGAACGGGATATTATCCCTGTGGGCGTCAAAAGTGCTCCTCGTCGTCTTGAGCGGCTGGTAGCCCCCCCAGCAGTGGCTCAACGTCGCATAGCGCCCCGATTCATTCTGGCCATTGCATAACTTCACATCGGCATGCTCGTCATCGGTCTCTCCAAGATCCAGAATACGGGTGGGCAGCGAAACGGTGGATGAGACCAAGCAAAATTCGTGATCTTTGTCACAGGTGCTGATCCAGTCGCGCAGTTGCTGGAAAGTCTCGGGGCAATCTGTATTTGGGCGCACCTTGGGATGATACAGAGCTGGTAGCCACTGACAAAGTTGATCTAGTGGAAACAAGTCAAAAAGTGTCCATTCACACATAGGACTCAATAGACAGAGAGAGCTGAGCTGTACCGGCGTCGCGAAAGAACTGAAGATCCACCGGCCGAACACTCATTTCACCCTTCCGCAGCTTTCGTTGGATACTACATGTTATTCCGCTGTCAGTCTGATGTATGAATGCTGCTTCTGCTCTCCCCTCAAACTCTGGCCGGTAGAACTGGATGCCTTTGTAAATCACGGTGCACTTTTCACAGCCGCGCTGCACCTCGGCTTCCAAGGCGTCAAAGGTGGTCCGCTCTCCAAAATCCAGAGAGTCGCTGTCTGCTTTGCCGATATGCGGCCTTCTGTCCCAGTTCAAGGCACAGGAAGTAGGAGATTCCTCCGCACCTTGGAGAGGTCTGATAGGAAGCTGCGAGGGGGTGGTCGTGGGCTTCATGCTTGGAGTTGAGAGATGAGTGGATTAAGATGAGAAGCTTCTCTCCATTGCGGATTTGTCCAATGGCCTCCCTAATAATAAGTAAGGTAGTATTAGCTTCTGAACGAGGAATACGACTTTCAGAAGCCAAGAAGCACCGCCTCTCAATTTCCATATGAAGTTAGCCTAGTCACCTTTGGGTAGGTATCGCAAGTTCGGCGTATATCGCTTTTTCGGCGCTTGAACAACTTAGCAAGTTCATGAGGCTCAATTTGAGCAATCACTCATGCTGATGGGTAGAGGATACTATGTGAAAGTTAAGAAGATTGGCCTTTGCAGTGAATCTCGTGAGTTTCCCACACATGCTTCTCTCCGCCTTTGCCTCGGTCACGGAATTCGTGTATGCTCCGCCTCAACAAGTTCCACTAGGACGAAGCCCACAGCCACACGCACCATAACCAAGAACAGTGGGAAACTCGGTCCGAGCCTTGAGCAGTACTCGTCATGACCGTGGCGAAAAACATTCAAACTCAGGAGCCCAGTAGATATTCCCCTAAGCCAGTGGCGGAAAGGCCTCGTCGTTATTCTTTTTATACAATCTAGGGTTTAGTATATACTTAAAACAAAGCTTAAACTAGATCAACGAAAAATATAGAGAAATCCTAATGGCTCTGAATCAAAATGATGCAACTGCCAACGTCCGCCCTTCTGCCAGACATATCTTCTCCCGGCCAACAGTATTCCGTAACCAGGAGGACCTCATGGTGAGATGACCTGCTCAAACCATCTACCCCCACCACGACCACCGGAACCCAGACTTCTCCTCCCAGGGAATACTATCCCACCTCGTGCTCTGCAGGCACTCGGAGGACTGCTGGACCGGGTACGCCCGCTCCACCTCGAACTCCATCTCCCCCAGGTTCTGCCGCAGCCGGGCCGTCCTGCGCACCTTCTTCTCGAACTGGTAGATGTTCCAGGCGCCCAGCGGCCACGTGAACCACGGCGAGAGGGCCAAGATCTCCAGGATGGCGGGACGCGGCTCGCCCTTTGCGTTCCGCAAGCGGAAGGGGGACCAGCTGCGGAAGTAGGGCAGCTTGTACAGCGAGAGGTAGAAAATTCGACCCAGCAGCGCTCTACAAAAGAGGAAGAAAAAGGGGGACCATATTGTCAGACCCGCGTTGCTTAATGTAACGTAAAGGGGGGAATGCATGCATGCATATGCACGCTGCACAGAACTTACAAAACGGGACCGAGAAACCACTTCATCCACCTCTTGTCATCGAGCTTCTTCTCCAGCTGCGCCGTCAGCGATGTGAGCAGGCGGATGTGCCTTAGCAGCGCGGCCTGGGACATTTCAAGCTTCGAGGTGTGCGGGTTGCCCGGGTCGCCTAAATCCAGGTCAGTCAGCAGCCGGGAACTCTAAACGGGCGGGAGTTTCACCCGACGGAACGGACGGGATGGAAACTCACTTGGCGGCGGGCGGATGTGCGCGGAGCTCGCCTGGAGCTCGCGGTAGCTCTCGAGGCGCGTCAGGATAGCGGCCCTGAGGTCGTGAGCTGCCATTCCGGGCATCAGATTCGGGACCGGGTCCTCGAGGGCCGAGGTCGGGCGGAACTCTGCCATGGCGAAAATGAGATGCTAATTGAGTCGGGTGCTGCGCAATGGATGTTGTAGCTGGGGGGGCTCGTCGCTCCCACCCGTTTGCTGCTCTGTTGTCTCGTCTCAGCCAGAGTTTGGAAGAAATTAATGTGAGGCTGGGCGCGAGCGGTGAGTCCTGTGGCTGGTGCTCGAGGGTCCGTGCGAGTACTTGTTGTCGCACCATACGAGAGCTAGAAACCGGGTACCAGAAAGTTCCGCACCAGCCTCCACAGCCACATGGGCCCATAAGTAAACATCGGTGAGTCGCGATTTTGAACTACCCTATATTCAGGTTGCAAACAATATCGACGGGAAGAGTTTCCCCGTGAGGAGAGCAGCGAAAGGTAGACGATGTCTCAATAAATTAAATTCAAGTCTAAAAAGCTCTTTGGATTTAGTCGTGCCGTTCTAGAAGGACCGTGGTGAATATTTGAGTCCCTTCGAAACTCATTTAACACAATACTGGATACTTTTGAAAAGAATTAACGAAATCTGTTTTAGGGGGAATATCTTTCATTTTAGGGGAAGAGCGAGAGCGACCTGGCAACTAATTATTCTTCAAGGCAATTGAAGCTTTCTCTTGGACAGCAGTATCAAATATAGACCAGGTGGTTGGTATTACTTCTATACACAGACTTGCCTTGCAGCGAGGATTATGACCAATATGATAGCCTTCGGATTCATCGGGTTCAGCATAATCTTGTCTGTCCTTGTGTTAATGGTTACTACTAAAATATAGGTTTAATGCTGGGCAAGGCGTTCCCGTGTGAGCAGGCCAAAGCGGTGTCGGTGTTGCTAGTTGGCGGAATAGTATGCGTGGTCTTCCCAAAAATTGGCGACAGCCGAGTTGTAGGAACTCGAAAGGGAGGGATTGGATCTCAGATACATCAGCACAGGCCCATGCATCTGAGGAGAATACTCAGGGATTTGTATCTAGATGGATGAGCGGATGCCGTAAATACATTTGCTGGTATTAGCATACACTTTGCTGTGAAATCAGCCCCTAGCGTATGTACAGATCAGGGCCGCCCGCTTGGCGTCGAATCTTCCGGTCAAGAATGACAACAAGAAGGGAAATGATCACTTGATCTCATTATGAAACAGGGTGTTAAAAATAAGGAGTATCTGGATCTCGGCCAGTCAGAGCCAACGCCATTTTCGACAAATACAGTCGTTGCTCCTCACGGGTCCGTGGCAAGTTTCCCCAATATTTATCCAGATACCGAACCAAATCAAGCACATATTCTTTCTCCTTCGGATTGGCGATTTCGTAGGTCGCGAAAATAGGTGCTGTTGGGAACGGTCCGATCATGGGATCCAGAGATTGAAGATACGGCCCGCACTTCCAAACCTCCAAGGCAGCTTCTCGGAGCCTAGTGTGTAGCGTTTTGCTTGCCTCGCCATGCAGAATGGTATGAGTCTCTTGCATGACTGTTAGAGCTACCAGTTGGGTAAACAGCTGGACCATGTATAACAAGCATAACAAAGGCCATGAGAAGTGGTATCTCGTCTCAAGAAAGTGGTCGTCGTCCATGGGCAGTATCACCATGTGACCTTGTTTGAGACCGTTTTGAGCCAACCTGGTAGACAGCTGCGTCATGGTCCTCTCCATCTCACTGAGATCTTTATTCCAATATGTGAATTTCAACTTGTTCTTGGAGTCCGGCTCTCTCAGCCAGGCCTGGAACTGGGACACTCGTGCATTCAGATGGATGCAGCATCCAGAGAGCGCCGCCAGATCCTCAAGTGCCAAGGGCTGCATTAGTGAAGCCTTTTCTTGCGCTTTGGCAACTCTGGCAAAGGCTTCCTCCCACGGCGCCACCTCCTGAGACTCATCATTTTCTTTCACTGTCCAACCAAACATCTATAACAACGATCTGGCGTTAGCATTATTGAGGTTTTCTTGGAGGGACACACAGGTTTCTGCTTACTGCCTGCTGGTGAAGGTCACGACAGAGGGCAACATCTAGCTCGTCGTTGGCATCTATTCTACCCATAGAGCCTCGCTGGCGCATAATTTGCAATGCGGCCTTGAAATGGATATTCCCTGTTCTGCCCCATCGGTCAAGTAAGCTCGAGGAACGCTCTATTATGGCCACGGCAGCCAGTGTCTCCGCCTTAAGGGCCTCGCCGCCGACCAACGCCATTCTCAGACTCTTCAAAGCCTTGCCGTATTGCGGAAATGCAAGGACGGCCCCCTGTGGATATGGATTCTGGAAGTCTACCAAAGCTCGGCAGAAGAAGTCCACCGAGTCTCGCAGGCAGGTACTCTCTGCCAGCCGCTTCGGCAGGTGTGTGGCAAAACTCAAGTTGAGACACCCAATCTTCTTCAGCCCGGTCTCCAGATGCGCGACCAGGCGCGATACAGAGCGATCCCCCTCCGTTGGTGAGATGGGTCGGGGAATTACTACCACGCCTTGCTCACCGCCAGCATCGGCAACACCGCGAGCTCCGCGGCGCTGCAGGCTGCGCCAGACACTTGCGGCGCCGTGCTCATTTGAGGTAGTGACCCGGGTCTTCTTCTTCCCCGGCGCCTCAAAGCTCAGGAACTTGAGCAGCTGCGTCGGGCCGGGGCACAGCAGCTTGGATTTTCTGCAGTTGGCGCAGGCCGGCCATGTTTCGTCGCACTTCGGCTGAGTCAACACCTGGCCTCACCTCACCACACGGTCGGGTACGGCACATTGGCTGGACGGGACTAACCTTGATTTTCCGGAGCTTACAGGTCTGGCACCCCTGTGTCTTGGGAACGCCCGGCATCGCTGGACGGGTGAGAGGTTCGCGGAGAAGATGGCTCTGCTGCGCTTGGTTGGGTGGTTCGATAATAAGCTCGGGAGCGTTGGAGACGGCGAATTCCTGAAGGGGAATCGTGTTTTGTAAACTGCTTGGCACAATATCAGCACAGCCCACAGCTGGTGGTTGTATAATAGAGCGCTAATGTAACCCTTCGGCTGGGATTATCTGCTTCCTCCAACGGCAGTGTCTGCAACAGGGCTTCCCCTGCATTTTCCACCCCTACTCAGACGGGTCAGGCCCCAGACTGGCCAGTGTTCTGTCGTCTGACTGCTACGCTTATCCCTTTGAAGTTTGGCGGTCATGTCATCCATCAGGGTCAAGCTTCGTCACGATTCATCCTTCACTGGTAAATCTTGGCTGAGAAATGTTGTTGGAGGAAGTTATGCCTGATTTTGTACATTTGTTGGATTTGGCCCCCACAACGAGACCCCGTGTTCAATAATCAATTCAATCCCTCCCTTTCGAGTTCCTACAGCTCGGTTTTCGCCATTTACGGGGACTCATTCATGGTGTTTATGCTCTCGAGGTTCTTCCCGCTAGCCCGGGACAGAATTTTCCCAAAGGAAGCAAAGAAAGCAAGGAAGTGATTGTGAGACTTAAATTGGCTGCACAAGCCATCCACTTTCTCTAATACAATTACCAATAACAGTAACCAAGCAAATCCTTTTTTTGCAACAGAGCACAAAGTCCATACCTTAAAACAAACCTAATCAGGCATTGAAAGGCAAATTCAAGTCGCTAAATCAAGAGGCGATAGCGGCATCACCAGAGTGCTAGATACAGAAGACGGCAAGCAGGATAAGAGTGTATTGAGCGTGAAAACCGATCAACATTTCTGAATACACGTCGACTATGTTTCTGACACTGCCATCGTGCAGCTCCTACCGCAAGCCTCGTAGGATAGCCATAATGCTCGCATTGAGCTATATCTATCCCATTCTCGTCCTAAAACGCGCAGAACTCCCAGCATTGATAGGAATACTCGCATCCCGGAGTCCGAGATCTCCTTGCTTGTCGTGTAGGAAAAGAACTAGGAGATTTTGTGCACATTGTTGGCCCTATACACTTTACTGACGGCGTTGTCCGGCACGGCTCGCTTGATCACTGGAGCCATCAAAGACAACTTGAAAGTGGCCGGAGTGTCATGTAATTTATCGTGGATATGGCACCCTAGAAGAATTTAAACACTATACGGAGAGAGAAAAAGTATAAAAGTATACATATTGCTCGGTGGATGTGGCTATTTAGTCGGCCCCTCTCCCATCTTCCAATATGAAAGCTCCAACCAGGACATGAAACTAAGTAACTAGAATATTTGAATTTACCTATATTAACTCTCCTTCGAGTACTACTCATATGCATTGCATTAATAAGCATTTACTTCGAGGGACTGGACACCGTTGGAGCCGTGGAAACCTAACACGGCCAGTAACCTGCATTCGCTCTCCTCGGACAAGATCCTCCTGCTCTTCAATCGATGAATCAATGATCGAAACTGCGCAGGACAAATAAACCTAACTAAAAGAAAGAAGCCAATTCTAGATAGGAAGTAGCGGTTGCATTGGTTGCACTGTCACATTTGGGCAATAGGTCAAGACTCTTCGTAACTTGGCAATACGGGCTGCAGAGAGGCCCTTCACTGAATATAAAACAAACTCATCGAGGTAGGCCTAGCTGATATCGCCGTCACCAACCTCTTCTGCGTATTGCTTAATACTTCTAAAGTCTGCTGACGAAATTTGGCAGCCTCATCGAACGCCCCAGACTCGTCCAATGCCGAGGCGAGAACATACAGGGACCTTGCTGCAGCTCCTTCACAAGCCTCGTAATTTTTTATTTATTTATTTATTTATTTATTTATTATTATTATTTTATTTTTTTTTGAAATTCTCAAGGACCTCGACTTCCTGGAGAAAAATGAGTATATTTAGGCCAAGAACAGATGGCTAGCGGGCAAAAAGTAACGTAATCGAGCAATCGCAACGATTGCTTACATTACGTGACCTAGATCATCGCGAGACCTCACCAAGGATTCAATCTTATGGGAGGTAAACACTAACAGTGAGTGTGTAGAGAATCTTTGTTAGGCAATTCAGAGGCATCCATCGAGTATAAGTCGTCCTCGTCTCTTTCATCGATAGCAACGTGTTTTATGTTCTCAAGTGGGCGCTGATATCAGTGTTAATAAACCGAGATTGAAGGAAGAAGGCATGTAGAGAGTAAACAACCCGCCTAGAAATGCTGAGGCTCCCATCACCACGTGCAGAACGGGTTCAACCAAGTGCCTGTTCACACCATGGTGGAGATTCGATAGTTTGCAGTTCACCTGCGAGATGTCGGCTGGGTTCTCAGTCCATACATTGCGAATGCTCATATTCTCGAACGTGTTAATGAGAAGGCTAAACGTTCCAATTGCAGGGCCCGGCACTCTAGCGATTGGATTCGTAAGGGCGATGTTGCTATCTATGATGGCTATTATTTCAAGGTCCCAACTTTCGACCGTTTCATCTTCTACCAGCTTCATTCGGTGGCCATCAGCCCTCCCGAAGCAACATCGACTGTGATTGCCAATTTTCTATTCAAACTCAATCATTCTCAAGATGTGATGGATATCTGCTTTCGGGTGACAGATATACTCAACTCTGTATCCGGGCGATTTCCTGCCTTGACCTTTCGGTTTAGAATTTTGGAGCAATGTGTTACTACACTTTCGCGCCTTGGGAGTTTCTACGGTCAAGCAGGTACTTAACTTGATTGAATAAGTGAATCAATGTAAACGGCTTTTCCCTCCCTAACAAAAAGTAAGATTTAGAGCACTAATTATGTGTGGAGTAGCGTAATGATTTACTATTTCATGAAGTTTGGGGCGAGATCCTCGGCTTAATGGAGGAAGCATGGCTACATTTACTCGAAAAGGTACTCAATAAGAACATGTATTAATTATTTAGAAAGGAACACCCCATGGCTAAATTTAATGTGCGAGCTGGGAGACGGAGCCACCGCGAGAATACGAATACCGCCATCTATTCGCCACTCCTTCAGAATGACGAACTCATCTTTTTCATGCCCAATCACACGATCAAGAAGATAAATGGCTGGAGGTACAATGTTTATTATTCTTTATGTACACTAATGTGAATCTCCTCTCAATTTTAATGCCACTTCATTTATGTGACGAGTGGAACTTGCTTCGACATCCCCCTTCCCAGGATACATGTGTCTCTAGATTCCCAAGATCCGGCTAGAAGTTTCCTTTAGCTGGCATTAAGCTTAGCCCGAATGCCAGGTTCAAGAGATCACAGGATATATCTGAATCCAGCAGCAACCTGAGCCGCGGTAGGCCCATGCTTGCCACCATCCTCACCACGGTCGAGCTTCACGTTCTCGCGACGGAGGTAAATCCGAGCGGCGAAAGCGAACACAATCGCGAGACCGGTCGCAGCAACGTTGACGATGAAAGCTGTGCTGTAACGCGGGGCCCCGTAGTAGAGGTAGCTGCACCAGATGTTGGGGGTGTTGCACAGAGCGTTGATGAAGGCGATGGCGCTGGCTCGCTTCGCGGTTGGCTGGGACAGGGAGCCGGTTATCCAGGACAGAGTTACGATGGCGGAGGAGTAAAACGAGGCGGGGAGCAGCATCATCGCGACGTATCTTGCGGCAATGTTGAGAGAAGAGACGGCAATTATGTTTGCGACTAGGGTGATGAGGAGGGCTCCGATGATGTGGTAGCCTCGTTCACGGGTGCGGTCAGAGTGGAAACCGTTGACAAGCATGCAGATAACGCAGAGGAGGAATGGAGGTGCGGTGAGAAGATAGGTCATGTTTCGGCTGTATCCCAGGCCACCGACAACGCTGGGGAAGAAGTTGGAAACCGCGCCGACGATATAAGTCTGGAATGAAGGTGATTAGCGGCGAGTTGCGATCTCGGAAGGCTACAAAAACACTTACGCAGTAAAGCACGCCTGTGAAGAGCCAAGTCTTGGGATCTTTGACAGCCATCTTCAGTCCCTGCATAGCAGTAATCTCCTGGGAGGCGTCGTCTGACTGGCCCAGGTCTTGGGCATAGTTCCACTGAATCCAGTCGCACTCCAACTTGGAAAGACCCAAAATCTTCTTGTTCGAATTAGGCAGAATGAATGCGAAGACGATAGCGAGACCAACGGTAATGACTCCTTCGACGAGGAAAAGCTGTTGAGAGTTAGCTGGGTGTCTAAGAGCTTGTCGGAGGATATACATACCCAGCGCCAACCAGCAAGACCGTGGACTTTATCAAGATTAAGAATGGCGATAGCGAACAGACCACCAAAAGCGTTCCCCAACTGAGATCCACTGTAAAGAATAGCAGTTCGGAGAGCGAACTGCTTGCGGTTGTAGAACAGGGAGAGGAAGTACAGGGCACCAGGGAAAAAGACAGCCTCGATTGCGCCAAGGAAGATACGGGCGACTACGAGTCCCGCAAAGTTGTGCACAGAGGCCATAATGGCGGAGATGGCTCCCCAAAGAGCCATACTGATGCAGATATAGAGACCAGGCCACTTAATTCGACTCGCGATCATGTTGGAGGGGACTTGGAACAGGACTGCGCATCAACTGTTAGCTTGGAACAAGGGGCATTTGGGGCAAAGAGCGATTGTCCGCCTGGCACAACTTACTATAGCTGCAGAACAGGATACTGACAGAAGTCTGATATTCGACAGCAGACAATCCCAGATCGGTGTCGATGCCTGCGAGCTTCGCGCTGGCAATGTTCTGGCGATCGAGATAGTTCAGGATATACATGATGACCAAGACGGGCATGACGACAATGTCCATCTTGAGCGTTGCCCGCTTGCCGAGCTTCTCGCGCTCATCTTCGGAGAGGGCAGCAATGTCTTCAGGCATACGCGTTGACTCGTCCACGGCCTGGGCCTTGAGGTCGTGAACAACCTCGGCCTCCTCGGCGTGCGGGTCGTGTTTTTCGCTCATGTTGGGTTCCGGGTACGGGAACAGCAAGGGAGTAAAAGCGCAGAAGTAATGAGTTTGCAAGACTCGCAAGGATAGTGTTTGTGGTTGAGCCTGAGACTGCTGGCGAGGAGGTGCTGAGACAAGGGAGAGGAAAGAAGGCTGGGAGGAGGTCTTAAATGCTGTGGTGCAAGTTTGATTAAGCCTGCTCGAGTCTCTCGGGAATACTCCGTGGAACTGACACAGAACATGGTTTGGCGCTACGGTGCAGAGCTTTTGTTGGCTAACGATGTTGGTCTGGGTCTGGGGAAGGGCAAACAGGGGCTTCCTTGGGTCCGTTACCCCAGGTCCAGTCGCCACAGCAGCAAACACGACCCCCACGCTCAACGAACCCCGTATCGTCTCCCCGCAAGTACCAGCTCTCGACGGTTCTGCGGGGAATCTCGAGGGCGTGGGGGTTCGCTTGACCGAGTCATCGCGGAGCCTACGCACACAAGGGGACACTAGGATGTCACCAGACTCTGTCAATGCAGTGGGTATGTCTGGACGCCTCCATGAACCAAGCAAGCCAGCATAGACAAGCGCTGACGAGTGGGGATACTACAACGCCCGCATAGGAGAAGCTATGAGCGATTAGTGCCCAAGTCCACTAGCAACCCTTGACATGCCTCGGATCAGGGCTGGCCAATCGAAGAGAGGCCTGCTACGGGCAAGTGGTATCCAGGCTTGCCAGGGAATGTGGCCAACATTTGGAGGCGTGGGGTAGGGGGAAATGAAGGATCGCTGCTCTCCGAACCCGGCGGTCAGGTAACCTTCACTGCTACTTGAAGCGCATTTATTAGGAGCCATAGTTGCCCAAGACTCTGGACTGTTAGAAAATCAGTGGCAGTTGTTCGCCTGATCTAACAATTGACATACCTGATTCTGTTTTACTCATTTCTCCCTCATTCTCCAATATGGGCTCTACTTCCAAGAAGGACCAGAAAGGGAGTGAGCTGGCATCATATCCCTCCTTGAACAACATTGTCAGTGTCGCAGATTTTGAGAAGGTAGCCGAGAGGTACCTATCGCCTGCGTCATGGGCATACTACTCATCTGGAGCGGATGATGAACTCTGCATCGATGACGCTCGACGCTTGTTCAGTAAGATTGCAGTACGGCCACGCATTCTCCGCGCTGTAGAGCCAATCTCTACAGCGACAAATATTCTTGGCTATCCCTCTTCATTACCCATCTATATTAGCTCCACGGGAATTGGGAAATACGCCCACCCTGACGCCGAGAAGATCATCTCCTCCGTCACGGGGCAGGAGGGGCTGCCATATCTCATGCCCACCGGTTCTCCCCACGAGGACATCTTCAAGGCGCGGTCTCGACCAGATCAGAAAATATTCCTGCAGCTCTACGCCAACCGCGACAAGAAGAAAGCGACAGACCTGATCCACAAAGCTGAGCGTCTTGGGGCTGCTGCGGTGTTCATGACCGTCGACACCCCGGTCCTCAGCAAACGTGAACGGGACGACCGAGTCCAGGCCGCAGCCGGTGTAGATACTGTTTCCCCAACAGGTGGGGGAGTGGCCAAGGTCTCATCAATGGGCCTGCTGAACCCACTCTTGACCTGGGACGACCTCAAGTGGCTTCGACAGACCACTAAGCTCCCAGTAGTGCTCAAAGGCATCCAGACTGTGGAGGATGCAGTGCTGGCACACGCTCACGGGGCCAGTGGCATTGTCCTCTCTAACCACGGCGGACGTTCCCTGGATACGGCGCAGTCACCGATCCTGACATTGCTCGAAATCCGCAGGTATGCGCCTCATCTGCTGGAGAAGCCGATCCGTGATAAGTTCCAGGTCTTCCTGGACGGCGGCTTCCGGCGAGGAACAGACGTGATCAAGGCCATCGCGCTGGGCGCCTCGGCCGTGGGGGTCGGGCGGCCTGTGCTGTACTCCATGTGTGCGGATTACGGCGAGGGGGGGCTGAAGCGCCTGATCCAGATCTTACGGACAGAGGTGACCACCAATATGGCACTGGCCGGGGCAAAGAGCGTGGAAGAGCTAGTCCCCGAGCTAGTGAATACAGAAAGAGCAGAGCGTGAGGTGTCTCGCCGTGTGAAGCTGTAACTACCGGCGGGTGTTCTGTTGCACCATGGAGACTTATTAGACGGGCTGATCTTAGTTTATTCCTCAAATTCAAGTATCACATCTAATACTTTTAGAATGACATGAGTGATTTCGTCGATTGGCCTGACTATTACAAGTCCATGTCCTTTGTAAATGGATAGCCTGGAATACTTCATGCTTGAATCTCCCCACCATCAAGGGTTTGGCGATATTCTCACTTCTTAACGTGGTGCTCGCTTAGTGTAATAGTAATCGGTCTCGACCGTAGACTGATTCAGTTGTACGTAAAGAATCATTCTCACTTATATGGTTGATATTTGTTTTAAGGCATTTTTAATTCTGCTCGCAGGTTATATTTCAACCCTGTGGCTCTCAAATGGAGGTGGCTCTCTATGCCTCAAAGCCGTAAAGATGGCGTTTGAAGTGATTAACTTGACATAATGTGTTCTAATGATGAGTTGCTTTGGAAGAGCCTGCAGAGGATGAGGGGTAGGAGACCCTTGTCCCGTAATCATTACCCGGAATTAACAGTGCTGTTGGCCGTCTCGGGCTTTCTCTTCTCGGGCTGTGCCTCATGGGTCGTCGTTGGTGAAATGGGGGTGGGGAAGACGAGATGTGGAGATGTGGAGATTTTGGGGAGAGGTTGCATTGAGGTTTGCCATCCAATAGCAACTGGCTCGTGTTTTCATTGGGACTGGGGTTCGATTGTCTGACAGGTGAACTCGCTCCGTGACTTGTGAGAAAATCGCCGACGTTCCGGTGTGCATATGCAGGACAGCTGAGGAGGTGTGGCAGCTGCTGGCAGGACTCAAGAACTGCTTGGCGTGGGGGTCACAAACTTTCCTTCGATGAAGGTTTCGTGATCCAATTTTTTACGAGTCATGCTTGGCTAAACTAACCAGATGAAGCAGACCCCCGCAGCCAACAAGAAGAAGAACGGGTGCCGCAATCCGTTCTGCCAAGTAACCCAGCTCGAAGACTGCTGTGTGGAACATAAGTCAAGTCGATTACCGAACTTCCACTGCTCTCATTCTTCAGAACACAAAGCACAACATGGGATCATATCTGGAAAAGCTATTCTCTCTTCAAGGCTCCCTGGCCGTCGTTACAGGCGGCACCCGTGGCATCGGTCAGGCAATGGCCCTGTCCCTTGCTCGTGCGGGGTCCGACATTATTCTCGTTCAGCGCAACGAGAGCAACCTGGAGACCAAAGGACTCATTGAGGCTCTGGGTCGAAAGGCTCTTATATATACAGCCGATCTTGCAGACCAGGACAGCGTGTCTGCCCTGAGCAAGAAGATCCTCGCCGACGGCCATGATGTGGACATCTTGGTGACCTGCGCCGGAATCCAGAGAAGGCACCCTGCGCATGAGTTTCCTATGGAAGATTGGGACGAGGTACAGACTGAAATTCTGCAGTACATCTCTCTTCCCCTCGCTAATCAATATGCTACCCTCTTAGGTACTTCAAGTCAACCTCCGCACAGTCTGGACTCTCTGCCGTGACTTCGGCGCCTACATGCGCAAGCGCAAGCCAGACTCAACCGGCCGCCGTGGTGCAATCATCAATGTGGCTAGCTTGGTCTCGTTCCAGGGTGGACTGAACGTGCCGGCATACGCGTCGGCCAAGGGTGGTGTTGCCCAGCTAACCAAGTCCCTGAGCAACCAGTGGGCTGCTCATGGTATCAATGTTAATGCCATTGCGCCGGGATACATTGCTACGGATATGAACGAGGCTCTGATAAAGGATGAGAAGCGAGCTGCTAGCATTCTGGAGCGAATCCCGACAGGAAGATGGGGTTCACCGGAGGACTTCGAGGGCGCCACCGTCTTCTTGGCTGGTGCGGGTTGCCGTTATGTTAGTGGCGAGATTCTTACGGTTGACGGTGGCTGGATGGGACGGTAGAGATAGATCCCAATAAGAGAATTGTTCATTTTTGATCTAAAATTGGCGAATCTGAAGACTGCATGGAAGTTTCTGATACTCTGCATCGGTGGCACTGAAAGACGTGCAACACCTCCGTAGTCGGCCCTGAGAGATCACTGCCAAGCTGTTGCTGGGTGGTAGCTCAAGTGGTGCCTTACGTATACCCTGGAAACATCAGTCTCAGCCACCCATGATCATGGAGAGAAGGAAGTCCTCATGGAGCCAGTGGAGCCAATGTTAGTGTCAGAACAGTGTCATCAGTTATGACCGGCGTGGGGGTCACCTCAACCCTGAGACTCGTGACGGGGCACCCGGAACCATCCGCACTTGCACCTGCTCACATTAGAACGGGTTCATACCCAGCAACAAGGTGCAGATGTTCAGCGAGCCTATGATGGCAGCTGCCAAGGAGGATAATATCTCGATACCACGTGTGAAAGGAATCGGCTTCATCCGGCAGATACTAAAACGCTTATTGGGCAAGAGATCAGTACGGTCAGTCTTATCAAGGTCCTCTAATTCAACTATCAGCCGCCTGCACGAATGCAGAGGTCCCATGCTACAGCCTATTGGTTCTATGGCCAAATATTAACGATGCCAAGCGGACTAATTCGTGCTGATCAACTTCATAATCTCGGGTACAATGGATTAATAAGGGTATAAACTACGCTCTTCATGGGGTCCAAGAGTCTTGGTATTACAGGGAATAAAAAACAATCCAAGGCAAGACAGCCATTTCGGACTAACAAGAGGTTTCGTTGAGGAGTCAGATATCTTAATGATGAGTAAGGATCTTCAAAGTTTTCAAGAGAGAGCACTTTTGTGAACGAGACACATCACCGCGAGTGGACCTGCCCATACCTTCACGCTCCGTAGAGAGTTGGGTACCGAATTCTAGACCCATCGGTTTCATCTAGTCTTTGATTTCCCACCTGATCAGCTTTCCACATCGTCATCGTTGAATAACTCAGAAAGTAATGGTCGGTGGGAGAACATATCTTCATTTAGTGTCGATACCATTAGTCTGTCAATAGTTTAAATCCTTCATGCTACAAATTTAAGCACTATTAGATAACATCTGGCGATGTATCGAATCGGTGGAAGAAAATCTTGCTCGGAATTTGACCCCCACGAATCGCATCGTGTTGCTCATTTGGGGTAATCAAATGGCTTAAAGATCCCGAACTTAGCTTTTGGATACAAAAGATAATTTCCCCTCCTCTTTGTGACCCCCACGACTATGGGGAAGAAGATGAATAAATTCTCCACATACTGAACCCCCACGGACGTGACTTCTCTGAGTCAAGCAGGCGGGGAAATAAGTCTTACGCACTTTACATGTCGGGGGCGATTGTAACTAGAGGGCCGGGCGTGGCAGAGAGTGGTACGTATGTGGATCTTGAAGTTGAGGGGGAGACATGCTGTCCATGGTTCGTCCCGTCATAACGCTTACAACATCGCGTTCAAGGCTGGAACGCAGTGGACTCCCATTTCCGACCCATCAGCAAGTAGCCCCCTCTCTGAAAGGGTCTGCTCTGAAAACTCCTCACTAGGTGCCTGAGGAGAATGTAAGCAGTACAGCATGAAGGGGGAAATCGCCCTCTTCGTCCTTCTTTACTCAAGTAAACAGATTTCTCTTAATGGGTTAACGTTTATCTCTTCCAAAGGCCAGTTCCACGCTGTCGTAGAATGAACTCCCAGACTTGTAATATTCGAGTCTTCGTCCATCCCGGGTGGTTGGTTACTATATCGTTGGGAGCTCAAATCGCCTGCGAATGGAATCCTACTGTCAACACCATTGTTGTTGATATCGACAACTAAATATGACCTGGTATTCTAAGAGAGCGCATAAATTATGTTCCAAGATGAACGATCCCTGACTGTAAAAAGCGCCTTATCACCGCTTAACAATATCTCAGCGCTGCGGAGTTGGTTTCACTAGGAGTTAAGACATGATCGACCTTGTTGGTCAAATCGAGCTCAACCTTCTGATGCAAGAGTTCAAGGCTACAATGACCCGTAACCAATCACGTCTCCTCTCCAGTAGGCGACCATTGTTGAATTCATGTCGATGGCTTTATCTTCCTCGCTCTTAGCGGAGACTGTACTACTAGTGTACACCGCTGCCGCGTCTCATATGGCTACTATTTTGCAGACTTGGTAGGATTAGATCTCTTCCATGGTCCTATAATCCAGGGCCATTCCTTCCATCCCAGTCCATACGTAGACCAGACTTGCTCTAAATTAAGGCTGAGAATCGCTTAAAGGTGCCCACTTCGAACTGGCCTTGCACAATCGAACGCACGATGGGGACCAATGCGGAGACAAAGCATGGGGACGGTCAGATATTCGAAATTCCATGGCGTGGGGGTCACATTGTGGCGGCCAGGCTCGGAGCTAAAGGGGCACAACTCGCGTAGAGTCCGGCAACTCCCCTTTCTAAGGGCCCGCCGATTTCAACTAGGCAGGGAAAGGGAAGCCAACCGAACATTACCGGCCCCAGCCCGAGGTGTTCTGCTCTTAACCTGTGGTTGCCGTTCCTCAATCCTCAAGGCCCTCGCCAGCTTCAATTCACGACATATGTATTGTCGCGGCTTCAAAATAGACTTCAATTTACGCATTGACCTTGTTGGAAATATTACTGCAGATGTCCCTATGGAAGCCTCAAAGATAGGGACTGCTGTACCGATTTGATACATCCAAAAGCTGAGCCACGTGGATAGGAGCATGCTCGCGATTTGGCTTGTTCTTTCGAAGTCACATATTCAAGGGTAGTTTTACTGTTTATATAAACGGTTCCGGAACCTGATGTCTAGGTTGGTTTTGTAAAACCTTTCACTATACTTGTTGCTGGTTGTTCTTTTCAAAACTGGACACGAAACTGACATTGCTATCCCCAATTCCCTCATTTATCAGGTCAGTATTGGCGTTTCAGGGTTATTGACCATTAATTCAAGCCTCGGTGCGTTCAATGGAGACTGCCCTCGGCGTAAATTCAATCAACTTATTGGCTGTCGTAGGCAGCTCTCGACAGAGCTAACGTGTCTTGCTTGCTGCTCCTTCGAATGCGCTTCCCAGTCAACCTCTAAGATTGCCAAGCACGATAGATAAAGCGCAGACTCAGAAGACGCGTGCCTTCTGATTGGCCGTTATAATAAGGTGGTGTGTTGTACAAAAATTCTAATGAAGAATACTTCTGGCCACAGAGCTATGCTGATTCTCAACTTCAACTTCTCTGCCCTCTACAGTGACTTTGATCCTGACTCTCATACACTCACCGACGCTTGCAACATCTCAATACTGCTCGTGAAATGTATCCTTGTCAAAGTAATAGCGAGGCAGCCAGAATCTTAAACAATATGCTAACACAACACTTCACACCCTAGCAACTAAGTCTTGCCAGACTGCCAGCAAAGATTCAGATGCGCCATGAATGTCGGATTTTGCTTCCACTATTTGGTTACGTGTCTAATTGATCACTTGCTTGCATCAGATAGACGCAATGCTTAGCTGGCTATAAGATGCAAATAAGGTGTTTATACAACTACTTCAGACAGACAATCAAACAGCTGCGGTGGAACACTGTCTGAAGTCAAACAAAAACGGGGTTTGAATATTTTAATTTTCAGATGAATCCTCCTCCTCTTTACTATGCCTTACGACACAAAGGAAACAAGGATGTTTTGGGGCGGTTGACGAGGCCAGGAGAACAGAATCACAGAACAAAATCAAAGGACAGACCCATGCCATTGCTCTGCCATTTCCTTGCCCGCATACTGTTACGATACGACCAAATCAAGATGAGTAACACACAAGCTGTCTCATTATCCGCTGAACCTTCTTTTTGTGTTCTTTGGTTTTTGGACTTTGTGAAATGGGTCACGTCAGGGGCATGCTAACTTCGAAGACCGTCCATTAATCACAATCCGTCCCATCGACAGCAGCAAACTTCTCCTGATCAGCTCCCATACTTTTCGAAAATTGGCTACTTCTGATCGATATGTTGTCACAAGCGGGTGGGTCTCAGTAGACATTCAAGCAACGTTCGTGCGCTTTATTGCATGGGAGTTAACAACAGCTCGTGGAGGAAATATCGATCACAGAGAGTGCCATCCGTATCGCCTAATCTTGCGCTACTGGGCGGTGTACTTCTAATTCTTTAATTGGTACCATTTATTAAATGACGGGTGCGTGGATTTCACGCATTGATATTGTGATAAAGCTGCCATTAGAAATGGAGCGTGTCTAGTATGTAGACTGCTCTAAATAGGAAGGAAGTCCTCTTTCGGCATATATTCACTGTTTGGATCCTATTCGTCAATTTGAGCCAACCCAGCCCCTGCGATTGAGACATCACCCCATCATGATCAACTATCAAACACAACCCAGACAGTACCTGGGAAAGACGGAGATAACTTCTGGCAAGGCTCTATGCCCGTTGTATCCAGGGGTTGCGAGGATGCTCGGTTTAGGGCGTCAAAAAGCCTCCATCAGCCAATTAGCACCGCATAAGACAGATACAACAACTAATGAGAAGATGGCCTATTCCTTTTGGGTAGATGAAGATGCAATGCGGAACAGTTGAAGAACATGCCGTATCTCGCTGCATCAAACGGCGATGAGAAAGAACTGGATCGTCGGCCCGTCTAGCCAGAACATTGTCAATTCGGCGGTTGAACCACGGCGTGCTTCTATTTTAGTATTCAGGTTGCAGCAATGGGATCAGTTCCGGATACCCGCGATCTGAGGCCCCGCAAAATAAAGCAGGTGACGTGCGGTATAAGATCCAGCCAACACATTTCTCCGCCTCTCATTCTGATTTCTCCGGTGTTTCTCGCGGATGATACGGGTTCGGTAATGGTGAGAGCGGGAATTCGTCCCGGAAAGCAGCCCAATTAGAGCCTCTTCGTACCGGACCTGCCAACTGACGAAGCCTATAAATGTTGAGCTATCCCCCGCGAAGGAATGAATCTCTATCCCTCAAAACGCCACGATCGGAGCACTGCCAGGCAGCCACTATCGTATATTATTATTCTTCGCGTTCCTACAGTTTCTTATTATGATGGCAACAGACTATACTAGATTCCAATGGCGTGACACTGGATATGGGGAATGGGTTCGAGAGCTTGATGAAGCAGAGCTGTCTTATACATCACTCCAACGGAACTGGCGAGGCAGTGGGCGTTCTTTCTTTCATATGACCGGCCATCTTACACTTGAAGTTCCTGTGGACAACGATGTAGATCTTCCTACGATCGAAAAACGTGTCGACTCAGCACTAGCTAAGGCATGGTTGACATTACGTTACCACCACCCTACGATCGCTTCTCAAGCAAAATTCGATCCTATAACGCGGAAATACATAAAGGCTTATCCCCGAAACTCAGTTGGTTGGCTTGAGAAGACTTTCGTTGTCCTCTCGACAGGTCATACTGGCGTGGAATGGGCAAACCATGATCCTCCCGCCCCAGTACTGCCTACTCTATACGCGTTGGCTGTCCCATCGACTGAAGACAAGCGGGTTGTCCGCCGCGATCTTGTCTTTCGATCTCCCCACGACATTATCGACGGCATTGGCACCTTGCTACTCTTTGACAACTACGTGCGCCATGCCTCTGAAGCTTTCACGCAGGGGGATTCTTATCACCCTCCAGCTCTCGACGACCCCAAAGTGGTCCAAAACCTAAGTCCGCCATTCCGTGTCGCGGCCGCGATTCCGCCGGAGCCATCAGAGGCGGCCATGCATCGCTTGGCTAGTTTGGATGTAGCCGATGCGGAAGACAAAACGAGGAATGCAGAACTTGCTACCTTGCCTTATAAAAAGGGAGCACTCGTCCCAGGCATTCACAGGCGTGTGGAGATAACATTATCACCGGAGGAAACGGCGAGGTTGACAGGCGCCTGTAGGGACGTTGGGTCAACCGTCACACACGTCTTCCATGCTGCGATTGCACTCGTTCTTCGTAATCTACAGGCGGTACATGACAAGCCCCGATCAGTTGAGTACGTGGGCTATCTGCTGCGCAACGAGCGAGGCAGCTGTGTCCCGCCTTTCAGTGGCCATGAACATGCTGCTACGGTGTATCACTCAACCTCCAGTGAGAAGTTGATTGTCAACATGACCGTTCCTGGTCGCGATAATAATTTGCCTGAAGAAACACGGCTGCAAGTGGAAAACAAAGAGTTTTGTGATATCGTGCAGCAGATGAGGGAGTTCTATCAGAAAGTGCGAGACGACCCTGAACACTACCGTCTTGCGCCGTTGTTATGGGCAAGGCGCTCGATCCCACCACCTCTGGACGAGCACGCTATTCCCCCCATCCCACCCCCTAGTGACTCTCCCTCTGCTTCTATTTCGAGCATGGGCCGCATCGACAACATCATTCGCCAGAAGCACGGGAATATAGAGGTTTATAACCCTTGGGTGACTGGAGAAGAGCTGAGGAACGGGCTAGGCTTGTTTCTAGGCACTTTTAGAGGTTCGCTGTCACTCAGCGCTGCGTATAATGACGCATGGCATGATAAGGATGAAGCATTGCAGTTTGTTGAAAGCTGTATACAGCTTGTGAATACGGGTCTGGGCCTTGAACAATCTAGGTAGTTTCTATGAGCACCTTTAGAGGTTGACCTCCAAAAGTTCTTTACGAAGTGCGAAAATTCAAGGTCAATTGCAAGACTGAGAAGTAAACTACTGTTGAAAACATCGCATCATCCTATCTCCCGAATAACTTCCAGTGATCAAGATCCTTGCATCCACATATGCATCACTCTCCCCGTCAAGCTGTGCTGGGTCCAACGCAAGGACCACAGCATCATATTCCAGATCCCAAAGTCAGAGCTTTGCTCGTCCACTATGTAGGGAAAGAACTCCGATCTTGAAGAATAGCAAAGTCAAAGTGGGAGAAATTGATCACAAAGGAAAAAATAGCAATGGACGAGCCCAGACCCGACATCTCAACACAATGACAACAAAAGAAACTAGGAAAGACATTTCATTCATCACGCATTCAAGCTGTCCCTTTTGTGACAGGATAAGTCCCCCGGTATCTACCGTCTACATGTTGCTGAAAAGCTCTTCAATCGTCATTTCGCCAGTGTATCGATATTTGTGCCAGTCCTCATAGTAGTTAATAGTGGGTGGATGGAGCCGTGAGCAAGGGCTCACCTCGTATGTCCAGGACTGGCCCAGGTCAAAGTCTCGGTGGCCCTTGGTCTGAAATGCAGTCTCAACGCGCAACGAAGATGATCTGCATGTCAAATCAACAAGCCTCGGATTCGTAGTTCCACAATTAAAGACAAACCGGACGAAAGTCAGATGCTCGAATTGCCCCAGGGAGATGAAATCCAATAGTTGTTGTGCCTCACCAAGAATTCCCATTCCGCAGCAAAGGATCTCTAGTCGTTCGAGGCTTTCGGGCAGGCACTCTACCAAGCGTCGTGTTTCTTGAACCTTTCTATACGACTGGCCAGTCTCCGCGGGCCCATGAAGCTGACTCTGATTTGGTTCGCTGTCGATGATTCCGGTGAGTGGAAGCATCCCGATGACGAGGCTTTTCAGGTTCGCCATTTGTTGCAGTTTGTCCCCCATGAATATTCTATCCGGTTGATCGAGCCAGCTTCTTCGGTAGGTGTCATCGTTCAGGTCAAGAGTGAGATGTTCCAGGTCCGCGGCATGACTTTGAATGGCTTCAATAATATCGCGAGGCATGGCTGCTCTATAACGGGAATCGACATCTGACAGCCCTCGGATATACTCAAAGGAACGAAGGGACCTGGCAGCAGCTAGCATTGTTCCAAGAGAGTTTTTGGAGATACACGACGAGCGAAACACGAGATCTCTAACTCTGGACGATGATGGCCCCAGGAACGCGGGAAGTATAGCCTCTTCCTCGAGGATATTGCCATATAGACATTCGTAAGTGCGCAGACGAGGTAACTGAAGGAAAGGCAGAGCGTGACCAAGCCAATTGTCATATCCATACCGCCGAACCCCTTCATGATAAACACGTTCCAGAAGGGAAAGAGGGGCCGGATGACTTGGCTCGCCTTCCACGGAGGGGTCTGTTTCAGTTGCCAGTCGAAGAACATACTGAAGGTGAGAATAGATGGTGACTTCAAGCATCCCGTCTTCAAGTCTGTCGTCTCTTACTCTGGGCTCAGAGAAGCAAAGTTCCTTCAAGCCCGTGCAGGCCACGAGTAACAGAGCAAAGATAGCATCTGGCATCCCTGCTAGGAGATCTGAGGTCCATCTGGAAACTTTGGATTGCTCATTGGCCGTGTCATAATGACTGGCGACTGCCCTCCGGATCAGTTGATTATACACAAGCATATCATCCGCTCTGGGCCCCGGGGGACCAATGTGTTCCTGGTAGCTACCTAACAGCCATCGCTCTAACACGAGTGTCCTGACATGGCTGGCCAGACCGGGCTTGGTGATGGTGATATATCGAAGAAACTTGAACAGTCGAGTTCGCATATGCAAGTCATTGTTGTCAGGTTCATTTGGCGTGTGTACTTCGAACGTTGCTACCGAGAGCGGCAGTGCAATTTCGTGAAGTTTCTTGCAGGTGCAAAGAATATTCAAAATGTCTTTAAAGTCATGTGTTACGAGATTAGACAAGATTCGGACTTGCAGCTCCTGTGGAATTCTCAAAAGAGTAGAATCCATATCGCCAGGCGTGCTTCTCTGGGTTTCTCTCGAGGGGGGGTTGGTTTCGTATGCCACCAGCACGTTGGAGAAAATAATAGCTGGGGGGACAGGACTAGATAACGGTTTTTCAATCAGCCAAAGAGGGACACGTGGCCTCGAATGACAGGCTTTCTTTTCTTTGTAGAATATGTGATATGTGACGTAATTTAGGTAGGTTCCAGCTGGGCGTGCGTGTGAATTTATGCGGTGTACAATGCACAAACTGGCGAATGCCTCTCTGATAAATCTGCTCGCAGCCTGGCCCTTGTTAATTTGGATTAATAGAAACTAACAGTCTGAAAGTGTTTCAGCAATCTCAATTTTACTGGCAAGGGTTTATCGAGGAAATGAAAAACTATTCGATAGCCCTCGAGGACTGGTGTAGAAAATTGGTGGATAGAGCAACGCCCAGCCCGATGCCAGATTTCACAGTCGGCTGTTGTTGTCGTCATCTTATTCCATGTCGGGGATCACTAAATAGAGAATCTCTAGGATCCTGTTTGATCTATGACGAAACTTATGCAACCAGAATGCAATTCAGATGATGAATGTGCCAATCAGGAGGTGTGAATGATGTTTACGGCTGAAGCCTTGTGGCGCACATAACACCACAGAAAAAGTGCAATAATACTTCTGGCGGTGAGAGTTACCCCTCAGGAGAGTCAGCAATTAGTTCAATTTCCTAGGCATCGAAATCGCGCAAAAATGCATCCAGACGACCTGCCGTCAGAAGTGTTAATGGGCTCGTTAACTGCCCCTGAACAACGTTAACATCCAAGCACATGCGTCAACGATCTCAGTCAGGCTGAGCTCGTTTGCAGGAAATGAAATACCGTCGCTATTTAATGCCTCTACCTCAGAGTTGCACTTCGCCCCCGCTCGAATGAGCCAACCTTCCAGGGCTGGCACGACACGGCTGGCAACCACACAATCCTTTAACAGACCAACCTACAACGTTAGACATCGAATTCAATGAATGCCAATCCACTGCACCAAACTTATTTTAACGATCGGGTATTTACTTCATGAATATCAAAAGCTATGGTTTCACAACGATACGATCTCTCGCAGTGATCACCGTTTTAGGGGTTCACCTGAAAGGGAATTGCAATACCACCCCACTGCGTGAGAATATCAAATGAAACAGAGAAATAACTTGCACATTTATACGCTATAGCCAGATTCGCACTTTGTAGATCCAATTCATAGCTTCTTGATCGACCAGCCTCTACCGTCGCTCAAGACCATGCCTCGTTCTTGACCAAGGCACCCTCGTCTAAAGAAAGAGGCCCCAATACCGACTCCCACGTATCCGTGCGCCAGATCCATGCCTCCCAGCCCTTTTCTGCCAACACGCCATCAATCGTCCTCTCATCCATCCAAAATTCCGTGGTCTTGGTGTTAGATGTCCACTTGCAGGCCGAGATCAGATGCACCCGCGGGGCCCTCCTCGCGTTCCTTGCGGCAGTAGATGGATCGCCTGACCGATCATCTAAGAGATGCGCCAGACGATTGGATGGTGCCTTGAAGGACTTGGGCTTGATCACCACAGAAAAGACAGAGTTCATCAAGTAAGAGTCCCAGATAGTTCCTGGGAATCGTATAGTATACCGTCGAATCATACTCAACTCGGGAAGCAACGGCTCATTTCCCGAGGTAGCATCCCAAACCAAAGGAATCCCAAGAACCGGCTCCCACATTGCTAACAGCGTACGGAACTAAGCCGCGAACGGAGCGACAGACACGTCAGCGGGCGCGTAGGTCTCCCCTGCCAACTTCTCGTCCGTGATCTCAGCTGCGGGAGGTCCGGCGCGCGTCCGGGCCAGCAGACCACTGCATATCGCTGCCAGTGTCGCAGAGAGCCAGTGCAGAGGGTATCCGAGTGACGCGACGTGGGAAATCAGGTGGAGGAACGCCGTGAGGTTGAGAGGAGCGAGGACACCCACGGGGTCAAATCGCACGCGGGGGTATGGCAAACACAGCTTGAGGAAGTGGGAATGGAGCCAGTGTTCGAGTTCAGGCCGTGTCATGCGGGCATTGGCCGGCAAAATTGATGTAGGAAGGCTGGTGCGATGCCATTCGAATCCTGATACCATGACGATGCCGCCGGGGCCAACTCGCATCCCATGATATTCCTTCTCTATCGCTTTGGAGCTCTGGATGAGAGAGGTGCGGAGATGGGACTCGATTGTCGCGCGGTCGCTGAGGAGTATATATTCTGCAAGGAACTGGTCGTGCGTGAGCCAAGCGGGAGTGTTTCGCAAGACATAAGACCTGAGCAGAGATTTACCCTCCTCATGGAGTAGGGGGACACCGTGGAGAAAGGTTGTGAGAGAACCGCCAACCTAGTCACTAGGAAACATCAATTAGCTCACGTTCTCCATAGAATACTTAGATTTGATCCTTGGGATCTTACGGAATGTTGCTCAGGTCAATATTGTCAAACGTGTCAGGGAACTTGCTCGGGTCCAGCTTCTTGACGGGTTTTTGGTCGAGTCGAAGCAAGCCATATCGTAGTCGCTCTAGGACATCATTCATCTCGCCGAGCACCACTTCAATCACGATACCAGATTTGATGCAAGCGAGAGATGACCCAACCAGATTGAAGAAGTTATGAATTTACGAAAGCAACCCAGGGGGACATTGGACAGCTTGGGGTGGGAAACTCGAGTACAATTCCGAGGCAATTTGGTAAGGAGACCAGGAGATGTCAGGCTGTCCCGTCGCTCGGTCCTCTCTCTTGCGTTGAAACTCCAAATCAATGACGGTGACGTTAGGCTTCCAGTTTGAATCGAGATAATCGCCGAGAACATTGCGATTCTTCTTGGTCTTCTTCTTGCGATACGCGTTGTGGATTTCGGCCAGGCGAGGCTCGTGCTTTTGCATAAGATGCGCTGGTGGCAGTATGATATGGATGTCATCGAAGCTCTGGGTATCAGGACCGTGCTTCCCGCATCCGGGAGGCACCTTGTCACTCTCTGGCTCCAAATCTCCAAATAAAGCAGACTGCTCCATTTCGCGGATCCCACGCTCCCGCGATAGGTTACGCCTGAGTGCGGCCGTTGTATATCAGGGCTCAGGTGGCTGCTGCCACTCCTTCAACACGCGGGCAATGTCTTGGCGGGCAGGCTCTGGGACATAAAATATACCCATCACGTTACTGGAGAGATCTTCCAGCTCGGCGATGACGGCTGCCATGGCTCCGTGGAGGATATCAGATGCCCATGAGGGCATAGGCTGTCCCGCGAATACGTAGGATATCGCTATATTTGTCTCCTCCCTTTGTTTCGCGGCCTGGGTCTGAAGATCGAATAGCATACGAAAGATGAGCAAATCACGAGCAAAAACAGTAGCCTTCAAATCCACAAGAGTGAAGTGAAGTTTCCTCTTGAGTGGTTTCAGTCCTGACGAAACGGCAGCAGTGAGCATTGTAGCGAACAGGAGTCGAGCGTCACCGATGCGCAGCAGAGACAAGCGAGATATTTGCCATTATTAAGCTGACTCTCTGTGAGGAACGAACGCGCATCGTCATGCTCGACTGAGTAAAACTCCGGCTCATCTTGCCTGTACAATCAAAAGAAAGGGATGAGCAGTGAACATTTTCCTCGCTCAAATTCAAAACACGGGCAAGTTGACATACAGGACCGTCCTATAGCGTGGAACACGATCAAGCAACTTCTTGCGTGTCGACAGAAGGCTTGATGGAGACTGTGGGCTGATAGAGGCGCGTGCCGGCAACGACTCGAGCGTCTTACGTGCTTCCCCGGAAGTTATTTGGGATAGAACATCATTAGCTTCGTCTGTCTTCTGGGAGAAGAGCAATGCCTTGAAGAGCCGGATCCGGGTCTTGTCGGCGGATGCTTCACCGCCATCTTTCCCGAGGAGCAATAACGAAGCTCTACAGGTATCAGCACAGTTGGCATACTCGGCGAGCTCATAATACACAGCGGCTAAATTCGACAATGGCCGCGCATCATCAGGGGCAATGCGGGAAGCTTCCAAATAGGCAGTTTCAGCTGATGGTCGTTGGTTAGCAATTGATGATACCATGGCCGCTATTTCGGATCATCGCCATACCTCGCCTGAGCTTGCCCTGCTTGTACAGATTGTTGCCACGCTGACGAGCTTCATCCGCTGCTGTATTAAGGGGGGGAGTTTCTGATTCCATTATGGTGGTAGTGATTGTCACCTCCCAAGATGTGCAGATTCACCAAACGCGGCAAGATTTCTCCGATCTTCTGGGTTATGTTGTTTTTTTCCAAAACACGAGAATACCCCTGAGCCCGGATTTTAGTGGTAGCGAAGCCGTGGTGGAAAAAGCAATCATGCGTTTTGGTGTTTCCCAGTCAAGATTGGCCAGTCCACGGCAGTCTTTTAGCCCGTATCTAACCCCTATAGTAACCTTTACAATGAGCATAATTATAGAAGACGTTCATAACTAAAGCATCAATCAAAGCCACAAAGACAGCTTCCACAATAGCGCATCATACAAGGCGACGATAAATACTAATTACCGCTACTCCAGCTATCATTAATTGAAATATAGTGGGTTTACGGTACGTACAAGCTGAGTTTCGCTACTGGAAGGATTTATTTGTTTGCTACGGGCTGTCAAGACCTTCAATCGATGCTTACCCTGAAGCTCAGTCAAGCGCTCCCCAAGGCTACACTACGAACACGGTACAAAAGCGTCAGTACGAACAATAAAAGATCTTCAATAAATAAAACGATACTCTCATCTAAGCTAAAAATAAAGAAGTAGTTATATCCGAGCATTCAATACATCATCGACCAAGATCTGTCTCGAATGACACCTACTCAAACTGAAACATCGAAGACATATCTCCAGAGATCTTTGTTGGTTTTGATCATATGCGCTGAAAAAACGATTTAATCCGAGTTTCAGGTCACCCTGACATCTTACTATATGCTATCACATATGTGAGAGAGGATTGGCTTCACCAATCTGTCTCGCTTCGTGATGCTGCTGTTCTGGCAGATCTCACCTCTCGGTATCGGTCAGCATTTCCTAAACGGGATATGTCGATGGCACCAAGGAGGGGCAGTCAGACCAAGCCACATTTAGCGCCAAGAGCGATGATATCATCAATCGACACGTTTTGACACGCTATATAAAGATGGCGTGCCGGTGGTCTTTGGCTTTGATTTATCATTCAGTCAACCGAACAGAACTTTTGACGTGCCACAACCAGAGCATCGCCTACCAACTGATCAATCTCGAGAATGGATTACGCTAGCCACAACCCCTACGGTGATCGTCCACGAAGCTATGATGGTTACGAGAATTACATGCCTCCGTCTAGGCCGCCACCAGGCGCTATGATGAATGCCCCTACAGGAGTAAATCACAGCGGCTGGGCACCTCCTCAATACCAAAGCCAGCATCTCAACCCGTGGCAGCAAGGACAATCACAAGCACCTCAGAGGCCGCAGTCAATGTCTTCATACTCCAACAATCCGAACCAGAACCAATATCAACACCGCCCGCCCAGTAACCAGCAGGGATATGGTCATCCTCCTCCTCCTCCGGGCCCACCACCCAGCACTGCCGGACAATACCAGTCGATCCCGTTCCACCGCCCACAAATAGGCTTTACGGCCCTCCCACACAGGTTTCACATCTGGAACTTCATGAAGGGCAGCACGAGCTACCTCCAAGTCGGCGCCGAGCTCTTTGGCCCTGTCGCATACTCGTGCAAGCTTCGCGGATCCGCCAAGCTGGAGGTCACGGCCGGCTCAGCCGAGCAGCCCGTCATCGCCTCTGCCAATTCGAAGAGCACTTTCAGCTCGAAAAGCTGGTTGATGTTTGAGAACCACAAGGTCCTCCTTATTCCAGAAAACAACTACAAGACTTACTATCTCGATGTCCCCGTCCCCGGCAATCGATTGGAGAAGTGTGAATGGCGGAAGATGGGCTCATCGGGGCTACTAGGGAAGCTTCTCGGAGCCGGAAGCGGTGCAGCTCCCCAGCCCAGAGGTTGGGAGCTGGTGACTGCCGGCGCACCCGCGGGAACCGCGGCTGCCGAACCGCTAGTCAGGATGGTTTATCAGGGAGGGTCGATGATGGAGAAGAACTCACACCTCTACACGTTTGAGTGGCAGGGGCGAGCGCTGAGGGGCGGTATGGGTGATGTCTTCACGGCGGTTGTTATCGTAAGCGCCCTGCAGATCATGCATACAGAGTACATCACTAAGATTGCGAAGAGCGTGGGTGCAGCAGCAGGATGAGAGGGAGAGGAAAGGAGGACTAGATACATTTAGATTCCTTGATGAATCAGAATGAAATTCAAAGCATGTCTGGGATACGTACTTGATGGCTCGGCAACAGAACAGTGGTTTTTAAAACTAGTTCTAAGAACAATTTCTACACGTTGGAAAGATTTAAGATTTCTGGCTTATGGAGAGCCATCGGAGGCCTAGACCTAAGTACATAGTCAAACTCGGTCATCTCGCTTATGCTAGTCACAGTCCGACGGGGTTGTCCTGAAACATGAATGCCTGCAACTAAACTCCGGCGGGGGAAGAGGTTTATAAGACAACTCTAAAGTAAAATACATGTTCGATAACGACTTCAAGATCGTTCTTGACTTCTATTCAATATCCACTCTCTTTCAGCCGATATTCATTTAACTTTGAGCTCTGTTGCTCGCTTTCAAAATGAGGGTCAACATCTCCACTGTGGGTGCACTCATCACGAGCGCTACGCCGGCCGTTTACGCTCACTACTTCTTCGACATTCTCGTTATCGACGGTGTTGAGAGCAAACCTATCGAATATGTTCGCGAGAACACCAGGGGGATCAAGTACATGCCCACAAAATTCATCAACACCTTTGACAGCTTGACTCCCTTGTCGACCGATTTTCGATGCAACCTTGGTGCTGGGTCCGGCAGTGCCACTAACGTAGCCAAAGTTGCTCCCGGCACACCGCTTGCTTTCAAGCTCGCCGTCGGTGCAACCATGCAGCACCCAGGACCGGCATTTGTCTACATGTCAAAGGCCCCGGGTGATGTCAAGGAATATGCCGGCGATGGAGATTGGTTCAAGATCCACCAAGAGGGTATATGCAATGACGGACCAGTTACAACTACTGCGTGGTGCACATGGGACAAGGACCGTATTAGCTTTCAAATTCCCACGGACACATCGGCTGGTCAATACCTGGTGCGAGTTGAACATGTTGGTGAGTTTTAACCCTTTCATAGAAACATCACACCCTTTTCGTCCCCCGTTACTAAATAAACACCAGGTCTTCACGGGGCCCACGCCGGCGAGGCAGAATTCTACTATGCTTGTGGTCAGATTGAGGTTACTGGAAATGGTGCTGGAGTTCCGGGTCCGTTGGTAAAGTTTCCTGGAGCGTACCAACCCAAAGATGCCTCTTGGAACTTTGGGGTATATGGCACTGACAGGGACTTCCCCTTCCCTGAGCCTGCTGTTTGGACTGGTGGCGATTCCGGCGCTGGAAGCAATGCTACACAGCCAACACCTGCGACCACAGCTCCGGTTTCTGGCGAGACTCCGGATACCAGTGCGACTTCGGTCACAGAGGCTTCGTTCTCCAGCCAGACTCCGATCGCCGGGGGAAATAATGCTGGGAAGCCTTCAAAATGCAGTGCGAAGAAACACCGTAAGAGAGCAAATGAAGCTTCGTTAACAAGCTGTAAATGGCCCATCCCACAGGTATAGATGAAACTATACCCGATTGTCCGGAAGACTGGCGGCGATGAAGAAGACTCGGGAGTGAGGGAGATCAGTAGATGCAGTCGCTATCTCAGGTTTTCACTAGAGAAAATATAGTAAAATGAGTAATAGTAAACTGAGTACCAAAGGTATCAGAGCTACTAAGCTGACCTTTTTAGTTATCAGAAACACCATCACCCGTGCTGGCCAAATACACATTTGCGACTGGTAAATAAAGCTACCCAGGGTTGTGCCGAGGGGGGCTTTTGGAAGCTGGTGAACTGGCTAGGCCAGTTGCAATACAAGTTTATACCGCATTGCCGGCCATGCTGACAGAAATCATGTCATGTATCAAGCGTCAAGGGGGACTTGGGTGCGCGAAGAAACGCCCGGCTTACATGTTTTAATGACGTTCGCGACGCGCCATAGGCGCCCCAGTGATATAGACAGGTAGGTCTTTTGGAGTTTACGCCCATTTCTCGCAATATAAGGACAAGGTGGGGATCGAAGACCTACACTGTCATCTTTGTAGGGGCTGAAAAATGCAGACCACTTTGGATATCAGCTGAATTGCACGCCCGAGTAAGTTGGCATGATCCCCGATGACCCATGTCTCCCACATCTCCGCCTTGCTTTCCCCATCAGAGCCACTCAATCACCTGCTATTATGTAGGTTTTCGTACACCTTGACCATATGCGGTTGTTCTGGAACCCAATGCAGTAAATGGTCGGAGTTCCTCGATCACGCGCCTGCAGGCACTGCAAGGCTCGGAAGCTGACGGTATGGAACCCCGAATCCTTTATGTACAGGCTTCTTCGCTCATGGTCTTCAGTGCGACGAGAAGTGGCCCACCTGCAGCGCGTGTCGTAGAAAGGGTCTCACTTGCCCAGGAGCTTCGAGTCTATTCAAGTTTGTGCCTTATAACCCCAGACACTCTCCAGATGGGGCAGCCTTGGACGAACAACTTGATGAAGCGCGGAATATCCCGATTGTAACCAGTTCGGGTCGATGGCTATCGTGGCACAGTTCCCGATCAGGCCAGCTGGCACTTATGCGTGCAAATCGGCGAGACCGTGAATCTGAGCCGTGGCCATCTAATCTGCCAGTTGAACTCGGTGCACCTCCCCAGCCGGGAAAGTGGTTTATACTGAAGTGGCGGCTATATGCAACGACGTCTGGAAATTTACTCCTGTTGTAGATCAAACCAGATTTTTCCGTTCGGCACTGTCACAGGCTATTCTACCACAGACAGCTCTGCTTCTAACTGTGGGATAGATAACGCCCAGGGGGAAAAGTACACATTAAGACATATTTGATCATGATCGCAGAGTGAGGCCACGGCCTCGAGATTTGCTAGAGAGGGATCCTCTACATCAAGTTGAGGGAATACTGGGTTTCATCAAAGGTAGACAAGATAAATGACAGATCTCTTGGAAGCAAACAAGCGGTGAATCAAGGAGTTGATACAAAACACAGATCAGAAGGCTGATTGAGAAACTCGAAATCATGCAATGATATAGTTATCTCTTCGATTATGCGCAAGTATGCGATGATAAATACTAAAAACAAAAGATCCATAAACCAAAGATATCCAAATAAGTAATTTGTCCACTTGATCATTTTGTATCAGAAATCATCTTTACTTCAAACTCAAGCTACCATGAGTATCTTTCATGCTGGACGATTGAGTGGGAGAGAAACTTTAATCATATGTAGTAAGTGCGAAGGCCGTCCCCGTAGTCCTAGGTCATGTCAGAATACATGTTGAGCAAGACCCTCCGCAGATAAACCTGAGAGCTGGCGAGTTAGCATCCCTAGCTCAATATTTCGACCATACATAGCAATGAGAACTTGGCCAACTAGTCCCACGTCAGGTTACGGGATAGAGTTTGAGTATAAAGTTAAACAGCAATGGAAAATACTAGAACCCGACAACTCAATACAATGAATACGAAAGGTCAAAAAAGATTCGCTAGCCCAAGGCTGCAGTCATGCGGAAGAAGATTCTATAAACCTTCATACCGATGACTCATTTGCCGTCGGGACGAGCTGCTCGTCAAATGACTATTTAAGCCACCCTCTTTCACCTGGCTTCTTATCTTATGCCAATCCAAACACTTCAACACACAAAACTCGAGTCAACCAACCCAGTGAGTACCAGTAGCCTCTTGGCCAGAGTACTGACACTGACACATCCGCAGCGTTCGCTATTTATGCCGACGATCAGGACATATCATACCAAGCAACGAGATATCAACGCCTTTTCTCAAAGGCAATAAGACTACCTGGCCACAGATAACAAAACCTGAGATCGGTACCAGCAACCCAACTCTTGTTGGCTTCGCGAAGGCCATTATAAGACCTGCTCTGTATAGAGGCTTTTGGGCTTGGTTTGATCCAGCTCGTCAACATTATTAATCATAATGGCCTTCGCGAAGCCAGCAAGCATTGGGTTGCTGGTACTGATCTTAGGCTTTGTTATCTGTGGGCAGGTAGTCTTATTGCCTTTGAGAAAAGGCGCATGAAGTTTTGATCCCTTAGATGTCTTGAGATGAATTTACTTGAGGGGGCTCTCAACGCGATTGGACTTTTGGGAATAGAGGCTGATTGAATTCTTAATCAGGGAGAATTACAACGATGCCCTATTGATCACTGGTAATGAATTGCCGTCACAGCAACAAGGAGAGCCGTTATACATTAAACAGCCTTCACCAAGTCATCAGAGATTAAAACTCCCAAGCCCACTCTATAAGCATCGAACACTTCCTTGAGCGTAAGCCTGCTTTTGAAGAACTTCAAGAGCGTAGAATGGCGCACATCGTTGTTATATCAAATCATGACAAAAAACAATAAATTTGGGTTTTCTAACTTATAGTACAAACAAGCGAACTGCCGTAATTATTCAGTTCACTTCAAGAGCTAAAATCAAAATCAAATATCTATCCATTTCCCATCGTTTCCCGCAAAATGAAGCACGATATTTTGCCAGATTCACAGGCTCCTATCCTTAGCGAAGCAGATCACTGTGGTCCGACCTGGCCTAAGACCATTGATCTCTGAAGGCTAGCCAACACGTTTAGTGGCGAGATTTGACAAGCTTTATGGGGACCTCCATGGACGTGGCAGAGTGGCGGTTGCTAGACTTGAGGTCCTTATCCTTCATGGCGACGGGGTTGGTGCCGCCCTGGAGGGTAGGCTTGCTAATCTTGGGCTTCTCCGCCTTCTTAGGCTTGGACAGAACGCCGCCCCGACGCTGCAGAACAGCACGCGGGCGAGAGGTAACCAACTTAATGGGCACCTCCATTGATCCGGATGAGTGGCGGTTCTTGCTGGACTTGAGGTCCTTGTCCTTCATCGCGACCGGGTTGGTACCGCCCTGGAGCTTAGGCTTGCTGATCTTGGGCTTCTCCGCCTTCTTGGGCTTGGAAAGGATACCGCCACGAGCCCACAGAGAACGTGGGCGGGAGGTAACCAGCTTGATGGGCACCTCCATGGATGTGGAAGAGTGGCGGTTCTTGCTTGATTTGAGATCCTTGTCCTTCATCGCGACAGGGTTGGTGCCGCCCTGGAGGGTAGGCTTGCTAATCTTAGGCTTCTCCGCCTTCTTGGGCTTGGAAAGGATGCCACCTCGAGCATACAAAGAACGAGGGCGAGAGGTAACCAACTTAATGGGCACCTCCATGGATGTGGAAGAGTGGCGGTTCTTACTGGACTTGAGATCCTTATCCTTCATAGCAACAGGGTTGGTGCCGCCCTGGAGGGTAGGCTTGCTGATCTTAGGCTTCTCCGCCTTCTTGGGCTTGGAAAGGATGCCGCCTCGAGCATACAAAGAACGTGGCCGAGAGGTAACCAACTTGATGGGCACCTCCATGGATGTAGAGGAGTGGCGGTTCTTGCTGGACTTGAGGTCCTTATCCTTCATGGCAACAGGGTTGGTGCCGCCCTGGAGGGTGGGCTTGCTGATCTTGGGCTTCTCCTTCTTAGGCTTGGAAAGGATGCCGCCTCGCGGCTCCAGGTAGAGATCATACTCGTCACGCTCGAAGAGATCGTCCTCATCGCGCTCGTAGAGCTCATCGTCAAAGTCACGTTCTTCGAGCTCCTCGTCGAAGTCACGCTCGTCGAGCTCATCGTCGAAGTCACGTTCGTCAAGCTCGTCATCGAAGTCGCGCTCGTAGAGTTCATCATCGAAGTCCCGTTCGTAAAGCTCCTCGTCGTAGGCGCGCTCATAGACGGCGCCTTCGTCTCGGGAGACAAGGTCTCCCGACTCCTGAGAGGCAAGGGCCTGACTGGAAACAGCCAGGAGAAGAGGGAGGGTGGAGAGCAAAGAAGCCTGCTTGATTGCAACCATTTTGACTGATTTCAACTGAGAAAATGGGAAAAGAAATGATGAGATATAAGATAGAGAATAGCTCAAAGGAAAATAGAGTGCAAAAGTTGGGAAGAAAAAGAGACAGTAGGAAAGATGACTGAAAAGGAAATGTGAATGATTTAGAACGAAAGACAGACCATTTGGAAGACAAGAAACAGCAGTTATATAGATATCTTGAGTTACATGCGATGAAGACACGATCTATTTTTGGAGCTTCAGGAATTCACAGCCACTACGATGCACACACAGTTTGATCAGCCCTCTTCTTCGCGGACAACCTTACAGAGCTCATGGACCACAAACTGAGCCCTGGGGATTGATTTTCAAACGGCTTACAGCCCACTAGCGTGTTCCTGATTCATGCCCAGTCAATGCGGGGAGCGGGCTTCCGCTTCGCGAGGTAACTCTGCCTATTTCGGTATATGAGTGTCTCTCGACGAGACGCGTGGCCCTCTACATAGTACGACCCTACTTGCCGATACCCCTAGCAGCTCGCATCTTCGTACCCTTTCGTGGAAGTCCTCCACGCATCTGCCCCTGGCTGCTGCTGCCCCAGTGCCGGCGAAATGCTGCGAGGCTTTTCAAACACAGGCCGCTGACCGGCCGGCTGGAACCTGAGCGCTGGCAGATTGGGACTTTGAACAACATTTGATTAGCAGAGTCTGCCCCTGGTGGAGAATTTAGGCTCTTGGTCGGGCCTTTCGCACCATGAAAGAGCATGTCGGTAGTCGCTACATTTACCGCGCGCGGCAAAATGGGGGGCCAATCCTTCGGCATAGCATCCTATGGTACTAACAAGGCAGCTGGGGTATTTTTTATGTGCCGCCGTTACATCTAAACCTGCTCTGCCCACTAATTGTTGCCATTAATAGGGGCCGGCTACCAGAAGCAGGCAGTAAGACGCGACCCTAGGTATAAGTCATCTTGATATATGGCAGCAATTTAATGAATAACATCATTGGCTAATGCCGGACGTGTGCTTGTGTAGCATCAGGCTCCTGTGTCACCGTTGGATTGATGAAAATTCAACGTGGATGGGGGCTCTGGTCGTCATGAGCTGTGTCTATTTTCGTCTTGTGTTAGGTTTGGCACACTGATACTGAGGACATTTCTGGTCATGCTCCAGACTTCTGTTATCGGAAGGATTACTGATCTACGCATGCCTCTCGCCAGAGTCCGCCCTAAAAGGCTTGTCGTGAAACATCCCAGTGCGTGTAAGCGGAGGTGTCGTGATGCGCCCTAAAGGGGGAGGGATACGCATGGACCTACGGTGATACACCCGCGGTATTGGAATTGTGACTTGTGCCGACTTAGTCTGGTTTTCTAGGCGCCTAACGTACGCTAGGATCATTTCTTGCCTTAGCAACCTCCCAGGGTCAAATCCTTCTCAGCCTCTTACTTAGCCTTATAAATGGGACTCGGCTCAAGTGGGTGTCATGTTCCGAGGCCCCTGTCCGAGGCCATATCGACTTGGAAGAGCCACCGCCGTGTGATTGGGGCATCCGTGGGATTACGACTTCTAAAATAGTGAGACAACATCAGCCAAGATTGAGTGATTGTGTGAGCAAACATCCTAGAGATGGCCTGACTGGCCTCACAAATTATCGGCCAACTCAGGCCCCATTAATTCGAACGAAGCTGCGAATAGAATCTAGCTAGTGACACTGGTCGCCTCCGCTCCCAAAACCAAAGCTAATTTAGTGAAGGACGGGAAAGCAAGACTTTTGGGCCTCATTTTACAAAGTTATGCCGTAGTCCGGTATCTATTTCGGGGCTTGCGCCGCAGAGTTCGCATGTCCCGGCTCGCGTGTTGTGATGAACCGTCATGGTGGTCATGTTAGGCAAAGATAAACTTGGGTGATCAAATTTATGTCCACAGGCAAGTAATACGAATCTCGGCCGATATTGTGATCTTCGTCACGTACAGTCATATTGTCGCTCACGACACGCTATTCACTGCCATCTCGTGGGTTGATGGGTTGATTAGTTCTGTCTTCCGGCGGGATATCTCACTCAGGGGCAAAGGGCGTCCATCTTGCTACTGTGACATGTACGTAAAATATGCATCCACTTTTTAACGACCACAAAGAAAAGAGACTTCCAAAAAATAATGTGACCGGGGGTGTTAGAAGGCTGGGGGCTCTGCCAACTTTTAGCTTTCTTGATCTCTGCAGTTCTGTAAAAATACTCATTTTCCATACAAAGCGATCTATTTATTCATCTCTACTCTTAATTCTTTTCCCACCTACTATATTCCCAATGCTGTATATCTCATGATACTGAGCAACCCGTCCAAAAACCGAACAGCCCTCTTGTGATTCCTGTTAAATCTCATACTCTAGGGTGGCACTGATGGAACAACAAACGGAGCCACAAAAATGTTCGGCCCATGATACCAGAACAGGGTTACCGCCCCGCACCGTGTTAGAGATCAAGATCAAGGTGAGTGAATCCAGGGAGGGAGGATGATTTGTAAAATCCACCTAAGCAGAGCGAGCTCATTGCTTTCTTGAAATGCCGGAATTGTCAATACCAGTCTAGCTGCTGAAAATGTCGCCTCCTTTGGTTTTTGAGGGCACATAATGGCAGCTGCAAGCAACTCCTAATCGTTTTGCTATGTCAGCACCGGCGGCAACAATGGTAAAACGGTCTGAAGGCCTCCTCCTACTCGATTGGGCTGGCTCCTGGAAATTGAGCGTCACAGGGGCAGTTCAGAACGGACGGACGGAGCAGAGCTTCCTTGGGCCGGTTCAAGTGCCCCCAGGCTGCGAGTCTGATCTTTGTCCAATATACGACCCTGGGAAGAATTCTTCTTCCGAAAAGCAATTGTAAACTCTTCGGCTTATTTTTGATTGGGCATTTCGCCGTGGAAGCACGTAAATAATGTGGGGGGCTAACAATATGGCCAGACTTGATGCCAAAAAGGGTAAATGTCCACGCAATCTCCTTCTCACTGTGCACCAACTTCTTGATCCCAACTTGCTGGTTTTCCCATGGAGTAGATTCGACTCACTCCTGGGCTTGATAAGCTTCCTGCTGCCCTCGGAACCCCTCGGAGCTTCGGACAACCTTATCTCCTTGTCGCTGCTTGGTCATCCTTGAAACCGTTGGCCCCCAACGCCAATGCGCCAAAATCCGGGATGTTGTCTCTTGTTCTCCATGTCGAGGATAGGATGCCCTGGCTTCTGATGTGAAATCAACCGGAAATTTCAAAAGGCTCGCGTCAGGCTACACAATTACCTTGCCCCTAAAGCATGGATGACCAAGCGCCATAAGGCCCGGGGGATCTGCACATATTGGCTTGCTGACCCTTGTATTTCGAGAGGGCAGGGGTGATAATGAGAACAAGGAAGGCGGCCTTCTCTGTCCAGAAATGGTTCTATCTGTCGCATCTAATCTTCTTTCTCGGTACCCATGAAGAGGATGATCCCTATTTGTTCCTATCGTGAGCGGCGTCCAGACAACGTCATTTCTCACCGGGGCATCCAAGAGTTTCTTTGACGACCAATAATTACGAGGTTCACGGAAAGCCGCAGTTCACCATCCCCTACCACCACCCTCTACACGACAATAGGTAGCCGGGGTCGGGTACGGAATGGGCGGTGTTTACGATTAACTGCGCCACTTGGTCTGATCTCTCCTCGCAGGGGAATGCTAGAGTTTGTCAGAGCATGAAGAAACGTGGTTCTCGTTCGAGGTGCTAAGCAACTGGATCAAGCTGATCCGCTGGAGACAGACACTATTGGATTCATCGAGACTGGTGATGCCAAGCAACTATTGATTACTTTGCCTTCCCTTCTTGGTTGTTTCCATAAGCACTGGCGTTCGTCTGCTTGTGTTAAGATGCGTGATATTGATCCAATGGCATGTAGTCACGAGAATATCAGGCAGGTGACGACTACTATTAACGTATAAACAACCGTGAATGCTGGGTCTGGGGTACATGAACGCGTATAGCCGATATGGCTCACACAGTCGCGCCGCACCTGCCGAACATTCCGAATTTCGGATGTTCAAATCATGAGGCTTTTGTATGACAAAGGGAATCTAAGCCCAGCGAGGTCTGTTACCCAATATCCCTGATTGCGAAGGGTGACTATGAAGTTTCCTCTACATGCCTCATTCTAGTTCCCTGATTATTATCTCTGGGACTGCTGTTGGTAGGCGTGCTGCATCCCTATCCGTGCCTGATATTAATCCAACATCCCTCTTGAACTCCAGTAGCCATTCTGCGTTATCAACCGGTGTTTGGTTCCAGGGGTCATCGCTGATTTTTGCAAGATGTTAGCTAGGGGAAGATTGAAACACGGTGGAGAATAACTAAAAAAAAAAGAAAAAGAAAAAAAAAAAAGAAAAAAAAAAAAAAAAAGCACAGGTGACTACAGGGCGAGATGTGTGTCGAGGACTTACTCGTCATAGAGAATCCATCTTGCTTGATATTTGAGTTCGTCGTCAGTTGGAATATGGCTGTTGGGGTTGTTTCGGGACATGGTGGTTAGAACAAATCTCGACAGCTCCCGCTTGAGTCGCCTGTAGCTGTTGTTATCGTTGAGGAAGAAGGGGGTGCCAGATCGAATCCTCCGGTTGTCTTGGTCGAAGCGAGGCGCAGGGCGTTGGAAAATTACCGGCGAGACTGGATCCTCTGCAAAGCCAGAAAAGTTTGTGGCAAGCCCAGGATTAAATCCCAGTGATCTTCCGTTCCGATTGCCTCCATTACGAATGGAAGGTGGAAGTTTTGCAGGATCAGCGATGAAGCCGTGATCATCTGGGGTTTCCACACTCATCTCATTGCCATCTAATGGCAGGAAGTCGACGCCGGACCCGGTAAGTGTGGGTTGCTGGTCCCATGGAAGATCATATGAAAATGGAATCAAATTGTCCATCGACGTTGGTTGTATATTACCACTAATAGACAGACCTTCATATGGCATGTTGGTCAAGCTTTCGGGACTGCGCTGACGCAAAGGGGTCAGCCATCCTGTCGAGGCCCAGATCAATCTGATCATGAACTCGACAAATCTTTCCGAGACATTGGGCGATGATTCCTCTATCCGGTGCAAGGTGTTGCATGCTTCCTGCTGCAATTCCGAGTCCGTGACGGCGTGTCCAAGAAAAGCCTGAACTTCCATGAACTGTCTCAGAGACGACTCAAGCTCGCAGTTCTCGAAGATGTTGCCCTTGCCATTGACCTGGAGGCGACTTAGTCTCGACTCGGAAAGCTCCTTGGTAGGTCGGAGTCTAGCTCGGTTGGCAATTTCAGCGGATGACATGAAGATGTCGCTGAACCATGAGGGTGCAGATGAGGCGGGCGTTGACGAGATGGCTTCGGCGCCGAGAATCACCGAACACCCCTCGAACTGGATTTCCGAGTCTTGCGGTAGACAGCCATTCACGTTGAAATGGTTGCGCATATAATACTCTATTTCCAGCTTGATCAGTTCATAACCGCTGGTTGGGGTATCGGCGGGTCCTTTTGTGGCAGCGAAAGGCAGCGGGGAGTTTCTTTCATAATGGATAAGGTCTACCGTGGACGAGGTTCAGTCAGCTAGAGGAAGTGAGTAGGTTGGAACAATACAACTTACAAGGAGGCATCGCGTTATCAATTCTATTGAGTACGTCGGTATCAAATCCCCAGTCTCCCTTCCAATCCGCCATTGTCTTCCCTCTTTTGAAGTGGTCGCCGAGGTGATCAACGCGCTCTGCCCAAGTGCTGAGCAAGATGCCGCAAAAACCACATCGCGAACCAATTTCTCGACCTACGACCTTCCATTGGTCCATCGGCCACTTCATGAATGTCGAATGATGCACTAATTTGAGATGCTGTTGAAGATGATCCTTACGATGAAAAGTCCTCTCTTCCAAGGGCCGTTCCAAGCAAGCGCTTTGGTTGTGTCCGTTCAAGTGCGCCAGGTCTGGATTTTCGGAACCACAGAATACGCACACGAGCCTGCCATTGTCTTGCTGATTCGCAGTGGGACCATCCGGCGAACAAACCCAGTTCTCGAGCGACAGATGCAACGACTTCTCATGCCTCTGCCAATCATACTTGGTTTTGAACGTCTCGGTGCAAAACGTGCACTGATACATGTTTTCTGCCTGAATCAGCGTCGTCTGAGCCCCCACTTCGAGCCGATTGCTCGCAAGCTTCCTCTTCCGCCGTCCATGCCGCTTGAAGACACGCTCCAAAGACGCCAGCGAGTTGTACGAGTGCGCGGAGCTGCATGACCCCGAGCCACGGCTGGACACGGACGAGCTCGCCGACACGGCACTGCTGCTATTCGTCCGGCGCGGCCGACTGCTTCGACCTCTGGGCTGCTCGGTGAGGGCAGCCATGGCACGGGAGATGGCATGGGCGGTCGCGGGCTCATGCTCAGGGGGCGAGTTCTCCCAGCGCTGAAGTGGGTTCATGTGTTCAAAGGGCGCTGGGGTTGCGGCCCGTCTCTTTGGAGTATCGACGGGGGTCTGGCCGGCAGACGAAGAGCTGTGGTGGTCATCGCCATCGCGAAGAAATGGCGACGACGGGCGCGAGTGGTAGAACTTGGATCTCCGCCTCGCGTTGGCAAACCAGTTGGTCACTTGACGTTGGTTGAGCCCGGTTTGGCTCTGGAGCTTCTCGATCTCGTCATTGGTCGGATAAGGGTCATGTTCATGGCTTGCAAACCAGGTTCTGAGGATCTTGAGTGCCTCGGAGGAAAAGCGGTTGCCGATCTTAGGCGGTGCCATCACGGGAGCTCCTGGTTGCTGGTGGTGGTGGTGCTTGGTATGGTGATGGTCCTGCTCTTCCTTCTCCTGCTGCGGCTGCGACAACGGCAGGGAGCCAGAGAGCCCGCCGTCTCCATTGTCCGATAAGAAGGCTTCAGACGCATGAGGTGCCGATGCTGCAGATGCGGAAACTTCGGGGAGGTGGGGGTTGGTTAAAGCGCCTCTGTCAGCGTTGCCCCGTGCCGGCGACGATGTCATTCTGGGATCCCGCGCGTTCTCATAGGCACCGATACCGTGCCCTCGTCAACCGCCTTGGATGAAGAACCGAAATCCACATCCATAACCAAATTTCCTGCGTGCCCACGCGACCTTCGCCGGCGCCGAATTTTCGGAATTTAGTGGGCGGACAATTAGAGTTGGTCAGAATTGCGTGGTTTCGGCTAAGAGCCGGTTAATCATGTCGACAAAGGGCTGAGATCCGGCCCCGATTTTCAGCAGTCACACGCTCAAACAGTCAGAGATCTCTCCGGCTCCCCTGTTCCCATTTCCTAATTATTACGTGCTACTATCGTTGATTTTGCCGGTCACCTGCCTCCGGGAGCGGTTCCCGAGTTTTGAACTCTACATTGCCATTGCGCTATCGGGATGAAGGTTGGTGAGCTTGAGTGAGGAGAGGCATGAGCGATATGCTAGAGCATCAGAATAAGTTAGTGCTGGTTTGGGATCAATTGATATCATTATTGACTTGTCATGTTAGCATTGAGGTTTAATGCCCATCTCGCCTCCTCCAAGAGGCAGATGGCTCGGATACTGACCCGGGTTCAAGAGAGTGACGGGTATAGGGTAGGCTGATTATGCCGGAGAGAGAAAGGTTGTGACTCGGGCATGGTCCGTGTCAATGTCTGTCTTGGAGGATGGCGAACCCAGTTGCGATTTCTGGCTGAGAAATCAATGCATCCAACAGTTTCAGAGTGGGCCCTGGTCTCTTCCCGGCTGACATAATGTTTGATGCCATCCCAGCTTCAGGGGTTGAGGAGGGAGCACGGAAGACAAACCCCGCTTGCACCGTAGAAAATCGGGTACCGGACAGCACCGTGCAAGATGCGATGCACTTATTGCCTAGGCCTCGATATTCAAAAACTGATTGATTATGCCGAGGTTGAATTTTCGGGGTGGTACGTCCCCAAGAGTTCCTTCTATCAGCACTATCCCTCGATTCACGAGCTGGAAAAATCAGCTGATGGAGGTTGCGACCTTTGTGCACTTATGATATACGCCTTCAAAAATTCTAGATCAGATGATCACCAGTATTATGCTAGACAGGATAGTGATCTTCTTAGTGCCATCAAGGACTGGGTAGAAACTTCCTCTATCCGAATTTCTATCCAGGCGAGCCACATTTACGTTGCCAAGCCATTAGAGGAGGCTCAAATGCTGGACCTGCTCCAGATCTCAGCTGGGGAATACAGGGAGACAAGTTCAGACCCTGATGAGAGCTCTCTCCAAGAACCGCCGACAGTGTTCCTGCAGTTGTTGACACCTCTAGGTGAGTATCAATCCGTCTTGCTTCACACCCGCTTGTGTTATTTTATCAGCTGTTGACATTCTATATAACAGATCGCCCGCTGAAACTCGGACGATACGATATTGGGCGCTTCAAAACAGATGTAGACCTTGGCTCGGACTCCAATGTCGCCATAGCCAAGAATTGGATCGATACGTGCTCAAATCATCATCAAGGCTGCCCTTCACCAGACCCCACAAGCTTCCCAACACGTGTTGTTGATGTAGGAACAATCGATGACGCGAACTGTTGCCTTTTGACTCCAAAAACTGGCTTCATTTCGCGATATGTAGCACTGAGTCATTGCTGGGGTGGCCCTATTAAGAATGTCCTCCTCAAGAAGACGCTTTCTGAGTTCCAGACCTGCATACATTGGGACGATCTCGAGGCAAATTTCCAAGATGCTGTTATAATTACCCGAAACCTCGGACTTAGGTACCTTTGGATTGATTCTTTATGCATTATTCAAGATGACCTCGATGATTGGGCTGCTGAGTCTACAAAAATGGCGGACCTATATCGCAACGCATTTGTGACAATATCCGCAATGTCATCACCTGTCAGCAACCATGGCATCTTTCAGACTCCCATAGAGGTAGAAAACTCAACTCCAGCAGCTGTTGATATCTGCCTATCGAGCAACAATCAGACCACTGTTTCAGTCGCAGCGTTCAGTCAAGGAGACAGATCAAAGGTTGAAGATCTTCGTTGGCTCTATTTGTACTCACCGTTATGCATGCGCGGCTGGTGTCTGCAGGAGTCTGTGTTATCTCCGAGAATCCTACACTATGGTGTCTCTCAAATATACTGGAAGTGCTGCCGTGGCTTTCAATCTGCAGATGGTGCCCTTCCGGGCAATTTGTTCCCCGAAAACGAGTTCTACCCGGCGCTATCTTCTGTTTTGTACTCAGACCTTGCAAGGGACGGTGATTCATTAACAATAGTTCCTCTGAACAAGAGGATGCTCATGGATGAGTTTTACGAACTGGTCAACCAGTACACGAAAAGAAAGCTATCGTACTGGGCAGATAAGTTGCCGGCTTTCTCTGGACTTGCTCAGAAGATGCACACCGCCATTGGCGGGAAGTACCTCGCCGGAATTTGGAGTAAAGATATCCGGAGAGGCCTCTCATGGCAAAAAGAAATGTCATGGGCGAGACATGCGTCAATATACCAGGCCCCATCATGGTCATGGGCCACTACCAACGACTTAGTCAATTTTGATAACCCTGATTCTTTCGAGGATGAAGAAAACCTTATCCTTGTAGAATCAGACATCCAGTTGGTCAATGAAAACAACCCATACGGCGCTGTGAGGTCTGGTTACATTGTTGTACGCGGACTTACAATGGAGCTCTGGCGTTCTCAGGGGACTATCAGCCAGATAGAGCTTGAATCAACGGCAGACTTTGGGTCCGCCCAATGGGATGAGCCAATGTTCGAAGGAGAATATCATGGACTGACAATGAGGCATATATGTGAAGTGGTAGATGCTGATACGGGGGAGCAGTCATGTTTTGTGGAGGGGATTGAAGCTGGATACCGTGACTTGCTCGAGGCAACAGTACCAGGGCTGGAGGATATTGAGTCAAAGGGCTATAAAGTTCTTTTGGTGAGCAAGACTAGCCCCACAGAAGAAGATCAAAGAGAAGGGGGACATTGCATTATACTAGAAAGGGAGGCGGAGGAGGAGAATGCCTATCGAAGGGTAGGATTTCTGTCTTTGTTTCCATACCCTCTTACACGATTCAAAGGTTGGAAGACCGAGACTTTGAAGCTTATATGATCGTCTACGGAACCGTTTAGTATTACCCAACATTCTTGTCTATATCTGATGATCCGTATTTCTCTATGATTTGTATACTTTATTAGATTCTGGCCTTCAGTACGAGACCGGTCTTGCATAAACGCGCGCCGGCAACGGCAACGGCTCCCAGCAGCGTCACCAAGCCCCCCCAAACCTGAGCCCAGAGATGGCTCCCACCCGTTTGGTCAACAATTGCACCAGCTGTAGGAGGCCCGGCCATAACCGCAAAGGCGGACAAAAGATATACAATGCCGGATCTCGCACCCATTTTGGTCGGATCGTCGGTGAGACTTGCAAGCGCCCCAATAAAGACGCATTGGGCAGCAGCAGCAGCGATACCGAAGAAGACGGAGAACACGTACATGCCTACGCGATCATGCACGCCAATCCAGGAAAAGATCATGCCACTGAGAACCAGCATGGACACAATGTACGTGTTGATAGGCCCCAAGAACTTGTTGGATATGATGCCAGCGATGGGTCTCGCAGGAATGCCAACCGCATTGGTGATGAGGAGTAGCTGCACAGATGATGTTGTATCAAAGCCGATGAGGTTTCGAGCATAGCTATTAATCTGTATTATGAATTAGAATTGGCGAATATTCCCACTTGCGGAGTTCAGATGAGATTTCTCACTTACATAGAAATACCCATAATAGAGCGCCCAGAAAAACAGGAACGTTCCGATTGAGAATAAAAAGTAGGTAGGCTCCTTGAATGCATTCCACTCAAACAGGGCACCCGACTTGCGACCTGCTAGCCGCGGGCGGAGGATGATGCATTCAGTCCCCGCCACAAGAAGAGCAACGAATCCGTGACATCGCACCGCCCAGGCGAAGCCAATCTTTGGCGTCACATATTGCACAATGGCAGGGAAAACCACGCTTCCGAACCCACTCCCCGTTGCCGCCAGGGCCAATGCGAATGGCCGCTTCTGGAAGAAGTAGGAACTGATAACACTCACGCATGGCATGAAAAGTAGACCCTGGCCGAGCCCGGCACAAACTCCTTGGGCGAGAAATATTTGCCAATACTCAGTTGCCAAACTTGTCATGAAGATTCCGAGAAGGGAGAGGACGGTGCCGACGCACACAGTTGTCCTGGCGTATCCAGCATCCGCCAGCCTGCCAGCGATGGCGCACAGAAGAAAGGTGAGGAATGTCTGGATACTACCTATCCAACTGATTTGCGAAGAGGGTAAGCCGAGGGCTTCTTGGTAATAGAGTTGGTAGACCCCGAACGTCGCTGGGTTTCCCCAAGCCATGCAGTTTCCTAGAGCGCCGGCAAGAACCTGGGACCACGCCAAGAGCCCGGATTCTAGAGGTTCGATTTTATCACCTTGGTTTGATGACTGGGAGGAACCTGGTATGGCCCCTTCCTCTTCGGAGAAATCATGTATGTTGATGTCCGGTACTTTGATATCCGGTACAACCTTGATATGGGACATAATCGCAGGTGTCGGTCTATAGTACGAGTAGAAAACAAAAATGGAATTACTATACTACATTTCACCTCTAGATCTCATTTCACATATGTGTGGAATCTCATCTTTTATCTTGACAGGATCTGGAGAACTACGGACCAAAAAGTAGTCAATAATGTGGAGATATTTCCGCCTTGTGTTGACATTGGATTCAAGACCGCCTTTTGCAAACAAACTTGTGGAGAGAATTTGGTCACAAAAGGAAAAGGCCAGCATGATTAATTAGAAAACAAAAATTATGACATATATATTTAGAAAAATGGAAGAAAAATTGGATAGTTGTTGATGTAGGGCGCCCCGAAGACGGTGTGTTTATTGAAGCCTCGAGCCGACTCTGGACTCCTTGAGGCGCCTTTGATTATTGAAATCGAACGAATTTGTAGAATTGAATTAGCAAATTTTGTAAATATTAATCTCGCTGTTGGCCCTCCAATCGCTAGCCATGTCCTGCGGCAAATCGCAGTGTGGTCCTACAGAGTTTTCCTTCTGCATGGCTGCAGCCCTGGGCTAGCAGAGCTTATTTCATAACCTTTCGTATTCATTGTTTTGAGATGATAAGTCTGGAATCTTCATTGGTGCTTTCCACTCTGCACCAAAACTCTCTCATCTGTAGTTTGATTTCTTGGTGCTGGGGATACACGGACTGAGACATAACCTTGCTAGCCAATATATGGCAACCAATTACTATCGAATAGCCGGAGTTCACTTCAAAATAGAGTCTATTAAGCTTTCTCCTTCGGTGTCTAACTGTCAAGAGCGTTGAGAACAAGCTTCTTGTAGGATTCAACAGCTTCCTCAAGAGCACCCACAGTGACATTCTCGTTTACAGAGTGGGCGACAAAAATAGTTCCTGGGCCGTAAAGATATTTCTTAAACTCACGGTCCAATTCAAGTTTCGGAATGTCCGTACCGTACTTCATTACATCCGTCTCGAAACCTGTACTCGTAAATCTCATATTAGCATCATCCTGGCTTCGCAGGCACCTTTCACTCACCCTCAACATCGCAATTTGTCTCGACAGGACCATAGCCCTGATTGCAACTGAGGAGGAGATTTTCGGGATCAACCTCGTCCAAAATACCCTGTATTTTTTCTCTGACGATTGTTGCACCCTCCGATTGAGGGCCTACCGCGACACGAACTCCAAAGCCAGCGAGCGCGTGATCCGCAATCACATTGTTCACAGCAATACCCTCCAACTGCCCGACATTCACCGTTGTGTTACCAACGAGAACGCTGCTGCCTAGATCTGCCTCGAGGATTTTGTCGAGAGCTTTGATGAGAATAGCGGTGGCTGACCGGCCAAGCTCCGGATATCCGCTGTGACCTGCCACTCCATATGCATTCAATGTGCAGGTCATGCCTCCCTTGTGGCCGCATGCGAGTTTTCCCTCTGTAGGTTCACCGAAAATGATGGCATTGAAGGACGGAGTGTTTTCTGTCCAGTATTGGCCAAGAGCTTTGATCCCTTCCCCTCCCACCTCTTCGCCGACCACAAACGCGAGCCCGACGTCTTCAGGGGTGACTTCCCCGGCCTCGACGAGCTCAGTTACCGCGATAACCATGGCTGCTAGGCTGGCCTTGGCATCTACGCTACCTCGACCGCTGATTTGAGTATCTCTAGTGATCTCACCCTCCTCGATTGAGTAACCGATGTGCGGTGGAACAGTATCGAAGTGAGTGTTCAACAGCACCTTAGCTTCAAGTGTGTCACTGCCCTTGGCTCCAGCGAGAATGTTGAAACGCGTGGCGTTCTCGGGCGTGTTGGATCTCGGCTCCACAGGTATATCTTTGACAGCCCATCCTTTGTCTGACAGGTAGTTGTGTAGATACTTACCCGTCGCTTCCTCAAGCCCAGAGTTTGACGAGATCTCGACAAGCTCTCGGTGCAGATCTAGAAGGTCTTGACGGTAGCTTGGAGCTGTGGAGTTCCGGGTAGATAACGCAGAGACAAGCAACACCTCGGCGAGTACACAAAAAGATCTTGAGGGTAGCATTTTGCAGTAACAGAAGGGCCGTTGATTACACCAATGATGCGGAATATTCACTATTAACGGCCAACCTAAAATTGTGAGACTGTGACTGAGAGGTATTATCACAACCTTAATATGCATAAATGAACTGAAAGACAGAATTTATCCACCTTATTACGCCATCCTCTCAGAGCCTGTTGACGTTGCATTGTAACATGATAAGACAAGGTCTTCGTTTCTTGGCAATCACGCAACCCCGAAGGAAATGCCTAAATGGCAGGTCGTATCAGAATATGCTTGAAAGCCCCTCTCGTAGTACCGCTAGCAATTTTTACTTTTCCCACTGGAGCCTTTGATGCAAAGAAACATTATATTTCAAGGTTGCGAACATGTCAGGCAATATGCGAGCATTCATTAATTCATTTGTAGTCACGGCCAGGGGCGGTTCAAGCTTGAGCTTCACTCGCTACGAAAACATTGACAATTTGACAGAGGAATTTCGTCACCCCTGAGCAGAATGGGAGTGGAGGGGGTTCGCCTTTGTTTGATCGTGTACTGCTAGGTACCATTGACAATGGCCGCTTCTAACGCGGAGATGGAGATCTATTTTATCCTCACGAAAAGGAGGGGAGGCCATTCCAGCATGGCTCTATCATATCGTACACTCCGTTGAGTAGTGGTGGGAAAGACTAATAGGTATAGTCAGTTTCAAGTAGGTATATTTTCTCCATGATTTTGTTATAGAGCAATATATCGAATAGCAAACTATGGCCGAGCAAATTCAATTGTTATAGAACTAGACCCTTGGGCTGGGGCAGTTCTTTGTTTCCAACGATTTTCGCCAGGACTAAAACGATAGTGACAGGAAGAGCGTATTGAGTTAGCATACAGACAAGACAATAGGTAGACGTGAAAATATAGCTAACGGTAGACAGTTTCTCCCTTGCGTAGTGGGAGATAGTCATCGGCACTGTCGTACACTTTGGCTAGTTGGCTTTTCAGCATGTTTGCTAAAAGAGCTTTTACTAATTTGCAGATTTTCAGAAAGATGTGACGTTTAATACCACTCACCGCGATGTGCCAGTGGACCCTTGCTTTGTTTATTTTTCAGATGAGCGGACCAACATACCTTTGTTACTGTCCATTTATTGAGGTTTTAGAACTTATCATGGACAAAAAGCGCATTTTTATGGTGACGAACTACGAGTAATGGCCAACATACAACCTTCGATTCGTTAGCTATATAAATCCATGGCTTTTCCAAAATGCCATATTCTTAACCCACATATTTCACACATACTTACCCATCTATTATACGATGTTATATGCTCATAGACTTGCACTTTCCACTCTTCTGGATCGCCTTGGCGATCTGATAGAGCTCATACACTGGAGCGGACTCGCCAAATTCATGAACGTCTCTGTCCCACTCACCGAGATAAAAGCTCTATTGTCTAGTAATTACTTCATGATATTTGGAGAGCACATGTGGAACAAGGCCATAGAATTGGTCCAGAAATGCCACCAATCCATCATCCTCTTGGCCAAGCAAGAACCTTATTGGCCTCGGCGTCTTGGGTTCAGGTCCCTTGCCAAGCTCATCGTAGAGACCGAAGGGCAGCTCAACACATGTATTGATGTTCTGAAAGTCATCACCATCGCGGCAGTACAGTGAGTTTTCCTCCTCTCCGTCTTTCCAGTTACAGACTCAAGACAGCGTTACTAACGACTAGCAGGGACCTCGGCGAAGCTGATAAAAGGGCAAAGGGCTTGGCATACGCATTGTCAAATCAAGAAGACTCCCCCCTCATCAACTCTGTAACAAATTACGATCCTACCATCCAATCTCTAGCAACTGTCCGGAAACTCCGACAGGATGCGAATGAGTTGTCGGTGTACATATGCCGCTCTTTGTCGGACGTCCTGGATGCAGCCGCTCGCCTTGACGATCCCGAGAACTGCCCTAGAGGTTTAGAGGATCACAAGTCCATGGATGAAGACGAAGACCGTAGTCAGCTCGCAAAACGCTGGTTTCCAAAGGAGTACCGGGAAGGAGAGCCGGCATATGTTAATAAGCCATTCGGAGCCTGGGAGCGTAGAATTGTTGAGATGACGCATAGACTCGAAAAAACGGCTGGACACAAACCTATTCCTATTCCTGCCGGTGGCCACACTACTGATCAGGTCGAAGCTGTTCCTGCCGAGCGTTCGGATCCCTCGGAGGATGAAGACTGTGAGTTACATGACATTTAGTGGCTTTGTTTACTGGTCTTGCGGTCTGCCAGGATATCCGACGGCATACGTTTTGCTGAGACGGGGAAATACGGAGTGCGTTTAGACTGATCAGAGTGTCATCGGTATTGTCAGTCTTAGCCTGGGGCCGGATTAATCAAAGATTGGATTGGGTATGGTTGAACACCAGCAACAGCATGTGCTTGCACCGATTACTGCTTTTTCGAGCAACTTAAGTATCAACCTGAGAACTAAAAGAGGGAATGAGCCATACATTCGCTGAAGCTTTCTTGACCAATTTGTCATACGCTGCTGTTGCTAGATTGTAAGAATGGACCTAGCGAATTAATGCGATAGTCTCTACACCTGTTTATATACCGCTGCCGTGGTCTTGAGATATATTACACAGGCGACAGTAAGGTATTTTGTTTACTGGTCACTTGTTTGGGTATAAACGAAACCGCATTTGAAGTTGAGTGACACTTATTACGCCAATGGCTGTGAGATAATACATTTCAGGCAGGCATACAATAACATTATATTACTAAGTAGGACCACAAGTAGCCACAGATACACTAGCTCTTCCACTCTGAGCTCTCCAATGCCTCTCGTAGCAGCTGGTCAATATACGTGTCATAGCCACCATAGCCTCCTGAACGCGTGGGTGTGGCTACTCTGTCGTGGTCATTGGCCTGTAGTTCGATATCCGAGTTCTCTTCAACAGGGGCGTCTAGCTCGCGTACATTGACATGCTGCTTCTTAGAATGCCTGCTGCCAAGCCTCGGTGAATGATAGAGATCTGCGGTCGAACCAGACCGAGTAGAAGAGAGGGTCGATGGCCGACCGATAGATTTGCCTTCTATCCCTTCTTCCTCGTCCCATGAGCTTATGCAGCTCTGCTTTCTCGTTTGAGAGTATTTGTCCTCATCGTGATGATCTCGAGAGTGCTGGGTTTTGATGATAGACTCAAACTCAGTGTCGACACCGTGGATGAACGATAGTTGTCCCTCCGCTGTCTTGATTAATTGGTACACATTGAAAAGATTCAAAGGAATATATTCGTAGTCTGTGTTGCTGGCAACGGACTGGGCCGAAGCCACGATCCGGAACGTTAGCATTGTGCTGGAGGATGAAAACCCGGATGATCCCCGCTTAGGCAGGTCAACTACTCCTGGGACAAGAACAGCGTCCTCGAAAAGAGGATCATGAAGCAGTTGTTGGAGACTCTTAAGCCTCGTTCTGAAAAGCCCAAGAAATTCGGTCTCTCTCTCGGTTGGCATGTTGATGTCCTCAAGAGTTTCGGAAATAGCTGCTACGGTCATCCCATAGAATTGCTGCAAGGTCGCCATATGCCATGACTCCAGCTTAGGAAGCGGAATACTGACTGAGGGGAGTGAGTATCGTCCAAGTCTCTTAACATAGACATCGAATCCCGAGGTGTTAGGTCGGATGCCGAAGAAACCCATCTGGACGCCGGTGGTTCTCTCCTGGTGGTCGGCGTATTGAGCCATCTGACGCAACTTGGCTCTGAATCCCATCGACTTGATTTGCATATTGGATGCAATGATGTCGCTTACATGATCTATCTCAGCAAAACGGTAGCCGGCCATGGTAAGCTGTGTGTATTCACGCTCATTTTGGACGTGATGGACGAGAAACATGAGAGATCCCTGTCCGGACTGCAGGTGCAAAGTGGCGTACTTCTCATACAGGTTCTGCAAGTTGGCCCTGGAGGAATCGGTGGAACGACGGGCAGTGCCGGTGACCAAGATCTCGTCCCACAAGACTCCAGCAGATGAATAGTCCTGTCGAAGACGATCGGCAAGTCGTACAGAGGCAAGGCAGAACTGGCCTCGGATTAGAAGGCCTTGATCGTAAGTAGCGGGGGATTTCTCGGTCTGTTTGTGAGTATTTTGGGCGATATGCCTCTTCATGCCGTTGATGAGACCAGAGAGACCAGACAGGTTCCTGGTTGCTTGGAACATCCACAGGAAGTAAGGGTGGGCGATAGTAAATGGCTGCTGGTCCTCCTATTTTTCAAATTGATTAGAGACGAATTTCGTTGTTTGAAAGAATGCACAACTACTTACCACTTGAATAAAGGAATCGGTGATGGTAGTGCTGGGAAGAAGGCCATCACTATCAACCAAGATTCTACCTTCCTTGTCAAATACGGCAGCAGCGAGTGAGATCTTCTGTGCTTTTTGGGCCGTCTGGTTCATCTTCCTCGTAGAATAAACCACCAGCCCAGCAATGGTCAGACAAGCGGCAATCGCCTGGAAGAACCGGTCAGCTTTCCATCAGAGTGTGAGATACCAGGGAGAGCAGGGAGTACAAACCAAGCAGATGATGACGATGATGATAATCGTTGAGTTTTGCACATGGTCACCAGCCCCTGCCTGAATAGACACAAGAGTATACTCGGTTCCAAGAGCGGCACACCAGTGCATGCCAGACACGGCGCCAGCTAGCAGCAGGGCAGACAAGAGTCGCTTCCACCAGGCGTTGGCCCACATGGAGCGAAAGATGAAGAAGATGGAGAGGGCGACGGTACTCGCAGTCAGAGCAATCAACACGGCGCCAATAACATAGCCTATTCTGTAGGTGCAGGTGTAGTTCTCGATCGAGGCATTGCCGAGATAATGCATACCACAGACAGCAGAACCGCATAAGAAGCCACCGAGCGATATGCGAACCCATGAGATACTATTGCCGATAGCGATGAAGGTGAGGAGCAACACAAGAATAGGGACAAAGAAGGAAATGACTGTAAAGAGCGTAGAGTAGGCGATTTGGATCTCAGGCTCGTTATCCCCCAATACAATAGCTCTGTTGCCGACAAAGTGCATCGACCAGATGGAGACGCCTCCCATTGTCACAGCAGCACTGGCGAGAATTACACTGATTGATGCAAGAATCACGGTTAGCGATCACAGCTCCGATGGGTATCCGATATCGATGGAATGAAGACCATCACTGACTTATTGAAGAGACCCTTTAGCCCGGTGCGGCGGTTGATCAGTTCCAGTGTCGACCCTGCGCCGATGAGACTGACAATGTAGCTGAGCACAACGAAACCAGCGTTGAACTGCTGATGGACCATTTGGCCCTCATACTTTTGAAGCAGCTCATCCGGCGACATGATGCATGAGTGACGACCGTGCACGAGCGGCCAGAGTGCGCAAACTGCTGATGGAACCGCGTGGGTGGGAAGATGGAGAACCAGTTCGCCCAGCACACTCGCTCAGGGCCCCTCGTCGCACTCGAAATCGAGACTAGGACGCATTTTTGAACACTGCAGCCCTATCTCGACCCTGTTCCGTTTGCTTCTTGGTGTGCTTTCTTTTTCTGCCCCCTTGCTGCCGGTGGAGCTCAGGAGAAAGAGGTGCGGAATAGCTTCTCAACCAGGGAAGCTAGCGGGGAACTATTTTAGCCAAAGCATGGAGTAGGGGTGTCGGAACGGCTAAATCCTGGAGCTTGGAAGGGGAGTTCCAGTGGTTGGAGATCAAGAAATAGAATGGAGGAGATTCGGTGGGGATCATGGGTGTGTTTCAACTTTGCAGCGCAGGGAGAGACTTGCATAGATCTATCGATCCTGATCACGATTGTGTCTCCCCTTCCTTACCCATATGCAATCCAGCAACACTTACGGAGGCTCAACTTGCTTTTTCAGGTGGCACACCAACCTACCAGATAGCCAAGCCACCTGGTGGCCAAAGCAACCCTCCGGAAGCTGGTGATTTGCCCTAGGTTCTAAGCGAGATTGATCCAAGAGCGGCCATCACACCAAAAAGGGACACCGATGTGCAACGGCTTATCCCAAAAGCAACCAGGGTAGCGAGATGTTACTCGAGGAAAGCAGCCAGGCTTGGAAAAGAATAAGCCGTGCAGATCTCAGTGCTAAGGCTCCCGCGATGGCACCAAGTGGGCCAACCCCAGTAGCCAAGTGGAACGGAAACTCATCCCGCTGGCAATCCAATGGCTAGCTCAGTGGCCGGCCGTCTCACCAGTCCGTAGCAGACCCTCAAGACGTCATTTTAGCATGCCCCGGAGCATTTTCACCCAGGCCAAGAGAGATGCGAGCAAGGAGCCCTAGACTTCATGATCCTCGTTCCCCCACTGCTGTTTGTGCGCATCATCTTTGTGCGGGAATATTCTTACGGGGATCCGGGCCAGGAGAGCTCCATCTTACCCAAAGAAGTATGATGGGCAAACTTTTCCAGGTTTTTTCCCTCCTTGCAGATAAGACTAACGCACGCACTTGACGGAGATGTGACTGTCACACTTCCAGCTAAGGAAATTGTCCAAGGTCTGCGCCACGCCAAGGTCTGCAAACGGTTGTGACCCTTGCTACGCCTGATGATTTATTGTTCTCATTGTATTGGATGGATGAACAAAGGTAGGCCCGTGCGTGTGAAATGCCGTTCGCATTACGCTTATTGCAGTGTTAGTGAACTCGAGGCTTCCCTTGCCTCAAAACACCTCCACAATTCTCTCTGTTCTTACTTGATATCAGATAGAACACATGTCGCCATCTAGAGCTTTACGTAGCCGTCCTGGAACTTGCCGGTGGGAATGATCGCCAATGGCCCCTGAAATTCCAGCTCCATGATGGCAAGGGCCCCGTGCTGACCGGCTAGGAAAAAGAAACGGTCGGCCAGAATTCCTCCTACAGAGCGGGCCTCGGAACCGTTGATGTGATGGCTCTCGCTGCCTGAGCAAGCCACTTCCCGTATCCCAGGGGTTTTGCGCCACGCTGAAACGGGTGAGGCAGTGGCGAGCAATATCACACTCCTCTACCTACCTGAATAATTTGATATCTGCGTGTGATATCTCATCACCAAGATGGCACAAAAGTGTGACATTAGCGTCACTTTGACCACGCATTCTCTCCTGAACCATCTGGATATAGCTAAGGGCAGCAAGCGCAAATCCAAGCTCCTGTACTTCATTTATGTTACAGATGGCAATGAGAACTAGGTAAAGGTCATTGAATGTAAAGAGACCCTGATATACAACATGAGAACAGTTCTTTTGTCCCTGCAGCTAAGGCTCATCATGCTTCCTCTTCAAATATCAAATCCTGGTTGGAGATCGAATTCCATAGATTCTTTATTTTTATGATTACAGCCTGTTTACCATTTACTTTGCCCAGAGAATTACTTAATCAAGATTTGTTCATAGTGACCTATCGCATATTAACCTCTTTGTCTTGTAGACGCCTGAGCATAATAAACGCGCGTCAAGACATCGGTTTCCCCCACTCTCCCGACACGTGCTGGTCCATTTGCTGCCCCTTGATTCCACGGCAAATCTTCCCAACAGACTTCAATGACGCGAGCAATCGATGAATCAGTCTCCAAGTCCCCGGTAGCTTCATGCCAACGTGACACTAGCTGCTTACCTCTCCACAGTCGCTCTCTTTGAAGCCCCAGATTGGACACTAACGGCGCTTCAATTTGCGCGTTTGGGCTCAACGCCCGCTTAAGTTGGCTAGTCCCAGCATCTGATTGGGATCAGCGGAGACTTGAGGAATGGTTCCTGTCATTAGCTCCGTTCAGAGCGGTGGTTTGGACTATTGAAAACAACAAATATTACAAAGGGGTAGACGGATCCTCTCTTCTCTCTCAAGTCTGGTCTTTCTTTTTTAATCCTGTGTTCATTGTTTCGCCTGTTCCACCCGACGCTCTTTAGTACCAAGTCCAGCATTTTGCTAGTCACGATGGTATCATCATTTTTGCTTGTTGGCGTCCTCGCCCTTCTCTCATCTCACACTGCTGAGGCCAAGAGAAAGTGCAGAACTTCATCGTCTTTGGGTGTCTCCACCACGCCGGCAAGCTGGAGCTCGACTGAGTTGAGCCCTTCGCCCTCGTCGCCATCATCGACCCCTTCGTCGTTCTTTACGATCATTACCTCGAGAACCGAGACTCCCACGACGCCTGGAACGCCTTCTACTTCCGCGTTATTCACTCCTTCTTCCTCGACGCCATCGTCATCTGATTCCACACCTGTCAGTTCCTCCACGGAGCTGTCAAGCACTTTGATCTCGACGCCCGTCGACAGCACAACCCCAACGCCTTCGGACTCTACCTCTGTATCATCAAGTGCAACCCCCAGCTCGAGTGAGATCTCTACTAGCGATGTTTCCACAAGCACCCCTTCCAGCAGCTCTTCCTCTATGCTGATTACTTCGACGCCAATCATTACGCCCAGCGACCTACCGCAATCGTCTCTCCTCCCGGCCTCTACTTCTACTTTCGTTCCCGCCGATCTGTTCCCCTGCACGGCGGATGCGGATTGCTTGAACATCAACCAGGTGTGTGACAATGTTCGATGCGGATGCCTGAACCTCGTCTGCGTGCCAGTGTCTTCGACGTCAACTCTTGCCACCCCAACTTCCAGCTCTGCGCCTGCTGCTATGACTACATCCACCGGCCCCATTTTCTGCTCCGTCGACGATGACTGTCTGGTTGCACCTTCGCTCTGCCTAGAAGGTGTTCTGAATCTTTGCGCTTGCGTCGACGCCATTTGCGTGCGAAGTACGACAACGGCGCCATAATCGTAATAACATGATAAAACCTCTATGGGTATCCTGACGCTGGACATCTTTTGATGTTGGTTCGATTTACCATGTGTATAACTTAATAGATGCTATGCGACGATAGATGTAATAGAAACATACGTTAGATACTCTGCGTGCATTCAATGCTTGCTGGCACTTGGCCTTGACTACCAAATGTCGTACCTAAAAAAGCAAAATTATAAACGCGCTTAAATATTCATGCTTCTAGTCTAGGTTTAACGCCAGACGTCACCTTGAACCGACAGAGATTTTGCTTATTCTCAGACATTGAAGTGAAATTGGGTCGATGGTTGTGAATTGAAGCGGACTGCTAGCCGGTTCAGCAGCCTACCCTGCACTGCAGGCGGGATTTTATGTTGTGTTGAGGCAGTTACATATTCACGTATCGAACACTGGTGTAAACATCATACCTATTTCTTGAAAGACACAGATCGGCCTCTTTGAAATGAATTTAGATGTTCCTCCAATATTACCTCGCTCGTTTGAGTGTCGCCTTCCCTGAAAAGTTGCAAGAATCTCTTCCTAATTAGCTCAGGTATAGCAAGGCCCAAAAAGGCCATTACTATTCTAGTACCAAAGAAATTCTATCTGAAATCTATGCAATTTACCTTGGTTCTCTTGTTGTTCTTACACTGCTATCTGCCCTCCATTCCCAACGGTGCTGGATCGGGCATGTTATGATATGCAAAGATGATTAATCTGCAAACTTGCTCCAAGCCCTTATCCTCGGACCATATTAGTAGAAGACGAAAGGAATCGGAATAAGGGGCCTCTCAGGCGCTGATACATTTTCTCGCAGCTCTGTTCCTTTCTTTCGTCATTGTTCACCAATTCTCGGGTCACGGTAGTGGGATATACTTGAACCTTGGTTACACAAGGCCTCACCACTTTGCCGATGATTCCTGTCCTCATATTCTTGCAAACAGAGGGGAAGAGTCACCGTTAAGAGCTCGCACTTTATACTCATGTTTTGCAGTAAAACTACTTGAAGACTGTAACCTATAAAGTATATTTACAATGCTGACTTTTATAGTATTATTATATCTAGCCGCAACACAGGATAACCTGTCCGAACCCAGATTGCAAGAAGAACACGTGGTATTGTAGGCTCCCATGGTTGGGCAGGGCGCAGGTTAGGCAGGCAACCGGGTGACATAAGAGACGAGACACCAAATTCTTAAGCTTTGTTTCTGGCCATCTAATACCGTTAAGATATATAATAAACCCTCAAAAAAAATGTTTAATTCTTCTTTAGCTTTGAAATTATACAACTATTTTTCTGGCCTTTTTGTTGGATGAGTTGGGCTCAAGTTGCAATAGATAAAATATCAAACGTCTCCTGTTAAGAACGTTTGAAGTACTGTTTTGGCGTCTCGTCTCTTGTGTCACACTTGGCAGGTTGGCAGGTTGGTCAGAGGGATTCGTCGTATTCGGCACGCGTTGTTACCGTGGAAGAAACTATTTTGAAATCAAAATTAGGCTGAACCAATAAGAACACGCCCTCTTGTTTTGAAGATTTTATTTCGGATTATTTGTCCCTAATTGTACGCTAAACTGCATTCTTATAATTAATAGTGCCCAATTCGTCGATTGATGAGGGGCTTGCAGTCATCAATCGCACCCTTCCATGCCATCTGCACCTTGCATCCTCATCCTCAACCAACAAAATCAAAATGCGGGTTTCCAAATAGATGGGAAAAATCTTTGGCATTAAAAAAATCAAACAAATTCAGCCATGACTGCCAAAACCGTCACTACAACCGTCGCTGTCTCTCGAAGCAGAGAGGATGTTCCTCCCTCACAGTTCCATGTCCCTGAGGCGACGTCAAGCAGTAGCAGCAGCAGCAGCAGCCAGGAGCATCGCGCCAAGTTTTCCAAGTTCAAAAAAGTGCTGACCACAGCTCAGCTCTCCGTTGTCAACTTCACGACAAGCGCCTGCAATGGCATGGTCGTCGTCGCGCTCCCAGCCATGACTGTGGACTTACACCTGCCAAAATCTCTGGCATTTTGGCCAGCATCTACGCAGGGACTCGCTACAGCATCGAGCCTTCTTCTGATGGCATCCGTTGCAGATGCAATTGGGCCGAAATGGGTTGATATTTGTGGGTGTCTGCTCTGCGGATTCACGATGGTGGGGGCTGGACTCATCCGAACGGGCGAGCAGCTGCTGGCCATGCGAGCACTTTCGGGAGTTGGATTAGCTATGCATCTGTGTTCATCCGTATCAATCTTGACCAAAATTTTAGATCGAGGAAGACCGCGAAACCTAGCCTTTGCTAGTCTGGGTCTAAGCCAGGTCTTGGGATTTTCCTTTGGTCTTGTAACGGGAGGTATCTTTGTTGACTCCCTGGGATGGAGGGCAGGATGGTACATTTATGCAGGTGTTACCATGCTATTCACATTCCCTAGTCTTTGGACTGTTCCTGGGAGTAAAGAGAAAGGAACTCCGCGGCAACGGATCAAAAACCTGACAACGACTGTAGACTGGGTTGGTGCCATACTTGGCTCTACATTTATGGCTTCGCTATGCTATTTCCTAGCGTGAGTACTATTATCATTATCCTCTGTATGTCTGGGATGCTAAGACTAGAAACTATCCAGGGTTTTGAGTACCGACGTCGAAAGAATTCACAATGCAGATGCTATTGTTTGCCTGTGTCTTGCAGCTGTTTCCTGCATCTGCTTCATCTTCTGGATGCACATCCAAGTCAAGGCCCAAAGACCTGCACTAATTCCCAATTCTTTATGGAGAAACCATGCCTTTTCGACCATATGCGCAACGGTAGCATTATCTTATGCAAACATGGGCTCGATGGAGCTCTTTGCAAGTCTTTTGTAAGTTTTTGCACATGATCGAGACCCTCCTTTTCTCTACAAACCCGGCTAACAATTTCTATCAGCTTTCAAGAAGTCCAGCAACTCTCCGCTCTCGAAGCCTCAATCCGCCTCCTCCCCAGCTTCATCGTAGCCGCATTCCTCAACGTCGGAGTAGGCATGTTCGTCCACAAAGTCCCCGTCATCTGGCTCGTCGTTGGCTCCTCCCTCCTCTGCGCTCTCGCGCCTCTCCTCATGGCCGTCATTCAACCAGAATGGACCTACTGGGCCAACGCCTTTGTTGCGCAGCTGTTCCAGCCCATCAGCGCTGATATTCTGTCCACGATTGGGCTCATTATCATCACGGACAGTTTTCCGGATGATACACAGGCGCTGGCGGGTGCTGTGTTTAACACGGCGGGGCAGTTTGGGACGGCGTTTGGGCTGGCGGTTTTGCAGGTGGTGTCGCAGCAGGTTTCGATGAGGCATGATGATTTGGGCAAAGTGAATTCTATTATGGAAGGGTACAGGGCGAGCTTTTGGACAATGGTTGGATTTATGGTGCTGTGTGCGGCGCTTGGTGGTGCTGGAATGAGAAGAGTGGGAAAGGTTGGATTGAAGCGGGATTAGATACAAATATGGGATTGTATTGAAGATCAGAATAGCTCTGATAGAGGATAGAAGCAAAAAGGTTCTAGCTACAAAAAGGCTGGATCGACGATGCTTCTGTTCCATGTCATTGTCTGTCTCTGGAGATGCCTCGAATATACAGAAACGATTTTTGTTGTTCGCGCATCATTTATCCTAAGTCAATGGCAAACCCTCGTGAGACACTGCCCCAATCTCTTTACCTAGAGAGGAGAGCAGTCAATATCTCATCCTGGTGCCGAATAACACAACCGGTATGAGTCTCTCTCTCAAGAACAGTCAGCTTCCAGCCACCAATGAGCTCCCGCACACCCCTTCCCGCAGCCAGAGGGGGTCGTGGTGTCCTTGTCTCCATACCACATGGCCACCTTGGCAGCTTCTGCGGCTCCGAGATCAAATCCCCACGGCCTGGTGAGAATGGTAGCATCAGTCACATAGCCCTCGCTGCCGCCAGCAAAGGCAGCCCTGGCAGACCCAGCTATCTTCTTCATCAGTTGGTCATCTTTGTGCAAGTCGGCATCAATTCCCTTGAGAGACTTGTATCCCTTTCTCATGGCCTCGACTAGCGCTTCGGGGTTAGGGTTCTTGGCCTTGCTCGTAATCATGGTGTCATAGAACCATCGGACAAGAAAGTGGGATCCAATCCACGGCAGCATAGCTGAACCTCTGGTAAAGGCTCAGGTTCTCATTCATCAAATTGCGTGGGGCAAGGCCAGCCACTCAGACCCGGAAAGAGATCCTCTGCTTGCACGGCGCAGAAATACTGAGGAATGACCTGAGCAACATCCTTGGGGGGCCGGTAGGGTGCAGATGACATGGAGTGGGTACTTCAAGTACCTACCGCAAACTCCCTTTGCTTCTCCACGTCGACAACCTCACCACAAGGTCCATTCGAATAGGGAATCTTCGGACCGCACTCGGCCTACCTAGGGTCAGTTCCTAGCCTCGAGCAATCGAATCTATTCGGCCAACAGATGGCATCGCAAGCCGACTCGCTGGAGCTCCTAGACCTAGAGCCAGGATATGCTCAGGCCTCGCAGCATGATGCGCTATTTGAGGCAGCATTTGATCCGTTTTCGCACACTGTCGACGAGAACTTTGACTTGGCGAGTCACCATGATGCCGTTGGAGACCAACAAGATCTCAGCTTTCTCGATTCATGCGATTTCGGCAGTTCAGCTCAACAGAGCCCATTGCCAGCTTCCGATCGCCCTCCACAATCTCCTTCTCGCGTGCTGCAGGACCAAGACATCCAGGAGATCGGCCCAGACACGCCGTCGGCTTTTCCGAGACTACCTCCGAAGATCGGGAATCGATTCTCCAAAGACTCTCTGCGTGTCCTGAAGACATGGCTGACGGCCCACAGCCATTGTCCATTCCCTAGTGACGACGAGAGGCAGCATCTCGAGTTACGGACCGGTTTGACCAAGACCCAGATTCTCAACTGGCTAGCGAATGCCCGGCGTCGGGGGAAAGTTCGACAGGGTTACAACTCGACATCTCGGGCACACGCCGTCGCTACCGTTCCAGTGGACATTCCTCAACGGCCAGGGACACCAGCACCTCGAAACAGCCCCTTATCCCTTAGTCCTCTGGAACGATGGATGGACTCCCCTCCTGAGCATGAGCCAGCAACGGCCAAGGCTATTGAGCGGGCAATGGAGTTAAGTTTAGGTGCGCACTGATTTGATACACAACTCAGGTCTGTTGTGTTGCTAGATGTGCTAACTCATCTTCTCAATAGCAGCGGAACGACCATCCGACTCTTTCGGAGCAAGCCGTGGTGGATCAGGAGCATCGTCACTCAGGCAGTCGCCTGCCAGCAGTATCGGCACATCACACTCCAGTGACGGTTCGGCGTTTTCGTTTTCTAGCCGCAATTCTTCGACATTGGTGAGCAAATCGCATAAGCCAAGAAGTCTCCGCAAACAACGCGCATTCAATAAGCTACGCGGCGGTGATAAGACGCCCCTTTCGACCCCACTGAACACATATCAGTGTACGTTTTGCACCGAGACTTTCAGCACCAAGCATATATGGCAAAGACACGAGAATTCGCTTCACCTTGCTCTCGAGAGATGGGTTTGCGCCCCCTGGGGCCCTCACGAAACCGTCGAGGAAGGTGTGCAGGCTTGTGCATTCTGCGGCGAGCTAAACCCGGACGATGAACATATCGAAGCACACTATTACTCGACATGCCAAGAACGGACGCTGGAGGACCGCACGTTTCACAGAAAAGACCACCTTGGTCAGCATCTGCGGCTTGTACACAACGTCGACCATGCAAACCTAGAGCGGCTCTTGCGACGGTGGAAGATGGAAACGCCCGAAATTCGATCTGTCTGTGGGTTTTGCGGCATCACCATGTATACTTGGGAAGCCAGAACCGACCATCTCGCTGAACATTTTAAGCTTGGCAAGACGATGGCAGACTGGACAGGTGACTGGGGCTTTGATCCACCAATACTTGACCGCCTGGAGAACTCCATTGCACCCTGTAAGATAGAATTATTCATCAAAGGACCATATTAGACATTGCTGACAAGATCAGACATGATCACATACGACCGTAACTCGCCCTACCCGTTTGCGGCCAGCACCTCGTCGTCAGGATCCCCTCGTAACGCTTACGAACTCATAAGGATAGAGCTGATGCACTACATTGAATCGTACCACGACAGCTATGGCAAGCTTCCTAGCTCCGCAGAGTTACATCACGATGCGTGTCGTATCATATTCGCTGCCGAAGTTTCCTGTTATGGGGACGAGCCGTGCAACTCGTGGCTGAGGGATCTGATCATGTCTAATGAGAGTGTTGTGCAGAAGGCAAGACTCAGCCCTTTACGTTCGAGGCGAGAAAACAAGCTAGCCATTCTTCGAATTGTCGGGAAATGCCATCCTTTTATGGCCTGCCCGCTTGAAGCAGACCTCCTTACTCTAGCCCAGTCCAATCACCAGGTTGCGCCCAGCGATGAAGATCTACAGCGCAAAGCAGCTTTGGTGATCAGTGAGATGGAGAAGAACTCTGCCATCCCAGCCGATTTAGTGGCAACCTGGCTTGTGGAATTAGCTCGATCCTCAACTACCTGGCTTAATGGTTTCAAGCAGCGTGCCTGCATATCTAGCCCACTTCCCGCGGCACACATTGGCCGGCGGAGAACAGACAACTCCAAGATTGATTCTATCATTGAAAACTACAATGTGCTGGAGGCAAGATTGGCGGATTATTTGGACATCCTTCGAACTCATGGGATGCAGCCCGACGAAGTAATTGTTCGACAAAAGGCCATGAGTCTCATTGATGAATTCGACGATGAGGAGTGGAGGCAGACGGCAAAGAAAAATGACCGTTGGCTAGCACGGTTTCTCAGACGACACCTTCCGTGGTCTAGCATCTACTCGCCTCCGGGACCGCATGGCGAAGCGAGTACCATGGCAGTGGCAGGAGGTGATCTGGGTTCTGCCGAGACTTGGGCAAACGAACGCGGCCGCGAGCATCCACACAGCAGAGCTGAAGTTCTTGCAAATCCTACTTCTACCTGCAACGTTCTCTCCCTTGGCGTGTATTTTCTCAACGACCCCAATGTGGACAGCTGGATGGCTCGAGAGCTGGCACGATGGGTGGCGGCAACCATGTCACCACACAACCCGAATCAGCATGTGCCTACAGATGAGGAGTTGCAACATCAGGCCCGATGGATGCTCTATGGCGAGTAGGTACTGTTGACTTTCTAGGACATGACGAGTTGTCGACTAAGCTAGTCTCAATTTTACAGCGACGATCCATTCAATCAGACTGGAGCCGATGTCCCCGAGTGGTTGACCAGATTCAAGCGTCAGGTTGGTATCCTCGAAGATTTCGGACCTGGGCTGCCCGGTCTAGAGCAATACTATCCCCAATGATTGCTTTTTTTAACTACAGCTGATGAGGGAGCACCTAGGGGCAGGCTGTGGAAGGCCGGATCTATGTACGATTTACTATGCCCCCTGGGAAATTAAACAGTAAACCAATGGACCGACTTCGCAGAACTTCGGTCTTCTAGACCAGCGTGCCGCGGTTGAGTGGGTTAGGGATAACATCCCATCATTTGGAGGTAATCCTAAAAAGATTACTCTATGGGGCCAATCTACAGGCGCAGCTTCCATTGTGTTGTATGACTTAGCCTACCCATCTGACCCAATCGCGCATGGCTTTATCGAAGACTATGGTAGTGTCTACCTGCTCCTTTGTAGTGATGATAACGTCTCGGCTAAGAGCTTCTCTCCCCTGGCGAAAGCTATGAACTGCTCAGGCGCACCAGATCACGAACTGAGTTGCCTCCGTAACTTTGCTGCACCAATAATCCAGTCTTACCTAGACGTTACAGAAGAGATTGAATTTTCTCCGGTCAAGGACAATATTACTGTTTTTCAAAATAACAAGGCTCGATACGCTGCAAAGCAATATGCCCAGGTTCCCATTATAGCTGGCGCGAACGTCCATGAAGAGACAGACGCATTCCTGTGTCTGAGTGATCAAGGCATCAAATACCGAGCAGCGGCAACCTCTCAGCCGATATTCTTCTACCATTATCATGGTAATTCCAGCAATATCGCTCCCATTCCTTCAGCTGGCGCCTACCATTCATCTGAGCTCCCGCTGATCATGGGCACCTTCAATGACATTAACGGTTTGGGGCCGGAGTTTCAGACGGAGATAAGTAGAACCTTGCAGGATCCCTGGCTAGCTTTTACCACAGATCCAACACAGGGCCTAGTCGCATCCGGCTGGGAACCATATCCTTCAGCCGTTATATTTGGTGATACAACCAAGGAGCAAGTATTCCAGTCTGTTCAAGTTTCAGAAGTTCCAGGCTGGAATGAATGTCTTCCTGTAGATGCTTAAAAAGGCCTTTGGTTTTTGAATCCTAACCTTTATACTACGCGGCCGGGAAGCAATATCTAGCCAAAAGAGTAACATGTAGATAATTGATGCATACCCATCTCTTTATACCATTTATCTTAGATTTAGGCTATATCATTGAATTCGGATGAATACTCCCCGAGTGTCAGCTGAAAGAAGACCTTGTTCCCGAAAACCCCGCAACCAAATACTGCACCAGTGAGATGCTTAAGAATTCTCCGATCATCATATACTTGCCAACGGTACTACTACCCCTCACCTGTGCGGGAGACTGCGCGGCCGATCATGTGTCTTTGTGTCTTGTCCCGAGATGTGGTATCAATCGAACGATCCGTCGGGATCGATGAGTTATTGGATCAATTACGAGCATCTGATATTAGCCGGCTTGAACCCGACGGGTGGTATGAGGCTTACTTCAATATAATCATGGATATAAATATGAGCACTTATGATCTTACAGGCTTCGTCATAATGGGAGAAGTCTCCTAGAGCTTAAACCAATCTAACTATAGTATACCAAATCATACTTGAAGATGCGAAAAGGAACAGCGCAAAACGATGTCAACATCAAAGACATATCCGCTACGTCGGAAGTCGACCGATTGCTCGAGTTAGACAAGATCCCATGGTATCAGAAGAAGAACCTAAAAAGCTTGTACCTCTGTTTGGTTCCCGCTGCGTTGGGAGTCGAGATGACCACTGGTGAGAGGAGGCAACCGCCTTTGTAATGTGATATGACACCAGTTGACCGTCGACGTTATATAGGCTATGATGGTAGCGTTCTTAATGGACTCCAAGCAGTGGACAAATGGCAATCACACTTTGGCTACCCCGCGAGCGCAACTCTCGGCTTAATATCCGCTGGTCTTTCCATCGGGTCCATTGCCAGTGTCCCAGTTTTGCCTTATGTCAACGATCGCTGGGGTCGCAAGACTAGTGTGATATTAGGATCTCTCGTTGTCACCGTAGGGGTGATAATTCAAACATTGGCTGCTAACTTGGGTATGCTCATTGCATCCCGAGTCATAATGGGTTTCGGCATGCCTATTGCCTTGTCCGGGGCCGCCCAGCTCTTGACCGAGCTATGTTACCCGAAGGAGCGCGCCGCTATCACTGGCATCTTCCAGGTCTTTTGGTATGTTGGTTCGATCATTGCAGCGGGGGCTACACTCGGGACATATAGCTGGTCTACACACTGGAGCTGGCGCTTGCCCACAGTCCTCCAGATACTCCCATCTTTGTTTCAATTGTCTTTTATTTGGTGAGTAGAAAGGAGCTTTTTTTTAAGAACCCTTTCTGATTGATGAATCACTAACTGAACTGAATTGAGGTTTGTTCCCGAATCCCCACGCTGGCTCATATCGCGTGATAGAGCAGATGAAGCCCTTGAAATTCTCATCAAATATCATGGAGAAGGGGACCGGGATTCACCCTTTGTGGCAGCAGAATTCCACCAAATTCGTGAAACCCTTCGTCAGGAAAAGGAGGCTTCATCAAAACCCTGGCGCGATCTTTTCAGCACTCCCGTCAACATTCGCCGCGTAGCTGTCGCAGCCTGTGTCGGCCTGTTCTCTCAGTGGGCCGGGAATGGACTCGTGAGCTTCTATCTCGCCAAGGTTCTCACGACGATCGGCATCAAGGACCGCCGGACGCAGAATCAGATCAACCTCGGCTTGAACTGCTGGAACCTGGTCACTGGCATGTCCGCGGCCAGCTTTGGTACACGGTACCTGAACAGACGCACGCAGATCTTGGTCGGCTATGGATGCATGACCATTGTATTCTCGTGCTGGACGGCTGCCTCGGCCGTCTACGCGGGGAACAACACCAACCACTCTGCTGCGATTGGCGTGGTGGCGCTAATATTTATCTACTACCTCTTCTATAATTTGATGATGCCCTGCCAGTACTTGTATGTGTCTGAAGTGTTTCCCTTCATCCAGCGAGCGAAGGGAGTGGCAATCATGCAGCTCACGAATAAGGGTGGTGGTGGGTTTAATCAGTTCGTGAACCCCATTGGACTGGACAGCATTCAGTGGCGTTATTACATTGTCTATGTTGTGCTCTTGGCCGTGGAGACTTTTGTTATTTGGCTTATCTACCCAGAGACAAAGGGAGTCTCCCTGGAAGAAATCGCAGTTGTGATGGAAGGTGATAACGCAAAGGTCGAGTTGGTTGGGGCAGGCAAAAAGGACAAGGAGCTGAAAGTCTAGATTGCCCAACTTGGCATCGAAGCATCATGGCACTTCTGACGGTTTTGTACCATGTTATCTGACTGTTTGTTACTGAGAGCTGTTTTCACTCTTCACCACTGAAGCCATCGTCTTTAGCATGCAAGTCACTTGGGGCATCTATGCTAGCTGTGCTTTGATACTACATCTGGACACTCTTATACACATTCCACAGCCCAGCACTCATGAATATGTCAGTTTTCGGTGTGTGTTAATTCTAGGCAGTATTGAACTCTTCCAGCAGTTGCGCGGGAGTCTTCCCGTTCGCATCCTTCAAGTCAGAGCGTGCATCAACGTCCTCGAGTAACTTCATGGCCTCAACTTGGCCTTTTGAGGCGGCAAAATGCATCGGCGTCCAGTTGCTCCAATTTGGATCGACCTCGTTTACATCTGCTCCATGCTGCAGCAGGACGCGCATAGTATCGAGCTGTCCAAAACGTGCAGCGGCATGCAGTGCACTAGTTTGAGGGATTGGGACACCATGCTTCAGCAGCATCTCAGTTATACGTGGTCCCTCAGCCATTGCACCGCGAGACAATAGAGACGAGTTGTAGGTCCCAAGTCTTTTGGACGGCTGGGCAGGACGCAATGGATCTGCCCCAAGTTCGAGCAGCAATGCGACCAGGTCGGGAGCCCGTACCCTTACGGCCTCGTAGATTGGAAACGTACCGTGACCGGCCTGGTTGTGGATGATATCTGGGTCCGCGGCAGCCAGTGCTTTGAAAACAGCAGCATGTCCGTGCAAAATGACCCTGTATACCAATGATCTTGTTATGAGAGAAGAAGTGCTGATGCCTTGCTGGGTTGCAAAGGTAAGCAATATGGGTATCATCGTAACTTGGCCATTTCGAGCTGCTATTGTAAAAGCCCTTTCCAGATTTGAAATCCGACTGATCGTCACCTCCCTCGGATCATCCGGACCTTCGCTTGGACGATACTCGGAAGTGATAGAGTGCTGTTTCTCGAGCATTATCTTGACCCATTGTGGCTGCAACAGCAAGTTTTGCAGGGCGGTGTCATTACCAGATGAGATTGCTTCAATAATAGGGCGGGCGACGTCCTCGCCAATAAGCACATCACCGATAGCTCTAGTCGAGTTGTAGTTGCGTCCCGCCACTACATGTTGCGCCATGATCAGATTGTGACGGTGATGATAGTTCAAATGATGACACGAGTGCTGCCGTGATGAAGGTGTTGGAAATCAGAGAATGAAGCGGGGTTGAGATTTCAGGGATATATAAGAAGGCCGGTAAGCGACACAGCCTGTACGATCCACTAGCAACGAGTGGAGATACATGAATCTTATGGCCAAGAAGAATGTTTTGCCTGCAGGCGGTTTAGGAGATAGATCAAAGCATTCATTCATTCCAAAGAGCTCAGACTGTCAATGCTGCGGCAGAATGTTCGAAACGGAACCTAAAATTGATCACAGTTCTCTAAACTGATTGCACTTGATAAGAATATAGACAATGGCGAGGATTTCGAAGACTTCTCACAACTCGTCAGTAAGCGAATCCATTTTAGGCGTGTATAACTAAAGAGAAGATAGAAGGCAAGTGGGCGTCAAAAAAACAAGGGCTGCAAAGGTTACATACTGGAGTATTGGTTTTCGGTTTGCGAAAGAGAACTGAGTCAATTTTAGTCTTTGCCAGTTCAAGGGCTTTTAACCAAAACACTTTAACTAGCCGAACGGCTACACTTCCCATGTGCAGGAGCGTTTGATTCATTATCCTAGCCTAATTCAAAACCTAGAGTTACTGGATTAATCTCGAACTACGTAAAAAATAATGAGCTGAGATGGGAGTTTTGGGACTTTGGCGAGCATGAATTAGGCCATGTGGAACACTCGCATCCTCCTGCAACGTGGCAAACTCTGTTATTTAGTGATTGCCATATCATTCATCTGAGATACCGTGGGATAAAAAAGAAATAAAAACAGGACTGAGTTCAAGAAATTAGGTATAAAAAACGACCATCGCTAAAATCCGGCGCGAAAAAACCAATTTGATCTTGACAAAGAAATATTAACCATCAATATCGCAAGTCTAAATGCTTCGTCCGAGTCCCAATACCAAATCTATATCCATGAAAATACCGTTGTACAAGTCTATAGTAATCAATCCAAGCCCTGGCTATTCAGGGGGTGTCTGAAGCACGCTTCGCGACGTATCCGTATCGTCTGCATTCTTCTCTAGTATAGCAGCATTGGCCTCAGCTAGAGAACATCTCTTCCACACTGACCAAGCGCTGCCAATGTGGCCCAGGAGCCACCAACATAGGAGGACTGGGAGGACGACACTGCGGTGCTGCTTGCACCCGTTCGACCAAATGTCCATCAACAGGAGCCAGAAATTGTGAGCTGGCAAAGCCCAGCCGACACGATAGAACCCAGCCGTCAACTCGAAGGGGTAAACCGTGCTCGTGATGTTCGTGATGATCCACGTCAACACGAAGAAGGACCAGAACTGCATGGGTATGACAATCTCCATCAACATGTCTATTATAGTATATTGGATCTCCATGTACAGCCAGAATGCCATCCATGTCTTTCCAAAATGGGCGCCGGTCACAAACCAGTCTTCTCGGAACGCCCAGATATACGCGACGCTACAGAGCGCGCAAATAAAGGTGTGGAACTTGCTGACGATGAGCCGAGAGATGTAGACGTCTCGTTTGGACATCTTGTTGAAAACTCCGGCCTGCGCCGAAATGTTATTCATGCCCATCAGGAAGAAAAACTGCATCAAGGCACCCATGACCATTGTGACTGTGTTGAGAAGGGCCCTTGATCCCTGATTGGTTGGCGACTTGACGATCGAGGAGGATCGAATCGGGTCGAGGAAGGCCGTAGCGCTCGAGGGGCTTGTGAAGTTGACCGTTGACAGTGCCTCGGTAGATACTGAATATAACGTTCGTGACGCGACTGATATTAATGTCTCCATGCTGGACACAACCGACGACATAGAAACGATAGGGTAATAAGAGGAGTAGTAGGTATATGATATTGTGTCCTTGGGGTTATATGCGGTCGAGTTCTCGCCGGAGAGAGCGGTCATGAGTCTGTCTGAGGCGCCGTTGTGTGTGTAAATGGCGGCCCAGTACCCTTCCGTGCACATGGCTTCCTCAAGTGACTCCACAGTCGGATATTGCGACGCTGATCGAAAGTCGAGGGAAGGAAAAGAGTCGGCTCGTAGAGAGCTATAGGCCGCATCGAGAGCGTGACCAATATCGTGACCATCATAGTCAACCGCGAGGACTCGGAGTGCATGTACGCGGGATCCCGATTTGAAAAGGGAGCCGTACAGATATGACATATTGCCTAGAAATATAATCTGAATGAGTATTCCGGTTATGATGATCGGAATACCGAATTTGGGCAGCTTTGATGTCCAATACTTCGAGAGCAAAGGCTCCCTGGTGGAAGCTCTTGGTGCGAAGATACCCATATCGAGACGGCCGAGAAGGAAAACAAGTGTAGGGAATGTTTCAAGAGAAAAACTGTATTACGGGGAGAGGATATGCAATGGAACAGGGCGGTATCGCTACTTCAAGGATGGCACTACGCATAATATATATCCACACTCTACCTGACTTCAACACCAAGGACCATCCGGGGTGTCGCATTTTCGGGTTTGGCAGGGTCCCGTGCGGCTCGCTGTCCGGGACATGTCCGATCTGGGCGTCGAGGCAGCAGCCTAATCTATACGGGTGGGCATTTCAAGATGCAGCCCAATGGCAGATGTGTGACACTCCATGAGCCTGATGTTCCCTGAGTGAGTGGGGATAAGTCGCCACCCATGTCAACGGTCTACCCCCCTCAACGGTCTACCTTCCACGTCCTAACCTCCCTATTTTCTGTATGTGTAACTGTGCGATTTCTTATACAAATTTTATTTAATTTAATTAAAAATTATACTATTAGATTCGCCAATACCTGACGTTTCCGAAGATGATATTCAATCGGCTATTCGCAAGGTATAAGCAGGTGCTTTACAGTGAAAAGCTGCAGCCCGATAGGGAATCTCTCGGACAACCCTACGTATACGTATAGAAGATTGCAAAACACGGTAATAGGAAGCAGAGACCCAGCAGCGGCTCTCGAAGGTCCAGGAAGCCCGTTTAACGAAATGGATTCTTGTTTAAGATTCAATTGGGTTTCCTCTGACCTATATGAAGGTTAAGGATATCGCTGAGTTCCTACTGTACGAATAGGGTAATCTTGACCCTATTGGAAGATATTAGATAGAGGGATTTTTATACTATAATCCGGAGGTTAGAACTCTCCAAGGTAAGAGAATTAACTTCCTACGAATTGATAGGGCTATAGTTAACTGTATAAAGGATTTCTTTGTACTTAAGTATATTCCTGATATTAAGAAGATCCCTCCTTGCGATTGTTAGAATATGGATAAAGCCGGTATTATAGAAGGTATTAGTAATAATAGCCTGGTTCTCGGATTATCTTATAAGAACTGGGCAGCTAAGATACAGCTGGGAACTTATTATTGGACTATAATTATTAAGTATATTAGTACAATAGGAAGGCACCTTAAGCCTTTTATTATCTTTAAAGGAAAGACTGTTTAGTAGTAGTAGTTTCCTAATAAATTAGATTATCTCAAGTAGTAGTATTTTACAGCTTCTGAGAAGGGGTAGACTTCTAATACTATTATATTAGTATAGCTCAGGGAGGTTTTTATCCTATTAACTAAACCTACAAATAATAGCTAGTATTTACTTATTATAGATAGCTATAAGAGTTATAAGATTATTGAATTTATATGGGAATACTTCTAAAATAAGATCTGGTTTCTTTTCCTACCCTTATACTTATTATATATTTTACAGCCGCTTAACTTATCTATCTTTTCCACTCTTAAGCGAGCGTTTCATTACTATCTCTCAGAATAATAAATACAGATAGATTTGTTACTAATCAGTAAGATAATCTTCTTAAAGTATTATTACCTGGCCCGGCTAGCTGCCTTAACAGTTGAAAATATCCTATCAGGCTGGAAAGTATCCGGACTTTAGCTAATAAATATTACAGTACTGTTAATAAACCCTTATATACTTATACCTTAATATACCTTTAAAAATCAGCCCTTAATACCTCCGGTAATACTAGCAGCTGGATTAAAGAGGAAAGAAGCTGTAATAATTACTCTAATAGGGAGTTAATAGCTGTATAGCTTAATATATGATTTTATAGATAAGAAGGAGGTAGACCTAACTATCCGACTGCTGTTCCGTAAGATCTGTAAGGGCCTGAATAAATAGCAAATACAGTTATCTATCTTAAATACTGAAAATATATAGCTAAAGGAGTTAAATAACCTCCTGCAGCTGAAGAAAAGATATACTGTTTATCCGGATCCGAATAAACGCTTTATTAAGATATCTAATATTATTAATATAAGGGAACGGTATAAGGGTTAATTAGATACTGAGATATCAGCTTAGGAAATTAAGACTTATATTTTTAAAGAGCTATACTTCACCTGGTAACTTAAATAGCTTTATTTTTAATATAAAAAAATAATTACGCTGAGAAATACGCATTTAAATTATATGCTTCAATCGTTGAAGGTGGACCGTTGAGGGGGGTGGACCGTTGACATGGGTGGCGACTTAGATGGCATGATGAACTGGGCTAACAATGTCAGATCCCTGCATTATCATGGCTTCGCCGCGCAAACTTGACTTAGTAAGCGGCTTTGAAAACCGACCCTGGCCTGTTCTGTTATTAACTCCGGTTTCCGTTCGCCATTCGGGCTGAGCCAACCGCCGATGGTTTGCCTCGATTAGGGGTCTGTCTTTGCACGATGAGTGTTGGCTCACCCTACCAATAGGTTCGATTGATTATGCAAGCTTTCAAAATCGAACCCCAGACAGGGGTTATAAGTTACAATGATGTAATCTGCATGAGCAAGCTGTCGGGAAACCCACCAAATTATATTCTGCCGGGACGGCCGAGCCGGCCGAGAATGCACCAGACGACCGAGAATGCATGAATTGTCCTATTTGGCTAAGAAGCCCCGAGGAATCTACTACCAGGCTTCGGCCCCGTAGAGAGGAAACAAATTGACATGTCGACCGTGTGTTGATAAGGGACTGTTTCTAGGCATCGGCAGCGAGCTTTTATAGGACTTTGTGAAAATTTGTAAGATTTTGTAAGACCAAGAATAAATCTTACTCTTCCTTGTTTTATTCGTCAGAGACTTTGTAAGGCTATTGTAAACATTAGTCTTACTTTTACTTGTAGGATTTTCTAAAACTACTACCCTAAATTTAATGGTGATCTATCCTTATTATTTGTAAAAGACTGAGATCATAATAAAATGAAAAGCCACAAGACAAAACGGCAGAAATACTCTCCCGTTTTCTTTTATCAGTAAAAGCAAATGAGCTTGCTTGAATATTTTGAGATAGACGTAGTGATACGAACTTATTTAGCCAGCCGTGGAATGAATTTCCTGTGGAGTACTCGGTGACTGCTTCATCGACATAAATCCAGCTTGCCAATTTATCTCTTTCTCTATCGAGGCTCGGCTTCTCGGAACCTTTCTCCCATCGTTATTCGTTGTTTGGAATAGGTCTAGATTCTCAAATACACCAAGCATGTAGTCCTTCTCTCGAGCATTGGCAAATGCAAAGGTCGAACTTATTGATTGCCAGGGGAGCGGTACAGTGAGCAAGTCATGGTCCCGAAGGAATGGGATGAACCTCCATATTGTGAGGCACGCCGCTCTCAGAGTACTAAATAAAGCGGCTGCATTTTCACTATTCTTGTGAACCGAATTCCACTTGAGACTTGCGAGAAGGATTATTAGGCGAGCGGTGAGTAGGCCGAGGAGAAATTGGGATGAGAAGGGGGTTGGTACCCAGTATTTCAACCCAAATGGAGACTCCGGATCTTCCTCCTCTTCCAGGAGATTGTTTTCTTTCATCTTTTTAAGAAATTCTGAACATGCTTGCCCTGACTTATCAGCGAGACCTTGGATAAGTCTGGTAACATCGTATGGTCTTGACATGGTAAGCCCTAGGCTATATGCACTAGCAGCCTTGATGGCCTGAAGAATTTGTGGTAGACGGGCACACAAGGTGTTATAGAAAACAAATCCATCCTCTAAGAGAGGTTTTAGTTTTTCGGCTTTGAGATAATCTGCTACGGAGCCTGCGAAGGCACTGATCCATTCGGGGGTATCGAATACGTTGGTCCCACCACCCGAGGCGATCCAATGCGGTAGCTAGGCGAAAAATGTTAGCAATATATCAAGAGACGTGGTTTCTGCATTGCGTGAAATGAAGAGTATCATATTACCACATAATTGCAGATGACTGTGATGGAGAATTATACTTGTGAGTAAAAGGCCCAAGAACCACACTTACCAAGAGAACATACGCCGCCATACCAAGGCGAGCATGAAGTTTGTCTCCGGGCCTGGGCGGACCGATTCCAGAGAACAGGGCCATGAAACCTTTTTCGTGTTGAAGCTGCGAATCTCCTTGTTCAAAGTAGAGTTCTGCCTGTTGTATGACCGTAACAGCTGCCAGTGTGTCAACTGTGTAAGCGTTGTCACTTTCTAAAGTGCAAGCTAAGCTGTGGATTGCTCTCCCGTAAGCCGGCATATGGGACAATGCAACCTTCTTCTCATTACGCTGGTATATATCCCAGACGTCACAGAGCAGTGCAGAAGCATCAAGGAGACAACTACTATCCCCTAGACGTGCTGGCAAGTATTTGAAGGGTTCAATGTGGATGACCATCCGCTCCTTGGCACCATCGATGTGATGCACCAAGCGACGGGCCACCAGGTCTGTAGGCGACAGTATCGCTGACCTGGGCTGCGTAGTTTGGCGACGCCGAGGTTGCTGGCTATTATTTGTGTTGATAAACTTGAGTAATGAAGTCGGTCCCGGACATGTTTGTCTCTTCCTTAAGCACTGGGAACAGGTAGGCCAGTTTTGATCGCACTACACCATGAAGAGGATCAAGGAGAGATTAGTTGCTGTGGGTTGGGTTGGAAGGCCAGCCTGAGAACGAACCTTTGTTCTCCGTGCTTTGCATGGCGCACAAGCACGCGACTTGGGAACTCCAGGCATCTCTTAACTAACAACGAAGGGTGTGCAGCTCGTAGCTGTCTGGCGGGAGGGTCTAATGAGGGCGGTCAAGACATGTGACTGCGATGTTATGCAGGGGATATCATAAGGATTCGGAGTCGATGTAGCCAAGAAGATAGATTGCAGAACTGCTCTAGAACCCCAGAGTATTGGAGCATATGCTAAAGAAGCTCGAGTAGCGAACTCACGGGGACCCCTATTTTAGTTGCCGGGACCAAAAGTTCCGTAAAAGAAATTTCTCCGCAACAACAAACGCGACACGTGTGGGACAAATCCTTCGACAAACCCCACCCTTCAGACGGTACAGGTCGCAAGGATCACAAACGTTAGTTTGCTACATAACTCCACTATGATGTCAGGTAGACAGTACGTATCTCATAAGGCTAATAGTATATATCGATAGGTAGATCTACATTGTGGCGATGTATCTCCTTATTAGCCACATCGAATTCGCTGATCTACTTCTGTTGCTAGAACCCTTATTCAGGGTTTATAGTGTATACGATAGAGTACTCAATACCTATAAAAACATCAGGGCCAATTATGATTAGTGACTTCTCGACGCTAACGTTTGTGATCCTTGAGACCTGTATAATTTCACTCACCATGAGATCACCACATCGATGATCGATCACGCTGCCAAAGGAGAGAGATTGTCCAACGCCTCCTTTTGATGTATTAGCTCAAGTGGTTGCTCAACATTGTATACCGCGATTATTTCGACATGAACAAGAGCGCGGAGAGCAGACCCTTGTCCATCAATCGGGCATTTCTCGGTCCCAGGTCAGCACCCTAAAGGCCTATGTAATGAATTCCTTGAAGGAATTCTTTGAAGTAATTATCCTGGAGAGTCATTCAAGTTTATTGGACAATCTTACAACACATCAATAGTCTCATCATTCTTGGTGTAGGTACATATCCAATCTGAACGGGGGGTTAAGACGGAACCGGCCTTCTCAAAAGCCTCCGATCCTGAATATCCGCCCTGATATATTTTGAATTAATCCTAACACAGGTATTTATGGAGCGCGTCACGTCAAATATCTCGTCCAGGCCTTCTATCAACTGCTGAGATGGCACCGGTTTGGTCGAGACAGCCATTCAAGGCGATCTATATTGCCTTCGCTCTTTTGACCAAGATCCCGGTACTTCTGGTGCTCTCACCTAGATTCGTTTTTCCAAAATTTCGCCCGCTCCGGACTCTCACCTTCCGGATCACTCTTTTCGCCAGGCTAATCCGCGAATATATCCTGTTTCAAGCGCAGACTCGTTCCAACGACAGAAGCGGCGTGGAAGCCAGCCAATCCAAGGCAAAGGACCGTTTTGCCAATGCTCAAACCGGCGATGCAACCCTATACACCAGTATCTTGGAACCCACCCGGATCATCAAACCTGCTGAGGTCGGGGGCCTTTGGTACCCTGGGCCCCCGCCACCTTCTGGGGACCTCAAAGACGAGAAGGTTGTTCTTCATTTCCCGGGAGGGGCTTTTGTTATAGCTTGTGGTAGCGATATGAGTGGCCGAATGTTCAGCCCTTTTGTACTGAAAGATCTCAAAGCGGACCGGCTCTTCCTTGCTCAATACCGCGTTGCAGAGGGTCCCAGTACGCGATTTCCCGCAGCATTCCAGGACCTGGTCACATTCTACAACTACATTTTGTCCTTGGGATACAGGCCTTGCAATGTTCTCGTCTCCGGCGACTCCGCGGCAGGCAACCTTACGATAGGCTTGGTTCGATACTTGGAGCAAACAGCAGTGCTCCCGTTGCCTGCTGGTGCGATGCTTTGGTCTCCATGGACACACGTGACGAAGACAGCTGGGCAAGATTATCTGAAAGAGACGAACGCGGATGCGGATATCTTGGCACCGGAAATACTTCAATGGGGAGCAGATGTGTACCTTCCGGAAAACTGGCCATCTGAGGAGGTTGTTCCTTATGTTTCCCCTTTACACCATCCGTTCCGAACCTCCGTCCCGGTTTTCATCCACAGTGGAAAGGCTGAAGGTTTCTGTGATACTATCCGAGCGTTTGCAGAAGAAATGTCCCAGGTAGAAGGGAACCGTGTGAGGCTACACGAAACGGATTTAGCTCCACACAACTCGGCGTTTTCCCACCTCGCCACAGGGTTGACGGCGGCGATTCAAAGGGCCTTTGAAGATGCTCGAGATTTTTTCGATGACGAGTCTTGATGGAAGTGCATCTAGTTACATCAGCCCACGTCATGGTTTCTTGTTGGTGGTCGGTAACGTTTGGGAATCCTCGGAGGACTAGCAATGTAAATTTGGCTGCTTATAGAGTTTCTCAAATTCTTTTCATTGACACAGATGGAAAATACCATAGCTACAGGCCACTTAATGGTAGTGATATATTGCCTACTCTACTGGTTAGGTAGTTTTTGAAACTGCAAGTGAGGCTTACGATTCAAGACAGCAGCGGGGGCTAGAATCATCATCTTAGGGCTTCAAAATGATAGCATACATGTGCCTTTTTATTACTGCTGCAGTTTTAAAGCAACAAGCGCATCTGTAACCGGAGTCACAGAACTCCAGCCAAGCGTGCTCATTTGCAACGACTCAATGTATAGATCAAGTATCCTAGGCATGTGGCATGCACATAATGGAATGTTTCCGATAGACGCCTTGGCACGATTATCGTTCCAGAATCCGAGTTCCCCATCGTTTTGCAGCTCCATAAGATCGTAGACGGCTTTGACGCCTCGGTGAGTGTGCCACGTGTTGTCGTGCTGTGCGGATGATGTTTCGCAGAGGTCGCAGCTCAACACCGAGCGGCAGATGGCCCAAACGACTTGGGCGGCGCGGAAGAGACACGTCACTGTCGAGGGGCAGACGAGAGAGCGTGAGGCTTTGATTCCCAGAGCGGTGTCCTTGAACTGCTGAAGGATCTGCACCGCATGCCACAGAGCTTGTTTAGCGTTGGAAGATTTGGTCCAGAGTTGGATCCGGGCTTCGAAGCGGCGGATCAAGGATGGACTGTAGTTGTTTGTGCTCAGACCGTCGATCAACCGTTGGATAAGCGTGAGGTCTGCATACATGCGGAGGAAAGACATGTGATACTGCATCTTGGCAGTGAAATAGAACCAAGTTTCGGTGCTCTTGTCACAGAACCCGACATTGCGTCCGGTCAAGTGGTCCATGGTCGAGCGCCACATATCTAATTGCACCTGCCAGCTGAGCCCGTATCCGGCGATGCCCACGCTGGCCTGGCGGATGTCGAACGAGGGCGTGATGGAGTAGAGGGTCGTTTCGTGCTCATGCTGCACCTCTTCCCATAGCCGAGACTGCATGGCGACCACCCCGGTCTCGAAGTCTTCGGGGAGGAGAAAGGCCAAGTTCGGCCGGATTGTATCCGACAGTGCTTGCATGCACGTCAATGAGTAGGTCTTGTCCATTCTGCCTAGAGGCTCCCGGGCCAAAGCCAGCTCCCATTCTCCAACGGTTGTGGCATTCCATGCCGCCTCGGAGCAGGGGTAGTGCAGACACAACTCCGGTACGCGTATTGACGGCGGATAGTCGCGGAGCAGGTGCAAGTAGCAGTCGAGACGAAAGACTGCATATGCCAACCTAAGATTGGCCGAGTCAGCATCTGACATGCAGCAAATTTGGGCTACAAGTTTACCTCTTCTTTTGTTCACGAATGAGCCATCGGCTGACGTGGCTGGTAGACTTCTCGTCTTGAGCTACAACTCCCTCCACGCGGAAATACCCAGCTTCTCTGGTGCACATGGTCAGAGTTGGCAGGGCCATACCGGCCATTTTTACGAGTTCTGTCTCCTATGTGGACGATTTAGTATTCGATGGCCCGACTGTCCGATTTTGACCAACGTACTCCAATATACCAACCAAACAAGATATTTAGCAGAAGCGCTTGGAGAGTCTCGAGGTGTTCAATATCGCTCGACCGCTAATGGTTACAAGTTAGACCATGTAATCGGAGGCGTGAGACGCAGACTAACCTCTATGGCTTGTAGCAGCACCCGTTGAGACAACCATTTGTGCAGTCGTATTGAAGGAGCTCGCGAGTCAGGATCGCCCTCCAGAAGACCGCCTATCAAGCCAACCGCGTGCTGGAGCTCGGAGGTGCATTGGGACAGACTGAAACTCGCTTTGTGCAGTATCGGCCAGTGGTTGTGGAAGCTGGAAAAGTACCTATCAATCATTCGCTTTTCCAATATTGTAGCAGAGGCATGCCCTAGCTCGGCAGGTATCGGGAAGCTGGCAGTGGAATGGTTCCCAGGGGTGCCTACAGACATGCTCTCCCAGACTGTCTCGCCTCTAGACGAATGGAAGTCAAGTTGAGTCCTACTCTTGTGATGTAGTGCTGTTAATTCATCTATGTCGTATGACGCTTCTGACTGTCGACGATGCCCCGAGGCTGAGGAATTTGTATTTGGAGATTGTGCGAAGCTAGCCTGAAGGGATTCCTCCCAGGACTGGAAGATGTTGGGTCCAGGGGCGCTTGATTGGCTCAGACCGAGGAGTGCCAGGGCATCATTATTCGCGCCGTCGTGTCCATCATTTGCTGCTTGGACGGAAGCACGACGCCCACCCGTGGTGTCCGGGGGACCTATATTTCGTTCTTGCTGGAAGTTGACGGTTTGTGTATCGGGTAGCACATGTCCGGACGAAGGCTCAGGAAAGTTGACCTCATCTCGTTCACTTCCCCTATCAACTTCAGACCTTCCCTCTGAAGATGGATGTACCGGGCTAGTATTCTCCAGATTTAGCCTCTGCGAGAAATCATTCATGCTGCGAGTTTCATGGATGGTTGGAGAAGTGAGCTTATGCAGCCCCATGAAAGAAGTTTCTTGAAGACTAGAGCCAAACCCATCAATGGACAGCAGGTCCGAGATGCTGAATGAGCTACCAGCATGATTCTCGCGAGCAGTGTATCGCTCCATACTCTGGTTGTTTTCAGGTTCTGTTACATCCTGCTTTGGGTTTTCTCTCGGATGCTGTTCAGGCTGTGGTAGATTCAAGTTGCTTCGTGCATCATCAATGCCTTCGCTTCGGTTTCGTGGACTGTGGTAGGGGTAAGCCAACAACGACGTAACCACTCGATTGTCCGTATCTGCATTCGAACAACGGATAGTGATTTCTGCATCCGTGGGCAGCGACTCGTGCGGAAAGGGATCGCTATTGAGTATCCGCCGGGTTCGACGACAGACACGATTCGCCTCTCGACACCTGGCGCATTCCTCCTGGCCGTCGCATTTGACCTTCCGGCGGTGGCAGAAATCGCAAGCACTGGCGGCACGACTCAAAGGCGTGTGCTTGCTGTGGTGCAGAATGTGACGCTTCAGAACGTCGCTGCCGAGGTGAATTAGCAGAGCCAGTTCGCCATCCGATCTGGGCGAACCTCAAGCGACGAACCTGCGAGAGAACGAGCGGCTGCACTGACTACAGGAAAATGGCTTCGAATTGGTGTGTCTGCGCTCGTGGCGTATGAGATGCTCTCGTCGTCGGAAGGCGAGGCCGCAGTTCTGTTCTGAGCAGACAAACGCCGGCATAATCGCCGGGTGAGTCAGTTGGCCCAAGATGAGGAGTCGAGACTTTGACCGAAATCTGGGGAGAGTGAATCGAGTCTGGGGTTAGGTGGATTATTTATAAGCTCACAGAAATGCTTGGTCATATCACTTGATGGTTTTTGGACTAGGCGGGGGAGAGAAACGTGTTTTGTTACGGCAATATCCGATTCCACTCCCCCCGGATATCGATACCCTCTCCTTTACGAACGATCCTTGGCCTCTAGAAACTCCTGTCTCGGTAGTTCTTAAGATGTCGATTACATGGAGTTTTCTTACAATTGGCCAAGATTCAATATACATCATGTTGCGGGATATGTAATCCAAATAATTCCGATAATTAACAACTACTTGCTTGGAGATTGACTATGATCCTTCCCATACTTTAGATTATCTGAAACCAGCAGAGCTATTCCATATCCTGATGCTTGCCGATGATATTCTTTGAGGCAATCCAACCTCTGGCACGCTTCCCGAAAATGTACCTACAATCGTTAGTTGAGCACAATGATTAAAGATAAGGCGCACATACATGGGAACGGCAGTGAGGCAACATCCAACGGTGATGCCTCCTATCGCGAAGAAACAAGCACGGACGCCTTGGGTCTCGATCCAGCCATTTAGGTAGAAGACCAACCCAAAGGCAAACATGTTCTTGATAAAGTTCATGACGCCGATGGCCTCACTGGCGTGGTCACGGTGGCAGTCGACGACATACGTGATGACCCCGGTGGCGCCGAGCTGGATGCCCAGGTTGATCATACCAAGGCATACAACAACGGGAACCGGCCACGGGTCTTTGGCGTAGCTCGACTGCCCCCAAGCAAAGAATCCCGCGCCTGTGAAGGCAAGGTACGCCGCCATAATGGGGAGACGGAACTCTGGCTCTGTTACCGACCTTAGGTTAGCTGTAATATCCATCACTAAGTGATTGGGAGCCTACCGTAGATGCCACCATTCCGTTTCGCCAGGCCCGTTCCAAGCCAGTCGGTGAAAGGCCCGGCAATCACCATTCCCAGAACTGAGGCGATGAACGAGGAGGCGTTAATGGCCCCTACCGCAGTAACGGAGAAGTTGTAGGGCTCGGCCGAGAAGATTTGGGAGAGACTGATGGAGATGCCGACAAGCCACGAGATGCAGATGGAGAAAAGAATCGAACCCCAGAAGACTGACAGTGACACAACCATGATGAAGGGTTGAAATAAATGTTTCCAAAACGAAGCGTCGCTCTTGTAGCCGCTGTATGGCGCGAGGGACTTGGCCCAGGATTGGGGACGGATCGAAGCCTGATCAATATCGCCAGCGACGTGGCCGGATTCTTTAGCGGCGTCATCTACCTCTTCAACAGTGGACTGAATTTCTGAGCCTTCTTTGTCCTTCGAGGACTACGATTATTTCCCACTTGTTCAGTAAATCTGGCCTTTGTTGGAGTGAGCTTGATGTCAACTCACCTTGGTTTGCGCGTTCGAGGCTGTCTGTGTGTGCCGAGCAAAGGCGGTCTCCGGCATCCAGAAAATTGCCATAATCAGATGTATACCGAAAGCGCCGCCCATGGCGTACAAGGTAGCACGAAATCCTGCATATTCAATGATTGGCCCACCTTCAAGAAACACCATTAGTTAGCTATAAATGGGAGTAGGGGTGGACTGATGTCTACTGACTGATGACAGAAGCTAAATTAATGCCGCCGAGGACGCCGAGGTTGAAAAGAGAAGAACGGAAGCCTCTCTCGTGGACAAACCTATAGTCCAAGGCCAGTTAGTGAATGGTAGTTGCCTTGCGTGGCAGTCAGATGAAGGGCGAAGGCTGCTCACCATACGTCAGCAATGGAGGCGGGCACAAGGGCCTCAAGGGGAGCCATGCAAAATCCAGTAAACAGCCTCGAGACAAAGAGAGAAATCAGGGACTTGGAAGCGGCGGCCCAAAAGCAAGTAACCATCAATCCGAGGGTCGTGAAGAGATAGATTGGTCGCTTGCCGTACTTGACGGCCAAGCTGTTCCAAAACAGACTACCGAGTCCAATACACCCAATTAGGCCTCCTTGCATCCCAACGTTCCAAATCGTGAGGGAAACTTCAAACTGCTGCGACAGCTGGACGAACGCGGGGCCTAGTATTGGACCAACGGCTGTTTATCTCTCGTTAGAAGTTGGAACAGACAGAGGAGGCCACGGTGTTTACCTCCTACGGCGCCACAGCCGAACATGAAGGATATGGTGAAGAGCTCTTTCTTCCGACGGGGCCAATTGTAAGGATCGTTGGGATCGTCCGAAGGCTGTGGGACAAGGATGATGCCACTCTTTGGATCTCGCTTGAGGTTGGCGCGAAGGGAGGCTGCATGATCGTGGCTGTCTGGTGTCGCGTGCAGCTCGTTCAGAGTAGCAGTCCCCGGGACATGCTCGAGCTTGGTGTATTCGAGAACCCCCAGACCCATGATGGCAAGGATAGCAAATCTTGTTGTTGTTCCAGGCGATAGTTGTCGAAAGACTAGATTCGTACAATATGTGCAGATCAGGGGAAGTTGAACGGGGTTGCATTTCGTATTTATATTCCATTCCTTCGTGAACAAGCGTAGGGCACTTGGATGGTCGATCAGAATTCCCCATCCGGATCTCCAACCGAGTTGTGCAGACGCGGCATATACGGGGTAATAGTAAGGGGAAAAGCTAGAGTAGAAACAACGCGGCATCATCTGGGGTGAGTGGAACCACCGCTGTTCTACAATACCTATGCTACCTATGCTACTACGGAGAGGGGATAGTGAAACTGCATGGCTTCTTCACGGTGATTACCAAATTTCTCGTCAGCTGTTCCGGAGTTTCACCCCGCATTCGTGAGTTGCTAGGACAAGGATATCCCCCTCATCCTGACTTGCGCAGATATCCCATTACATCCTCGGTGGAGGACAATGTGTTGCTTGTCAAGTAGAAACAATCATCTTCCTAACAGGCCACTTCAATTTCATCTAATTAAGGGTTAGTCTTGCAGAATAATTCTATCAGCTTTATCTTCTCCTACGTTCGTCATGGTCGTTATGACCAGCCACAATAGCCGTCACTTCTGCGCACTGCCATGTTGAATATGATGAATCAAGATTAGTAGCTATCTAATGGGACCAACCCGTCTCTCCGTTGTGTAAATACGCCTGCCCCAGCTTCAAAACTTGGCTATTCTCCTCTCCGAGCCACTCGGGCTCCAAAGACTGAAGACGATCTTCAATTTCATAGGCCTCTCCGCCACCAACGAATATGATTTTCCCGTGAAAGGGGAGCTTTATCCCTTGGTGATTCTTTTGAGATTGCGCCCTATTGGCAGTCGCGCAAATAAGAATGGCCCTGGCAACATCTGCAGGGTCGTTGACCGGCAGCTTGCGTTCGAGCCATCCCGACTCGATGCCCTTGGTCATTCCGGTCCCTGCTTGCAGTTAGCACATATTATTGTCAGCAAGATGCCTCAGTGGCGTGTTTACTCACGAGTCATCCAGGGACAGACTACATTGATTCGGATCCCTTCCGGGGCATTGATTCGCAGGCCTCTCAAAACTCCAATTACCCCATGCTTGCTGGCCACATACGGGGTCAGGTAAGCCGTCTCCTTGAACCCTGCGATGCTGCTAGTCATGATGAGATCGCCTCCACCGCTTTTCCGCAAGTAGTGCAGCCCAATTCTCGCCGTGAACATGACTCCAACAAGGTTGATGTCCACTTCCCGCATCGACGGCTCGACCTCGATGTCGTCGCTATCGTCAAAGCAGTCGCTATAGCCGACGATGGCAGCGTTTGCAACGACGACCTTGATGTTGCCAAATCTGTTATGTGCTTCCTTGAAGAGGGAGAGCTGGTCTTGGTAAGATGCAGTGTTGCAGCGGACAAATACGCATCGAGAGTCGAGGCTCTTTTCTAAGCTCTCACCTGCCTCTACTGCTACGTCGCCAATCACCACGTTGGCACCGTGTCCTGCGGGTTCTCTTAGTATTTCTCTCTTCCGTATTTTGCGACAGGTATAAAAGGGGTGACAAAGCAAACAATCTCCATACGGTGAGCTTCAATGACAACTTCTCTCCCAATCCCAATTGCACCACCGGTAATAACCATCGTAACGCCCTCCAAGGCCAGAAAGGCCTCCGGGTTGGCGATTATATGCGTCATTGTGTTTAAATCTCACGGTGGCTGGCAATGTATTGTGAAATGGTTGCGTATGTAGTTTAACTCGAGAAGACATAAAGATTCCGGTAGGTCAATTTTATCAACGACCCCTGCAGCATCCGGGGACCCATTGCAGGACGCGGCATCAGTGGGGGAGCGTCTTCCGCATGGAGAAACCGCTTCCCAATCGCTCATAATAAAGGGGCAATCCCGGTAGCCAGCAAAAGCTATCCCGACTGCGGATAGCAAACAACCCTCCATAACCGGCATCTACTAGTCTCAGTTTGTCCTTACCTTACACTCGCCAAACATGGAGTTCTTAATCGACACCAAGACCTTGACTGGACTGAAGGACAAAGTCGTCTTCATCACTGGAGGTTCCAAAGGGCTGGGGCTGGCAGCCGCCACTCAATTCGTGGAACTGGGTTCCAAGGTGGTCATTGCCGATTTACAACCACCATCCAGGCCCCTTGAGGGCTCCGTCTATTCCTACTGCGATGTGACGAAATGGCCCACGCTCCTCGCAGCCATGCAGGAGACAGTCCGGCTTCACGGATCACTGGACGTCGTGGTTGCCAATGCCGGAATTGGCGAGGTCGAGGATGTCTTCTTTGACGCCGTGGACGAATTCACAGGAGAGCTACAGGAGCCAAAGCTATCCGTCATAGACGTGAACCTGAAGGGTGTCATAAATACAGTGAAGATAGGCATCCACCACATGCGGAAACAGCCAGGTGGCGGCGCCATCATCATGACATCGTCCTCTGCCGGGTACCTGGGAGAAAAACTGATACCGGCATATAACGCCGCTAAGCACGGGGTACGTCTAAGCTGCACCAGCTTTCCTTGGCCGTTGAAACGCCAGTATACTAACAATAGGAATGATGAAAGGTCGTGGGCTTGATGAGATCCCTGAGAGCAACCACGGAGAAGTTCAACATTACCGTGAACGTGGTGGCGCCATGGATGGCCGAGTCAAATCTTATCCAGGATCAAATCCGGCAGGTTCTAAAGGAAAACCATGTTGAAATTACTAATGCCGGCAAGGTTGGGAAAGCCATGGCCTACCTTGCTTGCAGAGGGTTGAATGGGAAGACAGTCTTTGTTGGCAGGAATCACTTTACCGAGCTAGAAGACAAGATTTCCGAGCTGGAGCCTCAGTGGCTCGGCCGGGAGAATTCCAAAGCGTGGCGGGCAACGAACCAAAGCAACTATTTCTACAATCAGAGCTGTTTATAGATATGAATCTGGCAAACCACAGTTCTCCCTGGAACATAGGAGAGAAAAATAAGACACATGCACACCTCGATGGATGTTATTCTAGGCTTCCCTATTTATATAGAAAAGGTATTATCTTTGAGCTCTATCCCTCTTGTCTGTTTGGTTGCCTTACTGTCTTCCCTACCGCCTCCATGATCTGCATCAGCTTAAGCGTCAAATGAGCCATCTCTGCATTCCAAAAATTCTTCTGCACAACACTAATGATGACCCGGAGCACGGTAGCTGGATGTTCGAGGAAGACAGCCTCAGACCCGGAGGTTGCTCCATCTTGCCCTTCCCCCCGGCTGCTGCGGATGCAGGCCCTGCCACCTCCACGCTCGACGAAGCGCCGTAATTTGATTGTCTCCTCAGGATCACCCAGGTAAACGACTGGTTCAGCACAACTACTACTTTGCCGGGAGCCCGACCACCTCGGCCAACCTTCCCCAGTTCCTCTGCCAGGACGCACAGAACGCAGTTGACGATCGCTTCCCTGTCTTCGTGGGTGAGTGGTCCATCGAGGCTGCGTCCAACAACACGCTTGTCAGTAGACCTCGGAACTTGAACACTGGCTTGAAAGCATGGGCCCAGTATACGCGGGGCAGCAGCTTCTGGACCTGGAAATTTCGCGGCAATGTCCCAGTGAATGGTGAGGGTACGCAGGCCAAATACTGGAATTGAGGAGTATGTAGATGCCGGTTTCATTGACGCGGGGACAGGTCAGGAGTGTACTGCCACCAACTGAGCCTAGGCAGACAGAACAGAACCAGGAGATATTTAGCGGATAGCCCTTAACACAAGATAAAGACATTTCTCCCCTGGAAAGATTGTGCGCCTTTCGGTGCTACTAGTGTTAAATCGTGGAGCATATAGACTCGCTCTCCTAACTCGTAAGAAAATATGACAAACTGCTTAACTTGATCACTAAGATCCCCCTCCTTCACCCTACAATAACCTGGATCCGAAAAACTCCACGCAATGGTACGCCTTCCGCGGTGACGAACGGAAGCCGCACTTCGGAAGCAGGATTCCGCAAGCGGAAGCGGGCGGCTGTGGTTAGATTTGCTAAGCTACCGCCACGGCTATCCACCATCATCTACAGAAGCAAGCAACAAACGAGGAAAGCACCAGCAAAGTATTCTTCGGAACTCGTGGGGTATGAATCTCCGTACATGTCCACGTGTACACTGATGGAGGGTAGGCTGAGCCGTTGGGGTAATGTCACAAGTGAGCATCCGTGGCTTGCCTTACTGAGGCAACAGCGGAGGTTTCGGTTCTCTCAGCCTGCCCTATGTGTCGCTTCTCTGCTCTTCTTGCTCTAGTAGATGCTTCTCTTCACTCCTCATTCAGCTTGTCAACATCCTCCCATAGGGCGCTGATAATCAGTTTGACTAAAACAGCGCCCTGCATTAACTCTCGAGCGAGCTCGATTTAGGTTCGTTCTTAATCATCGCATATCGTGCCTGCATTGCTCTGTAAATGGCAATGATGCCTAGCCTTTTAGGTTTGACAAGCTTCAGGCCAGTGCAAGCTGGTTAGGGAAAGCCTATGTTGGCAGTCCAACCGTATGTTAGATTAGATAGTCAGCCAATTTCAATCAAACTTTCAAGGGTGATTTTACAATTTACAAATGCAGTCACTCCGAGACATCTACCACATCTTGGTTAATAATTTCATCACGATGATGATTCTAGTACCCGGGGGCACTGTCCGAGGAAGAGCTGGCCATAGTGGCGGGAAGGGAGTTGATTGCAGAGCCAGGGACTGCGGCTGCGATAGAGTAGGGGTATGGTGGCGTTCAGACTCTATTTTTTCACGTTATTACGTCTTACCGATCAGCCTGAATACGAGTATTTAATCTCTTCATGACCTGGAAGCATGTAGAAGAACATGCAACGATCTCCCAGTCCCCAAATCCATTGGGCTTTTGGATTAACCCTTGATTGGAAGCTACCCTAGAAGAAGCATTGTACCTCTAGCATTGCAATATGTTTCCTTCTTTCAAGAAGATCGATTTCAGCACGGATTTGCCATTGATACAAAGGCTGTTTCAAATCAGACAGCTCATGACAGGAGTCGTTTTACTGTAGGCTCATTACGAATAAGTCAAATCTCGAGCAAGGATACAGGACTATTTTCCATCCCAAACATTGTGCCATTCGTCGTTATCATAAGACCTTTAATTAATATTGGGTAATCCACGCCAGTTCCCTCCCCAAAGATCACGGAGACATCCTGAAGGTGTCACACAACTTCCAGACTGCATTGGAGTTAGTACACTTGTTTATGTTGATACCGAGGGAGAGGCTCCGTAATGCAAATACCCAACTCAAAAGAAAGCCGGGTTTGCACTGGCACCCAACAAAACACGCTGCAAAGCAAGCGCCAGGAGTAGGGTCATCACATGTACCCTGACATGTGCCGCAATCAGTCCAGACCTCGTTAGTCTAAGGCGCGATGGGACATGTTAGATTTGTATGCATAATTCGCGGTGACATTACAAACGTAGAATCGTGCTTACCGTGCATTCATACTTTGTAGGACTGCCCGGACGAGGCTTTTCCCGCTCAATCGTTGAAGTCGATGATTCGACTTCAGGGAGCGGGAGCGGGTCATGGTCCATATGAGCGGGCATGGCCAATAGTCCACGGACTGTGCACAAGAGAACAACAGCAGCTTTCATGTTGTTTTCTTCCTTCCAACGCGAAATGATTGATCCAACACGACTGCGGTTTTGAGTGAGCAAATATGAAATCGAAGTACAGGATATCGGACAGCAAGGCAACGTGATCATTTATGCTGTCTGGGCATACGGGACAGTTTGAGTGTAAAGTTAAAAGTAACAAAGAAGATGCCAGAACCCAACTTCTCAACACAATGAATACGAGAGTTTGAAAAAGCTTAAGAACAAGTAGGGCACCTGCTTTATCAATATTAGCAGCCGCTTATATATGCATTAGCAGTTCTCGGTCCATAACGGTGGCACTGATACGAAGAGAGGAAGGGACCAGAGAAGATAGCTTCAATAGAAATGCTTTACACCTTTCAGAACACAGTTTAAGAGAACAAAATGGGAGATACTGTCTGGGGGTATCCACTGTGAAATTACTCCAAGACATTATGAATCACCTTCCGCGACTGGGGAGGCGCTCAAACCAAACTAGCCAGTGCAGGAGGCTGGGTATCTTGTAGCCCAGATGTAACTTCTGTCTTTATCTTGGCCAAATTTTAGAATTTCAATTCATGCTATGGGACATTTAGGCTATCCGACCAACAACAAAATATATCTGAAAGGTTGAGAGAAGTAAACAATGAACAATATTCATTGGCGAAGACCATCAACAGGCCTGACTGCACCAATTCCGGGTCACAAATTATCATTAAGTGGGCAACTTTCTCATCAGTGCAAATAAACAGAAATTCGTTTCTCGTATCAAGCTCCGGGCGAACGCGCAGATTCAAAGTTCCTAATGGCGGAATGAATTGCCTTCCAGTCATAATCTTCTGAACCATAGACTCGTTGTTTTCTCAGCAGCATACCCGAGCAATTATCAATCGCGGGGAGCTGGTTCCAAGGTCTACTACCAAACAGTATGTGCCGCTTCCGCAGTCGCCAAGTCCCTCGCTCATTTGGCTGCTCTCTCAAGTCCTTGGAGTCCGAGGTAAGGATCGGATATATGTCTTCAGGTTTTGCATCAACATCCACCTTCGTCTCTAAGTCCACAAGGTGGTCATTGGGTTTTTCAGGCTCGGATGATGGGTCAAACGGCTCAACAGCCCAAGCCCGTGGCACCCAAGCGGGCAGATGCGCTATTGCAACAGGGACAGCGACCCATGATCTGTTGCTTAATGACTGGATGATGCCAAAGTCTCCTCGTCCAGTCGCTAAGTGTCGTGGGCCTGCGGTTAAAAGAACAAGTCGAGGGTCCAAAAGGCATGTGAAGGATTTGACCAATTCTTGAATGTCGATCGTCTCCTTGTCCGAGATATCTTCAGAAGCGGGAAAATGAGCGAGAAGTGACTTGGATGCTTCTGTCAATCGGGGATCCGTGGCCTCCCCTAACGTGCCATGAAGCCATGTCTCTTGAGTAGCTTCGCGCATAAGTTCTGGGAATCGAAGCGTCCATTCAAGACCACAGTCAAGGGCAATAGCAATCCAAAGGGGGACAAGCCTCTCCAGTACTCCAGCAATGCCCCCAGCTCGCTCAAATTCGCCCTTTACCAGCCCGACGCTGTTTTGGATGGTTTCGTCAGCCGCGGCCAGAAGCGCCTTGCTAAAGTCTAGTAGGTGGTACTCTTCTACAATTTTAGATGCCACTTGTAGAGATTCATTAGTAGCTGCCCTTGGCGGCTCATTGAATACAAGGAGATCGAGCTCGACATAGTCCTGTGTGGCTCCAGTAATTGATTGCGGGAATGGCGTGGTTGTACTTTCAGGGATATGGTCAACGACACCTTGCAACGGACGAACAACCCATGAGACTTGAGATGCGTCATTGGAAGCATTCCTGATTCTCAGCTTGGCCCCATCTATGAAAAATGGCGTAACGTCGTTGCAGGCCAGCACAAGGATGGAAAACGTCCAGATGATGTCTTCCACGGCTGAAAGGTTCCCAGTAAAGGACAAGGGGATGCCGGAGGTGTTTAGCGCAATTGAAATCAAATCCTGCTTATGACAGCATTGAAATGAAAGAATGCTGACCAAATGCTGCATCATAGAGATATCGGAAAGGCTCTCTGGGACAAGACGCAAAATCCTCCACCAACGCTGCTGCAGGGATTCCGGCTCTGGATCGTTCAAAGCATCGCTGATTTCCGTCCCTGTTCTTTGAACCTGTGGCTCCGAATCACTTAGGTACATGGCAACATAGTTGACGCAGCGGAACTCAAACGATAAAACTCGTCCATCATGGCCGTAACATAGGAAAAGGGGGTTGTTTATCTTTAAATGCGGTGCCACGCGGCTCTCGTGCGCACACCAGGCTCGAGAAAACCAACGGCCACCGAGGATCCTGGAGCAGAATCGTCTCGCAGTTGCTGAGATATCTGCCCCAGCCTCAGATTGGAGCTCCCTCTCCCGGCGGGGAAAATATCCCCTCATGAATGTGCGCTTATCTTCGACTCCCACGACCTCACGAGTGAGGTCGTGGTAGAAGCCCGTATACACAAGACCTGCCCTCTCTTCCTCCTCGGTAAATTGGACGTCCTCCAGCAGAATAATCACACGCCGTGCAGAGCGGTATATGGTATCCATAGCCCCAATATGCACCTTCTTCTCCCTCGTATCCTTCTGGTTGATGCAAAGTTTGTCCAGCCAGACGCCCTCATCTGGGTCGCTTCGCAGGCCCATTACTGCCTTGATCATGGGCATTGAAACCTCCCATCCAGGAGCTATTGGGTGTGCCGCCTCGGCCATTTTCCACTCGGGGTAGTGCCAGCAATAGCTTACTACGATGAAAGATAATATTTCCCCAGAAGCTGGTCGTTGCGACGAAATCACGCGCATCTGCAGCTCCGCGAAGAGATCCTCCTTTGGTTGGAACTGGTTTCCCACTTCAGGATTGAGCTCTGCAAGTCGAGACAAGATAGTCTCAGCCTCTCCTCGACGAGACTGGATTGAGCTGAGTGCTGTTGAGAGTAGGGAGAGGGCGTTAGGCAGGGGCACATCCACTACCACATGACCAAGTTCAGCAACGACCTTGGTCATGGAGTCCGAATAGACACTAGTCATATTGACTAAAAGTTGGGATGTGATTCCTGTAAACTAAGGAGTCTGGATAGAAATGTTTGAATTGGTATGGTCCGACCTCATGTTCTTGCATCAGTCAAGGTGCAAGCGTCAAGCCTGCTATCACACCAGACGCAGAGAGGGGCTGAATTGACGCATCCTGACAGGCACTCCGTTAGGCTGATTCATCATGAGCATTTAGCCTACCTTGACTTACCTAACTCAAATTTGGGTTGTGGAGAAGAAGAGATGCCATATCGATAATGTATGACAAACTATTAAAACTTCAGTCCCCCAAATATCAATTAATATTGTGTGTGAGAAAAGGGAAAACAAAAGAAGATTCGTACATCTAGGCTAGCATTAGTATCTTAGAAACTACTTAAGAAGCGAACTACACTAACATGCACCACCCAGCCAAGATCGTAATTGTTCTTAGAGGAGCATTTCTAGTTAATATTTTTAGACAATTTGCCCATGCAAAAATTTCAAATTCGTTAGTCTATGTATTCTATTGTGCGTCATTAACAAAATATATCAAAACGATACCCGTCATCGCTATAAATGCTACATCATATTGTCGTCGACTGTTGTTCCGGTCTCCGATATAAAAAGACAACTCTGTCCTTGAACCAGCCTCCCAAATCTTACAAAGTCAAGCCCCCCCGGCGTGCTGCTTAGTGTTTGTTGTGCTTCTTGCTATGCCTGTATTTCAACAGTTAGTTGCCTGCGCTACAGTGCATGAGGTATTTTGTGCGGTATAAATGCTCACTTCTTCAGCTTGTTCTCGAGTAGATTGGCGCCAATGGCACCTGCAGCAGCGCTGGCAAGGGTGCCGAGCATGCCAGTGCCGCTCTTTCGAGCAGCCCATCCGGCGGTGCCACCTCCAACGAGTGTGGCTCCAAGTCCACGTTCGCCATCGGGACCGGGTGCCATTTCATGCTGGCCCTGGCCTGCATAGTGTGCTCGGTTGTCGTACCCGTGCTGGTAGGTCTGAGGGTAACCACCCTGGCCTTGGTTGTACGTGGGCTGCTGGGCATATGTGGGTTGCTGAGCGTATTGGGGCTAGAATAAAGAGTTAGTACTGATAAAGCAATCTTGAGTCTGTGAACAAATAATTATCTCACCTGTTGAGGGCCGTTGTAGGAGTTGGTGTATCCGTAGTAGCTCTGGTTAGACATGTTGGATGATGCTGTAGTGTTGGAAGTTGGTGGAAGTAACTTGTTGGTTATGAGACTTGTTGGATAGTTTGATAAAGTGTTTGATGTTTTGGATGATGAACAAAAACAGATTCACCATGGATTCCATGGGGTATTTATCTTTCCCCATTCTATCAATCCCCATCTCCTCGGGCCGTCATGTCGGACTGAGTTCGGACTGCTTCAGAGATGGTTTTGTCGCTCTGAGTGGCGCAGCTGCAACCAAGTGGGGCTCTCTGCGTGGCTTGGCCGAGCTTAGCCCTGTTAGTCAGCGGGGGAGCCACTCAAAACCTTCTAGAAGCCCCACAGAATTCTTCTAGCCTATCATGCATTGTGGCTTTGAGATCACCTGGAGGCGGAAGAAGACGAATATCATCTGCCGAGCCCCTTCGGCAGCGTTGGCACAGGTGGCTTAGGCGATCGGCATCGGCACGGTATTCGCGCTCTCTGGCAAGGCGAAAGCGATTGGCTGTGTCGCATGATTCTACTCCTCTTGGTATTAAGCTCGTCACAAGGCGCGATGTGATGTCATTCACAAAGGTTAAACTTATTTTTAGAATGCGATTCAAAGAAATGCATATCGGCCCCAACATGATATGATAGCCATGGCTATGCGGCAGCTCATAGTATGATTTGTAGGTGTTCGCTTTTGCCCTTGCCCGGTTTTTTCCAAAACTAGTGCACGAAGGAAATCGGTGGCTACCTCGCTGCGACGCGCCTCCAATTACGGCGGCAAGTAGGTGACATTGAAATTGAGACACTCAAAATATTGGGCTGGTTATTGTCGGGTCTGCGACCGATATTGTTAGATTATTGAGTGCTAGTAATATATACTGTACAAATAATGCACTATATATTGTCGCTTTATTTCGATTTGTACTACTGAACTTCTCTCTTCATTTGTAGAAAGTAGTCTGTTCTATTAGGTGTCTCATGTCTCCTGTCCCCCACTTGAGCGCCTTGTGAGACGCTGTGATTAACAGTTCTTGATCTCTTAGTCTGGAAATGTTGGGTGTTGATGAGTTTACAACCAAAGCAATTAATAAAGTAGGGAGGGGAGTATTTAGGTGACTACAACATATCTATTGTGGTCCATCCGCCGTGGCACTAACCCACCAAGCCCATAAGAATGTCGATGTAATCTTTTGTATCGAACCTTTGGGTTGCTTTCGACTAATCAGCAGTGTGTTTTCAACACACAGCACAATATAAGAATCATGTCCCAACCCTGCTATCCAAACCGAAACTTCACCAAGCTTCTGATGTATTCATCTCCTAGCTAATCCTTGAGGTTTTCATTTTATAATAATAAGCTATTTCCAGTTATACTCCCGAAGGAGACTAACTACCCGCATGGCAACGACAAAGGGATACGATACGGAATTTGATTCCGGACACGGCCGAGCGATTCCATAGCCTGATCATACGCCATGCTGTCGAGCAATGGCGAGGGACCCCAGTAGCGCACTCACGGAGATCACCATAGTTGAAACTACTACCGGGGTTGGGGAATTTCCGATTTCCGACTGCGAAGTGGTGATGGTCTTTACATTTGTCTATTAAGGAACCAAATGTGACCCTTTCTTGTAATTCAACAGCTACGATGCACCATTAATATTCACCCTCATTCCTTTTATTCATGCTGGTGAATTTTAGATAAGCTTTTGTTGTAGATGGAAAGGAAACAAAAGATCACATGTCAGCCTGGTTAATCGGTTGCACGGAATAGATTCTTCTTCAAGTGCCCCTTTTCATCCCGCCATGATCCTCGGCAAGAAAAGATTGATTGTGGATTCGTCGCAAGGATTCAGTCACCGCAAACGGTTTCGGACTCGGACTCTCCGTGGCGGACAAATGTGGAGGTCCAACCAAGCTCCAATCGGATTTGCGATGTTACTAACAGAGCTCTTGGTTCGTAATGAAGAAGAACTATAATTAAACGTGCATACGCAAGGGGTTATTAGTTCTGGATATATCATTCCAATCTTGCTGAAGGGCAGACATCCCTGTGATAAGACTTCCATGTTCCGTTTGGCTTGATTTCGTGATTTCTGGAGGCCCACGCTTTCTTTCCAGGCTGTTTTTTTGCGAAATGCATTCTGGCAAATAAATCTCCATTTCAAAGTTTATAACTATTGCATCCTAATAATCCATTCTTCACGCTTTCTATCCCAGTATGCCATCAAAATACCATGTACCCTTGAAGAGCGAATCCCCTTCCTCTCTGTGAAGTACAATAACTAAGACTTGGAGAACTCAGACCTAATAACACCTCCAACAGCGCCAAGCTCAGTGAGATTGATGCTTCGCGCAAAAGGAGTCCAACCCTTGGGGAAGCGCTCCTCCTCGTACCAGATCTTGACCCAGTCCTTTGGTGCCTGGATGTTATAGATCTCCTCTGCTGGTGCTCCCGCTGCAGGGAAGGTTCCATTGTTCATAGCGATGAGGGTGAGAGAGCTCTCGCCAAACATGATTGTCCAGATCGTCTCGGTCAGATTGGGGCGTCCGGATTCCAGGAAGGTTCGGCGGCGGCCGACTCCGGCAGAAATGACATCGAGGTATGGATGAGGGCTGTCTGCAAGCATCGCGTCTACGCGTTCGGGATCGACATGTAAGCTGTCGCCTCCGGGTTGATCGTGACGGCTCAGAGAAGCAGGGTGCTCGAGACGGCCGGGCGTGTTGAGTGTTTCGAGATCCAGGGTGTCGTTGGCAGGGTTGAGGCCGAACACCTGGAAGGCACCGCTGGCGAGGAACTGGCCGACGGATGGGTCAAAGTTGAAGGCCTCAGTAATGGCCGAGACGAACGTAGACATCGATATCTTCTTACCATCGTGAGGGCTAATTCATTATCCGGGTCAATGTTCTTCCTATTTTCCAACTTGATTAGAGGAACCGCTTACAGATAACCGTGATTTGCCAATGTGTTGAGCCCAGGGCACGGGCTGCGGGAATCTGAAGGGCCAGCCGGAGCCCATTCTTTGAGGGCAGCAGCGGCTGATGCGAACTGAAAGAGAGAGAACGCCTTCATTTTCGGGATATTAATTTAGGCCGAAAGTAGGTTAGAAGTCAAAGGCCATTCGAGGAAAATGAGAGCACAATGGTGATTCCCACTCACCTCAACCGAGGCTTTGCCCCTCATTTATATCATTCACTGGGTCAAAGGCCAACCCATCACCCTTGCACATGTCTCCGTGCGGAATTCAGAATGAGTTCAGGTAATTACCGGATTAAAGTCCACATCAACAGAAGTGTTTTGATAAGGAGCATGGCCCTCGTTTTTGCATGGAACTGCCGAAAGCATCGAGCAGGGTCAAGGGATCTATATATTGTCCCAGGGCCCGCCCGAAGAGCAGCTCGGAATCGCCGTGCACCACAGAACATGGTCACCTCTCATAATTTGATTCCTTCCCGCGTTTCATGTGTTCCTCATTAGTAAAAGGCCTACCGTGATACGCCAAACACGGTGCCCTTAGTGCCAGAATAAATACGTTTTCACCAAAATGTCGAGGACTGGACGAAATATGATGTGTGCTAGTCACAGTAATTATGATGTGTGCAAGTCACAGTAAATACGATGTGTGCTAGTCACAGTAAATGCCGTATAGCAATGACTGTGTCATCTTTTACAGTCCTCCCCCTCTGGTCTATATATCCATTATATACTTCGAGCAGTGGTTGGGCGTCCTTGGAGTTCACGAGACAGTTTCGAAAGAAGCGTAAAAGTGCTAACCTGAGGCCTTTGCTTTGTTAAAATCAAACAGAAATTGCTTAATACGAGCAAACAGTTTTGTGCTGGCTATCTCATTTTCCGATTCCCAGGCTCCTGAGTTCCTTGACTAATAAAACACTCGCTGATCCGCACACTCAATATCTTGAAAACTGAAATAAAGCATGGCATACCAAAGCCTCAGCCTTGAAGTTCGATATGATATCAAAATAAGAAACCAAGGTTTCTACCCTGCACGAAAAGAACTTCTGGTGTGCCATGTTTTACCCTATCTCTTGCCTGATCAAGCACAACAATAGATAACTGTGGTCTGGTCACAGGTGGTTAACATAGGTACAGATATGTTGCCACCAAACCGCATTTCACACAGCTTTCCACTTTCTTATTTATTTGACATCAAACCCTATCCAGTCATAGACCATCTTAATCCTGGAGACCTTTCCCCCACTAGTTACGGCAACGTTTCGCACATAGCGCCGTTGATTATTTATCATTTGGAATCCCCAAACTTCGTTCGCGACCCAACCGCGCTCAAAACTTTCCACCCGGCATAGTATATGAGTGCGTCCATATGGGCCAACTCCCTCAATCTCATTCTCGAGTCAACCAGCTTTGAGGTCATCACCACCCAGCTCTTCGTACGAAGCCCGCTTGGCTTTTCCTCGCACTTTTCCAAAGAGCCAATCCGAGTGCTCATGCCACTCATTGGTCAAACACCGTTTCTCTGTCGTTCCTTTCAGATTCTTCGTGAGAGTTTGTTCAATGTTTATATGAACCACGTTCTCGTCAGCTTCTGCTCCATGGAATACTTCAGCAGGAAGCGAGTATTGCGTAATCTGGAGCGTGATAGTGGCAGCTCTGATGAGTTTCTGGGTCATCCACCCAACCCCTTGCAGAGAGAGCGTAGGATCAGTCGGGTCAGAGAGCTTTGCATTCTGCGGAAATGTTAAGAATGTCCCGAAATGTCGAAGCAAAGGTGGCAGAGGGGTTGGCGGTTTACTCACCGAATCCATTTGCCGTTGAGGTCAGAGATATTTTTGCTTTCAGGAGCGGACATCTTCGTTGTGACAAAATAGAATAGATGGGTTATAACCAAACCGTTTTAAGGCTGCTTCAAAAATCAAGTTAGGGAGGTGCAAGTGAGTCTATCTATACCACAAACTAAGAAGGTGTCATGAAAGGGGATCGCTTTCACACCTTACCATGAGCGGGATCAATCCACTGACGGGTGCAACCCGACCAGAAGGCTACAAGGGCTTGGAAGCGGATGTAAACATCCGGATTTTAATTTTCTATCGGAATTGGGCAAGAAAGTGAGCAACAGAATTCCTGTTGTAGAGCGGCGTGCTAAACTTCCGAGCCTGACTACATTCCTTACCTTCACTCTACGTGAGTTGGTCATTTCGAGAACGTATAAGCGCACTGTCTACCAATACTTGCAGACATAACACCAAAAGATGAACTTTTGCTCATGGCCTTCATCACGAATTAAAATACCATGATGAAAATAACAAAGAAATGAAATCTGTTTCTATATATTAATCTATCCTAGGGGCCGTCACATGTACCGTCACGAGAGACGTACAATTACTATGCCATAATACACAATGCAAGCCCACGGTTTCTGGGCGAGATGGGAACTAGCCATGATAGGGACATACGTGAGGATTTGTCCGAAGGGGCAGACTTAGCTCGACAATACTGACTTTACCCAAGCCTTCATGCCTTCCGTACATATACCTGGGACTCCTTGCTGTCCCTCTATGAGAATGAAGTAGTGCGCTTGCTCTTTCTGTAAGATAAATTCGACATTAATTTTGGGATTAAACTTTATGACGCCTTCCGTAAATGCAACGATTTGATCTTTCATCACTTCTTGCTCTCCAGCGGTGATGTACAGATGCCGTACTGCTGTATCAAGCCCCTGAAAGCAAGCTGTACCTGAATCGATAGGGAATGCAAGCTTGCCAAGGTCGCACATGGAACAGCTGTTATGGTTGTCCCCCATGAGATATGCGACGGATTTCTTCACGGTATGCGAGGACAGTATCTCGATGCGCTCGTTAAATTGATATGAGTAGTCATTAGTATGTCTTGAGAGCCAAGGCGAAACCATGAAAGCGGCTTGTAAAGGTCGTGATGTCTGGATAGGAGGCAGCAGCGCATTCGGTCTAGCTATTTGGCAAAGAAGTTGAGCTGCCGAAATGCCACCTGCCGAGTCTCCACCGAGCAAAATCTTCTCTGGAGGAAATCCAGATGATAATAGGGTGTTAACAGCGCCTATTGCTTGCCGTAGCTGCGTCGGAAACCTTGCTTCAGGACAGAGGGTATATTCAAGAACGGCGACGGCAACTTTTGTCCCTGTCTCGGCTCCGGCTGCCAGAAACACGTCACGGCACCAGTTCAGATGACCTTTCAAAAGGGGGGCAATGTAACCTCCACCGTGGAGGAAGCGTACAACTGTCGAGGCTTCATTATGATCACCTAGCCATAACAAAGATCCTCCATCTTCCTCCATTGCCTCAACAACGTGGCCTAGCTGGTGTGTAGGTACCGTGATTGCTTTGAGATTGTATATCTTAGCACTGGCTTCTGATTGTCACGCGTTAAACGTCTCCCTTGTCGATGATGACAAGCATTGAATCTGCCTTGCTTCTAACCGGTAGAGGAAGACTTTGGCCATGGCAGAGAAGAGGAATGGTCGCATTGGGAGTCTGCGTAACCAGGCAATCACGAGGCAAGGGACATGTTTTGACAGTATGTCAAATGGTACTTCATAAATGTTAGCTATGGACGAAATAGCGAAAACAGTGACCATACCAAGGCATGTGAGAGTGATGAACAGACGGCATTTCTGAGACGGGGAAAGTTGATAAGCCATAGTGTCAGCAATTGGGTTAACTAGGTAGCATTCGAATGAAGGGAAATAGGTTATTTCTGGATTTGAGCTGGGCGAAGTCTAAGGCAAAACGAGGTGACAAACCATTAAACCAACGAGTCGACGGTGATTATGACAGACTCGACACTAAGAATTGGAGGAATACACAACTGATCAATCTACTCCTGAGACAATGTTGAGCTCTTATCGGCATGGTCCCGACGCGGTCATTACGCTGGCCTCCAGTTCCACACCCCCTTAACGGCTCCCTTCCGACGGACCCTTTACATCAGTGTCAGCAGCCAGTGTCGAATTATTACATGGATACCATCTTATTTCACACTTAGTCAAGGTGATACTTGGCTAGCGGAGTAGATGAGGAACGGGTCATGTCAAACACAGAATCCAAACTCCTCCTCCGAGTTTAATAAAACTCACAAATTTCGCCATGTCATGAGAGCCGCAATGTTTGTATTGGAACACTAGAAGTAGAATATTAAGCGATTAACCTTTTCATGCAGATCCGGAACCGTGCCGACGAACTGAATCGTATGAGCTAACGGGAGAAGTCCGAAATGAAACATTGTGGCGGGACCTGCGTTCGTATAGCTCTCCCTTACCCCTTTGAAAACAAATATTGGATACCAATTGACGACGTCAGGGTTGCACTTGATCATTTGTCCTGAATTTGTAACGCTGCGATCAACAAGTGCCCCCATCTGCCGTCTTCTAGTCCTGTCCATAATCAAACAAAGGTCGTCAGTAGGATTCGACAAGCACTGCGAAGTCGGTGGACAGTCGCTCACCCAGCCATCCTTCACCTTCATCATCGATATGGAGCTTGGTATGAGGAGGACGAGGACGAGGACGCTTTCCCTAGATCCTAAAACAAACCTCACTCGCGACATTGCGCACAGTTCTGGCCATGCCGATCAAAACTATGAAGACTGGGAGCTACGGTCTATGGTGGAAAATTATGTTGGCCGAGACCAAAAGTCTGGATATCCAAAGCGCGGGCTAGGTGTCACTTGGCAAAATCTTACTGTCCAAGTCGCCAGTTCCGATACAGCCATCCACGAAAACATTGTCTCGCAGTTTAACATCCTCAAACGAATCACAGAATACCGTAAAAAGCCACCTCTCCGAACCATTCTTGATAATAGCCATGGTTGTGTCAAGCCGGGAGAGATGCTTCTTGTTCTCGGACGACCTGGCTCAGGTTGCACAACTCTACTCAAGCAGTTGAGCAATCAGAGGCATGGCTATATGGATGTCTCCGGGAGCGTGCATTACGGCAGCCTGTCTGCGCAAGATGCAGGAAAATACCGCGGCCAAATCGTCATGAATACCGAAGACGAGCTCTTCTTCCCAACTTTGTCGGTAGAGCAGACGATGGATTTTGCAACGCGGCTGAAGGTCCCCTTCCGACTTCCTGAAGGTATCAGTACGCAAGAAGAGATACGGCTGGAAACACGCCAGTTTTTACCGAAATGTTTGGGCATTGAGCGTACCAGGAATACAAAAGTCGGCAGCGAGTATGTTCGTGGAATTTCAGGCGGCGAAAGAAAACGAGTGTCCATCATTGAGACCTTAGCCACAAAAGGATCGGTCTTCTGTTGCTGTACCAAGCTTGAAATGGTATATACGAGCTCTTCGATAAGGTGCTTGTCCTTGACGGCGGGAGGCAGATTTTCTATGGCCCTATGCGCGAGGCCACCCCTTTTATGGAAGCGCTCGGGTTCATCTGTCAGGATGGTGCGAACACTGCCGATTTTCTCACTAGTGTGACGGTCCCTACAGAGAGAGAGACCAAGGCCAACAAGTCGTTTCCGACCAGTGCAGAGGAGATACAGAAGCAGTACGAAGCATCACCCATCTATGAAAGTATGGTAACGGAATACGACTATCCCCAAAGTACTGAAGCTATGGAAAAGACTGACAGGTTTGTTGAAGCTATCAAACTTGAAAAGGCTAGCTCCTTGGGGAGAAATAATCCAATGACCATATCCTTCACTGCCCAGCTCATGGCCTATATCAAAAGGCAGTGTCAAATCCTTTGGGGTGATAAGGTGACAGTGGTCGTTAGACAGGCTGTCAACCCCACCCAGGCATTCATATCAGGATCCCTTTTCTACAATGCGCCCGATACTTCATCTGGTGTCTTTTTGAAAACCGGCGCTTGTTTCCTCGCCTTACTGTTCAACATCCTCATGTCAGTGTCCGAGGTTATTAGCTCTTTCAGTGGCCGGCCAATCCTTATAAAGCATCAATCGTTTGCTTTTTTCCACCCCGCTGCATTCTGTCTTGCACAGATCGTTGTTGATATCCCCATATTCCTCGGCCAGATCTCGGCATTTTCTGTGATCCTTTACTTCCTCGTTGGCCTTGATAAGTCTGCAGAAAACGTTTTTTACTTGCTGGGCTATATTGACCTCTTCTACAATGGTGAGTAAAGACTTAACACAGGAGAGGCTCGTCGCTAACCAATACAGTGCATGACTGCAATATTTCGAGCTATTGGTGCATCCTTACAGACCTTCGACGCAGCATCAAAGATATCAGGCCTTACCTTGCTCGTAGCAGCCATGTATTCAGGATACATGATCCCCAAAACCGATATGCACCATTGGTTTGAGTGGCTATTCTGGATTAATCCAATAGCCTACGGTTTGGAGGGACTGTTGACCAACGAATTCCATGGCAGAGCGATTCGGTGTGTAAACCACAACTGGGCCTTTTGGAGTCTCTTTGCCGTCCTCACTATTATGGCCGCCATGTATTGGAGGCCGCCCTCGGATGGTCAACCTAGTCTAGTTACACCTTGTGAGCTCACTCCTAAGGCTTCAGTGCCTCACCGGATTGACGAAGAAGCACAAACATCAGAAGCGCCAACCCTTCCCAGTAGCACCCTTTCTACGTCAGAGAAGTTCGAAGCCGATAACGGCCAGACAGATTTAATCCGCAACACCAGCATATTTACTTGGAAAAATCTTACCTATACTGTCAAGACGCCATCGGGTGACCGCGTTCTACTGGACAACGTCCAAGGCTGGGTTCAACCGGGCGTACTTACAGCTCTCATGGGTTCTTCTGGCGCAGGTAAAACGACGTTACTCGACGGTCTAGCCCAAAGGAAGACTGAAGGTACCATCAGAGGATCTATAATGGTTGATGGTTACCCGTTACCTATATCTTTCCAGCGATGTGCTGGTTATTGCGAACAACTTGATGTACACGAGCCTTACGCAGCAGTGCGTGAGGCACTAGAGTTCAGTGCTTTGCTCCGTCAGGACCGAAAGACGCCTTATAAGGAGAAGCTAAGATATGTTGATGCCATTATCGATCTCTTTGAGCTACATGATATCGCAGATAGGCTCATCGGCAGTATTGGAAATGGATTGAATGTGGAGCAGCGAAAACGCATCACTATAGGCGTCGAGCTGGTGTCAAAGCCCAGCATTCTCATCTTTCTTGATGAACCTACGTCTGGTATTGATGGGCAGTCGGCATACAGTACTGTACGGTTCTTGCGTAGGCTTGCCGCAGCAGGAAAAGCTATCCTCGTCACAATCCATCAACCGTCAGCCCAATTCTTCGGTCAGTTTGACAAGCTGCTGCTTCTCACCACAGGCGGCAAGACAGTCTACTTTGGGGATATTGGTGATCAAGCACAGGTTGTGAAGAGCTATTTTGAGCGGAATGGCGCCCCATGCCCGGCCAAGGCCAACCCTGCTGAGCATATCATTGACGTTGTCTCTGGAGCACAATCTCATGGCAAGGATTGGAGCCAAGCGTGGCTCTCTTCGGGAGAGTATGAGGTGATGTCAAAAGAGCTAGAACATCTCATCTCAACAGCTAGCTCTCGCCCAGCGACTCTTCCCGACGATAGCTACGAGTTTGCAGTACCTCTTTGGGAGCAGATTAGACTTGTATCAAAGCGGATGAGTATTTCACTTTACCGCAATACAGGCTATGTCAACAACAAGTTCATCCTCCACATTTTCGCTGCCTTGCTTAACGGCTTCAGCTTCTGGAAGATAGGGAACTCCTACGGTGATATGCAACTGTACATGTTTACTATTTTCATGTTCATCTTTGTGGCGCGCAGCTTCAACCGCTCTTCATCAGCCAACGCGATGTCTTTGAGGCACGTGAGAAGAAGTCAACAATGTACTCATGGGTTGCTTTTGTTACTGGGCTCATTACATCCGAGGTTCCTTACCTTGTTATTTGCGCTGTTTTATATTTCATCTACTGGTACTATACAGCTGGTCTTCCCTCCGAAACATCTCGTTCCGGCTCTATCTTTTTTGTAATGCTTATGTACGAGTTCCTCTACACAGATATTGGGCAATTCATTGCAGCATACGCACCCAATGATGTTTCAGCGTCCCTGGTCAACCCGTTACTCATTGGCATATTGGTTTCTTTCTGTGGCGTGCTCACGCCGTACACCCAGATCCCAGCGTTCTGGCGCCACTGGATTTACTGGCTCAACCCATTCAACTACCTTATGGGGAGCATGCTCGTCTTTTCCTTGTGGGGGCGGGATATTGAGTGCAGCCAAGCCGAATTAGCCGTCTTCGATCCCCCGAACGGGTTGACCTGTGGTGAATATCTCGGTGAATATCTGGCTTCACCATACGGTGCACTGAACAACTTGACCAATCCAGGCTCCCTCAGTGGGTGTCAAGTGTGTCCTTTGACACGCGGGGAGGGTTACCTCTATACACTCAATTTGGATGCATACCACTACGGATGGCGGGACGCTGCAGTTGTTGTTGTATTTGTTCTCAGCTCATACGGCCTAGTATACCTATTGATGAAGCTGAGATCCAAGACGTTAAAGACAGCGCAGTAATCTCGCTATCCCATATGGCGTACACACGGGTACAGGCTTCGACCAGATTTTCCTTTTCACGAATCACTAACGAGCCTATTTGCTTAAGCCGACACTTTTCGACAGCTGGCTTGAAGGGCCTGCTTACTTCGGATGACCTGATCAAATTGTCTCAGTTGGAATTCTTCTCCTGTGTGGGGAGCCAGATCACGTCCTAGCGAAACCAGCATCCTTTTTCCTTCTCTATTTATCAAACACTAAACCAATGTACCAAAAGAATTCGCTCGTTCTGCTAGGAATAGCTTCTCCCGACTGGTAAGCCCATCCTTTCCTTCTTCTGTCCTTCTCAAGATATCTCTCCCTATATCCTTTTAAACTCATCTCTGCTGTATTATAATTTTCATGAAATAAGGAGTAAATATGTACTCTTGATCGACAGATTAGAAAATACCTATATAATAATAATATACCTGAAGTACAATCAACCTCGCTCAATTCTATGAATGTCGTATTGCTTTTGGGGGCCACAATGAAGCTAATTATAATTTTGCAGGACCCTTAAGCCCATCCTGTATGCTAAAGCGGAATGTAACGTCTTTCACCACGCTCCCGTCTTGGCTGACCACGAGCTGGCCTCGGGACGGTCCCGCTATAGAAATCCAAACAGCGAGAATGGATCGCTAAATGGCACCTGAGACGTAATATAAGCAGACCAATCTACGTTAAAAGTCATGCTCACCCAAGATTTCTTGACGCTTTTTCTTATCAGCAAAAATGGAAGTTAAAACCCTGTGATCCGACTTCCTGACGCTACCCCTGACGGCAGGCAAACGGAAAGGGGTGTCTTTTAAAGATCCACATGTTCGGAATGATCCCGACGGTATTGAGTAGACACATAAAGTGTGGCAAACACGTACATCTGCACCATTTCGGGCCCGGCACAAATCCGCAGCCGAAGGGCCAGTAGCAGGTGTCATTCATTGTTGAATTATCCGTGAATGTTGAAAATACCTGCCATCCTTGATCCGCTACCAACAACACTGGTCATTAGGTAAACGCAGTAAGGTTCTCAATTATCATCTGGGGAGCAAGTCTTAGAGGTCTCAAGGCCACAATCACTTTCAAAAGTAGGGGGAACGATGTCCGCGTATTAAAAGGAGCATCTTAGCTGAGTGAAGTGGATGTTAGTATCGAGATCCTTTCGAATAGCTCCCGCTTGCTTGCAGATCATGAAAACCAGAATTATGCTGTTTTAATTCAAAATATATACTTCAGAAGATATACAGCAGGAGACATTACCTGACAGACATCACTTCATCACCCCACAAAATCTTCACTCTTCAACCGTGCCAGTACTAACCCAGACTTCATTAGGAAAGATAAGTTATTCTTCGCCTTAGGGGGCGTATGAAGTTTTCTTCTTTTTTCAAGAACCCATATAATCAAACAACACCATACACTACAAAACAAATGTGAGAGCAAAGTCTCGGAACTGTGGGTCTTGAGAGAAGACTCATCCCACAGCTGTGGTGTCAGCGGCTTCCGCGGTTTCCGCGCATCTGACTTCCCGAACTCCCGTGTGTTCCACGATTCCCGGAGCATGAAAATACGAGTGTTAGCATGGTGCTTAATTCATCCCTGTAATTCTATTAGCTAGACATTACTTAATTGGGCAGGATTGACATGCACCTCGGCGCATAGTCGTGGGCTGACTCGCAGGGCGCACTCAGAGATTGTTTCTGCGGCAAGGATCAAGTCATCAAATTATTGTCGGAATCGCCTGTGGCCAATTGTGTCCGATATGTTTCTGATTGAGCATGGTATGCTTTGGCTTCAAAGAGCAAAACGTATCAGATCTTAAGGCATCAATGAAATTCGCACCACGGTCATGTTTACTATCGAAAGAGGTCGAAGAAGTCCAAATCATTCACTCAATATAAGCAACGGACCACAAGGGGTAATTTTGGGTTTTTGTTGTTCAATACCAGAAACAATGCGGAATAACTCTATTATAATATTATGAAGAAAACCTGAAAAGAAATAAAAACAAACTTCGTCCCTGTCCCCTCAACATTCTACCCAACTTCAACCTAATCAATAATTCTGAGTCCTAGTATAAGTAGGACCTTAAACCTGCACCATCCCCAAGAGTGCAGTCCCGAAGACCAAGGATGCAACCAGAATACCACCTGCACTCACGCCGTGCTTCGGGGAAGCATTGTTCTTATCATCATCCTTCGAATTCTTATCGCTAGTGGACGTGGAGGAGCTGGAGCTGGAGGTACGCGTGCCCGTGGCAGAGAGCGAGCCAGTGCCAATGATGGTGGCCGTGACGCTGGCTGGAAGCTCGCTAAGGTTTGTGGCGGTTGCCGTCGCATTTCCGTCTCCTTTGCAGAAAACATCGCCCCAGGCGGCCTCCTTTCCGTAGAGGCAGTCGATGAGGTCCTGGGTGCTCTGTCCGGAGGCAAGGCAGTACAGTCCGCAGTCGTCGTAGTAGCTCACGACGGGGGCACTCTTGCAGCAAGCCTTGAGGAGGTTGGCATTGTCGTTGCTGAATGGCATTGCGCAGACGGCATCTTTGACGGGTGTATCATAGAGATTTGAGCATGCTGCCGAGGTAGAAGGGCGGGCTGCGGTAGCGGTGGTCGAAGACATGTTGATTAGAGGAAGTACTGAAAAATATCAAATTAAGCGAGTGTATTAAAGGTCTTCTGAAATGGAAAAGAGTGTTTTTGAAAGTAAGTATGAATAGAGAACACAAAATCTTCGTGGAAGGCTCAATCTTTAAGGCAACTCACGGAATCCGCGGATGATGGTGATGCACGCCCAGCGCCCCACCCCCTTGTACGTGTCAGTCCTGAGTTTCGTATGCAAGATTTCTTAAATTCTAGTTCTATTTTGAGGGGGAGCCAAGCCCTCTTTGATCCACTGGAGTCCATTGTTCATTCAGACGTCATAGTGGGTTGAATCAGATGTCATCAGATCTGCGGTATCCCAGTTGCCCATAAGCTAATTGTGAGTACCAGTTACAAACTCGAAAGTCCTGTTCACAATAAGGTGAACTGTATTCAACAACAAAATAAATCGCCTCAGTGTAGTAGAAAGAGCGTTCAATGATGCTATTGACAGTATTGAAGTCAGTCACATTCGAGCTATAGCAGAAACATGTCATAAGTGTCCATATGGCAAAAGTGCATCACTTCGAGATCGAATGGGTGTTTCTCGCAGCATTCGCCCAATACTTGCGTGTATTCAACAAGACCTACAAATCTATTCCTACAAAATTCTATATAACTTCGAACCCAACAAAGAAATAGTCCATCGCACCGTGAATAGGATAGTTATACCTTAACCACCATCAGTGTATTTTCCAACTCAAGGTCCCATCTCACGGTAAGTCCGTCCTTCCGATGCTGTTTTCCCTTGAAAATAAGCAGGAGCTTATCATAAGTTCTCCGTAGAGTTCTCCTACGTTATCTTGCAACGAGACTAAACGCCAGCTTTTGCACAAATTTCCAGGTATGCGGACTCACAGCAACACATACCAAGGTTCGATCCATTTATTGAAACATGCCTCGCCCCCCTCCAAAGAACCAGTCTGTTATTTCCGGTGGTGCAAGCCCATCACTCAAATTCATACCCGCGCCGGGCGCTCCCAAGCCCATCTGTCCCATAAACTCGTCATACTCGTGATTGAGTGCTCCATCCTGATCACCCTGCCAAATGTCCTCGTGGTACGCACATGCAACATCGCACATGGTTTTGCACAGGCTAAAGAGCTTCTGTGCTGTATCTGATGCTTCCTTCAGCTTGTCTAATGACTCCGCAAATACCTTGAGAAGGTTGAGATCCTCGATATCCACCCTTTCAATAACATGGCAGAAAAGGATGAAGAAGGGGGCAAAAGGGGTCAGCATCATTGTCCTATCCAGACTATAATTAGCAGCGTCCAAGCGGGAAGGCGTCTAATGCATTATCACTTACCAGCTAACATACGTCTGCTTTAGATATGCACTATCGCCAAGAGTTCCAAGGCCGTTGAGGTGGCATTTGATCGCATTCCGCGACGACTCAAGGCATTCATTGGAAAATTGACTGCCAGAGCCTTCGGGTGCTGGAATGATCCGATGCACGAATGTCGACATGACATAAAACTGTACTTTGCTGCTCACAACAAACATATTGATGAGGTCTGACGGATCTGAAGCGGATTTGAACCGTGATGAAGAATCCCCATCCAGCTTCAATATCTCCTTTTCAATAGCCATGCATTCGTTTCCAAGTTCTCTGGCTCGTGAAAGCAGCTCCATCGGTGATGCTGACATTGCCTCCTTGCTATATCTAAACGCCAAACAGTCAGTTCTCGGTGGGAAACATCAGTTGTTTGAGGAAGTGACGAACAGTTGCTCATAGGTGCGCGACCGAAGTGGACTTGTCAAGAGCCAAGTCTTGGGCACGTCCGCCTTATTAAGTTGGTCCCACGCCGCCAAATCGAGCTTCTTCGGGATGGTGATATCCCAGTCCGCAACAACAGACGCGCGCCCAAGCCTCAGGCTGAGGGCTTTGTCGAACACGAAGGCCTGCCAGAACAAATTCGACTTGATCCGTGTCATTTCCGCGTCGTTGTCCATACACTCTATCCGGTGGAAGCCTCCGTCCTGACAGAGCTGGACGGCCTGTGCATTCAGCTGCCAGGCGACGGCAGGCCAACACATGTCCACCGCGTAGGAGACAGCCAGTAGGAGGGCCTGTATGTTGATGACTTTTGCTGGCTGAAACAGCGGGATGTGCTTGATGAGGGTGTCCAGATTCGCTTGACAGAGTTGGGCGTAAGACCGGTATTCTTCTTTGAGCCTCAGATTGGCTGTATTTGACCCCTGTTCGGAAAAGAGAGCGAACAGGCTGGCATTCACGACTGTCAACTGGGCATGGGTGGAAGTGTGAGGGCTGCTGTAGGTAGCACCGGCAAGTTGCGATAGGTCTGTAATGCCGACGAGGGCAGAGTTGTAGACAAACATGGTGGGACCTCCAGCTTCAATTATCACGCGTTAGATAGAAAAACGTTCTGCCAAAGAGGGACGGTTTTACGAACTTTGAGCTTCCTTGAGCAGAGTCATGGCAACAGTATACGGAGGCAAGGGTAGGTGTTGTAAACCTCCATCTGGGACTGGACGTTGCATGGGGAACCGCTGGTCGAGACTCGTCGACCATCGTCGTTGTCCTTGCACGAGCTCTCTTAACTTGGTCAGGGCGGAATGCACATTCGGGTTACGCTCTCGTACCCGACCTTGCGCCACTGCATGCTCGAGAAAATCGCTGGCCTGTAGAGTCTGCATCCGAAGCGTGTAATCGCCGTTGGGACGTAGGTCATCGCCACTGGCCGGGTCGCTCCACGTTGTGCTGAGGACGTCTATATCTGAACTGGGCTCTGCCGATCCTGGGGCGGATGAGGCGGCAGATAGATTGACGATGGCATCTTCAATATTCTTCAGCCTATCGTCAATAACGTCCATCTTTTTCTCACTGCAATCCAGAGTCAGCACTAGGAACGAAGGCTTGCATCCGCCAGGCACAAGACCTACTATTCACTGGTGACGAAGATCCGCGACCTCGCCTCTCGATGGCGGACCGTGCCGACGGTACAGGCATAGCCAGCCGTGACACAGCACGAGCAAGGGGATGTTTTGTCACATCGGATCTAGATACGCAGATGCATAAGCGTCGGTTATAATTGCCGGAGTCCACGGGCAGCGAGCAACAGGAATCTAACCTTTCTTTTGCGACATTGATCACACTAACTGGTATTAATAGAGATGATCAAGAGGAGGGATCCTTCCGTTACTGAGACAGTGGGAGGAGGGGGACGAACCGCTTTTTTGACAGAAAAGGCCTCCAAATCAATCTCGGCCGAGCTCGACATTGTGAGTTGTATGAGAATGAAAAGGAAGAACAGGGGAGAGGGTCTGCTGGGTCGGTCTTCTTAAACCCACAGGTGGTGCCCTTTAATCGTCAGTTCAAAGGAGGGTATGAAAACGTCTTGTTCGCAGAGTTATATCTCCCTACTTGGTGAAGTCATGGAAGAGAGAAGCTATTTTTAATCAAGGCTCATCAAGCCTCAGATGCAATAGGGGTGCAAGGCAATACGGTCCCGTGTTTTCATTGATCTTACCCTTACGTGGCAGCCACAGGGACAGTGAAGGGCTGAGGTGGAAGAGAAAAACGGCTTATTTTCGACCCCTGGGGCAGCGGCATGACGTCGATTTGACAGTTCCATATGAAAATAGTGGGACGGAATCCGCGGAGCCGAGTTGTGATATGCGCAAACGGGCCAGTCATTGGTTGTCAACCCCATCCTAGCCCGAGTCACCTCAAGACCGAAGTTTAAGCCCGACCGAAACTGTGGCCCATTCTCAGCCTTAACCAACAGATGATCCTCGTATTTTCTTATAAGGACCAAGAGTTTTACCAGCGTTCCGGAAGAATTAAGCAGGAGGCTCAAGCATACCCAGAGTTGATATACTTGACTAAACGAAACAGTGGTTTCTATATATCTGGACTGGTTCCCCGCCTTTGCGAGCAAGACAAGTATGTATTAATAATCCCACAGCACCAGAAAAAATCTTCTCCTAGCGCACTAATCTAAAGTTTTAGGTGGAAGCGGAAGGCATCCCTGCCGGAAAGCGAAGTGGCGCAGACAATGTTTGGTGGATTCAGGTAGGTTAGGATGCTTGATCAGCCACCCATTAAGGTAGCTGGGAACTCTGGTGTGCCCAAGACGCATCCTTAGTGTGCCGCCCTTGCATGAACGACGCGGATGGCAGCCCTGAGCTAACGATGGACAAACGACTGTTTATCCAAGATTAGCCTCGTATCCCTTTGCTTATGCCCTGATCCAGCAACTCCCTGCCAAGCGCACCGCCTCAACTCTATGGCAGTCAGCCCCGTTTTGCTTGTGGCTGTGCGGAGACTGTCCGGAATTCTAGAAAGGGGTTCCCCGGAATGTGCCCTGGCAGGAGGATAGCTCGGGTGTGTTGTTCATGCCGATCAGTCCGTGCAAACAAGCAGATAACCTGGAACCACTAAGAGCATTAACGCCTTCTCATACTGGCAGGTCCATGGATGACCTCCATTGACGAGCTTCAAATTTGAAACACACCAGTGAGAGCGGGGAGGATAATTAACCGGATGGAATTCTTTTTCCTCACTTTAGACCTACCCTGTAGCTTGCAGCCACACGACAAATTCAAAGCTGTAATCCGCCCAAGAACATTCTTTCACATCTCAGCATTGGAAAAATGAAAAGTAATCACGCAAGTCCATGCAAGTTAATCGGACAGTTGCAATATTCTATCAATCCACTCGCTACAGTGTGTTTCATCAAGTCATCTTCATCGCCATTAGCTTACATCTTTCAATATCCTTTCTACATCAAGTAAGTGCCCAACTTGATCAGAACTTTGTATTTCCGAGATTTCCCCCTCGCTGAGCACGCTATCTATGTGATTCCCTCCTTATTTGCCATAACTCTAAAATCACGACGAAGCAAACTTGATTCGCGAGGGGAGCAGCAGACCCTTTGCCTCTGTCTAAGTCTGAGTTCCTGGGCAGATTCTTCGTCGAATATCCCATGAATTCCAGGCGTACGGCCAAGTGGTATGTGTGATGTAGGCAGCACATCAGTCTGCTGAATTCTGGTAGAAATAACCGGCATCTTAGACTTATCGAGGTGCATCTTCCTGGCTCGGCGTGTCGGGGTGCTACTGGTCTGTTGATTTCCGTGGCCTTCGAAGTTGCTTTCCCCCGAGATGGTGAGCACCATCGAGTACATGTAATTTAGGCCTAGAAGATCCCTACCCATCCGGATTGCAGCTTTCAGAGCAACACTGACGCCTGATTCTACCTCACCCCCTCCAAAAACTCGTGCATAACCGCCATTCCTGAGTCCCTCTTTCATTTTGGATTCCAATTGATCCTTGATCCCAGGATTATTTAGATTCTACTGTGCCTAATTTTCCATAAGAATCACGCTTGGGTTGTTAAAGATTCACTCATCCTTAACCTACTCACGCTCCCCGGCCAGTTGATATTGGGACTAGGGCGGGCGGGATGAATACGTGGCATTCGTTGATCAGTTTACTTACAATCTCCATCCTCTGCAATGTGTTGTGATACCGAGCTACCCGGCGAGAACAAGTAGTGAGGGGCGGGCTGCACCTTGACAGCTAGGCGGGGGAAGTTCTGATTGCTATCCCGGCTCGGGGGCGGGTCTTGGTATATATTGTGGGACCAGGCACACGTTGTGCTGGCTTACCCACCCTTGAAATGGCCCATAGGCCATGTGTCTTGCCTTTTGTTTCTCTCAGACGTCGGAACTTCATCTACGGCGGCTAACACACTCTTTTGTTTTTGTTCCATCTAATTGTCTTGCACTCTGCCTCGAGCAGGAGCGTCCGTTCTTTCGCCATTGTCACTCGTTAACGACACTCTCACTTAGAGAACGATGTATTTCACAAATATCTTTCTCTTCGGGCTGGTCGCAACCGCGACTGCCTTGCCCCAGAAGAGAGGAGGGAGGAGAAAGTGTTCAAGCGTCTTTCCCTCAACAACCAGAACCTCCGATCACGTTTCAACTACCCCGATTCTCAGCAGCTCGTCCTCGATCATCGTCACTCCAAGCTCAAGCGATCCAATTTCAACCCCAGTCGTCTCAACTCCAGCCTCAAGCAGCGCTACTCCCGGCACCTCCAGCGAGGTAGCCTCGACTCCGATCAGCTCCGAATCCACTGCTACTACCCCCGGGACAACCCCTCCAGCCAGCACGACCCCGGAGAGCTCGACCATCGTCAGCTCGACTCCAAGCAGCTCTAATGAATCCAGCACCTCCGTTGCGAGCTCAACCGATTCCGGCTCTATAGTTCCTAGCTCAACTCCTAGCAGCACAAGCGAATCTAGCACCCCGGTTGCGAGCTCAACCGTTTCCAGCTCTACAAACGCCAGCACAACATCCATTGCCAGCACAACCGCAGCCAGCACGGTTGGTGCTCGGCCCCGACCAACAGCTGCCGGAGATATTCCAGCAGGAGTGGAATACAGCGGATACGTAATCCCTGGCCAGGTTGGTCTTGCGTTCGCACAAGGTCCTTACGCATACACAGCCCAGGCTCTCGACCTCCTCGACGCATCTGGCTTCAAAGCAACCTTCTTCCTCAATGGAGATAACTTCGGCTCCATCTACGACTATTCAAGCGTCGTCCAGCGAATATATTCTTCAGGTCACCAAGTTGGCTCTAACACGTACGTAGCTAAGTCGTCCGCAGTCTCCATTGGCTGTTGAAGTGTATTATTGAAAGCAACCCACTAATCAAATCCATCTAGTTGGAGCAATGCCGACCTCGACACTCTAAACAAAAACGGGATCGAGAGTCAACTATACCAGCTTGAAGATGCCTTGCGCGGCATAATCGGCGTGTACCCTACGTATCTTCTGCCTCCCAATGGCAAAACGAACCAACTGGTCCGCGACACGGCCGCCAGCTTGGGCTATAAAATCATCAAGCCCGACATCACCTATGACGAACAGCACCAATCTGATATCAGTACGGCCACCAACAACTTCATCGCTGGTCTAGACGCTGGCGGTAGCATCGCATTGGTCCATGACGTCTACCAGGCAACCGTGGAATCTATGCTCCCGGCGATGCTCGGCGATCAACGATAGGGGCCTAACGGCTGTCTCCCTGGGCACGTGCTTTGGCAGGCCTGTGTCCAATTCTTACTCCACGGCCCCTTAGATAAAAGGTGGAGGGACGAGTGCTCTATTATTGGGTGTCACGACTTGGCATCAAATGACTGGTTGTCCATATAATGTTTAGTCCTAATAGTCATAGCGTCATAGGTAGCTACGGGCGGTTGCATCTAATTCGGCTTTTCAAACTCGGTTCAATGCCACTTTCTCGCGTCAAAGCTCGTGACAATCTAATTTAATCGTTAATTGCAAGAGCAATCCATCTTCTGAGGTGGTAAAATGAGAGCTAATCGATTGTGAAGACTATTTAAAGCTCACGCGGAAGGTGACCATCGCCAGTATAGGTATTGATAGGGGGCTATTGCATACTCTTGACTGTTCTGATGAGATTAATGGGTTGGATGACGATACAGACATGGACCTTCGTTTCTGCCTCTAGCCCATCACTATCTGCAAGTCTTTTCAAAGTTTTGGGCAAGGCTCATTGGACGGGGCATAAACAACACTACAGTCAGGTTTCAAATAGGGAATCCGGTCAAAAGACACGGAGCGTATAATAAGGGATAAAGTGTTATCAATCCTGCTGGCTTTTGTGGTTGATAGCACCATCGCCGGCCAATCTTCACTTCATCTGTGGAGGAAAACTAATGCAAAAAAGAATATAAAAAATAAAGTATCTCCAAAGGGGAAAATCGATGACGCTCTCGAACTGCTCATGCCTAAGAAATGTAGTGACGGGATTTCAGCCTTGTAAGCCTTGATTTGTGTGCCGAATGTTTCAATTCAAAAATGTGGTCAATCCAAGCCTTCATCCTACGCTTCATCTAGAGCAAGTAAAGAGAGTAAGCACGATTCTGATCATACTTCAATCCCATGAAGCTGAAACCGGTCTTGCCACCCAAGTTTGCTTGGTCCGGGCTAAATCAGAGGGAGGACCAACTTAAGAGGGGGGACGACCTCTCGCCGGCCAGTTGCCCAATGGTTGTTATCTTGGCATGAAGACGGCGGACTCTTTTCGCCCGTAACAACATATGTGGCAGGCAAGACCAGAGCACCGGTAGCCAAGATACTGAGGCTCAGTTTTCTGATCTCTAACCAGAAGACATGAGGCGGAGGATTAACTCGACCATTCGAAGTTATCGGGCACGGTCAAGCTGTCAACTTTATCGAAGAGTTCAGGTCAGTCTTGCTAGTCTTCGGGACTTACACCCGGCTCCTGCGCCGATGTTCTCGATGCGCGTTGACAGAGATAAACTCACAGTATCTGAGCCCGAAACTCCTAAAACTCTGTGGGACGTTAGACGAGTAATGTGGTTTGAGATTGTCGGGCTGCCTGAAATCTCATTTACCACGCTGAGGAGATATTTCACTCCATTCGAAGTGCGAATTCCTCAATCACCAGAACTGCATCGTAAACCCCAGGGATCGCACCATGAAATTCCATCCGGACAGGTTTCAATGCGAATTCTTTCTTTTCAAGTATCAATCCCCTGGTTCCGCAACAGGAAACGGGTTTCAACTGGATGATACCGAAAAAAGAGAGTGCTCATGTAAGATGATTACAGGGGTTAGGTAACAGCAAAATTCGGACCTGTTTTACCTAGCAGTATTTGTACCAAAGTCCCTGGCGCTTACTCACACAGGCAGCAGATATGTAATAGTTTCGCATCCTACATCCCACTGAGGTTCTCAATTCGTGCGGCTTTGATCCTGAGATGCGGGGTATCAAGATGGCATGTGAGACTTACCAAAATGCACAGGCTATCATATTCCAAATGCCCAGATTATGCATGTGCGAGGAATGCACTTGGGAAGTGAGAGATCTCGTCAATCAGATTATGACACAAGACGGGGCAGGGATAAGCCGAAAGTCTGTAAGACGAAACACCTAGATTCCTACATATGGGCTGACGTGACACGCAGAAGATGCGAGTCTGATACCCAGTTTAACCGCATCATCAAACCCAATTAGAACTTGGTGAAGGGAGTAGTTCGCTCCCACTGTGGGTTGTTAATTCAAGATTGCCAAATTATTGAGTATTACCTGCATGAGTTTTGTCGCTGATCCAACCCCGTGTTATCCGAATCGTAGCACTTGTCATCGTCGAGGAAACACCACCTTTTACCGATCTAGCCGTGGTCTCATAGATGTACAATGCAACACACGAAGAATACTCGTACCACCGCCCAGCGGTGAGTCTTGGGGGCCTCTGTACGAAAAAACATCCTGCCAGTGAGTCGCGCTGGCAACATCCATCCGGATAGAGATCCCAGGGAGTTTATAAGATCTGCACCGAATCTCAGATTAGGTTTGGAGTTCGTGTTAACCAAGCTAGGCTGATAATTGCCTCATTATGAACTCTAGATCACAAACCCGACTGGCGATGGGTTCGCAGAAGATGTAATGGGTATAACGGCAAGCTTGAACCGATATCATTCGAAATAATCAACACCCAGTACTCTCCGTGCGGTGAGTTGTTTGTTTCCATCCGAACCTAGCAAGAGCCACACAGACGCCGGACTCTTCCAACGTGTGACTGATGATGCAAGTGGAGCAGGAGATGGAACGGGCGGAGGGATTAGACCAAGAAAGCAGAGATTGTCAGATGCAACCCCGCAAGTGAGCTAAATTGTTGCTTGGCTCCCTGGAGACGCGCCACCGGTACCGTATCAATCGTCAACCCAGTCGACGGTAGGCATTACACGGGGTAGCCATGCAATATTTCGTCACTGCGTTACATGGGATGAGGGTGATGGGATATTTGTGTAATAAGGCAAACAATAAATCCTGTTGTTGGCTCCCACGATAACACACGAAATGGCATGATCCATGGCTGTCACCCCCTGCCAATCTTTTTCCAGACCAAGGGTGAAAAGGGGGATGGAGAGATTTACGTCAGTCCGGCACAGGGTCGCGCCACCAACCAACAACATTGCACTTCGAGCACCCTCAAGAGAAGAATGGAGGAATCAGATTCTCGAAATAGCGCACGCCGTGCGGGGTAACATCAGCAGTGCTTCACAAGTTCAGATAGACGTGCTCCATCGTGGTGCACGCATCGGCTAACAGTAGCTCGGCTCGACCCAATTCAGCTCATCAGGGTCCCTCAAAAGAACTTCCTCGTGCATGGGATGGCATCAAGGTGTATTCTCTAGCATTCTTAGGTTGATCCACGTCACACTGGATCTCCGGTGAGGCCGAAGGTGCGATGTAATATCGTCGCCGGATGGTGGGATTCTAGATGGATGGGTCAAATGTCGATCCGCTGTCTTGGAGGCCGCACGGCTATGGACACGAGAATTGAGGCTACTGCACTGCCTTCCTGCAGGCATGCACTTACGTCGAGGGGTGTTTGTGCCCGGTGGGACAGCAGGCCACGCATTTTGCCGGCAGCCAGGCCCTGCCAAGCTGGAGACTGCAGTTAGCGGGTTGATAGTCGTATCGTCCACCGCTCGAACCGGCTTGACCTGTAGCGGATCGCCGAGACCAAAACTGGGCCTGTGGTTGTGTCTTGTCTGGGTTGGGTCTAGCATCCGGCTCAACTCCACGAACACACCTGAGCAGGCCTCCATCCTTCAGCTGGTCTGGGACGCTTGTGGGCTCAAGGACACGCTGTGCCTAAAACAGGTTTCTCGTGGTGTGATGCAATGGCAAATGTGTACCACAGCTTGCATCACCCCGCGCCAAGGCATTGATGCAATCAATGCCCTTGGCTGAGGCCATGTGCTGGCAGCTCCGGTATAAAGAATGACAGCTTCTCCCCTCTTTCCGTCAGCTAGAAAGCTTGTGCCCATTGAATCCCGATCATCACATCATTCACAGACGACTCTGCTCCATCTTCAAGTTTTCATCCGATCACAAAGAACTACTCTTCAAGATGTCTTACCGTGACAACGATAACGTACGTACCTCAGTACGAGTGAATTCGTATATCATAGCTAGACCAAAAGCTAACGAATTGCCTCCAGCAGTCCGGCTCCTACGGCGGTAGCGACAGCTACGTATGCCTTTCACCCACCCAGTATGCTTCTTGCTCAATCAATTAACATTCATGCTAGGGATCCAACCGCAGAGACAATGACAGCTATGGGTCTTCCGGCCGCAATGAGTCCGGCAGCTACGGCTCCTCTCGCCAGGATGAGGACTCTTATGGCTCTTCCGGTCGCACTAGCGGAAACAACACTAGCTCATACAACACATCCAGCAACACCAGTGGCGGTACCTATGGTTCTTCTCGCCGGGACGATGATGATGACAATACATACAGCTCCTCCGGCCGCACCGGCGGAGGTAACAACAGCTCATACAACTCATCCAGCAACACCGGCGGAAGTAACACATATGGCTCCTCGCGCAAAGACGATGATGATGACAACTCATACGGCTCTTCCCGCAAGGATGATGACACTTATGGTTCATCTGGTCGCACTGGAGGAAGCAACACATACGGCTCATCCCGAAAGGATGATGACGATGACAACTCGTATGGCTCATCCCGCAAGGATGAGAGCACATACGGCTCTTCTGGCCGTACTGGTGGAAGCAACACCTACGGTTCTTCCCGAAAGGATGATGACGACGATAACTCATATGGCTCCTCTCGCAAGGACGAGAGCACATACGGCTCTTCCGGCCGCACTGGCGGAAGCAACACATATGGTTCATCCCGCAAAGATGATGGCGACGACAATACCTACGGCTCAGGAAACAAGAGCTCCTACGGTTCTAGCAAGAGAGACGACGACGACGATAACACGTACGGTTCAGGTAACAAGAGCTCCTACGGTTCCAGCAAGAAAGATGACGATGACAACACTTACGGCTCAGGAAACAAGAGCTCCTATGGTTCCAGCAAGAAAGATGACGATGACAACACTTACGGCTCAGGAAACAAGAGCTCCTACGGGTCCAGTGACAACACCTATGGTTCATCCACTGGCGGCTATGGCTCGTCTAACCGCCGTGATGACGACGATGACGAGAGCAACAAGAAGGGCAGTACCTTCGGCAAGGTCTTGGAGGCGGCCGGTGACATTCTGAGCAAGACTAACCTCAACGACCGCAACAACCGGGAATAGACTAGGCAAAGACACCGGGAGATGTAATTTTGGTTCGTTTCTTATGTTGCAGATAGGTGATCCTCGGGTCAAATTTATGATAGCTTAATCAGTATGAAATCTGTCTAATTTAACGATTTGCCGGTCCATCCGCAGTGCCAATGAGTTTCTACATCAAATGCCCTTTTCAAGAAGATGGGATCTGCCCAAGAGCGGAAATGTCGTTTTCCAAGTATGGAAGATGATTGATAGACATAGGATGCCAATAACGCAATATGCGCATACTCAGAGAAAGATGAAAAATGAAAGGTATTTCTGTTCCCTTAATTTTGTGTCGATTACTATCACACATATTGCTCATTAACGTTTTATGTGTTGTGATTCTTTCCTCATTGTTTTCTCTTTCTATTTAAGCCATTTCTTCTAAACATACCAAATAGTATCTCCTAATCTGTTTACGACTAACCATATCTTACATTTGTTCATAACTCTGAAGCCTTGTTTCAGCTGCCGAAGCAGCATTTAAGTCGAGACAGAACGAGGTGTTATCGTTACAAGTAGTCGAAGACGGAGGATTTGCAAAAGAAATAAACTCACCGCGCAGAAGCTGCCCTCACGTTATGAGCTTGCTGGTGGATAATATCTGAGTTGAGCTATGCAAGGAAGATATTATATATCAGGTCGTGATAATAATTCGCGGTAAACAAAGGCATGTTCTAATATTGGTTTACCTATGCGCCTTGTTTTCGTCGTTTATCACAGGATGCCTACTTAGATAGTCTGGAAACCACATAAAGGTTGATTCATCCTCCATGCTCGCGATGATTCCACCGTATAGCAAGGATAACTACCTACGATTCTCAAGACGGTCGGCTCTCATAGCCAATAGCTAGATTTAGGAGCTATTGATTATTAGGCCGCATGCCTCGATATAGATATAAAGTTGTCTAAGCCTCCTTTGTATATATTGGTACCTTTGAGATGGGCCCCTAAATCCACGAAGTTCCTGTGTTACGATATCTATACTCTTCCTAGGTCACTTCTTCGTACTCTCATGTGAAATTTAACCCAACTACAAAATACTTTGTAGTCTCTACCGCGGAGGGTGGCGATAACGCGGACCAAGATGTAGAAGGTAAGGTCATATTGTGATGAGGGCAATTGGGGCCACTACCAGAAATTCAGGACATGAATATGAATTCGCAGACTGTCACGGGTAAATATATACTTAAAGCACTTTTTGCTCTTCAGTCAACAATTGGCCTTCTTATAATACGGAGCGTTTTAGACAAATTGCGCTCTAACCCTCAATCATTTACTCCTCTTGGCCCCCATACCGACTGGTCAGATCCTTTCCAAGACAGTTTTCTTTCAGAGGAGAGCAGCTGATGCAAGGTAGTGGGTGCCCGTGAGAATTTTAATAGCTTGGGTCGCGAGGAGCTGCGCTGCTATTTACCACAAGTGGAATAGGTGTGTTTACCCAGAAGCAGTATCAATCCAGCATCGACAATACATTGATGGATCGTGTATGAATGTCCCTCATTACTAGTGGTAGCTACATGAAGCTAGATCGAACCATCCTTCAAGTCAAAGCGATTCCATGCGGTGAGCGCCTGCCCTGGAGGATGCAATTAAGCCCAATTCACCGTAGGCTCTGTACCCTTTACATCAGGTGAGGAAAGAAATAGGAAATAAGAATCAACATACCAAGCAGCACGTGGGAATCAGGGCGGTCGTGAAATTCGAAGGATTCAGCAGCCGAGCAGGTTGAAACCCCTGAAATGGTTTGGTACTCAGGGACCAGTCACGCCAGGAACCGGAGGGTTCCAAACAGAAAACTGCTTCTCGGGCGCGCGCGTCGGGACGTCCGGGTTTAATGTTTGCCATGAGGGATGGCGTTCCACTCGCCAAGGCAAGGAAAGTGATTCACCACGGGTGGGTTTTCCACTTTCGCTCATCCTTACAAAGTAGGACATAAGTTTGGGCACTATCAACACAGCGGAGCCTCTAAAAATCACCGCCGCTGTTAGGTATCCTGATGCAGGATGGTTTAAGAATCTGGCAGGGCTCCATGATTCGAGCCTGTTCCGAGCCTGCTCCATAGTCAGAGGTGCTCTCCCTTGGCAGCTTACCAGGTTGATAACGACTAATCAGGAGATACCCCCAGGCACACGTCAGATGGCTCTGGGCAGCTAGCTTCATAAGTATTAGACGGGCTTAGTTCTAGTGCTCGTTAAGGGACCCACGCTTGGAGCAGTTCATTGATATTTCTATAAAAAGTAGAGCATAGTGTTACATCCGCTATAGCATGACAAGGGGTGGTAAACTCGGAAAGAATCTAGAAGATTACACCCTTAGATCAACTCCACGTTGTTGAAGTGGAGAATGATGAACAGCTCCAGAATCACACTCAACTCGAAGTCTAGGCCCCCTCCCCTTCTAATCTCCAGCAAATTATCCTCTCCTTCGCCAGTCTTCCGTGCGAATGTGGCGAACTTGTACTCTAACCCTCTCTGATCCTTCTGAAACCCTGAAGCTGGCACTAGAGGGAGTGGGTTATCCCACCAGAGTTCAAAGAACGGCTCTACGGTGCCTCCTGTCTTCCACGTGAGCGGGCGAGGTGTTGCTGCTCTTCCAGGTACCGAGACGACTGGGATATCGGACTGGTACTTGGGGAAGGAAAACGAGGTCGTTCGAGTCACAGGACGCCAGAGCGCGTCGGGCAGGGTAGGAGAGTATGTGCAAATTGTGGCTACAGGCTGGCCTTTGCTTTTTGTGAGAGGTAGCAGACGCGCAGCAGCAATAGCAGGAAGCCCGCTGTCAGAAACAGAGAAGATTTGGATATCGCCGACTTTTGAAGGCGAAGTGAGTTCAATGCGATACAGAGGAGTAGGATCGACTGTGAGAGCTAGATGATAGCTCTTAGCGGAGTCACGGACAATCGTGAGGTAGTTGACTTGGTTGTCCCGGATTGAGCAAGTCTGCACGGGACCAGTGATAGAGCCCGAGCGAGGGGCTGTGATGTCTGTGAAAGGCTGCTTCTCCTGGTATGCAGGCAAGTTGTCGTTGTTAGAGGCCATTTTGGGCTGTGATAAGATTGACGATAGCGTCTTTGGGGCTGTAGCTTGCAACAAGGTGAGTGATGAGTAGCGAGAATCGATGGAGAGCGCGTCAGCTTGGCGAGCATGCGACAGGTATAAGGCCTTGCGGGCATCAGTCCATCAACCCCCACCTCTGGGTCACCTCATTCCAGGCTCATTCTAGGGGTCTTGCTCCTCAGCCAGGTACTACCGGTGGAAGGATTCAGCACGTTTCCCTGGTCTGATTGGCTGCAGCTCTCGCTTAAAATACATGCCGGCAGCCCTAGGAATCCTCCCCTGGCTAATATGTGCACGTTCTCGACAGCCTCGTCTGATTGGCCAGAAACTATCACCAGAAACACTATACCAATTGCCGACATGCGACTGAACCGCAATCTGGGAATCGCCCCAATTGCCATGCCCTGGTTGTTCTTTTGCACGTTTCTGTTATTCTGGGGGCTAATTGGGTTCGGTGGCTTTTGGTCTATTTTTGGGATTGGATGCGCAATCAAACATGATGCAGGGCTCGGTGAGCATCAGAGAAATCCAAGATATATAAGAAGCTGGGAAGCCGGCTACAATGGCACTGAAAACAGCAGCAACAACAAAAACAAACAATAACATTCTTCTCAACTCTTTCATACAACTCTTTTTTTCCTTTTTTTCCTTCTTTCTTTCTTTAAAGAAACACTTCTTCGATTCTCACCATGCGCTTCAACTTCGGTGGCATTCTCTTGGCCCTGGCGGCTACCACCCAATTCGCAGCCGCGAACCCTGCCCCAGCCAAATGGAACGGCAAGGGCGCTGAGGCTGGGTAAGAATCTCAATCTCGATCTACTGTCAAAGTTCTCCAGGCTAACTTCCACAGCTACAAGTTCGGTGCCGTAGCCTGCGCTGCAGGTGCCCTTGTCTGCAACTCCCAGGGCATGACAGTCGGAGCTTACACTCTCGGAAGCGCTGCCTTCTGCTGCAGCACTGCCGGTGCTGCCGTCACTGCCTCCCAGTCTGACGGGTGGAAGAAGGCCTGGACCGCCGCGGCCAACAAGCTCGGCGATGCCGCCAGGATGGCCAAGGGCGGCGTTTCTAAAGTTGGAAAGCTGGCTGCCGAGTGCAGCGACAAGGTGTGCCGACTGATGCCCGGCAAGAAGCAGCCCACGCTTCCCAGAAGGGCCACCATCGACGGGCCCAAGCCCAAGAGGTCCCGACACGGGAGAAAGAAGCAGTCTCAGAAGCACTCACAGAAGCACTCGGACGATGAAGGCCAGGGAGAGCGACGTGCTAGACGATCGGTCAACTATCAGCGCCGTGCCAGAAGGGACTTCGACGACGAGTACGACTACTACTACTAAACGGAACGGGAATTACATGCAGGTGGATCGATGGGCCTGGCAACAGGAGAAGGGACTGTAATTCTCAGTGCATTCAAAGACAAGCAAGCAGCCGCTTTTGTGTATTTTACCAGATTGATTTCGACTTGTTGAGGAGCAGGAGTAGTAGAAGCATAGCACAGGTGTAGAAAATTTGAGGTGTTCATTTGAAAACAGTCCAATCAGTGCAGCAGTGCAGAGCTACAGGCGGGGGTGCCACTGATGCAGACCCCGGCCCTGGCTATCAGCCCTATCCTACAGCGTCCAAGGCTCTATCTAGCACTAATCACGGGCTTACCATCCACTAGATTAGCCCCGGGGGATTTCTGACCCACTCTCAGCCATTGACCAACCAGAATGTCATCTTCTTCACCGTAGAGGCAGTGGATGGGTCCTTCCTCACACTCACAAAGCCCCCGATTTCTGCCTAAAACAAAACAAACTCGCGATCCTGGTCGCGAGCACGACGTAAAGTTATCATATCGAGGTCACCAAAATACTATTAGTCTCCCATTCTCCCATCAGTCTACAGCCTGCATTCTATCAGCTTTCCCCAGGACATCAGCCATGTCGCAAGCCCAGAGCCAAGCAGCTACCCTGTCCAGGCTCCCCAACGAACTGCTAATTCCCATTGTGCAAGAATCGGTCAAGATCGAGGTCATTCCTGATTCCAAGCACTCCAAAATATCCTCCTTTAAGCAATATGATTCTCCCACTGCGGCAGCACTGGCCCTCACCAGCCGACACTTCCATCAACTCGCCACGCCGCTCCTCTACTCCGAAATCGAAATCCAGTGCAATGGTGCCTGCCGAAACAAGTTCAAGGAAATCTGGATAACCAGGCACCTGCATCGCACATTTCGCGAGAACCCCTCACTACAGAAACACTGCAAGAGACTTGAGATTGAGTTTGGGAGCTCTCAAGAAACCTTCATGGGAGATAGACCGACACGCGGCACAAACCTCTTTGGGATTGCTTTCGATTTTCTCAAGTGGCTCACCAACATTGAAGAGCTTCGCATTGCTGGGTGGCCACAGTACCCGTACCTCTGGGGGGATCAGAGCGCTTTGCCTTCTATCAGGGGTGATTATCTTCAACTTCTGTCCCTAGCGTCAGAACATCTGACCAGTCTACGACACTTGGAGCTGGCCACGCACAGTTTTGCAACTCTAGATCTGCCGGCCCTGTCCACCGCGCTTGGTGGGCTGGATATCAGCGCATGTCTTCGGACACTTGACATCAGTGGGATCTCCAACTTTGGGACTGTGCGGGACTGGGAGCTGCTAAAGGTAAGAGAGCATCTTCTGTGGAGTCACAACCACAAGTTTGAATTTCGATACATGTATACTGACCTTTTTCATAGACTCGAGCAGGCACCGCGTCGTTCACCAAGCTTAAACTAAGATACTTCGATGCGGGACCATCAGCACTCGAGGCGCTCGTAATGTGGCCAGCCAAGTTGACATCATTTCAGTTTACAATACCTCTATTTAGCCGCTTTTCGTTTCCACATACCGTGGCGGTCTACAACTTGGGCGTATTGCAGTCCATCCTATCCCACCATAAAGATTCACTTACCTTTATAAGGATGGGCCAAATCAGGGATCGGGGGCTTAAAAACTTCAATATGACTGAATTTCGCAATTTAAAGGTGCTATGGCTGGCGCATAACTTAACTGGGACCGATCCCGAGTTCGTTGCCAACCTCCTTGCACCCAACTTAGAGGTGTTCCATTGGAACCTAATGCCTGAAGATCAGAGAGACAGAGAGAGTCTTGATGCGTTCGAAAAGCGTGAGGAAGACTGGCTCAGGGCGTTCGCAGCCGCCGCCATCGCGAGCAATTCGACTCTCCGCCATATCAACATCAGATTTTCCCCCGAAGACTACATCGAGGTTGAAGACACATGGGGTCTTGAGTACCCCTGGGATCGGATGGACAGAATTGCGAGCGAGATTCAACCTCACGGGATTCATTTGTCGTATAGCCCCATCGAAGTTAGCAGGAACAGGTTCAATGCCCTGGTCAAATATCCCAAACATCTCAACGGTTCATGGCAGCTTAAAGAGTTGCGACTATCAGATGGGTATTCACCACCACCGCCGCGAGGTGATGCTCCTTCAACAGGGGCTAGGAGAAGCTCCTCCTAATAGCGTTCTTATTTTATTTCCTAGTCAGGTTGAAAGCTCCTTCTAATAGTGTTCCTTATTTTATTTCCTAGCCAGTCTGAAAGATACGAAGTTACGAACAAAAATTCAACATAATTCTGATCCGTTTGATTCGTTCCGGCAGCCCACTCAGAGGTGTACCTCGCGCCTCACATGTGATATCAATGCCGTTTGAAGGCCCCCGTGATATCGGCACCACTCTTACGGCAGTGGCAAGAAGGGATTCCACTTCGCCTCTTTTGCCAGTTCTTCCTATACCTTCGCCATGGTACTTGAACAGAAGTGAGTCGTCGGGAGTTATCCAAGTGATCAGACCAGATGGTGTCGGGAAAGAGCAAAAAGCAAAGTCAAGGTCTCAGTGGGGATCGAACCCACAATCTCCTGATTCGTAGTCAGACGCCTTGCCATTGGGCCATGAGACCATTTGATGATGGGTCAGCAAGAAGTTTGAAAATAGAAAGATTGCGAGCCACTCAGCTTGTTTCTGAAGCTCCAACCGCGAGGAAATCTGCCTTTTTCATGCTTGGCAGGAAGATGATGCCCGTTATTCACTTTCCAGTTGTTGTAACTCGTAAAGTGTAGGACTAGTAAAAGAGTGTTCTCCTTACCTAGTTTCTAATACTCCATCATTCTTTTGTAAAATTCCACTTTCCCCAACCAAGTCAGGCCTATACTGATGAAATCTCAATTATCCACGTAGCACCTACATTGATCGAGGTTCTTCTTCCCCGGAATTTACCGCAGTGGATGGGTTGGACAGTTAGGCTGAAGGGTTGAAGGATCTTCCGACTTTATTCGGCTTAGGGCGTTTGAGGTTAGTCCACCTCTCGGCTCTCGCTACACGTAGACTCTCACAGGATCAGTGTGCATCGTCTTGAGGGATGACTCGGCAAGTCGGGAAATACGACAACAGATTGTTAATTATTGACGCACTGCGATGAGGCACTGATGGAGCGCGATTAATCAACCTTGCATATCCGAATTTTTGCTCGGTGAGGCTCACTGAACTCGTGCCAACAAAGCGAAGGTAGGTTAATTACCTGATTGTCTTCCAGAATGGTTGATGCCTAAGTCATGGTGAAACGTACGTGTTTACGATGAAAGGCACAAAGGAGTTGAAAGACAGCATTGAAAGATTCAGATCGTGAAACAGTAGGCCATATAGACTTTGATATCATTCAACATACCTGCTATGAGACGCATCGTCGTGAAGATAGCCGTGACAAGCCTTTGGAGTAGATGTAGGGTAGGGCTTCGGGCCACGTTCTGCCCAGGATCTTCCCTCTCATCGGGAAATTTCAACGACGATCAATCACAAGGTCTCATGGCCCAATGGCAAGGCGTCTGACTACGAATCAGGAGATTGTGGGTTCGATCCCCACTGAGACCTAAGGACTTCTCTTCCACCAACTTCTAAGCTGCTCGAAACTTCCGAACAGCTCAAATGCCTTTTTTTCCTGGCCTCTCTCTCTAGAGGTCGGTCTTTTTTTTTTTCTTTTTCTTTTTCCTGTTCCTCAATATCTTGAGAATTATCAAACACAAAGGGGATCATGTATAAGGCATCGACATTCATCGTGGATTGAATTAACCCCCAAGACGAAAAAAATTAAAAATTGGGAAAAATTAAGGGTCTGGCCGGGGATTGAACCCGGGACCTCTCGCAATTGTGCATAGGGTTTAACCCTAAGCGAGAATCATACCGCTAGACCACCAGACCGTGTTCTTCACATTATTACGTAATGCTTCTTGTTGAAATTTTGTCTGCTCTATTCAAATATGAAGCATAATCAAATCAGAACTGAATTTTCCCATACAAGACAGATCTTTGCCATTCTCATAGCGGTGTGGACTATGATTTGAGCGATCTTCTGGTGAAGGTCATGCGTTATTCATGACGCAGGACGGCAGGATCTGAGCTCCGCCTCCGCCTCGCGTAATGGGCAGACATCCAATAGAACGTCTGGTAATGGTCCGTTGGCGATTTCAGTGTGCTGACCACATACATGCCTCCTATTTCGCCCTGGTTCTATGTGCCAACTTAATTATTGTCGCTGCAAGATCTTGCGGCTCCTGAAGTCTGCGATGATTTTGTCCCTTCTTAATCCGAGGATGCGGCGATGTTCTGGTGCGCGCCCAGCCAGCCACTTTAGCCCCCTACAGGCCTCGGGTTCATTTTACCGTTAGTGCGCAGCGCATATTTCCTTGCTCACGTCGCATTGCTCGTGTCAAATGATCAGACCTGCAGAAAGATGAAATAGTATTTTTCTCATTTCTTCCCGATTCAAAAAGATATGAGCAAAAAGAGGTCCCGGAGGGAGTCGAACCCTCGCTGACAGGATCAAAACCTGTAGTCATAACCGTTAGACCACGGGACCAGTAATTGATTCGCAGAGCCCCTTCATGAGAACAAAGAAGGTCACCTCCCGAACGCCTGGATTTCTGTTTGTCCAGCTATTCCCACAGTGACTATTATGCGAGGTACGCTGTGATGGTGTCATCGATTCAACAAATATCCATTATGTACGTTTTGTTGTGAGAGCTAATAAATACAAAATGTCGCTTTTCCGTGCTCGTTTCCTCATGTACAAACAACCTCTTATGTCATCGCTGGTGCTTTTGATCCCTCGCTGGCCCAGCCAGTTCAGGACACCATCCACCTTTTCCACCTGAATGCAGTTCATCGCCTTTTTGGCTTGCGGAATTTCCGGGGGTTTTGTCCCTTTGGACACTACAAGCTTGATGTAAAAATTCTGCGGAGTCTTGAAACTTCCTTCTTCTCCTTCTTAGACGATTGCTTAATAGATGTGCGATTGGCCCATAAGAGTCCCACCAGGCTTGATATGATGACTGCCTCTTCCCCAAGATCCAGGGTATCAGAAAGGAGTAGGATACCCTCGGTCTCGGCCTTATTAATACCTTTGCCCGTAGGTTGAAAGTGCTGGTAAAGTGCTTTGGGGTATGATATACTCCCCTTGCTGGCGAAAAGAGGATAGAGCTCGTGAAGCTCGTACGTGACCACGTCGGACTCTGAGGGCCGCGCACGCCACTCTAGATTGGGAGAATTTGGCCCGCTCCCTTTGATAACGAAGGAAGGAAGCTTTGGATCTGCTCGCCTGAAGGTTCTTCTGGAGGTGGGAGATGACACAGAGACGTGGCACAGTGGTAGTTGGGCTGGTGCTACTACTCGAACACAGAAGCCGTCATCTAGGCTGGACGGTAGGGACCTGAAATGATGTCAGTTAATATAGGATAATCTTGGGGTTTACTCGAGGATTTCATACATGTTGATCTCGCACCTGTCTCTCTCCAGAGTCCGTTCTGTGAGTGCAGCGACCTGTCTTACCGGGTCGTAGTCGATGAGGAACCGAACATCGTCGTTCCATGAATTCCCAGAGGGCCTCTCGATGGAGTCCAGCTGCGTCCGGCTAGCCCCCGCGCTGTCTACCCCATGATGCCCAACTGACTCCCGGTAGCTGTCGGTAATGTTATAGAGTGGTAGATGTGTGGTACTGTTGCTATGGCTCGGAAAGTATAGAGCTCGAGTGAGAAAAGGTGCTTGTGGGGTGAGGCCGTAGCTGCTTAAGCTGTCGACTGACCCCATGTATGTGATGGGCGATGAAGCCATGGCTGGCAGAGTGGATAAACCGAGTTGGGTGGCCATCGTATTAGGTATTACGAATGAAACAAAATGATGATACTTCCAGCTGAAAAGCGTCCACGGGCAGGATGCGCTTATAAAGGCACTGGCACTCGTTTGGGGACTGGCCGTTGAGGGTGCATATGTCTGCAGCTACTGACAGCGGGCGAGGAATGCAAAGAAAATCTGCGATCTGCAAACGAACCAAGACAATCACTTAATTTCCTCGGAGCAAACATGCACGCACAGTCAATCTCGGAGAAAGGTTTGCAAACGGACTGCCAATGTGGATCATTCTGAAACATCTGTCAACCCACCAACCCGCCATGGAGAAGCGAGCGAGGGGCTTTTGTCCCACGACAGCTCAATCGGATGGGATGAAACATGACTTCATGCACAGGCTACGCGTCCGTTCTGCTTGGCGAGTCGGCTCACGCAGCGGGAAGCTGGGGACGAGAGATGTGGCGACAAGAAATTCGTAGGGCTGCCCTGTGAGAACCTTAAGGTCAAGCATGGGAAATTATCGAGGGACGAGATGAGACACGGAAGGGATAATGGAGCATGGTATGGTAGGGTAATTACCATAGTGAAACTTCCGCTTGCGGGAGTGCACTAAAGGCATGAGACCTCGATTTTGGCACATCAACCGAGTCAGTTAGATCCATACGTAGCAACCACTCTGTTTTACACATGCGCTGAAGAGCTTAAGACGTTACAAAGTCTAGCCAGTGTATTTCATCCGCTTGGCGCGGAACATTGCTTTGATAAGTTCTTGACTCATTTTATTAACCCACTATGCTGACCCTGAAAAAACCTAGCATTCAACTCGGAGAATTCTTGTTACCTTGCCCAATCAGTGCCCAACTCGCTGCAAGTCGATTCCCCTGATCGGCGTTTATCCTAAATTCCTTCTGTTAAGGTAGCATCGCATCACTTGCATAAGACGTTGAACATTTTGGGTTCTCCATGCATTAACAAAAAGGAAAAAGGCAAGAACTTCAAATATAGACCCATTTTTAAAAAGCAATTGTTGCGGAATGACTGCTCCCATAAGCTCGAATTGAGCTGGGGCTATGTGGTTGAAAAGGGGATGGTTACAACAAGAGGAACAAAAGTGATTACATGGCAACACCCTCAGAACAAAGCAGGGAACTTTTGAGAGTTTGGTTCGTGTTTGGCAATTCCTTTATGGCAGGCTTGATTAGGCTGCTCTTTCTAATGGCTGGCTGTGTAATCCGAGACAAAGGAGGGAGAAGGATGCTGAGCGAGTGGACACTGATAACAATCGATGCCATAATGTCTCCGTGAAGAAGTTGGAAAACATATCGTATGAAATAAAGTTTCCAGAGCCCACATTACGGTTCTAATCGTTATCATGTCACCTGACTCGTAATGAGGCGATCGAGCCCATATTTCTTGGCCCTTGCTCAAATCCCGCATCATACCGTGGCATAATTCCGAAATGCCGCGATCCCACCATCCGTCATCACGCTGTTTCATGAGAAATGATGAGATGTGGGACTAGAATGGGAATAGCCAACTCTATTGGAAACGCCGCTTCTCCAAGTCTCCTTCGGCAGACCTCTGTCCGCGGCATTCGTTTTCCGGTTTCAATCCAATGGTTTCGGCTCCGGCGACGACTCTGCGCAAGGCATGCGCCCCTTGCCACACGCGGAAAATCAAGTGTGACGCTGCAATCACGGGCCTGCCCTGTGGGCGATGCATTGCCAGAGGCTGCAGCAACAGTTGTATGAGACCTCTTCGACATCCTAGGGCGTGAGGCAAAGCACCTTCTTTTCTCAACCTCTTCTGCTAATCCTTTGAACCTAGGAGGAAATTCGGCCGATCGAACCAAGAAAAGCAGCAGGAAGGGAACCAGTCTCAAGCCATCAATGTAAACACCGCTAATGATTCATCTGGTTGTGTAAGCCAACCCTGTTGCAACGACTTTCCCCAATTGATTCATCATCTTTTACTGACATGCCAGACTGTCAATGTCGATGCATTATCTACTCCCGAGTATCACTTCCAACATAATTCAATCACACCGCAAGCTGCCCAGGATGCTGAGCCTATCACCCACGAAGATCAGGCTCGAATGCGCACCTGCCATGAAATATCAGGCGGAGGGGATCTTGTGTCTGCATCTGCCATGACCTCGCCTGGTCAAGGTAGAGACACCGTTGAGTACCGCAACGGTCTGAACTTCATATCTGCTCTCGGAGAGCTGGTTGGGGGCCAGAAGCCACGACGTTTGACAAGAATTATGGCCCACGACTCAATATTGGATTCTGAAGATCAGAGCCAACAGCAGCAATCGTCTGGGCAGAGTCCAGCTGTATCTAGACTTGGTGCAGCAGAGTTGGCATTGCTTGAATTGAAAGGAGCACTCTCGCTTCCTCCCAAGGCTTGCTGGTATGCTTGCAATATTCCTTCTCTCTTGGTTTCGAGCGATGCAAGTCTAACATTCTATGACAGCGACCAGCTTTTGAAGTTGTACTTTGAGATTTGTTATGTGAGAACGCCAATCTTCAATCGCGTCGAGTTTTGTAGGGCGTACGAGTCGGATCAATCATCACTATTCCTCATGAATGCGGTATTTGCCAACGCCGCACAGTATGCGCCTATTGATTTTATAGAAAGATGCGGCTTCAAAAGCAGGTCTTGCGCTCAGAGAGCCTTCATTGCGCGAGCTATTCTTCTTTATGATCTTGGTCATGAGACTGTCCAGCTGCGTCTGTTACAAGGATCGGTCGTGCTAGGTGCCACTGTCTTCTCATATACACGCGATAAAGACTTTCGGTTCTGGATGCATAATGCCTCTCGCCTCGCAGTTAAGATGGGACTTCACCTTAGGTATGTGGTCGTAAATTACTGAATTGAGGACAGTCTAACAAAAATTCCATAGGGATATAGAAGGGGAGGTTGACCCTGACACGTTCAAGCTATGTCGAAGGATATGGTGGGCTATATACGTAAGTATACTTGCATCTAAAACCATGCTAGGACTAGCGATTGACGATGGAATTAGAGCCGCGATATCATACTACACTTTACTGGATTGAGGAACATGCGAATGCTTGATCGTACTGACTATGACATGACCATTCTCTCAGAGGATGACTGGGAGAGTGATGAGAGCATCCCCGATCAATTTTGGTCTATATTATCTCCAATATCTCGCCAGCAAAAGCTCTTTCATATAGAGTACGTGAAGCTTACGCTGGTCGGTAAGCTTTACTCCTTTCTCCCCACACAAGCAAGTAGGGAACTGATGAAGATTGCTTAGGCGAGGAATGTCTCTCGATCGTGAAAAGCCGCCAGGATTTTACAGATAGTCAAGAGGTCGAAATCTCAACGCGTTTCTCGTTGTGGAGAAAAGCAATTCCCCACGTACTAAGCATAGATGAGTATCCATCAGCTCCTGGCCAGAATAGGTTGCCAATTACCCTGATGGCGGCCAGCTACAGGTTTGAATGCATATTGTATCATGTGCTCCAGCGAAAGTGGCAAAAGAGCAATAACGATGTATCTCCTTGGTGCAGAGACCGGCTTCGAAGGTCGATCTTTCAGCTGGATACCTTAATTGGTAGAGCCATAACGGATGGGCTCAGTGGGGTCTATTCTCAAACTCTGTAAGCTCCCAATACTCCTTTTCAATATTTTTGAAGTAAGGCTCATATGATTAGTGTCGGGTGTGTCAATACCAGCTTGGCACTTCGCATAGAATCTAGCCTCCAGCCGCAACAAAGCCATCTCGACAAAATGCTAGATTACAACTCAATCAGGCAGAGTATGCTATTCTTGAGGGAAGTGAGCGACCTTCCTAGTGTTCAATGGCCTCTGGGTGTATTTGAATGGATCCTTAGCCAGAAAGGTTTGTTCAGTGAGGTTGGATTGACTGAATCACGGATCCATGGACTCGATAATGTGATGGGTATGCAAACTATCACCGAGGATGAAATAAGATCGACTCTGACAAACAACCAATACTTCGGAGGTCTGGAAACCGCGGATCAGCTCGACAATTTCCTGTACAATGATGACTTTGCCGGATACATGGGACTTGGAGACATATAGATGGCACATGGCGTTGGGATTTCTTTTCGGTATGTCACACAATTTAGAAGCAATTAGACGTCATTTCACGCGGAAATAATATATGTGGAGCAATGGTAGGAGGTTTGCCAAAATCTCGAGATAATGATACTAAGGGTTGATCAGAACTGTAGACGTGACATAACTTTTTTACATCTCAAACGAAGTTCACCCTAATATAGACCCCACGAGGTATTAACGTAAAGGGATGGAAGAGAGTGATGGATTATTTTGGCTGTTATATTCCTCACGTCGTGAATCTCCGTTAGTCTCGAAGGCGGAATTTCAGGTTTCTGCAGAGGCCGAAAAGCCGCCATGTCCCCACATGCGGCTCAATATAATCCATATTCCTTTCCTTTCTCTTCATTCATCTGTGTTGAGATTTCTCTAATGAGATTATAGATTTGATTTTATCTGTTCCCTTTTGTTCTTGTTCTTGGTAAATTTGGAGCTTCATAATGTCCGAACGTAAAGGTGAGGATGGTCCTGAGCCCACTCAAATACCGTTTTGGCGGATGATGTTTGATCATTCCGGTATCACCCCAGACGTTCTCAACTACCAATATCGGGGATCTGGGACGAAGGTTGATCCGTATATTGTTACATGGATTCCAAACGACCCAAGAAACCCAATGCTTTTGAACAACAAGTTTAAATGGTCTATTGCCGTGTTCGAAGCGCTCTCGACAACGGCTGTTGCCCTCGTCTCTTCTGCATACACAGGTGGCATGGACCAAATCATCGAGGAGTTCGGTATCAATCATGAGGTGGCCATCCTCGGCGTGGCCCTGTATGTTCTTGGATTCGCAGTCGGGCCATTGCTCTGGGCACCGCTCGGCGAGCTATTCGGGCGACAGAAGATCTTCTTCATTACATTCTTAGGGCTTACGGCATTTAATTGCGGTGCTGCAGGTAGTCCAGACGCGCGGACTTTGATCGTTCTGCGCTTTCTGGCAGGCTCTTTTGGAGCATCTACCTTTACAAATGCCGGCGGTGTCATCGCAGATATATTCGAGGCCTCAGATAGGGGCCTTGCCATGGGCATCTACTCAACTGCTCCATTTTTGGGTCCAGTGACTGGCCCAATAATAGGGGGATTCCTTGGGAAAGCAGCCGGCTGGCGATGGATTCTGGGATTTCTAGGAGCACTAACCGGATTCTTCTGGATTCTCGGTTGTTTGCTTGTTCCCGAGACGTATGCTGTTGTTTTGCTACGGAGACGAGCTGAAAAACTATCCAATATAACCGGAAAGGCTTACATGAGTCGCAAAGATGCCGAAACTGGCGAAGTTTCTGTGCAGAGCGCCCTCGGAACTGCACTCTCCAGACCGTGGATTCTTCTGGTAAAAGAGCCTATCGTCCTCCTTCTGTCACTCTATATGGCCATCATATACGGGACTCTGTACTTGTTTTTTGCCGCCTTTCCTATTGTATATCAACAATACCGAGGCTGGGACCAAGCAATCGGAAGCCTCCCTTTCCTTGGGCTGCTGATTGGGATGATAGTAGCAATCATCTACCTCATCCCCGAAAACAAACGTTATATTCGAGTTGTCGAGAGAAATCACGGCTTGGCACCTCCTGAAGCTCGCCTTCTTCCGGCGCTGGTAGGATCAATCCCACTCCCTATTGGGCTTTTCTGGTTCGCATGGACTAATGGCCCCGAAATCCATTGGTTTGCCAGTGTCGCTGCCGGCATTCCTTTTGGGTTCGGCATGGTTCTTGTGTTTTTAAGCGTCATGAACTACCTGGTCGATGCTTATACGATCTTCGCAGCTTCTGTTCTTGGAGCCAACACCTTCTTGCGATCTATTTTCGGCGCGGTTTTTCCGATCATCGCGACATACATGTACAACAACCTCGGTATTCATTGGGCATCAACTGTATTGGCATTTTTGTCTCTTGCTTGTGTCCCGTTCCCGTTTCTGTTTTACAGATACGGTTCTAAGATTAGGCAAAAATGCGCATATGCCGCTGAGGCAGCGGCACATATGAAGGGGCTACAGCATGATGATGGAGGTGAGTCTTCACAGAATTAACAGAGTGATAAGACTATGGCAGAGATTCAAAGGGGGAATATAGTTTCTCCTGCTGTAGTCGAGGAAAAAATATGCGAATGGTATATAGAACAATTCGGAAAGATTAGATTAGATAGCATCTTCATCCTTGGAGTCTGATTAGAGCGAGGCATTGTCCCTGTATTACCTATAGCACGCTTTTGACCATAGACTAATGAAATATATAGAGTACAGAAAGCTTCTGCGTACTAAGCCCAATGGAATTTGAAACCAATCAATGGTGGTGTCGGCTGAAGGGAAGGGGGGGGGCGCTATTACCCAACATCAGGCATTTCCCAGGTGGTCTCACCACAAAATCGTGAATTCAGTATCGGCTGCGTAGTTGCTTCATCTTATCAGCACAGAAAGGATAAGAATCCATGTTCTGGTCATGGATGTCTTCGTTATCCCTGAAAAAATTGGCTTACCGCTTCAGACGCCCACGCTGGTGCTGTACGAAAACGTTCTCTTATCATACCAGGGTCTTTAGATAGACAATGTCCCGGAGACGCTGGATATCATGATCTGCTATCATCAGATCGACAACTATAAGCCTTGTTTGACATAGCGTTAGATTTGGGTGGTCTCTTTATTTCGGCTAGTGTCATGTACACTTGACAGATCTCTGGTGTCGTCAGAGGTCCTCCCTAACCCCTTTTCCCCCTTTGACCTGGATCACAACAGTTGATAGATGACGGCTTGATTTAACCACAAGATTCATTTGAATTCATTCTCATAAACTAAAAAATTATATCGTGATAAAAGACGATGGGGTAATGTCGCTAGTAGAGTAATCAAGGTTTATAAGAAAAATGAGAAAATTCCAGCACCGATTTTTGTTTAAACAGCAATTGCTTGCCGGATCACAGCCTCCACAGGCTCCAGCTGAGCTGCATTGCCAGAAGTGGCAGCGATGATGCGAGCCATGGACTGCTGAGCCGGCCAGATCTCCCGACCGGCTTCCACCTCGCGCTCGTGGTGTTCCTTGACCATGTCTCGTGCGCTGCTCTGAAACCAGAGGGCGCCCTTCTCCATGCCGGGGTGCAGCTCGCCGTTGATGAAGACACCGCGGAGGATGTTGTTCTGGGCACCGATGGCGAGCTCCTTGTCCTCGGACATGACCCGCTTGTACATAGCATCCACCTGCTCGAAATCCTCGCGAGGGGAGTTCTTGTTCCTGTAGACTTCATATCTCATGATGGAGGAGTTGGTACCGGTGGGGATAAATCTTTGCATCATGAAGAAGTGTTTTCTAGGTCTTGTTAGTCACTGTGGTCTAATGGCGGGGTAGACAGGAAGTACTTACGAGACATTGATGGAGGAGTTGGGGAAGAAGTATGTGGGGGCGATCAGAAGACCCTTCTCGATCATTTCTGGGGTAGGGCTGCCGAAGTGCATCAAGTATGACTTGACAGGGTCAACAACGTAAGTGTTGATGTCTGCGAGATCGTTGAGATCAGGGTGGGAAACGCGGCAGTGGTAGCACTCATTGTAGTTGTCTCCCAGCAGCTTCCAGTTGTAGGCGCCCTCCATCTCCCAGGTGTGGTCGTACTCGTAGGACTCCCAGTCGTACATGTCGAGTCTCGGCTGCTCATCGGCGCCTCCCAGCTCCTCTGACCAGGCAATCTCGGGAGTCTCACCGGCGTCCAAGTTGACCCAGATGAAGTTCTTCTTGTCAATGTGGACGTGAATAGGGAGGATACCATGCTCATTGATGTTGAACTCTTCAAGCTCCGGGGTGATGTGGAAGGCGTTGATCTTGCCATTGTTGTCTCGGCAGACAACATAGTGGAAGTTGGCGATCTGATAACGCTGCCAGTCACCATTGTTGGGGACCCGCTTGTTGTGGGTTGTGAGAAGCCACCTCTTGGAGAAGATGGCGCGTCTCTCAAGCTGGTACATCTCCTCAGAGATGTACCATGAAGCAGGGAGAGCTCTCACTGGAGCTGTCTCATTTGAGGCGTTCTGGGGCTTGCCGCACAAGGGGTTGATTCTAGAGTTGGCAGGGGGAGCAGGAGCTGGAGCGGGAGTGGCAGGGGCTCTGTTGACATAGGCGCTGGCTGGCAGGCCGAAGTAATTTCGGAGGAAAGACATTGTCTTGATGTGTGAGAAGAAATGAAACTTGCTTCTTTGTTTAGTGTTTGTGGAGGAGGTGTGGATTGATGAGATAGATTCGTGGGGAAGAGGGAGGCCTTTGAAATAGTTATAGCTTATCGCCATCGACACGTCTCCCCTCCAACTCGCTTGAACTAAATCGAGTTCCTACAGCCATCCTGTCCGGACCGATACCGTCGGTAGGTTATCGCTGGACGGGCGTAATCATGTGCCGTGGCTGATACGGCATCGAGACCGGACGCGTAGGATCTGGGCTTCCCCAGTTGCCACGTCCAACCTACTTGATAACCATTATCAAAGAAGGACGGCATTGTATGCAAAATATCTTCCACTTTGAGTAAGGCTCAGAAGCCTATCTGATAGTGCTAGTAATCGATTGCCGCCTTGAGACGCCCAACACGAACCAGTGGCCGAGACAGCCGGCCGGCCACGGGCCTTTTCCCCGCTCACATGATCGGACTTTGGGTCTGTCAACAACTGAAGGGCGCCACACCGCAGCTCGGGCTGGGTTGGAGACACCATCCAGAGCTAAATTTACATATGCAAGTGCAGATTATCTGGATTTATGGAGCATTTTAAAGTCTAAGACCTGGAATCTGAACTTGAAGGCTGTGATCGACCTGATCGCCAATTCATCCTTATCAACGATCAATGCATCGAGGATCTGATAGAATAACGAAACGACGTTCAAATTCATCCGTCATCGGACCACGGAGTTGAAGCAATGCCCCGGATGGTGACAAGTCGGAGTTTCAATTATTGGGTAATAGATTGGTTAGATGCTAGACACGCGGTCGTTCCGGCGGTATAACCTGACCACGTGTGTCGAGGGCAATGAATGCCCAATGTGCGCATGACCTTGAACCTGAAGCTGTTATCTCCCAAGAACAGGCAGGCATTCTGAACATTCTAGCCCGTCCGGACGATCCTCCGTCGGCATTGGGCTGCGAGACCGGCCGGCCCTATCTATCGTCCCACCACAACATTTGACACATGGTAGATTAGCCACCAAAGGGAAGCTACCAACAAATCATGTGTCCACGGTCGTCCTAATCTGTGGCGGGCTGCAGGGGGAACGAAGGTTGTGGATCTCGACTTCTGCATCCAGGGTGCAAACTCCAAAAAGGAGACCATCCTGAAGGATGCGGGGAATGCGGAGAACCAGGAATTCTACTAGAGGGCGCCGTAGAGATAAGAATGGCCGAAATAGGATATTAACTTACAACACCGGCGTTGCTAAAGGGCTCGCTCTGGTCAACTACTCCCACCCAGCCTCCTTCCCCCTTTTCCCAGCGACAAAACATAGAATGAATGACTGATTGGATCTTATTCATGCATGTCATGTCTATCACGATGCATATACCGTGGCGAAACCAGCCCCATCAGATGGGTCAGCTTGAATTAACATCGAGATATCGATTTGCGGAACGCCACCGTTCACGTGATCGGTGGCCAAGAGCGACGGTATCGCCAGCGACTTCCTGCTTATCATCATCATGCATCGATTATCTCGATGATTCGAATCTCGATATTCGTATCCAATGATTTGAAATATGGTTATATTACGTAGCTATGTTGTTTTATGTGTCAGTTGTTGGCAACGACGGGCACGGCGAATTTGGTCAACTTATCGTCATTGATTCATAGATATAGAAATCACCAACTCATAGAATTCTCTCCATGATGTGCTGATCATATTTTGTGTGAGTAGCAAATTCAAGCTCATAGGCTAATGTCAGTATCAAAATTATTCCCTTCAAGGTCCTGGCCAAAAACCTGCGTTAAGCTTATCAACCAGATAACATCGCCCTCGGACGAGCAGAGGCTAAAACCAAAAGTGGCGGTGAAACTCTCCGAGTCCAACTACCATAATCTTGGCAGCCATCACTACACTAGGGATCTTGAATCTATACCTGGATCCAAGGAATCGAAGTAAAAGTAAGATCCTCATTATTAGGGCCATTTCTCGGACAAGCTATGCTACTGTTTAACTTGAGAATTACCCAAGTGTTGAAAGACCAAGAGTTTAATGTCAGCTTCTCTATTGATTCAGTAACGGAATTTGTTCAAAGATCTTTCAAGGACCTCGCGAAATACTAGGGAATTTGGCGTTAGTATTACTTTGTTTCCGGCCGTGTGCCAGGAGGCAATAAACTCCCTGCAATTCTTATCAAGCATTCTAGCAATGTGTTTCCAGAATGGGAAAGGAAGAAAGACACTTAGCTTCGCTAGAATGTTTTGAGAGTGGGGGAGAGAAGCTTAAAAAGGAGAAAGGATTGAGTGTTCATACGACACTGCCAGCTGTAGTTCGAAATTTTTGGTGGCTGGCGTGGCATGTAGCCCAAGCAATTACTCCGGAAATCTCCGTAAATCCGGACTTCAGGAAGTACTACGCTCTAACGAGAGTAGCCTGAAAAGGCATCTTTTCACTGAGTGATATATGCCGCAGCGGTCTCTGGACGTTGCTAGCTAGGGCCGATTCAGTCTCACTGGCAGGAGTGTCAGTTGCAATGACTGCCGGCCTCCCCAGTACAATAGTAATTCATACTGCATTCTCTTTTCAGAATAAAGGATCAAACTTCATACCGATTAGATATCTCTCTAGTGTACTTGTATATATCGCCACGGATTTTCCTACGCATCGCTTGCCATCGCTCTGCCACAAAGTGGTAGGTTTCACCACTAATCAGTAAATGATATTGAATCCAGATCTGGCATTGGTATTTCTGACAGCCTTTTAACCGCCCGGATATATTTCTCGCCCAATTCTTCCTTACATTTCTTGCCGGCTTCCTTTAGCGCCTCTTCGTCGGCGTTGATCACCTTCTGTTTTCATGTCAGTTCGTTTATTTCATTGAAAAAGGCGGCAAACTTACCCAGCACACTCTCCAAGATCTGAGCATTGTTCCAAGGGTAGTCTTTCCCTCCTCGCATTTATCGCCGTTCTCTTGGATTTTCATAAATCTGTCAAAGAGATTCCACTCATTGTCATCCTCGGGTCCATCGCTCTCAACCGGAGCCAAGGTGGTCTGGAGTTCCCTGAACTCATATTGCGACATGCCCTCCGGCCTTTCGGCATTAGTGAACTTAGCCGAGCCAGATTTATACCATAGGTCATGAAGTATGGGAACCATAGACTTTGGACCGTCCGTGCCATCTCGTTTAGCAATGAGCTTTCGCATCACGAAGATCCATTGCAGGATAAGCCGTTCGGCCCCCGCATCAAGCAAGTAAAACCCACTCATCATGGTGGACTTGTTTGCGTTCCTTTGTGCAAAGTTATTTCTTGAAAGGGGCTTTAGCCGATCCAAATACTTCTCCTTGGTGAGATCTGCCAGCTTTTCAAAGCACTCAACATGGTAGAAATCTAGTGCATCGGTTAACTGCTGTTAGAAGGAGAATGTATTTCTGCAACCTTAAGATAGTATACCGTACCTGCTTTTCCCCAGTAGTTCCACATGCCAGGATCAACAGCGACTCGATAGGCATCACTCTCGATCATTCGATTACAGGAATCCAGTTTACAAGAAGCGTGGCCATTCAAGTGCTTAGAGCATTCGATAAAGAAGTTGACAGGTCCCGATCGCCTTTCTTCTGTAATATGGCGTTCCAAATCTCGCCGATAGAGGTGGAGATATTCATCCTCACCTGAAGAGGGCAATGGAGGCTTCTCGCCGCTACTCTCATCATCATGCCTGTCTTGTCGCTTTGGTGGGCGTTCATCTTCGTCAGCTGTATGACTGCCCTCGGGAGAACGAGCTCTCTTGGAAGCAGATGTGGTTGAGCCCTCCTGTTTATCAGCCATCTCTAAGTCAGGATCTCAGCCCAGAGTATTGTGTTCTAAGCGGCGAAGAGTAAGATACAGGCTGACTGGGAAGGGGGGTAGAAACGACGGGAGTATTTAAGAATTTCCCTGTTCTCTAGCCGCCCAGATTGATGAATGGCAAGGTTAAATATAGCCATGTTGGTAGTGTAAGGCTGCTTTGGGTCGCCAAATGCGCGGCCATGAAACAAGCACAGCCATCCATCATTGCTAATTTTGGAGAGATAAAAGCCTGTGAAAGTGATTGAGAGACCTGAACATGTATTTATCTCCATAGTATTTTTAAATCATAAAGCCTAGGTAAAAAAGAACTATAACACCCTGGGCGAAATCTCGGCCGGTCCTAATCAATAAATGACAGGCCAGTCGTTCTCCCAGCGGATGAGGTTGATACCCAAATAAGACGCACCACTATTAGCATAATAGTGATACACAAAGACATCTGCATCTGAATCAGAGAGGACGGCTGGGTGGCCAGGACCATGGATCGAGCCATGGCTCGCCATAACCTCAGTACCACCACCGGACAGCATTGACGTGCCGCTCTTGTCGGTATACGGACCAGACAGGCTCGTAGAGCGACCAACCATGGTACGATAAGTGCTGGAAGCCCCCTTGCAGCAGCTATCGAAGGATACCCACTGGTAGTAGTAGTTGCCACGTTTAGTGATGAAGGGCGCCTCCAGGGCGCCGTTGTTGTTGGGACGGGCGGCGATGGAAACGAGGCTTGTGCCGGAGCGCAGACCCGTGCTGGAGTTCAGCGCAATCAACTTGATACCCGACCAGAACGAGCCAAAGCTCAGCCACCATTTGCCGTCGCTGTCAACGAACAGATTGGGATCGATGGCGTTGTAGCCGAGACTGTCATTTGACTCGATAACCAAGCCCTTGTGAGTCCACGAGCCTGAAGCTCCGGTGGAGCTGGTGGCGAGGAAAATGGCCGACTTAGCAGACCCAAATGTCGAGGCCGAGTAGTATAAATAGTAGAGGCCATTGTGGTAGGAAATGTCAGGGGCCCAGAGATTAGTGTCACCACCCGTATAAGGGGTAGTCCATGATGCACCATTAGGGAACACGGCACCCGCGTTTGTCCATCTTGTCCGGTCAGTCGAAGTCTTAAGCTGGATATTGGTGCCAGTGTGAGCGATGATGTATTGTCCGCTCGATGTTTTTACGATTGAAGGATCATGAAGACCAGTATCGCCCGAGACAACCCCCGGGTCAGGATAAGCTCCTTGAACTGCCACGGCCAGAGCAGTGATGGCAAATAGGCCCCGGTTGAGAAGCTTTTGTAAAGAAATCATCATGAATATCAGATCCGCGATCCCTCAGATCGACGTTGGTAGACGAGTGTGGTTTTGGTCTTTTGTTTCAAGACGATACGGCGCACCATCGTATTACTTATACTCGTAAGGTCCATTTAACCTAGCAGCTCGTTTCATAACAGCCGCAACTTTCTGCTTATTGTGTCCAAGCGCGCCTCGGAAAATTTGGTGTCGGAATACGGCGGGCGGCACCCCCTTGATTTCCCTGTAACGCGGAGTTTCATGTTCCGCTTCTGAACTCGGCACTTGGACCACCTGAAGCCGATGCAAGCTAGCCTCAACAACCGACCTGCTGGTATTCCGTACTTTTACTGGCAATAAGCGGAACCCAAAAACCCTCGGGATAAAAGGTGAATTAAGCTCGTGTCATCTGACCCATGAGTGGGATCACGTCTTTGCCAAGGTTGAGAAGACAACCATGTTTCACTGTGCTGCTGCGGCAATTGAACTATACACCTACCTAAAGGGTGAAAGCCCCCCGAGAATGATCTCCTTTTAACACTAAACCAGCTAGTCGAAGATCTCAGCTTGTTCTAAGGTAGCCGGCCCAGTAAGAAGAGAGAAGCGCGATCTCTTCTTCTTGTTAAGGCAGAAGACCAGATGCAACGAAAGTCTGTCCGCAGATATTAGCTGCCTCGCTTCACAGAGCCAGCATAGGCTCGACTCTACGTGTAATGAGGAGAGAACCTGAATAATCATTGTTCAAAGAGGCTCAATTATGTTATCTGTCTGTAAGATGATGGGGAAGGCTACGGATTCTATGCGTCTTTTCTATCACAAATTACACAAGCACAACAGCGAAGGGATTCCCGTCTACCCCCGGGTGCCTTGTCTTTGCCTGATATAGCCTTAGCTGCAAAGAAACGAAACGGGGATCAGAAGTTTATACTAAATTTGACCACGTTGGCAGTAACGTTCGTTCTGGTCACAAGATCGTGCTCGACAACCGTAGCCTGACGATCAAGCGGCTCGTCGCGATAGGTGGATTGCCTCTCTTGCTCTATTCCTCAAATGAATCAGGATCATCGACGTAATGGTACGATTGGGCAATGCGTACATCGCCCACCCCTCGCAAATCCAAATAAATCCGTCGGACATTTTCAGAGTATATGCGAGAGGTGAGGTTGCGAATGAGATCACCTTCTCTCTTAATAATGTCCATTCGTCCTAAATCATACATGACCATCGCAGGGATTTGATATCCAATATCCAAAGTGAGACTGGGGGAGGTGCAGCTCAAGTCAACCTTCCCATTCAGTTCCCATTCATTGAACAGCAGACCAAAATATGTCAGCTTCTTGAAGCGTCGTGGTGCAACGCTGACCAACTCTTTGGCCTGTGTCAGGATGACTTCGCCACAGTGATGAATCTGCAGGTATTCCAGATTTTCAGGCAAGCAATCGACAAGCCTGGGAGCTCCTTCGACCTTCATTGGCATTTGAAGCGTGATCTTCTCATGATTCTCTGGCCTTCCAGCAAGCATCCCGGTAAGTGCCCGCATCCCCAGTGTGAGTCTCTTCAAAGCGTGCATTTGACTGAGTTCGGTGCCCATATATAGTCTTTCGGGGCAGCTAGACCAGCTCCATCCATGATCCCAGTCATCTTCAAGATTGATATATAGATCCTCAAGCGTATCGGCATGGGGCAATACAGCTTCAAGAAAATCTCGGGGCATGGCTTCTTCGGGGAGATCATACATCCCACGGATATACTCAAACTTCTTGAGCGCTTTGCAGCTGTTGAGCATATCCCTGAGCAGTGATGCCGTGGCGTAGGAGGAATGAAGGTTGATATCTTCCACAGAAGACGACCTTGGTGGTAGACGACGAAATCTTTTGGCCGCTTCGTCATTTCCATAAGCCATGATACACTCATAGAATCGGAGGTGGGGTAAGGCGAAGAGCCTTGGTGCCTCTGAAAAGAATTCACGGCAGCCCACCTTGTCATTATTTGCTTCGTGGAACACATCTTGAAGATTAGAAAGTGGGATAGCCATGTGACTGATTCCGGTGACATAGCGAATATTTTGCTTCAAATAAAAATCCCGGAGAACCTGTAGCAAGGTATGAAAATGGGAGCATTTGCTTGTTTTCTCGTACAGTAGAGTTCGAATGTTGGGGCAGGTAAGCAAAATCAAGGTCACCTGAGCATCAGTGCTGCCTGCTTTCAGATCTGCTGCCCATGCAGTACGCCAGCGAGATGTTTTATAAAAGTACTTGCCCGGAAGAGCACCCAAAATGGTCTCGATTTGCTGTTGATAGACAGCAAGATCTTGATCGGTGCTTCCATTCCCGGGATCCTCATCTGTCCTTTCCTCTCTCTCTCCTGGTGACAAGCTGCCTACAATGACAGTCTTAACATGCTTAACCAGAAAGGGCTTAGAGACGAGAATATAACGCAAGAACAGCACATTTCGAGCTGAGGAACATGGCCCTCCACCCTCTAAGTAGTGCACGGTGTTCCGAAAGATGCTCACAGAGATGGGGAGTGCTATGTTATAGAACTGTTTGCACGTCCTCAGAATCGCTTGGATGCTTGGTTTCCCAAAGGACACAGCAAGATGAGAGAATATTTTGGTCTGAATCTCAGGTGGTAGCCCTAAGAGTGTGGTTTGCCTGGGTTTAGCCTGCTGCTCCATTGCGTCCGGTTGTGGCGGTTGTGAGTGACTGGTATAATCTAGGGCTGGGCTGAAGTGCTTTGAGAGTGCGGGCAGGTTAAGAGAGGAAGTAATATGAAAATCAGCCCATCTATCATCGGGAAAAGCAAGCAGCTGTAGCTAAATATTTGAGTGGATACGTTTCTCTCTCGCCCATTATGCGACCGACGCAGTATTAGGCGGAATTGGCCTAGTAGTATTGCAACAAGCTAAAAAAAAACTCTCCCTTGCAAATAGAGCTAGTAAGAAATGGGACCAGGGAGTACGTAGTTATCAACGTAAGCCAGAGGTTGTTAGTTGTTGGTTGTTGGTTGTTGCAATGCAACCGTGGAGGCGCAGCAGGATGTAACCTGCTTTGATCCCATGTCCCTGGCCGGCATGGATTGGTATCCAGCGAGAGCAAAGAGGTAGATAGTAAACCCAAGCTATCCCGTATGATATTTTCACCGGAGTCTCAATGGATTTTCTTTACCCTGTTTACTGGCATATGAAAGGTTTATACATATATAGGCCCAATGAAAGGACGGTTCGTGGCTTTGGTTATTGTGGAAGAGCACCGGGTGAGCAAAAATAGCCTCGCGTAGCATGTTTTGTTGGTCAACAGAACTTGGTGAGTAAAAATAAAATCGCGTAGCATATTTGTTGGTCCCATTGCCTCTTGATCATAAAAATAGCCTTTGAACAAGTCCGACATGACAGCATGTCTCGGAAACGAAAGGCCTATAAAGGGAGGAGGATCTTTCGAATAACAGTCGTCTCAGGCATCCCAGAATTCCTTCAAATTTGTTCTATTCAATTCTATATCTCTACTTCATTCTTGCTTGCAATTTACTTCAACGCGGCCATGGCCTTTTTGAAACTTCTCCCCTTCATAACTGTTGTACTTGTCGGTACTGGCAGAGCTTGGGGCACCACTCTAGACTCAAGCGACCTCGTTGCACGGGTTGACCTCAGAAATGCCGTTGGTACTGAGCATATCGTGCAGCCTCGTTACAATGAAGCTTCTGTCACCGTTCGTGCTGAAGAAGGCGACACTGCTGTGGGAAATAAAGCCTATGTGTTGAGGAGAGAACGCGACCAGAGTTACAACCAGAGAAGCCCTAGGGCCTCTAACAGCCTCAGAGCTACACTGAGAGTTATCTCGAAACCCAAGAGCAAGATCACGAAAAATCCCAAGCCCAAGCTTGCGTTGAAGCCCCAACCCAAGACCGGAAAAGCTGCCCCTAAGCCCAAGCACGGCATTTCCAAAGCCGGGTTGAAGCACAAACCTAAGGTTCAGAACACCTCTGCTAAGCCAAAGCTCAAGACTCAAAGTGCCGCTGTCAGACACAAACCAAAGGCCCCCACAGCTCCAGCGCCGCCTAAGCATAAGAGCACGAAAGCTTCTGGAATTCACAAACACAAAACTCAAAACTCCGCTGCCAAGCGCAGGCCCAAGGTTCAGAACACCGCTACCAAGCAAAAGCCAAAGGCCCCTAAAGCCTCAACACCGCCTAAGTATAAGAGCACGAAAGCTTCTGGATTTCAAAAGCACAAGAATCATCATGCTCCTAGCAAGCACAAGCCCAAAGTTCAGAATTTCGCTACCAGACACAAGCCAAAGGTTCACAATGCCGCTGCCAAGCACAAGCCCAAGGTTTCCAAGCCTTCAGCCCCGCTTAAGCATAAGAATTCTGAGGGTTTTAGAAAGCATAAGCCTAAGGCTCAGAAAGTTGTAGCAAAGCACCGTAATAAGGCTCATACGGTTCATTCCAAGAAAACGACCAAGGCCGCACCGCACCGCAAACCTAAGCCTCACAAGGTTGCTACCAAGCAGAACATTAAGGCTCACAAGGCTGTAGCATGGCCTAAACACCAACCCGGCAAACAATCTGCGAACAATAGGTCTAAGGCCCCTAAACAACACAAGCCAAAAAGTACTAAGGTCGCCCCAACGCCCCAACGCAAAGTTGCCAAGACCAGCAAGCCGAATCAACGTAATAAGCCTAAAACTGCGCCTGGGGGGAAGGGTCCCATCTGTCGGCGAGGACCCGGTGAAAGCTGTGGCAACCAGCGTTCCGCAAGCCCGGATAGAGCATCGACTTCCAGCTCGGAAGGCGGGGTAGTTGATCTCAAAGATGTGAGCATCGTCGGACCTAACCTCCTTGCAGGTGACAGTTCTCGAAATAGACGAACGGGCGCCGACCCGGATGATATATCACCATCTACATATAACTACCTGGGTCGAGTTGGGGACTTGCATGCTAATACGGCTCTCCAAGGTCGGCTTGGATATCAAGGCGTGCCTGGCCCTGGTGCAATTGTCAACAGTAATCCTCCTTCGTCGCATTCCAGTTCTAGTTCGCAGTCGGGTAGTCCGCATGTCAATGCGCAAACTCCTTCTTCTAATAAAAATCAAGCATCCTCTGATGTCAAGCCTAATACGCCAGTTGGCAGTTCTTCGAAACCCAACACGGGTACGACAGCAGCTGGTGGCGTTAGAGGAAATGTGGGGGAGGAGGGGAAATCTTTTCTTCACTCGGATTCTGAGGAGGATTTGACTCACTTTAACTCGGGGTCTGAATCGGAATAGACGAAGAGATATCTGGTACGTTCATCAAGTAGATAGCCAAAGGAACGTATACGCCTTCAAGTCTGAGTCCTGTATCAAGAACCCATTTGAACCAATGAAGAAGGCCGGAGAAAAGGGGAGGATTGAGAATACTTGAGCTTTTCTAGCGCATCGGCTCTCGCTTTTTGACAAACTACATGTACCTATGTTGCTCATCGATGAGATCCAAACGCGGGATTCTGCTGTCTTGTCCCGTGATGAAGATGAAGTATTGGGCGCCAATTAGCATGAATCAATAATAGCAGCACAAAGTTACCTCTAAGCTTGAATGGGGAGAAACGATGTCGGCGAGGTATGTCGTCGTTAAGAAACCACCCTGGATGGCCATTCCACCTCCGATGACCGGGGTCATAATATATCAGCGAACTATCTTGATCTATATTGTTTATACGATCTTGTCACTGGGACATGGCTCAGTGCACGATGCTTAAGTATTGGGAAGCTCGAGGGTGGAAGTATACCTGAAGATGAGTGATTTTAAGTCAAGCCTTGGCATTCGGGTCCCAACATTGGAGTCGGTGTTTGCAGGTCGCTTAAAGAGTTCGTGGCCACCACCGGACGTTATCATTGATTGTTCATGGTCGATTTGGCTGACAAACTTGTCACATGGCGATTGCATCACAATAAAAGATTGAAACCCCTAAATATTCAGTTTACAAACAGGACATTTATTAATTTGCGACTAGCATTAAGGATGCTGCTGCAACTTGGCTACCTCGTGATGTAACATCAATGCTGTCCAGGCAAGTGGGTGACATGAGAAATGAGACACTAAATGGAAGAGTGGTTATAAAGAGACTCTCTTCTAACTTGAATCGAGAGATACAGTAGTATAAAATGAAAAATAATAATAATATATACCGTATTATTTCTGAAGTTTGTATTATTAGTACTCAAAGGATAACAATACCGGCTACAGACTCGACAATAAACAGCTTGTTGTTCGAGTGTCTCATTTCTCCTGTCACCCACTTGCCAGGATCTATGACCATCTTGAGGTGCATGCATAGGGTAGTCAGTTGTGTATGCTCATTACTTTACGAGGAACTTGGCGCGTTCCACCGTGTCAAGAGTGTGCATCGACCGAATTTACATCTATGCGCTCGGTGTGGATGGTCATGGGGCCGGCTGATCATATAAGCTGACATCCATCGAGAATGGCAAAGCCACAATCCAGCTTGCCAGTGTCTTGCTGCTTATGCAAAGGAAGACCCTGACATAGCACGGGAATTGACCCAGAGGCTAAAATGTCACATTGAAATGATGGTCTGGACCCTTTGGTCTAAAAATAGAAGCGACCTCGGAGCACAGGGTTCAGTACAGCCGAGCCTAACAATCTTTAGCAGAGCGAGCTATAACAGGCTGCATGTTTCTTCTGCTATGGTGATCTTGAGGAGATGAATAAGAGATCAAGGGGCTTCTTATGTTAAGGCGGCCAAGATCTAGGTTTGCGAGTTGCTCGGCACGGGGTAGAGAGACGGCATTGAGGCATCTCACTGCTAGGAATTCCTGTCCCTTGGAGAATCAGCCCTTTGGCGAAGGATGCACATTGTAACATAACGTAATCCCAGGCCACTTGGCGTTAGATCGGATCTCCCAAGCCAATAGCATCCGAGACAAACCATGCATAAACTCCCATTAGAGTGTCCTCTGTTCCTCAATGCTCCATGCGAGTCTGATCCTGCACTCTCTGGACGCTGCTAGTGTCTAATTCTGTACACAAATCTGGGCAAATAGTGCAGACATCCCCATATTTCAGTCGACGGGACCATGGGTGCGGTTAGAGGACACCGAGCCTCTGTCACCGTCTCACTCCCCACGCGACACCCTGCCAAGTCGTCTTCCCTCGGCCTACATTTGTCGCTGTGCCTTTTCTCCTCCTCAATCCGTCCCTTCCAGCCCGCGATAAACCACGCCCGCCACCATGCCGCCGCCCGAAGAGGAAGAGATGAGGTTGATGGGGGAGTATGACACGACCGAGGACCACCACGAGGACCACGAGGACCACGAGGACGAGCCCTTCGACCACCGCCAATACGATGAGAATCTCGACAGGGCCGAGGTCAGCGTCGTCGAGGAGCTGGAGCCGCCATCGGTGTTTGGCACCCGCGGCTCCTTTGCGCCGCCTCCCGTATACGCCAACATCCATCGGTATATAGACTCCAGCTTGCCAGCTTCGTCGACGACCGTGCTAACATGCGATTGCTTTGCTGACCGGCAGGATACGCCGCCTGATCCGAGCCAGTATCGATGACCCCTACACGATGGACCATTTCCACGAGCCCAAGCTCAATGCGCTCGTCGTGCGTCCACTGGTCGACCGCATCTACGACCCCAAGGACTCCTCCACGAGTAAGCCCTCCTCGAGACCCTATATACACTCCCGCAGGGGCTGAACGTGCCTAGTCTACTGCCTCCTCGCGAACCGCGTCTACTTCCTTCGCGAGCAGACCGGCCTCTCCTACCAGAGCGTCAACAGTGCCCGAGCCACTCTCTGCGAGCTCCTCGCCAGTCGCGTGTTCCGCCGCTTCCACGAAGACCACCCGGGCGACTCGGGCCTCCTCCTCCTCGCGCACGTCCTCGTCGAAGGCTACGACCCCTTCCAAGGCGCCCCGAACGAAGTCGAGCGACGATACCGACCCCTACAATGGCCCGTACAGGAGCGCAAAGGCCACGAGCGGAAGCTCACGGCGCTGGAGCTTGCCATTATCTCCGAGAGCAAGTTCTTCATCAGCACCGCTGCCTTCCAGCTCGTCGTCGACGCCGTGCACACGGGCCAGGTCACGTATACGCCGCTGTCCTTCATCGATATCCTGCCCGACCACTACGAACATCTGCCCATCACCATGTACCATCCGAGAAAATCCCACCTGCTGAACCACCACCGACTGAAGGTGCCGCGCATCCGAGGCTTCGTCGAGCTGTTCCAGTTCGTCATCCTCTTCTTCCTCTACTTCATGACGATGCATTACAAACACGAGATGTGGAGTCTGTGGGAGCTGGCGTTCTGTATCTACACGGCGGGTTGGGTGCTGCAGGAGTTTGCCGCAGTCATCGAACACGGCTGGGAGCTTCATTCCCAGAGCCTGTGGTCATTCCTCGACATCAGCTTTATCGCCATCTACGCCGCCTACTTCCTCGCCCGAATCTTCGACCTCGTCACCGGCCGCATCGCCGACGGATACGGCCTTTCCATCCTCACCATTGCCGCGCCCATCGTCCTCACCCGCATCGCCTTCAACCTCCTCCCGAACAACATCGTCTTCATCTCGCTGCACGCCATGATGCGGGACTTCACCATCCTTACCTTCATCGGCATCTGGTGCTTCACCGGTTTCCTGCTCGCCCTCCAGTGGCTGCTGAAGGCGAAGCAGGTGAGCGACCCGGACACCCCCAGCTGGATGACGATATGCAAGTGGCTCTTGTGGATTTGGTTCGGTCTCGATGGAACGGGTATCGACGAGGCTGCGGGCTTCCACATCATCCTGGGCCCGGCGCTCATGATCAGCTTCGCCTTCCTGGGAAATACCCTCTTCTCGACCATCCTCGTCGCCATGCTGACCAACACGTTCTCCCGCATCATCACCAACGAGAAGACGGAGATCAAGTTCCGACGCACCGTCATGACGTTCGAGGGCGTCAAAAGCGACTCCATCTTCTCCTACCCCCCGCCCTTCAACATTGCAGCACTCGTCCTCCTGCTGCCGCTCAAACTCATAATGTCCGAGCGAGAGTTCCACTACCTCAACGTGTTCCTCGTCCAGACGATCAACGCGCCCCTGCTCCTCATCATCACCTGCTTCGAGCGGCAGATGTGGGCGCCCAAGAAGGAGAAGAGCTCATGGACCAAACTCGTCTTCACAGGTTTCTGGCCGCACGGAGACATCAACGCCGTGCTCAAGGCCGACCCGCCGCCGGAGCTGATCGCCCAGCTCGAGCGGCTCGACCCGATCAAGGAGATCTCTGTCCTGGAGGATGATTTGATAGCGGAGGCGCAGCATGAGGTGACGCATGCGAAGCTTAGGAGAGCCATGATGGGCGCCTTAGGTTAGATTTGATGATGTGCTTTTTTCTTCTTCTTCTGGCGCAAATGTCCTTTCTCGTCCCGTGGATGGACGATACGCGAGCGAGCATTTACAGCATTGCGGTTCCGGCGTTTGTTCTTTGCATGGCGGGCGGTTTAGACCATAGAATGTAGTTACGTTAGCACAAGTTTCATGACAAGAATATGACTGCTTTGATACCCCGAATTTCGTCGGCATGGCCGTTGAAAAACCTTTCGTCTTTTTCTACGCAGACCCTCATGACTTATACTGAATTGATAGGAGGCTTATACTCTTATGATTATCTCACTGTCCAACGACCCTGCCAGTGGCCATCAATGTCCAACTGGCCCAAGGAAGACGCGTCCCAGTTATTCGCATCAAAGCTGATCTTCTCGTCGCCCACGAAGAAATCCTCAATCACGAGGCCGAGATTCCCAGGCGACTGATCCCCCAGGGCAATGGTCTGGTTACCGTTATCCCCGTCCGTGAAAACTCGAATAGTGCTTCGTCCCACCCCTGTCGTTGGCGCACCGAGCTTCTCGGCCCAGATATTGGAGAAGGTCATGTTGTCAATGTTCTGCAAAGGGTTGAAGCCAAGCAGCGCGGGGCAGATACCCTCGCAGCGCCAGTTGGTGACTTTGTAGTTGGAGAGACGTTTGGCAATATCGGCGGTTGACGTGGACTTGTCATCCTCATAACTGGCCGCTGACGCTACCAGTGCCCGGGGCCAAGGTGTCTCTTGGGAAATGTAGCGTGTATGGATGACCTCGATGGAATCCACGGTGACATTGTCCAAGTCGCGCGCGTACCAGCCAAACTGAACGATGGGGGCATTGTTGGATTTCCAGACTGTCATCTTCTCACAAAGCACATTGCTGTAGTATGTCTTGATGACATCGTCTCCAACGTGGTAGAAGACGTTTCGAACGTGGGATCCGGGATACATCTGGATGCCGTCGGTCTGGCCGAAGAACGCACCGACTTGCTTATAGTCAGAAGCATCTACTGAGAATGAGCTCGTGTCGCCGTAGAAGTCCATGCTATTGAAGGGAGGTGCATTAATGGTAAGTCCATGAAGAGTCCACTTTGCACCTGCAGCAGAGTGGCCACGCCACATCTTCAACGAGCTATCGTCAGATTTGACATTTTCGTAGCTCTGAGTGGTATTGGCCTGGTAGACATATTGCTCGCCTGAAAGGACACCGAATCCAGTGGCCCGAAGGTCGAGTTCCTGGCTTTCATACTGGATTGCTCCCTTCACATACGCTCCAGGAGCCAGGTAAACCCAAGTGATGCTGGGAGACAGGATGGCGTGGTTTGAGCCTGTAAACCAGTAGACTCCCGGTGGGAAATAGAGAGTCGACTCTTGAACCCGAGTCAAATCCGTAACCAAACCCTCGGGAACTGTGTAGACATCATTGTCCAGGTCTGGGATATACTTCTCCTCTGGAAAGGGGCTCATAAACACCAACAAAGCGTTGAGTGGCTCCACGCCCACGACGGGCATTGTATCATCGTACTCTGAGACATAGCTCATTCCGTTAGGGTTCTTGTTCTGCACGTAATGGGATTGGGTGCCTGGCCCGGCATTGCGATACTGCCACAAATTGTCGTTGAACTCGACTGAGAATCGGTGACCCTCTTCACTATATGGGACGTGGACGAGCAAGGCATCTCCGTCTTGTTCCATGGCGAATCCTAGAGTGGTCGGCCGGATAATGACTCCTGCTGCATCGACAGAGCCGCCATCTTTCCTGGTAATTCTAACGACCGTGTCAACAGCGGCGAGGTACTGAGTCCATGCCATGTCCACGCCGATGTCAGCTTCGATGCTGATTTGATCGTCCACATCACTGATAGAGTTCGGGTCTCCAGGAATACGCATCTTGCCATTGCCGTTCCTGGGAATGCTTTCGTACACGAAGGAGTCGTAAAAGGTCGTATTGGCGGAAACGCCGACCTGAATTGAATACAAGTGGGATTGGCGCACATTTCCGTTCTGCACTGGAGTCTGCGTGTTGATTTCACCAGTGTTGTGCCACCACGTTTTGAGGACATCCGAATCCGCTGTTGTATTGAGAGCTATTGTTGTAAGCGACTACTAGAGTTGCTTTGGCACCTTTCACTGACCTTGTACTCCAGCGATGCTGATGGCAATAGCTATGAGGCACAGAGCCACCCTTCTGCCTTGACAAGACATGATTACGATGGGAACATATGTTGGAATCTCGTGAAAGAGAGCAAGTTATTAATCGTGTTGTGTTGATAATCTACGGCAGTTGATATTGGTTGCGTGGAGCCTGTTGTTTCATTTATCCCTGGGCACGGGCCGATCATGATGATCGCCGTAAGATTAAACGGAGCCTCTGAAGGTTTCTAAGAATGCTTTGTGAAACAAACTCACTTCGTTCTCGCACGAAGGATTTCCTCCACCGTTAGCTTGACTATTCTTAGTCCTATTTAGCCAGCCACCCATCGCCTTATTATCGCAAAGTAAGCCGGATCGTTTTCGGCATCTCCCAGCCCGTCGAGTGGTTAGAAAGATGGCCAAAAAGTATATAGAAAATGGAGAAAACAAAAGATTATCACCCTTCACCTGGAACGCAACCACAAGATAACTTAAAACACCAGTGCGAGGAGCAACCTCAAGATTATGCGAGGAGCCACCGCAAGATTAAAAGTCTCGTACGCTAACCAATTGCGCCAACCGGGTGATGGTTGGCGACGTCGTGGTAGAGTATCAAGTTAAGGAGGGTAGAGCTGCTCAACGATCACAAAGCGATACGCCCCAATATGATATTGTGTGCAATACTTTTTCAAGCGTATCCTCATCAGCTCACAAGGAAACCTTTTCCGTTAGTGTTATATGTATGATTGTGTGATATCTTATCTTCTCCAAGCTCGTGGGCTGGTAGCTGCAATCCTGGCAGTTCTATACCACTGAAAGAGTGTCTATACGGCTACCAAAGCGCGTGTTAAGCCACTCGCATTTGCATGTCTGTTGTCAATATTTTCAGGGGCCAATCAGAGAGGCATGTTATGACATAGCTTATGGAAATGCACTTTTGGCCGTAACCCCGCAGTGCTCATGATTCTTCACTTCAACAACATTGAAACATTTTACTCTTGGTTCCCCAACCATATAATATTAAGCTGCTTGATTGAGATATCAGGATCTAGGGCTTCATCAAAATATCTCTGCTTCGATTGCAACAAAGCGCTGTCCCCGTTGGTTACATGCCACCACTGTTTGCAGACTGGAAGCTGGCTTCATCCCGCCTCGCAACCGCGTCAGCGAACCGTTGGCTGATTCAGGCAAATTCTGAACCCGAAATACTAACTGGGAATGTTTTGATAAGATCAAACTTTGAGCCCAAAAGCCCTAAAATGTCGGAAAACATCGAACCCATCCAGGGACCAGCGGGTGCTGCTGATGTAGCAGCGCAGAGCAGTCCAGATCAGGCAGACTTGCTGAGCGACACAGCCCTGCGTTCGTTCACAAATTATTACTTCACTTCGACGCTTCCTGATCTTGAAGAAGCTATTAAATGTACTGAAGATGCACTCAATTCGATACCGCATGACCACCCAGAGTATCTGGGGCATTTGAGCAATATGGTCAGTTTATTTGCTGATAAATTTGATATCGTGGGGAGGGTGGCCGATCTTGAGAGGGCAAGTAAATTTGGAAGGGAAGCCATCGACAGATTTCCTCAGAACCCAAACCGTGCATATTTCTCGAATGCCGTTGCAGACAGACTTAACACGCTCTTTACCTTGACAGGAGACGTCTCAGCTCAAGATCTCTCCGTTCAATATGCCAAGGATGCCTATCAGGAAACCAGCGATAGGCCAGAAGATGAACCATTTCGGCTGGAAGTCATGGATACCCTTTGTACTGTATTGATGACCCGATATCAACGGATTTGGGATCTACGAGATCTGGAGCAGGCCATCGAAATAGCAAGGAAATTGAGATATTTATCTCAGGACGATTATCTAGAGCATTCAATACGTCTCTCCGATCATCTTATTTTCAAGTATTTGAGAGTTGGTGAGGTAGCCAGCCTCGAGGAAGCGAAGACTATTTCACGCGAAGCACTTTTGGTCGCTCCAACGGATGATCCAGATTATCCAGGCTGCGTGTTCACCCTTACAAGGAGTCTTTACCTCAGCAGTCAACGGACGAGTGACTTATCTGAGCTGGAGGAAGCGATCCAGCACTTGAGGTCAGTTGAAGAATTCCTTGCAGGAGACGACGTTGAAAGCATATCGAAGTATCTCAGCAGTCTCGCAAACTGCCTGGACTATAAATACTCAATAACCGGCCAATCAAGTCAATTGGAAGAGGCCATCCAGTTGATGAGGAGAGTCGTAGACCTTACCGGCCCAGAAAGTGATCGAGACTCCGGAATTTTATGCCAACTTTCGGTTCTACTTGGACAACGATACAGCCGAGCATGGTCAATGGATGACCTGATTGAGTCAATCAGTTACGGGGAAGAGGCGGTAAACGCCAGCTTGCCCAGCGACCCCAATCTCCCTGCATTCATGACCTCTCTGGGAAATAGATTTATGGAACGGTATCTGAGAACCGGAAAGGTAGAATATATGGACAGGGCAATCGAACTTTCCAGGGGTGCGCTCAAGAATAGCCCAAAGGGTCATCCGGCACACGTGACACATGTCATATGCCTCAGCCATCAACTCGGCGAGAGATACTCAAGATTTGGCATGATGGCTGATCTAGAAGAGGCTATTCAACTTGTCAAAGAGACGATTAGTCTCGGCTCACTGAGCAATTCAGACCGAGCGAAGTGCTTTACCGCTGCCGCATTACGATTCGGGGACAAATATCTGAGAACGAATTCTCTCCGCGATCTGGACGAATCTGTTCGGTACGCAAAATGTGCGCTGGATGAACTCCCGGAGGAACATTCACACCGGGCAGCTTATTCTAGCAATCTTGCCGAGGTACTTAGATCGAAATATCAGGAGACCAATATCATGAGCGACCTAGAGGAATCCCTTCATTATGGAAGGCAAGCAGTTAGAGAGACCCCAGCAGGGAATGCGGATGAGGCAGGTTATTTCAACAATCTCGCATTCCAGCTTGCAGAAAAGTACCGGAAGACAAAAGAGCCTGCAATTTTGGAGGAGGCGATTAGCTATGCTACTAAAGCTGTCACCGACAGGCCGGATGAATTCCAATACCGCGCAATGTACTTGGGCAACTTTGGAGATTGCCTTCGAGACAGGTATGCAATCTCAAACGCAGCTTCCGACTTGGAAGCTGCTATGCAAAACTACGAGCTCGCTCTCGCCCAGACGTCATCTCCCATCATCAACCGTATCAAAGCCGGTATCCAAATACTTGAGCTCGCTAGTGCTCACTCAAGCTGGCGTCGAGCCTTTGAAGCGTCTGCAACAGCGGTAGGACTTATCCCACAGCTGTCAATGCGGTCGCTAGAAAATTCAGACAAGCAATTTATGCTCGGGCAAGCTGCCGGTCTCACATCCGATGCTGTGGCGGCTGCCATCAATGCAGGGGAAGGACCACTTTGCGCCCTGAGTCTTCTCGAGCAGGGTCGAGGCTTAATAGCAACGTCTCTGGAGGAAATCCGAACAGACGTGCTGGAGTTGCGGAAAGCCTACCCGGAACTAGCAGACGAGTTTGTCTCCCTCGGCAACGTCCTGGACATGTCAGAAGCATCTACTAAGCAACATATAACAAATACTCCTCAGGCGGGAGCAGATAGGAGGTACCAAGTAGACAAGGAGTTGGGTAAATTGATCGAAACAATTCGTCAAAAGGACGGGTTTGGCAACTTTCTCCGGGCCCCGAGCGAGGTTGATATACAAGATGCAGCCAGAAACGGCCCAGTCGTGGCTATCAATGTGAGCAAGTTCCGCTGTGATGCGATTCTTGTGGAGGACCATCGGATTCGTCTTCTGCCGTTGCCTTATTTGCATCTCGAAGATATCAAAGAGAGGGAGCTTCAGTCGAACCTCGGGAGCACCATTTCTCTTGAATGGCTGTGGGATACCGTGACAGGTCCTATCCTAGATGCTCTGGGGCTCTCTCCAGTTCCTTCAGGTGCGAATAACTGGCCTCATATATGGTGGATTCCCACAGGTCCTTTGGGGAGGTTCCCCCTTCACGCATCAGGATATCACCAGTACGGTTGCTCGGAAACAGTTTGTGACAGAGTCATGTCGTCGTACAGTGCATCCATCAAAATGATGATATATAATCGACGTCACGCTGCAACACCACAAGCAGTACACCAGGCACTGATGTTGCCAATGGAGAACACTCCAGGGGCTACAAGACTCCCGTTCGCAGCAGCGGAGGTGAAGCAAGCATTTAGCATTTGTCAGTCGATGGGACTCAGCCCAACCACACCCGAACCATACAAGCAGTCTGTGCTGTTGCAGTTGTCGCAATGTTCAATTTTCCATTTCGCCGGTCATGGCTTCACACACAACACGGACCCATCAAAGAGTCATCTTCTTCTCCGTGATGGTAGGAACAACCCACTGGCGGTTTCAGAGATTCTGGCCTTAAATCTGCGTAAGAATCCTCCGTTCCTTGCCTATCTCTCAGCTTGTGGAACGGGTAGGATTAGGGACGAGAAGTTCTTCGATGAGAGTATTCACCTGGTCAGTTCGTTTCAGCTAGCCGGGTTCCGCCATGTGATTGGCACGCTGTGGGAAGTCCAGGACAAGATGTGCGCTGAGATGGCAACGGCGGTTTATGAAGAAATGAGGGACGGGAAAATGAGCGATGATTCGGTTTGTAGGGGACTGCATAAAGCTACCAGAGCGGCTCGCGATCGTTGGTTGAGTATCGCGTCCAACTCGGAACGTAGTAGTCAGGTTGTTCTGAAACGAGAAAGCATGGAGGCAGCCGACGGTATGGCTTGTCTATCTGTTCAAGGCGAGATTCGACTACCGAGAGACATCCAAGAATGTGCTGAGAGTGAGCAGTTTTGGGTTCCCTATGTCCATTTTGGAATATAGAAAACATGCATGGAAGGACTACCTAGTGCATAATAGAGAACTATCCAGCTTGAATATAGAACTTATGTATGTTACCCATTGATAGAACTTAATGACAGACATCGAAGCCGAGTTCATGGAGGGAAAGGAACTGGTGATCAACCAAAATCATCTCAAAAAGGCAGACCAACATCAAGCTTTGAATTGACTCCATATCTAGAGTCGTCTACTTAAGTCTCATGTTGTTAAACACACATTCAATAATTCATTCAAGACAAGCGCCTTAGAGAAAGGAGGGGATGAAACGGGACTGTCGTGGGTAGATGATATCAAAGTTCCGTGAACCATTTTTTACAAGTGAATTTACGGCTTTTACCCCAAGCAACTCAACGCAAAGGCAGCCGCCGGAATAACCCGAATCTGCTTTGGCATGTGATGTTGTTGCTTGGGGTTGGCGACATTTGGAACTCACTCTGGTATCAGTGATTGAGATTGGAGTTGTCGAATACGAACAGTCATTCTGCTTACCTCCTGGCCATATTGCGTACCTTGGCTCTCAAGGAACAAGTGTCTGTTTTTAACAAAGCCCCGGACATGCTTGAAGAAGCACAGGGAGCGCGGGTTGAGCAAAACCTGTTTTCTCTCATCGACTGACGGAGTCCGTCATACCCCGCTCTTCACAACGCCGCGATCTGCGCTTGAATTGAAGTTAGCACGGAAAACGGGGCACTCCTTTCAAGGAGAGAGAGATCCGGGGGTGACTGGTTGTCTTCAATGAATTCCACAGTTCTCACGACTGTCGAGATCGTTGCGAAAAGGGCTCAGCAAATAAGCGCAAACAGTCCATGGCCTTGCCCCTTGTAGTCTCGCTCTTTGTGTCCATAACGGGTGGCTCTTTACGACTTCGTTGAACGAAGCAAGCGAAAACGGCTCCTTTTTCGCATGGCCCGACGGCAATTCCGTAGCGCTAAAATTTGCACCCGCGATTTGGCTTTTGCGCACGGTGGCCAAGGACAAGGAAGGAACATCTTGCATGTGAAGGAAGAAAACCGAGAGCCCGTGGAGAATGCTGGAACCAATTGACGATTGTGACCCTACAATTTCGGGGCAACTTCTCCGAGGCATTGGGAGCAATGCAGCGTGGCCGAGCGCGCGGGAAAACAAAAGCCAACGAGGATGTTTCATAGCGCGTACCTCGCAAAATGCTAGCAGCTGGCTCAGGCGGCTCAGGCGTTGGCCCTTGGATCAGGGTTGCGTTGTAGGGCTCGAGTCACCGAAGTACCGGTGTCCAGTCTGACCAGTTCGCCGAGCCCCATGTGCCAGCAATTAGGACTTATCAGGCAAGTCTGAACCGACCCTCGGGATTCTGCATAAGAGGTGAGATTGACCGAGATTCACCCTCGATTGAGCGTGGCAGTCAGGGCAGGCTCAGGGGTGGGTTTGGCGAGGCGAGATGAGCCAAGTTCTTTGGTGATCGACAAAAGGTGTGTGTAGAGGTACAACATGTAGATGTGCCGGTCTCCCAGGTGGGCTTTCCTCGGCCCAGCCAACCGATCATCCATCTGGTGTTGGCCGAACCAACGGGTTTCGATTGAATCCATGTGTAGATACACACAGACGGAGCCTCACAGAGTACCGAGTCTCGGTAAACGGCGATTTCGTCCAGCCCGCAATCTTGTCTTCTCGGGGTCCGTAGTAATATTATTGGCAATTCCCCCTGAGGGTATGAAGGGGGCCGCCGTGGGAGATATATTTAGACCCCCTGGCGAGGAATTTGGAGGCTACTGTAGTACTGGGACCGATGGAGCTGGTAGCGATGAAATCTTCCCAAAGGAGCCAAAGTGGCATCACGGAAAGTGGGAGGCCTTTTGCTTACGGGGATTCTAGAAGGATGGTTCGCTTGGGGGGAAGATGAAGCGAGCAGAGTCTAGAGCCAGAAGATCCACGGGGGTCGCGCCCGGAGGGTTGTGAGGTCCCAGAAGGGGCCAATTAGGGGGGCGGCAGCGTTTGCGGTGGGTTTGGGCCAGTCAGTACAATGCAGCATCTTCAATTATGCCTCGTACAGACGCTCGCACTCTGCATCGCATAGAGTAGTCCTCCTCATGTGGCAGACGCCGAGAGCATAGCCGACGAGAACAGCCCCAGCAAGAGCAGGCCGCAGGGAACGAAGCACTCGCCAACCCAATGCGAGCCAGCCAATGCGAGCCAGCAACAGGTGGCCAACTTGCATTGGAGGAGGGATGGTCACAGCACGCGACACAACGCCTGTGCGGCTGGAGGAGAGGCAGCCCCAATGAGTTGCTACGTCGCGAGTACCGCCCTGGCCTCAGACGGACCCTCGTAAAGCTCGTACCGCGCTCGTAGCGGCTGGATGGAGCAGAGGCGGGTGAAAATTTAAGATTGCTGGGCCAGGAGTCAGGACACGGCACCCTTCCCGGGCTTGGTGGACCTCCGCTATCCCTGTTGTAGCAGTCGCTCGTGTGTGAGGTCGGGTAAGCGGCAGTCTGGGGCTCGGCACCAAGCAATAGTCTGTCTGGGGAAGACTCACGAGAGCCAGCGCTGACATTGTTAAACCTGATTGTTGTACGATGAGAGGACGCCGTGCTGATCAGCTGCACACCCCGGCTGGAATGTCCTGGCGTACAGGAGAGCAAGCCGCTGGTAAGATGCTGGTTGGCACGCGCCTCGTTGCCTCATCGGTAGCGATGTGTCCTGGGCGTTTTGGTTTGGGTTTGCAGATGCATTTCTGACTCTCGGGCCCCACGTGACACACCACCAGCTGCAAAGTTCCTGCCTGAGGTAGAGAGACTTCGGGGCTGAACTTCTGAAAACTGCTAGAAGTGGCGCATGAATCAACTCCCATCAGCAACAGATGGCAATCAGCATGGCAAATCTGCGCTGACATGAGACGGCAACCCAACAGCGGAACTTTGGGGTCTCCAGGCTGACTTCTCTCACATGAATAGAGACAAAATCGGATCCCGGCATGCTCCTCCTAGGGCATCGCAGCTCCACTGGGCTGAAATGCTGCTGTAACCTAGTGGCGGCGCTAGGCACCGGCTGGTCCCAGCAGCAGGGCAGGGCAGCCCGTAAGGCGCGGACGGCGAATGAGAGCGCCAAGGGGAGACACTAGCGAGGGCCCAGGCCTGGAGCCAGGTGCCGTGCCGAGAAAACAGCCTCCAAAAGGGCCTGTGGGTGCTGTACGGTGCCTGTACCGGTACCTGCACAGGCCTGGAGTCAGTGGACCAAGATTGAGAACAACTGCACAGCACAACAATGAATCGATTCGATCGCGGTATTGTGTCTGTTTAGGGACGTAATTACCTAATTCCTCGCCCAATCACCCAGTTCCCATTATGCGTCATCTCCCTGTTGCCGCTAAACTGACTGGTGGCTTGCTCGTGTGCTGCTGCTCCTGAGATGACGCCCGGCAAGGCTTTTCGCAGCTGGAGGCTGATCTGAGGATCTGTTGATTCTCCTGATCTGCGGCCACTGTTTCTATTTTCTCTCGCCACAAAGCCATTGCATTGGGGTCGGTTTGCTCCCATTGTGTCTCAGGCCCCCTTCCTGCAGTCATCCATCCCAATCTGCCTTTTCTTGTGTCACTCCCTCGCTCATTCATTCACCCTCCCTTGCCCGCCTTATTTGCTTTGTCTCTTCCTCTCTTCTTTCCACCTTCTCGCCCATCTCCTGCCTCCAGCTGCCGCCCCCTTCCCGGTCCACTCCTTCTCCAACCGATCGCTTTCTTCTTCACCACGGGGAGGAGGCATGGGCAAGGAAGCCGAGGTCTAGGACTCCCACTGGAACGGCACCATCTCCTCTGCCGTCACTCGCATCACCACCAACCATGCTGCCGTCCAGCTTCTTCCCTCAGCGCCTGGCGTCCTCAGTCTGCTCGCGCCTGGCCAACCGCCGCTTCGCCTTCACGTTGACCGCCCTGGCCGTGCTCGTCGCCAAGTTCGTCCACATCCACAGCCACCTGTCGGCCCTGTCGACGCAGCAGCTGCTGCTCTGGACCTACTCCTTCTTCGCCCAGGATCTCGGCCTGCTCATCTTCATCCGCCTTCTGCTCGACCACTGGGTCGCCCAGGCCTCCAAGGGCTCGCGCTTTGCCATCGCCACCCTCACCAACACGCTCATTGCCTACAATGTCTTCCTCGGCCTCGTCGCCACCACCTTCTATGTCGTCTCGGGATCCGAAATTCGCTGGCGAAACGTCGCGGTGGCGAGCGACGCCTCGTCACGTGCCCTCGTCCTCACCGGCACCGTTACCTTCGTTATCATCATTGGTCTGAACCTGGGATGCAGCTGGCTGCTTCAGGATGCCTGCTATGGCCTGTTTGGTTTCTTCGCTGATGTTGTGAACGCGTGCTTCTGCTTCGTTGCGCGCCTGCTCGCCCGCATCTTCTGCTGCCGTTCGCGCGCGTACGCCAGAATCCCCCAGCAGGACGTCGAGTATTATCGTAGGTCTAGCTTCGATCTGTCCGACTCCGATTCAGAGAGCGGTCTCAGTAGTAGCGTAAATAGTGGCATATTGTCGCCCCCGCATGCCTTCTTCCGACTTCTTTCCGGTTGGTTGGAGAGGGCCAACATCAGGGCTTCACCTACCGCCGTCCAGTTCGTTTGCAAGGTTATCGTGTACATCCTCGCCTCGATCCTCCTGGTCGGTCTCATCGTCACGAGCATCCTCCGGCCTGTCGACGGCTCGCTGACTTTCCTCTCGTGGACCACTGGACTGCTCCCCTTCATTGACTTCTCGTCGTCGTCGCCCACTCTCGAGAAGCTCCAGACCCATTATGGCACCGGGATCCAGCACAAATGGGACAACATCTCTGCCCTCGCCGAACCCATCCCCCTGACGTGGCTCCCCAAGGGCGATCCGCCTGTTGGATTCGAGGACTGGTACAAGCACCTGGATCACTATAGCGCCGCCGCCGACCCCATGAAGATTGACAACCTGGACCAGCCTCTTCTTCCCGAGCTCAAGAACAAGCTCAAGGATATCAACATCCGGCACGTCATTGTCTTCTTTCTGGAGAGCACCAGGAACGACGTATTCCCTATTAAGAAGGATGGTCTGATCTGGAACCGACTGGCCGACACCTGGCCCGACAAGAAGCTGCCCAAGCATGTGCAGGACAAGCTCGCCACGCTGACGCCAACCGCCAACTTCATCACCGGAGACTTTGACGACGGCTTCGACCACCCCAAGGGGTCGCAGAAGGGACGAGGTGGCCTTCACTTCACCAAGGCGGTCACGGCGGGCACCTACACCCTCAAGAGTCTGCCCGCCACCCTGTGCGGAATTCCTCCTCTGATTGCCGATTTCAACCTCGACTACCAGCACCACATCTACCAGCCCTGCCTGCCTCACATCTTTGAGGCCATGAACCGCCTCGAGCAGTCGGACGATACCAAGGATCCGTATGCCAAGTCTAAATGGCAGTCGTACTTTTACCAGACCGCCACGCTCCAGTTCAACCAGTTCGACAAGCTCATGGCCAAGATTGGCTTCCCCAAGGAGAACACCATTGACTCCGAGTACCTCCGCTCCAAGGCCGCCACCCACGGACGTGTCCCCAACCCAAACACCAACTATTTCGGTTTCGAGGAGGAGCCGCTGATGGACTACATCCGCGATGCCTTCAAGTCCGCCAAGGACAATGATGAGCGCGTGTTCCTCTCGCACATAACGAGCACAACCCACCACCCATTTGTCCTCCCAGATGAGACCAAGTATGTCCCGCTGTCCAACGGTCTGGACGAGCTGTCGCACTACATCAACGCCCAGGGCTATGACGACCAGTGGGCGCAAAAGGTCCTCGACCTCCTCGAGGAGCAGGGCGTCGCCAACGAAACCCTCGTCGTCTTCACCGGCGACCACGGTACCTCCCTCGCGGAGAACGACATCGCCTCGGCCTACTACGACCCCAACGTCGGCGTCGACCACGTGCCCCTCGTCCTCTCCCACCCGCAGCTCCCGGCCTTCTCCGTCAACGACGCCGTCTCCTCCGTCCAGGTCCTCCCCACCCTCCTCGACCTTCTCCTCGAGACGGGCTCGCTCAACAAGCAGAGCCGCAAGGCCATCCAGGATCTCGTGGCCAACTATGAGGGCCAGTCCATGATCCGCCCGCAGAAGACGATCAGTAAAAAGACGGGGCAGGGCAACTGGCAAATTACAATCGTCAATCCCGGCCGCGCGCTGCTCTCAGTCCGCGACGCGCGCTACCCGGATCGCCATCTCGTCGTGCCCGTCATCAACAATGTCGAGTGGCGCTTCACCAACATTACCGAAGATCCGCGCGAGCAGCATTCCGTGCAGGGGTTCAACTTCCCCACGTTCCTGGAGAGCGTGGAGGAGAGGCACGGCGTCGAGGTGGCGAAGTGGATAGAGGAGGGCGCGTTCATCGTGCGGTTCTTCGTGGAGGAGAACAATAAAAGATGGAGGTATGGGCCATACGCCGTCTAATAATCTTTTTTGCCCTTCCGTCGGGGTTTATGTCTTTGCTCCGGCCGAGAGGGGGGGCTGTGTTAAAACTGCACCGGGATTTGGGATTTTCTGGCGTTTTTGGGGGAACAAGCATAACCAGGGCATTCATCCATCCAACCCACCAACTTTGTTTTTGAGTACTAGAAGCGGTTAGAAATGGTGGGCTGGTCTGGTCAGGCGTATATCTTGATTTGTATAATAAAGTGTCATACAGTACATGCAGAAATTAATTGACGAGGACATTTCAATTCATTTATTTAAAGATGGCGGGCTTAAGAGCTTAACTCCCGGGCGAGCTTAACCCCCGGTAAGCTTATCACGCCGGGATTACGTATGTGATGACATCCCCCGCATGTCGCTGCTTCGTTCCGCCTCGTTCCGCCGACGTCGGATCCCGAGGACGCTGATACGTGCAGGGATTCGCCTTGCATGCATCTTAAGCTTCTCCTGTGAGAATCTGGTCGTGATTGGACTTGACCCGAGGGATGTTGGCGACGAAGATGTTAGATTGTAATCTCGCTAAGACTCCAGCTGCTATTCCAATGGAATTCCGGGTCCTTATATATTTTAAGCGTAGCAAGTGGTGGAAGAGTTGGTAGGATCTGGATGTGGTGCTTCCTACGTCTCAACGACTTTGATCTTCACACCATGATGCCGTATTTATTTTGATCATTGATTTATCAATACGCAAATTTCCTTACTTGGACTGGAGAGGTGATGAAGTAGCGTGGATTTCGCATGTAGCTGGGCATGGCAAAGGGAATGGGTTGAGACAAGACCGATACGGGTATCAAGTCACACACGCCTGTGTTGGACCAAACGGTTTTCTGCAGGGAAACGCATTTCCTACCATTCTGTTCTAAAAACAAGCAATGATTCTTCACGTAGCTTCGAGTGATCAACGGAGTATCTAGTTGTTTAGCAAAGAGATTAAAGGTCTGAAAGAACCATCTCCCATCTTCTATTTCAGTTAGGTAGACCTTCCAAGGCCCATTTAACTACATAAACAACAGTCTTAGAATATTTAACATGCAGATCTCCGCCTTGACAAATGATTCTCAGGATAACACCATGAAGGACGAAACACGTGAAGCTTCTACAGCACTACATACCTTATACTTGCAACAAATTTGCAGGCGAAATGTTTTATGACTATATGTGTGATAGTCCGATGTTCTTCATTCAGAACTAGTTTGATAGGGCGAAATATCAGCAAATACAGAGATCATATCAATAGTTCTATAAGGCGTTGCATTTGCAGGCCAGTGGGAGAGTTGAGTTCCAGATGCATTTGCGAAAGAAAATTTGGCCAGGATTCAGGAGCTACCCTACAGCCAATCATCTGCACGGCCTGTATCCTGCATTCGTTCAATTATCTCATTAGTTTGATGATCAGGAAATGGCATTTGTATTCAATTTTAATTATCGGAAAAGACGTGGATAATTCTTAATGAGCGACGTGATTGGTATGGCAAGACAACGGTCGGAAAGCGAATCGTCGAAATGATCCTTCCAGTCCACGGTTGATCGCAATGATCCTCGGCCACAAACTAAAGCGAACAATATCTCACAGAGGCTCCTAGTAAAACCAAGTCTTCACAGTGTAATTGGAATCTATTAAACAAAAGGATATAGAACTCTATCATTGATATAAATGCACGAAACTCCGCCCAATTCATTATCCGTTACATCATTAAATTGAAGGACCGAAAAACCTGACGCGCTCTTCAACGTCCTGAAATTGCTTCGGACCAGGATCCCCGGCACGGCCGCCAAAGACAAGCTGGGCATTCAGCTTCCAGCTCGTGGGGATATCCCACTCGGCGGCGACCTTGTCGTCGATCAGGGGGCTGTAGTGCTGCAGGTTGGCGCCCAGCCCTTCCGTCTCGAGCGTCGCCCAGAGGATGTACTGCTGCATGGCCAGGCTCTGGGTCGCGAACATGGGGAAGTTGTCGGCGTATCTGGGGAACTGTTCTTGCATCTTCTTGATCGCGTCCTGGTCGTCGAAGAAGAGGATCGTGCCTGCGGCTGCCCTGAAGCCCGCGATGCGGTCGGCGGTGTGCTGCCAGCTGTTGGGGGCGACGATGGCCTTGAGGGTGTCTCTGACGATATCCCATAGCTTGTCGTGCTCAGCACCGAAGAGGACGAGCAGGCGGTTTGACTGGGAGTTGTAGGAGGAAGGGGTGTGGAGTGTCGTCTCTGTCACGAGCTCCTGGATCTCGTCGCGTGTGAGAAAGCCGAGATCCTTATTTAGCTGGTAATAGGTGCGACGGCTCTTGACGGCGTCGAGGAATGTATTGGTGGTTTCGGTAAATTCGGGCATTGTGTGTGATGCTGTCGGGATTCAGTCGTCGTATATTTAGAAGCGAATCAGTTGCAAGCGTCACGTTAATTGATATTGAATTGTAATCGAATCTGTTGTAACGGAATACTACAAAAAACAAGCCGGATTACAGCTGACGGCAGCGCCTGGCTATATATAATCGCAAAAGAACCGACCAACCCATCTCTCAACCCCGACTGCAATATTTGATCGATTGGCGCGCGTTGCAAGTTTTCCGAGCAGAACAATCATAGAACTTTCAGGCGCAATTTGTCAGTGGATTAGCAGAAATGACCAACGAATGAACCAGCTCGCTTGTAATGTCGCGCGCGGCAGCTCCACACCATCCGGCTGAACGTCTGGTGTGTGTGGCATTTGCTGACGGATTGAGTAAAGTGACGCGCTCTTGGCTTCCCTTCTGGTATTGCCGCGCGCGCGGATTATCAAAGCTTGATCGTGGGTGCTGGAGGAATATCTCTACACGGACTGTGGTCAATGATGAAGATTCATTTCTTGTCATCCACACGGAATAGGTAGAGAGATTTGGATGGACTTTCCAGCATCTCATTAGAAAACAGCGACCCTGGTATCACTCTAGGTCCAAGAGTGTAGCTTGTATCACCTGCTGGTAATCCGTTATGCATCGGCAAGGTGAGAAGCATTTCATGGAAAGTCACCGCTAGTATACCCCTTCATCGATCAATATCTACCTGGCGCGCGTGAAATATGGATTAAAAGCCGCTAGCCATTCGACGGTCAGTATCACGCGAGAAACCGGCGCTTTCCAAGTGGAGGTGAGATGATACCTTTGACGTTGGGACTTGTGTATGTCCAACTAGGGGGCATTGGCCACAACCTGTTTTTCTTTCAGTGTAAGGAAGAGAAGCCACTGTATGCTGAAAGGATCTATTACACTTAAAGATAAAGATACTATTCCTTACTCTGGCTCTCACACGAAGATGCTGCAGCCTTGAGCTCTTCTATCGTCAACGGAAACTCCGCGAAATGCTCCTCCAGATGTTCTATAAATGACGGTGTGGGGATACTACCGGCCTTCAGAAGCGTGCAAAAACCTAACCCTCGCCCGGCAAGTTCTCGGATCGCAGCCTCGAAGCCCACTCTTTCCGTGCTTGCATTCTTGGTGAGACTCATCAGATATTCGTAGGCCGCGTGAGCTCCCTCTGGCGCCTGTTTTCGTTTTGAATGAACCCCTGTTCCTGGTGCAAACTGGCGCTCGATAAGATCATTCGCCTCCGCTGTTGAAGAGAGTTGCGGGGCAATCTTATGAGCTATCTTCTCCTTTGACTCTTTGTCAATGGTCACGATGAACCGTATGACGGCAGAGGGATTTTCGAGCCTTGGTAGGAGTTCATCGACCCGTGAGGTGCCTCGGCTGGCCTCATCAATATCTACAGCCAGCCCCGAAAGCAGATGTAGGAGTAGAAATTTGAAATCTACCTCGTAGATGATGCCAGGTGACGTTGGACGTATAAAACCGCCCAGCTGGGGCAACCACGTTCCATTCAATATGGACGTTTGCCCGTTTTCCTTGAACCGTCCGATCACAAGGGTAGTGCCGTTCAAGTCTGGGCATGTAAAGGCCATGCTTACTGCTGCCATCAGAAGGTAGCGTGCAGCCTCGCCTCCAAGGTGGTCTCCATCGTCAATCGACCTGTTTCCAGACAAGAGCAGGTTTGTGAAGGCCGAACCCTCCCTTGCGAAAGGCTCCATCCGTCCCATTCCCTGATCGAGGTTTACATCATAGGCATGCGGGTCTGCGCCCATTGAAAGCAATGCCTGGACAAGCTTCACCGTCGGCATTCTGTTCCTGCTATAGTACAGAGACTGATCTGGATCCCATGCCTCACGTAGAACGGCAGTGGCCAGCTCCCTGGAGTCTGCCTTTTTCAGGCTTGATATGACGAAATCGTCCATGTGGTTGAAGTCTGTCAGGTGGCTAAGGAATGGAGGTTGCCGCTGCCAGGATGGCCGGTCGGTCCCGATCGCGCCCTTGTCGTATTGAGTCTTGATAAGGCGCAGTAAGTCAGCAGCCTCGTCCATTCCCTTCTGATCCTGATCTTTAGCTAAGAGGATAGCCCGGTTGATCAGCGTACCAGAACGCCCCATCAGTCCAAATTCGGAGTTGAGGAAGTGAAAGAGACAGAGCAAGCCTTTGACCAACCTAAATTCCATCTCTCTCTGGGATAATGCGCCGTATAGGAGTATACCTTGACCAATTTCGGTGTCTGTCAAAAAATCATGAGCTGTGCGATGGATGAAATTAACCCCACCGAACAACGCCTTCTCGATTTCTTTAGAGGCTTGAGGAACGTCGACGCCAGTTGCATCACCAACGTGCTGAATTGTCTCATTCATCGATACCGGAGTCACTCGTAAAAGCCCAGCGCATCGAGTATGTATAGCGGCCGTAGTTTTATTGCACAGGGCGATGACCTCGGAAGCGTTCAGAGTCTTTCCCTCTCTGAGAAGGAAGTCTTGGGTTTCAGAACTTTCTGCACATGCTATTTGGAACAGCGTGGCCTGCCAGATTTCTGGAAAACCAGATGGAAATCCAACTTCCGGAAACATGGGAACTACTCCTTTTTGGTCAAGGGCATAGTTGAAGAACCTTGCTGCTGTCTCTCGGTAGACAGGGCTATTCTCATTGAGTCGCTGCCACATATCGGCGTACAAGTCCTTGAGCTCGCCGGGTAATTCCTTCAGGCGGGCAAGAAGCAAATCACGCGAATCCCCGTTTTGTATTCCCGTTACAATACTTCTTGTTGCCAGGTGAAGCCATAGGAAGACACCTTGAGCCTTGAAGACAAGGTCATGGACAAGTCGGGAATGAGTATCCTCGGATATATTGTCAGGGACAAAGGGCTTAAGTTCCCCCTGCACAAACCCGCGCATTTCGGGTCTTGTGAGGTCCTCAAGTAGGATCCCGGGTACGTTTTGCTTCGTCAGCCAATTGGTAACTAGCGTTTCTGGTCGGCTGGAAACACACATTTTGACATTCGGAAACTTGGAAATTTCCTCAATCAACTTTATCAACGCGTAGAGACCGTCGGTGTTAGAGATCTCATCGAGCCCGTCCACGAAGATGCATAGCTGCCGGGAGTCGTTCTTGAGGATAAAATAGAAGACGGACTTCAGCTCGTCGTCCGACCAGTCATGATATGAGACTTTGGAAGACAAAGCTGGCAATTGATCCAGTATCTGCTCCACTGTTTCGGGACTTTCGTCCAGGCTGCGGAAGACCAAGGAGCACAGAAATCCTTTGATACTGTTCTGGGGGTTAGATCCGATCTTCCAGAAAAAGTGCGATATAATGGCAGCCTCCGGGTTCCATTGGCGAAGCAATTCTTTCGTGTTTTCGTTATCCACAATGAACTTGACCAACGTACTTTTCCCTGAGCCTGGCTTTCCACGAATGCAGAACAATGAGTTGTCTGAGCACAGCCACTTCACGAAATCTCCCCAAGCGTCATCAATCTCATCCTTTCTGCGGGCTTCATCTTCAAAGCTGGAATCGTCACTCAGTTGGATGTCCTTTGAGTCATCCTTTCTGCTTGTTACTGCCGTATAAGAGGCGAATAAACGCCTGAAATTGGCTCGCTTAGAGCTCATCAGGTCATTGTATCTCTGATTCATCTCTGGGAACTTGAGACTTTTGAGCAACGTTTCGCGCTGAGCCTTGAGTTCTGCATCGATACTCAGTGCCCCCACCTCCTTCGTAATGTGTTCTGTAACGGCTTTTTGAGTCTTTCCCGATTCTTGGACCACAACTTCGCGAGTCCAATCATTCTCTTTCTTGACAAGCTCTTCTACTTTGGTATGACCGCGAGATATCTGCGCAACAAGCAGTTGTACGTCGTCTGCTAATTCCTTAAACTCTTCTTTCTGCTGTAGCTCGATTGCATCGGCTTGTGAACTACACAAGTTCTCGCGTTAGAATTATTCATCAATGGTTCATCAGGACACCCACCAAAGATGCGACATCATCTCCGTTTCCATTACAGCTCTGCAACGGGAGAGGGTACTTTCCAAGCCTTCAATCTTCTTCCGTTGGGTTGAGGCTTTGAGGACCGCATTTACGGCCCTGAAAAGGCTGCCCTTCTTCTGCATCGTTGTCACAGAGCGGACTTCTGCCTTAAGCTCGTTTGCAACACTAAGGCACTCCCTGGCCAGAGTATCGAGCCTCTCGTTATACTTGGAGGGCCGGGCTTCGGCCATGGCCTTACACCGCGTTTGTATGGAGCTTGTGGCGTCAGACATCCGCCCAGCGTATAGCTCCAAATCATTATCGATCGTTGGTTTCCCATCATAGACTTTCTTGCAGTTGGAGATGAGTGAAGCTGCCACTTGGATAACCTGAAGAATGGCACTGGCAGCACCGAGAGCTTCGAAGCCGGTCGCCATTGTATGTTGAATGTGTTGCAACGTTATTTGCTGACAGTCAAAATACGGTGTCAAGGAGTGTTAGCTAAGAAAAGAAGCGGAGATACATAGGACGTCAGCGAAGAATCACGTGACACCCTGCATCCTTCTCCAAGCTTCAGTGTCGAAATATAGTTGACTCCTACGACCTTTAAAGCTTGCAAGACAAATGGATGAAGAGGACAAGTTATTTGACTTATAATTGGCTATATATTGAATAATCAAAATACTATTCTGGGTAGATAAATGAGCATATTAAGTTAACATCACTAACTCCGCTCGAGTTGAGCTTGGCACTAGCTAGTGATTGTCATAATCTGAAAGCAACTAGGCATCTTGATGTTATCACCTAACCGTTTCACTCTCCACATATATCTCTTATATAAGGGATGGTAGAGATTCTTCCTTCTTAAATATAACTGGAAACAGGGGGCTTCCATGGGGTCACACAGCGTGTAGAAAAACGAGATAATCTACCGCGAGACCCTTGTTGATATTGATATGAACAAGCCTTGACAGTAAAGTGATTTACACCAAGAAGAAGGACTCTGAAGATCCCGAGAGGCCCTCATAAGTTCCACTCCGGTCCTGTTGTCTCGGGAGGCCATTGCATTACGGAAGAAGCTGGTTGGTCGGCGGGTCTGAGTCAGCCGGTGAACCGGATCTGGAATCAGTTCTACAAAGTTCATCTAAGGAATCAACTGGAGGAAATATTAAATACCCCATGAAACTCATTTGAATATTAGTTCTCTGCTTAACCATGGTTCGCCCGTGTTGTCCTATCGCTAGTCATGGACGAGGAAAACACCGAAAGTGTCGATCTCCCACCAGAAATCTGGACACAAATATTCACTCATTTTCTTCCCTCAGAACCCGAGGGAATCTTTCAGCAGCACTTGCCTCAACAAGAAGATTGCAAAGATTCGCTACGCGACCTCCGCACATTCTGTCTTGTTTCCCGAAGATGGCGCCTTACAGCCCAGCCGATTCTGTACAAAAATGTCATTATCGACAATCCCAGTCGCCATGGCTTGGATATGAAGTTGTTGAGAACTCTAGCTTTGACTCCCGAGCTAGCCAGCAAGGTACGGACCTGCAAGCTGCTTGATGTTGGGCGGCAGGGGCAAGGGGTGGAAAAACTACTTGCTGCCATCATACGGTCGATACAAGTACCTCACAGGTACAGAAATCTCCTCAGAGCACATTTGCTGGATAAATATCGACCTCCCTCAGAGGGGCTCGCGGGGATTACTCTTGCATTGGCGACGAAAGCACGACGCATTGAAGTTAGTCCTGGTCCCCAGCCTTACGGCCTGATTTGGATGCTGAGCGGATCACTTGATGTACAAGAGGGGGATCCCGAGAGCTTCTATCGTTTCCCAAAACCGACGGAATGGAGTAATGTGACAACAATTCAAGGCGAAGTTGCCAAAGGGATCAATAGCCTGCCCTCTTATCTACCACGCGCAAGAGATCCAAGCGAAGCTGACATCCGGATCTATGACGCAAGAGCCTTTGCCAACTATGGGTTGCCACACCTCACAGACTTGCATCTTAATTTCGAGAATGAAGACAACAGGCTAGTAGATTTGGCAGCTATAAGACTTCTTTTCCACCACCCGAGCCTGGAGATATTGCGACTTTCAAACATCAACTGGCTTATAGATTCAGAAGAGGACATGGAGTATCAAAGCATGGAGACGGATTATCATCCCATCGAGAATAAAATTCACACTATTGACCTGCGCAATTCCGCCGTCAATGCGTTCTCGATAAGGCATATTCTGACCAATTTCTCGTCTCTACGCTATTTTTCAGTGGAGCTACATGATTTTAATCTTTGGAGACCACGAGAAGATGAGGATATTCATGACAAGATGTGGAATTTCGAATCCGCCGAGTTTGGTACTGCTCTCAGGAGACATGGAAGATCTCTTGTCGAACTCAGGTTGGAAACATGGCAGTACTACTACGACGACTGGGAACGAGGTATGTCAAGGGCCTTCGGCTCGCTTGCTCGTATCCCCCTTCGCCGGCTAGAGATTGAGCTGCATGAGCTTGTTCCCGGATACAACAATCTAGCCAATGATGAGATCGAAGTCCTCATGAGTGTTCTCCCTCTAGAGCTCGAGGAGCTGACCATTTTGGGCCCAAACAGGAATATCTTGACTGGGATTGGATCTTTTCTGCGCAACTGCTTCAGCAGGCCGCTTCGGATGGTAAACTTGGAGATGATTGACTCGTCCCCTCTCGATGAAAGCGAAACAAAGGAAATCGATGGTTGGATTATGGAGCAAGACTGTAGATATACACGCACTGCTGCTGGCCGTGATTTGATTAGATTTGTGTCCTTTGTTAAGGTACGCGTTCCGCGCCCGACGCACTCCGGAACGAAGCCCGCATTGGCTGTTGGATAAGAGGGAGCTGTGCATCGAAGATAGCTCAAGACAAATGTATAATTGTTCAACGAATGCGGAACCAAGTATCGCATGCTGGCTTAAGTCAGACTTGTTGATGGGCAATACATCGTCAGGTTTGGGCATCTTCAACGCTGCGGTAAACACTGACCAGTATGGTAATAATGTCGGCTATGAGTTAGGCGAATAGCTCAGGGAATCGTTCGGATGGGTGGGGATGTAGGTGGGTAGGTTTCATCCGTTGCCCACAATCTTCCTGTTTCTACTCCCTCCTTTGCACCCTCCCTGGCCAAATTAGTAGAACGGCATTGCTGTCCCGTGTCGCAACACCCTGAGAACTCTGGAAATTAGTACTATGACTAATGTTTTCTCAATAGATCGGTTGGGTGGGAAGTGGTCGCGGATGGTAAACGCCGTCGTCGGGACCTTTGCGGTCTCACTCACCGCGTTAGTCTGCCTTCGACTATTGTGAGTTTAGCAGGTAGGAGCTCAACTATAATCTCATCTCAAATTGTATATAAGATGACCTTGATCATACCCTAAGCAACAAATTCCACAATCACTCCCATCCTACCAAAAGTCTTATTCAAGCCCCCTTTCATCGCAATAACTGATCAATATGCATGCCGGGTATTTCGCTGTGCTCCTTCAGGTTTCTGGAGCTGCTTGGGCCCTTCCATCAGCAGAGAGCCCTGTCGATATCGAGATACGTGCGGACGACCGGGGCAGCTACACTGTTGCTGGACTTGGAACTCGCAAGCAAGCTGTTCTTACGGCTGGTGGAAACACTCTAGACCTCGCCATTGCGATGCTAGAAACTGAGAACATGGGAACGGACTATGCTTACGGTATGTTTCCTGTTGGAATGTGGTGCGTTAATGAGATTGGCCGTGAAACTAAGGTGGGGCAACAATATAGGAGACAAAAAGACTTATGACTCTGCCAACTTCGGTATCTTCAAGCAGAATTGGGGCATGCTCCGTGTCTGCGGATCCAGGGCGGGCTTCGTAGGCAAGACCTCAAGCCAATGGAATGATGGTGCTAAACTCAAGTAAGCAAAGCACAGCGGATATTCATATACATAACACAATCCCCCCTGATGGCAAAGTCGCCCTTGCAGTACCACATGCTCAGCACCACACACTTTCTTCCGAGGCGGCTGACCACTCTATAGCTCTGACCTCTACGCCGATGTTGCTTCCCGATGGGACTGCCAAGGTTACTATGGCTACGATATTTGGTTCGCCGGCCACCGTAACGGTGCCAGTGGGCTCTCGAACCCTTACACTGAGGATATCAACAAGTACAAGACTGCGGTACAGTGGATTCAGGCCCAGATTGATTCCAACTCCAAGTATAAGACCGATGATACTAGGTTCTGGGTCGATGTTGAAGCCATCTAAGCGATGAACGAAGCAAGTTTCACCAGGCATGTAAATCGCAACTTACCGCTGAGATAGGGGATGCGTATGGCCACGGGGTAGGGCAACGTGTTTCGTTTTATTATCCTTCATTTGTTATCTAGAAGCAGGTCTTCTTGTTTTTCTTGATCTAAATATTAAGCCGTCGACGCGATTGAAGACACCCACTACTTGAATGTGTTGCGCTTAAACTTGTACCGCCTTAAGGTTCCGTGTAAGTCCCGCGAAATCTGGTGACGGTGCACCTCATGCACCGCCAACAATCCTACGGGATTTCTTGTCGCGTAGTTTCGAAGTAGATACATCAAGGTACATAAAAAGATAATGATCTTTGGTAGGAAAGGAAAAGGTTCTCAAGAGAGGTTTCTCTACTGCCTCGCAACCCAGGGAAAATAAGAAATGCTTAGTAGTGAGGGCTAACTTCTCACGTCCACGTACTTTCCTAATTTCAAATGTTTGCTGCACCCACTGACCACATGTGTTGAACGTCAGCCGTAATCATCAGGCATTAAATCATGGTGAAGACTCTAATTCAATCAGGTAGATAAGAAGTATCCTTATTAGTTGATACTACGAAATGTGGATGTTTATCAAGCTTGATCTGCATACTTCTCAGGAACCTGACCTCTAGTCTATAATGGAAAAGGGAAGAATGTTGCAGTCTTTTGAACTCTAAGCTTTTATGGATAATTCAGATAGATACATTGATACCAACGAACTAATGTCCGTTGTACTCAAGGTTGACCCAGGTATATATAGCTGGGTGGGTTTACTACGGTCCCTGTGCCGGTGGCCTGGATGACAATCTCATCACCAGGAACGACATCAACACAATTATCGCTCAAGGTGATGTCATCAGCTTCCTCCAACACTAGTCCTTTGGTTGGCTTTTCTGCAGTGATACGACACTCCCCGTTAGACAGCGTAACTTTGACACCCCTTTCGGAGAAATCGAGATATTTCAAGGGCTGGGGCCAGTCGACACTGCGAGAAATACAGGTGCCATTCAAAAAAAGCCGCACAGCAATGACATGTGGTTCTTCGTTGACGTTATCAATATTGCCCGACAAGATCTCCGTAGTGCTGTTCGCTTGAACCGAAACCTTGCGCTGCAGTATCTTCCCTTTAATGTCGCTGCCCCTTTTCACCGAGATGAAGCGAATCTCAACATCGACCATGGATTCCATTTGCTTGCTACTGGCCACCCAAACGGCAAACGAAGATGTCTTTGCCGGCCTGGCGTGGCAAACACTCCAGTCGTGATGCTCGCGCTCCACTGCTACCGCGAGAGGCTCAAGAGTGCGGGCAATGGCATAGAAAGACGGCTTTTTGCGAAGGAAGTAGTCGACAATGGACCACGACGTGCCGGGCCAGCAGTCGTTGAGTTGCCAGACAAGAACCCCCCCGCAATGTCGTTCTTCTCCCCATTGACGGCGCCAGCCACGGTATGCGTAAGATAGGGCCTCGGCCTGGCAGAGCTGAGTGAGATAAATATGTGACTGGGCGATTGTTAGTCGCTCTGCATGAAAAACGGGCTCCCAGTGCTTTGAACGTACCTTGAGGTCCTCCTTTGGACGGAAGTTCTCTACTAGATATGTCGCGATGCGACGCTCATGACCATCTGCCTTGTTGTGGAAGTCCATAGTCTGAGATTGTGGGAAAAGCTCATCGCGATTGGTGACAAAGTATTCGATGGTTTGCAGAGCCGGGAATGCTTCCATACCGAATTCGCTATTGAATCTACCACCTAACTGGCTGAAAGTTTGGTACTTTCTTTGCATGCCGTGCCAGACTATCAATTGTCAGAGTCAGAAGAACATCACTAAATCTCGGGAAACATACCGTTCCACTGGTGGAGATCGCCCACGGTTGGATCAGGCGTAGGTTTCCCATTAGAAAATGGAGAACCAGGCCAATATACCACTCCACTACTCTCCTGGGCAACTACCTGAGGCAAAAGATGCTCATAATAGTATCGAGCTGGATACGTCGACTTGAGCCATGATTCAGGGTCCTTATCTTCATAGTTGTATTCTAAATTCTCGGACTCTTGAACTTGATAGTCTTCGTTGTTTCCGGCGAAGATTACCACGGACGGATGGTGTCGCAGTCGACGAACGTTTTGCTTGGCTTCTTCGCGGATGGAATCGACGAATGATGGCCAAACGGGATAGTTTCCACAGGCGAACATGAAGTCCTGCCATACTAGAAGGCCCAGTTCATCGCACGCGTCGTAGAAGGCGTCTTCTTCGTAAATCCCTCCACCCCAGACTCTAGCACTTGGTTAATCTTATGAGTTTCCGAGAGACCATGTGGTTGACTCACCTGGTCATAACCTGATTTCCTTTCACCATCAACTCCAGCCACTTTCTATACTTGTCGCCCGTTATCCTTGGGAGAAGACTATCGGCTGGGATCCAGCATGATCCACCGCAGAACACATCAATCCCATTGATCCTGAAATAGAAGGATTGGCCGTGGGAGTCGTCAACCTGGACTAGCTCGCTTCGTCGGAAACCGGTTTTCCTGCTCCAACTATCCAGAGTCTGACCGTCCTTGAGGATGTAGACGTCAACATCGTACAGAGGCTGGCCTCCATACCCTACAGGGAACCAGAGTTTGGGGTTCTCTGGGTATATTGAATCAATACGAAGAGTCTAGGCTTTGATGTTGACGTTCACTTACTGATGGTAAAGGGAATCATGACCTTTCTTCCTAAGGATGCTGCTGCTCCGCAAAATTCCAAGGCTGTTGCCGACTTATGAAATATTATATCGTCCTGGAAGCGAACTGAGGCATGGATTTCGTCGAATTCACCTTCAACATCAATTTTGATATCGCCATTGGCCTCCTTCAGATCCTGGGATAATTCGTACTTGACAAATGCATCGTTAATGTTTGCCCAAGAGACTTCAAGCCGAACCGGCCTCCACGGACCTGCAGTCATGAGCTTCGGACCCCAGTCCCATCCCTATTGAGTGATTAGCTTATTTTCACGAGAGTCGAAAGACCAAGCTACGAAAGCTTAAACGAGTCTTACCCAATGATACTGGGCCTTTCGGACTGCGAGACGCCCGGCCTCTCCATTAAAAAGCACGAATTTGTGATCCGGATGCTCGTTCTTGAGTGCCCTCCCGCGAAGCATGGCACTATCGAAGTCGATTACGAGAGTATTCTCGCTCTTGATAAATTTGGTGATGTCTACCCGGTGGCTGAGAAACATGTTGTCACTCTCCAAAATGACGGTATTGTTCAGTTGAACTTTGGCGAAGGTGTCGAGGCCATCGAACAAAAGGTACACGGATGCACCCGTTGCATCTTTGGGAGCCGGAAAGGTCGTGCGGTAGGTCCAGGATCTCTCTTCTACCCATTCGGCATCAATCTCTTTGAGATCGCGAAAGGGATCGGAAAGGCTGTATGTTGGGCATATGAATATGACAATCGGATACTTAAAATGAGCAAAAATGGAAGCTTACATGCCATTGTCCATCAAATCTTGGTGCACTACCGTTGGAACACGAGCAACAGGCTTCCAATCCTCGTTGCCATCTTGGGTGCCCTTGAACGACCAGCCCAACTCTAGGGGTGTTCTCTGAGCTATCGAAGGCATGTTGCAAAAATTATGCTAGAAATGAAGAAATTGGTACACTGCGCCCTTTGCCTGGTCCTGCAAAAGAGCTCCTTAAATAAAGAATGGAAACGAATCGACTCCATTTTTACTGGCCGAGTCTCTTACGCATGCACCGGACGGATCCTCAGGTATTCGACTCCAATCTTGCCAGACCTGCTCACGAGAATGTCAGAAGTTGTCGTAGAACTATTCCAGAAATGGTCTTCCGTCATTATTGTCAGCGTTGGGCTAGAAGAGGTTTGGCTGATGTTGCCCGTTTGAGCTCTTCCGCGTCCAAATCAGGAACAGATCGAGTGGCCCAGCTCCTTCGGCATGATACGGTACGTTTGACGGGGTCGCAAAATCCATTGCTGGGCGAGTATACCCTTGCCACTACTCTCTTGTGTAATCACTAACCTCGACCAATAGGTCATTGCGTTATCGTGCGACCCTCGTTGCGGAATGCCACCATCCGCATAATGAGGCGATGAGGCAAAGCAAAGCTATTGGATCGTTACTCATCCCACGGGACAAGGATCTTGGCGGGCGTGATAGTGGCCCTCCTCAGGTTAGAGAAATATCAGCTCAAATATAAAAACTTCACTATGGCCGCTTCCATTGTCTATGTGTTGATCCCTCAGCGATCGTAATACCATCGGCATCGTCTAGTCGCTATCTTGTGTCATACCAAACTTCTCACCTCCAAGGCAAAGAGCGGCAATGGAGGACAAAGCAAGTACCCATTCCCATGCCCATGACGAGGGCGAACATGTAAGAAGATTATCTGCTATACTTACCCCGTCTATTAATACTACATAATCCTGTTTCAGCTGGTAACCTTGGATAATTAGGAAGACGTCAAGACTAAGGTCGTTGCGGGCCATGAAGCTTTCGAAAAGGCCATGATCGCGGATCCTCCTTCTGCTTGGTCTAAGGGTCAACTTCTCGTCTACGTGTTCTCCCTGGTCGGCTTCCTGTGCAGTACAATGAACGGTTACGACGGTTCTCTCATCAACAACTTGCTCCAGAACCCCTGGTTTCGCGAAAAGTACGGCGTTGGGAATAGCGGTATTTGGGCAGGCATCGTGTCATCCATGTACCAGATAGGAGGTGTTGCGGCCCTGCCGTTCGTTGGTCCTGTCATCGATGGATTTGGGCGGCGATGGGGAATGATCTCTGGCGCTGGTCTTATTGTCGTCGGCACAATAATCCAGGGCTTATCTCACGAATCTGGTCAGTTCATGGGTGGTCGATTCCTTTTAGGTTTCGGCGTGTCTCTCGCCGCGTCTGCTGGCCCAATGTATGTCGTGGAAATCAATCATCCGGCGTACCGCGGGCGGCTTGGAGGTAAGGCTCGTTCTCATGCTATTGCTGGTGATATAAGTGCTGAAATTTCCTAGCTATGTACAACACGCTATGGTTCTCTGGAGCTATTATTGCCGCTGGTGCCGCAAGAGCTGGCCTCAACGTTGGAGGCGATTATTCTTGGAGACTCATTACATGGCTCCAGGCTCTCTGCGCTGGGCTCATTCTCCTTACCAGCCCATGGATACCCGAGTCCCCCCGGTGGCTGTACGTCTTTCACAAAAAGGAAGCTGCCAAAGCTGTTCTGGTGAAGTACCACGGAAACGGGAACCCCGATTCTCCTTGGGTTCTCCTACAGCTTTCCGAGTATGAAGAGGCCTTGAATATGGATGGAGCCGACAAGCGTTGGTGGGACTACCGCGCTCTCTTCCGAGACCGTGCTGCCGTTTACCGTCTCAGCTGCAACCTTGCAGTGTCCATTTTCAGTCAGTGGGCGGGAAATGCTGTTCTCTCTTACTTCCTGGGTGCCGTGCTTGACACCGCCGGATACACTGGCACCATCCAGCAGGCGAATATCACCCTGATCAATTACTGCCAGCAATTTCTATTTGCCATCTTGGGAGCTAGCTTGGTTGACCGACTCGGTCGTCGTCCACTTTTGATCTTTTCTTTCGCAGCATGCACCGTGGTCTGGCTGGGCATGACTGTCGCCTCATCCCAATTTGCCGCCTCTTATGCTGGGGACGACGCAAATGGAGATCCGATATACACGAACAAGGCAGCCTCCCAGGCCTCTCTGGCCATGGTCTTCATCTTTGGCTCTCTCTTCTCGTTTGGAATCACCCCCTTGCAGGCTCTGTACCCAGTCGAGGTCCTCTCGTACGAGATGCGCGCCAAGGGCATGGCCTTTTCCAACTTGGCCGTGAACGCCGCTGGCCTCATTAATCAGTTCGCCTGGCCAGTGGCAATGGAGAAGATTGCCTGGAAGACATACATTATCTTCACCGTGTGGGACCTCATCCAGGTGACCCTAATCTACTTCTATCTGCCTGAGACAAAGGGCCGTACGGCAAGTTTCGATTCCACTCTGTAATGTTCGTTGACCAAAAGCCTGCTAACCAGACATGCAGCTCGAGGAGCTTGATGAGATCTTTGCTGCCAAAAACCCAGTCAAAGCCTCGACTCAGAAAAAGACACTTGCTGTCCGAAGCGATGGAGGTGGCGTGGTCAAGGTGGAGAAGGTCTAACTGGATGCCAGTGGCAAGTATGCCATTCGGAGATACGGAGGGGCCTGAGCATTAAGCCGTTTGGATCCGCATTACAAGAAGTATTACGTATAACTTAACCCCTTTTTCTCGATGTCATGAGAACTGAACGGTGCTTGCTGGCTTCCTCTGCTGGTACTTGAAGTGGTAGCTTAAGGCCTCGGTAATATATAACTGCGTATAATAACAGGGGTAACGCAACAAGCTTCAAGTGTAAAAAACAGCTAAACTCAGGGCGTAGACGGCTAAGGGTGAGCCGTGTCTGAATTTTCCTCATCCAGACTAGCCTTTGTCCACTAGTTTGAGACCTGAATCAGAAATTCTCGCGTCTCGGCCTGGGAGTGTTCTCCGGTCATTTCCCCTACAGCAGATCAGCCGATCGTTGCCGGGAACTCTCGGCTCTACACCATGACAATGGATATTGTATATTGTATCGTCACATCCTACCCTTTCACCCTAGCCAGGAGAAGCTCTTCGGAGCCTCGGTCGCCAGTCGGTCGGTTGTCGCTGGCTTGCTGAACAACCTTCAGGTTGTCACACACACAAGTGGTGGCTACATTGATATTAGCATAGACCCTGTTTGCCTGCCTGGTCTTTGACTCGATACCGTACTTTACCATCCCATCGCATGGCCTTACTTGGCCCCTTCCTTCCCCGCTTCGGTCTCGGCAACAAGAATTATGTACCCCAGTTGTTTGATGGCCCCTAAATCCCCACACGTGTGCTTACCGTTACAATACCTTATTACCCCAAAGTTATCGTCGGTCACGTTGTTCGTCGACTTTCCATATCATACTCCACGTCAAGCTGCGATAATCTCTCAGTTCTATCATCTCTGTGATGCTCTAAGCCCCAGCATAAATCTGCACATTGTTTTCTAGTTTCTTGCTAACGCTATCCGGCTTGTTAGACTGACTCCAGGCATTCTTGGCCGGGCGATTATCTAAGGAGTTTCTATCCGGAGTAATGTATCATACGTGTAGGCCGCACATCGCTCAGACCCAAACATGCTGCAGGATGCTCATTGCTGTCCATAGTCCGCAATTCTCAGTTCGACAACAGCTCGTCGCTGCCAGGGGTTAGTCGCAAGTCACCCAGAGGTCTCCATGCTTGTCTCGAATGTAAACGACGCAAGATTCGCTGCGATGGCAATAAACCTTGCAATCGATGCCAAGCCAGACGCTGCCATTCGCCATGTGTCTATGAAGAACAGCGCTCGCGCGTTGTTCCATCTAAAAAGTCGGTTTCTTTGGCATATCTTTGCTGTCTTTTTGATTAACCTCACAAATTAACGTCGGCCGGCTGCAGGGAAATTGAGCGTCTATCCAAGAGTTTGGAACAATGTACCAGTATTTTAAGATGCCTTTTCCCCAACCATGAGGTGGAATCGCTCGTCCTTTTGTCACGCGAGGAACTTTGTAGTCTCCTCGAGCATCCGTCTCCTCAGTCGACCGAGCAGCTTCCATCGCCGCCACTTCGCACTCCGAACAGCCAACTCTTTGATCTTGAACAGATTCCGGCACAGGATGCAGAATGGGACGAAGAGCGGCGGGAACGAGACCCTTTGCCTGCGGAAGCCGACGATGTGAACGCATTATCGCTCACTCTCGACCGGCAAACATCATATCTTGGCATATCGTCAGTCAGGGCGGCGATGCTCGTCATGGTTCATATCCAGCCACAGCTGCATGCCTCCTTGGCATTCCACCAAAGAAACAGCGCCAAACGGAATATAGAAGAACCATTTAAGACTAACAACCCAGCAGAAGCCACGCAGGAGACGGCGCCTGTTCGCTGGACGTTGAAAGGCCAGGCTCTTGTCGATGCTTACTTCAAGGGGTGCCACGTCTTCACCCCAATGCTCGATGAGGTCAGCTTTCGTGCAGACTATCTCAACGCTAGGAGACATGATGCGCCATGGCTCTCCTTGCTCAATATGGTTTTCGCCATCGGAAGTATAATGGCCACCAAGTCAAGCGACATGGATCACTTCAAGTACTACGAGGAAGCGATGAAGCACCTCAGCCTTGCTGCTCTGGGCAGCAGTTGTATCGAGACGGTTCAGGCATTGGCTCTTCTTGGCGGCCATTACCTCCATTACATAAATCGACCAAATATGGCCAATGCTATTCTCGGGGCCACGATCAGAATGGCCAGCGCCCTTGGTCTCCATCGTGAACCGGCCAATCAAGTTGTAAATAACACAGCAGCTGATGAGATGCGAAGACGAACGTGGTGGTCTTTGTTCTGCTTAGATACGTGGACTACTACGACGATGGGACGGCCGTCGTTTGGACGTTGCGATCCCTCCATCGATATTCAGCCCCCTCAACTCCTTGCTGAACAAGTAAGTCTCGTATAACCATTCCTGACCAAACTAAACTTAATGACTCTCCTTTAGGAAGAGTACGACTCTGCACAGCACGCAGGAGTTATGCCTTTGTTGGAAAACATCAAGTTTTGCAAGATCGCGACCAAGATCCAAGATATGCTCGCAGTAGCATCTCTCTGGGGCACGGAAAACCGTAAACATATGGATGATATGCTAGTCGAGTGGTATGAGAACCTCCCGGGCTTACTACACCGCACAGAGAAGTGCGCCGAACCTCTACATCTCTCTAGATGTAATCTTAGATGGAGGTACTGGAACCTCCGTATGTTACTCTACCGCCCAGTGCTTCTTGCTGTGGCCAGCAGTGACAAGAATGCGCCCCTTACCGCTGAAGATGCCGAGGCAATAGCGACTTGCCAAGAGTCGGCGAACAACATAATCCAGGATATCGCGAGTGGTTGGACCAGGCATCAGATGTCTGGGTGGAACGCTGTCTGGCTGCTATATCAAGCATCAATGATCCCCTTGATTAGCATTCTGTGGCAGCCCAACAGCCCATCTGTTACGGAGTGGCAATATCAGGTCACCATGATTTTGGAGCTATTTGAAGAGATGGAGGAATGGTCGCTGGCAGCGCGACGTAGCAGAGACGTTGTTGGGCTGATTTACGAAGCAAGCTGTCACTTTATAGGCCAGAGTGAAGGGAGGACGGTGCTGGAACAGTTTGACGCGTCTGAGTTGACACAAGCAGACATTTATGCTTGGTCGGATGGGCTCAAGTTGGATTACATAACAGATATACAAAATCAAGACTGGCAATGGGATATAAGCACACTTCTTGGGTCATAGGAATGGTCTCTTTTTATTCAAAGTATGAACTCAGATAGGCTTCTGTATTTACAAATGTATGTATACATCTTATCATGGTGACTTGCTGTAAAGGAGTGGACGCAATGCTGTATCAATCCTGCAATGGCTTTGAATTGTAAGATTCGTTTGAAATCCAAGCTAATTCCCCAAGTAGGTCGCCAATGGCCCCAATATGAGCCTTGTGAGAACTGTGTAGTAGAGTGCTGTGTAAAGTTGTAACCAGGCTAAATGGAAAACACTAAATAAATTAAACAATCGATCGGCTGGACTGTGCCTCTCAAACTGCGATCTCAAAAGTGCATCCCATGCAACAACGCGCAGTATGTAGTCACTCGTGTGAATAGTGCATATGATCAGGTACACTTATTGTTTATTTCTAACATATACTCTGCTCAGCAATACTTGTATGCCCTTGCTATAAGCATGGCCTGTATCTCCTAGCCAGCCTCACTGCGTACATACAATAAGCTCATACCGTGCTGAACACGTCATCAACTTTTTCCTCAGCTCAGCAGAGCACCATGCATGTCAGCCACATGAGCCTGTTGGTTCTAAGTTATCGCTTTCCCTCCAATACCCTGTAAATCCATCCAGAGAACACCATTGGCTTGAGTCTGCTCCGCTTATGGATTCAAAGGTTTTTGCCTAATTGTGGTTTTACTTCAAAACCAGGTGCTGTCCGTCCTTCCCACATTCTAGCCTAACACTGACTTGTACCAATAACTCCTCCAGCACCTTTTGTCAAGGCCTGCTGCTTGGAAGACTCACCTGGCGAGAGGATAGGCTCAGCAGCTTATGATCACTTTATGCTACTGATACCATGCCACTCACTATGCTCGCCCTCCCCCTGGAGATCCTCCACTACATTTGCAATTGCCTTACCGACCATGCCGATGTGTCCAATTTTCGCCTCGCGTGCCGCACGCTGAACAGCGTTGGCCTTGACAACCTGGCGCCAAGTGTCTCATTTGCCATCCTTCCAGAAAGCCTTGACCGCCTGAAGGCGATTGCCACCCATCCCGTGCTCAGGCACCACGTCTACACCGTCCTCTGCCTCACTGATGTGCTGCCGTATTACGAGTCATTTGAAAGCTGGAAGCATCATGCCCAAGAGCCTAATTTTTATCTTGGATGGGTTGTCCAGGCTGACGATGAATGGGCTCGAGAGTCCGACATACTTGCGCAAGCCCGACATCAAATTTCAGACGCCAAGCTACAGGAAGGATAGCAGGCTTATTTATCAAACCTTGCTGCTCAAGAGAAGGCTTTGCAGTTCTTAGATGATCCCCAGGAACTAACAGATTTGTTCAAAGGGTTAACCCATCTTAAAAATCTCGAGATAAAGGGTTCCGAAAGTGATGGGGAGTCGCTAACTACGCAGGTATTAGAGAAACTCTTTGATTCATGTTTAGTCCGGCCCAGCCCTACCCTTGCTCGACCCTGCTTCTCTTTCGGAAGCATTGAATATTTTGGGTCTCATACCGCCAAATTGTTAACGTCCTTTTTTGGCCGCAGCTAGCGCCGTACACAAGGAAATCATCAGTCTGAGGGTAGACACGCTGGACTGCTGCTTCTTTGGAGATGTCGGGCCAAAGGTTGAGTGTTTCGCACAAGTCTTAAGCAAACTCCGCCATCTCAGACTAGACTTAGTTCTCGAAGCGCAAATAAAGACAGTTACGCGGCGAAACAGATCTCGCTTCTCAATGTATTCATCACGAGCGATAAGGTAATCTTCGTGGGCAACCTCAGCGATCTCACGGCGAGCAAGGCTGAAGTCGGAGTACTCAAAACGCGCAGCAGCAAAGCCGGAGATGGTGAAAAGAGAGACGAGGGTCTTGATGAAATGCATCTTGAAGTTTAGATAGAACTAACTTGCGAGGAAGTTTAAAGAAGAGATGAAAGCAGAGACAAGAAGAGATGGTTTTTAATAATGCTGTTGGATGATTAAATCTTTGGACTGGGAGAGAAAAAAAATGAGGTTTATCTGCATCTTTTTCTTGCCTTCTTGCCAACGTCGTACTTCTAATTAATTAAGGTATGCTTAACCAACAAGAACCTTGGTAAGACAGGATCTACTCCCAGTCGCTAGCCCTACAGTCCAAGCGAGGCGGCCAAGCTCTGCTGTGAGAAGTTTATGGGCCAAGTAGATCAGAGGCAATTGCGCACTCTGACTCCTCAGTTAAGGCATACCGAGTGTGATTTGGGCCTACATCGCTTATGGGAGAATAGATTTATTTCAAGCGGTATACCAGCCCGCGAGTATTGTAAGGTGGTCATAATTAGAAACTACGTAGGGTCGTGAAACTGGGGGAACGCGCGCTGCCAACAATACCCATGCAAAATTTCGGCATGATACAAGCTTAGCAGTGTTCTGTTGGTTGTTCAAGTCCTAATTAGTAGGCCTGGCTGCCTACAGATACTACAGAGCGGAGAACAACCTCTACCCCTCCGCTGGTGACTCTTGTGTTTGCGCGTTTTCTCCATCAGTTGACTTGTTGACGTCTTTATATGCATTAATACTTTGTCCATCACCTAGCATCAGACTCCCACTCACTTGGAGTTATATCGTTTTTAGCCCTCGGCCGCTTGCTAGGACGCTCGTCGGTCTGACAGAGTTGCCGACTGGTGCCGACATCACGGTCCAGCCCCCTCCCGTGCTGCAGGGAGAATGCCTTTGCGAGCCCTTGGTTCTGGCCAGTCAGCTCCGCGATCTTGCGCTTGGCGCTGTCCAGTTCGATTTCGTAGTGCTTTAGGGCGGCTGCATGGTCATCGATGAGATAGGAATTTGTGGCCTTGATCTCTTCGAGCTCTCTCCGGGTGGGAATCCCCTCGGATTGAAGGATGTTGAGCGACTGAGCCATCTTCTTCTCCCGCTCGGCCGCTTCCTTTAGCGCGGTCTTCATTTCGTGTATGACGGTCTCGAGATTCCAATTCTCGTCCTTGTAGCGCTGATCACTCTCGTCCAGCGTCTTAACGCGCTGTCGCAGGCTCTCGGCTTCGGTGTCGAGCCTGGAGACCTCGGACTTGCTGTCTCTTAGCTCTTCGTCCTTCTCGGTGAGGAGGCTCTGCAAGCTGCGAACCTGGGCTAGCAGGGACGTGCTGATTTCCGCGGCGAACTCAATATCGTGAAGTCGGTTGGCCGGCTTGTCCCGCAGTTTTTGACGTGGTATGCTGAAAATGGTGACAGACTTGGTGGCTTGGCTCTTGGCCTTGGACGGGCTGACCGAAGTCTGGAGGCAGGATCATTAGTGATTGCCGACAAAGGCCACGGCTAGGTAGATGTGTTAACATACTTTGATATCTTGGTCCTCGGGGGCTAGCATCTTGACTACCGTCTCGTGAGTGTTCATTTTAGCCCATAATAGCGGCGTCCTGCCATCCTTGTCTTTGGACTCTCGGTCAGCGCCTTTCTCGAGCAACAGCTTGACAATGACCTCATGCCCGTTCCCTGCAGCCAGCGATAGTGGTGTCCGGTTGTCGCTTTCTCTGCATTCCAGGTCGGCGCCCTCCTCGAGCAACTTCTTCAGTATGGCCTGGTGCCCGTTCGCTGCGGCCCATGAAAGCGGCGTCTGGCCCTTCCTATTATGTCCACTCTCTCCCGCTCCCGGTGACTGGGGGCAGTCAGACCCAGAGGTTCCCATGTCCTTCAAAGCGAAATAAAATTTGCCCACGTCGAGCAGCATCTTGATCATCCGGCCAAGCCAGTCCTTGGAAGCCAATTTGCCATCGAGCTCATCCAGACGCCGTTGGGTTTCTGATTCTTGCCCTGACAACTCGTCTTGCAGTTGGCTGGCCTCATTATCTCTATTTGTCAGTTCATTCATTTCTATAGTTAGCAATGCTTTCTCCTCATTCTGTTTTCTTAATTCTTTGTCTACCACGGCTAGTCGTTTCTTCATCGAGGCTAAAGCAGCTATCGTCCCGTCTCTTTGCTGCTTCAATTGTTCCGTCTTTTGACGTATTTGGTCTTCTTCTTGCAATGTTTTCACGAATTCAAGCTTTAAATTCACTTGCCGCAGTTCCAAGGTTGCATTAATAGTAGTCTCCGGTGAAGTTGACATTCGAGCGAGCGTGATCACAAACGTCGGTTGCTGGGCAAATAGTTCTTCTTTCACTGTTACGTTCAGGTTGAGGTTGCCATTGCTGGCGCTGTGCTTCCCAAATGCTTCTCGCTCCATGTAAACGAGTTTCTGGGACAAATCTTCTAAAGCGGTATCTCTGGAGGATATCATAACATGATGTCGAGCTTGTACCTGCAATCCCCGTATCTCGAACTCAAGTGCTACTACGATATCCTGAGATCCTTCGCCCTGAGTGCGGAATCTAGCCAAATATCGTCGTGTGATATGTCCGTCTAAGTCGTTTGCCTCAGCAATCAGTGCGCGTCCTTTCACCCAGGACAATTGGGGATAGATATCATTCAGCTTGGCGTTGATCTTCTGATGTCCGTTTATATAGAGCCAGTACCGCCGACTCGTTGCCTTGTGCACCCTGCTCTGACGTCCCATCTGGATGCGAATTGGCTCAGGTGAAGCAATAGATGTAGTCTTAGCAAGTAAAACTGGATGATGCCCCTGCGGCCTGAGGTACTCGTCAGATGCTGCGCCAGGGACAGCCTTGTGGAGTGGGATTCCCACAACTTGCTCAGTGTCGTGCTCCGGACCGCAATGAAGTAAGCCGAACGTCTCGCCATCCGAGGCTGCATGTAGAGGGAGGTGCACCCGGAGGCGGCCGCCAGAAATGTCGAATGTATTGGCAGCCAAGGCATCTTGTTTCCTCAGAACAATGCGTCCGCAGTTCTCGAAGTCCGATGGAGCAGTGGCCAAAATCCCCGCGGAGACCACATCCGTCGAGTTGCTTGGTACGGATTCCACAGCGTTAAGGCCCCATGCCAAAATAGAATCGTCCCGCGTGTGTTTCATGATTGCCTCCTGCAACCGAATGAAGGCTTGATCGCCTTCGCCATAGATCATCGGCATAGTCACACCAAATATTCCTAGGAGACAGTACGCAATATCTTCCTCCCTTTTAGTACCTCGATTCGCGGCCCAGGACATGCGTTGCGCTACTGTCGCGTCCCAGAAATCCTCCCAGCCGAGTAGGAATTGTCGAGGAATACCTGTAATGGTCTCGATCTCCTTAGACATGTCGCCCTTTGTGCCTATGAAGGTCCATTCTTGGTTATAGAAATGTAATTCCTCTGGGGCCAGGAGTTCTTGCAATGTCCATCCTCGCCGGAACCAACGACTAGCGAAGAACTTGGACCCCGAGTCCCAAGAATTATCACCAGGGGGAACATCCGACAGATAGGTGTAGCAAAAGGCGGCTCTCTTATACCATCGAAACATGGAATTGATAGCCTCGCTCAGCTCTACGGCGTTGGCTTTATCGACGCAGCAGGTATCAATCCAAGCATATTTGAGCTCGTCCTTCTTGGCTTGATTGCAACATCCCTCAAACTTGATCCGTCCGTAGCCGGCTTTCTCAATGTTCCCTCCCCCTGTCTGGATATCGCGGAAAGATATTTCTTCGTCATCGGCTCCCCAGGTATGCGACAATATGGCGTACGGCGGGATTGCATCACCGAAAAACTCCTCCAGTTTCTGTGTCTCTATATTGATGAGACGCATTGGCTAGCCTCAGGGGTTGCTGGAGTATCGGGGGAAACTCGACGTGGCTTATGTTCAGCTTCGAAGGTTCGATAGATAACGGCAATCGCGATCATGCCTTGTGGTATCTCGGATCGGGCTTCGGGGAAGGTCGGGGTATAGACCGAGCGGATATAAACATCGAACTATTCAAAGCAAGGTACGGAATCTGTCTCTGTCGACGTCGTCGATTGTGGAGTTCGTTCGATACCTAGGCCAAGAAAGAGAGGCAATCAATTGCCCCAGGCAGATGGAAGCGCGGACGAGATGGGACGCGAGCGTGAAGTCTAGACGTTAAGGTTAATCTTATGAGAGAGAAATAGCAAGAAATAGATACCAAGATTTGCGTTTTGGTTGAACCGTTATTCTTTCCCGGGAGGTTATAGCCCCCTCTGTATCGAGGGACAGAATATCAGGCAGAGTCCAAGGCTGAAGCGGGGTAACTGTGCTTATTATTAGTAGATGCCTTGAGCTTACCTAACTAGGCAGTGCGGGATTCTGGACAGGGCATTATGCGAATAATACAGGCATATATTAAAGAGAAGGCTTTCATCACGGACTTTCCCATGGATCATGTAGAAGGCGCGGTACGACAAAACACCAAAGCCGATCATCTTCAGGTCCTGGTAAATGCGATTGATCAACCAGATAGGTTCAACCTTGATGAATATGGTTTCTGCTTCCTACGTGGCCGTCAGATCCATCTCGATCCTGAGAAGGCTTGCCGGGACAAAGATTCCATAGAACAAGCTTACTGGTACGAAATCGAGGCCATTCTACATGAGGAATTCCCTCAACACTGGAGGATCGAGTGCTTTGATACTACGGTGGGTGGGTTATTGGACTCACTATGGCCTGGCCTATTCAGAACGTTATGCTGATTCTATTTTGCTACAGGTTAGAAGCGTGACCCAGATTTCCCAGAAGTAGTTAGGGTGTACCGTGAGGAGCATGAAAAACCATCGCCAGTGGTCCATTGCGACTGGTCTAGCGTTGGATCTTTGGACGTGCTCCGGTGGTGTTTCCCGGGGAACGAAAAGTTCTGGAAGGAAAGAGGTTTGACATGCTCAAGTACGTAATCCCCGATCGCACACTATCTTGATACCATATGTAATATCGAACAGGCTCCTAGTCATTTTACGAATGCTGATAATCTCCCAACCTATTAGCGTATGGCGCCTTCTGAAGACGCTAACTGACGAATGGCTACTTGCTCTCTGCGATTATACTACAGTCGACACGGAGAATGATGTCCTACTGGAAGACGCGATCGAGCGAGTTCGTGTCGAGGAAATTAGCTGCTTGCACTATAATGGGAACCACAGATGGTACTTTCTCAAGGACCAGGGAGTCGATGATCTGCTGGTGTTTCGCAATGCCGACTCGCATGGGGAGAAAGCAAGTAAGTGAAGAAACAACGAAGATCTTTCTCTGCAGAACGTATCTTTCCAAGCAATGGTACTATTTAGTCACTAACATCGGATGCAGGGGCATTCCACACGGCTATACGTAACCCCTTATCTCAAGGTCCTCCAAGAGAAAGCATATAAGTACGGCTAGTAGCTATTTATTAGTTAATGGAGCAGGTCACACTCCCGTCCTGCCCCCTGGTTATTGTTTATCGCACGTATTCATTGCGTCGGGTATGGCATCATCAAATCTGTTGTTAATTGGTACTCGGACTCCCTCATCCGTAGTTTATCACATATGAGCACGAAAGATAACAATCAAATAAGATAAGAAATGTGAAAGATAAATACTCCGTGAAGCATGGCCATGGCAAGGCTTCATGGTATTTACTGGCAGGCGTCCACCATTTAGAACGCGGAAAGTACAGGCCATGAGAGGGGGTCATGGCCACTCATTACTTCTGAGTTGGATTAATCGGGCCACCAAGGATAAAAATATATGAAATTACATGAACAAGCTTGGTACCTGATGTCTCTGACAAGATAGACTTCCATAGGATGGAGGCCTTCAAATCTCCTTGAAACCTTGAAATTGGATGTTTCTACCAGAGACAGGAAGGGTTCTTCACCCGAAACATTAGTCCGAACTGTGAGACAGATGAAACGGTTGATGCAGGTTGCCTTGAAGCTTCTAAGATTGTGCTCGTGGAATGGGGACCGGCATTTTCACAGCACGAATGCGGTATTTTCAGCTGCAAGTAAGCACAAATAATTTCACATCACCGCCTAAAAGCGTGGCCTTGAAAGCCTACGTTTCTTAGTTGGTCTAATTCATCTCTTCTTTTTGTTGTTGTTGAGGAATGCTGGATGATCGCCCCATTCCATACCAGCGTTATGGAAACCGAATATTCTCACCGCTCCTTGGATTGTTGGATAGTTTTTGGGACATATTTACCGTCTCTAAGTAAGATCTTGAGATAATGGTACATATAAAAGTACGCGAGCTGCTTCTCATCCACCTTCAGTTGGTATCTCAACCTTCTCAACCTTCCAAATACTCATCATCAATCATGTTAGCCAACAATTTGATTGCTTTTGTTGCTCTAGCCTCTGCGACAGGGGCTATGCTCGAACCAAGCCTGGGCATCGCAAGGAAAGATGGTATGTAGTGACACTCCTTGACCAACTCCTAGCTAAATTCTATCCCATAGGACTCACTGTCACCGAGTCAGAGCTCGATGATATGCAATTCTTCATGGAGCAAAGCGCATCCTCATATTGCAACTACAAACAGGCAAGCGGTGACCTTGTTAGGTGCGATCGCGAGGGAATCATCGGAGGGAAGTGCTCTTTGATCCAGGACGACGGCGTTCGAATTCTCTGGACATATATGTAAGTTGAAACTCCACTTCTCAAGCTGATCCAGATGAGCAATTAACATATGATCAAAAGCGGCCCGGTCACTCAGGTCGCTGCGTACATCGGTATAAATAATGTTCGCAAGCAAATTGTGTTTACTGCTCGGGGCACTCTGACTGAGGGAGAGACAAATGTGAACTTCAACTTTTGGTTCAAGCCTTATCCAGGTGTGCATGGGGCTCAGGTTCACACGGGCTTCTATGATGCTTGGAATGAAATGGCCGCCGGTGGTGCCGTGAAAGCAATTAGCGACGCTGTTGCAGCCAACCCGGGCTACAAAGTTGTGGCCACTGGTCACTCTCTCGGCGGAGCCCTTGCATCCATGGCCGCCGCGAGTCTTCGTGATACGGGTTTCTCGGTTGATCTCTACACATATGGTGCCCCTCGCGTTGGTAACGCTGCCTTCAATGACTTCCTAGTTGGTCTGCCCGGGGCCAATTATCGTGTCACAAACTTGGATGATCCTATTCCACGCGTGCCGTTCCTTTGTTGGGGCTATCGATCCATTTCTCCAGAATACTGGATATCCCAGAATTTTACGGGTTCTGATTATCCGCTCGACGATATCAAAGTTTGCGAAGGAGACGCCAACCTCGAGTGCAATGGCGGCACATCCGGATTGAACATCTACTCTCATGGCCTCTACTTTCTGCGTTCTGCATGTTTATACCCAGAAGACGTACCATATAGCGAAGAGGCGACCAAAACATGGTTGACTGGGCTTACACAGCTAAACGACGAACAACATCCATTTTCAGGGGATGATCTTAAATATTGTTTGCTCGGGGTCTAGTTCACTAATACTTTACAAACCTGTACGGGAAACTGCGTTGGGGAGATAGATTATAGTTTCAGAGTATTAAGCCATTAACTGGCCGCAGTTGGGGCCTTCCATAAGACGACTCGGGCTTTTTTCTTCCCTGCTTTCACATGCAGTTTTCATCCACTCACTTGGCCCAGCTCTAGTCCTGATTTCTTTGTACCTTACTTGGATGCCGGGCAGCTGTGTTAATTATATTTTCTTAGAAACAAACGGGTTGGTTCTTTATCAGAGCGATGGGGTCCTTGGGAAACCTCCGCGAACTTGATGTGGGAGATCAGATATCCTCTCTCTTCCGCACTCTCATTTTTACTCCATCTTTTACTCCCTAAATAAAGTTTCGATGTCAGTCATGGAATTATTTCAGAGACGAACGTATATTGCGTCTTTCTTCGCAATAGACATATGTATGCTGGGCAGGGACAGGCATACCATATTCAGAGCTGCAAGCGGCTCGTAGGTTTTCGTCGTATCCGACATGATAACATCAAACCTTTGTATAATGGCAGCCGCGATAGAAATACCTTCATATGTGGCAAGCGGTCGACCTAGACAACTGCGAGGTCCAGCATTCCACGAATGATACTCTAGAGGAAGAGAAGAACGGTGTCAGTTTCGTTGCTTCATAATGATTGATGGAGATGACACAAAATATTTCAGAACGTACTGAATGGACTGAATGAAATGGTCTTGCCATCCTCGTCGAACCACCGTTCCGGCTTGAACTCAAAGGCGTCGTCTCCCCAAACCTCGGGCATGCGAGAGAGCACATAGTTTTGATAACTGACAATATCGCCCCTACAGATATCACATGAGGGCCAATTCTCGTACTACGGGATGATACTGGGCAGAGGCTTACTTCTTGATCTTTCGTGGTGGCATGTTGAGCTCCGGAACCGCAGGCAGGACGTCATCCTCGGCTGCTTCCATCTGCCCTGCTGGAGAGACTGTGTTTAGTCTTGACGTCTCATCCCACATGGCGTGAGTGAAATGCATTTTCTATGTATGTTACAAATTAGCTACACGGATATAGATGGGCGCTATACTTCTGAATGAGTTTTAACTTACGGATGTGTTGGCATATTCCAAGTAGCCACCATCAGCGATTACCTCTTTCGCCTCCGCGCGAATCTTGCTAACGGCATCGAGATGTTTGTTATCGTCGTGAAAGATCTCCTTCATCAGCCAAGCTGTTGAGTACGTCGTCGTATCACCTGGTGCAATAAAGTACTGTAAGTGCTATTCCGGAAGATGGATTTGGGTTCATTCAATCAACCAGGGTAATCGCTTACGTCCAGCAATGAGAAATGCAAATACCATGCCACTAAGCTCATAGGGGTCGTTTGTTGATTGCATGAAAAGATCCAAGAGATCAACACCACCGTCCTCCGGGTTATACTTGTACCCAGATGCAATGGCGTCCATACGCTTCTTTACGAGAGCGTCCATCTGCTCGTAAAATAGACTGACGGCCTGGTCGGTAATTTTGTCTTCCCCAGAAAGCTTCTCGGTTAATTTCCAGATGGGGTCGCGGCGCCGTCTGTCGAACACTGCACCCATATATCAGCTCCGGCATTCCTCCTGCTCATCTACCTAGGATTTTGATCGAAGCTTGAGGGATCAATGACTTACAGTGGGTAGCTTTATCGAATGCCTCGACATACTTGGGAATTGAGTTGAGACTCTCGGGCTTGTCGGACATGATGTCCAAAGCGAGCTCATCTTCGTGAAACGCCATTCGCAAAAAGATGCAGAATATGAAGCGTCCCATTAGCTCTTGGAAGTCAAATTCGGTCCCAGTTTTAGCCAGATTGGACAGAAGGCGCATGAGGATGTCCAGACAATGATGCAGAGACTTGGTAATATGTCTCTCGAAATTCTGCTTGCTGAACGCTCGGGTGGCAGCCTTCCGTTGGGCCTGCCATTCCTTGCCGTCGGCGACGAAGATTCCTGATCGGTGGAGCTTACCAAAGACATTTCGTGTGAATGCCCCCCGGATATAGTTCTTACTTTTTGTCTTCTGGATGTGCTCGAGATATCGAGGGTGGTTAATCACATGGAGGCGGAAATACGGAACGGTGATCTCATATGCTGGACCATAGCGCTGGTAAAGAGAGTACCAAGCCTTACAGCTGGCAGCTCCTTTTGTCTGGAGCTCCTGAGAATTACCTTTGAAGGCCTGACCCTTGGGCTTTGGTATCCAGTCGCCATTGGCGGAAGACGAAGACAGAATGCCTCTATTCCGGTAGGTCCAGCAGAAACCTGCCATCCGTGCCCTGTCAGCGAACATGATCCATCCAACGGCAGGGAGTTTGGGCAGTGGCGAGTGCCCTCAAGCAAGACAGTACCTGCAAAAGCAACCCCGGCCAAGATAGCAAAGTATTGAATGACCCCGCCAAGGGATGGCGTATTTTCCCACGTATTCAGCAAAGTGCTCATAGTAATCGAAATCAAGGAGATTGATATAGGAAAGGACTTTGTTCAAAGCGCCGCAAAACAGCTCGTCGTGACTGTCGAAACTGCAAAGTAGAACTAGGGATATTTGTCCCAGACTCAACTCTCAGCCCAGAATAACATCAGCTAAGATGCTGAAGACACAAGGTACACCACAGCTGAACTGAGGGGTACATTGGGCATCATTGTCACGTTACCGCTGGTCCCGACTCCGATTTTACCGAAGTGACATCGCATTGGCGGAAAGCGGAGGCGGAGGTGATATGCCAGTTCCCTTATTTCCACGTTTCATCCAACGCGGAAAATCCCACCCCGCATTAAAAACGCGGGGGTTGCCAATCAACAGCCATAATTGGCTTGAATTTAGAAGCTAATGAAGGCGCAAGGGGATCTGGAATGACCATAGCTCTCATCAAGTTGGAGAGGTAAGTGGCTGGAATAAAACATGGCACACCAAAGCTCTTTCCGCGTGAGACAGGGACCTCATTTTTCAACTAAACACAATAAGAAGAGAATAATAAACTATTCTGTAATATTTAGCTTAATATTATACTCAGTACTAGGTTACTTATTGTGATATTGTGTTGAATTTCAGTGCTGAACTATCTCGATCTGCCATGTTTTATTTCACCCACTTGAGAGGTAACCTCTGTGGCGAAAACGATCCCGACTCCTATCCCGACTTCTATCCCGACCCCGATCCCGTCAGGCTGCTCTAGAATGCGAGAAAATTACTCTAATTTGGGACATTTCATCTCATTCGCCTTCTATTTTTCGGATGTCTTTTACAAATTACCTAAACGTATCATACCTTCGAGTGAGCGGATCTTCCGATCCGTGGACAACACCAACATTCCGCCCGCTTGGGATCAACTACGCGAATAGCCTAACCTAGAAAGCACCGAAAGGCGCTTTCTAGATCTTCTATAGGAAGTTCCACCGGCGCATAGAGGCCTCGAGGGCCTGGACAAGCTCAGAAAAACCGCCCCCCAGTCCTCTGACACAGGGCTGTCGTCTTTTGTCTTGGGGATGATACTACCCAAGACGGTAGGGACCAATCTACATCCGCGTAGTTGGTCACTCATTGTGAGGTCCTGTCACAACCTCCTTGGAGACTACCACCGCCTTTCGGTTCCCCTTCTCCTTCGAGGTATCGACACCGAGATCACGACACTACAGTGTGGGAGCCATACTCACATTGGTGCTTCGAATCAACAGGACGATACAGCCCACTCGCTGATATGGATCACGTAGGCTTTAGGATATGGCCCTATTGCAAGTGTGAAATGCGAGTGGATTCTCAGGAGTTGCGAGGAGGACCAAAAGCGGATTGAAAAGTAGATGGCACTCTACCTTTATGATGATTGACTGAAAGTCTCGAGTTCGACGCTAGGACGACTCCTTCCGTCTTTCTGCCGGTATGATGATTGAATCTCCCCTCTGCGGAGGGACACCCAAACAGTTGGCGCGTCTGAGTCCTGTGGGAAGACTACCGCGTTGGGTGACTAGTATCCTGGTGCAGCATTGCCTTCCCTAAATACGGAGGATTCCACCAATGCAACTTGCACAAATACAACCCATCAATACATGGATTATACCCAGGCGAAGCCAATTTGCCAACTTACGAGTATACCATGAAGATGCTCATCTGCTCTTTCGAAGCCAGGCGTTTTGTTCTTCAACACCTGCTTCGATCACACAGCGGCTACCCCTATCAACAAACCCCGTGTAGCTTTTTGCGTTCGCTTTCTCTTCTAATTCAACCCGAAAGTTGAGATCTGCACACAACCCTCATCGATACGTCACAGCTCCTCGTTATATTCTTGAGGGCGCACACAATCCTAGTTCATCCAGTACTCATTTTGGTGGCCAATTGCCATGTGAACCTTTCTGGATCAAAGAACGCAAGAAAACCCATATTTTTCCCGGATTTCCTGTACCGTATGGATGTATCGGTCTGGACTGCAGCTGATATAAGCCCATATCACCTTTCCAATCCCCTAAGTGATTCCTGTCGAGGCCGTCATCTCAGGCTCGCAGCACTAAACAACCACACCAACCTTTCGAAAGCACCGATGTCATTCAGGGGCAATCTTCGCCCCTGTTTCCGCAACCGCCCTGGCATAGAGTCTTAGTCGTCGGACATGGGCATCCCTTCTTTGCTTCAGCGTCTAACAAATTCAATCGCCATCCAAATACCTCATTTGCCAATGGTCAGTTCCACCAGTTTTGGCTCATTACGAATCAACTTCTGGTTTCATTCTTGCTTGCTATAGGGTGAATCTATACACAGTTCATGCTGTTCACAGCTCACCTTTCTGAACCCCATTGCTACTTATTTCTTCCTGTTTTCCGAGATGACTCTCCCGTCTCATCTGGGCAAATGGATCTATATACAGCTCATGGTGTTCACAATTCACTTTTCTGGACCTTCTTTGCTGCTCATTTGTCTCTTCTTTTCTGGGATGGCCGCCTCGTGTCAAACGCCAATGGATCTATCATACCCAGTTCATGGAATACATTGTTCATCCTTCGAGATCCTCTATGTTGTTCATCTTTGTTTCCCTTCTTGAGATGAGCCTGGAGAGCGCTATTTTCAGTATCAGTTCCTTCTATTCCGACCAAATATCTATCTTCAGTCGCCCTCTAGCAATGATTCCGCTCCTGGCGTCGAAAACTTGAAAGCTTCTTGAAACAACTTCGCCCAGCATTTTATACAAGCTTTTGAACGGAACCGAGGCGGCATTCTCTGCTCAGTATGCAACCTTTTCTTTTTGGAATCCTTGCAAAGATATCGCCTAGTTAAGGAAGAAGATTTGCATGGTCTTGCCCCCCATCCGCTGTGAGGCAGACATATGGCCATAATTCCAGCATTACAATACTTATAGAAGAAGCGGCCATCATAGCAATTACCGGAGCCCTTCGCCAACAATGGCTTGTGCCCGACATGAGAACTCTTTCATCGGCGTCGCGCCATCATGAACCTCGAAATCCTTCTTTCCTCCGCTGTGAAGGCCGTCATCCCCGACCTAGTTCTTAGCAAGAGTGAAATTTGTACCACTTGCAATATATCTGACTGAGCCGCATTGTTCGTCGACACCGTATCCTACCTCCCGTACATCGCTGCTCACACAGACCAAGTCTGAACAAACAATCTACCGAGCACTCTCCCGCTTGGCCTCTTCAAGCCTCTATATCCCTCGTTTACTCCTCCTTTTGCCCAACTAAATACGATCGAGAAACGTGCAACAATGCCTCGCCACACAATCAGGTCTGATTCGATGGAGACCTCCCAAGAGGAGACACGAGAGGAAGTGTTTCATTCTGCGCGCTTGCAAATGGAATCAAGGAATCGAAGGTCTATCTTTCACGACCTTGTGCGATATCCTTACAGGCCGTGCGCTGTCCCTGTTGTGGCGAAAGGCTGGGCCTGTGGCACAATGGCCGCAGGTGATAGTCCTATACACTGCAGTATTATGGACATGTGGCCGTACGAGGCTCAGTCATTATGCAAGAAGACTGTCCCTATCTACGTAATGCCGGATAAAAAGCGTGTAGGCCTTGGCTCGAGTACCACGCTCTCGCAAAATCGCTATACTCATGGCTCCAACGCCAGTGGCTCGACCCTTACCGGACCAACATCGAATTTGAGCGCTCCATTGCCACGACAATCTATCCGGAATGCGTTAACTGGGACGCCGATATAGCTGAGCTGGCTGAAACCCTCGTGTCGATGCACGAAATGATTTCTTCGCAAGTTCCCATTGTATCGGCGAGAGCTGTCAAAAATCCAGATTTTTATTATCGAGACATTGTCTATGGCCACCCAGAGGTTTTCATTGTTCAGCCTATTTTCCGGGCCATGTTAATTATCTTGCCTTCTGATAACTTCAATGTGACAAGCATGGGTGGTGAGGAACTTGGTTCAACCTCTGTTTATTTGGTGCTCACTAACTGCACCCTGGGACTCAGTGCCCCAATTACCTTCGAGCCCATATTGGATAAAGTCGAGCGCACTTTTTCCGATAGTGTTGTACAAGTCACTCTCAAGGACGCGATTATATTCGCTAAAGACCTTGACCACCGTGAAAATGCCATCTACGGCCCGCTTCCCAACCCAGCCAAGATGGATCAAGAATTATACGAAACTTATGTTGATCAAGATGGATCCCTGGTTAGAGAGATGGCTAAACGAATGGGCGATATCGATGATCTTTCTTGTCTGAAAGGCCCGAGCTCGGGCTGGGTGACTCGGCCCAGTAAATATACAAGAAAGGAGGCAGAAGCCGCTATTGACAGAGAAGCAAACCAAGACAGACTCGAATTAGCCATTCGGCAGAGGTGGATAAAGGAATATGTGACAAGGGAGGAGCAAGATTAACATCAAGAAACAGTCTGGAAAGTCCTCGCGTATTTGGGGCACTTTCACCCCAAATGGCGGGGCCAATGTCTCTACTGATGTTGCAATCCAGCATTGGGCATACTACGAAGGCGATCCTTGGTCTGACTAACTTACCAACAACTATGGGATCATGAATTCGGATATGGCTATATACACTGTGCCAAAGTGGTCGGCGTACTTTCGCCAGTCGCTGTCATCTTCACCGGTAACACCTCACCCAATTGGATGCGTATCGCACCTGGAGGGGATTGGTTGCCAGCTCTAGCCGATAAGCAATGGGGCGGCGATTTACAGCAGTCAGAGTACAAACAGCTATTCGAGGTGCTACAACCAGCTGCCCCTGGGCAAAACCTGGATCGCAAAGTCCCAAGTGTGCTCGAAGCCATTCTTGAATATGAGTTTCAGAAGGCTGGCAGGGAAGTCGTCGAGGATAGGTCTGGAAACTACCACGGCAAAAACCATGGCTGTGAGACCGGGCGAGGCTTAATCATCTTCGACGGCAGATGTCATATCGATACACCATTTAGAAGCTACGGGAAAGACTACACACTCTCTCTAGAAGTGCGGCCAACATCTAGCAAGCCCTCTATACTTCTCCAAGGACAGGACACCACATTGTGGCTAGGCCATGATCAGCATACCAATGTCACCATGATCAGTGGCGGTTATCCTTATACCCTGAACTACACGCTACCGGTCAATGCATGGTCACAGATTGAGCTTCAAGGCCGCGGAAATCGCGCATTCTTTTGGGTGAGACCACTGTGCGGTAGCAGTAATGCCGTTATCGAACATGAATTCATCACGCGTGTTGACACGAATTCTGTACAAGCCGCCGGCGGCATCGCGCATGTTTGACTGCCGATGCAATTTGAGGCCCCTATTGCTTCGCTTGGAAAAGGATTCCGGGGGCATGTCCGAAGGATTGTTCTTCGCCAATATTGGGGGCCATAGTTTAAAGCAGGAGTTATTAAATGGCCTCTAATCACACGCTCTTCCAAGGGTGATAGCGTCCAGTTGAAGTCCCTTTGGCAAGTGCCGATAGTGGCGTAGGCGAACAAAAGTCCTCTGAACGAAGTTTCTGCGCTTGAATGCCCTTTATGAGGTTCGAAACGGTGATCTATGACATCCTATAGGAAATCTAGGATATATCTCCCTTATTCCTAATTCCACACCTATCATCCCCCCTCAGCCCAACAGAATATTTGCCCACTCCGCTCTTGGAAAAAAGAGCTGCGAAGGGCCCTCGGCAAGGCCTTGAGATGTGTCTTCCGTCGATCTTCCAGTTCTTGGTGCGTTTATATATTCACAGAGTCGGGCCTCGAAGTTCTTCTCTTCTCCAGTCCTCCCTGACTTTGTAGTCTCATTGCTCAGTTCTATTATGCCTTTGCAAATAGTCGTTCTCAGTGCTGCGAGAAGCACTGCTTCTTTTGTCGTTTCTTCTTGAAACGTCCCTATTCTAGTATACTCCAGATCTTGGCCCCTAGCACTGGTGCGCTGGACGATGAGACCGCCTACTCTGTCCCGAGTCCAACGTTTGTCAGGATGCTTTGGTAGATGAAAAATGGGGATCATGGAGGTGGGAAAGTCGGAATTCCAGGGCTTGTTAAAGCACAAAGTAATTGGGGTCAGCTTCTGTAGCCCTGGAAGTGCCCTGCTAGAGCTTTTGAGGAATTCCAAATGGTAAATGGCATTCTTACGTTGTTGAGGAAAGTAGAATGCATTGCAAGAGATGGGATGATAGAATGTCGGGGCTGACTCATTCAAGCAAATTTCGGCTATCCCCGCGAAATCCGCAGGTATGAGGAAACAGTTCAAGCGTAAAGTCGCGTGAGACATGGAATCAAAATTATCCGCACCTGGAGGAGGATTGACATCAAATTGACGAAGCATGGCAAGAGCTCGAGGTAGAAACAGGGACTTGTCGGACGACATTGTTGTTCCTGTGATGCATTTGGGTCGCTCCAGTGATCTAGGTTGTTCAACTGGGCCAGGGAAAGCCATCCATGACCATGACGGAGCTTCTTGTGTGGGCTCTATCGTTCGGACGGCACAAGTTCTAAGTAAGGCACCATTCCGAGGCCAGAAATTCTTGACAAGTGGTGTCCAGAGAAGGTCAAAGAGCCAATACTCGGACCAGATCCCTGCAATATACCGATCCCTTGGGTTGGCGGCAGACATCATCCGAGATATGCCTGAGATAGCAGCAAGCCTGTCACTTTCACTCGTCAACCCACACTGGCTGTACTTCTCGACCAGCTTGGGCCAGAGGGCGTTACGGAAGTCGTCCGAATCATGGAACAGGGGCATCCTTCTAACATCCTTGTCTTGCAAAATATTGGACATAGTCTCGCTCGCAATTGCTCCGTCGCACTCCCAGTACAGCTGTTCATTCCCTAGATAGACAATTCGCCGCGAAAGGGTTCTTTCTTGCAAGACCCACCCTCGTGAGTTGACGAGCGAGTGTGTGACATTGATTTTGAACTCGTCTACATGATTGACGAAGGCACAGCCTGTAGTTGAATAAGCAATGTTTTTGGACTCGTCGTTTGGCGGAACTATCGAAAGAGTATCTCCTCTCCGACTTGGAAATATTGTTGAATCTGAATAATCCCAGCAAATACTTAGAGTAAGAAGAGCATTTTGGTAGACATTGAGCATTGTTTTGATCTCTCGGAGTAAATCCTCGGGCGAGTCTTGTAAGATACAGAGAGAGTCAATCCATAGGAACTGAACAGACATTGCGCGGCAGATTGATATGATATCTTGGTAGTCCTGCGGCAGCATATTGTCGGACTGGAAAGTATAGTATTGTTCACAATTGGTTTGCAGGAGCTTTGGTGTGTCATGCGACCATCTATGCGTAAGAGTAACATATTGGTCGTTCTTTTGACAACACTTCTGGCTTTGCACGATGCGAAACTTCTTGGAATCAGTATCGCCCAGATCTAACAGCCGAGTAGGCAAAGCTATGCTAGTGGTAGTGGTTGAAGATACATCCCGCTTAGTACATCCGGGATGAGTTTCCGTGCAGTGATTGCTCCAGTGTTGGACAAAACGAGCCACTGACCTGGGCGTCTGATCGACATCAATGCCATAGTGATGCCGGGCTTCTACATTCCGAACCTATTAGTACCAGCGGCAAGATTCCCACAAGAAGGCTTGAGTCATAGTCTCCAAAGACGCCGGACGTTTCAAGATGACTCAACATGACGGTACGCAAGCACGCACCTAAAAGGGTTTCCGATGCCGTGTAACGGACATGAAACTCATTTGACTCTCGTCTGTTGCCCTTCCCTGTTAAATTAATGTGCAAGGTAAAAGTCAAAGTCTCTACCGAAAACGCCCCCTCGTGCAACCAACTCTTGAAATCCATGTCAGGTTCTTCATTTGGCGATGCTCGTGGCGATGATCGTATGGAACGCCAGAGGCCCCAACATATCGGACAATTATCATTTAATGATTTGGAGAAGGACTCCCATGACTGATGCATTGGAATGGGATCAACAATGAGAAAGCCCTCCTCAACAGACTCCCAATCGCCACTCCCGTTGTTGAAGTCACGACACAATTCCTGGCAGGTGTTGCAAAGGGTCATCCCGAACATGCGGAGATTCCAGAGTCCTGGTCTTGGGGTAGGCCTCTGTTACTCGTCCGTAGCAAATTACAAACGGACAGATCTCCCTGAGCCAATATACATCGCACATTACCCCTCCTAACATGCAAAGCGACGAGACGAGAACTCGTACCAGTCTTTTCTTACTAATGCATGCCATGCTTACTTTGCAGATTCAATGCCTTGGCATGCGATGAGTAATCTCAATTGGCTCACTCCGTGATCAACTTTCCTCAACTTAAAATGACTGAATGCAGCACCATCAATATTCGATCCCGCAACTGCAAGATAAATCCCAGGGATCCACGTTCGGGGTCAGAAGGACATGATCCCGATCTCTCATCACCTAGAATTTCCTCCGCGTGTACCTGACCCTCATGTCTGGTTTGGACCACAAAAACTGAACTCTCACATCTCGACTCCAATCAACCTTGTTCCCCACGCCGAGCTCATCAAGAGCCTGCCATTCAAAGAGGAACACCAGCTTACTAAGAATGATCCGCATCTCCAGATATGCTAGATTCTTCCCAAGGCACGTTCTTGGGCCAATTAGGAACGGCTTGGACGCGTCAAGATTATCATCAGCATATCGACGGCTGTATAACTTGTGCGTACTGGGAAGCCACCGCTCCGGGTGGAACTCTTCCGGATCAGCAAAATATCTCTCGCTGTGACCGAGGGTGTATTGGTGACCCGAGACAATTACCTGGACCATGAATCAGTTACTAGAGATCAGCAGCGATATTGGGCTGTAAATGAAGCAACCCACCCCTTCAGGTATATAATGCCCCTCAACCATAGCGCCAGGGCTAACTCGAGGAACGTTGATCGGCAATGGGATAAAAATTCTCAGAGCTTCTTTAATGACGGCATCAACGTAGACGAGGTCTCTTGTGCTTGTTTCGTTGATCTCATCATCACTCCGAAACGCACCTCTGACCTCGTTTTGCAATGCATGCAGGCATTCAGGACGCTCGAGGAGGTAATATGTCATCCCTGAAAGCGCGGTGGCGGTAGTCTCAGAGCCAGCGATCAACAGGGAACTTGCGTTGGTGCGAAGGAACTCTTCTGACGGGCGTGTCTTCTCATCGCCGAGCAAATGTCCAAAAAAGTCCGCTCGATCGTTGCCCTTGGCAATTCTCTTGACAATTAATTCTCTGGCAAATTCCTGATGGAGTTTTCGTTCCTTCTGTAATTTAGAGATAGGTAACATAAAGGGGGCAAGTGGCCAGAGGTATGGCATTCTCCGAAATATATTAACCACTGAGCCCGTGAACAGAACGTTCATTAGGGCTGTGACGGCTGGGTTGGATTTAACTAGTAGAGGTCAGCATACGGATACGTAAGATTATGCAAGAGTTTATAACGAGTACCTTGTTCAACTGCGTGGAAGGACTCGCCAAATGCCAAGTCGCCAATGATATCAAAGGTAAGCCAGTTGAACCACTGAACACTGATTAGCAGTCATAAACAAAAGGGAGTGCATCTGAAATGAACAAACGAACCTCGTCAACTTGAATGCCATTTTCATTTGATCCATATTTCTCAATCTGTTTCATGAAAAGATCTATATGGGACATAATAAATTGGACCTGCTGGGTGAGCGCCGATTCACTAAACGAATGAGCAAGCATCTTCCTCGTCTCCCTATGGCGGACAGGATCTCGTTCAGCCCCGAGGGGTGACATTTCATCAGGATTATCGTAGAATTCGGATTTGAGAAATGGCTTTCTGCCCTTGCTATGATTGGTGTGTCCATAAATTTCTTCAAAGGCCTCGAATGATGTAAAGAAGAGCTCATTTGGAGCGATACGGATCACATCACCGTATTTCCTGGATGCGTCAAGGAGAGTAAAAGCCCAACGCTTGGACAGCCTAAAATATTAGCTAGGAAGACTTGTTCAAGTGGTTCACATGACATACCAATTCTTGGCATACCATAATTCAGAAATGGCTGCGAGCTTGGGTCCTGGATACCTGGCCAGTGGATGAAAGAAGTAGTTGTAAAAGCACATCGTAACCTGGTAGGTGAGAGTCTATGAATCGATTTAGTAATAGGACATCTGGACTAATTGCAGTCTGGCTCTAGTCAGTGACATACTGTACAAACCAGGACAACGGCCACATTCACAACGGGGCTCCCTTGTAGGTGCAGCATATCGATCATGTTGAGTAGATGGTCTGCTATAATATCGAAATAACTACAAAAAGAGAATACTGGAGAATACATTTGCAGGCTGTAAGTTAACCGAAATGAAAATAAAAGACGAATTCGTGAAATGGGCTGCCACATTTTATAGTCGTTCCGAGTAACTCAATTCACTGACCATGCGTTAGACAGACGCCGTACTCAATTTAATAAGGTATGTAAGCCGTCAAACGTGATTGGTCACTGAGCTTGCGACTTACGAAGAAAAACATGACCAAGAAAATGGGGTAGGGAATTATACACATGGGATCGTAGCCAATATTTGGGGTTCCCCGCATCAAACGCAACCCACCCATCCCTTCATGACGTATTTTACGGTCAGCATTCTCTGTTTTTTCTTGTTGGAAAATTTACTTCTGAGTCAATTAAGCAAGAAGTTGGATATATTCACCTGAACAGACGTTGAATTCCCAGGTATACCTGTCGGCGTTTTATCACTGGTTATTTGACTATGGTAAATGTTCTGAGTCTTGTTCCGTTGCAGATCGGCCTAACTAATATCAAGTCAAACAACTTCGATAGGATCCAAATTCTCGTAAATTGTCATGTGCCGGGAAACAGCTAGGTTTGCGAGGAAAAGTCAGTCCCGTTTTGCATCGAAAGATTTTATCGTACGAAACATACCTAGAGAGCAATCAAGAATGGGCCATTTCGCCACAAATTCGCGACATAATTTCCAATTTTGCACCTTAAAAATCCTCGGGTCAGTGTGATGACCTTCTGTCCTCTCCCAGGTGCCAAATGAAGTTTCCAAGCAATGTTGTTTATGCAAAAGTCCTAGCCGATTGCCTAGCTCGGCGACGATCATAGCTTGAGCGGGATCGAAACTTGAGCTGTAAGGTGACTCTGGATTGAGCTTAATATATGACCAGTTCGGACAATTCAAGCAGGAAGACAATGTATAGCCATTGAAAGATTGACTGTTCATGGCACTGCGCAATAGCGAATCGTAGACGCGCACCGCCACTCCTCTCTCAGGCAGTTCGACAACAGCATGAAGGGTCAGCTCCCGACATACCACATCCAGATCAAGTGAATGCCGAGAAAGGATCAATTGATCTCTTATAGAAGCCCAGGGAATGAAATCAATGATAACGGGGTAATTCATCAGAGAGTACTGGAGAGGTGTTGGTTCAAACGGTTCTGGAACTCCTAGTTTGGACTCCAAATTATTTGAGAGTCTCCAAAGCAGTACGCGTTGAAGAGATCTATGGAAGTCCTAGTTGAGTCATTTGTCAGTCATCAAATATCCCTTGAGGTATGTAACAAGATATTTCAACTAACCGAACCATAGATCAAAGTTCCAAGTCCAGATAGCTCGCTAATCAGCCTAATTGCGACGGAGGCGAGACTATCTTTGATTTCCAGTGGGTTCAGCCACAAATTCTTCCAGTCTATGGTATTTTGAGAGATCTGAGACAAGAATTGCTTGCAGGCCCCTTCAACTTTATCTGCGAATAGGGATTTGGAGTTGACCACGTTGACAGTATTGTTCAGAGTGGAGAGTCCTGGGAGGCTGATGTCTTGTACATTCATAAAGTTTTGAACCAACGAATTAGGACTTCCTGGTTGGTCAATCATAGGATGGTTACCACTCGCTATCTCTAGTCCTGCAAAGGGTGTGTCCAGTGGTTGATTGGCCAAAGAGTTGCTCTGGGTGGCGTCCATTGGACTATCAGTATGAGCAGGCAACTCTACATTCGCCTGGACCCCGGTCGTGTTATCGTTGTATTTTTCCACCGCCCGTTCCACTTCGTTAAACGAATCATCATCTGTGTACCACAGGATCAGAACAATGTCTTCCACAACCCATATTCGTACTTTCCTACATACCAGCAGCAGTCAGAGCGGACTGGCCGATGCTTTGTGACTTTTGGCGAAGTTTGATGAATGACTCGTGAAGTCGTCGGTAGTCTTCAAGTAGCTGTAAATGGGCTCGTAAAAGTCGCTGCTTGCCGTCATCATTATCATTCTGTGTTGACTTGACAGCCTCAACAAAAGACTCTAGATAATGTAAATGGACCTCTTTTTTCTCTCGAAAGCTTCTCTGGGCGGCTTTGTTTTGAACTTTCTTCTTATCTCGGGCAACTCGACTGGCCCGGGCCGTTGTGCCGCGTCGTTTCGGAACATTGGCCTGCTGTTCGTTAGTCTCCTTTATGTCAAAGGCAGTCTCCATTGTTTATCATTCAATCATAGCACAAAGAGAATGAACTAGAGTCGTCATGAGTTCGCTCAGATTCCTCGGGCGACTTTTCCAGCCTCGGCTACGTCACACCTTGGGGAGATTCCCCGCACTGCATTTATCCGCATTCATCTATCAGTAAGCACGTGAACTGAATTTCAGTAATTCGGAGAAAGCCGCCACAGGGACGTGCGAGAGTAAATGTTACATTCATTATGTCAATAGTCTAGGGCGAGAATTAAGCCGAAACAAGTGGTCCAGTCGGGAAGGGAGTTGGCGGATCAGAGCCTAACGTATACATGCATTCTAAGGACAACCAGAAAAAAAAAATTGGCCTTTAAGACGTTGCAGTATCAGAAACCACCGAACGATCACATCAGTGCCACGAAGGCCGTACACATTGTCCGGCCGGCTACGAGCCGGACCCCCCATAAGCCTCTACAAAATCATTAAGCACAGTAAAGGTTCGATACAGATGAATAATTATCGTAACAGGCGGATTCAGCATTGATGACACTTGTAAAGTGTTCGCTCGAGGAAATCAGATGCCAAATGTATTGATGACCATCACTTCAAGAAGAACAAAGAGAAAGAAAAAAGCAACCATCGTTATACTGTCCGAGAGGCGTTGCTAATTCTAGCCTATGCATTACCTGACTTAAATCCAATGTTTAAAAACTGCTACCCTAAGCAAGGACAACCCCTCAATGTGATCAATAGCACACCAAAAACCATACGGCAAAATAAATCTTCGGTCACGGCCAGGTGTATCAATCGAGAAGAGCTTCGAAAGAGTCCAATTTGTCAACTAGTGTTGTTCATCACCTTGAATACTATCATCGATTGGTTGGGGAGTCGATGTTTCGCCATTCGTTGTTGATCGACGGGTGTTTTTGAATATATTCCATTTGCTGAGATGCTTCTTGTAGGTCGATTCTCTATATTCATGTCAGGAAGGAAACAGAATGATCAAGCCGCGCCGCCAGACCTACCCAGCTTCAAACTGATAAAGGTCTTTCATAATTTGGCGGACCTCCTTCAACTGCTTGCCTTCATTTGTGTAGAGGTGAGCAATGAAGTCTTTGTGCTGCTCCCACTCTTGGGCAGAAGGTCTCCTTCTACGAGCGACAGGTTGGCCGGATGTTCTTCGCCGATTTGAAGGCATTTCTATGTTGTTCGCAAGTCAAGGGTGTGGTTAAATAAGGGAGATAAAGGTGTGAACGCGTGAGAAAAGTTAGACAATGCAAAGGCCCTAGGTTATTACTTATAAATGCATGAGAAGAAAAAGTATCATCAAAAGCTTTAGACAACTACATAGTCAAGTTCTAGAAAGGCCGCTTACGTATGCGGCAGCTTCAGCGGGCGCTTCGAGAATTTCACATTGTAAAGCTAGGGAAGGAAGAAGGGGGCGAGAAGTTGGCAGGCGATGACACCAGAGCTAGCCAGATCTCCAGGGTTTCTACTAGCTTTACCATTATAGGAACCAAAGAGATATGATGAGTCACAAATCTTTCCAGAAGCCAAGCCAAGCTATACTTCCCAGAAAGGGCGTTAATCTGAGCCTATAGTAATATCCTTTGCATATGAGGCCGATTATGAAATAAGTAGTGAAATTCTAACCCTGTTGAGCTGAAAGTAAACCCTGATAGCCAAGTCAAGGATTATAACTCCATTGGCTGTACCTCCGGCTCATAAGATGCGTTATGGTGATCGTTAAGGCGACCTAGAGAGAGCCAGGTGACTCCATATGCAACATCAATAGGATAGGTACATGCGTGTTACAAGCATATATAGTAAATCATCCAAGTCCCATGCGTATCTTTATGTATCTTTACTTCAACAAGAATACATATGACTTGACTTCAAGTTCTAGCGTATCTAGCATATCACTTCCAGGCTATAGTTGGCTTAGATAGGACTGGCGCGAGCCGCTTTAATGTATATCCTTGTAAGTTCGTTCTTCTCTCATCAAGAGATTCATGCATACAAGTTCGTCATAAGGCAAATACTGGGGTCAATAAGCCCCCCCCCCGAAAGGCGAGTCATTGGCTTAAGCAGGGGAGTGAGCGAACGCACAGGAGAGTAGCGGTGCAATTCACTGAAACCCCCACTACTTGATCTTTCACGGAAAGAACCCGCATCTACGTTCCAACAAAGGTAGAGAGGTGTGCATCTATCGAGCTCCTTGGCATCTCCGCACTATACATCACTAGCACCCCTAGCCTGAAGGGACAGATGCTTTTGCAGAGCCTCATCAATGGCTTTTTGCCACCTTGGAAGATCCCAAACAAGTCATATATCCCCAACACTTTGAAGTACCCAGTAAGGATCAGACCGTAACAACATAAAATACTGCGATACAAGGCCCGGTGTTGCTTGCCCTGACCGTTGTTTGATACTTTCTCAGATGTGGCCTACTCGACACCCATTTCACGTACATAGAGTACGAATTAGTAATACCACTCCTAGGTACTGTACTGACGTCTCAGTAAGTGTGGGGAAAGGCATGGGCGAAGTACCCTTCATAAGCGGCTGAGGTGTTTGGGCTAATTCCGAGGCTTGGCTCTGAGGTTGAACAAGTTGATGGATCACCAGAGGCAACATGCCAAGTCTACTAGCTTAATCATACATGGGTGGCTCTTTACCGAGACGCACGCCCCTCATAGGAGGCTTATAAGTTCTAGTTGCGGGCGTTGACCCACTAAGGCTTCCCTCCAACATGGTTTTGTTGAGCAGATGAGCAAGACAAGACAGCCGGCTTCCCGCTGATCCCGTTTTTTTACCCTTTATTCATCTCCTGGTACTTTGATTACTTGACCTGACGTTATGTTCCAGATCTAGTTGGTGTGTCTTATCCTAAAATGAATAAATCTGGTACAAATTTCTAGCGCATCTTGTATTTGGAACGGAACTTTCATAAGATTGGTGGCTGGTACGAAATTATGATCACACTCCCCCGTCATTTCATTAGCTGGTTGTTTTAATCACACTCCATGACGGGTGGCGTATGAATTTGGAGGCCTCATGTCATGGTTCGCATTGGACGCCAGGCATACACTACTTGTAGGGCTAACCTTGCTATGATCTCGATGCCGGCTGAGAATCTCTTTCCTGCATGTCATGCTCAATAGTCAGCCTGACATGTCTTCCCCTCCTCCAACAAGGTGGATACCGTTGAGATAGCACCATGCAAAGTATCAGCAAGATGGCGACATCCTGTTGGCCTGTGCTTCTGCAGCACCCCTTTACAGACTACCAATGTTATGGCAAAGGTTCTACCGGCCGGCAAAGTGAAAGAAATTCCAAGATGGATGTATCACAGGCCTGTCTAGCTTACTCTCCAGGAAGTTGTGACTTATCGGCTGACATTCAAATCGACCATTGGATGGCAGAGCTCAGATATTGGATGAGCATTGGGACATCAATGTTCATCAGTCTACGCCGCACACTAGCTAACAGTCAGTCACACCTCGTACTCGTGTTGAGTTGTAGCTTGTCATGAGTCCCACAGTAAGACGTCTAAGGAGCACGGTGCACATTCGTCCAGTGAGGGACGACGGTCAACCCCAGCCACAAGAGGAGAGACGGCTCGGCTCGTGAACGGGACTTCCAACCATGCTCGCTAGTGAGAGGCCCGGCCACCCCTGCCAGCGAGCAGAGCCCACGGTGAGCTTCTTCCCCGCCCTGCGCCAGCTCAACATATCACACCACCGTGTTTCCACACGCCTGTGTGGCAGATGTTCAACACTCGCGAGGCATCTCGGTTAGCCTGAGTGCGCCTCGCCCCCAAATTGTAATGTGGCAGTCAAGCAAGGGTTAGAAGCTTGGACCTGCTTGGCACTTCCGCCCTTCCGCCTCCTTCACGCTGAGAGAGAAGCTTCTCGAATCAAGACGCATTGTTCGTCGCAGAACCTTAGCGAGCTTGACACCAACCCCCAACACTATTTCTCGCATCGGTTGAGTACCCATCCTTGTAGAGCTGAAAACCCCGACACGCTAACTTCGAAGAAACGGGCGATGTGCCGGGGTTCACTCGCTTCATCACTCGCCACTCAAGCTCGAGCCACAATCTCGCATTACGTGTAAAGACAAAACTGTCTAACTGGATTCTTCCTGTTACACATTTATTCAATAGGCAACAGGGTAGCGGAGGAGGCTAAGGCTTAACCGGAGGCTGGAGAGATAGCGTCTGATGGGCAAGTGACTGAAATAAAACATGGCACACCAAAGCCTCACTGTGGATACGTTATCCCGACTTATCAACTTATCGATAAGTTGATAAGTCGGTCGTCTACTAAGACGAACCTTCCGTCGGACTACACAAGAGATAGCTTTTTCCCTTCTTCATCCACAATACAATTCATTGCTTCAAACGATCGTTTGCTTCTTGCTTTACAGCTGTTAGTCAACCCACACTCACACAGCCTCAGATTTCGACACAATATCAAAACAATCAACCCAGTTATTAATACAATATCAAGCTAAATAATACACAATAATATATTATTTTACTCAATCATTTGAAATATTATTAATAACAGAATGAGGTCTCCAGCTTGCACGAAAAGAGCTCTGGTCTGCCATGTTTTATTTCAGCCACTTGACGGGCTACCTACGCCAGTAAGCAGGCACATGCGAGAACAGTACAATCTAACGAAAGAAATTGCTCGCTCTAGCAGAACTAATGTTTCACTCGTAGTAATGTGTAAGTTTGGGTTGCATCAACATAGCTCGCCGACATGTAGGTGGTTGAACTCCGCCTCAAGATTTCGCACTATGTCGCACTTCAGATCGTTTTGAGTGCTAACTATATCCATATTTTTATGTAATACAAAATGAGAGAGGTAAGTCAATCCTCGGAGTTGAAACAAATTCTTCAGCGGCTCTAAAGCGTCTTGTTATTGATCTGGGAGGTAGAATTTTAACATCAAAAGCTGGCCAGCCTCGTTCTGCCAGACCATATTGGAGCCAGTTATAGCGAAAACGTTGTCGAATGCGCGATATTCGTTAGGTACCCATATCAGAGGGGACTCATTGAAGTTCAACCATTCTGGACTAGCACCGAGGCCAACACGATAGCTCCGACGCTCTTGTGGTTCTATGTTGGTGGTCTCGACAATGTCCATGGTTACACGCACAACTTTTCTCTCCATACGTGGCTTTTGATGGGTGATGATGCCGCCATTTGTAACCACCCGCCCATGGAGGTCGAAAGAAAGGGAAGTTGCTCCTCTGATGTGGAGCCAATATAGAAAAGTTCCATGATTAACAGAACAGATTCGAACGAAGTCGTGCCAAGACGCAGACGCAACTAAAGTAGAATCCGATGAAATTGCCACAGATGTAATGGATGCTTTATGAGCACTTAGTCCCCATCGATGCTTGTACACAGATCCATCAAACCACCAGATCTGGACTGTTTGATCTGCTGACCCTGAAACCAAAATGGCTGAAGAAAGAGCAACGGCGGTAACACCTCCATTGTGTGCTTTGAGGCTCTCGTAGTTATAATCATCCTCAATCATAGACCATATTCGTACGGTTCTGTCGTCTGAGGCTGTCGCTAGTCTCCTACCATCAATAGAAAAGGCAAGCGAGTTGATATAATCCTCATGAGCGCTGAAGGTTTTGAAGAGGCGAAATCCGCCGGAGCTAGAAGTGCCTATTGACCAAATAAAAACAGTCCTGTTGATTGTCGCGGCTCCGATGAAATTCTCGTCGGGAGAGAATTCGATGCAGTTTATCTCATCACCAGGTACCTTGATACTGTACAGACACATAGGATCATCGATAGGCCACAATCTTAAGGTGCAGTCTCGTGATGCTGATGCGACAAGCTTGCCTGAGAACGCAAGACAGGTAACAGAATTTGTTTGTCCCTCAGTGTCCTCATCTTCAACAGTCATGGAATCGTTGAGCGGTTTCTGATAGCTAATCTCTTAGGTAAGAAGACCCGCAAGACGCTACCAGATTGCCATCAGGAGAAAAAGCTACCGCATTAACACCGCTATGGTGGGTTTCGATGATTCTTTGTTGCTCACCCGATTCGATGGACCAAAGACGCACAGTCCTATCAAGAGACCCCGAAACCAAAAGATCAGAGTTTGGGGAGAAGGCGAGGCAGCCCACCTCGCTGGAATGACCCATTAAACTCTGTATGCAGACACCTCTCTCTACTGACCATATTCGTATGGTTCCATCTGTTGTGCATCCAGTTCCAACGAGTGTACCATCAGCTGAAAAGGCGATGGAAACAATCGGACTATCATGACCTTCAAGGATCTGATCGCACTGTCCACTTGGTAGAGACCAAAGTCGTAAGGTCTTGTCGTCGCTGCCAGATGCCAAGAGTTTCCCAGTCGGTGAGAACTCCAAGGTATTTATCCAGGCTGTATGTCCCTGGAGCGCCTGCCGGTTTCCATTGTTATCAACCGGCAATATATCGATATAGCCGTCGTTGTGGCCCAATGCTACCAGTTTCCCATCACACGAAATGGAAAAGCTTACTACTACTACCCTGCGGCCATGATGTCCTGTCGAATAGTGGTAAATAGGGTCTTCGGAAGAATTAAAACTGATGACCTGGTCTGCAGATGCTGCGATGAGAGTTCCGTCGTCCAAAAATTTGACGACGTGAACTGCATTACCGTGTTTGTCAAGCATGTGTTGACATACACCAAGTTGCCTAGCGAGCCCTTCGCCTCATCTCGCTCCACGGCAAATTAGCTTGAGTCAAGGCACCGGCTTTGAGGGTATTACAAACCTGGATTGAACCTAACAGCTTAGAAATGGATCGCAACGCGCTTGGGATACTACTGAGGAGGCTAAGAGCTCCAAGCCAATACAGAAAATAAGTTTTGAAGAATTTCTCAACTTCTTCAACCACCGAGAAGGCTTCCGTATTTGCCACCAGACTAAATATTTCTGTGTCGATAAGGTGATCGACCCATGCGGTACATGCGTATCGGGTGCGGACTAATACACTATCAGACGGAGTTTTGATATCGGAGGCTGAGATCTGGCTCTCCCAGATCGTAGATATCACGCTTGAGAATACCGGATAGCACACTGAGTGACTTCAGGGCGATGTAGATGTGTTTCTTCTCTATCCCACCAGGGAAGACCAAGCTAGCCGTCTGATGGAGCAAGAACTCTTGAGCAGATTGATGTATGAAATAGACAAAGTCGTCTCTTATCGTCAAAAATGAACCACAACAGCAAATCACTTCTCGTAGAATCTTTTCGTTCATCGTAATCTCACTCGGTATGTTGAGGATAGCCGCCATTTCGGAGAGGCTCATTGGCCGATGAGCGACAGAGACAAGTGAGAGAACTTCGAAGAGAAGATCAGCATCTTCCGAGTCTTCGACATAACGAATCATCCGCCCGTAAAGAGCATTGAGTCCAGCAGGCAAGTCTTTCAGACCATCAAGTATCTTCCACGATCTGGAGCTCTGGAGACGCTCGCAAACCATGGCCACCCAAAGAAATGTCTGGTTGGCATTACCGTCGAGATACAGGATAATTTGGTTTCGCCGACCATCATCGAAGCCCTTCATCTCTTGCAGCTCGGTAACTTTATAACGTATGTAAACGCTAACAGCTTCAGCGATGCGTGTCGTGCTGAGCTCAAGATTCAATATCGTCTTCTGAGTCATTGTTTCAAGATGTTCTCCAATATCGGGCTGGTTACGTGAAGACACAATCCACTTTGCTCGCTTTCCCGACGATTGCCGAGCAATGAAGCGTTACAGCTTTGGGAGATCCTTAGAGCACTCATCAAGCGCGTCGATTATGAAGACGCGCTCTGCCTGTGTATCATGCTCAAGAATATCATCCAGGATCATGATCAACGCATCAAAGGCATTGGAGTCCTCGAAGAGCTCTTTTCCCGCGACTTTCCATTCCTGATGAGCGTATTTGATAAGCGCCCAATTTTGTCTGACAATCGTATATATCAGACCACGAAGTACGGCCAGTGCGTTATTAAGATTTGAGTCTGCGGCCTGGCAGAAAAAGTATGAAACTAATCGTCTGTGAGGAGGTAGACGTGCAGTACTTAGCTCGTCAATCAACCCACAGAGAAGCATAGTCTTGCCCTTGCCAGGACTTCCCTTGATCCATAACAGCGGTTCGGTGTTTTCACACCAGGCTTTGAACGCCTCATCTTCCAGAATCCAGCGATATGACGCCTTGAGTAGCCCGCCTTTGGTTGACTCAATCCTTGACTTGTCATTTCGCGGATCAGTCACACGAAGATCAGCGAGGCATTGGTCGAATCCTTCTTCGAGTTCCTTGTCTGCCTTGTTCCGGGTGGAAATTTCATATTTCAATCTTTCAAACGCCTCCATTTTGCCCTCACCATAGATAGGAACCATATGCACGCCAAAAATGCCCATCAGACAGTACGCTTTGTCTTCTGCCTTTGCTGTTTGGCGGTTATTTGACCACGACATGCGTTCGTCGACACTGAACGTAGACAGAGGCTTTCCTTCTAAAGCCTCAACAGGAATGTTGGTTCTATCCTGATTTCAGTCTGGAGTGACTTCTTGTTGCCAAGCCTGTGGCCATCGGATGAGAAGAATATAACTTGTGAAGGCGCAAGGAGTTCCTGCAAGGTCCAACCACGGTTGAACCATCTACTTGCATTGAAATCAGCGATCCAAGACGACTTTTCAGTGCTGTTCGTCTGCACATCGCTCATATACACGTAGCAGGCTGCTGCGTTCTGATGCCAGCGAAACATGGAGTTGATCGCTTCTGTATACTCGGTGTGATTTGACTTGTCAATACAGCAAGTGTCCACCCAGAAGAATTCCAAGCCATCCCGTGCTGCCTGCTCTCCAACGAACAGTATCTTTTTATAGTCCGGCTTTTCTCGACAGAAGTCTTCCCGGACGTCTTGGAATGTCACCTCATCTTCAGGCCTTCCCCAGGTGTGCGATAGTATATCATAGGGCGGTATGTCTTCTGGCAGCAGGTCTTGAGTGAAACTCAAGTCACCCCCAGCCCCTCGTTGAAGTAAGCGCATTTCGAGAGCTCGTTGGAGGAGGTTGAATCGGCCAGCGAGGCTATTACCAGCCAACCAATTCAGGCCAGTGCTTATCAAAAGTATAGAAGTCACTGGATACGATCCTACTACCCAATCAAATTACTCGGTAAAAATGCAACATTACCCCTCTTCCAAGCAATGAATATTTGTAGTAAGCCTGCAAGGCAGACTTCAGCTGCGGGGCTCCTTTGGTGTTGGGCATTAATCAGTTCTCCATATCAGAGCATATCAGAACGACAATGTAATGCTTGCAAGACACAATGGATGACTGATCACAACAAAAGTACGTGGAGTGATATTCAGTAGCGATGGGTTATCCATTGACTGGTGGGTTAGGCTGGACTTTGAATTTTCCTATACTTAATCAAAGTAAGGACGTCGAACTATACTTAGGTATCTACCTATAAAAGATTTCATTAAATATTACTCTCTAATTAACTAAGTATTACTTGTTTCTAGCTACTGCTATTAAATAAATAGGAAACCGGAGTGCTCCTAATTATAATGTCAAAATATTTAGTTTAAGTAAACTTCTAAGAGCTCTTGAGTGTAGTTGATAAACTTGAATAGGAATTAAAAGAGAACAAGACAGAGGAAATAATTATATTTAATGGCACAGAGAGGTTCTCTTCACAAACATCTTGTTTAAACGTATCGTATGTATACAAGACATCTAATCTAGTCTAATTTTCACAACATTTAGCTCCAGAGCCTTCATGCGAACCACAGGAAGTTTGCTTTGTTATGACTACCTGGCCATGCTTTATGTGGCTATCTAAGTACTGACACAGGTACGCCCAGCTGCCTTTTCCGTCCCGAACGGCAGGAATGCATTAGATCCATCGCAAGCTACAGGATAGAACAAATTCTCAGCTACCGTTCCATTTGGCCCGACCACATTCAAATCAAGAATAGCCGGGCCCCCTGCGTTGGCATATATGAGGCGAATAGGGAAGTACTGCTCAGCCGCGAGTGTTGTCGTGAACGTAACTTTACCTGGTCCGCCCTGGTAGCTCGCATACGTCTGATTATTGTTCTTCTCAAAATCACCGCACGCCACGCCACCAAACCACGCCAGAGCGATATCATCCCCTTCGTCGATGGTAAAGGAGAAGCTGCCTCCTGAACAGGAATACACGAACGTAGCGAATTCATATGACAGGAAATTGTCCACTGCGCCGCTGATGTCTGAGAAGCTATCCACCGTTTGTTGACTACCCACATTAGGAGTAGTTTCCTTGAAATAAGTCGTGTTGAACCGCTGATTGAAGTTGTCCTGGCTACCAAAAGCGTCGGGCCACGTTGCACGTGTGACGCCAGTAGGGCACGCGGGTCTGACACATTGCGACGGTGTACTTGTAGCTGTGCTTGACGTGGTACTTGGCGTTGTGGGCGTAGGAGTGGGCGTAGGGATAGGCGTGGTAACAGATGAGGTGCTTGGCGGAGTATCAGATGAGGTACTTGGTGGAGTATCAGATGAGGTGCTTGGCGGAGTATCAGACGAAGTGCTTGGTGGCCCTGGGAAAGTCGTGACCGTTGTTGTGCACGGATGCGTGCAGTCCGGAGGCGGCGTCGCTGTAACTGGAGCACATGGCGCCGTACTGGTGCAGATCCCAGGGACAGTGGTGATAACATCAGGTGGAGTACTGGATGAGGTGCTTGGAACCCCTGGGAAAGTCGTGACCGTTGTGGTACATGGGCGTATACAGTCCGGAGGCGGCGTCACTGTAACTGGAGCGCAGGATGTGGTTGCTGGACAACTCGCCGTAACTGTGGTAATCACGTCCGGCGGCGGCGCGGACGACCCAGGTGGAGGGTAAGTGATCACGGTTGTGGTACACGGGTGTGTGCAGTCGGCAGCTGGCGGGATAGTTGTCGCAGCACAGGATAAAGTTGCAGTACAGCTTTCTGTTACAGTCGTGATTCTGTCAGGAGGAATAGTGGCATTTTCAGGGCAAGAAGATATTGTCAGAGTAGGGAGTATCCAAGTCGAGGCTAAGTTTGGTATCTCATCGCCCTGTGCTGCAGTCAGAGGGAACAGCTGAGCCACAGCACCAAAGAATATAACTGAAAGCTTCATTGTGAATAGAAATGATAAAAGAATGAAGTTGGAGATTTGAGGGTTCAAGTAATGAAGGAGACACCGGATGTAGCAGAGATACTATCTACTTCTACCTCGATCATATGAGAAGGCGTCACACAATTTATATGTATGAAGTCGGTGCTTACTGACCAAGAACGGTGTTTGCCAACCGAGATGCCATGAAGCATTCCAAATCTTGGCGTATATCCGTGTTATTCCCTAGTCACATTAGACACTTGATTGACCCTTGGTTAAGAACAACGCCTGTGAGATAGGGAAAAGTTCCAATGTTTCATGTGCCCTCGTGGGATGGATTCAGCGAATCTTGATAGAGATTAGCTACCTCTTCAACAAGTTAGTGTGGCGTGAGTCAGACAAGTCGGGAATTCCCAAGACATGAGAACGGCTGAGTAATCGCTATATCTCTTAGACATGTATCAGGGTTGACCCTTTGGAAGCTTGGCATGTCTGACCTATATTCTAGAAAGCTGCTCTCAATTGTCCAAGTGCTCAAATTGGGCATGTCACCGAATGCCATCGAATGGGGAGCACATTTCTTGATAGAGGGTCTAACAAGAAATATGTGCTTTGAAGAAGTATCACATTCCAAAATGTTCAGGAACGCTGATAGATAACAATATTCACGTTTAGGTGAAAGTTGGCTGGGAGAAAATGATCCAAGGTCAACATTTTTGTTGTATATAAGTGTCCGTGTTTGCTGGTCTAATCCAAGTTGAATTAATCGGCAGTTTACTCACCTAGCCTTCATCCACTCGTTTCTTATACACTCAGCCCTCATCCTCTCGTTTCTTACACACTCTGACAGTCGTTACCATCAACGTAGCCTTTTCAAAATGCATTCTTTCAACATTGTTCAGATCAGCGCTCTTCTTGGGCTCTTGGTAGGAACAGCTACCGCTGTCACAGGCAAGGTAGCAATCCCTGTTGGAGCCAAGATTGTAGAGAAGCAACCTATCGAGGTTTTTTGCGATGGACCCAATGGACCATCCACATCCATCACCACTGCCACAAGGTATGTCGAATTCTGCACTCAATAGGGACATTACTCATTTCTGGCAGGACCTTGACCCATCCCCCTGGTTCAGCAATCACAGATGGACCAATCGTGATCAACGGCCCTATTGATTTTAGTCTCATTGGGCACTTCCCGGGGGATTTGGCCCTGGGCCATTACCCCTGCAGACAATGCGCTAGAACCACGATCACGAGTGACATTGCCGCCTGTCAGACTCGGCTGCCAGGAGTTAATGGGGGTGTTCCCACTGTTGTGTTTGTTGTCCCCCATTGCGAAGCATGCGAGACTCATACGACTACGGGCCCCGTACCTTACGTGACTCGAGTTTCTGCAACTGGAGGCGCTGAAAAGGACACCATCATTATTTGTGAAGAAGCAGCAACTACTGGCTCTGTCAAGGTTCCCAGTTCTGGTCTTGAACATTACATTCCTGGACCGAAGAATTCCAAGGGCTTTGCTTCTGAACCCAGCCCCTCTTCTGAATCCAGTACCTCTTCCAAAACCGGTGCCTCATCTAAGCCCGGTGCCTCTTCTAGACCCGGTACCTCTTCTGAACCAGGTGCTTCTTCTAAACCAGGTGCCTCTTCTGAACCCGGTGCCTCTTCCAGGGTCAATAGTTATGGAATCAACATCAGCTCTAACAGCTCGGCACCCGGGGGTCCAGGCTCCGGTATGCCCCAGTCCGGCACCTCTCACACGGACGCTGACAAGGCTGCAATTTATTTCGTTGGCTTCATGGCAATGTTTGCTGGCTGGGTTTAAATGCTGGAAAGTTGGATTGGGAGCTAAGGATACATCATAGTGTAGTTGAATTTATTGCATTGTGTAACCCATGATTACCCACGGGTACCCGATACCGAAGTCTAGTTGTTGCATTATCATCCCAGATTCCATATTTGGCCTTTTTGTGTTCTGTACAAGGTTCAAAACAGAGGCCAGTGATCTCTAGATCTTCGTATTAGCTCTCTAATAGTCGTATCTACGCGACCACAAATCGATGTGCCTGGAACTTTCAAACGGGTGGCGCGTCGTGGACGCGAAGTAGACGGTTGGTTAATTATCAACACCAACAAGCCTAAGTAGGAGAAGATAGTCGCGTCTATGTAAGTGAACGCATTTGTCAAGTGAGATGTCTCACACTCACCCACGTGGGCCAATCAAAAGAGATTGACAAGCCTTGCTTGGAGGGCCTCCCGCATGACGCATCTATCAATTCCCAGCAAATCAGACAGTAGCAGATTTCGCCGTCGAATGATGAGACCTTGGCTTTATATGTTACTTCCGTCCCTCGCTTATCAGGCTCATTTCTTCATCCCCCCGGTTTCCCTCTTTAAAGCATTCTTCCAATTTAAGCAGCTCAACCGTTCCTCAATACAACCCTTTGGGCTACAGACTCTGTTCATTGTCTACCCTCTCCTTCCTTCATCATGAAGATACCAGAGCTCAGTGACGCCAGTCTTAATGGCCTTCGCTCCTTTGACCAGCTGAGCTTGGTCAACGCAATCGATTCTCTCCGCTCGTCCGGCATAGACCATTACGTTTCGCTTCCTCAGATTATTGTTTGCGGGGATCAGTCCTCTGGCAAAAGCTCCGTCCTTGAGGCCATTTCCGGGGTTCCTTTCCCGATCAAGAGCACAATCTGCACCCGATTTCCCATCGAGCTCGTTCTTCGAAATGCCCCGGTCGAAGCCCTCGAAGTCCGCATCATCCCGCACCAGTCACGTTCGGAATCCGACCAGCAAAGCCTGCTCTCTTTCAACAAAACGCTCGAAAGCTTCTCGGATCTCCCGGAGCTCATAAACTCAGCCAAGTCGGCCATGACTATTTTGACTCCAGGGATGTCCTTCTCGCGAGACATCCTTCGTGTCGAGATCCACGGTCCCGACCGCCCGCACTTGACAATAGTCGACTTGCCGGGGATGATCCATTCCGAGACCAAGGATCAGTCTGTCGATGATGTGACCCTCATTCAAGAGGTGGTGCAAGGTTACATGAAGCAAGAGAGAACAATTATTCTTGCTGTCGTCTCTGCCAAGAACGACCACGCGAACCAAATCGTTCTTCGCCTATGCCGGACCATTGACCCCAGGGGTCGTCGCACTCTCGGCATCGTTACAAAACCAGATACTCTGCTTCAGGGATCCCCCACTGAGCAAAAGTTCATCTCGCTTGTGAAGAATGATGACATCAAGTTCAGCCTTGGCTGGCACGTGCTCAGAAATCTCGACTCTGAAGAGGGCAGTTATTCGCTCGAACACCGCAACGCTAGGGAGGAGTACTTCTTCTCACGGGGCAGTTGGGCGGGTATCCCTGCTTCGTCTCTGGGAATCAAGAATCTGAGGAGCAGGTTGAGCAAGTTACTCGTCCAACAGATTGCGATCGAGCTCCCTGCTCTGATAACCGAGATAGGAGCCAAGTCGTCTTGGTGCATCAGCCAACTCAATCAGATGGGCAAGCCTAGAGAGAGTATGGACGAGAAGCGAGCTTATCTGGTTCAGCTCAGCCAGAGCTTCCAAAGACTAGTGACCGCTGCTACTGAAGGCACCTACAACGACAAATTCTTTGCCGACGCCACTACGGGCTTCGACAAGCGACTTCGCGCGGTCATCCAGAAGCTAAGCATCTCTTTTTCTACAGATATGCGTAAGAATGGACGTGGATATGTTGTGTCATCCAAAGGTAAAACAGCTGGGTGTAAAGCCCGAGTCCTTACTCACGACCAACTCTGCGAGGAAGTCATGGATCTAGTTGAGAAAACTCGCGGACGGGAGCTTCCAGGCCTTCTTAACCCGATGATTATCTCAGACCTCTTCCGCAAGCTTTCTTCTCCTTGGGAGGCTATAGCCTCATCATATGTTGAGAAGGTTTGGAAGGCCACGCAGACCTTTCTCAATCAAGCTCTCAAAGCTGTCACAGACAATGGGACCGCGGAGGCCATCATGAATGTCGCCCTAAGGCCTAAACTTGCCCGGATCCGCGAAGACCTCCATATCAAACTGAATGAGCTCCTGCAACCACATCGAGAGGGTCATCCCATCACATATCGCGATAACTTTGAAGAAGGTTTACGCAAGGATATTATCGCGGAAGAAGCCATCAGCAGTGCAATTGAGGGAAAGCTAAGGCAGTACCTCAATACAGAGCCCTCATCGCCTTCGGTCTACATTTCAGGTTCCATCGATTTGCAAGGTTTGCATAGAGAACTCTTGGAACTTCATCGCCCATACTTTGAAAATGCCCGATATAATGCAAAATGTGCAATAAGCTACGTTGATAAATACTATGAGGTATGATTTACTACGAGAATTGGGTGGTCTAATGCTTATTGAATTTTCTAGGTCGCTCTAGGAAGGTTGATTGACGATATTGCTGTTCAAGTCATCGAGTCCAACCTAGTCTCCGCGCTTGAACAGATTCTAGATCCGTTAACCATTGTGAAGATGACAGATTCTGAAATCAATCAAATCGCGGATGAGACCGAGGAAACCCGCGAAGCCCGGCAGCTTCTGCAAAAACAGCTGGACACCCTAAATAAAGGAACAGACATCTTTCAAAGGCACCAGAAGTCGGGCATCTTCACCTGTAAGACACTCAAATCCATTTCTCTTTTCTTCCTCACTGAGTTGAAGTGATTCTAACAGAAGTTTTGAAAGTGGCCACGGAGCTCCAACAACAGATGGACAAAGAGTCTTCTTGGAACTCTGAAAGTCTTGGGGCCGAGACAGAAGAGAGAGAAGACTCCGCAAGTGAGAAATAGAAAGCATAGTCTACCATTTTCGCTAAACTACTTGCTAATCATCTTGTTTTGTCTACACATACAGTTGCAGATGGGGTGCAATCCATATCGGATGAACTCCCAGAGGAACATGAAGCGACAGCCCTACATGATGACGAAATTGGCGCCAAAGCGGAAGGCCTAGATGTTGAGGAAGAAGCAGAACTTGCAGAGCTTGAAAAGAAAAAGATCAAACGCGGTAGACTTACGGTAAAAAGGGATCGCGACCGATATGGTTTTCTCAAAGCAAAGGAAATGGCGGTCTAGTCAGAGACTAATACACTCTTCCAAGAGTATACCGGGTGAAAGGGAACCATTTCTACAGATTGACAGACGTAGACAGATCAATACGAGCTCTGGCCAACAAATAGCATCTCCCTTGAGGATCGCTATTTACTGAGGTTGGATAGGAGGCGCGATGGGTAGGGCTGAGAAACAAGCTACATTTCTAATCACCACCTGCCCCTCTAGATGGCTCCGTTGAAGTCCCAAATACGTCGATATCTAATCTAGCCATCTCTCCTATCCATTACCAGTGACTATAGCCCCGGCCTAGCTTTTACTATCGCAAGAACAGATACACAATTAGCTGATGCGGCTGACCCTTCTGTTCATATCATCGTTGGATATCTCATCTAAATATCGTGCATTGACACCTACCCTTCTCCACACCCAAAATATTGACTTCTGGAAGGGTTACACAACTATAAAGAAGGACATCAACGAATGCAAAATTGGTAATTATGTGGTTCTCCCTTCTATTCTAAATTTAGCGCCCTTCCATATGAAACACTAGGCTGGTTCAGGAAAGTGTATCGGGCATAAGAAATGTGTGCTCGCCGAAGTATGGACTGCCAAGCATTGCAGAATCTGCAGTAAGAAACAATACGTCTAAAATAACCTGGCGGGCTCGTCATGGCGCAAGAATCTGGCAGGAGGTAGAATGTGGCGGTCATTGGTCACACTGACTGGCCATCCACTGCCGGGACCGAGAAAAAACTCACTCATCCATCTGTAGGGCATGGCGCCGCATGATTGCATAGCCATTTCCCTCAGGCTCCAGGACCGACAAAACAGTATAAGCTGAAAAGCATTTCTTAGAGATGGGCAAATGACAACGAGTGATTCTAGACCAGTTATCATCGAGCCGGACCTTGAGAATTGTTTTGTCTCAGAATGTCCTATGTGGGATATGCTATGCTATAGCCTGCAAACTGCATATCTAGCGTGAGGCTGGGAGTTATGAGATTGCTGGGCGAACTCTCACTCTACGAATAGCTGATCAGCCTACACGGGGCACCCGATAGAATGACAGGCTAGAGGCAACCCAAGACGCTTTCCACAATGCTACTGAAGGATAGCTATAAAACTATTAAATCATCCGTATTATTCCAACTTTGTATTTGACACAGGTCGCACATAGGCATCCACTGAGCTATTATCTGCGAATAAGAGTCCGGGCTGCCTGAGCCCGTGAATGGAGGCTGATTCACAAAACCGGCATCGAGGATTGTTTATAAGGAGAGCAGCTGCCTGCAATGCTCGCAGTGCTTTCCAACATGATTGGTGTGACAATGCTTCCTCAGGTGATGTTGTTGGGCCCTCCTAAGGGTTGTTATTCTAAAACTGCTACGTTGGCTCTTCTATTGATAAAAATAAATTTTCTTGACCTACAAAATGATCTTAGGCTTATGAGTATGTACGAGTTGTGTAGCTGATTCGTGGCTATCCCCTTGTAGTGTAGTTAACTACTTGGTACAACTTAAAGAAATCCTTCGTCTTCATAGCTGCAGACAACTAGATTAATTCTCTACAAACTAGTTGTTACTCCAGATGATAACTACGCCGCTACACATCAATTACTCGACTCAACCCAAAATCAATAATATTAGGTTCTTGGCGATCCGTCGTCGTGATGGAAAACAACCACGTCGGCGTCTTACGGCTTGAATATTGCAATGACAGACAAAGAGGTCAGCTTGATAGCGATGACTCGTTATAGGTTAAGACAGATTTGTTAGACCCTTGTAAAATCGAACATCGTAGCGGTTGACTACTAGGCCTAGCTTCCAACTATCACATATCACTATACACTACACGAGGCAGAGAAGAGAGGCCTGCTGCGATGTCTTATTCTCAAAGACGACAGAGTGGTCATGCTCGTACAAATTGCATGTCTCAAGAAATGACGTCAAGAGGAGATTCGTACTAATCTTTCTTCCCAACAGCAAATAGAAAGACCAAATCCCTATTATAAGAGACGATGGCTACAGGCTTGGCATAACTGTCTGCTGTCAAGACATAGATTTGCTGTAGATTCGGCCGAGTAGTTCGCTGTTCCAATCGTAAATTCTAGGAACTCTTCCTGCTTGCCTTTTGCCAAGATAGACCTGATAGTAATATTCAAGGATAGCTACCGAAGTCGAAAGACCTGGCTTCTACATCTACTCTCTCTTGGAACGTGATCGCTACGAACCTGACGTCTTTCTTCACGACGAAAAATAGTTGTAATTGGGGCTTGCTATCATCTATCAAGATAGTTAATTAGCAGTAGATAGATAGGTCTTGTTCCGATGGAGTTATCGTGATTTCATTGTCGTAGCCGAGCTAGCGCTTCCACTTCAACCTGACTTCATGTTCGTGATAGCCTCAACCTCGCAATTCTATTTCCAAGCAATTCTAGATATATTCAGAATACATTAAATAAAAATACTCAAGGAATCCCTTAAAATAACGCTAGGTGCTTTTGAATCGGTAGATTTTATTGATAATACTTTCTCTGCCTCTAAAATGACGGCAAAGCCCTGCCCGCTACCTAAGGATGTGGCCAGGGACCCCGGCTGTAAGCACATTGTGAAAGGCTAGGAATGGGTAGCGTTGGAGTGCTGACGTCTCTGAGAAGGCTGGAAACCCTGATGCAACGGATCATAATGTGGCCTTGATAGAACGATTCTCGACGTTGATTGCAATTGTGACGATAGTTGTTGCGATGATTTACTATAAATCCGGGCATGCATCGGAGCCGGCCCTCTCGATGGCGATTCTAAATGCCGAAACGTGGCAACGAGGAACAAGATCCTTGTGGCAAGGCTATGACGACGACGTGTGGGTACGGGTATTTTACCTTGCGGCCGAGTTTCATATGGGAAATTAGTTTGAACGAAGCCCGAGATTTTTGGCCGGCCCGGAGATGACATGAACAAACACAGACGCCGCTTTCATTTAGTTTTCGTCAACTTTGAGCACCATCTTGCCAAACTTCTCCCCTTTCCATACACGAAGCAATGCTTGAGGTGCCAAATCCAAACCTACAAGGACCTCCTCCTTGGTCTTGATCTTGCCCTCCATCATCCATGTGACGATATCCTTGCCAAACGTTTCTAAATATTTGACATGCCTTTCGTCAGAGCAGATGAATCCGTGCATCGATAATCGCTTCAGGAACATCTGCCCAAGATTGCGGATGCCGTACATCTCCCCCCAAGGGATATTGTACTGGGACACCATGCCGGAGGAAACTGAATCGAATATCAGCATAATACCTAATACCGAGTGGTGATGAAGAGTACTTACCAATAGTTCCATAGTCGTTCATGTGCATCAGAGCTGTGTCCAGCTGCTCTCCGCCGACATTATCGTAGTAAACATCCAACCCCTCCGGCGCAAGCCTCTTAAGAGCATCGGCAGTCTTCTCCTCCTTATAGTTCCAGGCACCATCATAGCCTAGCTCGTTCACCACAAAGTCCACCTTCTCCTGGCTGCCCGTGCTGCCAATCACCTTCATCCCGTGGATCTTGCCCAGCTGGCCGACGATCTGTCCAACACCGCCGCTTGCGGCCGATACAAACATCACCTTACCTTTGGGCTCCTTGACAAACTCGTTGAAGCTAATATACGCGGACAGACCAGCAATGCCGAGGCCACCGACGAGGGTTTCAGGACGGAACTGCGGCGGGAGCGGCGGGATGGCACGGCACCAATGGGCGAACTCGGGTCCTACTATGGAGTATTCGCTGGCGGAGGCCATGGCGCTAACCAGGTCACCCGGCTTGAAGGCTGGGTTGTCACTCTTGAGCACAGTAGATAATGTGGTGACCTGGGCAGGCTGGTCAATCACCCAGGGGACGGAGTAGCTGCCACTGTCGCCCGGTGCGCGCATCTGACCACGCATATACGGGTCAAATGAGAGGTGGGAGTTCTTGATTGTGAGACCGCCGGCTGGAGGGGGAGCCTCGGGATCGAACGGCCGGTCCTCCACTGCGAGGTGCTCCCCAACAACGGGTTCATAGGGAGTGTACTTCTTGTAGATCAAGCTCTTATTGCGGACCATGATGGAGACTGATGAGGAGTTCTTTGATTGGGAGAAATAGTGGTGTCTTTCGGGATCTGTATGATGTGATAGAGGTACTCGGGCTATGTAGACTGTAGAGCAACGAGTATGATATGGGTATTTAACCGCTAGATGCACAGAGCTCGACTTGTCTTGGAGATAACCGCGCTTCACCAACAGCGTCCCCAGGAGGCAGCTGTTCATAAAATGGACTCATACATAAAACAAGTGGGTTGTCACTGAACGCAGAAGAGGAGAAACTTTCAAACAATAATCCTCTGGAACACCAACTGTCACGAGGCAAGCAACTTGTTGGTCTGTTCAATTTTTAATCCCGGCAGTTCCGCTATTATGCATGAGAACTTATGATTACGGGTTTCCGATTATGATTATGAGGTGAGCCGGGCGGCTGGTTGGTTTAAGCAGAGCGCGCGTCTGTGGATGTGCGCCGACTTTGCCACACCAGTGCATAATCCAGGCTGGTGCATGTGCGAGGGAATGTAATCCTGGCAATGCAATACCGGTAATGGACACCTGCAATGCAACCAGAATTGTGAAATCGAACCTTATCCACCGGTATTTCTCGGCTAAGGAAAATGTGTGGACGGACAGTCGTCGATTCCGATGGCCCGGTCGTTTATATTGCCAAGGAAGAGTCAATCGGATGATTGAGCGTTGTTGACACGTGCGTATACTATGTAGGAGCGCGCAGTTACATACTCGATGAGGAATGCGATCTGATCCTGCATATGTATTTAGGAATCGTGAATTATGTGTAACTACTACCTCATGCTATCTGTAAACGCCTATGATTATACAGGCAAATTGCTTGAATACTTGTGATGTGGGCCTCGCCCTGCCTGTACGCTGACATGGTGATGAGGACCCTCGTCCAGGATCTGATACTGGCTCGAGTTATGCTCCTCATATCGGCCCTGGAGAGATGCAAGTTGGTGAGAATCGTTGGATCTGCCCGAGGATACCCCAAGCTTTTTGGAGGAGTATCCAACTGTGCCTTTGGCAGTGTTCACCGCGCTCATGAAAAGGGGGCGAAGGGTTGGTAGACAGGCAGCGATCAAGTAGCAGCCCGCCTCGACGACAGACCAAATGACAAGTTCGGCGGTATCCCACGTTCCATCTTCCAGTCCTGTCATGCGGAAGGCTACCTTGAGGCGGATGATGGAAGACACCATGCCCCTTGAAGAAGTTAGCCAAAGGCCACTGATCGACGTGGGCAGCTCAAGAGTGTGGGTGGTGTGTGATATGACTTACAAGCTGCCAAGAGCGAAGATGAAGATCAGCGCAACCTTCTGCTTAGTCTGAATCTGGAGGTTCCAAATTACAGGCAGTGGGAGGAAGAGCATAACTGCATCTGTAACAATGTTGGGGACGCTCATGCCCTTCCAATACGAGACGATATCCCTGCAGTTACCAGGGAACTTCAGAAGGTCCCATCGTCCTGCAAACGTATCGCACATGGCGAAGGATGCAATAATGCCGGCAATTGCGGTGGCTGTAACAATGCACCCGATGGCGTAGGTGGAATAGCGGTAAGGCTTCGTCGTAAAGATGCGCAGGTAGGAAGCCAGGATAGAGAGTTTCGGGAGGGCGATGGCAGCGCAGTAGGTCGTTTCCATGGCATACGCGCACTTTGCCCAGTTCTGCACAGCGATGATATCTGTCTGGATGAGTACCGCGAGGTGACGGCCAACTCCAGCAACTTTGATCTCGACGATGGCCACTGCGCACATACCCAGACTGCATACTAGGGCAGGGAGAATCAGATAGTCATCGAGACCTAGTTTCGTCTGGTACTTCATGCGCGTAAGCAGGCGCATGCCGACAACGAGGACCTCCAGGACGATGAAGACGCAGGAGACCACAAGCACTGAGTCGCTGATGGACTCCTCAGCGTACCCCTCCGGGAAGGCTGCCGTTTGGTTGGTGGCCATGATGATCAGCGCCAAGGAATAACAACACCGGATGCAAAGACGAAGAGGGACAAAAGCAAAGGAATGAATTCGACGCTTCAGAATCAGAACGGCGGAAAGACAAGTTGGTCATCGTAACCGGATGCCCGACCACATGGCGTTATATGCAGACTGCCAGAGAAAATCCTATTATCGTCATCAATGTAACATATCTCGCCCTCCCGGGAAGGATTCCTTCTCTGCTATTCACCGAAACCAAGAATATTCATGTCTCACGTTGGATGGTTAGAATAGAAAGGATTTGGGACACTGGTTCCCGTCCTGCCCAATAAGTGACGGGAACGCGCGTGGAGACCTGCAGTCTGCAGGTCGACCCAGTCAGTAATTCCTCTTAAACAGATCCACCTAAACTGACTCAAGAGGTGGGCTGAAGTCCCTGAAGTCCGAGCATATCGCCTTCGCTCTGCCACTCCCGCTGTCAGTCTGGCCTCCACCAGGTCTGACTGGGGCCCCGGGCTATGGCTCGACTTTTCAGATCCTTGTTCAATAATGGTCTCGAACTGATAAATAGAATGTGTTCTTCAGATTTCCGTATAGGTCTTTTCTTGCGAGATTTGTGCAACAAGACTTTTCCCTCACCTAAAATCAAGGGCACGGGAGGAATCTCGGCATTGCAGCTGAGGATGTAACGCTGTCAGCTTCAGCCTGACCCTGTCTGCATATAAGATGAGGAAACTTGCGCGAGCCTCTTTGGCCAATGTAACCCTAGATGAATATACGCGCCATCGCTCCACTAATTGGGGCTTTTCGTAAGATTCAGCGGGCCAGATGGCACCACTCCAGCCATTACCTTCACATAAACTCCTTGCTTTCTTTTTATGCAGACCCCAAATAGGTTCCAAATCTGTGCATTGCGATACGCTTGAGCCGGTCCACCTTGAACCGAAATAGGTTCTAAGTTCCACGTCAGGCCATACACTCGAACGGGCAGTGTTCCTTCCAACTTGCAGATGATGTCTAACGTAGTTCGATGTACGGAGTATACCGACAACTGATTCCTGAATCGATCCGGTTCATGCTTTACTGTTTCGGTTTAGTATCACTTCCTCGGATCCTAAGCTGTCGGACTCGGTCTTGCCACAGATGTCGGTTAAACCCGGTAGTCAACCTCAGGTCAGTACTCTGAGGGATCAAGAGGATTCAAGGGGAGTTTCATGAACCAGCTGTGATTTTCCTGATACTATGTTGTTCTACGCTACTAGCGGGTGGATCGCGTCTCCCAGGTCGATTTACTCTGCCACCGCATCCGCTGTATGCTTGCCCCTCTAACCCCACTCCCGACGTATACTGGACGTAGTATGATTGTAGGAATGAAGTAGAATCCAATCAAGGCGCTTGCGAATCCACGGCACAGCGGTAGGAAGCAGTCATATCCAAGCATCGCATCCAGATAAACATACGAAGATATGGGGCCTCCTTCCTATACGGGGGGCTCTCTGCTGTTCTGGACTTTGTAACTTGTCACTTTCTGAGCCGTCCAGCGGTGTTTATCTTCCTCTATGTACCTTTGGAGAGCCGAGTCGGCCCAGATTGTCTCGCTCTTTTAGATTACAGCAATCTCTGGTTTATGGGCAGTAACCTGAACTCTCCTTCTCCCCAGACGCAGCCGAGAACATATCCAAAATGAGCAGCCCAAATACGCAACAAGGGCCCGAGCCTGTGGCCATCATCGGAATGGGTGAGAAGTGACCCAGAACTCTGGTTCATCTCAGCTGAATCTTCAGCTCGTGGCTAACGTACCCCCGCAGGTTGCCGCATGCCTGGTGGTGTTCACAACCCACATGACCTCTGGCAGCTTCTCATGTCGAGGCGCATTGCCAATACTGATCGGGTCCCCAGTTCCCGGTTCAACATCGACGCCTATCTTCACCAGAGCTTAGAACGCCCTGGCAGTTTCAACGTGTCGGGAGGCTACTTCCTTGACGATGATCTCCAGGGATTTGAACCCAAGGTGTTCAACCTCTCGCCCGTGGAGGCACTATGGATGGACCCCCAGCAGAAGAAGCTTCTCGAGGTCGTCTATGAAGCATTTGAAAGTAGCGGTACCAAGCTGAAGGATGTAGCCGGAAAGAAGACGGGCTGCTACATCGGGAATTTTACGCAGGACTTCCAGCACATGGCGGGTAAGGAACCTGATTTCAACCACAAAGTCGTTGCCAATGGTGTCGACCCGGGCATGGTCGCGAACCGCCTGAGCTATGTCTTTGATCTGAAAGGCCCAAGGTCAGACCAGCTGCCAGATTCCCAAGTAGCCTGTTTTTACTGACTCTATCACAGCATGATGCTCAACACCGCATGCTCATCTTCACTCTACGCCTTGGATCTTGCCTGCAAAGCTATTGCCGCTGGGCAATGTGACAGTGCAATTGTAGGAGGAACCAACCTGATTATCGCACCAGACCAACAGATGAACACGGCGAGAATGGGTGTAATGTCACGTACAAATCAATCCCATACGTTTGATGTAACAGCAGACGGCTATGGGCGAGCAGAGGGTGTCGGGGCACTCTACATCAAGCCCCTCAGCGCAGCCCTCGAGAATGGCGACCCCATTCGTGCCATTATCCGCTCAACAGCATCAAATTTGTAAGTTTCATGTCGGACAGAGCTCTTACCTCGCGATGATTCGCAAAATAGTTGCATTTCATTAACTCTGGCGTAGTAATGGCAAAGGCACAGAGGGCATCACACACCCTAGTGTGGATGGACAGTTCAGGGTCATGAGAGCCGCATATGAAATGGCAGGGCTGGATCCAAAGGATACATTCTATGTCGAGTGTCATGGCACGGGAACACCCGTCGGTGATCCCATCGAGGTCAGGGCAGTACACCGAGCTATGGGTACCACCAGATCGTCGGACAACCCCGTGATGGTTGGAAGTGTAGGTTCGAATCGATAGGTCTCATGTGAGAGATCGTACTGACAAGACAATAGGTGAAACCAAATATCGGCCACAGCGAATCTGCCAGTAGCATGGGAACCTTAATCAAGGCTGTTTTGTCTCTGGAAAATGGCGTAATACCTCCCACTGCGGGTATCACCAAATTGAATCCAAGCAGTATGCCACTGGACCCAGTCCTCATGAAATTTAAACAGCATCTTGACTAATATATAAATAGTCCCTTGGAACGATGCTAATGTCCGGGTCGTAATGGAGCCTACGCCGTTCCCGATTTCAATGCCATACCGTAGAATTGGCGTGAGCGCCTTTGGCTATGGCGGCACAAACTCCCACGCCATCCTGGAGAGCTATGATGATGCGCCTCACTCCTTCGGGCGCAGATTAGACTTAACCAAAAGTGTTCCTGCACTGAATGGCAATGGCACTAATGGTGTTACAATCGACAGGCCTCACCTGCTGCTCTTCTCTGCTCATGATGAGGTCACACTGAAGCATATTCTGACCAACCATTCAACCAGTTGCAATGACGCCAAGATGGTCGACCTGGCTTACACCTTGGCTGCCAGGAGGACAAAGCATTCCAAGAGGGCGTTTGTAATTGCCAGAAAGCATACACTCGAAACCGATATTGCTGGGGCAGACGAGAATATTACTTCTGAGCCAAAGGCACCGGCTACCCCAGCTTTCGTTTTCACTGGTACGTTTGAGAAAACAATATATTTCTCGGTAGCCACGATGCTAACTGCCACAATTTCTAGGCCAGGGCTCCCAATGGGCCACCATGGGCGCCAATCTGATAGATGATTTCCCATCCTTCAGGCAATCGATCCAAAAGCTTGACCAGCACTTGGCCACCCTTTGCCATCCTCCATCCTGGAAGATAGAGCGCGTACTAAGAGAACCAGAGGAGACCAGCCGGATCAACGAGGCAGAGTTCTCCCAGCCTATTTGCACTGCGCTACAGATCGCACTGGTTGACTTGTTGGCCAGATGGGGAATCAAGCCAGCCGCAACTGTTGGACATTCTTCAGGTGGGTGTTTTACTTGCGCGGATATGCTTAAGATTGGCCGAGGGGTCAATGCTAACATCATACACTAGGTGAAATGGGAGCCGCATATGCTGCCGGCCGTATTTCAGCCCAGGACGCTATCATTGCCGCTTACTACCGCGGTATTGCAGCAGCATCGTTGAAGACGAACGGGGCAATGCTGGCCGTCGGCTTGGGCGCAGAAGAGTCTCAGAAATATATCGATGAGTCGCCTGCTAAAGGAAAGGTCGTCGTTGCCTGCCACAACTCTCCTAGTTCCAGCACACTCAGCGGGGATCAATACGGCATCGAAAGCCTGAAAGCGATACTCGACGAGAAAAAGGTGTTCGCGCGTGTCCTCAAGACCGGTGGAAAAGCATACCATTCTCACTTCATGAAGGGCGGTGCCCAGGCCTATGCGGACTACCTGGAGAAGGAAACCAGCGTCACAACGACACCCTTCCAGAAGAAACCGTGGTTTTCAAGTCTCAAGGCAAAGGCAATCAGGGACGATGAAGGATCCGTGCCTGACTCTTACTGGGTTGATAACCTCAACAACCCGGTGTTATTCAACCAAGCTGTAAAGTTGATGCTGGAGAACATGCCCGAAGTGAACACACTGATTGAGGTTGGGCCACACTCCTCATTAGAAGGCCCCCTCAGACAGATATGCCAGGCAGCGAAGAAGAAGGACGTGACCTACTTCCCGACCCTAAAGAGAAAGGAAAACAGCACCGACCAATTATTCCGGCTGGCGGGCCGTCTATGGGCCAACGATGGAGATATGGATCTGAGTGCCGTCACCGGCTTGGAGAAGGTGTCTGAGAAGGGAGAGATCTTCACTGAGCGCGGGACGCTGCTGGTCGACCTGCCATCGTACCACTGGACATACTCCAAGAAGTATTTTGCAGAGTCGCGAATCAGCAGAGAGCATCGTGGCATGAAGGAGCCACGCCACGACATTCTCGGTCGTCGTATTCCCGGTACATCAGCGCTCGAACCTATGTGGCGCAACATCTTGCGTCAAGGCGACTTGCCCTGGCTTGTACAGCACAAGGTGGCTGGCGAGGTTCTTATGCCTGGAGCTGGATATCTTGCCTTGGCTATTGAAGCAATGACCCAGATCAATGATCAAGCAGAAGAGCCACTAGTTGTTGAAAGCTTCACCATTCGGAACTTGGCAATCGCAACAGCTACCGTTGTCCCAGATGATGACACTGGAACCGAGACAATCTTCGTAATGCGGCCTCTAACGAGGAAACTCGAGGTCTCCACCAATCACAAAACGGGCCAGTGGTATGAATTCACTCTCTCGTGCTACTCTTACGGAACATGGAAGGAGGCCGTTCGAGGCAAGATAGCCATCAACGTCAAAGGCCCTGCGGCTATTCAACCTCCCCAGCCTCTGCCCGAGACGCCGGACAAGATGGAGTACCTGAACTGGCTCAACAAACTCCGAGCCTTGGGGATTGAGCTGGGACCAGTGTTCCACCACATCAGCAACATCTACAGTGATGGAAAGTCGCATGCAGCGCGCGGAGACATGAGAATCGCCAAAGAGTGCGGCCTCATGGAGGGAGAGTCACGATATGCTCTGCACCCAACTGTGCTGGACTCGATTGTTCAGCCAGCCACTTTCGTCGCTCACAACGGCGTAGTTGATGACCTGCGAACGGGCACAATTCCCACTCACTTCGGCGAGGTGACGGTTTACCCGCCAACAGACGACCAGCTCACAAAGGAGGGTGCCTTGAAGGTGTGGGCGACAAACGTGGGAAACAGAGCGTTTTCCTGCAGTTGCGAGTTAATCGCACACGACGGATCGTTGATTGCTGAGTTTTCTGACTGTGATAGCTTGCTCTACAATGCAGCGGTGCCTCCTGAGTATCAGGGCTATCTGCAGAAGGATCTGTACCAGAAGATTGATTACAAGATCGATGCGGATTACCTCAGATGGGCTGATGAGGCTGGTGCGCTCTCATCCGACACGCTGATAACTGTTCTAAATGCACTCATCTTCAAAGACCCAACCAAGCGAGTTCTTGGCCTTGACGAGTCCCTGGTTCCTCAACTACTTCGTATAGAGTCACTCCTCAAAATCAGTGTTGCCGCTAGGTCTCAAGAGATTGCCGACTCCATCAATCGCCAGTATTCGTACTCGGATGCTATTGACGTCATTCAATTCGACTTGAACTCCTGTGATCACAGTACTCTTACAACAAAGTATGATTTGGCCGTTTTCTCAGCCTTCAAGGTCCCCGAACAACAGATATTGGATCGCATTCGTGGTGTGCTCGCCGATAAAGGCCAGCTGCTGCTTGATGTTTCAGGCTCATCTGAGCTACAGAAGTGGCACGAGGCACTCAAGAGTTCCGGCTTCTCTGGCACTGAGTTGAGCCTATCTGGAGGTACAATCTTGACCAGTGTTGTTGAAGTGCCTAACGGACACGCTAATGGTGATACCAACGGACACGCCAATGGCATTTCTACTCCGAGCAAACCGACTGTTTCAATTATATACAAGGAAGAGCCTACCAAGGTTGTCTCTCAAGTTTCTCAGGAGCTTATTTCTCAAGGGTGGGAGACCCGCCTTCAGAAGTTCGACTCATATAAGCCGGTAGAGGCCGAGCGCGTCGTCATGCTGGCAGATGCAGAAGGCTCACTGCTTGCAACACTTGAAGAAGCACAGCTAGAGATCCTCAAGCAAATAACAGAATCTGCCCAATCCATCATCTGGGTAACCTGTGGCGGCCTTTTGGCTGGTGACAAGCCTGAATTTGGTATGGCCGAAGGCTTCGCGCGCGTTATCCGTGCTGAAAAGACGTTCCTAGACTTCGTAACCGTGGATTATGATGTTGAGCAGACCTCAGATACCCGCGTGGCTTGTTTCGTTGCCGATATACTTGGAAGGCAACAAGATCTAGGCAAGAATGGTGAGAACGAATACTGTCTCCAGGGAGGCGCGGTGTATGTTGGACGACTGATTGCAGACCGCGGGCTAAACAGGCAGTTTGCCCCCGACTCTGGCGAGGCAGTCACACTGTATCAACGGGACGGGCCTTCTGTTCGCGCGTCTATCAGCGAAGGTGTCATTTCCTACAGAGGTGATCCCAGAGAGAAAGCAGTCGGAGCCGACGAGGTCAAGGTCCATGTGGAGGCCATCGGCCTCTCTGCAGAAGACGGATCTGATGAGCGTACATTCCTAAACCACGAGTTGGCAGGAACCGTCATATCGGTAGGCGAAAACGTGACGGACATAGAGCTAGGGTCCAAAGTTGTCGGTTTTGCCGTGGATAACCTGTCGACGTACCAGGTTACTTCATCCAACCTTCTTCGACCTGTAACAACATCTGCCTCCATTGTTGAGGCGGCCACTATCCCCTCAGCCTTCTCCACCGTGATTTACGGTCTCGAAGAGCTCGCCAAAGTTGAGGAGGGCGAAACGGTAGCTATCGTTGATGGCATGGGTGGCGTCGGTCTCGCTGCCATTCAGTGGTGTAAACTTCTAGGAGCTGCAGTCGTGGTCATTGCCACTTCCGAGTCTACCGAAGCTCTTCTTCTTGATCAAGGCCTGGTTCCCAAGGAGCGCATTGTGTTGGCTGTGGTGGGTGGGCTTTCAGCGAGACTGAAAGTAGCGACCGGCGGAAAGGGCATCGATGTTTTGTTCTGCTCGGCAAACTCAGATGGGACTATGATCACGGAGTGTGGGCGAAATCTGGCACACTCCGCGAGAGTAGTGTCATGCGGCGCTACAGATGAGCAATCAGAAGCATTGGCTGGCTTGCCAGTCATTAGGATGCGCCTGAGCGTTTTCCACTTCGACTTGGTAGACCTCATTCGTCACCGGCCCAGAGTCGTAGCAAGGCAGGTTTCTGAATCAATTCCGTACTGTAATGATACTAACAAGTAATAGAACTCTTCAAAGATGTGTCGACGCGTTTCAAAAGGGCGACATCAAGCCGTTGACCCCCATTTCTATAATCAAACCTCCCAAGATCGAACATTTCATCCAGAGCGGTCCTCAAGAGCTTAGCTCCGGTAAACGAGTTCTATCCTATGGTGAGGATGTATCATTCAACGTAAGATTCCGATCTATTTCTAGGAATGAAGTCTGAAAATAAGGCTAAGTTATGCATATTACCAGGCTCTCCCTTCAATAATGCCTCTCAAGTTTAGAGAGGACGCGACCTACCTCCTGGTAGGCTGTCTTGGCGGGCTAGGAGTGCACGTAGCGCTTTGGATGGCTCAAAGAGGTGCCAAGCATTTAGCCTTTCTTTCGCGTGGCGGAACGGCCAAGGAGGAGGCAGCACAAACCGTCCAGACTCTCATCGACATGGGGGTTGATGTGAAGGTTTTGCGTGCCAACATCAACAATAAAAAGGAGCTATCGGACGCTCTCGAGAAGATCGACAAAAATTTCCCCATCCGTGGTGTTATCAATGCTGCAACCGTGTTACGTGATGGCCTTTTCCGCAACATGTCGTTTCAAGATTGGCAGGCGGTTACAAAAACCAAGATAGTCGGGACCTTGAATCTTCACGAGATTTTCTCCAAACCCGGGCAACTCGACTTCTTTGTCGTAACAAGCTCCGTCACTGCAACTTTGGGCTCCAGTGGGCAGGCTAATTATGGTGCTGGTAAGTACAAGACACATTCCTTATTCACGTAAAGTTACACCAAAAGTTTGGCCGTTAACAACAACGCAGCCAATCGATTCCTCGACCACCTCTGTCACCACCGCCAAGCCCGTGGGCTTCCAGGCGTCTCCCTAATCTTGCCTGCTATCTTTGGCATCGGATACCTACTTGCCTTCCCTGAGGTAGCAAAATCCATTCGCTCAAAGGGCATGTACGGCATTTGGAAACAAGAAATGCTCGAGGCTTTCGAGGTTGCCATGACTCCTCATGACCTTATATCAGATGTGTATCACATTGTTGTTGGAGTCCAGCCTCGACGTTACGGCCCTGCAATCAAAGCGGCAAGCGGAGACATCTCGCTGGAAGGCGAGATGCGACTCAGTTGGATACTTCAGGCGATCAAGGAGCAGACTGGTGATACTGGCTCAACCCAGACAGAGGGTGCAACCAGCGGAGTTAGCCCTCTAGTTGCCATACAGCGTGCGACCTCGATTGAGGAGGCTGCCGAGGCTGTGACTGATATCCTCGCCCGTCGCTTGGCGCGTCTCATGATGATGGAATTGGAGTCAATACATACAACCGGCAAATCGGTGGCGAGCCATGGACTGGACAGCATGATTGGTGCCGAGTTCCGCAATTGGATATTCCGTGAGTTCAATGTTGATGTGCCCTTCCAGCAGCTACTTGCTGGTAGTTTGACGGTGTCGGAACTGGCCCGGACCTTGAGTGAAAGAGTAAAGGAAAGTCACAAGTGAGGGAATTAAAAATCAGTATATCTTCAATTGGCTGAAAAAAATAAAGAATACGACGTAGGGCCTATTTAGTTCAATGATTACATTTCATCTTCTCTTCTCGCCTTCCTACCTGCCCTGAGATGAACAGCAATCGAAGTCCAGTGTGAGCACAATGGAACCTAACGCGTCTTTGCCCATTATCGGTATATATTAGGCAGTTGAAGCTTCAACGGTGCCATTTTGTATCCGTATACCAAATGCCTTAGATATGACTCTCACCGTTTGTTTCTCGAGGTGATTCGCGAAGCGAGTGATATACCCATACCTACTGGTGATATACAAGGTGAATACCTGTTAATGCGCAGCACAAACATCGCCCCATGCCATTTAAAAATATAATGGGGGCCAGCCTTAAAATACAGGGCTTGTGTCTATGTTAATCTACGTAGAGAAACCCGGAGAAGTCCCATGGGTCACTTTTGCCAAGCACCGGGCGAACAAGATGATGTCAGCTGTCAGTCTGGGTGCCTACTTTCCAGCTGCTGTTCTATTCTGCTGTCCATCTCCTATCCAGCGTCTAAGCGCCAGGTAGCGACATTTGTACACAGGCTTTATTGTCTGCTGGTCAACCCAAATTAGCAATGAGGCTGTGGGGAAGTTGATCATCCGTTCATGTGAACTGACCAGCAAGATGATTCAAGCAAGCGAAATAAGCAACATTGGATGTAAATGATGATCCTCAGTTTACTCGATCCGAAGGGCACTTCATGAGCCAGGCTCAGAATAGAAGCTGCCCTGCCACTTCATGGGCCCTGGAAGATTTGCGGATGACAAGCCGAAACCCATGATTAGCTTGGCGCGTAGCCCTAGACACAATAAGCATAATTGACGCCACTGCCAGAAACCAAAGCTCTCACGGAGTTGAATTTTAATGTTGAGAGTGCTAAATACGCAACATAGCGTACGGCCAACCCTTGTGGCTAAAGTCATCGTGTCTTATTATTGAGACTCTCAACTACTCAATCGAAGGACTTCTGATGTTTTCTCTTCTCCAGGCAGGCCTTTGTTTCATGTCTTGAGTTGTGGAGCGGTCAGATTATGGGCTCGCGTCGCTTAGTCCTAGTTTGGCAACGCATGAAAACATCCTGCAGTGCCGTACCGAAGTGCCTTATTTTAAGTAACATGGGGCTGAGTTCCGAGCGAATGCCCTACGATTTTGCCCCATACGGCACGCAGTCGCCAAGGTCAGGATCCTTGTATCTTGGGTCGATATGGGGCAAAAGAAGTCGGGGCTGAGCTCTCATCTTAGCTATTCTCTTGGCCTGCCTGATTTGGCAAAGATGAGCCCTAGGCTGCGATCTATGCCGTCTCATCTAATTCTTCTCGGGCATGGGCATTTCATATAAAGGATCTACCAAACCTTTCCAACTGTGCAAGTGTTCCATTGCTCAAGCCACCAACTTCCCAAACCAACACACCTTCGTTCAACATGTTGTCTCTCAAGTCTCTTCTTCTCTTTGCTGGCGCTGCCGCAGCTCGTGTCATCTCCCTCGACGGCAGGGCAGTGGACGAAAACCTGCCATGCGGAAACGATGTGGTCCCAGACGAGTTGTACGATATGACGGCTGCCATTGCGGCCAAGAGATCTCTACGTTCCCGCAAGACCTGTGGCGCAAACAAGACGTCGACTGTGCAGGTGTATTTTCACGTTGTCGACAATGGTTCCAACAGCACGGTTATCAAGGTAGGGTTTCCCTCTTGCCCCTTGAGTTAGCAACTTTTTTTACTGACATGATTCATCAATAGGACAGTGATATCGATAGACAGATGCGACTGATTGACGAAGAGTTCAGCAAGCATGGGTTCCACATGAAGCTTGCCAACGTCTCACGCACATCCAACCGCGACTGGGCCCAGGACGCCAACAGCACAGGAGTCACAAACATGAAGAACACTCTCCGTCGAGGCCGATACCGCGATCTCAATGTCTATATTGTTGATAGTATTGCCAACGTATGTGCTACAAGACGTGTCTTTACTTGGAAAAAGCTTACCGTAAACAGGGCACACAAAACGGCAACTGCCACTATCCCACTGCACACCATCCCGAAGGCTCTCGTGAGTTCCTGAGAGATGGCTGCGTCATTCGAAACTTTGTCGTCCCCAAGACCGATGAAGCGGCAACCGTCGAGGGCAAGGGCAAGACTCTGATCCACGAGGTCGGTCACTGGTTTGGTCTCATCCACACTTTCGAGGGCGGTTGCGACAAGGGCGACGAGGTCGACGACACCCCTCCTCAGGTGGCCTCCAGCACCACTTGCGGCTTGCCTGCGAAGACCTGCCCCGGCGCCGCTGCCGTTCTCTTCAAGAACTACATGGACTACAGCCCAGGGTAAGATCCAAGTCTCTGTTGTAACCTGACTGATTACATTACTAACCAATTTTGATTACAGAGCGTGCCGAGATTCTTTCACTCCCGGCCAGGTCGAGAGAATGAAGGGTTTCTGGACCAACTACCGACTTAAATAAAGAGGGGATGATAATGTTAGTGTTATGAAACCGGGGGCGGTTCCCCGAGGTGTTTGATTCTGGTTGAGTTTAAGACTTGTTCATTTTCATGAGGGTAGATTGTATTTTGTACAACCATGGGCATATCTAATTATAGAAGACGTCATCAATTATTCGACTGGTGGCGCAAAAGATTTTGGCATGATTTAAATGCCTAGGGCTCTAACTTTTCATCTTTTCTGGTGAGACTCCCTTACCCGAAGCCGGCGGCAGCCTCCATTGTGAAACAAGTACTGCTATAAAAAAACCGGGGGACTTGTTCTCCTTCAATCCATTCGTATTTAGCATTCGGGAACACCCTATTGAAGATCTAATGCAACATTTTCAACAATATAGTCTCGAGAAATCAAGACCCGGGCCCTCGTCGCACCTGCAATGTGGAACAAAGATCGAAGGTTCATCTGTGATCCTTTGGTCACGGCAAAGCAGGAGATTGGGACCAAGTCGCGGTCATTCTGTCAATTCCTAGCCCTTGACGAGGCGAGCAACAACCAGTCTCCAGTCTCTGAATATTCTATTGCTCCCATTTTGACTAAGTCGGAAATATGAATACATATCAAGCTTATCTGAAATACAAAGTGTCGCTCTTTATGTGGGGTAAATATTCATCTGAATCCCTTTGTAGCTACGTGTAAGAGGCGTTCGGGAGAAAAATGGAAATACTGAGGCTAGTGGAAAGATACAAATTAAGAGTTAAATCAAGTTACTTATTATTCAAGTGATTAAACTAGGAGGGAAGGATAGGTATTGATATTCTAATTAGTTTGGATGAATTCAATGGAGGGGATCCTGAGTTACATTTACCTTACCGAGGTATCTAAGGCAATTTGGGCGGACGAGCGTATCAAAAAACACGCGGGGAACGAAAAATATATAGCTATTACAAAGAAAAAGGAAATGAAAAATCACGATAAGGCGTTTTCTCCAACAATGCTTTGTGAGGATCTCCAAAATGGGTGCGCGCGCAAAAGAATGGGCGGCGGTATAGGGTAGGAGCCAGACGCGCTCAATCAAAGCATCCAATATCCAATCTCCGAACTGGCGACCACATCATGATGCCAAGAACATGCCAAGACTGTTTATGAGAATCTAGAGCCGGCCAAGGGCGATGCTAGTCGCTATCTTGGGTTTTGGATGGAGTAAATGAGCTGAGAGGAGGTGGGCGATTACAGAGGTCCACCCAGGTTTTTGGGGTCGGTCACACATGAACCTGCGCTGGTTGATTTCTTAGGCGTAGATCGTACCTGTGAGACATCTTTCCAATCCGATCATGTTCACAAGGTAGGTATGATGCACTGCCAGAGCGGATGCTTGGTGCCTGTTTATTTTGGGCTGGAGGCTGCATTAGGGGGAAAACTGTGGCGGAGGGAGCCAAAAACAGCAGAGCATTTACAGCGCGATTAGCAGCATCGTTAGCGGTGTCAAGAGCCACAACATCCACAATTAGTGTCTGGTGGTGGTTCACGGAAAGTGGCGGTGGCTCGGGTGGCTAATCAAGGGCAGAATGTGCGGGAGGCAGAAGGAAAGCCACCGGAGATTCCCGTTTGTTGGGCAATTCAATTCATGCAGCACAGCTCATGCAAGACAAGACACACAGCGCCAGCCGACAGAGAAATACGAACATTCACGGCGACCGATCGGGCCTAGCTGACCCAACTATTGGCAGCGCCTGGGGCAGGGCAGATTGTCTGCAGGGACGAGCCACGCCGTTTCGCGCTCCAGGTGCAATAGTAACCTGCTGGTCGGGAATAGTCTGTTCAGCCTTCGCGTAAGCTTTCTATTCTTACCTCTAGCCCCTTGGCGGGAGTCGCCAGCGAGAGGCCGGCTTGAGGGGGTGGAATGGGGGCTTACCGTAGGGCTGGAGAGTGCCCATCCGACCACCAACTCAGCAGCTCGGATTGATCTTACAACAGCGTCCGCCTACGAGTTACAGACAGCTCGCATGCAGGTCTGGCAGCAGCTGGTGATTGGCTGCATCCCGGGCGAATCGGTGGTAACCACGGCAGCCATAGCCACCATGGCCCAGGCGAAGCCCACCAGCCAGCTGGTAATCAGCATGCAGCCATCATGCGGCCAGCAGCAGCAGGTAGCGAGCTGGTGGTGAAATCACGGCGTCTTGCTCACAGAGGCAGGCAGTCGAGCCCGGTCTGGCGATACGCTTCACCTCGAGAATGGAGAGCCCAGGTGCAAGACGGCGGCCGCTTCACCGCACCACCTCCAGCAAGGGCAAGACAATGAGCCAGTGGGCAGATTCAGATGAATCAACGCTTAAGCTTGATTGACTGACTCTGCCGGATAGCCGCTAAACTCAGCCACGGCAGGCCAGACTTGCTGATCGCCGAGCTTGTCTCTGCCTAGCTGCAGCTCTAAACCGGTGCCATGGCTTTGGCCTAGGCCTAGAACCTGCGGCACTTGTCGAAATGCAGCCTTCAGCCGCCGCCACAAAAACGCTGCGTCCAGGTGATGGTGATGACTGGTCCAGAACTGTCAATGGGTGGTCTGTGAGCTGTGCTGTGTCGTAGCTCGCGTCCAGCTTATTGGTATTAATTCTCTTTATCTCGCCAGTCCCGTCCTGTTTGTCAAGACCACCTGTTCTTCGACCTCCCACTCCATCACCACCCATCCTCCTCTCCAGACTCACCTCGTCACATCCAGCAAACATGCGCTTCACCACTGCTCTCATGCTTGGCCTGGCTGCCCGAGGCGGTCTGGCCCAGAGCTCCGCTGTCATCGCCCCCGTACCGACCTCAGCTGTTGTTGTTGTGCCCACATCGCAGGCACAGGCACCGACGAGCGCTGCTCGACCTGTTGCCAGCAGCCAGGCTCCCGTCCAACAGAGCTCTGCTGCTCCTGTCCAGTCTTCGGTAGCAGTTCCCACATCGGCGGCGGCCACTTCCGTTCCAGTGCGTTTTCTTTTCTGCAGCTCATTCAAGAGGGTGTCGTGCTAACTTGACCTCGCAGGTCATCGCCTCCTCGGTAGTACAGGCCAGCTCCAATGCCGTACAGAGCAGCGTTTCTGCCTCGCGATCGCAACAAACACAAAGTGCCGTGGTCTCCGTCGTCTCGAGCGTTGTTGGTGTCACGACTGTCGTCAGCGGATCGACCATTGTTGGATCAACCCTCGTCCAGGTCACAACGACCGCCACCCGAGCTTCGGGCACTGCTACTTCGACCGCCTCCAGCGCTTCATCCAGCATTGCATCTGCCCTTCCTGTGCCTATGAAGGACTCAGTGCTGACCCAGAACACTCAACTCACCCAGGTGGAGGGACAGCCTGCAGTGTAAGTGCCAAATCAATTGAAAATACAGAAGAATACATCCGCTGACCGCCGTCCTTTCCAGAATCATGAACGCTCCCACCTGGGGCCAAGCATCGTACTACGTCAACGCCGAGAAGCCCAAGGACGTCCCCCAGACCGAGAAGGTCAGGATCCTCGCCACCCTCCTCATCACGACTCCGGCCGCCAAGCGATCCTGGTGGAAGCGCCAGTCCACCGCCGCGGGCTGCGACCTGAGCCTGACCGTCGACGGCACCCAGGCCTACCAGACCAGCCTCAGCAAGGACAGCACCACCTCCCAGGGCGGCAAGCTGGAGCTGAGCAGCGAGGCCGTCCAGGCCGGCACCCAGCAGCCCAAGCTCGAGTTCGCCCAGACCTGTCGCCAGGAGCCCGTCCAGGTGACCGTCTACCAGCTCACCATCACCGGCGAGAAGAGCAACGTCCAGACCCCCATCAACCCCAACCAGGTCAACAACAACACCAACTCGGGCAACAACTCGAGCGGCAAGGACAAGGACGGCGCCGGCTCCTCTCTGGCTGCCGGTAGCTTTACCGCCCTCTGCGTCGCTGCCGCCGTCGCTCTTTTCTTGTAGATGCGATGCCACTCCTGGCTTTGTTGCTTTCTTTCACAATGGCGTTTCAGTAAAATATCTGAATATTGGATGATAGATAATGTAATTTATGATATCTTTTGAGCAATTTTTTTTCTTTCATTTGGCGAAATATCTTCTTCTCAAGAGAACGAGGCATGATGCATGGAGCGAGCAGTTTTATTATAGAATGGTCCATCAGTTCACACTCATCTATCCGTCACCAATCTACATATTTATTTTATTCATTTTCCACATGCCTGCAATTGTCTGCCTTGCGTGATATCCACACTAGTATGCTTTGGGAAAGATGCCCGACAACCTTCTCAATCCATCTTCTGCGACGGTGAGACGAGCTGGAGGTGGGATTGGGATGCGACGTCGGCATCAGCGGGGGAAAGGGGCGAGCGAAGCCATGTCCCCTTGCAATTGATCTCTAGATGTCTTAAGAGGATGGTTATCCGGCTGCGAGACATGGCTGGCAGATGGAGAGCAGCTGTAGGGCTGAGGCCAGGGGAGTGATCATCGCATTTTGTCTCCACTGGTAGATCTGCAGCACTGAAGTTGCTGCCAGAGCCTGGGGACCTCCAGCTTACGATGTTGAAATGTGCGGTTATTGCCTCTTTTATAGTTAAATAGTCTATCTGACTGCCATTATTGCTATGGTCATCGTGCTCCCTCCAAGTCTGAGAAGGGAGGCGATACTCATTATCCCCGAGAGCTGCTCGTCCTCCATCAACAGTTGCCCGACTTCTTGGACCGATCGACCCAGCTCTATCAATATATGGACTGGGCCACACCGGGCACTTGACCCCTGTCAGCTCTAAGCCTCATGACAGCGCGGCATATTGGGGGGAGTATGGGGTCTGTTATAAGAAGGATGCCCCTCTCCAACCCTTGGCAATGGCCAGGTCAATTACCATTTGCTTCTTGCACCCGAGCCGACGTCAATTGTGCCTCTCATCCATAGACAGCCATCTCCAAATTCATACGAACAAGCGCCATCTGAGCAGCTCAGGCGCGACAATGGGAGGTGTCCCGAGAAGCCAAGGCTGCCAAACGTGCAAGCAGCGCAAGATCAAGGTACACTCCAAGAAATACCCCGCCCACAAACATACCAGCCTCTAGGTACTCAGATCCCGCTCAGGGACTCAATTAAGCTTTGTCTTACAAACGCCTTGATTCAAACCGATCAGAGGAGGAACACCACTGACTCACGCGTGTCCAGTGTGACGAGACGTGGCCAAGCTGCGCCCAATGCCGCCATCTCGGAGCAACATGCCCAGGCCCAACCGTCCTCGTCAAGTTCGTCAACAGCAAAAGCCCCCCGAATAACGCGGCACCGCTCCCCTCCCGCCCGGCTCCAGTAAGCAAACCATGGAAGTTCGCGGCGGACTCAAAGGACGTCCGGTCGAAAAAGGTCCAGTATGCAAAGGTGGACGACTCAGCCGACGGCAGCTACGGCCTCCTGTTCTTCGGCAAGCCCAAGGCGATGCCCACCACCCTGGCCGAGCGCATCGCGAACCGCCTCACCACCAAGATGCAGGGCAGCCAGCACGGCGTGACGAGCCTGCACATGAGCTACCTCGTCTTCACACCCCAGCGCCTCGCCGAGAGCGCCTGTCTCCGCGACGCCGTCGATTGCTTCTGCTCCGCCTGGTCCGACTTCCAGAGCCGCGAGCCGCGGGGGGAGCTGATCGCCCTGCCGCAGTACGGCAAGGCGCTGAGGAGCGTGCGGCGCGCGCTGCTGAGCCCCCGCGAGGCGCTGAAGACGGAGACGCTGGCCGCCATCACCATCATGGAGCGGGCGTGTACCTTGTTTGACCGGCAGAATAGCGTCAGCATCCACCTGAAGGGGATCGTGCAGCTGATTTTGAATAAGGGCCCGCCGAACCTTGATGATGATCTTGATGTGGCGGTGTCTAACGAGTCGCATTCTGCTCTGGTGGGATGTCCTTGATTTTCTGGTATTTTCGGATGGCTGACGGTTTGTAGATGCCAACTTGGGTTTATGGCAAGAGTGTTGCATTTCTGACCAAGAGCCCTTGGAAAGAGGTGCTGGACGAGTGTGCAATCTCGCACTCGCGACTGCAGGGCCTAGATTGGAAGTTCCTCAGCCTCGACGACGCGTTGGTTTTGTACCGCTATGCAAAGGGAATTCCGGAGAGAAGAAAGCAGTTTCAAGAACTCTTCTTGGGACCGATTTCCGATGAAACGAAGGACTCTTCCATCGCTCTGATGAATCAATTGATGCCCGTATATAACCACGTCGCGGAGCTCGCAGCCCAAGCCCGTGTCAAGGGCCTTGAAGTAGGCGAGTTAGCAGAGTCACCCAACCCGGGCGGTCTTACAAAGACGCGATATAGCTTCATCAGTGCGCTGCTAGCATTGACCTTCCAGGCCATGATCGTCGGGCAGATGAACATGCTGCACATGCTAATCCAGCTGAACAAGCTTGGCGGCGATGATCCGGAGCTGGGTGCCTCGCTGTGGGCTAAATATCGATCCGCTGCCCAGGACTTCTGGAAGTTCCTGCCGTACTTTTATGAGTTGGAGTCCATCGTTGCCTGGCACTTTCTCCCGTCTCTCTGTCTCACGTGGGAGGCTGCGGAGGAGGAGAAGGAGCAGGAGGCTATATTGAACATGGTCCAATACATGGACAGTTATCTTCGGAGGTGGAGTAAAGAACCCAAGATAATCAAGATTTCAATTTTGGAAACTGCGAAGCTATTAACCGGACGTCGTCCGGACTTGGCTATACTGTAGCTTCAATATACTAAATTGTACATAAACTGGGCTTGTTCCTCGCTCCATGGGTTGTTGACGATGATTTTTGTACATGATGTCTCAATAATGTGACTAGATGGTGGATACTTTTTCATTTTATTAACTTCTGTAATACATGGTAATGTCCAATCTTGAAGCTCTTCATTACATACAGACACCCAGAGCTCTTTTTTTCTCAACACACCTGCAAATGCTTCAAATCGTCCTGGTATCTCCGTTCGATAAACACCTAACAACAGCCGCCATACTCCCCTTCGCTTCCCAAGTTTCAATTTACATGGCAATGTACATTCCAACAATAGTTCCCATTCTCTCGCTTCCACTTTGACTTTACGGTTATGCCTTCTTCTCGGCGGTCCATGAAGCAATCAGATCCTAAAACGCATGTTAGCCCAGGTTGACTCCAAATGAAACGATTATTCATACCATAAGCGGAGGCGAAAGCGAGTCAAACGTCTCCAACCCGACAGATTTGAGCTTGGCCCTCACATCCCCCATCTTCTCCGCGTCGAAGCCCTGCTCGATAATCGACGACACAAACGCGGCAAACTGCGGCTCCTGCCACCCCTTCTCCTCCGACAGCTCCACGTGCACAAAGTCGAGCCCCTTGAAGGGGTGCTCGGCCTCGATCCGCCCGTACATGTGCACCCCGCACTCCTCGCACGCGTGCCGCTGGATCGCCGCCTTGTCGTCGACGACGTACAGCTTGTCCCCGTTGGCCGTCACGCGCAGCTGGTCGCGCGGGATGACGGCCACGACGGAGAAGAGCGCGCCCTCGGGCTTCCAGCACTTGGAGCAGCCGCAGGCGTGGTTGTGGGCGACGTTGCCGTCGAGGGTCACCTCGACGGTGCGGGAGGCGCAGTGGCAGCGGAGCTTGCCGCCGGCGAACTTGGGGTCGCCCTTCTTGATGCCGGAGTCGAGGAGGGGGTGGAGGGGAGGGGAGGAGCGGGCGGCGCTGTTCTTGTAGTAGTGGGTGATTGCGGCGGCGGCCGAGACGATGGACCCGGCGAGGATGGCCGAGGAGGCGTACTTGTGCTTCTTGATGAGGGCGGTGGCCATGGCGGTCGATGTGTTGGTGATTTAGTGTGAATTGGGTCTGGATTCGAGGTCGAGGTGAGCGTGAGGATAGAGAGGAGGGAGAGATTGGAGCTGGATTTCAGTAGAGAGGACAGTTGACCACACCCTTTGCATAATGTTTTATTCAACGGTCTTCGACTTGGTCAAGCCGTAGTCGGAACGGCTTCCGGAATAGATACCGAGTTTGTCCCGTTGCATCTTACTGGTTGGGGAAAAGGTATCCGGAGAAGTGGGCTGGAGTGCGGCAACGCTAGCCCAGTCTGCTGTCGACCCTGCGTTTGATGAGAATCCCGGTGATGTGATTCGTTCGATCACTGTCTCGGTCTCTTGCACACCGTTGTGCACAAAGTTGGAGACATGAGCTTAAGACTCAACGACGGACGCGCTCCGGAGATCGGTTTGTAGCCCCTTTCCTTCCCCACAACGACCCCAAGGAACTTGATCTCTAGGGCCAGGCTAATATTGAGGTCAAGCCATGTTGATCTGGTTTCCAAGCAGTCCCAAATTGACTGGGAAGGCAATTCCAGCATGCTCAAGTGCTTGGGAAGGCCCCTTATATAGGTAAGGATGCGATATCACCTGGATCGGACTCAATATCGGGGTTGAACCCGACGATCTACTACCCCGCAGGATGAGGACGGAGTTTCCCCTCTCAATGACAGGTGATGGTGACGTTTGTGTACGCGTTCGGTCGTGAATCTGACTTCTTACCCCTCCCTGAAACATACAGCCTAATTGAAGTCTTCAATTGCTGTACCAATGGAATAGCTGTTCCCCGTATGTTATGTTGTATTCACAGTGTAGTCATTGCGCTGAAATGCCAGGTTTGGCCTCTTCCGTCTTTTTTTACTTGATACTCGTATTCTTACCAGAATGTTGTATTTACGGATGCCATCAACACTTAAAGAAAGCTACAGGATGATTGTATTTCTCAGAAAGTAATTGCTAAAATCAGCATCTTTGGTCTAGAAATATTCTTGAGTCTTTCTAATCATCGTGCGGAGCTACAGTGCCTTGAGTCATGCCTACCCCACCCCAACCAAGGAAGCAGACCATCTAGCTAAGGGTGGTTAATCTTGCCTATCCAGAGTCAAGTTCCATCGAAACTAGACATTGGTAAGTTGCTCCGCCCATGATAAGTAAGCTCAGACATCGTCCAATGCTCCGGTTCTCCACCCCGTAAAGGAAATCCCGCTCAGCTTCGTGTTCAAGAGATCAGTGTTGAGAATCTCATCCTTTCTCGCCTTCAACTCATTCACATCCCAATTCACCCACACAAACTTCCCCTTGAGAAAGCCGGCCTCCGGGCTAACCAGCCACAAGCAAAAGTGGCCAGGCAAGTCGACTGACACATTGTTAGTTTTATCATTCAACGCGAGCTGAAGTAAACATATGCTGCATGGACGAAATCCCAGGTGAACTCACTATGATCCATGCCGCCGTGGCCGCTTCTTTGACTCATCTTGCTTTCAATGAGCCCGGGATGCACGTTAACAACATGTAGTCCCGGATTCTCGATCGCAATGTAGTCAAACAACTTCGTGGCAGCTATTTTGCTTGCGGCATAGGCAGATACTCCAGGCTCGAGCGGCGGCATGTGAGCGATGGCTGTCGAGATATGGAGGACATGTGCCCCCTCGGCCGCGTATTTGGCGAATCCCTGGAACGTGTATAGTCCTCCGAGGATGTTGGTGTTGAAGGTGCTCCACCAGTCTGTCAAGTCAAAGTCCGCGCTGAGCACAGATTTGGAGACCGGCAGATACGCGGAGTTGCAGACAAGGACGTGGATCTTGCCAAAGTCATTGAAGATCTTGGCGAACGCGGCATCTACTTGCTCCTTATTGGTGATGTCGGCAGGGGCGGCCAGGACCTGGGAACCTGGAAATTCCACTTCGATGGACTTTTTAGTCGCTAGAAGATTCTTTTCTGTTCGGCTCACGATTGCTATCTTGGTACTTCCAGCGGCTGCAAAAGCCTTTGCGATGCTCTCGCCAATGCCGCTGCCGCCGCCAGTGATGACAACGGTCTTGTTTGCGGCTGAAAGCTCAGGACGTGATGGCGATATGTCAGGGTATGACTCGCCGTGCCATATTTTGGTAAGAGATGGGAAGAATGGAGATGCCATGTTTGTCTGAGGACTGTGCGTCCTTTGGGTGTGGTTGATGCAGATAGAGCGCTTGGAGAAAGACTCAGCGGCCCCCTTATATACTTTTCTCTGGCCCTGGTTTTCTTAGGCGAAGAAAGGTGAGAAGGCCTCTCCACATATTTCTGGTACATCTCCGAAGAAGCTTTGCTCAAGCTCGGGGGAAGCTGTTGACCCTCGGAGCTGTCCAAACCCCTTACCGAGATTACCAGCTGGATTTCAACCTTGATCCCAAGAATTTTTACCCGCCGCAAGTTTCGACTTGTACCGTCTATAGATACCTTTGGGAGAATTTGAGAATACTTCAATTTGCAAGATTACTTCTCTAGCAGATCAGATCCGCCGCTAATGTCACCAAGAGACCGAGGGAGTCGGCGTAAGCATACCATCCATCGTTTTGCTTGCCGGCTCTGCCCTTTAGCTGGACAAGATCGCCAATTTTAAGCATTCCGTGCACAGCATTCTGATATTGATATTCCGTATAGTCATTTGCCCAATCAGTCTCGTTCTCAGCTCGCCATAACTTCATAGGGGATGGCGCGGGGAAGTGGGAGTATTCCGTCATGTTCTCAGATGGCGGCGAAACCTGGGCGTGGAGGATACGGGTGATGACGACAACCGTGCTCGAGGTGCTTGAAGATTGAGGTCAGTCTTATTTGCAGATCAAATGATTCGGCATGGTACTTACCGACGACGGGATTCGTTGAACACCCAGTCCTTCCAAGGCATCTCCCGACCCGCCACTTCCTCTGGGCTGATGAGCTTGCCATATTTGATGGTGAGATGCCTACAGATTGCCTGCATTGATTTTATTGTCAGCACACCGATGGTTATACAGAGATTTTGCTACACTCAGCGTACATTCACCGAAATTAGAAGCTGGCTATCAAAGTTGGTATACTCGTGGCGTCCCTCAATAATCCTCAGGAGTAAATACACAACGAGAGATTGTAAAGCCTGTAAGAGCTCCCACCGATTAAAACTGAGGTGCTATTCGTAATGAATCCAGTCAGAAATCTAACACATTGCAATGTATATTACAATGAAGCTTGAGAATTGCGGTACTCACTTCGTTTAGCAGTCGCTCCTGTTCGATCCGGATCAACCCCCACATCAAACCCTTATTTGCTCGTCTATCGTGCAGAAGCATCTTGACGAGGTTCAGTGAAGCATAGAGAGGGCTTGGGCGCGCCGTGTTGCCTTCGTCTAGGGATTGATATTGTGGGTGAATGAACGGAGGAACGGCGCCCTGGCTTGCAATCATGTATGGGTAGGATCGCAGGATATGCAAGGCAACGTCGCTGGCAAGGCCAAGCTCTGTTTCGGGGAAATCACGCTTCTGAAATAACGAAGAAGAACTGTTACATTCCAGCGCCATGGGAATTGAAGAGCCTGAACGAATTGACTGCCCCTGGAGGCTCACAGTACTATTCGTAGGTTGTAACTCATTGCCTCTGGGGCTAGAAATAGCGCCTTGTTCGGCAACATATTCATCAACCAAGCTAGGCGATAGATTAGGTACATAGGACCAATCAGGCTCGAATAGTTCATCCTCGAAGTTGAAACTCGTGAGCAAAAGGTTGTTGTTGCTGGAAGTAGCTTCTGTGCCGATGGGAGGACTACCCTGGCTTGGCACCATCTCGCGAGCTGGCTGTATAGAGGTTTCAGGGAAGAACACGCCGTCGCCATGGCTCATGTAAGACGGCTGCAGAGTGCTGCTGCCGTTCGCTGTGGTCTCGGGGTTGGGTGCATTCCGGATATTTGGGGTACTCTGATAAATACAAGGAACGCCTCTGGAAGCGCACCGGGAACAGCCCCCAAGGCTTCGGCTACAGCGGACCTTGGACCGCACGCATTCTTCGCAAGCTTTTCTCCTAGGTATGGGGCCTTCTTTGTGTTTCTTTCGACAGTACGAAACGTGCTTGCTCTTGGATCGTGCTGCAGGGGTCAGAGGGAGTCATGTGGTTTCGCTAATGGGCGCTTACCGTTGGTGTCACTGGCATATGCCTTTTCACACACAGGACAGTGAAGCCTACTGCGCCAGGTCTCTGAATCCTCCATTTGGGTGGGATAATATTCGACGGTTTCTTCACGCACTCAAGTTGGTGGAGCAGTAATACCTCATGCTCTGTCCCTTGTGCCGGATTTCGTATCAGGCCTCGGAGAACTTTGGGATATGCCCCACATCTGACTACGGAACTCCGTCGTACATCGCATCCACATTGTTGTTGATTAATAATGTACGTTTTTCCCTACCTGGCTCCTAATTTGATACGCTTATTTTATGATTGAAGAAGCCCGAAGAGAGATGCACCTATTAGGCCGTTTCCTCGGTTGAATATGGCTTCAGAGTAGCGTCAAGGGCTAATGCTCACTGCTACTATGATTAGTAGGGGCGGTGCAGGGGAAGAATTCAACGGGTAGGTGGACGCGAACACGGCAAGACGTCCAAGCACGCTGCCCGCAATTTTTGACTCCTTGTAGCGACTGAACAATCATATCAGAATGGAATCCTCCGCAGCATAGTACAGAGATCTTATAAATTTCTTGCTAGGGTGGACTACTTCAGGCTATATAATCTATCCGCTTCTGGCGACCAGCCTTAATATAGAGGGCACATGTATGCGCTCAAGATCTAGGGATATTCAGATATAGATAGAACATTCTTCGACGAATGACCAACATTGACCCAAGACGCTAGTTCAAAGGCTCTCGGACGGCAGAGATATACTAGACAAGTACGTTATGAGTCAGGATAGTCAAGAAGCTTGACAGACTGCATGTCACTTACAGGGATGAAATTGGCAGTGTCAATATCCCATACTCCGTTCACCGTATATGGGTCATTCTTGACAAACTCCTTGGCTTCCTCGAGGTTTTCGACCGCATAAATGATCACACTGCCCTTGGCATCGGGGAACTGCCCCTCAGGTGGGTGAGTGCTCACTTGCGCCCCTTTAGAACGATGTCAGTTTCTGTCGAGTAAATGAATCTTGCTTGAGATGTCAATCATACCACCGGCCACAACTTTTCCTGCTGCAATGAGCGGCTTCATAGCTGCAAGATGCTGACTACAGGACCGTTAGCAAGATATACCTGTCATCTTCGGACGTGTGTATTACTCACGGCCGAATCTCCTTCCGTTTCTCAAGCACGCCGGGCTTGTCATTAATGATGAGGATAAATTCCTTTTTGGCTGCCATCCTGAAGTAGGTATTTTCTGATTTATGCTTGTCACGATGTTTGTAGGTTGTTGAGAAGAATCGGACGATTACATATACCCCGCAACCGCCCTTGTTTTATCCTCCGATTTCGGAATCGGAATCGGGTCATGGAGGCATATTCGCGCAGCTGCCAATTATATGATCACCAAACCTATGTCAATGTCAGGAACCGTCAAGCCGCACCATGTGCTAGTTACTTTATTATAGGGTGCACGGTGTTGAGCTTTTCATGTCAGATAAACTCAAATGTTAACCTGATCCTATTTCCTCCATAACCAGGTAAAGTTCGCCTTGTTTAATCCTAATTTAAACCTAAAAAAATAACAGAAATACTGAAAGTACAAATAGAATCTTTCTTCCTCCCCAAAATTCCGTTTTTGACACTAATTGCGGCTTCTCAGTCTCCAAACACGATATCCTAAACTTAGCATCTGATACCGCAAGTACCGCACAGAGAAGAACTTGCTCTTGGTTTAATTGATACCATTGCTATACATCTTATCATACTTATTGTTATAGTTTTGATATACACGTTATAAAGATGTAACCACACTTTAAAATCGAGAGATCGCCCCAACACTGCATTTTCCCTCGCATCCCGTTGAACTATCTCCAGATATGGGATTCACGTTGCTTTCCGGCTGCCTTATTCTCCCTGGCTCAAAGGGAAATAGTTTAGAGTTCACCGCGTAGACTACCTATGTTCTCTCTCGTCAACACTCTTCTCTGTTACCTGAACCGAATTCTTGCCGCCCTTGCCACTATCTTCAGGCGTATATGGCGGGGGAGGTTCTGCTTTGGAAGACTCTTGTCTACTAGCAGGGCTCCTTGATACCCAATCGCGGGTGATTAGTCTGTCCATTCTAGGCTTCCAAGAAGCCGGGTTCAGTCGCTCTGCCTGTAGAGGAGCTTCATTGCGGAGCAGATTCGCAATCTCCAGTGCATATTTCCTGAGGCGCGACGCCTGTGAGGATTGTTCCCCTCCAATAGCTTCTATCACTTCGATGTGAGGTTGGAACCATTCTTTTATCTCGCAGGAGCCCTCATGTATGCAATAATCAAGGATTTGAAGTGATTTAAAGGCGCTGGGGGGATTCTTGTCCCAGCTTTTGAGGTCATCTAGCAAACAGTCACACAAGTTGATGACATGTTGATCTCTTCATTAAGCATCAGTAAACATGGGATGCAAGCATTTGGAACAACTGAATACATACGATTGAACGCTGTGGTTGGCTATCTTCCGCAGTTCACTATCACGGGGTGCGGTCGATTCGTCCAACGTGGTGATTTCAGCTATCAGCCAGGTGGACTTCAATGCACTCCAGATGCCAGCCATTTGGTCTTCGATTTGCGCTATTCTTCTTGCTTCTCAAAGCAGGTGATATGATTTCAGAGAGACAATATGAGCTCAGTGCTGAGTTGGAGGACTAATGTCTTGTCGAAATACTGAGGATGGCCGTATCTCATCGGAGAAGCCTCTTAATTACTATTAACTGGGGATGTCAGGCCATCCGGTTTCGACTCGAGCGCACGGACTGCCAAGGGATCGCCTTACGTACCATGTTGCTTTTTATATCGAAGGGGGGCGTCATAGAGTGTCATCAGGAAGCGCATTATGTAAGATCACGTAGTTCTAGTCAGACAAAACCAATTAGTTGTCACTTCAACCTCATTTTTCTTATCCACGAGTGCTTGGCAAAGCAACTACGCACCAGCTACTCGAACGTCATATCAATGTGAAAATATACTAACTGTCTGGCTTTTTTGAGGCCGGAGGAAACCGCATTCCCTTCAACGCACTCTCCATCTTGAATTTGGAATGCCTTCTTCCTCACTACTAGATATTAAGTGCATCATTCCTTCCACTTGATCACCTATTCGTGTATCCATTCGAATTGCATATCGCAAATTTACCGCATAGCATCCAGCAACCTCTTGCGTCGCTCGCCATGTGGCAGTATATGCGGTCAGAATGAGTTTGAACCCCTCTGGGGCGCTCGCTTGTCGTTCTTTGCCTGGTTATTCCTGGCCCTGTACCATTGCTCAAGTGTCTATGGGTTGTTCTGGTAAAATAGCCCTATATATGTCTCATGTGATCGGACCGCGAGCAGCTTCGCATTATTTGACATCTGCCCCTCAGGCAATTAGAATCCAGATTGCTCACAGAGGATCGAGGCGGTCGCCAACGTCTTGGCTCCCAGCTTCAATTTGCTCATCTTCAGGGTGAGAAGGAAGAGTAATCAACCACGCAACCAACCCCCGTCTCACAACTTCAAGCTCGGGCAACTCATGTCCATGTGCTGGAAGAAAACACCAGATTCGATCTAGAAACCAAGCTCACAATCTCTTGGAACAAGATCAAGCTATACCCCCTCTCAGGTTGCCAAAGACTCGTCTCAGAGGACGATAAAAGATACCCAACTTTCCCAAAATGCCGCTAATAAAATGGGCCGGCGAAGCCTCCAAGGATATAATTATAATCAACCGTGATGAAATGATCTGGCTACCGGCGGCTGGCTCCTTGGTTGGTCGAACACTTACTCAGTCAAATTCAGACTCTGCATCAATTGGCTCGCCTTATCAAGGCCGAGACTTATGTGGCCAATCCTGGATAGTTTTGGTAAGAATAGCATACAGGAATTTCAGGCTATCTTGACCAGGCTCCTTGGTAGGGTCGAAACGGACACATTGAAGCGCAGGCGCCCATTGACGACAAGAGACACTGACGATATGAGATCTAACGAAGACACTTACCAATCCAATTTCTATTCTTCATCTGCTAGTCTCATCGTCTGTATGCCTCTTTTTTTTTCTAAGAATTATTATTATATAGCTCGAAATCTACCACCCTTCTATATCTTCTCTCGTCATCTCTTGCCTTGAATATTCAATTTCAAATCCCGTTTGCTTCCGTGCTTTTGTTTCACCCTCTACAATGGAAGTTTTCAAGCAAGAAGATACCATACACAAACGAATTATATCATAACGCTGACTTTAGACGTGCCATCATCTCCCAAAATAAGAGCAGGATCTATCTATCTACTCGTAGACAGATTTAGTGACAGCTAACGAAAATGTTAGCAGCATACTTGAACTAGGACTAGCAAGAAAACTAGATAGAAACTTTCCACCGCAAGATTATGATCGTTCAAACTCAGATGATGAAGCAGCCATGAAGATTCTGAGGCGCATGGCATATACCATGACGACTTGGAGGTAAGGTATTGGAACATGAGTAGGATTTTCTACGCTAGGTCTCTATTATGCATTCAATGCTTAAATCGGGTTTCATAAGTTATACCGGGGAGACCTCTGGGTTTTGTAATATCTCTTCTCATTTACTGGGATCCCGAGCTCGCCTTTTGCAATTGTTTTAGTCAATAATGGCAAGCCCCGAATGAACTCATCAACTATAAATCACTTACAAATGTTGATAGACTTTTTGGTAATATCATAATCTCATAAATGAGGGTTAAACAATCCGCTTATCGTAGCTTTGTCTGTACAACATTAGATCCTCAGAATTAACATCATTACTATCATAAAGTGCACTACCAATCATCTAAACTTTGAGTCTAAATTCATTTATCATCAAACGAAGCTTCCAAGAAACTCTTTCGCCTTTTGAATAGTGAACTGGGATGTATTATCCATCCCCTTTTAGCTCTGGTTCTTAAAGAAGTGCCATCAATCGCTGTAGGGTAGCGTAAGACCATACAGGGCGACAAACATCAGGCTCTGAATCGTCGCCCAGCCTCTGGGATATGATTTATGGAATTGCTATTCTGTACTTAACAAGAACCAATTGAAACATTGTGAAGAATGAAAGTTATTTGTGCACTTTGTTCCTGCAGGAGTCAGCCACTCGGACTTCGTATTGGAATACGACTGCAGGGTGTGATGTTTCAGGCTTTCAGCTCGCCTGTTGCCAGGGAAATTAGTAATGAGGTTTATGCTGGCTTATTGGGTACGTTACCGCCCAAACGCAAATTAGAACTCAAATAACATTAGGGGAAATGGAGGAGACAACGGGCTACGTGAAGCCATGAGTGTAGCTTCGTCAGTACAGACCAGCGTCAACGATCAAACGACGCTATCGTCCGTCTCACGGCGAATGGAAGCGAGAGGAAGCGCCAAGAGGATTCACCTGGCTTGAAAAGTCTTGTCACTAAACATGGAACGGGCTAGTGGCGTGACTGCTTAGCATCAGATTCTTTTTTGGCATGTTACTGCTATTGTTTCATATCTCATAATATATACAGGGGTCATCGAGACCAGTCAAATATTGGCAATTGAAAAACAAACACAAGAATCGAGATTCTTGTAGGTAGAAAAGTTTTGCTTGGTAGCATTCAAGATCAACGGCTAAATTTTCTTTCTGGAGAGAGGGCCAAAAAACGATATACAGGTGCGATCAGCGCCGAAGCTGGTTCTCTGGGCGTTGCCAAGAGTCTAGGCTCTGGACAGGGGTCGCTCGGGATTGACGTGCCGATTGACACGAGGGTCCCCCTGGCTGGCGTCTAGGAGTGGTGGACTCCATGGTTGTGGTTAAGGAGATGGCGGGCATGGGCACGCTGGTGGTTCTCGGGGACCGCCTCCTCAGCTCGCTCAGCGGGAGAGGGAGCAGCTGCCTCCTCATCGCGGGTGGTGAAGATGTGGACAGGCTGGCAGAGGTCGAGCCACATGTCGCCAGTGTCGACAGGGCAATTCTTGGTGTTGGGATCATCTGGGTGCTGGTAGCTGTCGAGACAGGTCTGCCCAGCAGTGCAGCGGAGCTGAACACAGGTGCCGGTGCCCACGCCCTTGCCGGTCGGGCTGACCTTGACGTTGTCGTTGAAGAAGGGTGTTCCGACGAGACCATTGCCCTTGCCATCGAGGTCACTCAGGTCCCAGTAGAGTCCGCCGTATTGTCCGGTGACCACGGCATACTCGAACTGGAGGACGCCCTCGACGCCCTTCTTGGAGATCTTGAGCGAGGTTCCAGCACCGTTGGCGATCCAGTCGAAGGTGCTGATTCCGCCCTTCTTGATGGTCCATGGAGTGCTGCCGGCAGTGACACAGGCACCGTCTGGACCAGAATCGCAACCGCCGTTGTGGGAGGAGACAACGGAAACCTCGACATCGCAGTAGTTGTGGATCTTAAGAGAGGCAGAGGCACCGGAGGCCATGGCAGCAACGGCTGCAGTGTACTTCAAGTTGACCATTGTTTCGGTGGACGAGATATCAAATCTGTTCGAGTGGGTAGTTTGTTGAGGAGAAAGGAAGGCTGCAGCTAGTGCGGCTCTGGGTTCCAACGACGGTGAATCAAGAATGAATGACTGTGGTAAGGATCGCTGGGGACCAAAATGAACGTGAATGCGTAAATGCGTTTGCAAAGGAAAGCAATATCGGATGATATGGTGGGAGGGCCCCTTTTGTATCCGCATAAACGTGATTCTACTCCCGCAGAGAGAGCTGACCCGTGTAAGCGCCCGCAGCTCGACCATTGGCCAACACTCAGCTCTTCCCCCATCAGCTGACAGGGACGCTGACAGGAACGAAGCTACGAATCCTGACCAGGCCTCCGTGCAGCCCCCCCGTGATGGGACCAATGAAGTCCAAGCTTTAATTAGATCAAGTTGCGTGATTAACGCACCCTATTCCAGAAGGTCCCAAAAGGCCTCTGTTGGCTCTGTTTGAGGCTGTTGTCCCCAACAAGGGTGCTTCCCGGATCTGTGAATAGAAACAGGGGCAGCCGACCAGTCACATCCTGCCAGCCATCACCATGCGTCGCACGTAAGCAAGGATCCTCCCGGTGCCTGACTAAATGTCTCAGAACCTGCACCCGTTCGGACGGCGAGGGCTGATCATCTTCATTTGCCCGGTATTACTATCCCTCCTTGCTGGTCGATTGCTCAGAGATTAGCTAGTGAATGAAGAAGCTGCTTGATCTGGTGGAGTCAGAGAGACACAGGGGCATCTGAACTCCCGCCGGTTAGTTCCTTGGCTGTCTTGGACATCGACCGCGGAGTCGGGACCGCCCTAGACCGCCAGGCTTGTCACTCGACTGGCATCCCTCCAAAAAGCCCGAGTGCGGCTGGTAGCACAGGCGATTGGTTGGTCGGGAATTCCGCGAAGTTGAAAGGGGCACACCGTCTCATTCATCCCAGGCGTAGGACTTTTGGGTGGCAACGGAACATTGGGCTTACTCCCCGAGAGTCATTTTGTGGTCTTGTTTAATCGTGCAATTGATGTTCTTCAAATCTGGGATTTAGCCTTAAACAGATCGACACGTTGCCAGGCACATGTGGATACATGTCGCTATCCAAAACACCATCAGATGCAGGAACTGAACGGTTGGCACGTGGTCTGCGTCTTCTCCACTGGCTTTAAGTGAAACATGTTCAAGATCTTGGGAAATTCGTGCATTTCTCATATTTCTCAGCTAGACTTTGCGGCCTTGACGATAAAGGCCCTGTGGGTTGTCATCATGCAACCACTTCAACACGTGTGACAACGCAGTTGGTCTGGCTCAATCAGCCGAGATCTAAAGCTCACTCCAACGTTAAAATGAGGCGGTCACGGACCATGAGCCACGTTGGGGCAGACAGTTCATCTGTCACACTCTGAAGTGGCATATGGCTATTGGCCTCCCAAAGCTTTGGGCCTGGTAGTAGCGGCCAGGTCTGTTAGGTCGGATTGGGTCGTCACGCTGATTTTTCCTCGAAGCTACAGGGACTACGTGGCCGGTCCACATCGTTGTGACTTCTCAAGATCATAATGCTGATTGGAGAGCTGGTTAGTAGTAAATTAGTTTAGTAGGAAATTGGCCATTAAAACAGCTCAAGAACACACCCTTGAAGGTCCATTTTCAAAGGTGCTTGTTTAGGTAGGAGTAAAAAGCAGACTGCATAGATTAATTACATGGCAATTTGTTCTCAAGGCTCAGCTTGGTCCTTGCGTTTCGCGTTCAGAGCATCCTCCACTCCACTATAGCTGCTGTTGAATTCCCAGTTCCTGGCCATTCTTTCCACAACCCCAAGCCGGGAATGAGCCTTACGTGTCTCCAATAAAATCCACCCTCGGCTTGCGTACGCTCTCTGCTAGCTTGAGGATGCCTGGCACATCCTGTCGGAGTGTGCCTGGGGCCAGCAGTCGAAGACTCTCAGCGCCTTCGATACCCATGTTGGCTCCTTGGCCTTGCATGGGCGTCATCGCGTGAGCAGCATCTCCAATGATTATTGTGCGACCGCGGGTCCATGTTGGAAGGGAATCAAGATCTTGAAGCTCCCACACTTTCACTTCCGTGCTTGCGCTGCAAAAGCTGTCAGTTGTGATCAAGCTACTTTTTGACCGCTGAGGCAGTTTGTCGTCGAACCTACCTCATAATTCTTCGCAGGGGCTCGTGGAAGTCTGAAAATAAGTCCACCAGTTGGTCAAGGTCTGCATCCGCATGCCATGATTCGACCCCAGTCTTACTCGATGGATTGACCTTAGCAATGCAGGAGAGGTTAAAGAAAGATTGACGGCTGAGCGGGTATACTGTGACAAATCGAGCACTCTCATCGCCAGAATGGATCAGAGACAATCAGTTCTTGCAGGTTTCGGGCTCCCACCAGTGCGGGAGCGGTAGTCCATCAAGAGCCTTCCTGGCATCTTCAACTGAGACAGCAATGCGATAGCATGTGAGTCCCGTCTTTCTCGTCTCATAGCCGTCTTCACAAAGAACAACTTTGCGTAGTCAAGAGTGTACTCCGTCGGCAACTATCAGGGTGTCAGTTCCTTTTTTTCTCTTGGTAATAGGTTGTGTATATTTCTTACCGATCACCACATCTGCAGAATCGATTGACCCATCCTCAAGAGTAACAATACCTTCTTCGGGATCCAAAGCCACAACTGGTGGATTGAACACCATCTGGGCTAGACTTCCCTGAATTCCAAGTTCAGCAGAAGAGGCTGTTGCAAGTCGAAGTAGCTCATTCCGGAAATCGGCTCGCTTCTGCGAGCGTCGGCCCCAAACTTATGCTTTAGATTCACATCGATGTCTTCTTTGACGGCACCATCCTTCCCGTAGGTTCGAAAACCTAGGATAGGGACTGCGCCAGCAAAATTCTGATTGTATCCAATTGACTCTAGAATCCTTACTCCGTTGGGAGCAATCATAATGCCCTGGCCACCAGTTGCCGTGCTGGCGTCGCCTCGCTCGTAAACTTTCACATTATGGTGCTCTCGGAGAATACGTGCTGCGGTCAACCCAGCCAAACCTGAGCCGACAATGATGATATTGAGCTTGTTCATCTTGGAAATACTGAGGATGACGAGGAAGGTAGATTTGTGTATTTTGTGAGAATATCGATTTATAGGAGAACGGCGTTGAGTAAACTAGGTTTGGGTGTACATAGATGTCTCGAGCCGGTGCATGATATATATACACGTAATTTGGCAGCGCAAATCGATTGGGAAAACACAAGGCACCTGTTAGAGATGGCATCTTTTCCAGGTGGTCTCCAAAGGTAGGGTAATGACGGCTGTTGAATCTCACTGGTAGAAAAATTGCCGGCTGCAACAAAATCTCGGTATCGTTGGCTCATGTCATCGACCCTGTTGCAGATCACTCGTATAACCGAGACCGAAACAAATGCCGAGCGACGATCATTACGACTAGAAGATCAAAACATTACCCACCACCCAGTTTTTATCCTCAATTCCTTATCCGCTTCTTGCACTATGCAATTTGTTCCAGTACATGCAACTATAACGAAGTAACTAAATCTCATCTGAATGATAAAGTTACCCAACCGGCGGAACCTCGTGTGGAATTATAACAGGTTAAACACCTACTCTAATAGGCCCAAGGTATCAAATTAGTTTTCCTATTAATATCAATGTTCGCAATTCTCCTTTCTGCACTCTAAGCTAAACTGACAACCGCGCGGCGCGGACATCCGGGGGTTGAGGATCTTAAACGAAGAGCTCCACCCAAGGAATTTACTGTCGACCTCTGTTTGCTCTTCTAATCCTACATTTAAAACCTCTCATGAAGTTTAGGTCTAAGGTGCACAGTGTTCAGCTTCGATCCACGCCGAAGTCGTGGCAATGCGTCTCAATATCTGTGACCTACGTGATGTTAGTTCCGTGTAATAATAATAGTCAGAAATAGACATGAGGCCGTAATTTCAGTCAGCAACGTGCCGTAGTCCCGGAACATGGAAGCGTAGCTACTTGTTTACATGGCTGACGGTGGATGCGAATTCTTCGGTCAGGCACATGCCAGCTTTCAGATGGATTGTTATAAAACACGTGCGCTGGACCCAAGGGCCTGAGGTGTTTCATTTTGTTGGCACAGCTTTTAGGGATCCTTGCAAGGTCACTCTGAGTAATCATGTCTTCCATTAAGACAACACTCCCTTTGGTAGCTATGGCAGCTGCCTGGTTGGCCATGGCAGCTTCTTGTGACTGCTACCTCATTGATGGTGCATACCCGACATACTACAAATCTCACGGCTTCTGGGATTTCCGCTCCTTGACCCAGTATGTCGGTGTGCCTCCTGTCCTGGACTCCATTGACGCCAACAAGAACGCAGACTTCAGCAGCTCTTACTTCAGCTGGGAGTCGGAGTTTGCTCAGTTCTAGGGACCACAGAATTGGGATAACGGCGCTGAAGACTTTGCCAATGTCAATTCATAACAGCCTCTACATTGATAGAGCGGCGACAGCACATTCATGACTATGAGAACCGCTCGCCTCCCCAAATTTCAGACATCTGCTGAGTTTGAGAGCATGGATCTCTTTGATCATGCCTCCATAAGAATGCATTCGCGCGCAATCGGTTCCCCTGGCGCATGTACAGCCGTGTTCACCTACCGCGAGGCAAACTCTCTCAAAGATGTGCAAGAGTCGGATATCGAGATCCTGACCAGCGACCCCAAAACATCAATCCAATACACCAACCAGCCGTCCTATCTCGAAGATGGTACCATCATCGATGGTGCATCCAACAACATCTCTGTCTCCGCCCCCTGGAACGAGTGGTCCACGCAGAGGCTAGACTGGACTCCTGGTCGTACTACCTAATATGTTAATGGGGATCAAACGTACACACAGACCTTTCAGGCACCAAAGGATACAAGCAAGGAGAACTTCAACGCATGGAGTGATGGTGGTGATTGGACGGGCAAGATGCCCGAGGGTGGGGTTGCGTATCAACAGATCCAGTGGATTGAGATGCTCTACAACGTTGTGGACAAGGCCTCGTGCTCAAGCGTGTGTAGCATAGACGCCGACGGGGCCAAGCCTGGATTACCAGTGAAGGTTTAAGGTTTCTGCACTGAATACCGTCTAAGTATCAAAGTAGGCATCGATAGAGTGTTAGAAGGCTATGAATCAAGCATAAGATAACTTCAGTTCTAAATGAAAATAGAATACTCAATATCGGTACGCTATCCTGCGTTTGCATGTCTATGTGAGAAGATGAATCGAATGTGTGCAAGGGCAGTTCATGTCTCGGAGCACCACTGAGACACTGTGCTTGAATAATTGCCGAGATTGTCGTTTAAGCAGCTAATAGGGCATCACAACGTTACCCATTTCGTTCCCACCGTGAAACAGGATCTTGACGCATCTATAATTGTAGCACATAGGTAAAACATCTCCTCATTTGAGTATTTTAGCTTCATGTATTTGGCTAACCAGGACGTCCGATCTTGATTGAGGCTACCTAAAGATAAATACGAGCTTCGAAAGATGAAAGCTAGACTTGGGCGAGTTTGACCATGAAAAGATGTTCCGCCAAAGCCCTCTTTAGCATAGAAGGCATTCTTCCAGTCGCTTATCCTTCGATTTTCCTTCCGTCCCTTATCCTCCGAGTCGTCTTATTTAGCATGACTACGTTAGAACTCATTATTCTTTGGCAATTATCAGTGCTGCTCAATGCAATGTTAAAAAATAAAGAAGTGTAAGAAGAACATACTAAAGACTCCGTGTCACAGATGCTGGGAGTGTCCAGAAACACTTCAACATTACAGGTAACACTACCAAGGACAGAATTTGTGTTTACGTGTTCATTATGCTGTCCACGAATGTATCTACAAAGCGATTTTGCTCTCTGCATTTGAACCAATTCAAATTTTGTTTACTTTCCAATAGAGATGGACTTAGACGTGCGAAAATCGAATTTGAATATAGCTTCAGCTTTACAGCCAACCAATCCATTGTACATGGGCGCGAATGCGCAGGTGTATTCTTTGCCCAAAATGATCAAAGTAGCATCGCAAAACAAGCACCTAGAATGACGATGTCCGGAATGGCGTACATAAATTAGTCTGAAACGAACGAATCGAGCGTCCAGTCGGGTATCCTACTCCCTTCATTTAGTGTTTCTGGGATAGTCAACAGCCGCTTCCGTGATGCTTAGAGAATGATTGAAAGAGGGTGTGATTCGAATACTACTCCAGCCCTGCATCATATAGGCGTGATAGAAGAAAATCAACCAAGGGTGGCATTTTGGTATCATTCTCTAGCCCCCACAACCACAATAGATGTAGCCCCTGACAATCACACTTTTTATCACATTGCCACACTGTGCCCGGTTTCAGCTGTGGTCTTCCGTACGGATATGCCACACGATCCCTGGTTAGCTGCAGGTATGGCCCGTTCTCTCCTGCAGGCAGACCAACAACGTGGGGGAGCCTTCTGTGCAACGTGTAGACGGGAAATGAGTGGATGTTTCGTTTTGCTGCCTAGTCACCTCGGGAAGCGGCAATCCGTTTAATTTGAATCCCCTCTTTCTCAGATTTAATCAGATCCCAGATTTGCGCTTCTTTCTACCTCCGATCGATATTCGCACTTGCAGAGAACAGCTTTGTCGTGATGCAGCTCTCTCTCGCCCTCCTTTGGGCAACGTCCATGATCGGCCGGATCAGGGCCCTCGAATGTCGATGCTTTCCCGGAGACTCGTGTTGGCCGTCATCTGATGACTGGGTTAGCCTCAATCAAACAATTCAGGGGCGTCTCATCGCAACTATCCCTCTGGCCTCAGTATGCCACGACCCAACCTATGACGCTGAAGCTTGCACCGCCTTGAAGCAGCGCTGGCCGTATGCTTCCGTGCAGTTCGTACTATCCAATCCTTAGCACCACGAGTCTTCCTTTCTAATACCATCCAGTATCCCCTCTTCATCTTCGTTCAGCTCTCCGTGGGCTCAGAACCAAACTTGTGACCCGTACACACCACAAGACAAAGCATGCGAAATAGGCAACTATCCTGTCTATGCCGTGAATGCCTCGACCACAGATCACGTGGCTGCGACGTTGAAATTCGCCCGTGAGCACAACATTCGGCTCATCATCAAGAGTACTGGACACGACCTGCTAGGGAAGAGCAGCGGTGCAGGGTCGCTCTCTCTGTGGATGCACTCGTTCCAGGGCTTGAACTTTACGCAGAGCTATTCAGGATCCAACACGTACAACAACTATCAGGGTCCGGCCGTGCGCATTGAACCAGGTGTCATCGGCGGTGATATTCAGATGGCCGCCCAGAAGGAGGGACTCCGTGTTGTTGGAGGCACATGCGGCTCCGTCGCCATCGGGGGAGGCTACACCACAGGAGGCGGCCATTCCCTCCTCAGCGGCAAGTATGGTCTCAGTGCTGACAACGTGCTGGAATGGGAGGTGGTGACCGCATCTGGAGAGCTCGTAACAGCAACACCATCTCAGAACGACGATCTCTATTGGGCTTTGAGTGGCGGTGGCGCCGGCGTCTTTGGTGTAATCGTGGGTGTCACTCTCAAAGCCTTTCCGGATGGCGTCGTCTCAGGAGCAGGAATCTCATTCAACATCTCAGCCTCACCCAGCGAAGATGCGTTTTGGCTCGCGGTCGAGTCGTTTCATAATCATTTGCCAGAATGGCAGGAACAGTCCGCCACAGCCACTTACTCCTTTCGCGTTGGTACCTTTTCGATACAGCCTATTGTGTTGCCTGACCAGGATGAGGATGCTCTGCGTACGCTCATTGGACCATTTCTCTCTGATCTTGATGAGCTTGGGATTCTGTACACCTCTCGCGTTGTGGCTTATCCATCATATCTCGACCTGCACGCTACCTACTACGGTCCTCTGCCAGAGGGTCAAGTCCTCGCAGCCGTGGTACAGGTCTCGCGGCTACTCCCTCGATCACTTGTTAACTCTACAGACGGGAAGAAATCATTGATCAGTACTCTTCAAAAGATCTATTCCCTGGTAGGTGGCTCGCTAGCCATTGTTGGAAATGGAATAGCGGTCCCCAAGACATCATCGGCAGCTTCATCCAACTCTGTCAACCCCGCATGGCGCGATTCTGCCATCCATCAACTCATCGTCTGGCCCTGGAACTGGCAGACCAGCCTGACCTCAAACCTTGAGGCGCAGGACACACTGCTTAATGTTGTGCTGCAGCTTCTGAAGGATTTGAGCCCGGGCTCCGGAACGTACTTGAATGAGGGCAACCCAGAGCAGGCAGATTGGAAAGAGGCCTTTTACGGAGAGAACTACGACAGGCTTCGGAGCATCAAGTCAAGATGGGATCCCGATGATCTTTTCTATGCCGTCACGGGTGTTGGGAGCGATGACTGGGGTCTCGACAGTGTTGGAAGATTGTGTAAGGTGTGAAGCCGCCTGGTCATTTTTTGCATCGACAACGTGGAGGCCCGGACTAGTTTCGGGTCCAAGGTGTTTCAAATAGCAGAAGAAGCTTCATTGCATTCTTGAGCTTCTGACCAGAGGATGTCACTGAATGAAATGTGTCTTGTTGTTAGCTATTCACCCTCAAATAGACCGAAAAACATACGTCGGATTGACCGTAAATAATTAGCTCTCTATGCATCCGCTGCACCAAAATAGCTATTTATCGACTGCTTCGGACTAATCCAACCAATAATTTGGTGCAGCCTCCTGCATAAGCGTTCAACACGCAGCCCTCACATCAAATGTGTCTCAGAAAAGAAATTTGGCTGACGAGCGCAATGTAATTACCCCTCTCTTCAGCCCCCTTGATGTGCACACCCTCAACTATCCCACCAATAAGTACATGATGTTAAAGCCGAGAATTTGTGAGATGGGGGAAGCCAACAGTTGGGGGTGGCGCGCTTATGTTGCCTCCAATAGGTCGCCTCAGTCGGCAAATTCCATGGTAACAGCTTCCGGTGGTGGTCAGAAGGCGATTTTAGGCTCTCGGTTCGAAATTTACCTATATCACAGGGTATGGGACGTCCAAGGGTCGCGTTGGATCTATTTAATAAATCTCTGGGCCCCAAGGTTACCCAACAACCAGGCCCAGTTTGTGAGTGCCGATTCCGCCTGGATCCCCCCGTCTGTTATACGCCCTGTTCAAGCTTTCCAGGGCCCAAAACACGTGCGGGAACGGGTAATCAATCAGTCCTTGCACGGTTGGGTGCCGGTGCCCCATGGCCACGGTGCCCCCCATAACCCAAAGGTGAGCTCCTTTGCTTGCCATGGGAGGATTTGGCTACTGAAACAAGGCGTTGGTTTAGGGACAAAGACGCTAAAAATACCCAGCTGAGTTAGACCATTGAGGGGGTCGGCCAACTTTGAGTCAGGGGTACCGCCCTGTTATCTCAAACACACTTGAAGCCGGCTTAGCCGCAGAATTCTTTCCCCATGCGACGAAAACAAACGATCCCCAAGCTTCCCATCCTTACCCAACGACCAGAGAAGAGCCAGAACATCAAGCCATGAGTCCGCGAAACCGCCCTCCCGCGCCCAAGCCCAAGCCAGGCGCGCGGCAGGCGCCCGTGATTGACTCGACCGAGACGACGCATGACTTTACATTTGTCAACACGACGGGGGCGCCCAACCTATCACAGCCGGCGGCTAAGCTCATGAGGGGCCATGTCACCAAGACAAATTTCGCAAAGAGGCGGCAGCGCCTGGCCAGCAGCGGCGGCGGTGATGTCGCGAGCGAGTCCGCCGCAGGATCGGGATCGGATAGGGGCAGCAGCAGCAAGCAGAGCACCGCGAGCCCCGAGGGGAATCAGACGGAGACGGATGACGACCTCGCGCAGATGAACCCCACTGGCTCGGATACGAGCTCACCTCCGTCTGCAGGCCTGCCCGGCTATGAACAGATCCGTAAGTGGCATCTCGGGCCCTCGCCAGCCCTCACCCAGTGCTTACCGTGTCTGTAGTTTCAAATTATCTCGCAATGGCGTATTTGGAGAAGAAGGAAGCGGCACAGAGCCCGGTCCAGACCGCGTGGCTCCATTATCTTGATGCCGAGCCAGCGCTCCTGGCCATCATCGATGCCGCAATGGCGATCGCGTACGGCGAGTCTTTGTCGGAACCTAGAACAGATCACACAGCTGAGGCATACTCGCAATATGCCACGAACCTGCTCATCCAGCGGATCCAAGCAGGGGTGGCAAAAGCTGACAACATCTCGCCTATCGTCTTAACCATGACAGTTTCGGCTCGTCTCATGGGCAACGACTCGCTCTGGAACATGCATATCAACGGCTTGGTAGCCATAATCAAAGAGAGGCGTCAGCAAAACAAACTAGAGCTCCTTCCATGGCTATGCGATGTATTAATCTTGTGAGTGCGGCCTCAACAGGCAGAACACGCGGACCCACGGCTAACATTATCCTCTAGAGACGCAGTCAACTATATTTTAGGCTACCCAAGAGTGTATCACCTTAAGTTGATTGATGCGCTCGAAAACACCAGCCAGAGCTTATCGGAAGTTGCCCGAATATCCGATGACTTGATCAAGATGCGAGAATTAATCGACTTGCATCTATTGAACCACAGACATACGGATCAGAACCGGATTGTCAGCCAGATCGATGTCTTGTCGATCAAACTATTTAATGAAGCAGAGATCCTCCTAACCGACGGGAAACCGAACGTCCGGGTATTTGCAATATGTGTCGAGCTTTTGCTCAAGCTCCTGTGGCCACCATTGGAGCTTCAGTCTCAAGAGAAGATTACAAAGCTTGTCAGCGATTTAAAAACGAATATGAACCAGATCCCATTCAAGCCGTGCGGGATCTATAATGACTTCACGTCAGGCCCCATTATGCTCGGCGCTGTTTCGGGGACGAAGGACACGCCCGCGAGGCAATGGTGTGTGAACACGCTGAAGACCGCACTAGCCGGGATACGATTACGAGGATGGGGGGAACCGCTCACAATTTTGGAGAAGTGGCTTAAGAAAGAATCAATGCCCATGGAGGATATAAGAGGTTTGTGGAAGGAAGTAGCTGAAGGCGAGGTGCCGATAGAGGATGAACTTGCCGGCATGTGTGTGTCGCCATTTAGCAGGTTGTCGCCGCCAACCTAAACATGTCACGAAATGATTATGAACAAGTAAAATCAACTCACTGATGAATGTCTCTTTTTGCGTGATTGCGAATGATGTGTTATTAGGCTATAACTAATTCTCGGCAAGAGGCTCGACTCACAGTGAAGACGGATCCGGATCTATCATCCAGTCTCTTGTCTCAATGTAGACTCCCTGTCATTGCACCATGCTCATAATTTCAAATGCCGGCCTGCACCGGCGCTAGCGCATGCTTGTTTGCGAGCCAAACCTCATACTTACAAGTGCGCGCGCATCGTGAAACATCCAGACTCCTTGGACGTCTTCTTGGCTCCATTGCCGCAATCACCACTCCTTAGTCCGCTCTCATATCGTCTCGTCGCCACCGGACCGGTATTGCCAGGATGATCCTGTAATTAATATTCAGTTTAATCTATGTCTGCTGGGACTAAGACATTCCGAGACTCCCGTACATTCAGTCGATGCTCGAATTGGAAGCCATGAGCGTAAACAGTCTGCAGGGGTACAGAAATGGGCGGGAAGTTCCAGGGATGCCCGGTGAAGGCAGGGCCTAATCGGCCCCTGGGGCTGAGCTGAGCTGAATTGTTTCACGTTTATTTGGTGAACCAAAGAACGAGCGATCATGCCATCGACCACCAAAGACTCAAGACGCGTTGAGAACCTCTCCGTACACTGCGGCCTCACCATACACATAGTGCGAAATACTCGTCGTATGAAACTGTGCATGATACACAGTACGAGCCTCGTGGGAGAGTAATTATCCGCCGTCATGCCGTTCAAGAGCCTGTTCAGCTCTCGGAAGAGCAAGGAAGAAAAGGCTCACCAACCAGCCGATTCCGATAAGAAGAGAAAAGCGAAGCCAATATCGAGATCATTGCTCGCAAAATGGTCCAAGCCTCAGCTAACGCCAGGGGTCTACGGCGCATTTCCAATCTCATTCGTCGTGCGGTTCACGACTCCGCGCGACAGTCGCAGCGGCCAGAACCTCTGTCTCGGTGTCGATTACCACGGCACCTTCATCCCGCTGAACGCCGTCATCTTTGACGTCACAAACTGGAGAAACGTCACTCTGCTATCCACGCCAGAACTGGACTCTGTCCCACTGAGCTATATCGGCGATGAGAAACTCATGAGGCTTGCCATCGTGGTGGCCCTTCCCTCACCAGCCGCACCAGAGGTGGAAACCAACCACGTCCAGAGAATAAGCGTGATTCCCGGGAAAAGTGGCAAGTTCCGATTTACTGCAATGGTGGGCCCAAAGGGGGCGCAAGAGGAAGAGGAATTCGAGTGGCGAAGTAGCTATGAGGAGGAAGGGGGAAAGGATGAGGCTTTGCCCCTCTTCCGTCGGCTGGTACGGCTGAAGACCAGTTCTGAGGGCCGCGATGATGTTGTTTTTGAGTATGCTTCCGAGCTTTGGTGGCGGGACATGTACGAAGGGAGAACAGCTGGGGCGTGCACCTTCAAGGGTGCAGGTTTGACCGGGGAGCTGGGGCCCATGTTTACTCTTCTGGCCGTCACGAGTATCCTCAAGATCATATGTATCGAATGGTGGCAGAAGGTGGTCGGGAGACTCATCGTTCAAGGAACTAAGAAGGTGGCTTTGGGTGTTGCTACAACGGCCGCCGTCGGTGCGAAAATTACGATGGTTGGCGTCAATATTGCGCTGACAACGGGGGCATTATAATCTACGATATAGTCATGTTACTGATATGTGATGAATGAGATGAAAATTGATAATATCGACTCCTTCGTATTTCAATACAACAAGCTATGGTAAATGAGCAGAGTTGATGGCCAATGCCCCGGTGAGAAAGTTAAGCTTACTCGTTCTCCTCCTCTTCCTCTTCCTCTTCTTCCTCCTCAGACTCTTCCTCGTCATCCTCGCGCAAAACTTTGACGGTAACCCCCTTGTCTTGTGCATACACGCTAAGACACATAACGCACACAGGGTTCCATGGCAGCTTCTCCTCATCACTGTCGTCATCGTCATCCTCTTCGTCAGAGTCAGAGTCAGAGTCATCATCGTCATCTTCATCAGAATCCTCCTCTTCGGAATCCTCATAGTCAGAGTCATCCTCATCATCTTCCTCCTCCTCTTCATTCTCTTCCTCTTTCTCCTCTTCTTCTTTCTTCTCCTCGTCCTCCTTAGCTTTGCGGTTTCTTCTCCTTCTGTTTCGTCTGTTGTTCTTTGCGGCACCAGGTGCTGCAGATGCTCCTTTATTGGATGGAGTGGCCTTTGTTTCCTCCTGCTCTTCCTCGTCATCCTTGGAGTTCTTGCCTTCCTTCTTGATGCGCTTGTCCAGCTTCTCCTTGATCTCTGCCATGTCTTGGATCATCTTGTTCCTCTCATGCTTGTTCAGCTCTAGCTGCATCTCCGCCATAGCCAGCTGCATCTTCTCCATGGCCTGAGCCATGTCGTTTTCAGCCTCTTCCTTTCGCTTCTGCTCCCTCTTCTCCCTCCTCTTCTCAAGCTTCTTCCTGATGTGAACCTCATCTTCGTCCAACACGCCAACCTTGGCGTGGGCGATGTCATGCTGCATGCCCAGCTGCTGCAGCTTGCGGGGGTTCTCGGTGGCATATTTCTTGATCACATCCTCAACGGGTGGCCGCCCGGGGTAGCGCTCAGCGTGGACCTTGGGGAGCACCTCGTACTTTCCAGGCTTGAGGTAGACCTCGCAGTTGATGGCGCGGTTGGCGGGATCGTGGTTGCTGCATCTCGCCTGGCCAAGGATGGCGGGCGAGTCCACGCTGCGGATGAGGAACTCCATGCTGAAGGCATAAGGGCCCTCGAGCGCTTGGTAGTAGCGTTCGTCAAGCTGGACGCAAAGCAATTAGTCTTTCCGGATCTACCATGGGTAACTTCAGGGCATTCTTACCTGGGACAGGACAATGACAGCAGTGCCTTCTTTTTCGACCTCGACGAGGAACTTGGTCTGGAGATAGCCGGGGATCCAGCTAACTGGAGTGCTGGTCCAATGCTGAGCGACAGTCCATCTCTGGTCAAAGAGACGCGTTCGGTGAAGCCACTTGAAGTTGCTCAGGGTATCTTCAAGGGTCATCCAGAACACTCCGTCGTCGCCAAACTCGTGTTCAAGCTTGGTGATCATGTCGTGAGTCCATTCCTTGGATCCATCTGACCAAGGGCCATGCCACTCTCCAAGCCCAGCCGCGGCATTCTGACCCCACGGGTTCCTATCATCACAAAATGTCAGCCGTGCTGTGTTCTTACAACACCTATCGGAAGAGCTCTGGAGTGAAGATGGGCGGGGAAGTCGCAGCATTCACGCTTACCTGATCTTGAGCAGCTTGGTCTTGACTCCCTTGCTATCCTCCACTTCAACCGCGCGAATGATGGCGTAGGCATGGTTGAGCTGGAGACCATTCTTCTTGTCGACGTTGGAAGGTCCAGAAGCGGACAAGCCAAAGACAAACTCGCCATTCTCTCCATCGACCTCGACCAGCTCTCGCCAGAGCTTCTCTTTGCGCAGCACGCGGTTGCTCAAAATCATACTGGTAACACCACCAGTGAGGTCCTCGACAGCGGATCCGGACCAGCCTCCTTCAATAGCTTCAAAATCGCCATGAATCTTGGCATACTGCATAAGGGGGCAATCAAGTCAGTCATCAGCTAAGTCTCGGGGTATAGTGTAGAACTCACAGCCTTCTCAAGCAGAGGCAGCCAGGTCTCATTCTCACTCTCGCACTGGGCGCAGAAAAGAGCCTCGGAGCCAGTCTGGTATCTCTTCTTCCAGAGCCTGGTCTTCTTACCGCTGCTGTCGTAAATCTCGTCGCTCGCGCCGTAGTCCTCCGTGTGCAGGTACAGGTTGTCGTCAATGATGGTGGGAATCCACTCGCCGTCCTTGAAGAAGACGAAGCCGTAGACGCCGCACTCCTCGTCGCGCGCGACGCAGATCTTGTCCATCAGATCCTTGCGGTGCGCGATGTTGCCGACGCCGACGAGCCACCAACAGTCGCCGATGGCGCCCTGCTTGATGTCGGAGCCGGAGAAGCCGTCGACGGTGAACTGCGGGTTCTCGAAGATCCACGGGATGCGGTGGACGGCCTGCGGTCGCGACTTGGCCGTGCACGCGAGCACGCCCTGCCGGTTGGCGGGCTTGTTCCTGCTGCACTTGTGGGGAGGCTTCTTCTTCGACTTGGACGAGCGGGAAGACTTGGACTTGGGCCTGGCCGACTGCTCGCCGTGCTTGGGGTGGTGATGCTCGTCCTCCTCATCGGAGGAGCTCTCGTCGGCGCAATTGCACCGCTCGAGGCCGTACAGGCAGTCGTCGAGCTCGAAGAAGAAGTCCTGCTCGAGATCAAACTCGGGGTCGCAGAACTTAGAATTGGTGCTCTCGCAGTCCGCGACGGCGGTCCGGACGAGCTCCAGGCACTTGGTGCGGGCGTCCTCGTAGCTCTGCGCGGCATTTCGGACGCGGGCCGAGGCCGGGACAAAATCAGGGTCAATGGTCTTGTAGAGCTCCCGGGGGAAGATGGAGGTGACCTTTCCGGGTGTCTTGTGGTGGAATCTGTCCCAGAAACGAGAGACGATTGCCTGGGGGTGGTCCTTTCTGGACCTCTTGGGCTTGGACTTTTTCTCCTCCTCGGATGTCATGATTGCAATTGGGGAGTGAAGGCAAGGAATAGATCAGAATGGATCAGATAGAAAGAAAGATTCTTCACTGAAAAAGAAGAGCTAGCTATGCGAGCTTTCTTTGATGAATATTGGAGAGGAAGAAACGGTGCCGGGGCTACGAGATCATTTATTACTCCCACCATGAAGACAGATTGCGTACGCTCTCACCACATAAGACGCAGTGACACGCTGCAGGCAAGCCGCCAAGTAAGCCCACCAACATTGGCTGATTTGGCTCACTAAGAAGGAGCTGAGTGGGCGAGGATCAGACAACCAAAGGACCCCTCCTTTCCCCAAAGCTGCAGCATTTCCAGCATGTAGCTCTGGCTCGTTTCTATATATAAACCCAATAAGGGGCTTGCAGGTGTTGCGAGTCCGAAACGTTCTCGAGCGGGGGCTGAGCATTGTGGCCGTTTTAGTACAGCTCCCCGCTCCAGATACTGTCAGTTAGGTGTGTTTTTGTTTATTTTTGTTGTAGGTCTTACTCAGCCCAAGCTAAGCACACGTACTACCGACGCATGGACATTCCTCCCCACGATTGCTACGACTCAGTGCCGGCAGTTAACCCCTTATTAGGACCTGGCCGCGGGCAGCTATGGCGTCGGTCTATAGATTTTCCGTGCTATACTCAGCGAGCTGAAGAAGCCAGGTTGGTGATTGAGGGGAACTTAGGGGCCACAATCTCTAGACGCGTCTGGTTGAGTGGGGTTTTGATCAATATCAAACATTGATGTCCCGGCACGCTTCCAAGTCCCCGAGGTATCAATGCGCAAGATACTTGTACCAAATTTAGAATGAAACAAGTTTGGGACAGGTTCAAATCAAATAAACTTGTAGAGTTCTACAAAATCTGCGCTTGGGCGAGGACTTTGGTATAAGAATATGAAGAGGCTTGCAACACCTCACCGCCTACCCTGTACCCGACAACCTACACTCTGGCTCTCTTGAAGGCTTTCACTCAACGGGTTTTCAGGATTAAACCCATTGTGCCTAATAGAAGAGAAAATAAGATTTTAGTAGGGAGATAAGTTGCTCGCATTATAATAATAGATCCAAACTAGTGCCGACAAATGAGACGCCAGAACATATGGCAATTTCCAGTCACACATGCTAGCTTGAGAAATCCGATACCTTTTATCGGTAAAACGAGTAAGATCATTTTGACAACTCGTTGAACCAAGCCTCCTCACTTTGAAAGACAATCGTCTCAAGTGGGCTCCAATCCTGGACACTGAGATAACATCGTTTCACATTGTCGCGATGAATGAAGGCCAACGGTTGCTCCAAGACTAGTAGAGCTATCACAACCCAACATTCCTCTCTTCGGCAACTCAATCCAAAAGCATAAGAGATGTCAGACATAGGTAGAAAAGACCCATATATGTATGCTTTCTCACAAAGAGTCATAATTTGCAGAAGTCGCTTTCACAGTTGTCCAGGAAGATTGAGTGACCGAGAATGATATCTAGTCTCATGCGACAACGCGAGAACTTCAAGCAAGCCCGAACAAAGGAATGATGATAGTTCAACGAATACTATATCTATCCTCTTCCGACAAGCACACCGGCAGTAAGTTCCGTCTTCGCCGATATAGCCAGCGTAATCCCGGAGTTTGAGCCCACCCGGAGAATTTTCAAAGTCCGAACCGTCCCAGCTAAAGAGTCCGGCCGCCGGCTTTCTCAAGATGAACAGCACTTTGAACGATTTCATTCGTACTTTCCGGCGAGACGCGGGAAATGGGTAATCTTCGGAGGCAAATCCCCAGTTTTCTGCTTCGATACGCTCCGGAGATAAGATTTCAGATCCAGAAAGGAGAGAAACCAATGTTGACAAATCCAAACCTTGTTCACGGTTGAATCTGCGCAATATTGGGCCAATTGACAAATCATCATGTAATATCCATACTTGGTTCGACAAATTGGGAACAAACCCTGCCTATCTCGGTCTTTTCTTGTTATGAGGTGGAATGATTGATTTTGAGAAGCCTCTGAACGTAGTTTATAAGTACGATCAACAACCTGCCAAAAATATCTATCCAGTATTCCAACAAACTCGGAGACAATACCAAACCAACACTCCTAGCATCCCTTTCAACTCGCCTCTCGCAATGTCCTCAAGCTTGAAGCCGCTTATTCTCTGGGGCGAAGGCGGCATCAACCCCACGAAAGTCGCCGTCATCCTCTTCGAGCTGAACCTGCCCTTCAACACAGAAAAGGTCCTTCTGGCCGACATCAAGAAGCCAGAATATACCGCCATCAACCCCAACGGTCGTCTTCCTGCTCTCCGCGACCCCAACACGGGCATCACGCTGTGGGAGTCTGGCGCCATTATCGAATACCTCATTGAGCGCTATGACACCGAGCATAAGCTCAGTTTTGAGAGAGACACCCCGGAGTATTACCAGACCAAGCAGTGGCTTCACTTCCAGATGTCCGGCCAGGGCCCATACTACGGACAAGCATCCTGGTTCAAGATGTTCGAGAAAGAGCCGATCCCCGCTGCCATTGCGAGATACGCCGGCGAGGTGAACCGTGTCAGCGGTGTTCTCAACACGTTTCTAGAGAAGAAGGCCAAGGATGCCGGTTCTGACGGCAACGGGCCTTGGCTCGTTGGCCAAAAGGTCACTTATGCCGACCTGTCCTTCCTGCCTTGGCAGTGGTTGATTTCAGTCGCGCTCACCAAGGAAGAGTACGATATTGAGAAGTACCCGGCGATGAAGAGCTGGCTGGATAGGATGGAGGCGCGTGAGGGAGTCAAGGCTGGACAGGCGACCATGAAACGCCTGGATTAGGCAGGTAGCTAGTTGCACATATTGTCGATGCTCGGGGCCCTACTGCAGAGTATGGGACTGCAGACCTTAGGCCAGAGGAAGTGAAATCCATCGGAGGGGGAGATAGGGAGGGTTTGTGATGTAATTTTTAGCAAGATGCAATTCTTGGTCCTCATCTCCAAGTCCGAGTTGTGAAGAATGTTAGGTTCCTTTTAGTTAGCTCTGCTTTCACAACCTTGGTGATTTTATTCACTGTAGGAAACGAAAAGTAGCAACTAGCCGGCCGAAATATTCACATTTACAAGTTTGTAGAATTTGCCTAGATTGGCGTAGATAAAGCATTGGATAGAAATTGAGGATATATCTCACATCAATGCTTACCTCTAGCGCAATGGGCATTACGAAATCAACAACACTTGAAGAGAATGGTGTAGAGTGGCTTCTACCATATTAATGACGTGAAAGGATTCTTGAAGTTATATGTTAATGTCACCAGTTGTGATAGATGTGCTTTGGTCCGCTTAGATTAAAACACCGGCCGGGTAAAAAGGCGGAAGCTTAATGTGTTGTGATACTGGGTATAGTGTCAAGTTGTTAAATTCTTGGTGTTTGGGAATTTCCCCTTTTTTTTCAGCAGCTGTATAGCTCTCTCACTTACTTACTAGATTAAGACACTACCTACCTAATTCAAGTTTTGTGTTCTGACTGCCAGCCTTGCCCATTTTCATTTTCTTAGCTGATGCCCAATCCTCATATAGTTTTATTGCCTTATTTGAAGCTTCTTCGTGTAAGTTGAAACTAAGCCTCTTAGATACTGTCAAGGCATTTTTTTAGGAAGATGTCAAACTTGGATCCTCAATGCTTGCCAAACTTGGCCGGTGGACTCTTGAGTGCAACAAATGGCCCTGTTCTCATTTAGAGAGACACAGAAATAGGCATTCCTCCTAGATGAAACAGACTGTTTGGTCAGCTATAGTGAGATCGCTAAGCTTATGTTGAATCTGCACGTATAAGACTATGCCTGCGTCGGTCAAAGGCCGGAAGGGATTGTGCTTCACAATTCTTTGTTAAGATTATAGAGAGCACGGTAAGCTTTGGTTATTTTTGCCAAGAGAGTTGAACAATCATCGGGACTAGGAGACACTTAGAGAACATGTCATTTCTGATTGCCCGAGAAGAAGGGCAAGGCATTTGTAGCCACCCTCACAATTTCTAGCTATAGGAATGGCTTATCTCAAGTGGTCCGATACTGCAAACACGCATTCTTCACCTTTTTCGACTATGTAGATGATCGAGCTTGGTAAAATAGCTGTTGTATTGCGCTCTGATACAGGCTCTGGACTACCCTCCAAATGCATAAGTTGAGGACATTTCTCAAAATCGCGCTGTCAGATACCAGGTTTATCGACACTCTCTTATTGGATTGCGGTATGTTGCTTCTGTGCTGTAGCTAGACGCCGCAGGATGCCACTTTCTGACTAACACCATGGGATTGATGTGACGGCTTTCTGTGAGTTGCAACTGAGGGAGTGTCATCCAATGATGGTCCGAGGAGAGCAAGTACGACGTTGTAGCCACCTTCAGGTGAGATTTGGGTTTCAGCTGTGGCAAGTTTTCAAATCCCAACAGTGAGGAACACGTGCACAACCGAATTGGGTAGCATCTTGGTTTACTTCAGTTGTGTCTGTTATCCGACTTAATTGAGACCTTGGCTGGGAGGTGGCTTGAAACTATGCCAGCGATACCTACAGCTACAGGAACTTATTACGAATGTCCTACTTGGGGGTCTGGATGCAGCAATATTGAGATACGCTGAGTGAGCAGTGAGAATTGAGAAACGGGGCACACTCAAACACCACACCGTTTCGTCAGAATGACACCTCATGTTACAGGTGCACTTTGCGTTGAAAACAGAGCGGGTGGCTTGAAGATGTCTCAGCGGGCCGGCCCAGGGAAAAATGAGAGACTGGAAGATTGTGGATGAAGATGGTGCTAATTTGGCACCAAGATGAGCACTAACAATTAAAGATCCGATAGACCAGGCACCAACAAGTTGAGGATGAAAATTGAACTGACCGAGGCCCGGTGGGTTCATGTCGGAGGTGCAGCCGGTAATTAATTACGAGGTACCTAATTATACGTGCATAGGGGGAGGGTATCATTGTCACTGCAATGCGCCTGTTGGCTGTTGGTTCTATTACAGCTGATTTGCTACTCTATTGTGGTGGTCCGCGGGAGGCCTCCAGCGGCGTTTTGCTGATCAATCTCTTTACCGCTATCAGAGGTACATGGATCTGGCACGGCGCTCCCACCTGAATCAGGTACCTTGGTGTTAGGGCGTTTTCTTGGCACAAAAGTTGCAGTTGCGCCTCGAATGATGAATTAATCAATCACTGACAGATCAGCGAAATCCCACGCTCCACCATCTGCTATCCTAGCGATCCTAGCCAATATCATAGTGCTGGTGATCTGATGCCAGACTTTCTCTGTTGATCCTGTTGCCCCTTTCCTTCACCCGCGGCATCGCTTACCCTATACACCCAACCCAGTAGCTGATGCTGATGCCACCAGAAACTTGGGCATTAATGGGGGAGAGCATGCATTGTGTCAAACGTGATGTACCCTTGACATGGGAAGCGAGGGGCGAAGAGGGGGGATCACGGGACTTCTGGTGTCCCAGCCGTTCCGGATGAGGCCAGCACGACCAGGACAGTTAGCGGAATGGCGGAGAATCCAGGCCAAGCGCATCAGGTTCCGCTCAGTTCATGCTCGCTTCGTGTCTGGCCATGGCGGAGATGGTGAACACGAGCTGTGGTTTCTTTAGGCGGAGCGGAGGCAGCTAGTCATGGGCCTCGCTGCTTCACCATCGTGATTTCTTCAGACTCAATGCCGCCTTGGCTTCCATTCCAGAAGCCTTCGGACTCCACCGTCACTGCTGACTGGCAGACTCATGTCCCGTGTGTGGGTAAACACCGGTTTACAGCTGCTTACTCGCCCTTCTGGCCATTCGTCCACTTGTCCTTGGCGCATTGCTCTCACTTGTTCAGGGATTGATTCGGGAGACAAGCTGTCGCCCACATAGCGACCCGTCACCGTCTACAGGCGTGTGCGCCAAAGGCCCATCAATAGGTATTTTCAGAATTACGGTGGAATTCTACTATACAATAGGTATTCTCGGGCCCGGACCGACCCACACGAGCGAAAAATCTTTAGCATTTTCGGGCTTCAGCCTTCAGGGGCAGTGATCTCCTTTCCTTAATCTTATTCCTGGCTATTTATTAATAGTTTACATCCTTTCCATCCCATCATATGCACTATTTGGTCGGGTTGCAGGCCAGTCTACTGGCCCTACGCATAGAGAACCGCGACTGTGTCGTGATTGAAGGCGACGTACATATGTAAATGCGAGCTATCAGATAATCTAACGGCTTAGAGCGGGTTTTCCCCAGCAATGGGCATGTGGCGTCAAGTCGGAGACGTCACGTAGCAGAGACGATGCCACACTGCAGGTTTGACAATCTGTATGCATCTCGTCTCGTCTTTCTTTGTCTTGACCCGTCTGCGGATAGGGAGGCTCCGGAAATATAAGGGGGATGCAGCCTCAAAGGTCCAACTCGACTCTGATTTGCCACTGACCAAGGGCACGGATCCAACTCTTCCTCTGTGCGCTCCCTAACCACTTGAGTCAGGAATTGGTCAAGGCCCGTAGCTAGCACTGGGTGATAATTAGCCAGCCGACAAGGGTACATGGTCCAGACCAACTGTAGCAAAGGGTCATGGGTCTTCCCCCACCTCGTTACGCCGCTGCAGCGAATCACCGGGCCTCAGAAGCACCAGTTGCCTCATCTCGTGTCCAGCCGGCCAGTCTCCCATCGGGCACCCCACCGACCGAGTGTACATGGTGCGCCTGGCTGGCGAGATCGTGGCAGTAGGCTCCAATGGACCGTGGATTCAGCAGTCCCGTTACCCAAACTTTGACGCCGTAGTGGCTGTCTCCCGAGAGCTCGACTCCTGCGCTAGGCTCCTCCGGCTAGACGAACGGCGTTGAAGAATAGGGGGGGATAGCGGTGCAATCTGGTTAGAGTTTTCGCTTCGATACATACCTATCGGCATCGTGCTGGGCCCTGTAATTGCTGTATGTGCTAATCCGGGCAGGTCAGTGCCTGTCTGCGATATTTGTATCGGCTTTGTTGTCCCTGGCCAGGGCAGAACCGACACCCGGCCATCAAGAACCCCAGCCCATGTGTGCTGGATGCTCTGGCATAGGCCCAGCTCGCCCATAATGCCGCTCTTTTAGGTAGGATTGCCGCGGAGGCCAGAACTGGGGCTAGCCATCTTCCCAAGCGGCCCCTCCGGCCTACCGAACCTGATGAATGGCAGGGCCTGCCGACCGGCTCGTGCAGCGCTGCAGACCCTTGCCCATTTCCTGGTACGCAGGCGAGAAGGTGGATGAATGGCGCACTTTTAGCAGGTGGATAGGCTCCCCCAAGTGCTTCCTCCAGTGGCAGATATGATTCATGAACCGCTCTGGTGCCTGCCGCCCTCGCCAACAGGCCGAGTGAGAACTTGGGATTCACTCCGTCAGCAAGGATCCTGCTGAGACGTCGATGGAGACCAGACCACCCCTAATCGCCTGTCAACTCAGTTTGAGTTAACCTACGTAGATGTGATGTGTAAAAATAATCTACACGCGACTCTTCGATGCTCTGGCCACCAGAACACTGGGTCATCTCCAGCCCTATCTCGCGCCGTCCACCGGTTTCGTATTGAAGCGTAGGTCCCAATAATCTGTGATCGTCAGCACGCACACCGTCCTGGTCAGCACACACCATCTGGCCATCGGCTTCCAGGGAACCTTGTGCCAAGAGTGCTACTTTGATCCAGCCTCAGGCTTGGGCCGTTCCCCACCCCCTCTCCCCTTCCCGTGCGATTTATAAATGCCATGCCCATATTTTAGTTGGCCTGCGTCCCAACCCATGTGTACTCGCTCTTCTCTGGCTTGGCTTGCAACCATCACCATCTTGTCACTCATTTAGCCACCATGGCCGGTTTAGTAGCCTCAGTTTCTGGGGGATGGAATGGTATCATCAGGAAGAGGAGATATTGGAGCATGTTTGGTATTTTCGCCATCGTCCTCTTCTTCGGCTACAGTCTGTTTATCCTCTCAACCGAGTATGATCGGGTGTCCAAGAGTATGTCATCCGCTTCTTTCAAGCATCATTGCATGCGACCCATGGGCTTTCTTACTCACATTTTTTCTCTGTTCAGTAATCAACTTTTTGAAGCCGAACAAGAACTCCGAACATGAAAACAACGAGGAGGTGCATCTAGACCCTTTCATCGCGGAGCTTCAGGCCAAGTACAAGCCCACGCTACACAGGATCGATAATTCGACATTCGTCACCCGCGAGGGCTACAAATACACGGTCAACGACACCAACCACTACTTCACCGAGCCCCTGGGAAAGAGGCTGCTCATTCTCGATGCCGACTCTCGTCTGGAGACCGAGCCTGGTCACATGCTGGCGCCGCCTCCCCTAACGCACGAAGACATCAAGAGGGGCACAGCTGGTATGATGAACCACTTTCTGTATGGTATGTTCACTTCGCCGAACCTAGTTGCTGGCAATATCCTGCCGATTCCTTTGTCCCAATCAATTGTTCGCATCCGATACTAACGAATAATCAAAGCCATGATCCACGGTTACGATTATCGCCTCGTTAAGTCGCCCAAGGACCCGAACCGCCACGGCACCTGGTCCAAGGTGCCTCTGATCCGCGAGGCCCTCAAGACCCACGACTTCGTCGTCTTCCTCGACTCCGACGCCAACTTCCAGTACTACAACCTCCCCTACGAGTGGCTCATGAACCTCTGGGGCGTCAACGGCGACACGCTGGCCGCCATGCCCGAGGACCCCAACTCCAAGGTTAACCAGGACTCCAACGGCTGGGTCCTCTGGAACACGGGCTTCGTCACCGCCCAGCAGAGCGAGCGCACGCAGGACATGTTCGACCGCTGGGACAACTGCCCCTCGGGCGAGCGCTACAAGGAGTGCAAGCACTGGGCCTTCGACTGGGCCCACGAGCAGGCCGCCTTCGGCGCATTCGTCCGCTACGAGTACGAGGTCGGCAAGGACCTCATCGCCATCTCCTGCATGGACGGCAACGGCGCCAGCTACATCGGCGACAAGAAGTGCGGCGGCGTCTTCGTCTCCCACCACTGGGGCGACAAGGACCGGACCATCAAGCAGCTCTACGACAGGCTCGACGGCCACTCGGTCGAGGACCTGCACCGCTACTTCCACGAGAACCAGGACACCTACTACGTCAACGCCGAGAAGCACACCTACCCCATCAAGGACCTTACGATTTGAGAGACGATACATCAGGTGCTGGTCATCTGGACACCGGAAACCGGAAAACTTGTTTCTAATTAGATTAATCTTTGCTTTTTCCTTGTACATACTTACTGTCGTTACCTAGATCGAAACAAGTGTATAAAACCGCAGCGTTTTTTTGGTTCTTTAGGGAGGGGAAATACGGTATACAAATAATGAATGAATAAAAAACAATCAAAACCAAGAGAGCGTCATGACTGCCCGCAAACTGACCGCAGTGTTGCCACATCTCACACTTGAAACCGCACACCAGACAGAAGCGACTGGGGAGTGCATCCGTGCATGCCGCAGCGTCTTAGAGTAAGCCTTAACTACGTTGAGAAACACCCTGATTCTTGCTTCCTTTTCTGGCCAGTTTCTCGTCGCTCAGCATATTGAATTCCGCGTTTCCGGAATTTATTTCGGCTATGAACTGTCCGCGTGGAGATTCTCTCGCAGAGGACAGCCAGGGTCCTGGACTGAGATTAACCTATAACAGAAGCAGCACAGAGTGATTGAGCTTCTGTGTCGCCTCAGTCAGCTTACAGGGCATGCATACGCCAGCATCCCCTGACTCTTTTTGGTGGCGTTTGCTATTCGGATTTCTCTGTCGATGAGAGCCTTTGTGGAGTCTACAAATAGCGAGATCGGGAGTGAAGATTCAGTCAGCGTAGTGAGAGACGTAGTTCTTTACGACCGCTCGGATTGGGCTGAGATTCCCCTCGCTTGAATTTGTCTGTCCCATGGTTTTACCGCGTGCCTGTTGCATGGTAGATTTAGAAGGGGACGTAGGCTGAAGGAATCATACAACCTCCAAATGCCAGAACCCCCCGACGAGTTGGTTCTCAAGATGAGCCTATGCATAGCATACTATGGACTCATTGTGTGATCCAGAATATTTATTTAGCTAATAGTTACGATTCAGTGATAAACAGGAGAGCTTGTTCGCAGAGCGTGCCAACATTCAGCCAATATGGGAGGATGGCGCGGCTCTGCCTGGGTGGGGAGTTCTGGTATGTAATTTATACCCCTGGGAGTAGTTGCTTTCTCCAGTACCTGCGTATAACCGGCACCATGGAGACATAAGTCGGTACGTATCTGACAAGGCGGGTAAGAACTGCCGGAGATGTGAAGCCAAGACTTCTTGGCCCTCAGCCCAGCCGGGTCAACATCCGCAGCGTTCCACAGGAGATTACTGGGTATTTTGGATCCTTTTGGCCTCAACCCGAGGAACACTGGGCGGCTACTCGTGTCTGCGGAAGACACTGGGATAGTTGGATGTGCTATTCTTGGGAAAACCTATGCGGTAAGTCTAGTGTTCGAATATCACCTTTCACGTAGAGTATTCTCCAGGGCAAAGATCTACTAGCTTACAGTCGAGCTCCAGCTGCCCACCAAATACACCGACAACGCGTAAATAAATATTGGAGAAGCCTAGTTCGGACTGAAATCAAATTACCTTGGATAGTATAAGTTCAACTAGCTGAATTGCCCTACCAAAGTCAGAAGATTCCTCTTGCCAGTATTTGAGAGTCAGGAGACATGTTTCCAAACCCCGTTTTGCCTCATGCAAGCCATCTTCCTCGAACAAACCGGCTTTTACTCCTGCGTAAAGCATCAAAGCACCCCTTATGTAGGTCCGACAGGCCAACCAACTCCCATGGTGTCGATGATACGCTGGCCCAAGGCTAGTCATTCTCAAAGGCGAATCTAGAGCCTTCTCAGCGAATGGTCTGATCATATCACGTTCCGAAGGAGACATGTTCGGTTTATGGATCATGAGGTATAGGAATGGTCGGTATACCAATGCCCGGACGATGACATAACGTCCATGGACAACATATTGAAGCTCATTCATAGATTGCCCATCCGATGGATCCTGGCGCCTGATAGATGTCGGTAGCATAGATAACCTAGTAAATATTGTTAGTTAGAGGGTAGTCATATCTTGGCTTTAAGTGACACCGTAAAGAGTTGTAGTTCTATTTAAATTCTGAGGATTTTGCAAACGGCCATACCAGTTTTGCAGTTGTAGCTCAAAATCCTCAGCTAAGGATATCATATCGCCAACACTGGCTCGAAGCCACGAGTCGTTGCTTTCTCTGTAAAAGTGATACGTTACGCGGCTTTCGATGCGTAGCAAAGCGAGCTCACTTAGGTAGTAAAACCATGACCGCTCCTCGACTTGTTGCTGGGTAGTTGAGTGCGCAGGCGACATTTGCGTGGCAGGAGATGGTTCTGGAGATGAGGTATCGAGCCCAGCTCCATGTTGAGTTTGATTTGGCGGGTCAGAAAAGGTTGGAGGTGAAGGAAGAGTGTCTGGGATGTGAAGCATTGCCAGTTCAGACGATGGTAAATTCAGTTCCGAGCGCAGTTCGCTGTATATCACTACTTAGCCATGGTTTGGGTAGGTCGGCTTGGAGACTAACCACTCTGATTTGATACAAGTCCAGTATAGACGTTGGTGAGATTGACACTGACTCGTGAAGGATTCATCATCTTCGTCCATATGCCCAGCCCGTTGGCGAAGATAATCACCACCCTTCAAGTACAGAGCGCAGATGGTAGATGCGCGAGAAAAGCTGTTCCACCCATCAAGTGGGCGCATTGTGTACATTTGGTAGATTCCACAGAGAAGCTGACACTGGCAGGCTATAATGCTCCGATTCAGCAGACCAAGTCTGCGACAGGCAAGCTGATAGAAGTTCTCCGCAATGATCCTGGCACCGGTGTTGGCGGACAACGACGAGGTGTCGTTGGATGGACTAAAGGACTCAGCGCCAGCGTTTTCGAATGGAGTAGCAATAGCTCCTAGAGCACAAGCAATAAGCTGCAAGTGTTAGCAGAGTAGACCGACCTCTCCGAAGCATCCAACAAGCAGACAATGAAGCTCACCACAAGACAAGAAACAGCATCCCACCCCGGCCCATTTTCTACTACGCTGGTCGCAAATTGCTTCAAGGTACCCGTGTGTAATATTGGATTCTTGCAATGTACAAAACGCAGGAATCTATCAATATATTTGGGAATGTCGTCTTCGCATATGCTTGCTCGGTGAGCGCGAGTCCCCTCTAAATATTCTTTGTCAAAGGCCCTTGTTCTTTCATAGTCTATTAAGAAGGTCTTTTCGTTAAGATTGACTCGATCCAGCTCGCCTTCGAATATAGGCCAGCTCATGACACACTCGGTAGAGGTAAACGAAGAGCAGAAATATATTTTCTCCTCGATACCGGGCTGTACGTCTGGACCTTGTTGTGATTCGCACGTGGCACTTTCTGAGGGAATCGGTGGATCATCTTCGTTGTTATCCAGCCTGCTCAAAACTTGATTCAACTTTTCAATAATCAACAGACTTGCTGGATCAAATCTGGCTTAGGAGTAAGTGGGTGGACAAAGAGCGGGACGCCATATCAAAGTCTTCACATACGAGGAATGGTTTGCTCGTTGCTCATAGGAGCACTGAGTGCCTAACTTGACACACGGCTGGCACACAGGTCTTTCGTTTGTGCACTTGGCCTTCCGCGCTCTGCATGGCTCGCATGCGGTCACAGCTCGCTTGCGATGATGGGTCATTCGGCGAAACTGGAGTCTTCTGGAGGCTCCACTGGTGCCTGAAGCACCTCCGACTGGAGACGTCGAGTCCATGGCGCCCGTACAATTCGCGAGTGATCAAAAGTAGGGAGGCATATGACAACTGCACAAGGCCGGGGAGTATAGGACAAAGAGCATGAGCGGTTTTGAGCAGACAGAGTGGATCCTCAACGTGGGGAATGAAGACATGGCCGGGGAGTGTCGGGTTTTCTTGTTTTGTCCTAGTTCACGATCTGCTCCAAATCATCTATGGCTCAGTGTCGACAGCCAAGGCCACACATGTATATTAGTTACAGACATCCAGAGCGAAAAGATGAGCTAGTAACAATCCCTTTACCCCTTGACCCTACTATTTGAGTCACCGGTATCGGTACCTATTAGATTTTCTCACGGACAGAGCAGGCTTCAGACTTCAGTACAAAATGTCAAACGCAACAACCAAAGTACTACGACGTCGAGGATGGGGCCCAGGATATGGATTGGAGCAAGTCCAGGCAGTTCAAGCAAAAGGAGGAGAAGAAATGATCCCTATTCCGCAGCCACCCACCGATGTAAGTGAACTCATGTCTTTATCATGCTTTTTTTTTAAGTTGATATAGCCTTGTGCTTACTGGAAAAGCGCAGCCCGACGTTGTCATGCAAACTTGCAACTCATTTACCTTTGAGTCCTTCACCGTTGATGATGCATGGGAGCTTGGCCACCTCCTCTACGCCCGCTTGATCCCAAACGCAAAGAAACAGCCTTCTTTGATCTCAATCACACTCGCCAGTAGTGGCCAGACCTTGTTCCAGGCCTGCGTTGGATCGACAGTCATTGATAACGAGAACTGGATCAGGCGGAAGCGCAACGTCGTCCAACGCTGGAACCGGAGCAGCTGGTGGGCCAATTGTTTCTGGAAAGGAGACGAGGAAAAGTTCCGTAAGCTCTTCAGCCTGAGCCCTGAGCAATCCTCTCAGTACGCTATCCATGGAGGCGCGGTGCCCATCAAGGTGGCGGGCGTCGAGGGCATTGTAGCTATTGTCGGTGTATCTGGAATGAGCCAGGAGGATGATCATGGGGTTATTGTGGACGTTATAAATACGCATTGGGAGTAAATTCTAGGAGGTATCCTGTACCTTGGGGGTTAAAGGTGATACGAGTCGTCTTTATTATCACCGACAGCTGTAAGGTATCCTTTACAATCTTCCCGCCGAATTGCAAATATTGTTTATGCAGGGTTATATATAGTAAGTATATTTGTATTTATTATTGGGGGGTGCGAGGATAGGTGTGTGTTTATGTATGTTCGTATGTTTGAGAAAGATAGGTGGGCTTATATAAACATTTTTATTAATTTATTATTGAATTTTATTTTCAACTCAATCTTCTCATCTCCTTTCCCTGGAGATAGGTTAGTAAATAGAAAGCTATAGCTACAAGAGAGATCCAAGCTACTTATGCGCCAAAGGACGAGGAGCTATTGGTAGTACGCACTATATTATGCTGAAGATTTGATCATTGAAGATTGATAAGCGCGAATGAAGAGTCTGAAAGGTCGACAGAAAATGTGCCGTTAAGCAGTCGAACGGTCTCGTTGCAAGCTGCTGTAACGTTACTCAGCAGCACTGGCTTCCCTCCATCTAGGTCGTGGTTGTAAGAGTACCCGTTCCATGAGATACCAGAGATAGAATCAGCTCCATCTGCCAGGAGTCGCTGCACAGCAGCCATTTTGTGTCCGCATTTGCGCCCCCTCCCATTCAAAGAGAAGGTATAAGTTTGATTTGGACGTTCGAGGTCCGAGGTATGGTTGTATTCCCTCATATTTAGCACGGCAATTCGAGAAAGCTTCCCGTCTTCGTAGATGGCATACGCTGAATCTGTCTCGCTTCCCAGAGGAAGTTCGGCGACCTGCACGTCGCGCTCACCCGAGTTGCCAAGGGTAGTCGCTGCGGCAACATGACCGTAGTAGGGAGGTTTGGTTGAAGGGTGCGTCGTGCCTACGTGCGAGGGTTGCCACCCTGCGTAGATGTAGTTGACGCCTTGATGGAAATAAATCCGGTGGATCCCCAACGAGGCAGCGAGCAGGCTAAAGTCAATGTTCCATAGAGCCGCTCCGAAGACATCCGAGGCCCCTGGGCGACCTTGGTTGTACAGGCTGTTTCCCTCTCCGATGATGTAAGGCAAGTTTGTATCTTCAACAGCCTGCATGATGCGCTCTTGAGAAGCCAGTCCTTCTCTTGTCAGTGTGTGGTTGAGTAGGTAGCCTCGGAGCGTGACCTGAGGATCCAGTGAGTTGGCAATGTAGTGATGCGTTCCGATTGCGCCGAGTTGGCCACCCAAACCAAGGTCGAGAGCTTGCTCAACCCACCTGAGACCGGCGAATGATGGTCCTAGCATCCGCAGCGGCTTATCCCCACATGTCTCCTCGTGCATGGCGGCCAACAGATCCATCCTAGATTGCCAGTCCTCGGTGTATGCCGCAGGGCCCCATTCGTCATGATCTCTAATAGGCCCTCTATTTGACTTGGTGTCTGAGTAATGGTCTTTGAAGGATTCGTCAGCACCATTGAAACTAGGTCATCACGACTTCCAATGTGGCATCAGACTTACCAGCCTCGTTGCCTATTTCCCAGAAGGCAAAATTGTCCTTGCCAATGGCCTCGCAAACCAAAGGGAAGGTAGCCCTGAGATTCTCGATTCCACCATTGGTCTCGTTTGCTCCAAGATTGAAGCCGTGGGAGAATTTGACACCAGAAAGGGTCTGGTAACCCTCGAAATACGCCTTGCCGTATGTCATGCTGGTGGGATACGGGATGTCCGGATTGTTGAACACATGCTTGTATGCAGCCTCCAGCTCTGGGTCATAGAGGGCATTGTCCTGGGAGTTGCCGCCGACCCGGATGTAGGGCGGCTTTCCAGAGACTCTACCAAGATTTGAAAGGAGCTGATTGGTAAATGTGTTGGGTGTTGATAAGTTGCCTGCACAGGTGTTAGCCACGATTATGGGACCAGGTTTCATGCAATATTTCATACCCGCAAACTCCGGAAACCAACTGAATTCTATCGAAAAGGACACAAAAGACACGCCAATCGGCCCCCTGATGTCGGTAGGGGTGGCGAGATGCACACCCACTGTGTAGCACCAGGCAGAGCCGGCATGGGCCAGAAATGAGAGAAGCTTCCACATGGCAACTAGCAATCGGAGCTTTCTTAACGGGTCTTCTCAATGCCACAAGTGACACGACGCATCACTTTATGTATAACTTGGATGCTTGGTCATGTGTCGATCATATCTAACGGAGTTCGGAGGATCTGACTCGGCATATCTCGAAGTGAGGGGAAGTGTGTTCGGCAATTGTACCGCGACGAACAACGGCCGAGCTGCACCGACCCCAGGTGTAGCTCTACACGTTTTTCCGCGCGGCCATCTTAATCTTCGAAACCTAAAAACGCCCCCACGGCCTGATATCTACTGCGTCGGTGCCTAAGTATTTGGTTGACACTTTGCCACGCTAAGTTGATGGAATCCCGGAACCCAGGCGGAACACGCTGAGATTGATTGTTGACTAGTTCATATACATGCCAAAATTTGGTTCTCAGTGCCTCTTTCTTGTGGTCCGGCCCGGCCTGGGGTTGGCAGAGATGTAGTGTGAAGCCGAATAACAAGAAGACGAGCCCGTAAGAAGAATGCTAGTAACAAAGTGGCCGCGGGCAAGTCCAAAGCAACGACTTCAGGATGAGGTCACTAGGACACAAGCAGAATTAGTGTCTGTTTCGTAGCATGGTGGCAAGGTTAAGCGCTCAGATAACCCAGCATGAGGCGGAGGGGCACCTATGGCCTCTACGGACAAATAAATACCTAGAAGAAGAGGGATCTCTGGAAGAAGGCGAAAACATAGGCACGTGGAACAAACTAGCACAATAATCGCAAGAAGTCTTGCGGCGAGAGCGGGCCAATCTACGGAGTAGTGTCGGGGTTGAGGCCTTTGTAGTGCTATTGTGTAATGAACAAAGGCCTCCGTCAGGCAGTAAGCAGTTATGTATAATGTAAGACTAAAGAATCTACTATGGGAATGAATAATGTAGAGCTTTATCTACGAAGCTCTCAACCTTGAACTTCATATTTTTGCCAGGCTGCAATTGGAGAAAACAAACACTCCAGTCAATCGGATCAAAATGCCGGAACAAGGTCTTTGCTCCAAGCAAGGTAGCACTGGCCCGTGTCAGTCGAACGTTTAGTATCGTCATCGTGCCGGGGAAGACTCATCCAGCGCTAATCTGGCAGGCTCTGATTGGACTCGCGGAGTCTCGGACTTCTTGGCACACCACCATGAATTCATGATGCGGGGTTCGAAGCTCCCCATATAAGTCGAGATGATGTGTTGAGTCTGCATTTCTAAGCTGGCACACGTTAAAAAGGTTCAGTCGCTATATATACTGGCCAGAATTGACCATTCGCGAACTGGCTCATTTCCATACCCTTCCTATTCTGCGTCTGATATCATATCAAAACGTGTCTTCTGTCTGGGCCTCTGCTATCTCCAGTGAACTACATCATTCTTGGCAGCAATCATGAGTTCCATCAAAGTTGGCATTATTGGATACGGTAACGCGACCAAAACGTTCCATCTCCCCTTCATCAAGACTGTCTCCGAACTCGAGGTCTACGCCATCCTGCAGAGGTCCGAGGCACCCGCTGACCCATCATCAAGCCCTAAAGGCTCTCACTGCACTGTTGACTTCCCTAATATCAAACACTACCGCACTGCCGAGGACTTCTTTGCCGACAAGAACATTGATCTCGTAGTTGTTGCTACGCATACAGACACACACGCTTCCTTTGCCAAGCAGGCTGTGGAGGCAGGAAAACACGGTAGCTCTCGATCGACACTTATCTTGATCGCTCTATGCTGACCCAACCTGCTGTAGTTATTTCTGATAAGCCTTTCGCAACATCAGCTGAGGAGGCGGACGAAGTGATTAAAGCCGCTGAAAAGTCAGGGAAAATTGCCACTTGCTACCAAAATCGGAGATGGGTGAGTAAACACATTGAGCTTCTTCCTCGGTTGTGAAGACAAGAATTTGTTTGTCTAATACGTGAACATAGGATGGAGATTTTCAAACTCTGCTCGACCTAAAGAACAAGAACGCTTTTGGCGACATCAAGGAGGCAGAGATTCACTACGACTTTGAATCCCCAGACTTTCTCAAGCATCTTCCTGCGAAGTACACACCGGGGGGTGGACTGGCCTTCGGCCTCGGTATGTAGTCTGATCAAGCCTCGATCTGTGAACTCTGACAAAGAAAGGTTCTGACAAAAATTGCGACCTGAAGGAACTCATAGCGTTTATCATGCATATACACTATTCGGTCGTCCTAGTTCAGTGACTGGTTTCTATCGTGTTTACCGTGACGCCACAAGCGAGGTCGAGGACACATTCACTATCATCTTGCAGTATGGAGATGATCCCTTGAAGGGCAGGCTTGTTACGGTTAAGACTGCAGTGGTTACCCCGATGGCTCAGCAACTCAAATATTGGGTTCGAGGAACCAAAGGATCCTACATCAAGTTTCAAAAGCGTAGCTTTTGTCCACAAGAGGAGGACTTAGCTGTTGGCAAGGGACCGGCAGACCCCGACTATGCAAAGGAGGCTGAAACGTATTGGGGCACTCTTACGACCTACGACGAGTTTGACAGTTCCATTCAGAAGTTTGAGCCTGAGATCAATAAGTACACTGGCCAAGTCCCCACGATTAGGGGGAACTTTTCGGGCGTATATCAGAATCTTGCTCGAGCTATATTGGGCAAGGAGGAGTTGGTGGTTAAGCTACCCGATGTGCGAGATTGCCTACGAATTCTTGAGCTGGCAAGGGAATCGCATGAGAAAGGCACTACAGTGACATGGAGGTAATGTGGCATACCAAGGTATAGTATTTATCAAGAAAACATCAAGAAAACAACATCCATCTTATTCGAGTATACACAAGTCACTGCTATCACTTGAAGAAGGAAGCTATGTAAATTAAGTACAATTCTTTCCTAGATAGAATCTCAAGGCAGTGAAATGATCCTTAATTTTTTTTTTTTGCTGAACTGAGTCCAAGTGGCTGTCAGAAAAACAGGGACTGCAAAGTCACCTCGATGGAACTATTGTGGCAGCCAGTCATATAATGATGTTTCCTATTGTGTAATAATAAATAGATGATATTGCCTAATAATTGCCCAAAAATTTAACTCTATTATTATCCTTCACAATATTGATAGACAATACCTAGTTGTCTATATTGGACAATTGGGCTTAAACACCTTTGCAGTTCTTGTTAATCTGACGCCCACTTGGCTGTGTCGCATGCGACCCCGAATGTTTCCTTATAGAGGTTTTGATTGATCTTAGTTTTTCCTTTATTGTCTCGCGTGAAAAAGGTATTCGCACAAATTCAACGCTGAACATGGACCTTCCCGGGCATCTGGTTTGAGTTGAGGCGAGTAGCTCCTCCATAACCAATTGCTCTGGTTATGATTAGATTCTGATTGGTATGCGAATTTTGAAAATACCACCCTGAGTCCTGAAGTTCCTTGACCAAGAGGCAGACTCTAGGCTCTCTTATGATGGCTGTGCATGCAGCTGAGGCCAAGCCTTTACCGGCGGGGACCATCAATTGGCTGACATGGCGTCTGCTGACACAGGGCGGAGGCTTTCTGTATTAATTAGCTATTTTTATTAAAGAGGAACAAAAAAACCAAACCATCCTCCCCATCCGTCTTGTCGTTTTTCGTGCCTATCAGCTGGCCCTTTGCCCTCAATTCAACTGTCGCCATGGAGGAGCTCCGCCGCACATTTTTTACATGGGAGCGAGAGCCCTATCCAACTGATTTGTTGGCCAACGAGACTCGTTTGGTGGCCTTGCTACCGGGCAAATGGAACGACGACATTCGATGCGAGCTCTTCCGCGTTTCTGGTGAAAGCGCGATTGAACGACCTCCTTACCAGGCCTTGTCATATGCATGGGGCGCACCGGGCCAGCAGGCGTCCCATATTCAAGTGAACGGTTGTGAGTTCTCCGTGACCGTGAACCTCAGTACGGCTCTGAGATTTCTTCGGGAGAACGACGAGCCTATAGTTCTCTGGATAGACGCCCTGGTGAGACTGCCCATTCAGGCCATACCTCCAAGCTATATGCTGACGTACCAATAGTGTATCAACCAGCAAAATGATACAGAGCGCTCTTCACAGGTCGCTAAGATGCGCGACATATACAGCGCAGCGGACCAAGTAATCATATTCCTTGGGGATGACTTAAATCCTAGAGCAGGGAAATCTTTCAGGCGAGACGCTAGGCCCTGTGTCCGGTTCACGGGACACGATTCAGATTCAGACCTCATAAGACAGTACATGCGAAAGTGGGCGTCATCGCTCACAACTGAACAGGTTTCGGCACCTGACATATTCTGCCTCTTCGCTATCTTGTCAAGACAAATTGATCGCCCCAGATTCCCAAAGGAGATCCCAGTCCGCCACCTGGGTGCCATTTTTGAGGCGGTCCGGACTATGCTCACAGCCCGCTGGTGGGATCGAATTTGGGTTGTTCAAGAAGCCGTCGTGGCTGATCATATGATCGTGAGATATGGCAATGCTTCCATGCCCTGGAAGACGCTCGCTACCGTGGCGAGTCTCTGCTACCAAGACGCTTCTTCAAATTGGCCTGATTCGGTCTCGCCAGATGACAGAAAAGTCCTGCGACTTCTCTCCCGTGTGAGGGACCTGGACCACTTTCGGCAGACTTGGCGAGCCCAGTCACAGAAATTAGATCTCCTCGCATTGCTCAGACAGTTCTGTAATCGCACTTCATCTGATAGTCGTGACAAGATATTTGCACTCCTGGGTCTATGCGACCAATCACAGACTCTGAATCCCGACTATTCGTGGGATGAAGTAACGGTGTACGTGAAATATCTCGTACAGATGATCCAACAGAAAGGTTCACTCTCCCCATTGAACGGGGATATTGGACGCAAAAAAAGGCGAGACATGCCATCCTGGGTGCCCAATTGGAACGCTACTTTCGATGAATCTGACCGTGGACGACTGGCTCTTTCGGAGCTGTACGACGCCTGTGGAGGGGTTGCTAGTATCGTATTGATGCATGATGATCAAAGAGGGTCATTTGTTGATTATTTTGATTATCATCCACCGGAAGGTTGGGATCGCGGCAAAACCAGCTCACAAATCGAAGAGGGCATGGCGCGATTAGTTGAGTCTCTAGAAAGCGAGAGTCAACCAGAAGCGTATTTGCCGGAGAGTGTTGGACACTGGCTGTGGGACAATGCGGGGATCTTAAGACCTCTGGATGGACCCGTCAGCAAATGGGAGGCCTTGCTGCAAAAGCTGATCTCGTTCTGTCATCCACTGGGACAGAGACAACCCACGCGATTTATCAACCACAGCCTGCTGATCGTTGAAAACATAAACGTGGACGGTTGCACAAATTGGTCTTTGCTAGCGAAAGGGCGATTCCTTGGGACTGTAATCAAAGTCTTCGAGCCCTTATACTCTTGTAGCGACACAGAGGCAGTGCTAAATGAAACGAAACGCTGGTTTGAGATGAGCCTCTCTCTTAACAAAGAATATGAACCGTCAAATCTTGCTGCTATGTTTGCAGAAACTTTGCTATCCAGTGCCAAACTAACCGAAAGCGGCCCTGAGAGACTGGGAGTACAAGACAAAGCTCTGTTGGTCTCCTGGCTTAGGCGCGCCTTATGGAAAGAAGACTTCGCTCAACAATTTTATCATCCGTCCCAGACCCTGCCTCAAGATATCGAATTGCTTGATCCCTTGGTTGCGGAGTCATTTTCAGCTGCTATGCGACTTTCTATCACTAAACGGGCGTTTTTTATTACGAACGACAGCAGAATTGGTTTGGGGCCAATATCGATTCGAGAATCGGACGAGATATACATCCTTCCTGGTGGGAAAATGCCCTTTATCCTCAATAGAAGCCCTGGCCATTCTAGACCCCCGACATTTGATCTGGTGGGTGAATGCTATCTTCATGGATGTATGGATGGGCAGATGGGTTTGCCAAACGAGGGGGGGATTCCAGACCATCCTTACTTTTGGCCTTATAGGCAAGAACCTCATGTGCTTGCCTCCTATGAGATTCAAGGGGAGGGTGAGCCAGATATACGGTGGATCTCTGTATGGTAGAAACTAGGCTGGTCGCGAGCAATTTTGACCCATAATTGCTACTATGTTACGATCTTTTCTTCGAGGTTGTTCGTTCAAGGAAATTGGTAGACGTATTTTGATTATGATCGAATGAGAGGCTATTCAATATGAATTGAATGTGTGTTAAATCTTCCCTGCCCTCTGAATTGATATAATCTTTTGTTATCGGTTATGGTCGGATACCCCCCTAGAGAAGGTAGTCGTGTTATCGCTTTCTAAACAGGCCCCGCGACAATCTACTTAAGGAGACAACCATCAAAGAAGGTCTCAACTATGGACGACGGTTCAGGGACAAAAGAAAATACTTGAACAGATGAACAACCGGGATCGGAGCGAGATCAGGAGGTGGGTCAGTTCTCGACTGCTCAAAACAGAACCCTGCCATTGACCACCAAAACCAAGCCCCAACCCAAATGTACCCGATCGTTCGCTGGAAAGTCCTCGGAAATAGCCCAGAGCATGTGTACTGAACAACTTCTTCAAGAAGGATACCTAGCGGTTGCAGCAGAAAGAAAATCAGTACACCGAAACGTCCCTGGGCGAGACCATCGTCTTTCAGTTCCATGATATAGTGTAGCGTTCCGCTCATGAAGAACGGGAAAAAGAGGTGGGAGAGGCGTGAAAGAAGGGAGCCACGAGGAATACACAGAATATTGTCTGATGTAAAATCTCCAAACGCAACAACTACTCTTCGTAGAACCTGGTGCCAAGTACGGCTGTTTGTTTAAATTAATATGTAAACCTTGCAACCATCATTGAAGTGTAGTGTATGAAAGGAAGGAACTCACCCCCACAGCCCGCGAATCGTGTAGGCATTTGTGAGAGAGCCGAAGATAGGCGGCCAAGATTCTGGCTTGTTGAGACCGATTGCCACGGTTAATGCAGCCGCAAAGTAATACATGCAGATGACAGTTAGGCATGTTATTATAGTGAACATGAGAGTGACCATGAACCTGAATATAATATCCTCAGCGGATAGAGTCCAGAAAGCATACAGAGTTTCTTTCCCGGGTTCTAGAAGATGCGGCTCAGGCTTCGGCGGCAGTCTGAGAATAACATCGATTATGGTTGAAGCAAGAAGAGCTTTCAGCACGCTACGGAAAGCAAAGCTGGAGCGGCCCTGCGCCTTCGAGCGCTTAGGTATACCCTTTACCTCCCATTTGGTACCGACACGGCGGGGGTTGAAGATCAGAGCCAGAGCCTGCATCCAGGCACCAGGCACTGCCCCGGGTGGAGAGTTCGAGGGGTCGCCGAGCTCCGATCTATCGGCGCGTGAGAAAAGGATCAGCTCAACAAGACTGAGATAGTTGTGCCACAGCATTGGCCCAAATACCCTCTGCTGCAACGGGCTGAGCATATGGTTTCCCGAGTCATGGAGGAATTCCGTCAAGATAGCAAGAGTGATTGCAGCACAAAGGCGGATTACTGTGGCATCTCTTCGGGTGTAGACGACGACGCATGCAAAGAAATTGGTGTACAGTCCTGCCGCCAGTAGAACTGTTGCTGGGGCTCTCAACTTAGCATCCATACTTTGGGGTGTGATTGCACAGGCTGCATCAACGGGAATGGGAATGAGAATCAACAATGAACTGAGGATGCCGTAATCTGACGGCAAATGCGTGCCAGCTGCTCCATTTATCAGCAACGCACTTTATGCTATGACAAGCTAGGTCTAGTGCTGACTTCTCGCTAGCTCGTTGAGGGTTGGATAAAGCTCTTGCACTAATCACAATTTACTGAATCTTTGGCATGGACTAAAAAAGTAAAGCGGCCTGGGTTATCGCCTGATGTTGAAGGTAAAGTTGCTTGGTTGACAGTTTATACAAATTGCACCAAACTCCTTATGCCATCAGTGTACGATCCAATCAATAAGACTACTCTTTGAACAACGAATTATAAGTCTCGGAGCAAAAGAGTAACAATCTGGAACATACTGCATGACAGAGAGAATGGTAGAATGATAGAATAAGGTGGTTAATGCTCTCCTAATGGTTTATATTTACAATTCGACTTGGGGGCATCAAATAAGCGGTGTTCAGAAAATAATCTAGGCAGCAGACAACTGAGTTCATCGGATAAGGACGGAGAATTGAATGTGAGGAGCAATTGTGAAAGTCCCGAGGACTGGGTTCTTTTCTCTTTTGAAGACGGCATTACCAAGCTTCTAAGATACCTCATGTTTGATAGCATCTGCTACGCAGTTTGTGTCCATGACATAGTTCGGAGGATATGCACCTGATCAATCGATACACCCCTTCTTGACCTGTGGCCATCTTGGCTGCGGGGCTTTTATTAGAGAGATAATGCATATGTAAGTACGAGAATCGATATGCAATTTGAATAAAGGATAATTTTAGCAGCCTGGACTATTTATTCTCTAGTAACCACAAGAGCTATCCTTTATAAATGCCAAGTTCTAGCTGATGATAATGTTCCTTTAGTTCGGTAAAGCATCTCACCGATTTTCAAGTAGCAGACTTCTATTTCATCGCCGCAAGTTGTTCATGAGTTATTAAGTCAGCGCGAAAACAAATAGCTTCACCACCAAGAGTTCACTTCGGCCTTCATCAGCTAGACATTAAGATGGCGCTCACAACGGAACTCCGATGATGTAAACTAAAGCGAACTATTATTAGTAAGTACTATTAGTTAAGATATATATATATAGAGCAATATTAGCTCTTAGATCTATCGCGCCTTAGACGCGAGGCGTCATACCAGAAATCGAAACATTTCTTGCTAGTACTAGTAGAAAGGCCCGGGATCACCATCAAATTGCCGTTATTTATCAAGCCATAGGCGGAGACGAGCTAAAGTCTCATTACGGTACATATATAATCATCGCTATTTGCTAATAAGTGGCTTTGCATCACACCCTATTTACGACTCTCACGTTCTTAAAAGAGGCAAAGCTTCTAACAACCGCTGTATATTTCGAGACTTAAGATTCTTCTAAATCCAACAACTATATCCCCCTCCTCAATTTGATAGCACAACACTCATCCCCATTAGTTTCGTATTCTTTCCCCTATTGCAGTTCAGGTCGATTACACTTCCAAGAGACTGTGATTTCTGATTTACTTGAGCAAATCCGCTACCGCAACTTTCCCGAGGAGTCATCCTTGTTCTAACCCCTTTACCGGGTGCGTCTTCCAGAAGAAGGGGGAGCAGGGTTAGGGGCCGGAGCAGGGCGAGGGCGGGGGCGAGGGCGAAGACCAGCTTGTGGAGCAGGGCGACGAGCATAGAGACCCCGAGCTTCAAGGTAGTCAACAGAACGAGGTCGTCTTCCAGCAGACGGGGGAGCAGGGTTTGGGGCTGGCGCAGGGCGAGGGCGAGGGCGAGGGCGAAGACCAGCTTGGCGAGTATAGAGATCACGGGCCTCATAGTCGTCAACAGAACGAGGTCGTCTTCCAGCAGACGGGGGAGCAGGGTTTGGGGCTGGCGCAGGGCGAGGGCGAGGTCGAGGGCGAAGACCAGCTTGACGAGCATAGAGACCCCAAGCTTCTGGGAGCGCCTCCTCGAATTCTCGGACCGCAAGGTCATCCTCGAAATCGCGAACTTCGACGAGCTCGTCCTCATTGTCGCGAGTCTCAAGCCCATCATCGTCATCTCTTTCCTTGAGACTGAGATCGATATCTCGAGCGATAATTTCCTCAACATTCTCGCCTCGAACAGCAAGATTATCAGGCTCATCAAGGGATTGTGCAAGTCCACGGCTGGCAAGGCCTAGCCAGAGGATAGCGGTCACACTTGAATGCTTGAGTACAACCATATTGAAAATCAAGGAAATGAAGGCTGTAAGTTTAACTTGTAACCTAAAAGAAAGGTGACTAATGAAAAGAAAAGAGTGAGAAAACCAAGAAAGTGTTGTTTATAAAGGGCCTTTATGTTTAAAATGAAGAAATAGTTAAGTAGTAGAAGGCTTCATAAGTTCATTATCGAACCCGAATACCCATTAAGTAGAGGATTCTGGGCGCTCTATATAAATAGCAGCTAGCTGAAACATGCTCTGCTATGCTAGATCATAAGATCCCATCCAAGGGTTGAAACTGTATTCTCGGCATAGTTAATGTCATTCTAAACAGAGTAGCTCGGGCGCGGAAGGTTCTCGGCAGGAATAAGTTCTAAAGGATCAACTCCCACATGCTGGTAGGCACTCGGCTGCTATGCACCTGCCCTTCTTGTACATTTACAGCGAAAATTACCCAAAAAGTCATCTATTCACTATAATCTTACAGCTAACCAAACTGCTAGTCTGTACTCAATCTGACGTCAGCTATAGTAACACCTGGATTATAATGCTCTTCATACTATTTCACTACAACGGGAAGCTCTAGGGGCCCTGATTTTAAAAAATCTAGGCCCTACTTATGCCGGATACCGAAGTACGGCACTCTGTAATAATAAATGCTGGCGGGGTATAGTTCCTAACAGGGAATGGTGTGGCAACAGAGAGTCCATAATCGCGAGCTTGAAGTCCAAGAGTACGAGTGCGAGATAAGCTACACGGTATAACGTGATTTGGATTCCCTTCTTCTACTTTGAGCGCAAATATCTAGTAAGTAGAAGGGCTAATGTTCTGGGAATAAGAACATTTGATCTCGAGTGTACACCTCTTTGCCCGTATAATATGAGGACCCACGGTGCTTGGACCATAACTCCGAGCTACGAACAGGTAACCGTGCCGGGTAAGATGTGGCCGTACAGGGCATCTGTTGACACTGAATGGAGGCTCGGCAGATAGGGGTATGTACCGATGGCACGGTATGTCACCAACCCTTTAATTACTGTAGAACCCCACCACATGGACTTATTATAGCAGCCGCTAAAGAGTCTCTCCTCGTACCCTTGTTACATCCCTAGATCTTCCAAAAACAACAAGTCCACATAACCGCCGATAGAAGTTAGAGAATTACTTGTAGGTAGAGCTATTCTTACTCTTCTTTCTCTGAAGGGCTGCATTGTGGAAAGGCTACCGTTTAGCTGGTCTGAAATATCTACACAATGAAGCAGATTCCGTCGTAGATCAACCTTACTTCCGAGCATAACATTAATTCTTCTGCTTAGCCGAGTGCTCTGTGTTTCTCGGTCAAGCTATGGAGTCAGGCGTATAATTTGTCTTTGCGGATTGTGATTTTAATACATCCCAGTCATTCGGTTCATTCTAGAACTTGTCGCTGTGGAGTATACGCAGTGTTGGTGGCTTTATTTTCGGCTCTGAATCCTTGCATCGTACTTTATGACGAACTGTCACGGAGGAGCATTATGAGAGAATAGAACTAGGTCTTTGTCTTAACGGGAAAACTTGGCCCTGACCACGAATGAGTCCGTTCGCTCACCCTACTACTTCTCCCTTTTCATTCTAAAATTGCCAGAACAGGCAATTTTGAAAACGGGCCAAGCTAAGGCCGAGGCTAGAACGCTTTTGCGTAAATAGAGGATCCTTCATCTATCGAACCCAGCCCCGCAAGTTTATGAGGTACGGATGCTGTCGAGGCCGCCTCTTACTCGAGTAGTTCATCACGTTACTTTGAGTGCTATGATGGCAAAATTCTCTCTCAAAAATAGCTTCCCTTCGCCTTCGGGAGATTTGCAACGTAGGGTGATAAAAGGAGGTTGGATTTCTAGTCGTGTTTTGCCCCTAGCAAAACTGTAACACGAGGGATCCTTGAGCATTTTCTATTATTGTTATTCTCGCCAGAAGCGGGAGACAACTACTTGACGCTTTGAAAACAAGCGTTCATGTTCTGATCGTCACTTAAGTACTCAAGTACTGACAGTGGCAACTTGGGACCCAATCGTCAAAAATGCAGAAGCCGGAACATTCCCCCCCCAGCAGTTTGAACTCCCTGTCTAACTTTATCCCTGTCCAAACCAGCAAGGTGCCTTCTCTCTCAGGCACAGCCTGTCCTACCCTAGACCGGAACTATTATACCTACTCTGCATTGTCAAGATAGGTTTGTCCTTCTCCAGTACTAATGGCCGAGGGTCATTGTAAAATCCCATTGAAATTCCAGTGGTCGGTTTAATGAGATGAAGCTTTCAGAGAATTTCTCAATATCTCTTTAGCTGCTTTACTACTTTTATATCACATATTATCATGTTTGTTATTTTGACAAAAGAAGCTAACATTATTACGAAAGTTTTTAAGCTCTCTCTAGCTATTATTAAGTACTTTCTCTATACGCCCACGGGGTTGTGCTGATATGTTCCTACTTACTACAAGTCTCACCTCTATATATAAGTCCCACAACACCACCACAACCTCGGTGTGGAAACTCTTGGCCTCAGCCCCTGGCGCTTCTGGATTTGCGGATTGCCAGCCCTCAGAATGGAACCCTACAGAAAAATGATTCTCGTTTAGTCCGGCTGTTTGTCCCCGCGCGTGGACAGCCTACGATATTAAGCTGGGCTCCAATGGTACCTGGAGAGCCGAGTTTTGCTCAAGGTGTGTTCATTGCACTGGCTTGCCCCAGCTTGGAAGTCATGTAGAGATATTAATGACAATAAACATAGGCTTCTTCTGCTCGCCCCTTAGCAGACATCGATGGCATCCCGAATTCCGCATGTGTGAAAGTAATCGCGAACAATATGACAACCTCGGCCAGCACTTCTACCTACGCCCTCACATTTGGCACCGTCGGCCGCACAGTCACCAGGAGAATTACGATTAGCTCAGGAATAAGTACGCTGCTAATCCACAACGCATGGCACATCTATTGGGATCCAACAGATGTGGCTAGTCTTAGTCCCACGCCGCCACTCCCTTTATGCTCAACATCAACCATACACACTTGGGCCCCTGATAAGAGCCGATATGATGGTGCATATTTGGGAAACAAGTGCGAAAATCAGGGATCAGATTTGGGTAACCTCGCCGTCATTATCATAGTAGTAATCTTTGGGGCCCTGTTTATTGGAGGTTTTTTTTTTTTCATTATTCGCAGCTATAGCAAGAAGAAGAGATTAGCAATAAGGGCTGTGTCGGTGGCAAACCATGCAGCTGCCCAGGCAATGCAAGGCCCTGAAGGCCAAACATAGGCAGGATAGACAACCCAGGAGGCCATCTCGCTGCAGCCAATTGGAGGCAAGTGAAGTTGAGGACCCCTCAAGGATATATCGCCCAAACTTGGGCTCGGGTTCCTTCGTTCTTGTGATCATACTCTTATTAAGCGGTCATTAATTCAATATGCTTCCTCTGCCATCACTTAAGGCTATGGTCATTGTATATGTATGCCAACAGCCTAGATGTCGGGTCTGGCATCTTTCAATGTTGTTGTTCACTTTACACTCGAACTCTCTTCCGCCAACAGTCTATGCGGTCGTTTAATATTCGTGAGGACCATTTTATATAAAACGGAAACATAGCTCTTAGTGGCCTTGCATTTGTCGTCGAGGGCATGAGAAGCCTCTAACTTGTGCTGGCTCTAGGGTCATGTTACGACGCTACCCTAGAATATTCTTTCCAAGAAGCGTTAACCATAGAATCGAATGTAGTTGGGCTTTTATCGAGAACAAATCTTGGTAGCTAGAATTGGTTTTGCTGGTTGCGCAAAACGAGATATCATTCCCGCACAGATATCGGGGCTGATCGCTTACAAACTGTTTCGTCGCTCTCTACACAGACCGCCGTTTACTACCTGTTAGTGTTCATCGTCAATACTCAAATGGAATTCCTTTCGGTGAATGATAAATCTTAGTTGTTAGGATTCAAGCTCCAAAAATATTCTCTCTGATGCTGCTAATATCCAGTGCTGCAACTTCAAGACGCTACTTATGCCTTGTGATAGGGTTCTAGGCTGTCGTAGGATGAAATTGCTGCATTGACAAGCCCTCCGTCCGGAGAAGTATCCCAATCCCTTACTCAGCAGGGCCTTTCATGAAAATAAGAAGTTCTTCTCGAAAGGGCTAAAGGCGTAAGCACAACTTGGCAACGAATTCTTGCCACTATGCGGAAGTGGGGACCTCGCTGACCGAGAATGACCGAAAAGAAAGTATCCGACAAATTACCTGATGACCAAGCTTGGGCGGCCAACGGGAAGACTGTCGGATAGATTTGGCTTTTAGTATTAATGAGTTGACAGATAGACAAGCAGATTTAATATAAAGCCTTGAAGTCTCCCCGTAAACTTCACACCCTTCCGACAAATCATTCTGAATAAATCATCCTGAGCATTGAATAGCATCCAAACTACCAAGTCACAAACATGAGGCCATTGACAGTCTCCCTCGCTTTAACGGCAGCCTTTGCATCGGCATCGGCAGTACCACGAGCATCCAACCAATCTCCAACAGTACAAGCTCCAGCGGGCACCATAACTGGATCACTTATTGACAGCGTTGAATACTTTCGAGGTATTCCGTACGCGGAACCACCAGTCGGCAACCTTCGATTAAGAGGTCCCGTCAGAGCGCAGCCACAAAGCCTCATCCAAGCGACTGGTGTTGGCCCAGCATGCCCGCAAATGACTAACTCCGTGGTGACACCCTTGCTTGGGCAGGTTATCTCCGACCCTGAGGTGGCTGGACCTCTTTTCTTGGGAAGCGCATTTGACAACGGCCAAGAGGACTGTCTCACTATTTCAGTTATGCGGCCCGAGAATACTCCCGCTGACGCAAAGCTCCCTGTTTTATACTGGATGCACGGTGGCGGATTCGCAATCGGCAGTTCACAAGCTTACAACGGATCCGTCATCGTTCCTCGTGCTGCACAACAAGGCAAGCCATTCATTTTGGTGGCCGTCAACTATCGTCTAGGAGCGTTCGGTTTCCTAGGCGGCGCTGAGGTTCTTGCCGAAAACTCGACAAATCTGGGACTTCTTGATCAAAGAATGGGCTTGGAATGGATTGCAGACAACATTGCCTCGTTCGGCGGAGATCCGGATGCAGTCACCATCTCTGGAGAAAGCGCTGGTTCTATTAGCGTTTTTGACCAGATGGCGTTATACAATGGGGACAATACCTATGGCGGACGACCCCTTTTCCGCGGAGCAATTATGCACAGCGGAAGTATTCAAACACGAGAGCCTGTTGACGGCCCCAGTGCGCAGAAAGTATTCGATACGGTAGTAGCAGCCGCCAACTGCTCTTCTGAGACGGACAAGCTTGAGTGCTTAAGAACTGTCGACTATGACACGTTCTGGCAGGCCTCGATGAGCGTGCCCTCCTTCTTGAGTAACAGTTCTATCGCTTTGAGTTATACGCCGCGCCAAGATGGGAAAATCCTTACGGGCAGCACAGATGCGTTGGCCAAACAAGGAAGGTTTGCGCAGGTGCCGATGATAATTGGCGATGTGAAAGACGAGGTAGGTCTTCCCCGGATTTGTGTTGTCTATTAACAGCAACTAACGAGACACAGGGTACAATTTTCTCACTCTTCCCGGTTGGCATTACCAACCAAGATGAACTTGTCTCATATCTTTCAAGCTTCATTTACAAGCATGCTTCGCGCAAGGAGATCACCAGACTACTGAATACCTACCCAACCGATGGGGACAGCAGCACTTATCCCGGGTTCACTCAGCTTGCTGGAATGCTAGGCGATGCCTTCTTCACAATGAAGAGAAGGGAACTTCTTGACTGTCTCCCAGCGAAGGTTCCAGCTTGGTCATTCTTAGGGAACTGGCTGCCAGACACTCCCATTGTCAAGACATTCCATACATCTGACGTGCCACGGCTTTTCTATTACACCGACTCCACGAGTAAATTTATCCAAGATAGATATTTCTCATTTATCACCTCCGCCAACCCCAATGATGGCGATAAGACCCTCCCATATTGGCCTAGTTGGCATACAAGCCGGCAATCCTTGGAATTTGGAGCCAGCGAAGCTACGATTATCCCCGATAACTTTAGGAAGGGGAGTTACGAGTTCATCAAGTCCCATAAAGCTGCTTTTCAGCTGTAAATAAGCACTCAGCACCAATATCTGCTCTGTGGTCGGGAATCGAGGGCAAGTTTGGGATGTAACTAGTGTTTTACGGGATAGAATGAGAAAAGGTTTCAATAGGAGAAAAAGTAACTAGTCCTATATAGAAAATGCCCTCTTTAATGTTATTATCTTTGCTCCCTGTGTGTAGGATTTGGATCAGTACTAATAAGCTGAAATCCCTCATTAGATGTAAATAGTCAAACTCGGCCCATTATACCAGATTAGCTTTTAAGTTAACTGCCATTGGCGGACATCTTCGGACATCTCTGACCCACATTGTGTCAGCCTACTCCTGGCTGAACTTGGTATCGATTTGTCATCGAGATTTGGAAGTGTCCAAGTTTGATTATTCTCAACTCACCAAACTTGAATAGAGAAAGCACATTGTCCATCTCTGTGTAAACATTAGAGATCAACACATTATTGGAAAAGGGGACATCGTCTTATTTCCCGCATTGATATTCGTCTTGTCATTTTGTCCGAGGAATCCATGCAACCATCATGGGAAGAAGAAAGGCAAGCCCCCGGTGCAATGAAACCAATGTGAAAGTATACGCAGGATGCTGACCAATCCCTAGACCTGTGACCTTTGCACTATCAAGAAAATTCGCTGCGATGGGGCCGTTCCTGCTTGCTCCTATTGCACGACTTACGCAGTTCCGTGCAAGTGGACTCCGGGTATTCATAAGCTTGCTAGACCCAACAGGAACAGGAGACGTGTATCGGAGACTCCTTCACAGTTGGCCCCGGTTGATGTGGAAGTTTGCACTTTCGCAGACGGCGTGCCCCTCCCCGTTTCCGATCCTGCGGTGAGCAACAACGTGCTTACCCATCGGTCACCGGCCGTCTCGGGAGATCAGACGTCTCCTAAGCCAAGTGCAGTAGCCAAGGATGACGAATGCCTAAGGATGGAGATCCAGGCAGGGGAAAGATATCCCCTGCCTCCATTGGAGGATGTCGAGCAATTGTTCGACTTCTTCTTCGCCAACTTTAATAAGTTCTTCCCAATTTTTGACTATTCAAGGGCTATGGGAATGTTGCATGACTGGTACCTCACCTGCCCAAATTCTCGGGACGAGTCTACTTGGGCTGTGATCAATATCATCATCGCCCTTGGTCTACAGTTCAAACACTTGACACTCCCGGCCTTTACCACCCTCGAAGACTCTACCGTTTATGCGGCCAACGCCCAGTCGATCCTTGACAAACTAGTCATGCGAGTCAGTGACTGCTATGGGATTCAAGTCCTTCTGGGATTGGTCGTGTACTTCCAGAAATCTATGGACAGAGGCCCGGCGCAGGTGCTCATTGCCTCCACGATTAAGCTGGCGTTCCGTCTGAGACTTCACATGACACAACATGGTCTTGCTCTGCCCCCAAAGGATGTACTGGAGAGAAAAAGGCTCTTTTGGGCAGCTTATATCTTGGATAGGGACGTTAGCATGAGAGTTCGCGATCCATACATTCTCCAAGATCACGATTTCGATGTCGACCCTTTAGAACAGATCATAAGAGACGAGGTTACGTGTGACCTGGGCTTACCGATCGATGCGGAGGAATTTAATTATTTTCGATGCCGAGCCGACCTTGCATTTATTCAAGGAAAAACGCATGACTGGATTAATTCGGTCAAGGCAGAGCGGCTTGTCGACTACCAGAAATGGGAGAAACGGGAATTGCTATGGACGATGCTCAATGAATGGATGATGACGGTCCCACAGCTATACCACCCAAGCAATTTGGAGAATCTCGATAGTCCTGTGGAGCAAGCATTCATCTCGCTTTACATTACAAGATTTCGTACCATATGCGGGATCGAAAAGGTTTTCTCGCATCATACAGAATGGATTAGCGGGCTTATTGACTATAGCGTCAAGTGGTCCGCGGATGGCCAAACTGCCAGCAAGTCGGCTCAAAGTCCTCTGCCGAATCACTGGAAAGACCTCGTGGACTCTGCTCGAACGATTATGCTGCTGTTTCGAAGAGTGCCAAAATTCTACAACGGACTTTTGGGAAATCTCTGTTGCGCCTATTGCTCTGCTTTGCTCATCGTGGTCGCGAACAAGCTTGTACTCCCTGAGGTCCACGTAGTGGGCCAGCCAAAGCTGGATGATGCCCTGATTGTGGAAGGTATTGAATACATGGAAGCCAAGTATGAGGTTATTGCTGCTCCGTCACTGAAAGCAGTGTCCAGAGCCTGCCGTGAGTTGACAGGCGAGCCGATGCCGCCGTTGGTGCTACGAAAAATAAGACACAAGACACACAAGACAGCCAAATAATGCCCTTTGGCTCCGCTCTTGCTCCCAAAACATTTCAAACGCTCATGTTTGAACCGTGTGGATCTCTCCCCGAAACTGAGCTTCAGTCGGCCTTTATCTTCAAGATGTGGGATCCTTGACAACGAGAGACGTGATGAAACATAGCCAATGCATTCATCCCCCGTTTATTGGATGGAGAAAAGGCTGTATTTCGATGTTTCTAACATTTTATGAGTATGCGCCTCAACTAGTTTATAGGAGCCGATGTGTAAGCATGGGTTTCAATTGCCAGAACTCGATATAGAAAGAAGACAGTCTAGAATGCCAAATTTAGCAATGATTTCTAATTTACATCATCTACCTCGGTCTTATATTGACTGCAAGAAACTCCCAACGACTGATATCGGCCTATTGCAACGTTGGCAGCCAAGTTGCAAGGGCCTCGTTGACTTTGTCGGCAGCCTCCCAGTGTGCGAAGTGATTTGAGTCCAATTCTTGAATCTTCAACGACTCAAAATAGTCGCCCATGTCGGTCCAAATATCTGGCGGCATAGTATCTGGCTCCTTGGTCGCGGGCATGAAGAGAACGGGCATTTTATACTTGATTGGGCCATTCTTGAAGAATGGCAGCTCGTCCTCCCAATCCATCCTTCTGGTCCGATACCAGTTGAAGGGGCCCCGCATGCCATTGATATGAAACCTTTTGGCGTAAAAGTCTATGTCTTCACTGGACACTAATGGGCTGGGGCCTAACTGATCGAGAATATCGAAATCAACCCCATTCTGAGGAGAGAAGGCGCCTTTCCCGTCCGATGTCGTGCCACCATAGACGCCATTGAGGAATGACCGGATCTGGCTCAGGCTCGTAACGTTGCGCTCCAAGGCTTCATTACGAAATTGTAGTTGGTATCCCATTGTCGGGAAAGTGCCATTTTGCACAAGATCTAACATATCAACCCAATCCTTTGTAGGGCCCAGCCAAAGAGGGATGTAGGGAATGGCGATGGTGAAGAATGCTTTGACAAGCCCGGGGTGCCAGAGAGCAACTTTGTAGGTCAGGCCAGCACCCCAGTCATGCCCACCGACGATGACTTGTTCCCCTTTGGGCACGAGCTGTCCTATGAGGTCGGCTATATCGGCTGCAAGTTCCTTGCGAGCCCAGTGAGTGACGGAGCAAGGGGAATCAGTACCTGCGTAGCCCAACATGTCCGGAGCAACCACGCGATAGCCAAGCTTTGCAAGAGAAGGAATCTGATAGCGCCAGCCATACGAAAGATCCGGTATCCCGTGCAATAGAAAGATGGTCCCTTTCTGGGAAGAGGTAGGCTCGGCGAGAAGATAGTGATACGTTTGATCTCTGACTTTGGCATAATGACTTGACGTCCCTGGAACATACCCAGCAGTTTCATTCCCTGGTTTGGGCGTGGCTAGACTCAATCCCAGCTGTGGAAGTAGCAAAGCTACTATAGCCTTTAAAATGTGCATTTTCTGCTTATCCTGTTGATGTTGGTGATAGGCAGGTATTGGGAAAGTATTGGAAAGAATGCTGGGATTTGATAGAAAAGCTAAGATAATATACAAACTTTCTTGTGACACTCCTGATATTTGTATTCTCAAATTTGAGTTTGCATTTCAGTATGTAATCGTTTTTATCAATAAGCAGCTACCTCTCCCACTTCTCCGGAACTCACTGGGGAGTTGTCCGAGATGTCCGGGTTTCCACTCGTCGATTATCAAACAGTCTGACAAATAGAGAGGCGGCAGCATACAACATGGGATTGTTGTATATTTTTAATATGAATTGAATCGAAGATTTGTCAATTTCCCGGGGTAGAAAAATGTCTATAGTCGCGACGTTTCATCGTAGTGGGCTGTATTTGATTCCGTCATCAGCGTCGAGGCGCTCAGGGCAACTAACAATTACTTGGTCAGTCCAAGATTGTAATGTTTCCAATCTTCTTCCGATCAGTAGTAATTCCGATAATATGCTACGAAGACGATATCCGCTTGCCGTGGGCCATCAGATAGAGTGACTCAGTGCTATCATTCCTAACGAAACAGAGTCCAGCTTCAAAAACACGAGACTAGTAATGAGATCTGCGCTCGACATTTCCGAGAAAGAAGGCCAAGAAAGAGAGATCAATCCTATTGCGGGCTTTCACAAAACTATGAAGTCAGTTTGAAGCCAATGAGAGCGGCGGTAGAAGGCCAAGACAGACAGTAAGTAGGAGGTCTCATTGTAAATTTGCTCACTGGCACCCTGGACTCTGGGCTGATCTAGAGCAAACCTGATTTGGAAAATACTGCATTGTGGTTCCTTTAGCTGCTTTCAAAGAGTTTAGCGCACAAACCTGCAGCTGCAAGAAGAGCAACGGATTATTATCTGATCATCTGATAAGAAGCCAGGTCCACGCCGCTTCACCAGTATTGGTATGGCTTCATGGCGGGATGACCAGGCCAACCTGGTCAACATAGTACGGCCATATCATTGAACAGAAGAAGCAAGACCCGACATTAGTGGTGGTAAACATTCAGACTATTATGACCGTGCAGGTAACTAGTCTCGGCTAATTCCCTTTCACTTATGCAGACATGCTCATAGCAAGCTAAGACTTTTTCAGATATTGAACTTCCCTTGATTTCCTGCCATGCTGTCCTATTCTGTGCGGATCAAGACGAGCCAATATCCTAGGGCGATTTATTTCCAGGCCTAATGCAGGTAAACTATTCAGTGCACACTTAGAGACGCGATCCATTTACTCAGGACCGTCAACCTCGCCTGATCTCAATTACCTAGCATCCGATTCCTAATCACCGAATGACTCTTGATGTTATTGCTTATGAACGAACACCGCACGCTTTGTGTCCACTAGGATACCAGAGGCAAGGCACATTATCGCAGCATTGGCCTGGAGGGCCCGGGTAAACACATGGGGCTGAAGGTCAGGTTAGCTCCTAATGTCATAGAAGGGTCATTAACTTCGTCCATTAAATATAATAATTTAAATGAAGGGAAAGCTATTAATATTTATATACCAGCGGGTGTTATAGTTCATATTAATTCTATTAATGTACCGTGATTTAAATATTTATGAGATATTGGTACTTTAGTACTTACAAAATTTTTAATTATAGAAAATAATATTCAACTTACAGCAAATAATATTAAAACTAAATAAAACATAATATTATCGTGAAGTTACAACTTCACAACAGAGTAGATGGAGCGCTCAACATACCGCCCTGAAGGGAATACAAGCCCGGACCTCAAGCTCGGGCGGGGTGCTGGGGGCCGCATGCACCAAAGGCGCGATGAGGCATGTGAGGGCGACGATCCAGGACGAACGCATTGTGGTAGAGTGATTTACAAATGGAGAGATGAAAGTAGGTTTATGAAGTGAGTGGGATGTTGGGAGATCCAGCAAGCATGTACTAGGAGGAAGTGATAACCGGCTATATTTATAGATGCACATATAAATCCCTCAAGAGGAGTCGTTTGTCTAAATAATATGGATGAGCGAGCTCCGGAGCCAGCAGAGGGCACCAGGAGATCCATGAGCCTAACTCGAATTAGTAGAGCTGGAGGAGCTGAAAACTGCATGCACCTCAGTGTCACCATGTAACTTGACGCCGAGTCCCGGCAGAAAGTAGACATTTGTGGATATAGTAACGTAATCACAAATCTACCGTTGACTGATTGCCTGTATTAGGTACAATGTGATCGAGACCGACTGCTATCTTGTTCCGGTTGGCTGGGGCAAACGGTGCATCCTAGCCCACCCCTGACAAGTGGACACAAGGAGAGGTATACTCATTTCTTTTCAGTACTTGAAGCCTCCAGTCCTTTCTCTCAATGTGCCGATGGGATCATACTCCTGCTGAAGTGCTTTGAACTTAGCATAGTCTCTGTAACTCCCAGTAACGTTCTGATCGGCCATGGCGTCGTTCATAAACAGCGGAAGATAAACATCCTTAGCCTGTGACGACGCCTCTAGCCATACGGGAATTCTCCCCTCAATCCAAGCAGTGAGGTCTTTGGTAATGGAAACCAACGTAGCATCATCATCCTTGGATGCCCAGGCACATTGAAACTCGAGTAAAACTCTGTCTGGGTCACTGGCCGTCAACCCCATCGCGTTTCCTCCATTTTGCTCCGAGTTCTTTCCTACAACAGCTGGAAGGGGCTGGAAATCAACTGAGCATTGGGACAAGAGGTGCAGAGGATTGTTGAAATAGTCGGCGGAAAGCTCGGTCATCTTTTTAGATATCTCAGAATACATTGCCGGATATTCTGAAACGTAAGGTATGGTGAGAGTCTATTCCAGTTAGCGCCCAATTCATAAACTATGCGCTCTTGTTTTCAATGGAAAGCATACTCTGAAGGATATGCGAGAATTAATGAGAGACGCGCCCACTCCGTTAGATTTGAGCTGCATAAAACATTAGAACCAAGCCTCGAGGCATTCATTTTTGTGGTACTTGCCAATTCGGGATAGGATTGAGTTCCAGTGATGGAAACCAGAGAAGGAATTGTGAGAAAATCGGCAAAGGGGCCCTCTGTAGGTGGGGCTTCTCCATCATAGAAATAGAAGATCAAGAAAGCATTCAAACTCGCCACGGCTGATATGTTTGTAACAATGATTGCGGCTTTGGTGTCTTTGTTGCTCCCAGGGACAAAGTCATGAAGCGTCTTGAAGATCTTGTCTGTCTGGGATGCATCATAGATGCGTACCCCTCCCCAAACCTTCCCGATGGGATGAGCTTTGACCGTGAATTTCGTGACAATACCTGTTTTACATGATAAGCTAGGGCGATGCTTCATATAGCTCCCGGTAACTTACCAAATTGACTACCGCTTCCTCGTAGAGCTGTGGCAAGTTCGGGCTGGGTGTTTGCATCCACGTTGATAATAGTGCCATCCGCACTAACTATTTCCCAACCCACAATGTTCTTGAAAACCTTGTCAATGTGTGCGTCTCGAAATTCCGGATCAATAACTTACATCTGCAGCTAACCCATGCTGAGCGCTGAGAAATGAGATCCCGCCCTGCACCAGGAAGCCACCCACGCCAACGATGCCTGAATAAGTTCAGAATTATGACTCCTTCGTGACGTACAATGATTTAGACAACTCACCAAGCCGACCCCCAACAGCAGTGACTCCGTGCTCATTCAGACTGGAGATCACATCGTTCCACTCACCGCCGGGTTTGATGGATGCGAGGTTTGTCGCTGAGTCATATGTTGCCCCTGACATTTTCTCAAGTGAGATCAGCACTCCATCCTGGACGGTAGCATGTCCAGCATTGGGATCATGTCCACCGCTTTTCGCAGTAAACTTCACATCAGGACATTTGTTCAGGACAGTAACTGCCTTGGAAACCTCTTCAGCCGACTCCGGGAGAACAACACATGCTGGCTTCAGTTCACGAAGAATGGTGGACCAGTAAGCCGTGGTTTCAGAATGATAGGAAAGGCTAAGAGGAAATGATGTTCTCCCAGCGAGCGTTGTCGAAAGCTCTTCGCAGGCTTGATTCGTGGACGAACTTGGTGCAGCTGACGCGTGCTTGCCAAGGGAACCGAGAACCGCCAGATGAGAGAGAAAACTCCGGAATTTGCGGCCCATCTTGTCTTCTTTTGCCTTGGGTTGCAGAAGAATTGGATTGTCGCGTTGTTAATATTGTTGAGACGACGGCATGAGGCTATTTATCTTTCAACGCAGATCAGCATAGACTCGCAATTTTAAATAGTTGTTACATGGTGAATTAGTGACAACGCTCCGCCGTTTCGTTGGTGCGCGATGAACAAACCCTGTCGTAATACGAAAACGATATGTTTCAAAGGACAATATGCCATTAATCAATGCGAAAACGAGAAAGGGATGGCAATGGTGGAGTTGTTGCCGGCCGTGGATCTAACCTAGTGCAGGGATCTCTTTCGTCCATCATCAGATCGTCAATATAAAGATTGCGGGGTTCGCACAGATGGATGAAACCATCTGTTGATTAATCTACGATCCTCGCCACTTGGAGTCAAATTCACGAGGAAATATCCCTAGGAACAGCCGAGGCATGGTGGCCAACAACTTGCCTCCAGGCAAACACTGATACACCGTTGAGAACGGCAAACCCATTTCGGATTCCGCCGTCTAGAACTGCTCGGTGGAGGAAGGAATTTGGGGCAACCTCTGCATCAAGGCACTCTACTACGAAGGTAATCAAGGGCAGCCAGATGGCGTATTATTATTTGGAACATTCATTGTGTTGAAATGTTGGGTCTGTCATTTGCTATTGCTGTTTTTCATTGTGTGAGTCAAGCCACCCCAACTTTCTCACCGGTGTTATCAAAAGAGCTGAATTGTGATAGGTTTTAGGCTATTGTCAAGTCAAAGACTGGTGACCCGAGATAATATTCTATCACACGTGACTTACTCTGACGGGACATCCTAACTTGCTGGATTTATATAGCAAGTCAGGCGATCTTTTCTCCCTTCAACCGACGAAACTTCGATTCATCCTCGGCAGGATTCGTTCCGCACTGATTTGGCCCTGCTCTGAAGGTTACACGTTCAGATGCTACACATATAAGTGCCTAGGCACTAAGATGGTTTCACGCCAATCACGATATTCCCCGCCGGCCAAAAGCGTTGGACGAAACTACGAGGTAGTTGTTAGAAGAAGTAAGTATGTGATATTATCAGAGAGAGGTGAAAGCAACCCTAGCTTTCCCCGCACATCTGGCTATTGACCTTGGGAATTAATGCTTATATCAGTCAGATCATGACCACATATTGAAAGGTGAGGACATTTCTTGGTATGATAAGCTTGTTTTATTATGCGCAAAGCCGGTCCAACTCTCCTAATTGTTGGGCTATCCATCAAATATGAAACTGATAGGTACTCGTAGTTACGTATAGTTGTCCCATTAATTCAGTTTGGTGAGGGAAACAATCCTTTCAAACGTGTTACGTGGTGACTAAACAATGCCTACGGACATAGTTGGTGCGTGCTTAGTCTGGGCTCATGCTACTGGGGAAGCTGGCCACAGAAGCATTCGAAAGGTGCTCGATAAGCTTGTCCGAGGCCTGAGAATTGAGCTTTGCTAGGATATTGAGGATGATATTGAGAAGTGTGTGGCCGCGTTGTTGATGGGATTCATCGTCGGAATTTTGTGAAATCTCCAGCAGGACGCTCCCCACGGCCCTGATAAGTTCTATCTGTAGTCACAGTTAGAGTTTAAAGCTATTTCGGTTTCGGTCGTTATGTTTGAGAAATATTACATACGCCAGGTTCTCCATTTCCTCGCAGGTAATGGAAGGGTACACTTTGAAGTGTATGGACGAAATCTCGAGCGATGTTTAACTCCTCTCTTGTCCAGGCTGAACGATCATTATGAAGTCCGATGATTGAAGGTAATTCGAACCGAATACATTCGTGAACAACCAAGAGCTTGGCACAATAGAACATCGTTTGGAGGCGATATCTCTGGGTAGTATAAGAGATGGGCTGATATTCAGTGGGAGACTCGTTGTCTCGCAGTAATATGACAGAGGATTGAAGTGAGGGTGGCATATCGTCAAGAACGGAAACGAATTCCGAATACATGGTGCTCAGTCTACTCAGTTCCAGTTGGTCATCGAGTGGCGCTTGTTTGTTCCTTGTGTTCATGCGATGATGTGTCCGGATGGCGACAATCAGGTGAGCCGCCATAGAGAATGTGCGCCGAAAGAGGTGGAACCCGTCTAGAAGAGATTTCTCAAACTCATTATCAGCGTACCCTGGGCTGTCAGCTAGTAGTGGTACCTGGTTTAAGCCAAACTCCTTAGTGTCCAGCTCAGTGTCAAACAGGAAGTCGAAAAGTACTGCGGGCCTGTTTTTCAGACATATGGCAGAGCTATCAGACATGACCAAAGTCCAGAAACAGTTTCGAAGTAAAGTCGACTCCAAAGGTTCGTACTGGTTGAGGACATGTTCGCTGTGGAGACGCATGGCGTGGGCAAGCATGCTCGCCTGCCCTACCACTTGTGATGCCAAGCCTTTGTCACAGGTGTGCTGTTGGATGCATGTAGCTTGGAGCATCCTTATCTGCAGTGAACTTGAGTTGGGATGGCCCAAATCATACTCTTCGTACTCACGGAGCGTATCGCGAGACGCGCGGAGAAAAAGAGGCCCCATGACAGCACCACGAGGGATTATAGTCTCTCCGTGTATAAATGTCATGGTCCCACACACGGCGGTCAGAAGTGAGAACGATCTCAGAATAGAAACTGACGCATCATTGAGAAGGATGTGATCACTGGGTAATTCATCCTTGAAGAAGTCTTGGGCATACGCTCGCAGACTTGGTTCATGACAAATTGGCAGATTTGGGAAAGATCGTTGGAAAAATAGAGAAAGGGAATCATTGACCAGCTGCAAAACGCTTGTGTTGGGAAACACTGCGACAATACCTGTGACCAAGGTTCGGTGCAGCTTTATGAGAGAGGATTCCTGGATCTCGGCAGTGACAGATGGCGTTGAAATGGACTGATGTGGCTCAGGACAAAGCGACGGCAGAGGGCTGCTGACACATTCTCTTCGTTCTGTGGGTTGACTTCTAATACCTGGTCTTGGGCCCTTTGGACCTCTTCTACGTACCGGTATGTCGTACGAGCATTTTTGAGAGGACATTCGACAGTATGAACATGGGTCAGTCGAGTCGCACTGTCTCAAGGTGACCGTTGATTAACAACTTTCCCAATGGCTGGCCGAGAGTAACTCGCAAGATACTTGTTCTGTTAGCTCACTCTGTTACACAACGCACTTGAAGGCCGGTGTGGAGAAGCAGGGGTAGAAGTTCAGTCTCTCTACCTACCTTGCCTTGATCTTCCTTTCTCTACACCGGTCACAAGCTCGCTTACGAAGCACCGTCGTGGTATCTGTCGCCATTTTCACCGTGGCGAGGAGATGAGATGAGAGGAGGAGGTGGAGGATATAATTTGCCGCGGAGTGGCCCGGTCAATATGGACTGGCTGGTGGGGGAGTTACGTACACTAAGAATTTCTCCGCGGCAATACTTCAAGTCCAGAATCGTCACAAGAGGGGAATAGAGTGCCACTCTAAATCCCCATGGGGATAAGCGTTTGAAGAAGCACCCACGGCCGGCTAGTTCCGGGTGAAGCGAGTCAGTCTATTTGTTGGAATACACCAAGAGTCAGAGCCGCGGCGGAATTAATCCCCGCTCAAAAGGACAAACTTACCATTGCCAGTGAAAAGGCCTCTCCAATACATCAAATTATTGCGACTAGCTTGCCCCGACATGACCTGATCCGGGGTATTATTTGGGAGATGGGGTAATACCCCATGGGCAGCTGGAGCGAGTCACATGCACTTATCAAGTCATTCTGCAAGGTTTGCTTGCCCAGACCAGGTTGGAACTTTAGACGCGCAGACACCGAGCTTCGAGCCCCAATCCAGCGGGTTCTGTAACTATTCTCGCCGTGACTGTCTTCGTATCCTTCTCGGGCTATTGAAGAGCGAGCCGCAGCCTCTATAAATACTGGCAGTCCCTGCATGCATCTCCAGCGAGGTTACCATCTGCCAGGATTCATCATCCACCAGAGACCATGGCATCAAGCAAAGAGACAGCTCAAGGGGCTGAGAAGTCAGCTCACGATGCGCAGCATGTTGAGCATCATATCGAGGATGAACTCAAGCCTACTGAGGTCGTCATTGATGCTGCCACCAAAGGTCAAGCGGTGTCCGGATACGAACATTTGACGCTCTGGGAAACCGTCAAGACCTTCAAGATAGCGACACTGATTTGCTTCGCCGCCGCCTTTAGCGCAGGCAACGACGGATACCAGATTGGGTATGTTGAGTCACTTTCTTCTCCTCTTGCCTTGGTGATGGACCACTGACTGAACTCGGTTGCAAGTATCAACGCCAGCATCGTGGCCAACAAGGGCTTCGTCCGACAGTTCGCGACCAAACTCGATGCCAAAGGCCAGCCATACCTCGAGTCACCCATATTGAGCGGCTGGGGTTCGATCATGTCAGTTGGCCAAGTGGTTGGTACAATAAGCATTGCCTTCATCTCGAATCGATTCGGCAGAAAGATGTCCATGTACTGGTTGTGGATTGTGCTGGTCGCCAGCGTCCTTGCCGAGTCGCTTGCAAGAACTTGGCAAGTCTGGCTGGTGGCCAAACTTCTTGCAGGTATCGGCGTAGGAAGTCTACAGGCTACAATCCCACCATACATCTCCGAGGTTGCTCCCACCAGAATCCGCGGCGGCTTGTTGATGCTCTACACTTTTTGGTGGACAACAGGGTCCTTCTTCGCGCAAATTGCTCTGTTCAACATAAACTCCAACACACCCTACAACTGGCTCACGCCTATCTACACACAATGGGGGCAAATTGGTGTTATGGCGATCATCTTTTTCATTATCCCCGAAACGCCCGCGTGGTACGCTACTCACGGCCATGAAGAGGCCGCCAAGAAGAGCCTCCGCTGGATCCATAGAGATGTCCCAGGATACGACGAAGTTCACCAATACAACATCTTGGCTATGCTTGTCGAACACGAGAGGGCCGTCGCTGCTGAACAGCGACGGGAGAAGTGGTGGGCTATTTTCCAAGGCATCGACGGTCGACGCACCTTGATCGCCGTCTGGCCTTACGTTGGCCAGCAATTCATCGGCCTCAAGCTATTCTCGACTTTTGGAACCTACTTCTTCCAGCAAGCAGGAGTTGGAAACCCCTTTACCGTCAAGTGCATTACTTCCTCCATCCAGATCGCTACCATCCTCGTCAATGTCATGATTACGGATAAATTTGGTCGCCGACCCCTGGCTTCGTCTGCCGTCACACTCGCATGGATTTCTTGTATCGTTGTTGGCATTCTTGGCGTGGTGCCCGAAACCAGCGCTCGAACCTACGTTTTTGTGCTTTTCGCCTGCTTTTGGAGTGAGTAACACATGGTGATTGGAAGTATTTTTGAGCAAACTGCTGACTATGCTGTTCAGATATCGGTATGGTTACAACGGGCGCTGTGGGTGCGGGTTTCCTCGGAGAAATCTCATCCAACCGTCTTCGCCCATACACGGCTGGCTTTGCGATGGGTGCTTCTTGCGTAGTTGGCATCATCATGGACGTCCTCGTCCCATACATGGTCAACGCCAACCAGTGGAACTGGAGTCTCAAAACGGGCTGGTTCTACGCTGGGCTCGGGCTCATTGCCACCGCCGGAATGTGGTATCTAGTTCCAGAGACGGCCGGGTGAGTGCATCTTAAACCTTTTCAACGACACAGCTAATATTGACATATTACAGACGCACGGCAGCAGAACTTGACGAGCTCTTCGAGAAGAAGCTCCCGGCCTGGAAGTTTTCGAAAACCGAGACTGCTACCGAGCGGTTGGTTAAGCAGGAAGCAAATTGAATGGCCCCTTCTGCTTTTTCATCACCCGGCCCCGGGTGTATCGAAATATCCAGAGGAGGTGGTAGTAAAGAAGGATGGTTTACCCATGTGTACCGTAGCTGATACTCGTCTACTTTGCCAAATCAATTTAAGGCGAGATGATACCTATTCTGTTGTACGCTAAAGTTAATAAGTTTTTGAGTCTGATGAAGCACCTTCGCTGAACTAAATGTGCACCTATTGATGCTGCTCGGGTAGAGTGTCTCGCTTTCGCATTTAATGCGAGCGAAATCCGAGGTACGACGCAACTCAACCCCAAAATTGGACCCCGCTTCACTTGCCGCGGAGTATTTCCAGGAGGGGAAGGGATTGGATGTTTCCTCCGATTCAATGTCACCGCTAAAATGATGGGCCCCCTGCAGGGTTGCGGGATTTCCACGAGCTATTGAATCTAATAATTTGCCCGCGGTAGAGAGCTGTGTAGTCTAGACTGTCTAGGCATCTATGGAATTAACTCGAAATCTAGATATGAAAGTGGTGCATGAAATCCTCAAGACTTTGGTTTCAAAGGCAAAACAGGCCACTCATAGTCTCTCTCAAACGTCGAAGTGAATGACCATAATCCAGCACCGACCTCTTCCCTCCTGTCCCCTTCCTTGGATGGAATAATTACTTCGGCAGTAGTGTTCGGTGGCACTTCTACATCGATGCTGATTGTCGTAGTGTTCCCTTCAATTGGTGATGTTTCCCAAGAGACACTCAGCCGCCCGTTTGGTGTGAGATGAGACGCAGAGGCGTTTGAGAATCTCGCCCCAATAGAAGGTGCAATCCGAGATGTCTTCCATCCCGGCTCAATTCGCTGTAGGCCAGCGACTCTTTCATAAAGGAACTTGGCAATGGCCCCAAAGGCATAGTGATTGAACGAAGTCATCTCCCCCGGGTTGATCGACCCATCAGGAAGCATGCTATCCCACCTTTCCCACACAGTAGTTGCGCCCATGGTGACAGGATAGAGCCAGGAAGGGCATTCTTTCTCCAACAGCATGGAATACGCGATCTGTAGATGTCCCGTAGAAGCAAGCGCCTCACAAATATAGGGCGTGCCAGCGAAGCCAGTCGCGATCTTGAAATTGTTTTTCCGGACAAGCTCGACCAGCCTAGTGGCTGCTCGTTTCTTCTGGGCAGGCTCGAGAAGATCAAAGCATATTGCAAGTGCGTAGGCTGCCTGAGAGTCGGAAGCAACTAAACCGTTCTTGGTGACATATTCGTCTTGAAACTCGCTCCGTGCGGCTGCAGCTTCTGCCTTGAAACGCTGCTCGTCTGGCCAATTCTCTAAAATCCCAGATATCTTTGCCATCAGGTCAAGACTCTGAATCAAGAACATGTTGGCAACCATCTTGGCATTGGTCGTGGACTTCCATGGTTCATCTGCGGGGGCTGCAGGGTCGAGCCAGTCCTATGTGGTGAAAAGGTCAGTAAGTGTCTCAACGAAGTCCAAGTACTGGGGGAGTCTTACGCCAAGCTGGAAGACAGATGGATCCCATAGATGCTTCATCTGGTCTTGCCCTTTAGGCAAGACATTCATCCAAGTTATCATACTATTGTATTGTTGAGAAAGAATAGTTTTATCACCTGTCTCTTGATAGAGCGCCCATGGTGCCAGGATAGTAACATCATGCCAGATTGCACAAGGTACTCTCCTGCACCATATTGGATCGGGCAAGGTGGCGTTGGGGCTGACCATAGGGGGAACGCCCCCAAGCACATGCTGGTCAAACTCGACATCGATGAGCCAGTTCCTGAGCATTCCGAAGCAGTCGTATATCAACCCTGCCGTTGGGGCAAATAAGGCAAGGTCCCCGCTCCATCCCAGCCTTTCATCGCGCTGAGGACAATCTGTGGGCACTGATAGGAAGTTGCCCCTCATGCCCCAGACAATATTTTGATAAAGCTTGTTCAACAGGCTATCGGAGCACTCAAACTGGCCAACTAGCTTCATATCCGTGTGGCAAACCACAGCTTCAACGTTTTCTAGCTCGAAGTCCCCGGGCCAATCGTCGATCTGAGCGTACCGAAACCCGTGGAATGTAAACCGTGGCTCATAACTCTCCAATTCGGTGTCGCTTCCTATGATGTACTCGTCGAGTGCCTTGCAAATTCGCAGCGGTCGGGTGGACAGTTCTCCCTGTTCCAGCACTTCCGCATGGCGAAGTGTGATCTTTTGGCCTCTGCGTCCTCGGATGTTTTTTAACCGAACATATCCGACAAGATTTTGCCCAAAGTCGATGATCGTCTTGCCCGAGGGACTTGTCCAATGCCGCAAAGCCTTGACCACTTCAACGCGACGAACAGGTTCTCCATACCCAGCTGTGAGCTCAATTGTGCTCGGCAAGTCAGACATTACGGACACTGGAGACCAACCTGGGGAGTCCATAGGCATCGTCCCCTTTGACCAAAGGGGAATCTCTTGCGTTGCGTCGTATGTCTCTCCGTCGTAAATCTGCGCCAGTCGAATAGGCCCTTTGGATACAGCCCAAGACGCATCAGAAATTATTGTCTGTCGCCTTCCGTCTGTATACAATATTTCAAGCTGGGCAAGCAGCGCATTGTGAGGGCCCCAAATATTGCGATGGCCGCCTTCAAATCCTATCCGCCCAGAAAACCATCCCTCGGCAACGCGGACGCCGATACAGTTGTCTCCAGAGATTATGGAAGAGGCCACATCATAAGTCTGATACTGAAGCCTCCCATCATATGAAGTCCATCCAGGTGCCATGAAATGGTCACCAACTCTTGAGCCATTCATCTCAGCTTCATACACTCCCTGAGCAGTGATGTAAAGCCTAGCCTGGTCAACATCTCCTTCAATGGTGAAACGACGACGGTAGAGTTCTTCTGGGCCAGGTTCAACAGTGTCTGGTCCCCATGGCGCAGCAATTCGTTTGCATGCCCAGTCCTCTCGGTCGAGCAGGCCAGTTTCCAGATGTGCTGGCAGACTCCATGGGGTGGTTTGCTGTTCTTTGTCCCAGACCCTAACTCTCAATGAGATTTTCTCACGAGAAGTAAGCGAGTCGGGGAATGGCCATTGCGTCAGCCTGGACGAAGGCGATTCAACCCGTAGGACACTGGTAGTATGCCGGGATTTGCCTTGGTATCTTGTCAACTCTATTTCGTACCCGTCTTGTTCGAAAGCTGAACCGACAGGACGTTCGATTTTCCAGGATATTCTTGGAGCCTTCTCATGCAAGCCAATTGTATTCGGGGCATGATAATGCTCGAATTGAACATCCAACACAGAGGCCATGTTCATTGGCTGCGCATTGGCTGGTGAGTGGTTCAGATTTGGCTAGACAACGAGTCGGCGGCTTGGTCTCGCTCAGGTAGGTAAGGCATTACGAGGGTCAGCAGATATAGACCCTCATTGGTAAATTCCCTTCAAAATTGGCGCTTATTGGAACTCACCAGTAATTACTCCGCGGACTTTTTGTGTGGGGAGCATCATTTCCAAGCATCCCCACCGGATCCGACTTTGGCCTCTCGGCAGGATAAAAGAGAAATGAATGGTGCATAGCTTTGTTCTCCCTGGTAAGCGAATGAATCGATAACTCGGAAATTATCCTTGTCAAGCTACCTCCCGATTCGTATTCTAAACCTCCCTCATCATGTCAAAAGAGGCGTCCATGTTCCAGGCTGACGATCTGGTTACGGAGTTTAGTCAATCAACTGGCCACGATTTGCCTGTCGAAAACCTACCTTTGCCAAAGGATTTTCTTTGGGGAGCCGCGACCGCTGCATACCAAATCGAGGGGGCGGTTTCTCAAGATGGCAAGGGTAAATCAATATGGGATACGTTCACCCACCTTGAGCCTTCCCGGACAAACGGCGAGAATGGGGACATCGCATGCGACCACTACAACAGGGTGGCCGAAGATGTGGACCTCATGAGCTCTCTTTGGGTAGATGTCTATCGTTTTTCAATCTCTTGGTCCCGTCTGATTCCTCTCGGCGGCCGCAACGATCCAATAAATGAAAAGGGTGTGGCATTCTACAACAGTCTGATCGATCAGCTTCTGGCTAAGAGGATCAAGCCGGTTGTCACACTCTACCATTGGGATGCGCCTCAGGGGATATACGACCGCTATGGGGCCTTTCTCAATACAGCTGAGTTCAAGGCTGACTATGAACATTACGCCCGGCTCTGTTTCACACGATTTGGCGACCGCGTGAAGACATGGGTCACCTTCAACGAGCCGTATATCATCTCTATATTTGGCCATCATAGCGGCGTCTTAGCTCCAGGACACTGTGCAGAAATGGGCAACGATACCAAGACCGAACCATGGCGTGTTGGTCATACTCTGATTCTCTCGCATGCGTCAGTAGTCCAGCTCTACACCAAGGAATTCCAGCCGTCTCAAGCTGGAAACATCTCAATTGTTTTCAATGGCCATTTCTATGAGCCGTACTCTGACTCTCAGGCCGACATAGACGCTGCCCAGAGAAGACTTGAGTTCTACATCGGTTGGTTTGGAGACCCGATATTCCTGGGCCAAGACTACCCGGTCTCGATGCGGAGCTATTTGGGAAGCAGGCTTCCCCAGTTTACAGCTGACGAGCTTGAACTCTTACGGCAGACCGCATCTTCAAATGCTTTCTATGGCATGAACCATTATTCCACAAAGTACGCTCGTGCTCTACCTTCTCCTCCTGCGGCTGATGACTGGACGGGGAACATTGAAGAGTCGTCAGTAAACAGCCAAGGTATAGAAATTGGTCCGGTCTCAGGCCTTCAGTGGCTTCGAATGGCCCCCGAGGGCTTCAGGAAACTAATGAATTGGGTATGGAACCGGTATCAACTACCAATAATCATCACTGAAAACGGCTGTCCTTGTCCAGGAGAGTCGCAGCTCGAGGTTGCGATCAACGATGAATATCGCGAGAGATATCTTGGTCTCTATTTGGATGCTATCTCACGTGCGATCTATGAGGATAAGATTCCTGTTCAAGGATATTACGTCTGGTCACTTATGGACAATTTTGGTGGGTACATACTCGACGGCTTGCGCACATCTTTGTTTCTAATTTTCCCGAAATGCTAATGATTTACTAGAATGGTCTGCAGGATATGGCCCTCGTTTCGGCATTGTCCACGTAGATTACGCTACTCAGAAGCGTACACCAAAGAACTCAGCCAAATACCTGAAGGAGACGTTCCAAAAACGGCGCCAACAACTTTGATGCGACACTTCATCCTCAGCTGCTTGAATGGAGCCTGAGTGGTGAGACGGGTGTCTCATCCTTAAGATAAAAAGATAGCCCCATTCCATGAATTTCTATCATAAAAACGCTTTAGCTATACGAAGAATTTCCCCAACCTCAGTAACAAAAAACAGACAAGCCATCTCGTTTTCAAGCATAGGGTGATAGACTATCATTTCTACCGTAGGTACTAATCCCGTCTTAATTATTCAGATCAAAAAGATACCCAGAAATCATATCTTTGGCAACGAACCCAAAACATTATTTCGATGTAGGGCTATAGTCCATTATGGATGTTCATCTCAAGAATGCGATTGATAGACTATAGGGTAGACTGATCTGTGCTCAATTACAACTGCCAAGACCAAGATGCCCAACCTTTCCTTCTACCAACTAATTCAGCATATCAGCGGGGCTCAGTTAGCATGCAGCCATTACTGGTGTCTGCCTGGAGTACAATCATTATTATTAGGGCTTCCCTGAGGTCCCCAGGCAGAAGTTGGATCAGAAATTGGATCAGAGGACTCATGAAAGACCATGTGCATAATCGCGACCACTGCATAGAGCTCCTTACTTATGTACCATGTGAGATGTTAGCAGTCAGCTCACCATTGTTTCAGCTTTGTACCACGAGTGCTGATCTTGATCCGCGCCCAGCCAATAGTGGTGACTAAATTGGCTAGATGGTGGCATAGGCATGCAGGAGCTGAACAGCTAAGCGTGCCTAGCTCCATGAGCATGAGTACATATCTGCCTGATCTCTCCCTCCGCCACTCTTGCTAACCCTCAACAGAATCATTTTCTAGCGAAAAAGAGTTTCCGATGGGCTCTTGGGATTGCTATTGCTCCATCTGCGGCGGGCCATTGAAGGCCCAATCCGTCCGTAGTACTTCTCGCGTGGTACCCTGGAAATCTGCTCAGCACGACGGTGCAGATGGGGAGGATGTAGATGAGGACGGGAATGAAGGACAGGAGGGTGAAGATGGCGGACCTCCGCACGAGAGTGCTAGAGAGTCTGAGGATCATGGCGATGATGGAGTGTCCGATGCCGGATCCGTGGATGGCGATGACGAGGAGGAGGAGGAGGATGATGATGATGATGACGACGGATACGATCCGCGCGTCGTCCAATCCAAGGATCTCGACTGGACAGGAGACTGCCGCTTTCTTGGTTTGAATGCCAGAGCTTCTGGCGTCAGCAAGTACGTCTCAGCCGAGCCCGCCCCTCCCTCCATGACATACGGCAAGATTGCCACGTACTGACCTTGATGTGATTAGAGTATTCGTCTCCGGTCCAGGCCACTATTCAGACTACGGCATGATGGATTGCAGTAACGGAAATGATCCAAACGCGGAGGGTGTGGATATGAGTGATCTCTTCTGCTATTCTGCCGGCGGTGTAGCAGACGATGACGAAGTCGTCTATCCCTTTCATTGGGACTGTTACAAGCTGTTCTGTCGTTATGTTGCTGGATCTGAAGATAACGAGAGCATTGACAAGGATGTCTTGTACAGCACTATGCGTTCCCTTTCCTCAGAATTCGGCCATCGTCTTGACTTGGATTACGACGAGCCAGACACAATGACCAATCACGAAGTTATCGACGATCAATTTTGGGAAGTGAAAAATGGGGAAGAGTTGTATGTAATCTCACCCTTGACAAGGGCGCCGCTGTCACCTGAAGAGATCGCGAAATTGCAACAGGCTTTAGGTTTAGCTTCCCTACAGTCGAGCTTGGCTGGAAAGGTCGCCTTGGACCCATTTTCCAAAGTCCCTGCCGAGATTCTTGATCAAATCGTCTCCAGCCTTAGCCACAAAGACCTGATGAATCTGCTCAAAGCATCTTGGTACACCCACTCCGCCTACCACCAAAATGATCCATTCTGGAGCCGAAAAATCCGGGACACCATGGGATGGTTCTTTGAGCTCCATGAAATTCTCGATTCTCCCACCCACGCGGAAAAGTTGACGAGCATGAAGGCCGTATATCTGTGGGCATGGACCAAAACCAAGCCGAGATTCAAACGGAAAGGGAAGTACATGGGCACCTCAAATCGCAGGCGCATCTGGGCTACCTGTGCGCAGCTCGCAGAGGCATATCAGGACATGTTGTCAAAGCCTATCGCCGAGGTTGATGTCATTATTGAGACTCAGTCAGATAGTCCATCCTCGCCTCTTGCGTCGTCTCCTACAACCACTGAGACGGAAGGAGGCCTGTCAGTCCAGTAACGTCGTTTGACGGGATTTTGGCCTTTACTCGGTCGCCTCGGATGATTGATCGTGTCGGCGGAGGGATAGATGTAGCCTTATTCAATAGTCGGGCAGATTTGATAATACGGTCCTGAAATGAAGCCATAGAGGTGGTTCTGATATTTGACTTCTCTGAAGTATCGCCGAAATGTATAGTGAACACGAGTAAGGCCAGGTAAATGAACTATTGTTGAGATTCGCATACCCTCAAGTAGAGGTTTCCACTTATTGGCGCTCGAAACTGTGCAAATTTACTGAGATGCGAGGGTTGAATGCTGAATATGCAATCTATCTGCCTCCAGTCTGGAACTTTCGGTATCTTCTCTCGAAACATTGGGGAGTCGGTGCGTGATGCCCGTGGCTTTGTTTTGAACGTGACGCGAGGAACGATTCGACTAAGTCAAAGCGATATGGTTCTTCGTCTGATGAATGCTCGAACTGCTTGATTAAGGCAGAGACTAATTTAAAGTTATTCCAGACGGCGGGATACACGAGTCCCGCGGCTCGTATATACCTTGCACGGACGCCCATGGATCCCGCGGTGTCCGGAACTAAGCTCACAAACACTGGGGCAAGACGGGGCGGCTGATGATGCGTAATGCATGTGAACGACTTCAGCAAGGGGGAATTTCATCATAGCAGGCCTTCATCCATGATCCTCAGTACCGTGTGCAGATTGCCAGATTTTGGATTGTGGCGAACTGGCAAATATCCAGGCTGTGCAAGCAGCTGCGTATGCCTGTGACATTCTTACTTGGATATCGAGATCTTGTATTTATGCTCGGTCTCTCTCATAATGATTCTCCCTTCGTCACTCGTTGATTCGCTTCCACAGTCGCCCTCTCAGTCGGTCTTTAACTCACTGAAGTTTGAAAACGCTCTTTACGACAATCCTTACATTCCGAATATCACCATGACCTCCGTGAAGGAGTTCTTCCTGGCAGTGCTTGCCACTGCGCCCTCTTTGGTGGCGGCATTACCCAAAGGCCTGGGAACCAAGGCGTCGGGCACTCTCGATTCCTGCCTGACGTCCGCCCTGAGCGGCGACGGTACTCGTGCCCATTATCCAAGCTCGGCAACCTTCATCACTGAACACGCAAAGTACTTTAACCTCAACCTTCAGTACCTGCCATACGCGATTGTGTACCCAAAGACGATCGAGGAAATCAGTGCAGTTGTGGTATGTGCAGGATCGAATGACAAGAAGGTCCAGGGCCGAAGTGGAAACCTTGACTTCGCCAACAGGGGTATGGATGTATCTTTTATGTTTGTCATTCATAAAACTTAGCTCAGACTGACAACGATATTTGTGTAGGACTTGGGGGCGCCAATGGTACCATCATTGTCGACTTTGACAACTTCCAAAGCTTTGCGGTTGACACAGCCACTGGACTCGCAACAGTCGAACCTGGAAACAATCTCGCTCAGCTATTCAAAGGACTTCACGATAATGGCAACCGCTTTTTACCTCAAGCATCCGGCGGTCAAATCGGTGTTTCCGGTCTTTCGCTCGTGGGTGGCTTGGGCTATGGTTCCCGCGCACACGGGGCCATGATTGACCACTTAGCTGAGGTTGAGATTGTTCTTGCTGATGGGACAGTAACTCGCGCATCCGAAAAAGCCAACTCTGATCTGTTCTGGGCTGTTCGTGGGGCGGGAGCAGGCTTTGGTCTCGTCACTGAGCTCAAGTTCAACACGCTTCCCGAGCCGTCTGAACTTGTTACATTCACTTTCACGGTCACCTCAAATGATTCTTCTGTTCTCGTCGAGGCCCTCAAAGGCTACCATGATATCCTTCGCGACACCTGTCTACCTCGTGAGATTGGAGGAGTAACGAGGTTCTCCGAGACCACTTTCCTCTGGAGCGGCGCTTTCTTTGGCAACCAATCTGCATTCGAGTCCCTCGGACTTCAATCTCGTCTGCCCAGGAGTTTGTCCGCCACTATCAAGACTGGAGTGTCGTGGTCGACTCTTATGAGCGGATTGACCGGTACTGCGTCTCCTGCAGCCTCTCCACAGCATTTCTACATCATCAACGCCATGGTTACACCAACAACCATCTCAAGCAACAGCGCTATTGATGAATTTGCAAGCCATGTCTTCAATGGGGACTCCAATCTCGGCAGCTGGTCATTCCAGTTCGACCTATACGGTGGAGCAGTCAACGACGTCGCAGCTGACGCCACTGCGTTCCCTCATCGTGATCTTCTGTACTCTCTTGACGGATACGTTTCAACCACTGAGACAACATCTACAGAGACCATCGAGTTCGTCAACAAGGGTTTCGAAATCCTTCTGGGTCACAAGTCAGATTCTTTCCTGGCTTACAATGGCATCGCCAGCACCGGGCATGAGAACCCCCAGCAAAAGTACTTTGGATCTAACCTTGCTCGGCTTCAGACGCTCAAGGGCAAAATTGATCCCAAGGACCTTTTCTCTACGCCTCAGACGGTGAAGCTGGCCTAAGTCTGAAGCCAGCTTCCGGAAGTGAGCCTTCCCAGTGATGGCGGGTTTTATACCCATTCAGCGAAACGCAAATTTAGTACCAGGTCATGCTGGTGCTGGTGGGAAGCCTCTATTTTTCATGTACGCATGGCAGACAGTAGAACGCTACACCGTATCCTCATAAGGGGGAACTTACTTGAGAAAGAGATACAAGATTCTTTTCTGAGTACTAAGCCGTGCTAGAATTGCAGTGTGGCCATAACATGCCAGTATATAAGATAGTTGTCCGTCGTCTACGCCCATCTCTTCAATTCATTTCTTCACATCACTGATATTACTAGAGTTTTTTTTTTTTGACTAATAAATCAATTCCTGTACCCTTAAGAAGAAATCATATGAAATAATAGGCAGAATCCTTTTTTATTCCCGCGCTGTCCTTAATCATCAACCCCACGAGGGAACAACAGGTCTGAAGGGCGAATTTCCACCAACAATAAGCCTCGGCAATTATTAGCGGACAAAGTGATTCGTGATTCGTACCAAGCCGCTCACCTTACCGCTCATCATACCCTCGTGCCAAACCTTAATTTAAAGACAATCAAAATTTGAAAGGTTGCTGTGAAACTCGTTTTCAAAGTCATCTAGAAGAAGAGCGCCGATAGATGTTTCTCCCGATGCCTGATGATCTTCGCCTTCATTGAATGAATCACTCGCACTACTTGTTGAGGTCTCTAGGACATGATAGGTGCGGTTGTTTGCAGCTCCAGTTGGATCCTGGTAATGTAATCGCGGAACTAGACTCGCCAGGTGCTTAGGATTTGGGAGCTGATTGCCGAATGCTTCAATCCCTTGGCCGAGAGCGGGGTCTACATAGCACTGGAAACGCTCAAGGTACGGTTCCCCGACATCGATGCTTGCCTTTGGCTTGTTAAGGAGACCTGCGGGAGTGGGAATCAGGGCAGCCGTAGTTGCGCATCGGTTCCTCACGCACTCTTCGAATCGAGTTTGCAGTCGGTCAAAAGTATTCATCAACGCATCAGAGAGCGATCGTTCATCCATAATCACCAAGGGAGATTGTTCCCTAATTATATTTGGAACAATCTTAGACTTTTCTGTCTCCCAATAGTCGCGAAGAGCAGCGATGGTCTCCACGAAGACGGGCCCACGGTAAGGATTCAAGGGTCTTGTCTCTTTGCTGAAGAGTGAGTCCCAAAGATCAAAGTACATTTCCGAAGGTGCAACGCCTCGTGGAGAACGAGTCTTCAATTTGGAGTGTGGGCTCTGCGCAGGGCCGGGTTGGGCAAACTCCAGAGAGGGAGAGTTTGGGCAGGGTGAAGATGAATTGGCATGCTTGTCGCGCTCAGCAAAGGAAGTGAATGCCTCATTGCAGATGAGGCACCGGATGATGAGATGATCTCGGTGGCGTCGCTGAAGATGCTGCTTCACGTCGCTCAGCCGTGTCAAAGTATAGTTGACACAGTCCGTATGTTGAAAGGGATCCTTCCGATAGAATGGACAGGCAAAAGTTTCGGTCATATCGGAAGTACTAGGTGTATTGATTGAAACTCTTCTGGCTTGGGCTTGTAACCGACTTCTTCTGGGTCGTGTCCCACGCGCATGGACTAGAGCCATGGATCGCTTTGGGGCCACGCCAGAATCACTCATTCGGAACAGGAGAAAGGATAAGGCAACAAAAGGGGAATTGGACGATACAGGAGAAGAGTCTTGTATGGATGGCTTTGAGGCTGTGACATCAACCTGGAGAAGTTTTGGGACGATAGGAGGTAGATTTTATAGCCGGCATTTGACACGCAGGAGCGTGCCTTTCCCCAACTAGAGTGTGTGTAGTTATTCATCATGATTAGGATGGTCTTATGTGGCTACGATCAATTGCACGAATGAGATTCGCTCCTGCTCATTGGTCAGACCCACATATGGGAAGCGGTTGAGTCTCAATAAGGAAGTTTGACCTGCCAAGTTGACACCTGCACTATCAGGCAACAGTTTTCTCTAAACTCAGTGACTAAGCGCTCTGCTGAGGCCGAGCGTCTTCTAAAATTGACACTATCGCACAGCTGTGCGTCTTGCCTTTTTGCAGAGGAGGCGGATATGTCAGCAAGACTAGATGGGACCTCTGCAGACAATATAGCTATATTGTCGGCAGGGGTTGTGGGCGTTCGCGAGATGTCTTCTTTGAAACAGGAAGGATCTTCATTGAATTGAAGGCAGATGTAAAGTGTACACTAACTTTCTAGAGCCGCTAGAAGGTCATGGGAGCCTATATCCACGAGAGGAATTGCCTCGCAAAGCTGGGGGGAGTATGCCGATAGAATTCTCCCTTAAGAGAGTGCGGCAGTTCATGAACTGCATGTTCATCTAGATTTATCCGGTATGCCTGCAATGAAGGTATGGATGCTTACCGAGCGCACTACTCGGCAAGCGGGACATGCAAGTTTCATCTCTATATTGTTAAGGTCAGTGTCTACAGATTTGACCCGATAGTAGGTTCTGTTGGATAACAAGCTTGGCAAGAAACACCATCGATGAAATCATCAGCTTCCCATGCGTCAGTCTGGCGGGGTCCTAGAGGTAGCTCCCTAACTTGATACCGAACATCATTATGTCTCCAATCGAGTTAATGATTGATGGAGGACACTATCAGTCGACTTCATCCAGGGGGGATGAGCAGACTCAGTCTCATTCAAGCAATACATCCGTGAAATCTATTCGATGGTCGAACATCACCAGCACACCTTCGACCTCGCATATGTTTCAAAAGGCGCGGAGAGTGCTCTGATCCACCTCCAACTCGACCCGAAATCGAACTCAGCCATGGTTGGACACGCAGATTTCAAGGACAAGGCGGTCCCTGTTATCCGACGCGAGACCCTATTTGAACCAGACGGAGATATTCTGGGTCAGCCAGCTTTCCCAGCTGGTGAGAACGATGATCTATTAATCCTCAAAGGTGGGTAAATTCTTCGTATTTTGAGGCGAAGGCCGAGGCCCTTTGGAGCTTTAGTGGCCTAGTATCATATATGGGTATTTTCCGCGATGCCCTCACGATGGCACCGTGTCTACTGGGGCTATCCAAAATACAACCATCACGTTTACTTCCAAAGAAATTGAGTGAAAGTGATGAGTGGTCAACCCGGCTTACCCATAAACGAATTGAAAGGATGCTCGATGGCGCAGGTGTGTGCTCATCCATCAAATTGCTACAACACGTGCAAAGGTGGAGGAGCTGAGTATTAGACAAATTTGTGCTTTGTCCTGCGCACAGAATTAATTGCATTAACCATGAATAATTTAAATATGCTACCACGCCTGCGATTACTGTGAATTACCCATCAGCTGAAAAGTCCAATGCACCACCCATGTCCTCAGCTCCAGCCACAACGCTCATTATTTGCTATGCAAGCCCGCCGAAAAAGAAAAACCAAATCACTACTTCCTGTCACCCTGTTGAGCGGGTGCTGGGGCTGTGTCCTCCGGCAGCTCGACGACAACGTCCTCGGAGGGAAGCTCCTGTGCCATATACGGCTGCGGCGGCTTGTTCCATCCGTCGCCGTGGTCGTTGCTCGAGACCATGCTGGGCACGTAGCCACGCTGCTGGTTGTGGTGGTGGTATCCATTGTCGCCCCATTGCGTCGTCGGCATCTGCGGCGAAGGCGAGCTGGGCTGGTACATGTAGTCCTGGTGCGTGTTAGCCACCGACGGCGCGTAGGTGGACGTGTAAGGTGACACGAGCTTGTTGTGCGGCGACTCCATGATGTGGGCTTGTCCATTGTTGTGGAAGGACATCTCCTGCTGGTTTCCGGGTCCCCGAGGCTGTGCTTGTTGTTCGGCGTTCTTCTTCGCTTGTCGTCGCTTCCAGAAGAAGAAGAGGAGGGCGATGATGAGGATTCCCCCTACCACGGCACCGACTACGATACCCGCGATCGCACCCTTGGAGAGCTTGTTGCTGTTGGAGTCCTCGGTCCGGAAGATCTTGGATTTCTCGAAGTCGGGGTTCAGTTTGGCACTGGTCAGCTTGTCCGCCGGACATCCTTCGTTCTGGCAGACATTGATGCCGCAGCAGCCCATGAAGGGGGGCTTGACGAAGCCGCAGGTCCACCACTGGTCGTTGGCATCGCTACTGACACACAATTGCGGAGGGATCAGGTCGTGGGCGGTGACGCTGTAGGTGGTGTTTCTGAGACTCTCGCGGGGGCAGTTTCCGTTGGATGTTTTGCACGGGTCGACGGTGCAGCACCCGATGAACTCGACCTCTTTGCCCTCGCAGACGTAAAAGGAGCCGCCATCGTTGGCCGCGCAGCTGGCGCCCACCCGAGCTGCAATCTCGACTGCTGGGCCGACCATTGCAGTGTCGTGACTGTGTGGAAGTAGCCGGTAGTGTTGTCAACGTCGAGTGAGTGGGGGAGTCTGCTGTTGATCACCTCTCCACTGGTCAATGGACAATCGAAGAGGCAAAGACGGCGGAGAAGACTAGTATTAAAAGAAAGGGAGAAGTAACTCGGGGTAAGTAGGCACGGAGAAGAGATGAAGGAGGGAAAAGGAAGAGCAGATCAGCAGTAGAAAGGGCGAGTTGGCCAGCGTCAGCTTTGTAATAGTGTGTACAAGCAAACTGTACAACGTAAATTCCCGGCAGGCCAACGGCTGGATTTGCTTTTGGTATTGACTTACATCCTTGTGGAATACACAGACTAGAGGAAGCTCGGCCCCCAACGGCGGCTTGTGTGCCAAGCGTGGGCTTGTGCTGATGGCCATGGGTGAATGCAGCCTTGCTTATTGTCTGCTGACGCTCCATCTCGCAAAAGCCCACGACACCCCCACTTTGGGGCAAATCTTTCAGCCACGCAGGGAACATGACTGGCTGCTCCAGGTGACGGGTGGAGAGCGTGGCTTGAGATCGCCCTTGAGCGGTGGTAATTTGGTTGTCAGACTTTTGGTGTGGGTTCATGAATAGGAGGTCACAGCAATGTAAGCTTAGCATCGTCCCGAGCCCCCGGCTCCCAACCCGGATCTAGCACCTCTCAGGATCGAGCAAGCATAAAATTTAGAACGCTGCCCACAGGAGCGAGCGGCCGAACGAGCATCACCATACAGACGGTGGCAAGACGCGGTAGGCTTTTGTGCAATTGGGGTGGAGGTTCTGCATGTACCTACTGCTCAGCTTGTGCTAATGATTGATGGGCCTCCGCCCTGCAGACCTCTTTGTTCTCGCCTGAAATGCGTGGGATTTTGGGTGGCAGTGAACAAGTCTGCATATCTTGCACCGTCTGTGTACGCTGATCTCTGGTACGCTGGTAAGACTTGTATAATTAAGGCATAGCTCTGTCCATCCTTGCCTCGTATCCACAAGGAATCATACTACGCCCCAGCTAGCTTCTTGGTGATCCAAGCCGGAAGGATTCCTTCGAGCTAAACTGAACAGCAGTGGGAAATCCCATGGAATACTCAGGCTGACGGTCTCAAAAGGGTAGCATTGATCGTACTTGTCTATTAATATTGAGACAAAATTTAACAGCACAACCGTCAATTCCCACCTGAGACACGACTGAGTGATATACCGCCATTTTTCAGCTTCCATGCCCGTGCATCAAGCGAGAACTCAAAAGGCTAGAGCCACGCAAGAAAACAAAGCATGATGGGACCGGACTGGCCGGGTAAAACCACATCAAGGCTTAGAGCTGACATATCATCTGAGGCTAGCCACCAACAGACGGACCCGCAGGTATGTGCTGGACATGATATGCACGCTGATGGAGACTAAGCTGATAGATCTTTGTCATCCGTGTGCGTAGGTAACCTCGTAGCCAGCACAGTGGCCGAGTATTTATTCCGGGCCATTCTCCTTTGTCTGCGAGGGCGGACTTGAGCGACTTGGCGGATTTGCCCCGAGTTTGCGTACCAAAAGTCAGGTAACCCGCCGTATCCATACTCGAGTGAGGAAGCCTTTGCGGGGTGTCTCAGCGATCCCGGGTGGCTAGAAAAACAGACAGAGCTCTCTCCAAAACGATGAATCAAGTATTGGCAATTCCAAGCCTGACTACGGTGTCCAGAACAGCGGTCGGATGATTATTGTCAGTGGGTTGGAGCAACTATCGTCTGCACGTTGGTCCCCAATAAGTCAGACATTGTGGTCTGGGGCCTCTAGTGGCTGATTTGTCTTTGGGATTTAGACATCATTGGTTACCTTTGAGACAGAGCCCAAGTAATGCTGTCATAGCGATGTGCACAAGAGACAGGCTGCCCGTGGCCATATGCCATTTCATCCCCATTCCTTCGGTACCCGGATATACCTTGAGTCTCTAAGCAGATTTCCCAATCCCAGAATCCATAATACCATGCGTTCGAAAGATAAAACCCTATACCGCAGACGCTCGGATCACACATGAGGCTTAGCAACATGGTCTGTGGGTAGGATTGGCTCAATTTTCTTATACCGTGGACATTTCATATTAGCTTATTGCCAGGATAAGAATCCCAACGACCCATGATTGAGCTTGTTGCCTACCCTAGATAAACCGAAAGATGCTACTCCATCCGATGCTTCCGTGAGCGAGGACTAGTAGAATATCTATCTCTGGATCGGTTTCAGTTACTGTCGATTGACTGTTGCTAGCTTCTCGCCGCCCATTATTCGAATGTGTGCTGATAGAGAGTTGCTACCCTTGAGCCATATCTTGAAATGCTTTACCACGTTGATTACGATACCAAGTTTCCTTTCCGGACTGACGAACCTAGCTCCTCGGGCTATATTGATTTCCCACAACTTGTGCCTTCATGTCGACCTTTTAGCCATGATGGTAGACTAATAATACTTATATTTTCAATCAAGCAAGGCTCCGGCGTTTACGCAGACAATATTAAAGTAACCTAATCCATCATTAGATGGTTTATCAGGCTACATTCAATCTTTTCCTACTTGCTCATGTTGTGAGACCTCAACTCATACCAAAGCAGCGAAATTATACTTACTCTAATAGTCCATCAAAATGACTTCGACGCCACTCATATTGCTTCAACACGAAGCATTTCTCTTCAGGAGTATCTGCAGGTTCCAGCTGCATTCCTTTCTTCTCATATAAGATCTATAATCTTTCCATGTCCCCAATTTATCCCAATAAATATATCGTGAACGAGTTCAACCAGTCCACGGCTATTTGCTGTACCGAATCTCGAAGGTCTTCGTGTACATGATCTCCCCTTGATTCGCGTTGTTGTTTAATATTTCCTGGTCACTGGAATCGTCTCGGGGAAGAGTCCCGGCCTCTTCAACTTCAGATCCAACCACGGTTGTTGTTGTTCCCTCAACCACACCGCCTACAGGCATGAGTCGTAGTTCAATCGGATGGTCGTCTTTGCTAGGCTTGTTTTCGATTTCAACAGAGTCAAATTGCGAGTATCCTGTGCGATTCTGTCGGGAAATTCGACTTGCTGACTTGTTGTAGGTCGTGGACTTTGATGGATTGGATGCATCATCGATCATACTGCCGAGTCCGAGCCACTTTGGTGCAAATCGCTGGAAGAATTTTCTGAATGTGGTCATAGAGACACATACGATAAATAGGTTGGCCTCGGCGAAACTAGGCAAATCATCTGGTTAGTATACTTAACTTCCATTCAATATTAAGTTCAGGTTAATGCTTACACCCAGACGTTGGCAGGGGCGGCGACCCATGGTATATCAGAGGTACTCAGGAGAGATGGTAAATAAGCCATTCGAATAATTGAGGTGGCAACGGTCCTATTGTCTCATGTTCAGCTTGAGGATATCAATTGTGAAGTACCCATGGCTTACAAAGAACCAACGGCGAAAATAAGCACTGCACCAAGTTTCTGGGCCAGAGGCATTTTCAGCCGAACAACAGTCGGGATTGGGATGATGAAGAGAACCACGTCGGAGACGATGTTTGCAACGGCAATGGCGATGTATATGGATGCCGAATCAACACATTTGTCCGAAGTTCCGGCTATTAACAACTTGGGGTCCCAGTTGGCACGTATCGGCCTGCAACCGAAAAGGAGCAGACACGCAATCACAACCGTGTAGCAAATTACCATCGCTATTGCGGCCCAGATGGCTCTTCGAAATGCCGGCTGGGATGATATTCGTAGGTAGAAGCTCAGAAGGGACATCTTACTGAGTCCATTGCAGATGATGAATAACGGCGCAGCGATATAGGAGCTCTAGTTCAATACATGAGTGAGTAAAGTCGTCCAATCTCAGTCGTTTTCTATACGTTGTTGACTTCACCCAGTTTCAAGGTCATTCCCAGTAGATAGAGTTATAATTTATACTGGAATCAGCTTACCAGCATGTGTTTTTCAAAGACCTCGATGGGCATCTCCCAGACGTGGTGACATAGACCTCCATTTGATATTGACCCTACCTCAATTAGATATTACAGTCAAAGTCGAGAACAACTATGCTTAGTATCATAGACGAAGCCTCAGGTGTAGCCTTATCAAGTTTGTACACCCTGCATCGCTAAGGATGTGATCCAGGCTGCAGTGATCAGATCTGTCAAGAAGATCCGCGTCAGGACGTCATGAAGGCTTCTCAAATATACGAGCCCCTCGATTTGTACATACAGTCGTCAATTTTGGACCCGCCAACAATGAAATGCTTCGTGTAGATTCTTTGGACCAGACAAAAGAACGCAAAAGGTCCTAAGAGGGCGAATATCAGGTATTGGTCGAGCACATGGCGGCTTTGGGGATTGACAAAGTCCACCTCATAGCCTTCTGGTGGCGCGAGAAAGGTCGTTACTCCGTTTATGACTGGAAAGCTGGCCATGAAAGAATAACTTCGCAAGAGTAGAGGCGGTACCAGCCGAGGAGATGGGAGAACATAGAATGTGCGAGATCTGAGGGAAAATGCCCTATTTCAACCCGTAGTCGGCGCCGGGCCCATTTCATCACTAAAGGGCACAGTAGCTGTCAAAGGGCCTCAACGCATGGTGCCAGTCCACATATATGCACCTTTCTTTTTATTTGCCCATCGCCACCCTCACCTGTCAGATGAGGCAGAGTGTGGTTTTAGGGCTATGGACCAGGAGCACATATAAAAAACAGGGGATTAACACTCTTTTTGCCTTTAACCGTCGTTCCTTTCGTATGTTCGTTTCAGCAACTTGCTTAGTCCCCTTCCCGGATCACAGGTTTAGCTGGGATGTTTTCATTGCTAAATCTCGGCAACGTCATCTCATACGGCCACACCCGACCTGTCAAACGTTTTCGAACCCAGTCCCAGTAAATCAGTGGATTTCCCTGAGAGAACTACGGCGCTGCTGTGGGGACTCGATCGATGCCGACATTTTGAACCAGTCGGGCAGCCCAACTCTAGTCCAGGGCCTGGAAATCGCATTGATAAGGGCCATATTTTGCTCTGATATTGGACCAATAGGGCTCGCCGCCGAGGGCGAGGCTTGATTGTCCAGCGCCAGACGTAAGAGGGGGCGGCCGATCCAGCTCTCCATGATCTCTTTCACTGTAAAGCGCGTGTGAATACCTGTGACAGTAGGCAAAAGAATATTTCTATAGTATTTCGTTTAGAATATTGTTTATGACTAGGTTGAGTTTTTTTAACGATAGCACCATCTGCTTCGCTTTAACTTAGTCTTGTTCAGAGAGCCGAACCCTTTTTAAGAGACGATATATTTGATGTATTTGACTTTATCAGAGAATTTCACTGTACAATAATTCGGAATTTTCAATAAAATTCACTTCCACAAATACGGAACAAGAAGATATTAAAAACAAAACTGAAATTTCTCTCGCCCATGCATGAGCCGGGACAAATCTCAAAATGTGCGAGGAAAAAAAGGGGGGCAAGGGGCAAGGGCCAGGCAAAAGCCAGGGGTAGATAATCCTTACATTTAAGCAGATACTCGTACCAGAATGAGTCTATGGGGATCTCGTTTTCTCAGCACAAAAGCTGCGTATGGGAAAGGTTAGAGAAAATCATAGATTCGGCCCATTCTCCCGTCGTCGCGGCTTAGCCGTTTCCCGACCCTGTGCCAATCGTGGACTTGGACCCAGCTCAGAAGGTGGATGGTTTAGACTGTGATTCCGGTGGTGCCCTACCTGGACATGCTTGAGACAAGCAAGGTATGGGTTAGTCATTCTCATATCTCAGACAGCCAAATTCCCGCTGCGAGGTGGAAAGCGACATTGGCAATGTCGCTTCCTGTTTCTTTTCTTGAGTTGGTGCGAACCATGACGCCTTCCAAATTGCCGCAAAATAACTGTTCATTATTTTCTTGAAATGATATGCGCTCTTATAAAGAGCGAGTCCGATTTGGGCAAAACTTATCTGCCCTCAATGAAGTAGAGACAAATCTTTCGTAGTTGCGATGGAAATTGATGTACCAACTGAAGTAAATACCCGTAAGAAGAAAGCTTGGAAATATATCCCCTGAAGTTCCAGTCGGACAAGAAAATGTGTTATGACTTAAATCGAAAGGTTCTAGGTCTAGCACCACTTCATGTGTTTGACATTGACGATGTCGAAATGCGGAAGTGAGAATATAAGGTGTAGCAACCGCGCCCCTATTGCTCAAGAAGATCACATGAGCTTTTGAGAAGGGCCTGAATTTGTCTACACTTAAGAAGAGGAAATATCAACGCGAACAGATAAACAAGTGCACCAAATGAGATTGCATCATCTTCGCTGAGCACAATGTGCCCGCATCAGCTGTACTTATGCTTAAGAGAAGGGTGTAAATCATTTTGGATCCTTACAGAGGAGATCTCTTCCCATCTCGCAGTGGTCTCTGATGTGCTCTTAGAATCATCAAATCTTCTTGCCGTTGCAGATTCCCACAATGCACGAGACAGCCACAATGGGCTCGAGACCCCATGAACCAATACAAATATAAGGGGAAAACAAAAACTTACATTACATGATCAAATAGGGAGGAAAGATAGAAACGGATAGAAGCACTAACGATCTTTGGAAAAAAGGAATAAGGTTGAAAACAAATTTGCCCATCCAGAAGATCTGGCGAATGAACGCAGCAGTCGTTCTGAGCCAGCACGGGCTTTTAGTGAGGTGCCCAAATGCCACGATGGAGATGTATGAGTCCCTTAATAATCTTTGACCCCATCTTGCCTGGATGTATGGAGAGAGCGCGTCGTCCAGGATAGGTAAGCCGTAGTTTTCTGCCTCGAATTAGCCTTAATTGTTGAGATGTCAGAGGGACATGCTTGGGAGAAGATAACACACCTGTGACCACGCCGATTTATAACCTCTAACTTGACACATCTGGACTGAGGTTTCCGATCTCTTTTCACCTTTGCTTTGGATCTGTAAATATCGCTGTCCAAAATCTTACTTTTCCTGTTAGTATTTGAGAAGGCTTCCTGTTTGGCTGTCGTTACAGTGTTGGCCTTGGGCTGTTCAATGTGAGAAGTGACAACCTCTGAACTCGTGCCCTGCTCTTCTTTTTGGGGACTCTGTATGTCATTAGGCAACAAGAAGGCGACCTCTTTTTCATTTAAATTATTCCGCATGATATTTCTGCTTTCCCCAGCCTGTTGGTGCAGATGTAGTCGCCTACTCTCGATGTTGGTGATTGAGTCTGCGTCAATTTGCTGTTCATGGCGAAACCTCTGTACCTCTGGATGTGGCGAGACTGTGAGCTGGGAGGCAGTATCTTTTAGTTGGGCTGTCACTTTTTGGATACATGCATTGAAATCCCTCAATGCGTGGCGGTTTTGTTTGGTGAAGCGTCGTGCTCGTCTAGCATTGCCCCTTAGATGGTGATGACCACTCAATTTGCCTTGTAGATATGTGGCCTTGGTTTTAAATATGTCACGCTCTGTTTCAACCCTTTGAAGATCAGTCGAGACGTTTTCAAGACGGGTTTCAATATGATCTATCCTCTCAGTTGCTTGACGATCTTTTCCCTCGACCATCTCAGTCAAGTTGTCGTTTGTCTTCCACTGTGATTCCTGTTGAAACTTAAGGTATTCTTCCAGGAGAGATATCCGCTCCTTCAACTTGATGCATTTTTGACATGGTTCGTTTGCCGCGCAATATGCACCAACAGGATGCACATCATAACTGGTTTGGGTGGTATCTGAGGTAGAAGAAGCGCTAGATGCACGGGTAGTAGATGGCGGCGAAGCATTCTCCAGGAAGGCCAGCATTTTGACCACAAGGAGGCCCAGTGTATTTTCTAAACCATCACACCATGCGACTGATTCTACCAACGCAGGGCTTGTGGTCTTCTCCATCTCTGTTTGAACACCTTGATCAGAAACAGAGACTGACGTACTCCCTCTACTGGCCCCGGGGATGCCGGTTGATTCTTCCATTGGACCCTGGCCCGTCCCATCGGTTGACAACATTGGAGCAGGTCCTGCAGTAGTCTGGGCACCGGTCACTGAACTTGAGAGAATTACATGATTAACCTCCTCGGTAGCTGAGCTCGCAGCGGTTTGTTGACTAGCTTGGGTGTTGGAACTCGACTCAGCAACTGCAACAGGATTGGTGTCTCCGGCTACAGATGCGGTCTCGCCGGTATTTCCGATGTTGATAGCCAGTTGTTGCAACACATTCTGACTCGCACTCGGATCTTCTGGTTGTTTGTTTATGTGTATAAAGGGAAAATGACGCCGATCGCTCTGCTGGCTAATTGGTGACGGGATTCGGGAGCTCCTCCCCCGGCGTTGGGGTGTTAAGCTTCCAGAGGGCCCTGGAACAGATATGTGGAAATTAAAAACATTCATCTTCAACTGCAAGGTTGCTTCGCCTTGACTTCGTTGGCAAGAAACGAGGTTTAAGTGACATGTTTTATGCCCGTCAAGTGTGAGAACCTGACCTGCCATCACATGTCGAGCATTTATCGATGCTGAGGCATGCATCCAACACTGGACCAACAATCACTAGCTGCAGCGATTCCTAACGGCCAATAGATTTCCAAGGCGATGTCGATATATGCAACCCCCACTATGTGATGGTTACTCAAAGTGCAAGTCCCGTGAATTCCGTCGAGTACCATTACTCCCCCACCAACCAAGAAATGTTCTGACTGTCGTTGGTGTACCTCCCACCCCCAAACTTGGCTAACCGGTTCATCCTGTAGTGGTTGTCTCGACTTGTCTCTGTGGGGTAATATGCACGACGTGGCATGCTCAAAGACGCCAGACAGTTAGATAGAGCCATTAATAGTGAGGCGTCGGTAGGATCTTTGATCACCGGCATTAAGTTCCCCCATATTCTATTGAGGATGCGTCATAGAGTGATCACTTGACAGCAACTTCGAAGGAGTTGGATTCACCGCTGAAAGGAATACACCGCCAAACACGCCCAGTTGCAATGGCAGTCGAGTTCGCAAATGGTGGATCACCTGCATAACACGAACACAGGTGCATGACGTGCCTCATTTATCATTCGTTCTGAGCTTTCCCATCAATACCGGCTAAACAGTCCACATCCACAATCATCTTGGATCGGATGCATTGTCCTCGCGGTAGACTAGTAAGGTCTTTTACTGATGGCCCGAGTTAGATATATCCTAACCGAATATTGAAGTAATATATCTAGTAATATAGAGTATTCGGTCTTAAGAGTATAAGGGTTTTACTTATATAGGGAAAATAAGATTTTTTTTTTTTTTTTTTTTTAATTTAAAGTAAAATTTCCTAAATCTAATTACTATTTCAATTAAATAAATAAAATTAAGTATATTTATATATTTAGAAATTTTTAATTTTTAATTTTTAATTTCTTTCTAAATTTATAAATAATCATAATCAAAAATATATACATATATATAATATCACTTATAGATAAATTACCGAGCCTGGTCTTTCCAAGGCTAAGATTCTTCATCTTCATCTTCATCTTCATCTTCATCTTCATCTTCATCTTCATCTTCATCTTCATCTTCATCTTCATCTTCATCTTCATCTTCATCTTCATCTTCATCTTCATCTTCATCTTCATCTTCATACTCATTCTTGTCCAAATATCTTGCCCGTTTTCGTGGCTGATCTTCCTCTAGCCGCCCATTCTCAAATTCATCCTCAAACTTTCGCAATAACCGGAGAGCATTGTATAGATGGCGTGTTTCAATTTCGGTGCCCTCCCCCAGCGCCGACGCCTGGGCGATTCGAACAGAATCCCTTATCTGGCGCCCGTTGAGCACTTGCGAGGCTAGCTTCTCTGCAATGTCCGCCCAAGCATCTTTTGGCTGACCTGTGGCAGATGCTTTGGAGAGGAATATTTGCCAAAGTTCCTTTCGACTCTTGGCGTCGAGAGCTGGATAATGGATGGCGACTTGAATTCGCGATTTCAACGCCCGATCAAACGAATTGACCCGGTTAGTGGTTAAGAACAGAATACCTCGATAATACTCGAGAATCCGAAGGAATGCTTTGATACGGGTTAGGCATATATCTATTAAATAGGAATACACGGACGACAAACCGGTGACGAATGAATTTCTTGTGTTGCAATATCGACTTCGTTGTTCAAGGAATATATCTGCCTCGTCTATCAGAGCCACGGCTTTCCATCTCTCGGATAAATTCAAGGCTCTCCCCAAAGCATTCTCTACTGATTCCGGTGAGTTGATCAAATTGTCCGCATTAATTCTTAGAAGAGGCCGTCCGCAAGAGTCTGCTATAGTCTCTGCATTCAGCATTAGTGACCGCATCATTTCAAACGTTGAACCCTACTCAAAGATAACTCACCTGCGGTCAGAGTTTTCCCCACCCCTGGCTCACCATGCAGTAGAAATACAACACCCTGCGATTTTCCTTTGATGATATCACCAAAAGCTTCTCCAGATTTGGGTGACTGCATTCGAACGAGCGACAAGAGCATGTCTTTGTATGTTTTGTCCAACATCAATGAGGTGTGGAATATCGAACCATCTAATTGCACGGGGCCTATCCCAGTCACTTCAAAAAGTCCCCATTTTCTTTCGCTGAATGAAAATGCGGGGATGCGGCCGGGACACATCATGAGCTGCTCCTGAGTGAGTGTGGAAGTCAAAGAGAGCATGTCATCCAAGAGTTTAGGGCGAGCTTCTCTATAAGTAGCAGGATCTATCATGATGCCGCCGTTTACCTAATATAAGCTCTTGTGTTGGTAACTCTCATGTTTCTTCTAGGTTGTATGGCTAGTTAAGTTTCTCGTACCTTGGTCAATATCTCGGAATGGCTCGCAACCTCGAACAGCTTGGACCTCCTGCTTCCCCACAGCAGCCGGGCCATACCAGTATAGTGTTGATAATGACAGCCTTGTAACTTGGCGAATTTTCGTCCTCGAGCGGTCATTCGTGTGATGGTATCGTCTCGGAGTGGGTGGAGACGGAGCGGCAGCAGTGGGAGTTCACCCACCTCCCGAAAACCCTCGAAATATCGGACGGTCACTGCAATAGCGCACGTTCCCAAGAAAGTGCCGTTGGTGTCCATACTATCACCGACAAACTCCCACCTATGGTTGAAGCAATGCATAGCGTCGTCGCATGAACAAGATTGACGTATAGACTTATATTTCACGACCAACTCGATGCTGTCTGGCGATAACAATGCAGAGACATACACCAGGTCATCGAGTTTGAAGAGTGTCCATAAATGGACAAAGTCTATTGAAGGTGGAGATGAGAGCTCAACATGGCTGGTGTAAGCAAGAATGGCGTCGGAGAGTTCTTTCTGTATGTGTTCGACAAGTAGCGACACATGATGTTGAGCAATAGATCCCTGCTCGAGATCCTTACCATAGCGGAATAATTCGTCACGAAAATGAAACAAGAATTTTGGTACATTATTGTATGTGATGTGGAAGGCCATGTTTCGATTTTTGTATTGCGGAACTACAGCTCTGAGAGCCTGCTTCATGTAGGGTGATTGGATGGTTGTTTCGACGTTTTCTTTCGTTCCTTGGGTATCCCAATGTGTAGTGCGAGCGATAGCGTGTTCATCATCCACGCGTAGCACATCTAGCTTCGAGCCGCTACGAACAGTAACTAGCTGTCCCTCGGTATTTTGAATGCAATCATACTCGGCAATCTCACATTTAATCTCGGAGTCCGTTTTTGCGACGTTCAATTGAGCCGAGAAGAAGTCTTGCGTATATTGATCATAGGATATGATCGAATCGAAGATTGATTGGAACGAATCCTCATCCATGATGAAAAGGAAAAAGCTGAAGACGAACAGACCCAACGGTGTTTGGTAGAAATGAGCTGACTGTGTATATATGGGTATGGGTCTTAAGAAGTGACTGCGTTAGTTTATGCTGGGAGAGCTGGGTTTAAATAAAACCTCCGCTAAAATCCTGCCTACAAGATCCCGGATAAAATCAAGGGGCGGAGCTTAAACATTTGGTGAACCAAAAGATTATTCTGGGATTTTTGGGGCCTTTCAGGAACTTCTGTAGAATTTTGTCTGATGTACACAGTAAGGGGGCAGCCCGTATTCGCGCTGTATACTTTCGTCTGCACAGCTTACATGTTCATCCAACTGTTGCACCATTGCTTATGCCCGTGTATCATTGGTCAAGGTATGACTACGGCTTTGGCGTATCCAGATCCAAACCATGAAACTGTTCCTGCTTTGGGGTTTCTTCCAGCCACCTATCCATCATGAACACCGGCTGATAGCTGCCGTTGAATTGTTGCAATGACTGCTCGGTGATTGCACTTGAAGATTTTGGTGTCTTGCATATGTTAGATGTTTGTGTTCGGTGGCAGAGGATCTAAGTACGTGACTGACCTTTCGTGCGTGATCCGCGATAGACTGTGCTAAAGAGGACGGTGTTGCTTCAGTTGACAAGGTCTTTGGTTCCTTTTCCGCCATTGTTGAATGTAAACGAGTGCCTTTCAGACAGCAATACAAAATTGATAACGATAAATGAAACGCAGAACGTCGGTTGAAAAGATAAGGTTGGTATATTGATGCACTTCAAAGTGCCTGACTTTTCACTGCTATGTTGACAAAAGGGATTGGCGTTCAAGAACAACACGAGAGGAATCCTTGGCTATTTATACATTTCTCGACTGCCTAGATAACAGCAACTATCTCGTGATATCATAAATGGGACTGATCTCAAAGGCATGAATGGAAGAACATTAGTAGGCGGGCTCAACTTTTGGGAATTTTGGAATCTGCACCAGGCACTGATGAAACGAGATCGGAAAAGTAACGTTCGGGACCTTGGACCAAACAAGATAAAGTCCCGAAAATTCTATGCATCGAACGAGTTCCATTGTGGCCAGAAACCATGAGAGAACTTCTTGGGATTTTCCAAAGAAAAAGCCTAGTCACCCAAGGCAACCGGTCCAAAGATGGCCACAGGCAGAGTTGCCCTGATCTGGAAGGACTCTACTGATTCTGTTGCGGTACTTGCTACAGTGCGAGCCACTTGCAACCACTTCCGCGACGATCTGCGGCTGAATGCTCGTTTCATGAATTTTTTGAGAACTTTCGTGGCGGCATCTCATTGGAGCGACGAAAGAATTTTGGGTGCCAGTGTGGCCGGAGGAACTTCTAGGAATTTTCTTGGAAACATCTGATTGGTTTCGAGTCGCAGTTCTAGGCCGCCTCACTTCTGCTTACGGGTTTTACCTCCCCCTCCCCCGTAAAGGTGCCTTTTTGCACTCCACCACTAAGGGGGAGAGAGTTTTATCAATGCTAGGTGTAGTGGGTCTGGTGCGAGTTGGAAATTGTATTAATACTACGTCAGCTAGCTGTGGTCTCACACTCCCCATTCCTTCTACCATTGATGTTGCCCGTTCCTTTGCTCTCTTTGGCCCAAATATGGATGGCGCACTTTGGGGGCCCATTGGAAACTTCCAAAGCCATAGGCGACAGGATGATGGCGCTTTTGGCTTCACAATGGCTGGGGAACACTACGGGTCTATGATCAATGGAGATGCCACCCAGCCACCACTAGCATCATCGGTCCAGGAGGAAAACTCCAACTCCATTTTTCGAGAGCTACAGCCTACCCCTAGCATTGAGTTGCGTCAGAATCATGCCGTATCTACATCGAGCAGCAAGGTTTTGGCTAGAAAACGTTGGAACTTGACTGATGCTGACTGGATGGCTCAAAAGGAGAGAATATATGATCTGTTTATAAGGAAAAATCTCACCCTAGACGAGACGATGTCTATTATGAAAGAAAAATGGGGATTTAACGCGTCGTACGCTTCCTTCTTAAAAGTCAGGTCCGCAGATGCTAACGGAGTAATAGCCCGAAACTATTCAAGGATAAACTGAAGGTCTGGGGCTACGCCAAATATCGCAAGAAGAATATCATTCAGAAGAACTTGCGGGAGGCAAAGTCCTGGCAAGAACTTGAGACGGAAATCGTGGCTGGGATCAGGAAGGTCGAAATGGATCCCATCTTGAAAGCTCACTCTGGGATGACGGCAAGTGCGAGCGATAAAGAAAGTAAGTTTTCTTTTTCTCTATCAGTCTCTCAAAAACAAGAAGTTATAAACACCTGATCTGATAGATTCTCAGTACAGATGACTCCGCAGCCTTCCAGTCAAGTTATCATGCGAACTCCGGAAAGGGGGATCATGCCAAACCACACGGCAAATGTTGGTCCCCCTTCAAGATGTGTGCCCGAGTATGTCTGTACCAGTGGCATAGCTCCTCCTTTTCCTTTCAGAGTAGAAGCTCGAAGTGCTTTTGATACAAAATCGTTTCTCTCGGACGGAAGAGGACTCACAATGAATGAAATACTCACGTTAAAGAGCCAAGCTGTCAAGCAGATGGCTGAAAGGGACTATGGCAACGCGATAACCAATCTTCAAGCAGCATTGACTGGCCTCCAATTCCTCTCAGCCCCGCCACAAGCCTATGTAAGGAGTACAGCATGGAGTCTTTCTGATGCGTATGTGAGAACTGGAGACTTGGGCATGGCAGACGCGGTCATCAATTGGATTTCAGCCACCTATATACACGACAAAGGCCTCTGGAACCCTGAAACCTTGGATCACTATCTCCGCGTGATAGACTGGCTTCTTGAATCCAGAAGGGTGCACGACGGAAAGTGTCTTGGTTTCATGTTCTATCTAGCCTGTAGGGATCGCTATGGCCCTCAACAAACAATTCGAATAGCATGCAACAAATATGTTGAGAACCAAATGGCAGAACCCCCTGATAAATCAGTCTTTGACTTGTTGTCTAGAAAGTCTGACGATCCAATAGAAGTCCGCCAGCAGTTAAGACTTGCCAAACTTTGGTCTACTGCCGGAATAGAAGGGATTGAGGAGATGCTCCAGAGCATGGTTGCTGTCTACAATTCTTACGCTGCTAAATCAAAGTCCCTAGGGATTTTTGCCAGGTGCGCTTTGATTCGGCATTATGTGATCATGGGAAGTCACGATGCTGCAACAAAGGAGTGCAAGGAGTCGAGGGATTTGCTGGCCGCGTTCATTCGGGAATTTACATTGTCGGAGCTACGAGACATGCTTCTTTTGTCCCGAGAGCTAGCAGCACTGCATCTTCAGAACCAAGATCCGGATAGAGCGAAGAGAGTTCTGACTTGGACGGCCGATACCCTGCAGACATTGATTTTGGTGCCTAGCAAACTTGGCGACAACTCTGAAAATGTCCGTCTACTTGTAGATCATTTGGTGCAGATCGGATTAGACCATCAGAATCGCCGTGGGTGGCGTGATGCCAGGATATGGTTTGAGCGGGCATACGGTCTGTCTATACGGCGTCTAGGTACTTTCGACATGCAATCATTAAGTCTTGAGAAGGCTTTAACAGATCACTACTATTGTTTATAGTAGGTGGGGAACTGTTGGAACTGAGGCATTATATAATCCGTACAGATTGATTAGTTAGAAAGGAGAACTATTTACTATAAATATATCTCTTTTCTCAGATTGAAAGAGTATTAGCCATAATAAAGTATATATATATATTTACTATATAGAAAAACTATATCATTTTTAAAACTAAGAGTTAAATATATCTAAATATCTTTTCTTATTTTTATAGCTGAAAGTCCTGAGTATTCTTACTTAGAAAGCACCTTATTCAACCACCCAAACATGACTCGGTTCAAGGAAGAGAAAGCTCCCGCCTGACAATGGTAGCCTTCAGCTCCCGTAAAGGTGTGCAACGTCGCCAAATCACCAAGAGCATCCTTGACCTTCTGCGGCTGACCAGAGAAGAACCCCTCGCTCTCTGCGTCGACAACAAAAACGGGGACCTTGATCTGTGTGATGAAATCCTTGACGGCGTACTTCTTCGTCCACTGCATGAAATCATAGGGCGACTGCGTGTTGAACGCCCACATGCCCTGGGCCAAACCCCAGCGTGCCTGAGAGGGAACAAGAGGGTTGTCAAGTAGTACTCTCCCCGCTTCGTCGAAGGCTTCTTTGTTACCCGAATCAAAGAGTTCTTTGAGCTCCGGGGACAGGTTGGGTGAGAAGGCTTCGTAACAGTCCCACACGCCGCCGTCCAATACTACCGCGGAGATGCGAGGCTCAAATGCAGCAGCTCGGGCAGCGAGATAACCACCGAAGGAAAATCCAAAGAGGGCCAACTTATCCTTATCCACGACACTGTATCTGTCTTTGAGCAGGTAGTCAACCAGTGGGGTGACAACACGCTCCCAATCGGGGATGAATCCAAGATTCTGCTTGCGGCGGACAGTTGGGTGGCCTGGACCCTCGTATGTCAAGCAGTTCCAGCCTCGAGCTAGGGCCGGGACAACAACAGTATGGTAGAGGTCTTCCTGGGCGCCATCGTACCCGTTTCCGAGGATCAGTGTGGGACGCTTGCTAGTTTGATTGGTATACCGGTGAGAGATAGGCTCGTACCAGATTGCCTCGACCGTGAAGTTATCGGCTGGGATCTGAAGGCGTTTCCCGGGGACAGGAAGAGAGCCCAGCCCCTTGTCGAAGGCCTCTGTCTGCTCATCCCAGAGAGTGTTGATAAGGGGATTGGTCCAGTTGCTATGGAGGTAGAAATCAGCGCGGCGGAAATATGTTGCAGCGGAGAACCAAGTCTCTCGAACATTGATAGGGTCATAGTTTGCTTCTTCATCCAGAGCCTGGTCTTTGGTTTTGTATGCCAGCTTCTGGAAGGCTTGGGAAAAGCTGTCAAAGTCGCCGGGGGTGATGTTCTTAGCAGCGCCCAAAACAGGCGCGAGGTCGGAGCCTCCATAAAGGGCTTCGCCAAGAGAGACTAGAACCTCAAAATGGAATGCACTATCCGTACTGAGAGATAGGATTGGCTCTTCCTCGGCGTTGGCCGAGTTGGGTGATTGAAGAAAAGCCAGGGTCATGGCACTTCCAATCAGGGCTGGAACTCTCATAATTGACAAGGATTGAAATATAGATAGCGTAGATATCGAACAATGAAGTATGATGAGAGAGATGGATAAAGTTGAGGGTTCACCGTCGTCCTTTATAGTTTACAAGTTATGGTCATACGACGGCATCCCAAGACATGCAAATGCGAGTCCGAGCGCTGCGCCTTCAATGAAACAATCTTTCCGGTATTTGGCAATTATATCTACGCGTTTGTAGCAGGGCAAGGATGATTGATCGCATTCCGTTTAGCTTGATGTAAATGGGCACGGCACATCATCATCAATCCAATGGGGCTCGGTCAGCTTCGCAATGGCATTACCCCTTTGGGACTTTATCCATCCTATATCCAATCATCTTTCGTTTCGCATTTCGCATTTCGCATCCGCAAGCTGACGGACGAGTGGAGAAAATGATGGAAGTTCGAATTGTTTACTATTTCTAGCTGCAGCTACTTCTGATACATCCCTTAAACAATTCTGATCGTCTGGTATGGCTATGTTTATCATTACTATTTATTCAGATTTATCAAGTTGCATACCAGATGCTATTTGCCACGATCAAACTCCGGGTCTAATTATCTATTGTCTATTTATAGATACAACTTCCGCTTTAACCACCAGAAAACAAGCTTAAAGAAAAGCAAAGAAAAAAAAAGCAAGAAACAGATGGCGTGCGGGAAATGGAACAACGAAGCTGAATGCCCAAGGTATCGGTTACCCTTGGCACATATTGCTTGTATAAACGATACATCGAGGATTCAATGTCTTGGGTGTCCTGCACCCTGCTTCTTGATAAAGATCAGGAATTGCTGATACATCGGCCCTTGATGGCTTTAGTTGCTGGAGACGATAGATGTTTGCAAGAGTAGCGTGGGTTGAACATCTCTGCTGAGATCAACAGAGCAGCTAGCTCTAAGACCAGACCATGAAATGCCATGTCTTAGATCCGGCACTGATGGCACACCTTCGAATGAAAGCATTGGAAGTACCGACATCTGGCAGTCTCGAGCCTCCCATCTTTTTATGGGCCAGACAACCAGATGCTCCCGGGAGTCACTCAATACCCAACGACTGGAACGCGTATATGTTTTCCGACTCCAAAGCGGTATGAGCTGGTTCCTCAGTTCCCACAAGATCACGATCGAGATATGAATCCATGGTCTTTATGATGCTCTGTAAGGAATCCATCTCCTTTTCGCTCGAAGCTTCTATACATGCCGAGTACGGCCCCAGAAACGCCGCAGAGACGCTGACATCGAGCTTTCTCAAATAGGAGATACACATCCATGCGTTTCCGCATACTTCTTGGTACTCGCTATACAGCTCGGTATCTGGGGATCCATGAATGACACTCAGGTCATAGCTGATTCTCAGAGATACCAACCGGAGCATAAGAAGGCCGTTGAACAGCTGGGCTAGCGCTGCTGTCTTGAAGCCATAGCTCTTCCCTGAAGCTGAGTCGGGGTCATCTTCCTTGGTCAAAGTGCCTAGATCGAGAGTCGACTCCATCAAGCTCTCTAGGCACTGCTTGGTTTCCGCGGCCGCGTGACTGAGCTGGGGACGCAGGCATGTTGCACGATCCAGCATCTCACTACCGAAAGGATCTTGCTGGATCCCCTCCGCGTCCTGAAGCCATTGTGTCCACGAACCATACGATCCGCCGGTGATGGCCAGGGCTGACTCGAGATAAGGTTTCAGCTCATCCGTTCCCCAGAACTCCCCGCCATCAATATTCGCTTCGGGTGCGTCGATTATTCTCGCATCGCCAGTGAAGGACTTTCCGCACTCTGTAGCCCAATATCCCAACTATTTTCGAAAAGTTAGTTACTCGAAGTCTTCATGTAAATGGAGGTGTTTATGGCAACAACATACCAGCAACCCACGGTTTTCTTTCGCTAACTCAACATCCAACTCATCATTCATGTCAACATAGCCTTTCTTGGTGATAAGATGCCCTATGCCATGCGCATGGATAGCCGAGCATCGTTCCTGTCCCCAGTCGAATAAGGCCTCGGTCCGCTCAAGCAGGGTCATGGCAGCCAGAGTCTCTACACTCAGCGCCTGGTCGCCCCTCAGCGTATTCCTCAAGGTCCTCAAGGCCTTGCTATAGTTGCTCATGGTAACAACTCTGCCGGCTTGCCACCGTCCTCTATAGTTGGACCAGGCTGCACAGAACAAGGCCACACAGTCCCGAAGGCATGCACTATGAGGAATGCGCTGAGGAAGGAAGGGAAGATAACCCAGCCTCAGGGTGATGCCATACTCCTGGCTCCGGTCCAAGTGACTGACGAGCCGCGCTGCAATACGATCCGACAAGGTCGTGAGTTTAGGGCGAGTGCTTATTCGAGGAGCGGTGCTCCTGATGCGGAACGAGCTGTATGAACCACCCTGGCGGTGCACAATCTTCCTCATGTGAAGGGACACCGAGTTCGATCCTACGGCCGTCATCTCGGATGAGCAAGAGTCTTGGTCGCTGTCGCTGGTTGACTGGGCCTGAGTGTCATGAACAAACTTCACGACGGTCGAGGGCCCAGGGCATTCGAGTTTGGTTCGCTTGCAAGGGCTACAGGTCGGCCACTTCTCGTCACACTTGGACAGAATCTGTTAGCTCAACTTTCGGTACTACAGGACAGGAACCTTTTGCCTACTTTGATCTTCCTCCTCTTGCAGCACTGGCAAGCCTTTGATCGGGTGACTCCTGGCATGGTGGGTTGGTTTATTAGTCTGAACTGGTTGGTAGAGAAAGTGGTCTTGTGGATCGATTCGAGGTTGCAGAAACAATGTCGATAGCTAGTTCCAGTTCCGGTGATCGACTAATGTCTGTGATTAGGAAAGATGGAGCGAGCTACCGACAAGAAGCGAAGTTGTCTTTATACATATGTCACCCCCCATTTGTCTCCGAGACGGCCACAAATTCCCCGTCTCGTGGTGCCACTGTCCTGGGTACTGGCGGTGCATAATGCAACGCAAACGCATCCCATCCTTTGAGAGGACTCCCATTCAGTATCAAAGGCGAGACCAATCAGAGACTATCTTGGCGTCTGCCCCAGTTCACGCCACAAGACTCTAATCTGACATTAACGACATGGAGGAGACGGCGGGATTCGACGAGGGCAGGCTTAGACCAACTCTGGCTGACCCTGGCATCCGAGTTGGCCAATTGGGCGAGGCTCAGCCCCCGGTCGTTTTTACCAATACTTGCCCTTTGCCTGTTATTTCTTCGGCATTTTAGAGTGACTCACCAGGGGCTTGGTCCCGCGCCTAGTTCTGATTTGGCAGCATCTGCGCCAGATAGATCATGCTCCGCTGCTAAATTACCAGGTTAATTTTGGTTGCATCCAGAGCCAATCATGCCTGTTGCTTGGACCAAAGTCCCAATTGTTGTCAGTCTCTAACCGATATTCGAACCTTTGGGATCATGTTGCTCTCCGAGGAGGGAGAGCAGCTCATGGCATCACTCAGCTCACGCAACTTGGCATACAACACTCCTTCATTCTTCTCCTGATAAACCGTCCATTCCCCCAACCATTTGATACATAATCCAGCATCCCCGATCCAGGCTGGCAGTGGAACCTGCATGGAATCGTCCCGGAGCCACGCAACCCCGTCCCCCTGATCCATGGAACAACAGGCGAAGCCGCGGACGGGCAGATCCAACCTTTCCCACTACCTTGGTTCGGCCGACTGCCGGCCACTAGCCACCACGATCTATCATGCTCTCATCTCCTCGGAAGCGTGTCAGCGCCAAGCAAGGAAACAGACCTATCACGGACAATCAGCGTCCTTTCCTGTGGGCCACGGACCGTCAGCTGAAACTCCGGCAGGATTAGCGTTAACCCCAAAAGGTGCAATCTGCGCAATATGCATATGTCGGCTCTTGTTTCAAGGTCCAATATGCGGCCGCGCTTCACATCCATCTAAATGCAGGGCAAACTACCTGAGCGGGACCTCCAAATGTAGCTTTCCCCGACGGTTGCATTCGACCCCAACATTGAGTCTGTCCGACAAGCGCCTGCTGACTGTAGAGGACTTTGGTTCACGAGGGCGATCCTACTGGAAGGCTTGGGGCTTGGGACTCATCATCATGTGGACGGGTTTCTAAATCTACGTGAATTCCGTGCCCTTCTCAGTATCAAAGGAATAACAGCTTCCTGCTCCGATATCCATGCCATCACAGGATGACAGAAACCCCCTTGAAAGCTCGATAGTTGAGTACGAATGCCGCAGAATGGTGATGTTGCATGCTGGTACATCTCCCGTTCAAGTTGATGCCGCGCGCATCAAACTACATGAATGGTTCAATCATAGTTGACTTGGAGATAGCGGAGATATCGTCAAGGTCCATCCAAATTCTGCCCAGTAATAACCTTAATCCCGTCTGAGATGCGTCAACCAGTGGCCCTGGCTGGCTGTAACTCTGCGATATACTGGGCTCACCCCCTCCGCGCGTCCAACCAGCCTCTGCGGGAATGCGTGCAGCAGTAAGCCACCTGCAGATTTCCAGATATTCCCGGTCTTGCAGTTTGATTCTGATCGTCTTCCAGACTGTCGGGCACAGCCCCTCCCATCCGTAAGCCTGCGATATATGACAACCCTTGTGCCGCGGACGTCCGCGGTTTACCGATCGGCATTATCAGATTCTGGCTATTTCTCTGACTACCGCCAAACCGTCCCAATGAGGAAATTTGCGTAGAATTTCCTGATTTGGCCCAGTCAAGGGTCAGTCAGGATTCCTCAGTGCCAAGAAGAATCGTCTATTCAGGCCACCACTTGCGACTTGCCATTTGAATCCGGGCCTGAATTCATGCCTACTGGACTGATTTTGCCCTTTTCATACTTACACTACCTAAAGGGGGAGCCAAGCTCTTACAAATTCGATATATTATATCAGCAATGTTCCATATTTAACACATGCTCGGAAGCACAGCTCTGACACAATGCGCTCTCTCTACCACAGTGCTTTATCCGCTCAGCATAGGGGTCGTGCCCTAAAATACAGCTGCACTGTCCACTGGAGTTGTCAACTGTAGGTGAGAACTGAAAACCGGGTTAATGTATGAAATGTCTCCGAAAATGTCTCCGACCCCATGTCCTCAATTTCTGCCTACCCTATACGTATACCCTCTATCATCATTGTCAATGGTAACAAGTCGAATGTATCAACCCAATCAGCTTTTTAGCCTTTGAATTAATATAGCCCCTACTTGGCAATTTCTTTTTGTTCATTCAGTACGGGGAGTAGACGCTTCTCAGAAATTGTCGACACCATCATCAAAAGTCAGAACCCTCTCCCCTCTCCGAATCTAAACATTTAACGTACCTGGGAAGTGATGCCTTTTGAAATACCACATCAAATAGGTAGGGTGCAGCCGAGGTCACAGTGTTATAAAGAGTAAGACTATGTATAAAATTCGATTGTGATATTGAGATGATCTTTGCCGAATTGTGATAGAACTAGTAAATAGTATTCATATAATAATGGTACTAATAGTGTACATGATTTTAACCAGATAGAAGTGATTCTCTGCTGATATTAGAGCTGCAATTAATATACCTTCCTTCTAAAGCCGGGCCTCAAGTTCCTGCCCAAGGCAGCAGGAATCTAAGTCTTTCCCCTTGATCTCTGTCCCTTGACTCTCTTGAATACGATCAACAGCTGCAGCCTTGAGCAGGTGTTATAAACGGTAGGCTATCAGCTCAATACGATTTGGAAGAGATACCATTTTACAATCCACGCACCGTCCACACTATATTAAGCGAATAACCCCGCGCAGCCACACAAGGTGTGTAAGGTGGTATTTTAAGGGGGTGGGCGCCCGCGAAGATAGAACGTAAATGGGATTTTACTATCCGACCACTACAACTCACTATTTGGCCACCCAAATGTGGATGAGCAGAGGCTGGTAAACACCAACAAATGTATATATTTAGATGTATCAAGATATAGATATGCGTCTGAGTAAGCCCGCAAAACCACTATGCAATGCACACAACCCTTACGAAAACCTGGATACCTCGAAAGCCCGATCAAGCGACCACTCCCCCTTTGCCGTCCGCTGCCCCTTCTCCCCCAGAATCGTCACCTCGCGCACCTTGCGCTCGGACCTGTAGTGGAAGTTTCCATTCACCCTGAGCTTGTCGCCGTTCCAGAAGAAGTGCACGTCCGAGACGGCGCCCTCGACGCTCTCCCCGTCGTCGAGGAACAGCGTGCCCGTAGCCTTGCCGTCTAGACCGGGCGCAACAACAATGTGGAAGTCCTTGTCGCGCAGGTCGGCGGTCGTGTTGGCAGACTCAACGCGGAGCGGCACGACTTTGCCGCCGCGGTAGTGGACGGGGATGTCTGTCCAGGGAACGTTGTCGATGGTGACGGTGGCCCCCTTTCCGCGGACCTGCTCCAGCGTCCAGAAGTCGTAGAAGACGTCGTCGGGGAGGTAGTACGTCACCGACGTCGCGTCGTTCTCGATCACGGGGCTCACGAGGATGGCGTCTCCCAAAAACCACTGCTCCTGGTTGTAGTAGACGTTCTTGTCAGAAGGGTACTGGTAGAAGAGTGGGCTGACGCTGGGGGTCCCATCCTTGTGCGCGAGGAACAGCGCTGAATAGATGTAGTCGAGCAGCCTATATCGCGCATCCAGCGCCTTCTGGGCAGCGGATATCACGGTCGGCCACTTGTAGAACTCCTGCTGGGGCGCCGAGATGTCGGCGTGGTTGCGCATGAACGGCTGGAAGGCGGCCATGGTGGCCCAGCGGGCGCACATGTTCTCCTGGGCGTCGCCGTTGAAGCCGCACACGTCGGACCCGACCATTGGGATGTTGTGGACGGTGGCGTACGCGAGCATCTGGGAGATGCTGAAGCGGTAGTCGTCCCAGCTCGAGTAGTTGTCGCCGAACCAATGGGCGGCCCAGGCGCCCGTGGTGAGGAAGTTGGAGCGCGTGAGGACGAAGGGCCGTACGTTGGGCTTGCGGGCCAGCATGGCCTTGTGCGTGGCCTTGACCATGGTGAGGCCGTACATGTTGTGCGTGTCGTACTGGTGGGTGCCGTCGTGGTTGGAGATGTTTGTCCAGATGGTCCTGGCGCTGAGGGCGCCTTGCTTGTTGTCGATGGTATACTTGGGCGTGAACAGGTCTCGATCGGGCAGGCCCTTCTTGTCGCCCTTGGTCTCTTCTTCTCTAATGGTCTGGCGTCGCAGCTCTAGCGACCCTTCCTCCTCTTCTTTTCTTCTCCTGAGCTCTTCACCTGTGTAGGGCCCGACAGGACTGGCAGAGCTGGCAGTGAAGATAGCTCCAGTAGAGCTTGGGTCAGGCTGGAAGCTAGGAGGGAATCCAGGAATGGGACGACCAGTATTGTTGCGAGGCGGGTTTGATGGTTCAGGAGGCGTGTTTGTATCTTTAGCATGTTGTTCCGGGTTGCAAGTAGTATCGGGGCAGAAGTTCGATCCTTCGTTCATATCGTTCCAGATTCCGTCCACATTGACGCCGGTCCCTGCATCGAAGAACCTCTTGATCTCGTCTGTCCACCAGCTGAGTCCCTCCTTGGACTGATAATCAGGCCAGGCAACCGCACCAGCCCACTGAACACCGCGATAGTCGGATCCATCCTTGGCCTTGAGGAAAGCACCCTGCTCATGGCCGCGACTGTAGGAATCGTAGCCCTGGTCGGTGCTGATGCCAGGATCAAGCATCATGACGAACTTTTGCTTCCGCTTGTGCAGGGTGTCGACGAGCTCCCGCGTCTTCCATAGGGGGAACCTGTCAGGGTCGACCGTAAAGTCCTTTCGATAGTGCATGTAATCAATATCGGCCCAGACGACCTCGAGGGGAATGTTTGCAGTGCTGTAGTTCGCAGCCATCTCGGCCAGGATGTTGACATCCCAGTACCCGTACTTGGCCTGCTGGTAACCCAGAGACCAGTAGGGCATCATGGCCGGTAGACCGAGAGCCTGTGCGTGCTGCTTGCTGACCTCTACGGGGTCAGGACCAGCGAAGAAGTAGAAGTCAAGGACACCGCCGATGATGTGGTAAGCTAGAGAGTGACCATTACCGGCCTTGGCAAGCTTCACGTCCATTCCATTCGAGTTGAGCAGCAGGACACCGTGCGTTCCGCTCTCGCGGTGTTCGATGTACATTGGCTGGCTGCCGTACAGGTTGGTCTTCCTGGGGAGGAAAGGAGACTCGCGATTCCACATGGTGCGCGAATAATCCTGGTCGGTGAAGAGGCGGAACGAGTCTGGGTGTTCCCCCAGGCCGTAGAGGTTGGGGTTCTCGGGCAGACTGGTTTTCAGATAGACATATTGCGACTCGAAGATCAGCTTGTCGCTGCTCGTGTCAAACAGCACCTCCTTGGTATCACGACGCGACACGGTGAAGGAGAAGGGCGACTCCGTCAAGTCAAACTTGAGCTTGGAGTGCGTATCCGGCTTCTTGCTCGCCGGCGGTCTGGGGATCAGGTCCTCCTGAATCTGGAAGACCTGTTCTTTAGCATCCTGGATGAGGACGTGCAACCGACTATCTGTATATGAGACAATATTAGCAAACCCGTGTCCTCAAGAGCGGGGGAGAGCAAATGCCAAGCCACGAACCTGTCTGGTACTCAACGATGAGTCTGAGGTCACGAATGTCGTCACCGTAGACATCGCAGGCTTTACCGGCCAGCTTGAGGTTAGCCGTCAGCCCCGAGTCCGTCCTCTTGACTGATGACGCCTTGTAGCCGGGACAGTCGCCGACCTCGGCCGCCTGCGCGACCGACAACAGCAGGAGGAGCGACGCGCCCAGTGCCTTGATCATGGTGGCGGCGGCGGCAGTGCCTCTGCTTCTCTGGCTGGTTCTTGGGAGCTCAAAAAGTCTCGTTTTCTTCTTCTGTCTCTCTCTCAGCCCAAATCCTCTCACGGGGTTTGGAATCCGGTGATGAAGCTGAGGAGATCCCGAGACCACGACCGCCCCTTTGCCCTATATTTATAGCCGATCTCACCAGGATGACGACGCGAAAATTGATCCCTCAGCCTATTACCCGGTTCCACCGCTCCCTCACGCGAATGTCGCCAGTCCAGCGCGCGCCCAAAAGTAGTATTCGGACCTTCTGTAGGACCATCGACAGCTAGTCATCGGACGATGCGAATCACTCAAGCAAGTCAGAATACCTAGAATCAGAATACCTGGGGCAAACAGAACGAAAGTGCTCAGACTGCGGTGATGAGGCGAGCGTGTGCGGCCGTCATGTGTCGTCGTGAGAGGGAGGGGGGAAGGGGGGAGACATGTGGTCAAAGAGGCACGTTCAGCGGCGATGCTACCCCATCTTCTGAACCCCTGACTGCCTAGCCTGAGATCGCCCCATGCCGGGCCTCGATAGGTCATACGGTCAGGAATGACCAGCCTATTAGGCTCTTGGCCCCTGCAGATCGGAGAGAAGGCTTCGAAGCGTGCAGAAGCCAGACTCAATGCCGTCATTTCGGGACTTTGGCCTCTCCCCCACCTGGAGTTACCCCGTGGGCGATGCCTCTCCTCCCGCCAACGGGGAAACATCACATGCCGCTGTCAAATGGCCTCAACACTACCGGCCGGTCTCGCTTCGGGTCGACGATCCGAGCTGTTCAGCGCAGGCTTACAGAAGGCTGAGTGGAGAGCAGGGATGCAGCTTTCATGACACCTGCCATAGACGAGTTAGTTAAGTCATAGCCGTGCCTCGAGACCGGGCTGCCTCTTGACAAGCGCCAGTCTGAACCGCAGTGGATTAAACAGGCGCGTAGCTGGACGAGTAGGATATCACTATCCAATTGCACATAATAGAGATAGACACGTCTGACGCGTTGGTCGTTTCAGTGCCTTGATCCCAGTCTACTAGTCTCTTATGCAGAACAGCTATACCCTCTCTCCTATACGCGCTCTAACCGGCAAACAATATCATCATTATGCAGTATCCGTAACCACCTCCACCCCTTTACAATGCCATTCTATCCCATGTCGTCCTCACAAGGCCCACGCGCCCTCGACCATCCACCCACCCATCCATCATGCAAGGCTAAACGTAAAAAAAGTAAAATTCAACATCGGCTAAATCTCACAAGCACTTTGGTTTTCGTTTCCACTAATCAACCCATTCTACACTCCATTTTTCTGTCATGTGAGCAAGGCTGGGATGAAAGGCGACATTCGGTCCGCCGCCTTGCATCTACCTCGCGACGATATTCTTTCCATCCTCGGCCCGGCCGGTGCCCAAACTAGACTTATTCTGCAAGAGGATGCTCACGTACTGTCAAGGCTGCAACTACGGAACAGAGCCCGAAGGCAAGTGACATTGCTGTGTCGTATTGTTGGTTCAGTATTCTGCCTGGTGCAGGAAAAGAGGATCGTGATGAGGGAGAGAGATGGGGGCCGGATATCAAGGAGGAAGGTTACATACCGTTGGTGACGGATAGACTGTTGACATACGAGTGTATGACCAGTTTCTGGATAGTTTCGGGGAGAGTGCGGATGAATTCGAGGTCCGACACCGCTCCGTGGATGATCTGTGTCATCGTTATTAGTAACTATCAATCAGAAAAGGAGAATAGGATGAGGCCATGAGGTGTAAACGGTAGGAACCCGCCCTTCTCCAGCTTGCCTAGCAGCTCTCGCTCTCACCTTATCTGCATTGTCAATCTCGCGAAGGTCCTGCTTCAGGAATGCGAGGAGGGATGTGTTGTGAAGCGCGTTGAACAAATTCGCCGCCACTAGCATCCCGATATTCGCACTGAGGTACCAGCTCATGCTGGCAATGGCAATCTCTTTACCAGTCAAAGAAGCTGCCAGATGGATAAACGATGAGCTCTGCGTCATACCCATACCGAAGCCTCCAAAAATCACAATGGCGGTGTCGTACCATGCCGTACTTCCACGCCATCGGATGAGAACTAACAGGTAACAGGTGCTCCCGAGCCCAACGGCAATCGTCGTTATCACCTTGTAATGTCTAGTGCGGCTGATCAGGTGGCCAGCCACGATTCCGCCGACCATATTTCCTACAACCATGAGAATAAGACGACTGCCTGCCGCAGCCGCGGACATGCCAGTGATAACCTGGAAGTAGATTGGGGTAGTATAGAATATCTATCGCATCAAGTAGGATGTTTCGGTCAGCCAGCCATAAATATAGTAATCTCTGGGTATGGAAAGGAACTCACCGTAAACTGCGCCGCAAGTTGCAACCCAGCCAGTGCATTTGCAGTCAAAACATCTCTCTTGAAAACAATACTCAAAGGAAACACCGGCTCAACTGCCTTGTAATTCTCCACGTACAGAAAGAGCAAAGTCAAAACCAAGGAGAGGCCGGCCAGCGGTGCAATATAAAACCACTTGTAAGACTTGCCCACAAAGTCGAGCGCGATGAAGAACGCAATAAGGGCGCTTGGTAGCAGGGCCGCGCCAAGGAAGTCGATCCGTCTCAGCCGGTCCTTGAAGGTCTCTTTTCGCTGCTCCTGGTCTTGCGAATCCGATGGGGTCGTTAGATTCGGTAATCTCCAGGCGACGAGGAGGATCGAAACCGCGGAGATTGGGCATTGGCCGAGAAAAATCCTGATTCGCGATGCGTGTTAGAGTCGTCCAACATCATTCAACTGATCGATGCTCTTACCATCGCCAGCCGGTTGTATCAACTAGCCACCCGCCAAGGGGGCCACCACAAGATCGACCAACGGTAGAGACGACATTAACATAGCTCCTCCATTTTGCGACTTCGCGGATTGGTAGCATATCTAGGCAATGCCAATCAGTCATGGCTCGCCAGCATTAGCTTCGGCGACAGGGTCTTACCAGCAATAATGACGCTCACGAGACCATTCATTCCAGCACCCCCGACGCCGCTTATCGCGCGGCCAGCAATTACTTGCCAGTATGTCTGGCCGATTCCGCTGTTAAGGAATGAATGTTAGCTTCGAGGCTGTAGATATCGCTGATAGGCAGAGTTCAGCTTACCATAGTCCGCAGCCAATCAGAAACACAATGTACGAGAAGACAAGAACGCTTCTTCTGCCGAATATATCGCTGAGCTTCCCATACTAACGACCAATGAATTATCAGTCTAAGGTTCCGTATTTCTGACCTGCTATGGGAAATGTACTCACCAGCGGCTGGCAAGCACATTGAGCGAGCGAGTATGAAGTCACCAGCCACGATGCCTCTGAGAATCGATTAAATTCGGACGCAATCTGGGAGCTCGTGGCGATTACAATTGAAGAGTCTGCCGAGGCGATAAAGACACCTGCATTTAATTGTCATTAATAAACTTCGTCAACATCGAGGCCATCACCTACCCAGCATCAGTGTGGACAAAATGCCGACGATGGTCGCTCTGGAGGTGGGAACGACATCACTCTGCCCGTTCTCAATTGCGGTATCGGCCTCGTCGGTTTTCGCCTGTGCGTGGGTGCCATTAACCAAGGGTGTTCTCTCATCCGCTTCCACCACGTCGGAGTCGCTTGTTGAAGGTGCTCTCGTCATTTTGCGTTGGCCTTAATTGCCCCCAGAGAGCATTCAATCATCAGCACGCGTCTTCCTGTCGCGATCAAGGAAAAGAAAAATTCAGATAAAAAAAATATCAAATGGGGACAGCTCAATTGAACCGGATCTAGTTCAATATTCATGACATGCTCTGCATGTGTTCGCCGGTGGGACTTGAGGCCATCCACCACTCACAACAAGAGCCAGAAAGCACGTCATTGGAGTGGGACCCAGAATGCCGCAGATTGTCGCCATTCTGCGAGCACGCCATCGAGCTTGGCGAGCATCTTATCGTGGCAGACGGCACGCTTTACTTACGTGAGTCTTATTGCCGAAGGGCACTGCTTCGAGCCGAGACTGGGGATTGATGCTGCAATTGTGTTCAGTCTGCAACAAACAGTATCGAATTAAATGGAGCCTCATGTCTAGCCTCCTGCTCAATTGAATCTGCCCGGCGACGCTTGATGCCCTATACAAAAGTGATTGATTCTACGTCCAGTCGCTCCAACGTGTGCCTTCCCAGTAGACGTTGCCATCATGCTCAAACTGCGGTCCTTCGGCCGAGATGATTTGTCCCATCTCGCAATGTGAGAATTCTACGCGGGCTTGTTCCTCATAGAAGCTGTCGAAACGCGACGACAGTGCGTCGCGCAGGCTTGTGACATCGCCTTGAGGGTGCAATGAGCGCCAGGGCTGAGAACATATTGAGCCCTTGCACGACTTGAGGACCAGGAGCAGGGCATCCAGTCTCGGAATGACCTCGTCTGGGGTATAGCCTAGTATTCGGCTAGTTGCCTTGGATGCAGCTTCGTCGGCATGGAGAAGATTCGTGAGCTGGCCAGGGTCGTTCTAGAAAGGAAGAAATATTAATTCCAATGGCTTCGCAGTGCGCGTGGACAGGTCACTTACAGTCATGTCATAAAGCTCATGCTCGTTGGTACACCAAACCGAGTAATACAGATTGTAGCCTTCGCCGACCACCCTCAGAGCCTTGTAGGTATTGTTCAAAATCCTGCCACCAATAGATCCGGTCAGGTCGTAGTTGGCCTCGCCTCCGGCGAATCCCCAAAATTCAACATTCACGTGCTCCCGGTGGCCGGGAGCATCTTGCAGCTGCTTCGCAGAGAGGGGGATGGGAGCGCCGTCGAGGTCTGCGCGCAGGGGCGCCCCAGCCAGGGACAAAAAGGTCGGGACCAAATCCACATGGGCAGTAACAGCCTTGGAAACGGCACCTTTAGGTACGCCGGGTCCTCGGACAATGAGCGGGACATTGATGTCCTCCTCGTACCCACACTCCTTCCCAGGTGGGAGCCGGTGCTGGCTGATGTGGTAGCCGTTATCGGCGCTGTAGAAGATGTAAGTGTTGTCTAGGATTCCTTGGGCCTCGAGCCTGTCTACCACAGCATCAACCAACTCATCTACGGCCTGGAGGGCCTGGAGGCGGCCGCGGTAGAACCGATCGTTATACGCGATCCGCTCATCGGTCAGTTGTGGTTGGCGGCGGATCCAATCAGCTCCAGACGGCTTATCTGGGTTAAAGTTGTCGGTCCTGGGGACCTTGGCGTCAGGAAACAAATGTGCATGGCGTGGTGCCGGTTCAGGAGGGGTCATCCGCAGTCCCTCGGCGGAGCTGAAGTAGTCAACGGAATCCGGGGATGGGGGACGGATCAGGAGTGAGCTGTTGATGTTACTGTGAGGGGCGATGGGCGCAATGGCAAGAAAGAATGGCTTGTCGGGCGTGGCGAGGGCTCCTTCGAGGAAGCCAAGGGCCTTGCCGGCGATGAGATCTGTGGAATACTCCCCGGGGTGGTTTACGGGGACATCGTGATCGCGCTGAAACGTGGCGTTCCAATAGTCGTATGTATTGGGGTCCAGGAGGAAGTCGGAGCTGCTCCAGCCCTTGAGATGGGGGTTCCCGTAGTTCCAGACGGTGTGCGCGTTGAACATCTTGCCCGTATAGAAGGTGCTGTACCCGGCGTCCTGCAGCCACACTGGGAGATAATTTTCATTGTGGCCATTTTTCACGAAGATGGGGAAGCCGCCTACAAAGCAATGTGCGAAATCTCGGTCAGTGATACGCAATCATGCATGGTGGCTGCCGAACATGGCGCCAGAGTTGTTTCCTCACATGGACGTTGAGTTGATACTGCGAGACCGAGGTAGGCTGAGACAAGGGGAAGGCCAGGTGATGGAGGGAAGAGGGGAATCTCCAGCCGACGAGTACGTACCATAGGGAGGATTCAGATCAGTCACATTCGTATTGTGCGCCAGCTTTCCGGTCCAAAGACTGGCGCGCGAGGGGCAGCACACGGCAGTGGTGCAATAGTGGCGCTGGTATAATGTCCCTTGATCTATGAGACGCTTCTTGATGAGAGGGGTGTGGTCCAGGGAGCCTAGATGCAGGTCTTGGTCATCGGTGAGCACGAAGACGATGTTGGGCCGCTTCGATGAGGATGAGGGCGATGATCCAAGGCCAGACAGGGGCTTCTGCGTGCCATCATCTGCACGCACGATGGACAGTGTGCCCAAGATCAAGCCCAGCCCGATTTCAATTCTCATCGCTGTGCTTTCTTTTCCCGGTGTGATTGGCGTGCTGTAGCGCAAATACAGAGGCGGAATAAGTGAGACACAACCCTCCAGGAGACTCAGAGGTTGTGTTGAGCGCCGTGCCAATTGGCTGATGCAATGCTTCAGCTCTCAGGACTGATGTGGTGGATCGGTATGTGCGCCTGCGGAGGTCTGGACTTCGACCAGGGATGCGGCGTGCGTACAGTAGAAAGCGAGATGTGATGAGTAGAAAGCCAGTCAGGCTGCCCAGGTTGGAGTATCGCAGGAAGAAGGGAGGTTGTGGGCGGAGAACTCGATGAGCATGTCGCAGTGCTCGAAGTTCCGGTCGGTAGCCGCAACATCAGCGATTGCGCCATAGCGGATGCGGATGTCCCTGTCGGTTCTCGTGGATGATGGGATCCAGCTTTGCTGCGATCATGGAGGGCACATCGAGTACTGCCTCACCGTGTTGCCTGCACCGTGACCCGGGTCTGGGAGCATCCATTCCCACCACAAGCTTCTCCCTCGCTGCAGGCTGATGTATGGATGCAGACGCCACGAAAAAGCAAGAAAGAGGAGGGCGAAGGGCGTGCAGCTGGTTGGTGATGAGGAGAAAAAGGATTTGGTAATTCGGCAGTCATCGTGCAGCAGCTGAGGCTATGGCTTGCACGCCAAGCCCCTGCCGTGCCCACCGGTTAGTGGGAAGCTACAGGGGCCCGTCCGCTGGAAAATACTTGCCCGCTCTGTACCAGTGGCCCTTCGCACCTACAGGCAGTACCAAGACAGCACCTCCAGCACTGAGGAGCCCCTATTCTCCCCGCCTGTACCCCAGAAGAACCTGACCAAGGCTCCGGCTGCCGGTGTCTCCCCACTGAAGGTACCTGCCGTACAAGTTGAGCTGACAGGCGACATTCGCCCGCACCTTCCTCGCAAAAAGTGAGAACTGACTTGAGAAGTGACAGCTTCAATTTCTCTCTCCTCCTCCGTGTCTCTCTTCTCTTCCCAGCTTGCTTGCTTTTTCTGGACGCTCACCTCGAGGCCAAGCTATTGTCATGTGGCGGCCTGCAGTCAGCTCGTCTGAAAGTAGGTAGTCGGTTGGTTGACGAGCGTGTTCAGCCCTCCACGTCTGAAATGGCTGTCAAGTGTCACAGGCTCGCTCCAGCCCTTTGTACACGGCAAGACATATCTATTTAATGCAACCCCTCGCGACGCTTCTTCCCGCTGACATGGCCAAAATACAAAGAGAGGAAGAGGACTCTCAGAGGCTCTCTTCTTGCCTCATCCCTCAATCCATCACCGCGACTCACACCGAGACGAGAGGCTATGGCTCTTCCTCATGGTGGAAACACCATCATCACTTCGGTTAGAGACGTGACCAGGCCTATGCGTCTGCTCTGCAAAGACATTGTGGATGGCGTAATTGACTCAACCTTCGCCCAAATGGTCGCTCAGCAGGGCCCGCTGCAAGACTTGATGGACAGCCAAGGAAGCTTCCCCCAATTGGAACCAGTCAGTCATCGTCTTCTGTTCATCCTACGTGCTCCCCGGGCTGACCGATGAGCAATCATTCACAGGGTCTCTGGCGTCGAGTCTTCAGACCTCGCGACGGTCCAGCGTGGAACTCGACCCTCCCTATCCCCGACCTTGACCTCCCCAGACTCACGCCCTTTGATCTCCGTATCCAGGCTGGCACTTTGCTGGTCGACGCCGCTCCCGCCGACACGAACCGCCGCCTCTTCCCTTGGAATGTCCGCTTGCTCGACCCTCCTGCTAAGCGAGCTCGCCGCTGTGGTGCGGACGTCTTCCTCGAGCCGCAACACGATCCTCAGAGCGAAGACAAGGTCCAGTGGTTCTGGTGCGACAGAGACGGCAAAGCCGTCGACCCTCGAGTCACATTGGTCCATGTCATCAACCGAGATGATCTGCTTTTGAAATTTCGCCGGGCTGCCGTCGCGTCAAGAGACGGAACCATGTTCAGGCATGCTCTCAAGCACAACCTCCAGCTGGGCTTATACCGGATCAGGTGCCGGCTGGCTGCCTTCGTAGCCTCAGGGTTCTCCCAGGAACGGATGCCTCCCTCCCCTTCGGCAGGCGATGGCGAAGACTTCTTCACCCCGTCGTACATGGCAGCAGCTTTTCGCCGCGAGCTGGCAGCCGGCCCTGTCTCTGACCCCGATGCCGAGGCACGGGCGAGGACTAATGCCGCCCAGGTGCTAATGCTGTACAAGTATTACTACGAGGGGAAAGAAATGATATGGATGTGAATATAATTACAACAGAGACCCCTGGCTTTGTTCCTCGTCTGCTTGTCAGTTGAATGGAACTTGTCACTTAGAGCCACCACTCTGCTCGCAAATCATCTTCACAACGGGTGGCGATGGCATGCCAAATATCAATCAACTTGTCTTCCTGCTTCAAAGCGTGCATATTCACCGGTTGTCTCCTGTGCTTGACTTATTCCTGCTGCTTCTGACCGCGAAACTCGCCCTTCACCACCCGCTCCGCAAGCTCCTTCAGCACCTTGGCCAGCCACTCGTAGTCCTCCATCTCCAGATACACCTGCGCGCTGATGCGCACCCAGAACCTGTCCCACCGCACATACAAAGCCACAAAAGTCTTGTACTCGTCCATGAGCGCCTTAGCCATGAAATTAAACGCCGCATTTGCCTCCTCCCGCGACAGCACCAGACCCTGCCCCCCTCCCTCCGTCACCCTCTCCCCTTCTCCCTCCGCATCCTCCTCCTCCTTAGCCACCCACAGCGGCAGCGCAACGTTGCCCATCCCGCAGTTCGTCATCGTCCCCGTCTTGTTATCCAGGTACTCCGTCCCCAGCACCCCGGCGACGTGCCTGATGCCCCTCTTGTTCAGATCCCACAGGTACGCCAGGATCCTCTCCTCCCCGCCAAGCACGTCCCGCCGCCACGCGATGGCGTCCTTGACGCACATGTACGGCGAGTCGTCCCGCGTGCCCACCCACCCAAAGTTGAACGCCAGGTGTCCCACCTCGCCGTAGTCGGGCAGCGGCTGCGTCCGCAGCGCCCTCCCCCCTTCCTGGGGAACGTACCCCCTCGACGTGGCCAGCGACGACGGGATCAGCTTGTGGTTCCGCTCCGGCACGTAGAACACCGCGCAGCCCCTCGGCACGTGCAGCCACTTGTGGCAGTTGCTCACGAAGAAGTCCGGGTCCGTCGTCTTCAAGTCAAGATGCACCATCCCGATCCCCTGCGCGCCGTCCACGAGGCTCAGCACCCCGAGCTCGCGGCACGCCGCCGTCATCGCCTCCCAGGGGAAGACCACCCCCGGGTTCGACGACACGACGTCGAAGACGGCTACCCTTGCCCGCTTCCCTTCCGCCTCGATCCCCCGCACCGTCTCGCGGAACAATCTGAGGATCTCGTCGTCCTCGACCGGGTACGTGAGCAGGATGTCCCTGGCGACGACTTTATCCTTGAAGTAGTCGACGACAAAGTCCTCCGCGCGCGCCATGGCGTCGTAGATGGTCCCGAAGCTGATGATGACGTCGCGCCCGTCCGGGCTCCAGTGCAGGTTCCGCAGCACCGTGTTGACGCCCTCGGTCGCGTTGCCGACGAAGACGACGTCCCGGAGCGGCGCGTTGACCAGCTGCGCGACGGCCGCGCGGGACTCGTTGACGAGCGTCGCCACGTCCCGGCGGATGAAGACGTCCGGGCGCGCCTCGTAGCGGTCCAGGTACTCGCGGCGCTTCTGGCTGATGGCCTTGGGGATGGTGCCGTACGAGCCTTGGGGGGTGTTAGTGAATATCACCGACGGATCGTGAAGCACGCGAGCTGTGAACACGCACCGTGGTTCAGGTTTCTCCAGCCCTCGTCGAACTGAAACTCCTTCAATAGGCCATGGCCGAGCTCTCGGGGAGCCTCGGAGCTGCTTGTATCAGCGGCGCTGAGTTTCTGACCCATCTTGTATCGCGCTTTCTATGTAATCTACAATGTGCAAACCGGAGTCTATCGCCGCAAGTGTGAGATATAGATGGTTCAATATCGATCAGTGAAGCTTCTGTCTCGATCACACTAAGAAATAGCCCAAGGATTCGGGCGTCATCTGGATCTTCCCCGCACCCGCGTTGCTTTCCGTACATCGCGCCCGTGTTCCGCATTCGGGGAGCACTTAGATTGGAAGGTCAGCTTGCATTTCACATGTCCGCTGCGGATATCGGAGGCACAGGCCGATCAGTCTGACAGATTGGCAGAGATACTTGCCTGCCAAATGTAGAGGCCAACAGAACAACAAGTGGGGGGCGAGGAGAACTCGGGCGGGCCATCCGGATCGCCACGTTCATTGATGCAGTGTGGCCGATTCGTCGCTAGCAGACACGCACCTAATTTGAAAGTCAGTGATTTCTCAGCTTCGAAACTCACCCACAAAGACAAAATGGCCATCGCTGGCTCAAGACAAGCACCGGGAAAGAGAACGGGGAATCAGGATCGCTTGTCGTCATTCAAGACTACTAGAACCTAGGTATGTAGATGGACCTTCTATGATCAGCCTTGAGCCGGACTCCCAAGCCCGGCTCCGAAGGAAACATTGCCATTTCCCCCAAATAGAATTCATGTAAGCCCAGGGAAAGAACGCCGTCGACATAAAATGTGTATATGGAAAAAAACAAAAATGGTGGTGTAGAAACCAGTCGTTGGTAAAGCCCTCTGCTTCTTGCCTCGATGCAATCATTCGCTGTCTAAGAAAAATAAAGAAGAAAAAAGAGCAATCGCAGTCATCATCAGCGACACCGGTTTGGCGACACATGCCACGTATCCCCCCACTGCCTCAGTGCTGATACTTTGAGGCCTACCAGCGCCAGGGCTACGTCCTTCTCCTTCTCATTATGCTCTCGTTCTCGTCTTGCCAACTCCTCTCGCTGTTGTCGTGACAGTCTAAACTGTTCCTGTCGTTGCTGCGCCTCCCACTGACCGCTCACGCTTTCGTGTTCACCCATCCAATTTTGCTGCTGATCGCTCCACTGGCCTCGGGCAGGTTTAATTTGTGTCTGGTTCTTAATCATCGCTTCCTGGATGGCCAGTGATTGTGATCGCAGTTGTCTAACATTCGCGTGGAGGGTGAGCTGAGGGCCTTGGGGTGGGCTCTGAGGTTCCAGTGGCCGAGGTCTCCGGTCGAGCTGTTCAGGTGAGGCAGCGTCTATCACTCTCAGCGGCGGCAGTGTGAGCGCTGGTTCAGACTTGGGGGCAGGCCTGCTGCCGGTGCTGCTCCTCCTGCTGCTGTCTTCGCTTCCACCGGCCAAGTTCTGAGGAGGAGACGACAGGACCTCTTCCTCGCCGTAGATCTTCTTGCGCTTGCGCAGGCGAGGGTTTGCTTTGACCGAGTTCAAAATTGAGCTGCTGGCAGGCGGCGGTGCCTCTATCTTGAGCGGCTGCACCAGGACTGTGGGTTGATTAAACTCCATCACCATATTCTCCGGCCCTGGTTCTAGCACTTGATCTAGCACTTGTTCCAGCACTGGTCCTGCCACTTGTTCCGGCTCTGGCTCCTGTTTGAGGGCCCTGCCATGGTTTGGATTCAGTGTTGAGGGTGGCTTCTTCTTCTCTGCACGCTCCATAGCGGCCGGTGCGGATTTCCGTGTCCGTCTGGGCCTTAACCTTAGAGCATTCTGGGCAGCACTAGGCTTCGCTGATGCCTTGGGTAGTGGCTCGGGCTGTGGAGGTGGAGGTGGCATAAGCGGCGCTGGCTCCGAAGGTGGTGGCGATGGCGTTGCGGCGCCAGATGCTTGGACAGCGATTGTCTCTTCAGTCTCTTGTTGCTGGTGCAGATTCGATTCAACCGTGATCGACATTTCGGCCATCACAGTATCAGATATTGGCGATGAGGATCGTGGTGTGGAAGGATCGTGGAACTCTGTTATTCGTCGGAGCTCGCCGATGATCTTCTGTGTCCAATATGCGCCAGTCACCTTGGTATCGCGCAGTGCCATGGGGTTTTTGGCCGGCTGCTTCTCCTTGGGCTCCTCCCAGAGCTTTGGGACACGGTTCTGGAGGTCGGAGACCCATGCATCACAATCCCATTGCACCCAGTAGTCGATGATGTCTCCCCACGAACTCTCTGGCGGCTTGGTGAAGTTGACAAACACGACCGTGCCGCCCCGGCTGTGAATAGACTTTGCAAATTCACGAACCAGTATCTTTAGGCCATGCACGCGCAAACTTGTCCCCAAAATCAGGAGCATGTCCGGACACAAGGACAGGTCATGTGTGACAATTGGGCTTATGAGATGCGCGTTGGGGTGCTCCTCGCCATACAGGACAATGTCAGGTCTGAGTTTACCGACACCGAGCGCCCTCTTCCCTCGCTCTTCCCTGGCAGCCGTCGCTCCAACACAGTGAGGGCACTCAGGCTGCTGGCCGGACATGGTTTCTGACTCTCGAATACCATCCCAACATGTTACGCGCCCGCAAAGGAAGCACCTCAGGCTTTCTAAAGACCCGTGAAGAAAGACGCACTCCACACCAGATGACCGGAGTGTTTCCAGCTTGGGAGGAGCCTTGGGTTGGTCGCCAACAGATGCTTCCGACTCTGTGACGGGAGTCTTGGGTGTCTCTGTCTCGTCTGCCGGATGCTGGGTCGAGAGCGAAGGATGGCTCTCGCCAACTGGGGTCGGGGGTTCAGCAGCAGCATCTTCCACCATTTTGCTTAGCTGGGCCCCATTGGCCGTTGAGCGTCGAGAGAATCGACCACGACTTCCTGGGCCCTCCTCAAGACTGGTAGAAAGTCCAACCTTCTCTTCAATTCGGTCAATGTTCTGGGTGTAGCATCGGACGAGCTTTTTCCGGTCTCTCAGGTGGCTAATGAACCGATGTGAGCTGGTAGGTTCGCAATCCTTGACCTTCTGTCTGAGGGATGTCGCAAAGGTATAAAAGACTGATGTTCTGAGGGGATCCGACCATATCGAGGCGTCAAAGAGATCTTTCCCCTTCATGTTAGGTAAGCTGTTGCGGCCAGAAGAAGACTGAGAGGCGCTGAGCGAGTGGGAGTTCAAGTCCATTTCGCATTGTGACGTACTGCTCCTTCGGCTCGAGCTAGTGATGGAAGGAGAGGGAGGGTGCGGTTCAAATAGTATAGGTGGCGGTGAGGAGAGGGGTGATGAGCTGGCGGGAATGGCGATATTTAAAAGATCACGACGCGACCGAAGTGAACGAGTCTGGATGATAGGTCCAGGCGATGTGGGAAGGACAATGTCCTCAAGGGGTGGCGAGGAGAGCGGCGAGGTCGTCGGCATTTCCGCACGATCGGGCGTGCGCATGGCTTTGGGCGTAGATATTTGGATCGCATTTCCTGTCGTTCGGGTGGGGGAGGAGGGGAGGTTGAGGTCGTCATCGGTCGGAGGTTTGACGTCGTCTTGAACTGGGATCTCGGCAGGTTCGTCCAAGGCCACGGCGTCCTCGGTTTCTTTCTGGTCTGCTCGCTCCTGTCTGTTGAAAATGATGGGGTCGCAAGAAAGCCTTCTCCGCTTGGGAGCAGGTCCCTCTTGAAAATCGCGTTCGTTGTCGCCTTCATTCGTATCGCTGTCTCCCTGTGAAGTAGTGTCTGGGGATGCGTTATTGCGTGCTAGCTCGAAATGAGCCTGAATCAGAGAGTAGAGACCATTCTCAGATCGAAAATCCTGCAGTCCATTGATCAGCCCAGGGTCGTTCACCATCGTGGGCCGCGTCGGGTCGAGAGAAAGCGGGGGAAGGGCGCGTTATGCAACATACCGGAATGCCTGAATTGGTACTGATGCCAGCACCAGTTACCACGACCACTTTGCGCGCCTTGAGCAGGGTATTTGCCACGGTCTGGAGCAGCTCGTCGGAGCTCGGGTCGACGTGTTGGGTAGGCATGGCGGTAACGGAATAGAAGCAACAGGCAGCAGATGGTGCGCGCGCTCAGCACACAAACGGGCAGTCCACGACGCGCTTTCTGCAGCCTGAGTCTCGTCTCACAGTGGAAGCTCGGTTGTAAGGGGACAACAAGGGGCGATCGTCATCGTGGTCGGTGTCGAAGCCGGAGGATTGTGCGGAGGTGACGCTGATGGGCCAATTCACGAAAGGTGCAGTTGGAGGAGCGGTTTGAACGCGGTTGGGTGGTGGTGGAGGATTTGGGAGGAAGTGGTGGGTGCGCGGTCGCGGGCATGCGTCGGTGGAGATGATTGTGTGCGCTGAGGCGGGTGCAGACAATCACGGGAGTAGCGGGGGGCTCCGGCCAGCGAGACTCCAAGAAACGTCCGGCGACTGGACGAGGAGACGTGAGGTCAACAACGAGCAAGCAGGCCTGAATGGCTGAATGAGCTGAGAGTCGCTCCGGACCGAGAGGTGAGGAGACGAACCAGCCTCTTTCCTATCTGGGCCGCCGACACGCGCCTTCCTCAATGGCTGGAGGATCAATGTTGTTGCCCCAATTTAGAGGTGGAGGCGCCTCGGTGAGCTAGACCGGACGCAGCAGGGTCCTGTGCCCCAGTAAAACGCCCTGTGACGGCTATCGATAAGCATTTCAGCGGGCACACCACTGAACCTTCTTCTGTCAGATCTCGAGGTCTGAATCATCATTTTGATTAGATCACAACCGCAACGATTGATATCGGAAGTGAGTGTATGACCATGCCGCAATTAATCAGTATTTCTACTGTGGAACATTCATTCTCCCGAAACCCGTGTTTCAATCATGGATTCATTTACCCATCTCAGAAAAATAAACAACCGACAATGCCCTCCCTGATGCTAAAGCTTGTCATCCATCTATTGTATTGTCCTTCAATTTCCCCCTATTGTCGCCAAGTCGGGACGATATAGTAACAATCCGACTCCGTTTGGACCATGAATTATTCATTGCCTCAAGCCAGGCATCACCAACGCCGCTTACTCCCAAGGCTTGCTGATAAAGATACTCTGCGCTGAATCACTGGTTTCTCCATGTCCAAAACTTAAAGCTGCGCTCAGCACTTACACTCCCATTCCATTACAGTCCATCGCCGATTGAGACAATCCACGCTTCCAAGGCAAGCTCAATTCGCTTTGAACAAGCAATCATCCATGATGGACTAACCATGCCCATGTGAATCACTAAAGATAGGCAATCTTACAACACCGTACTCCTCGCTCCTCACCTCCCTTCTAGGTTTCCTCATGTATGATGGTAAAAAACTGCCTAAATACAGAACTCACACACGAGATAAGAATTAAAAAAGCTCTGGGTCAGCCTAAGTCACTACAAATCATTTAGGCCTATATACTTTCTGGTAACCTCAATATAGTTAGACAAACAAAACAATTTCTAAGGAGTATCCTAAAATTTCAATTAATAGAAAGTTACGCCTAGACCCGAACTTGACAGTTAAAGCTCTAAATTCTCCTTGCAGCTGTAACTAATTACATGAAAGAAGGGCGAGAAAAGATAAAAGATGAAAAAGCTAAGGTCATAGTCCAGATCGAGGGGCCGTTGCTGTAACTCTAGAATTCGTTCTTAGGAAATAGTTCTAAGAATTGAGATAATCTCTTCTTGAACTAACACAGCGATCTATATACTATCCTCGAAGGAAATTACCCAAAAGATATACCGCTTGTTTGTCTTATAATTCTGAGTATCCGCTACCGTAACCAACCCACTGACACATCGCCAGCGTCTAGTTGGCAAATACAACCAAACTCGAAATGCACAATTTATGATATTGCCACTAGTAATAAATCTAGTTTAGTCTCATATGCTTATCCTTGATTCCCAGTGCGCTGGTTGCCGTCTTCATTTTCTCTATCAGTCTATTTAGGTAAAACCAATCTCCGATTGTTATCTCAATGTACCTAGGTACTTCATACTCACAACAGAGAGACCGCTACCTAGCAACTAATCAACTATAAATATGAGACTCAACTTGTTCCGTTTCCAACAAGTCAATACCCGATGGTTTCATTATGGAGCGGCGATATATAACTCTAACCTATGGGGCGTCAGCACTGGACTCACTCCACAACATCACCTCAGTCGAAGCCAAGATAATATATCTAAGTAGAAACTCTACATTCCTGTAACTATAATCCTAGGAAGACTACTTCTACGAGTATCGAAATTACGCTGATGAGGTCGTCCACGACGGAGACGGAACCCACATGGCGGAAGCGATGAATACAGCTTCGCTCTTACTTGGGCCAACCATGATAGATTCCTCAGGATCTGCAAGATGGATGAAAGAACCTTGAACAGTTTTGAATTCTTTCCATACGCCTTTCAGTAATTATGGTTCAAAAATATCTCTGCTCATGAAGAAGTCTACTTTAAATTAGTCGAATAATGATACGCATTATCTGATTATACTGGAAAAGACCAACTCCCTCAGCCTCGAGCGCTCTCTCTCTATGATATATGCCAGGCTCAGAGGAGCAATGCCTCCATATAATACTTAGATAGCCACCAGAAACTTCAAAAACTCCGAAAAGTCATTAGGCACCCCCAACCCAGTCACAGCATCCCACCCCTCCACAGCCAACCACCCTCCCGGCCCTTCATCCTCATCAAACGGGCACGAAATACTCTCCCCAGCGATCGTATCCTGAAACACCCCCTTCGCCTGCCTCCCATACAGATGCTGGTTAATCCATCCCAAGGGATCCTTCCCCTTCTTCGCCCGCTCATGGTCCACCACGGCAACCAACGACGCCAGCAACGGCGCGCTCGCGCTCGTCCCGTCCACGTACCTCGTCCTCCCGCCGACGACAATCTCAAACCGCGACGCCACGGCCGAGATGTCTGGCACCGCGCGCATAGAACTGTTGTAGAACCCCTCCAGATGCCCGTCCAGCCTCTCAACGTACCCACCCACCGCATCCCGCTGCCACTCCTCCATGGGGAAGAACTGCGAGAACCCGCCGCCGCTGAAGTCCGCGCCCTCAGGCGGCTCGTAGCTGTTGGACACGCCGCCGACGGACGTCACCCAGGGACACGTCGCCGGGAACACAGCCATGGTGACCTTCTTCCCCTCCGGGGTCACGCAGTTGGACCTGCGCGACCCTCGAGCGCCGCCATCCCCCGAGGAGCTGAGAATAGTCGTACCCCTCGCCGTCAGGATCCCCATCATGTTGCAGATCCGCTCGGCGTACGCCCTCGGCACCGACAGCTCGTCGTCGCCGTACGAGAACGACAGCACGTGGGGCATCTCGTCCGTCGGCTTCGCGAGTAGGTACTCCAGGAACTCGAGGTACGGCTCGTTGTCCACCAGCTCGCCGGCGAGCGGCTCACCATCATCACCCAGCTTGACGCCCCTACCACCTGTATAATAATAAGTCAGCTGGGCAGGGTGCGCCAGCGCCAGCGCGTACTGGATGTCCAGCGCCGCCTCGAGGCCCGACTTTGAGGGATCCTGCGGGTTCTCGCCGCCGTTAATGATCTCGACGGAGAAGTTGTACCCGGTGCTCGCGACGTCGGGGGCGAGCCTGTCGAGGAACTGGGCCGCGTCGGCGTAGTTGGCGTACTCCTCGAGGAAGCCGGCGATTCCCAGGCGGATGGTCGAGTTCTCGCTGGGACCGGCCGGGGGCAGCTTGTAGAGCTCGCGGATGCAGCCGGGTGTTACTTTCCCGCGGCAGGGACTGGCAGGCCCCTGGCGCTTCGATATATCGCGGTCAGGCTGCGCCGGGGAGGGTCGCGTCAGTTCGTTCCGGGGCTCCATGAAGTTGGCGATGGGGTGGACGAAGCTGATGGCGTCCCTGAGCGAGTCTGGGACAGCGTACTCGGTCGTACGGAGGGCCTGCTGGCCGTTCTCGAACTCGTAGCGGTGCAGCTTCATCTCCAGCAGCGGCTCGGCGGCCGCGACGGTCGTGCGCACGTGGATCCAGTCATTCTCCTGCCTGGCGTCCGTGATACCATTCTCAGCGAGCCAGTTCTGGACAGCGTCGACGTCTTGCTGGTCGGGCTGGCGGATCAGACGGGCCTCCTCGTCCGACAGGTGCTTGTTTGTCCCTGAGACAAGGCGTGTTCGCAGCTCTGCGATATTGGGTTCACGAAGGGCAAACGAGAGCCACAGAGGCTGGCTGGGGCTGACCTCGTCGCGAAGTTGTGTCCATCCGCTCGGGACCTCCGACACTTGTTCGACGAGCGTCGCGCATGAGCCCAGGCTAACAAGCCCAAGGAGGGCTACCACTGAGTAGACCATGATGGTGTCCGTAAGAGGTATTATGGTCCTCTATGGCAAACAACAGAAAGACCAGGGAAGCCAAGGGCCCATTGATGCCTCTTTAAATGCCATCTCCCTGCTGGAAATTGTCGCCCTGATGACAGAAATGTCTTGGTCCCTGCCAATTGTACCACCAAACCCGTCAAGGTTCACCGGCTGTTGCATTCCGTCGATTCATGTTTGACTGCCGCCATGTCTCAGGGACGAGTATTGAGTGGTGGTTCGGCAAGGGCAGATAATCTTGTATCAGTCTCAGACGTGCGGATGAGGGACATGATAAAGACTGTGGGTGGTGTTAGTTTGGAGAGACGGAGCAAATCGTGTCAAGTCCTGCCAGAGATAATGAAGCCATCAAGTCGTTGATAAAGTTTGTTACTAGGTAGATCAGCCGTTTGAAGTCATGCTCTCCAATTATGAAGAATGTGTAATCTGGTTAGACGGATGGGCCAGTAGAAATATCAAGGTGCCACATCAGCATCAGGGCACCCACCATCAATTCCAATAGAGCCTTGGCAACAATCCACGCCGTCCATTCTCCAGTTATGCATCTTCATCGCTCCCGCCACCAGTGACAAGCCATCTCATCTCGATCATCAAACCGCTCCGTAGACACCAGCCCAGTAGCCATACCCGCAGCTGGCATTACCAACAGCTTATCACCAATCCTCGACCCTGCTCGCTGGTCACACTATGTACCAACCCTTGCACCCTCTTCCCCGTCCCATCGCATCTGGACCGCCGCAGTGGATATGGCGAAGATCTGGAACCGGCTAATCAGTCGCTGCCCCCTCGCAGCTGAACAATATTCCACCGCCGCATGCCCCAGGTCAGCGACTCGCGGGGCCAATAGCCTCTGGGTCGGTATTTCGCTAGTTCTCATTTCCTCTCTCACCATTCCAGTAATTCCCTTCCATCTCCCGAGCTTCAGCTGACTATTGCCCGTCTCGGACGTGAGGTGATGTGATGGCTGCCCTCCAAGCCGCTGGGCAGACATGTGTATATAACTACAAGTCACTCAACCAATCTTCAAAATGTCTCTGGCCAAAATTAAAATAATCTAGTTCTATCCTCTCTCGCTGAATCCTCTCCAAGCCATTCATTCTACACATGGCCCTGCCGCCAACCATCTCACAGGGTGACTCCCAATCCCCCAGTCGCACATCCTTCCCCTTCCGTCAGCGCCTCTGGCCCTTCTCCCACGCCAAACCGCCCAGCAGCGAATCTCCCCCAAAAGCACCCGTCCGCACTCCCTACGTCCCGCAGCACGCTGCCGCAGACTTCCTCCGGACCACAACGCCCAGGCCTCGGGTCTTGCCAATCCACCAAGAGGGGAGCCCACAGCAAGAAGAGTCTTCACGCCAGTCAAGGAGCCAGTGCGGTGTGGTGAGAAAAATCACAGATTATGTCAAGCCACCAACGGACGGGTGAGCCGGAAAGCAGTCACTGCATAATTGTACAAACGTGGTAATGAGGGGGGGCGGTGCTGGATTGATCTCATCTGATCATGGAGTCACGGTTGCGGCCGGAGCTGGTTTTTACGCGTCATGATACCCATGCCATTGATTCTCGGTCTTTTCGAATACTCATTGTTTCTTTCTTTCTCTGCCTCGCTGTGGAGGACAAGTATGTAATACTACCCATGATGCAGTAACGCGCTATCTCCAGAATGCTCGAGTCCCTCCTCTTGGAACGTCGCCCAAGGCGCGAGCCAGAGCGACCGTAACCAGACCATGCATGCTTCCTAATAAATAAAACCCACAATCTGTAAACAAAAAACACATCCCAATGGCCCATTTATCGGTACAGTGCCCCTTCTCAAACACAGATAAATGTGAGGAAGGGGCTGGGAAGAAAACAAAAAACGCCGCCCGATCAGTAGCTCATAAGGGGACATATCGCCAACGCCCAGAGTCAGAAAGATCAGTGATGCCCTTCCGTACGCCAAGATGGATTTAAACCCAGAAAAAAGAAAAAGAAAAGTGACTAAAATCAAACACCCACAGCCCCATTCCAGGATATTGACGAAGCAAAAGTATCGCTGTGCTGTAGAAATACTGTAACGTCGTAGGTTTCGAGGACTGGGACCGAGAGCAGACAAAGGTACCCGCGAAAAGGGAAGAAAGATGGCAAAGCCATCAGTCACTATGAGTGCATCCTAACCCGAGTGAAAGCCCAAGGGCTCAAATCCACAGAAAAGATGAGAAATCGCTTGCAATGCAATGAAGAGGACCACAATCACAAGTGTCGACTAACAAAATCCAGAAGAGTGATGGGTGTGCCAAGAAAGCCGACAATGTCGGTGTCAAGATCTCAACATATCCCCCAGACCAAGGAGCGCCCATGACGGGACGTGTGGCGTAAGGGAGAAAGTCGCGGATTCGCCTCACGCTATGAGGGACTAATTCCAGCTCCATTTCTTCGACAAGGAATTTCAATATCACCCTCATCGTCAGAGCTGAGGCACATGTCATCCGTGTTTCGATCCAGCATCTTCAGCACATCCTCCTCAGTCAGCGGTTTCCGTCGAGGTTTGCTGGTCCAACCCAAGGGACTTGGAAGGGACAACGCGCCCCGAACATGCCCGGTTTCCCCATTGAAACGATTCCTAGGTGTGCCTCGATAGGGTGAGTGTTGGGAATGCGGTGAATCCAGGATCATTGGGGAGCCCTGGATGCTAGACATGTTAGAAGAGGCTCTGTACAGAGCTTTCCGTGCTGATACGTCTGGACGATGGGTAGGCAGCGCTTTCCGCGGCCCACTAGGCAAGGCATGGCGACCATTGGAACTCCGAGGAGTGTCTTGACTGGCGAAAGGCCCAGGAGAATGTGAGGGCGAAATGTCGTGTTTCAAATTGGCCGAATTGTTGGGGCTGCTGAGAAACATGAGGGTCTCCACGGCATCCTTTTCTCTATTGTTGTGGTGCGCAGAGAAGACACCACCCTCAGCCATGGCAAGTGCTCTCGACTGGCCACCCAGCGGTGACGGCTGGGCCGGTGTTCGTGGCGAGGCTTGGTGAGAGGCAGTAAGGAAGGTCGGCATGTAGTGAGGGTTTGAATTCCGACGCGGGTTGGGCCGTGGTGCATGGGACGAAATGGACGGCCGGATCGGAGCGGGAGGCGCGAGAGCTATGGGTTTGGCCGAGGAGGATATTATGGGGGTATCTGAGACGTGTTGTTGCTGCTCCATGATGTCTTTAGCGAAGTGAACCCGCATCTGCGGGTTAAGACCAGCGAGTACAGGTCGGGTTCGGATCGTCGATACTGTGGAAACCGGGGAGCTTGATTGAGAGGACATGATGGTCTCGATTTCGCCAATAGACTTCTCCTCCAGACCATTCTTGTACTTGTACATGGCCCATGATAACCGGCTCTTCAATGTTTGAGCCATCTGCACCACGAGGTTAGCAAAACGAAAAACAAGAGGCACTTGCAACAGAGAACACCAACATCGCCGACGGTGCTGGCCGTCGAGACTGCGCTGACGGCACTCGCGTTCCTCGAATGGGTCTTGTAGGGGCTCTTCAATTCGCCGTCCGCCATGCGTTTCCGCGGGGTGGGAGCACTGTCAGTCTGTAATCGCTGCCTCCCAGCTGCCAATTCTGACAGCTGCAGCAGCTGGTCGTCCTGACTGGAGGCGATCACCTGCTGCATGGGATCGGAATCGGCGCTGTTCTGGATGCTGCTGGGCTGTGTCGGGGTGAAGATTTGGTCGGATACGCTGGTGACATTCGACTCCTGTGACCCGGCTATGGAACGCTGGTCGCTCTGGGAGTGATCCCCGTCCGCGCGGGAGGGCAGATCAGTGTCGTGTCGGTCGAGAACCTTGCCGTGGGAGAAGACGCCCTTGATGTAGTTGGCTGAGGCACGCGCCTCGGGGATCGCGGTAGGTGGCGAAACTGCGTGGTCACCGCGAATAAATGCAGACGCGACGGAGGGGTCCATTTGTCGGGTGTCTAGAGAAACAAAGCTCCCCAACGGCGCGACCGCATCGATGCGGTCGGGGGCCATGGCGGTCATGGGGATATCGTGTATGGCGTCAGGACTCTCGGGTGGTGGTATGGAGGTGTATTGTGGAAGGGGGGAGGGGCAGACAATTCGCGGGTGGGATGGAGGTGTGTGTGGTGGTGTTTGTCGCTGGTGTTGGGCCCGTCATCAGTGACGAGACTAGAGGCGTCACGACGGTAGGCAGACGGATTAATTCTAGAGTCAGCACCAAGATGAAAGGCGCTGAGAATCAGGCAGAGCACTCAATCAATTGCTGGAAGGGCAATGCCTGCTGCCTCTCCACCAGCCTCGGGGATGGATGGAGACGGCTCAGGCCACACAAAAAGACCCAAAAGACCCCCAAAAGACGGCTACTGGCCTTAACCTTGGCGGACAGGAGCGAGGATCACACTTTCTTCGTAGTGCTGGTTTGGCGTCCACACACGCGGTCAGGCGTGACGCATGCGGGAGTCCCACCTTCCCCAACTCAGCCAGTGGGCAATCCACCGATCCACACCGTACGAGGTACTTGACGCGACTCGCCTCGCTTCAGCACCTTTGCTTCAGGCAGCCTCTTCAGGGCATTGCTACCTCAAGAGCGCTGTAATCATTGAAAGTATCGTCGCTACCTACATGTAAGACTACAGCTGCTGGTCTCGATTTCAGTGATAATTGCTACAAAGTAGTCCCAATGCTTTCGGTTAGATATCTTCATTCTGCTTCTGGCCAAGCTAGGCGCCAAATCCCTCCAGGCCCCGTGACAACCCTGATGAGATATTTTGTCAGCGGTCCTCTCAATGGCGTCGTATCAATGCCAGGTTTCCCAGCCACCCCAGAGACGCGGCGCAGGCCAATCCAGTCGGCAAGAAACCACGCACCGCAGACTGCAAATATGCTTTTCGAGATTTGTGCGTCTCTACGCGAAGCATGCTTAGCTTGGCAAACTCTGGCATGCAATATAGCCCTCGGCTCTCCCCTACGTGGTGGCGAAAGGAGAAGAGATTTCAGCCAGCCTGCATGTACCCTGTGATGTACTCGTACCGTGCGAGTATCATATCTTCAACACCGCATCCCACCGACTGGCCACTACCCCCATCACCACAGCCCAAAGCCCCATCGCTCGAAAACAAGAAAAAAAAACCTCTCCAGCGCACAGTCTGGCATGTGCGCTGTCGGATATCTGTCAGGCGAGGGCTTGCAGGGGCTCGAACTCAGCGCCCGGGCGAACTCTGGTGAATCCCTGCGCAGGCCTCCGCTCCGTCCGAAACGCGTAGATGATCAGTAAACCCCCATGTGCCTCGCACTGACAGGGCAGGGAGGGACGGGAGGCTGGCTCGCTGCAGACGCACAAGCCAATCGCCTCAAGTGGCTGCAGCGCGCGCGGGGCCGTCGATGACACGAAATCACGTGCCTTCGCAATTGGAGGGGCAGTCTGTGCGTGTGACTGTCAGTCGGTGAGAGTGTTTTTGTTATTTTATTTATTTTCTTCAGCAAACCCAAGCGCCAACCGCCCATCCAGGGGCCAATGGGGCGTCCCCGACACGCAGCATGCTGACTCACTTATCTGCACCACGCCAAAGTCGCCGATCCATCCATTCATCCATCCATGTGAGCGGGACACGGCCATACTCCTCAACGTTGGAGAGCCGCCCAGGGTCCGAATGTCACCGCTGTAACCGTAGTCGGGACTGTAACAGTCCCTACCGAACTCTATGGAATGCATCACAGTGAGGATATTGGCCTTCAATTTGCCTATCCCTATACCTGCACAATTATTTTGATGTGCAAAATTCATTAGTTCATTGTGTAAGACTAATCGTATATACTTCTTCGGAATATGGCTCTGCGGACGATAAACCTCATACATTCTTGAAGTACAGGCGGGGTGAGCTACCCTATAGCAGCACCACAACCAGCCTGCATAGTCCCGTGAAAGTGATATCGCTATGTCCCTCATCGCACCAAGAAGCTAATATCGGTAAATTGAATGAGATCTTTATATTAATCACTATAATTATTTCGGTTAAATTGCTTACCCCTTGTATACACAAACTGTTAGATCAGCTGAAGTCATATTCAACACGAATGCTCTTTTCAGTCGCATTCTTACCTTGTCGCTAGGGACTGGAGTTTGGCTAACTGTGGGTTCAGCCTTTATGGTGATGGTGTGCTTATAGTAGCACCTGTTCCCTCATTTTCGCGCATTCAATTACGGATTCGCTATAAATACATTTTCACCTAGTATAAATGCTTTATCAAACCCCTCCCTTGCCATGCTGACCGTGCTGGGAAGAGCTAGCAAAGCCTTAGATTATCAATCTTTTCTGCACGCTTCTACAAAGACCGAGTTTTTTGCCTACATCAGTGCCTTTTTCCTGGTTGGAGAGCAGAGGAATATGAGCTCTTCATCTTCGCTGAAATCGGAAATTCCACCTGCTCTCGCCCTTCACCCGTTCACAACCGCAATCATGAAACACAGGCTCCTTACATCGACCTCTGAATTGCAAAGCTAAGGGCTGGAAATACGGATGCTTTTGCTACCATCTTTATCACCTATCTTTCTTTGCAAGCAGCGTCACAGTGGTAACAAACTTCATTGACAACTTCGATCTGGTCAGCAAAGCCTTGCAGTCCAAATTGTTCCAAACCGACCAACTACTGAGACTGAAGAACCTAAAGAATCTGGATTACATCCGACGCATTGATGATCCTGTAGATAGCCGCCATGATGATCTATTCGATGAGGTAGTTCCTGCTTTATATCGACCAACAGTTACCGAAGTTGCGCTTTGGATACATAATCCTGCCACATTCAACTAGCCATTTGGAGAGCCGAATCTTTGTCATCTGACTTCACTACATATCGAGCGGCCCTGCCCTGAACCTTTATTCAAGATCCTGACCCTAACAGAGAGCCTCAAATTCCTTCAGTGGTCTAGGGATTGATAATATCACAAAAAACTGGCTACACGTGGAAGTCATCAACCCTGGACTTCGATGAAATGAAATCACCAGAGCACTCTCCCCGGCCAAACATACACTTGAAAAGCTTCGCATTGGATTCCGAAGCAGTTTTGGCAGGTTGCACGGTTCTCCACCTGTGGCCATTTGAGGGTCTTTCGATGGTCTTGTCGACTTCTACAAGGTGAAAGAGCTCTATATACCATTCATAGCTCTAGCTGGTTTCGAATATCAAACGTTGCTTTTGGAACGCGACTTTCCTCCCACCGTTGACGACCTTTCCCTTTCCATTGACATGATTGATAATTTAGGGTTCGATGGAAAAAGGACGAAAAGGAAGAACTTGGAAACTATCATCATCAACTTGGTGACATCACTCGTTGAGAGTTGCCCGACAAGACTGCCACGACTACAATCTGTACGTGTTTTCGTTAACATCGAGGAGTATGAGTATTCATATATCGGGTGGAAAATGGAGAAGCTTTCTCTTGGCATTGATGTGAAGGTTTTTGGTAATATTTGACGGTGGTTTGATGGTTTGATGGGGTCATGATTGGTTACTTGAGGCCAACCCGATATCAATGACAAGGCAGGAATTCACTTACTGGAAATATATAAAACGAAGTAAGGCTTTTCTTTCCTACGGGGGCTGGGATTGCTTTTAATGCTTTCGTCTAATTAGCCAGATTACGTTATACTTGTAATAGGTTAATTATCCTTGTCGTCGCAGATTTTCCCTCTACCTGGCTGTAGCCTTGGGCTAGCAAAGCTTGTTTTTGCCTCTGTAGTCATTGTGTTGAGACGTTGAGTTTGGCCTCTTCGTTGCTGGTTTTTGACTTTATACTCGAACCTTCATCAGACTTGATGCCTAACTTCTAGCTTTTTCTGAGCTACTGCTTGTGAGAATTTTTTTTCTCTTTTGGATACAGTAAATGTTTTTGGTCTTTACTGGTTTCTTGTTGCTAACATTCTTCTTGCTCTTGTCAGTTTCGTTTCGTTCTTACCGGGGGCTTATTGCTGCTTGGTTTTTCATTGCTGGTAGATAGATGTCTTACTTTTTGGTGAGTCACTTCCTCTTGGTGCCAGTAATCCCTTGGAATCCACTCGGTTTCTTCTTCTTCTTCTTCTTTTTTTTTTTTTTTTTTTTTTTTTGTTTGGCTTCCTTTTGTGAGGTTTAGCAGGCTGTTTGTTCTTGTGGAACTCTTTATTTCTGCTATTTCAAGTTTTCTTAGATCTAGAAAGTTTCTTGGAATTAGCAAAAAGGTGCAGAGCTTATATTACGGGCTGTCAGACCGTGGAAACAGGAATCGACGAGAAGAGCATTAAACTTTCGGCTGAGTTGTCCGGTAACTTTTCATATATATGACTGTTTGTGGCCCTACATAGTAAGGATTAGTGAATAGCTACATCCTAGACAGGTTCCTCGATCACGAAGTGCCAGCCTTAACCGATATCTTACATCGCTCTTTAGTTGAAATGTCTCACAACTACTGTGATGTTCTAGAGAATGGGACGATAGGAGCATGTTGCTGAAGGAACTTTACTTCATGGTACCTAATGTTCAACTCAGCCCTCCAAGGAGAGGGGTTTGGAATCATCAAAGGCTGTGCCTCCTAAACAGCCTAAAAATAGGTTGTCTAGACGCCATAGCCCAGTCAGTTTGCATTTAGACTTAGGCATAAACTGCCAAGCCCTCTGCTGAAACTGGCCTGAAGGGTGGCTCGCGTTGCTCGCACCCATCATAAGCCTGCTGGACCAGGGGTAGTGAGCGAAGTTAAGGTTATTCTTGTGAGCTGACTAGTCTGCTTATGCCAATATTGACCCTCCGGGGTAGGCGGGGGCAAAGATGGGTCGAAAGAACGAAAGTGCCAATATGTCAATTGCCGAGGTGTCCAGTGCATGATAAGGTTAATTGGACAGCTGAGATCTTCTCCCTGTAAGAGGGAACCTTAGGTATGTTTTGTCAAACTGAAACTACACGCGTCCCACCACCTGTTTCCCAAGTGCCTTCTTTACGCCAACGCAAAGTAAAGTATGTCTGCTCGTTGAGTGACCGCAGCATAGGCCGCGAATACCCTGATTCGCCCCAATCAAAGTCAAGGCCGCGCTTCTCAGCCTGCGCGCAAATAAACTTGCGAACATCCTCGTGTGTCTCGTCTACAGCGTGCTCTAGTTCTATATACCCCTCCCTATCAAGCGGCTTCTTGGTCTTCTCATCTAACGACTTCAACTCGTCGAGAAGTTGCTCGACGGCGGACTTGGCCTTGTCCGCTGTGTCCTCGCGGACATTTCGCAAGTGCAACAGGCGCACAGTGGACTCATCGACCGAGGCGCAGAGCATCATGTCGCGGTCGGACATATCGAGTCTGATCTTTTGCTGGCCAGGGCTGCCCAAGACTAGCGTGTGTGAGTCGCTGGTGAAAGGGCCGGTATCATTGTTATGATAGCGATCTGTAGATTGGCCATCCTTAGTAGCGTTTTCGGTAGCCATTTTGCGAGCTTTAGGGCAAGTCTGGAGGAAAGAATATGGTCTGAGGTAAAACACGCGCCTGGTTAGCACTGGTCTAGCGAATAAGTTCAAAGGTAAATGAATAGTCATGGTATGAATACCGTTTGAGCTTGTTGAAATACACCGGCTTTCAAGTGGTGGCGGCGAGTGAATTGAAACGCTGCAACGCTGGCTCGAAAATCAGTCGAGTGCGACTTGGTTTTTTATATAAGAGTAACTCAAATCCTGGCTTAGTCATACTGTCCACCAGAATCATGCATACATGAATCAATGAATGCAGTGTAGCAGCTTGTCACACCGTGAGCTCTCCCTCCTCGAGGTTGAGCCCTCTAATCAGCGGGACCGAACGGTTCCGTCCTTTCTCAACCGCGGTTTTGAAAAAGATGAGCAGCTCTGTATCCATTACTGTTCGTCCATTCATGCTTGATCTTGATTCAGTCGGGCACCCCAGGAAACCTTGGCTCTCCGAGGCTGATTTGGAACCCTGGCTACTGATGTGAGCCAGGGCTGACCACCACATTCACTATTATGGTTATCTCACAAGCAGCCTCATCCCTGTTTCGTCCACTTATTTTCCTGGGGAGCAAGTGGAAATCGTAGGAAAAGCGGGGGCTGCGAATTGTGCCACGAATGATAGTCTGAGATAATACAACATTGTGCCTCGAAGCTCACCATTTTGTGGCGGGGCGTTTTTTCCACCAAGAAGGACTTTCGTGCATTACGAAGTACGAAAATGCAGCCAAATCCTGCCAGAGTAATGCGGCCTAAAAAAAGACGCGCATGTCGCGCAAACCGAGAGCCTTGGGGGCGGTTTCGCTTGAATGTAACCCTCATGCTCCGGCTCGGCACCGTTGAATTATCGGGACCGACTCGTTGTGTCTATAGGGAGCTGACATGAATCTCAAATTGGAATCCTTGGGTGAGGTCTCGGCAGCGTGATGGAGCGGAAGGGGGGGGGAAGCCGTGAAGGTGAATGAGATAGAAAAGGCTGTGTGATTCCGGCCTATTGAGTTATGTAGAAATCAATCAACTGCTCGTCTTTCTCTTTCCCTCTGTTTCCTTTTCTTCTCATCGCAATCACTTTATTTTTCCTCAATGGATAGGACGTACATTACTATCCGATAATGTATCTTCCCAGGCTTATTTATACCGTTTTCTGCTTGGCCCTGGCGGTCGAAGCAGGAAAGGGAGGTAAGTAGAAAGCTATCACTAAACGCTGCACCTTCTAATACTAAAATGAGAAATAGCCGATGTTCTCGGACAATCAAAAAAGAATGCCAAGGGGGTTAGTGGTGCAGCACACAAGGAAGGGAAGCAAGAATCAATCGCAACTGTAAGAATAACATGTCTCCTCCAGAAAGCTGCAGACGAGATAGGGAATCAAAGCTAACAAGTGGCAGTTGAGCAAGGCTAGTGTTGAGACCGAGAAAACAGGCGCTCCGCAGATTAATGTTCGACAGCCAGGCCTTCTTGGTAAACTTGGCAAAGTTGCTTCTGCTGTGAAGAAGGTAGCTGCCCCAGCAAAGAAGGCTGCTGCTGCCGCGAAGAAAGTCACTGGCTCAGCAAAGAAGGCTTCCCCTATCAAGAAGATTGCTACTGCCGCTAAGAAAGCTGCTGCCCCGGCAAAGAAGGCAAAAGCGGCTGTGAAGAAGACTGCGAAAAAAATCACATCGAAGAAGTCCACACCAAAGAAGTCCACACCAAAGAAGTCTACGCCAAAGAAGTCTACACCAAAAAAGTCTACACCAAAGAAGTCTGCTCCCAAGAAGTCTGCTCCCAAGAAGTCTGCTCCCAAGAAGGCCGTGGCAAAGAAAGGTGCTGCCAAGAAGACATCACAGAAGAAGGCCACCTCAAAGAAGGCAACTCCCAAGGCTAAGGGTGCTGCTGCGAACAAGGGAAAAACTCCATCAAAGAGCAAGGCTACAGCCAAAGGGAAGGCTAGTTCCAAGGGCAAGGCTGCTGCCAAGGGAAAGACCACTCCTAAGGCTAGCAAGAAGACTCCTGCTAAGGCCGGGAAGAAGACTCCCGCTAAGGCTAGCAAGAAGACTCCCGCTAAGGCTGGGAAGAAATCCCCTGCTAAGTCTGGCAAGAACACCAAAGCTGGCAAGAAGTCTCCTGCAAAGGCTGGAAAGAAGTCACCCTCCAAGAAGACTCCCACTAAGGCTAGCAAGAAGGGGCCCGCCAAGGCTGGCAAGTCTGGCAAGAGCACCAAAGCTGGAAAGAATTCCCCTGCTAAGGCTGCGAAGAAGAATACTAAATCCGGAGCCAGAAGCAAGAAAACTCCTGCTAAGTCTGGGAAGAAGTCTGCTCCCAAGCCTGGAAAGAAGTCTCCCGCCAAGGCGGGCAAGTCTAGCAAGAACACCAAGCCTGGAAAGAAGAATCCTGCAAAGTCTGGGAAGAAGACTCCCGCCAAGGGTGGGAAGAAATCCCTTGCTAAGGCTGGAAAGAACACTAAAGCTGGAAAGAAGACTCCCACTCAGGCTAGCAAGAAGAACACCAAGACCAGCAAGAAGACTCCCGCCAAGGCTGGAAAGAAGACCCCCTCCAAGGCTGGGAAGAAGACTCCCAGTAAGACTGGGAACAAGAACACTAAAACTAGAGCTAGAGGCAAGAAGAGCCCTTCTAGACCTGGAAAGAAGACTCCTACCAAGACTGGCAAGAAGAACACGCACTCTGGAAAGAAGTCCCCGGCTAAGGCTGGAAAGAAGAGCACCAAGGCTGGAGCCAAAGGCAAGAAGACTCCTTCTAGGGCTGGGAAAAAGAATCCTACCAAAGCTGGCAAGAAGAACACCAAGGCTGGATCCAGGGGCAAAAACACTCCCGCAAAGGCTGGAAAGAAGACTTCTGGTAAAGCTGGAGCCAGGGGCAAGAAGACGCCTGTCAGGGCTGGCAAAAAGAATGCCAAGGCTGGCGCCAAAGGATCAAAGGGAAAAACTACTGCCAAAGGAAAGAGTAGTCAGGATACGTGCGTATTGAAGCGATCGTTGGGCTTGAGGTGTCCGACAGGAGCTGGTGGCCAATCGACGCCTGGTAACCAATCTGCGCAGAAGAAGCAAGGCAAGAGTAAGAAGAAGAAGGCCGAGAAGGTTAAGCTGGACCCGAATCGCGCAAATCAGCACAAGGACGATGCGGGCATGTATATGGGTGTTTCGCCAGATCCACAGAAATTTCTACCTGTCCAGAACGCCCATACTAAGCAGTGGACGTATGATCGGAAGACTGGCGACGGGATCGATATCGACTCCAGGATTAAGGATTATCCCGGACACAATTCCAATGTGAGATTTGCGGTAAGCAAAGGTCAAAAGGCAAAGAATGGTCCCAAAGAGATTGGTCCAGGCCGCCATGACGAAAACACCATGATGAAGAAGACCAAAGACCAAGAGAGGAAACAGAGGAAAGCTGCTGCAAAAGCCGAAAGGAATGGAAAGAAAGCTAACGCAACTGGGAGACCTAAAGGTGAGAACTCCAACCATATTAATCTGGCGTATCTGCATGCTAACATCTCTCGCCTTTTTTGCAGATGCTGTTGAGTGGTGGAGAATTTCTACAAAATCACAGAAGCAACTCGAATATGAACACAAGAAGAACGGAGCCACAGGGCCGGTCCCGACAGCCTGGGACGCCGACAGGTTCCGAGAAAACATGTAAGACCCTAGTTTCACGTTTGAAAGCCTGTTTCCCAAGACATCGGGCTGATTTGAATTGCAGGAACGCACAACACGACCATTTTCAAAATCATCAGGCTGGAGACATGAATGATGAATATGCAAAGCATGTGAAAGAGATGAATGCTTACACCAACTCTAAACAGCGCTTGAGTAAACCCCAAACTGTTCAACGCCGCGCCATCTCCATGGAGCCTTACATATTACTTATTTAGGGGAAAGTTATATTTGGATTTCCATTCTTTCTTTCTTTCTTTCTTTTTTCTTTTTTTCTAGCATTTGAAGGTGTTCATGTAACTATTTTTCTTCCCTTCTTATCATATTTAGCAGAACCAGGAGCATCAGTATCTATTCCAGGTGCTCATCTGCTCGCTTTTCAATTTGAATTCTTCAACTTAATAATTGTTTCAGGAATCGATGAGTTTTTCAATACTTTCGTTTGCTATGGTAGAAATATATCTCGGCTTCGAATTGCCGTCAAATTGGGACAGATCAATGATAGCTGCCGTAAAGCAAATGATAGCTTCGAGGTTAACATTTTCTTATTCTAATGGTGAATATTTGGATAAGAATTGGTACCAAGACTCTAAAAGTAGCTTAAATTGGTTCATAGCTTTATAAATATTTCTAAGAAAGCTATGCTAGGTATAATGCTTCTCGAACTCAGCATTGAACATATCAATGATACCATAGTCACTATAGGTTAATTCCTGATCGAATGAACGGGAAAAGCCATCTTTTACCGAATACAGACATCATCAAATTGAAAAAGTTAGCGGCGCAGTGCCCATATCAAAGTGGGTGATCTTGCCGCAATACTATGATTCGAGCTAAACAGTGTAGACCAACTTAATAGAAAGTTGATTTATCAGGGCATATCTCATCGCGTATTTGCCCTGGGTGGTTGCAACTCCGTTGAACCTTCTGTGTTGCGAACTGTTGCCGGTCGCCTGGATACATTTCCAAGCTCTATCTCTACCGATGTAGTCCGTGAAGCACTCGGCCGAAAAAGACTTGCTGATTCTGTATCTCCTTCTGGGGAGGAATCCTCTGACTTACCCTCTTTCTGCTCATTGATATCGCAATGATGACCGAATCTGTTTCGCAGTGTCTGGGCCGTCCCAGCTGCAGAGGCGAGGTCAGTTGATGTCACAAAAGCTATTTGGCGAGAATCTACTTACTGATATTAATCGAAATGAACTTGAAGATGACCGGGAACCATACTGCCACAGCAATAAGCTGGCCAAATGACCATTTGGTGATATTGACGTCGCTGGGCTCCTCTGGGTCAATATTCCCATCTGGTCTTCTCAAAAACCCGAGAAAACGGAAAAACTCCCAAATGCTCACGAGACACATAACAAAAGTAAACAGTTCCAGGATGGCCCAGTAGACTTGCCAGAGCTTGATGAGTCGCTTTGATGTCAGGAGATGCAGAATAGTTGGAGGAAGACATCGTGCACTCCGCTTGGAAACTTCTTGACGCGATATGTCAACAATCCAGTCAAGAACAAGTAATACTGAGACTACATATAGAGGTTGGGGATACCGAGAATTAAAGTCGAAGAATAAAGTCGGACTGCTGATGGGATCTACGGAGTCAGCAGCAGGAGCCGGATTGTCCGTAGCCCTGTTGAGCGTCTGGCAAAACGTCATTGGACCTGGATTGCCGCCACAGCTTGCCAAACCAACAGTGTCTTGAAAATGGGCGATGAGCGTGTCCAGCCGCACCCGCTGGGGCTGTGCAAGTACAATGACAAAGACCAGGTTGATGATAATTAAAAGTAGAGTATACCACCAGCGCTTACCCGCACGATGCAGGATGAGCTGGGTTAGAAGAAGAGAATACGACCCCGCGACTACCATTCCTCTGAGGACGATGCTGTTCGAGAGCCAAGATAAGAGTGATTGGATGTTTCCAAGCCCTGTCCCATTCTCTCCTGTGAACGTGATGACACTCGCAGCAGCAACTGTTATAAGGAAAAGCGCTTGGGTCTCTTGCAGATCGATGAGCGATGATGAGATGGATTCAGCCAATTGTGATTCTGAAGCTGCTTCCTGGCGTCTGGATGCTTCTTTTGATGCTAATGGTACGCCGTAGACTGGTGCTAGGATAATCCCGATCGTCCTCTTCAGCCATGATGTCGTGAATTTGAAGGAGAGGGTGAAGAGGACCACTAGAATGAATTGGATGAAGTATGATATGATGATCTAAATTCATAGGTTAGACACAGATGAGTAGAGCCAAGGATAAATGAAGAAGACCGTTCTACGTACGCCAGGGCCAGCGATATCATAATCAATGCCAGGGTCTGCACTTTTGCAGTATTGGTACCTCATAAGCTTGGCGAGCTCCCCAATTGTGTCTTTTGTCACGAATCCGCATTGAAACTTGGGAAGCTTTAGGGGGCATCCTCCAAATCGCGAGTCTGAACAAGAACGTAAGGCGCATTCTCGGTAGTTTCGAAATACGCCCACATCCACAAATTTGTCCAAGCTTCCGGAATGGAAATCATTGAGGGCTATGTCTTCACCATGTTGGTCCAATGTGTCGGGGCCACCATTAGTCGTCATCATTGCCACCGTTGAGATGGTGACACAGTTCCACAGAGTCTCGGGAGAGCCGAAGAGGGATGTTAGATTGCCACATGCGGCGGAGCAATTTCTTCCCATATTTTCTGTTTGGCACCCGCTGGAGATGAGTTTAGCTGGGATTCTTGGGTTATCAAGGATAGATGTCATGCGGTATAGGTATGCATTTTCCCAGAACGTCCACGCGCTGGGCAGTGTATATTGCTGATACAGTTGTGGTTTAAACATGACATTATCGATGACTTGAAAGCTTCTTGTCACCATTGCTGCTGCTTGTTTGCCGTTGACGAAGGCTTTTAGAGTAACCAAGTTTGTAGAAAGCGTCGGGTGAAGGATACGCTATTAAGGCGTATAAAAGGTGGGGTGAAGATTTCCAAATATTTGATTGTGAATGTTAGCCTGTTATGCATGGTTATGTCATGATGAGTCTTCATGTGTAAGTGGCGGACAGTTGATGGTGTCCATGTCAGATGATAGGCATAAATAGACCAATCACTTAACCCAGCCCTAGGCAGCCATGGGAATAGTACATGATATATCAAAAGATCTTTTTTCTTCCTTCCCAAAATAACAACAAGTCGATCCATATAACAAGCTGGTAACAGATATTCCACTCGCACCAATCATCTGTCGAAGATCAATTGATCAAGGCCAGAATTCTGGGATCTGCGTCATCTCTTCCCAGGCGTCTGTTTTTTCCACCTAGATAGAAGTTCACCTCGACCCTCGTACCCATGAATATAGGAAAATCTGCCATCACTGTCATGTTGACACCACACTGCCATTACATTCGTGTTCAATGCACCTCACTCAACAGCGTCGGGGACCGGGAATGCTATCTGAATTGCTCCAAAAAAAGGCGACGGAAAAATAACATAGGGCATCATTCTACAATTTCAGAAGTTCATTTTAGATTGCTATTGGCTGGACCGAACATAATACATTTGAGATACTATTACACTACTCCATTGAGGAGTTTCATCTAGGGGTGGACGAGTACTTAGGGCATACTTCAAGAAAACCGTATTTGCGTTGAACGAGATGACTCTTGACATTTAACCTCTAAATAATAACCAATCTTACACACGAAAATAAGCCAAATTGTTCATCATCAAACGAGTTGAACAGAATATTATACAGTCCCTTGCTAAGGCATGGACTCCGCCTTTTCAGCCCCATCCACACCGTGAAACCAGCTTACTCGGTCTTTGGTGAATTGCTCTAGCTGTGGCTTCAACTTTGTTTCATGGAGGCTGAAATCATCAACGGTGCCAATCCGGAGAATGCTTTGTCCAGGCCAAGCCTCGCCGACACGGTACATGAGCGTACCGCAGGTGGAACAAAAGTAATTCGCCATGGATCTCTTCTTGAGGATCGTCTCAGACTGCTTGAATACTTTGAGATTCTCTTGACCGCGGATATGTCTCAAATGCGAATCTCTGACGGTAAAGTTGGAGGCAAACATGGATGCAGTAATCTTGCGGCAGTCGCTACAGTTGCAGACAAAGGTTTGGACTAAACCTGGACCTTGGGTGGGCTATAAGACGAGTCAATGTTTTGTCCTTGATCGGACAGAGAAGACATGATGCCTTATCATACACCACTCACAAATGCCAATTGAACAGCGCCGCAAAAGCAAGTAGCTGTTGCTTCCTCATCTGTCGACCATCCGTCACGAGCCAGACTGGCGAGTGGAATGTAAGGCTTCGAGGAATCTGCGGAGGCGGCCATGTTGGTAGATTGTTTTACGCGAGTCTGCGATGGATTGATTTTGAGATAGAAGTGAGGAGTGTGATGATCTGGACGAGTCTGGATGTTGAATAAAGCCGTGACATGACGTTTATATACGTGAAACTTAAACTCAATCACCACGCGAGCCGTTTAGTGATTGCGGAGAAGCGGAGCTGAAGGGCTTCAATCACTCAATCAGATCGTCACATTCATCTCCGTCACCGTCTCCGTCATTCCGCCGAATCCATCAAAATAGCCGTCGGAATCTACGGAGTAGAAGACACCATGTACACGGATTATTGCATCGAGAAACTAAAATCAGCACACAAGAGTGTATTTCTAATCTCAATGTAAAGAGAATATTATATCATAAAAGCTTAGTTAAATAGATGAAATGATAGTGTGACTCGAATTGTGTTGATTAGTCCATGCAGACTCAAGAAGACTACACGCTGCGTTTATTACATTCAGCAGAATGTGGGAGTATAGAAGTCTCAAGCTTTAGATTAGGAAATCTCTGCTCCGACATCTGTTCGAGCATTCATTTGGTTCTGAAACCGACAAATAACCGCCTTTGATCTCGTTGCAACCATAGTGGCTCCTGATATGTGTGCCGCTCTGGTTGGCCAAGATGTGTCATTGTGTTATTGAGTCCTCACTGTTAATTTGGTAGGTGTGAATCGAGTGTCAACCCAACTGTCTGCCTTACGGCTGCCTCGAGGCACTCATAGCTATAAAATGAAATCAAAATGCAATGAAGTAGTGTGTTTCTTTTAGTCACTACCACGGCTCACCTGCCATCATTTGAGGCAGACATGATCAGGACAATGAGGATTGAATATAGTCCCCTCGATCGCGATAAACAAGAGATCAGACTCTTGGAGCTCTTGCCTCGGAACAACGACAGAAAGCAGAAACTCTTTCCTACTTGTCGCATCTTCCATGCTTGCCTTCCCGCTGGACCACGCTTCACAGCATTATCATATGTGTGGAGAGATGTGAAGAAAGAACAAGTCATACTTGTTGGCGAGTCACCAGTTCTCGTAACAAAGAATCTTTATGAAGCAATGATAGCGCTTCAACCGGTCAATGAGCCCCTGTTCATATGGATTGACGCACTCTGCATTAATCAGGCCGACGACGATGAGAAAAGCTGGCAAGTTGGCTTGATGCAAGAAATCTATCGTCAAGCGCATCAGGTACTTGCTTGGCTCGGGATTGCAGAGAAAGAAAGTGATTCCGTCATTGACAATTTGCATTGTCTTGGAGGAAAGGCCGAACTCTTGACTCGCGAGATTATGAGTCCATGGGAATATACTTCGCAGAAACTATGTCTTGTGCTTGGCTCCTTAATTCGTGGAGACGTTCCGACTGCCGAGATGATGAAGCCATTGAGAAGTTCAAGACCTCTGACTCGTGAAGACTACATGCCACTGTTTGGCTTTATCGATGCATACTATGAGCAGAAGGGGCTGAAAATGATCGGAGCACTAAAAGACTTCATTACTCGGCCTTGGTGGGGACGTATTTGGGTTCTTCAGGAAATAGCTCTGCCAGAGAATGCCCAATTTGTTTGTGGAACCAAGACGATTTCCCGAGATCGTTGCGCCGCAGCCATAAGGACTTATAGGATGTGGTGGATGAGCCTCGCGGAAAAAGCTACGGCTGGGGACCTGATCACGCTTAAAGAACGTCCGCACCAGCTAGAAGCCTTCTCAAACCTACCATTACACAGGCCTACTGTCATGTTGTCCGTACGAGAAGTATACATGGATAATCAATTTATGTTGGCTGCCCTGCTTCGTGCAACTTGCGTCGGGAGCCACAACCTCCGTTTACATGGATCACATCACATGGAAGCTACCGACCCAAGAGATAAAATATATGCTCTCCTTTGTTTAGCACCTGACAGGGAGGAGTTGAAGAACAAAGGCATTATTCCAAACTACTCAGGATCTTGCACCTATCAAGACTTGTACTCATCAGTCATGGTAGTTTTGATCCAAGTGGGCTATATTTCACTTCTTTCTCTTTGCCAGCACGCAGGGACTTGTACAGGCTTGCCCTCATGGGTTCCGCACTGGTCAAGCTCAATCACTCATATGTTGCAAGATGTCAGAGACGATCATGTCACTATTCATCCTACGTTTTCTGCTTCTGGTAAGAGTCTAGACTACCCAGAAGTTTCAGCCATCAGAAAGGTGGCATAATTAGAGAAATCTCATTAAAGGGTCTTGTATATGAGATATCCCGTGCCGGATCGTTCCCTGAAAGAGCTTCATGTCGTGAAGTACCACTCTCGGAAACATTTACGTGGCCGAGTCGATGGCTCACCGAGTTTCTTCTTCTTACATACCACAGTCGACAGGCCTATAAGAACTTTGAGGACCGGCTGCGGGCAGCAGCTAGATCCTCAATAGGTGAGGTAGGTTGGGGTAAAGAGGGGCTTCAAGAAAGGATTGGGGATAGCCGTTTCAATGATGCGGCAGTTCTTCTACGCGACGGCCTTGAGTATGTACGCAGATCCTACATCAAATTAGAAGCTGAGCAATTCCTGGCCGAGAAGGCTAATGGGGATATAACAAGGCTACGACCTCCATGGAAAATCGGCCTGGCTAACGAGATTATGGGCCAGTCCTTAGGAAGACTTCCATTAATCACCAGGAAAGGACACTTGGTCCTGAGCTACGAAAAGGTGGAGAAAGGATTGGATCTCAGGTTCCCTTTATTCTACGTCGACAAGACGAACAATCATATCTACTCATCGGCGAGGCGTATGTCGATGGTATCATGGATGGTGAAGCAGTAGAAAACTCGAGTTTCGGTGATATACATTTGGTCTAGTAGTGCTGATTTACATCTATATGCCTATTGGAAAAAGTCAAAATCGGTGTCCAGCATAAACTCGCTGAGATCGATTTCCATTGGCAACTGCCTTAGGGCCATGAAGCCGTTTGAAACTCTCACTGCAGGTGCTCCATGACCAACGCTTCCGTTAGCCTCCCCAGGGTGAGTGGTTTCATGGCTATAATCATGAGACGGTCCTGATGAGGCTGAGCCCAAGGGTGCCAAGCTAAGTTGTGAGAGATAGCTGACGCAGCGCTCTACAACACGATTTCCACGATCGAGATTCTGTAATGCCTCGATGGCCATATTGAAGTATGGCAGGGCCTTCTCGACAAATTTCCACCGAGAAAACCGCTCCGTGTCGCTTTTGCAATCATCATGCGCGACATGTGTTGCTGCGAATATCACTAAGCCGGCATTGAATGCTTCGCACGTTGTTAGCTGTTTTGTTCTTAAGAGGATAATAAATGATAGAGCAATGCCATCAAGGTAACTATAGAATGGGTTCCTTGCCAAAAGATTAAGACCTAGAGTTGAACTTACTATAGAATAGAGAGTAGTTCCACGCGCCAAGAAGGTCACGCCTCCAACCACTGGACATTACCACCGTACGAACCATGGATATAACAATCATGGCCGAGGTAATACATGTCTCGATGCTGCTAATGCCGAGCTGCTGCACCATACTGCGATCTACGCTGGATTTGGAATTATTGCTTGCTGACACACGCCCGCAATCATCCAGAAACTTCTCCAACAGAGGCCGATGCAGTAGAATCTGAAGGTTATGATAACGTACGGACAGGACTATTATGAACCTCTCCATGAGTCTGTTGTCCTCGTCCATGTTCTCAAGGTCATGGGGGCCGAGGGGTGTGTTGTACACTGACATCTGCAGTGGTCCAAGTGATGACTGCCATTCATCAAGTTGTTCCTCTCCCTTGAGTGTAAGGGTAACCAGATCGGAGTCGGTGCGGAACTCCTCTAATCCAAGGTTCTGGCCATAGCAAGAGTCGATGATTTTGTACATTATATTGTATAGTGTTCTGATAGTATGCTTAGCATTTGATACCAATAGATTAAATTATTAAAGGGTGTCAGTGAAAGTTTCCTTACATTGTGGCAGTAAAGAACATGGCATCCATCTGAGGCGCAGGAGTAGGTTGTGGTGTTTGACCCATGACTTGTAGTGTAGGAGCCGGTAGCTCAAGTCTCAGATAACCCTCGGGTATCATGGAAGGGCGTCCAAATGTCATACTAAGAGTGCTTCAATGACAGAAAGCGAAAATTGTCAGGCGAAAAGTGTAAACAAAGGATTTATCGTCTGTTATAGACTTTACTGAGTTGGGATATCAACCTTACCGATCTAAAAGAATACACCCAAACCAGACACGCTTTCGTATTTCGCTTTCAAGGGGAGGAAATCGGTTGTTGGTTTTGGGAGAATGGAGGCCAAGCTGAAAAGCGGTGGTTATTGCCAATCCATGGACAGTCCATGCTTGAACAGACTTTTGTGTTCCTTGTAGATATTGTCCTAGGATGAGAAGGTATTGTACTGAATACAGTTAAGATCTTTGTTTGATGCCCCGAGACGGAGTAATTGGGGTTACAAACCTAGTTCCACGCTGATATTGCGCCGTGACTCCTTATCGCAAAGTCCGTTGGCTCTTTGATAGTACACATCAGATTCTTCGATTCTTTCCTCGGCAGATACATTTGACTCAACGAAAAGGGTGGCGGCCATGGCCATGATGATGTTGAGCAGCCCAAGCCACGTCCGGCGGGCCATGGTGAAATTGTTCCTCTTCATCTCGAAATAAGTGGCACAGAACCACTCTTCGTGGACAAATGGTAGTAGCTGGCCAGTCTTTTGGAAGTATTCGCGTATCAGGCTCCACGTGCGGGCCTCGGACGGCAGGGCATAGATGTTGACCCCTGCGCGGGCACGGTACTGCCGCCTCTCGGCTGCTTCGTCGTCGGCGGCTTGATGTGGACGTGACACGCTCATGCCTCCCGAAACTTCTCGGGCTTGGTTGGACGGCGAAGGGAAAGCCTCGCGCCAGTTGCCAATGCGAGCCATGCCCAAGGAGATGTGGCGGAGAAACGCAATGTTAGATGATGGGCCTTGTGCATAACGGTGTCAGCATGGGCTTTCCTTGACACCAGGGGCCAGAAACCGCAATGCTGGAAATTGGCAGGGACTCAAGACGAACCAAAATATCCCCAATCTTCTTCATCGGTGAACTTGATTGCCCCCATCCCATCTATAGAATCCTCGGCGTTGTCGATCTCCCCAATCCCACCGTTGTTGGGATAGATGAGATGGTCTGAAGCCGCTTGGTTCATGGTTCCTTCGTCCTCCTCCTCTTCATCCTGGCCGCAGACGTTGCCATCTCTTACTCGATCTTCCGCTGTAGACGAAGAAGCATCACCCGAGACCGATTTCTGACTACGCTGAACTTCCTGCAAGGTAGATTCTATGTCCTTGAGTCGATTTTCCAACCGTTCAAGGTAGCTGTTTCCTTCGTTAGAGTCTTTGAAATAGGTCTTTATCTTTCAGCAAGTTACATACCTTCTGCCGACCGTCAGACTAGTAGCAACGCCAGCCTGTTCATACAAGCACTCGCAACCCAGCTCGCTACACAATGAGCATTTTGGACGGCTGCCGTCACACTACAAGAACTCAAAGATACTCGTCAGCCTGTGGAACGTGTGCTAATCTCCATTGGCTCGATCTCTGATAGAACACATACCCGCGTTTTCCGATGCCGGCAGTTACTGCAAGCCAGAGCAACTCTGCGTCTCTTGTTTGGGCCACCACCTTCACCCGCACTGGCTCCTGTGGATGATCCCCAGCTTTCTTGCGGGTCAGTTTGGGCCGTAGCTGACATAGTCCACGGAGGCGAACGGGAATCCTGCCTTGCCCTGGTCAGTTAAGAAGGCGCAAAAGTAGGGAAGAGAGGGCTGCTTCGTGCCGGGAGAACTGGCGTGATCGTGGCCGGCTTCTAACCGACAGAAAACAACGATTCTCTTCGGATGGAGGACGGGAGGGAATCGTATTAGTACCTCCCCCGAGCTCCCCGACAAGAAGACACACGTGAATCAAGGTATAAACCCCGTTGCGGGGGAAGCTAATGGAAATAAGACCGGAAACTTGACGAGGCTGGGGAAATGCGGAGTTGGTGGATTGCGAACCCATACGCTATTCCTTGATAGATCTCGTTTACAGATTGAATAACTTGGCGTCGGGGAGTTAGGGATCGATCAAGTTGGGCCTGAATTAACGGCTGGCCTGTACGTGTCTCCGCACATTGAGGGGACGGATCAATATCCCGCAAGACGAAGAGTGCTATCTACGGTTGCTGAGGGGGCATCGAAACAATAAGGCACTACGGTGCGTGTTTGACTACAGATGAGCCCTCAGAGTATATTCCCTATGTAGGTTCTTGCGCTGATGCAAATACTTGCACTTTGGACAAACATCATCTCCACGCGTAGGTAGTGATTTAAAGAATAAGCCTTTCTGACGGAGTATCCTAAAGTACAGACTTTCTTCCCTTGTTCCACTTAGAGACAAATTTAAGGAGCTCGCGCCGAATCTTTTCTCCGTGCGTAGACCCTAGGAAATGGACGCCTCCCTCACAGGTGACAAGTTTAGCATGGGCCGAGTTGGTAAATAGCCTCATGTCCTCCTCAGCCTGGCGCACACTAAATACCACATCGTCGGTTCCCTGAGAGATTGTTAAGATCCCAGCTTTGACGAACGATATTTGAGATCGTAGAATGGTAGAAGGAAAGAAATAGATCCGACATACCTGGAACCAGAGCACAGGACACCTAATATATGGTAGACGCCCTCTCAACCCATCCCTTTCTGCAAGGCTTACAGCGGCCATGCAGATTCGCTTCTTGCCTTCATCTCCACTGTAGTTCTTTTTGAGGCTACTGGCCCAGAAATCCCGGATCTCTGGAGTGACGGCCGCACCGTAACCAATCTTCATCAGAAAATCACAGTAGCCGTCTCCAGGTTCAAAGTCATGAGCTGGCGCCGCGTCCCCTGCGATGCCGACTAAGCCAGAACAGGCCTCTGGTCCATCCCAGCATCCGAGCTCTCGGCTCCGGGGCGATTCAGCGTCCATGCTGCTTCCAATGGGGATGATACCTTTGACCTGAAGGGACGTGTTAGCCTACTACGTTTAAAAATGTAGAAGAATGTCTCAGACCCTGTCAGGTGCCAGTAAAGCCATTCTCGTGGCGATCCACCCGCCTTGTGAGGTCCCTGAGGCGAAGACTTTGTCGATTCCGAGAGCATCAAGGAGTTGCAGGCTCATGATTGCGGAGTCCCAGTAGGTGAACGATTCCGTCTTCTTGAGCTGGGTTATTCCATGCCCGAGGGGCTCAATGGCTACTAGGTTCAGCGCATCTGTGAGAGCTTTATCTTCGAATTGGGACAAGTAATAATCCGCGGTGGTGGTGAATGGGTTGAATAGAACGAGGGTCGGCTTTGCTGGGTCTAGGATAGGCGCAGAAAGTCGATGACCTACATGGATGCCGCCCAAATGAGGGACTAAAAGGGTTTTGGTGGGTTCAATCATGATTCTGGATGACTTAGGTCTTTCTGAAAAGTAATTGGTGAAATTGCACATTTGGAATTGGGGTTTAATGCTGGGAAGGTGAAGACAGAGACGTGTCTTGATACGGTTACATATGGCAAAATCGACCTCGGCACACCAAGTCACGCTCATCTAGACAAAGTTGTATGGGTACTGGGAACCGTGGAACGGCCGAAGTGTGTTGTGCAGATCGTGCTTGGACAGATCCCTAACTCCCCGAAGGCTATCCGGTTTGCTGTTTGCACGACTCGTCCCCGTTTTTCTACATCACGACTGTCTGTAAGCGCCGTGGATATAAGGGCATGTCTGTGTTTTCAATCATCAATTTTGATATTTGAACGTCAGAATATTTCGCAGACGACATCTTCACTGTGCGAGAGAAGTTTATAGAAATATCGTTCATATCGTCAGAACCAAAATGGTGAGCAGCCTATCCAATTTACGATCATGGCATTGAATCAAGCTTACCAATAAATCAACAGTCTTCTCAAAAGAAGGATCTGCATGTTGGCATCGTCGGCGCAGGCATTGGCGGCCTGGCCACAGCCATTGCCATGCGAAGGGCCGGCGCTCGTGTGACTGTCTTGGAGTCTGCAGAGCAACTTGGTGAGGTTTGTATCTCTGTCAGATTGAAGTTAAGCAGACTCGACAACTGACTATTTTGAAGATTGGCGCCGGCATCCAGATGACACCCAATGTCTCGGTGTTGCTGCAACGCTGGGGAGTGGACAAGATTATCGGCGAGAACTTGGTGCAATTTGAGGAGCTCAACATGCGCCGCAAGGACGGAACACGCGTGGGATACACCAAAATCGCTACTCTGGAAGAGTCTCTCGGAAGACCCTGGTGGGTTGTTCACCGTGCCCATCTTCACGAGGGACTGGTGACAATCGCGGAGAAACTAGGCGCCAAGATCCATATCAATTCTGCCGTCGCCAAAATCGACTTTGAAAGCTTGGACGGAGTAACGGCAGTAACTCATCGGGGCCAAAGCTACCACTTTGACTTCCTAGTAGGCGCAGACGGCATCAACAGCGTCACAAGGAAATCTCTCTTCCCCCAGGTCGCCCCTGAGCCGCCCACTACCAACTGTGCCTACCGCGCTCTTGTCCCCTATGAGCAGATCCGCAAGGATCCAGTGGCCAAGGAGCTTATAGAGAAGCTCACCATGGAGGTATGGATGGCCGAGAATGCCTACATCATTACCTATCCCATCAGTGCCGGAAAAGTTTTCAACCTAGTCCTCTCTCATCACCGCCCCGAGAAGGTCCGCAATACTGAGCTCAATGTTCCCATTGAGGAGATGCGCAACGAGTACAAGGATTTTGATCCACGCATCAAGAGGATCGTTGATATGATCGATAGCACAGTAAGTCCTCGAGCCGAAACCGAAACCTATGTTTGAACAAGATGCTGATACCTAGTTCCCAGTCTCGATGGCCCCTGATGGTCACCGGTCCCATGAAGTCATGGTCATCTCGGCGCAAGAACGCAGTCCTCATCGGTGATGCGGCTCATTCCATGGTCAACCACATGGCACAGGGCGCTGCCACTTCTATGGAGGACGGTGCTTTCCTAGGTAGGTGTATCGCCAGGGTTGTGGAAGGCCAAGTCAGGCTAGACGAGGCTGTCCGCATCTACGAGGAAGAGCGTATGCCAAAGGCCTACGAGAAGCAGCAGGTTTCCTTCATCAACGGCGCCATCTGGCATTTGCCGGATGGCCCAGAGCAGCAAGCCCGCGACAAGGCGATGTCGGCAGAGCTGCAGGGCAAGTACTATGTTCGCAGCAGCAACCTCTACGGCGACCCCCAGACTGTCCTCGCTGTGTATGGATATGATGCTGAGGAGCATGCCGAGACGGCATTGTCGACATACCTGAATGGCGAGCGAGAACCGTTCCATATGGACACCGGGGTTACTGGCAGTCTGCAGAAGAAGTACATGGACTGGTTCCGGCCCGCCGAGCAAGCAAAGCTCTAGATGGATTTTCTCATAGAATACCCGAGAGACAACGTATGTACGCAATATGATCACTGTAAACTGATCCACCGCAATAAATTCGTTGAATGAGTGATTGTCACAAAATATTATCGAATCCTGTTATTGAAATTCACAGCAAATTAATTGTGAATCGACGGGCTATTCAATTAGGAAATTACCTTATAATCATCATGGTTAAAAATACGGGCAATTGATACAATGTTCAATTCACCATCCTGTTTAGAGTCCGTAGCCATCGCATTGAACGCAACATCTACGGCAAATTATTCATCAGGATCACATGTAATAATTGAGAGAACCATAGTCTAAAATTATAGGAAATGATTTTCAGGGAGAATGTCACCAGGAATGACTTCCATCCCAAATCCGGCCATTAGCGCAAAACTACGAGAGAATCACAGAGAACCCATGGAGCAGGAGGTTATACCCAGTATCTCAACAGAATGATAGAAGAGGCCCATAAATCGTCTTTCCAAGCTCAAGGCTGCACCTTGGTCATGGCCATTTCAATTGTCCAATCATCAGCGATACCGTCGACCGTCGGGAAAAAGCCGACGAACCCGGTTATCGGAGGTGGTCATGACTCAAGGCCCAGGCAACTACAATCGACTAGTGAAGGGTCTAGATGATTGATAGTTTGGTCACATATAATCGTGGGGCTCCGTGAGGCTAATAAATTCCCTGCGGGGCCCGGGTAGATAGGGAATTTTTCTGATCAAGAATTCCCCGCTGAGAGGATACGCGAGGCCAGATCCTGTCCGTAGCTTCTGATGCCAGTCAGAACCCGGGGTAATCTGGGGTCGATTGGTCTCTCGCATGCTGTCATACTCTACCAGACTATTGGGTCCAACAAGGGTGCTGGTGTTGTGTCTTTCTGGCACATAAAGAGGCTGAGATCCTGTCCTTGATCCTGTCCCAAAGGCGACACCCATCTACTTGGCAGATCAGATCTGTCTTCCGTTCTCCTTGATTCATCATATTCGGCTTCAGTCTACCTATAACCCCTCAATCGACTTCACTCGACCGAGAAACTGGTTGCAGCATTCACCATGACGCCGGAGAAATTGCAAGTTGAACATGAAGATAGAGCTTCAGCTACCGACGGAACCCACGAGATGACCATTGATCATCAGGCCGAGAAAAATCTCGTCCGCAAGCTGGACAGATGCATTGTGCCCACCGTCATGATTGCTTATCTTTTATGCTTCCTCGACAGAACTAACATTGGAAACGCCCGCCTCTTTGGTCTTGAGCAAGAACTCGGGTTGGTTGGCTCCCAATACCAAGTGGCTGTGGCAATCCTGTTTGTTCCCTATGTCCTCGTCGAAGTCCCCAGCAACCTGATCCTAAAAAAGTTCACTCCCTCAAAGTGGCTCGCATTCATCACGGTCGGCTGGGGCATCGTGTCTACTTTGACGGGAGTTGTGCACAGCTATGCAGGACTTCTTGTGGTTCGTGTGCTACTGGGCCTGTTGGAAGGTGGCCTTTTTCCTGGTCTTACGGTCTATTTGACTCTTTTCTACACTAAGAAAGAAATCGCCCTTAGAATTGGGTATTTATTCGTCAGTTCCGCCTTGGCCGGGGCCTGCGGTGGTCTTCTGGCTTATGGGATAGGTTTCATGGATGGAGTTGCAGGTCAATCTGGATGGCGTTGGGTGTTCATCCTAGAAGGCAAGTGATCTCCAGACGGCGACCAGACGCTTTGATAAAGACTGACTTTTTGGAAATCTAGGCGTGCCTACAGTGGCTTTTGGGGTTGCCTTGTACTTTGTCCTTGCTGACGATCCCCATACTGCATGGTTTCTCAACAAAGATGAGAGACAGCTTCTCGTAGCTAGACTGCAGCGTCAGACTGGTTTCAGCGAGGAGTTTGATAAAAAGGATGCTATTCTGGCGGTCAAAGATTGGAAAACTTGGTTATTTGCAGCCGGCCAGTTTGGCGTCAACTCGATGCTGTATAGCTACTCTGTCTTTCTTCCCTCTATTATCCGAGGTACGAGGCTCTTCTAAATCCCCTCTCAAAAGATGAGTGTCGAGCTTACTGACAAATCGAAAAGGCCTTGGACAATGGACTGCCCCTCAGGCTCAGGCTCTGACTGTTCCTTGCTATGCTCTAGGTGCCACAAGCTACTTGATTGTAGCATGGGTTTCCGACCGCCATCAGCTCCGTGGGCTGTACCAGGTGATATTTGCCTCGATATGCATTATTGGCTACGGCCTATCCATCGCAGATGTTGGTTCTGCAGCACACTATACTGCGACCTTCATCATCTCTTTGGGTCTATTCGTTGCTGTTGGGCTGCCTCTGGCCTGGTTGCCTTCCAACAATCCCCGATATGGAAAACGTACGACTGCTTCGGCAATTCAAATCACGATTTGCAACTGCTCGGGAATTTTAGCACCATTTGTACGAGAAAAAAGAGACCCTTTCTTCCACCCACCTGGTTTTCCAACTGCAATAGAAGCTAACAGATTGCACTCAGTTGTACCCTACAAAGGACGCGCCCCGATACACGATGGGCTACGCCGTGTCTATTGGGCTGCTCGGTTACGGGATCTTCATCTATGGCTTCATGTCGCTCTATCTAAACCACGTGAACAAGAGGCGCAGGGCTGGAAAAGAGGATCACAAAATCGCCGGAATGTCCGAAGAGGAGATCAACGCTCTCGGTGACAGAAGCCCGAGATTTATGTATACAATTTGAACTGTGACCCAACAGGTCTTTGTACGTAGGAAGACCAGTCAATGGACTCCCTTGCAACTCATAATAATTCTACTTGTTCCCTTATTTATATTAACCCTGTCTATTGAACAGTATATAGTCTCATCCGAAACCACGCCAAAATCCTGTGAGGTTGTGCTTTACCACAACTAAGACCCTCAAATCACACATAAACGGTGCCCTTTTTTTGCTGGGATTATTTGATATAGGCTAGTTTCGCAACTTCCCGCGCCGCGATGTCGCGTCCTTTCTCCCTTGATCTGACCTTTTCTCCCAGCTGCTTCGCAGTCTCACGTATCTTGATGCCTGTCTCGTCATTGCCGATGACTTTCAGCATCGAGGCACTGAGATCATCCACTGTCCACTGTGGGCTGGTCTTCTTGCAGCCCCAAACCCCAACCCCGGCCATTTCGGTCAGCGAAGCAAAGTTGTATGTGTCATACCACATTGGCAAAACAACCTGGGCCACACCAGCGCTAGATCAACGTCAGAAAAGTCGTATTCAGGTCGGAAGAGTTCAGACTTACGCTATAGCTTCATGGTAACAGTTTGACCCTCCGTGGTGGACAGAGGCGATGATGTCCCCAGTCTGGAGAATGGAATATAGGTCTGCGGTAAGCCACTTCGTCACCCTCACCCGGCCCTCGTCGATGTACGGCTGCAGTGGCTTCAGAAACTCGTCCGAATATTCACCTCGCTTCTTTATTTTCCATATAATTTGAACTTGGGTTTTTGCCAGGACGTCCGCCAGGGCAGCGGCGATGACCCAAGCGCGCTCCTCTTCGACCTAGTAGTCACCAAAGTCAGATGTGAACGTTCCGAATAGTAAGAGACCAATTGATGACAGCAGGTAGACATAGAGCATAGGTTATGTGACTCACGCGAAAATAGCTACCAGGGCTGAAAAGGATTGTCGGTGCTTGCTTGAGCCATTGTGCCAACTCTGGATCTTGCTCTGACACAGGCGCGTTGTCAACCAGGATTGGTCCTGCGCGGGTGACGTTGGTCGGGATGAAGTCGACTGGGATGGCTGCGCCCTCTGTATCCATAGTGATCCACGGAACATCAGGCCGGTGAAGGCCAAGGAAATTGATCGGTTCCTTCAAGCCCTTTTCTCTGAGCGCAGCCTTTTTGGCAGAGATCCCGGGTGTGTACAGGATGGAACTGATCATGCGGATATTGAGGTAGATGTTCTCTGGTATCCTGCGTAGGGGCACAGGGAATTCGATCCCTGATGACTGGCTGTTTCCTCTAAATTAGCACAGTGGCAGTTGATCAATATCCAAGACCAAGACTCACGCAGGGAATTTCCAGAGAGCACTCCCGTGCGGCTGGTCCCCCACAAAGTTATCTAGGACGGTATTTGGGGTGATTACAGCATGCTGTCGGTTTTTGTCTCTCGTCGCGTCAAATGCCGGTCGCATAAACACCTCGTTTACAATAACAGCGGGATCGACCTCGTCAATCACACGTCCAATCTCTTCATATAGGGCCAGGTGTTCCTCAACAGTCCATGGCGAGATCAACCACTGAAAATCCCGAGTCATCTTCTGAAGACCAGCAAGCCCCGGCGGTCCCATCATGACATCCTGCGACTCCCAGCCGGGATACCTAGCCGCCGACTCCTTCTCGCATGAGTCGGCAAAGGATATTCCCTTCAAGCTGTGGAAGGTGATATCATGAGCTGCCGGAGTCTTAGCCCTGGCAGATGATGAAATGCGTTCAATCGTGCTGCGGAGCTTTGGGAAAGAAGCGAAATGGACATCGAGGTCTGGGAAGTTCTCGAGCAGCGCGTAAGCGGTCGCCATGTGCGCATTGGAAAACCCATGGTGTTCATTAGCGAGAAACAGAACGGTCTTGTTCTTGCCCTGGATGTAGGGCGGACGCTGAGGGAGATCTGCGCCTCCTGAGAGGAAGTAGGCCAGCGAGGCGATCAGCACCGCGCCGGCGATTAGAATTCTAGCAAACATGATGGCCTAGGTGTCAAGATCAACTGAGAGAGCAGATGCCTCGAGAAAGGAGGGGGGCTTTTAGGTTAAGGTGGTGGGGAAAGAGTAAGCAAGCTTACATAGTTCAAACGCTTGAAATTCGCGATATTATTCTCCATGCCCTAGGTGGAATGATCACTGTGCCGCACGAGCCAAGTCCTTGGGGCACAGTATCAATAATCCTTGTCATGTTTAACCCCCCCTGGTCTTTGAAGAGAAGAGTGTCACCTTCGTGGACCAATTTTCCGAGCCTGAATCAGCATCAGTCTGTAATATCCTCTCTCACAGACACTGTCTTCCAACTATATCTAAAGCCCCCCAATCAGGTTGCATTCCAAGCTTGACCTTTCTGTTTCATAGTGCCGTTGAAAAGAGCCAGGGTCATGTGGAGCAGCTACAAACGGGGATGGAGTCCTCGAGAGCACTAACGTTAGGTGAGCCTCATGCTTAACAAGAGAAGATAGATGAATGAGTCTTTGCGTGTGAAGTTATTGCTGCTCTTCTCAATTACAAGCGCATGATAAGAAGGCTTCCTCGTAATAAGGAGTTTATACAGCTCAAGTATGTATGTTTCATGTCAAACTCTAACGCCACAATGTAACATCATGAGCAGCGGCTGTACTGATCTGAGACACCTCGAGGAATATTGACAATATTTACAGCTGAGGCGTTTCAACAGGCGCTCTGCTTACTAAGTATTCGGGTATCATTGGGTTACAGTTGGGCAGTCATCATGCCATCACCTTACATATCTTCCAGCTTCAACATTACCCCGCGTCTTGAAAGAAAGGCATTCAGAAGCAGACGCTTTGATCTTTTCACTATCTTCAGCATTTCCGTTCCTCAACAAGACGGGATTGAGTATTCGCTTGTTCTGACTCCGTCAGCAGTAGCCTGGCCATGGCGTCACCCGCAATGGAACAAGCTGTGGCGATACCAGAGATCTTAGAGTGTGTCTTCAACTATGTTGAAACAGACTATCTGGCGTTGTGGGCAGCTCTGCAGGTCAACAAGCTGTGGTTTGATTGTGCAACAGATTCCTTATGGAAGCGTGCCTCCATCATCGACCTCGCTGATGTTCCTAAGGATCGTCAACAGATATATGCAGCCAAGATAGAGGACGCCAAGATTAGCCGGTCGGAAGAGGATCTTCACAGGGCTTTTAAAGATCTAAGCTTTGATAAACTGGTGGTCGTGGAGATAGACTCTAATTGGGAGAAGGAAGTGCCTCTCCAACAGTATTTCCGGCCAAGACTCGAAACCCTGTGCTTCAACTGTGGAGTATTGACGGGAGAGACATTGTCACATATACAAGCTACATGCTGGCATCTGAAGGACATCTCTATTTCATGTCCTGGCCCTCAGGTAACCTCTGAAATGATGGTCGACTTCATCTCAGGATGCAACTCGCTTGAGTCCGTCAGCTTGAGCTCTGAAACCAGCCATCTGACCTCAAACCAACTCCTTCACCATTTCGCCAGCCGCCCAAACCTGACAAAACTGTCATTTGATAGGTCTTTTGAACCCGCACTCATCTCAGAGATCGCAGAGGCCACTTCTGGCCATCCCTTTCCCGCTCTTCGTTCGCTTAGCATCACAAGACCTCTGCCATCCGCGTCTGGGGTGCTGCTTGCCGGGCTGCTCCCACAAATCCAAATCATCGATTTGAGCTTCAAAGATAGTGATAATGACGTTCTTGGCTCCACCGCATCAATCCGGGACTTGCGCCATATGAATTTCTTATTCTATAATGAGCCGACATTTTCTGCAGGACAGCTGTTGTCGCTCAAATCACATCGCAATTTGGAGTCACTCAATCTCAGGCCAGATGGCGGTAAAATGTTTGCCCCTGAATTCACCGACGCTGAGTTTAGACAGCTCGCATCCCAATTACCGAACCTCAGAAATCTGTGGTTCGAGGTCGAGTGCGACTTGACCACTACCTCGCTGGCATTCTTGTCAAACCAATGCCGGGCGATCGAGCAGATTGACCTACCACAACAGTTCAACTGGGACGAGTTCTTGTCTCTGGCGGATCCTAACTCTGCCCTTTTTCCAAAATTGACAAAGCTGATACTCGGCGGAATGACATCTAATGACCGAACGTGAGTAACCTGTCCACAAGAGAGATTCACACACGTAACGAGTAACGTGCGTTTAGATTTGTTCGTCCTCCGAGAATGGCCGTCATTGCTAAGAACCATATTCCCACCTTGGAATCCGTCAAATTCAATTGGATTCAATATGACATGGGGAGGCAACAGATCACGCGGTTAGACACAAGTCTACCTCAAACTCCTAGAAGAAGGCCATCCGGAACAAGTGAACGTCCCTTTTCTTCCAGGCGTACAAATATATTCGGGAGGCGGCAGTGGGGGGTCAGACATGGAGCCGAATAGTTGCCCGCATCGTCTGCTATAAACGCACACTGGCACAGAAATCGATTTATGTCTATTATCGGTTAGAAAGCGTCATGTGGAGAGGAGTGTGAGTAGGAATCACTTGAAGGATCTGTCCTTGGAGCAGGCCTGCCGTGGCCTACTTTCTCACAGTCAGAAGGAACAGCTCGCTCGGTATGTGGTGGCAGGATATGCGGCGGCAGGATTCGGGGGGCGGTTTGGAGAAGACATTTGGCTTCAGTTGTCGTCTTTTAACTCGGCCTGCATAATTGTATGGTGGCACAGGGCATAATGATTATGAGTTTTACGAGTTATGAGTTCCACGGTATAGGTACTATCAGGTTGAATCTACCCAAGAGAAAGCTAGGAAATTGTAAAGAAAATGCAAGACAGTAATCCTTAGAGACTGTTGTTTAAACAAAACCATGAGCATTGCAAAGACTTTCTCTAGAGACATGTCGCCTTCACTAGCTTAGGGTTAGAACACAAGGCATGTATCTATACAAGTTTCATCTCACCACGCCTACTAAAATACTGAAGTGAGACTAGGGCATAAAGTACAACACGGAAGGATATGACAGTTTGATCGATAAAGAACAGAAATGAGGGATTTACCTTCAAGTCGGTGTGAAGTGTAGAGGTTGGTGAACACTATGTATGGGTTGAGAATGCACATCTGTTACGGACTTACCGGGAATGCATCCGGCTATAGTATTCAACTCTTACGTATAATTGAGTGGGTTGCGATGTTTCGCTAATCTTTCTCTCTGTAGTCTACTTTTCCATTGTCCCGTCACGTCCACTACGGCCCCCTCATCTATATACTTTTTTCGCTTCCACAGTGTCTCTTGAGAGCCTCCCACCAGAACTACAATCCAAATCCTATAGTTTTCTAGTAACATCGTTTGGCCCCTCATCAATCCATATGTTACTCAGAGTATCCAAGCAATTGTACGCCATAGCCCTCCCGTTATCTGTGCAAATCTTCCGGAATACAGCACCTTTGCAAATAGGCAAAGGACCTTGCTCGGTGGCCCGTAATGCCCAATTCTTGCGTTATATCCTCGTCTTCAGACCAGAGCTAGCAAAGAGAGTCGATACAGTCATTTTAGGTGGCTTTGCGGCTGTAAATAATGAATCAAATCCACACGTCAGCAGCCCAGAAGAACTGGAGACCTATGAGCAGTTCATCGTCGATAGTTTAGGTCCAACACTTAGAAAGGTCGATGTGGAACGTCGTGACAAATGGATGTCCCACCTCAAAAAGGGCTACTCTGATGCACAGATCTCTCTGATTCTGCTTGCTTGTCCGAATGTCAAGAGGCTCTATTTTGAAGACTTCCAAGACCCATCGAACGATGAAGTTTTTGAAAAGCCACCTTCTTTCATGTTTTTGCTTGAGATAGCCCAAACTTTGTCAGCATCAGGGCTATCTGGATCCAGCCCCCCCTCCACTAGGGAGCGTCGAGCACATTCACGTACAGTCTCAATATAGGAACACTTGCGGCTGGGAACAAGCCCTCCGCCTCTTGTCACTACCCAAGTTACAGATTTATGAATCTCTCAACGCCACCTACCAAGGCAAGCTTCCAGAAGATTCCTTCTTCCTCACCCAATTGCCCAAGTCCTCTGTACGGTCCATCGCTTTTCACCAGTCACATGCACCTGCGTCAGAGGTCAAGTTTGTGTTGGACAATTGTGATAACCTGACGAGCTTCGAGTACATCAGTGCAATGTGGATGCCGATTGATGGAAGTCTTCCTCAAGACATCATGAGAGCTGTTCTACCTCATGCTGAAACCCTCACGCATTTGTATCTCGACTTCCAGGACGACTGCGAAAGAGAAGATTGGAGAGAAAACCCACACGGGTTGTACGTGGGTCGTGAACTTGCCCAAATGACAGCCCTAAGGTACCTCGATATAGGGATACAGGCTCTTACCGGGATGTTTAATCCCATCGCAATAAAGCGACAAGACTTGCCGCTACAGATTGAAGGAGCCCCGATCATCGTCGAATGCCTTCCGGAAAAGCTACAGGAACTGAGAATTCGCGAATGCGGCAAGGCAATAATCGGCCAGGCAGCAGAGTTGCTTAGTACAATTGAGAAAGGGCAGCGTTTCCAAAACCTTCAGTCTATCGTGTTGATGTTCAAAGATGAGAATATCGAGATCGGAGACTTCCAGCAGGGTTTTAATAAGCTAGCAACCGATAGCACTCGATACATTCTTGCTTTGAACTCCCAGAACCGTGCGATGCGCTGGCTTGACTCTGGTAGAGGCAAGACTTTTGAGGGCATCCGTGCCATCCCGAGTCTCTGCTCCCGTATATATGCTCATGATCTTCGGAGAGTAAATCCGCTGTTGAGAATGCAGAGGCTATTGCTTCAAAAACCACCACACGAGTTTGGACTTGACGATTAGTTACAAAGGTCCTGGGTTAGGAACGAGAATCAGGGCTACTATCAAATTACAGCCACATATCATATTGAGTTCGTTCCCCTCAGACTGTGTGGACGATTTTGAATAGCAACACAATGATAATAATTTAATTGTTTCGGCCAATATTTAGTCTGTCTGCATGCTGCAAACCTCTTAACAGTTGACTCTTCTTGAACCCAAATAACGCCACGCTATGCACAATTTTGTCGGAAATGTAAACGTAAAAAGATATCATGAGAAAATATGCCAAGCTAACTTAGTCACTTGCTGTGCCTCTTATTGCGATGCCTAGAAGTTTACGTTAACTTGGAGTCTGACATACCATTTCGTTCTATGAGTACTCATGAAAACTTACTTCTTCAGCTTGTCCTCGAGGAAATTGGCACCGATGGCACCAGCGGCAGCACTGGCAAGACTGCCGAGCATCCCCGAACCGGACTTGTGAGCAGCCCAGCCGGCAGCGCCCCCGCCGACAACCGTTGCACCGAGACCTCGCTCGCCATCAGGACCAGTCATTTCATTCTGGCCGCGATAGTAGTTGTGGTTTGAGCTGCGAGAGTAGTCGGCTTGGTCGTGATAAGGTGGAATATAGCCTCCCTGGCCGTGGCTGTACGGGTTGTTTCCCAGGGAGTGCTGGGGTTTGTGTGAATACGGAGGCTGGAGAAGAAAATGTCAACAGGCGAGGGGAGAAGAGAGGTATGTTAGAGTAATCCTGACCTGTTGAGGGTAAGCTTGGGTATTGGTATATCCGTAGTAGCTCTGGGTAGACATGATAATTGTATTGATGGATGTTGACTGTAGGCGACGGTTATAGGCAGAGAGTAGCTAACTAGGAGTGGCGGAAGGTGGTCAGAGCTGTGGCGTTGTAGTCGTGGTTGTGGTTGTAGTTGTAGTTGTGACTGAGACCGTGATGACCAAGAACTGGGAAACAAATGGAACAAGAAAAGAGGTGATATTTATCATTATGTCCACCATTGTTGCCACTCAAGAGGTCAAGGACAGATGAATCGTCCGGACCTCAGATCCGGAAGTGATGGGAGAATCCACGTACCGGGCTCCTGGCTGTTTGGGTGGCGCAGTGGGCACAGTGCTGACGACTTCGAGGCCGTTGATTGCTCGGCTCTTTGAAGTCCCTGGAAACTACCCACAGTTCCTGGGCTGAGCCCCTGGCGCTATTTCATCAGCAAACGTCACTAGCTTGTCCACAGGGTTGTTTGCCGACTCTACGGAGTACTAAGATGGCCGATCAAGCCGATTATCTAATGGATGTCTGCTGGTGACCAAGGACCCTGAATGAATACCGCTCCTCATTAATAATTCCCTAGAATTTCCACGCGAGCTAACACTCACTACCCCTTCCAAGACCCTTGGCTTTGCGTTCGCCACCTATATACATGGTATACTTGCATCCATGCAAGACAAGGTCTAAGTTCAGTCAAGGTCAAAAGAAATACTCATAATCATCGCATCATAAACAGATTTTGTTATATGGCCATGCTGGTGTGATCCCACCCAAACGTTATGGAGACATCTAGTAGAGCGCGGTCCCGTTTCCACGCAATATGCCACGAATCACTACAATCAAGCAGCCTCCCTGCACTACCGTTTCGCATTATTGCAAATCATATAGGTACTTAAAAAGGGGCTGCAGTAATTGACTTTGATCATTTTTTTTGTGGCAAAGAAAAACCGCGGTGCAGGCCGGGATACAGAACGGTTCATAGTAAAGGGCAGATGTGTGCTTTTCACTTGGCTATTTGATTGCCCGCTGGGACTCAGTAGCCATCAACTACATCGAGTCATTGACGACCACTTATTACACAGAACATAGCCTTCACAAAGCAACACAACTCATCATATATCGCAACCTACAAACGCCGTGTCGCTGACTCGCTTCTTCCTTGCTACTAACAGTAAAGCTGCTGTTTACTTGACTCCACTGAAAGGTATTTCATCCAGGCTGGGGCATTACGCACGCGTGAAGCAACCAAGGAAGTTCGGCAATGCACAAATCCCTCAACTCCTGGTTACTGGTTAGAAAGAAGATCCGGCACTAACCACTGACGAGCGGCAGTCACTGCCGAAAAGTCTTACTAGTCGCGCCTAGGATTACAGAAAGTACTCGGGCTGGAATTACTCCAGCCAATATTGGCGAATTTCATGGAAGCTGGCCATATCACAGTTGCCACGCCCTCTTGGCTCAAAGCTTTGCTTACTGACTGTAAAGTTCAGACTCCCCTATAGTAAGGTTTCTTTCATTAGAATATATGAGAAGTGGGTTTGTTTTATAAGATAGTATTTCCCTATCGAATACCTTGGTATCTTTTATTGATGGTATCCGTTGGTTCTAGCCATCACAAATGGGTCGACTGCCACAATTTTCCCATTTTTATTCCTGTGGAAAAGCCCCCCTTGCTCGTTTTTTCTACACGCCGCACACTTTTCGGTCTCATTGGTTGATTTGTTCAGATATTTTACTACCAACCCTGCCGGGCAGTCGGTTGATCTGACTTTCTGGCCACGAGTATTCCTAACCCACCCTCTCCTATGCCACATATTGCAAGTATCAGTTGTAATTGGCTTGTAGTAGTTATGGCCGCATGGGCGGTGAACAAGTTTCCACCACTGAGTACACATTGGGGCGACGGATATGATGAAATGTGTGGGCCAATCTTGGAGATATTGTCGATAGTTGAGTGGAGAACTCAACCGCTTAGATTATGCTGCAATGAGTTTCGCAAGGGTTCGTCCAGTAGTTCGTTTTTCTCTCGCACTCGTAAGACTTCGTAGTTGAGGGAATTCTAGACTAAGTTACAAGTATAGGGCAGCGATGTGATTGAAGGTAGAGATGGAAAATCAGGATGATGGCCCGCTTTTATACACATGAAAGTTCTTACGCCGCACTGAGATAAACAATGAGGCGCATTCAGGGCTGGCTTACCGACCGGGGTGAGTTGGGCAGAAGCCTCAGGTGATGCTCTGCAGCATTGATGAATCTCCTCTCTCAGCGAATCACGTACATTCACGCCTCACCAACTCCCCCCCAAGGCAGCCCACGTGTCCTTTCTCTGACAAATGTCATCCTGCCAGTTGTCAGAGGCTCCTTCCGAGGCTCTTTTGAGGACGCCTCGCCGAACATGGACCTTCTCGTGCTGGATTAATTAATTATAGTGGTTTTCGCACCAACTAGTTTCTCGTTGCCTTATTGCTGTCGCTTTATCACCATGGCCAATAATTCGCTTAGCACGCTCTGTGAGAGTTGTGCACGATCGCTACTTACCAATTTGTTGATCAAGGACTTCTCTTCCGAATTTGAAGAAGATACTGGTCCATTGAGGTCAAGTCATACCATTATCACTAGCGGAGTTACCGAAGGCTGCTATGTCTGCACGGTTGTGTGGAGGAATATGAAGTTGGAAAACTTCAAGTTAATAGATGGCAACAAGCCCAGTGCGCAGCGTATATTACGCTCTTTTGAACGCGCAGTTCAGGAGGATGGTCGTTTCTTGCTGAAACTCAGCATCGTTATTCCGGGCCCATCGTTGTCTGATGATGCCCATGAGACCCAGTTTCGTCTTCTTCCATGTACAGGCAATAATCTCATAACCAACACTTCTCCATTCACACTACTTCAAGACACTTCATCATCTGAACCTACTCTTAGATTAGCCTTTGATTGGTATCAGCATTGCCGGCGCAAGCATACACGTTGCAACATCTCCAAAAATCCGAATAATCAGAAACGATGGCTACCAACACGGCTTCTCGAGGTTGTCGAGGATGGTCAAACATGCCGACTGATCATGAGCGAGGACTTAGCCTACTCTGACAACCCACCTGCTTACTTGACTCTAAGCTACAGATGGGGTGAGAAGCCCCAGAAGCTTCTACTCAAGTCCTCGAACATGCAAGAATTTCGCAGTGGTTTGAAGCTGAAAGATCTTCCAAAAACATTCCAAGACCTTTTCTCCCTCTCGCGGCGATTCTCCATACCACACTTTTGGATTGACGCCCTCTGTATCATTCAAGACTCTGCAAAGGACTGGGGTATTGAATCGTCACTAATGGGATATGTATACAGCAACTCTGCCTGTAACATCATGGCGTGCGCCTCTGACGATCCGCAAGGGGGGTTATTCCGCGACAGAAATAACACTGATCCCGCGCTCATGCCAGGCATCGTCCCGCAGCCCATCTTAGCCACCGAGAAAGGAAACCACTTCATATTTGATAAAGAGTTTTGGAACAAGCGAGTACGGTACGGATCTCTTTACAACAGGGGCTGGATTTTCCAGGAACGCCTTCTCGCCCCACGAGTCCTCTATTTCGCTGAAGATCAGGTCATGTGGGAATGTCTGTGCGAAACCAAGTGTGAAAGCTTCCCCGAGGGCATCCCATACAACAGATCTCTCAAGAAGCTCGACGTGTTATGGCATGAGAACAACCCGGATGATAACAGCGTCCAGAGAGATATGATCTTACTTACAGCCTGGAATAAGCTTGTTAAAGAGTATTCGCAATGCACCTTTACCGTTGCTAGCGACAAGCTACCCGCATTTTCAGGGGTATCCCGATTATTCGAAGATGTCTCCAGTGATGAGTATTTGGCTGGGCTTTGGAAATCTCATTTACTTGAACAACTAGACTGGCGCGTCCTGTTGCCGGTTCGACGCGTCTCGTCTAACTACATGGCTCCTTCGTGGTCGTGGGCGGCTGTGGATGGCCAGGTGATACCACACGGGGTGACGAGCGATGCAGAGTTCCTGGTGGTCCTTCGGGATGTCAGCGTCAAACACGATGGAATCAATTCCCACGGGAAATTGTCTTCCGGCAAACTTTGTGTCAATGGGGCACTACTCGCGGCATCGGTTGTTGAGTATGAGCCTGACCTTCCTTGCGGGTGGTTCATCGTCAACAATCTCGCTCGTAGGCCCACAGGATGTCGAGTTCATGGCCAATTTTTTAGAGATAGCCTGTCTATTGGCATTGAAATCGGAAAGATAGTTTCTCTCCTCCCCATCAAGTCTGATTCCGGACCAGGTGGTGATAAAGTCGTAGTTTGCATAGTGTTGGAGCCTGTTCTTGCATCAAACTCACGGATGTTTCGTCGAATTGGCATGGTCATTATTTCCGATCAGGAGGTAACGGCCGGCGATGATGCCGCGACTGCTTCGAAAGAAAGACCAAGGAGATTCTGGAAACTCGTATTGGAAACTATGCGAATGAGGGCTACGGATGTGCATCTTATATAAGTTGTTCCTAGGTAGCCAACCAAGTATCGCCGTTTTGAAAGCCTTGACCTTCATACAGCCTAAGTATTGAGATGGTGGTTCATGAAACTAATTTTGTGACTGATAATAAACTTATAGATTCAGAAATGTCACAATAGTAGCTGGGTGCAAATCCCAACTAGTCCAAAATCTCTTCTGCCATTCGTACTTTTTTTAAACCTTTTAGGAGGGCTTATACAAGTGCGTCATGATGGAGACATCAACTCCTGATGTGGTTCTCCAAGTACGCCTTGGTTGACTACGGCGATGGCAAGCATAACGGGGACGATAAATAAGGGGTGTGCTGGGCGGTCTACCTATCCTCCAATCTACAAAGAGCAGCGTCTAATCCTGCGTCCTATTCCCTTCCCCCTAGTCATCTACGACCAGGAGGTGGTCTCGCAAATCTAGTCATCAATGCGGACCAATTACCCCAGTCCTGCTGTGAGTCCCGTTGACCAAAATCAATGTAGTAGTCGATTTGGTATTGGGGAAAATTTATCCAGACAAATTTTATCACTCTTACGTTACCTATTCGATAAAAGAATGTCCAAAGCTTGTATGGTATTTCCAACGCTTTGGGGAAAAGAATCGTGTGATAGGCTAGAGTCCGAAGATAAATTTCGGTTAGTTGACAGCGGGCCTTGGCCTTAATTTCCTTCCAGTGTTCCGCCTTCCAGTTCCAATGATAAGGCAAAAGCCGTGCCAATCTGGTTCGCATGCCCACAAAATCCTTTGTTGAACGTATATTTCGAGAAGCCGGAATACCAATCATCCTCGGTCTTAATCGCAAGGTTTCCTCTAGCCTCCTGTCCTTCTCTCAAGCCTAGAACTCTAGAAATAACCCGGGTAATGAATCCTACGTACTAGATTTCGGCGAACTAGATGATGGAGACCGGCAAGGATCAATGACGACGCTGACACCCATGATTATGGCCGTTATCACTGGTGAGCGCTAGCACAAGTTAGCTACTGTGGCTAGAAGGTCATTAAAGTCTTACCTTATGCTATAACGAGTGCCCAGCAAGCATATATCTAACTCATTATTGGATACGGCTCAGTGCTAGAGTGTGTACATGCGAAGAAGCGAGTATAGCATGCTATTATAATGCGAGCGCGTGGGAAAACTGCCGACAACTACCGGACCAAGCATATCCATAGCTATCCACGTGAGTGCTCAGTCTTACTAGGATTGTTTGATCCATAGCCATGTGGCGCTAAGAGGAGAGAATTTTAGCCATTGCATTACATCTATTATTACAGAGGCCTAGCCAGGCAAGCCAGGTAAGGAATTCGTAGGGAGCTAGGCTAGCATAGGTTAACAGACGTTGTGTCCCGCCACTTGGACATGTTTCGGGATCGGGCTTTTACATGAGCCATGGGGACCTCCTGAGGTTTTCTCTGAAGGTGCAGGTCCTTATCCACATCCACATGGAAGACTGAAAGACGTCGTAAGCACTAATCGTCGCCACGATATCCACATCGAACACGGGGTAGTCTGACCCCAATGGATCGATCCCCTTGTTTCAAACACAGTAGACTCAGGTCCCCATGGGAGGGCGGAGTCGCGTGCTAAGAGAGCTACCGGCACTTTCCGCCGACACTATCAAGAATCTATTCACAACTAGCCGCTACCTTTTACAACGTTCCAGCCACCTGTGAAGAAGAGGCAGCGGACAGCGGTGAGCCAACCAACTGATTCACCAGCAGATCAAGTTACGACAAATACCGAAGGACGGGACCAGGACATTGTGCAAAAAAGCCCTCCCTGGTCCTAATTGCCGATGTCCCTTGTTTCTGGCTGCCTAGCAGGTCCTCTCGCTCAGTGCACAAGGGCCTCTAGGTCCGCATTTTGCTGACAATGGACACCGGGGGAGCCAAGGGGCTGGATGATCCTAACTCACCTTGTTTGCAACAGGGGTCTCGGCACTCGTGTGAACGCGATGCCGTATTACGTATTGCGTATTGAACTCCTTAACAGCCGTGCTGGGGTTCGGACTTGATGTAGCCGAGACATCCAGCTGCCAAGCGCGAAGGATTGGGTATCCTGGGGACGTCAGTTCCGGTCGAATAGACCCAGGTGTTTCCAATTTCCCCATCTGACATCCGGTCTTCTATTTTGAGCTTCGGTGTAGAAGATGAGAACACGGCAAGCCAAAAAGATAGAGAGAAGTGATGAAATGGGTATATAAAGCCCTCTGTCCTTGGTCAAATTGAGATTCGAAACTACCCAAAAGCAGCTCCTTCAATCTTTCAACCAGCTGTAAAACACTCATCACCGCCAACCGTTACTTTTTTCCCGCGTTTCATAATGCATTTCACCAAGACTATCGTCTCTGTGCTAGCTGTTGCCGGCTTCGCTGCTGCTCAGGCTGACGACCTTGACCGCCGTGATCTCGAAAATGCTCGAGAGCAGTACCTTGCCGCTCGCGACGAGTATATTGAGGCGCGTGACCTTTACCGCCGCAAGAATGCGCCCACTCATGTAAGCCTATCAATCTTTTCCTCCTGATTTTCAGCATCTTCAACCGTGACTCTTACTAACAACTCGTAGCCGGGTTATTGCAACAAGGCCGATCACCATTCCACGACCCTCTGGTGCTTGAGCCGAAGAACGGGCACAGTTTGCAAACAATGCCCGCCCAACGCTAAGGTCATGGACCCTTGCACCTGCCCTGGCTAAGCTCCAGCGCGTTCATTATCACTCCGTTTGCAGATCCCTATCTTTGGGAGGCAGACGGGTTAGTTCGTTGTTTGTAGAATCCACCAGCTTTGAAGTCGGCTGAAGCTAGGCTACTATAGTTTAGTTAAGCAAGTGTCTTCTCCTGTTGTCTTAGATATAATACTTGAAAATTGGGTAAATGTTGAATAACATTTAGTTACTAGCAAATCTCTTGTGCCCCTCTTCCCATACGTGCATAGAAAATGGTCTTGGCTTTTCTCTTGTTTTTATCACCTGGATTCTCCAAGTATGGTTTCAGATAGATTTTTAGAACCTGTGTTATTATGTGACAAGGCCGTTCTATATAATCAGACACAACAGTGCTGTTATTTTAGCGGCATAGGTGGACAATGACCCTCAAAGATCAGGCCTGTAATAAAGCAAGTTTTCATACTACTACTAGGACAGCAATAAAGGTGGCCATTTCTTGAATTCAGGGGTCCATTTCTCCACTGTTCAGTTTCGCAATCTTCCGCGGTGTCTAATCCTGCTATTCAAACCCGAACACCCGCAGTGAGCGAACAGAAATTCCAGGCCAGAACTCCATCCTATGGCTCTAATATGGCAGCGGAGAGAAGCGGGCAGTCTGTCAGACACCGGTTGTGTTACTGGAAAGGACGGTAGTTAGCCGGCCTCGATCACCCGAACGATGCTATAAAGGCAGAGCGCATCCTTGCAAAGCTTACCGTTTCTCCCAAGATACCAGTGCTATTTAGGTGGACCTCTGACACTAACAGATCTATTCTTAGATTCGTACGTACATAATAACGCTGCTTCTAACGATAGTGTCGGTTGCGCTAGTTCTACTGTATTGTCTCCAAAGCTCTCCCTTCCTACCTCCAATTTTATACCCTGTTTCACGCGGGGAGGTTAAACATTATTGGATCATACAAAAATACGAATCTTTGGGGAAAATGGGCAGACTAGACGAATAGGTTGAGAAAATACGGTACTGTGATTCCGACAGGGGATAATTTCCCGCCTGCAAGATCAGGGTTAACGGTGGATCTCGGTACCCTTCATCCCAATAATAATCATCTCCTTACCTGTGGAAAGACTCTGACAAGCCCAGAAGCCGCTCCCCGGGCCAGCCTTTGTCTGCATCCGCCCGGGTTGTAGGAAAGGATGGAGTCCGACAACGACCGTTCTGCCGCCAGGGCATATGATACTAGGTTTATGCTGTCATGGTCAAGGCATCAAGGGAGTTTCAAGGATGTGAGGTGTGCTTGGCGTTTAGCTCATTCTCATATTCATATGGTAGGGTTAAGCATTGAGCCAGATGATTCACGTGGGCTCTCGAAAGACATAACACAATCGGTTGCGTGCCGTATTACAACTTATCAGTCAGCCTCCTCGATCAAGTCAAGCTCAGCGACAGCAATACGACTCTTCCAACAAAGGATACCCCCCTTGCTAACCAGAGCATTGGAGCCGGCCCGCCTGCGCCTTCAGGGCTATATGCAGGAGCAGAACCTGGAGCGGAGCCTCGACTTACATGACATACACCTTCCTACCCAAGGAAGCGGGCGATCAACAGGGGGTCAAAATACTATGTCTTGTGGTGGAGACATGCGTCAAGTGTAAGAAAATGTACTGATCAGCATATGGGGCCTTGATATGGAATCCTGCTAGGTCTTATGAAAATTGGACAGGTGTGGTCTAGAACAATCCTAATCAAGGTCGCAGAACCGCCGGAATAATGAGGAGATAGTACGACTAGAGTTAATAATCATCATATGCAATCCATGTACAGCGTAAAATGCATCCCTCAATTGCCTGGGATTCCAACATCATGAGCTAGGTGACCTGGTTTTGGAGGAACTGGAGGAGACACTTTTGAGGGAACTGCAGGAGCCGGGCGTGTAGGTGCTTGAGGCGCTTCCTTCAGCTTCTCGACAATACATTCCTGCAATTGTTCCCGTCCCCCTTGGTGCAGTGAGCGAGAATATTGTACTGTATTTGACGCCGGCCGCGTATTCGTGCGACATAAGCCCGCCAATCTTCTCCTTGATCGCATATGTAGTGTCCGGTTTGAGTTTTGCTCTTAGAACTGCTTACCTTTGCTGCATTACCATTGGGGGCTTTGGCTTTGGAACTTTTACTTTTCTGAACTCCTTTGGCAGTCCTCTTTCCTTGAGGAGCTTTTGCCTTCTGTACTATCTTGGCTGGGGTCTTTCCGTCAGCAGCGATCCCCTTTGAGGCATTTCCTTTCTAAGTCTTCGCCTTGGAAGCTTTGGTGTTTGAACTCTTACTATTCTGTACTCCTTTGCCAGCCGACTTCTCGTCGGGGTCTTTGCTTTGATGTTTTGGCCTTGGCAACTCATCGTGCGGGAGTTTTCTTCTTAGACTCCTTGCACAGGCCCGTTCTTTGCGGCAGGGGTTTTCTTGGATGCTGGTCCCTTGTTGGGGGCGACAACCTTCTTAGCTGGAGCTAGAGCCTTCTAGAAGCAACAGGGCTTCGAACGTCTAAGGACAAGATGGAGTCAGGATTCAGGTTAGCATCGCGGCGAGCTATATTGTGTTGGTACACTGACAGCTCGGGGTGTCTTTCCCAGATATTCTTGTCGGCAACCTGGTGTCTTGTGGTCGGGTCCAGGGTGTCGTCGGTACTGCGTTGGTCAGACTCCCGGGTGTCCTCTACCTTAGCTCGGAATGCAGCCAGGAGAAGGGGAAGCACCAGTAGTTTCATCTTCGTGGTCTTGGTGTCAGCTAGTGACAGGAATCGGAGCACTGTAGAAGATGATACAAAGGAAAAAGAAATAACAAATATACAAATATATATATATATATAAACAATAGAAAGAAGCTGAAAAGAGGAAACTTCAAAGAGGCGAAGAAGCGAATGGGCGGAATGCTAAGATAAAGGGAAGGCTCCCGCTATATCACCATAGTAATAATACTCTGCATGAACCATCAGATCATACAGGCTGCTTGGGCTTGAACTTTAGTCACATTTATTAGGCAAGCTAGAAATAGAGGCTATATCCAAAGCAGTCTATTACCTCCGCTACTTGTTTAGCAGGGATCGCTTTTTTCTAATAATAATACTACTAATTAGTGCGTTGCCGAGGAGGATCAAACCACTTTCGATCTCTGGTTCAACAAATGCGTGGGGCGGCACAAGACAACAGGGGCCAAGACCCTTGTTCAGACGGCGAGATCTCTAATATCCGGGCCTGCTAAACTGGCTCATGCTGGTGCTGCGGGCCTGAAGCAATCAGTCATCCTCCTTCACACCATAAACCTCCTACGCCGCCATCATCACCAGCAGTCAGTCAACACGCCGCTTAAGGTCGCGTACGCTGTTGTCATCTTTCTCTCTCTATCCCTCCCCGGCTCTCCCGCTCATCACCATGTCTTCCCTCAAAGACGCCCTCCACAACTACAAACAGCGCATCACCAGTGCCATCTCTTCATCCCCGGCTTCAGACGGCTCGGCTCCGGCGTCCAAGACGGGGCGGACCGGATGGCTGGAAACCAGCACCCACGACTCTGTCCTCTCGGATTTCACCCGTTTCCTCGAAAAGGGTAGCCCGAAAGAAGATTCACCTATCTTCAACAGGAAGGAACAAAAAACTCTGAAAAAAATATTCACTGCGCATGCCAACTCAGACAATTGTAAAGTCCCCCTCTTCGTCCCCTCCTCTAAAGGGAACCAGAACTAATCTATACTCGACACTCAGCCTGGACCCAAGAATCACTAGAGTCCTACCTCATCACGCAGGTCCCTCAAGATGGGGATTTCAAGGCTCTCCTGACCGCATCTCTGCCGTCTCTCTGGGCATTGACTACCTACTTCTCCCATTGGCCGTTCAACACCGCCGCATCTACCCCAATCACCAGCTTGACATTCCCATCCTTCACGCGTGCCGTCGCCTTCCTCAGCGGGAGGCACTACCTGATGTTCACCGCCTGGGGTCATCAAGACAGCAGTTTCAACCGCACCACAGATCAGCCAGTCCTAGAGTACATCTTCCGGGCTCTGGCCACTTCCCGGCAGACAGAGCAGAAATCTTGCTCGTCCACACAGCGAGAAGACGCCCAGGCATCACTGCGACGCGACATCCTTGATGTTCTGAGCGTAGCCCAACCACTCAGAGACCGCAACACAAAGGCTCTCAACCGCACGGAGCTGACGCCTGCAGCCGACAGGCTCTCCCCTCCAGCTCCGCCGCAACTGTCCGACATCACCATCCCAACCACCAGCGTGCTCGTCCCGCTTCTCGACCTCTCCATAGCACTTCTCCAGAAAATCAGCGAGTTCGACGCAACTCCCTTCCCCAGGACACTCAAGGCGAAGCTTGAGACTGTTCAGGCAGAGGTACAAGGGCAGGACGATGTGTCATTCGACAACTACACAAAATTGCTAGATAGCGAGGAGTGGGCAGAAAACCACAACAGCGTCTACACTCTATACGACGGTATTGCCGTCCTCTTCAACACACTTCCCAATCCGGAGAGCTTGAAAACCGGCAGGACCGTCAACTGGGTTTCGGGAGAGGAGGAGCCCTTGTATCTGGGTTCGCTGCGAAGCTTGGGGTCAACCTGGACATAGCGGGTGAAGGACGTAGGCCCTGTGTTTTCGTTTCATCTCTGTTGTTTATTACTGCCAGCTAGTTGAACGTCTGTTTAACTTCAATTCCCGTCCTACCGGGATATTACTAGATAAGGGCGATTGAGCCTCTGTCTTCTGACTCTGTATGTTCCATTCCACCTGGGATGAACCCGACAGACGAGTCCAACGTCTACAAGACGTGGTTACTGTTAGAAATAGAGAAAATGGAGTATCTTATTTACCACCTAATTTCGATATTTGTTTTAATTAATCTCAACATACCTTATCTTAGACCAATTGATGTGGGTGCCCCGGACCAATTGGTCGTGGTGTGCGTCCTCCAAAGGCGAGATGCGGCCAGAAACCGCAAGGAATTACGTTGAAACTTGGGCTCACACACAGATTATCTCATGTGGAAGAAATCAGAGGGTATCATCTTGTATTTTTAGGTAGGCTACGGAATGAATCAGCTTCCTTTCCGCTCATCGCTGGCCTCCTGCTCGTAGCCTCGAATCCCGCCGTCCAAAATGACGTTCTCATTATTGTCTAAATCGTCCTGGACCCTTCTCCATCCCGTCTTGCGCGATCTGCTGGCTCCTTCTGCCTCTGGCCCCTTCCCCTTGGCGTCAAACACCGGCTTGATCAGAGATCCCAGCAACGGGTTGCCGCTGAACGCTCCTCCACTGCGAGCACCGCCGTTACCAGTCGTGCTCGTAAGCACGCCAGCCGTGTCGTCCTCGCTCTCGGGCGTCACCGGCCTCTCCACGGCAGCCATCTTGCGCACCACCTTGCCCCCGACCAGATCGATGCTCAGGACCTGCTGCCGCTTCTCGTAGTCGGGTCTGGCGTTCCACTCCATCTCCCTCAGAATCTTCTGCTGCCGCTTCAGCTCCCTCGCACGCTCCTCCGGGCTCGCCCACATGCTTCCCCCGGAGCCAGACACCGCGCCGCTCACGTCAAAGTCGGACGCCTCGTCCCTCACAGTCGTTCGGCGGGCGTTCTGCGCCTGGAATCCAAGCAGCTTGTCACGGTGCTCCTTCGCCTTGGCTTCAGCCTCGGCGAGCGTGGGGTCCGTAGAGACGTAGGTCCCTCGAGCCTTGTTCCCGGAGAAGGGCGCAGGTGTCTTGGACACGTCTGCCTTGCGGTTCGCCCTGGCATCCGCCGCCATGCGCTCCTTTGCCCGCTCGTCCTTGAGCTCACGCATCATCGCCTCGACGTCGTCCTTCTTGAGCAGCGGCGTGCCGCAAAACGTGCACGGCCCGAGCCCTTCCTTCATGCAGATGACCTTGCCGCACGAGAGGCAATTGGGCGCCGCGCTCTGCAGTGGGTGTCGCGTGGCCACGCAGTTACACTTCCGGGCTTTGGGGTTATCCAGCGTCGGGTTTGTTGTGATCTCGAGGGCTCGGATGGCAGCGTCTAGGTCGTTGAGGGCCGTGGACTGTCCAGCCATGGGCGTGCCGCCCGAAATGGACACCTTGGTCGCGCCCCCAGACACCTTGAGGTTGGGTTTGCCTTTGGCCTTCGGGGGCCCGTCGGATATCAGGTACCCAGAGGAGGCGTGTGCTTTTGACTCCTTCTGGGGGGCCTGCTTCGGGGCGGGCGGCGGCTTCTGTGCGGGTGCGGGATTCGGGGTCGTCGATCTCGAGACATCGTTGCTGCCCGGGGCGCTGGGTGTCCTCTGCGATTGCGGGATGTAGTCGAGGTCGCCGAGGTTTTTCTTCGTGTATACAGTGCCCGACGGGGCGGCAAAGTCCTGGACCTTGCGGGGTGCTAGCTCGTGGATGTTTGCCTTCTTCTTCTTCTGGGGTTTTCTTGTCGACTTGGGAACGGCGTCGATTGCTTCGGACGATGATGACGGGCCGGGTGTGGCAGAGGGCCCTGCCTGCGCTGGCTTCGCTGGCTTGCTGTCGCCGCGTCTGGAATTGAAGGAGGAGATGAAGTCGATGGCTAGTGGTGAGTCGCCGAGGAGATTACTGAAGTGCGAAACAGCTTCTGGCTTGGACAGGGTGGAGGCATAGTCGAGGACCTGCTGGAGCTCGTCGTCGGGGAGTGGCAGCAGCTGCGACAGCTGAGCGAGAGACATATTGACAGAAAGAAGGCCGGTCAGAGGTAAGAAAAAATTGTATAGCCCAGTATCTATCCGTTTCTTTTGGTAAAGACGCGAGAAACTGGGCCAAGTATCATTTCTTAAATATCGCGTAGCTGATGCTCAAGAACAGTCATACCGAATCGATCAAAGAAGTTCCCCGAGATTGCCCCGCCACACCCCACTCGCCTACCCTACACTCAAGCATCCTCAGCAAAATGCCAAATTATGAGCGCACAGAGTCAGGATTCTGTCTTGGAGAACTTGAAATTACTAAAGGACAGCCAGAACTTTTGTTTTAGGAGAGGATTGACTTGAGTGGTGTGCAAAGCAACTGTGTTGCTCTAACAGGGCAACCAAAACATGAGGCAAGCCAAAAAAAAAAAAAAAAAACCAGATATCACAAGCGATTGGAAAGCACGATCGCATTTTACGGGCTCCAGCAAGGATATTGTAACAAATATAACTTCGAGACTGACATTAGGATGGCACCCTAGGATGCCATTGGGTGTGATAATACGACCATGTGAGGCACGATGGTTGGATCGGGTGCTGCAAATGTAGGCCATTCATGTACGAAGCCCAGGCGACTGCATCCGTATGTCCTAGTCTGCGGGGTAATTGAAGCTGCCCAGGCTTTCATTGTCTAGGTATCCAGCAAGTAGCTAGATGCAGCTAGTCGTTCTCGATCCGTGGAGGGCATCATCTGGGAACCGGTCTGAGTCTCGGGCAGTTCGGCGGACTAACGGAAGAGCCAGTGTTATCAATCTGTGCACCTCTCTGCGCTCACCGACCCCAAAGACGGGGTGGATGCAGATCAGCAAGGGCCAAGGATTGGAGCATGATGCCTGTGCAGAGCTTGCCAGACGAATCCCGACCACGCCGAGGGTGCGCACAGCTGTTCTTTTCCACCGTAGCCGCCCCTTCCAGATGCCAGACTGGCCCAAGCCCGCCTCTGGGGTTCATCGAGGGAACAATGCATTGACACAATTGACCAGGGCACTTGTGTAATTCCAATTGCATCCGAAGAGACCGTAGCGGCAGATGAATGATGTGCTGTGGTGGTGCGCTGAACTCGCCCAAACCGCCGTTTACCCGCTGCATCCCGAGTTACTACCGGGCCGGTTTGTCCCCCAACAACAGAATACAGCGCTCTCAGTACCCACAAATCTTCCCCAGCACACCCACCGCCAGTAAAATACAGGGCTCCATCAGTGCGTACAGCAGCCTGGCGCTAAGATGCAGCCGGCCACTCATGCGACGTCGCCGCACCGCCGTTTTCTTTTCCCGCCCCCGGTGAATGCGTCTGTCTGTCTGTGTTTGTGTGTCGACGCTAATAAAACCACGCACTCTTCCTCTTCTCCCTTCCTCCCTCTCTCTAGATACCCTCACCTGCACCATCTCTCCATCCCCAACCCGCCTCGTCTCCCACCACAACCGCCAAAATGTTCATGGCTTCTCGCATCCAGCGCCGGGCTTTCTCCGCCTCGGCTCGCCAGGTTAGTCTACCCCGGATCAAGCTCAATTGACCTTCATTTCCCCCAGAAATCTCCATCTAGCCTTGCCTAGCTCCCAATTGCCTCGTCGCAGCCCCTCCCCGCCCTCAATTCCATCCATCTTCGCACCGTTGACAATCCCACTGACATGACCTGCAACAGCTCTCCAAGGTCACCGTCCTCGGTGCCGCCGGTGGCATTGGTCAGCCTCTTTCTCTGCTCCTGAAGCTCAACCCCAAGGTCACCGATCTCGCTCTCTACGACATCCGTGGCGGACCTGGTACGTTGCACCCCTCAATGGCTCTATCTCCCTTGCTGCTGCTGCAGTCAAGACAACAGCTGCTAACCGCCACACAGGTGTCGCCGCTGATCTCTCCCACATCAACACCAAGTCAACCGTCAAGGGCTACGAGCCCACCCCCGAGGGTCTCTCCGCCGCCGTCAAGGGCGCCGAGGTCGTCCTCATCCCCGCCGGCGTCCCCCGCAAGCCCGGCATGACCCGCGACGACCTCTTCAACACCAACGCCTCCATCGTCCGCGACCTCGCCAAGGCCGTCGCCAAGTCCGCCCCCGAGGCCAAGGTCCTCGTCATCGCCAACCCCGTCAACTCCACCGTCCCCATCGTCCGCGAGGTCTTCAAGGCCCACGGCGTCTACAACCCCAAGACCCTCTTCGGCGTCACCACCCTCGACGTCGTCCGCGCCAGCCGCTTCGTCTCCGAGGCCAAGGGCACCGACCCCAAGGACGAGGAGATCACCGTCGTCGGCGGCCACTCGGGCGTCACCATCGTGCCCCTCTTCAGCCAGAGCAACCACCCCGACCTGAGCTCCGACGCCGAGATCATCAAGCGCGTCCAGTTCGGCGGCGACGAGGTCGTCAAGGCCAAGGACGGCGCCGGCTCCGCCACCCTCTCCATGGCCCAGGCCGGCGCCCGCATGGCCGACTCGGTCCTCCGCGCCGTCGGCGGCGAGAAGGGCGTCGTCGAGCCCTCCTTCGTTGAGTCGCCCCTCTACAAGGACCAGGGCATCGACTTCTTCTCCTCCAAGGTCGAGCTCGGCCCCGAGGGCGTCTCCAAGATCCACCCCGTCGGCCAGGTCGACGCCAACGAGGCCACCCTCCTCGAGGCCGCCCTCAAGGACCTCAAGAAGAACATCGAGAAGGGCGTCGAGTTCGTCGCCAAGAACCCCGGCAACTAAGCTGTTGTTTTTTGTATAATTGACCCTAAAAACTCCTGTCTTTTTTGATAGAACTTGGTCATTTGTAAACAGCTTGTAAACAGCTGATGAAAGAATTCTTCAAGCAGCGTTGAGGTGAACGACTAGACTCCTCTTTGTCGGGAGGGAAAAAAATGGCGATGGTGCAGAAGGGTACTGGTCGTTTATTTTCTTTTCTGCTCGTATACAGCTGCCATAGACTTGATTGGGTCTCTGTATCATAGGAAACGATTCGGATGAATAAAAATATATAAACACTAAGCTCATCTCCATTTGACGTTTCTGTTGCCATCCATACTGAGCTCTGCAGCACCTAAATTTGACTCACAGACATCAATTGATCAATCGCTTTGAAAAGTAGAGATGTTTCAGGCCAAGATTGGCCTCATTACATTTACAGCGTAGGTACATAGATATCTAGTTACTCCCAATGCATCCGCCAGTGTGGTTGGACCTTCTTGCCCATTCATGCCGTCATCCACATTATTGAAAATCTCCATCTTTTTCTATGTCGTAAATGGGAACAAGATAAAGAAAACAGTACGAAATCTCTTGGTGGCCGGCAAGAGATCCCCTCTTGTACAGTAAAGTATAGTATAAAGCGCACCCGGCCACCTCTAATGGCATCTACTGCTGCGGCTGCTGCCTCCCCTGCCTCCAGTTCTCTATTTGCTGGCGGCGGGCCTCCACCTTGCGCTCAAACTCGGCCACCTTCTCGAGTCGCGCCTTCTCCTCCTCCTCTTCCTTCTTGGCGTTCTCAATCTCCTTGCGGGCGGCCTCGCGCTTCAGCTGGTCCTCGCGCCTCACCGCGATGTCGCGGGGGCGGAAGTCGCTGAAGCCGGCCTTGAGACCAACCTCGATGATCCAGCATAGGCCAAAGTCGAGGACCATGACGGCCGTCATGTTGAGCTTGAACTCGTCGTTGAAGGGCACGAGCTTCATCTGCTCGTTGATATCGGGCATGAGCTCCATGGCGCAGGCAAAGGCCAGACCAGACACGCCGATCATGCCCCAGTACATGGACTTGTTCTCGGAAATGGACTCGCGGAAAGGTCGGCCCTGGTAGTTGATGGCAAAGGTGGAGATTTGCTGAATCAGCTGCAAGAGGTAGACACCCGAGTTCAACAGCGATGGGGCAAACTCGGCCTCGAGATCAACGTCGGAGGCTCGTCTGGGGAGAAAATTAGGCATGTTCTGACATTAGATAGGTTAGGAGTGGGTGTTGGGTGTGTACATACGGTTCAAGTCTGTCGCAGAGGCGAGCGATGTAGATGAGAGTCACGATGTGAACGGCAAATTGTCCAAGGATCGATCCGATGATGTAGATGTTGAAGATGTTGGGCTGGGGACGCTCCTTGCTCAAACCCTCGACGACGCGGGCACGCGAGATGTTGAAGAAGCAGACCGACATGAGAATACCGCTGATGGTGTACTGGGTGTCACCGAACTTGATACCCTCCAGGTACAGGACGGACAGCGAGTAGGCACTGATGAGACAGTTGAGGGCGAGAATCTTGTACATCTGAATGGTAGCAACGAGAGTGCAACGGCCTTGACGAATGATGTTGGGGATAGCAATGACATTGCGCAACTTTGACGTGAATGGAGCAGCAACGGAAGCGTCACCGAGTTTCAGGGCAGGTGGCTCATCATCTCCCATATCAGACTCCATCATGGTGGTGAGCTTGTCAGCGAGACCGGCAGCCTTATTGATGTTCTCCTGCTGGCGAGCGTTGAGTTGATTCTGGGCGGCAGGGGTGGTAATGACCTCCGTGGGGTGGCCCAATGACTTGGAATACTCCTCAGGAGACATGTCCTTCTTCTTGGCTTCACGCTCAATGGCCTTCTGGTAGTTGGGGTTGGATGGGCCAGGGGGGTACAGGTGAGCGATAATGACGGGGACGGGAGGGGCGGGCTGGTTGAAACGGGCCATCAGGTCACATTGCTTCTGGTACATTTCCTTCATCTTGGTGTTTCGGGAGTGCTCGGCGATCTTGGTCAAGTCATCAGGTGTTCCATTGAGGAGAGCAACACCGATGTGAGCCTGCTTGAGGGCACCGACATCATTTGTACCGTCACCAGCCATGAGCGTGTAGTATCCCATATCACGAAGTCCCAAAAGAATGTCTTCCTTCTGCTTGGGTGAGACACGAGCATATACCCAGGTGTATCGGAGAATGGAGTTCCAAGCTGGCTGACCCTTGAATTTAGCGAGAGCATATCCGGTGACGCAAATGTCCTTTTCCTCCAAGATCTTGGGGTCGATGGCCTTGGTCGGGTCAACAGGGATTTGGATGGTATCGTCGACGCTCCTCCAGACAAGCTCATCTCCACCGTCGTTGTGCTCAGGAGCATCGAGGATAAGGACATCACGATCAACAATCTCAACTTCGCGGGCAACGTGTACGGCGGTCAGAGGGTTATCTCCAGTAATCATGACAACACGGTGGCTGCTCTCATTGAGCATTTGAACAGCTTGCTTAGCGTCATCCTTGAGAGGGCAGTGTAGAACCAAAAACCCGGCGAATGTCAGGTCAGCCTCCACCTTCTCACGCTTGAGGTCATTGATCTTGCTGGTTCCGAGCTCCGTGTCTGTTGTGAGTTGCTTGTAGGCCAAGGCCAACACACGGGATCCCTTGCGAGTAAAGTACTTGAATGTCTCCTCGTAGTCGGCAGGAACATCGACCAACATCTTCATGATTGTTTCGGGCGCACCCTTGACACCAGCGAATGTTCCCTTGATCTTCTTACCAGTCTTTGTGTCGACACCGTGGACCATGGCAATCGAACTCTGTCGCTTGAGGGCGGAGGAGAACTGGAAGCGGCGCTTGATGTGAACTGTTCCCTGAACGCCGGTAGCCTTGATTGCGCTGTGAAGAGTGTCATTCTTGCCGAGAGACCAGCCGAGAGATCCGAGAGTTGCCTTTTCCATAGGGTCTCCTACGATATCACCCTCATCGAGTCGAACCAATGCGTGAGCTGTAGCCAGAACGAGTTGAGTTTCGAGAGTCGTGTCCTTGACGGGTATCATGTTCGAGTGGGCGCCGTTGGCTTCAGTCTTGTCGTGAAGTTCTGGGTGACCGAGACCAAGTCCGGCGATACCCTCGACAACCAAGTCTTCGCCGGTCAGGGTTCCAGTCTTGTCAAAGCAGGCGATGTCGATGCGCCCTCCAAAGGGGATACGGAAAGGCTCAGTGCAGAAAATAGCATACTTGGCGAGGGCAGCCAAGCTAGTGTTGACTGCGAGGTTCAGCTCCATGGGCAGCTCAGGCGGAACGACACTGGTGACGATCAAAACGCAGTCGAGGAGCAGCTTGGATCGCTTGCGGTCCTTGCGGACACCCTCGTCCCAGACGTACCAAGAAGCAGCGATGGCGAATACCAAGAGGAACAGAATGAAGAACAGGGCCTCGAGATTTCCGGCTCCGACACGCTCGGTGGAATAGATCATGGTTCGCACAAGGCTGCCCTGGGATGTTTCGAAACCGGTCTTGATCACAATAGCCATTGCACCATTGTCGGGGGGAGTAGGAACACCGGAGGCACTCTTGGTCTTTTCTTGCTCAGCGTTGGCGTGGGTGATCTGGAGAACCTTGGTGCCTCCCCAGAGGAAAGAGTTCTTGTCCAGTCCTTCGGTATCGAGAGGGGCATCCTTGGGACGGAGTTGAACCGACTCCTTGAGCAGAGGCGTACTCTCTCCCGAGAGCATAGCTTCGTTCACAATGGCAGTGCCCTCAACCAGAAGCATATCGCAAGCGACACCGCTGTCCTCCTTGGTACGGCTGACCGAAACCAGGTCGCCAGGCAGGAGTTTGTCGCTCTGGACCTCGATCCACTTGCCCAAGCGGAACACCCACAGGTCATAAGGCTTGACGCCCATTCCTCTGAACTCAATCAGAGTGCGCTGGCGCTGCCACACGACGGTACTTTCGAACATGACCAACATGAAGAGAGTGAAGAGCGAGTAGTACCAGTATTCATCAAGCATCCACAGACCAACGCAGAACACTTGGAAGACGAAGAAAGGGGCGACGGCGTGTTCCTGGAAGAGCTCGGTGAAGGAAGGCACGGGGATGTCGAAGGTGTTGATACCGTAGTGTTGTTCAATGCGAGACAATTCGACTTGGGTTTCGATACCCCGTGAGGTCTGGAAGTGGCCAATCGAAGGTTTGGGCTCGGCATCGATGGTGTACTTCAGGGTGGTGAAGACTTTGGTCTCGGGGTTGTATAGGAATCGTCTCTTCTGGAAGAGGAAGGAAAGATTTGTCTTCCCGCCGGCCTAGATATAAGGTAGAGTTAGAGGTTGCCCCTCATGGATGAGATGTGCATTGGATGAGGGGATTGGCTACCTTATCACGGATAATTTTGCAGATCTCGCTGGACCCGGCGTTGGCGATGGGGATAACCTTGATGAGGAGAGCATCTTCGATCTTGTCGACAGCGGAAGCCTTGAAGCGAGCCTCAAGATTAACGCTCCAGTGGGTGCTGAGCCAGAAGAGGGACTGGAAGGTGACGATGGTGCCGCACCAAACGAAGGTCCATTCTGAGCCACCAATATACTGATCGTAGAGGTCCTGGCTCAGGTAGTAGCGGAAGAAGATGGGCCAGACGATCGTGAAGGGCCAGATGTAGGTGTGGAGGAAGAAGGGTAGCGGGCGCAGAAGTTGCGATTCCTTGATTTGGGGGTTGTCGACCAAAGGCGACGCCGACCCTGGCGGAGGCGCCATAACTTGATTCTCGCGGACGTGTTTCTCGGGACAACGGGTGCGAAGTGAAGGACAGAACGAAGAGAAGAGAAAATAGAGGGAAGAGGGGGGATTGGGATGTTGAAGGTCGCGCGTGGAGGCACGGTGGTTGCGGGGGGAAGCCAGCAATTGTGCCTGGTGCGTGCGATCTGTACTTTTCTCCAATCTTCTAGGCCAGACCTCTGATGCGATCTGCTGAGGTAATATGATTGTGACGTTTTTACTGGACCCGCGGCTTCCAGCAACTTCCCGCTCCGAGTTTATCGAGTTTTCTTATCTTATCCTTATCGATTAGATAGCACGCCCATATCTAGCGCCGAACCAGTCAGCCAAGGAGTGACTGAAGAAATTAGACATGTGGTTGAAGAGCGTTGATAAGTAGAGCCCTTATTGCAAGGAATGAAACGTGAAAGAAATAAAGAAAAAAAAAACGTCAAGGGCTCCAAGATTTGATTTTTGTATGTTGAAGATTTGGTTTTAGCTCTTAAAACTATGACAATAAAGAGCTGTTAGCTCGAGGATGAACCGGGTAAGTTTAAGTGTATCAATTTTAGTGTCACCCGGCTACCAGCTTCTACTTCCACCAAGGTTGTGCGAGTTTGCAGCACGGTATTGGCACACACGGCCTTGCTACATCTATATACATGAAAATTGTATGATAATACGAGTTCTGAGGCGTGGAATTTTGATAATCTGTATCGATGTTGTAAATCCATTTCCCCCTTGGTTGAGGAGGACGCTGTAATGACCTCCAAGGACTCCGAGGGCTCTCTTGATTTCTTCATGCTGAAAGAAGCATCGTAATATTGATTGATTCGCCCTCTTGGGGATGATCTCAATTATCAAGCCTAAGACACCTCCGTTCAAACCATCCAAATAGTACATGTAGGTTATCCCCGTATATGATCATATAGGCAGTAGGCCGAGCATGCGCATCCTTGGCCAGCAGAGAACTCATGTTGTGGCTGAGGTGAGGCTAGGCTGGTCTCGGCTCGTCTGTAACTTGTAGCGGAGGATTACTCAGGTAAATCCTTTGGCAGCGGATTTATTCATACTGGCTTGATTTCCCCTGAAGAGTCTTGGCTTTCGTCGACGGCTTTGGCTAATACAACTCGATGCATCTAGAAGAGAGTGCATGCCTGGCTGAGATATCACCGCTGATACGTAGGTTCGTTCGGGGCTAATTCGGACGGATATGGGTTTCTTGTAATAAACGACATTCCTTGTAATTCAGGACGTGGAGGGAGTAACGCTCTACCAGCCAGCTCCGATCCGTGAGGTCGGGCACCATCGTTGCCAAGCTCGGACCAATGTCCACCATTATTGAGAGGAGAGCTGGGCGGTACTGGCTGCATATTTTCGCAGCTTGCGTTGTACGGCGACACTCCGGGATAGTTCTGTTGCCAAGGCTGGGAGGCAACCTGATTTTGCCCATACGGCGATGTGTGTGTCTGGGAGAGCTCGCTCTTATGCACGGCTTCCAGTGTTGAAGAATGCGAGTTTGACGGGGGGAAATCTTGCTTTGCTTGGCTTGCCTTTGCTGCTGCCTCTCTCCTCTCCTCTGCCTCTCTTTTCCGACGACAGTAGAAAAAGATGGCGGCACCAATCAGAGACAGAACCAAAAAGCCAACTCCACCTGCGACGCCGGCAATCATGCCAATATTTGGTACTGCCTCTGATTTATCATTCGCTGAAGCTCCTGAAGATTGTGATGAGGACGTCGCTGAGCTGGTTCCGGCTGTCGATGTGGCTGTTGTGGCGATGAGGCTGCTCGAGGCTGCTTTTGCGCAATCCAGATTGGTTATGTTGGGGGGTGTCACTTTCCACTCTTGACAGTAGCTGTTGATATACGTTTTGGCATAAGAGATACTAAACGTGCCGCATGTCTTGCTTATACAGCACACGCTGGTTAGGATGTACTTTTCGTCTGCACACATGCAGCCGATATCCATATCTTTGCATTCTGTATTGGTGTGCCCTCCACAGGTGTTCTAGCCACTTTCTGTTAGAATTGATGGTATCTCGACCGTGGACGGGAAGCAACATACCGGGCAGTTCGGCATCCAGCTGTACTCCATAGTTCTGGTGTTTGTCTCGCTTCTCGTGGACAAGTTTTGAAAAGTTTCTCGACAATAGGTTCTAGAATACAGAGAATAACGACATGGCACAGACCAAAGGCGAGATGGGCGGAACAGCTTTTTGAGGACTCGACGTGTGAGCACACAATTCAGAGCCTAGTTCAGCTTTGGACATGGATGTATGCATGCTTCATGTCAGGGGCAAGACTTCTCCTGCAGCTGGGCATTAGCTGCGAGTAATTTGATTAAGATCTGGTTTAGTACTCTTTGTGATAGGCTGAAATGTGGTTCTCCCCTGCATTTTCTGACCTGAGTGGGATCGCCATCGACCGTATTTCGTCGTATTTTGTCGCTAAAAATTCACGCGCCTGCCGCATTGCAAACCGCATTTGGCACAAGTGGAGAAAATTACCATGCAAAAGTCCATGAATAAGCTGGATTGCGGTGGCATGTTGGTCTAATCGTTGGAATAGTTGGCTGTGATGGGAGCTTTCGAGGGATTCGACCCGAGCCCCTCCACAGGGCTGAGTGAAATTAGAAAGGTCTATATATAAGCCTGCTGCGCATTTTCAGTTCAAACTTAGAGACTTGAGTGGATCGTTAAGGTCCCCCGTCGAAAAGCACCAGTAGCCCTGGCTATGCCATCACAGAGAAGTTACACAATATTAGTTCACTCTGAATCAGAACAAGAGTTAGCTCTAAAGTCACATCGTAACTAATATGATCCCCTGGCAGCGACGCAGTATAGTTCACCTGAGAAGGGTAGGGAAGTAGCTGCTGTAGTCTAATGTATTTCGTGGTTGAATGGATGCCGCCACAGCCCTTGTGCTGTGTGCATGGAAACTTATGTCAAACAATGGAAGCGCTCACAGATTCCGCATCGATAGCGAGCGGATAAAAGATGAAGGTGCAAAATTATTAATCATGAAATGCAGCCATCGAGAAAAGCGGTAGTGATCAAGAGACACAGTCTGTCACCGCCCTGGTCGCGTCGTCTACTCCCTTTGAACAGTCGCGTCTCGCTGAACCACTGTTGATGGACAACTTCTGTTTCATTTTCCGTTAAGTATGAGACTTCACTGATTCTGACTGATTTAAGAAATTCTGGGAGAGGGGAGTAACCATTGCTAGCAGGTGGACTTTTGACGCGATGCGCAGTAGGTGAGAGCTGCTATGTTAAGTCCCCTCCTTTTCTTCAGTCCGCCTTTCTTTCTACAGGGAAAGTTTGTTGCACTTTGCTTGAGCTCCTCAAACTTTCGGATGGCGCTCATATTATCCATTCCAAATAGTGATCTTTCAATAACCAAAGCTCATACCCATTTAGGTCCGTACCGTACTACGCATTTTGCATTCATTTCTGATCCATAACAAGAATCTCAAATGCAAAGGAAAGATATTGGTTTGCAACTCATTTCTTTAGAAATCCCTTAACTAAAGCCTGTCTTGGAGTTTACTTCTTGATCAGTCTCCTATTGGTCCCTCAGAAGTCGTTCAATTCTGCTCTCGAACCACCTCAGTCAATTTGACCGGTAGAGCACCCTTCTCCCATAAAATGAAAGCCTTTTGCTTGTCCCAGTCCTCACCCCCAGGGAGCATCTCCAAATCAAACTTCCAAAGCAATCGCACAAGGAGAAGACGCATTTCAGCATAGGCAAGGCTGTTAGGAAGAGAGGGTCAATGGATCAATCACTCAAATAGATTCAGGGAAGGCACTTACTTTTTCCCAATGCAATTCCGTGGGCCTAAAGAGAAAGGCTGAAGTGCCGCCTTGGAGTCATCTTTGTAGCGGGGATCGTCGAGCCACCTTTCGGGAACAAACGACTCTGGGTCCTTGAAGTTGTGAGATGTTCGGAATGCAGTCCAATGAGGCACTGCGACACAAGTCTATTCGCCACCGCGCGTTAGTTTGAGTTCCAACCTGAGCTGAAGTAGCACCCACCTTCTCTGGTAGATAATAGCCATCAATGATTTCGCCACCGGTTGGGACAAGACGGGCAAGACCCATTGGTACAGGGGGATCTGCATATAAGGTAAGTCAGTCGATGTTTACGAAGAAACCCGTGCCTTACACAGAACGCTAACTTACACACGCGCATCGCCTCATTGAAGACTGCAATGAGGTACGAAAGTTTGTTGACTCTAGCTAGATTTATCTCCTCCTCCGAATCAAACTCGCAGCGAATTTCTTGCGTAAGTTTGTGGTATGTGGGAGGGTTGCTAAGGAGGTGAAACACGGTGCCGCTTAACAATGTAGCCGTTGTTTCGCTCCCGGCCATTATGATGATGGCAGCATTCTCCGCCATCTCCAATACGGACATGCCTTTTTCGTCATTGTAGCGGAGAATGTAGGACATGAAATCAGCCCTTTCTAGGTTGTTGCTCTCTATACGCTTCACTGTGGTCGATTTGCTTAGCTGATAGTGTTCCTCAGCACTCTTCTTCAGATGGTCTGGCGTTAGATACGACATGGCGAATGTGAGGTTGAGACGTATCGAAGCCTCTTTGAACGGCATGACCTTCATGTTTTCGAATATCATCTTGACCCAGGGGTGGTAATTCCCGTTATCAAGCCCCCCGAAAGATTGCCCAAATGCCAAGTCACCGATCAAGTCGAAGGTGGCAAAGTTGAACCAACTGACCATGTCTATGGTATTCCCTGCCCTCGCCTGATCGGTCAATTGGCTTATGAACATGTCCACATAATGCTGAATTATGTCACCCTGTTCTCGTAGTGCCTTCTCAGAAAAGGCGTGAGACAGGAGCTTCCGGAACCGTCGATGATCTTCGTTGTTCGCGTTGAGGATATGGGACTCTGGCCTCCTCTTCTTATACATCCTAGGATCCTTTTCGAACGTCCGTTCTGTTGCTATTTTGCTGCCATAAATCTTCTTGAAAGCTTCGGCAGACGTGAATGCAACGTCGTTGGGTCCATACCTGACCACTGGGCCATACCGCTTGTGAAGTGCATCGAGAGTGGTGTGCCAGTCGCCTTTGGTTATGTGGTAAACATAAGGCAAGTGCGAGATTGCATGGATCTTTGGACCGGGTATTTTTGCTAAAGGATGGAGAAATAAACTATAAAGACCATAACTGATGTAATACAAGAGTACCTATCAGAGTTGTCAGCGATTTCCCAACTTTAACGACACGCGTGGTGTTTGACGAGGGATCAAAAAGGCCGGACTTACCAACGCAATGACCAATATTGTGGTTTCCGCCGCAATAATCGCGCTAGATTTTTCCGTCTTGAGCACTGCAAAGGTGGCCATTTTGGGCATTGAGATGCTGGGTACGACGACGGTGACGTGACGAGAAGTCGCGATGTACGCCGGTTGATGAAGGTTGGGGCTGCGGCTTCTTCTATACCAACGTTTCCACATTTCATCGTAGCAGGGAAACAGGGGTCGCGTGTTTGTTCGGCATTTGTTCACATGTTAACTTGAAAAGTTTCGTACTTAGGCCGACTACAAGGCAGGGATTGCATCATATTGGAACAATTTGGTTCTGCGTTGCATGGAAGAAGCTTGTTTCCGGCCAATGGAGCAGCATCCCGGGACGTCCGACGTTTCATTTGAATCTCAACTTCCATTTACATCCAAGTTGCTTACTACCGGGAGCGTACCCATTGGTAGGATGATCGTTGGGTTTCCACCTGTCGAACGGAACGTCTCCGCCCTCGGCAGTTGTCTCCCTGGTCCGCACTTCGGGTATTACTAGGTATTCCACACCGAATGATCCCTTTTCTTCCCCGCTCTCTCTAGGGATTTTCGACTTGTCAGTGTTTGAGAATTCCTCAATCTACACATCAATGGGTATGGTCTTATGGGAGAGCTCCCACAAGTGCATCCTTTGGGGTTCACGGAGTCTAGATTGGAAAGCCCTCCTTAGTCAAGAGAGAAACGAGTGATAGTCATTGGCCGAAAGATGGAGCTCAAGATTTGCTACATTCTTATATTCGTAAGCTCCCATGTTGTCAATTACAAGATGTCTAGCGGACCTGCCAATTCAATGATCGACATCGAATACTGGGGAGGCGGTTGAATATTTCCGAATTATTCAACTCAAGAACTAGCTGATATCAGTAGAAACTGCCACGACTTTCAGACTCAAACTAATTGCTCAAATTTAGATCCTCAGGTTCTGGTTGATCCTGGCCGCTCTCACCCTGACACACAATCCCATCAGTTTCAGATACCGGGCATAGCGCTCAGTCCCAACCACATAAGGGTTTGGTAGTGAGCATGTACGTCCATTGCATTGACGGTTGGCGAGCACATCGAAGTGCTGTAGAGAGTGATCCTGGGTCTGGTGGTTGCTGAGAAGGACGTCCACACCCACCTTTTCCGCAATACTGGCAAACTTGTTGAAGGACTCAATCTGCGTAGCCTTGTTTTCCGCGGAAGTAGGAATACCTCCTCCTCCATAAAGGCCAGCAAGGTGAGGCTCTCCTCGGTCATAGACGGGGATCAACAGCGAGACTGTTCCAGGCGTGTGGCCAGGAGTCTTGTGGGTGACGATGGTTGTATTCCCGATGGCGAGCTTGCCTCCATCTGTCAGCACGTGCTCCTTCTTTGGCGTGCCGGCAATGTTGGCTAACTCATCCCAACACTCCTCTGTTGCGTAGACTGGAATTCCATAGGTCTCTTGGAGCCACCCCGCGCCCCCGAAATGGTCAACATGTTCGTGTGTAATGATCAAAGCCTTCACGTCTGAGCCATCGTATCCAAAAGTCTGGAGTCCGGGGATGATGATTCTCTCTGCTTCATCTGGATTCCAAAGAGCATCAATCAGGATGAGGCCATCGCCGGTATCAATCGCCCACGAGGAGACACCTGAAGACCCAACGAAGAAAACTGAATCAAATGGCCGATTAGGGGCAATGAATCCATCCAACTGCGCGGCACTGCCAATCTCTGGGTATTTTTGAGCCGAGTTGATGCACCGGTGTTGGTAATCAGCCCACAGATCTGTGCCGGCGAGCTTTTGAGCCTCAGCCTGCCACCGCGATAGGTTGGCGGTTTGGGCGTTAGGGAACTCTGTGATGGGGAACCATGTTGAGAAGTTTGTACTTCCAATCTCATTGGACTGGGCTAAGACGGATGAGACTCCATAGAATCCTAATATCAGCTTCGAAATGTTGTTGGGGCTTAGGAGAGGGAGTTTGATCATCTTGAAACGGGAGTGATATTGATATAGTCACTCAGTAGCCACTTGGCAGGTGAAAATGAATCGATCGTCGCTCAGCTATATAGTCAGAGCCAACCCCATTTCCCCGCTTCAACGTATCACCTCTGACCGATCGCCGCGGCGGATATGCCTTATCGCGCGAGGATCACGCACGAAGCATATGAGGGGTTGGGAAGCGGGTAGCATGTTCCGCAGCCTCTGCAGAAACCCCATGGGGAAATTGAGCCTATACGTTATTACCGCAAAATAGGTAACCAGCAGTCCACCTTCCTAAAGAATTTTTAAGTCTGATTAAAAATGTCACCGACCGCCGGACTGCCGCCGAAAAACAGCAGAGGATCGGAGCGGTGGCCATTTTCGCTTTTCCGGCTTTCGGGTTTTTCTCCTCACACCCCTTTGGGAAACCAGTGGAACAGACAAGAGGATCCCGTCCACCTATGCCATGAGCACCTCTGGGAGTCCTGAGTATATGCTCTTACCTCATACAAGCTTTGATCTTGATACGTACACACGGGCAGCGACTTGAGCTTGATTCAGACTTAGGACGTCAGTTAACCTATTGCCTAATCTAGTTACAGAGTGTAAAGGTATGTACATGCCTATCATCCGTGTGACCACAGATGGCTCCGGTGGTGCTTAATCGTCGGGCGGGAATGAGCGAACCTTAACGTTAAGCATTATGGACCTCTGGATTGGATTGGATTGTTTGTGTCGTAGGTGGCCGGAGTCACCGATATCCCATCTCTGTTCTTGCTGCATTAGTGTGAACCCTCTCCCCTCTTTCCTTCTCATAATCTGATTTGACACACAACCTTGAAGATGAAAGAAGGGGAAGGACCGGTTTCACAAGCTGTAAATATCACCAAACAATAAGTTTTATTTATTTCCTTTTTTCTCTTTTGTTGATTGGAGCAGTCAGTTCATACGGTATCCCCGGGTTTATTAAACCGAGTTGTGGCCACCTGCGTGTCTTTAAATCCAAGATATCGGCACTTTCAATTAGACTTTGATCAAAATGATTAACCCCCCTTTAATGTTTCTTCGGTGAGGAAAGCATCATCTTGTTCGCCACTGGCCATCAAACAGGTGCTACTTACTGTGAGCCCATAGAAAGTATGATAAAGCCACGGTCGTATGACAATGAGCCTTGGTGGATTGTCGGAACGCCTCATGGGTATAAATAAACACACGTGCCCCTTCTATGGTCCTTCCGGCTAAGAGTTACAGTTCACCGCATATCAAACCACCAATACAGGCAGCACCACCGGAGCCCCAAGCCATCAAGCAAGGCAGCATTTATTCACGATGCTGCCGAAATGGAGCCTTAATAAGCGCAAGAAATGCCTGCCGAATTACCCTGATGCTCAGTTGGCCACCGAGACAGAGGCCTATTGGGAAAAGATGCGCCCTAGTAATTGGTACGACATGCACTTTAACGCCCATTGTCATCCATCGGAGAATTCCAGCCTTGTCCTCGAATTCAAACCCAAGTCGGGCCTAAAAAAGCTCTTCAGTGACACGAGAGGGGCGTCTCACTGGCACGCAATGATGAGGATCAGGGCAAAGAACGTGCCACGGTTGATGCGGGATGGCTTCTTCCAGGTGTCACCGAAGAATTATTGTGAGGGCAGTTCAGCGCTCCGATTGGACGATGATCTATGGCCTAAGCGACTTGGCTGCGATGAATCTTGGAGACAGACTCGGACTTACGCGTTCAAAGATGAAGGAGACGACCCTGAATGGCACGCTACACTGGCCGTGGTCTCAAAGGAGCGTTTTACAATTGTGAATTTCGACCTGGGTATGATTACGCCTGATACGATAAGTATGGTCAAGGCATATAACTGGAAGGAGGAACAGGTCTACGAGGCCAATCAGTCACGACCCCGCGAGAACTTCAATCTCATATACCCAAATGTGATTTTGGGCGGGTGGTGGGGCGGGCCCGAGACGACTCCAACCCAGACACCGGCTGTGTTGGACAATCGTACGGAGAAGTTGCATGAGAAGGCCGCTGAGAAGGCCGAGGAAAAGTGATAGGTGTTTAGAATCACTTTGATAAAGGAAACAGACAAGTGAGCGGCAAATGGAGGGGGGACTAATATGATGCCCCTAGTTCTGACGTGAACTAATTTGTTGAGAATTTGTCGTGGTATCAGCAAATAAACAATGAGATCCCATGTGCATGTTTCCGTGACATCAAATTGCTTGTTTAGCTAGTGGCTTTGATCTTGTGCTAGAATTTCAACTTGTCTTACTCCATAAGAGCCTAGCTAGAAGTATTGGGCAGAAGTGTACAACCTAAACATTCTGACAATATGCCGCCATCTAACGAGCGCTTGGCATTAGCTTAGTTCGAAGACGTTTGTGTCCCTGCCCAGAACAGATACAAACAACTAGAATTACAAGTCCACCATATCAACCCCCGGACCTGACTCCACCAGTCGTCCTCGACAAAGACATAAACCAGACCATATGCAACCCTTGCTAGAGAGTACACGGAGCAGGCAATGGCAATGGAAGCCGTGGGAACCTCTGCCACCGTTGCGAATATGACTATTTGCGCATAATTAGCATTTAATCTTGAAATGATCCTTTACCAGACCTCGTCCGAATCTCTTACCTGACAATCCAAAGAAGGCGTAACCATCTATCGAGTTGGCGCTTGCGGCCTCGAGCCGTTGAATCCTCCCCAGTTGCGTTCTGGTCAATTTCCCATCACGGACAGCAGCTTCTCCGTATTTCGCCAAATCCTCGCGCGGACTCCCTTGGTGGTCAAGGCCATACCACTGCTTGGGCGTGCGGCTGGAGAGCATGAGGTACGCGTATGCCCATCCCCAGGTCAGAAACGCCGCTGGGACGGCGAAGCGATTTGAAGTGGAATTGAGGCCGACTTGAAACATTTTACCAGTTGATGGATGTGAGAGTTCTAGGTACCGGCCAGTGATTGGAGAGTCCGATCGTGAGGTTTTGAGTCGGGGATTGCGGATTTAACATGAAGGTTTGATGGACTCTGCATGAGCTTACGCAGGATCCGAGCCTTTTGAGATCCGAACACCGTAGAGTCCCCGCCATACGCGAATTTATTATAATTATCTAAAACCCATATCCCGGACTTGGAACGGCTTTCGCATGCGGGCCGATGCATATCATGTCTATAGGTGACTTTGAAGCCCTGAATGGCTGCCGCTATCCAATCGCTGTAGCTGTATTACAGCGGTGACAGTGACCAATCACCCACTAACTCGCTAAAGTCAGTGGTGTCTCATGCCTCGAATAGCGACCAATCATCACTGGCCTGAGTTGTAGTTGTTCCATCCTGCAGCAGCACTCTATATAGGTATTATTTATTCATCTCCATGTCTCGGCAAACATTGCTTATGTATTTAGATGAGCCTCGGCATCTGGCTAAGCTCTGATGCAGCTCCACCCCCGACTTGAGCTTCTTCCTCATGCAGTATGACGACCGACGCTACTGCGAACGGCACCCCGGAGGATTTGCATTCGCCGCCCCCGACTTGCCACTTCACTTCCATACAAAACCTTCTCTCTCCGACAATCAATTGATCTGTATCATCTTGTACATAATGGCACGCGACAACCTCTCCATCCACCTGGCCGAGCGCCCCAAGGGCGACATCATCCCCGGCACCACCTTCTCCCAGAAGAGGACCCCGATCCCATCGCCCGCCGACCTCAAAGATGGCGAGATCCTCGTCGAGACCCTCTACCTGTCCCTGGATCCCGCAATGCGCACCTACTTGAACCGTACGTAAACAGTCACTGCGCTGAGAATCAATCAAATGAGCTGACCGAAGCAGCCGGCGGATCCTACATGGCTCCCGTCCCCGTGGGCGGCATCATGCGAGGAATGACGGTATGCCGCGTCCTCGCCTCCAAGTCCAAGCGCGCAGCCGCCGGCGACTTCGTATCAGGCAACACGGGCTGGACCGAGCACGCCATCCTGGGCGAGAAGGACTTCGAGCCCACCTCGCGCTTCCCCGGCCTGCGCGACCCCCAGGACATGCTCTCCGTCCTGGGCCCGACCGGCGTCACCGCCTGGTACGGCATGACGCAGATTGGCGACCCCAAGCCCGGCGAGCTGGTCGTCGTGTCCGGTGCCGCTGGAGCCACGGGCAGTGTAGCTGGCCAGATTGCCAAGATCCGCGGCGCGACCGTCGTGGGCATTGCGGGCAGCGACGACAAGTGCCGCTGGCTGGTGGAGGAGCTTGGGTTCGACGTGGCTCTGAACTACAAGGCCGCCGACTTCAAGAACAAGTTCAAGGAGGCTACCAAGAAGAAAATCAACGTCTACTTTGACAATGGTAAGTTGACTCATTCTCTCATTCACAGTCCGTCTCTTGTGCGCTGACGCAAGATATCCCCATCTAGTCGGAGGACAGATTCTGGACATGTGCCTTGCGCGGGCCAAGGAGCATGCCCGGTTTGTTGAATGCGGTGTCATCAGCCAGTACAACACCCGGGATCACCACGGCCTAAGGAACATCGCAAACGTGGTGAGCCTGCGTATCCATATGCAGGGCTTCATCATTTTCGACCAGCTCAAGTACTTCCCCCAGGCCAGATCCGACCTGAGCAAGTGGATCGCCGAGGGTAAGCTGAAGAAGAACGAGACCATCATCCAGGGCGGGCTGGGGAAGGCTGAGCAGGCACTGGTCGATCTCTACAAGGGCATCAACACGGGTAAATTGCTGGTCGAGATCAAGAACCCTAATTCGGTTGCGCCGAAGCTGTAGATGGGGCATCATTTGTTTTTAGCCGCTTTGTATTTAGTAGAGGAATGTATTGATATCAAACTTCTGTCCTCGCTGTATTTCACATACTGGCGTGAGAACCTGGTGCATTGAATCTGCAAAAGGAGCTTCCTCATAATCATGAAATCACTTCGAATGGTGCTCCAAGAATCGAACTTAAGCTGGTCATCTTGTGAAAAGTACACAATTGGATGGGAATCTGAGTAGTTTGACTCGTTTGTATTCATTATCTGATTATTCATTACCCCATTTATACCCTCCACTGAAGAACCACCATGCCTCAACAAAACCGATTATAATAGGCCGACAGCCATAATACCAGCAGCCAGAGCCGCACCAATGATGGAGATCGACAGATGGGCAGCAGCGCCCTTGTCACTGTCCTTGTCGCCGCTGTTGTTGTTGCTGTTGCTGGAGGTAGGGCGAGCAGTCGAGGTCGCCCACAGGTACTCGTCGCAAGTCTGCGTGACGGCGGAAAGGTCAACACCGGCATCCTCGCCGAGCTCGATCAGGTCGTCGGCGCAGGCGGAGACGAACTTCTTGATCTCGCTCTTGTGCTCGGCCTGCCAGCTGGACCGGGCGGACATGTAGGAGGTGAACTGGCTCGACATGCTGTCCGTGACCCAGGGGACCTCGCAGCTCGGGAGGGTGGTCCATTGCGTCTGCGAGGCAATGTAGTTGATGAGGGAGTAGGGGGCCGTGGGGGTTGATGTCAGGATTGGTGAGATGTTCTTCACGACGGAAGTGCAGTCTTTGCTGAGACCTGCGCGTTCCAGGAGACCGAGACCGGTGGGTTCGGCTGGGGAAGCGGCTGGAGAAGCGCATACCGCGGAAGCAGCAGCAGCCAATACGAAAGTGATCTTTTGGAAGAGCATTTTGTTGATGTGGTGGCGGGCGGTTGGACAAAGAAGTGTTGGCTTAAGATAGTGGATTAGAGGAGAGAGCGGGTGAAAAGAGTAGACAACGGAAAGAATACTATGCCTATATATACAATAGAGATATAGCAAGACCCAACAACGGTGAGTGACTCATGGGAGCCCTCGCCTATGAGATAAAAGTTCTTCGGTGGCGAGCATGGATGGGCTGTGCGCTTGGTTGAAACCGGCAGTCCACCCAGGCTCTTGGCAAAACATACCAAAGTTCCTTCAAATGCTTATGCCGCTAAGCTCCCCATTAATTAAACATGCAGACAATGGTAATTAATCACTGACTGGTAGGGCAGCACCCCTGCTCACACCACTATCTAATTTATCAGTGGCGGCATGACCAAGTAAGCGTGCCATGGCCTCGTATCGCAACGAGTAAGGAGGGCTGAATCAAAGTTCTTTGGTGCAACGTCGCACACGATCGCTTACTTTATTTGATGCCTGAATAGATATATATGGAGGCTCGGGCGCTGCCCTACTGGGAACTTGGCTGAGCCACGACAGGATGCAACCTCAAGCCCGTCTAGACCCAGCCGTCAGCCCTATGTAGAGATGCATGGTCGAATTACTGGAACCAAGCCTTAGAAGATTCTCCACCATTCATTCATTAGTCTGGGATCAAAAGTTCATCAGTTCACTCTGTTGAATGCGAAATAATATGACCGTTATGCCAGCTCAGCTCAGTGGATCCCGCCAAGCACCTACTTATGCCGCCCCCAAGCGTCCTTTTTGCCTTTATGGAGTCATCACGACGAAGGTAGGGGACAATATTGAATGCAGATAAGTATAGGGGTTTTGAAAGACGACAAAGAACTCCTTCTTGCACACATGCATGGTATTATCAAACGTGTTCCGTGAAAAATATCACGCGCCATGTTAATCGTCATAATGCTAAGTGCAAGAGGATACAAACGGTCGTGCACCCTAGTCTTGGCGAAATTCCTTTCCATTAAGAAGGCAATAGCGAGGGGGTATGAAATTAAAGACGATTTAGAGAGAGAGTCAGTCAGGCTGCCAGTGCCTCAAAGGATATTGCTGATATTTGTGGTTTCTCTCGGTCTTCCGGAGAGCACAGAGGATCTTCGATAAACTCCTAGGCACAAAACTAGAACATCGTCTATGAAGAATTTTAAAGGGCAAAGCCAGAATATTCCTTGGAATTCTACAAGGACTCAAGCCCGTTGTTCGTATTCTGTTAAGGCTGTCTAATCAGTCAGTCAAGAAGATTTATGATTGGGAAACGGGCTCGTTTAGGTACTAATTTGAGATAAGAGGCCTACCTATCAAATTCGTCATTGGATAGGAAGCAATAAAGAATACTAGTGTAACACGAAATTTTTAAAGATTGCCTCTCTACATCAGCCGCTCACAGGCTACATGTCACTACGACCACTTCAGCGACCAAGACGGGTCCTACCCTGCAGCCAATTTCAGAGCTCCTTGTAAATTGAAATAAGCCATGAACAACCTCTGTTGTCAGATAATGTCGATATGTAGAGGCCTTGCTCATCGGTATTGTTTTTTCTGTTTCTCGAAACCTGCGTATATTTACTGCTAAATCTACAATACAATTAAGTTTGCAAATTTCATCCCATTTCAAAAGGTACTAGAGAACATGCATTAGGTCATCACTAGAATTTCGGCTGCCTATTGTCCCCATTTCGCTTTAACAATGAGCTTTGATTTTCAACACATAGCGAACAACAGACATTCAATTACTAATCATAAACCTACAGTTCTATCCTAATGGTCTGGAATGGAGGCCTTTCAGTTAATTGAGCAAGGAGTTGACCGGGAGAGTGTTTTGCCGGAAGGTTGATGCAGATGGCGTCGTGAGAGGGCAAGAGGAGCCGTTCTAGTTAGGCCCCCGGGATGAGGAGATGGCACTGATCTTGATTCTAGATAGACGGGTGCTTTTATAGCAAGGTCGAGGCATGAACAGTGACCGCTCTCACACCTTGGTTCCTCGATAAGTAAGATTCCATGGATGAGCATGGAAAACAAAAATTGCTGTCTTTACGAAGTTCTCAACTTGTCTTTCTCTAGATTGTTATGTAGTGTCTTGCAAGTTGTGCCTCGACGAGCCAAAGGGTCAACACAACTACGAGTGATATTGCCTGGCCCACTTCTATCGCCAATTCGCAACTACTACTTGGGCTTTACTACAAGGAGCAAGGCGCATATCTCTGAGCCCCTGACTAGCTGGCGGCTAGAGAACTGACAGTATGACTTAAAACTACTCATACCAATGGGTGCTAAACGGCTGGAAGAATCTCTCGTCACATGCCCGTATAAACTTATGGAGCATATCTAGGCAAGAAAGCCTGCCAGTACCCATATTCCATAACTGCCAATGTCCCAAAATTGAATGAGGCTCTCTACGTCTTTTTCTGAGCTAAAAAGGCTGCCAAGCAACACACTGAATCCCACAATGGTTCAAGTAATTTGGAGGGATTTCTCTACGGTTAACAGCCTAGCTTCGAACTTCGAACCAACACAACATTGATAAAGGCTCCGAACGACATCTGAAACAATTCTCTTTTACTGGCCTACCCTATGTTCTAGACAAATAGAAAACCGGGCCCCGAGGGCACCGACAGAGCCACAGATCAGAATCCTGAATCCTGATTGCTTGTCCCTCGGCTTCACCGCCGTTTACTGTACCCGCGTAAATCTGTCCTCAAAGGCACCGCATCCATCCGATAGACTGTAAAACCCTCCACCCTAGCCACGGTAAAGGAATTATGGCGCTGTAGCTAATGTAGCTGCCTGCCCACTGCTTGGCTCGTCACGTGGCCCGCCGTCGCACAAAATTTAGCTATTAATCCACCGCATCTTCAGTCAGGGGCAGCTCCATCGCATCTCATCACTTCACCCTTGAAAACCTCTACACAGCGGATCATTCCGATCCCGGGGCTTTCCAAGATGGCGGAGAAGAACGTTCCCAAGGGAACACAGTTCATTAGCGACATCAAATATATTACCACGCCGCCTGCTGCTCCCGCTGCCTTTGCGACGGGCCAAGACTGCGGAGTTCCCCTCACCAACGTAAGCGCCCACCCAAACACCCCTACTCAATCAATCAATTGAGCCATGGGCACCAGACAAGCGAGAAAAAGTTGCTGACATTTAATTCATCTATAGTCTGCAGCTATCCCCAACCCCCCATTGCCCGCTGATGGCCCTGGACGTGCTCACTTCTCCAACGCCAAGTTGGCCTCTCTGCTCATTGGAATCCCCACCACCATCACCATCCTCATCGGTGGCGGGGCATTGACTGGCCTGCTTATCGGACTGCTCACTTTCTTCCCCATCCTCATCTCCTTCTGGACATGGGTCTCCCGATCCAGCCCCCGCATCAATGAGAAGGCCAAGCTCCCCGGCCGCCCTGTTGAGCACTACATCTCGTTCAAAAACCCCTCCGACCAGGCAAAATGGAAGGGCAACAACAAGATCCCCATGTCCCTGTTCGCCAGGAAGTACCTCGACGGAAGCGCCTCTTTCAATGGCGATGTCCTCGAGATCCTTGAGTACCGCCACGACTGGGCCGACTTCCGCTTCACCTGGTACACCTTCAAGTTCCTCCTCTGCAACTTCTTCCCCGATGTCTTCTTCCACACCAGGGCTCAAGACCTGGACCAGATTCGCCCAACATACGACAAGGGTAATGATCATTATGCTTTCTTCCTTGGCCCCCGCATGGTGTACACCAGCGGTCTCATTTCTGACACCACCCGCGAGGAGACCCTTGAGGAGATGCAGGATAACAAGATGGCCGTTGTGTGCGAGAAGATCGGACTCAAGGAGGGCGAGAAGCTTCTCGATATCGGCTGCGGCTGGGGTACCCTCGCCAAGTTCGCCAGCGTAAACTACGGAGCTAAGGCTACTGGTCTCACCATCGCCGAACACCAGGCCGCCTGGGGTAACGATGTCCTTCGTAAGGCCGGTGTCCCCTCATCTCAGAGTAACATCCTGTGCCTTGACTACCGTGATGTCCCCAAGGATACCAAGTACGACAAGATCACCCAGCTGGAGATGGGAGAGCACGTCGGAGTCAAGAAGCTCACTGCCTTCTTCCGCCAGTGCGGTGACCTGCTCAAGGATGACGGTGTTATGTATGTGCAACTCTCTGGTCTGAGACAGGAATGGCAGTACGAGGACTTCATCTGGGGCCTGTACTTGAACGAGCACATTTTCCCCGGTGCTGATGCTTCTACCCCTCTTTGGAACTATGTTCGATCCCTGGAAATGGGAGGATTCGAGGTCAAGAGGTAAGTTTGGCTTAGATATGCCCAATACACGTTTCCGTGCTGACGATTGGCAGTATTGATACTGTTGGTGTCCACTACTCCGCCACCATCTGGCGATGGTACCGCAACTGGGTTGGAAACAAGGAGACCATCAGGGCCAAGTTTGGCGAGACCTGGTACCGAGTGAGTATGCGTGAAGCACATGGCTCGCGAGAATACTGCTAACAAAGATACTAGACTTGGGAGCTTTTCCTGGCTTGGTCCAGCATCGCATCTCGCCAGGGCAGCGCCACCTGCTTCCAGTTCGTCGCGGTCAAGAACCTCAACTCGACCCACCGCATCAACGGAGTCCCCACGCAGTACGGTCTTCATGGTGCTTTGGCTGCAAGCAAGGAGAAGGCCAAGTCCAAGCTGCAGTAAATTTGGTGTCTTTGTTTGATGGAGTTGCCTGGAACGATGTCGTGTCTAGGGCTGGGTTTCTGCCGCCCATATTATTAAGGCCGGGATGGACCCAGTATGCTAGGGAGGATATCGACGAGTTGGCTAGACAGCATCGATTCGATCGAGAGAATGGAGATGTCGAGTTGGGATCTCAATGTGAATCCCTCCAGCGAATCGTGCCCTTGAATTTACATCAACCCTGTGCCTTTAGTCAAGCACTTCCCCGTATGCTCTCCGTTTCCGACTGAGCGCCCAGTCGACAAGCAAGTCCGGATTCTCTTCTAGCTCCTTATAGCCCTCCATGTGAAACCTCCAATGTGCTTCATTCTCCTCGAACTGTCGCAACTTCGTCTCCACAAACTCGGCCTCCTCCTGCTTCTGCGCAAGCTGAGGATCCTGCACCTTCATCCTTTCCCACATCTCCGCTGTTTGGTAGTGCTGTAGTCGGAACAGGGCAATGTCATGATACCCCCAGAGGGCGTACATGCGTCTGTTCGGCAGTCTCTCGATATCCCGCGTCAATTTCCTAATCTCCTTGTTGAAACCGACACATTTCTGCCGCTTGAGGAAGTCCTCTACCCACCATGGACGCAGCTGGCCCTCGACCTTCCATTGCTGCAGTATCCAAGCAAACTTTAACCACTCCCAAAGCGCCTTTGCCAGCTCCTCCCGCCCGTGCGTCTTGAGAAAACACCGGTTGCAGCGCACATCATCAAGTTGGATCCGCTTGCTATCCCCATGCAGACTCGTCCAGAACTCCAGCTCTCCGTTCCCATCGTGGCTCGGCTTCCAATTCACAAACATGCCCCCGAAGCGAAACGACCTCAACTCCTGCCACGTCTCGCACTGCGGACACCGAACCATGTACATGGCCCACGGCTCGTCGACGGCATCCTCGCGCTGGATCCGCACCACCCGCGGCGGGAAGGGGGGCTTCTTGTGCGTGAGGAAGTCGGAGAGACGCGGGAAGTAGCGGTCCAGGGGCGAGTCGAAGGTCACCTCCCGGCTGCGCAGGATGGGCACCTTGCGCGTGCCGCCCATCACGCCGCTCCAGTGGGACATCTGCGGGCCGAGCTGGCCGGCCTGGAAGCGGCACTCGTTGCAGCGGCGCTGCTGGCGGTTGTAACCGCAGATCTCGTGGTTGCGTCTTAGTACGCTGGGCCCGTCTGTCGGGGTCGGGCCCTGGAGTTTGCGCTTCTCGCGATGGGCTAGTCTCGCCTCACGACCGTGGTTCCTACCGTGCATAGAGGGGACCCACGAGGTGAGAGTATCGCTGGCAGCTGGCGAGCCGGGAATCGGCTTGCGGTACGGCAGACGCAGAAGGGAGCGGTTGTCGAAATCGGTGTGTGGGAGGAAGTGTAGACAGGCGCCGCAGAGCCACCGATGAGCCTGCCACTGGGACAGCTGCCAGTTGGGCTCGATGTAGCCGTCCGAGAAGAGGCGGTAGATCATGGTGCCGCCGCCATATTTCTCTCGGCACTCAATCGAGAGTAGCCACTCTCTCCATTCATTTCGTCCTGGGCTGATTAGATATCGGAAATGCTGGTTGCTTTGGCTGAGGGAGATGAGGCCAATTGGGTCTAGTAAGCAGATGATTTGATACTGTAGCTCGACTGGGAGGATCGACAACGGGGAATTGGTTCTCTCCTCCATTTTGCCCCTCAGAGTTCAACGTTCTGCTTGCTTGTTGTTGTCAAGAACTGGGCGTATTGCGCCAGAAGTAAGCTCGACGGAAGGCCAGAATCGGATTCTAAATATAGGCCCGTATCTATTTCGTACACTGACATGTGGCGAGTCGATTATTAACTTCCTGGCATGGCTTAGGCCCGTGATTTGCGACGAGCCACTTCACGCTACCCTTGTCTCTGTGCCGCCTGAGTCAGAACGAGAATAAGCAGAGCAAGTGCTGACCGTCCCAATGCCCCATAAATGTCATTTCTTTGCTTCTAACGCTAGGATAATAGTTTAGTAAACAGACAGCAGGATTAATAAACCCCGAAAAGCTGGGAGGCCAAAGCGTCGGTTCAGTTGAGGTGCGTCGTCTATCCGTGCCTTGGACTGGGATGTTTGACTGTTGGACGGCCTCCCTAAAACAAGTACTGCCGGCGGGAAGTTCTTTGGTCCGGCGCGAACCTTTTCTATTCGCTGCGGGCTCTTTCTCGGCTGTTTCCTGTTGCGTTGCGTCTCCATGCAAATCTGCCGCCATCTCATCCCTGATATTTTGAGAATTGTTGCGGAGTGGTTCCCCACGGCGCGTGGTTCGGGGCAGACCGCCGTATACTACTATTTGACCTGGCATTGGCCCGGATTTAATGATGTGTGGCTCTCTGCGCGCGGTAAATTTTACAAAGCTAACCCCTGGGTTGCATTTCCCCTCATGTCACAACATAATAAAACAGAAGTGATCGCAACACAACCGGATGAAAGTCTCTCAATGATTTTCCTCGAATGAGAGATGCCCCGGCATGGCATTTTATGCCTATCAACCTTGTGGAGACGGTATAAGCATGCCTCGCTCCCCCTGAGATAATGGGGTAACTGCCTTCTTGAGTAGACGAAGATACGATGCAGAGTATTGTTTCTACAATGGAATGTTGAAATCACTTTCAGAAGCCTTCCCTGCTGTCGCTCATGTTTTGTCTTTTTCTAGCCTGTAGCTTTGACAAGCAATGCCTTGAGGGCTTATACGATTGACAACGCCGTCGAAGGCGGTTGAGAGTTCGAACATACAAAAAAAACAGCAAGGGAAGGTGCCAGACTCGACTTCTCAACACAGGTAATACGAAAGGCAAGAAAATATGCTCTGCTAGCCCAAGGCTACAGCTACGCAGAAGCAAACCCTGTAACCTTCATACCGATGACTCACTTACCGTCGGGACGACCCGCTCGTCAGATCCCCATGTACTTACCTTCTTTCATCTACCTAGCTGTCATAGCCGACCGTTGAAGTAAAGGAGGTGAAACGGATCAAGGCTTAATGAAAGATAGCATTAATACATGTAGTGATGCTTCTTGGTCCCTAAAACTACAGTAAAACGTCTATCCCAGAGAATGGGATACGTTATCCACCCACCACTTTTCCTTTATCACCCAGCGTAGCTGCTCAAGGGCCAACAATGTAACCTCGTTTCCAATTGTGGCTTGAATGGCCAGTTTCCACTCAAATGCTACGTTGTGGCTGAGGCACAAGGCGGAGGGTGAGGCTGATTACAGGAATGAGGCTGTGCATATAGGACCATTGCCTGGCATATGTTTATCCCTCAGTGTGAAAAGGTATTGATGAAAGTCTTGATCAAACATCAAACAACTTGCATGGTCTCGCCATGGATCCCGTTGGTATTGCCGGCCTCGGCGGGCTTTTCGCCTCCGTCATGGATGCCATCGACCGGGCTAAAGATTATCGATCATTTGCGGCCGATTCAAGGACACTTGATGCCCAATTCGACGGTTTCGGAGCGCAGCTGGCACACTGGGGCAAAGAAATCGGGATCGATCATGGCCAGTTCCCAGCCGACCACAAAGCAAGATTGGATCCGCAAACACTCTCTGCTGCAGAACAGCTATTGCAGGTAGCCAAAGAAGTTTTGGCTCTCAGTGAATCGTCTCGTGCCAGGGCAAAGGTTCTCACGGGCCAGCCCCCCCCTAAACCTGCCAGCTCCCGCCTCCATAAACTCGGATGGGCACTGGGAGGCAAAGCAGATCGGTCTAAAAACGTGCGGTTATTTGGCGAGATTGTGCACCAACTATGTGAATTGGTCCCGGGTCAGCCAACCGGTGGCAAGCAGAATGGTCATGCGCAACAGATAGGCTTTACACCTTCAGAAGCGTATCCAACTCTGCAAGACTTTCTATCCGAGATTCGGCAAACCAACTCTCAGATTATTGCGGAGCGGAAAAGTAAGTTGTCATTTGCTACCTGTCTATTTCACTAACTGACTGACTTCTCTGTGAAAGCTTATATGCAGCATGAGTTAGCGACATGGTTACTGGGGCATACAGTTCCAAACGAGACCTACCATGAATCCATAGAAAAGAGGCTTCCAGGGACTTGCAACTGGATATTCGACCAACAAGAATTTCTTGATTGGGCAAAGAAAGACGTATCTGGGCCAACACGACCGCTCCTTTGGATTCATGGTCAGGCCGGGTTTGGAAAAACGGTCCTTTGCGCCCAGATTGTGCAAAAGCTGATGGAAAAGGGGGATAGACCAATGGCATATTTCTTCTTCTCTTCCAACTTTGACAGCAGAGACGATCCGTATGCTGCTTTAAGGTCTTGTGTCTTGCAGCTTACTTCGAACTATCCTGTCGCCTTCGAACTAGCCTGCGACAAATGGAGTGAGAGGACGGACCAGGCGATGGCCTCGCGGCTTGTTATTATCCAACTTCTTGGTCAGATCATCGAGGAAATACCCTGGTGCACACTAGTCATTGACGGACTTGACGAATGCACGGCAGTGCGAAAAGAACAAGGCAATGTTGAGCGATTTCTTTTCGACATACGTGATATCATGGCTGATACTACTCGTATCTTGATCGTTAGTCGCGATGAACCCGAGATCCGACAAGCCTTGGAATGTGACGGACACGACATCCTGAGCCAATTCAAAATATGGCCCGATCATGTCAAAGATGACACCAATACACTGTCTTGTCACATAGTGAACAAAAGGTTGCCGAACAAAACTGAAGAAATCAGAAAAGACCTATCAGAACGGCTCAACTCCCGGTGCGATGGCCAGTTCATTTGGTTGATGATGCAACAAGGTTCTCTCAGAAAGGGCAGTAACTTCATGGCTTTGAAAAGAGCTATCGACGAGACTCCTACTGGGCTTGACCAGCTCTATAAGCGGAATTGGGACTCGATACTAGCATATGGAGAAAGAGATCGAGAGCAAGCCTTTGCCCTTCTTCGTTGGGCTGCTTTCTCATCAAGACCGCTGACCATTGGCGAAATAGCGGAGGCGATTGTCTTAGATGAGACCCTCGAAGACTTTCCTATAAATGAGCTTCCTGATTCCATCGACGACGATTATATCAATACTGAGATTGTTGGGCTGTGCGGGCCACTGGTAGAGGTCAGAAGCAAGTCTGCAGATCAACAACCGCAATTTCGCACAATACATATTGCACATTTCAGCATCAGAGAATATCTGATTTGCAAACTTCCAATCGGGAATCTGCGATCAAATGAGTCCCTTCGAGTGTCAAGTGAACGAGCACATGAATCATTTCTTGCTCGCCTTTGCCTTAAATATATTACGTGCCGTAGCACTTGGAACGCTACCGGATCGTCAAATTTCATCCAGTCTCTCCGAGGCTATGCTGGTATCTCATGGTCCAGTTGTATCGAATATTCTAAAGAGGACGAAAAGGACTCGAAACTGTTAGACCTGGCTTCGAATTTTATGACAGAAACTCACCCTTGCTGGAGCCCATGGACACAATGGTTTGACGAAAAATACGATGATGAAGAAGCCATTAAAGAAAAGAAACAAGTTTCAGGACCTTCAGAGCCTCTGTACTATGCGCTGAGATTGCGTCTCCATGAATTTGCTTCCAAATTAGTGCTTTCACGCTCATCCTGTGGGGGATATGAGAACAAGGGAAGGTCGGCCCTCCATCTTGCATGCCTCACGGGAAACAGAAAGGTGGCGACAGCCCTGATCGGAGGAGCTGCATCACTAGTGAACTCGCGTGGGCTGGGGGGAAGAACCGTATTGTTGAACGCTGTTCTTTCTTACGACGGGGAAATGGTACAAATGCTATTGGAAATGGGGGCTGATGTGTCTATTCCTGATGACGAAGGCTGGGTACCACTTGCAATAGCAGCCTTAGTAGGCTATGATGAGATACTATCTCTCTTGCTCGATAGAGGCGCTGATTTAGCTAATTCAACCGTCAATTTAGGCAAGGAAAGGAGACTGCTTTCACTAGCAGCTCAAGGCGGCTATCTCGAGATAGTCGGTATCCTGCTCCATAGAGGGGCTGATATATCGGCTGTTGATGAAGATGGCTGGACACCCCTTGGATGGGCAGCCTCCTATGGCAATTTTGAGATAGTCCGCCTCCTGTTAGAGAAAGGGGCTGATGTCTCAGTTGCTTGTGAACGCGGAATGACACCAATTCACATTGCTGCTCTAAAGGGCCATATAGAAGTGGTTTATTTACTTCTTGAAGGAGGGGCTGATCATTCTATCACTGATAATGAAGGATGTACGCCACTGTATAGAGCAGCCCAATTTGGCCATCTGGAAATAGTTTGTTTATTTCTTGACAGAGGGGCGGATCATTCTGCAAAAAGCTATAGAGGGGCGTCACCACTCTCGCATGCAGCTTCCAACAATCACGTCGAAGTAGTTCGCTTACTTCTTGATAGAGGCGTGGATCATGATATCACTGATAATGGTGGATTGACACCACTTGTTCACGCAGCTACGGCTGATCGTCTCGACATTGTTATGCTCCTCCTTGAGAGGCTAAGCCGTGATCCGGTCGAAAGAAATGACAGGAAACAAATATCGATGGATGAATCATCGGCACGCAGCAATACACCAGGCTTGCGGCAGGTAGCGCTGGAGAACTTTATCAACAGAGCAGATTGCGTTGGCAGAGGGGCACTCTTCTATGCTTGCGACAATGGAAACACCGAAATCGTTAGACTTCTCATAACCAATGCCCATCTTGAGCCCATGATGCCTGACTACTTTGCCTTGACGCCACTCTACGCCGCAGTCATACGCGGGCATTACGGCGTCGTGGAGTTGCTGTTGGAATTCATGGGACGGTGTCCTGCTTCTGGTGGGATTTTCAAATACCCAATCAACTCTAGGGCTTTACGCTCCGTCAGCTCTGATGTTTCCCGGCTGCTAAGAGACCATTGCCGGAAATACAATATCCCCTTAGAGTTGGAGGATCTGCCCCCAAACTCCCCCTGGGCTTCATGGGAGAAGAATGTGTCAGATTGTGACGCATGTATGAGACCAACGCCTCTGGCTGTGGCACGTTATTCTTGTCGAGAATGTGTTGTTGGCTCAAGAATCTTTATTTGCCAAGAATGCATAGAATCCGGCGTTTGGTGTCTGGATCCTTCTCACAGGATCGAGCTCTTCCCATGAGGTAGCCGACTCATATTTCATGGATGTAATGCCAATTACAAAAGTGCTTCAATGATATTGGACACTGTTTTAATAAAAGAAACCGAGGAAAGGGACAAAGAGAAAGGGACAAAGAGAAAGATAAGAGCTAGGTTTGTGAGAGTGAGAATCTGAGATGATTTGTCGGTGAGAGTCACTGCAAGTATATCTAGATGATGACGCGCCATACTAGTACCTGTTGATATGAGATCTGAAGTGATTTGGATTCTGGGCGGCTGATGCATTAATATTACTCTGGATATATCCAGGTCTATCGCGAGAAACTGATGATGCTGAATATACCAACATACTCCGATTACTACCAGAAAAATGAAATAATATTTAAGTTCAATGATGTTCATCAAGAATATGCGAAACACTAATTGACAGATTGCGATCGGCATTTCTTTATAGAAACTCCTCACGAAATAGAGGTGAGAATTGGAAAATGTGCATAGATTTCCATGGTAGCGACACCTTAGGCTGCATCGGCCAAATGATGCTTGAACCTTTTTACTTGGCTGGCAACTTTGTTGCTCACTATGATATAATGTGCAGAGCTTTGGTGGTGCGGTACAGTTACAATAATCGATTGTTGAAAGGAACATCATATCCCCCCACCTCCCCCCCGGCACAGCAACTGGCCCTATTTCACAATACATCGTGACATTTTTGTTTATATAGAGAACCTGGCGTGAATAGTGATCCATCTCCTAACATGCTACGCAGACTAGGGAAGCCAGAAGAAGGACGAGGGTCAGGGACAAAAAGGTATCAAGACCACTTGGCTAGCGGATTCCAAGGAAGACGGATGGTGCCCCCGTCTCTGCAAAACTTGATGTCAACGTTTCCGGCCTCCGTCCTATAGTAGCAGACAAGTGCTTTTGGCTCCCAGCCGTAGAAGCCACCATCTCCCAGTATACCGGCCGAGCCTTCCATTTCACCTTCTTGTTCTAGCTTCTCGAGTCGTTGTATTCTATCAAGGCTGTTAGACTACGTTAGGCAAACTGTGACTGTCTGCCTTCGTCGGGGGTGGGGAACAATAGGCTTACGTTAATGGGTTCTCTGTACCCCACACACAGGCAACAATTCGAGAGGGAGGCGCGTGGCAAAAGTCCATCCTCGTTTTCGATATAGCCTCATTCTTTATTTCAATGTTGGCTTTGTTTGAGCTTAAGAATCGCCGTGTTAGTATCAAAGACTAGGTCGTTAAGGAGCAATGGAGACTTACCATTCAACGAGAAGTTCCATTGGGCGTTCACCATACGAATAAAGAACACTGAACATCTTGCGTTCTACCTCGGGCCATGGGTCGCCAAGCTTCTCTACCAGGTTTTCTCCTTGTAGCAATAGCTCTTGCTGTGGGGTCACTAGCCTCCTGACAAGGTCCGTGACGTTCTTGTCACCAAACGCGGCCGCATGGATGTGTAGTTGCGGTCCGCTAGGGGGTGCAAAGCTACCCATAGCAGGAACAGCCGGAGACTGGAATCCGGGTGGTGGACCATTGGGAGCAGGGGAGGAGTTGTGTCCGAAATTTTGTGTCACTGGGGGAGGCTGTCCATAGCCGTGATACGAAGGCGGAGGAGCGTGAGGCGGTGTCATCAGCCCTGGAGGCGTCATCATTCCCTGCGGCGGAGGACCTGAGGGACCAGACATGTACACCGGATAATAATGAACCTGTGGCTGCACTTGGGGTTGAGGCTGTGGCTGCGGCGCGTATGTTGGTTGCTTTTGGGGCTTGTTCTTTAGAAAACCGAACACTTTGGTCCCGATAGCACCTGCGGCGAAGGATGCGGCCATTTTGCCAAGGCCCGCGCCGCTTCCCCCGTGGTGGTGGTGGCCAAAGGCATTGCCTGCCAGAAACCCACCACCCAGGGCCAGAGCAGTTGTTCCCAGACCACGATCTCCATCCTGCGGAGGTGGTCCCCCTCCTTGCAGAGGATCACTTGGGTATTGATCGGGTGGAGGAAGTTGTTGGTCCGGGAAAGGGAACGCTCTTGTTTGGTTGGCATCGAGAGATTGTTGGTCTGTGGCTAGGCTCTGTTGATCTGGAATGATATTCTGCTGGTCTGGTGCCGGGGCTTGTTTATCTAGAGCTGGGCTGATGGGTGTGAAGGGTGGTTGCGGTGGTTGAAAGCCTGGAAGCTCCCATTGCGTCGAACCCGTCGCAGTGAAGATATAATACCTAAGTGAGTCCTGTCAGAAACGCCTTCTTTGATGCAGAAACTGCTCCAGCTTACCATGTGTTGTGCTCAGGGCTCCAGTTGGCTTCCCAGCCGGGCGGAAGCGGGGGTCCAGGAGCTCCAGCCGTAGCCGTGGGAGGAGATAACTGAGGTGTTGACATGTGCAAGTAGGTGTTGTCTCGGGTCTAAGGTTGAAGATTTCGGTGGAAATGATTACCATTCAAGAGTAAGAGAAAGACTCGGTGGGGGGAATAGCCAGGACGAGGGAAGAAAGCCAAGACCTGGGACTTGGCCCCATAACAGTATTTGAGAACATGAATCTCAAATTACGAGGTGTAAGTTGTCACCCAAGTGAATCATTTGGGCACACGTAATGTTTGGTGTGGCGCTAAAAGTCCTGGGCTGAAAGGGCTGAAGATGGCTTCGAGCTAACACGGCTACCGGCACATTGGTTGATCGCCGTTTCGTCCCAGTCCTTCGGGATAGGCCTAGGACATATTGATGAAATAACGGATATACGTGCGATGTGAACGACGCCTAATCAAAGAGTCTGGTATGAAAAGATAATATGCCCCCCAACTTTTGATGAACACCCCGTCAATAATTTTGATCATAGTGATGTTCCAACTGTATGATATAAGCCAAGGCATCCTCTTGTAAGTGTGGCCATCCATCGAGGGGCTAATGGACCAGTCGAGAACATGCGGGTTGCCCCGCGCCGTATTCTTAGCCCTATGGCTACCCTGCTTTATCTTTGGTGCATGACATGCCTGCAGGGAGAATCATATCATTGGAAGTCCTTGGATGGAAGCCTGCGTTAGTTGCTTTTTGCTCAGCCTCCGCCCAGACCTATTTGGATTGCTCTTGTTTTGCGAAGGATTAGTGTGGCGAAGTAAAGTCGCTGCTGGCTATACCCACGCCATAGAGGAGTGAATGGATCGTTTAGCCATTACTAAACTCAATATCACGATCATCCGAAGTTCAACATCAACAATGCTGTAAAAATCCAACCTCGTAACGTGTTCCTCGTCCGAGGATGCAAGAAGATTGATCAACGATAATAAGTAAAATCGTCGGTGGTTTCGTGTTCAGCACTACTGATGCCGATTTGCATCATTTATTTGACTGCGTGTTGAATAATTGTAGATGATGCCCAAAAACAAAAAGAGAGTCGAGCTTGAGAATCTAAAGGGGATGCTAGCGGAATCTCAACACAGCTCTGGTGACGGCACATACTGTTGTCAGAATGTCCAATGTTTCACATGAACTTGAAGTTAGCCACTAACATTATTATAAACTAAAGAGGTTGATAATGGTTCAAGTCTAAAACTGAATGAAGAAATCCGCTCAAAGCAAGCTTCTGATGAATTAGACACTTCGGGGCATATGCGAGTGAGGGAGCCTGACTGGTTCATTGAAACCTGTCACTGCGTGGAATGCTGCAAGTTTAGAGAAGAAAAGCAGACTATGTATCTCTGCGATGTCTTGAGCTGCGTACTGTCATTATTCGGGTTGCCAAGAAGATACCGACGCCGGCGTTCACACAACATTGAACATGATGTGGCCCACTACAAGACAAGTGCGGCTAAGGCGTTTCTCGGAATACAACCGACAGCCGTTAGTAATTATCTCAGATCTGTCCTAACTGGCCCCGCAAATGAAGGTTCGTTGCTAGAATCATCATCAAACCTCTTCTCGTCGATGCTTGCTCAGGGTCTCTTGTATCATTCGACCACGAAAGCAGTTACATGACACGACCCTACGGCTCAGATCCCAAACAGAAATGTCAGCCTCGAATCTAGAACCTGGTGCGGGGAATGAACGGTTCAACGCCGAGGCCGCGACATGGGACAGCAATCCTTTTGTCCGCGCGAGGAGCCTCGAAGCGTGGAAGGCTATACAAGCTCGTGTTCCAGCTCTATTTGGGCCAGACCGCGCCCAATCCAAGCCGAATGTGTTGGAAATTGGTTGTGGGACAGGCTTGCTCAGTCTGGAGGTCGCGCCATCTGCTAAACGGCTGGTGGCAATAGATGCAGCCGAGGGAATGATCCGAGTGCTTTCATCAAAGCTAGAAAGCCCAAGCACGCCTGATAATATTCAACCTTTGGCTATTTTGCTTGAGGATCCTGAGGATGAGAGGCTACCTCCAGCAGACGAGGCGAGACCGCGTGGACTAAGGCTCAAATACGATCTCATCATCTCAAACCTAGTACTGCATCATATCAAGGATATTAAATCGATGTTGATTACGATGCTTGGATGTTTGAAGCAAGGAGGTGTAGTGGCCCTGACGGACTTCGAGGACTTTGGGCCAGACGCAAAATGGTTTCATCCCGAGGCGAAGATGGCCGGTGTAGAGCACCATGGAATCGGAAGGGAGTGGATGGCTGGGCTGATGAAGGAAGTTGGCTTCAAGGACGTCAAGGTCGAAGTGGAATGGGAACATCCAAAGTTGGTAGAGAAGTACCCCGGGGAGTTCAAGAACGGCAAACCTGCAGCAGGGCAGGGCGATCTGATGACTTTCACGTATGTCTTATGTTTCGGTAGACGCGAATAGATAATCCACGACAGGCTGAATAAAAGGTGAACTTATAACCAAAAGAACCCCAGTCCAATGACAGTCAGGAGCTAACATATATCTTTACAATGGCACCTGCAATAATCAATTTGAGACCCAGTCGAGATAATCACCGATTCCTCCGAGACCCTTATTAATGGTGTGATGAATGACTATTCGACCGGAATTGTAAAGCAAAGTTATTCTGGATGATATCGAAGTCAGGCCAATAAATCACGAGCTGATATCAAACAACTCAATAGTACCCAACGAGAATATCTTTGCCCGACTTGCGGCGTGTGCAATCTGCAATGTTTCATTAGCATACCAACAATTCCTCAAATGCTAGAGGATGAAGCAACATACGTCCTTTGAACTTGCCACCCTGAGCATTTGCCCAGTACGAGCATGGTTCGCTGTTCTCAAAAACATAATCATTTCTGTTCCTGATGGTGCATGCTTCGTGTACTCTCACCACATAGCGCATCTTAAATTAGCTCGGACCTTTCGGAATGGGATATCCTCTGCTTTCTCTTACAGTTGCCGCCATTTTCTAGTTTCTTCCACGTATACCAATTGTTGTTAGCCACCCAATTTCCCTTGTCATCGCCAGCCCAAGCATGAGAGCTAGCTACAAGGGACAGAGCGCTGATGATCGAAATAAACTGCATGTTGAAAGTTCAGTGAATGACGTGGGCGGATAGAGATATGTTGAACGGCGTATTGGAACACTTGAGTACAGATGTCGGTGACTCGATATGAAATTCCATGGAACACAGCGAGCATTATATATACCTTTTCCGAGTTGCGACTACTCGAGGCTGCTATTAAAATGCAAGCCTTTTTAGAGTAGGCCTATGGAGAAACTTGCCAAGGTCGAGCTGTCAGTGGCGATTTAGACAAGTCCTTATTTTACTGGGGTTTTCAATGCGAGCCGTGTTCTGTTGGTAGAAGGCTCGACGTTATTGGAGCAGGTCATCGCTTTCTGTCGTAAGCATAGAGTGACTTGCTCGGCTCATACTGCTAAGCCTTGGTGCGTTGTAGGTAAATTGCCGAAAAGGGCCCCGGATGCCGAGATGAGGCAGTACTTTGGTCTCAGCCCCAACATCTTGGCCCCCAAAGAGTTGTTCGTGAGGTTCCAAGTGTTTTCCTGACATCCAATAAGCTAGTTCTTTAATTACTTCGTAGGCATACTAAAATGGCAACAGCCAGAAGAAGCTCGAGCCGATGCCATGATGCGGATCTAACCGACTAGGTGACGAGCACGACGCTCTCATACTTCGACGAGGAGCTTTACTACGGGCCAGCTTCTACAGAGCTCGAATTAGGAGCCATTGTAAGTACTCCTTGACCTTTACCGCTTAATACCTTGAGGAAAACCATCATATCCTGTCAAATAGATGAGAATGAGCGAGAAGTTATAGAGCATGCCGTGTAGCGGAGTGTGCTCTAAACCGAGGATGGCACGAGCAGCCGATGAAAACAAATCAATCATCTTTTTCGCAGGAAGCTCTCAAATAAAATTACTTCTGTTGTAATATTTTTTTTTATCTTATCATGCTTTGTCACGAGGAACTCAAGTCAGTGTCCTTGAAGTTGCCTCGAGTGTTGCATGCCTTGCCTTTCTATTCCCGGCCTAGAAGATTTGTTTTGTGGAAGGCCGAAATCGGTCTCTTTCATAGTAATGCATAATGCAATTATTGAAAGAAAATATTAACGTCACGTCCACATGGCCGTCAAAACCTCCAAGGCTGGGTAGCGATATGCTCTCTTCCTGATACGCGCTGATGTGAGAAGTCGCAAGAGACAGAAACCCGACCTACAAGCTACAAATAATAAAATTCTACACTATCATCGGAGATGGCAGAATCAATGTCATTCAAAGAAATATCGCCATTTTCGTAGTGGTGTTGCCGCCATCAACAGGCACTCGTGCGTCGAGAATAAAGCCATTTTGAGATGTCATGAGGTCTCGCTTTTTATTGGCTCCTGGTAGCCATATTTCCATTTGTTTCTGGAATATACTGGCGGCCCACCTGGTACTTAGTGAGCATCATGCTTCAGATTTTGTTGTTGTCAATGCAGGGGTGACCCCTTGATACCCTTAGTTTGTTTGGAGTGTTGCATAAACCAACCAAGTCAATCCAAACCCCCGCCTCATCCGAGCTCTGACGACTGACTACTCTTTTATCACTGGTTCAAACACAGACCTGCCCGGTCAAGGATAGCCTGACCGGCATGTTTTCAATGCACTGGCTGACAATAGGGGCCAACCCCCGGTCAAGGGTCTTCAATGCATGATTGACAGTGTGACACATCATGGCACATCAACCTAACGGCAATCGACTCAGAGAGCGAACCCTGCCGATAAGCTTTAAAATTCGACCATTATTTAGCTATCCTTCCCCAGAGTGTGTGGTTGGCGTCGAATATCTTCCCATCGACTCCAACACGCACTCCTTCGCCCCTCTTCGTACGAGATCTCGACTTTATTTCCAATTCCCATAGAAGGGCGGCGGCTTTCTCTATTTTGATATTTATTGCATTGTTTCTAATACCGCCACTCACTTATTAGCAAAAGCTGTGAAGCAGGCTCTCCAGCTTTCCTCCTCTTGCAATTGAACTTGTCGCCTATATTACGTTGATCATCACGCCCTCCACAATGTCAGTCGAAATGTACATGAACCACCCATCAAACCGTATCGAGGGGCCATACCAAGAGCTGCCCGAAGAGGAGCACAGCCCAGGCCTCTGGGGCGGTTCTTGGACACAGCAAGGGCAGGCACCCGCGAGGCTGCAAGAGATTCACGAGTCCGACGTCAGCTCCGAATATTCCGGCTCTGAAGGCGCAGAACCGCCGCACGACTTCCATGAGATACGAACGAACAACTATAATAGTATGGAGAGCCTGAACAAAACATACAAGCAACAGGATGAGACGGCACTAGAATACCAAAGAAAGGCTCGGGATTTGCTGAGAAGGGCTCAGCAAAAGCTGGAAATGATTGCGTATGAACTCAGGAATCATCGGAAGGACAAGCCAGAGAACGCAGCCGTAGTTGAAGCGTCGGCTTGAACGTGAGTGTATTACTAGAACGATTACACGACGAACGAGAAATGCTGGCATTTCGGGATACCATCGAAGAGTAATGCTGGAAGCTTTGTGCGTCTTTGCCCATTGCCATCTTATAAAGGGATACGCCTCGCTCTGGAAGCGCATGGAATTCAAAATTGTCTCGGGATTTCACAAGGAAGCAAATCTTATAACTTCTATGATCAAATAAATTAAATATCAACTTCAAGTACATGTTGAATCTGAATCAGCTATGAACCCTTCAGTGTTTTAGCCTAGGCGACTGTTGATGGCTTTAATGAAACGTAACCCCCGGAAAGAATGTCTAAGGCTCAAACTTGTAGTGTTTTCAAGGTTTTAATGTTCCTTTAACTATTGCAGAATTTCAATCTTTTCTTTGGGCCCTAACCTGGGGGATGGCTATCAGATTCGCCCCTTGCTGAGAGAAGCAAGAAGCTGCTTTGATTCCTACGAAGTTGGAGTAGATTCAGCCAGATTCAAAACGACAACTTACACATTGCGATGAAGCACTCGTTATCATCCCATTCGCGATAATTGAGATATGGTCGGCAATCTTTTTTTTTTTTTTTTTTTTTTTTTTTTTTCTAAATTTCGTCGTAAGTCCGCACCTAATCCAATACTCACGTCGAAACTTATCAGCTCAGGATTCTTTAGGTCCTTTCCCTCCAGCTACCGGACCTGATTCTCTTTAGCTATCATGCTTATCACATGCCTATCACATACTTCCATCATTGGAGGCATCCGGATTCTAGATCAAGGCTACTGAACTACAAGTCGAACTAGAAGGGCGAGCATGGAAAAAATGGGGAGACGATCGCTGCCGAAGTAAGCGGAACCATGCACTCGGAACTCCGAGTGCTGCTTATCAACCAAGCCACAAGCCAGCCAAAAGATTCGTCTGGTTGGAAGCGTCCACTTTCCGATCCATCGTGATTTCACAGCCTTCTCAAACCTCCAGAAAACAATTATGCCCCCAGAAAGTCGCAAAAAGCCCACCTGCCCGCAATGCTCTAGGTGCTTCACGAAGAGTATATGACACCTGCTCATAGTTAAAGAAATCAATCACTGACTTAGACTTGCTTCCTATAGAGTCATCATTATCAAGACACACCAGACGCTGCTTCGAGAATTTACCCCCTGCTTCAAGGCGGAGGGCTTGCTTGCAATGCTCGGGAAACAAGGTGAGATGCGACCAGCAACATCCAACTTGTAGCAGATGCTGGGAACGGTCCTTACCGTGCACCTTTCCGCCGACTAATCGGCCGACATGCTCAACGCCCGAGAGGAGAAGCCGAGTGGATGTTTCTGCGGGAGATCACCTGTTAGGTGGAGAGAAGCCCGACTTGCCGATCGGGGAAGCAGAGTCTCATGAAATAGCTTCGTCATCACAATGCTTTCCCTCCGTGCCTACCCAGAAGCAAGCAACAAATGCGGGTAATTCCCTTATGCCTTCTGAGGAGCGGCGTAGGGTTCTACTCGGCGCTGCACCAGGCACCCCGAACTCCAGCTCAGTGGCCATGCACACCGCCAACTTTGTGATTCGAGTGCTCAAATCGTGGGCTCGCCTAGTGGCCACGCATCAAGTCTTCAAGCTGCCCCCGTTTATCCACAGGCTACAGCTATCTGGAGACAGCAGCACCCCTGCCCCGTTGGCCAATTGCTTTACTCTTGTCAAGATGTGGAGCGAGCATACACAAGGCAGCATGGGCTTGGTGGAGAGCACAGTCTTGCTGGAGATTCAGAGGCTACTCCGAGAGGTCAGCAAAACCTACTCAGTGACTGCGTCAAAGTGTCATTTGCTAACATGAATGACTGAGTAGTATGTCTCGTATAATGAGACAGAGCTCTTGGCTGGCCTTCAATCCCTGCTTTTGTTGTTGACTATTCTTCTTTTTGGTCTAAATCGGACTGGCTCGGATAAAGCACAAACCATCGAGGCTGAGTTAATAGTCAAGGTATGGGACGTCAAGTCCTCTGTTGCTGGCACGGGCATCTTGCTAGACGAAGAACAAAGTCACGTCTTGCCCACATGGCGTGAATGGGCATTGGTGTCTGCCAAGCGGAGGACGATCCAGGCTCTTCATCATCTGGAGTGGGCGTGGTCCTTGGTTCGTGGATATCCAGTCCTTACCTGCTTCGAACTCGGACCACTGCCGGCGCCGACAGCTGGGTATCTGTGGAACGAAAATGAGGAGCTACAATGGAAACAGTCTTATACCAGATGGCTGGACGTTTGGAAAATCGGCGGGGGCTATAAGTTGGGAGAGCTCTTCAACATTGATCCCGGTGATGATTTGAATTCGAGGACAGAAATGTGGCTAGCGGAAGTGGACGAATTCGGCATGGTTTTGATGGCAGAGTGTGAGTTCTCTGACCCTCATTCCTTAAATAAGCTAATATCCTTACGTGTCAGTAAACTCCATTGATGCTTGATGCTTGCACCCGGCAGCCACAACTGCCCGGTGACATTACAGATAGCTAGACTTGATTCACGGAATCATGATGTGGATGCTACAAGATTTAACCTTGCACAGCATTATCTAAGAGAGGGGCTTTCTACTTGTTATTAGAACAATTTTGCTATTCCAGCTCAGATAAACAGCTTCTTGGGGGCGTTCTGTGCTGAGTTGAAGAGCACGAGTGTAATTGAAATACGCACATCTCGTCAGTCATATAAAGAATGCAAGAACAAATATTCACCTGTTACTAAATAACTCTCTATTGAGCATCGCGGAAAGCGTAATGTGTCTTAAGAGACTGGGTGGGCACCTGCACTTGTCAAACAAGCCCTATTTCAGAAATTAATCAAAAAGGTCAAACCCAGCGATGAATAATCCAAGTAGTTCATTACAGCCGGGAATTGTGGGAAATCGACACCAAGAAAAATCATCGCATTCCATATAGTACTGACATGCTTGTACTCGGAGTTCCGAGTGCCCCTCGTGTGTTCAACCCGCCCATGGAAGCGAGCGAACATGATGAATATAAATACCAAGAGCTTCCCTGCCTTATAGACCAGTTCTCTAAATAAACCCAATATATTAACAGCACTCTCTTTCCATGGCTCAACTTCTGATTTACGGCGCCACCGGGTACACAGGTCGGCTTGCCAGCGAACATGCTCAACGTCTTGGCCTTCACTTCCTCGTCGCCGGGAGATCAGAAAGCAAGACCAAGGAACTAGCAACTGCACTTGGGGTGGATTCGCGAGTGTTTGGTTTGGAATCACCTGAGAAGATTGATGAAGCGGTACTTGGCTCCTCGGTCTTGCTCAACTGCGCAGGACCGTTCATCCGAACTGCCAAGCCGCTCATTGAGGCATGCATCCGAAACCAGGTCCACTATCTCGATATGGCCGCGGAACTGGATAGCTACCATCTCTCTGCCGAGAGCGACGCTCGCGCGAAAGAAGCAAACATCATGCTCATGCCTGGCTGTGGCGGTGGCATAGCCATGTTGAGTTGTCTGGTCTGCTATGTCCTCGAACACGTCAAGAACCCTTATCGTGTTGACATAGCTCTGCATATTTCGGGGCCCATGTCCAGAGGATCCGAGATGAGCGCGGCAGAGAACATCACCACTGTATGCTTGGAATTGGTCAAGGGTGATCTGGTCGCTCTTGAGGACCCAGCGACGAAAACAAAGCAATTCGACTTCGATAATGGCAATGGGCCCGTGGACTGTGTACCCATCACCTTGCCAAATCTAATCACATTGCCCAGATCGACCAACATCAGGGATATCAGGACGTTCATCTATGCCGAGGCAGCACTCCTTCCCCGGGACGTCACAGCGTTACCGATCGGTCCGACAAAGGAGGAAAGGGATTTGCATCCTTATCAAGTCTCAGTGTTTGTTACAGAGACTGATGGGGCCGTGAATAAGGGGGTTTTGCACTGTGCCAACGGGTACACATTTACTTCGCAAGCATCAGCCGAGGCTTCCAGGCGTGTACTAGAAGGTCAATTCGTACCTGGCTTTCAAACACCGGAAGTTGTGTTTGGTTATCGATTCGTTGAGGATGTTCCTGGTTCAATTCTGAAGCTTGTGTAAAGACTGGGAGCATAAAGGGTCAGGCTAGGCGATCTAACATTTCAGGGAATTCAAACCACGAGCTTCCTGAATATTGGATATGGAGTGAGTTATTTAGAATCAAGGCTACTATTCAAACCAATACTTCTTAACCCAAGCCGCTGTATCAGAAGTGATGGCGACCTGATACAACTACCTACAGACTCCATTTGCCCCGCATGATGAAGCATTCGTGCCCAAGGCTGACTTGATGAAAATGCACTTTCTGGTGATTGGGTCTTTCGTCATTGACGTATGCCTGAATGCAACTTTATAAAGGCTGACACCCTCCGTTCTATCCCGTCCTACCAAATAATGCTTATGCACGGGCGCCACACGGAAAGGTATCATTTCGTACTATTTTCAACCACCTGATGATCTCACTACATGGAACAACCTGATCGCAAGCGATACTAGAATGAATTAGCTCTTTTCCCGATTTGCTTCTAGCCACCAACACTCCCAAACGCCCAGCCTCGACCTCGGAATATGGCCTCTCAAGCAAGTACTGATCAGTTTCTCTGCGAAGACTGTCAAGGTATTCGCTTAGATGACAGCGTTCTTGATGGCTTTGTAGGCGTGTCAGAAGACGGCCATCTAGTGCTTGAGTTCGAGTCGGGGAGAGAACTCAAAAGAGTCGAAGTAGCATATTATGAAGATCTACTCCCGGATCTCCCGGGCCTTTTACAATCCCACCAGGTTTCGCAGTGCGCATTTTGTCGCTATCTCCGGGAAGCAATTATTCGCGCCAACATCGAAGTGGGATCACAAGAGATTTCAATAAGCGTACAATACAGGTGGTTTACAGAACGGGATGAAGAGAATCTGGCCTGTCTGGCTGTGACTTTGACAAGCGCCGAAGGACCTTGGGAAAAATATCTCTTCTTCAAGGTCGAGTCAAATGAAGGTGTGACATGACTTCTCTTGCTAAAATACCCGTGCATGCTCACCGCTTATAGTCGACGTTGCCAGTTGGCTGGGAATACACCGCTGTCCAGAACCTGAAGTCTGGTGCCCAGAGAATATTGAATGGGTTCAAGGCCTGCTGGAGACTACGGGTCATGTGGTCAATTCATCGACAGTCCCAAAAGGTCCTCCAACCCGGTTGATTGACGTAGGAGAGACCTGGACGTGCAGTCCCCGGATAGTACATACCGCAGATCTAGGAGAACAACATGTCAGATACTGCGCTCTCAGCTATTGCTGGGGGAGTGCGAAAGGTGATGAGACGCAGCTCAAGACGACAAAAGAGTCAATATCGGAGTTTTGCCTAGGCATCCCAGAGTCGAGGATGACACAGGTTATGAAAGATACTATGAAAGTTTGCCGAACCCTGAACGTTCGATATATGTGGATTGATGCCCTTTGCATAATCCAAGGCGACAAAGACGACTGGGAAAGGGAGAGCGCTATGATGAATGATGTGTATAGCAACGCCTATCTGACACTCTGCACTCTCTCATCCAGCTCTGCCTACCAGACCTTTCTGGACCGGGGTTCCCATATTTTAGAGTTGAACTTTGAGTCTAAGACTGAGACATCTATACACGGCAAATTTCAGCTGAGTATGCGCGGAAATATCGTTGAAAATATGGATATGGACTTTTTCATGTCTGATCCTGCAGTGGATCTAAGATGCGTCTGGTACAGACGAGGTTGGACATTCCAAGAGAACTTGTTGGCTCCCCGGAAACTGCTTTTCGGGAGGTCGATGTTATACTTTCAGCACGAGCTATGCATCTACCGGGAGGATGGAGCAAAGATGACCGATTGGGCCTATGGCTCTCTTTCAAATCTAGTGACCAATAACCCAGAGTCTGATTATCAGGAGTGGAACGAGTTGCTTCATCAATATGGCATGCGGGAGTTCACAAGCCGAGCAGATGTTCTGCCTGCGATATCAGGCCTTGCGAGGGTATTTGGCAGAGCAAGACAAGACACCTATCTCGCCGGACTATGGAGAAAAGATATTTTGAGGGGTGTGTTATGGGATACATTGAGGAAGGAAATGGATAAAGCGGCCCTTCTACGAAAGTTGGCTTCCCCGGAGATTTACATTGCTCCATCGTGGAGTAATTTACGCAGTCATTTGCCCACGGCACAAGGGATAGGAGCGTGGAATTTTCCCTATCAAGATACCCACGTCATCAGCGAGGTAGCAAATTTGAAGGTCTCGACATGCCCCGATGGTTTGGATCGATATGGAAGGATAAAATCCGGAGTACTGCGGATGTTTGCACGGCTGAAACCCGTAGTCGAGTCTAGGTTTCTCTCATCGCCACACAAGGGTCAACTGTGGATTACATATAACGAGGAAGCTTATTGCGCGACTTGCAATCTCGACTATAGAGGCCAGCGTCCTGTCATACCAGGCGACGGAACGGCCTTGCTCCTCTTGTCGAGCGCATGCTGCGATGATGAACAGCCCTATCGGTTTCTTTATCTCAGCAAGACAGAAATGGTCTCACAATTAGCTAATGCTGGTTATGCTGACAATTATCATGGCTGCCTTCGCGGTCTGGGCAAAGAACAAAGGGAGAGCATTGGATTGCATGACATCCTTGATGAATCCGACAGCCATTTGACGAAGTATCGAGGGGCCAATCCTATTACGTGTAAGTAAAAGAGACCTTGAAAAAGATGCGAACAGAGGGCTGACTTCAATAGGCGAATGCTGCAAGTTTAGCCACCATAGCTGTCGCAATTCTCACGATCAGTGCCGCGCCTGTCATCACTGCAAGCGCTGCTGTACCCAACCAAGACGAGGGGTCAACACTCATGCATGGGGTCTGATTGTTCATCCAACTGGCAAACCAGGGCAGTTCTATCGAGTAGGCGCGTTTACATCACGGGCTTTAGGGCCGAACAGCTCCAGCGGAACAAATGCATTTCAAGGGCTGCCGTTTGAGGAAGTCGAGATCATCTGATGATATTTTGAATTACCCATGTGTGCCTATTAGCTAAATTGTTACTTACCTAAGTCAATACAACAGTTTGCTAAAAATGCCTTATGCAGGAATATTTACCAGGTGCCACAATTAGAAGACAGCCGCATCATCAAATCTGCTTCCACCCCCGAATGGCGATCCGTGATCCACCCCACGTGCCTCACTTCATCGCGCTGGATGGCTGGATGCCAGAAAAGGGTCAAGACTGAGAATGCCTGAGCTGAGGGCTAGTCAAGCAACTGGCCGCACCACGCCTAATGGAGAATTGATTTGATTCCACAACTGCATCGTATCGTGACCTAAAATTCGCTTGGCATTACTGATGAGAACTGTATCTCAAAGGCCATAAACCTGGCCAGGTAAGCTTAAAAGCTATTTTCTCATCTAGCGTAATTTTTCAACTATAGTCAAAACATCAATTGAATGGTGCATTTCCTGCCGTGGGCAAGGTGAAGAGCTCATACTCTCTGTTCTCAACAAGTGCACTATGGCTTCCCGACAGGACCCTCCGGTGGAAGATTCGCCAATCCTCGCACCGCATCAGTTTTCATATATGAAGTTGCAGTGCACGGCTGGCTTTGTGCTGACTGGCCTCCTTGGAGCTGCGGCACTCGCTTTGGCATTCGTCTCGCTCTTCTCTGGCAGGAAACAACCTGAAGAAATCGCCCAAGTTGCTGCGGTTCGTGAAGCGACCATCGTCTTGCTTATCAAGTGAACACAAGTTGCTAATTACTAATAATGCTTTCAGCAAGGCCTTTTGGTTCCTTTGCTTTTTGGTATGGCAATTTTGATGCAGACGGTCCAGCACGATGCCCCAGCTAAGGCGAAGCGAATCATTCTTGCTGGGATTATAACAAATTCGGGTTTTATGTTTGTATCGTACGTGCACATTACATTAAATATACCATATTATGCACACAACTAACACAGGGAACAGTGGCGTTTTCGGTGTGGTAAACGGCGTCATGACAACATATGGGGATAATGAAAAGAAGTCCGCTGGCGTGAAGCTAGGCAATATAGCACTGCTCGTGCTAGGTGTGTAAGTGGATATCTCGTGATGATTATGGCCCTCCTCCTACAGAAGCTAATAACTGACCGATCTGTGAATTAGTCTGAGTGGCGTTGCTCTATCGTATGGAATTCGAGAGCTTACTCAAGCACTGAGCAGCAGGTTGGAAGACCCTACCATCGAGCGTGCCACCTTGAGCGAGGCCCAAGACAAAACTGCTGTTACTTCAAATTAATTCCACAGCAACTTTACCGAGAAGACTTGGGAGTATACGGCGGTCAATGGGTGGAATAAGAACGAATTTATTTTGGTGCTGGATACCCTTTACTTGATTGCTTGGAGTTCTAATCTTTTTTTCCTAAATCCTAGTACATGATTCACATTCACATCATCGATATTTGAGTACACGATTACATATTGAAATGAATGCCAGTTTAAATGGCCTCGTCATGATTGGCGATAAGTTCTTCACGGATGTCATGCAATTTAATGTTATGATTTTGCCCCTCGAAGCCCTGAAGCCTCAGCTCCTCAAACAGACAAGAACAGGCTACAATGTGAACTCATAGACGCTATCGCTAAGCTAGCAATTTGTGAAGCAGTAGTTCATATAGTCTAAGACGCGCCTAGTAGAGATGTATTCTTAACCAGTCTGGATTAATCAGATTGGGCTTGTAGAAAATGACTATTATTTCACTGATATTCACATGAGGTAAGAAAGTTGGTCGGCCACGTCAAGCATGTCTTATGTACTTTCGTTCTGTCGGCGAGGGGTTCTGTGTACTTGCTTCTTTGTAAAGGCTGCATTGTACCAGTGAGGATGACATGGATGACATGGATGCGTGTCGTTGCCATCACCATCAATTTCTCTGAGGTCACAAGACCATCAGAATTTGTTCCTCGGTAAGCCATAGGCCGTATTTTCCGAAATTCGGAAATTTAAAGTTCAGGATAGTCTTTCAGCTGTTTCAAGGGTCATGTCCAAGGGTGCCCAATGTGACAGTCAGTTGTGCATGAAACTGCTGACATTTCCCAGTCGGCGCCTAAACCTCCTCTCAGCCAACTGAAGCCGAACAGAGCTGAATGCAATCCATGGAGGCCTACCATGGCATTGACCCTCTTCTTGTCGCATTTTGATGGGTAGTCGCACAGATGAGTGAGCAAGAAACAACTCATTGCTGACTATAGAGAAAGAAAAAAAAAATTGTGCAACAGCGTTCTAGTAACGTCAGAAACACGTCTGGCCCTTGTACGCGAAAGTCTTGACAAGGTTTACCATTACCCAGCCGATTTTCTTGTACTCGGGCGGCCGTTCGCACCAGTACGCCTTGTTTTGTGATTAACACTTATGTGCCCAGTAAATGGTTGGAGATCAAAGCAGAATCACAAGTGCCTTGTTGATGACGAGGCAACCCCCTTTATTGCCAAGGCAACAGCATCATATTAATATTGAAGAGATTTCATTCGGTAAACCCTTCAAAGATGGTTGGCTGGAGTCTCATTATTGCCACCACCCACTTTCGCCCCTGTGGGAGCTCAGCTGGATGGACGTGGCGCAGGATACAGGCGAACAGGATTTGGTGGTTTCTTGGCGAATCGCAAGAATTGCCATATTCTTCGTCTTCCCCTATGCGAGATTTGATGTCAATAATCGTGAAAAAAGGAGGCGACACAACATGTGAGCCATTGACTGCATAGCCAGATGATCGGCACCTGCATGGCAGTATGAGATTGTGATTGGACAGGCCCTCAAGGATCCTCCCAGGAAACTTCGCCATGCAGCACCTGATACGTAACCGTAACTACCTTCAAACTGAGGCTGTGGGTATTATTGTGTTCCATATCAATGGAGAGCCAACCACGGGTGTGGGGTGCTGGTCGAGGCGAGGACATCTGAGCCTCAGCTACGACTCACCATCCGCGTCACAGCTCACTCAGGGGCAGCCTCATATGACATTGGCGTTCAAGTATAGCCACGTTCGAACAGATTGTTGTCAATCTCACTGGCTGTGCTACGGCTAGTGGCTCACCACATATTGGAGACTAATACAAAGTGGCTAGCGAGGAACACCGTAAACAGCAAGATCGTTCGAGCCAACAGGGGACACGACACGCAGACAGGGGGGTCAGCTGTGCCAAACTGGGGACGCACACGAGGCAGTCTGAGTTTGATAGGCCTCGCTGCTTCCATTGATCTAAAACGACCCATTCCTGTAAGCCACAGCGGTTGGTGCCGTTGTCCCGTCAAGAAGCACCCCTGGTATTGGTCAATATCTGCAGCTAACCATGCTCAGTCACAATATTCAGGAAAGCATTTAATTGAGGTCTAGTGACCTGGAGTTAGCCCTACTATGACCGCCTTTGAGCACCCGCACGGTAGCCATGACTACCCACTCTTGAATGATGGCAGCCAGGTTGGGCACTGATGGGGCAGTCTCTTCAAGCTGATGCCAAGTACCTGATACAATCTTTTGACAGGACGGGATCCGGCTGGAACCGGTGTGCAGGGGTGTGCCACCGACTGAATATTGGTTACGAATCTCTTTTAATAGGCCAGGGAGGCAATCATAATTCAATGCTACGCTAAGTGGGAGCACAGATTGTCACAAGACCAAGAAGGCTAGTACATAGAAGATTTAAATAAGTGAAGCGTGATAAGGTTTGTCTTGCTTTTTATTCGCACGATTGGTGATCCAAGCTCGACTCATTGCAGCCAATATATTGAGCCAACGGCCTTAACAAGGCACCCGCAGTAGAACTTCGAATGAATCTAGGACAATCGCCACATTCATAATATGTGGCTCAATCTAGTGTGGCTCAGTAAAGTTCAATGGTATATAGCTCCAGGCACCAGTATTCTTAGAGCACATATTCTCATGAATGACACAACAATTTGTTCACTTCTTCGTATCACATCTCGTTTCCCTCCTATTCACGCTCATATGATATTTTAAAACGTGAAACTTCTGCATATATGTATTACCTCCACACACGATCATCCTGTCGAACTATTAAAAATGAGGCTCCTCCAGCTACCCGAGTGCATCCTGAGCAAGTTCGAGGCCACGGCCACACCCAAATTCGCGATATTATCGAACGGCCGAGATAACATACATTTAAGAGGCGGGAAACGGGACCCAACCCCATCGGATTTACGCGAATCTCTCACCAATAGTTGGATTATCAAGGCAGCGGACCACTTGGCTCTGCTGGGGATATATCATGTCTGGGTAGCTGAAGTTTGTATCGGCTCCGCAGACGAGGAGAGGAACGACGCCGTTAACGGGCTTCTGCAAAGGCTAGAGAAGGCAGAGGTATGTTTCGTATATCTTCATGATCTCCCTGTCGGGACATCATATGATCAAGATGTCTGGGCAAAGTGCACTTTCTGGAAGCAGGCTCGGGCCCTCCCGGATTTGATAATCCCTTCCCGTGTGGAGTTCTTCGATCAGGGATGGACCCCGAGGGGATCAAGAGGGTCCACGGAACTCGCATCCCTCATCTCAGCCATCACTAATATTTCCACCCGAGTGCTACTCGACAGCAGCACGCTCACGGACTTTGGGCTCGGCGTGCGCATTTCTTGGGCTTCGGGCCGGACGGCAAGCCTCGACGAGGACCTGATATATTACCTCGCCCCAATCCTGGGTGTTTCTATGCAAACGCGATATGGCGAGGGGCTTGAGCAAGCCTTCCTTAGATTGCAGAGGAAGCTACTCCGCGACTGTCGAGATGGATCCGTGTTTGGATGGCTGAGCAGCGACGAAAGAGAAGTGCGAGGAATGTTCTCGAGGTCGCCAGACGAGTTTTCGCACTTCTCCGGACCTCACAAGAAATATCAATGGGAGGGGCCATGGCCTATGTCAAGCAAGATACGGTTCTGCAACAGGGGACTTGAACTACAAGTTCAAACATACAAGCTGGATCCATATATTGTGGTTGATATTGGCTGCTCCGAGGCCAACCTCTCACAGCTCAAGCACCGTCGGGTCGGTGTTCTCCTACGAAACTGGAGTGGTGTTTACGTTCGAGCCAAACCAGCGGTACAGTCTGTCGTCTTTAGTACCGCTCCCTTTCAGATGATCGACGTTGTTCAAGATCTAGATGCTCGAACGGCATCCAAAATCCGCTACTACTTCGAGTCCAAGGATAACAGCAGCAGTCTTGTGAGCATCAGCCAGGTCGAACAACACCTTACTACAACATTGGCCATCAGCACCAGCCCCAGAGACGCTCTGGAGGCCGGTAGTATGACTGGCATATCGCCAAATGAGAATACCAGATCCGGCAACGCCACACCGACGTCGGTCCAGCTAAGCCCAGGGGTCAAAAGGGGTCGGTCAGGTCGCCCAATGTCATCACCAGGCACCCTCCAAGAGCAGGCTGGGCCGTCTTCAAGAAGCTATAGGAGGTCACATTCGGACTCTGAGAGCAACAGTGACTCCGATTCCAGCAGTGAGTCAGAGTACGACGACTATGACGAGTACGAAGACGAGGTCATAGATCTCGACCCGAACCACCCGCTACTCGCCACTCGCCAGAATTTGGCCGACTTCGTGTACAGTGAGGGCAAATCATGGATGAGCTCGGCGATATACACCACACCGCCTCAGGACAGGCTCCCTCCCAAGAAGCGATGTAGGACTATCGATGACCACTTTGTCTTGGTCAAATATGAAGAGGGTGCAGATGATAATATGATTGCTCGCCGATTCGATGGGTTCTACCACCTGGCGTGCCCTTACTACCTCGCCAAGCCCGAGAAATACTATAAATCTTGCCTTCTTGGCCACTCTCTCCAGTCGATAGAGGATGTTATCGGGCACTTAATCCAGCACCACAAAGAGCCGCCGTACTGCCCTATATGCCGCCGGGAATTTGATAGCCCGTGGGTACGTGACCAGCACGTACGTACTAGAACATGTGCGGTCCAGAACTCGGGCGAGGTAGATGGAGTCAACGAACGGCAACGACGCAAGCTGCGCAAGCGGGATCGGGTGCGTCTGGGCGAGGCAACACGTTGGACGCGCGTCTGGAATACCGTCTTCCCCGGACTTGCGCCACCAGAGTCGCCGTATCTCCATGATGGCGTGGACGTGGCTGTGGCGATGATGCGAGACTACTGGGCGACTCGCGGTCCGAAGTTGGCCGAGGAGTACCTGGGTGACGCCACCCAGCTAGACTCACATGACGTGCAGACTCTGAATGCCTTCTATAGGCTGGTTCTGGATGATTTGCTGGGAAGGGTGTGGAATGATGTTGATTTTCGGAGTAGTGTTGGTGAAGCAGGCAGCAGCGGGAATGGTTGATGTTCAGGTTATGAAGGCGATGATGATGACTGATAACTCGTTGGCGTTTACGGTATAGACAGTTCATTTCCACCTGTAGGAGAGGGCAGATTGTAGACCATCTTCCCTTTGTATTTCTTACCTATAGATAATATCATCTTTGTATCAAGTCCCGCCTCCACAATGATTGGTGACATTCACCCGCCCCCATCCCATCTCATCTATCAACTCTCAATACGGCTTATCAAAGCAAGATGGTTACAGGATTGGCGCGGGCCGTCTAGTCAGCGGAATAAAGCCTCAGCATGGATCGCCCAAAGTTCTAAAATAGTAATAGTAAGACCGACAGCCTGCCACATTTCATAGGCCAGCCAGCACCGATGGCGTTCAGCCACAAGCAGCAGCCTTGCAGTCGTTAATCTCGCCAAAATAAGTTCTGCCCCCTGAGACCGCCTGTCACTCAGAAAACACCATTGGGCGATCCCCAAAGTCCATCTCATCTCATCTCCGCCGATCCACACACACAACCACCACGCGACCACCGTCCAGGGTCCCTCCTCCACGATGCCCAGTCTCGCCGCTCTCACAATCTACTTCTTCGGGCTCACGGCCCTCCATCACGGGGTCAGCAACCTGCTCTGGCCGAAGCAGGCCCTCGCCGCCAGGAAGCTGCCCGAGGCGGCCCTCCCCGCGCTCAACGCCTTCTCCATCACGGCCATCGGCATCGGCATCTACTACTGCCTGGGGGCGTACCAGGAGAACCGCGCCTTCTTCGCCCTGACGCTCGCGCGCTTCGTCTCCACGGCCATCTTTTGGGCGCAGGGCCCGGCATGGCAGGGGATTGCCAGGTTCGAGGGGATCTCGGCTGTCGTCACCGGGCTGGCGCTGCTTTACGAGGGGTCTGTTTAGATTGAGTAATGGATCTGTGTGCATGTGTGGATTGTTCGGAACAGAGCCCGCTGAAGGCCCTCGCCAACATAACTACTCGTCAAAATTCACGGCATGTGGTTTATGGATGAAAGCGGCGATGAATATATAACTTCGACATGTTCTAGACCTAAGTATCCCATGCATAATTGAACAGCTCAAATGATCACCAGGGAGTGCTTCTGGAAACTTGTACTGGGATGAGGATATTCTGATATGATGTCGGTGTAGTCCATATGCAGGCATCGCCGAGCTCATACCAACTCTTAATGAGAAAATGTTTGCGAGGGCGTCAATGTACTTTGCGTAGGGGTGAAGTGTAATCTATATTCCTATCCTTCGCAAGCTGTCACAAAAATTAAAGTGAGACGGGTAAGACCTGTGCAATTGCGTATTCGTAGTCACAGTCTCAGACAGGACAGCATCTGGCCGAGATGGAATGCCGTGTCTCAATAACCCCTCTTCCCTACCCGACATGGTCATCGGTGCATTCCAGATTTCCAATATTCCAGAAGCAAGCCAGCTCGTCCTTCCCTATGGAATGCTTAAACGCTAGTCGTGGAAGCCCAAGCGAACAGCAAACATTCTTTCAAGCTTGTTTCCTCTCATAGGTGACCAAAATAGCCACTCGATGTCGATTTGAACGACAGAAACCCCCTGCCAAAAAACTCGCGCCAAGTCAAAAAAGGAATGAAAGAACCGAAGGTCCAAAAGGATGACCTAAGTGTTGAGTAAAACCCAGCAAGTCAAGCCGGAACAGATTTCGGGTGTTTCACTTTTAGCTTGGCAGTCGGCCAGCTTCCCAGCAGCTCTGAGGATTCGATCTCTGATCTGGGAGCAGCTGCTGGGACGGACCCGGCAGGGAGAATGACAAGATGGGCCGATAGGATCCGGGTCTCCATGAGGTGTCAGACAGTGTCAGGCCGTGCGCCGTGTCTTACTCGCTGGCCCGTGGACTCGCTAGGGACGGCAATCAATCTGTGGGATTGGGGTAATTTCCGAGCTATATTTGTCTATGCTATGCGTGATGCTGCCAAGTGCGAGTTGCGAGGGCAGGCAAGACTGGATAAGAATAAGATGTTGGGCAGATCCTCATGATCATCCACGCAATCACTCCCATACCTTGGACCAAACACTCTTCAATTGCCAGCTCAAATTATCCAAGAATACGCCTGTCCAAGAACCCTCGTACGAATTCAATATGGCTTCTTCCAGTCCCCTCGCCAGCCTGCTTGGCTGCCCCTCGATTGACAGCTATATCTCCTCCTACATGTCCTACTTCTTCCCATGCTTCGCCCCCGAAAAGGGCACCACCATCAACGGCGTCCCCTCATTCCCAGACGAGAAAAGGATCAGCCTACTCCACGTGCAGGACATCAAGGCGCCCCGTCCGGCGGCGATACAAGACGACGATGTAGTTCGGCACCCGTACAGCAGCCCGGCCATGGCGGCGCGGCATTACCAACAGGGCGAGCTGCGGAATATGACGACCGAGCAGCTCATCAGGCTGCAGCACGAGGCTGCGGATGACCGTTGATCTGCCTGCCTTGCAATCACGTTGACATCGATCACACCAAGCTGGTAGTGAACAGCATCTCATTGTCGCAAATGTGCCAAACTCAGCCTATGCCACCCCAGAATTGAGAATGTGAGCAGGCACGCGCACAAATGAGGATCCATATTGGAGCGCACGGTGCGTCGATAATCAACGCCGGCGTGACCCCAAGCTCGCAAAATGGAAGGACAAAACGGCGCCGAGCCCTACGAGGCAGAATGGCTTCGTGGTGGGTGGATGGCAGCCAACTGCATCTCCGTTGGCTGGGATCGGAGATGATGGAGTCATCTGTGGCGATGCCTCGATGAGATGAGCACAATGCTATGCTAAGCTATGCGATGGCAGCATCTGATTCAATGCAATGCCATATCACGAATGTTGGGTGGCCAGTTCGGCCTCGCCATCAAGTTCCTCCAAGAGGGAATTTCCGCCACAAGCAGCTGTTGAGGGTGTCCACAGGTGGTCAATAGCGGCAGGCCGCCACTACAGGCAGTGACCATTGGGGCAGTGCAGTGCCTCTGCGGGGGGGGTAAGAGTGCCTGGAGATGCCCGGACAGAGCCTCAACGCCAGCAGTCTCAGTGACATCAATGCCCTGAGCGCACTCTTGTGCTGTAGCAGGCTGCATCAGTGGAGAGTCACTCACAAGGCTTCCATCATGTTTCCAGCCTTCACGATTGCATTGGGAGGAAGTGAGATGCATATAAGAAATCAATTGCCCGCCTGTCTGCAGAAGTAGATAGATAGATAAATCCGCTCATTGCTCGCTCTCTCATTCAATAATCATTCATGCAATCTTGGTATTCTCATCCATTCCATCGCGGTCTAGTAGCCGCCTGATAAATTTAGGTATCATCGCTGTTCCGTTCATCCAGTATCCATCAATCTCAAGCGAGATTCCCATCATGACACCGACGCCGTCCTTTATTCATTACGCCAAAGCGTTAAAAGCGTAAAGGAAAAAAGGGCAAAAAAGGTAAGAAAAGAAGTGTTCAATTTTAAGCAGGATGTGCAACATGTCACATCATCTGCCGGTCCGGAATCGGCGACTCGCAAGTACAAAACTGCAAGCCCTGGTTATTCTCGCAGGCCCAACACTTGGGGAACGACATCTCCGGCAACTGCGGATAATTGACCGCCGGCGGAAACACCATGATTCCAGGAGTGGGATCCGGCGGCTGCGTGCTGAACGGCATCAACTGCGGCTCGTCCAGCTTCATGGGGCCGGGGCCGGCGTCGAGGCTGGACCAGTCGTCGAGGTTGAAGGAGACGGCGCCATTCTCGGAGATGAGGGACGGCGGACCAGAGTGGTGGCTAGGGCCGCCTATGATCGGTAGATTTTGCGTCGTAGGTGAGACATTGTCGTAGTGCTGACTGTGCTGGCTGTGCTGGCTCATCTGGCTGAAGCTGGTCGTCATAGGCTGGGGGATCGTCGGCGACAGGTACGAGTCGACGCTGGGCTGGTGCTGGCTGTACTGAGGGAAGCCTCCAGCCGGGCTCATCGTAGTATCGAAATGATCAAAGCCCTCGCCAATGCTGACTGCCGGGCTGTGCACGAGCGAGTGGGCGCTGACAGGCTCCATCAGCGGCTGTGACTGTGGCTGATGCTGCGGGATGCTGGCAAAGTCAACATCCAGCGACAGCTCTGGCTTCATCTTGGGCTGCCGGAAGGGCTGCTGTAGCTCCTCTGGCGACTGATGAAGTGACTGACGGTTGCTGATGAAGCCGCCGCCGCCTATCTGTGGTGACGCCGAGCTTGAAGGTAGTGATGGACGACCTGGGTCCTGCCGGTAGACTGGCGCAGGAGGGCGAGAATGATTCAGGTTATAGGCCTCGGCGAGAATCTCCTCGACAAACGCCTGGGTCTCCTTGCGGCCCAGGTCCACGCCGTGCTTGCGCAGCAGGGCGGGAAGCACGCTGTGTCGCAATGTAGGCTCCTGTATCTGGCGAAGCTGTGATGTCGCCTCGGTTGGGATGTCGCGTAGATACGGGTCAGGAGGCTCTCCCGGGAAGAACTCCTTCCACATCATCCGGTATTTCTCGCCGTCGCTGGCTCCTCGGGGAAGCTTCTTGAGGAACTCGAGCTTGTCGATAGGGATCTTATCCGGGTCGGGCGCGGTAGCCTCGCCACCGCAGCCGTTCTTCAAGTGGTGGTTCCAGGGCCCCTCCTTGGTCCAGGTCTGCTGGCAGTTATCGCAGTAGTAGTGGCCAGGCGAGTGGCATCGCTCGAGGTGCTGCTTGACGTCGGAGAATCGGCGGAGCTCGTATTTGCCCAGGCAGCGCTGGTACCGGAAGGGATCGAGGCGGAAGAAGGGACATGCCATGAGGAGTTCGGTGTCCTGATGCTTCCCCTTGGTCGTCTTGAGGATGAGCTTCTTCTTCCAGCGCAGCAGGCTCAGGAACACGCCGAAGAAGTTCTCGGCCTTGGCGCTCTTCCCGTGGAATCCATCATTATGGTGCATCGAGTGGTCGGTCGCATAGTGGTGGTGGTGGTGCGGCTCGTGCTCGTTGATCGGGAAGGAAATGTCGCGGTTCTGCGCGTGGGCAGGTGGATAGGAGCTACCGCCAGCTGGAGAGGAGTAGAGAGTTAGTTCTGCCGAGGTAAGGATCGACAGCCCTCGCTGCGGATCGAATTGCGTACCTTTGGACGATTTGCTGCCCTTGCGGGTGGTGTTCTTCCTGATGACGCTGCCCTTGAGCGTGCCACCGCCGGTGAGTGCCCTCCTCAAGCCTCCGACTGTGCCGAGGTTAGTGCATGCTCTGCCGTCCGTCTCTGCTGGCCAGATGCGTGACTCACAGGGACCGCTGTGCGAATGAGTAGACGGGCTACGGGGGTGCGTTTCATGGGACAGCGACGCGCGCCCTCTCATGGACGGTCCTCTCGATAGCGACGGAGCCATCGTATATAGCGGGTATGTCGATATGGCTTCGAGATCGGATTAGGCAAGGCCGCTAGCAGGTTTTCTCCGGCCAACAGTTTCGTAGGAGAGCAAGTAGAGTGGCAAACCTGGGGCCACGAGCTTTCATATAATCAGCGATCGCCGGCGTCTAACAGGGACTTGGCAGGTCCCCGTCTTGCATCTTATGCGCAAGCGCCCGGAATGGGACAGCAGGCGAAGACGAGGCGACCAAAAGCAGTGTGCTCAGCCATAGAGATGCACATTAGGCTGGGCTATTCTGGGTCGTTCAGCCCACGAAGGCGGCCAGGGCGCTTACGCTCCTCCTGGTACGAGGCCACCCCACAGCCCGTCACACAGATCCATCAGCTCTGCTTTTCTTGCTTTCGAATTTGCAACAATGCCTGGCTCGGGCCGTTGGAGGGCTGCCCTCGGTCTGTTTAGTGCCTCTCGTAGTGCCTCTTGTAGTGCACTTCATCGGTCACTCGACGGGAACGCCGCCGTGCCGTCGCGGCGCTATTAGTTGCCTCTTTGTCTCGTTGTTGAATTTTGGCTTTGTTTTCTATGTTTCTGACCGTCCCGTGCAATGTTTTTTCTCCCACTTCCCTGGAACCAGAGTGGCTGTGATGTCATGACCGGATATCTTGATGGGTCGTCCCATCTGGAACAGCCCAGACCCAATGTGAGGCCGGCCCCCTTTCCCCCCTTTTGTGACTGATGTGCCATGGCTTCAGGTTCAACAGCGCCAGATGCATGGCCAGCAACCAACAACACCAATCCTCACGGATGTGGTGGGCATTCAACACATCGGCGAGTCACAAATGCCTGGTTCACGAATGTGAGCATAGAGATAGCGTCGCAAATTCGAGATATTTAAATAGACAAGGAGTCTCTCCTCAAACTCAATTCAATCCAATTCAATCAGTCCATCCAATTCAATTCACAATCTTCAAATCTTCAAATCTGAGATCCCATCTTGACGTTTCATCCAGCGAACCGTCTCCACATCACATTGCGGCTTGGCATCATACGCACATACAAGCAGTGCACACTTCACATACCGGAGAAAACACGAGACAAGACAAAATGAGCAATTCCAAGTACAGCTCGTAAGTGGCATACATCCCACCTATCCAGAATCAGAAGTGACCGACTAACTGGTGTTCCAGAAGCTACAAGACATCCTCCAGCAGCTACAAATCATCCTCCAGCAGGGATCCGCTCAGCGCTGCTCGCCTCAACAGCTTCATGCAGGACGATGGCTTGGCCTACCAACAGCGACTACTGAGTGGTAGCGCCAGGTCATCGTCGTCATCCACGTCGCGGGGCAGTGCACAGCCCTCCTACTCCTCCTCCAGCTATTATTCGTCGTCCTCGTCGTCGTACGGCTCCTCCTACTACTCCTACGGGAGTGCACAGCCACAGCCGCGCCCCAGGCAGTGACCCAGGCGCACTGCGGGCAGACTGAGTCACGTCTTTGATCCCAGGCTGCCACACAGGCAGACCGACTGAGAATGGTTCGGATGGCCTATGCGAACCATCCAAACCACCTGAATTTTCTTACGACCAGAACACGGGGAGTTTTGCTTTACTTAACTGTTTTCCAATGTACACCACCAGAGATACCATAGAATGAGCAGGCAGAGTGTGGCTATGCAAATCAGCCACAGCCAGTCACATGATGCACAGCATGAATCAATACAGCCATCAGAATTGAATTGCACTAGAAACCGATTGTGCCTTGCCAAGTGACAAACGTCTTACCGAGATCATGCCTTGTTGAGGGGAAATAATAATATGCGCTGGGCATGCAGTTTGCTTCCTTTTTTCCTTCGCTTTCGGTCTCTTGGTCTCTTACTTATCCTTCACCTCCCCTTATTTTCTCATGCTGTCCATGCTTATTCGCATTGACAGAGCCTCGTAGCTGGAAAAATATGTGGTTGATCGAGTGAGGGTGCGGCTGACGATGATCATTATCGTCCAAGCCGACCACCATCTCGCCTCATTCCTGCAGCTGAGACAGCTACAAAACACTGCGCCGTGTTCTCCAAACACTTTATGTTTATTTTCGTCAGAATAAGCAAAATGAAAACCGAGTTTTCATTTCATTCCTGCTCTCGCGACGCCTTGATTGCGTTCTCTCGTGGTGGTTGCGTTGCTTGATGTAGGGTAGCTAGCACTCTGTAGCACTGCCCTGTGTAAATCAGCCAGGGGCATAACCTTGGGAACGGAAGGGCCTCTCTATAATATAGATCTTTCGAAACCATAGGTAACTAGCTAGGCATAGACTTGGCCCTCCGGCAGAAAGTGGCTGGGATATCGGGTGCCGCGCGGTCCACGTAATTCGCCCAGCGTCTGCTTACAACATACATAACTACCTTGACCTAAACAGCTGCCTCAAAGCGTATGTCCAGTCCACACAATTGTGAAGACCTACCGCAGGCATTTTCTACCCCTCCTTTTCCGAACTGCCCAATGAAGTTGTCTCTCCTCTTCTAGCCTGATCAGCTTCTCCTAGTTTTGCCAAATGCACGTCATTTATTGGGACATCTTTTTGCCACTTTCCATGGGCCACCACGCTGTTCTGCCTGCCTAGTCTCGCTGGAGACGATCGTATTCTACGGACCATAAGATCATATACAACCCGGGCGTTCCAGAACCAACAAAATGGAGCCTTGGAAGCGTAAACGGCCCGAGATCCGACCTGCTGCCATTGTCATCACAGATGTGAGATCAGCACGCGAAGAAATAATAACAGCCGCATCAGTGACCCCAGATTCGGGACGAACCCCAACAACTCCAAACTTAGACTCACGGCACGAAGATCACGCGACGACCTCACCGAGAAAGCGAATATACATGGACGGAGATAGGCTGGGCGTGGATGGTCCATGGCACGGCAGCAGGAGAGGTTCGCAGAACAGCCATATCACATCGGCCACCTCGCCGAGTAGTGCTGCGGATAGCTTCATCTTCGAATCGAGTCAAGAGTATATTAGTATCAAAGGGGATAGAAACGAGCTGGCGTATTATACAGATGCGTCCAGCCCCGCGTATCCTCAGGAACAAATATTCTGTGTTAGCGATGCACCTCCACCGCAAGACTTTACCTCTCAGGTGCTGGCTCAGCATGGAGCTCAGATAGGCCGAGGAGACTGGAGAGCTGGTAGAATAGGAACGCACATGGCTGGTCGTCTGGCGGACGGCACTTTCTCCTCGGAAGAGATACCAAGCATTCGCGTAGCGGTACCTGAACAACCTCAGGGATATCATGACTATGGTAGCATCCATCAGACAATCCCCTTGATGGTAAATATCAACCCTCTGGATAAATGCTATATAAAACCTCATAAGCTAACATGGGCTCAGAAGAGTGAACCTATGCCAAAACCGACGAGGTATCTAGATCACGCCGGGGATGGGCTGGGAAGTAGCAGCTTTTCTCCTGTATGTCAGAAATTACCCAATGCCCCTAATACGCCTTACATAGGGTTGATGGGAAGCCAGATAATGAACAAGGCGCAAAGGCCCCCAAATGAACAAGGAGGGGTTCAGCTGAACGCGGAAGTCCTGCTGCCAACGGCACCTCGGTTGCTCTCGAACAGGGTTGGGCCGCAGCCTAAAGACATACATAAAAGGGACGTGCCCGCCGTGCACATGTCAGCGAGTTCTTCTGACCTAACGGAAGGCGGCCAAAATCACCAACACAGGCAAGGCAACAAGGACGCATCTGCTCGCAAAATGAAGCCCCCTCCATTGGAGGGCTTGAAACGAGAAGCCACGGATCGATCTGACTTCCAGACGCCAAAGCGGATACGAGCCGGAGGGGGCCCGGATGAGAACAGCGAGGTGATAGACGACAGTGACCTCAACTCTCCCACCTGGGCGTGCCCGTTCTTCCGGCACGACCCTCTTGGTAACATGAACTGCCTGAAGCTCAAGCTCAAGCGGATAAGGGACGTCAAGCAGCACATCCAAAGACGCCACAATAATTCCGGCAACTATTGCCAGAAATGCTGGGAGAGTTTCCCCAGTCGCAAGAAAAAGGAAGAGCACCTCAACTCTAATAGTTGTGAGCCCATCGACCAATCGCTGTCGGTGAAGAAGGGCGGCATATCCGCGGAAGCGCAGGAGAAGCTGAAGCACCGCGCCCAGAGGAGTAAATCGGGCGATGAACAGTGGTATGACGTGTACGACATTGTCTTCAAAGGCCAGCAGGGCCCTGATAGGAGTAGTCTTGAGCCGCAACTCGGCACTTTGATTATGGAAACCACGCGGTTGATGCAGAGTTTTTGGAGGGATGAGAATGAGGACTGGTTTCCGGGATATCTAAGCAGACAACCGTTAGCGCAGGGCATGGACCAAGATGCGCTTCGTGGCCTAGTAGTTAATGTTATGGAAGAGATACATGTGCGGTTCGAGGAGAGGATTCGAGGTAGCAGCCCTCCCAGTAGGTGGGATAACGTCGCCGTCCCGGCTCTTGAGGCGCCGCCTTCTGCTATGGTATCGCCAACTACTGCATTCGCGACCACGGCTAACTCTCAGGATGTGAGTCTCATTGGGTGCCACTTGCAGCACGAGATGACACAACGCCCGAGCGAGATATGCGACGATGATCAATATCTTTACTATATTGATCCGAATTCTAGCCTTGCTAATGCTGATGAATACCTCCCATTTCATGAAGCTAATGCTTCATTCAATAATGCTTATGATATGGGAGGATGAAAAAATATTGATAGGGCATAAAATGCCCTATTGCTCATGGACATCTGGATCCGTGGCTGTCTGAGGTGGATTAACGAGTCAATGATATATGAAACGATGACCTTGAGATACGTTTTAAGGTACCTATCCGAACAGGATAAATATCCTACCTGTTTTACAGGCTATATTCCTCAATGTGGGGTAATAATTTGGATGACGAGCGATGAAGGTTCCAGGAGGGTTAGCACAGGAAGTGCTTCATCGCTACACTTGACAGTGCTACGGGTTGTCGCTATGGGGCTACAAGGTTGGTGTTTGTGATTCCGCTCTCCTTTCCTTTCCTTTTCTTTTTAATTAAATAGACAAATCAAAACAAAACAAACACTTTCGTTAATATCTGAAAGGTTTATATCCCATGTGAGCCATTTGGGTGGGTAGTCTCGTGGTTTCTTTATCTCGACATAGATATTTCTTTTTGTTGAAAACTTTGTCATGTATGATTAAAGATTGACGCCTCACCTTGGATTCGCAACATCATTGAACGTTTTCGTCCTTGAATGATGACTAGAATGCAATGTGTTGAAGAGTGACGGAAGGAAACTCTCAACTGTCTGCTTTCAGTACACACTCTACTTTCAAGCATGGAGTTTGATTGGCATCAATCAGTCATCTTTGGCAGCAAAACTGAAGAGGGATCGTTGCCAGTCATCTATCTTGACTTGAATCGCACGCAGAAAGGAATGCGAATTTGGGCTTTTGTAATTCTGAAAACTGGTAACATGTGATGTATTCCACGATGGGGAGGACGACATTAGAAGAAGGTCCATGAGCATTTAGTGTTACAGACGAGTACAAACATAATGATGCTAGGGGATCGGTGAACATCTAGTCCGGAGGCCTTCCAACTACTTCTTGCATTAGTCCCAGAAGTATTGCTTCGCCTAACGTTTATAGCCTGCGTTGGCTTGTCAGCTTATCCCCGCCGTCCGCACAAGAAGCCAATGAGCCAAGCAGGATCACCTCTGGCTAGCGCTGGGAGACAAAGATCTCCACTGTCAACCATTTTAGGTCCTCTGCATGCAAGACAGCTGAAAGGTTTAAAGGGTCTGGATTCGCCGTTGGGTTTTCCAGCCTGTGTCTAGACTCTTCGCCGTTTCCAAGAGCCCAAAAACGATTTAACGAGGCGCAGGCTCGCTCTCTCGAAACGACCGGTTATGACATTCGACCCTTGACCCAACGATCGCGATATCTGCTAGACCTTTAGACGACTGGGTCAATGTTGAGCTTCCCCACGAATTTAGGGCTGTCACCGGAGTTGGATCGATTTCTGAAACCCCTCTGGCCTCCACCCACACCTCCAGCCCTCTGTTGAATCGCACCCGATGCGACCCCAAAGCACCGAGGGGATCAATGACCCCGCCTACGACTGTCCTGAAGATTTCCATAATGAGGGAGGAGATGGAGACTTAGGAGGAGAATCGCCTTCACTGGCGAAAAATCCCCTGCTGGCGCCGGAGGAGATCGAGTTGAAATCGTGGGATGACAAGGGCAGCGTAGCCATCAATCACAAGGAGCCCAAGAAGACAGTGGTCAGCAACAGCAGACTGTTAGTCTTGTGGTGCTTTGCATTGTTTCACCTGCCTGCCATCGCCATCACCGTTTCCCTGCTCGCCCTCTACATCAAGCAGGTCCAGTGGAATCCTGGCCACCCGACCAGCGAGGAGCTGAGCATCCTCCAGTTCGCAGCCAAGGCACACGAGACGTTCATTCTGCTCTCCTTGACCGAGGTGCTTCTGTATAGGATTCGTTCGTGTCTTTTAGGGGAAGAGGGTATCCCCATTGGGTTCCTTGCGTCGGCACATTATATTGTTGCGCCGTTCAACTACCTGTTTAGCCGGGAGTTCTGGGGCACCGCGTTTACATATACGACGAGACGCCTTTCGCACGGGATTACAGTTGGGTTGTTTATCCTGCTGGTGGCCATTGGTATTGGTGCAAGCCCATTCTCTGCCATTGCCTGCATTCCTCGCCTTCTCTGGTGGGAGGTCGGCAATTCCACCCAGGTCGGCGGCCCAGAGGCAACAACCCAATATATCCATCCCGGAACTGTGTTCCAGATGAACCTGACGACCCCGTATCATGTGCCGTCGCATTCACTGATATGCGGAATCATGGAGTCTAACTCACCAGGGTCTTGTCGTCAGACCAGTGTAGAGCCGATGATTAACGAGTTGTTTTCTGTTGTCTTTGGTGACGAGCCGTATATTCCACATATTGAGAACATCACTAGCACAAGGAGCGGGTTTCCTGAGAATGCGCGTCCCATCTCCTTGACAGTGTCTCGCTCGGTGCCTACGTCTCCCAAACCATTTGGGGCTGCGTTTGCGACAGCGTCGATGTACTTCACCAGTCTGGCGTTGATCAATGCGAGGAAGTTCTTCCCCCAGGAAGACAGGAACACGCCTGGGATGCTCCAGTCGCGGCCGTCAAAGGCAGACGAGTTCCCTCTGGGTAAGTGGAAGCAGCCGCTCGTAGCCGTCAACTGCAACGCGACACTGCGCAAGAAGGACTCTGTCCCCTCCAAGGACAATATGATGAAGTTTAGCTTTTATGAGAACTCGTTCCATAAGAACTTTTCACTCGAACTGGAAAAGGGCGCGGGGAACCTGAAATTTCTGGAGGAGTTCGGCAACGGGTCTGCGGCGTTCAACCCTGTTTTCCTCGATATTCAGGACAAGGTTGACGTGCCGATCAGCGCGGCTATTCTGTTCGCAGGCAACGTGTCCAGCATTCCCGGCTCAGCATCGTCCACTACCCTCTGTCTTGTGCAAGCTCGGTGGGTGGAGGCAGAGGCTTGGATGAACGTGAATGAATCCCCCAACACACATGTTCAGCTGGAAGTGCCGTTACCAGAGGTGCCAGAGTTTATGACTGAAACATCGACGACGGGAAATGTAATTCAACTGGGGCACGAGTGGCTCGGTGCCATGGACGCTATAGCGGATAGCCAGAACTTCACAGAGTCTGTGTCGGCGTATGGAGAGGCGTGGAGGATCTGCCGGACCCAGTCACTGCCGTACTGCATGCCCGTTTTCATTTCAGTCTATCTAACTGACTTCCTGACGTTTGTGGGAGAGCTCCAGACGTATATACCGCCAACTAATCCGGACCACAACCCAGCCGCCACGCCTCCGGATGCTGACCAAGTTATTATTGACATGATATACTCGCGATACAGGTCTGGCTATTCATTTAGGGACAGTATGCCAATCCCAATAGCATTCGCCGTACTGCTGCTGCATGCCATCATAGCCATCGCGCAGACAATTTGGATTCTGGCCGCGCGAGACCCTTGGTATAGCGTCGCATGGGAGAGCTTTGGGGAGATGATTGCCCTCGCACTGCGATCCAAAGACCCAGGAGGGCTTCACAACATCGGTGGAGGCATCAAGAGTTCCAAGACCTGGAGCACGAGGGTCGCGGTAAGGGAAGTAAGTACGGAAGGCCGTCGGCTGGAATTGGTTATGTGTAGCAGTATCCCGAGCCAAGAAGGCACATATGTATCTAGCCCCGACCCTGCCCGACATGCTGCCCTGCGGCGTATTCGTACTGGGATGCAGTATAGCTAAATTCAGTTTGAGTACTAACTAAAGTTCATGATAATATCCCGAACACCAATGGTCGGTTTTAATACCGTGAGTGTCACTATCACTGTTCAGGATATATTTGATACTCAAGTGCCTAGAGTTCTGCTCTAGCACTCGGCCTGTGATCTGAGCTCTCCTTCTTGAAGGCACGCGCGGATATCATCTGCGATTTTATTGATCTTCCATGTCTCACAATATTCCAGTCAATCATGTAAGAAATTCAAGCAAATCAAAACCCTAAGTACATCAACAGACAATCTCAGGTCCATCTTCCTCATTGAACCTCATCGCTCAGTAACTACCTAGGAAGCCTATTGTTTTGGGTCTAGGCCATAGTTCTTTAGAAGTTGATGGTCTTGGCCGTCTTTTACCCCAGCTGGAAGATTGCTCCTAATCAGCAGCGCATGAGCTTCGCTCCTCGGAGTGAGCCGATAAGGATATTCTTTCGGATGGGCAACAATTCCAGGTTGAACCTCCAGTATTGGGTCAATCTCAACCCCATGGCTGTCAACAGCTTTGTTAATGTTGAAAACGGCGATTGTTTGGGCTATCGTTAGAAAGAGGCTTTGGTCAGCGAAGATGCGAGCAGGACAGATCCTACGTCCTAGCCCGAACACATATTCCTTGGGATCAAGCTCACTGCATGGAGCCATATATCGCTCTGGTAGGAATGCCTCCGGATCGTGGTAAACACGTCTGTCCCGCGTAAAGGCGAAGGTATTTGCAATCACAGCAGCTCCCTTTGGTATGAAATAGCCTTGAAAGACTTGATCTTCATCGCTTGAATGTGCAAGGCCTTGCGGTATGACAGACTGCCATCGGTACGCTTCCTTTATGATGCCATCAATGTATGGTAATTGATCTTGGTCTGCGAAAGTGGGTAACCGATTTGGCCCTATCACCCTGTCGATTTCTTCGTGGGCCTTGGCAAGAACATCGGGGTACTTTACCAGAGCTAGATATAGAAACAACAAGGTTGAGTATGTTGTGTCGGCTCCACCCGCAAATAGTGACACTGCTGAGTACTTGATATCATTCTCATATCCAGGGTCGAGTTTCTCCTCCTCAGTCTTTGATAGAAGATTGGACACGTAAGATGGCTGGCATGATTTGTCTCCAAGTTGACGTTTGACGAATTGAAATGGAATATTGACTGCTTCTAGGACCTCTCGGTTCCATTGGATTGCTGTTTGCATGAAGCCAGCGCCCGGACACCAGGTTGGAATATGTCTGAGAATAGGGAAGGCATCCACAAACCAACCTCCTGGCATGACGGCTGCTCCGAGTCGATCCAACATACGACGAACAAGAAACAACAGCGGGTCATCAATACTGGTATTGATATCGTATCCATAGGTGAGTTTCAGGATGATAGCAGCGCCTTGACTATAATCAAACGTTAATCTTTACTCTCCATTCCTTTCATATAATGCAGATCAATGAATTAAGAGGGATAAAGAGAGGAACATTAAGGCATACATTTCTATATTTTTGAATAGATTCTCAGGGAATTCCAGCATCCGCACCAGAGTTCGGCCGACTTCTCTCTCTAGAAGCGATTGTGTTGATGCGACAGCTTGCTTTGATCCGATGTGCTGGAGGATCAACTTTCGATGAAGACGCAAGGTATCTCCATATGGTTGTCCGATGGTAAATTGGCCAAAGCCACACCTGTTCCAAGAAGTCAGTATCCCAAGAGTCACGGTGGTGAAATCAATGATATTCCATCACCGGATCGGGTGACGGGCAGGATAGTTGGCCTTTACTCACATCCGCCACCCAAATTCTAGCCATGGCCGTGAGGAGTTCTTGGCCCCTCCTTTATCGAGTAATTCAACTGCCAGGCTTCTGTCGTGTAAAACGACGATGGTTTGCCCCATGGCTGTTATGGATGTAATGGGGCCGTATTTCTCATGGTGCGACTCCCAATGTTTCGCTTCTGGAAGTCCCTTTGGGGGGAGATCCAGCACGTTTCCAATAATTGGGAGTGGCTTTGGGCCAGGAGGAAGACTTATGTGAGATTTACGTCGCCATTTCTCATAGGCAAGACATAAGCCACAGACGATGATGGCAGATTGAGCTAGAAGGATTAGGTTCAACATGTTTCAATCTCAGCAAGTTGTTAGAATTGCGGCTCCATGAAATCTCACAGCTGAGGAGTTTACCACCAGTCTTTATAGTTTTCCGCATATCAAATACAGTATGGTAAGCTGCACGTATCATAATAATGCCATGCTCGTGAACGGAACCTTTTCCGCAGGACAATTGCAGATGGATGACTGTGTTTTTCCCATTTTAGGCATGATACTACGACTAGGTGGCCTGGACCCCATTTGTCGATCAGGTTTCTTTGGGCATAAAGTGCATTCATAGGTGGGTGCCGTAGTACTGAAATACTTTTCATTGGCTTACGGGTGTTGGACATACCGATAGCTGAGGGGAGCAAATGCAAGCAACCCTCCATGGCCGAGATTAAGATGCAGAGTACTTGCATACGCGATGTCGGGAACATGCATAGCTTGTACATGTGGTCCAATAAGCGGCTAGCGACAGATATCGATCTCGGCCCAAGCTACATCCTACGTAATTCACATGATGGTCGGTTCAGCTGTATGCAGGTAATCAATATAAGAATGATCTGCTTGGCCCTAACATGTTTCGGGACAGCATTTCGCGGCGGTCGAGTTCAGGACACCTTGAACTTGCTTAAGATATTCCTTACTCCTTGATATTTGCTTTGACGTACTATTCTTGGATGAATTGCAAGGCCGCTCAAGGCTACGGCGGTGGCTGTAATCTGCCCATGTTGCGAGGGACTGGTGATTTTAGATAGAGATAATATTAACACCACGGGCCAATCACGCTCCCACATGCCCCTCAACGAATCGACATGTGACCTCTCTCAGTATACGTAATTGTGCATGGCATAGCAAGCTTGGGACCCCTACTAATATATGCAACTCTATCTTACAAATCAATACTGCAACCTCGATCAGATGTATTGCATATCAGGCTCTCAGCTAACGCTTCTTGGCGTCCGCTACGTGTCCGTGTTGCTAAGATTCGCCTCACACGAAAGCTTGAGACCGATGATCCTGCCATATTGATGTTTCTCGTATCCTCCCATTCCTTGGCCAACGACGTAGCTAAGTCACGCGGTGTTCGCCATTCTGTACATTGGCCCACATCTTCTACGGAAAGCAATGGAACCTCTGAGCTCGAGAGAATTTACCCTTAGACTACGGGACTACCCGCGGACATGGGGTAAGGTTACACTGCAGACATTGCGCTTAAAGTTACTCTGTAGTTCAGCCCAAGGCGTTGTTCTGTTCCTGGCCAATACATTGATGTTGTAGTCGGTGTCTGGGGGTCTTGACAATAATGATGGGATCGATAGGTGGACAAAAAAGGGCAAAGAATTATGCATCGCAAAGTCAGCCTGAGGTGCTTTTGCAACCGCCAAGTTCTTGTAGTCAGCACTCTGCTGCCTTACGTGTTGTGTCATAACTACAAAACACTCGTCTTTGGAGCTACACGACTGGATTTGCCTTGCGATATTGTGGGGGTTTCTTCCTCGTATCATAGACTATAAAGAAGGCTATTGCCCCGAGCGCGGAGAGGTATTTACTTGCGGTTTCTAGGGCAAAAGCCACTTGCTGCTCTTCGCTACAAAGACTGATGTTGTAGGTGGTATGCAGGATCACCAGAGATTCTCACTAAGCCTACCCTCAACGCAGGCCCATCTTGCCTCACTGAGGCTTCTGTGGCCATGATGCAATGTGAAAAATGGACAAATAAGAGGCGGCGGTCCGTTGGCCCAGTCAGCCAGGCTCCGCCGCATACGTCAATACAACAAAGGTCCAGTAAGCAACGCCGTGCTCCTCATGCTCCTCATGCAGGGAGAAGGGATCAACCCGCCCAAGTGACTTGTTCTTGCGCCAATAGCTCGTGGTTGCGTCACTCTCGCCTGCTCGCTGCTTCGGTTATGTGAGCGTCAACTGCGGAAGCATCCGCCCATAATCCGACGCTATGGCTGCAGAAAGGTGCTTTGGCGAGACGTTCGTAGCCCCTCAGTGGCTTCCTGGAGGCCAGGCATTTTGGTACCGCCGGAAGACGGGCGAAAAGACAGTCAAATTTATTCTCGTCGACATTCCGCGAAAGACAACTCGTCCTGCGTTCGACCACGCGCAGCTTGCCAACGCAATGGAGAAATGCGCAGGAGGAACCAAAATCGATTCGAAAGCACTCCCATTTTCTTGGATAGAGCTGGAGGACTCAAGTGTCCGCTTCCGCTTTGATGGGCAGATATGGCAGTATCGGCCTGGAAAAAGCCTTGTGAAATCGCCTGGAGAGTTTACCCAGGGAAACAGGACGCTCATGCGGAGGCAAGAGCCTTCTACTAGCAATCATGCTAGCGAGATTGCCTCGGTTACTTTCACCAACTCTACAAGGGCGCCTTTAAACTTGTACCAAGTCAACGAAGAGGGCGTAGAAAAGATTTTTATGCCCTTGTCAGTAGGGAAGAAACTGGTTCAGAAAACGCATGCTGAGATGTTCTGGAGAATTGAAGATCGTGATTCCGGCCAGTTGAGAGGCATCTACCGTGTGCCGGATGTGGGACACAGTGCTGTTGTTGTGGGCGAGGTCGATGTCGATGAATATCTAGGCCCTGGAAATGATCTTCCTGAGGGCTGGTCACAGCGAAGGGATAGCAATGGCCGCATCTATTACTTGGATCATAACACTAAAACCACTCATTGGGATCTTCCTGCCATCCTGGATGATTCGAAGAACCAGGAAACCACTGCTGAAAAGCCACCTAATGGCGAATCAAAGGGCAATGAGGAGATGCAGACTGAGCAGATGGATGATGACAATAGATCAACAAATAGCTGCGATGGCCAACTCAACATAGGAGGCCTCCAAGTATTCGTAAAAAAAGGCAGCCTGTGGCTAAAAGACAAAGATGGAATCGAGACCCAGCTCTGTGAGCCAAACCTAAAAGGCTCCCGCTATGCAAATGAGACGATCTACGTATCTCCCGACAAGAATTTCCTCATCGCCTGGCAGTATACATTTCCTACTGAAACTAAAGAATTCTGGATTGACTATAGCCCTGACACTTCAAATCACCCGAAGCTGGTTGAAACCCCGAGCAAGTTGCTTGGGGATGATCCAGGGTTTGACCGACCTCGCCTATTCAATCTTGCCTTAAAATGCGAGATCAAGACAACAGACGACTTCTTTCTCGGCCAGTATCAGTTGCACCATCTAGGATGGAGTCCGGATGGTTCAGAGTACCGTCTTTTATTTGATGGACGCGGGCATCAGGTTTTGAAAATCCTGGGCATCGACCAAACAGGATCCATCCGAGTGTTGCATAAAGAAGAGACTCAAACGTTTATTGACGTTACATCTAAGATGTATTATCAGCTACTTAAAAGGTCCGACAGGTTACTTTGGGCCAGCGAGAGAGATGGATATAATCATCTCTATCTGATCGATTTACAACAAGGCAGAATACAGCATCAGGTCACGCAGGGGCACTGGAACGTGCAAATGGTTGAATCAATTGACGAAGAGAATGAACAAGTCTGGGTTTCTACCTACGGGTTTCATAGAAATGAAGACCCCTATCATGTACACCTCATACGTGTCAGTTTTGATGGCTCCAATGTTCAGCCCCTGACAGAGGGTGATGGAACGCATTCCTGGAGCTGGCCGATGGATGGTCAGAAGTATTTTGTTGATTGTTGGTCCCGAGTTGACCTTCCACCGCAGACCATGGTTCGGTGCGGCGTAACAGGTATCCCCATATTGAAAATCGAGGGGATAACTACCAAGGCATTGAGACAAAAGGGCTGGGTTCCTCCAGAGCGATTTCAATGCCCTGGCCGAGACGGGATAACACCTATATACGGTATCATCATCAAACCATCTAACTTCAGCAAGTTCAAGACCCATAAGTATCCGATTGTCGAGGATATTTATGCAGGGCCATATGACTTCTTCACACCGAAGAGTTTTGGTGAAGCGATACATCAGACTACATGGTCAAGATGCGGCTACGTGTCTGTCCAAGTAGATGGTATGGGCACCAATTGGAGGTCCAAGAAGTTCCACGACGTCTGCTATAAAAATCTCATGGATGCTGGGTTTCCAGACCGTATCATATGGATGAAAGAGGCAGCCAAGACCCGCCCCTGGATGGATCTCAGCCGAGTAGGGATAGTAGGCTCGTCTGAAGGAGGCGCGAACGCTGTCGCTGCTTTACTACACCACGGTCACTTCTATAGAGTTGCCATCTCCAGCTCTGGTGCGCATGACCAGACACTTTCCAACTTGTGGTGGTCGGAGCAGTGGCTGGGTTATCCAGCCGACGAGTCAGCCGTGGATAATTCAAACACAACCCATGCGAAGAAGCTCCCTCATAACGCAAAGTTGATGCTTATTGCCGGAGGTATGGATCATGCACTGAACCCTGCATCGGTTATGAGGTTTGTCCAAGCACTCAATAAGTGTAACAAGATGTACGACTTGGTTTTTATTCCAGATGGCGGGCATGAATGCGGCTCGGAGCCTTATGCACTTATGCGAGCAGAGGCTTTCTTGAAAGCCAATTTGGGCTCTTGAATAGTGCTTAAAATGTCAATAGAGTAGTTATACAGCTGCCACATCAAGCCAAGCTAAGGCGGCCAGGGCGGTGCTCTGCGATAAGAGCAAAGGTTGAAGAAGTCGGATTTCGCTGCCGTGGTAACCAGCAAGCGTTCGGCTTCGATTTATGGGTGGCCGAATCTCGCTTGGTGCGATTGGCTCTTGCCAGAAATGAAGATCAGAGGATCGTAGGATGCGTAGGAGATTTTAGGTAGAAAGTTTAACAATAGAAGAAGCCAGACCCGACAACTCAACACAATGAATGATCGTGGCTTACAAATAGGTAGAAGGAGGTCGGGTGGTCATAGAAGATCATACGGAGAAGGAGTCACTACGCCTTGAAAGAGCTTTGTAAGGTTCGTTGTTTGTGTCGAACATTAGGTTTATGAGCACGGGCTACAGTGTCGAATCTTGGTTTAACCGCCTCTATAAACCTCCGGTTCTACCTTAATCGTGCTACAATACTGGATAAAGGATACATGGCTTTGTGTGTAGCAGGGCCATAGAATCTCACAATTGATGAACGATGAAGGTTTTCATTGTAGACTTCTTGATGTAGCCCCTAGGTGTCAGTTGCTAAATCCACATGTTACTCAATGAATCCTTGCTTGGAGGAGTTACTCAAATAATTACCACTATATGAAACGGTTCACGGGCACCTGTAATGAACAAGCACCTTGGTAAATGCAGATGGGAAGATAGCGTGGACCTGTGAGGAGATGAGTATGTCCTAACCAAGGTCACAACGGGATTAGCGCTCCACAACGCGTGAAAATTTGCCATGCACGTTAATTATCACTATAAACCCTTTAATGATACCTCCTGGGTTTTGAATAAGGGAGGCAGGAGTGATCGCCTTGATACATAAGAGTCAGCGGAGCAGGGGTTATTGCGCGATAATAACATAACACACAACCACATGAGTTTGAATACACACACATTATTGACCCAAATAAGAACTTGTTATTATCCGTATCCGTTGAATCCAACCGATGTAATACTAACACAGTAAGCAGATCAATGTGGCCAGCTTACGGCCTTGCCCCTCAAAGAAGAATCTGCCTGGTTAGTCTCTAGGCAACTCACCTCTGCCTTTGCAACCTCTTGGAGGCTGTTTGTCATTCGTCGAGACTTGGACGCTTAAGATTGGACGGACGTATTACTACTTCGCACGTTATCGAAACAATAAGGCGCAATGTCTGGCAACCAACTGACTCACAATGATTACTCCATCGGATGGATATGCGCATTACCAAAAGAGCAAACTGCGGCGAAGGCTATGCTGGACAAGTTCCACGGCCCTCTCAGCAAGCCCAAGGAGGACCATAACGCGTATACGTTGGGCTCAATCGGTAAACACAACATTGTCATAGCCTGTCTCCCCCGAGGAGAAATGGGGACCAGCTCAGCGGCAGTTTCTGCGGCACAGATGGCTCACACGTTTCCAGCTATCAAGGTTGGCCTTCTGGTTGGGATTGGAGGCGGCGTCCCGCCTACTGTCAAACTTGGCGATGTCGTGGTTAGCACACCTGTCGATCAATATCCTGGTATTATTCAATGGGACTTTGGAAAGGCCGAAAAGGATGGCAAGTTCAAAAGAATTGGCGCTCTTAATAAACCTCCAAGGGCGCTCTTGACCGCGTTGACACAGGTGGAGAGCGATCATGAGATGTATGGGTCGCAGATTTCTCAGTATCTGGACGAGCTGAAGGAAAGATTTCCAAAATTAGCAACCAAGTATACCTGGTCTGGCGCTAGGAAAGATCCTTTGCACGAGGAAGACGCATGTAACTCTGGCCCCGAGGATCTTGTTGTCCATTACGGGCTGATTGCATCTGGTAATAAGGTGATCAAGGATGCCAACACCCGTGATGAAATTAACGAGATGCTGGGAGGGAATGTTCTGTGTTTTGAGATGGAAGCAGCAGGACTAACAGATTTCCCATGTCTGGTTATCAGAGGAATATGTGACTATGCGGACTCAGGCAAGAACGACGATTGGCAAGAATATGCCGCAGCTGTTGCGGCGGCATTTGCCAAGGAATTACTCGGCTACATCCAGCCAAACGAGTTTGAGGGAGAGCTACCAATGAAAGATGCCCTTGAACGGAGTGAGTATTTCTGCTGCACACAGATGGGATGGCATGGGGCTAACAATGAAGCAGTCCATGCCGATATAACTACCACCCAAGGGGATGTCACATACATCCGATCGGAGATGGAAAATAACGACGATCGAAAAATTTTAGACTGGCTCACATCGATTAATTATGGACAACAACAGAGTGATCACTTTAAACGGCTGCAGCCGGGAACTGGGGAATGGCTAATCGACTCGAAAGAATTCCAACACTGGTTGAATACCGCTCACCAGACGCTTTTCTGCCCAGGCATCCCCGGGGCCGGCAAAACAACTCTGACCTCGATGATTATCAACCATATCAGTTCCAAGTTCAGCAGTGATGCCGAAATTGGAATTGCTTATATATACTGCAGTTACCGGCAGCAGGAAGAGCAAGAAACCGGAAAATTGTTAGCCAGTGTGCTGAGGCAGCTGACTCAACGAGTTCATCCATTGCCAGACAGCCTGAAGAATCTCTATAACACTCATGGGAGTACACAGACTAGGCCGTCCGAGAATGAACTGCTTGAAGTTCTTCATCTTGTTGTGCCGAGATATTCGCGAGTCTTCCTCGTGATCGATGCACTTGACGAATGTCAAACTTCCAATCACCGCATCATCAACTTCCTTGATAAGCTTGTCGAACTCCAAAGAAAGCATGGAATAAACATTTTTGCCACGTCACGCTACATTCCGCATATTGTCAATCACTTCAGAAGCAGCGTGTCGCTAGAGATTCGTGCTCGCCAGGACGATATTACCAGATACATCAATGGCCAAATGGATCAATTGCCGAATCACATCCAAGCCAACGAGAAGCTGCAAGAAGAAATCAGGGCCGAAATTGTAGATGCTGTTGACGGAATGTACGTATGTGAAAGCGTTGAAGTATGCTATGGTCACTAAATGCTACTAGGTTCCTCCTCGCGCAGATTTATGTCGGGTTTCTCAACGACAAGATGACGCCCAACGACGTGAGGGCAAGTTTAGCAGGGTTTCGGAACCAACGGCAAACCCCTGGCGAAGAGGGTCAAGTTCAAGTACTCAATGATGCTTACAGACAAGCGATGCAGAGAATAAATAGCCAGCTAGATGGTTTTAAGAACCTCGCGATGAAGGTTCTATTCTGGACTACATGCGCCATGAGGCAGCTTACCACGGTGGAGCTTCAGCATGCTCTTGCGACTAAACTCAAACAATCCGAATTCGATGATGGCGATATCCCTCAGATCGAAGACATGGTCTCCGTCTGTGCTGGATTGGTAACGTTGGATGAAGATGGCCTCATTGTTCGACCGGTTCACTATACGACACAGATATTTCTTCAGACAACGCTAGAGTCCTCGTACCCAACTATCCAGAGTTTGGGTACAGGAGTTTGCATTTCCTACCTCTCCTTTGCCGAATTCAGGGCTGGACCATGTGAAACCCTGGAAGAATTTGAGAACCGATCACGGCGCAATCCGCTCTACGACTATGCTGCAAAGCATTGGGCCCATCATGCAATCAAAGACCCGAAATCAGTTGAAATTGTGATGGAATTTCTTCAGAATACTTCTACTAGCGAGGCAGCCAGTCAAGTGTTGATGGTAGATGAGGCAGTGTCATGGTGGGAGTCAAAACAAAACTTTGGCGAGACCCTTACCGGAATCCACCTGGCTGCATACTTTGGACTGAAAACAATCATGAAGGAGTTACTAGCCATCGGGCGTAGTCCCAACGAGTTGAATAATCGCGACAGGAGTCCTGTTTGGTATGCGGCCAATAATGGAAAGGCTGACACGCTGAATGTTCTCTTGGCCGCTGGAGCCGATGTGGATGGGTCCGATAGGTCAACTGCTCTTTACGAAGCATGTCGCATTGGTAGCTTGGGGGCTGTGAAGTTACTTTTGACTGCAGGAGCCGATATTGAAGCTAGGAGTAGATCTTGGGAGGGATATACACCACTCCAAATCGCAGCTAACAAAGGCCATCTCGAGATTATAGAGACCTTGTTAGCAGCTGGAGCTGATGTTCATGCGACTGCTTCCCAACTTTCGAAGGTAACGGCACTCCAAGTAGCAGCCGATAGTGGTCATCTTGAAATAGTAGAGAGACTGCTCACGTCTAGAGCTGAGGTTGATGCTCTTGGTGATACGCAATATGGATACACCGCTCTCCAAGTAGCAGCACGTCGAGGTCATCTTGAGGTAGTGGAGAGACTACTAGCAGCTGGGGCTGATGTCAATGCTCCCCGCGCTGAGGATTATGGATATACAGCGCTTCAAGGAGCAGCCGAAGGAGGCTGGCTTGAAATTGTTGAGAGACTCATCGCTGAAGGCGCCGATCTCAATGCCCCAGCTTCCAAATTCAACTATACCGCCCTCGGAGGAGCAGCTAGAAATGGCTATTCGCAAATCGTGCATTTATTGAAGGAGAGTGGTGCTCTTGAGTGATGGGGAAAGCAAGGGATTGTTAAATCAAAGGTGGACTGTCACTCGCCACAACGTGCCCGGGTAGATATGTTGCGAATTTACATCCCTTCCAGTGCCCTCCGGGTGCCGTCGGTGCAAATCCCTGTCTTATAAAGAGACAATAGCAAGGTAGAGCTCATAATTCAACTCCCAACCCTCTTAGTAGACCAAGAAGAAAATATACGCATCTAGCGTAGCTCTTTCGGTATTCGTCTCGGTGCATCCTTACCCTACATGGAAGATTGGTCCCAAGTCCCGTTGCTTTTCAACCTCGCCGGCGTTCTTATAGCTATTCTCTTATCGCTGTTCGTGTATATCGCTGCAAGAACCTGCGGAAGGCATGGCGGAATGAATGGTTTAGAGCGTTTTCGATGAATTAAATTTATCGTCCGAAATAGAATCAGCGATGGTTGTCACGTATCTGTGCACAAGTAGTGCATGAAAAGATGTTGGAGCAATTAATAGACAATAGGACTTTAGTTCTGGTAAGCATCCTCCAAGATGACGAGTGGCGATCTTTACAGTTTTAAGAAATCTGAAGGGGCTAAATTTGCGTTGCATGCAGTATATCATTGCAGCACAATATTGGGATATTCCGTCAATGCCCATGAAATTGGGGCTACAAAAGAGCCAAGCTACTGTAGTAAGAAGAGATTTTTCATAAGAACTCCAGTCATGTGGTGCAAAAAGTCAGGCAAATTGACATTTAATGCTTCGTTATGCCGTCAGCGTAAGCAGCCCCCAACTCCTTTCTGAAGCGATCGTTTGCTTCTTGCTCACTGGCTAGCATGCTATCGAAGAAATTGTTTCCTTTCTTGCCCAACGAATTATGTCTAGACTATCCAGACGGCTTGGAAAATCCACCTCCGTTGGGACCTGGAATCCTGATTGCCACTACTCCGTGTGCGTATATCATGAATACTGAAGTATTTGATGCATGTAATGACTCATGACGGTACACTTCGCTTGCAACTGCCCCAACAACTGCGGTCACAAGGATGGCTCGTCGTGCAAGTATTACTCGGGCCCATCGAACACTTCTCCGGTTATATCAGGAAGTAAGTTAGCTTATCAATATAGGCAAGTGTAACTTGGCATTAACTCATGTCGATAGAGTGCACACGCCTACCAAATCAGCCCCTGACTTGTATCGCTTAAGCCACGTTAGAGGTCTAGCATAGCATGTTCACGATACGCGCTATGCAGTGCCTATATTTTGGATGCTGAAGCTTAAGACTTGTCAAAGGGGATCCGTATGGATAGTCTGAACCGTGCTACTAGGTACCTTGTATCTCTTTCTTTAACAACATCTGAGTCAAAGGCATTTGTGAATTAATCTATTTGTTGAATACTTGGCGAGATGTAAGTCGTGATTTCACTGAAAATAAGGCTTGATGAAGTTTAACAAGTGTGCAATCTAAACTTTCGAGAATTCTTTTGGTTGGCATAGATCCTGAGGCCAACCGATCAAATCATACGGGAGTTATCCATGCTGAAAAGCGGGAGGCAGTCGGCCCGTCATTGCTTTGGCTCGCATTATCATGGCTACCTCGAGGCTAGCCCTGTCTTTGGGTAGCCTTGTAGAGTATCGATATTGATCATGGAGAAGATCGTTCAGATAATCCCTCTCATGATTTTCAGAAGCCTCATACGACGGCGCCAGTATTGTCAAGGCTCCGAATGCAAAGGTGTGATATAGTTCGATTCGGAGAGGGATAAACGTCCACAAGTCCTCGCAGGCGCCCCGGTATTCGTCATACAGTGAGCTCGCCGCCCCGTAACCGTATAAGGTGCCCAAGTCATAGCGGATACGAGCGATGCCTACGATTAACGATTGAAATAGAGTGATGGATTCTCCCAAGCGAGCATTCTTAACTTGATAATACTCGCTGAGAAAGAAATTTGCATCAAAGGCTTTCTTGAATTGCCCTGCGTCCAACGCCTTCTCAAAGACTACACCCAAGGCGCTTTTCGCGCGAACAAAGTCTCGGGCAAGGGCATCTGAGAGATATGATGCTAGTTCTTGCATGCCGGGATTAAATGGGTTCTGATGGATTTTGTACACCTTGGTAAGTAACTTAGGCATCTTGGTCAAACACTCGTAGAAGATAGAAATGATATGATGTCCGTGTGGCCTCAGCTCCGGTGGGAAGAATCGTAGAGTGGCGTCTGTGATGGTTTGCCGCCACAATGGCTGATTGAAAACATGCGTCTGGCTTTTGGAGAGGGAATGGAAGAGCTACATAGAGGCCCGGAAATAGAGGCGAGATCAGCGTTTTGTCAAGATTAGAGAGAAATGGTGGAGACGGTGATTGACCAACGGGCGAACATACCAAGTCCTCAACGCTTTGAAACAATACGTCTATATGGAACACGTTATCGGGGTCGGGATGACCCAACTTAACCACGAAGGAGGCCACTGCCTCGGCATGTGTGCGGTTGAATGGAGTCCAAAATGGGTTGAAAACGGATTCTGCACGGCTAAGCAAGGCGACAGATGCCAATGTCTCCAGCTCGAGATCCTTTGCCTCCAGCGTTTGTCGTAGTGTCCGAAGAGCCCTGCCATAATCCCTCATGATGCTCACATCCGTGGTCGGAGAGCCTCCCCTACGAAGAGCCGAATGCGTGGAGCAAAAAAGGATAGCGACGTCTCTGAGGCACGGGCTATGGACGAAGCGAGCAGGCATATGCTGCAGAAAGTTGAACAGGGTCAAGAGACTGGGGTCGCCTTCCAGGGAGTTGACCAGCCGGGCACCCGCTTGATGTTCGAGAGGCGTCATATTTGGAGGCACGGATACGAGCTTCATCTTTCTGTAGCCTGCATTCCCATCCACTATGGAAAGATATCTTCCACGATCATCTGTAACCCGGGAATCGAGAAGTCGAATGCGACTTGAACTAGGCTCAGGCCTCGGTGAGAGATCGGGCTGGCTTGCCGACCGAGCTTGATTGCTACCTCCTCCCTCGTGGACGAATTTGAGTAGGCTCGATGGTCCGGGGCATTTAAGTAGTTTCCTTCTGCATTGTCCGCATGTTGGCCAACGCTGGTCGCACTGGCAAAAGGGTCAACGAGGAACTATTGAGCACGCGCCGTCCGCTGGAGGTGCTTGATTTGCCCTCAGCTTACCTTGATCCGTCTGCTTTTACAGCTCTTACAGGCTGTGGACTTGGCTACCCCAACCATCGAGCTGGCTAAGGGTAGTCTACTAATGGGCGTGGTGATACAGTACCGGAGGTCTCCTCAAAAGGTCAGGATGGCGAGGGTAGGTGGGATTGAAGTTTTGAGTGACCACTTCTGATCCTTTAGCTGCTCATTTGGGTTAGAGAAACTGACAGGGATGCCGTTAGTACAGCAGCGCAGTAAGTACAAGAAGCCAGAGTCAATCCATTCGGTACATCACCTGACCGCGAGCAATCAACCTAGCGACGTTTCAACAAAAATATTTGAATTCATTGTCGTATAAGGAACCTATGATTTTGCAGAGCACCTCCATCTGCAAACTGGCCGGGAGGCTCAAGGATGCCAGCGTTATAAACTTGTGGAATTTCAAAGGGCAATACAGCGAGAGGGAAGATTAACAACTTAGATAAAAAAAACCTCTTGAAGCCCGCCCGGATAATTAAATACCCCTTCGGACACTTAAGCAGCAACGCTACTTGTGCGCCTCTCTGCAATGACTCTTCCTTCCTATCTTGAAACACATGCGACGGCGGATAACTCTCTCTGTAATCTGAAACTGGTGTTTTCCCCGAGATGACGCTGAATTCCTACTATGACAAGTAAGCTTCGATGACGGAGTTTGACGTTTGTATCCGTTAGATAAGTTCATGGTCGGTTTTGGTGGCGTCGCTCCAGCTGTCCTGTCAACCTGCTGCTGACTGGCCACATTGCACTCTTGCGTAGGGTCAAGTGGCTCGAGAGACCCCGAGGCCGTGGTTGCGTGGCAACGGGTGAAGAGTTTCCCTGTATCAAAACATCGCATCGATTTCGTTCAACGTTTTTGAGAAATTAATGCCTTCTTAGAAACTTGGTGATTTCTATCAGAACGTCTGAGTAATATCGTTGTACCCAAATTGACCGTCCAGCTGGGAAAATCTGTTATGTATCCAATCTGGAGATGAGCCGGATTTAGACTTAGCGTGGTCTTCGAGATATTTCACGATTGCGTAGCATCGATCCTCTCGCGCAAGCTCTATCGCTCCATCGACTCCGGTCCGTCCTGGAGAGCCGCTCCGTCCTCCAACCGTCAAGAGAAGCTGGAGCATGTCCAACCGACCATAGTCTGCCGCAAAGTCTAGAGCTGTTCTTCCAGCCCTCCGTTGAGCCGTGTCCAGTTTGTTGGGATCAGCCCCCCTATCAAGCAGCATCAATGCGATTTCTAGGTCACCATTGGCGGCGGCAATCTGCAATGCAGAGAGCCCATTCTTCTGCGCGGGTGGACCGTCGGCGTCAGCTCCAAGCTCAAGGAGAAACTTGACCATGCTGAGACGGCCCCCAGGGTTTTCTTTAATCTGACAAGCAGCTTGGAGAGCTGTTACCCCACGGTCATTGAAAGCTGGCTGATTGATGTCCGCTCCCTTTTCCAGCAGCAGAATTATTTGCTCTCGATTTTGCCGATAGACCGCGGCCTGGACTGGCGAGAAGGCCTGGTCCTTATCCCCAATCCCACCACTACGGTCGATTAATAACTCATCTCGTTCAATCGCATAGCCATGAACGTCTGAGCTCTTGTGGATCAGCTGGCTAACCAGATCTGACTCGCCTCCGAGCCCTACAAGCGCAGCCAGGGCCGGTGACGATACCGGAGCACCATGGTCCAATAGTAGTTCGAACGCGGCAAGGCAGCATTCAGTTTCATCCCCCAACTCGTCATAATGTAGGAAACAAGCCTCTAGAAGATCCGGATCACCAGCCTGTGGGTATCTCAAATCTGGCCCCAAGGATAAAATGACTTCGATCATTCCCAAGTAAGGATTGTCGCTTGAATCTCGACTAACCCTTGGGTATTTGCCTTCCCAGTACAGATAGGTGCATAGTGCACGGTGCAGGAGTCGAACAAGCGAGTTACCGCAGATGTCCACTGGAAGCCTTGCCCCATACTGCAATAGAAGTTCGAGTTCTGCAGGTAGGAATGCATGCTCGGTTGCGTGCAAAAGAACGTTTGATAGCTTGTTTGATGTGGTCCATGTGGCATTGACGTCGGCGCCAGCATTCAATAGCCATCGCATGGCTTCGAGATTTCCAACAACAGCGGCACCGCAAAGGGCTCTGCTGCCATCAACAGTTTTGAAATCAGCGCCAAGGCTAGTCAGCATCGGCAATATACCAAGACTATCTCGAGGAATAGTATTCTCCCAGTCAACCTCGTCCCAAAGGGCACCGTGCCTGAGCAGTTGCCCCGTAACCTCAATGAAGCACTGAGGCAGGGGCTCATTTTGTTCTACAATCGACTCTCGACCCCACAGAATCAGAATATTCAACATGGATTGAATACTTAGAACTCCGCAGATTGATGGTAATCTTGGATCCACACCGGAGAGGAGAAGGTTATGAATAAGTTGGATTCTCCTCCCTATGAAAATTGAGTCTGATTTTGCTTTGAGTGAAAAGGCCTTAGCCAAACATGACTCCAGATGCCAATTTACCTCCGATGTATCAGCAGTCAGCGTTTGCAGATACGCTCTAAGTGCTCCACAGCCCTCGACGGCCACTTGTAATAACCTTGCTTGGGACAATTGTCCTTGCCGTACTTTACTGTATCGCAAGATTTGGTTGAAAAAGTGAGGGTGTCTGTAAAAAACACTTTCGATAATCGTCGTGTGAAGTCCGGGTGGCGAAAAATCAGACGTGAAAGCAGACGAGTAAACTGGTGATCGATGATCAAAATCCCAAGGATCGCAAGGAGCAAGCGCATCCACGTCCGCGCCCGCTTCAAGAAGTATTCCCATGACTTCGCAATTAAAATTATCAGGAACCGGTGAATAATTTCGGAGGAAATGGCAAAAGACTGAATTGGAAGCCTGATTGAAACAAAGGTCACAATCGTCCCACGTCCCGCGCCCTCGACGTGGCTCCTGGCAATCTTGATTGATCTCACAATTTTGCAACAGTAGTCGAAAGCAGTGCCAATGGCGACCCTCTACAGCTGCTTGAAGAGCTGTCATCGAAGGTAGCCAGTAGCCACCACGGGCGCGGCGAGTGCCAATACGGAGTATGACTTCTGTTGACGCCCCGATGGAGAGCAATCGGGTGATCATGTTCGCACATCCAAGCCGGGACGCATATATCAGGAGCTCATGGCGATAAGGGAGGATCCATTCCATATGGTTCAGTCCACTTTCAACAAGATAGGAGAACTCTTCTTTCGTGTCGACCAAAAAGATTTTGTCCATCAGTGTATCCCAAGTGGCATGAACGGATGGAAGCCTTATATTGAGAACGGCAGAGAATGCGCTCCGAGGTATTTTCGATATCAGCTGTCCAAGGAACTGTCGAAGTTTTTCAAGTGGCCAATCAAACTCATCATCTCCTTCCAGGTCACAAAGTCGATTGGAAAACATGTACAACCACCGTGCCAAGTAGTAGTACGTGTCAAAATGCGAGCCAATTTGCTGATCGGAATTGAGATGGAGAGCGTAGTGTGCCATAGTCGCTAAAGGGGTGCTCGTAGCGATGGTGCTTGATGACAATTTCCTGACGATGTATTCCATGAACGTGGGTGGAATCTCTTGTATTTCGAAAGTGGCCGTCTTACAGATTGAGATGGATACAGCCGCTGGTAAAAAGGTCAGCGCGTAGTGGCAGACTGATCTCAAGACGAATAAGGCATACATCGAGAGTTATTCATCCAAGTGTTCCATGGGAGTGAGGCGAGGCACTCTCTTGACTGAAAAGAAATACCATCAAGAGCGGCTACCAGATCTCTCAACAAAGAGATCGTAAGAATGGCCTCCCGGGTATCAATCTCGCCGGTTGACTTGCTAGTTTCTTTGGGCCCTGGTCTTTGCGACACGAGGCAATCGGGAGCGGCCCTGACAGGTATCCCAGGTGAGTTCGGTGGAGGTGTCCGGACCTCCACCCCTGCTGGCAGGACAGGCAATGGTTCATTGTTCAACTGTGCTGTAGATACCTTGTAAGTTTCAAAGAAATGATGTTGTGAATTTGGCAACTTTACCGCTTGTGCGAGCATCCTGTCGTCTGATTTCGGCCCATGCCCTTTGCGAAGGAACACGGACTCCTTGGAGGTAGACTGCGCTTCTTTTCCCACGATGTCCGCGTTGAACACAATGCCCCCAAACGGCCGGCCAGTCTGTCTTTCTCATCTTCTTGCGGAGACCAAGTTTATCTCGGAGCTTGATTTCCCAAGTAGACAACCTTCAAAAGTCTTGTTAGCATCAACTCTATACATCCACTTCAGCCATTCAAAACACTGACTTGAAATCAGGAAATGCATGTTCTTGCATCATGATGTTCCTCACTTCACGCAGACTCAATCTTGGATGACGTTGCAGATACAGACCTCGAATGACACTGGCGTGTTGAGCCCAAATGTCGTCGAGGTCCTCGGCCGGAACCTGCCGCTCGCGAGACATGTCTTGTGCTATAGCGTTCAAATAGAGTCTTCAGAATTTAAGAAAAAGAAATGACGGATACAATAGCTACGAGAGTCCAAAGAGGCCGGAGACTCCTCTTCTTAAGCCCAAGCATCCAATGTCAAAGTGCTCATTCGACAAGCCCCGCTCGCTCAGCTTCCGAAATGGCTGATCTGCATGTGGCCTTGCTTATGGCCGCAGAAGGGGGCCATCAACCAATGGCAAGATTGGTACAAAATGTCTCATGCAGCTTCATGCACAGACCAGAGCACACTGTCCAAAATCTTGTGGGCCTAGAGCGTCATAGCCACAAGTTGTACCAGTGAAATGTAGCCAAGGCATCCTTCCTGTCCAATTTCTGCACATACTAGTGAAATGATCATATGTTCGAATAAGACACTACAGACGTGCACCTCGGGCATTTTGTCCAAAACCTGGAAAAATTCCGAGGTCTTACGACACAATGGTTCCTTATCCATGTAACGTGCCTCAATGTGTCGAGTTCGCCCTTGTCTAAAACATGAAAACATCAGATCAAAACCACCTGCCTTGTCGCATATTTAATAAGCCCTTGTCCAGTCGATTCCAGTCGTCGTGTTTGAGACATCGACTATGTCAGCAAATCACCTGCATCCGTGCTTTATTTATCTTAAAGAAATCGACTTTGGTGACCCTTCTCAATGGTTTTAAATAAAGTCAGTATTTATATTTCTTATAATTAAAGCTGTAAAGGGGTATATCATGTTGTTTGGTTCGAATCAGATCCTGCGGCATGGCCTGACGCGTCTTTCCACTGCTGCCCAACTTGCCTATTCATTTAACTCCGCCGTATTTTAAAGCTCTAATCAGAAACATTGCCAATTCATCCTAACCGACCCAATCCAGCCTTTAGTATACGCAACAGTTATGCTCGCTCCTCACCTTCGATTCTCATCGCGTCAATCTTTTCCAGAAACCGACTGCAACATCTAAAGCGAAAAACACAAAGTTGGTGACCTGACACCCAGCTTGCGGGGCGAGGAGAAAGTGAATACATGCGGCAAGTTCGCGGCAGTAGATCAGCGGGTTCGTATGTTCAGGCCAGGGAGACTCCAACGTGTCGCCAGTCATCTCCAGCATATCATACAGCGATATGCAGGTAATGCAGTACAGCGGGGATACATTAGCCAGGCAATACTCCTCCGATGACATGACTGCAATGGAAGACCCGGTACCGATCTTGCTCTTCACGGATTCACGGATCTGTATGCCGGTGGTAGCTGCCCAGGTTCGCAACCGGAAGTCAAGCAGCCAGGACTTGGACGCGATAGCTTCCAACTGGGCTACGCGTGCCTCGTCTTTAGGACATTCCTCGGCGATTTTGAGGTCTGAGTGGAGCTCCGGCGGTCAAGGATCTCATGAGTCTTCGCTGCATTATTTGCATTAATAGCCAGCCGGCCTTCTCCATCCTGACTGGAAACTTACACCGTTAGAAAATCACCCAAGAAATTCTCAACCCCGCAGGAGCCAGCTCGCCTCTACTCGATAGCCTTTGCGCAATGCTTTGGGAACTATCTTCTATGGGTCTCAAAGATGAGAGTGATGTGCTGATTACGCGTTGTTGGCCAGAATGGAATAAATACCTAAACAGCTCCTAAATCTATCTTAACAAGACAAGTAGCTATCTAGCCTGCCTTTACATTCGCGTTACTATTTTAGCTTATTTTACAAATGCTCGGCGAGCGCTCTGAGCCTCAGTTTCAGTGAGCCTCACAAAAATGAGGTTCCTCTCTGATCCTTAACGCTGAGGACACCAAATCTCATCAAACTCCACGATCATCCCTGGAGCGGATTTATCGGCCGAAGGGAGCCCATTGGTTAGATTCGTCCGAACATGCCTACCTAAGTCAGTAAGCGTGATTGAAACCCGGCGATTGGGGGTTCCCACCGCTGTTAACACCGGAACACATATGCCGTGTCATCGAGTCGTTGAAGGAACTTGGACCGACCGACGTTTTTCTCCTCTCCGAAGTCTCCCTTTCCTGTCGCCTTGCCTCTCTTGCCATGAACAGCGCCGCCATCTCGTCCGTCAGTGGGACTCTCCAAACCCATCCGCGTCCTCCACAAGTGGCACGGCCCCGATACCCTGTTCTCAGGCCGAGAAAGGTTCGCAGGGGCACATCGAGCTGCTGGGAGTGCAGACACCGAAAGGTCCGCTGCACTTTCGATGCTGGCACCACCGTGTGCACTCCGTGCAAGCGTCGGGGCTCAGAGTGCATTGGTCAGCACTTCCAGGCCGGTGGCCATTGCGACTCTCGGGGGTACAGTGCCAACTACAAGGACGTATCTCGGAGTCTTGTGCGAGTCGAGGCACTGATAAACAACGTCCTTGGCCATGAGAGGGAAGGTTCCTTGCCAGATGAGCCGCCCTACAAGCCGCGAGCAATACGGCCCAAGCCGTCTGATGGGCTTCCGTCTTCTTCTGGTGGTCTTTCAGACTGTTCCTCGCATCCGCAAGAACCGTATTTGGCTTCTAAAAACTGCTCTCATCGCGTTGTCAGCCATCCGAGGGGGAAACACCGCATGATGGAAGATCGCAACAATCCGGTCAGAAAAATACACTTGCGCCGTCCATGAATGAATATCACCACATCAGCCATCACCTGCTTTCCATCATGCCACCACTCAGCACCGCCCGCAACATCTTACGCAGGACCGGGTATGCCGATGTTCTAGTGAAGATGATACGAAAGACCTATGGAGAATGCCCAGAATCCTCGGCGCAGGGCCAGCCGCTTGCAAGCTTCGATGTTCCCGATCCAACTGCACACCCCATCGCCATCGCCCGTAATCTTCTGCTGATTGCGCTCAGCTTGCAGATCCGCGAAGAAGTAACCCCTTCCAGTTCGGAGAGCCAGTCGAGCAGGGAGTCCTCACATCGCTACTTCAGTGCTGCTACTCACTATGTTACTTCGAAGGATCAGCTTGTTACGTCTCCGGTGGGGCTCGAGACGCTCATGCTCGAGGGACTTTACCAGCTAAGCGCGGGAAACCTTAAACTTGGATGGCTCACATTTTGCCGGGCAATAGGTATAGCACAACTAATGGGTTCTTTCTTCCGAGAGCCAAGAATGTGCCGATTTGGATGGGAATCCGGCTGAGGCTTGCATGGTATCGACATCTTCATTTCTCTGGTTCCGTCTCAACTACAGCGACCGCATTCTCTCCCTTATTATGGGGCTCCCCTTCGCTACTCTTGGTGATGGCTTTGCCTCTCCTGAAGTCTTGGCGGCAGATGTACCTGTTGGAAGGGTGGAGCGAATGCATACCGTTGTCATGGGACATATCATCGCAAGGAATCAACGTATTGCCCGTGCGGAAAACACACAACACGCCTTGAGGACCGAAGCAAAAGAGACTCGGCGTATAGACGAAGAACTCTTTCAGGTTTCCACGCAGTTTCCCCGGAAGTGGTGGCTCTCACCACATCTCGAGAACCTTATGCCCGAGGCTGGAGACTCAATGCACGAGATGTTAAGGCTCTTGGCACAGGTGAATCAGGCCCACTTGTTGCTGGCCCTTCACCTACCGCACGCCATACATGCATTTTCAGCAGTGCCCCAGCCCCAGCCTGACTGCAGTTACAGCACCATTCAAGCCAGCCGGGATCTGTTAGCTCGGTTCGTTCTCTACCGAAAGTCCCACCGAATGCCGGTTTGCTGTCGTGTCATTGGCTTCAAGGCCTTTACTGCTTCGGCGAGTCTGTTGTTAGCCCATATTGACGGTCATCACCTCGGTCATGGAAATACACTCAGGCACCATCGACAGGAAGATTTGGGGGTTATTGAAATGGCGGTTGACAATATCAAGGACCTCGCGAAGCTGTTACCGATGTATCAAGGCAAGGCTGAGGTACGGATCCTCGAGGCCTTAATAGGCATTGAAGCTCGGCTGAAGGTATGTCATACTCCATCCAGATCGACAGTCGAGGGTTCAGTGGTGAATGCTCCGTGCTGGGCCAAGGACAACCGTTCGAGTTTGGCACGCCATTTTTGGGGAGGGTCAGGATCCATAGCTTGGCGACGGCCGAACCTGCGGACATGACAGATTTGGAATTATCGACCGGGGCTTTTGAAATTATGCCAAGCACTATGAGCCGCGACGCAATCGGGGGGTGGCTACCGCAAAAGCTGTTGCCTCTCGGGTATCTTAGTCTATCTATCTCAGGAAGTCTTTCGGCGGTGGAAACTGTGAGCACGAATTGCTAGGGATCAAACGGCTGGTCGATCCCCGACTTTGCCTATCAGAGTTCCAACGCTGTGTATGAGAGTACCATAAACTTCTAGGTTTACTATTGCAGAAAATGCAACATATCCACCGAATTCAAATACCCTTTGCAGCCGGGGGTGCTATGTAAGTACGCTAGGGCATGATCAAACCCGTTCGGATCGTTCTCCCATACGCTGGCCAGACACCAGACGCGGCTTTAGCGGCCTGGATCGTAGCTCCGGAGCAACGCACATACCTTTCGGACTTTCAGACCAATGAGAAATCAAGATTGTTATATTCCGACCGAACAAGGTGCCCCGGAGATATCGATGCGTTTCTCTATACATGGGTACTGCCAGCGGAGTTTCAAGGCATTCGTGCAATACCACAAGGCAGACTGACGCCCGGATGTTATCGGTGGCCGATGTGCGACGAGCTTGCAACTTTTGACCGCCAAGTGATAGCATCTCCGCAACTATAGTAGCCGAGGCTGTGGGCCGCAAGAATGTGGCATTATAAAAGCATTAGAACGGTACCCGAAAGCCTAGGTAGGAATGACCAAGTAAGGGCAGCCTCTACAACCTACTACACCATATTGGCTGACACATTTTGTTTCCCAAACATACCACTTGTACTGTATCATGGCTCCCAACGCCCTCACTTCAAGCGGTACCGTCGACGAAGTTGAGTTTTGTTGGAACACGGACAACCTTCTAACCAAGCTGTTTATCAACAACGAGGTCAGTGTAACTAAATTGATGTCTAATCCACGTATCCCTCTCCATCGTAACGAACGTTGAGTTAGGCTAAATAGTCGCATATTGTTTAGTACGTTGACTCCAAGTCGGGCAAGTACCTCACCGTCTTCAATCCCAAAGATGGTACCCTTGTTAGCGACAAGGTCATGCTCGCAGACGGAAACGACGTCGATGGTGCCGTCCGCGCGGCTGAAATTGCGTTCCCAGCCTGGCGCAAAACCCCTCCGAACGTCCGGCGCGACATGCTCCTCAACCTCGCAACCCTTATCCTCAAGCACACCGAGACCCTGTCAGCCTTGTCCCGCCTCACGTTGGGGGGCCCTATCTCCGCGGTAGGGGCTATGGAGGTTGTCTTCGCCGCCGAAGTGCTGCGATATTTTGCAGGATGGACCGACAAGCTAGCAGGGGAAACCTACCCTGAGGAAGACGGGTTCTTCAAGTTTGTTCGACAGGAACCCTTGGGGGTTACTGCGGGAATAATTCCCTGGAACGCACCAGTTGGCAGCATTTGTGTCAAAGCAGCCCCTGCTCTTGCAACGGGCAACTGCATCATTCCCAAACTATCAGAGAAAACTCCATTTGCCGGCCTAGCTATGGGGACCTTGATAAAGGCAGCCGGGTTTCCTCCCGGCGTTTTCCAGGTACTATCCGGCGATGGCAGCACAGGTGCTCTGATATCAAGCCACATGCGAATCCGAAAGGTTTCCTTTACGGGCTCGACAGCTACCGGAAAGAAAATCCAGGAAGCGGCAGCTCGGTCGAATCTGAAGCGTGTTACGCTGGAATTGGGTGGGAAAAGCCCAGCGCTAGTATTCGACGACGCCGATCTCGAAAATGCGGTCAACTGGTGCGTCAACGCCGTCATTATGAATACCGGTCAGGCATGCTTCGCTGCTACACGCGTCTACGTCCAGTCCGGGATCTATGATGCTTTTGTGAGCAGATATAATGCTCTGATTGAGAAAAAGACGAAAATGGTGGGCAACCCTGACGACCCAGCCACCATGATCGGACCTCTGGTGGATGAGTCGCAGTTCAACCGTGTTCTGGGCTTTATGGACCGCGGCAGCAGCCAGGGCAGGCTTCTTGTCGGTGGGGGTAAACTGTATAATAAGGTAAGGTTTTTTTGTTTTATTATTATTGAAATCGTGGGAACTTTGACCGTTTGCTAACAGGGCTTCTTCGTGGCACCCACCGTCTTCCCTGATGTGCCTGAAGACCCAGAGATCATGCGCCAAGAAATCTTTGGCCCAGTCGCGGTCATCAACAAGTTCGAGACGGAGGAGGAGGCACTAAGCCTCGCAAACAACACTAACTATGGTCTGATGGCGGGAATCTTCACAAAAGACATCACGCGGGCGATACAATTCTCGTCAGAGCTGGACAGCGGCATGGTTGGGATCAATGCAGTAAGTACCGTCTTTTGGCAGACACCTTTTGGAGGCACCAAGGAGAGCGGCTTGGCGTGGAAATGGCGTGCACGCTGTACGATCCTACACGGAGCCCAAGACAGTCTTCATCAACATGAACGTGGCATGAAAGTGAGTTTGGCGGTGAATTAGGAGTTGCCCTTGGCCACTTGTAGTGGGCAGCAGTGGGCCGCGCGAATCAGACATCTCTTGAAATAGTTTGATAGTGAGCTGGACGTAATCCCATTTTCCTAACACAATGACCTTGTCGGTGGCTGGGACACGAAAGGTCAGGGTTCTGTGGGTCGGGTCATGTAGCTCTATTGCATGTTTCGCTTAGCTGTCTTTACGATGGCTCTAACGCCGTATTTTCAGTATATATATGCAGAGACTTTTCTTCATGACGAATTGGTAGAGATTGTCTCCGTGAATACTAACTTTCATAGGCTGCTGACAGCTTCATCATAAGCTGCTACAATGGGTGTATATAGTTGGTCCGGGTCTCCCACAGATGTTCCGAAACTGATCCTCTCCTCGTTGTCCGATAGGAAGAGAACTTTCCTTTTTTCAGGCACAGTGGCTTCACAATTGAATGCCGTGGGAAGTATTACATATTTATGAGAAAATTAACTTGAGATGCGGCGAAGAATAGACTTTTCCCATGATTGAGGGGTAATGGTTGATCAGAGTCATCGCTCAGACTCGAGAGAGGTGCAGCCTAGATCAGACCGAGCTGAGGTAGCATTTCTTGAAGATAGCCAAGACTCGGTGGAGGGAGGCTTACTCGGCTTAGAATGTCACCTGTGAATATCTCCATTCTCATATTCATTGGCTTATTTGGTGGGCAAGTATATTATGGAAGTAACTGATAAAACCTACATACTCAGGGTCTCTCAATGCCATGGAGGCATTTCAGCAGGGATTCAAATCCCCGCACAATTGTACAAAAATTACAAAAGCAGCACCAGCGATACCCAGATCCCAGGGTGAATAAGTTATGCTTGTAAATGTTGGCCTATACTGCAGAATGCTTCAAGGGGAATTTGTTCTCGGTGCTTTCTCTCTGTTTGCAATAGAGCGAGTAGGCATTTAGGCTACGGTGCAAGGTCTGACATCGGCTTAAGAATACGACGAATTGGAGAAATTCTCCATCTTCCTCAAAAAAAATGCTGTATTTGGCTCAATAGTTCAGATGCATTTACAGGGTGAATATACTCGGGGCAGAGGTGGCCGAACCTACCGGTTAATTACCCCATCACTACCTGAACCAGCGACGTAGAACTGAAAAGGCGGGGAAGAATAGCCCGTATGCGTGGTTACTGAATTTATATATAAGACTCTGAAGCTTGGAACTAATTAACCTATTTTCAACTAGAGTTGATAAGATTTACTCCGCAATATAACGGTACTGATGTTGTCCAGAACTCTCCTTGCGCTTATAGCGCTTGTGCTCTTTGCACACGCGATTTCCATCGAGCATGGGTCATTGAAAACAAACGGGGGATATAATCCAATCGACGTGGATACAGCCAATCCTCGACTAACATGGCGACTAGAATCCTCGAAGAGAGGCGACATTCAGACATCCTACCAAATCCAAGTGTCACGCGATGAGAACTTCCAAGCACCAGTCGTGTGGGATTCGGGCAAAATACAATCAACTTCAACATATTCCATCTATGATGGTGAATCTCTCGGCTCAAGAAGCTCGGTCTTTTGGCGCGTCAAAGTTTGGGACGTGGATGATAACCCGTCCGACTGGAGTTCGCAAGGCCAATTCGAGATTTCCCTTTTAGACTCAGATGATTGGACGGCGTCCTGGATCACCAACAAAGACTTCGCCACTGGGTCCACGTCGCTCCCTGTGTTTGCCAAAGAATTTCAGGTCGATTGCGATGTGTCCAAAGCACGGCTGTATCTTCTTGGCCTCGGTCTGCATGTTCCTGTGATCAATGGTAAAATAATTACAGACGAGGTCTTGCAGCCTGGCTACAGCACCGTGAACATTACGTTGCCCTATTCGACTTACGATGTTACCAGGTTTCTGGAGCATGGAAACAACATCCTGGGCGTAGAGCTGGGGAAAGGAATATACGATGCTGAGAGACCGCTCTGGGGAAGGTACTACAAGCTAATCAAGGCGTACCAAGAGCTTCGACTTATTGCCCAACTAGAATATCAATGCGTGGGAGACAGTCGACTTACGATAATCACTTCAGATGACACCTGGAAAACCTCATTGGATGGGCCGTACTGGGAAGCATCCTGGTATGGCGGAGAGGAGTACGATGCTCGAAAGGAACTGCCGAACTGGTCAAGCCGAGAAGGTGACAGGTCTCAATGGGCTCATGCAAGTAAAACGACAGGTCCTAGTGGTAAACTAGTCAGTCCACGTTCACCTCCTTTGAAAGTAGTTGAAACGATCAAGCCCGTGTCAGTGTCCAAGGTATGTCATAAGTGGCTGTCTGGTTCTTGGTGCTAGCTAATCGCCATCACAGAATGAAAATGGATACTGGGTATATGATCTGGGCGTCAATGTTGCAGGCACTTTTGGGTTCAAGATGAAAGACAAGGGCGTAAGTGATCAGTTTAGGCGAGACTCAAAAGACTTCGATCTCTAACAGCCCCAGCATCTAGCTGGAACTCGCGTTACCTTTTGGCCCGATGAACGGTCCGATCTCCAACAAGGGACCACCGGCAAACCTATATTCAACGCGTATACCCTCTCCAACTCGTCCTCTCAGACCTATTCTCCCAAATTCCTCTATCACGGGTTCCAATACTTGGGTGTCAATACGACGTGGGAGCCCTCACTCGATGATCTTGAAGGATTCGTCATCCGGGCTGCTAATGAAGCCAATATCAAGTTTTCTTCAAGTAGCGACCACTTCAACAATATCCACAAGATTATAGATCGGTCTATACAGGGAAATATGCATTCAGTGCTGACTGACTGCCCTCACCGAGAAAAGCTTGGTTGGCTCGAGCAAAACCATCTCGTCTTTGAGCCCGTCGCTTTGGGATATGATATCCAATCATACGGATATGACCATGTTCGTATCATGGCAGACGCCCAGGCGCAAGATGTTCCTGGCTTGATTCCTGACATTGCACCGGAATACACTGTATTTGGTGGTGGCTATCGCAACGATCCAAACTGGGGCAGGGCAATAATCAATGTCCCTTATCAGCTATACCAATACCACGGAGATATCGATGTTCTGAAAACCAAACATCAGCACATGATTGAGTATCTGGATTATCTTCAGAGGCGCGCAGCAGGCCAACCGTATCTAAATGATGGCGGTCTGGGTGACTGGCTGGCCATCGATACCAAAACACCAAAAGGTGTTGCCTCCACCTTTGGATACCACCAAGCTGCACTCTATTTGTCCAAGATAGAGGCCATTTTAGGGAATGATGAGTCGGCTAGAAGCTATACGTCGCTGGCAAATAGTATCTTGGACGGGTTCAATTCGATGTGGTTCAATAGCACCGTTGCTGACTCTCCTCACTACTGCGCAACAACGACTCAGGCCTGCAACGCATTTGCTCTTGACATGGGCGCAGTTTCAGATGAGAACAGAGACGCGATCCTTTCCACACTTATTAAATCAATTGAAAGCACTCCTGGTCTCTTCACCGTCGGAGAGATTGCCCTTCCCAGTAGGTTTTGTGCTTCAGTTCCTTGATAAACTGAGACTAACAGGGAGGTTAGGTCTTTTCCGAGTACTACGCGCTGCTAAGAGAGATGACATACTGCTCCGATGGATGAACTCCAGAGAGGTACCAAGCTACGGACATATGATAGAAAATGGCGCAACATCTCTTTGGGAGCATTGGGATGCGGATACCACAGGGGGCAGTCTCAACCATTTCATGTAAGTCGAGTATCTGTTCAAGATTCCCCTTTCGACGCCATCTTGCTAAATAAGACTTGCTAGGTATGGCTATGGGGACTTGTTTCTGCTCCAACTCTCTGGGGTCTCACAAAGGAACACATCAGTGGCCTGGAATGAGGTTGTGTTTGACCCAATCATTCAGGGTGACCTTTCATTTGCAAGCACTTCGTACACGGCACCATCTGGAATTGTCTCTGCAAAGTGGACATTGAATGAAAAGAAGTTTGGATATTCCATCACCGTTCCGGTGGGTAGCAAAGCCTGGGTATACCTCCCTGCCACGAGCGGTATTCGGGAATCGGGAGAGGGCCTAAAAGCTGGCGAGAATGGAATAATAGAATTGAAAAGAGGATGCAAGAGAACATTGGTTAAGGTTAGCAGCGGCACTTATAATTTCGAAACAACTGTTTCATCTTGAGTATTCTAGCCTTAATTGACCTAACATTCTTCACTTCATACTAAATAACTTTAGTATATACTGTCTGAGTAACCATCAACATTATAATTACCTGCGGGCGTTGAAGAGTCTAAAAGTAATAATTTCAACACGAGCAATATTATTATTAAGCATCTTCCAGGAGGTGTTTTTCAACGCGTTGTAATGTTTTGATAGGATTACAGGGAAGGGTTCGTATAGGGTAGGCGTGGAGAAGGTAACTGAGCACGAGACAAAAAGGCAAAAATAGATGGTCACTACCAGGATCGAACTGGCGACGTCCGCATTACTAGGATATCGGGTAGATATATTAGTACGGCACTCTAACCAACTGAGTTAAGCGACCATATGAGCAGGGGCTCTTCTTTGAAAACATAATCGGTGGCGAATTGGGTCTGGGACCTGACCTGCCGGTAGGTAAGTACATTCTGATAAGTACATCATGGTAAATGGTTCGATATCTATTTCTCTTTCGCAGATTCTACTGTGGAAGTATTCAAGGTCAATAACAAAGGAAATGTGACGTGGCGCGTCAATCATTAAACGGTTCCTTTGTCAAAAACTTAAGTATCAAAACATATTCGAAATTGATACAAAAGAATTAGTCTTGCTATAAACTTGTGAATTACATGAATAATATTCTATCTTGATGAAAATATTAAATCAAAGCTGTACTCTCACTATTCATTGCGTAATCTGCTCAGCATATGCCTAGTGTATCTCTATAATCATGATCTCCTCACGGTTTCCCAGAAAGCAAATCTGAGACGGCTTAGCTTTGGGCGAGGTGAGTTTTGCTGCGTCCCTTGTTAACTAACGGGCCTGACGGATAAGCAATTAGCCCCTGTCGAGCCTCGTAGGGACAGCCCTGCTCCTGTTGTGAGAGTAAGGAGCTGGCCGCATGACTTCTAGGCAAGCGTATATTGTATTCAACATTCAACAGACCATATCTCCCACAGACAGACTGCAGATGCTAGACTGAGGCTGCACACGGCGTTTACACAGTATACAGGCGAGGGATATGCATAAGAATTCCCTCTAAATCATTTCAAAGGGCCGCGTACTATGCGCACCGGTAGTTTGGTTAGAATAACGAGTAGGAAGCTATGAACCTAGGGGCGTTTCTTTGGTCCTGAAAAGATCAATTCCTTCCACGTAACGGGTAGGGAATTTCTTTGCGACCACCGAAAAGAAAAATTCAAAGAAAAATTCATCTTGTCCGCTCAATTAGGATCTAACGTACATGTACACTGAAGAATTTAAATGGGAAAATATTGGGCCATAGACAAGCTGCCTTAGCTTCTTGACAGACACCTAAAAGCAAGACGAGTAACACGACAAATAGGTGATGAATAGACGTGGTTGCTATCTCTTGTCCTCAGTCGTCCGGTTGCGTCTGCCGTTTTTACCATCGTGCTGGCTTGAGGAGGGGCTTTGAGAGGCTAGGCAATGTTTGTTTTTTATTGAATTAATTATAAGTATAATTATTTCCTTGTGCATTGGACTATGTCAAGACAAGTAAGCCTGGAACGTACCATTTGTAGGGCTGACAGTCCAGATTCCGCATTTAGTAGATGCGGGCGTTGTCTTGGATGACGCGTTAAGGGTCTAGATTCTCTCAGATGCCGTTTACCCGACGGTACGCCTCAACTAACACTACCCGCCAGGGCGTAAACAAAAGATTAAGGAGGCCTCATGGTTTCGGGGACTAGGGGGGTGCGGGATACATCCACATATTATGCATCTTTTTGTGCTTCTTTAGGGGTAGGAGCGAGATCCGTGCCATATCGCTTCACGACTGTTGAACGTCTCGTTGTATCCCAGGCGCTCTTTTGGATAGAAAGAACGGCGACTTAGACATGCCACGTGTTAGTGCCGGCTTCCGCATTGCAGTGAAATCACACAACATCAAAGGGGGTGCAGCGCTTACTCCTCGTCTTCTTGCATGCAAGGTAAGCAAGCCACCGGAGCTGTGTCTACCCAAGGGATTTGCCCAAGCATGGACGGATTCTGGGGATCTCCAGTAATAAGATCAACATGGCCAGTAGGCACTAGGCCAATTGATTGCTGAGCTGCGCCCTGCCGGGCTCCGTGCATAATTTGTCACTGCATTATTGGATCATGTCGGCAGAAGATTGCCGGACTGATTCAGCTGCATCATTAGGCTGACTTCAGCCAACATGGCGTCGACCCGTGGCGTTCATGGGGGCCTACGGCAGAGAAGAGATCAGCCCAGCCAAGAATTTAACCCATTCTCCTCCCCTCGTTGCTGTGATATATCATTGCAGTTGGAGCTGGACGTTGTTTTTCGTGGCTTCTCCAGAGACGGAACTTGAGAACCGGTTTCGAGATCCGTGACATTACATTGCGACCATGACTGGCTCGAGCCATGACCCAGCGACACCCTCGGGTAACGACCTCAGATCTGCGCGTGGTACATTCCGACTAGCCAGCTCGAGGCTCGATTTTGCTCAGAATCCGGTACAACAGCCTGGAGAAGCGCACGAAGGCCACGGGCATGGAGCAGAAGACGGGCATCATCCAGCCCCTAGCAGACCTGAGCGCGATGACGACGGAAACTCTCTAATACAATTCACCAAAGTAGGTGTCATTACCACTCTGCGCGTATTTTTCAGCCAGGCACAGAGTTGGAAGTGCTAACATTTGAATAGAGAGAGTCTGCGTCAACATCTGAGGTGGGTTTCTTCTTTGCTAATACATTCTACGCGCGTCCATCCGCTGACCAGGCCATGCTCCTCTTGCCAGTTGTTCTATGATCTTTGGTTTGTTGCCAATCTTACGGTTTTTGCAACCGTCCACCCGATCACTGAAAAAGAAACTCTGGTATCCTTTGTTGGCTATTTCCTGTAAGAGTCTGCCCCTTCGTTAAATTACACCATGGCCAAAGGAGAGATGATCAAGTTCAGTATCTAGAGCACTAACCCGTTTGTCTTAGACTTTTGTGGAACACATGGTTCATCACAACCGTTCACGATGCCCGATTTATCCAGGATGGCATTCTTCCTCGCCTTGCTCGTGCCTGCCATCTCGCCGTCATGATTGGATTTGCGATTGTTGGATCGGCCTTCGACAAAGATGATTTGATCAGACCAATCATCAAGGCCGGGTGTAAGTCTGCTGCCGGGCGCCTTGCTCCAGAAAGAAAATGCTGACTGGGAACAGCCCTATTCTTAACGCTATCGCGCCTTGTCTTGACTGCCCAATACTCTCTTGTCCTCTACCACGCTCGCCACAACAAGAGAGGTCGGAAGGTGCTTCTTGTGTCGGTTATCCTCCATTTGCTGCCAGCGATTGCATACCTTGTCGCCGGTGTCATTTCCAACAACAAACAAGACCAGCACCTGATTATCATTTGGTATACGGTGGGGCTGCTGGAATTGCTTTCCATCATTGCTCATGCTACCCTCTCTAAGACGCTTAGCTTTGAGGGAACCCACTTCAATGAGCGCCTGAACCTTCTGACGCTGATTGTTTTAGGAGAAGGTAGGCTTTTTTTATCCCCTATATCTTAATATGATCTTGAACAATCTCTGACTCTGCAAAGGTGTCATCCTTCTTACAAAGAATGTTTCCAAGATTGTCAAATATACCTATCTTAAAGGCCTAGCCGACTACTGGTGTAAGTTCAAATTACGCAACATCGAAACGAAGCAAGATCTACCTGAATGAAAATAACCTGACCATTCTCTAGCTCCGGCGCTCATCGGTACATTATTCTCCGTTGGGGCTCTCCTTTTCATCACCTTCCAGCTTTATTTTGACTGGATGCATCACCACAATCACATGGCCCCATGGCGCCATGCCATCTGGACCTTCCTCCATCTTCCCTTCCACGCCGTCCTTGTCCTACTGGCTGAAGGAAGCAGCCAATGGGCAGTGTGGTGGCGAGCAATAGAAGCATATCGCGAGGCCGAGTATAAACTCCAGAAGAGCGTCACAAACAGTTTGAGCAACACTACAGCCTCGTCGATATCATCTGCCGTAGCGGATAGTCTGAAGTCAACATCATATTATCTCATGAAGAAATATGGTACTGACTTGGAAGACGGGAGTAAGAACACAAATGAGCTCGACGCCATCTTTGAGGATATCAGCAACCTCCCCAAGACCCTCTGGACCCAGGATATTGAGGACTCGACTGATGCTGATGTCCAGAGCTGGATTGATGATTATCTCGGAATATCAAGAGCGGTCATCAATTCAATCAGCGAGGCCTTTGGTCTCAGCGTCGAGGCTAGCAGCAAGAAGTCTGGGGCTTCGGCAAGTTGGGAAGATGCGGAACTGGCTGCCATTGAGGCTACGGATCGCCGTATCGGCACTATCGTGAGTAACACTCTCGTACTTTCGAAATCTATCATCTAACCCGTTGCCGCAGTTCACATATCTATTCATCAGCGCAGGCATCGTCCTGATGCTTCTCATGGTTATGAATATCCTCTCGAAGACCAAGGGATGGACTCGATTCAACATGATCCGCACTGGACTTGTCTTCGCGATTGGTGCCGGTATCAGTATCCTATCTGCCATCCAGACAAATGCCAAACTTATGTCTCGCTTTATCAACTCCCCATGGCAGCTACCAACAATCGCCATTGCCTACTTCTGCGTTCTAATCTTGACTCACCTGCCACACCCATCGCAAATCTCTCTACAGCCTCGGCAGGAGAACGAAAAGGATGAGCTGAGTTTTGCCAAAGATCCTTCCCATTCCGGAGGAGTTGAAGCCGGCCATCCCGACAGCTATGCGCCCCAGTTTCATCAAGAGCAAGCAGGCGATCAAAGCAGTAGTTCTGGTGGAGTTCCACACCATGGCCAGGTTGATATGAGTAGCTACGACGGAGGTCACTACCAGGCTGCCAGTGCCGTCCCTCAGCCCCAATACCATCACCCCAGTCAACCCTATCAGACTGGATATCAGCAACCCGAAACTCGCGCGGGATGGCCTACGAGGGGTATGACAATAAGACAGGGGATAGCTTCAATGCAGCAGGCGGCCAGGAATATTCATATCGAACGGACACCCAACGACCCCACGTGGAGGGGACACAACGCCTACCCGGCGGATCAAAGCGGGCCATATGGCCTCTACAGAGCGGGATAGATCAAGACGATCTGATCTTCACTTCATGACTACACCTTCCACAGTACAGCCGGCATCATGGCACGTAAAGATATAAACGTATCCAGGGTTTATATTGATCAGAAAACTAAATATAATAATAGTATTGGAGATAATATAGTGCTATCTTGAAAAGTCGCTTAATAATAAAACAAGTTTAGTAACATAAGCTTCATATAGCTGCGCGCCGGCTGTTAAGGCGATCGCTGCCTACCTGTTATACAAGCTTGGTCAGCTTATCTTACATCCGATACCCAGGATATTACAACACCTCATGCAGGTCTATCTAATCAAGCAGCCTGCCAAGGATTATTATTCAGTATCTAACGTTAGTCTAGAGCTCAGTAAGGATCAATAGGATTATAAAAGGATTGCTTTAACCAAGCTGAAAAGAGTTATGCAGTTTCTCTCTTTTGATATTACTTTTTAAAATAATTATCTGGGTTTCTACTTAGTTACATGATATCCTAACTATAGGCTCAGGCTTCCTTTCTTCTCTTATGGTTAGATATCTCCTTTCTGGATAGATAACCTCTCTAGGTAGGGCCTATATCTATTAGCAATAACCATCATTAAATCCTACCGCTCCTCACTATCCCCAACCACATCGCCAAGATTTGAACTGCAGAACATCGAGACGAAAATCAATATGCCACTGGTTGATCGCATCATCGCTAAGGATATTGAGGTGTTACGACGCGCGGTTGAGGTGTCTCCTCATCAACAGGACCGGCACATAAACCTGCACCGACTTGTGTCTCGATTGCTAGAAAGGTACTCACGGTCCAATTGGCTACCTGATCTTGACGAGGCCATTCAGTTCACACAGCAGGCTTTGGACGAGCTTCCACTTGATAAGCCCTGTCGCGCGAGATATCTTTTGGAGGTGGCGGACTGTTGGGACTCCGAGTTTTATCAAAGGGGAAACCCCGTGGTACTGGTATACTCATGCCGGTTTGCTCGGCAAGCCATTAGAGAGACGGAACAACATCACCCAGATTATGCACATACCCTTATCGCGTTCTCGGGGGGTCTATTTGAGAGATATAAAATATGGAATGCGATAAGCGACATCGAGGAAGGGATCAAAATCTTGCGCGTAGCCCTAGACATGGTCACAAATGAGCTTTCCTTGAGATTGCAGGCCCTGCAACTACTACAGCTGAGCTTCTTTTACAAATATCGGCGAACGAGAACAGCGCAAGATCTTGGCGAAGCTGCGAAGTATGGTCGTGAGATTATTGCGATCATTTCGACTAATGAAGGATTTCGAAAACAAAGATCGCTTATCTGGGCGTATTCACAATGCATTTTGCACATGAGACACAAAAAAAGGCTTGATAATGATCTAGATCTTACCTTTCGCCTTGCGCGAGAGGCGACCGATTGGACTCTAAAGGCAGATGTCAGATTAGCAACTGAATTAGTCCTTGCCATTCAAGAACTAGGACGAATCCAGGGCAGTTTAAAGAACCATCAAGATCTTGAGAAATCATTCGAGGTCAGTCGATAATGGCTAGATGTCTTTCCGGATGACGTACCAATCAAGGCATACCTGTGGTCTGGTCTCGGAGACATCTATTTCCACCAAACAATACTCCTTAGTGAAGGAGAAGAAGAGGAAGAAGAGTATGACATGAGTAAAGCCTATGAGTGCTTTGAAATAGTCTTATATTCAGAGACTGCGCCTACTTTACTCCGAGTGCAGTGCGGGGTGAAGATATCCCAAGGCATTGCAACAGAAGAACGGTACTGTTGGAATGCAACCGTGTTTTCCATCGACTTAATCCCACAACTCTCAATCCGATTGCTTCGGCAATCTGAGAAGCAGTACATAGCGAGAGTTTTTTCAGATCTTGCCACACGTGCTGTTGGCTTCGCACTTACATACCACGAAGAAAAACGTGATAAGGTGCCCGAGGGGGATGACGGATTATGGTCGGCCATCCATCTCATGGAGCGAAGTCGTGGTATCATTGCAACCTCTCTTGATGACATACGGGCCGACGTTGATATCCTTGGCGACAGATTACCTGGTTTAGTGGGTGATATCACTCGGCTTCGGCAGGAGCTCGAACAACTTGAGTTGGACGATAGACTAGGGGCCAATTCAAACGGTTTGAACCTGCAGTTTCAACGCCGGTATGAAATCGGCCTCGATTTGGAGATGCTGTATTTGAAGATGAAAAAAGAACCGGAGTTTGACAAGGATATCTTCACTTCTGTGTCTGACATGGTGGAAATAGCCGGGGATCGTGGTCCGATAATCATCATCAACGTGATGGTATTCCGTTCCGACGCCATAATTATTACAAAGAAGGACAGAGGATGTAAGCCGCATCATGTACCCCTCTTGGGACTTCAGCATGCAGAAATAATATCAAAATTGAAGACGGGGAATTTGGGATTGCCCAGTGTACTGGAATGGCTGTGGGACACTGTTGCAGCACCAGTTCTATCAGCACTGGGCTTTAACGGACCACCTTCAAACAATGACTGGCCTCACATTTGGTGGATTCCCACGGGGCCTCTGACAGCTTTCCCTTTACATGCTGCAGGATACCATATGTCGAACACGGGTGAGACAGTGATGGATCGAGTCATGTCATCATACAGCTCATCAGTCAAGGCTATCACCGAGGGCCGGCGGCGATCAACCAAGCCAGTTTCTCGTCATAAACGAGCACTCCTAGTGGGAATGTCAAACACTCCGGGGTATATTCGGCTTCCTTACGCCGCCGATGAGATCGAGGCAGTACATGGTTGCTGCAAGTCGATGGGAATCAGTACCGTTGAGCTTACACAAGAAAACGAAACCGTCCTTGGATCGATGAAAAATTGCGACATTTTTCATTTCGCCGGACATGGATACACCGACTATAATGATCCGAGTCAAAGTTATCTGGCATTGAAGGATCCAATGACTGTCGACGCCCTCCTAAAGCTGAATCTTTATGAAACACAACCCTTTCTCGCCTTTCTATCTGCGTGCGGGACCGGCCGTGCGAAAGACTCGAAGTTATTCGACGAAAGTATTCACCTGATCAATTCATTCAAATTGGCAGGCTTTCGCAATGTTATTGGTACCCTGTGGGAGGTCAGGGATAAGGCGTGCGTCGACGTAGCGAGGATCACGTATGAGCTACTCAATCGCGACGGTTTAACAGACGACGCGGTTTGCCGGGGCCTACATGAAGCAACCCGACGGATGCGAGACCAATGGGTGCAAGATATCTCAAATCAAAATCTGGAATGGAGAATGAGATCACGTCGAGATATGATCCTTTTGGAGGAAGTGTGCCTGGGTGCGATGGAATGGGTCCCGTATGTGCATTTTGGTATGTAATTAGGTCTTAAATAGAGAGCCTTAGATTCGAGACATTTTAAATGATTTTTTCAGACTTTCTAAAACCCGAATTTCTAAATATACCTTCTCATCGGAGGATACTTCGGCCTTATTAACGTGGAACAGGCACAGGCGTAGTTTGTTTAATACCGAGAAGCGGAGAAAAACCCTCTTACTACTATGGCTAGGCCTTTCAACAGGCAAAAATAGCCAAAATATCACAAGTCTCTTATTTCCAGGGCCGAGGTATCCGATTGCCTGGATTCCTCAACCATATACAGCTTATACTATCATGATATCTAGATAAGGTACTAATCTAGAGAAAGCCAAATTATAAAGCAAGTGTTAGATCTAGCTGGATTTATTTTAATTGCTCTAAATCTATTGCTCACATTTTATGGTTTGGCATTCCTCGTACATTGTGGGCAAGCCAACTCATCGTGAATGAGAGTGTGGTGGAGATGAATCTGATAATATTACATCGAGAGTTACCCTGCTAATTATGACTAGACGGCGCCTTTGTGATATTGACCTCGGCAGAAGCCATACCGATGATGCTACAGCCTAGCCGGACATGTGTCTGGTACAGCCACCCGGCGATAGGATATTATGACATCCAAGATCGTGTCATGAAGAAAGATATGATTAGTTGGTCATTCTCTCCGACCCGCCATTTCATCTCCGTCGCCTGCTTGGCTTTGAGTCCCGTGTTCTACTTGGAGCTAGAGTGTGGGGTGACTGAAGCTGGGGAAATTGACCTCGTGTAGATCGCCTCTTTCTAATCTGATATAAGCATAGCGCTCCGAAATTCACTAGCAAGTGCAGTTTCTTTGGGTCTTCGGCAAGCGAGAAGTAATATCCGATTGGCGACACACGAGGAGCTCCCCCGGATACCTGGGCTTCCGGTTCTCAGATCCCTACTTTGTACGTCACGCTGGGTAATTGAAGTCAGGCTGATGTGCTCTGTCATCTCCTCACCTCTTTCTTGTCGAAAGTGCGGGGTACCATGGTATCAGCACGAGCGTCCATTCACCTGTTCGATGTTACGGTGTGGCTCCCCCTGATGCCCCTGCATACATAAACGTACCTCCCACGCTGACTTGTGCCTCCAGTGCCTGTCCTCATTTACTGGCTCGAATGTCTCCGATCGTCATATATACCATCAAACTTGACAGAAACCGGCACACGACAAACTCGCCATGAGACTCCAGAATCTGCTGTCCCTTGGACTTGGGCTTGTTGGCCTTACTGTAGCCGTCGAACTCTCTGGTTATGAGTATATTGTTGTTGGCTCAGGTGCTGGCGGTGGTCCACTTGCAGCCCGACTGGCTCTGGCCGGCCACAAGACGCTTCTTATTGAGGCTGGAGATGACCAGGGGGCAAACAACAACTACAGTGTTCCTGCCTACTCGGCTTTGGCTTCAGAAGATGGTAGCATGGCCTGGAACTTCTTTGTGCGCCACTATGCCGACGATGAACGTCAAGCCCTTGATTACAAGACATCCTACGAAACTGTTGACGGCGGCCTGTATACTGGTCTTGATCCTCCTGAAGGGTCCAAGATGCTAGGAACACTGTACCCGCGGACAGGTACTCTGGGTGGCTGCACGGCTCACAATGCCCTCATCGCCATCTATCCTTACCGCTCCGATTTTGAATATATCTCACGTCTTACCGGCGACCAGACATGGGATCCCGAAAATATGCGCAAATACTTCGTGAAATTGGAAAATCAGCAATATCTCAGCCTACTCTCTCCTGGTCACGGATACGACGGATGGCTGAGCACTGAGACCGCTCCCCTCACAATTCCCCTGCAGGATCCTCAGCTTCTCAGTCTGTTCCTTGGTGGTGCTTTTGGCCTCGGCAATCTGACGGATAACGTCTTCAATCTTGCTACGTTACTTGCTGGAGATGCGAACGCCGACAGTCTGCTGCGAGACAAGAGCCCTGGCTACTACCAAATACCCATCTCGACAGACAAGGCCAGCCGTATTGGCCCTCGCGAGTTTGTCGTCTCCGTTCGCGATGCCAAGAACTCGGATGGAAGCAAGAAGTATCCTCTTGACGTTCGAATGCACTGCCACGTCACCAAAGTCGTCTTTGACAAGTCCAAGGACCCTCCCCGCGCTACTGGCGTCGAATTCCTCGATGGTGCTTACTTGTACGCTGCTAGCCCAAGGTCCAAGAATGCTGGACCAGGTGAGCCTGGATCGGCAACGGCGTCGAGAGAAGTCATCATCTCTGGGGGAACGTACAACTCACCCCAGATTTTAAAGCTCAGTGGCGTCGGACCGAAGGAGGAACTGGAGAGATTCGGCATCCCTGTCATTGTCAACCTTCCTGGGGTTGGCACCAATCTACAAGATCACTACGAGGTCGCCGTCCAGGGGCGAACGCCTAAGGATTTCGTGGCTCTCGATGGATGCACATTTGGATTCGATGGCCAGGAGGACTCGTGTCTTGAGCGTTGGGAGAATCCCGTTTTGGGAGACCATGGTACTTATGCATCATCTGGATTGGGAGTGACAATGTTTTATCCCTCAACCGCTACAGCTGCCGGCGATTACGACACCTTCATTTTCGGCGGACCCGTCAATTTCAGAGGTTACTTTCCCCAATACAGCATTAACGTCACTGCTGAGCACGATTGGTTCACCTGGGCCATCCTGAAAGGGCAGCCTCGAAATACCGCTGGCACTGTCACACTGGCCTCGGCGAATCCCCTCGATGTCCCAGCCATCACATACAATTACTTCGACACTGGCTCTGGTGATTCGTCCGCTGACCTCCAGGCGATCTCCGAGGCAATTGGACTAGCTCGTAACGCGTTTGCCAGGCAGCTTGTACCTATTCGGGAAGAGCTTCCGGGAGAGAACGTTCAGTCGCAAGAGGACATTGAGCAATACGTCAAGGACACCGCCTGGGGTCATCATGCCTCTTCAACTTGTCCCATTGGAGCCGACGACGACCCAATGGCGGTTCTAGATTCCAAGTTCCGCGTGCGTGGGGTCAAGGGACTTCGTGTTGTGGACGCCTCCGTCTACCCAATGATCCCAGGCACTTTCACTGCGGTGTCTACCTTCATCGCGGCGGAGAAAGCTGCTGACGATATATTAGGCGAACTAGACTAATGTAGAGATACAGATAAATTTAGATCTACAAATTTAACTCCTGGTCAAAATGAAATAAGCCAGGAAATTGGTGCACCCTTGTGAAGAGTCACAATTGCAATAGCAAGATCTCTGCTAAGTTTGTGGCGAGGTCGGAGCGAGAGCCATTTAGAACCCCACGGAGAAGCGCCGAGTGGTATATAGTCTAAGATTGTAGGTTGTTGTCTGTTATTGTGTAGATGTAAAATCCGCAAAGAGCCAGATTATAGAAAAATAGAGCTCCCTTTTACACTAATACCCGGCTCGGCACCCTATCTTTCTATCTTAGAATTTAAAATGGCGATTTCTCTTTGCCTAGTAGGGACTTAGAGCGCCTGATTGATTTTTTACCATTTATTTCCAGTGCAGTTTTTCACGATTGCAAGCTGTTGGTAAGAAATGCAGTGTGCTATAGGGTAGCTCAGTTCAGAGTGCGCATGCATCGCCATGTCGAGCACACACGGTCCTGGCAACGACAGCTAAGCCTCTTAGATATTGATTCTGGTCATTTCAGAGAGCAAAGAGTGACTTCAGTGGGCAATTACAAGAATGAGCAGAAACTTTGCCCACGGTAGATAGTCTCCCAGCTAGCTACGCTGTACACTAACACTCTCCGGTATCGCTTGCAAGCACTAGACTAATAACAAGAAACAGCCTTGGGAGTTGTGACCATGCATCAGCAGGCCGGAGATATCAATCAGAACGAGGATCGATGCCGTCTCCACCCCACCGATGCGAGCCAAGATATGATGCCGGTAAAGGCGGCAGCGGAGCTTTCCGTAAGCTGCCGTGATGTTAACCCACCTTGAATCGAAGTGCTGTTTGAAAACCATATTCAAGGGTGCTGGAACGGCGCGGACGCGGACCCGTGATATTACGTAGGAGGACCCTGAGACTCGGTCTAGTGGCTAGTTACAGCACGCCACTAATTTGACCAAGGAGAAGGTTTTTCTTGGTGCAGTAGCTATTGTCTTTATTTTCTTCTAACGTGGACATGTTTTGACGACTACCCTGATGGCCTCGGGAGTATGTTTGGATGGAACCGTGATGGGGTTGCAATGCATCTGTCTCTGCCTCACATTGCAGAGGGATCGAACAGGGAATCTGGGGCAAGGGTGCTTGAGGCCCATCGCCAGGCGTGGCTCTGCCTGAACGCATTGATCGGCGCTGTCTGTCATGAACTCGATTTCCCCTCTGCGGGCCCTCGCGATCTATGTGCTAGAGGCTAGAGAACGTCTCCGGTAGAGTGTTCCCAGACAGGAACGGCATCGTAGCACGGGACTCACGCCTACCACAACCAGCGTACGTGTCGTCCTTGATTGATTAGCGGAAAACTGGGCACAGAAGATTGATGAGAAGAGGAACTGCGGGTCTCCCGTGTCAGAAAGTGCCTCAGACCTACGGCCATAACCACATCCGGCTTAAATTCCTCGTGGCCAATGTGGATGACCCTGGGCGAATTTCGATATTTGATCGGACGCCGGATCTCCAGAAGCCCGCATACCGAAGCGCAGATTTTGTCCCAGCCATTTACCCCTGTCGCCGAACGGTTTTGGATGGATCCCTCGCCCAGTCTCGGCTCGTGCGAGGCCAACACTGGTCACATTGTCACGCTTTCACACAGACTAGTCGACGCCTCAGGTGCCGAAACCCTTGGCCGATGAAGGGTTTGCATCGAGTGGAGTTTCTGAGCAAGAGAATCTTATCAGATGGCATGATTAGATATGGAAACTTTGGGTGGCCTGATCACTTTGGACGAATGATCCGTGCCGTTCCATATCCACCCGCTGGGCTGGGATTTTCTTCAGCCCGGCACTAGGCAATTTAGCTCGGAGTTGCTAGCGGTTACCGGCTCGCCTGTGTCGCGTTCTGAGGCCTGGGCCTGGTTTGTTCGCGATTTGACTGTTTATAAAAGGAGGTTATCCCCTCCCCTCGTGTATCAGCCTCCCCCCCTTTTGGCATCGCATAGATCGGCTTTATCACCATCTTCATCGCTCAGAGGGAGCCACTCACATTGAGGATGACTGAAAAGACCATTACTCCTGCCGTCGAGGCCCAGCCTCATGATGTCGAGGGGCTTGAGAAGCCTGCCGCAGAGGAGCTCCAGCAGGGTGTGCGCATGGCCGAGGCCGTCACACTTTCATGGACCAGGACATCACTCATCATTGTCTACGCCTGGTAAGTAGCCCACGCGACCGAGAATAGAACCAGCGCCCTTCCAGTAACTAACAATCTGATGCAGCATGTGGATGACGTACTTTGTGCGCGCTCTCCAGTCCAGTTTGACGATGAACCTCTCGCCATATATCACGAGTTCATTCCAGGGCCACTCTTTGCTCACCGTCATCAGCACGGTGGTGAGCATCATGAGCGCTGCAACCACCATGCCGGTTGCCAAGATCCTCAACCTGTGGGATCGTACCGTTGCCTTTAGCTTCATGCTGACCCTCTCCGTTATTGGTCTTATTCTCAATGCTGCTTGCAACGACATTGCTACATACTGCGCTGCTCAAGTATTTTACAATGTCGGATCTGCTGGATTGATCTTCTCAGTCGATGTGCTCACAGCCGATACCTCCACTCTCCGAAACAGAGGTTTGGCATTCGCATTCACTTCCTCTCCATACATCATCACCGCATTCGCAGGATCCCCTCTCTCCGAGCGGTTCCACGAGTCTGACTGGAGATGGGCCTATGGAACTATTACTATTCTCCTGCCGCTCGTGACCCTTCCTATTATCCTCACCTGGTCACTTGCAAGGAAGAAGGCGCTTCAGAACCACGTCGTTGAAAAGGATTCCGTGCAGCGAACACTCCCCGAGGCCATTAAATACTACTTGATCGAATTTGACGGTAAGAGAATCCACCACATCAACTCCATTGCATCATGGAACAGGATAGGCGAATGACTGACTATTTGATCTCAATACAGCTGTTGGTATTTTCCTTCTGATCGCAGGTTTCTGCCTCCTGCTTCTTCCCATGACCTTGGCTACCTCGCAGCCCGAGAGCTGGCGCACAGACTACATCATTGCCATGATTGTCCTTGGCGGCGTATTAGTCATTGCCTTTGCGCTCTACGAGAAGTTCCTCTCGCCCAAGCCGTTCATCCCCTGGCATCTCTTGGCCAACCGAACCGTCATGGGTGCATGCTTGGTCGACCTGATCTACCAGATCGGCTATTACTGCTGGGCCATGTACTTCACGTCGTACCTGCGAGTCGTCTTTGACGTCTCGATCACTGAGGCTGGTTACATCGCCTCCATCTTCGATTTTGTCTCCCCCATCTGCCTTATCCTGGCGGGTTACCTCATGCGCGTCACCCAGCGTTTCAGATGGCTCCTCCTCGTTGCCGTGCCTCTGTACGTTCTCTTTGCCGGGTTGATGATCTACTTCCGAACCCCCGGCCGCGGAGTGGGCTTCATCGTCATGTGCGAAGTGTTCATCGGAATTGCCGGCGGTGTCATGATCCTCTGTCAGCAGATTGCTGTCATGGCCGCCTCCAAGCACGAGGACTACGCTGCCATGCTGGCCCTCCTGGGTCTCTTTGGCAACATTGGTGGAGCCATCGGAAACAGTGTCTCTGGCGCTGTCTGGACCAACACCCTCCCTCAGAAGCTTGCGGAGTACCTCCCAGTGGACGATCTTCCCAACCTGGATGCGATCTACGAAGACCTTGAAGTGCAGATGAGCTATGCTGTTGGTACCCCCACCAGAGATGCCATCATTGCCGCGTACGTGGACGCTCAGAGGAACATGTTGATTGCTGGAACATCCATCATGGTTTTGGCTTTGGCCTTTGTGTTTTTGATTAAGAATATCAAGCTGACAGATACCCGATCCCTGGGCATGGTCTTCTAAGCTGTTGGGTTGCAGCAATGCCCGTGCTTATTGGCAGCCATCACATCATCATAAACTCAAAACTTGAACAGTTGAAGAAGCAGATTATTGCTAATATTGATACCACTCAATTTAAGATAAAGAACTGAATACCTGAAAAGTTCCCTAACGCCCGTGAATTATTCCATGCCAAGGCTTGAATCCATATATGGATCAGTTGGCTTCTCCGATACTCGATGATAACGAAGTGACCGATTGATGAATATGAAGTTTTCTATCATGCTTGAAAATTCATGACCCATATGAGCTTCTATAGTTTCCATTCCCTGATATCCGAATACAATTACACTTTTACTTTTAATTTCAACCCCACTCGGCATGTTCTTAAAGCCACCGCAAGGAGTGTCGCCACCAGCACCGAGGACCCGGCAAACATTTGGGCATAGAGATAGTTCCCATCATGTCTCGTGATCAGCTGCCCACTGATAAAGGGTCCGGTCAAGGTGGCAATACTGACAAAGCTGAATATCATCCCTACCCTCGTCCCGGTCTTGTCCGGGTGAGGAGTCATAGTCGTCGCCAAGGCTGGGTATAATGCTTGCAAAGCGGCCGCAGCGATGCCGTAGAGAACAGCAAAGACATATAGGCCAGTCTCAGTGTGTATGGCAGACCAGCAGTAAATCAAGATGGCTGCTGACAGATTGAGAGGGATCAGGATGTTAAGAGGGCCGGCCCACTTGTCGGCCATGAAGTTGGGGAGGATACGGCCGACAATGCCGGAGCCATTTAGCACCATGACCAAATTTATTGGCTGGCCGATGCCGATGATATCACGGGCAAACGTCCCCATAAAGAAAAAGGCAAAGTATAGGCCCCAGAACGAAGTGAATTGACTCAGCGCAAACAAGATGAACTGGGGCTCCTTGAAAGCATCAGTGTCGATGAACTGCCCTCCCCGTCGAGGTGGTAGTCTCGGAGCAAACCATATGACGCATGGAATGTATGTTGCAAACATTAAAAAGCCCATGATGCGCATTGTCCATGGATATCCGCCGATGCTATCGTTGTTGACCAGTTTATCGATGAGCGTGGGGTATATTAGACCTCCGGTGCCACCACCCGCCGCAGCTAAACCAACAGCGAAAGCCCGGTTCTGCTTAAAGTACGACGCCATGACGGTCAAAGAAGGTACAAAGGCAAATCCATTTCCCAGTCCTACGCAAAGAGCTTGAGATAGGAATATCTGCCAGTATTTCGAGGTGAGGGACGCAAGAAAAATCCCAAGCACCTGTAGCAAGACACCGAGGGTGAAAACTATCCGGAAATAGCCAGCATCTGTGATACGACCAGCGACAACGCCGACTAGAAAGAGCAGGCATACTTGAACACTCCCGATCCAAGAAATGGTCGATTGTGACTCATCGAGATGTTCTGTATAGTACTCCTGGAAGACTCCGTAACCATTTGCGACTCCCCAGGTATTCATGAAGACAATGTGCATCAAGAGAACCTGGACCCAGGCACGTAAACCTCCATCGGGAACGGCATTCGGGACTGTTGTGCTGTTCTCTGGAGTTTCTTGGTTACTTTCGAGATCTGTAGTGGCCTTCTCGGTCTCTGGGTCGGACCGCCCGAGCCGAGGGCCGTGAAACATTTTGGAGATAGGGTTGTGAATCGAGAGGAGGGTGATAGAGGAGGAAACTGGATTCAATAGCCACTGTTATTTTGATACCATATAATAAGGGACATGATTATGTATACAATGACTACCTTGAAAGAGTTAGTTTGGAATGAAGAAACTCTACATTATATGTTTAGACAAGCCGAGATACCCGCTTTTCCCGTGATTTCCGCTCTCTACGTCACAATATCATCCCGTTCTTCCCGCTCTACCCGACCGCTTCTCCCGACCACCATCGTCTCGTGACGTTGCAGACAGGGCCGTTGCAGCGCACTCGGATCAAAGGGTCAGTCTTGGATTGGTCCCTACTGCTAGCCGAACTGACGGTCATTTTACTCGGCCCCGGTCCCCCCGCTGTCGTCTGAACTGAGGTTCTCTGGCTGCGTATTTCCCCACACTCTTGGCTCCAAGCTCCAGTCTGTATTCTGGGTCGTGGCTGCAATACGCCTGCCGGCTTGAGACGGTCGAGCATCTTCGAATCTCCTCTAACCCATAATGTCTGAGATGGCGTATGTTGCGCAGCACCGGAAACGATCTAAAGTCGCGTGCGAGACATGCCGTGAACTGAAGCGGAAGTGCGACGGCGCCAGTCCTTGTGGGACCTGTGTACGGTTCGAATACCATTGTTCCTATGCAGAGAGTTCCGCAAGGAGGAAGAGGAAGCATATGTCACGGGGCGATCATCCCGTCCTTGCCGCTCCAATCCCGGCCCCAGACTCTGTCTCCGGCCCTCAGGCCACCCCTCGCAACTCCGCCGCCTCGGCGCCGTCCACGACATCCGCCTCCTGCTCACCACATAACAACCTGCTGACCGTCGAGGCAAACTCGGGAGCTGCCTTCGTCCGCAAGCTGGCACTCGGGATTGACCCCAAGAATGCCCCTCGGATGCATCTCTTCGCCTGGAATGCCTTTTTAGGCGCACGAGAGGCTACCGGGACTCCGGTCTCACGGCTCATCACCGATATTCTGTCCGAGGCTGACATGGTGGCCCTGTCCAAAGTCTACTTTGCGGATGTTGATCCCTGTTATAGCTTCATCAAGCGCCAAGAGTTTGAACAACACATGAACGCAAGATGGAGACTCCCTGATAGCGAGCATCCCTATGATGCGGTTCTCTGTGGCGTGGCCGCTCTGGGGTGCTTGTTTTCACATGTCCACCCCCCTGCAGCAGAGCTTGATCTGATACAATCAGCAAAAATCATTCTTGAACGAGAGATGAACCAAGCGCCTTCCCTTGCGACCATAGCAGCCTGGGTCCTTCGAACAGCCTATCTTAGGATGACGGGTACATCACATTCAGCATGGATGGCTAGCTGTATAACGATGCATCTAGTAGAGGCTGCGGGCCTACATTGTGAGCCGATAAAAGATTCGGTGCTCCATACTCTCGACGAAGACGTGGACCCCGAGATCCGGAGAGGTTTAGTTGGTGTTGCTCGCCACCTCAATGTATGGATGTCTTTCGACACAGGGTGTTCAAGGGTCATGATACACAACATGTCTACTATATTTCCCAGCACCCGGCCGGGTAGCTTTACGCATGAGGTCCTTGGCCTCCTTCCCTACTGCGACATTCTTGACCCTGAAAAGGTGACTGATGCCCAAGAGCTCGAAGTCACCCTTTCTAGTGTTCTGGACCGTCTTCACACCGAGCCTCCCTCTGTTTTGGCCCAAACCAATATCATGCTCTGCATATGCCGCCGACTCAAATCCCTGAACATGGTTCTGCACGGTAAAATTCTGGAACAGGTTCTGGCCCTCGCGCGGAAGGGAGTACGAGCCGCACAGAGCATGGTAGAGACTGGGTCGCCCTGGCACCATATGGCCAATATTCCCTTCCAAGTGATCTGTATACTGCTTGTCATCGATACCAGCGCATCAATTTCCCAAATCAAGGAGACAATGCGTTGTTTGCAGGCTATTGTCGCCAAGTATAATACCGAGGCCACCGTCGAGGCATTGCGAACAGCCTCGCTACTGATCTTGCTACATCAGAAACGGAAACAGAAATGTGCCTCGGAACTACACGAGATCCTAAAAATATACCCTATTAGCGGAGGGTCTGATGCGAGGGAGCCCTCTGGGGATTCTCAACCACAACCAGAGGAATCGGGCTGGCTGGACAGCCTGGCGATCGATCTACCGGGTCTGGAGGGCTTCGGCGGGTTGGAACAGCTGCTCAACGAAGGGTTTGCTTGGGACTTTGGGAATAATGCGCCGTAGCGCAAAATCCATTTGCGTCATATGATTACTGAATTCATGGACTATCCACCTTCGCATTCAATGATATTACACGACGTGGTGGCATTGCTGCATCGAGTCGGCTGACCAGGTGACATCCTTTAGCCTAACTTGTACTGGCATCATGAAGCTGGACTGCGGCATCTCTAGGGCTGAACTTAAATGTCTTACATGAATGCATGTCATATCAGCCGTTACGTAAATAACCTCGTGGATCTTACACGTCTAGAATGTGATAGACCCATTGGTGGTCTATTCTCAGTCTACCCGTGGCAGTGCCTCTTTGTTGTCCCAGGCAAGACACCACCAGCATGCTTCAAAAGCCTATGATGATCTGCGAAGAGCTCGGTTCTTGTTGATTACTAGGGTACATGCATAGGCTTCAATCATTTTCCTTCATTTCTTTTTGAATCTACAGAGAAAGAGTGAAGTGAGTTGTTTGATATCCGGCGCGTCGGTGGACTTAGGAGGGATGACCGACGCCTCATATCCAAAAGCAGCGTAAATGAGGGGAAAACGCCTTAACTTCAGTAGAAGCTGCCACCATGTGAACTATTTGCATTTCACGCTTATTCAAGCTCGTGTTAGAGGCATGGCGTCGTTAGACCCCGATTTCCATTGATATCATTGGCTAGCCTGAGGAGCTGAGCATCCCTCACTGAAGGCGTTGTCATCCTGCGCCTCGACAAGCTGACTTTAGACATAGCCGTTCCGATTGATGCTTCTGTCTAATTCCACTTAGGGCGTCCTCTGGAATTGCCAAGAATAGAAACACGAGACATCACCAGTTGTGTCTCAGGCATCAATGATCGATTCTCGTTGCTCGCCGAGAACTTCGCCTCAGCTTCGAAGCTAGTGACTTGGCTTGCATTGATGCTATTCAGCCATGTATGCGGCTGACAGCGGTGGAAAATAATGTCCAGAACTGGATATTTTGATATGGTATGGCATCTTCCTCGCCCGGGATTCGATTATAAAAGCCTGATGCCTCCCAGGCTTCGACAGAGACTCCAATCATCTCAATTCCCCAGCAACAGCATCCACCAGATACCTTGCCACAGATTCCCTTCTCAAGCTTTCGTTTCAGAAGCTCTATCAATTCAAGCTTTAGACGCTGTGCATCATGTCTCTCTTCAAGACCATTGCCGCTGTCTTTTTGACTGCGAGTTCAGTGTTAGCCGCCCCTCTTGAATCTCGGGCTGAAGTATCTTTCAAGCCTTCTGCTATCTGGAGATACAATGTTGGCAATGGCGCCATTTCTGCCACAAACACTGGCGATGTGGCGAAGGCTCCCACTAATGGCGGCCAAGACACCACCGCTCTCCTGACGTTCACTTATCCGTCTTACGTCTCTGGCCAGAAGTGCCAATTTGCCTTCTCTTTGGATTCCACCGCAACACTTGAGGGAAGTGCAAAACTCGATTTGTTCTCTAGCCTCCAGCCGGCTCCAGGCCCAACTGCCGGATGGGGACCCGGAAACCAGCGCAACATCAACCTCGGCCGCCTCAACCTGGTCAAGCCTGGCGAGGCCACCTGGGAGGCTACTTACAGCTCCTATCTCACCCAGAAGACAGACTGCAAAGCACCGGGCACAGTTGAGGCCTTTGAGCTCGTGGGTGTCTACGACAGAGATCTTGTCTCTTGGAACCCTGCCTTGGCTGGACCTCGCATCGTCGTCACCCCTTCCTAGTTCTTTAACAACAGAAGAATGACAGGCTATGATATCCTAGCCAAACTTTTGAACCCTATCTCGTCAATTTTTTATAGCTCTTTTCTGTCGAACTCTGGGACGAGTAGTTGATGAATTGATGCGCTGATTAAATCGAGCTTATATGTCGGTCCTTTAATGTGTTGTGATACTGGGTATGGTGTCAAGTTGTTAAATTCTTGGTGTTTGGGAATTTCCCCCTTTTTTTTCAGCAGCTGCATAGCTCTCTCACTTACTATATGTCGGTCCTTGTCACTTCTCGGGTAGCGATCTGTTTCTTATTCCCTCCCTTCTGCTGAATTAGTTCAGCTAGATTTATTGATTTATATTGAAGAAATAAACTTGGATCAATTTTAACTCATGAAAGTCAGTTCCTCTTAAAGTGAAACGATTTTATTCATGAATTGACCGTAGTTCAACCATATGATCGATCTTAGGAGCTAATTTTCCATAGCTGACGGAGAGATTACAGAAGGAAGTGAAGTACTCGAAGACCCCTTATCTATTGTGTTGAGATGTCGGGCTCTGGCATCTTCCATTGCTGTTTATCTTTATACTCAAACTCTCTCATGTGCTCATAACCAACACAACGAGCCGCCAACGACACTGGCGCTTGTATTTAATAATACACGATTTCCTCACTATCGGCGCCCGACTCTTTCCATTTCAAGAAAGCGTTGACGACATTTTGTGCCGCCTTTTCTGCATAGTCTGGTCCTGGATTGGCAGGAAACTTAGTATTAGGATCACCGGCAATCCAAGCGACAGGGGCATTTCCCTTCCCGCGGAAGAGCTTGTTCAGCTCAACCACATGCTCATGATCAAATGCCCTTCCGAAAAACACTGCACGGGGAGCTTGGCTGTAGTTGTGCGAGCCGATCTCATTGCCGCTGGGTTCCGATGGGACTTGGCCTCCAAGGAGCTCGCCAATATGTGCTTTTGCATACTCGTAGGAGTTGATGAAATGGATGACTAGGAGTAACGTGGGTTAGTTAACATTTGGGACGAGTATATCGGGTCCATACAGACTTTCGATATCCGGTTTGACTCGTGGTGCGATAATCTCACCGACCTGGAGTGTCTTGCCACAAAGGATAGCGGGAACAGGAGATGTTAGACCGGATTGTGCCATTACGTCGGTAAATTTTGATGTGAACGATACTGGACCTCAATGGTTGATATGGTTGTGGTGAAGAACGTATTGTCTGGGGATTTGTTTAAAGGAACAGGAAAGAGAAGGAGAGTAGTTACCAAATCGATCACCTCTGATCATATGTCATTTTCTTTAGCACAGAAACCGTATGTTTTTCTCATCGTCTCATCGATTAGAAGTCAATCTCTCCCAAGAGTCTCGCTCATGGCTCGTTTGGGCCAATTACGGCGACCTCGTAGATGGATCCCCGAGTGGCCCCGATGGCTCGTGCCGAGCTTATGTCCGTAGTTTATGTCCCATCCGTTTTGGCTATTGCGGTGAGAAGCTAAGATAGACCGGATATGATGCCGAGTGCATTGAATGACTCGCATCGATAATGAGGGCCGTCGAATTCTTACAACGGGTCGCGCCACAGCTTAGAACATAGAAATGGGCGATTCGCCCGTATGGCCCAACATCGAAAGGCGTATTCTAGCTTTGCCATTCAAAGGTTACTTCCAATCAATCGATAATGGATGAAATTCTTATACTTCTATAGATGCTCAAATCAAAGCTGTAGGTATCTATTATACTCTCAACATGGATTTATGATCTTCTCTATCTTAATCATAAAACTTGCACCTATCTAACCCAATTCTGTAACGCCACTTACTTTGCTTTAATGTGCGTCTGTCCGGGTTTATCTCAATAGCTTTCAACTGCTCATAGATGTGAAGGGTTCATTACAAGCTTACAACGAGCTTTGTTCCACTAGTCTTCATGATTTTACCCAAGCCTGTTTCGATGGCTTGGAAACCCTTGCCCACGACCTCAACATTCAGGGGCAACTTATACTTATCCCCATCCAGTAATTTGCTGAGATACTCCATCGCATTTGGATTCTCGTCAAGGATAGATTGGCCACCAACCACTGTCATTGGCGGTTAGTTTCTGATATTAAACACAAAAGATATGCCACTTTGCCGATAGACTGTCACTCACAGGTTGCATTTATGCCCTCCGGCAGCTCTGCTCCCGGGCGTGTGATTACGAGGGAGTACAATTTCGGACCATCTTCCCGCAAAGCACTATAAACAGCAGGCTCAGCGCTCCCGGCCCCGACCGCGTCAATGATGGCGTCTACACCCGCTCCTTCAGGTGTTACTGCCTTCAAGATGGCGGCGTCCTGCTGAGCAGATCGTTCGAGAGTAACATGAGCCCCAAGAGATTTGAGTCGTGCATGATGGGTGGGCGAACTAGTTGTGATTATGGTAGCCGACGGTAGGGCGATGCGCAACAGCTGTATGGCGCTGGAACCTACACCAGAGCTTCCACCCAGAACCAGAATGGAGCGAGGTGGTGCCTCATTAGTGTCTTTGGTAGACAGACCAGGGATGTGGACTTTCAATCCAACGGCAATAGTAGCTGCCGCAGTGAGATAGGTAATGCTATGTTTGAATTGTCTTAGGTTATATTCTGACGGGACAACAAAAATTCTCGGGGTTCGCCGTCGACGGATCACTCACGGGATGGAGGTTGCCTCTTCAAAGCTGAGCTTTGTTGGCTTTTTAGCAACCACACTTTCATGGGCCTTGTATACATCTTGGAATGCACCGTTGAACTGAGTCCTCTGGATCCAGCTCATGACTTCGTCACCGGGCTTGAAAGATGTTACACCTTCTCCAACTGACTCAACCGTGCCAGAACCCTCGATGCCAAGAACACATGGCCAGCCGGCTACAAGCGCGCCAAACTGAATATTCTTCCAATCGATGGCGTTGATGGACACAGCCTTGGGGCGGATAGTGATTTCGTGGGCGCCGGGATTTGGCATCGGGGCTGAAACCAGGGCGAAGGGTCCGCCTTTCTTCGTTGTTTGATACTGCTGGATAGACATTTTCTCTGCTGGAGATTTCTTCCTAATTGGCGATGAATAGAAACTACTCGCTATGGTGGATGAGAATTGCCGTGCTGGACAGGAAGGGAAAGTTGGGAGGCGAGCGCAGGTCGAAGAAATGCGTGCGAGTTGCGGCCACAGACGCATGTTAGTTGAAGCTAAGGTCGAGTATCCGAGGCCATCTGGGTTCAAATGATATATTTCATTTCAGCCACGGGTATGAGTTCCATCTAAACACCTTGCTTCGTCCACCATTTACTCGTTCCAGTGTAATTCATCAATATCATCCCCATGTATGCAAGTTCGGGCTTAGGATATGCCCGATAAGCGGCGTATAAGCATGCAAGAGGTGGGCCAATTGACAGGCATCGCGGGACAGGGATCGCGTATCTTTTCGGGTATATCTAGACATCCCCCGGCCGAGTTCTTCACCTCATCCATGATCAAGCCCATACCGTAAAGGTTGTGACGATATTTTGGAACGGTGGAAAGTCGGAATTATACCGATCCAGTGATATTCGCAGATACTGGGTTCTTCAGTGAGAACATCAGGGTGATCCTAGGCCACAGCTAGCCGTTGGAAACCATTGAGGTAAGCTTTTGCATGACTCGAACATCATAGCCTCAGCACAATTGAAAAATCTTGAATAGTGAACATGTCGCTGGGCTTGAAGGTGTGTCGTTGGCTAACTGTTTTCTACTAGTTATTACAAATAACTACAATCACAGTTATTGGTGTTTCTGCTTTCACACCGCCAGCTCAACTGCTCAACATCCATCTACATTGGCTGGCAACTGATTCCAACTCAATATGCCTGGAGATGGATCGCCGAAGCCTACCCATTTCCGTACAGCATGTGACCCATGTTCCACATCTAAAGTTCGATGCGATAAGGCTCATCCGTCCTGTGACAGATGTGTGCAGATGAAGGTGAGATGCTTCTACAGCGAATCACGGAAACATGGGAAGAAAGCCTGGCGAAGAAAGCTAGCAGCGGATCGTCGGGCATTGGCGGCGATGAGCCTCGAGCCGGACATTTATCCCCTGGAAACGACAAAGCCGATTGCTCCAGCCACGGCTTTGATGCCATCAGAATGGGGCTCCCTGCTCTCCTTGCCACATCAGCCGGCCCTTATAAGCACCAATCCTCCAGATCCTACCCTATTTGACAATGAGCAGCATAGAGCTGTAAACACTTCAGTTCTTTCGCCCTCATGGCCCGTCGACCCATCTCTTGGTGCTATAATGGGGGTGAGCCCCACGCTTGACTGGAACAAAGCCGACTTATCGTTACCTGAGCCCTCTCCTTCAGGTGAGACCTATTCATTGTCGGATTTATGCCAAGTTGAATCCTCCGCTACGGCGTCATCAGGGGCGAAGGCAGCATCCTCAGAGTCTGGTAGTAGGAAAAATACCCATGACTGCGAGGCCCAGGCCGTTTCTATCCTTCGCCTGCTCCAGAATAACGAGATGTCCGAGGGAGCAACATCTTGCGCTACCACAAGATATTCTGACTTGAACCTTTCGCCAAGCTTTGACGGTGTCCTCGCGACAAACAAGCTAGCTCTCAACAGTTGGAAGCGTCTTATGGAGTGTACTTGCGCGGAATGCCCTCATCTGATCCTGCTATATGTTGCGATTCTATCCAAAATGCTATTTTGGTATTACATCATTTCCGAGAAATCACTCTCCCCAGCAGGAAGCGGGCGACAGAGCGCTGGTGACAGCATCAATGTTGATACCCCTTCTGGCGGGCCTCCCAAGATCGGGGAGTTTGATGTCCTCCCGACCAAAGTTCAGCTTGGACTGTTGGATATAGACCCAGAAGATCAAGCGATCATGCGTCGTGCCGTTCTCCTTCGTGAGTTACGGGTTATGGAACAGGCAATAGCCGAGTTTTCGCACCAAATCAACCCGGCTGAGAGCGTGGGACCGCATTATATAGCACAACGCGCAAAGAAGTGGTCATTGACTAGCATCTCTTTTATCAAAGAAGAGTTGGATACTGTCATTCAAAGGGTTGAGCAACCTTGACAACGCTAAGAGAATCATAAAATATAGCCAAATGCTGGGGGTCACAGATTAACCTCGCTTGCCTGATCTCCTCCAATACAGCAGAATACATAACCCTTTCCAGGAGCTCTTGAAAAATAATAAGCTTGCCCATCTTAGCCTATGTTGGTTTGTTTTCTCGGGTGGTGTGGGTCACTGGCACATTCTTCCTCATGTTGAGCCAGAATGACTCATAATGTCTAATTTGGAGCCTTGATTCCATTGGCACTGTGTACTTGGACGCAGGCCACGTGGGTAGCTAGTATTACCATACAACGGGCGACAGTTATTTGCTCGCGACGGAAATGCTTGTTGAATGAAGCAAGCGTAAATGATGGATTAAAAGTTCCAAGATGGGTCTTATCCACAAGTTACCAGTAGGACGATGTCAAACAATGGCAAACAATGGTCAAATCTCGCATCATTGAAGGTAATGCCGTATCTTTGGCATATAAAACTTATAAATAAAATGCCTCTGCATCCAAAACTTGATGAGTGATACAAAGTAGAAATAAAACAGAAAATAATTCAACGACCCGTAGAAAGAATGTTTCGCAACGCATCCACTTCCGCCTCCCGCCTGGCTAGTTTTATTCTCAAGCTGTCCCGTTCGGTTGTCATAATATCAAGGCGCTTCTCTAGATCAGCAAGGCGATCAAGGCGCTTTTGTCGGTATTTGCGAGATGCAATGGTGTTGCGTTGGCGTTTGATTGAGCTTTTGTCGGAATCAACGTCGGGCTCATTTGTCCGAGGTCTCTTCTGGGCGGAGGCCTTATTGACACTTGGATCCGACCCAACGGAGGAGTCAACGGGAGAGATGCCAGTGCTGGAGTCATTGCTACTGTTGGAAGCGGCACCCTGGGCAGGTGAGTTGGATGAGATTCTTGACATTGGGGCCGTGATACAAATGGAGCTCTCTTGAAGACGAATGTTAGTTTGGATTGCAGGGATTGAAAAAGTTGGCGGCATACCTTGCGTGGACTCTTTCATGGCGGGTGCGTTATGAGTCGACGCGTTGAGTTCATTGATAGCATGGAATAAAGTCATGGAATCACTTGATGAGCCTTGATTTGGGTACTCGAATGTAGATGGTTGTATGCTTTGTGTCGCCCAGTTTGGATCAACAGGTTCGGGCCTCACAAGTTGTGTCCCGAGACAATCGAGGTTGACAGAGTTCCAGTCAATCCCTCCTTCAGTGCTATCAGCTTCCAGATTTCCACTAGCCCAGAGGTTACTCTGATCAAAGGGATCTACTGGGTCGTCAAAGATATCCTGGAAGTTGTCCTGATTGTATATATATTGATACTGCTGATCTCGACTCTGAAGCCGGTTGTTTTGTTGGTCATGGGGATGATTAATTTGTTGGTGGGATAGGCTCCTTTGGTTGTTGTGGTCGGTAGAAGCATAGCGTGATCTGAGAAATGGCCTTGACTGTGATAGATCCGGAGGAAGCCATGGGTGCAGAGTTAGATGCCTCTCCTATACAATGGAGAGGCGTGGACCCTACTAGAGGAATGAGGGTATTGTAGGAGAGAGGCTTTGAGAGAGCGAATCCAGGATCTGGATCGATGATGAAAATGAATGTTGGTAAAAGGGGAAGGGAAAAAGAATATCGGAGAACAGGTCGGGCCCAATAAATACTCGAAGAGCGAGAAAAAGCGAAAAGGGGTGTGTCCGACTTTGTTCACTCTTCAATTCACACTGTGAAGACCTTTCCCACTGGCGCTTAGAAGTTCTCCACACTCCCTCTCATCTCACCTAGGATCCAAAGAGAGATTCTCATTCGGGGTAATTTCCTATCAGTGCAGTAGATAAGACCGGGGAAGTATTGCTCCAAATCTATCTTTCATAGCTAGCACAATGTATACCGGACGACCCCTCCCCCCGCATGATCCCAGCATCCAAAACAACACTGCTCTCCAAACGTGGATGACAACTGCTATAGGGAAAGAAATTATTAGCTTCTAGAACAATATGCAATAGCGTGTTCGTCTGATTTCACCTTGTTACGCGAAGCAATACGTGCATGAACCGCCGGTTAGAGCACAGAATCGAAGTGCAATGTAATGGATAGGCCACCAAATTCACCGGGCCAGGACAGATTCTAGCTCATATCAAACAACAGCTATTCATTTAAGTCACTCCTAAGAGCTGTTCACTTAAGATTACTGTAGCGTAGAATTGAAAGGGTATAACATAAACAGATAATTCTAGAAACAAGAAGGATACGAATGAAGAGCGATCCCTTGCTTCCCGGAACGAACCTCCTCGATCAGGCCAGATATGAAAATCAATGACTTTGTTCGGAACTCTCACCGATGCCACAACTGAGATAAATGTTTCAATTTTGTGTAAGTGTAACGGAGAAGCTGCTTATAAATCAAGCATTGCATCATGCCTCGGAATCCGATCCTTCTGGAGGCGGGGTGCAGCTGCCTCCTCAAAATCTTTGGCTTTGCCACGATCTCAAACAGCCCAAAGATCACAGACCTCCCCAAATTCCTTGATACTCCTTTTCGCGGAGGACACATTTTCCTATTACAGAAGAGAAAAACAGCAAAGGATCTAAAGGCGGCTAGTGCGCGCAGAAAACAGCCAAAATGACGCAGAACAAGGCACTCATCTACAAAAAGACCCCGACCACTTCCCTTGTTGCAGGGGAGCACTTGGTCGTTGAGGACAGCCCGATCGACCTGAATGAGGGCCCTCCTGAGGGCGGGCTCGTCGCTGAGGTCCTATACGCCTCATTCGATCCGTACCTGCGCGGCAGGATGCGCGATCCGAGCGTCAAACACTACGCCCCTGCATTCGAGTTGAACAAGCCCGTCCCCGAGTCCACTATCTCCAGGGTTCTGAAGAGCGATCATGCGGAGTTCGAGGAAGGCAGCATTATTTATGCCAACTTCCCTATTGCGGAGTATGTCCGTGCAACCAAGGACTTGCTAGTGAATGCCCGCAAAATCAACAATCCGCACAATCTGGACCTTGCCCTGTTTCTCGGACCGCTTGGGATGCCTGGCCTAACAGCGTGGTCAGCTCTTTATCGCATCGGCCAGCCGCAGAAGGGGGAGACGATCTTCGTGAGCTCGGCGGCCGGTGCCGTTGGCCAAGTTGTTGGCCAGATTGCGAAGAGGGAAGGGCTGACAGTGATTGGTTCTGTTGGCTCCGATGAGAAGCTGGAGTTCATTACCAAGGAGCTCGGGTTTGACTCCGGATTCAATTACAAGAAGGAGAACCCAATAGATGCCCTGGCCCGCCTGGCACCGAACGGAATTGACATATATTTTGAAAATGTCGGCGGTGACCATCTAGAAGCTGCTCTCGCTCATCTCAACACAGAGGGAAGAATACCCATGTGTGGCATGGTAAGTTTATTGTGTCCCTACCCTTGAGCAAAGGGCGCCTTCTTTTTTTTTCGCACCCTCTAACAGGTGGAACTAGATCGGTGATTATAACAAGCCAGTTGAGGAGCGAGTTGGGATCAAGGGATTGAGAAATGTCATCTCCAAGCAGCTCATCTTGCAAGGATTCCTGGTATTCAACCCAAAATTTGGACCAGCCTACTTCAAGGAGCATCAGGAAAAGTTCCAGAAGTGGCTGGCCGAAGGTAGTGTCAAGGCCAAACTTCACATTACCGACGGAATTGATCGCGCACCGGAAGGTCTGGTTGGGATCTTCAAGGGAGAGAACTTCGGTAAGGCTGTTCTCAAGATCAAATCATAGAAGAGCGATGGAGAGGGAGGCTGGTATGAATGTCGTATTTCTGACTTCTTACGAGCCACAGCTTCCGCATAAAGCATTGATTCTCTGTCAGACGGAGGCTTACAGTCTCATGGCAAAATTTGTATGCTCGAGAGTGGCGCAAGATGTAGCATCATGTAGCATCGCCAGATGGCACATGTAATATGGACGAGACATTGAGCCCCCAAGCCAAGGAGTAAGCGACAGCAAATTCGCATGTACAAGCAAAAGGCTATCCAAAAGATACTAACCTGTATGATAACGTACATAGCTATCATCCCTCCCAAAAGCAGTTAGTTGATCTTCATAATCATCGCCTCACTTGGCGAACTATCCAACTTGGCATCCAATGTATCTTGGCACGGTCATGAAATGCAGTGAGTCCCACTCAGAGAGGAATGCGATTGGCCTCCATTTGCAGGCAGGGGGGAGAAACTGTGGATAACTTCTTCCACTAATGGGAGCGTATTCCTCCATTGGTTCTGAGTCCGAGCTCTATCGATGTGCCATGCCATTGCGCGACGAGAGCGAGGATGGAATGCTGACAGGCGGTTCCCGCAATCCCTCACTGCACTGGCACATGGGGGCTGGGATAGGATTTGCGTGCCCGTCGGCATATGGCTCTCTTCTTATTTTTGCCTGAAACCCTGAGGGAATATTAGGGGTGCAGTGGATATCCCTCAGTTCCATTGTGCGCGTTGCATTGTTTTAGTCTCCATGCCATGATTGGCCGCCAGTTCGTGCGGTCCGTGATGGGTAAGATCAGGAGCCCATTAATGATTCCACCTACCTGAAGGAGCGCAGTTGAGGCGTTCAGCTGAGCAGTCTCGGCCCAGCCCTGCCAATCAGCCGCCCGTCTTACGCATCCTTGAGGGGCCCCCGGTGCCGACTATTCAGCTTTGCTCCGCTTCATGAATCACCATGATCTTCTGTAATTGATATTTCTTAATCCAAGCTTCGTGGTTCAGGTGTTCGAGGAAGCTTCCTAATCTGCAATAACAGCCTGTCAATGGAGCGGAAAACCGTTGTCATCCTGGGAGCAGGCTGGGCGGGGTTGAGCTTGGCTCACCAGCTCCTCCAAAACGTTGCACCAAAGGTGCCGGGGACAAAGGTGATCCTCGTGTCTCCGAATAGCCACTTCTTCTGGAACATTGCTGCTCCTCGGGCTGTTATATCGGGCGAAATCAGCGACACCCATCTCTTCTCGCCCATTCTTCCAGCATTCGACCATTACCAACACCACGAACAATTCGAATTTATTCTGGGCGCCGCGAGGTCAATCGGGCACGCTAGCAACACCGTGCAAATCCAGCTCAATCAGAAACAGGGCGATGTGCTAACGCGGGTCGATACTCTTCGGGAGGTGGTCTATGACCATCTCATAATCGCAACTGGTTCTCGCATCGTCAGTAATTTACCGTTCAAGTCAGTTGGGTCATACGAGGATCATTTGGAAGCCTGGCATGGACTGCAAGCGAAGATTGATGCTGCGGGCACGATTGTCATCGCTGGAGGGGGCCCGACTGGTGTCGAGGTGGCTGGGGAGTTGGCATCCAGATTCGGCCGCACCAAGGAGATAACCCTAGTGGAAAACAGCGAATCTCTATTGTATGGCCGGCTTCCATCGGTATCCCAAACCGCAGAGCGGGATTTAGAGAAACTCGGCGTGCGGATGATCTACAAGAATCGAGCGACACAGTCGGCGGACGATGACAGTCACACAATCCATCTATCCAAGGGTGGGACGCTGACCGCGGACCTGTTCCTTCCACTGTACGGAGTGGTGGTGAATAATGCGTTTATTCCAGATGAGCTCATGGATTGGGAGGGAAATCTCAAACTCGATTCAACACTCCGTGTTGTAGGCACGACAAACATCTGGGGAGTGGGAGACGTTGGAAACGTTGAGCCAAAGCAACTCAGCAGTGTCCTATCCCAAGTCGGGTTCTTAAGCGGAGTGCTTGAGAGCGTTTTGGTAGAAGGAAAGCCTGTGGAAGAGATATCCAAGGTATATACGCCTGTCAGCAGGTCTCCTCTTTTCATAGCACTTGGGCGGCATCTAGCCACGGGCCAATTCGGAAGCTGGAAAATTTTTGGATTCATTGTAAGCTTTCTCAAAGGCCGGAAGCTCTATCTCAACAACGCATCTGGCTTTATCGGTGGGAAGACACGACAACCTTTCTTCTAAGACCCGGCAGATATCGAGTTCTTGGATTAATCGGGGTTTCGCTGTTCGAGTGCTTACTACATTTGAACGGCTTCGCGTTTAGGACATATTTAGAAATTGGGACAAGCGGGCGCATGAGACGATCTTTTCAGCATCATGAAGGGCACACATAGTTAGGCGGATAGCACGGCGTATCTCAGTCATTGAATCTGGCATTTTTACACTCCTCCCTTTCTCTCTTGCACAGAAAAATCATGCGGTCTGACATCGAGACGCGCTACTCGATGAGATGCACATATCTGACACAACGGATGCAGCAGCTAATACGTAGTGCCGAGATATCGGTGCAGGCTTCAAGCTGCGCCGTGATGTCATGTAATCCTTCCTCCACACCAAGTGACAAACGGTTCAAAACCTCGAGACGAGGTAATTTATCTACAGGTAGACCCACTAGGCCACTGACGATACATCTCCGTATAAAACAGCTCGGACTGAGTCATTATCAAACCGTCCTCCGTGGCCGGTCTCTGCAATTGTGGAAACGCCGATGTTTTTGTATATGCCCCCCGACAATAAAAAGGCCGCTTCTGCTTCGACGGCCTTCGGATTCACGGCCTCTCTATTTTGAATATCGATATATTTCTCAATGAAAGATAACATTTAGAATGTCTGATACACAAGTTCCCACTTGCCGTTGGGGCATCGTCAGTACGTCGACACCATCATCTTCTTCTACCACAGGAATCAAGAACTAACCGATCGATTATCATAGCCACCGGCCTCATCTCTTCATGGTTTGTCGCAGATCTGGTGATGCCTCGCACCGATGCCAAGGCCAACACATCATTCAGGCCATTGGGCCTTCTACTCTGCAAAAGAGTCAAGACTTTGCGGCGAAGTTCCTCAAAGATCATCCAGACCAAAAGCCGGCTCTCTACAGCAACTATCAGGACGTCTACAATGATCCGAATGTCGATTGTGTCTACATTGGAAGCCCCCATGGCTTCCACAAGCAGCATTGCTTAGAGGCCATATCCGCTGGAAAAAACGTCCTCTGTGAGAAGGCCTTCACAATCAATGCCGATGAAGCCAGAGAACTGGTTGCAGCAGCCAGGGCAAAGGGAACCTACCTAGCAGAAGCCATGTGGCTACGCCACCGGCCAATGATTGCCGATTTGAGGAAGCTTCTCTATCAAGACAAGGTGATAGGCAACATTTTCAGAACAAGATCTGACTTCCAGATGTATGTTGATGTTGCTAACTTACCTCCCACTTCCCGCTACAAGAACCCCAGCCTCGGTGCTGGCTCCATGCTAGACATTGGAGTTTATTCCCTCACATGGGCCATCCTCGCTTTGGAGCCAGAAGCCCCAGGGCCTAGAGAAAAGCCGAAAATTATGGCAGCTCAGTCGTTCGTGGATGGGATCGAAGTCACAACGAGCCTGCTTCTTCACTATCCCGACACCGGCCGCCAAGGAGTGGTCACTTCGACCACGGAAAGACGAAGACACGAGTGTCAGATAATTGCCACAATTGATGGAACAGACGGCTTTATTGAGGTCGAGGGAAGGGTTCCCTCCCATCCCACGTCATTTACGGTGTATCCTAAGTGGGGATCGGATGATGAGAAGCCCCAAGGGAAGAAGTACGATTACTCAAGGCCGCAGCAGGGCTTCATTTACGAAGCTGATAGCACTGCCCTGGATCTTGCAGCTGGAAGGAAAGAGTCCGCCATTATGCCACTGTCTGAGACTGTCCGTGTGATGGAAATCATGGATGAGGTCAGACGTCAAGGTGGAACAATCTATCCGGTAGACCAGGTGTGATATTCAGCACTCTTCTCTATTTTCCAACTAGAGTCTCCCATGAGAGTAAATGGGCCCTTTAAAAAGCGTATAATGGTACTACAAAGTTGTATCGCTGGCTGGTCTAAATAAAATATCTGATAACTAAGCCCCGAAATCCTGCATCGACACAATGATCGATTGAGAAAAAGTATCGACGACATTAATTCTTTTATAAGTATAAGAGCTTACAGTTTAGGAATAATCTCACCGCGTGCAAGTCTCATATGGCTGTCAGAAAAGGTACCATTTGAAATGGCTGCAACCGTACTGATCTCCAATGCGAGCGCAAACGAGGCCATAAGCCCGGCCAACTTCTCCTTATGTTCGGGCCCATCACAATGTAGGATTCGCAAAGCCTCCTTCTGAGTCGCGTTTCCGGTACCGCCGCCAACAGTAGCAACTGGCAAAGATGGGAAGTAAAGACTCAAAGTCAGCACCTTGGTTTCCTGGTTGTATTCTGGTGTCAGTTGGCTCCAGCATGCTTCTCCCAGACTAGCCGCATCTTGTCCAGTGGCAATAAACATGGCAGCCAGAACGTTCGCCGTGTTGGCGTTCGATCCAAATTGCCCATTCCGGATTCCCGCGTTAGTGATGGTTGTAAGGAATTGGTGAAGACGCTCGGTAGTGCATCCGAGAATTTCGACGCTCTTCTCATTGTCAAGAGAGCCCCAAGCCATGACTTCCACACCTCGCGCAGCCTTTACATTTCCCCATGAAGGCTTCTTGTCTGATGACATCTGGCCATCAACGAACCAGTCCTTGATCCGATACTTGGACCCGTAGGAGTTCAAAAGTTGATGACAAGCATAGTTCACCGCTTTGGTTACCATGTTCTGGCCAGCAGCAGCTCCGCAATGGAAGTTGCAATACAAATGGACTTGAGAGCCCAGAACGTGAATCTTCGTATTCTGAAGGCGCACAAATCTCCCGGTTGAGGCTGCCCACTGGCTAAATTCGTCCAATATCTCTGGTAATCCTCGAGCAAACAGAACAGCACCCTCCGGACTGTCAAATATGAAGACGGGGGCTCGACTCATGCCTTGGGAAAGTACCTCAAAACGAACACCCGCAACGCTTAGCGCTTTGCACCCGCGAGAGCAACTGGCCACCAGGGTTGCCTCTTGAGTTGCTAGCGGAGCGTAAAGTGTTCCATCTACGCCTGCTCCGGATACTCTCAGAGGTCCGGCAATTCCCACTGGAACTTTGGTGTATCCAATGCAATTTTCGATTTTGATGGATTTGACATCTTCGGGTGCAGCTAGAATATGGTCTAGTTTCATCTCCTGCACAAGGGCATGGATCTTTTTAGTTCGATCAGAGGCAGCCATAGCGAGAAATTAGGTAATGGGAAGAAGTCTGGAGCTGAATTTGCCGGTCAATGATTTGAATGCTCAAGGACGCTGGGACTGGGAAATCATATCAAGATATTTATGGATCACCTGATATAACAGACACGGAGTATTGCTTTGGACGGACATGAGATCCACATCCTTACATCTCGCCATTGTCTTGGGATGGGTCTACCGCTGATATGAGCGGGTCTTGGAGAGCACCATGCATGCCGAGGCCTAGGGAGCACTTGATCATACGGTAGCTTGCAGCTAATGTTGTGTTCTTGGGAATTACGAGCTTCTGGGCACAGTAAGCGCATGGGGTGACCTTATATGGCAACTCAGGCATTCACCAGCCAGAGTTTCATCTAGGAATATTATGAGGACAAACTTGAATGTCATTGGTAGAGCTCGCAAAAATTCATATTAATGGACCGCTATGAGCAGAGTTCAGCCTGCACGGCTCAATATATTGGTAATTACAGCTTTAGCTCGATGCAAGTTTCAGCTCGTGAGATGGTCACCGCTTTTCCCTTTTAGCATGTGCGCTCAAGGATCCACACATTGGAAAGGGGTAAAAGTTCAGTTGTAAAATTCTCAGCGACCTACGTCGGTAGTTGTCCCGGCATTGCGTAATCGAGGATTACCGCAGCACCCCTGGCAAATAGTAGATCGGCTAATTAGTTTGCGCTCAACAATCCTTCAACCTAAGCTGGCTTTGCTGGTTCCTCTGCAAGTTTGCAAATATCCTCTCTCTCTTTTTTCCCCTCAAACAAAAAATTCCAAGTTACGGGATCTTTTCGCACCGACCCAGTGCCGATAGATGAATCCTTCAGGCAGCCAAAGGCATGGGCCTTTTATCGAATACGAGAGCTCCTACGTGATAAGCCTGCCCTATCAAACCGATATCGCAAGCACGTGTTGTTTCAAACAACGGCGGCCCTTAACAAAACGTAGAAGCAACATGTAGTTAAGTACCGCTAGAGGAAGTTGTGAATGGAATCAATTATGTGTTTATAAAAATAGACATGATCGATCCATTTTCTTGCCAGTCTCGCGTGATTATTCCTTGCTAGAACCGATAGCTCTGACATTCTTCATTGGCCGGCACAGAAGGAGCCGATAGCAATTGAGTGGAGAAGTAGGCCAACACTACTAACCTACCCTAAAGGCTGTTATAGATAGGTAAATGGAACAAAAACAATGAGGCTCAATTAAACTAGCTGTAAACGTCTCGAATTTACCAGTACTTCTCTTGTGCTTAGAAGATAAACATATGCTTATTACCCCAATGACAAACGTCTTTCGAGTAATAAAATGGTTTGTCATTTTTAAATGGGGTCAAATTTTGACCCTTGCCTCGATCGTTAGGGCTAATAAATAGCTGATGATAGAAGACCTATACAATCTGCTTTTGCGATATTTAAATGCTGTTTCTCATTTTGGTTAAAAGAATTGATGCAATCTTGCCAACGAAGCGGTGGCTGAATCAGGATTTAGCAGAAGCGATGAATTGATGATGCTGTCACCGCGCCAAGATAAATGACATCATAGCCTCCACCAGCCAAAACCTGGTCGTCACTGACGGATTTCCTGGGGCAGTGACAAGCTCGACAAATCAGGCCCTGGGATTCATAGATGGAGTCAGCTTGTCATTGCTTTTATCTAGAGCAAATCAGGGATGGATACCAGATTAAGCATGGCGGGAGGCCAACTTGGCTTGGCTTGGCTGATCTTGAAATACGCATGCCAAGCGAGGGGAAAACACACACAAGCATACCGCCACTCCTATTAATACCTAAATCCTCGCCGGGTAAAGTTTGAAATCATTGGGATCATCGGTCATTATTTTAAAAATCCGACTGTCATATCGACTCGAATGTGCCCTGAAGATAACCACCACGAGGCCAGATTTGGATTCGAGATTGCAAGATGAGATATCGTGGTATTTGCTTCATGAGCCTGCTAGGTCGCCTTTGTGGGTGGACTATGGCGCTCACGGATTTGGATTCGAAGAAAGGCTTGGCTTTGGGCGGAAAGCTTGACGATTCCGATATCAAGCTTCTTACGTCCGAAAAATCTCCAATCTCATGGTACTACAATTGGTCACCTACGCCGTCCAATATTGTTGGAAATTCGACCCTTTTTATCCCTCTTATCCACAGCCTTGAGACTCTCAAAGAGGAAAACATTTGGTCTGCACTCGACGGATTGCCACCTTCCTCGGAATACATGTTAACGTTCAACGAGCCCGACGAAGCCGAGGAGAATGGCGGGAGCTACATTTCCCCAGAGGACGCGGCAAAAGCGTACATCGAGGATATTGTTCCCCATCGCAACTCATCACGGGGCTGGCAAATAAGCCACCCGGTGGTGACAGGTTCGGAGCGCGGCCTCAACTGGTTGCGAGACTTCAACGAATCCTGTTATGATATAGACCCACGGAACGGGTGTCCCGCTGATTTTATTGCCATGCATTGGTTTGGTGATTTTTCTGGCTTGGCTTCATGGGTGGGCACTCTGCAAGGGTTCTACAATTCGAGCGAATTTCAAAATACTTCAATACTAATTACCGAAATGGCGTTACCCCAGGGGAGTGAGGATGACAATACCTCAATGCTCGAACAGACCATGAGTTACCTCGATGGGTTGGATTATATCGCTGGCTATGCATGGTTTGGTGTATTCCGGAAGAAGAACGCCAATGAGTGGACTGGGGACGGAGTCAGTCTCTTGGAAAATAATGGTGATTTAACGGGCCTTGGAGAGAAGTATCTTGGAGGTACTACGAGCGATTTGAAGACAGAGGGTGACGGCGACAGTGGCAGCTATGCGCTCCAAGTTCGCTTGTCTACCATTGTTTTGTCTCTAGTCTTGGCCTTGGGCGTTCTGAATATGTAGAGGATAGACCTAGGGAACTCTTATACACCCATTAGAACTAAATACAGACCTAACTGGCACACTTGCTAAGCGACCAAGCAAACATTTTTCCATACCATAGTGATAAGGTACAGTCGTGTATCGTCGTAGAGAATGGAGGACACACATCTATTCAGCCAGCACGGGTGTTGTGGCACGTTTTATAACAAACCGGATGGCTTTTGGATCTACATTATCATAGATTGGATTTCAAGTGGAGGAACGCTAGCGCTTTTGATAGTGTCACCTCCTTCGGGTACTTGCGATCCTTAGTCTTGATGATCGTGGCTGAAGTGGATAGGGCCGAAATAGTCTGGTGAAGAATGTTAATAGAGGAAGGTCGTATTATAATCTCTGGGTACGGAATGTGGGATTATCGGTCACTGTACGCGGACGAATACTTACATATCTGTAACCGCAGACATATGACAATTGGATGCTGATATTGGCCTTCTAGTTCATCATGAATGCTGCCCGAGAGTTCTGCTTACGTAGCTATGGACTTCAATAGAATCGCGACTTAGTCACCGCCGAGACTGAGCTGTCTCCTATCAAGTTATGGCTGGAATTCATGGAGTGCCTGCCAGGTCCTAGTTTCAGTTCGTTATCATTAAGATGGCTGAAACTGACTTCGATGTCAAGGGTGGTCTGTCCCTCAGTATGGCTTTAGAGGAGAACAGCGACTTGTCCGAGTGAGCTGACACACGATTGTTGAAAAAATTTAGAGCATTTTAACGATCTTGGATATTTTGGGTGTTTTTTATCAACAATGATATTGTTCATATCTGGTATTCCAACATCGCAAAACGAGCTACTCTGTGATAGGATAGGCCGCTTTAAAGAACGACTGAATACTTTGCCCTGATTCGCCGGGCGCGTTTCATTCCCAATTGGGAGCTTGGCGGTTGTTAATCAATTTGACGCGCATTCACGAAACTCCACTTCATCCCTTTCCCCGCCCCCCAAGCAACAACACGTATCCAGTCATTGACCAATGTCAGCAACTTCACAACTATCCTCTGCAAGGTACAAGGACTTGATCGACTCGTGTTCGCCGACCTGAACGACCCTCCATTGCCAATACTCAACGTCCTCGTAGCCAATTGGACCCCTCGCTCCCCAAGTCCCAAGAAGGCAAGTAGTGCGAGCTGGAGGCGAATCAGGAGAGATTAACGATCTGTGCTTGACTAGCACGGGTACTTAACTACCTCGTCCAGGCTACGCTTACTCCATCTATGGCTGGGAAGCCTTCAAAGGGATGCAACACGTGTCGCCGCCGAAAGAAAGGAGTATGTAGCTCTGGAGTAAACAATCATATATTAGATTCGTTTCCTTTGCTCTAACAAGGCCACAGTGCGACCTCCAGCGCCCAGTTTGTGGCCAATGCCAGAAACTTAAACCGCAACTTGCACAACAATGCGCGTATAGGCAAGGTGTCCCGTGGGTAAACTTGACTCCAGATTCGGTTGTAGGCAGTAAACGTCCAAACAGGGGCACCACAGCCACCATCACCCTTGCAGAGCCACTCGCCCGCTCCGCGTATCAAGAGAGGTACTTGGGTTTATTTTGGGACTTTTATCTACCAAATGGCCGCAGCTTCCCCTTGGAATCGGCGCAGTTCAACACAGGCTTCTGGATGAATGAGCTGCACAGGCTATTCCATAGGAGGGAGGAGACGGCGATTAGGAGGATCCTCCTGGCTATTTCACTTTCTAGCGTTGGTCGTCGAGATCAGAAGCCATGGATGGTCGAGAATGGGATCAAGCTGTACGGTAGCTGCCTGAATACCTTGGCTGAGCAGATCAAACAAAATATCCCACAGGTAGACAGCAATGCTCTTGCCACTTCGAGGCTTCTGTCCGTATACGAAGTGAGACTCGTCCCCACACAGATGCCATTGTTTTCATTGCTGATTAATGAGTAGCTTCTCCATGGCCACGATCAAAGGGACCGGTTGGTTCAGGTGGTAAACTGGAAGTTACACATCGACGGCGAGCTGGGGTTCATCCTCTCCCGTGGCCCGGAGAGCTTCACAACAGGTTTTGCACACCAAATGTTCGTAGATGGACGGACATGGACTTATGTACTGTTGTTCCTCCCCCGATGTCTGCGGGTTGATAGACTAACTCGCCATTGTTTTCATTGTTGTAGATCTCAACATCGATACCCATCCGCACTCCCTCACCCTTGAATTCACCCGAATGGAGAACTATTCCGTGGAGGTTTATTCCCAAGACAGCGAAAGACTTGCTGGGAGATATCTTCGCCGAAGTCCCCGGTCTCCTTGCACAATTGGACGAACTCATTGCAGCCCACCCTGGGCCTGACAAAGAAACTAAACGATTCGAACTCGTCCAGAAGAGCTCGTGGCTGCTGAACGACTGGACTGCTTGGGGACAAGAAAGAGCACCGACAACAAGCCCTCTCGCTCCAGCAACGGCCCAAGCGGCCACCGTATTCAACCACTTCATTGCAGCACACATCATGTCCGGCTACTTCGCCATCGGCATCTATTTACACGCTGTATTAGCCGCGGCATCCAACACGTGTTGCCCGCCTACTCCTTTCGACCCGATGGACCCGGTGCGGTTCTTCTGCCGCAAGATTGCCGAAATGGTCCCTACCTTCCTGCACCCTCACGTCGGGATATATGGCACACACGGTGCTGTGTTCCCTTCAATCGTTGCACTTACGTACCTGGAAGAGATTGATGGCGACCTCTCATCCTCAGAGGCAAGCGCCTTTTACGAGGTGTTTTCTATACATCCAAAGGGAACGCTCGTCAAGAACTTTGTTGAAAACATGCGGCAAAGGTTGAGTGGTCTGGGGAAGAGAATGTTTCCCTCCGATTACCCTTCTTTGATTAGCGAGGTGGAATTGAGGTAGTGGGAATGACAGAGAAACCATCATTGTTATTATTGTATTCGTTCAGCGTGGCAATATAGAAGAACTGTCTCCTTATAGGTATAGATATAGACATGTGGGCGCCTCGCAATCGCCATGACCGCCTCCTGAACGTGTGGGAAGTTACTCGGCCAATATCTCTATTTTTCTCTAGCTTCTCTTCCTCCAGGGAGTGCATAATCGCCAAGTCTAACTGGAGAAGGGTGTAATCGTAGATCTTGCGTAGGAATTTGCTGGTGTAGAACATGGGGAATCTAGCTCAAGGCAAGTTGTTTTCCGATCAGCGACATCTACAGAGAGTCGGATACAGGGGTTATAGAACAATAATGAGCGAGCCGAACCCTCAGCCAATTTCCCGTGCATCATGCCTATGATCACTGCTCCTCAAGGATCACATATTTTACTCTGTTATCAGTGGACTGAAGGTATAGGCATAGTGGAAGTTTAAAATCCACTCGGGGCTGGTGGCCGAGCTGCTCGTAACAATCCGAATCAATGCTCTGGGCTTCCTCGGTGCGGGTCTCCGAGCACTGCCATGTCTCAGATTTGCATCCGAACTCGGCATGAAGTCCAGGTCTTTGTAAAGGTGCGTTTTAGGATGAGAGACAAACTGAACGAACTTCTGCCTTTGGGAAGTCGTGTTCAAGCTAGCTTGTGGACGAGCTTCCAGAACCTAATGCCTGCCTACGCAAACAGACTCTTGAGCCAAGTTACCAAAGGGCGACTCTGCAAGGTAGGCAATATTGGATGTCAGATTTCTAGTCCTTTTCTCGCATTCCGGCGCACTTGTCTCCGATAATTACTAATATCAGACAAGGCTTTTGGGATTAGACTGGCAACCAACACCCAGATCGTGCAACTAGCACAGAATGCCGGCTTCGACAGTTTATTCATCGAGCTCGAACATTCTACTCTAAGCATTGATGATGCAAGCAGACTAAGCATGGCCGGATTGCATGCCGGGATCACCCCATTCGTCCGGGTCCCCCATCAATGCGGTAATGGATTTGTTCAAAGAGTTCTAGATGGGGGCGCGATGGGCGTCATCTTCCCACATATCCAGAGTGCCGGTAAGCTGAGCCAACGAAACCGGACCTGAATATACGCACTAACCAAATGTCTCGTAATATTGTACAGCTGAGGCCAAGGCGGCTGTTGCCATTTCCAAGTACCCCCCGATTGGATGTCGATCTATGACGGGACAACTCCCAATCTTCTCCCTAAAACCTACTCCAGCAGCGACGGTGATTCAAGAGAGCAACATCTCGGCTTCATCAGTGTTCCTCATGATTGAGAACAAGGAGTCAATTGGCCGCATCGATGAAATTGCAGCAGTGGAGGGTGTCGATGTGTTGCTCATTGGCTCCAACGATCTGTCAATCGAGCTGGGTGTGCCAGGCGCCTTCACATCAGAGAGGTTCCGCTCAGCGCTCGAGAAAGTCAGCACCGCCTGCAAGAACCACGGGAAGGTTATGGGGTTAGCAGGAATCTACGACCAGCCGGAAATTCAAGATTGGGCCATCAACACACTGGGCGTTCGTTACCTTCTATGCCAGCAGGACTCTGGACTAATTGCCGTTGGCGCTGTGAAATGCGCGGCAGAGGTCGCTGAGATTGAAAGGCCATAGCACGACTTCAAGGTTGCAGAGAGGTTTCCTTTAAACCTTTTTGTTTGTGCCGTTGTGACTGGGAAATTTCACTGACACGCCTTCTAAACTATTACCACTGGCTTACTCTTCTTCATCCAGTGCTGGACAATGTGACGAGCAACGTGATGTTTCTCCCCTCTCTACTGGTGAGATGCGGTATTAATCCAGGGATGAGTAAATCTTGGAGATTTGGTTCAATGGGTATAATAACAACAAAAGGTTGCGTCAGTCGGCTTAATATGTACTTATTCTCCCAAGCGTAATTCTCCAAGCCTATCAGAATAGCAACCGCAACGACCATTGCTGTGCATGATTTTCCTAACCACCTTAAATTTAACCTGTCCGTTGCACTTGTAGCTCCCAAGTACTAATTTTCCGTCACCGAAAGCGCATGTTATCAATCTAGCCGAGGCCCATGCCGTATCCATTCCCTCCAGCGTTACACCCTTGACCCGAAATTCAAAACGAAAATGATGTTATGGAAGGTCCATGACGCTGCGCGGAATTGAAGAAGATATTTTATTAGCTCTACCATAAGTGCAAAAAGTTGCGAGCGAGTGAATTCCTGTCAACAATAGAAGAGAACCTAAGGTTGATCTTCCTCGGAACTATCCTCTGAAATGTGCATCAGAGGTTGGTTAGGTCTTCATTCTAATTCATTTAGCTTAGGAACCACGCTCTATTCGCGTATACAGGATCAAATTTGGATGCTGGATCGTCAAGAGCCTGGATATGGAGCCTATGTTTAGAACTTCCTACATTGAGGAGAGCCCATAACATCAGGCGCCAAATGCCCCCCTGGCGGCCTAAAGCTAACCATCAAAGTTGGCACTTACACCTACTCCTAAAAGACCGAATATTCTCAATTTTAGATGATCGGCCGATCCCTGAGTGTGCACTGCCGGGACCGACGGATAAACAGTGAGTGGAGTCACCTGTCAGCAGTGCCGTCTCACTCGATGCGGTCAGTAAGAGGACATCCTTGAGAGCGAGATTCTCCTCTAAATTGATTGGATGATATACGAGAAATTTGACTAATATTCTTCCCCGGACCGTTATTGGAGACCGGCGCGGCATTCAAGATGCGGCCAGGGAATAGCCAGCTTTCAGCTGTCGGTCAGCAACCAAGTAGGTCAGCGGCGTTGGAGCTAAGTCCTCTACTTGGAAGTTGAATGATCCCTGCATTTAATCATACCTACCGCTTTCGTTCTCGTTGGTAGCTCTACGGCTGGGTCGAATGCTTTTCACTGCGGCGATGTGAAATGCTGCCGGTGAGCCGGCCGCTCACCAATTCATGGCGAGACAAGGTCGAGTTCCGGACTACGATGAACATCCTTAGTGCTCCATTCCCGCCTATACTTTGAGTAAAGTTTCCTCATCATTCAATCACAGGTAGGAAGCTTGCAACTGGGCATATTACGGAAACTTCCAGCCCAGTCATGTTGATCATGTTTAGCAATTAGTTTGCTTCCTAAGCTTGAATAAGCATAGCTCACAAGGGATATTGCTTTATCCCATGGTCATCCCCAAAGTGGCACTGCAGAACGCGAGGTTGAGCTTCTAACTTTGGCAAGCACATAGGCACATCCCCTGTTCAATCTTCCAAAGTGCTCATGTCCCAAGGTGCTTGAGTCTCACAACGTGTATCGAAATGCCGATGTGTGCAGGGTGCGGAATGGGAAGGATCGGGGGAGGGGAATGTTTCTGAAGAGGGAAGTATTCATCCAGTCAATGAAACACTCAATGCTACTACCTTCCAAATACCGACCCATGCATGGTATGATTTCCAGATTTTTGATCGTGAATTCAAGAGAGTATTTCTGTAGAGAAAAACCTATAAGTACGTTGTTGAGTTAGCTAGCTAATCCTTCCAGTTTTCATCATCAGTCTTGCCCTCCGACATCTCGTACTAGGCTCATTCATCTAAACAGATTGCTAATATGGTTTCATTTAAGACTCTCGCCGTCAGCGCTGTTTTTGCAGCGATTGGCTATGCCCAGAATGTACAGATTACCGGGCATCTCCAAGCCAAGAGCCCCGAACTTGGCACCGTTTATGTATACAAGCAAGCCAATGACGGCGAATGTGAATTATCTCGTTCTCAAGGCTTACCAACGCTTCAACAATTGCTGACCAGAATTAGCCATTAATTATGCTCGTCTCGGCTCAGAGTCTCAAGGTCACCGTCTTGAGCTCCGATCAGACGGTCTAATCACGAATCTCGATACAGGATTTTATCTCAATATCCAGGAAAACTACGACGACGAGAAGTCATTCGCCTTCAGGAACACTGCCAGCTCAGCCGAAAACGGCTGGACCCTTGCCGACGGCAACAGGCTTGTCTCCAACGGCAATAAATGGGGCTACCAGGATGAGTTCCAAGCATGCAAATATTCTGGCGGCCAATACTATGTACGTACCAGCTTTATACTCGCATTCGTTTTTCTTACGGATCATAAATCTCAATCGCCCAATTGCTTGCAAAAAAGCAATCCACTCCTGAGGGACACTAAACATCTACAATACTAATACCCAACTATCATAGGTCTATCTTATCACCCATGTTGTTGATAATATGGAGTGCCATAGTCTTGGAGGTCTTTACTTCGTTTAGACCTATGTATGAACTTTGCAAGAAAATGCCCATAATTGTCTTGGGGAAGATTTGGGGCATGAAAATTAGATTGACGGATGCGAAAGTGAACTTGGAGAGTTGGGAGGGGAAATCAGTGTGCCAGAGTGGCGGGACTGTGATATTTAGTTCACCCTTCACAAGTCTAATTCTTTTTTTGGGCTCAGCTGTGCAGTACTGTTTGACGAATCATATCATATCCATTTCATAGTATTTCCTTAATCAATAAATTCTAACAATTCACGCATTGCTTAATGGGATATCTCATAGTTTGATGGTGAAACGGATACTTGAAAGTTAATCATTGATATACGGGCTGGAGCGTCTTGAACTGCAAGGCACAATCAGCCTTTGCACATTATTATACAATAACATTTAGCTCAGGAACGTCCCCCGAGCTGGTATTTTCTGCAAGGGTCTGTCTGGTCTCAAAGCGAGCTGATGACTAAGGTTGCAGGTCGCGTGATATATAACTTGGAATCGGTGAGAGAATTTCTTCCTCACTGCGCCACATCCAACACGACCACACTAAACACTGGTTTGGAAGACGATTGTCCTTTGACTTTAGCTGACGAATTACATATTCTCTAATCACAACAACCATTTTCAAGGCTGTTGAGCGAAAAATGAGCTTGCAAAATCTACCTGTCGAACTGTTTGAGGACGTCTTGCAACATGTTTTCCAATCATCCTGGGCCCTGGCACAATTTCAGTTTCTTCAACTGAGACTCATTGATCGTAAGATGAATCCATGTCCAACTTGAACTTCTGATATTGATATTGATAAACAACTTGCTTAGGACGCTCTGATGATATTGTGTCACGGATCGCTTTTGAAGCCTTGGATCCCAAAATCTTCTTGAAGAAAACCAAACCCCCATCCAGTCCCACCGTCCAGTGGCTTTTATTCACAAAGTTATATTGGAATAAGCACGGGCATAATGCATTTACTGACTCGATTCATGTGTCAGTATCTCACATACTAAAGCGCAGGTTTCGGAAGTGTCGCATCACAGGGAGCTATCGAAACTTTCTGAGAGACGCATGTTGCCTCATTGGATTACAACACGGGGTCAGATTTATTCTATCATCTCTCATTTACCCCTCGGGTGTGAGAGAACATGTGCGGTTGCCAAAAGAAGAACCGGAGCCTTTTTTTGGATGTCTACATCTGGCATCTACCAGCGGAGATATCGAGGTTGTAAAGGAGTTGCTTCAGGTTACCGAGGTCACAGATGCAAATTCTTTCCATTTCCTATTTGGGTACCCGTTACACGCCGCAGCACACGGGGGCCATGTTGATATTTTGTCATTGTTGCTTCGGCATTGCGCACATGTGAATCGAAGTAACAACCTTGGTCGATCGCCTATCCTAGTTGCGGCTCAAATGCGGCGAAAGGAGGCTGTGAAGTTTCTTCTCAGCTACCCAAAAGTCCAGCCAAACATTCCAAGCTACGATGGCCACACGGTCCTTCTCTGGGCTGTGAAATGGGGTTGGACTGACATTGTGAAGTGTCTCCTCTCGACACCAGACGTGGACCCAAACCCAAGAGTCAAATGGGAAGACACCCCACTGTCAGCAGCGGTGAGAGGTGGTTTTGATGATATCTTCGACCTTTTACTGCAAAGATCAAATCTGCAGCCTACGTTCCGTGGTGGGAAGTTCTGTCCTTTGTGGCTCGCCACGCTCAAAGGTGATTCATGCAAGGTCATTCGCCTGTTGGATCGGTTTTCTTTCAAGCCCAACACTTTTCTCAGGCATAGGCACACTTTGCTCTGCAAAGTCATTTCTCTAGGCAACACCGCACTAGCTCGCATGCTTCTTGAGCGTAGTGAGGTAGATCCAAACTTCAAAACATCGAAAGGTGTAGCACCCTTCATGAAGGCCCTACATCACTTAGAGATTCTAGAACTCTTAATAGCAAGAAAGGACTTCGACCCTAATCGCATAATTCTCGGTTTCCGCCCACTTGAAATAGCATACGATTTGAAGAATGAAAAGGCGATTCAGTTGCTGCTTAGCCGCGACGACACAAGGAGCGATCTTCATGAGAGGGATTCGTCATTGTTGAACCGGGCTGCATCGAACGGGAATCTTGAAGTAGTGCGCCAGCTTCTTTTGCGTCCTGAGAACGACCCTAACCAGCAAAGTGAGCGCAGAGGTCCACCTTTATGCGAAGCAGCAGCTGGAAATCAAATTGCCGTCGTGAAGGAGCTCTTACAAGTCGATCAGGTTAACCCGAATCTTCGATGGAACTTGCCTAGTTCACAAAGCACTCCGCTTTGCCTTGCAGTATCGAATGACTCCTTGGGCATGGTCCAGATTCTTCTAGATCAACCTAATGTTGATATCAATATGCCAGGATCACATGGGACCGCACTTTGCACTGCGATTCTTTGTGGCTCGACGGAAATATTCGACCTTCTATTGCGCCGCAATGATATTGACATCAATATTACCGGGCCATTAGGGACTGCTCTGGCGTTTGCCGCGCGGCGCGGGAATAAGTACATGGTTCAACGTCTTCTGGAGCTAGCTGATATCGATGTCAACCGTCGTTCAACTCCGCGTAGAGACGACCACATGGCTCTAGAGCAATTAAACAACTTAAACCGAACATTTTCACCAGCTTATGCTAAGACCTCGAGGACTTGTCAAACTCAACATACACCACTCGAGCAAGCTTTCTTGGGAGGCGATATCCCCATCATAAAGCTTCTTCTATCTCATCCAGACATCGACTTTACCGAAGGAGACACCTTGAAAAGGACGCCCCTATGGTGGGCATCGTACATGGGGCCACGGGAATTGACTGAACTCATCCTTGATCTAGGGGAGGATAACGTGAATGCTCAAGACATAGACGGTTGGTCACCTTTGCTAGTGGCTGTTAACTGGCGCAGGAGCAGTGTTGTACAGTTGCTGCTAAAGCAAGCTACTATTGACTCAAATCTTGCCAACTACGATGGCTGGACATGCTTACACTTGGCTGTGCAAGCCGGAAATGCAGAAATGGTCGGCCTACTTCTTCAGTCACCGACTACCGACCCACGGAAACGGCTGCCAGACGGTCGGACACCCATTGACCTGGCCAAACACCATGGATTTGATGCAATGGCGAAAGATTTGAGGGAGCAGGTGAAACGGATCGTTCGTAGAGAAGATGTCATTGGGAAGAGTAGCGCGATGCCGGGTGAAAAAGATCAGGATTCCTAGGCTCTAAATTCTTCGGGGAGAAAATAGAGAAGATAACTGATGAACCAGAAATACGACAACTAATGACGCGCAATCTCTCAAGGGGCGCATATTAGCTGATAGATTGAGTGATCATGGCATTAAAGAAATAAAAATCAACTTCTGAACGAGCGCTGTGAGTAATTAGTTGGTAGATCCAGCGCCGCGGCTTCTTTCCTCCAACCTAATTCATCGATAGTATAAACTAAACCTTCAAGGTATAGAAACTCCGACAAACCCTCGTCTTAGAGAGGGGCTGTATCAAGATAATGCCCCAGTTCCTTATCTCTCTCGCCACTCATGCTAGATTCAGTCACCAATCGTCTGATCTGCTGGTTTTCTTCTGCCGCCAATTCCACATAAGCCGCACCCCAGTTCTCCTCCAAGTATGGAACCTTTTTCGTTCCTGGAATGACAAAGACGTTGTTGCTCTGCGCCAAAAGCCACGCCAGCGCCATCTGGCTTGGCTTATGACCTGCCTTATTCGCGATTTCGCCGAACTTATCCACAAGCTCGAGGTTCTTTCGAAGATTTTCCTCCTGGTAGCGAGGCAACGAAGGGCGGAGGTCATCAGCACCAAAGTCGGCGACCGAACGGTATCGGCCAGTCATTATTCCCGAACCCAGTGGACAGAAAGCGAAGACGCTGACTTCGAGTTCCTCGCACGTCTTGAGAAGAAATGTTCCTGAAGGGCCTTCGATGTCCATTGTCCAGGGGCTGTATTCCACCTGGACTGCAGAGATGGGGAAAACCGCATGCGCACGGCGGAGAGTTGACGAAGACACTTCTGAAAGCCCTATGTACTTTACCAGTCCTTGTCTAGACGCGAATTAGCATAGGATTATCTCCAGAGTTTCTGGTCAAGCTCACTGAACCAAATCTTTCATCGCTTCGACGCTTTTTTCGATGGGTATCTCAACAGTAGGGCGATGTAGGTAATACAAATCGACGAACTCCACGCCTAATCGCCTCAGGCTCTCTTTGATACATTTCTTGCAGTTCTCAGGGGAAGAGTCAATTGTCAATTCACCAGATGGCTCTTCTTTCAACCCGAACTTAGTCGCAAGAAAAATATCTTTGCGCCGCTCAGGGTGAAGCTTGAACCACTTCCCGATCAGAGTCTCGCTGTCACCATAGACATCGGCGGTATCCCAACTTGTACAGCCGAGCTCCCATGCCCGGTCAAGCAACTTCAACCGTTGCTCGTCGGAGCTGGGTACACACAAAACATGAACAGTCAATATATGGCAAACTAAAAGAGAGACGAGAGAATCAAGCTTACTCAATGGGCCCGTATCCCATACTCACGCCCATGAGACCAAGACCTACAGCAGGAACCCGAGGCCCATTTTGGCCAAGCCTACGAAGCAGTGGGTCAGAGGTTGTCTGGGGCATATTGAGGCTCTCAAGTATAATCAAAAGTTCGCATCCGTCCTATCGTCATAAGATAAACTTTAGGAGAAGAGGAAAAGTAGATTCTTTAAGAAGAAGCCACAGGGAAAGGTTCAAGAAAGGTTGCTTATTATGGTTCCTTTGCAGCTCCTTGATCAGACAACCCTGCTCGCCTGCCAAGGAAGTTGGATTCGAGACCCACACATCTCTTCTTTCATCCAGTGGCCAGCTATTTCCAAAACGGTTACGGCAGCACGTTTCAGGCCGTTGAGATGTGGCGGTTTCTCGGTGCCACCGAGTCTTGAGTGGTTAAAGCCCGAGAAACAGGATGGCCATATGGGACTTTTGAATATCGCAAACCGTCTCATGTTTTACCGCATGCATGAACAGCGTATATTCCTCGCTTTTGATGATATCAGGCGCAATCTTGGCTTGGTGTCCACCAATATCCGCTTATCCCCGGCATGTGGGAGGGAGCCAGAACGTAAGCAGGAAAGACTCCACCCCTTGTTGAAATCACGTTTCACGCTCCTCCGAAATTTCCTCCTTTCACCTCTTCAATCAACTTTCTGCCAACGTGTGATTCCTCAACTCTGTCCTCCAGCGCCAATACACGGTGCAAAATGAAGGACCAAGATATTATTGAACAGGTTGTTCCCTACACCGACGAAGATCCGCTCGATGAGGATCCAGAATCGGATCATGCCGCGCCTGACAATGCGCTCCTGAGTGAAGACCGTGAGCTGGAAATTATCGACGTTCCTGTACAAAAGCGAAGGTCGAAGCTGTTTTCGAGATGTTCAAAGTGTCTGCTCACCGTGATAGCGCTTCTTGGACTCCTACTGGTGATTCTGCTACTCGTATCCCGTTGGGCCTCAACGCGACACGCAACCACGCCGGGGAGTCACCAGGGCGGGCACAGCAACAAGCCAAGCAAGCCAAGCAAGAAGCCAAGCAAGCCGAAGGCCATCCCATACAAACTCGATTTCCCAACTTTGTATCCCCAAATCAATACCGGGGCAAGCCAGGAATGCCAAGCAGCATGGGGTGAGCTTACCATGGTTCCATGTCACGACAAAGTGTTTGATCGGGGTAACGATAACGGCACCTTGCGGCTCTTTGGCTGGGACCCGATGTATTTCTTGCCCAAGATCTGTACTGAGGAGTGCAGAAGTTCTCTTCAGAAGGCACAGGAAAATCTCTCGGCTCGATGCTCATCTAGCGATACATTTCTCCTTGATGGCTACCAAGGCATGTTCAACACTGATTTCCTTGAGGCTGGGCCTATCGAGGCTGTGGAGACCCTGCTTCGGAGGACGGATCACCAATGTCGCGCGAGCCCAACTGGTGACAGCGATTATCAGTACTGCCCCATCGAGATGCTTGAGCGATTCTCCCTCATTGATGGTCTCAATGCCAACCTCGTTGGCATCGAGAGCTTTATTCATGAAACAGACCGGAAGCGGGTCGAACCAAGCCATTGGAAGAATGGTAAGAAGGGTACTTCCAAGTATAGTTACAAGTACCACTACAAGGTCAGAGAACAGCGGTACGGTCCTGGAGTGGGCGATACCTCCTGCGGCTGGTGTACCTTTGACTACCTCAACCGAACGCTTACTTCATGGGTTGAGGGCAAAATATCCAACCCAAGCAATGATCAGCCAGTCTCCCTGCCAGAATTCATCCGTCGCGTGAGAACGGCTGGTGAACGGTGTGCACCGAACGCCAGGTGGGAGAAGATGTATTCGGAGGGCCTACAGCACTACCAGGCCTTGGGTGTTCTGCCAACAGACTGGGAGACTGCCCTTCCATCTGGAGATTTGGATTATTTGATCTTGCATGGGCCTTCTTCTGGAGATGCTCCAATTTCTACCATCAATGCAGAGATGGAGCTCCTAAAAAATCATCCCCAACAGGAGGCCTGGCCAATCAAAACTTCGCAGGTCTGTTTGAAAGACCTTGCAGAGCGATATAACAATGCCAAGTGCTATATTAATCTCTCGCACGAGAAGCTTGTTTCGATGATGGAAAAAGGTTCCAAAAACCTTCGCAAAGCCTTTTGCGATTCAGGTTGCTCCGATGCCATCAACGCGGACAAGTTTTCCACCTGCGACGCGGCTGCCTCGACAGAAACAACCCGCAAACTTGTGGACGACTTTTACAAATCCAGAGCCCAGAGAAACTCTTTCTGTAGTGTCGCGGGCAAAGATTGGTATAATTCAGACTGTGCCCAAGCGCTGCTAAACATGGACAGGGCGGGATGGACGTTCGAAGGACGTCCCGATAGCCCTACTTTGATCAAAGACGTCAGCCAAGCGCTCGACCAGCTCAAGGAGAAACTCGTCCCTGAAGATCTACGACCAGTGTTCGAGGACAAGCCGGATGTTCTACCCAAAAAGGAATCCTTCAAGCGTGTGACCGAACTCAAAGAGAGTGTCTGCGCAACCTGTGTCTGGAACTGGCTGGCTGGTATCGACTTGGACGATCGAATGGAGTATATCAGCACTTCTGAATCTGCGCCGGACTATGTAGACTTCGTCAAGAAGTACCACAAGACATGCACTGCGCTCGGAGCAACCTGGCTCGGGGACTTGCCTTATGGTGACGATCCTGCCATTTGGCGCATGCAACAACAGGATGGAAGGGTATTTCGATTGATTGAGGTCAAAAACCGTCATGGGAGGCAAATTGTTTATGCTGTCAACGAGGCCACTGGCTCGGTTCACTTCTACGAAGACCAAAGGAGGCTGAATAGGCCTGGAGTCGACGTCGCGACACTCTGGCACGTCCTGGAGGCCGAAAGGGGAGTCAAGGCAATGTCGGAGGGAAAGTTTGAGGAATGGAAGTTGGCAGAAGAAAAGCACAGGAAGGAAGAAGATGAGAAAATATGGAAAATAGATACTCGGTGGTCGACACAGGTCTCTTACATTGGGCCCGTCCCATTAGAGTATTAAGAGGCAAGTTTCCAGCCTAACGGCAATGTAGTAATTTATGAAATATATATATGCTTGCGACAAGTGTCTACATGTACTTTTAGAAGTGATTGGGTTGGGTCGAATTCGTCTAGGTGTAGGCACAACGGTATTCGGAAATCAGATTAGTAGACATATATTCTCAGTCAATACCTGTCTATGCAACCTACATATAACGATTTCCGGTTAATTGATACTTGCATAGCGAAAGAGAATGCCAGCCCAGGTCAACTGGCCACCAGATTGACGCGACGCGAGCGCGTTTTTCGACATCAATGTCAACATCAACGGATGTTCTATTTTTAGTAACTACCCTACGTCTCTGTTTGACGAGAAGGAAATACGTGTACTCTAATTGGTCCCATCTCCCGTTATGTGCTATGATTTGATATTGTTGAATTTAAGTTTCGTTGATATACTTAAACAGCCAGTAAGGTAGTTGAAGACGGCTAGGGCTCGCTGCGTGGCTTTTGCTGGTAATGTGGATGTCACTCCAAAACACCACATATTGCCAGTTGTTAGAGGGTGACTATACACGCGAGTTGATTCACTTGTCGGAACGATAGTATCGAATCGTGCCAGCACTGGCCATTCGCAGAGCCTAAAGCTAATATTGATATATCGGGGCCTCGGCGAGTTTTATGGACATGTCTCAGGATCTGAGCAGAATTTATTCCTCCCAACCAACTGAATCCGACCGAAGCTGTAGGGTAAGCGTGGTTCGGATCTAACAGCCGAGTTTTGAGGATGTGGATATTTAGCTTTCCTCACCTCGGTCTAGGTCCCCGAGCAGTCAGAGGCGATCCAGGAGAAATCCAAGCTCTTTGGTGGGAAGTGGTTCGCAAAAATAAATTATTTATCTTCATTCCGTGTATCAATCAAACCTTCATATTCAGATACCTTTCGCTCGGGACTTTCATCGTGTGTGGGCTAAGTTTACTCTGGTCCGAGATGCCGGCAGTGAGAGTCTTGGAATCCTTTTGAGCTGCGCAAACATGACCCAGACGCCTTGCGTCATAATGGTGTATCCCACCTCATGTGAATAGAAGGACTCACTAAACATGTGTGACATATTCCTCCGATTAATGACTGTTTCTTTTTCGTTTAGAACATGAAAGGGCAGATCATAAGCCCAATGATCAAACTGAATAACACAGCCATGATGGAAACTCCAGAGTCTAGGGCCACCTGACAGTCTCCACTCCAACCTCGGCGTCGGGCAGTTATCAATGTCTGTACAACATCACCGACCCACTCATCCCTTCCTCTCTTTTTACCCCAGCTCCTATCTCATTCAATTGCCATGCCAGCTTGATATCCTGGGCCATCTCCCTTCCAGGTCCCCATTACGGAAATTAAAGAGGGCCGGAAAAGAGAGACCGAGAGTATGGCCTCCCAAAAGAATCCACTAGATACAGATCCAATCTCCCCCAAGCCAAGCGCCCGTAAAACAAACACTGCGTAAGTGTTGGAGCCCTATCCTTGGTCTGACCTGATCCACGAGCTGACGTAGCTTATAGGTGTCTCCAGTGCCGTGAACGCAAGGTACGTTGCTCTGGCTCGTGCCCTTGTAGCAATTGCGTACGACGATCAGCAGAATGTGTATTTGATCAGGAGGACCGCAAGGTTCTGGTTTCTGAAAGGCACGTCCCTGCCCGACCCTTTGATTCCGATATACGCTTTTTGAAAGCCTTTCACTAATGTCAGAGACTAGGCTTTTGAACCAGCTCAAGCGGAAAGCCGAGCTCGCAGAAAGAGACTCTTCACCCTCATCCCGGAAGCGGAAGCAGAAAGAGTCAAACGATACCAGGAATTGCGAGCAATATAATGAAAGTAATGATGAGCGTGGAGAAGACATCCTGCCTCGGATGCGCAACCCGCTTACCACAACCGCAGCCAAGTTCGTGACGGACCCTCAGGGGCGAAGACGTGAGTAATTGGATTAGCTGTGCTCGTAGCTGGACATATTCCTGACCGCAGCAACGTTATAGGTTTCCTCGGGCCCTCGTCAACATGGGCGTATGGACGTCAAGTCATGAGTATGATCAGAGAATATCTTAACCAAGATGTGTCCCCTCTCGTGCCTTTAAACACCGATGGACAGGCATTGCCACTAGAATTTCCCAGCGAGAAGCAACTGGGAGGCACTATTTCTATGGACAATCTTCCTTCCTTGGATTATGCCATTTATCTGACTAACACTGTCAAATTTCACATCAGCCAGACCTATCACTTATTTGACGAACAGAGCTTCCTCAACGGACTTTTCTCTCTCTACAACGATGGGCCGCGCCCACTGGATGGAAAAACCCGGCTATGGTATGTCCAATACTTTATCATCATGGCATTTGGAAAAGCCTTGCTTGTCCGTGGTCTTTCAGCTTCAAACCCACCAGGGGGTGGATATTTTATGAGAGCTATGGAGATGTTTCCAGACGTCGATGGCCTATATCAAGACATAGTTCTTGCAATTGAAGTATGCTGTGGCTTGGCGCTATACCTACAATCAATAGATCATCGCAATAGCGCCTATACATATGTATGTATATCACCTACTTGCCCCTATGAGACGACTTTTGACGAAAGCTCAATAGCTTGGTCTTGGACTTCGCATCGCCCTATCTCAAGGCCTTCACAGAGATCCAGGGGGAGAGAACCGAGATCACAAAGAGGCTGTTCGGGAACGGAGTGCCTGGTGGACGCTCTATATCTTAGATCGGAAGTTCTCTTCTCTGATGGGTGCACCGAATTCTCTTCACGATGAAGACATATCAGTCCCTTTCCCGCAACCGAATCGATCAATCCAGAAGCCAACAACGTTAGAGATGCATGTTAAACTCTCACGACTTATCGCCAAGGTATTGAACAGTAAGTCGAAACCATGATTTCTCCTGGTGAAGCTATGCTGATGTGGGAGACATGAAGCTGTGTATGGCGTGGATGGAAGGCTGGACTCATCATTTCTCCGCAACGTTCAGAACATGCTCCGGCAGCTTGCCACCTTAGGTGAAGAGCTAAATGGTTCTGTCGAGTTGGATCTGAATAGTTCAACCCCTTTATCCCGGGTGTCCGCGACAATTAACCTCTGCTATCATCAGGTATGGGTTTGGATAAAATCCCCGGTTGACAAATTTGCTGACCTCTACGAAGTGCATTGTTCTCGCAACTCGTCCACTTCTCATGTGCCTCCTACGAGACAAACTAGAGACCAGGTCGCGCGGAGACAAAACTCACCGTGAGATAGTAGGGCCAGTAAAGGCCCTCCTCAAGGCATCGTGCGACTCGGCAACAAAATCGCTCCGGATTTTATCTGCACTCTATTCTCAAGATCTCTTAGGTAAGAACGCTTCTTCATTTAACTATTTGCACTTAACTCTAAATGAGAGTCACAGAGACGTTTCTCCCTTTTGATCTCGATCACGCTTTCTCCGCCAGCTTCGTCCTATCTCTTGTCTCTGCAATCCAGCCATTCCCGAACACAATTGGCGACTCCTACCTGGAAACTACAACTACGCTACTTAATGCTCTGACGGCGAGTGGGAATGTATCAGCTCGTTTCCGGCAGGAGGAGCTGCAGCGTCTTCATGATATGTTACTTCTCGTTGGCCAAGAATATGCTGACCAAGCCACTGCGCCAGAAACCCAAGATGCATCTGGCATCGTTAATGTATCCTTGATGCCCCAAGGGGTCTCCCCAAACCAAATGTTGTCTGTGGCTAGTCTTCTGGAGACCTATCCAGGATTTGATGTGTCTCCCGATGCTGCGGATAATAGGTGGTTGTGGGAAGGTGAGATGCCGGATTTTAGCTATGAGTAGGATGTACAAAAAAATTCTTATTTTCCTCCGGTATTAACCGAATGTGGAAGCCGTGACTATTATCACGACCTTGAATGCCCGCGAGGCAGTAGACTGATCTCATCCCGCTTGGCCCCAAATACTTCCAAATTGGGCGAGGGAGCGCTCGAGACATTTCCTCGATTCTTGAGCCCTGTTGCCATCTCCAAGGAGCGAGTTATGTTCCATATGCGAAAGTGCGGCACGCAATAGGTATACATAGTTTGGAGGAAGCATGAGGCCCATGTGCGGAGGCCTAGCTGAGTGCCATTCAGCGATATCCAAAGTCATTGCGATCCCTGTACGGATTGCAGCAAAAGAATCAGCGTTGTCAGCGTGGCTGCCATCTCCAGCGGTTGTTGCCGAAGTCAATTGAATAATGTGTCCATGGAGGCTGAGAAGTGATCTGACGAGCATACATTAGGAATTCCTGGTGTGATAAAGGGAAGTGGAGAATACGCGCTGAACATACCTAATGGCAATAACCACAGCTGAACAATATGATGAGGGCCTCCCCGAGTGCTGTTTTACGACCACTCCTAGGAATGACTGGAGTGAGGTGTTTATATTGTGAAGTGCGGAAAGTCGTGCGGCGACATCGCATATGCTGAAGGCTTTGAGAATTTGATCTACTAGCATGATTGCCTGGGCAAGACGACCAAAACCACCAACATTCACTTCGTGTGGGGTAGAGACTAGGAGCTTTGGCACCGGAGTATTTGAGAGCATTGGACCACCCCGATCAATAGAGTCGGGCTCGGTTGGAAGTGCCGCATTTTCGGCACGGACACTTGTGACTAATGGCTGATCTTGGGCATTCACTTCCAGCATCATTATACTAAAAGGACACGAAGAAGGAAGAGTCAGTATCAAATGCTGATATATCACCAGCCATGTAGGCAAGGCGCAAACGTAGCTGAAGGAAGCGCACTCACCGTTCCCAGATGATGAGAGCCCACCAGGTATTTAAAGCCTCACGTTCTTCTGGTTGCAAACTATGACTGGTTTGCTCTTCGTGTCTCAAGTTGACATTTAGAGTATGGATGCGAGCGGCATAAGCCATTCGCGCGGAATTCGATATAGTCCCAAGGCCTCGATCGCTTTGCCCGTGGACATACTCGTAAACTGCCAACAGTAGCCCTGCTTGTATGAAGCTTACTGAAGGAGATATCAAAGCCTGTAGCTGTGCAAAGATTGACCTGGCCGAAAGGTATATCGTGTGTTGGCTCGTCTTGCTGGAAGAGGAGGAATCCCTCGACTCAGGGTTTGGGGTAACGAGGCACATGCAAAGGAGCAGGATGGATAGGTCTGCGGAAGGGGGTGCTCCTAGGTTAATGAGGCCATTGTGGAAGCGAGAGCGGGCGATGACTGGGAGAAAAATATGTACGTCTTTGAAGTATCGGGCAGTGATATCATCAACGAACTGGCCAGTGGAGCGAATCAAGCGATTGACCTCGGCATGGACGCTAATTTCTAATTTCTCCGGCCTTGATAAAACCGTACCCAAAATGGACGAGAGACCTATTTGTTCCGGGACTGCCGCCTCGTTCCTCTCCGGTGTGCCGAATGGGTCATCTTGCCGATGGGTGGTGCCCCTCGAGTACGCACATTTTAGACGCTTCCTAGTCGATGAAGTAAGTTTCAGGGGACCGTTATGGGACGGCTCGTGTACACAAACTGGACGCAATAGCCACATGAAGGCAGTCCCTTGTCGCATTTCTTTTTCCGGCTCCGGCAGTTGATGCAGACCAGAATTTGCCGCTTGTCGGCCGCCATGTCGGGATGCCTTCCACCGACCATCGATTGGTAGTCAGTCCTGGGAATCCACCCACTAGCTCAAGATAAACGACCAATATAGTCGTGTCGATGGGACTGGAACGTGCCGGAGCATGGGTTGACTCGGATGCGGTTTCGTGAACGTTGGCTGACGTTGACCGTCCTTTGCCTTGGGATTGATTGATTGGTCAGCGCGGGCGGTTGGCGGAAGAGTGTCGGCCGACGTCGGCCGACAGCCAATTGGCGAATCAGCTTCTGTGCTTCTGCCACCTAGAACTGCTCCCAACAACTTATAAGAAGACTGGTACATGCCCGATGTTTTTTGGGGTTTTCTCATCATCTCATCTCAATTTTACTCCTCTTAGTTACTTTCAAAATGGCCGACCGCGGACTGACAGGTGATCCCAACCAACAACCCGTCTCTCAGTTCGCCGAATCGCTCCGCGGGCAGTGTCTGTGCGGATCCGTCAGTGTCACTATCAAAGACCCCGAGCTATTCACCCGCCGCCGCGGCCATATTTGCCACTGTTCTAATTGCCGCAAGGTTTCCGGAAGCTACGCATCTATCAATCTCATCATCGAGGATGACAAAGTGGACATTGTGGACCGGGATGGAACACTTACCGAGTTCAAAGACGGGGAAACATTGAGTGGAAATACGTTGGGAAGGTGGTTTTGTTCCCGGTGCGGCAAGTGAGTTCTATCCCCGTAAACTACTCAAGGCTGAACTTGGTCCTAATGTCCAAACAGTCCGATAAAGTCGGTGAATTTAGCCCTGAAAGGGAAGGTGATTTTGAAAATGGGCATTTTCCCTCGCATTCCGGCGCCCGAGATGGAGGCGTTTACCTTACATCGGCACCCATGGCAAGGCAATAACCCTGACGTGATTCGTTACAAGACAAAACTCTATGGAGAGACAATGTAATGCATTTATGCATAGTGCCAAACATCTTCTATTGGTCTGAGTGCCCTGAGATGAGAAGATAATTGATTGTTGATCACGAGATAAGATGCCGGAACACATACGAATACGTGTGTACCAATGTAGCTACAATAACAACAGTTGACCTAAAACTATGTCTATCTGATCATTTACAAATAGTGAACCCCGTCCATGAGGATCTCAATGAAGAGGATTCTTGGAGGGTGGAGTCTTCTTCAATGTTAGAGAAATCGTTGAGTTGTCATTCTCTCCCGTGGAATTCCATTTGAGTGCATAAACACCTCTGATATCAGATGGCACTGTATACCAAAGAGAATCCATACTGCCACCATCTCCAGAAACAAAAATATAAGCGCCGTAAGAGGTGAACGAGTCAGTGACGATGGAGGAGTTGCCGGCGGTAGAATTACTGAACACAACGGCACGTGAGGAGGACGAGGCCGCTGGTATAGCAAGGGCAGCTCCCGACCAGGTTGGTACGTCGTCAGAGTCGGAGAAAGCTGTCGCATTGGGAGAACCTAGTAAGTAGCCTTCACTTGCGGTGACTGTGGAATTACTTTAGTTTGTATTCACTGTGCATCCGACGCGCGGGGCTTACAGATGACAGGTGCCGCATCTGGATTGTTGATCCTAGTGTAGTCACCAATATAGGCATTTCCTATTTGGCCGAATGTTAGTCATTTGGGTGCACCGGGGAGAAAAAAAATCATCAATGGCTTACCACCGGCGTAAAATAGGGTGAGGCCACCGACACCTGCACCATATCCGTACAGTTGGAATCCTTCAGTGTCGACTGCCCGGCGGAACGAGCCTGCAGTTGCAAAAGAGGCCATGTGGCCAACACCAAAACCAAATACAGCGCTGGGTTTCATTGTTGCAATAAGTTGATCTTCTGATGGAGGAAAACAAACTGAGGTAGTAAAATGACCTTTGATGGATGGTATGAGATGCTGTTAAATATCTCTTGGCGGGGGACCCGGGTGAATAGTTTTGCTTCAGCAAGTCTTCGAACCCTGCTTTGACATCTCTTGAATAAAGAGTTGCACCAACAGCATTGTAGAGAGGTTACATGATAAGTGGGTTGCGTATGCCATGTGGTTGGTAGGCCGCGTAATTGACCAGGTCGCCAATCTGGGGCTTAAATGACAGTGACGAGGCCGATGAAACACTACAGGCAGCTTAATTGCCGAAAATCCGCGGCGTTTCTCCTATGCCTATCATTTCACAGTAGAGTGGGGTTACCTTGCCATACAAGCTTTGATCTCTACCACCGTGATAGATCCATCGAATGCCCCTGCAACCCGATGATGGCCCAGCATCGAAACGGCCCGGGGTTCTGATGTGTAGATCATAGCCCTAATTGATAGAGTATTGGATTTAGTAACGCGCGTCATCTGTATTGGAACCCCTTGTGTATGATTCACGAGGCTCACTCAACAAGCTGGCGTTGTTTACAACCTCAAACCCCCAGCAATGCACGGCAAGCAACGGCACTCCCGAGGAGAACTAAACTCAATCTAGACTGACCGCGGTCAGTTTAGTTTCTCAGCTACCATCAAACCCCCATCGATCCTCCGCTACAGTGACAGCGAAAGGTAGGCTTCGTTATCAACACAGCCTCATAACAACGTGAATTACGAATAGCGTCGCAATCATGTAGTCGTCACCTGAAATCTGCATCTCTACCTGCCCTTAACAGCTCCGGAGATAGACATCATGGGATGCACCTGACCAGAAGGGGATGTTTGGTTTAGAAACTGGGCTTAATCGTGAGCCGGGCTAAAGAACGGTGGAAATAGGCATGAGAACGTCAACCGCTCGTGAGCGAATTCATTTTTTAGGGAAAGACTTAAAAGCCGGTTCACATTCAATTCAATCGAGTTCAGTTCGATGTTTTATCCCCAGAGATCTTTGTATTCATTCCACTACACTTCACGGTCTTTCATACATCTTCATTGGCTTAGCAACCTGACACTGCCTTGGAAATTCAGGCAATGGTTGTTCTAAATTTTTTATCCCTGAGCCTTCTTGGCGGACTTTCTGAAGTTTTGGCATCTTCATTGCCTGCTGTCAGTTTTCTTAATTCCGAAGTCCTTTCGGCTCGAGCATCATGCAGTGGCAATACTGCTACTACGCGATCTCAGTGGTGCGATTACTCCATTGACACAGACTATGCCACAGAGCCTGTTGATACAGGGGTCACCCGCGAGTACTGGCTTGAGTTAACTGATGAGACCGCTTCCCCTGATGGTGTGTCACGATCAGTGATGCTGGTGAATAACACTCTCCCCGGCCCAACTATTTTCGCGGACTGGGGTGATGATGTTGTCATTCACGTTACCAATTCTCTTTCCACCTCCCTGAATGGCACAAGCATACATTGGCACGGTATCCGCCAAAACTATACTAATCAGAATGATGGTGTTGTTTCTATCACCCAGTGTCCGCTTGCCGTTGGGAAAACGACTACTTACAGCTGGAAAGCTACTCAATATGGGACGTCCTGGTACCACTCTCATTTCGGTCTCCAGGCTTGGCAAGGAGTCTTTGGTGGCATTATCATCAATGGCCCTGCGACTGCGAACTATGATAAAGATCTCGGTATGGTGTTCTTGAATGATTGGGACCACCAAACCGTCGACGAGCTCTATACGACTGCCCAAACTCAGGGGCCACCTACACTAGATACCGGTCTCATTAACGGGACAAATGTCTATGGTGATGATGATGACTCATCTCAGACTGGTTCTCGGTTCAGCGTTCCTTTCAGCTCTGGAACATCGTATCGGATGAGACTAGTTAATGCTGCTGTCGATACACACTGGAGGTTTTCAATCGATAACCATACCATGACCGTGATTGCCTCTGATTTGGTGCCCATCGAACCATACACCACGACAGTACTTAGCCTTGGCATGGGTAAGCTTCCGTTCTTCGTGTGATGATATTATATATACTAACCAGTAACAGGGCAGCGCTACGACATCATAGTCACTGCGGATCAGGCTGATGTTGCCGAAAACTTTTGGATGAGAGCAATCCCGCAAAGCGCCTGTTCCGAGAATGACAGCACCAATAATATTAAGGGTATCGTTTATTATGGCGATGCCGCTGGTACTCCATCCACGACCGGCTATTCATATACGGATGGCTGCGATGACGAGACAGACAACATCACACCGTATATATCCAAAACAGTTGCGTCTGCCGATTGGAGCGATTTAGAATCTGCTTCTTTATCAAGAACGTCAGGTCTCATCAAATGGAATCTGAACAGCACTTCAATGCTGGTCGAGTGGGCCAATCCAACCCTAGAAATGATTATGAACAGCGATACCGAATATGAAACCCAAGAAGCTGTGATCGAGCTGCCAGACGCCGACGAATGGGTATACCTTGTAATCCAGAATACTGGGGGAATACATCACCCTATTCATCTTCATGGCCACGACTTCTTCATTCTTGCTCAAGGGTCGGAGACCTATTCATCATCCGTCACACTTAATACAGACAACCCGCCTCGGCGTGACACTGCCATGCTCCCTGCCTCTGGGTATCTGGTCATGGCTTGGGAGAGCGACAACCCTGGAGCTTGGCTGATGCACTGCCACATTGGATGGCACACATCCGAGGGGTTTGGCCTCCAATTCGTTGAGCGAGCTTCTGAAATTCCGGGTCTCGTTGACAACTCAACCTTAGTTGAAATTTGCAATGATTGGGATGCCTTTCAAGAAGAGAACTTGATCGAACAGGAAGATTCGGGCATATAACAAGTGTGCTGGCTAACATTGGAGAAAACCACGCCTACCCCAGTTTTTGGTCCGATAAGAAGTCATGAGAAGCATAAGTTGAAAGGTTAGCTTCCGGTCATTTTCTATGCTGTTGGATGAGCAATGTTTATCAGTATTGTTAGTTATATGAGCACAATTTTATCTTTCCGTGAGAACTTTCATTCAAGTGGCTATCTACCATTGATTTTCAAGTGACAATTAGGGTTGCTAATGCTGCCAAGCGATTTTAGAAGATGGGTTCACGAGCTTTACATACATTGCAGCTTGTTGAAACCTCAAGCTCAAGGAATCTTGACGTTAAAAAATCAAAGTTGTATGTTTCTCAGATTCGTAGCCAGATGTTGAAAGGTTTTATGAGCCACTGCCTTGCTAACACATCGTCAGATGCTGTTGTTCACATTGCGTGGCCCCTCTGTGAAAAACTATAAAATCATTATGAACTTAGGCATTTTAGATTCACAAAAAGTAAGAGGTATATGTCGAAAGGAAATTGCTCATAAATCTTAATATTGGTAATCATCGATCAAGGATTGGAGAAACGGAATAGGAGATATATAATAGGTGCCACATGACGACTTGAGTGGCACGAATCACCCATCTCCAGGAAGTGAACTTTGAATTGCCGTTCTCTTATCAAGTACCTATGATATCACAAGTATACCTATGGCATAGATGCCTAAAACACCGAACTGTTCAATGATGAGGCCAAGTGATGAGTACTGAAGCTCGCTTCTAGCCGACATTGGCAAAGCCTGAAGCATCAAAACCTCAAAGCAGGCCATTGGTGGGGGTTCTATCTGCCAAGAGTATACCTTACACGTAACGATAAAACAAGTCCCACCAAAGGAATTAGTTTACCTTCTGTTGACGAGAAAGGTTGTCGTCGAATCAATCCTTTAGAGCCCATGGCCATTTTCACAATAGCAACTGGCTGATTTGCCCCTTTCGAGTGATCTTTTAGCGCCATAACTGCCGCACTTGGTTTTACAAGTGGTCAGGAAGATGGTTTGGCCCTCTTGGTTAACTCACTTTCATGTCGCCGTGAGCCTTGCATGTCCGTGTTCAATTTTTAGCCACAATCATGCAAATGCCTCATGAAGCTCTAAATGCTTGGCCTATCAGAACATCAGTCGGAAATCCTCCAATCAGCTGTAATAGTAGCAACGACTAGCGGTTGTCCCATGGACTTTTGCAATACAACGCGCGGCAAGATACCGAGGAGCCTTGTTACACTAGGAAAGTTCTCCACAATGCTTGGTAGGACCACTATGCCAAATGGGACCCGAATTAACGGACCATATGCTTTTGACGGTATAGCTCGTAGTGTGCAACTGCCGGTCTGTGCAGGCTCTGTTTCAAGGAGGTGTTTTTTATGCGGCGATTAAGAGCACCAAGTCTATATATTACTTGAAGTAGATAGACTCAGTACAAGAGCTGTTCCGCTACGGATATCTCCACTCGCCATGTGTAGTGTTATGTCGTGTGTCACTACATCATCTGGCACACACTAATTGTTTTACAACGTCGTGTTGAGGTTAAGGAATATGATCCCAGCCTTATTTTGACCTTCTGGGGTTTCGGGAATAATTCCTCTACCAGACATCCATTTGCCCGTGGTGTCCAGTTCCGCTTGTAGAAGAGGTTGAAGATAGAAATATATATCCTAACGTATGAGCACCTAAATCTCACCCTTGATGCACTTGTTATTTTCAAAGCCGCTCCCATTTCCCAAATTCTTTCGTCTCCAGTCACTCACTTTAGACACTTTGAATATTCCAAAACTCGTTGCACAACTTACCTACAATGGCGACAACTATAGAAACCGCCCCGATGCCCTCTTCTAATTTCTTCAAGCCTTTGGCACTCGGGAAACCGTTGGAGAACTCTGAATATCTAAAGCCAAACGGTCATTCAAACTTCACAACGAATAAACACCAGCGCCTGCCTCAGCTGCTAGAAGGCCTCAAGCAATATGGAGTCGCATTCCATGAGACCCATGGCTCCGATGTCCCACCAGAGGCCGTGATGCATGACCGAAATGCACCAATACCTGCTCTCGTCATTTGTCCCAAGAGCGAATGGGGGGTCTCCAAAGCGTTGAAACTACTGAAAGACTTGGAACTGTATGGGAAGGTTCCGGTGTCAGTCAAGAGCGGTGGACACGGTTACTTCAATGGCGCCTCCTGTTCGGGCATCATGCTGAGCCTCGCCCGCATGACGAAGAAATGGGTTGCCGATGATATCCTTCACCTGGAGCCTGGCTGTATCTTGGGACAGACCATTGACATCCTAGCAAAGCATCATAAAGCGGTACCGCACGGGGATTGCTTCGGTGTCGGTGCCGGTGGCCATTTCCTCACAGCTGGATGGGATCTTATCCTTGCTCGAAAGTATGGTCTTGGGTGTCAAAATGTCATTGGGGGTCGCGTTGCGCTCTGGGATGGCTCGGTCATAAATGTCAACGAGAATTCTCACCCCGATGTCCTCTTCGCGATGCGGGGAGGAGCCTTAGCGGAAATAGGCGTGGCGACTGAAATACGCCTACGGTTGATTCAAGAGCCACCACAGGCCACATGGCGATTCACTCGTATCTCTCAAACACAGCTGGATACAGTAGTCTCGCAAGGGGCCTTCTCGAACGCCCTCAATCTTCCCCGGGATGTGTCTGTGTCTATACGATTCCATTTCGAGCCAGATCAACTTGAACCAGTTTGCTCGCTCAACGTCGTTAGTCTTCTCAGTTTGAGTCAAACGCTTGATAGTCTGAAACGTCATTTGGGCCATGAAGTCACGTCCCTAGTGGATGATGCTCAAGAATGGAATCAAGGGTCTCTTCTTGATGTACGAATGCTCCCCGCCTCTGAATTTCTATCTTTCAACCGCGGGATGTTGGCTGAGATGTCACCTGAAGCGCTAAAAGCAGACCCTTGCAAGTATTGGAAGGAGACTTCCGTGCTACGGGAAATGGCAGGCTCATACTTGACCTCCATCTCATACTGGGTGAAGCCTACCTGTGAGGCAATGTTCCCCAAACTATTTGAGAAGTTCAAGTCCGTCCAGCATCATGAGTCACGCAAGAGGATGTATGTGCTGGTGATCCTAGGCGGCGGACGAATGCTAGATCTGCAAAATGAGTGCGCTATGCCATTAGGCACGGCGCTATCCAGGTTTGAATTACACTGGGACGAACCCGAAGATGAAGTCTGGAGTCGGGCATTCACCAATGACGTGGCCAAAATCATTCAATCGGAAAAGGATGATGGACCCAGCCGGCCCTATCGTGGAGACATATGGCTCAAAGAACAAGCTCATGATGTGAAGCTGTTGACTATATTCAACGAATATGATCGCAGGCTATCTTAAGTGCAGCCTCATTCCTACCAAGGACAACAATTTTATTGATATTGAAGGTAAGGTAGTTACATGGATGGCTTTCGACATAAGATAGAAGAATAGAGACTTCCTGGGGTTGCCCTTTTGAAACATGTACTTTGTTGTCGCAGTAAAGCTGCTTCATTCCAGATCTTATCTGCTCCAAAGTCGTCATTGCCATTTTTTCGCTCATGGACCGCGAAGAACATTAGGCAATGATGATAGATAGGGCTTTCCCGATATTCACTCCACTCAAGCACTCAAATAATTCCTTATACAAGAATTAGCTTATCAGTTAGTTCCTTAACTGTGCACATGCAAATCATGGATTGCTGGGTGCCCCCTTTAGAAACTTAGACCGAAAGCAAGATGCCATATGGCGCAACTGAATTGATTCCCCTGAGAACCCCGGGTGGAGCATGGCACAGTTTCAGGTGCCGTCCTTTATCATGCTGCTGGCATGTTTTTATGGGTATCAAAGGCTGTCGTCAACTTACTGAGACATCCAGCTTGATTGTCAAGTTGTCACTTGAGTAAAGGCAGTAGTGGAGGGGAAATGGAACTCCAACTGTCCTAATACTGTGACCTACACTGAATCGAGCGTAATAACTTCCAAACCACGAAAACATGGCATTACTATAGAGTAAGTTCATGAATTTACCACGCTGATTTTAGGGTTTTTAAATCTCTGGGACCTCAAGGTCCTATTTTTGCTTTCTTGTTCGTTATCAACAACATTGCTCTGTTACTAGTTAGGCATTGTAAGATTGTACAGCCATAACCTTCGACACTGGCGTAATGTCTCCCCTCCCACTTGTGCAGAACAGTCAACTGTTGAGCCATGACATCGTGTTTCAGGAGGAAAATAGGAGTAAAGACCCTCTGGGAATATTTTCCGAAGACCACGCTCCACAAACCCCGGATAAAGATGCTGTCGCTGTCGATTGGGCTTTTTCATTTTCTATGTCACTAAAAAACACGAGGGAGATACATTTTAATCTGTTCACAATACGTCTTCCGATAGCGGGAAGGGCGTAGGCCGCGGCAGGCATGAGACCTTTCCCCATTGGCTCTCAGAGAATTACAGAGAATGCTGTCTATTGAAAGTCTAATTTAGATGCAGTATGTAGTCTACTAGTTGACCCTCTTCAAAGAAGCAGACGAGATTGCGGCATGAATTTCTTGCTCGGCTCCCTCTGGCAGTGGCAGGAGTGGTGAGCGGACAGTGGCATGAGACAGAATACCACGAGCGACCAAAGCGTGCTTCAACGCAACAGTGCCCTCCATGTGAGATCCTCGGTGGTAGACGGCCTTGGTGACGGGCAATAGCTGGTCGTGGAGCTCGCGGGCACGCTTGTAGTCCTTGGCGCGGCCAGCGAGAATCAATTCGTACAAGGGCTCGGGCGCAATGTTGCCGTAACCGACAAGCATGCCGTCCACGTCGAAAACGGTGTGAAGAAGGTATTCATCGTGGCAGGTAAGGACGGGGACGTTGGGTCGCTCGCGGCGGAAGACGGGGATCTCAGTGTCCCAGCGACGCATGTTGCGAACACCGTTCTTCATGGCAATGACGCCAGGCTGAGCGGCAATGTCCAGGAGAGTCTGCAGGCTGTATGTGGCCTTGGTGTTGTCTGGGTACTGGAAGAGAATCAGAGGGAGCTTTGAAACCTCGTACACGACCTTATAGCGATCCTGGGGAGCTCCCGGCTGGTAGCCGAACCGAAGCCAGCCGTGAGAAGGATAGAGCAGGCCAGCCTGGGCACCGGCCTCCTTGGCACGCTTGGCCTCCAGGGCGGCGACCTCGGTGCCTTCACCAGTGATACCAGCGATGATGGGGATCTTGTTATCGACAGACTTGACAAATGCCTTGATGGTCTCCACCTGCTCCTCCGCAGTGAGGAATGTTCCTTCTCCGGCGTGGCCAAGAACGACAAGGCCTTTGACGCCCTCTAAGCTGCCAAGCCAAGAACCAAGTCGCTGGATGGCTTCATAGTCGACCTTGCCATCCCTGGTGAAAGGGGTGACAGGGGCAGGAACAAGACCCTTGAGATCGATAGACATGTTAGATAACTGAAGTGACTCGTGAGGATGAAAAGTTGATGTGTGTTTGAAGAGTAGATTTCTGATTGAATGTGAGAGAAGTGTGTGTTCTGGATCTTATAAAAACTCTTCCTACTGTTGTATTTTCTGCCACTTATATATTTACTGATCCCTCGCGACTCGGTTTCGACTGCTGAGGCCGAGAATGCCTTGCGAGCTACTACACTCTTCCGAGAACTCGGAGATCTTCTCGTATGTGTCTGGATGCATTGCAAAACCCGCAAGCCAAGCCAGCTGGAGGAGAGAATGGTGGTGAACAGCTCGGAAAAGCACAGTTACCGAGCTCGGATTCCCGGAAACTGTGGGTTCATGTGGCTTGTCGACGATGGGTGGGCCCCTCGAAGTACATCCATGACCATGTTTCCGGGCTCTCTTGCTGGGCTAGAAAGGTTAATTTCCGGCGCAGAGGGCCTGGGGCAAGTTCTAGACTTCTGCTAGTATATCCACTGAGAACTCACATACAATATCCGGATCAAGGACCCATGGGCTCCGGTCTATGATAACTACTAGCCCATCAAATCTTGTGGAGCAACCCCCATTTCTTCTAGCTTGGGCTGGGTTGGGTGCTCCAGGACATGGCTGCTCCTGACTTGATTTGCCTTCGAGATTCAATATGTGGGTAGTGAGATACTTCTTGCCTCTGGCGACTTTCTACCCGCGTTCAATCCGGGTTAATCCAAGATGCCAACCCCAATATCTGATCCCACTAGCCGACGTATCCGGACGACTCCATAAACTAAGGGCTTGCTACACTTACCCCGCATTATCTACTTGGGCCCCAGTTGGAGATGTTGTGTTGTGGCTTGGAGAAAACTTGTGCACTTGATCCCTCCTTCTACCCCAAGGGTTGCAAAATCCGGGGGATCTTAAGACGAGCTCATTTCGGGTTAGGCGACTCCCTAAATCTTCAGAAACTCTTTAAATACTTCATCTTCTTCTTCATTCCTTAACTAATCTCTCATCCAGAACAATCCTCCCCAAATATAAGTCTCAACTCTTGCTAAAGTCTTCCGTCCAATATAAGCATCGTATTCTCTCGCTTGTGATTTGGAGAGTCATTTCACAATGGCCGCTGTCCGCGCATCTACTGGGTCTCGAGATCTCGAGCAAGTACCCACCGAGAAGGATACTGCCGTTCATGCTGAGTTCCGGCGGGGAGGGCTATCTCAAGAAGATGCCGATTTTCTGGCAAATTTCTCAGATGAGCGTAAGAAGAAAGTCATTCGAAAAGTTGATGTAAGTATAAACGCGAAATCCGGCCTGCACATTGACTTTTGCTGACTATCACAGTGGCGACTTGTGCCTATGCTCGTTCTACTCTACTTGATGGCCTACCTCGATAAAACCAACATCGGCAACGCCAAGATAGAGGGACTGGTAGAGGATTTGAACATGAAAGGAATTGAATACAATGTGGCTGTGGCTATTTTCTTCATCCCCTTCATTCTATGTGGTAAGCTCACTCTTTTCCGGCGCAGTCCCCTTGCCGCCATGCCTAATCGTGTCTCTAGAGGTTCCATCGAATATGATCCTCCACAAATTCAAGCGACCGTCTTTTTACATTGGCGTCATTGTCCTTGCCTGGGGAATCATCATGACATTGACTGGCATCGTTCACAACTACGGAGGTCTCTTGGCAATCAGATTTCTGCTGGGCATCTTCGAAGCCGGTTTTCTGCCTGGAGCCATCTTGATTATATCAAAATGGTATCTGCCCAATGAAACCCAGACACGAATCGCGATATTATATACATCCGCCGCTACTGGAGGTGCTTTCTCTGGCCTGCTTGCCTTTGCCATTGCTAAAATGGACGGCATGGCCGGGCTCGAGGGCTGGAGATGGATCTTTATCATCGAGGGAATCTTCACCGTTGTTGTGGGAGCAATGTGCTTCTTCTTGCTCTGCGACACCCCGGCTCTCTCTGCAGGCTGGCTTGAGCCAGAGGAGATACGCTACCTGGAACTCCGCCAACTAGCACGACGCGTCACTTCGCCTGGAGAGTATAAGGAAGACGACCATTTCAACTGGGCTCTGTTCAAAGACGTTTTCATGGATTTCAAGATCTACCTCCTTATTTTCACTAACTGGTCTAACGCGGTGCCGAACTACGCCATGAAGTTTACGATGCCTACAATCCTTACCTCAATGGGCTACACCTCAGCGAATGCCCAACTCATGACGGTACCTCCTTATATTATTGGCGCAATTTCTTCCTATTGCTTTGCTATCTTTGCCGACAAATACTCTTGGAGGTACCCGTTCATTATTGCTCCACAGACGTGCCTCATTGTGGCATTTGGAATACTGTTTGGCCTATCCACGAATGTCAAGGGCAACATTGCACCTCTTTATTTTGCCGTCTGCCTTGCCTGCTTTGGGTGAGTGTCAAATTATGAGACCCCTTATTGCTCACTACGACTAATTCATGGTTTAGGATGTACCCAATTCTCCCAGGAGTAAACGCATGGAACGTTGCCAACACTCCCGACCCAGCTAAGCGCTCCATCAGCATTGGTCTCTTGGTTTGCCTCGGTAACGTTGGCGGCCTTATCGGCTCTTACATCTATCTTGATAAAGAAAAGCCGAGATACCCAACAGGCTATGGAACTTCTCTGGCGTTTGCTGGCGCTGGCATGGTAGCTGCGACTACGCTTGAATTTATGCTCAAGCGAGTCAACAAAAAGAGGGCTCAGATGTCAGAGGAAGAGATTAGGTCCAGGTACACTGATGATGAGCTGAACCGTCTCGGTGAGAAGAGTCCACTCTTCAAATACAACCTGTAACGAAGCAAGGATATCTGGCTACTGTGGTATATGATCAAGGAATCACAAATTCTGGGTTGGTCTCCGAATTTCAAAACTCTGTGGTCATGCTGTTGAGAATGTATGGCTCTAGGCAATCATAGGCATGGAAAGTTTCCAATCACGGGAGATAGCCAATTACATCTATATTACAGAATAACGCTGCTATTCTTCACATAATTGAACGTTAGAAACCTTATTCCCCCCTCCACGTAGATGGTGAGAATGAGAGAAAGCAAGCGATGACTCTAAAGTTTCCCACGGCTCAAATGTCGACACTAAGATGAAAGTAACATCATACGTATGTAGCTCACCCCTTACTGGGTTGCCGTCCATGGGATATCATCGCAAAACAAATCAAGGTTAAGTAGAAAGCTCATTTTCCAAAACACCCAAAAGCAAATCAGCATGAGGGCAAGATACTACTATTTTTTGCTAGGGCAAGATTAACAGAGCTGCATATTGTTAAAGCTGCAGAAATTCTCGCATGTTTTTGAAGCTCCCCAGAATGCTAAGAGATACTGTTTGTCTCCCTCATGACTTCGTACAACGGCAGGTAGAAGCCAGCGGATGTTGTAGAGCAATTTTTTCATCGAGTTGGGATGTCGGGCTCTGGCATCTTCCATTGCCGTTTAATCTTGTCTCTTATGTGCGTACAGTAACCTATCAAGGGAATCGTTGAGCTTTTTCCCTCATTCATGCTGAGTTCCAACTACTGCTATAGCAGTTCGGCAGGATGTGCCTTTGAAAATATCACAGCAGTCACTTTTGAATTTTGAATCCTCCCAGGCACGAGGTAAAAATCTAGCTGATTGGAGGCTTGGTATTGGAGTGGAGGTTTCGAAAGCCAATTGGGGCTAGACTCAAGATTGTCTACCACAGTCACTTTTCCGGAGCTGAGATGGATATCCGGATTTCTCTCACCTTCTCTCCCTGCTTCGTCGCGTGTACAGCAGCGCGAGAAACGCGAGCCGCCCCCGTGTGAAGTCACTTGATCATCATATGAGACTCTGGGGCCGCGCTCATCCCTGAGAACAGTTCCCCAGGCATCCTTTTGGGCCCGGGAGGATCCTTGAACTGCCATCCAAAATCCGGACACCCGGAATTCCCGCTGGCCTGCATCCGCACACAGCTCTGCCATGGCCAGTCCAAGCAGTGGCTTCAGTGTGACCGGAAATCCCACGCCTGTATCTAACGCGTCGCCCGCTTATCTCGATGACCCATCAGCGTTGCCGAGGCAGAAACGGCGCCGTGGGCTTTCTGACAATACTGCCTCAGCTACTCCATCCAGGCCAACAAAACCTCTGGCCCCAGAATCCGGAAGCCGCCGGAAATTGAACAAAGTATCGAGGGCATGCGACTTTTGCAAGCTGAAGAAGCTGAGATGCACTGGTACCCTCCCCTGCCAAATATGCATCAAGAAAGGTCTAGAGTGCCAGTATGACGCCCAGTACCGACGTGGCAGACCGCCAACCCCGCCGCCAGCTGTCTCGCAACAACGCGAAGTGCCGATTCGCGAGAGTCAGGATGATGACGAGGGAGAGAGGTATAACGCCCATGACATTGCACTGCTTTGTCCTCTACATATTTTCTCAAACTGCACTGAAGAACTGATACTTTAATAAATAGATCATCCAACCCTTGGCAGGGGCGGCCAGCCCCAAGTGCCAACGATATATCAAGAGAAGACACAGACTCGGTCGAACCCATCCCAGCCGAGGCTTTCCCATCGCGCGGGTCTCCAGAGCTGGATACTACCGAGATTGAAGGGCAGTTCTTTGACCCAACCTCCAATTTGACCTTTTTGCATAGAGCTTGGAAACGGTTATCGCTTCACAAAGGCGCCAACGTGCCTGGAGTTTTGAATGGCTCCGAATCTATGCAACCTCTCATGTCAGCCGGTGACAGGCCGTTTGCATATGACCCTAATCAAGGTGTGAGACTTCCAGACCGCCAGTCAGCTACCGAACTCCTTGAGTATTACTTTGACCGATGCGTTGTCACCTATCGCTGTCTTAACAGCCAGCTTTGCTCTCGATGGCTTGAAACTTTACTCAACAACACTGAGAACAACCTTCCATTCTATCATGATATTGGGCATGCAAAAGCAGCAGTCATTCTCGAAATACTCGCAATCGCCAGCCTGAGACAGAACAAGATCGCTGGAAACTGGTCCACCGATGATGGCGGTGGATATCACCTCCAGCAAAGTGACCAGTTCTTCTGTGGTGCGACAGCACTCACAAACGAAGAAAAGGGTCTCCCACGGCTTGAGTCAGTTCAAGCTCGGATTCTGCAGGTTCTCTATCTGTTGCAGACGGCTAGGATGAACCAAGCATGGTACGTTTTTGGGAGTGTAGTGCCCATAGTATCCGCTCTAGGCTTGCACAGAAAGGCAAGCCGAGATAGAAACGGTGCCAATCGAAGCCCGAATGTCGACTATATTGCGTCCCAGGGCCGCAAAAGAACGTTTTGGGTTGTCTATACGATAGACAAGTATCTATCTGTCGTTCTAGGCCGACCACGATTGTACCATGACGACGATATTGACCAGGAGTACCCAGATAAGGTCAACGATGAGGACATGACTCCTCAGGGCCCGTCCCTTTTAGAACCATCAATGGACTGCCATATCGACTCATTAATTTTCCATGCCAAGTACGTAAATCAAGAATCAAATGATGGAGAATCTCGCTTATGGTTAGCAGAATTGCTCGCATAGTAGACAGCATTTCCCGAGAAGTGTACTCTCTGAAAAATGTGCAAAAGCACGAGCGATTGGCAGCAGCTCAGAAGCTTGTGAGAACATTGCATGAGTGGCGAGACGAACTCCCACCACACCTCGGCACTGTCCGGCCGCGCAGCCTCATTCCAAGCTTCCGCCGGCAAGCCACGGCGCTGAAACTGGCGTATTGCCATGCGGTCATGCATGCCAATCGCCCGTTTCTTCTAGGGTCCCCTACCAGGCCAAACAGTCAGAATCTTAGTGAAAGCGTCACAGAGTGTATAACTGCTGCAAGAATGGCCCTTGAAACAGTGGACAGTATTGTATGCGATGGGGCCCTTTTCCATGCGTTGTGGTGGACGCCATATGTTACGTTCTGCGCGCTAGCAGTTGTCTATGTATGGGAGATCCAACAAAAGAAATCAAAGGGAGAGTTAGCGATTGACGATCCTTTCCTATTTGAATTGGCCGAGCGTTGTCAAAGTTACCTGGCTCAATCCACGGCTGGAGACTCTCCGTCTCGGCGATATAGTATCATCCTCGATGAGCTACGCCTCGAGGCACGACACGGGCGTCCCGCAGTGTTACAAGGGATTCCTGGAGCCAATAGTGTGGATCAGTTGCAGAATTCAGACGGTCTAGCTATGGATATAGGAAGCATGTTTCAAGAGCCAGGAGAGGATTCGATATATCAAGGGCTACCCATGGTCGATGAATGGCAGGCCACTGATTGGCTTGATTTGGATTCCTCGGTATGTCTTTTGCACCCGCGGCCTACTACTGTAATTTAGCAACTGCTAACTGGGTTTCTTGCACCAGGCTTTTAGACCTTTTCCAGATTTCGAAAGATCTTCTATTCTCTGGACGACGGATATTTGAGGATTCTGACGATCACGCCTGGAGTTCACCAGATTGCTCTTCCACTGCCATTCACTTACTCATAACTCGCGTCTGCTAGAGCGATCGGGCCATTTCCAGTCATAACAGATCGCTTCTCTTCAACCCCTTCTTCGAAGCACCAAGGTGGCCTCTTTTCGTTATCTTCTATAAATTTCGTTCTCTCAGCAGGCGGAATGTCGGGCTGAGCCGGCATGCCTCATTAATGGATCCAATCAACCACGGAGAATTAAAATAGCACGGAGAATTAGCACGGAGAATTAAGTACTGACGGCTCTTCCGGGGTTATAAACGAATTTGTACATTAGTCTAAAGAAAGCTAGCAGAGAAAATGAGCTAGAGACTGGGCTCCGGTTAAATGCATGATCTTCTCTTCACGGCTGGCTAATGCGGAGAAGTTGATGTTGTCCACTGAGCAATTTCATAATCTTGTTTCCATCTATGTGCTGCTGATCGAAGATTGTAGCGATAATTTGAGATACCCAAATGAGTGGCGATATGGGATCTGACGTTCGGCTTGGCAGAGAATTATTCCTCTACTTTGACGTTGCCTTTCACCTAAGTGAGATGCCTCTTCTCCAGCAAGACCCCTCTCCGATCTCAGAATTTATCCGCTGTTATGGAGTTCATCAAACTCCAACCAAGTATCGGACCGAATTAGTGCACAATGAGATCATATGCCATGTGCTACCGGAGAGCCCTTGAGCAAGGGTATAAAAAATGACCATGTTTCCTAACTAGAATTCTGTAGACTAGAATCTATGCCTACCACATTTTCCGAGAGTCATATTCAGCACCATGAAGACGATATCCCCTATGATATTACTACCTTCGTTGGTGCTTGCACAGCAGATATTTACGCCTGGACAGGATCCTGAGCCTCGCCCACAATGCTCGAGCAACCACCCAAGCCACCCAAGCTATACCTTCACACCTTTCAGTTATACCCAGACCACGACAGTGAGATATGCCAGTTCTCGAACTATGCCTACCGCTACCTCAACTTATGCACCGCCTCCAGAGTCGCTGGCTACCTTGATCCCATCACAATCTTACACTACTTGGGGCAAGTGGGATCCCAACGCTACGGCTACAGCGACTGATACGGAAAATCCATATGGTAACGCGGCTTGGACAGCTTTGTGGGAATTTGCAAACCCTCCCAACTTTACCGAGACGGCAGTTTACAGCACTACTGTAGAGCCAACCCCGATCCCGAGTGATGAGCTTGTTCTCCCACCCGCTGATTACTTTGGGCCAACGGATTGCTACAACTTTCCCAAAGGTTTCCAATTTGGAGTTTCAAGTAGTGCCTCGCAGATTGAGGGTGCCACCGCCGAGGAGGGCAAGGGACCGTCCCTGATGGATATCAATTTCCGCGGGGGTGTTCCTACAGACTACGTCACAAATGAGCATTATTACTACTACAAGCAAGACATCGAGCGCCTGGCGGCTATGGGAGTCAAGCACTTCGCTTTTAGCATTGCATGGAGTCGCATATTGCCATTTGCACTCCCTGGAACTCCAGTCAATCAAGAAGCCATTGATCATTACGACGACGTAATCAACTTCGTCCTGGAGAAGGGCATGGTGCCAGAGGTGACTCTGCTACACTTTGACACACCCATCCAGTTTTACGGTGAAAATCTCACGGAAGCTCGCAAAGATGCTGAAATTGGTTACGTGAATGGTGGTTACCAGAATGAAACCTTCCAAGATGCGTTTGTTAACTACGCCAAGATTGTCATGACACATTACAGCGATCGTGTGGCTACGTGGTTCACCTTCAACGAGCCGCTTCTGTATGCGGATAACGGAAAATCGATTGACAATGTCATCAAAGCTCACGCTCGAGTCTATCATTTCTACAAAGAAGAAATCAACGGAACAGGAACTATATCGTTCAAGATGAACAACAACTTCGGTGTACCCAAAGATCCCTCTAATGAGTCGGATCTTTACGCAGCAGAGCATTTCAACTCCTTTCAGCTGGGACCTTTTGCCAATCCAATCTTCCTGGGAAAAGACTACCCCGAGTCATACAAAGCAACTATCCATGATTATGTACCTTTGACGGCCGAAGATTTGGAATATATCAACGGCACCGCCGATACTCTGAGCATCGATCCATATACCGCTACCGTCATCACAGCCCCAGAGCCTGGGAACACCCAGAGTATTCTCGACTGTGCATCTAATTACAGCTCACCTTACCGGCCCTACTGTGTCAACCAAACCACGGCTGATGTCTATGGCTGGAACATTGGCTACCGTTCTCAGACCTATGTATACATAACCCCCACCTACTTGCGCACCTACCTCAACTATCTGTACAATACCTGGCGGCACCCAGTCGTCATTGCCGAATTCGGTTTCCCTGTCTACGGCGAGGCGGACAAGCAGCTTTCCGACCAGCTCTTTGATACGCCTCGGAGCATGTATTATCTTAGCTTCATGTCCGAGACACTCAAGGCGATTTGGGAAGATGGGGTTGAGGTGCGGGGTGCCTATGCATGGTCCTTCGCCGACAACTGGGAGTTTGGCGACTATGATGCTCATTTCGGGATCCAGACGGTGAATAGGACGACGCAGGAGAGGAGGTACAAGAAGAGCTTTTTTGATTTCGTCAGCTATATGCGTGCGAGAGATGTGGACTGAAGAGTTAAGAAACATCTCGACAACCCGAAAGTTGGCTATCAACGAATTCTACTGTGTTATCAAAAGGGACAACAAACCTCACTCTTTAAGATTGGGAGGTCTAATGAATACATATTCTCTAAAACTCATGATTCTAAGCGAGAGAGACTATCATCTTTAACCGTCCATACTGGTGTGAACGAAGGCACTATTCGAGAGTTAGGCCCATCTATGTTCTAGGGCGCACAAGCAGTGCCCCGTAGAACGCTAACATGTTCGTACCGTAGGGATATCGGGGTAAGATAAGGACGAAGTGATATGATGCACGTGAGGCTCGAGCTGACCAATTGGTTAGACGCAATAGGGATGGTCCTATCTCTTAGTGGAGCTCACCCCGCATTCTTCAGGTTGATAGCTCGGGGCGGCTCCTTCGGTTATCTCCCAGAGTTTTCCTCGTCTATAAACCCCAAATGATGTCGTCTCCGCGAGCTTCAATGCATTTCTGGCTGCTTGAGATCAACAACCCGTCAGTCTAGGCGATAGCCAAGACCGAAAATCATCAACATGGAGGAAATACACTACACAAAGCGCACGCGACAGGCCTGTGAGCCCTGCAGGTACACCTTACCCCTACTATGAAACACCTGATTTGACTGCTAGTTGAATTGCCGACTAAGATCTAAAATAATTCAGGCGGAAAAAGTCACGATGTCCTGGGGAAAAGCCAGAGTGCTCGTATTGCCAACGGCTCGGTCAGCAATGTGTCTACAAGACTGTCAGCTCCGGCTCCGGCTCCGACCCCACAGACACTCAAGCTAGACACAATCGAAAACTAGTGAGTGAGAACTGATTTGTTGAACGACAGTTTTAGTGTTCCTTCGACTGATGTCATATCCTAGGAACACAGGCTTGGGAACCTTGAAGGGCAGATGAGCCGATTAATCCAACAGCTCAGGTTAGTTACGAGAACTTCTCCCAAAGTACCTTGAATACCGGACTGACTTAAACTGTCCGAGTAATCGAAAAGCCCAGAGAACTTGAATTTTCTCCAAGCTTCGGCTCCTTCAGATCAACTGCCATCACCTCAAACCAGTCGGTTGTCAGACACCGGCCCCGCCAGAGAAATCGAGTCAACTCCAAGGTAGTTTCATTTCTCACAATCCCAGTTCTGCTCAAGACCCATCTTAATAAATGTGAAAAAGTAGCGGAACATTCACAGACGATGAACTTCACGAAATGGGGCGCATATACCTGACCTGGTGTCATGGACAGCCCATCTCTCTGTTCGACGAAGCATCATTTCTCAGTTCTCTCAAATCCAGAGACCCAGAGCTTTTATGTGCCATTGGAGCTCTAACCGAGAGGTTTCCTCCCAGGTCACTGACTGATCACAGCAAGGAGTTAATGGAATCTCTTTCTCGAAGATCTAGGAGGGCAGTAATGGACAAGATAGCTGACGGCGAGGTACAACTCTCTACCTTACAAAGCTTGTGTGTTTTAAGCATTTGTAATTTTACCAGTATGTCACTTCCTATCTCACCGTATTCTAATCTTGGTTAGACTCACAAGATTCATTGCAGGTGGAAAAGTAACTCAAGCCGGTCTAAATATTGCCATGGCTGATCACATCAAAGACACTGCTCAATGGGTCGAAACGGACAGCCAAGACAATGAGAGAGACAAATGCTTCAGAAGCATCTCTGTACTCAAGAAATTGCAAAGCTCCGTGCTGCCTTCTATCAAAAAGATGCTGCCTTCAACATTATATCCGGTAGGGTAATCGAATTGGCGGAGCGATGCCACGAGTCGAGTTGACAAGACTTCGCAGGTGCATAGGGACGATGGCATCCCTTTCTACGCAGAAAAGCTATGTGATGTATGGCAAATGGCAAGAGCATATGCTGCTTCACAAGCAAATGCAAGTGATCCACCACCATGGGACTCGAGATCTGAATTTTCCGAGGTGATGAGCCGGCATTTGGAACTCGATTGCTTGATTCCAGTCAAATACCGCTTCCGCTTAAACAACATGGCCGAACACGACAGCGAGACTTTGCTACAGAACCGTGGATACTGGGCACATTTCATTTTTATCCAATTTGTTTACTCTGCTATTCCATGTCTTCTCAATCACCCATTCCTACTATCTTTACGCCTACGCCACTTTCGACACACAATCCCAGAAAGCTTTATTCAGCAATCATATGAGCAGTTAACACGATTCATGGGTTGGATCATTTATTTCATCGATTTACTGGAGAGAAAATCTTTCCAGGTTTCCGACCCTGTGCTAGCGCATTGCGTTGTCATTGTGTCAACAATTCATCTTCAACATAGCTTTGTGGAAGATCCAGTCCTACAACGGAAGGCATCCAGAGGATTCGAAAAATGCCTTCGCTTTCTCAAGCGTATGGGGCAGATGTGGCCTTCGGTAGCTCTTATGGTATGTTGCTGGTCTACCCAAAATGCCATCTCTTGCAAGAAAGGCTATGTAACTTACGCTCAATGTTGGTGTTAGGTTGAAAACTTGAAGACCTTGCAAGGCAGCGTAGTATATTTACCTTCAGGAGCAGCTGGCCAAGAGAGGGTTAATGCCTCTGGCGAACCTTCTTTCTCAATCAATGCTCGACTACTCTGGGATGTTCTTATCTATGACCGCGCGGGGCAGGTTAATGCGAGAGCTGACTCCTCCATGTTGGGAAGTACCTTGGTCTCAAAAACGTCAGAAAAAGTGGCTGAAGCTCGCGCTGTGGATGAAGAGTTTGACTTGATTGGTTCGGCAGGCCTGACTGGCCATAAGTCAATGATACACCAGGGGCCTGCCTATGCTCCCGATGATGAAAATGTTCTTGACTTGGACGAGGACCCCTTAGACACGACACCACATGCCATAACCAACATGGCAATCACAATTGGGGATGTTAATTTGGAAGGGCTTGGTGGGTATGGCAATGAGGAAAGTATGTTTCTGGCACAAGATTACGGGAGGGCGATTGGCGACTGGTTTGATTTCGATGCCATGTAGCCAATAGAAGAAAGACGAGTCTCATACCTCTGAAAACCATAAGCCTTGAATGGCAGCAAATCAATGCAAAANAAAAAAAAAAAAAAAAAAAAAAAAAAAATACAGAGCAGATCCTAGCATGCCTTTGACATTTCTAAAGATCAGACCTCCTTCTATGATATTCGATCCAAGACATCTAGTGGTATTCGATCGCATACTATCTAAGAATGCCTCTTTCGTCCGGAGATATAATCACAGCATCAGTCGACATATGAACGCACACAAACTCAACTTCGGTGCCTCCAAATACCTAATAAGCCCCACTAGTGTTAACGACACACAGCTAAAAGCCCTTCTAGACAAGGTGATGCTGGCTTCAAGCGCGAGTGTGGGCACGGCATTCACGGAGGCATCTCACCGTGCCCACATGCCCTCCACCTCGTCTGGATGCCGAAGATTGTCATAAGACAGCTCTTGAAAAGGAGCGATACAAGTGCAAATAACGTATGTTAGATTTTTCTTGTCTTTTACCCCCGCAGGAAACCCTTCCTAATTATTAAGGGTGAATTATGATATGAACAACATCGAGGAATAACTAGGCTCATGCCCCTCGCCTAACTCTCAGCCCGGATCTAAATTCAGGTTTTATTATTCCTTTGACTGATTTCATATCCTAGGAGCATAGGCTTAGGAACCTTGAAGGGCAGATGAGCTGATTAATCCAACAGCTCAGGTTAGTCACCACTCTCTCAAAGTACCTTGTTAGAGAAAGAGATCATGAAATATAGGTTTCAATTGATAGAATTTACTATAGAATTCATACCTCGCCCTCCTTAGATTTTTTATTCTCTAAGTAGAGACCATTCCTTATATATCATGCGTACCTGTCCGACGCTTTACCAGAATGTTCACTCCCTTCCGTGGGAAGAGAAATTCACAGATCCATATATTGGTCGGTCTCTGATCTATCTCATCAGCAAACTTTATATCGTAGTTGAGCATCAGATTGTATATTAAAATCTTTAGCTGAAACTCAACTAGAAAACGGCCTGGACAAGAGGTACGACCGCGACCAAAAATAAGCAGCCTGGCAGTGGAAATAAAAGCGTGTGGGTTCCAGTTGCCACCTGCATCGTTCCTTGCCTTGTCGGCAAATGCATCATTCTGATCAGGCTGTTGGCTGGCCTCTTTGGCCCGATTATCCTCCTCATTCCGCAGCTTCACAAACCGAAAGGGCTCATAGGAGTGAGGGTCCGGAAAGTGATCTGGGTCGGTGTGCATAGGTTGGCTGACGAAGGACAGGAGGGACCCCCGTGGAAGAGGCATACCTGTATCGCTATGCAATCCATCCACCATGACCTGTCGGACCATAGCCCGCGAGGTAAATGTATGGATGCGCAAAGTCTCGCGGGCGGCGCTATCAGCAAAGATCATGCGGCTAATGTTTGAGCGAGTCCATAAATGTGATGGATCCCCCCCGCTTGCATCTCTAAAGCGTTGTGCCTCTTCACGCAGTATGTTGATCGTATCATGCTTTGGGTCCGATTCCAAAATGTTCCGTATCACGTTCGTGCCGGCGAACCCTGCTTGGAAGATAAACCCCAAGTTGGCCATAACAAGACGCCGTATCATTGAAGGGACGTTCATTTCCTCAGGTCTATTAACAGAAGCGACTCGAAGCATCCGCTGTAGCAGGTCTACAGGATCCTGCGACTTGTCGTCTGGGTTTTTCGCGATATGTGCAAAGCGGTCTTGGAGCACTGTTCTGCATCGCGACTCAAGACGCTTCAGCGCCGTATATGTGCTCAGGCGACCGAGAAGAGGACGAATAAAGCTCGGCATTATCCCAAGAGCGCCAGCGGCGGAAACGATGCTTTCAATGCTGTTGAGGGATGATTTGAGGTAGCCGTCGTCTCGACCTAGCGATAAGATGAGTCAGTGCCATGCTATCCTAGAACTTTGCAATACAACATACATAACGGAAGCCCAACAACAAAGCGACTGGCAGATCGATTGATTATCGTTCGCATGGTATCCTTTAGATCCAGTGGCTTCCAGGTCTCTGTATCCATTCCAAGAATTGAGTTGATAGCTAGTTCAAGCTCCTCTCGCATAGGGTCAATGAACTCTTCCAGGTCTTGGGTCATCACACGGCGGGACACATCAACAGCCCAGGTGTCCAGCATGTATTTTTCATGCCCAAGGCTGTGTCGAAGCTGGAACACTTCATTGAAACCCTCCCACATGCCTAGGACCTCCTTAGGTTGCGACATGAACCATTTGATAGACTTGTGCGGGAGAAAGATCTCTTTACGACTACCAAGGCTTGGGGCGAGAACTGGAATCCCTTTCGACGAGAACTGCGATATCTGGTGTTATAATTTTATATTCATAAACGTAATTGCTTCAGGTTACTAGCAATTGTAGTACCCCAGTGGACATACCTTTTTCCAAATTTCATTATACATAGATGTACAATTCAAATAATAGGATAAGCGTGTTCTGATGCTAAATCGTGAAGATGAAGGTCTTTCATGAATCAGAGGCAGACTTTTGGGAAATTTCACCGTGTCGCCAAAAATGCTGCTACAAAACATGTAGATAACGCTGCTCAATATCGTCAACAAAATACAAAGAGCAAAAAAAGAAGAGGGACCTAAAAGGTCATAAATCACGGCAGTCAGCATAATGGTAATAATAAGTCGGTCCAATAAGCATAGACTAGCTGTAGAGTATAGAGATAGTAAATCAAAGCTGAGTGATAATAATATTTTTTAAAAGAATAATGGCGAAATCTATCTTCCTTTTAACCTTTTTAAATAATAAGCTAGATATTAATATCTCAGTTATCTTTGTTGGCAACATGGCAACACAAAATTACTTGCAAGACAGGTGTACTTTCATGTAAGAGTATAGATTGTCCCTATGCCACAGCCTAGCGAGGGACTTCTACGGCAAAGCTAACGAGAGCTGCGTTAGCTAAACCCACCCCTATCCAGTAATCTTTACGCCTTTCGTACTTAGGCCTTGCTGCAACGCTGCGGTTATCTCATCCTATAATGCAATAGCACATTCATCTAATCCTCCAATACCATAGTTCCTTTCTCAGCTGTAAGAATACTACTCCCGAATCATCACGATCGTTAATTCAGCTGATGCCTCATCGGGCTTACACATGTGATTGAGGCCGTTTTAGTAAACCTGTCAGCTGTATGCGCTGCAACCCCTCTTATTTCTCCCTAGGCTCTTAATTCGCCCGGGTATTCTTACAGCTGAGAAAGGAACTATGGTATTGGAGGATTAGAGGAATGTACCATTGTATTATAGGATGAGATGACCGCAGCGTTGCAGTGAGGCACAAGTGCGGAAGGTATTCGCTTACGTCTAGGGGAGAAGTGTAACAATGTATATTACCAACAAACGTCGTATTTGTTTCCTAAACTTTCAAGCAGAGGAATATATCATAACCAAACTGGGCCGTTGCATTATAGGATGAGATGACTGCAGCGTTGCAGTGAGGCACAAGTGCAGAAGGCGTTCGCTTACATCTAGGGGAGAAGTGTAGCAATGCATATTACCAATAAACATCGGGGTCATTTCCTAAACTGTCAAGGAGAGGGATGTATTATAACCAAACTAGGCAAGATGAAATTTCTAGGGATCGGTACGGGAGGCCGTGAAAACCAGACAGATAATGTAGCCCTTGATTGCACGATAGCGCTCTCTTAATTTTGGGATGGAAAATACGATTCACCGATGGTCAAGACTCGCGTAGTTCTGTGTTCTTTTCATTTTTTGACAAATGCGCAGTCACTATCCCCTACCTTAAACTCTGATGTTGTACTAATGCAATGCAATACGGACCTGAGCCAACTGGGCACCCTTATTAATGCAATACAGACCTGGGCCAACTGGGCACCCTTATTAATGCATAAATACAATCTCTTTAAGTAAATAAATTAAAAATGCACTTATATAAGCCTAGATCCACGAGACAAATTTTAGGTAGGATGCCTTTTCCCCTCCCTTGCTGCAAAAATCCTTTATTAATACATCCTCTTTGTTGGAACCCCATCTACCCACATACTGAAAATTACTGTGAAAACTCCGAGGCTTGCAGAGGAATTTTCGAAACAATATGGCGATGCAGACCCTGGACACAGTGAATCCCCTGGTGCTTCTTGCCGGTGGCGAGACACTACTGGTTACAAGCTTCTCAATGATCATTCTCAAGACAAAGGCGCGAGCAACCATTCTCCGTACCTTGGGAATTGCCGCGTTGGGTTTTCTTACCTATTTTCTCGAGCAATACATTTCTCAGTTATGTCTCCGTGGTGGGAGACCACACTGGGCCGTTACCGCCGGTTCACTGCTCTGGGTTCAGTTTCTCAGCGCATCGGAGCTAGCGATAGTATCTCGTGTTGATGTTTCTCAACTACCCAACCATAACACTCGGGGTGATATATTATCAGCTGTCGGTCTCTTGTGGAATATGCGCCGAATCGGCACACGGTGGCAAGTAAAGAATGTGCCACTAGCGACCGGCTACGAATCTCGCACAGCCTTTCTTTTGAGACGCATAGCTGTGACGTTGGGCACTTACCTTTTTGTTGATGCCCTGGTTTCTATGCCTCCACCAGATCCTGCCCTAGTTGAGGCCAGTAAGACAACATTCTTACTGCATACTTTAAGTCTTGAGGACGCTATATTCCGCGTTGCAATGACAATATCTTATTGGATTAGCACTGGAATTCTCAACCTTTTTATGACCAATGTAGGAGCAATCGTTTCGGTGCTTCTGCACCTCAGTAGACCGGAAGATTGTCCTCCTCTCTACGGTTCGTTTTCAGAGGCATATACGGTTCGTCGCTTTTGGGGGTAAGTGAAATCCACTGAAGAGGTTTGAATTTAAGGCTAATGATACGACTTGCACAGCATATCTTGGCATCAGATGTTCAGAAGCTTTCTGACCGGGCATGCAGACCTGATTGTTGATGCTCTCCCTATTTCACGTCAGTCTCCGGTGGCTCGGTATACAAGACTTATGATTGCGTTTTTCATCTCTGGTGCCATTCATTACCGTGCTGACCAACTTATGGGTGTCCCAAACGCTGAAAATGGAGCCATTTTATTCTTTCTTTTGCATGCACTGGTTATTATGTTAGAGGATATTATCACGCCAATAACCTCTAAATTCCTGCCAGCGAGACTTAACTATTACTCGGGTTGGGTATGGGTTCTCTTTTTTTTCATATGGTCAAGCCCTATTTGGATCTACTCCTCAACTCGGGTGGGAGTTGACTCGGCTGCATTGTTGCCTGTACGGCTAGTCGGCCCTTGGGTGCGTCAATTTCTCAGCGCCGACCACCAAACCAGTTGAATGGCACGCCTTTGGTAGCAGAATGCTACTGGACCAGATAAGGATCCTGTTTGCTTAGCCCCCAACCTGCCACTGCCACCTATTGGCAGTCTGACTGTTACCACCTCGAGGGTAGGATTGTTACCACCTTGGGGGTAGGATTAAAGGATCTTACGCGGTAACCTAAGTTCCATTACAAAATCGTTCAAGTATTACTCAGGATTAAAAATGGATAAGCCAAGATGCGACTGGGATCGAGCATATTGACTCAGTGTGTAACGCGCTGTTTTTCCCTTCTTTTTTTGAACCTTTCCCTGTTTTGTATTAAAATTCATTAGAAGCCCTACTTTCTGAAATTCTTCCACATCTTCAATCCAATCTAGTATTTAGCGATAGATAACCCACGCGGTTTACATCTGAGCCAAATACAAACTATGCGTTATATATCTGTTCAAGACCAACAGGACCGAGGGCCCGTCATCATACACACAACATGGGTTCTAGTAGCATTAGCTATTGCTATTACCTTACTGCGGGTCGCCTTGCGGTTCAAGACGTCCCCAAGACTGAGCACTCACGATTACTTGATGACTCTTGCTATGGTATGTGTCTAACCCAATATGAATTTATATATCAACCAAACGCCTTCTCCATCCCCCAAATAATGACAAGAATGATAACTCATGGCGATCACAGTTGCTTCTCGTCGGGAGTCAGGCGGCTCTCACTCAGGCCTACTATTGGGGACTGGGAGTACATGACGAATACATTGTTGCTGACCCGGCGATGCCCTGGATAGATATGCTCAAGTGGATACGTATCTCCACGGTGCCTGGGGTCGCGTGCTCTATCATCGCACGGGTCTCTGTTTGCTTCTTTCTGGTGAATATATTTGGCACCAAAGTTTGGTTGAAGTGGTGGTTGATTGGAAATACAATTCTCGTTGCCATTCTTGGCATAGTCTCTCTTGCACTAGCTTGGTGCCAGTCAGATCCAGTGGAGGGGCTATGGAATACTCTGCTCCCAGCGAAGAGAATGGACCCTAATATTTTGCTAGTCTTCACTTATGTCTCAGGAGGTACGAAAAATGTTTCTTACATATCCTTTCTGGCTATCCTAAGTCGAGCTTACGTTTGTTTACTAACTCTGCAGAATAGGCATTTTCGCTCAAACGGATTTAACCTTTGTGCTATTCCCCATCATAACTATTTGGAAACTCAATATGGCCCTAAGACGCAAAATCGGTCTTTGTTTTCTCATGGCCGGCTCGCTCTTTGGCATGGTCAGTTGCATTATGCGGATCCTCACATTCCGCACAGCAACCTTCTCCCAGTCGGCCGAGGGTGTGCTCTGGAACAGTATCGAACAGTCCTTAGTCGTTATTTTGGGGTCTATGCCATTACTTCCTGCGATACAAAAACTACAGATCGGCTTTCTATCTAATATCAGCAGTTCACTATTCAGCCTTCTGCCTAGCAAAGACCGCTCTGCGAAGCAAGGGTATCCTAATTCGTCCGGATCTAAGAGCATGGGATTCAAGGCGAATAGCCAAGAGGAAATGATCAGACTAGATAGCAGGGAGGTTTAAAAGGTCTCCAGGACAATAAATCGATCTTTCAGAATACATAGTGGCAAGTGATACACTCTCGCTATGGTTCTTGAGTTTTATCCTTGCAAAAATGTAGCACTCAACAAGTAGCGGCAGAATTAGCATCTTCCAGCTCTATGGGGGCGCTCTGGTACGGATTATAAATCTCTCTATTACACTGGGAATATAATTTCTGTATTTGTTACAAGATACATGGCTTCTCTTGTCTTATCCCTCAACAGCGAAAGCCGATTATCTATATTGGAAGTAATATAATTTAAGTTACAGATTCAAATTATACATAGATACATTATACTAGTGCCTGGGGTTGGATGTTTCCTTGATCGAGTAGTATAAAGCCAGAAAGTGATATCACATGCCATTTTGCCTACCCCCGATTTGCGGTATTTTATATCTGATTACTCAAATATCGTGTATAGAAGGATCTGTCTCAGCTTGATAAATATACTCCCTTTTAGATAAGTGAATGTTCTTACCCTTTTGGGCTATAAATACGAGATATCTTCACCATGCAAGGTAGGAATCTAGATAATACGAGGAGCGATGTGGAGGATTGACTATTATACCCCATGGAGCATCAAGATGTCTCTTGGCTGCATACATTGCCAGAAACTGAAATTTTCTCATGCCGTGGAAATACCGAAGACGACACCAGGAGCGATGCTCAGGATTGCCACTGATACCACAAGAAGCTCGGGAAAGGAGTTATGCGTCAAAATCTCACCAAAAACGGCAATACAGTCCGAATACCACCAATAGTGCCGTGGAAATGCCGAAGATGACACCAGGAGCGATGCTCAGGATTGCCACTGATACCACAAGAACTTTGGGAAAGGAGTCATGCACCAAAACCCCAGCGACAATGGCAATACAGTCAGAATACCACCAATAGTTACAATGAGTTCCTGAAGGATGCATCACGTGTCGCTTTCAGCTAACGGCACGCCGAGCTCCGGGAACACGTATGTAACGCTCGCGGATCCGCCTTCTGGGGCTGCACCAAGGCTTACGATATGTGACAAAAGCATAATTGTGGTGAACTTTTATATATATCCCGCAGTTAAGGATATTCTGCTTCAAATCCGTTCAACTCACAATTACCTTGATTTTTTTGGGGATTTTTTATTCATTTTATTTTTTTTCCCATCGAAAGAGGATCACCAATTAGCCGCTATCTGGAGACGCGCCTCTAAAAACCCATCATGGAAATTGATTTGTACCAACTTTCACCCCACTTAGCTGGGACAGCGAATTTCACGATGATCTCAGTAATGTTTGTCGCTTTCATAATAGCCCTGGCCTCAAACACCAGGCAAGTAGGTGCCGATTTAACCATTCTTGGAATCCCTACCGTTGGTGTGCGTAAAGAATGGTTTGCGTGGTCTAGAGCCACGTTTAGGTCAATTATGGGTACTCGAGCCTCTACCTCAAGAGGCTATTCAAAGGTAAAGAGATAAAATTTTCATCAAGCCTAGAACCCCCCAGGCGTCTCTAGGGTTAGTTATTTTAACAACTAATAATACGGAAGTACTCGGTATTTAACCTCCCTTTCGTTCTCCCTAACCTCGATCGAGGTCCCACTATTATCATACCACCAAAACACGTACGGGCTGTGTATAGCCTTCCAGAGACTCAGCTAGACGTTTGGAATACTCTCAACAACTTGATACAGCCACGGTACACTATCCAGGACTACCACATCCTAGGGAGGGAGTTGCACCTGGATGTGCTTCGGAACCAAATTACACGGAATCTTGGAATACTTACTAAGGGACTTGCAGCGGAACTTGATAGGGGCTTAAAGACATGGTGGGGAACTGATTCGCAGTGGAAGAACATCCGCGCCTTCGATTCATGCCTGAAAATTGTCGGTGCTGCTGCCAATTCTGTTATATTTGGGCCATCGCTATGTGAGAAATTCCGCTTTGATTACCTCTTCCTGTATAATATTAATTAAGATTTATAGGTCGTAATCATCGATTCATCTATCTTCTAAGCGTACACGCTATTATACTTTTTATTGGCGGCACACTTATCAACGTCTCGCCAAGACTACTCAAGCCCATTGTTGGTTTTCCAGTTAAAGTCGCAAGCCGCTACTACTACAACCAAATTCTAGGACTGTGCCTTCCGCTCGTACAAGAGCGATTAAACAAGACGGTCGCTTGGAGAGATGGTCTAGCCGATGAATGGTCGCCACCGGTAAGTTGAATGCATTCGGTCAAACAATCTAATTCACGTGGTGAATCATTCTAATACCAAGGATAATACAGAGCGATGGTCTTCAGTGGATGATAGAGGAAGCATTCACGAAGACAGACCCCACTGAATTAGATGTTAAGCGCTTGAGTGAGCGTCTTATTTTCCTTAATGACGTCTCCATGCATACATCTGCGTTTACGTTGCAATCACTGCTGCAAAGACTCGCCGCCTCTGATCCTAGAGATGAGTACATTGAAACACTTAGAAATGAAGCTAGAACCGTGCTTAGCAAGTTTAATGGAGAGTGGACCCGAGAAGGCGTTCAAAATCTAGTTCTACTAGATTCTACTATTAGGGAGTCTATCAGACTGTCACCATTTGTGATATTTGGACTTCCTCGTACGGTACGTCGCCTCATCTATGCAAACTTTAACTCTACCTTAAATATAATAGTTGGGACCAAATTCTAACTTCCTTAAATCGGTAGGTCGTTGATCCAAATGGAGTGTTGGTGAAAGCTCATGGATCCGAATACACTCTCCCCTTTGGCGGCTCTATAGCGCTGCCGATTGAGGATACACATTATGACGAACAAGTTTATCCAAATGCTAAAACATTTCAACCGTTTCGCTTTGTGCATTTGGACGATGGGGTAACGCCCCTAAAATCCATGGGCACTTTGCGATTGAAAAAGACGGCTGTTACCCTTGATGAGCACTTCTACGGATTTGGATACGGAAAACATGGGTGCCCAGGCCGATTTTTTGTTGTCCACGAAATTAAGCTCATCATGGCGAATATCTTGCTGAACTACGATATTAAACATATTCAGTCCCCCACAGAACCATTCAACATTATGTGGTTGAAGTTGCCTATCAACGATCCAATTTTACAAATTCGCCGGCGAGTGTCAGGAACAGAAAGTAGGGAAGGTATTTGAAGATAGCTTTCTTTAGTGCAGATAGACCGATTTCAATAAGTGTATTATTATTTTATTAGAGTTACAATGCAGTTCTTAATCGGGAGAGAGATAAGTGCAGATAACCTTTTCTAGACTTTTCTTATCTTCTGCCCCCGCAAGAAACCCTTCCCAGTTATTAATATTAAATTAGGACGTGAACAACATCGAGAAATGGCTAGGCTCACGCCCCTGGCCTAACTCTCGGCCCGGATCTTAAGCCAGTGTTAATATATCCCGTGTAACTCGCTCACATCAAAGTGTTTACAGAATGGCCGGTTGAACGATGAAAGGCGAATTAGACAAATGGACATCTTCCTCAATGTGGTTGTCGTGCTCAAGACTTCGAAGTGCTAAGGCATGGGCGGAGAGTCACTCCTCCTTTCCGCACATTTGAACTATACGAATTTCAAGACTTCAGCCATAGAACTCTTCCGATTTAGGCTGATTTTTAGTAACTATTTCTCTGCTCCATTATAATTTATTTTCATATCTCTAGAACAGAATCTCAGAATGCTCGGTTCTAGATCTGATGAATCAATTTGCTTTCACCTGAGCACCATTGATAGCGCCCAAATTGCGCCGAACGGTACTGACGGGTGCACTGATAGGTAATTGGTAATTGACTCTGGAAAAGAGGAATCCTCAACCAAGCCAAAGCGAGGATCTCGCTTGAGGCTTTGGGGGATTTCGCAAGTGAGGTTAGAGTATGTATCATCTAGAAGACCCGGGAAGACGGTCTTTGAACAGTAAAAGAAAAGAAAACAGAAGAATTGAACGAGAATACCACTGCTCGAGCGCCTTTCGAGTGCCCACGGCCACGTGGGTTTCTTGACCCTGGGTTTACTGTTAATTTAAGTGCTGTCAGGAGCTACATGCTCAAAAGGGAGCAGAAGCCGGCCAAGATCCGCAATACGACCCTTCAACTGCAATGGACCGAAAAATGAAGAGCACGGGTCGCAATCAAGAAAATGGCGCGTTAAAAGCCCCGCAAGCAACCGCTCATGTTACAATGCAAGGAGATGATGAAGCCAATATAGAAGGGTCCCTAATAATAAGGGTTTCACCAGTAATGGCAAGCTTGTGTTGACCTGGATTGTAGCTTCGCATGAGCACTGTATTTAGTAAAATACAAGATATCGTCTGAATATCGCGAGTTTTAGGCTTATTCTTAAGCTTCAGGCCCGAATTCTCTCCACAAAGGAATTAATTGAGCACAACTACCGGCTTCACCTACATATTATCATGTGGGGGCATATCAGAAGACCGTTATATGTAGCATTTACCAATCAGAGTCCTGTGTTCGCAGCGTGGCCTGTGATTATGGCGGCATTCTGTTTGGACTCCCATGAGATAATAGCCAGAACCAGAAGGTACCTTTAAAAGCATCATCTACATGGATGCTAGGTACTTGCTAATCCGGGAAGGTCGAATAAAGGTACTTGGTCGGTTGCAAGACTTCCCCAAAAAACTTCACCAAGCATGGACACAATTCTTCAGACATAAGAATAGCGACTCTCATTGTGATGTCCTGCTGTAACTTCTTCTCTGTTCGATTATATACCCAAGGTTCCGCGTACGCATACAATTATCTATCCTATTTTGATCCAAGAATCCAGTCAGTATGGCTTATGCGGCGACTACACTCATGAGCCTTCTGGCCCTTAGTGGGCAAGCCGCTGGCGGGCTCACAAGACAATATTCTTCCCACCCCAAGATTGGAAAAAGAGATGGAGACCTTGTTTCTTTTGCTCAAAGGACTACTGGAGACTCTTCTCTTACTCAATCTGTTGAAAGCCCTGTGGTCCTGCAGCCCGTCCGCCCTAGCTCCAAGGCAGGGAAAAAGAAGCGTGATAGCCAAAGCCCGTTCGATCTGTTAGAAGAGGATACACTATACTGGGCTGGTGAAGATGGCACCATAGCCGAGCTTTGGCTTGAGATGGCTGGTAAAAGTGAGGCATTTGTCGACATTGAATACTTTGACGATCGCATCGAGTCAATCAGTTGTCCCCAAGATGGCGCTGGGAAAATCACAATTGACTTTGTCGACGAGAACGACCTTGGCGCCGCCAGCCAGATTTGGAACTGGGTTTCAGAAGATCCTGACAACAGCTTCGTGATTATGATCGGGGCTGGTGATTGCGGCTGGAACACGGAACGAGTCCTTTACTCGGTTCAAGGGCTTGATTTTGATAGCGATACCAAAACTGTCCTGCTTCAGGCGGATCACATATCCTGGAAGCAAGCTATACACAGCTACGACTTGAACATCGGTAAAGCCGCGTTGCATGAAAATCAGACATCGTTGGCCCGCCGCGGCTGGTTCGAAGACCTATTCAACGGCGTGATCAATGTCAATCCTGACTTATCCGTTCCCTTCAACATCAACCTCAGCGGCACCAAGCTTCCTTTTGACATCAATGGTGTTTCTATCTCTGGGTCTTGCAGCAATTGCTCGACTTCAGGGAGCTTCGATGTCGAGGCTCAATTCCGTGTTCGGTTGTTTGAGATCGAGGAGGCTTGGGTTGAGCTCAGTACCCCTGGTGTTAACTCTGTTGCAATCATTGACATCAATGTTCAAGGGGACTTCACTGACACACTTTTTGAGGGCAGTCTAACCCTCTTTAAGGCATCACCGGCTGGAATATCCATTCCGAATATCCTAACAATCGGTCCTACCGTCGGAGTCTCCCTGTCTGCTGGCGTCAGTGCCATCAAAGGTAACGTGACTGTCACTGTTGGCGGTACATCAACTATTCCGCCTTCCACCGCTCGGCTAGACTTCCTAAACGAACAAAACACAAAGTCAGAGGGTTGGACTCCTATCTTTGAGCCTACTCCTTTCAAAGCAGATGCTTCCGTTCAAGTAACTGCTACCGCAGCTCTCAATGCCGCAGTAGGGTTGGAGATAAGTGCTCTCGGTACGAAAATGTCACCTGAAAAGCGAAGGTTCAAATCACTAATGCGTGTCGTTTTATCTTCATAGAAACTGGATTTGTTGCAGATCTCGAGGCCAAACTGCCCTACGTAAATGCCGCTCTCAAGGCCCTTCTATGTATGTACACAATCATGCTCCCGAGTCTCTATAGAACTAATGTTCAATGCAGCAACTACCTGTACTGCCTGCGAAAAGTTCCAAACAGCAGTCGAGGGAAGCATCAATATTGGAATTTCAGTCGGCGTTGCGCTGAAGCAAAAGATTGCGGGATCCCTGACTAACCTTTGGTCACTTCAACTATGCGTAAGAATGCCTCTCCTCTCCCGCTCTCGCGTCATGTATTTGGTTTGGAATCTAACAGTATATTCTAGGATGCCAAATTTCCTGTCGTTGATTTTTGTGAAGCTGTTGGCCCACAGCCTGAAACCTGCTCCGCTTAACGGAAACGATTTATTGCGATTATTATGTCCTTAGCGAAGTGTTATCAAGAGCTCATTCGTAGATACAACATAATCTCGCTTCCTTCAGCTATAGGCCAGAGATATAAACTCCCACTATGATGCATTCAAACAAAATATTGTGTAGAAACTTGCCTGAAATGCCTCCGTTCATATCGCCCTCCCTAGACATCAAAGCGAGCTTCGGAATCCTGGTCTCTTAGGTAGCCGCACCATAGCAACCACCTCAAACCTCCCGTATGTATTGGGGTCTTTAAGAACCAAAGGCTTTACCTCCGTAAACCCATTCCGCTTTTTGTGTATTGGCAACGCGTCAGCAGTAGCATCCAAGTAGATAGGTAACCCAGTTTCATCGCCTTGGCGGCATATCCAATCCATTAAGGGAGCGACTAAGCTTTTCCCTTGATACAGCGGATCAACACCCAGAAACTCCCCCACTATATTAGAAAATAAGCTTATGCTCTTATACTTTATCATGAAATGTAAGGAAGAGGCAGATAGGGCATTTCAAGAAGATGAAAGTTTGACTCACTCCAATGCAATTGCCGGCCCATGATGCTCGCTCTATTCCTTTCCATTCCTCCCCAGAGGCCATCGGCAATCTTTGGATCATACCCATCCGGGAACTCAGGCATTGGAATCTCCTGACTACCATCTGGCTGAGGAACATGGATCCTACAGAAAGCCACCAGTTTGTGATTCATGTTGACGTCCTCTACCACAAACGTCCGGAAGACAGATGGTCCAGCCTTGATCCCGATCACAAATATCTCTTCAAGCCATGCTCGAACTTCTGGATTCTCTGGAGTTGCGTATTCAAAAAATTTATGAGATTGATTGAAGGAGAGAAACCACAGTCGTGAAATGTCACCAACGTCATTGAGCGTCGCATCCCTGATCTTGAACCCAGTAGGGGATACAGGTTCTAGCTCAGCACTAATCATGGCTGAAAGATCTCGATCAGGTTCAGTACTGGCTTATTAATGGAGACGAACATCCAGCCGTTTGTTCTTTCAAGTGGCTGCATGAGAAGTCTCGGGAGAGGTTGATATATACGTTACTTATACGCTATCTGCAGGTGTCTTCTTTTGGCGTAGAAACTAAGGCAGTAATACTATTTCGGCGGGATGTGGCTAGCTGACAGCTGTCGTGGCTCGATATTATTGAATGCAAATGCGGCATTGGATGTCTCTGACTGGACTGTGGGGTCGATTTCCAGACTATTGAGATGCCGCACGACAGTTTTCAGCCAGTCATCTGGTGTCAAGATGAATTTTTAACCCGAACAGCTAGTAATGCATGCATGTAACCACACCACTGACCTCGTTTGCAGTTGCTGACGTGGCCGTGTGTAAACACTCACCTCTCAAAGTCCGTTTTCTGTGCTTGGACGCCCATGTATCTCATGTCATTTTCGAACGCATCGGTCGTGTCTGGCTCCCAAAACCACTGAATTTATTGTTGCATTACTGTCCACTAAGCTACATAAACCAAGTTTCATCCTCATTAACGAAGTCGGGATGAGGTGATAAGATTTCCAATTTGCTAAATTATCCTCAAACGTGGTCAGAGCTGAGTAGAATTTGCTCATGCAACCCTGGTGATCAGCTCTCCCCATGCTCTAACGCCTACGGGGCCTCTTCTTATTCTTCTCGTAAGCTTTGAAAGGTCTAATTCTAACAAGCTATACCTAAAGTGGTGAGTCGCATTAGGCCTTATCACGTTCAGATGATGTTTGAGCAAAAAATTTCAATCATTTGAGCAACTATTCGTAGATGTTCAATCTGTAAATTCTAGCCAGGAATTAGGCAGGTAGCATCCCATATGATCCAGGTCTTGGGGGTCCGGATACCAGAGCTCGGCACTTCGGCCCCTGTGATCTCTTGCGACTTCAACGCGGTGTTTATACTGCTCCAATATTTCGTCGGCTGCTTCAGAAATTATGAGCTGCTCATAGAAGAGCATTTGACCAAAAATGGCCAAGTCTTCAACTCTAGAAAGGCCAGTCATCTGCACTTCGGGCCAACACATAGAGTCTAGCCATAGATAGCAAGTCTTCATTGACGCCATGAATGTCATGAGGCGTATGATGTCAATGTTTGGAATTGGTTTCACTTCAGGGTCTTCCTGGTCAAGTTCTCCATCAGGTCTATCCGACAACGCATCTAGATTGGCATATCGGAAGGCAACATTCTGAAAGGTTGAGAGGGTCTGTCGAAAAGTTGCAAGTGGTGCAGCATGCTGAGGAAACGCTGTCCCCGGTTCAGGGCTTGCCACTTCATCGACGGGCATTCCTGATATTCTTTGATCGACACAGTAAGATCTTGCGTAGTTGATGTTCTGAATGATGAGGACATCTGAGTCTGGATCATAGCGCACGGTGCGTGTGTCGACGCCCGCGTACCACTTCTCGCGATGGACGCGCATCTTTTGCGGGTATCGTTTGTATACGGTATCACAAGACTCGCGACAAACAAGACTCAGGGTCTGTAGTTGATCCTCGACAGCCCGGCCGCCCAGGACGAGGAGCGGGAAATCAGGGTCGAGGGCGAAATAGCCATCCGCGACGGTGTCAACCTCATGAAACGATTGGCCGTCGATGTATTCAGGACATGAGCTGTGGTTATCGCATAACTTTCCAGTCTTCATGTGACATGAGTGTTTGGTTGATTGGTGATCGTAGTAAACAGCCACCTCTATCGTGCGGCCCTCGGGGACATGGGGTATAGCGAGAGACCATATCATCACTCGTATCTCGAAAGGCAGCTTCGAGAATCCAGTGAATGTCTGCGGCAGTTTGCCATCCACACTTTCTTTGGTTGGCGGCATATTGAACAGCAGCCCGTGGCTCAATCCACGGCGAGATACGGCGAGATGATTGCTTGAAGCTGAGTGAAAAAGATGACGGAGGAATGCAGTGAGGGGGTTTCGGATGACTTTGTTAGTGTGGGGTTAGACGCTCGACGCAGGCGAGTCACGAGACATATTCCATCAGCCACGTTTGATAAGCACCGTGATACTCTGCTCAGTTTCAACCCGAATCCTTTGGAGCAAAATAACCTCCTCACCTCTTCTCTTGATTTTAATCAATTCAGCTATGTTGGGTCGAGAATCATCCGTATTAGACACTGTAGGTCCAAAGGCTTGACTTCGAGGGAAAGGGTTCAACCGTCCTGAAGCGACCACGCATAGCTTTAGTTGGAGGTCATGTAGGGGACACCATTAACCCTTGGTTAGGCCAAAATTGAGGTTTGGATTTAGTCTAGAATAACGTCTGAAGCAGCAAGGATGTTCGCACTCGAGGACCGCCTGCTACAACAGAAAAGCTTTATGACCTCGTATTAGCTGTGGTGATTACCATGAAGATTTCAGCAGAAGAGTCGATTGACCAGCCTTCAAGGCCACGATGCTGGTAGAGATATCGCCGCACTACTCAAAGCTCCACTGATAGTTTTGGAAGCAGACGTAAGACTATGTTCTGGTCTGCTATTGCTCTTTTGTTTACTGTTCCCAATACCTAGGCATTATTGAACGTATCCCAGGTCGATATTATAGTAGCAGACTTACGTTGGCCTCAATGGCCTCCGATTGCTGTCTAGCACAATAAAGATACCCGAGGAGCACAGAATACGATAGTTTGCCATTTGTCGTATGGGCTACATAATTCGAAGTATGTGTCTGTTTAAGGCCTCCGTTGAGGTTGCCAGTGCTCTCTGGGTTGACCTTTGCCAACAAGAAGCCTAGTAAGGCAACATATTCTTTCCATGCTAACATTGAAATGAGACTTCCACAGTGGAAGCGTTTGAAGCTTAGGCATCCCATTGGCTCCAGAAATTTGCCCTTTCTCTCGCTCTAGGGGGCGGATGAATCAAACGCCACAGGGATAAATGACGGTTGAGAGCCAACTCTTTCTGAACCGACTCAGCCCTGGTGAGCTTTCCTGGGCTGTCGGCCTGGTCTAGGCCTACGAGGAACGGCCAACGGTATCACAGTGGATCGTATTTAATCTTACCTGTAACCATCGCTTGATGCATGGGCGTATATGTGCGGCGACGGGGCCAACAAAGTCTGCAAATCTGCGGCGGCCTATTTTTACCAGCGGAGCGCCATAAAAGGCATATGATGCCTCTTCGGGATGTAAGACTTGCCAGTGTCTGCCTGGTTGCTGAAAATTGGTCCCTTTTACGGGCCAGCGGCATAAACGGTTGGTCCTCGCCACGGGAGTTTCACCTCATGCGCCACAGATCTTTTGCTACCAACAAGCCCTACGCATGTCAGCATTTGTGCCATGATCGCCAAATCGGGCTACATTTTCCATCTCGATCAAGCAGAGCAGCTAGCTGAACATCAGACCGCCAGAGAGACAATGGGGAACATCGAAAAATGGTCGAGATTTCTTCTTCCTGGTTGATTGTTGGCTGAAGGTCAGTTGGCGCCGTTGTCCCTGCCAACTCGGGACCGCCATCTCATCCACGAATACTTAAAGCAGCTTCTCTCTCACCGTTGTGGGTTTGATCCTCCCACCGCCTCTCATTGCTTCATAGCTCTTCATTCATTCTTTTCCATCAGTCAAGGACCTACCAGCACGCAGTCCACTACTCCTTCAACCATCAACATGCAGTTCATCAAGCTCTCCCTCGCGGCTGCCGCCGTCTCCGGTGCCCTCGCCCAGCCCCAACCCACTGCCGCCCTCGCCGCGCGTCAGGATGGGGCGAAATGTTCCAGCGCCTTCGTTACCAAGGGAACATTCTTCTCCGAGATGCCTGTTCCCACTGGGGATGCCGCGAGTGTCGTCGCCATGGTCACCGCGACTGACGAGTGCGAAATCCCTGCCGTGACCGGCGACAGGGCCAGCGCTTACAGCTCCTACATGTCCCAGGCGTCCAGCTGGTATCAGAAGCATCAGTCCGAGTACTCCGAAATCGTCACTGAGTGCGGCAAAGACTTCAGTGCCGCCCTAACCAGTGCCGGTTACTCCAACGTTTTGGCCGCCACGGCCTGCACCAGCATGAAATGGGGAGCCAGCGAGACTGCGGTCTCCACCAACGGCGCCATCTCTCGCCAGGCGGGCTCTACGCTTGTTGTTGTTGGCCTCGCTGCTCTTACTGCCGTCGGGCTCCTCTAGATAGAGTTGACATGCAATTGGGCGTTGAGAGAATGCGTTGTGTTGTAATGTGTAGAATGGGAACAGAGGCCAATGTACAAGAAAAGGGGCTTCCAGATGATCAGATAAACCGGTCAAGTGCTCCCCAAATTAGGTTTATTTCTATCGCGGAGGGCTATTGAATAGTTTCTACCAATCTTTTTGACTTTGATTTGGAATTACATTGATAAATACACCATATTATTATCCTATATGTGAAGATCTTTTCTATCTTTCTTTGCCCCAAAGTGAATACCGCAATAGGAGGACAGTCATCACAAGGACAAGCATAAAACTCTACCTAAGTGGTCGAAAGGCGGAGAAGCCTTTGCATAACCCATTCCAGATTTCCGTGCTTCCCTGTTCACATTCAAAATATCCTTTCATCTTGTCTGATTATAAGTCATTCTGGATTATCACAAATGTGAAAAGGATGTTGATGCGTCGAGGAAACTTGGAGATGAAGGATTGATATAAATTTAGCGTCATCTTGAGGCGGCCGAGGTCTAACTATGTCGACCAGCTTCATCTTAAAGTTACCATGGGGTCCTTGTGATCTAATGCAAGCCATTTCCATGGTAGCTCAAAGAATACAGATGCGGTGGTGAAATATCATGAGGCCTTTGGTCTTAAGTCCGTGACTATCCGCGTCTTCCCGACGACGAAGCCTTTCGGATGTGGGGGGGAATCGAGGCAGACTAGTAAGCATCCCTGCAGGACTCTAGACCAACTCTGTGTGTATGATTGGCTAACACCTCAGGTGGATGACGGATGCTCGCGGAGTTTCGGTTGGGAACGGACAGTAACGGACAACACTCTCACCACCCAACCAAAATACAGGCCAACTTGGACTTGCCGGATAACACATGCCCAGTAGTACAATACCCAATCAGCGAATATCCGGGCACCGGCTCCCCGACAATGTCTTTTTGCTCCACCGGGGATGACAAGGAGAAATCATCTCCGAAATCCCGCAGGTTCAAGAGGAGTTATGTAGCGTGCGTGTCATGCCGGGTCCGCAAGGTTCGATGCATTATCGACGGCGACCCTCCGTGTGCAAAGTGTCGCCGCGAGCACCGGGAATGCGAATTCGATCATCGGCCCAAGGCCCCGAAACAGAGGGAGCCTCCCAAATGGGCGAAGAGAAACCAAAACAACCGTGCGGCCGCAGTCCCACCAGAAGACGGGGAGCAATGGATTCAGCATCATCATGGCCAGCCATCACAGTCAGATCTTGTCGCTGGCCCTGGAATACCTCCAATAGATGGAACCACGAATGCACACAGAGTAGCAGAGGATGCAGTCCACGCGCGTGTCTCCCCTCGAAGTCAGGAGTTACTTTACAACCGGGTCATAGCGACACCTCTAACCGGGACCCACGACGCCTTAGAGGTGCTCTCCGATGCCGTTCCGCGAGGAGAACCAGGTGTGGATGTGGGAACCCGGACGATAACGCCCTCACTATCACACAATTCAGTCCCTTCGCCTGCTCAAGGACCTACAGCCATTCCTACTACTGGCGGGGGGCTTGGATTCACAGTATCGGTTCTCTCAAGCCCTGAGGAGGCGACACTTGACTTGTGGGACAGGTCAAGGTTTGTCCGTCAAGGGTGGTTCACAGCTCAAGAAGCTGTCACATATATCGACCTGTGAGTAGGCCGCCTAAAGATATAATATACGACTCTTTTGAATACTGACCCTACCAGCTTCTACAAATATCTCTCGCCTTTGTCCGCGGTCATTCTCGATGACTTCTGCAGCCACTCAACCCATAGTAGATTGGTGACTGAGGAAGCCATGCTCTGCTGCACAATCCTCATGATTTCATCCCGCTTCTTCATACTGCCCGGAGCGGGGGGGCTCTCGCGGTCTCATTTGATACACCACCGACTCTGGAACTTCTGCGAATCGCTGATCAAGCGCATCATGCTCGGTCAAGAAAAACATTCGAGTTGGAGAATGAGAGTTGTAGGTACCATCGAAAGTCTCATGCTTATATCCGACTGGCACCCTCGGGCGATACACTTCCCACCTGAAACAGAGGGCTGGGACGTATTTCTTATTTCTCCTGATTACGACCGCACCAATCGTGTAAGAAACCAGGGCGAGGAGCCTCTGATTCGATGGCGCGAGGACGTATTCGAGCCAGCCAAGAGAGCAAGTCGTATGTCTTGGATGCTCCTTGGTATGGCCAGTAGTCTCGCGTACGAAATCGGGATATTCTCCAGCCCAGACCAGCAGAAGGTATACGACCCCTTGGACTCGAATGGACAAAGACATCTCCGCGTTCAGAAACTTCTCTACACATATATTTCTCAAACGGCAATCAAGCTGAATTTGCCTTCCCCCTTCCCTGACAATATAATCAACACAGCCTCCCAGTCCACCTTCGATCTGTCACTCCCCCCGTCGTATCAGCCATGGTCAGCCTACATGGACCTCAACTCCGAGCTGACTCGACTGTCTCGCACAGCCTCCAGCATGTTTTTCCAGACGCCTGCCCAGCTTCAGGCGATTGTCTCGGGCGGTCACCATCTTGAACTTCTTGAGCATTTCTCTGGTTCCTTGACTCGCTGGCTAGAGAGAGCTGAAACACTATTCCACCGTAAGTCGCCATAAAATACAATTCATTACCCCCCTCGTCTCTGGTTCAATTGTATTTTATTTCTTCAGCTAGAGCCTAGAATAACAATACTGCCTTTCAGATATAGGTCAGCCCTTGCGGGACTGCCTACTCATTGAATACCACCACCTCAAAATCCTGACCGGCGCCGTCGCTATCCAGTCTGTGGTTGCAAAGGCATCAGTATCAGGCACAGACAGCAACGCCAAAATCATAAAAGACATCAACCTTGCTACGTTTTTAACCCCGCGGGACGCCAAGTTCCTGCAGCAAGTGATCCGAGATTGCAAAAAGCTGCTCCATATCGCTACACACTCCATTTTCCATACCCAGTTCCCGTACGCACCGGCGCGAATCAAGATTAGTGTAATCTCGACTTCAGTCTTCCTTCTCAAGGCCCTGAGCATCGGCTCATCTAGTGCAGACGTGCACCAAGCATTAGAGTCGCTAGAGCAGTGCACCCAGATGCTGAAATCGTCTGCAATAGACGACACTGACTTTGCCATGCGATATGCTACGCTCATCGAAAAACACACGGCAAACATCCGGGATCGTCTCGTTCCAAATTCACCTTCATCAGGCTCTATGCTACGCGTCCCAGCTACGGATGGGCTCCAGTCCCAAGAGACTGGCCTCCCTCTTCCAATCCAAACTCTCTCGACTGGGGCCTTTAGTGATTCGGAGATTGGGGACTCAGTCAACTCCTGGATATCATTCCCTTTTGACTCCAGCATTGCGCCTTTTAACCAAGAACAAGACACTCAACTCTCACTTGGTCTGGATCTTGACTCGCTAGATTTTCTCTGGAATCTACCTCTATCGTGAGCTTTTAGCAAATGAACCCGATTGGAAAGGCCAGATAAAACCTTGGATATAGTAACAATAAACAGAAGCAAGTTGTTGATCTTATTATATTCATTAAGCTGCTCATTAAGTTTTGCAGTACACCCTTACAAATAGGGAAGTACCGTATGTGTACAGTATGTAGTTAAGAACATAACAATTGGCATTCTAACGACTACTATAGTGGTGCAGTCATGGAAGCATCCTATTTTATGATCGACGGTAGAGCAAGATGGCCAGGGGGTTCATTCTGTATTTTGGGCATGAGGACTTGACGCTCCCCTCCGAGGTCGTCTAGGGGAAACACTTCCAAAATATGTAGAGCAGCTCTTGTCCTTCCGGCTTTTCTTCAAGTTTAGGGATGATTATGTGTGGGCAAACGGTTAGCAAGTTATAAAAAGGTAAAATAAAGAACTTTATTAGCCTAGGGCTATGAACTATATAGAAGGAAATCTCTATAAGCCTGTAAGGCTAAACAAATCATTTACCTAGATACTTCCTCTAGCTACTGGGGCAAGCCGCCTCTTCAATCTCAGTCTGGCCTACCCTCTTTCATTTGCTCCTAGCTGAAGCTCTATATTACATAGCTTCCTTTGCCTCTTACAACCCTCTCAATCTTACTTCTATATTTTAAACACCAAGCTCTCAGCTCCTAATATACCAACCCAGTGAGTGCTAGGAACCCCTTGACAAGAGCACTTACACTAATATTTATACAGCTCATACTGTATATATAGTATAAAGAGGAAGACCTCAGAGCCCTCTGGGTCGACGGCCTCTCTGCTCATATACACCTGGGGTCTTGACTGGATATTTGACCAAGTCTGTATTATAGGGATCCTCCTTTCGAGCTGCCAGGCCTCTAGGTCGACGGCCTCTCTGCTCGTAAACACCTGGGGTCTTGACGGGATATTTGACCAAGCCTGTATTATAGGGATCCTCCTTTCGAGCTGCTAGGCTTCTAGGTCGGCGGCCTCTCTGCTCATATACGCCCGGGGTCTTAACTGGATATTTGACCAAGCCTGTATTATAAGGATCCTCCTTCCTCATATATAGAGACAGGATTACATCGTGATTGATATCTCTTGCAGCGATGCCATCGAGAGCAGTCTGATCCAGAGAGGCAAGGACCTGGTTGGAAGTAGCCAAAAGGCCAAAAACAATTCCAAGGTATCTCAAAGGGATCATAATGGATTGTAAAGAAATAAAAAGAAAAGAAAATGGGGATTGAAAAAGAGTGTAAGTAGATGTTTGTTTAACTCTTGATTGTTTTTAGAATGTACTTGTTTTATAATAGATTTAGATAAAAGATTCTTGGAGCAAGAGGCCCTTTATGCAATTCCTCGTCTAAAAAATCTACGCCGGCGCTTGGGTAGGAGGCCAAGAAGATGTAGAATGTGAGGCTACTGCGCTATTGCAAAAGAGGTGCCTTTTTCCGCAAAATTGCCAAATTCAATACCCTGTTCAGTATTCCTTTAGACTTTTTGATAACTGAATCCCCATGATCTTCCAGATTAGTATTAGCTTAAGACAGGAATACAATTAAGCGCAAATGCTATACAGGGATTTGCAATACCGTATCGGCATTCACAATGCCGTGTAGGGATTTGCAGTGCCGTGTGGGATTTGCAATACCGCATTCCGACGCATCAAGTACGTCAGGAGGCCTCAAAGGCCGTGCGGCTTACCGCCATTCCTTCCCGGTATTGGAGTAGAGTGGTACTGCAATTTGTGCATAGTTTGGTACATGGGATGCAATCGCAGACAAATCCACAGTAGGTAATACGCGTAGTCTCCCCTTACGAGTTTTTGAGGTTCATCACTCCACCTTGGTTTGTAATAATCTGTTTTACCTGTTTGGACAGGGCGCGACATTGAAGCTTCATGCGTATCGGTGTGGATGAGGTTATCGTCGATGTTCACATACATATTATTACCGAGTATTCCGCCGAGCCAGGATTCAACGCAGGGCTGGAACTATCCTGGGGCATTCTTCAGGCTAAAAATTGGTACACATGCTTCGTAAAGGCGAGGTGTCCTAGAGGCGGTTTTCCATCTGTCCTCTTCGCGGATTGACATTGAGTAAAATGCATTTTCTAGGTCGTATTTGGTTTTCCACCGATGAGATGCGATGAGACTAACTCGCTACAAATAGTAGATTCGGTTGATCCATGTCACACATGTATCCAGATGAACTGCCCTGCTTCAAGACTTGCTCGACGACGAATTCTGCATAGACTCAAGAAGTGAGCGCCAAAAGCTCGAAAACTTATTTTACATCAGTATTTTGATCGACATCTACAAAGAGGCGCAGGATTATAAGCGTCTTGGCCTGTTGGAAGTGACATAGAATTGCAACGTCCTTACCCTTTACTCAAAGCGGCAGCTCAATGTGGCCGAATCAATAATTTCAATCAAGCCCAAGATCGTCTTGAAGAATTTGTATGCCATATTTCTCTCTCCCTCTCTCCCCTGAATGACGTTGGACAACAACGCATAATGTCGAGCACCGACTAACAAAGTGAGGTCAATGATACAACAGCAGCCCAGGTTGCAAAAAAGTACAGCCCCATTGACCTGGAGCATTTCTCATCAAAAACGAGTCGACCTTTGTCTCCATATCGAGCCACGAGAGGAAACCACGAGAGACAGTCTCACAGCCGTTGCGCGGCTTTCACGATGTTCCATGCCGGTGTTGTAATTAGCGATCAATTTCTTTGCTTGAGAGCTTGGCAGGTGGCTATTTTAAGCTAGTCTGAAAGTATAGTCTGATAAAACGAGCTGAAAAGGGAGATAAAGATCGCTAGCGAGCGCGTTATACCTCTGCGTAAACCCGTGATTTATGAGTAATAGAGGGTAAATTATATGTTGGTTATAATGTTTAGGAGTACTCACTTCAGCAGCCATCTTCGCTTGTTCCCGAGCAGTGCCTGAGAGCCAAAAATCCCTTCCTGGGCCGGGATTAGACAAGCTGTAGCCATGGAGAGACGCGTGTAACGCGCGCCACCCCTCTATGTCTTATAAACGCGTGAGTAGCCCCTGTCACTATGTACCTTTCGTAGTGCCCCACCCTAATTCCTTCACGTTCGTATTTCTTGGAAAAGGGCGATAGCTTCACTCTACAGGGGGCCTACCCTACACTCCCAGGATAGCTCAGATAGTAAACAATAATAATGATAATCACCACTATATTACGTCTCTAAATGGCACATCCAGAGGGGTTAATTGTATATAAATATCTTACCGTTTTAGTTTATTTACGAGCAAAGCTTATAGATAACAAAAATTCATAAAGTTTCCAAAGTACCAGTTCCGTGCTCTTAAAATAGAGGAGGTTTGCACTGCTTCACTACGCCAACAAATGCATTTCAAAGTCAACTAAGAAGGATCGGACATAATTTGAGAAGGATAAACAGCTACGGACGTCGGGAGAGTAATTGTGTTAGGTTTCTATTGGAGTCTAGAGAAGATAAAATCATACTGGCTACAAACCCTCTTGCCACCCAAACTATGGCCGAGATGCACAATGGTGTTTTCATAAATCTACATACCTTATGCATAGAGTTTTATGCAAAACTCCAAAGTACTCCTACTCAAATCACAAAAACGCGTCTAAAACCGCGTTTGTTTTCACTTCTACGGTAGCATGAGGTCCATAATCAGACCTTCCCAAGGTAAGTATTTCTCACTGAGTTCATCTTTTTAATTTCAGCGTCTACATTGACCACTCGTCCAGATGCACGTGTGTGTAAGTACGCATTTATTTTCTACCGCTTAATAGAGCTATGCCGTATGTCTAAAATCATAAAAAGATACATCACACAAAGAAGGAGGCGATCCTTATTATGAAGGATTATTTCACACAATTGAAAAACAAGACGTTGCGCGTCTGTGCCTATGCCAATCGCACAAGCCATCCCACAAAAGATACTCTATGGCGAACTTTGCAAAATCAATTTAGAACATACCTCTCTTTCACCAAGCGAAAAATCCCCGGTTGATCTACTATCTATTATATCCACCCAAGGAAACCAGCATTGCACCATCCACAATCTTCTGTAGAGCAAAATATGAATAGAAACAATACAATCGCAAACTTTCTCACAGAGTCTCATCTAAAACATTATGTCCTCGGAAATAAACCTGACTCTACCCGAGCTACTGCACAACTGGTAGATGATAAGACCATGTTGATGCTAGCATAGTTTTATAGCTTATTTAGCGTCGGAAGGCCGTGTCTCCACCGTCTAATAATCTAATCTATGACCTTTGCGTTTACGCGATTTATTTTCTAGGAAATTCATTTCGTCATGTCATACCCTTTCTGATTCCGCTGGGCTGCGATAGATATCTGGCTATTCGCACTACTGCCTGACTGCTGGCACTTGTTCCATACCGGTGATAACGAATCCTTAAAGTTGGGCCTTGGAAAGGGATTTATGCCAAGGGCCACCTGGCTTCTCGATTGCCTCGAGTGCTTCAGACAGCCCCTGGATCATGTTTGTACGAGTGCTGCTGTCGTCGTCGCAACTTAAGAAAGATGTGCGAAGGACTTTGAGCGCACTACAGACTGGCCAGGCGACGAAGGCACCGCTCAAAGAGAGCGTGTTTATCTATTCATACATAATAAGCATGCTTTCAAGAATCTCACACCCCTTCTCAGATTTTGTATTTTTACTTACCACATCTCGGTGTTGAGACCACGTCGAGCAGACTGTCCCCGCCGTCTTTTGAGCTACGCCCAAGAGGCGATTTGCGCTTTCCTCATTGATGGTAGAAGGTAGTCCTCGCCTCTCACCTTCGTTGAAGGCAGCTTCCAAAAATTGAATTTCCGCTCCATTAAAAAGAAGTTGTAGATCGAACACGAGGGGGTGTCGATGTATGAGTGTTGCCGTGAATGGTTCAAGCAGGGCATGGAAGGTATCAAGGTGTTTAAGTAAACCATAATGGCGATCCCAAAATCCTGAAGGTTCTTCTTGGCGACCGGCTTGGGTGCATAACGAGGTGTGGTCGAGCACTTTGCGAACTACCGAGACTACTAACACAGCCCCTGCAAATGGTGAAAGCATATCGGGGCTTCTGATGAGGTTTGTCTCTGTTAGGTAGGGCATTGGTAAAGGCTCCGAACTGGAATCTAAGCTTCCCGGGGAAGGCAAGGAAACAAATATCTGGGTTTTGCTGTCTGTAAGTATGTCACCTCTTTTGGATGCTGATGGGTAGGATGGCGATCGCACTCACGGTTGCATCATCTTGCATGGCTGGGCGGCCGGTATGCACACCGCTGTAACCTTCGAGGAGATACCAAGCCCAAAAACAGCGCCTTCTTTCCTCCAACTTTATGCCGTCGTGTGTCTCCGGGAGTGAGATGTATGGTGCAGTGTTGGTGATTGCAGGCGAACTCCCCCCCTTGTCCATTTGGTCCAAGCGCATCATCTTGACAAGATGGGATGCCCGAGCTAAGGTGAGGTAGGAGCGGGCACACTTTTGTTTGCTGACTTCATACCGCGTCAAGAAGAGCAGAGATTGCAAAAGGTTGATACTGCTGGACGGCCCAGCCACCTCCTCAATATCACAGTCATCAATGTATCGCCGCGTTTTTGTGTAGCAGGCACCCTCTAAATGCTGATGGCTGTCAGAAATAGTGATGGCGAGAAGAGCTACTGAATAAGCGACACTTTTGACAGCAACCGAGTCTGGATAAAGCCGTAGTTCCCGGTAGAAGCGGTCCTTGGCCAAGATTGGGATGGCGGTGGAGTAAGAATCGAAAAAGACTTGATGCAGATAGGATAAGTCCTGCGAGGTGAGTGATGTTGATGATGTTAACTGTGCCTGACTGGATGGTATAGGTAATGGATCTATATACGTCTGCCATTCATTAATCTGGTCCTCAACTTCCATGTCGGTTATCTGTATCTGGTCAAATATAGCATTGTATGAAGTAGATTCAAGACTATCAAGATCAAAGTCCGGCATTGCAGACCGATGGGGATGATCAAGACCGAGCCCCTTTTCGGGAAGGTAAGTTGGGGCTGCTCCGTGGGAGTTAGAGGTTGAAGATGGTGATATTGTCGGTTGCGAGTGCGACTGTGATGAGTGGGAGGTGGAAACATGGATCAATCCCTCATCACTGCTGCCAGCAGACTGCAGTGCCAGACGGGCTTCAGCATCTCGGACGCGTTCTTCAAGCCGGCTTATAATGGCAGCCTGGGAGGCGCGGTGGCTCATCCGGTTCCGATAAGTGCACTGGTAGCCTAGGCGAGAGCACCTGCTGCATTCTGGGTACTGTCTGTTGCATTTGACCTTGGAGTCTTTTGTCAATAGATGAAAAGGGCTTTGGGGAGAGGAGGGGCATACCTTTCTCTCTCTGCAGTTGTCACAGCTAGAGGATGGCACGTCAGCGGGAACAAGTCGGGCACGGATTTGCACACTGTCACCTACGTAAGCCGCGAAGGTCCGCTGCTGTTGCCGTCCATACGGGTGAATTTGCTCTGAATGTTGTAGACGGAGATATTGGATGCACGCCGCGGTTCAATCATGCTTGCAAGTTGTTGATAGCCTTATGAACGGGGCCTGTTGACAAGAGAAGCACGTGTAATAAATGAAAGCGAGTGAAAGCGAAGTCAAAGCGGGGTATCATTGATCACGTAATGGCAATCTAAGCCTCTGGCCATTGTGACAGGCATCTGATTGGCTGCTGACTCATCTAATGCAGCAGATACATTGTTTCGTATATACTACATGCTATTTTGAAGGCAAAATATGAACATAATAGAACAGCAACAAGGATAAGATATATGAGATGTGATATAGATAGTTGTTAAAATTTAATCCATGCAAGCAAAGATTAAACAATTAAGGTAGGTATAGTTAATAAATTCTATGTAGGTACCTAATTACAACCCAGCATCCTGATTAACCTCACGTTTGTACACATACTCATGGCAATAGAAGCCAACACAAGTGACCTCTATTCTAGACATTTACTTCAGGTCAGCAGTACAACGCATGCATCGGCATCCACTCTCCAGAACTGGAGATATTGCCCCCAGTATGGCTAAGGCCTCGGCAGGACCCTTTGGTTGCTTGCTTATCCGCCCAGCCATCTTTGCGGCGTAGAATCTCACGGGACTTTGCAAAGCCTCTTATCGCTTCTAGCAATACCCGATCAGTGCGAGAGTCAACGCCGAGAGATCTAGCGAATCAGGACATCTCAGTCTTATCCCAGGCCTGCCGCGTGTTTTATAGGGTTACATGCAGGTGATTGAGATGCAGCGAAGCCCGCCAGACCTTAGCTAGGTTTCGTTAAGCGGCGGTCGGGGCGGGTAAGCGAAACCGTAGATCATCTTACGTGTGTGTATCCAAATAAGCTGACCGTTTGTCTTACAGGCATGGTGATAACGACGCCCGCTTTCTTCAGCCTTCAGCCCTAAGCCGTGCTTGGCGGTCCTGAAGGGACCCGCCCCTCCGGCCCCCTTTGGAGGGGGAAACGTGGAATTTGGAAGGATTCGTGTGCAGATATCTTGATAGGAATTTTATTCTGATTGGTTTCTGGCACTACAGAAAAGGTCCATGTGTCTACTTTGAATACGGGAAGGAATAGATTCTCCCACACCTCCATCTTCCCACGTGCTTAGTCCATGGTCAGAACAGAGCGGTATCGAACTTTTCCTTGCAACATGGCATCTGTTGCGGTCAAGGGTTAGTTGGCATACGAACGCCAGCTGTGGATTGTTGACTTACCATACGCCTCTTGTGCCTTGTCAAGAGGAAATGTTTTAACAGCACATGTGATGCCTTTGGAATGCGCAAAGTCCATGGCATGCTGAGAGTCGAAGCAGTTCCCTACATTAAACGATTGCATAGAGATGCCACGAGTGATCATGTCGTTCGAATCGACAGTGATGTTTCCGTCTTGGGGGAGACTGAGAATCATCAGCTTCCCACGCACGCCAATACCCTTGATCAAGGGTGTCATTGCGGCTGTGTCCATGGCGGTTGTCAAGACTAGTTTGGCATAGCCGAGTTGCTTCAGCACCTCGCCAGGATCCTGATCCCCGGCGGCGTCAATGTACTCGTCAGCACCTAATGCTCGGATCGATTCCTCCTTGTCGGCACCTCGCGAGATGGCGACCACGCGAGCTCCCAGCTTTTTGGCGTATTGGATGGCCAAGTGGCCCACCCCCCCTATACCTTGGACGGCGACCAGGTCACCCTGCTGAATGTCGACGGTCTTGAGGGCCGAGAATGAAGTAGTCCCTGCACACAGCAGCGGAGCGTACTTGGCCGCGTCCACATCTTCTGGTACGCGGACCGTGGCCTCGGCCCTTACGAGACAGTATTCCGCATCTGCAGTGAGTGTCAACAGCATGGCATTTTGCGCAAGGCGCTACCTAGTAGCCCGAAATCGGCACAAGGGGGTAAACTCACATCCACCGTTTGTGCTTATGCCATTGATGATCACTGGTTGGCAGAACTGGTAAAGCTCCTTCTGGCACATTGCGCATGTGTTGTCATGCCCTCCACTGCCCAAAGAATCGCAAGTTAGTCTCGTTCTTTGATCTGATCCCTGTCGGAGGTCCGCTTACTGCCAGCCGGCACCGATGCGGTCGCCGACCTTCCAACCCTCGACTCCTTGGCCGAGTGCGGCGACACGGCCGATAATCTCGTGTCCGGGGACGACGGGGAATCCGAACCCCCAGACGTTGCGTTGTGCCAAGATTTCCGAATGGCAAACTCCACAAGCCTCCACCTTGACCAAGATCTCCCCGGACCGGGGCATTTCCAGTGGGACATTCTCAATGACCAGATCCCCACCCACCTCCTTGAAGACGGCCCGTTTGACGCTAGCAGGGAGAGGCATCTCAATGTTCGTACAAGATTGCGGCTGATAGGGGAGGGGGATGGTGTCAGACTCGGTATGGGCTAATAAGGCTTTTTTAGTTCCCACGTAAAGGATTAATTGGGATGGGTGAGCCTAGAGAAGATATTTATAGGTACCTGTATCTTGTCCAATGCTTTAAATGTTGGCTTGGATAAGCAATATCATTGGCTACACATCATTCCACTTACTTAACCAAAGTACACATGGGCCACAAATCCTGTCGGCAGCGGACTCCGCGGTCCGACCTTGCCACTAGAAGTTTCCATTTGCGTTGGCTGCCTCCTAGAACATCTAAGTAGGTGTCATTATCTATCCTCTTGAGCACCTGAAACCTAGATTCTATTAATCTTATCTTGGTTCCTGCAGGTTACTCTCTATCTAGAGCTGGGATTATAAGGTGGAAGACGAGAGCAACCCTGGGGCCAAAAAGAAACGGGTGCGGTGGGGGTGGGGGTGAGGATATGTATTCCTTGTGTGTTCTATATCAACGCCATGCAGCACGTATGTTGCATTGATACTTACCTCGTAGGTTGCATTATTGCTTATGGTGTAGTATGTTGGTGTGATACCTGCATATAGGTATGTGACATTGCATAACAGACACCATCGGTGATGATAACATAAGCGCGTAAAACTTGCATCTCCGAGACAGACTATGGTTTAGCCAAGAGTGGTGCCTAAAAAGCCTTGTACGAGTAGGATTCAGTCACACGTACTGTCCGCTGTATCGAGTATTATGTTGTCTGTGCTGAAATATTGGAGTAGTACTTTCAGACGGCCCAGCACATTTGACCATCTTTAGCATCAACAGATAAGCCCTCGAGCTTTCATTACAGCTCAAGACGGATGTATGACACCGAGGTTGACGCCTTCGCGGATGTAAGATTCCGACAAAATGAATTGGATTGGACAGCGAGCCGACCAGCGATGGGCATGTTGAATAGGTTTATAATCACTTTGTCCCACTATGTTGATGATAGACATCCGCCACGTGGTAGAGCTGCATTTCACGCGCTTGAGAGCTGCTCTCATTGGTCGCTGGTACATTCTCTCATGCACTCGTTATCCCTAATACCACCTAGATCCGTTTTTGTGCTTCCAAGTCGCTCTCATGGGAGGCCTGAGCAAATCGTTGGGACTTGCTGCCCTCCTTCTCGCAGCACGAATACACGGCAGACCCCTGGGGTCGTCTTTCGGTATCCCCGGTACCAATGCTACGTATGACTATGTAGTGGTGGGAGGTGGAACTGCGGGCTTGACCATAGCCAGCAGGCTTGCAGAACAGAATGCAGGCAGCGTAGCAGTGATCGAAGCTGGCACTTTCTACGAGCTTTCCACTGGAAACCTGAGCGAAATTCCCGCTACCGGTATTGCCTGGGCGGGGAAATCGCCTGATGACTGGCAACCTTTGGCGGACTGGGGTTATGTCACGACCCCTCAAGTTGTGAGTACAACAACCGAATTTGTATGCATATAGGAACCACTCTTACTGTTTCAAAAGGGGGCGGAAAATAAGAAGCTGCATATTCCACGAGGGAAAATGCTCGGGGGCTCCAGTGCTCGAAACTTCATGATATATCAACGCGGCACCGTCGATAGCTACCAGATGTGGGCGGACCGAGTCGGAGACGCCAACTACACCTTTGACAAGTTTCTTCCATTTTTCACGAAGAGCATTACTTTCACGCCGCCAAACGATCAACTTCGGCTTCAAAATTCGACGCCTAGATACGATGCCTCGGGACTTGGTGACGGAGGACCTCTCGCTCTTACGATTCCCAATTGGGTCTACGCTTTTGCTTCCTGGGCTACAAAGGCCTTTGATCAGATAGGGATTCCTTATTCGTCCAAGGGATTCCAGCACGGTAGTTTAGAAGGGCACTCGTATAGCATGTTTACAGTTGATACGTCAGCGATGCGGTCTTCTTCGGAGACTTCATTTCTGAGGCAGACCCTGAACAACACTAATTTTTACGTCTACCCATTGACCCACGGCCTGAAAGTACTTTTTAACAATGACAAGGCAGCAAAGGGTGTCTTGGTCGATACGGCAGGCATGAAGTACACACTTTCTGCACGCAAAGAGGTCATCTTATCAGCAGGCTCAATAGGATCTCCGCAACTGCTTCAAGTCTCGGGAGTCGGCCCGGCCAGTTTACTCGAAGCTCTTGACATTCCCGTCATCGCAGACCTTCAGGGGGTCGGACAGAACATGGAGGATCACATTACATTTGGCATAACCAATGGTGTCAACGCCGTGACGGCCTCGTCGATGGGTGACCCTGCTTTTGCCTCAGAACAGATCCGCCTATACAATGAGGAGACTGCGGGACTTCTCACAAGCCCAGGTTCGGATTTATTAGCGTGGGAGAAACTCCCCAACAGCACCCGCGGCTCTCTGAGCGAGAGAACACGGGGCATCCTTGACGAGTATCCCAAGGACTGGCCCGACGTTGAGTACATCGCTTTCTCCACTTATCTGGGGAGCAATTGGCTTCCCTCTGTTGCAGACCCCATGGACGGTACAGCATATGCTGCCCTGGCTGTCGTACTGTGCAAGCCGCGATCAAAGGGGACTGTGAACATCACATCCCCTGATGCCTTGGTTGCGCCCCAAATTGACCCTGCATTTCTTACAGACGAGGCTGACATTGAAGTTGCCGTTGCTGGCTTCAAGCGCGGTCGTCAGTTCTGGGCAGCGAACGCGCTGAAGGATTTCAAGGTCGGAGAGGAAAAGTACCCAGGATTTGACGTAAAGTCCGATGCCGACATTGAAGTTTCCATCCGAAGAAGCTTTACGACCATCTATCACCCTGCTAGCACATGTGCCATGGGTAAGCCAGATGACCCTAAAGCCGTGGTTGATTCCCAGGCGAGGGTGTACGCGGTAAAAGGACTGCGCGTGGTGGACGCATCAGCGTTCCCAATGTTGCCCCCTGGCCATCCTCAGTCGACAGTGTGTATGTAGGCCCCTTTATAGCCGGATAACCCGTATGAGACATCAGCTGACAAACATGTTCAGATGCGTTAGCAGAGAAGATCGCGTGTGACATTTCCAGAAATTGTTCTCAATTATAGAGAGTTTGGGCAACCTATAGCATCCAATTTCCTTTGTAATAGTTGACATCGGCTAGGTGCAGGCAAAGATTATTCATTGCGTTGAGATGCCGGGTCTGGCATCTTGCATTGCTCTTTTTTCCTTTTTTTGTTAAGCTTTGTACTCCAACTCCCTCCTGTAAGCGGAGAGGAGGGAAATAATCCGAGGGCCCCCTTGAATCTATGTGCGATATAGATAGAGCCTTCCTGTTTCAGAAGTTGTCTGTGGGTTAGTGAAAGAGGAAGGACGGGAGCTAGATTTAGTGTTTGATATTTGTTAGCTATCAATTAAATGAACTTCTCGATGATATCTCCTCCAACTCCTTTGAAACGCATAATTGACGAAGTAGTGCCGAGCCTTAGCTACCTTGAGGACACTGAGAAATGTACTGAGTTAGTTCAAATCATGGTGACAAGAAGTCTAGATGCCAGGCATGTGAGTATTTTCTTTTGGTAAATATTTGGGCTCAGGTTCGGGGCGCCATATAAGGTCACTATGGATTACGTTTCTCAGAGTCGATTAAGGTTTAGGACTAAGAAAGATGATGTAGGTAAATATCAGCTGGTCTGGAAGGTTGTTGTGGGGTTGGGGAGAAGAGACTCGGCATATCAAAGTGAGCTTGGAAAGCCACTGGCAAAGTCAGCATGGGCACTTGTATAATACTGTTTGTTGACATATATGTTTGTAGGGCCTTGTCCTAAATCATAATGCAAAACGCTGATCAAGTCTACAGTGCGCGAGATAGCAGTCACTAGCCACAAGAGATTGTCAAGTGTTTGAATAAGTTCACCGTATATTCTAGACTAGGAGAGTTAAATTCAACGACGACATACTATCAAATGATCTTTATTCCTGCAAGATACCATGATTGACACAAAGCTGTCGTGCCAGCTTGATGGCTGTCAGCGTCGGCCCCAGGAGCTGCTGGAATGGAATCTCAAGCGCAAACTCCTTGAATAACCAGTTACGCAACTCGGCACCAATCATGCTGTCAATTCCGTAGCTGGCAATGGATCCCGAATCACCTTCAAAAACCTCAAGATCTAACAGAAGCATGCGGGAAAGCTTGCTCACGATCTCATCACGCGCCAGCTTAACAGCCTCGTCGGCCGTGGCCGCAGCCAACATGGATCCCAACGCACTGGATCCGCTGCCGACGCCCACTCCGCCGTTGACTGCCTCGATCTTGTGTACCAAAGCACGGAAGCGCTTATCCGACATCCAAAAGGCGTCCACATGGCCTTGTTCAGCATTGTTGATTGCTCGGGAGAGGAGAGTTGGGTCAAGACCGATAACAAGCTGATGAATTCCATCAGGATGCTGCTGCTCACGGATGGCAACGTCAAATGACCGAAGTAAATGCTCCTCATCAATGCCGTACATGCCCTTGCGCGTCAGAGCGTTTTCGAGATCGGTGCTCTCTGCAACCACACCAACGCCAAGAACCATAGGAACGACGGCAGCGCATGCATTCTGTCCCCTCGCGCGTCGATGGTGCGCAAGGGCATCTAGAAATGCATTTCCGGCGGCGTAATTCGCTTGACCTGGTGTGCCGAGCGTTCCGGACACTGAACTTGTCATGAGGAAGAAGTCAAGCGGCATGTCTCCAAGCACAGCCTGAAGGTTGGCCGTACCATGAACCTTAGGCTTGGTGGATGTCACCCAGTCTTGGAAGCTCATGTTCTGGAAGATGCCGTCCTGAGAAATATTAGCGATGCACTGTTTGGAAACTTGTAAGCCCAATGAATAAACTCACCCGAAGAACCATAGCGGCTTGAATCACACCACGAAGTGGACGGTCGCTAGGTATAGCGGCTACGGCACGTTTTACGTCTGCCTGCACACTCACATCGCCTCTGACAACATCTACCCTCGCCCCGGCAGTTTCAAGATCGCTTATGAGTCGAGCCGCCGCAGGTGCGTCGGCGCCACTGCGGGAGAGGAACGAGAAGTTCCTGGCGCCTTTCTCCATCATCCAGGCTGTGAGACTGCGTCCAAGCCCGCCCAAACACCCTACCAGCAGATATGTCGCGGCGGCATCGAGCGCCGTAGTCTTAAGAGAAGGCAGGATGGTGAGTGGTGTTTCTGATGGCTCGTATGAGATGACTGTCTTGCCTGAGCCAATCTCATCATCGAACCTTAAAATAGCCTTGTTCAGGTCGGAAATATTGACAATGTTAAGGGGCCCAAGCGGTGCGATCTCGTGCTTCCGATAGAGATCAATTGCCTCATCCAGGAGATGGGAGACGAGGGCGGGCTTGTGCTCACAGAGCTCTACAACATCGAAGGAGAAATAAGAAGCCCCGCGGTAAAAGGGTACCGGATCACGAGATCCGCGTTTCAGTACCAGCTTCTTGCCACATTCGATAAACCGACCGAAGCGACTAATGTACCGCCAGGCTTCCCGTGCTGATGACTCTGATGTCGTTCCAGAACTGAAGACCACATCGATCTTGCTGGTCCGGTGCGGCGTGGCAAGCATAGCTTCCACCTGGCTCGCAGATGAGAGTACCTGGTGTTGGGCCAGCCCGTATTTCTCTATGATTGTTGACGCTTGTTCTTCAGTACTGGCAACAACATAGGGGATGGCGCCCAATGTCAGGGCAACCCCGATGGCTGCGGCACCGCCGAATCCTGAACCTTCGAGGATTAGGAGGGTTTCACCCTTTTTGAGAGATGCTAGTAATCTTAGACCATAGAGGGCCGTGATATACGCCAAAGGTAGACTGACTACCTCTGTCAGCGATTCCCCCGGGAGAAGCTTTTGTGCCAGGTTTTGGGAGATCACTTGGCGGTTTCCGAATCTTCCTGATCCAAGGCCAATAACGCGATCCCCAACCGCGAAGTCTGTGACCGAGCTACCAATACGTTCCACTGTGCCGCCGAACTCATGATTCAGCGTGGTAGAAATATCAGTTCCATGAACAGCTAGCACGCCTTCTTTGCTGAGGCCAGTAACAGCAACTCGAATCTCCACGGAATCGGGGCTCAGCTCAGGCAGAGAAGCTTGCTGCTCAAACAAAACTTTTCCATTTTGAACAGTCCCGCTGATATTCATTTCTGCGTCGTAGGGGAGCTCCTCAATGGTCTGTTCCCTGTTGAGGGCGTTGTTGGGTAGAAGCCTGCTAATATACAGCTTATCATCCGATACGCAGTATTCGTGTTCAACACTTGCACCATCTTCGATCTGCTGCTGGCTCTTTTCAGCAACAAACTTCACGGCCTGGTCTACCGAGGTAGTCTCGAGGTCAAAGTCGATAGTCACAATGTTTATGGTGGCTCGTTCAGCCCGAATGGATCGAACAAGCCCAGCAATCATGCCTGCAGCTGGTCTCTTTCCATTCAAAAGGCCACCAGCAGATGCCCACAGCAATGTCTTGGCCTCGTTGGACACTTTCTTGATCACGTTAAACTCGTGCTCGGAAAGATCGAAAAGAATCGGTTCATCAAGATCAAGGAGGACGACATGGGGTTGGACATTTTCAAGATATTTTAGAGAGACAGGGGCGCTCTTGTAACCAAGATCGGCAAGAGATCTGAATTTTGTCAGTTAGTGGAGGTCGGGATGAAATGAGATATCGTATTGCTTACCGTTGAATCTCGCTCAGAAGGCTCGCTTCCACCTGGCGATACAAAATCTGAATCTCGGTCACGTCGTGGTTTGACCTTTCCACCTTTGGCTCGTCACAGAGCTCAAAACTATCGCCTCTTGCAATGAAAAGGTTGCCATCGTCCAAAATCAGGTTCTTGATGGCCGGGACGAAGTCTGGCTCTGAAAGAGTGACGTCAAATGAGCCCTTAACTAGACCTTGCTCCGTCAATTCTTTTTGAAGGTCCACAACTCTCCATTCTGCGCTTGGATACTTCTCTATCAATGCATCTGGCGCCGAGCTCTCTGAAATCGCAGTGTAGTTCAGTTCGGGGACGGTCTGGAGGAGAGTGACTGCATGCTTTCCTCCAATGTCCAGGACCTTGATCCCGGGACTCTTAAACGTAGCAAGCTCAGCAAGAGCCTCAGCGCTTTCGATCTTGGTGAGAGACTCCAAATCTTCCTTCCATATTGTTTCGCTGTACGGCATTGGCTTCAACGCGCCAGAAGAAGACTGTGGCACGGCGGCTTCGTAAAGGGTTCCTCGCATGTTGCTCATCTGCATCAGCACCTCGCCATTGTTGGAAACGAGTTCATTCCCGCACACGAACGAGCGAATTCCACGATCATCAACCCAAGCTGTCGCGAAACCGTCACCAATCTGCTCCTCTGTCGGCTTCCAAATGCAGACTTCATCGACCTGGATAGGAGCGATGGCTGCAGCCATTGCCTTGGTGCGGCCGGCATAGATACTGGCAATCATCAACTGCAGGCAAGAGTCTACCGTTCCTGGGTGGAGGACGTGGCGGGACTCTCCTACTACGTTTCCAGACCTTTGTTTGACCTGCGTCTTACACGTGCAAATGTAATCACGGCCGTTGAATCCAATATCGGTCATGTCTGCAAAGACAGGACCGTAATCAAAGCCGACTGATCGCAGTGCCTGATTCCACTCCTTCCCGGAAGCCTGCTGGTTCAAATTTACTCGGGGCCTGGGAGCGGGCCGTTGCGTTTTCATGTTGGCGCTGATGCTTCCTGTCATATGGTCGGTGGTGATTCCCTCCTGGTTGATTGAGGAGACATTGAACTCCCACCAGCTTCCATCACCGCTGAATGTGGCTGGTCGCATGTTCATTAGAACTTCGATACCAGTATCGTCTTCTGGAGTCACTAGTGCCTTTTTAATCGAGATGTCACGGAGAACGTAGCTGTTCACCTCGATGTCCGGATCATGGAGTTCCGTAATCTGAGTCACTGCTTCCATTGCCACTGTATAGCGATTTCATATATTAGTATAAGTTCTTTCCAATTAGTTCCTTGTCATGCTTCCACTTACTTGAGAAATAGGCTGCCGCCGGGAACACTGCTTCACCGCCGAGCGAATGGTCCTTTAACCATGGGAGATCTCGAATCCGCAGAAAGTTGCGCCACGTTGGTTCAGCGAGAGAAGCACCTGGAATCAAGGAGCCCAGAACATCGTGCCTAGGATACTTTGGTTGCCGGTGCTCTACACTGTGTCGAGCCTCAGCCCAGTATGACTTCTTGCCCCATTGATAGGGAGGAAGGTCGACGACAAGATCTCCCCTTCTGCATACGACCTTACCCGCTGAGGTAGTTTCTTCGATGGACGTGACGCGATCAATGTCCAGGGGGTAATCCCTGAGGAACAGCTCACCAGCAAGCTTGAGCATCTGCATGGCCGAGTCTTGGCCTCGGACCATGGTCGGCAAGTAGTCCAAGTGAGACGCCTCGAGTTCTTGCTTGATCTGACGGACTGGGCCGCCCAACGCACCGTGAGGGCCCACCTCAATGAGAAGATTTACATCCGAAAACTCAGAATTAGTGAGAATTGTTTGGATGGCTTGGTTGAACAGCACCGGCTGGCGTAGGTTCCGGCTAAAGTACGTCTCATCCAGCGGCGTTCCAGCAGGAATAACGGCATTCACCACCGAAGAGACCATTTTTGCATCAGTAGAGAGAGGCATGTCAAAAGGAACAAGGCTGCTCTTGGCCTGTCTGACATGATTTTCATAACGAGCCGAGGCTGGCGCCATGTGTGGCGAATGGTATGCCTTTCCGTTTGTTTTGACCCGGCGTGCAAACACTTTCTCGGCAACCAATGTCTGCTGCAGTTCCGTAATGGCTGACTCGTCTCCAGATAAGGTCACACCTGCCGGGGAGTTGTGGCAAGCGATGACAATCTTGCCTTCGTACCCGGAAAGGTACGGCTGGACAGCATCGGCCCCAAGACCTACCGCCATCATACATCCGCCCGTGTTGATGTCCCGTACGGCATAGCCGCGATAATATGCCAGAGTAATCGCTTCACTGGCTGAAATGAGACCAGCGGCATAGGAGGCTGCAATTTCGCCTGATGAGTGTCCGCAAGTGACAGTTGGGTGGACACCCCAGGTGCGGAGTAACTGGACAAGAGCAATCTGAACGGCAGTCGTCAGTGGTTGAGAGTATTCGGCCTCGTTGACCCGGGAAGTATCAGGATGCTCAAGCAGCATATCTTCCAGAGTCCACTCAGGGACATGGGGCAGCTCGCCCAAGGTATAATCAAGCGTTCGAATACTGCGGAGGAAGCTGGGGTAATAGCGCATAAGCTCTGCGCCCATGCGAGCGTACTGTGCGCCTTGACCTGTAAAGATAAACCCTATGACAGGAATCTTCTTTTTAGAACCCACAACGAGGTCATTCAGCTTTCCGTCCAGCAGGCTTTCCTGTTTGGCCACGGTGAAACCTCTTGTAGGGAAGACAGTTCGGCGGTTGCCAAGGGTATAGGCAAGGTCCAAGAAGTCATAACTCTTGGCGACAGTACTGTGAGCTGTGAAATTTCTCTCCAGTGCGCTCTTGTCGTGCGCCGAAAACACGAACAGGTAGGGGCGACTGCGATTAAACGCGCCACGAGGACTCTTGATAGCTCTCCTCTCCCCAGATAGATACTTGTAGGTCTGCTTGCGTGTCAGGAGAGCATCAGCGCTCTCGACGACGACGTGTGCATTGGTTCCCCCGTATCCGAAAGAGTTGATACTGAATCGCTTCAAGGGAAGGTCTGGGAAAGGAGTTGGCTCAGTGGGTACCGTCACCATCCACTCCTTCCACTTGATAGCAGGGCTGGGGTTGACGACGCCTCTTGTCGGCGGGATAATACCCCTTTCGACAGAGAGTACAGCCTTGATAAGAGCAGACAGACCCGAGGCAGCTTCAGAATGCCCAATATTTGTTTTGACTGCCCCAATCATGAGCGGATCCTGGCTAGAGGTTCGCTGTTGGTTCATTGCGATGGAGACTGCATTCACCTCCAGAGGATCTCCAACAGCAGTGCCTGTTCCATGGCACTCGAAGAAACCTGTCATGCGAGGATCGAGATTTCCACCTCTATAATAAGCATGAGAGATGACTTCGGCTTGCCCGTCGCGGTTTGGGTGTGTGATGCCAACGGCAGGGACTTTGCCATTGTTGTTCGTTGCGCTGGAGCGAATCACGGCACGGATTGGGTCGCCGTCTCGTACAGCATCACTAAGAAGCTTCAAGTACACTGCACCGACGGCCTCAGCTCTGCCGTAACCATCGGCGGAAGCATCGAATGTATCTGCATGTGAACCAGAGGTTAGTTCTTATTTAAACATGTAGGGCAGCGAAGAAATGGTGTAATTGAAAGCTACTCTGTGCAGAGGAACGGATATTACAACCGCAATAGAGACTTACGGCATGTTGATGTAGGTGAAAGAACACCAAGCTTGGCGGTGTTCATGTGCTGGTCGACTGTCATGACGAGGTTCACACCTCCCACCACTGCGGCGACGCATTCCTTGTTTCGAATCGCATTACACGCATTGTGCAAAGCATAAACACTGGACGAGCAGGCTGTGTTCACCACAATAGAGGGGCCTTTGAGGTTGAAAACGTGGCTGATTCGATTGCTCAGAATGCCAGGATCGACCCCCGTGGCCGCAAGCGAATGTCGAAACGCCGGCTCCTTGAACGCCATCTGTTGGAAGTCGGCAGTGAAGCTCGCTGCGAAGACGGCGGTTTTGGAACCCGATACTGTATCCAGAGTTACACCAGCGGACTCGAAAGCCTCATACACAACTTCGAGGAGCTTTCTTTGCTGGGGATCCATCCACATGGCCTCAATTGGGGTGATATTGAAGCAGGACGGATCAAACTGTTCTAAGCTCTCATTCAGGAAATACCCACCGAGAACATTGAAGCTTCCGGGCCTATCGTTGTTCTCATGGATGTGGGCATCGATGTTGAAGCGGCTTTTCGGTACCTTGGGAGTTTGACCAGTGCCTTTCGACATCATGAGTTCCCAAAAATCAGAGGCCGACTTAACATCACCAGGCAAGCGGCAGCCTAAAGGCGTTAGCGATGATTTATACCATTATTCGAGCATGACTTACCCATGCCAACAACAGCGACAGGTTCTAGCTGTTCGCTCAATGGTTTCTCAGTGCTGCCTGGCAACGGGAACTCTGCGTAGGTATCGTCATCCACCACGGCATTCTGAGTCTGGTAGTGGAAGCTTGCTTCTGACCTAGCCTCTGTTCCCTCCGGAGACGGGCTTGCGCTGCCACGGAGAAAAGGCATCTTGAAGGATATAGTTTCTTGTTGTCTTCTAACACAATTGGAGATTTTGATGACCTGCAAGTTGTGCTTGCTCAGGATCAGCCAGTCAAGCCGTTACTGATGCGTCAGGAAGCCAGTTTGAAACGTGAACTATTCATTAGTATGCCAGCGTTCCTATATCATCAAATACCTTGCAACTGTCGAGATTTTGGCTGAATTGTGAATACTACAAGGGCGAACAGAGTCTAACCATATAGCAACTCAAGCTTACCGCCTCGGTAGCATCCATAGCGGTTGACAAGGGTAAGCCTCATGATAGTGACGGACACGGATCAGCGAATGATTGGAAGCTCAGATATGGAAACCAACAAGCAAGCGCCAGCGGACTCCGTTCGCCCTCGCTTCTCGACGTGTATCTGGAGATTCGGAAGATGAGGCCGTGCTTACTTGTCCGCGCCGGCCGAGAGAGCCAGCCGCGAAAGGCCCTTTTGAGCGGGCTTAGGGCCCCGAGCTCATTGGGAAATACCGTCCGCTAGAAGTGTGTAATCTCACGGATAATTAAATTCCTATCGGATTACACCGACTCAACAGCTAGTTTGAGTAGACTCCCATCCGAGATGAATGATACTGCAGGTGCCTGCACGACCTGCCGTTTTGCTTTCAATACAGCCCTCTCCCTCTTCCTCCCCCATCCATAATGTCGCAAGAATGATACCAATTTTTCATTGACTCTGTGATTTCTTGCAAGTTCAAGCGAGAAGAAGACAATGCCTGGAACCACTACAGATCACCGACAGGTTCTCGTGGTCGGCGCAGGTGAGGTCCCGCACTTTCTTAGCCATGTCGTCAGAGAATACAGATCGCTAAGAACCATGCAGGATGGACTGGTCTAATCTCGGCCAAGACGTACCTGGACCTCGCCCCAGAGACTGACCTCCTGATCGTCGACAATGAGAGGTCAATTGGTGGCGTGTGGTGCAAGGAACGATTGTACCCGGACTTGTATGCTCAAGTCAGCCACCCTCTTTTCGAATACAGCTTCTATGACATGCCACGAGAAGGAATTACTCCAGATGGTTTTTTATCAGGTATCATTCCAAAGTCTCTGCTTTTGATATCACGAGAGATACTGATAGTGAGATCCACAGGCTATACGATCAACAAGTACTTGAACAACTTCGCTCGTGACTTTGGGCTCGAGTCCAAGATCAAACTGGAGACAACTGTGATTGGGGTGAAGAGATCATCTTCGGGCAGTTGGCTTGTCAGCTTCGATCATGGCCCTGATGTGATTACTGAGAAGCTGATTTGGGCAGTTGGGCCCGGCTCGAGCGCCGTGCAACCATCATGGCCAAGCAAAGGGTTCACCCAACCCATCATCCATTCGGCCGATACTGGCAGCAACCTCGATCGGATCGGCAAAGTCGAGCGTGCAACCGTTGTCGGTGCGGCCAAGTCGGCTTTTGATACGGTGTATTTCTTGCTCAAAGCTGGGAAGAAGGTAGACTGGATCATCCGAGAGGAGGGTGGAGGCCCTATTGCCATGGGTCCCCCGAGTCTCTTTGGCGTGATAAACACGGTTGATGCCCTTTCAACACGAGCCATGGCTAGCTTTAGCCCAAGTATAATGAGGACTTCTGGTTTCTGGTACCACGCAATCCAGAGGACGCGAATTGGTCGCCTTGCGGCAAGGGGCTTCTGGAGATTTGCCAATTTCCTTGCCGACTATGCTGCAGGCTACTCCGAGAATGAACATTTTGCAAAAATTCGACCCGAGCCGCATGGCTACGGGTAAGTCACCCTACCTCATCGCCCGCATGGAAGAGAACTAAATTTGCTGTTGCAGAATGTTCTGGGCTCGTGCCGGATTGGGGGCACCCTCGGCCCCAAATTTCTGGAAGGTAATGCACTCAGGAGAGTTAAACGTTATAAGAAGTGAGGTCGAGTCGCTGTCGCATACGAATGTCGTCAATCTCAAGAACGGTATCTCGGTTCAAACCGATATGGTCATTGCCTGCATCGGTTTTGAAAAGCCATACAGGCCCTTTGATCGTGAACTTCGGAAAGAACTTGGCCTAGCTTACGACGAAGTTGATGCAGGCCGATGGGCCGAGCTAGATGCACAAGCAAGCGGCAAAGTAGACGAACTGCTTCCCATGCTCAAAGAATATGCCCCTGCAGTATCTTCTGTCGATGTCAAGACCGAGGCAGTTCTTCATGGTCCAAATAGACACTACAGACGTTTGATCCCTCTCAAACTAGCTGCGTCGGGCGACAGGTCAATTTGCTTCCCAGGACTGGTCCATGTCATAGTGACACCAACCATCAGCGAGTTTCAGGCCCTGTGGAATGCTGCGTATATGCTTAACATGCTCAACCTTCCAAGTTTGGATGAAATGGAAATGGAAGTTGCCGTCTTTAACGCGTGGGTTCGAAAGCGACATCTCGAGATGGGTCAGAAGCACTCCTATTGCATCTTCGACTACCTGTCGGTAAGTTATCTGGGTGTAGACACACTCCCATGACGAATTCAGTTACTAATTTGCCATATTGCAGTACATCGACACACTAGCGGGGGATCTTGGTATTAAGACCGCGCGAAAGAGTAATCCCTTCTCTGAGGCCTTCATGAGGTATAAGCCAAGTGATTACCGAGGGTTGATACACGAATTCTTAGCAGCACAAAACAAAGACAAGCAGTGATTTTCCAGAGTGTTGGTAGACTTTAGTACGAACAGAACACATTCTCGGAATCTTCAAGTGTCACTCTTGTGATTGTCCCCCTAGATTGCACCCCAGGCTCAGAGGTGAAAATGTGATAGAATGCGGTCGTAGTTGATGAAGCCGGCAGTAGAATTTGAGTAGTGTTGAATTTATGAGTTAATGACGTTAACTCCATATCGCCAATTCCATTCCATCTCTGTCAACAGGAGTCACCATGTTGTTGATATTAGTTACGTAGTGAAGAGGATCTTAAAGGCATAGTTTGTATTGGCATTGTCTAGAAATACCAAAGATTTACAATGCGCCATCATCATTTTCATTACAACATACACTGCCGAGAGCCAAGCATTACGCCTTGGTAACACGTCGAGGTAGCATCATCCCTTGAAAGCGCCAACACAGCATGTTTTTCGTCATGCCAACATGCTGTGCAACCTGAAAATGAGTCATCAGGCATAAAAATGCCTTTCTTCGAACTGTATTCAATTACTAATGTCAAAAGCTGAGAAATGCAACAGACTGCCTTTGTTTTTGATTCATAAGCAGCAGGGACGGCAAGAAATCTCCGCGCGCGGACAAAATTTACCGAGCAATGTAAGTAACCCAATAAAAACCCTTCAGCCCAAGACTAACAGCCTCTCTGGAAGCACCACTGCTGGAAACCCCTGTCAGGTATTATCAATATTATTAGAAGCAACGCGTCCGGCGCTCCGCATACGCGAAATGGAACCTCCCGGTGAGAAGCATGCAGTGTCAGTCGACAACAGTGGCGGCGACAGCTCGTCTCAACAGGAGGCTGGTCAAGCATCACCTCGCCAGGTCCACGGGTGGAAGGTCAGTTCCTCTTACCACAAGTGCTGTTATACATCTGGAGAAAGATTTTAGTACTAAATCATCGACAGTGGGCTATAGTGTACCTCTCAATCCTGACCACCGTCTTCTTATTTGCTCTCGACAATACCATTGTACGTCCGAATCTTCTCGTGGCTGGACAAGAACAATCCAATCTCACATAAACAACACAGGTTGCTGCTATCCAGGTGCCGATCTTGAATACCCTGGGTCATGTTGAACTACTGCCATGGATAGGCACGGGCTTTGCGCTTGGCAGTACAGCTATCCTCCCTTGGGGTAAAGCTTATGGCATATTCTCAGTCAAGTGGTTATTCATCTTCAACATCATCTTGTTTGAGATTGGGAGCGCCATATGCGGTGCAGCGCCCAACATGACAGCATTCATCATTGGCCGAGTCATTGCTGGTGTTGGAGGCTGCGGCATGTATTCAGGGGCACTCAGCTACATTGCTTTTACCACTTCATTGAAAGAACGACCTGCCTACATGGGCGGGTCTGCCGTCATCTGGGGAGTAGGGAGTGTTCTCGGGCCTGTGGTATGTTGCTTCAAAACTCGACAACTCAGGAAGAAATATGTCACTGATCAGTGTGGTGATAGGTCGGCGGTGCTTTTGCTATCAGCTCGGCAACTTGGCGATGGGTATAGTCACCCAGCTCAACACCGTAGAAACTGAGGCATGTGCTTACCATTTTTGCAGGCGTTCTATATTAATCTCGTGATTGGCGCCGTCTTCGCCCCCGCTTACATATTCTTATTGCCCAACATTCAACTGCTGGCTGGTAAGCCGTTGGCCCAAAGACTCGGTATGCTTGACTGGGTGGGAACTACGATATTCATTGCCGGCTCTGTATGCTTCACAATGGCCATTACGTTTAGTGGCTTGACTTACCCATGGAGTTCTGGCTCAGCCATTGCTCTATGGGTCATGACAGGAGTGTTGCTGCTGTGTACTATTGCTGTTACCATATGGCATCCTTTGAGCACCAAGGAAGGCCGCCTCATCCCAGCGCACTTCTTCAGACGCCCTGAGATATTGAATTTGGCTCTTCAAACGTTTCTGGCTTCAGGTGTGATGCTCTCTGGCGCATACTATATTCCTCTATTCTTTGCTTTCACGGAGGTAAGAAAACTTATGTTTCCCTGGCACATGTTCAAACTGTTGACCTTTTCATGCTATTCAGGGAGATGAGGCTATGGAGGCCGGCATACGACTGCTGCCTTTTATTTGCTTACTTGTCTTCTTTTCTCTTGCCAACGGTATTGTCATGCCCATGACCGGTCACTATTTCCCATGGTTCGTTGTAGGGGCCGTGGTGAGCTCTGTCGGGGCTGGTCTTATGAGTGAGTGGTCTATCCGACAGTCTTTGAAGTTATACATCTAACGCTTTCCCAGCAACGGCCAGCTCCAGCACTCCAGCAGCCAAAATCTACGGCTTCACCATCCTCGTCGGTGCCGGAATAGGTTCTTACGTCGTAGCTGGATTTTCCGTCATCCAGGCGCTGGTACCCGTCGAGGACATAGCAAGCGCTGTGGGCTTCGCAGGAGTCTGTAAGTCTATCTCTCGTTTTATAGCATACCAGAAATTGTAGAATAGATGCTAACGAACCTTTTTATTAGCACAAATTCTGGGGACTGTCGTTTTCCTTGCGGTTTCGGGTAGCGTGATGTCCAACACGGCAGCCAAGCTCATCGCACCACTGCTCCCTGCAGATACCCCCACCGAGTTTGTGCATGATCTTGTGGCTGGAACAAGCAGTGCTGCCTTCCAAAGTCTTGATTCAGAACTTGCATCGAGAGTTGTGGAAAAGGTCGCCAAGAGTATCGGAAATGTGTGGATCCTCAATGTCGCCGCTTGCGCCCTAAGCGCGGTGTGTGCTCTCTTCCTTGGAGTAAGTGAAAGGCCAAGACACCAATAAATCGCTACTTTTCACTGACTGTGTATTCTAGCGTAAAAAGCTGAACCTGACCGGTTGACGGTCGCAATGATTAGAGATGGGGCAGACGGCATCATTGAGATGAAAGGTTGTGAAGGGGGTTTTGCGAGGAAGAGAAATCTTTTGTAGGATAGTCTATTGCTGTATTCCTGTAGTAATTAGAATGCTAGATTGAAAGTGATTTACAATGCCACCATTTTCTGAAATTATCGTCTTTACAAGTGTCATTAGATTTCTCGGTCGATGACTCGCAATCAAATAATCTTCCCAGCTATGGCCTCCTTACTCCTTGGTATAGCCATAGCCAAGAACCTCGCCGAAGAGAGAGGCATATGAGAACTATCTTTAGAGCCATATCTACAACAAGACTATCAATTACCTAACCATTTCTGTGAGTTCGCATCACGGAGAGCTTGAATTACTCATGCACTATCTGAGTAATTATTCGTGTTTTTTATCACAGTTGGATGAAGCTTATCACGAAGACAAAGTAACTGAAAGCTTGCAGTAGATTTTAGCTTTACGCCATGTTGCTACGCAGAATTATCTCTTGCAGATCTTAAAGCCAGATTGAAGCGAGGATAACTAATTGGCTATCGCTGAAAGTTGCGCTTTAGCCAAGAAGAGCGGCTTTTCCATCCCACCTCCAAAATACCAGACAGTTGCTGTGTAGGCGATGAATGCTGAAGTTACAATAGAAGCAATGAGCCCATTCAATGCGGCTTTGCTTTGCCCAACCTGTGGCTTGACCTTGTTCTCAACTTCCCAATCTTGTTTCTTCCAGTTGACTTTGCCAGAACGTTGCTTGAATGGGATAAAGCTCAGTACCGGAGCGCCTGCCATTGTTGCGGCAAGTTGCTTTGCTCCTTTCATGAACACCAAGCTGTTTAGAAACAAGTCAGAAGATGTGAGGTTTTGATGTGAGGTTGAACGGCCATTTATAAGAACTATACTTACGGAAGAATCCATCGCTGGACGACATACCAGCCCCATCCATCGTATGCTTGCAAGCGTGTCAACAACCAGCTAACGTCGAAGAGTTCCTTTACTCTTGGTGTGCGGATCTCATGGTATCGTTTGAAAGCAAGACGTATTTCCTCGTCACTCGGCTTCTTGTTCGGATGCCGTTGGATGGTGGCGAATATCTCGTTGGCCAGCACCACAGCGCTCTCCATGGCCATGTTGCCACCGAGCCCGGCATTAGGGGTGACCTTGTGGATGGCATCACCGCACAGGACAATTCTCCCGTAGGACCAATGGGAGAGAATTCCTTCTTCGAGGGAAACCAACTGGCCCCGGACACGAGTCTTCCAAATGTCACCAAACACTAGAGTGTCTGAAATGGGGTAGTCCAGAATTTTGTTGGCTTCCGCCTGGACATCTTCATCGGTGAACCGTAGGCGGTTCGGATACTTGCTCACCTGGCCGTTCGGCATCTTGATAGGTACGATGAAGAAAATTTGTTCTGGTTGCGTCAAGAACAAGAATGAAAATCTATCGTTGGAGACGCTGCTGAGAACGTTGGCCCCTAAGCCGTGCTGGTATGGCGCGACACCGATAAGGCAAGTATATGTCGCCTTCATCGTCTGTTTCTCACTGGCAGTAATCAGACCGGGAGACAGCTGATGAGCGCGCTCCCACATGATCTCCCTGACAGCACTGTGTGCGCCGTCGCAGCCAATGACTATGTCGCCTTCGTGGACAACCCCGTCCGAAAGCACGACTTTGACCGCACCTTTCTCCTCTACTACGCTGACAACTCTGGCATGTTCAATGACCTTGGACTTATCAGGAAGCTCGTCATACAGCGTCTGAAGAAAGATTCTCCGCTCTATCGTCATTCCCAGATACCCAGAACTGAAGATATTAGCACCAGACCAAACCTATTGAGGGGGTATGGGGCGTACCTATCGGAGATCTCTTTAAGAAACGGCTCAGCACAAAATGTTTTCCCGTCAGACCCACGGCAGTGGAAATATTGCATTTCGGTATGTTTAGTATTCATTATGTCGTAAAGCCCCAGCTGGTCGAGGATTCGACTTCCATTGGGGAAGATACTGATGCTGGCACCCCATGCTGGAGCCACGGGATGCTTGTCAAGGACGACATAATCGATGCCGGCTTGGTGGAAAGTATGAGCCAGAGTCAGGCCACTGACGCCTGCACCAACAATGATGACCTTGAAGCGACCGTCTGCTGTTTTTCCATTCATGTTTTCAAGGGCGTATGACAGTTCAGTCAAAGAATGAAACTGATGGCATGGAATACATGCGGAGAATAGCTACGGTGCCCGATTTGGAGCGGGTGATATATCGAGGTGCTTAGGGATCTGCAATACGAAAGCGACAAGCACGTCTATAAATTCATTACTCCATCAGTTACTATACGCCTATTTAGTATGACTGAAATTCCAACGATTGCATTCTATAGGTACCAAAGATCAGTGCTGGTTGATTGGCTACGGCATGCTTATTCTCCTTGTCGGTGCCCCCGGCCGCAAAATGCCGAGCATAGAAGCCGGTGTCTTGCTTGCTCAGCACATTCACTTGAGCTTACTTGGCCATCTGGCCCCGACCATATGGAAATGATCCATCCTAATGTACGCTCATTGGCTAACGTTTGCTACAGTACACCACTTTGAGAGAATTTCCTGCAGGAGCGGGAAGCTGGACGGCGCATAGAGTCGGCCGCAATTGCTGACATGCCAGAATCTTACAGCCTTCTGCATGATATGATGCCATTTCTGTTCGGAGCAATCAAGATGGAGACAAACAGTCCGAAGCTCGGTTATGTCTTCCTTGTAAATTCGCCATCGTCCGTACAGGCGGGATACAACTCCGACAAGAATCAAATATAATTTATCCCGACGATCTTGTTGGCAGAGGTGAGGCGCCGCTCCGGTCCCCGACGCTGGTCCCGAGTTCCATCTTAGCACAGGCACGGCCCGGTCTTTATTTTCCGCTCACCACGGTAGGTAACCCTACTCCAAAGCACCACCTACAAAAAAGTGCTTTGAGAACTTATTGAGACTTGACGTTCACAGTCGATGGAGATAGGTAGTTGTAAATAAGTTCATGTCCTAGGAGGATAACTGCCTCTACCGATCTTATGAAGACTTCTTTGCCAACCAAACAATTGCGGCTGCCATCTAGTCAACACGGGATGGAGTCTCCGAGATCGCTTCTGGTACTCAGCGCCGTTGGCTGCATCATGCTTTGGGGCATCATGCTGGTCAACGGCACCCTGGATGGTGTGTCGACCGTGGTTCAGACGGGCAAATTCCCAGACGGCCGGCTACTTCGAGCTACCTACACCGGCTATGCCCTATTTGATAAGAAGTTCAGTAATGTCGTAGTCTTCTTCGATCTGCTATCCAACGCCAAACCCGATGCGCCCAGATGGCTGCTGTTCCATCTCTGCAATTTACTGGGGGCAATAGATACATGGGTGCTGATCGAAAGCCGCCGTCGCGGAGTCCGCAATCTTTTCCTACGCCAGTAAGTTGAGCTGGTTTCGCTTTCATTTGCCCCTGACTCTTGTCACAGGCTCTGACTGTATTTATAGTACCATCATCTTCATCTTCATGTGGAACATTGCTGGCGCTGCTTTCATCACCCCCATATACTTCTATCTTATCTGCAGTAGTGGTTACACAGCCCGCGATGCTACTATCCCTCTAAATGAGGCTCGAGGCTTTCCACCTACAGTCATCGCGAACGCTCTGTTCCCTCTTCTGTTGTTCATTCCCACGTGGCACAACTGGCCTTCTCACGATCATCAAGGAAACATTGGGCTCTACCATTTTACGCCCATGCTCATGATCGTCACTGTGGTTCTCTGCAGCCGGCCTGGAACATCGCTGACTGTCTTCGAATCACCCAAGGATAAGAATGCCCCCAATGAAGATGCCCCTTGGGTTGTGGCCTCGTTCTTGGCCACCGGGGTTATCTCAGCAGCCGTACATTTGTACGTCATCGCCAGCGCACTTACTCTCCCCTCCACGTCCGATTTGACATGGCCCCGTCTCTTCTGGCCGAAGCCGCAAAACGTATATACAGCTCCCCAAGGTTCTTACGAGGCACTTTTGGAAGGCGCACATCTTTTCACGCAGCTCGACGCGCTGGTCCTGTCATCAGCTTGTGTCATATTCACCCACCATCTGCTGCAGAGTGCCACTCCACCCAAGTCACAGGACAGCATGCGAGACATGTGGAAGAACATACTGGGGACTGTATGCCTTGGTCCGGGCGCTGCTGGATCTTTCGCTCTTGCTGCGAGGGAATGGAGACTCAGGGAGCTTGTTGATACTAAGATTGAATAGACAACATGTCGGAATAGAGCTACCATTGGATGGTATAGAATAGGATACAAGCTAGTAAACTTAAAAAAAAAAAAAAAAAAAAAAAAAAAAGTTCTTGCAAGAAGTTGCATCTCTTTTGGGGACTTCATAATAGCTGAAGTTTACAGCTAGCTCTATTTGTAAAATTATATAGATCCGGACTAAGGTTGTTGTATTATTGAAGAGACAGATGTATTGGTGTTTGCTTCTCTATCCCCTCAAGTACTTCAACATTCTTTGTCTCTCCAATCATCCCATCGACAAATGTCCAGTCAACATGCAAAGCAGTATATTCACGATCCTGAGGAGAACTCTGGAGCTGACGAAGCGCAAAGGGAACCGGAAAGCAGGGCGATACGACTACCGGATCCCCATCCTCAAGCTCGGGTGGGCCGATCCCAAATAATCCTGTATTCGTGTCAAAAAGGCACTTATTCGCTAGACATTGAATATTCTGCATGAATTCCTTTATGAATAAAAGGTGAGGGGCCCTAGACGGTTCCAGAGCTTATAGTGAGAAGTCTGATTTCGGATTTATCGGGGTTGAGAGGATTAAGTATGGACGTCATTGCTAATTGCATTCCATAACATGAATACAAAAAACACAGGACAAGGTAGAGAATTATCAAAGGCGGAGAGTACAGCAAAATCCAAAGAAATCGCACCTGATGGTATCTCCAATGCACTATTTTTAGTAAAGTGGCTTACGATTTCAACGCGCTCCATTACAAGTGGGGAAGTGCCTCTTCATCTTTTCTTCCTTGAACTTTTAAACTCGGCTTACTAAGGCGAATTATTATTGCCACAACGCGTTGTTTATTGACTGTGACGCGATGCTTGAAACTTATGTCATAACGCGCGATAACGCGATCGATGCGAGCGGCATGTGAATTCAAAGAACAGTATTGGATCTTCATACCAGAGAGATAGAGAACTGTGGAAGCTGCTGCGCATTTATCGAGTTGTATCTTTTATGTTGTCACTTCTCAAGATCTAATCTACAAACCCCCTGGTAGCCTAATAGGCCCAAAACCTACTCCGTGAGAATTATCCTAATCCTCGCTGCAAAAACCGTAAATATCACCACAAAACTTAGATTAGATATCATGAATTATTCGTTGAGCTATATTTGATGGTCAAGTTTTAGTATCTTAAAATCTGTTGAACAGAGACATTGCAAATTTGTAGCTAGGTACCTGGGTACCAATACCAAAAGCCCCAACAGCGCCTCTTCCGTCAGAACAGAAGGGTCACATGACTGCACCAACAATTAGAAATATCTCTACGGAAGGTCCGTGAAGAAGGCGCTCAGACAGATAATTCAATCATCTTCATTCACTTATAATTGACAGATTCAACAAGATCTAATCTTTGCGACGAGCGCCTGAGGACGTACATGTCCAGGCCCATTACCACATCTTGGTTGATATTACGAGTATAGGGTAATCGGCTGTTTTCCGAACTGCCGCGGCAGAGGACCGAAAGAAAATTTAGGACCCACATAACCACAGTCTCTCGGAAGCGCGGGTTATTTGCCGGTCTGAGGGCCTTAACCTTTTCGGGTGAGGAATGGCGATTATATGATTTGGCTGATAACTCACGTTCCAACATTAGTTTTGACAGAAACGGGTAATATCAGTGAGATAACTTATTCCTTAAACGAAAAACCAGAACAATGGCTGCCGTCAAATTTGGTCCGGACTCAGTAGTCCCGCTGTGGCTCGACGGCCAACAACATGTTACCGAAAGCACATTTGACGTGATTTCCCCAGTCACATATCAGGTTCTGTGGAAATGTTCTTCGGCCGAAGAAAATGACGTTGTGTTTGCGATCGAATCTGCTGAGAAGGCGTTCGAGACATGGCGCTGGACCAAGCCGTGGGAGAGGAGGGATATCTTTCTGCGCGCATACCATCTCCTGAAGGAGCGCCGACATGCAAGCATGGCTCATAGCACAACGGAAACCGGTGTGCGGGAAGTCATGTTTGGGTTTGAGTACGGGACAGCAATGGAGATCTGTTTCCAACTGGCAGCCTTGGCTGGCAACGAAGCGGGTTTTGTTGTTGACCCAGAAGAGAAAGGCACCAGCGCCATGGTGGTTCGTGAGCCGTATGGCGTCGTTCTGGGCATCGCCCCTTGGAATGCGCCGCATACACTAGGATTAAGGGCTTGCTTGTTCCCATTAGCAGCAGGAAATACGGTGATACTCAAAGGTCCCGAGTTGGCGCCAGCGACTTATTGGCATTTTGTCTCTATTCTTCATGAGGCTGGTCTCCCCGCGGGCTGCCTCAATACCATCTACCACAGACCTAGCGACGCGGCTAGGATCACCGGCCAGCTTATAGCCCATCCTGCAATCCGAAAGGTCAATTTTTGTGGAAGCACGCTTGTGGGATCTTCCATTGCGAGCCTCTGCGGCAAATATATTAAGCCTTGCATCATGGAGCTTGGAGGAAAAGGAGCTGCCATAATTTGCGAGGACGCCAATATTGCTCTGGCAGCCCAGCAGTGTGCTCTCGCGGCTTTTAATCATGCAGGTCAGGTGTGCATGAGCACAGAGCGCATCATCGTTCATCAAAAGGTCGCAGGTACATTTAAAAAGGCACTGAAAACAACCATCGATGAGTTTTTCCCCGCAGATGGCCCAAGCCCTATTCTTATCAACGAAAAGGGCGCTTTGAAGGCCCGTGGCTTGGTAGAGGACGCAATCTCGAAGGGTGCCGTCGCAGTGCACGGGAAATTGTCAAGCCCAGACGAGCATGGTGATGGGAAGAACCGCATGCATCCCGTTGTCGTTGAGGGAATAAACCAGGATATGGACATCTACTACAAGGAATCTTTTGGGCCATCAGTGTCTCTATACACTGTCGAGGATGACAACCAGGCACTGACTCTGGCAAACGATACCTCTTTTGGGCTCACTGCGGCGATATTTTCCGAGGATCTCCGGCGGGCAATGAGAATTGCCAAAAGATTAGAAACTGGCGCTGTTCACATTAATAGTATGACGATCCATGATGAAGCCTCGCTACCTCATGGAGGCGTTAAGGAAAGCGGGTACGGGCGATTTAACGGGCGGGATGGATTGAAAGAATGGCTCCGAATCAAATCCATCACTTGGAGAGATTAATTCCAAAAATGCTCCTATAATTGATATGTAGAGGATTCATGGCTTAGGTAGTTCATGCAGAAAGAACTAAAGTGAATCAAGACAGATGCTCAATTAATCTCACCTGCGTCTCCAATCAGAGTGAGTATAACGTTAGTTTTCATCTTTCAACCTTAAACCATGTCATGCAGATAGACATTGGCTTACGAACTAAAATAGTGGGGTTGCTCAACCTCATTATCTAATAAGTATGTATAATAGAGTTGCTTAACCTCATTATCTAAAAAGTATATTGTATGGATAAACTGTGATTGTAAAGCTCTTATACTCTATGATCTCTTTAGTAAAGTATCCCGTATCCATAGATTTGCGGGTTGCATAATGGGTGTATTGTGTTTTCCTTGGTCTTGGCCCTGAAATATAGTACCTTCATCTAAAATAGGCAACAAAATTGGCCATGCGGCTCATCATGCTTTAAACACAGGAGAACACTGTCGATTCTAACATGCCTATTGGGGCATACGAAGTACAGCTCTACCAATAATCTGACCGGCTATGAGCTTCTCCATCACAGTTTGTAGCTTATCAAAGTCAAATAATTGTACCTCGGGCTTGACCTTTCCTTGCAATACTAGTTCCATTAGTCCTGGCATTTGGCTTTTGTCTCCCACGGTTGAGCCAATAATCGTCAGCCCACGTACCAGCATTTCGAAAGGGTTCACCTGAAGTCGGTAAGAAGAGGGGGGAATGCCGACGCATATGAGTTTGCCACAGTTTCGGAGCATTGGAAGAGACTCATCATATGAGCTTATCGCACCAGTAATGCAGACAACGGCATGTGCGCCGAGCCCTCCAGTGACCGAGAGGACGTCTTCAATAAGACTGGTGCTCTTACGGAAGTCGAAAAAGTGCTCTGCTCCGAGTGACATGCAGACGGCCGCCTTGTCCCCTGCGTCGATGGCTATGACTCGATAGCCTAAACTTCGCGCAATCTGCACACCAAGGTGACCGAGGCCACCGCCAGCACCGGTGAAGACCACGTAGTCTCCAACATTCAGCTTGGCCCTGATCAGTGCCCCATAGGCAGTGATACCGCTACAAAGCAGGGGCGCTGCAATCTCAGCAGGAATCTCATCTGGGATAGAAACAACATATGCTGCTTTAGCCACGCAATATTCTAGCAAGGGGTCAATTTTCGTTTGATAGTTGAACCTGTGGACATAATTTACGCACGTTGAAAAGTTCCAGGCACATTCTGTCATTTGTTAGAATTAGGCTACTGCTTGTATAGAAATCATGGTGTTCAACTCACTCTGCCCGAGTTGTTTTGCTTGGGGCAATGAACATATTCCACTGCGCATATTTCACAGCTTCCACAAGCTTCATGAAGCCACCTTTGATTCAGGATGATGTTATTACTCCCAGGTTGTTATTGCACTGATTTAAGAGTGAGACTCACGATATGCCCACCCGGGTGTTGATGAGCGTTTCAGAAACCTGTGGTCCAGCTGTTGCACATGAGTTAGCCTTGGCTGAGGATATAACAGGATGGTTGCCCATACTCTTTATAACCCTTCCTACACCCTCATGGCCGGCAATATGAGTACTCATTGGTGTATTGCCATAGATGGAATGATGATCTGAGTGACTGGCGGAATGTGAGCCGTTGCGTGTAAAACGAATGGAACAATTAGATATGATCTAAGACTCACCATACTCCGGTCACCGCTAGCTTAACAAGAACATCCCCTGGACCGGGTGAAGGAACTGCGATATCCCGGAGCTCGATCTCCGCATCTGGTCCTGGCTTTTCCACCCAGGCACAAACTTGATGTTGAGCCGCGATTGACATTTTCTCACTTCTCTGAAGTTGGACAGAAGGCACTACCTAGATGAGCATCTGGATACAAAACTTCACGATCGGCTTGCTCCTTATTTCATTTAAGAATGAGTAAGACAAGAAATCACCAAAAATCGATAGTATGGACTACGACCGAAGCTGCTGACATAACCTAATTCAGCCGTGGAACATCGGCTTGGATGCCGGAGTTCCCGCCACTGTCCGTATCATTACGTCGTGCTTGTGGGATAGTGAGATCCGTTCCCGATCTTACCGAAATGTACTTACGTATTGAGTTGGAGGATTATAGTTTCTGGATATTCCGCGGCCTGTTAACCGGATCGGCAGTTTGTCCACGCGCGGGTATGGCCACCTTGACGCATGATATAAATTGCTTTTCCAGCCGCAAATCCTGAGACAAACCCTGCAGACTTAGCATGTTCCTTTCCGACAAATAGCTAACTCAAGCCGACCAATCGAAACCCACAATCATTAAATTGACGATGTCACCCTCAGCCACTGATTCGCCCATCGTGGTCTTGAACCGATTCTACGAAGCAGAACGACGTTACATGGCGGCCGGTGGGAAAGCAGGCGGGGCCTCTTTTGATGAATTCGCCAGTACTATGGCGGACAATGTCGTTTTACACCAAACCCCGGACTTGCCGTGGGGTGGAGAATATTTGGGAGTTTAGCGATATGCAGACTGGGCTGCACAAATGAGTGACTGCTTTGAGACCGTTGATGTGCAGGACGCCAAGTTCATCGAGAGTGACGATCAAGTCATTGTGCTGTGCACACTGGAAACCAAGGCTAGGCGGACTGGCGAGGTTATACGGCATCCGATGGTGCAGGTGATTACGGTGAAGGACGGCAGGATCACAGACTTTCGACCTTTTTACTGGCATGTCCCGGATTATGTTTCAGCACAGAAGGGTTTAAAGACGAGTTTTTCGAAATAGATATAACAAAAACCGTTTATTCCTCCATGATGATTGTTTCATCTAATCGATTAATTTTTTTGAAAAATTTGTTAGTCTGACCTGCGAATACGATTCCTTCAGCACTCGACTCTACGGGCAGGTGCGCGGGGAGTAAGGACTCCAGGAACAAGAATGACGTTGAAAGCTGTTCGAGAGAGAAGAAAAAACTGTCACCTTTATTAATCTACTGTCATTCGACTAGTTTAGCTGTTTAATGGGTCATAAGAGCAGAGTAGAATTGGGGCTACAGCATCTGCGTACACTGTCGTGGTTAGTTCATCATCATGACGGCCCTATAATACAATTGGAGTATTGACGTCTATCCTTTTTTTGGGAGGCTAAAAGCTCCTGCAATACCCTCCTTAGTAGAAGAGTAAATAGAACTCGTCGATTATGCTGTTGCAAAATCAACTCTGCTAACTATCGACCTCAATACCTCGATTCCCCCTTTGAAGCTAGCAACAGATTGGTTAATCAAGCTACATAGTAGGGTTCCGGACGTCATGCCACCTGATTTGACTATGAAGCCCACCTTACGAGGCAATCTATGGGCTCGCACTTCGCTACCAGAGGCTACTACCTTCGGGAATGTTATTTCGTGCGACGGCTACCCAAGATGTGCTGCCCTGCCACGACAAAACCCGAGAACACTGCCATAAGCCCACAACACAAGGCAGAACTGCCTCGGAGTCCAATAGACCTGAACATAATGGGAAACCAAAACGGACCAATCTATGGATAGAGTTAGATGTCTTGTTTGCCACAAGTCGGAGAGAACTTACAAAGCTCCAAATCTGCCGGACAAGAACGAGGATAACTCCAACTTCGCCCGAGTGAGTAGGGTTCTTATCAACAGCGTCTATAACAGAGTTAGGCATATTGATCGGTTTAATTATTTTGTGCCGATGACATACAGGTAAATAAGATTGTTGTGCTCATCTGGTTGCCGAGTCCTGCAAGTGCTAGTCCGATGTCAGGGCGGACATTCCATTTGCCCTCGGTAGCCTGATCTAGAGTCACCAGAAACACCGTGATTCCTGCAAAACAGAATCCGAGGGCTGGGTAGAATAGCCACAGTCGCCTTTCAGGTAATGGCGGAACGCCGTTTTTGACAGCTCGATTCTGCCACCAGTCGCTCAGTGGACCGCTCACGATTTCACCGATCACATTTCTATTTGGAACATGGTCATTAGCCATTGGAAGGCGGAATGAGCTCAGTTTAATCAAATGCTTACCCAATTATCAATGGAATGAAGTTGAGCCCGATAGCCTCGAAGTTGAGGTTGAACTTGCTGCCGAGGAGTGCCGGAATCTCAATGCATACCAGAACGCTACAGAAGCAGAAAATGACCATGTGGGCAAGAGCGGTTGTGTTCACACTGGCTTTGGCAAGCGACGTAAAGGGCAACCAAAAGTCTCGCAGTAGCAGTGGTGGAGAGCCGGGTATTTTTCCAAATGTCAAGTATTTCTGGACCGGCGTCGGCTTTGTAGCTGAGACGGGATTGTCCTCTTGTCGGATGTACCGTGTTTCAGGCGAGAAGAATAGATACCCAATGAACTGTGCTCCGTTGAGTACAGCCATGATCCAAAACATCCATCTCCAGCCTACACGAACTGCCACAAAGCCCATGAGAAGAGGCCCGAGGGGGTTTCTGCTAAAAATTAGTATCAGCAGATGATTGGAAGCGTGTGTCATACCCTAATGTGACCATCAGACTGGAATCGTGTCCATTTATGTTAGTAGTGCATGGTTCTAGAGTGATACACGTAGCTAACTTACGTCCAAATTCCCTGCTCACGTTAGCGGATGCTTATTACAACTGGGCTGGTGACTCACAAGTTTCTGGCCTCTCTCTTTGGCGAAAAACAGCTCTACGACCACAGCGGGACCAACGGCTCCCGCTGGAGCATTAAAGAAAGCCTGAAACGCACGCGCCACGAGCATTTGAGCGTACGTGGTGCAGCACGCGCATCCAATACTGCAGACCATGCAGAGAAGTGTTGAGATCAGCCACATAGGTCTGCGTCCAAACCGTTCCGATAAAGGCCTCCAAAATAGAGGTGCCACGCCAAGAACGGCAACCTGTGAAGAAAGTCTGTCAGCGAGTAAACCTCTTGCGCAGTAATGTGGATAGTCTTGCCTGGATGGAAACAATATAGGCAGCAGCATCGATAGATACATCAAAGTCATTGGCAAATGCTTGAAAGGCAGGAATAGGAGAGCCAGCCACGAATCCAATCATAAGGGCATGGAAGGCAATCAGAAAAAGATTGATGCGGGACTGGGACGGATGGTCGTCAGCATGTGTTAAGGAGACGGAAGTGGCAGTTGTCAAACCTTCCATCGAGGCCAGTTATACGGTTCGTTCGGGTCGGCAGAAGGCATCGGATCCAAGTCGAGCGTCTTATGGCGTTTAAGAATGTAATTCTTGTGTTCCTCCGTCATCTGCGCAACCACGGCGGTGGTGGCAGGGTGTTGCGATGTATCTGAATGTTCATCTTGAGACTCCAAGTGCTCGGAAGCAAAGTTTAATTCTCCTAATTTCTCCATGGTAGTCTTAAACGGCGGGTTAAGAAGTGATGGTACGGCTAGAGAGCTCGTGTATAGCGAACATGAGAGCAAGTAACTAGATTGTCGAGAGGGTGGGAAATGGTCTGTTTTACATTGTCTCCCAAGGCCAGCCATGCTGTGAATCCCTGGCTACCTGACTCGTACCTCTTCACTCATTCAAGGAGAGCCATACATCAACCGATGGTTCCGCGGGGTAGGTCAACCCCCATACCCCATACCCCAGATACTAAGAAACTCAGAACTCATCAGAGGACGAGGATCCACACGGAATCGCAGTGTGGAGAACTCGTCCTGGGTCCGTTCTTGACGACTAAGCCGGCTAAGTTCCCGACAGTCCCGCGGCTAGATAAATCCGATTGTCCCGTTCTTCACTCCACTCCCAGATTCATCTCCTTCACTCCCCGACCGCAACGTCCACCTGCTCAGAAACTCCCCAGACCCCAACATGTCTGCCGAAGGTGCCTTGTCCAATCAATCGTCGCCGGCTGTGACTCCGCGGCCGGCTCAATCTAAGAGACGACGAATCGGAGTAGCATGTATCTCCTGCAGAAACAGGAAGTCTCGCGTACGTCTTGGCAAGGAGTTCGAGATCGGGGTTGTGGAGTCTTGGAGTTGCTAATTGCTAATTGATTGGCATGGGATGAGCAGTGCAGTGGCCAACGACCGAAGTGTAGTACTTGCAGTGAGTTGGACTTGGTGTGCGAATATGTCTCGTCTTCTCAACCAGCCAAGACTGTCATGGTTGGTAAAGAGTAAGTCAATGATCAATTTGATTGCTAGTATGAGAGTTCTACTCATAAGTTCGTTTACTCATGTCTCTCCTATCCCTAGGCATATTCAGTCCATCGAGGACCAGTTGAAGAATTTCCAGGCTCTTGAGCACCGTCTTAAAAGTCTCGAGGCGCAGCTTGAACGACAGCAGCAGCAGCAGGGAACTGAACACATCCCACAGCAAGCATCTGGGCAGACAGATATAACTCCTCTGACAAATCGTAACCTCAACGATGTCTTTGATGGCCCTGAGCATATCGACGCCCACAGTACTGACCCTCAACTAACGTCTCCAAGTGACGCTCCTACGACTAGCCTCACGGAATCCAAAGATCCTACGGATGGCATGGGGCATTTCTTATTTGCGGATGAGGAAAACCGAGCATCCTTTGGTAAGCCCTCATACGACCTATCATACACTGATGCAAAGAAACAACTGACGAGTCACATAGGGCCATCATCTAGTATTGCCTTCACGTCTGATCTTTCACACACATTGTGGAGCTTATCACAAAATCGTGGATCATTCGTCCCCAGCCAGGGAAATTTGACATTTTCAGAGTTCCACATTGCCAGGGTCTCACGGCACTCTTCCCCAGCCCCGGAACCTGATCATGCCTTTCCGTCGATATATTACTTGCCCGCAGACGGAGTGATTACAGCGTTGATCGACAACTACTTCTCAGATACCGGCCTTCTCTTTCCCTATCTTCACGAAGAAAGCTTTAGGAACACATACGCACAGCTGAAAAGCAATGCGGTGGCAATTTCTCGCACATGGCTTGGCCTTCTAAACATGGTTCTAGCTATCGCTACGCACGCCTCGACGTCTCCTATTTCAGACGCGGAGATACGTAGCGAGAAGGCTGGTCAATTTTACCGCCGGGCGAATAGTCTATGCAATGACCATGTGATGAACGGAGCGAGTTTAGAAATAGGTATGAATAACCGAGGCCATCTATTTACGATCCCGCGTGATCATTCCCTTCAAAGTTCGCTTGGTAGAGAATTGGTGAGCCATGTATTAATTCATGAAATACAGTTCAATACTTGCTTCTGGTGAGCCAATATCGACAGGGCACAAAGTCCTCGGCTCAAACCTGGGCAACACATGGTTTGGCTGTCAAGGTCGCTCTGCAGCTTGGGCTTCATTCCTCCGAGGCATTAAAGAAATTCCCACCATTAGAACGTGAGATTCGCAAGAGAACATGGTTCGGATGCATTGTTCTTGATAGGTAACTCTATAATGAAATCTCACGACACTGAAGCGGTACTGATAACCCGCACAGAACCCTTAGTATGACACTTGGAAGACCAGCGTCCATACCAGAGTCGTATTCCCGCCTCGAGCTTCCTAGTTACTATGATGGCATTGACCCCTGGCCGCGGCAGCCGTGGCAACTGCAGCGGTGCCGACATAGCACTGACTTTTTCTGTGCTACAATGTGAGTTGCCTATGGCAATTTGATATCAATACGACTTTGTTGGCTAACCTGATTGCCCAAAGACGACTATACGCTATTATTGGTGATACTATTGATTTGTTGTATGGCTCTAATCTGGGCTGTGGAGATGAGCTTACTGACTATGAGCTGGTGATACGCACTCTCAAACTAAGACATCGCATCAATGAATGGAACAAACAGCTCCCACCGCACATGCCCATCATCAAGGCAGAAGAGCACCGAGGACATCTAGGCTCGGACCCACTACTCGATCGCCTCCGAACCATTCTCGCACTTCGATACCATAATCTCCGGATCTTGATCCATCGCGCGGTGTTAGTCCGTTTGCTGAAAATCATCAATAACTCTCAGACTGGTAGTATGCCGACTTTGGGAACAAGTGAACTGAAAGATGTCGTGGGAAGCACAGTGGAAAACTGCATCGATTCGAGCAGTGAAATTATCAACATACTCCATGCAGCTGAGCAAGGAAATGGGGAACGCCGTGTCATGCTTGGTGCCTGGTGGTTCACCTTATATTATGGTTTGAAATCCCGATCTCTTCCTTGGATGGAATATGTTGCTCACGTATTCTGGATGACAGCTTTCGATGCCGCGCTTGTATTATTCACGATCCTGTTGCTTTTACGAAGAACCGCCTACGTTGCTTTGCCAACTCGTTGCACGCCGGAATCGGTAAAAGAGCTATTTACAAAGTGTATAGAAGCTTTGGGGCTCTTGGACAAAGGCAACACCACCGTGAAGCGGTGCTTGCAGTGTTTACAAAAATTGACGGAAGTGATTAAATGGATTGGTGCGTGTACTTCCCCTTTCAGCACTACACTTGTCGAATACTTACAAAATCCATCATTAGAATCAAATCATCCGCAAGAGCCTGTCGTGGTTAATGTAGAACTGAATGAGAATTCACACACTGGTACTCTATCTGATCCATTCAGGGCTTTTTCACCCCTTGGAAGTTTCGATGGTTTCTTGCACCAGGACCTATCACTGTTCAACTTTGATTTCATGACAAACGACAGGATGGGATTCCCAGATGAGTTTGGACAGAGTCGGTCGTTATGAGCATATTGCGATTCTCTATATAAGATCTTGGTCACCACTGATATGGATAGCTAGTCCAAAGGGTAGGAAGTGTGAGATAAAAACGCAAACAGAATACTTCAACCTCAAGTTTTATTTGCCCATAGCATCCTGTCTAATATTTATCGAAGGTAATAATTTATGCGTAAGCCACTTCATTTCTTAACGTCCCAATTTTCGATATATGCACTTCCATCCGGGTCCCAGGTCGCAGCCAGCTCGGAGGCTTCATATCACCACCGACACCTATTCCATGGTTATTCATGTAATTCACTGAACATCACAGTATTGGAGTTTGACTTACCACCGGGGGTACCAGTCATAACAACACTACCTTTCTCAAGAGTGGTGCCTTGGGATAGGTAAGAGATGAGATATCTGCAGTCAAACAACAAGTCTGATACAGACTCGTCTTGTCTGACTTGGCCATCTATCGTCGTTTTGAGATGCAGGTCTCTTGGTTCTCCAACCAAAGCGCTCGAGACTAGACAAGGCCCGAGCGGCGCGAATGTATCAAAGCCCTTGGAAAATCCCCATTGAGGGACTCTGCCCGCATAGTTTGGATCGCGCTGCAATTTGCGGGAGGAGATATCATTCCCAACCGTGTAAGCTGCCACATAGTCCATAGCATCTTCTTGAGAAACATCCTTGGCGTCCTTTCCGATGACGATGGTCTTCAATTGATGGGCCTGCCAGTTTTTTCACCATGCTTTTGAACAAGAAGGGCCATTACTCACCAACTCTCCTTCATAATCAGCCTGATCGTCCTGACAGATCTTTGGAATGACAACCTTGTCATCAGGACCAACGATGGTAGCGGTGGGCTTGAAAAATATGAATGGGAATGGAGGCGGTGTTCTTCCTGCTTGTTTGACTATTACCAGAACAAGTTAGCTGAAGAACTGCCATGTTATCAGCGTATCGATAGAGTTTACTGTGCTTGAGATAGTTCAAACCCACACAGCGGAGGATAGGGACATCTTTTGCCGTGAGTGGGCAGAGAATCTGCTTGACTGTCACCAATTCTTCCGTGACTCTAGTTGCTCCAGTTGTGTCATAAGGATCATCTCCCGTTATGACTCTGGCTTGGATATTGTCGGCTTCAGTTGCAAGGCCCAAGTCGAAGTTTGGTCGAGGAAGGATGGGTTCTCCTCGCAGAACTCGGCCATCTGCGGCTTGAAACCGGATTAATCTGCTCCAAAGTACCTTCATAATAGCTTATCGTACACAATACTAGGAGTGAATTTTCACTGTTTCTGACTGAGACGGATTCATGATCATGCCCTGGTCTTTATCCATAGCTGGTCAAGAGAGTGGCGGGTTTCGGGGAGAGACCGGAACCTACGCGGCTTGTGCGACAAATGTGGCAAGGCACTCTGGAGCGAGCCGCGGGATGTTATCCGATGTTCCCGATACGTATCTGCCACATTATAGTATCCGGTGTAGCTATTCAGACTATGGGTTGGAGAAGTTCCTTAAAGAAGACGAATATCATCGCGAGTAAAATCAGCTTATTCTCGACCACTTTGTTATGGATATCTCAACCAGCACTTTCAGAAAGCACTATATCAATCATCACGTTAGACACGATAGTCATCATACATCATGACTACCGAAACAATGACCCGGCTACAGCTAAACGCCAATGGCGCCAACAAATCCACTGATGGCGAGAATTTGATCAATGCTTTCCAAAGCCTTAATATTAAGCCTCTTTGGACTCAAATGGAGAAGTTGAACCCGCCCCTACCTAATCCAACTTGCGTCCCTCACATTTGGCGCTATGAGGATATCCGCCCGAGTCTTCTCAAGGCTGGGGAGGTTGTGACTGAGAAGCAAGCTGAGCGTAGAGTGCTCATGTTGATCAATCCTGCGAGAGGTCAGTCCCCGTCTCTTGACTTGGCAATACACACCGCTGACTCATTAATAGATTCTCCATATACAACTGATACCCTGTATGCCGGTCTGCAGCTAGTTATGCCAAATGAAGTGGCCAAAGCTCACCGCCACACTGCCTTTGCGATGAGGTTCGTAATTGAAGGTCAGGGCGGCTTCACGGCTGTCAATGGTCGCCGGATTAAGATGCAACGGGGGGATGTCATCCTGACGCCGACCTGGAACTGGCACGACCATGGCAAGGATGGGTCTGGCCCTATGATCTGGCTAGATGGCTTAGATCTCCCCAACTTTCGCCACTTTCCTGTGCATTTTGTTGAGCATTATGAGAAACCTCGTTATCCCGCCGAAGACGTCGATACAAACTCGTCACCTATCGTCTTCCCTTGGGCCAAAATGAAGGAGAGTCTTGATAGTGTTCCAGGGACATGGGCATCAAAAGATTACCTTAAAAACGATGGCCGGCAGGTGTCCAAGATCTTGGGTGGTTCGGCCGAGCGACTTCATGCCGGCACTTCATCTCCCAGCATTCGGGAAACCAGCTCATCCGTCTACCATGTTGTGTCTGGGCAGGGATACTCAATAGTTGGGAGTGAAAAGATCCAATGGAAGGCCGGTGATACGTTCTGTATTCCGTCGTGGTTCCGGTATCAGCATGTAGCGGACGAAGCTATCGACGTTTATCTTTATTGCTTCCATGATAAGCCCATGCTTAGCTCCCTCGGTTTCTATCGTGTAGAGGGCACGGATTTAGAGGCTTTGGTATCTGACTAAGTCAGCATTTGCCGCATTTAATACAATATAGAAATCAGTATGCTTTCTCCTGAGAGTCTGGCCTATATCATGTTGCAGTATACAAGATGAAATGTGATGAAGACTTATAGAAGATCTCAGTAACATCCCTCTGAGAACGATGTGGAAACAAAACACACATGAATCAAACCCTTGACAAGATTCCTCATTGAACAATGAAACAACGCAACGAAGCATTAAGTCATCATCCTACTATTGAACAAAATATAGGTTGTGTATTAAACAGTAATTCTAGCTACATGTGTCTCATTGAGCTTGAATGCCACCGCAATGGGGAGCATAACATATATGTCGAAAAAGCGTCTATAGCATAGCCATGTATTTTTTTTTTTTCATTAAGTTGCGGTTAGAAGAGCACAGTTAAGAGTGCGCCTTAGTTTTACCGTTTATATTAGTCTAGAAATGCGACAAGGTGGCTGCATTTTGTAAGCGATGCATATTATTTGGACGGAAGTGTGAAGGCGTCGCATTAGACGTGTCGTCGTGGTTGTTGAGTCTCAAGATCCTCCCTTCGGCGGATGCCTACTAGGGCGATGGTCCTAGCAGGGATGAGGTGAAGGACATGTTCCACTTCCTCCGGTCCAAAATCTCCGGTTATCCGGCCAATGTGATCAGGAATTCCGGATATTAGATCTGTTGCCAGCCACGCGGATCCCTCCCGCCATCCGACACGCGAGTAACGCCTTGGCTATCATATTATTGCAGTAACTGGAATTAATCCTGCGGTTATTATTAATGCTGGTCTCTATGACGAATTTCGCTGACGCTTCCTTCTTATTCTTACTACTGTTGTTATTATTAGAAAGGAGTATTGGTAGGATTATGCAGAGAGGCTCGGGACCGAGATGTTTATGTATCTTCATCCTGACGCAATTAACATGTTTGGGCACTAAGGATCTACGTTTTCAGCCTTTTTCATATTCTTCGTCGAAGAAGTCAGGAAATCCGAAATATTTGAACTAGTAGTTTTATTAATAATGATAAAAGCTAAGCTGGTAAAGCAGCTGTCCCTAATATAGCTGAAGGCATCTTGAGAGGTAGCATACCCTTTGACTCCTTCACTGGTGGATGGGCCTTTTGTGATACTATGGAGGCTGGCCGTGTATGAACTGGATGTAACGTTGAGCTGGGTAGCTAACCTCCCACTGTGCCTTGGCGCAACCCTGTACGTTTTTCCTGCAGGGCCTAATACCGATTTCTTATTGCTTATAGTGTATTTAAAGGCAGAGGATGGACTTTGGAAAATCTGGCCCTGTGTCGGCAGTGTATACATAATTATAACATGTGCATCAAGCTTGTGCTATATCGTTATACTTAGACAGTAAACTAGCTCGAACATGATTTGACGTTCGGCCATTTCCTCATTCGCCAGAAACCATGGCGACTCAGAATTTAATAACCCTTCAAATTTAGTGGAGGGAGTTATCCGCGAGTATCTGGAGCCGTAGGGATGGAGCAAGGTCACAATATGACGGTATGTTTTACATTGGGGGCCATGTCTAGCTCGCCCAGGGCTTTAGGAGGCGATAGGAAGGGGAAAGGGCCGCTTCCCTGTCATGTAATTGAGCTACGCAAGGGATAACGAATAAGCCCAAGGGTCTGAATTTCGATTGCATCATTTCGACCGATCGGGGAATCAACGCGACAGCATTGGGGGTCGGGGTTATTATGTACCTTCTATACCTGCTGCACCTGCAGGGAGAATCCGCAAGCATGCCCCAAGATTTTATGATGTTACACTAATTTCTCCTTCTCGCTTAGAAGCAATGATCTCCCTCTACGTTTCCTCAACGGTAGTAGGGCTGTGTACATAGATTAAGCCCACTATCTGAGATGATAGAGGGCCTTGTGAAGCCGAGCGGTCGGTGATAGTACGTTGCTGACCTTTGGACTGTCAATCTCTACCAAGCCGGAGATTCTAATTAATCACAGGCTTTAGTGTGGACAACGAAGTGTGCCGTCTGCGAAGAATTGGTGATTTCTCGCTTAGCTTTGCATGCACGACCGCGTCCATGAGGCAGCCTATAATTAGACCACGAAACGAGCCGGCCAATGGGCTGGCAGCCGGTCCACCGGAACTTCTCAAAGTACATAGCGAGGTTGTATAGATAGGCTTGCCTGAGCGTTAGTCTATCCAGTGAGATTTCCCATTTGGCTGATGACTGAGCCAGGGCGGAATTACGCTAAACGAGATAACACCTGCGGCTCGGTTGATCCTTGAGCAAGTAATATTGACAATCATCCTCCGCCGTATTCTGGCTGGTTGCAGATATCTTCCCTGTAATGCATATAGTACAAGGTCAATCTATCTAAAGGCATTTCCTAGTTACCTAGCCACCATGGGTACCTGAGCCATGAGGAGGGTGTGGTGATAGAGGCGAAGCTGAGCGTGCCATCAGGGGCTTCGTCTTGGCCTGTGACTCAATTACCACAGTGGAAAAGCGCAAGGCTGCCTCTGGGAGCTTGTATGCGCTGTTTCCCTGATCTTCGATGCTGCCATTCAGGGTTTAATGGCAGCAATGTGTAGGTACCTGCGGGTTACATGTCTGGATTATTACGCGAGATGTACAACTTCGCACCGATCTACTGGGAACAAGGATTTACTTCCTAAGGGAGTGTAGATATTTCCCAGGACACTGGGCCAAACAAAAAAGCTACCCTAACTTTTTAGAATAGTGAGGGAAGGGTCAGAGTAGCTTTTGTGGCAATACTGGCAAAGCGACTGTAGCTTTTAATTGACCTTTGTTCTAAATATAATTTGAAAGATGCTTTCTGATATAAACTCGACGTGCCTTCAAATTTACGGACTTGTCAACTTCAATTATACATCGTACCGTTATGTCATCTGGCATTTATTGGGCTATCATACCTAACTTGTCCTTCAACTTTTACTATGTACTCCATCCCGTGGGTGGCGCTGCTGGCAGTGCCTCTCTTTCTCTTGGCAGTGAAGTACGTCTACAGACTTCTACTCAGTCCATTATCCTGCTTCCCAGGTCCTCGATTTGCGGCTTGTTCCAAGCTCTTTGAAGCCTATCACGTCCTCATTAAAAACGACTGGCTCGAGACGCTCGAAGCGCTTCATCATGAACATGGTATGGTTCATTCTACCTCTATCCCACCTTTTTGTTCGTTTTATTTGCTCATGCTTAACATACTCATATAGGGTCTGTTGTCCGAATCGGCCCAAACGAACTCCATTTCTCCGATCACCAGTTCTGCCTCCAACACCACAAGCGACCTGACTTGTACAAGTGCGACAACTACTATGGCATCCTGAGCTATCTCCTCGGTGGATTTGCCGACCCAGCCCACCATAAAAGTCGGAAGGCCATTCTTCAACCTTTGTTTGGTGGCCGAACACTTGCTGATTTCTCCGATTCGGGCATGAGTGCTCACCTGGATACATTGGTAGATCGACTTTCTGAATCGAGCAACGACATCGTCAACACAACCCATACTCTTTGGGCTTTCACTACTGATGTGATGATGAGCTATGTCCTCGGCATCGATACTGGTTATCTGAAGTCTCAGGACCTGAAAGTTGTACACGACTCTACTCGAGCTTTCAGTGCAATCGACTTGGCTACGGTTCTGCGATCGATGCCTCCAGTCAAGATGGTATTCGACTGCGTCCCCTCACTGCGTTGCATCTCTCCACTGGGCTGGATCGACCAGGTAATAGCTCCCTTCCCTTCCGAGCCCGGATTGGCCCATATTTGGACCATCGCTAACCTCAACCAGAAAATCAGTAACAATCTGAAACTCATCAAGTCGAACTCCATTCACGAGAAGGGTCAAAAGTCCGTGCTAGCCATGCTTTGCCAGCAATTGCCCGAAGAACGTGTCCTCATTCACGAGCTTGCCCAAGCAGTGTTCATTGGAAATGAATCCCTCTTGAGTAACTTGACTGTGCTTCTGCATCACTTGATCAAAAACCCCGAGTGTATCAATCGTATACGGGCTGAGCTTGATGAGCTTGACGTCGGCTTGTACGGCCACCGCATTTGGCGGGACCCCAAGGTTATTCGTCTCAAGTACCTCGTAAGTTTTAGCTAAGGCGAGCAAGCCCTCCGTATAATGGTGTTGGAAACTAAAGTTGGTAGGATGCTGTTTGTCGCGAATCTACCCGGATGAGCGCGCCTGGGTGGCATCGGCAACCAAGACAGGTCTCGACGCTAGTAGAGCACGGGCAGTACACTATCCCTCCTATGGTGAGTGCTCATATTCATAGTGAATAGTCTACCTGATATTGACAAATGTCTTAGACAAGTCTCAGCTTCACGCTCAAGCTCTTGGAGCACGATCCCACATTGTACCCTGAGCCGCGCAAGTTCAAGCCAGAACGTTGGCTGGAGACTCCTGATTCTGCGGCCATGAAAAGATCGTCCGTGACGTTTGGCACCGGCACTCGGACATGTTTGGGACAGTTCATCGCCCATCAAGTCCTTCGGAGGACTGTGGCGGCGCTCGTCTACAATTTCAGCATGACTTTTGCTGACGAGCTGGCTGACGAGATGGGAGGCTACACATACCTGAACACTTACCCCAAGAAGGGCCACGAAGGTTACCTAAAGCTACATTTTACCCCCAGATTTAGCTCCTGAAGCTTTTTGGTGTGGTATTTTTCTCTTTTTCTCTTTGTTTCTTTATTTCTCTTTTGTCATAGCTGTAGATATTTACCAGACACCAGGATTTCACCGTTTCACTAGTAATTGCTCATTTATAGAAGCCGATAGAAAGATATATATGTAGAGCTTAAGACACCCCCGAAAATTAAGGCTCGGTCAATAATTGAGATCAGAGTGCTGGCGGGAATGAGTAGAAATCGAATGTGTCAATTTAGTCTGCTTCAGATTCGGTCTAAAAGATACAAAAGTAAGATGCTGACTACTAGTTGTGGTAGTAGAATCAACCTAGCTGTCCCTTTCGTGTGATTTGTCGAATTGCTCTGAAGTCTATTTATAGCGAGGAGGATATGATGTACAGCTATGTTCTATGATCAGGTTCAGATGGTTCTATGTACCGTTGAAGTAGTAGTACTCGCTTACGCAGGGGGTCAAGTCGTGGTGTGTCTATATCCAGTAGTCGCCGATGTTTTCAAGTCTACGCGTGCGGCCGCAACTTGCCGTCCTACGCACCGATCATTGACGCTGAAGTGGGGAAAGGCCAAAACACTCCGAAACTAAGTCAAATGAGATGGGTTGTCTTACCAATGTCTTATTTTGGCTCGTTCTAGACAGGCTCTTCTTCCCGGCTCCTGGTCAGGGGGGAATCTCCTATGGACGATCCTGTGTAGACAAGGAGAGCTGTCGATCTTTGGATCCTTCACAGCATGCTGGTAGTTGGTTATTCGCGATTCGACCATATAACCCAGCCGATTCACTCTATCCCTTCGTGACTCAACAGCCTATGTGATCAACGTTGTCTACGATGCTATTCTACATCTTGACCGCACTGCTGGCCGCACTGGTCGTTGGTGTGTGGCGATGGCTCTGTCCAAAACCCTATGCAGGCATTCCGTACAATAAGGAGTCCGTTGGCCGGATCCTGGGCGACGTCCCGCTACTCGCACCGCTCATAGCCCAGACCAAAGAGTACTCGGGCTCCATCACCGCGACTACCACTCGCCGTCTCGGCTCACCAGTTGCGCAGCTACTCTTCCCAAACATCCGCAAGCCGTTGATTGTTGTCGAAGATGCTCGAGAGATCGAGGACGTCATCCTGCGCCGCACCAAGGAGTTCGACAAGGCACCCACAACGGTTGACATTGTGTTGCCGCTCTTCCCTCACGGCACCGTTAGCCAGTACACTACGCCTGAGCTCAAGGCCCAGAAGCGCTTATGGTCGGACGGCATGACTACAAGCTTTCTGCAAAGAGCAGCTGCGCCTAACATCCGCACCGCAACGCTCGACCTGCTAGAGCTTTGGTCTCTCAAGGCCAACAGTATCTATCAAGGTCGACCGTTTGAAGTGCTCGAGGACTTTCAAAGCACGGCTCTTGATACAATATGGGCTGCTGTAGTAGGAGAACCACCCGGGATTGTTCGTTACGAAGTCACCAAACTGCAAAGTCGCGTTGCCGGTAAGACTGACGTTGGAGAGCTGGAGGCTCCCCGTGGCATATTCCTACGCGATGCAGTGGCCTATATTGCCCACGCAATCGCCACAAACTCCAACTCGCCGATACCTGCCTGGGCGAGCAAGCTCGAGACTTGGATGCCCCGCTTCCGCCGCTTCCGCGCCACCATGAGTCGGGAGATAGGCACAGCCGTGGCCAAGTCTGTTGACAGATACCAACGCCTTGGGAAGGGTATGCTCGACAACGATGAGTGTGACACGTGCATGATGGATCTCGTCCTCAGGCGGCAGATTGCCCAAGCCCAGAAAGCGCAACAGCCCATGTTGGATCCTACCAAGGACCAGCGTATGCAGGACGAAATGCTGACCATGCTTGTGGGGGTATGTATTTTCTCGTGGCTCTCTATCCTATGATTGTGCATCTGTCGTAAACAAAACTAAATGACTCTTACTCTAGGGCTACGATTCGACCGCCGACGCCTTGTCCTGGTTCGTGCGCTTCATGGAAACTTACCCAGGCGTTCAAACCGAACTCCGCTCCGCCCTTCGATCCGCCTTCCCGGACACAAATCATCCATCCGTCCAGTCCATGCTCGCAGCAGACATACCCTACCTCGATGCTGTGTGTGAAGAGTGTCTGCGCCTGGGAGGCATCGTCAAGGCCACCATGCGTCAGGCTCTTGTCGACACCGAGATCCTAGGTTTTCCCATCCCCAAGGGCGCAGAACTGTTCTTGAACTACCATATCAACCTTCCCCCCATTCCCGTGCCCGAGTCTAAGCGGTCACGGGGTAGCCGAGCTGCAGTAGCAAAGATGGGGGACGGATTGAACGAGAAGGCTGGCCAAAATCTCGATGTTTTTGAACCCAGGAGGTGGCTCGTCAAGGATGAAAAGACCGGCAACGACAAGTTCAACCCATTTGCTATTCCAGCCCTACCGTTCGGTGGTGGGCCGAGAGGGTGTTTTGGTAAGTCGTGTCACTGAAATAGAACGCCAGTTCGCATAGAGTGGACATAGTTGCCGTCTGAAAGACGAATGCTAATGCAGATCGCAGGTCGTAAACTTGCCGTGTTGGAGCTCCGGATGATCGTTCAGCTTCTCATTTTGAATCTTGAATTCCTTGAGCTGCCCGCTGAGTACAAGGGGCATGGAGCTGTGGAGAAAATCTTTCGGGGTCCAGATAAGTCATTTGTCAGGATTAAAGTATTGTAGGTAGTGAGCGATGGCATCACGTTCTATGAATTGAGCAAGTCCCTCTAAATACAGACACACACGCAATATATATACGACTAGGGCCTAGGTCAAAAAGGCAACCAAAGCTGATCAAGGTACACCTCAGAATAGTTACCTTGCCTCGTAACATTCTGTACATGCGTTTTTGCCTTCCTTGCTATGATTTTATATCATGCAAAGTTCCTGTTAAGCATTTCATGCACCTAAATATGTAATGGCATATCGTCTATCAAAGAGAAATACTCTAGAATATGGCATAAAATGGCGACATAATTTATGATCACGCCTGAGTGTGTGAAATGAATTTTCACCTGTGACGGGAACCGATGTTGAGCGTGGCTGTAGAGGCATTTAAACACTGACTAGATATGGGCTCTCCCTGAGCGCGCGGTAGACATGCCCGCTTTCCCGGGAAAATAACAAGAAATAAAGCCTAGCGTAGATGACCATCTACCGATTCAATCCAAGGGGAGTTTGTCTAGCCGTCGGCTATGTCTCGATCGGCTGCGTTGTTATAATCCCTTGCCGTTGACACAAGTGGAAGCTACCCTGTCTGCAGAGGCGAATTTGATTTCATCCATTTGCGGGTACCAAGGTTTGGGCCTTTGAGGATGCGGCTTTGAAAGCAACAGCCGTTCTGAAGCGGTGCTTGTTTACAGGTGGAAGAAATGTGCACGCCGGGCAGGGGTCGGCATGTAGGAACCCCGCAAACATACAGGGGAACGTTTCCGTAGCCGATGCGGAGAAGCTCAAGGAAAAGTGTCAATGGCAGCGCCTATAAAGCCGGTTCGAGGAGAGGTACGGCAAGTAGAATCAACGATCGTTCAGCCTAGTTGACTTACCTGTCAGGTTTATTCATTGGAAATGCTCTCTCGATGTTTTCTTGCCGCCGGATTTGCAGCATTGGCCTATGCAGCGCATCCGACCCGGCTCTACGTTGCGTCGTATGCCGGTACCGTATCGACTGTCGAGCTGAATAACGCTGGCCAGCTTGAAGTCACCTCTACCGCGACAGAGTGTGCGCTGACCCCTTCATGGCTGACCCTTGACCAACGGAAAAAGCTGCTTTATTGTACGGATAGAGACCTTACATCAGGCAATGGCACGCTCAACACTTTCAAAACATCATCGGACGGAAGGCTGGTACATCTGAGCAGAGTTCCGACCATTCCCGGCACAGTCAGTTCAGTCACATATGGCAAACATGCCAATGGCCTTGCCATTGCGGCCTATCAGACCTCGACTTTCCAGACATTCGACGTCTCCAATCCCAAAGCGCCGAAATTTCAACAAGCTTGGACATATACCCTCGAAAAGCCCGGTCCTGTGCTGCCCAACCAAGAAGCACCTCATCCCCACCAAACAGTGTTGGACCCGACCGGAAGATATGTCCTCGTTCCAGATTTGGGCGCTGATATTGTGCGGCTCTTTGCAGTCGATTCGAAGTCACTGCTTCTCAAGCCGCTCGACCCTCTTGTGACACTGCCTCCAGGAACTGGGCCCAGACATGTTGCCTTCCACGTTACGAAGGACAAAAAGGCATTGCTCTACGTCTTGGGCGAACTCGCCAACACCATCGCCACTTATGAAGTGACTTATCCAAAGGGCCAATCTCCGCAAGCGAAAGTGCTGCAGTCCATTTCCACTTTTGGGGAAGGCAACTCGGCCCCCAGCGGAACATCTGCATCAGAGGTCCAAGTGACGGTAAGTTGGGTTCATCAATCTCTTGAAGGGGGCAGAATGCTGATAGCTCGTAGGACGATGGCCGATTTGTCGTTGTCTCATCTCGCGGCGACAAGACTTTTACCCTACCAAACTTTGATCCCAAAAACAGCACCGAGATCGCATCCGACTCGATCATGACTTTTGGAATTGATTCTCACGCCGGCACACTGGACTTGTTGCAGGTCTTTCCGTCCGGAGGCCGAGTCCCACGACATTTCGAGATCAACAACGCTGGTACTCTGGTTGCTGTCGGGCTTCAGTCAGACGCGCGTGTCGTCCTAATTGATCGCGATGCGAAGACTGGGAGTCTGAAGGGTTTCAAGGCAAACATCACCATTCCTGGAGAAATTGTAGCCGCTATTTTCGACGAGTAGACAAATCTAGCTTGGACCAACAAGAATTGGCAAAGCTTCATAGCCTTGACCGAACGAATGGGACTGGAGTCTAAAATGTCATGGAAGAAGCATGAAATAAATAGAGGCCGCTCTTTAGGCTACACAACATGCGCAATAAATATATGTAGACTACTTCCCCAGGCAATGCTATACAGCGTGTGGCTTTCCAGGCGCATCACATTCCATAGTGATGGCCCGCGGCTTGGCTTCCCTGGGGGCATTCAGCCTTTTGCTTATTATTCGGTGACACCGTTAAAATTTATATAAGGGGCGGCCATCTCGATCTTTCGAATAGCTTGAAGGTAATACTGGACTCTATGACTGATCTGATAGAGTCCTAAGTAGTTTTTGCACCGCAAAAGAATCAGCTTGTGGTCTGAATAAAGATCTTGTCGCCATGTTATAGACAGGGAAAGCTTTCTTATATACACGTCTCTGCGACAATGGTAAGCGCAGCGGCATGGGGGGGAGCCCAGCGTGATTCAACTACAAGATACAGCTTGGTTGGAACAGGAGCCACGACGGTGCAAACCAGTTCGCGTCAATTTCCTAATACACGCCTTGTGAGTTGTGAGATAGAACCCAGTGCCAGACAATACCAATGGTCTTGTTAAGGCTACCTAAGTAGCTAGACTAATGTCATAAGCAATGGTAGCAAGCTATTATTACATGTGATTCTTTTTAGGCAGCAGTCTCCTAGAAATTCTAAACTCCTAAATCCGAGTCTAATGTTAGGCAACTCGTCGCCTTGTAACCTCTAGACCGCATATTGCAAAGTACACGTCATAATGAAAATATTAATATCAGCCAAATTCTATTAGTACAGCATTTAAGATAAAGCTAGTTCTTCATAAGTGAGGCAAAGCCTATCCCCTCTTATTTTCTCAGTTCAAGATTTCTTCAATCGGCACAAGATGACTGATAAAACTGAGCCTGAGATTGTCTTATACGACCTGGCCTGCACTAAGAATGTGTGTTTTTCTCCAGTCGTCTGGCGCATTCGCTTAATGCTCAACTACAAACGCATCCCTTATCGCACGATCTTCCTCGAATTCCCGGACATTGAGCCCACTCTCAAGGAGCTGTAAGTTCTCTACGCTTTTTAATTCCCCTCTTTTTTTTTCGGTCTCCATACCCTTGACTATTAGGTGTAATGAACGAATTCTCTAACAATTTAATTCTTCCCAGCGGTATCGCCTGCCACGACTCGGGTTCGGGATCTAAACATAAATACACTGTCCCAGCCATCTACCATGTGTCTACCGATACATACATCATGGACTCACCGGCCATTTCCAAGTTCCTCGAGTCAACGTACCCAAGCCCGCCGGTGCAACTGACGTCTGGGCTGGGCCGCGAGATTGAACTTAAAGCGCGCACTACACTTGCTCCCGCCTTTGCGGCTTCAGTAATGCCGCGTGAGATAAACATCCTGTCTCCGCGGTCGAAGGAGTACTTCCGCCGCACGCGCGAGGCTTTCATTGGGCGCCGGCTTGAGGACCTATGCGCTGACTCTGAAAAGGAGGAACAAGCCTGGGATGCCATCGCGGATGACATGCGTGCCGTCGGTGAGTTGATGCTGACGAACAAGGCTGAAGGACCGTTTGTGCTAGGTGCCCATCCAAGTTATACCGACTTTTTCATCACAGGAAGTCTCCATTCAGCCAGGATGGTAGATGAGGCTGTGTTTCAGAGGATTGTCAAATTTTCTGGTTTCAAGGATATTTATGAGGCATGCCTACCTTACATGGAGAAAAGGGATTGATATCGATGAGGGTGTTTCTCACCGGCTGTGGTTCATCAAGATACATCTATAAGCACTAGTACCCGAAGTAACAGTCCCAGGCCGGTGGCGATTCAGTCATTTCAGGCATCTCTATTAACTCTGTATTATATTATATTTGGCTAGACTAGTCTAGTTCTCGCTTGAGCATATATATCTGACCTGGTTGTTCAGTAGACGCCTAAACAGCAATTAAGGGCTAGACTGAAAATTCCGTGGATTGAAAATATGACAATGCCGGAAGATTGAGCGGTTGAGATTAAAAATTAGACTAGTAGGTTTATCAAAAAAAAAACACATCGTTGTGTAAAGAGAAATTTAGTCCTCCTGCTAATTCCTCTATGTCTAAAGATAATAGGAGATAGGGCGTGGAGCAAACGGAGGTTGGTATTTGTCAACTTCCTGGACCGATTCAGCTGGCTCGTCATAGTCGTATACGTTTGAAAGTGCATCCATTAATGTTTCAAGGTCCGTCGTTTCGAAAGGGTTAACCCAGCAGTCATACTGGGTTTCGGTTTGTGGAGTGTTAGGAACTGTCAAGGGCGGAGAGGAAGGAATTTCGGGTATTATTTGAGTTGGTGTGTCTAAAAGATAGGCACTAGGTTGAGATTGTTCTATCAACGGTTAGTTTCTCTGCCAAACCGAGGAATTTAGGCTGAAGTGTACACATACTCTTGAGAATGCTCCTGGGAGCCATTCCAGGCTTTTGAATTGTCCCGGCATCCTGTGTTTGAACAGATGCGTAATTCTTGTTCATATTGAATGATGGAGGCTCTGGTGTATCAGGCTCTGGTGTATCCAAGGCTTGATAAATATCTTCACGGCTCAAGTTCGGTTTCGCCATATCCGTGCTCCAAGTCAGAGAGGGTGTTGTCTCGGGTACTGGAGACTTGAGTGGCTCATTGGTAAGCGGCAACTCCGCCTCAAAAGCGGTGTTAGGGGAACCAGTGGCCACGGCAGATTTGGGGCGGAAAAGTCCAGAGAGAGTCCGGGACTTTCTCTTCATGCCGTTCCCCACCTTGCGGAGCATAGAGGATGCCGACGCTGGTGTTGCCATAGATGGTGATGCTGCAAGGTGATCCACTGATTTGCTGAAGATCTTACGACCGTAGATTCCATGACCCGAACTATTGTGCGGTTGAGGTCTATCTTCATTGCGCGCTTCACGAGCAGCCCCCTGGTCTATGGGTTCAACATCATGGCCATCATATGCTATATCAGGATGTTCCCCGAGCAGCTCCATGCTGCCAGCTGAGAGCACCTTTCGAAGCCTCGAACTCTTGGCCTTCCCTTCCATTTGCTTGGGACCCATTTCGGCCGTGGGACTGCCACATGTGATAGAATTCGTTCGGCTGTGATTGGCTGAATCGTTCGATGCTGTCGCTGGCCTTCCAAGTGGAGACGAGGTGTACGTCTTCGCGGGGTTGTGAAAGTAAGTGTCTTTCATGTCGGGGTGCTTGGGCGACGTTGGACTGATGACAGACTGTAGTAAATTCTGTTAGCAAGTATAGATAACAGTAGGTGACATTACAAAGCAGCTTACCGACGGCCTAGAGAGGCTACTCTGGTTGGATATTGCGCTGTCAAAACTACCCTTATGGGAGTGACTTGGTGAGGAAGCGTTGACAAAGTTATGAAAGGCCCTCTCCAACTGCATGACCGTAATCTGTAATTGCTGGAGCTGCTCGTGGTCGCTCATCACCGGAGGCTGTTCTGGGGTTTGAGCCTCTCGTTGTGGAGTCTGTTTTTGCACGTGGTGGGGGTTTGGTTCCAATGCAGATGGATCCTGGGGTTTGTCCCTTTGGGTCAAATACGTAGGCGGTTGTTGGTATTGGGCTGGTTCTGGAGTCCGAAAGGCTCTCTCCAACTCCATGACAGTGGTTTCTAATTGCTGGAGCTGTTCGCGGTCATTCACCACTGGAAGGTGTTCTGGAGGTTGAATCGCTCGCTGTGGAATCTGTCTTGGTACGTGCTGCTGTTGATGGGTTTCTGATGCAGATCGATTCTGGTTTTTGTCTTTTTGGACCGTATGTCTGGGTGATTGTTGGTGCTGAACTGGTTCCGAATTCCGGGGCTTTTGCGTCGTTTGTCCAGACAATTGCTGTTGAGAAGATAGCCCGGGGATTTGGACTTTTTGTTGTTGGCTTTGACTTTTTGGAGGTTGTTTTACAGGTTGAGCTTTTTGTACTGTTTGCTCAGATGGGGGATGATGTTGAGAGCGTTGCGGGTTTTGCGTCGCTGGGAGTTGTTGAGACCGCTTTGGCGTCCCAACACGCTGGGGAACTTGTTTTGGAGGCAATTGCTGATGTGGCCGTTCTGGGCTTTGAGCTCGCTGTGGGACTGTTCTCGACACTTTCTGGTGGTGGCCCTGCTCCATCGCCTGAATCACGATCTGTGGTATTTGGCTTGGTGTCTGTTCCTCTCGCGGCCTTTTACTCATCCTTGATTGGTCCATTGCTAACGGCAAGGCAGCGTGTAGACTGACGGGTCGGTCCTGAGCCTGACGCTGGGGCCTGCTCCCTAATGTGGTCGACAAACTCTGTCTTGACCCATTGCTCATGAGATTTCCCGAAGCAGAGGGGAAGATAGCACTTTGGGTTCGAGTACGGTCTGTGGGTGGACGTGTTCGGGGCTGGACGCTTGGCTGCGAGGATGAGATATCAAGCCTTGACGGAGACCCTGGTCGAAATGCAGCAGTGAATTTTGGGGAAGGGGATGAGAGAGCGCTCAGCCATGGTGGGCTTGAGTGCCGCGGACTGGGAGACGCAAATTGCTGCTGTCTTGAAGCGGTCACACCGCGATAGCTAGAGATGGTCGGGCTGCCCATGGAGGGAGCCTCTGTCTGCGAAGCCGACATGCTGAGGGGCATTCACAGGATCACAAACGGGTTTCCTGTAGATCCGGGACAAAGGGGAATTTGCCGGCAGCGACGTAATCGAGCGGGAGGGAGTGGATACTCTGAAGAATAACTGGGGAAGAAGCTCGCATTTGCGCTGGGGGCGCGATTTGACAGAGAGCAAGCACACTTGGGACGGGAAGGGAGGAAATTCCCCGAGGAGAATTGGTTGATGAAGAGTAAGAGAAAGAGGTTGGAGAGATGCCAACAGAGGCGGTGGTAAGTGATCCGGCAGCTTGAGGCGAGCCCGATGTGATCTGCATCTTGGATACGAGGCGTTGGAATTTTCTGTCCGCGGAATACGAGGCCTGCTTGGATCCATTGGCTAGACCAGACTCCACCAGGCCGACTTGTAGGGATGTTTGTTCGCTGGCCCACGCAATGACACATGATTTATTTACATCTCACCATATTTGCTTGCTGGCTGCGTTATTGGGTCTGGTTGCTTCTCCACGGAGTCTACTGCCTTCGCTTCCGTCTGTTTCTGGCCGCACAGGGGCTGCGTGGCACATCGCGCATGAAGTAAGCACCATCAAATCCGGCTAGTAGCTAGTATCTAGGGCCTCGCACGCATCTCCGGGGCCGCCGGAGTACGACCATCGCGTGTCGGCGCATTCGTTCAGGGGAGTGTCATGATGTTGGATGGAGCCACAGGAGGCTGAGAACGGCAAACGCCACACTTGCTCCACTAGTAATGACTACTTACCCTACAGACATCAACACACACCACAAATTCAAGCTCAAAACAAATCATAACATGATAACGTGGGGGTCTGCTAAAAGGAAAAGTTAAATTAGTTCTCGTATAATCCCCTTTCAGAATACTTAGGTACCTATAGTCCAGTGCCGCTGATTGATTCTCGAATAAGCGTGATAGCCTCATCCATTCGCGCCTAAGAACGCTAGGAGGAGCTGCGAAGAGGTTTTTTAGGTCAGAGGGCTGGTGATATTCGTGTGAGTATCCTGCCGAAAGACAATCGACTAGCCTAGTCTTTGCACTCATGAGAGAGATAAGGGCCGCGTAATAACTAAACAGATTCCCAGAATATGTTTAATAGCCCCGTCGAGTCTAAGTGTAAAAGCCAAGACTCGTGAAGTCTTCCGTAGAATAATTATATCATTCCAAACTCTTTAGATCCTAGTCTAATGCCGTAATTAAGCGTTTGGCACCAATTTTTAATGGCGTCCTGTTATGTACAAAGAACTTCGTGATAATAATGTTCATTTAACTACGTAGGCAAAACTCCAGTTGTCACCTACTATTCGCCTGGCCGGTCATGGGCTTAATCGTCGTCACTTAAGGTATTATTTTCTTGAGATTCTCCAAGTTACTTGTATCCAAGCCTTTCTACTGCTTTTGAAATACAACGGCCCCGTATAAAATGATAGAAAGATATCTTCGTTATACCTTACTCTTGCTGGTCTCGGATTCTGGCCCTTTCCGATGTCAAACCAGGGATGGCGGTTTTAGTCTTTCTTTTGGATTACTTGGCCTTGCTACTAGCTGCGATGAAGGCGGCATCGAACCGAATTATTCACAGCTAGTATCTAACACCTACGCCTTGGCGATTCGTCACTACATCAGAACCCACAAGTCCCTCAACTTTCTGACCTGGGCGAAGTTTTGAAGTTTTCCTGCGGTCTAATCACCATGGCTTCCCAAAATGGCTTCCACCATCTGAATAGAGAGTTCATAACACTCGTATTGTGCATGATCATAATAGACAATTTCCTCACGAATCCCGTTAAAGAGGATGAACACGGATAGCAAGTAGTAACTAAACTCGGAAGGCGTGAAGTGCAAGGGTAAACATAACATACGTATGCCGAATCTCGCAGCATGATAATTCAGACAATGTAATGTGCTATTTATCTGATAAGGTCGAGTATCGTTTGGCCATGTGGGTATATCCATCATTTCATTCATTCAATTCCACAAAGTTGGAGCTGGAACCTGTTAGATAGAAATTCCCCGCTAAGTCTTATTCAAAATCTCAGTTTCTTGTAAATTTTCTAGAAGAATACAGCTTGTTGCCATCCATCACTTACACGTCTTCGGTCTCAGCCCTGTTTCAGCCATCACAAGATGTCAATAGTTCCTCATCGGGATGTGGCGCCGACTGTTTGGTGAGCCGACAAAGATCGGATTCTGGCTTTCCCCATTTGCACCAAGTGCGGGCGCACAATGTGACCGGATGATAAGCCAAGTCGCTAGTCATAAACCGTTAACCATTCCGGACGATGAAACGGTGAAACGTCCGGGTCCACACTGATAGTGAGATAGACAAGGGTTATCCTCATAACCTGCCGGAAGCGCCTTCCTGGAAGGTTTCTTATTAGTCTCGAGCTTGTTCCGCCTCATCTTGCATCGTCCAGTAGAGCCATGCCAGTAATCAGCCGTGCCCGCCGCGGGGGAAGAAACAAGGTTTCTAAGGCGTGAGTATTTTGTGCATATCATCTTCAAAGTACATATCGCTGAGTAGAGACAGCTGCAATCGATGTCGCTTGTTGAAGGCGAGATGTTCCGGCACGCAACCGTGTAACCGCTGTGAACGTCGTCATGAGTCTTGTCACTACGCAGTCGAGGAGAAACGAGTGACCATTACAGAGAGGTCCTCCATCCGCATTTTCCTTCTCGACTATCGGGCTTTTTCTGACCTTGATGCTGGGACAGTTATCTCCGAGAGTTACAAACCCGGACCGGTCTCATTCAGCCCCTTTCCGGCTCGGACATAGAGGTCGATGACGGGACTGCCTTCCGTGATGTACAAAATGCCAATCACGCGTCGTGTCAAGAGACTATCCCAACACAATCAGTAGCCCAAGTAGGCCTGTCTGTCGTTAATGATATCCGGGGCCGGGAATGCGATGCGACCGGAAGGCCTTCACCATCTAGCACTGTTCCCCGAAGAAGCCTCTCTCGGGGCGAGGCCTTTGCTCCTGCTCTTGGGAATATCGACTCAGAGTCTGGATTCGGACAGAATCCATTGGCAAGTGAAGACTATGCCTTTGCGGCCGCAGCGGGACGATGTTGTAAGCCTCATTGGCCCAATCAGAACCCTTCGAGTGAGAGATAGTTGACTTGCGCCTAGGGTATATGGCACCAATCTCATCATGGTCTTTCTGCAGACGCGTCTTGGCTCTGCTAGGCAAGTGCATCCCTGAGGCTGACGGAGACCAGTGGCACCGGCAAGACAAGGGCGCATACAACATGCAGTGGACGCCGTTGGGATCCAATGAGGAGGTCGACATTAGCACCTTGCCTCATCGAGACCACGCGTTGTTTCTCATTGGTGCGGCCAAGTTCTATCTGAACAACTACCTGGGCCTCATAGACGAGCCCGAATTCACCAAAGGCGTTTATGACCTCTACGAGAGACCGGCCGAGAAGGCAAACAGCTCGAGGACATGGTACGCCCACTTCCTCCTCGTGCTTGCATATGGCAAAGCCTATTCCAAAGGCGACAATAGTCGAGGCCCTCCTGGATCTCACTACGCGCTGCGAGCGATGACGATGCTTCCAGACATGTCAGGACTTTATGCCGACCCAGTTTTATCTGTTCAGACCTTGACGCTAGCCTCCATGTGGTTCCAGTCCGTAGATATGAGAATCGCCGCTTACTACCATGTGAGTTTCCAAAAGCGTAGACCCTGATGTTGACATGAGACCTTTGACACTTCGGTCACCGGTAGATTAGCCAAGCGATGCGTACCTGTATCATGGAGGGTATGCATCGCCATATGCCCGAGCAAATCGTCGGGGCCAAACAGTCAAAACGAGCATGTGTGGCTTTTTGGGCGATATACACCATGGAGAAGGAGTTTTCCTCATCCATAGGAGCCCCCAGTGCTCTGCAGGATGAGGCTATCACGGCCAAGCCTCCTTCGCAAATGAACAGTTCCGTTGATGCGGTGAACATGGAGTTACATGTGAGGCTAACCAGATTGACTGCACGGATCTTGTCAAGTAAGCCAACCTGCCTTTCGCTCTTTCAGACCTCAGCTGAATTAGTATGCTGACTGTATTATAGCGGTTTATGGGGTGGGAAGGCAGTTCGATAACACACTGATTCCGAACACACAATCCATCCTCCGTGAGCTGGCTGAACTATCTCGGGACTTGACCAACGTGCTCAGAACCCATTTCCCCGGCACCTTTAGCAAAGCCTCACGGATGGCGCATCGACTGGTCATCTCATATCATCATGCAAGTTTCTAACACTAGTCTTACTGACTGAACTAAACTAACATCCTTTGTAGTGCGTGGTCCTTTCTACGCGGCCGCTCGTGATGTGTGCGTTGCAAATGCATGTCGAGAATTCAGATACCTTGCCCCCAGTGGTGGTCCCTTTGACGTCGACGGTGGCCTCACTGCTCAGTTCATGCGTCGAATCTGCGCATACGATATTAAACATGCTTCGAAGTTTAGACGAGGAAGGCTTATTAGGTACTAGCACGTGATGATATTGTATACATGGTTTTGAGAAGCTGACCAGTTGCTTAGACGCCTTCTTGCCCTTTCAACTTGACGCAGCGTATTCTTCAGCGTTTATCCTTCACCTCATCAAACTAATCAGCCCATCCCTTCTACAAGATCAGTCCTGGCCCCATGACATAGAATACATCTTCGATCGGATGATTGCGTCGGGGAGTGTAGTCGCACCAGTGCGGAAACTGGAGCTACAACAACTGGAGAATGCCATGGCTGCTCTGATACCCAGCACGGAGCAATCTTGGGGTCTTGCTCCACGGGCAGGTTATGTACAGGAACAGAACTTTGCACCGGATGATTATTTCCGAGATCCGTTCTGGCATACAATTACTTCTAACGGAGTGTCTGGGCTTTTGCCGCAGGAGATTTTGGACTTGGCTGACCGGTTAGATGTAGAGGATGTGGCTTCCACGTCAAGTCAATAACTGGTATTGGTTCAAATTGAATCGGTTGATGGCTAATGATAAATTAATCTAATTTGTAAAAGATAAAGGCAAAAGCCAAGGAGTGCGGATTCAAAGTGGGAGTCCCTTTGCCGAGTCGGGCAACTTGACTTCTCAATGAGACCCTGCAACCGATTATGTGTATGAAGAATGAGCCGATCACATGTGATAACTGAATGCGCCAAGGTTACGGAAAATGCCATGCGAAACTAACAATACTAGCACGATAAGACGATTGAGAATTACTCGTGTGACTTTCTGGGCTGGGCAAACTCCATAAAAGTCCCGCCCAGGAACAAGGGTCCGGAGACTTGATCCGTGTGTGGCATTGGGCATGTTATTATTGATGGTAAGGCAGCAAATGACGCGTGCGTTAATTAAGGGAGAATGCTCATGGTAATAAGTTTTGTGATAAGGATCGTGAGACCTTGGCTAAGAATATGGCGGAGTGTTCTGATGATTAGCCACAATCACTCCATTGCTGAAAGCTTGATCGCTTTGACTGACGTAGGCGGTCAACTGAACTAGTAATATATACTGAATTCATTCAAGTTGCTTTCAATACAAGAAAAAGCTATACATTAAAGTCAAATTGTGGTCGTAGCCTGCTGTGTCTTGGTACCCATTCTTCCGGACCCGTACTCATCAACGTGCAAGAATTCGGCAGGATCTTGATGATCAGCAACATATCCTACACCTCCAACGGACTTGTCTATATCCATGCATCAGAAACTTTGATCTGTGAGATAAAAGCAATGAGTTGGGTGATACGTACAGAAACCAGCAAGACGGAGAATATCGTCAGGAAGCGAGCGCATAACAGAGATTGGGGTGGAGTGAACTTCGTCTTGATCCTGGCGGAAGTAGTCTCTTTGACTAAACAACAGACGCGATCAGCTAATCATCAACAGATTCTATGATTGATATAAGATTGAACTTACCCGAAGCAAGCAAATAGTGTGCGGACTGAATCAACCTCACCATGTTCGCACTTGTTCTCGCCAGCTGCATGGTATGTCGCTGGATAATTCTTAGCAAAACGCTTACTTGTTGTTGAAAAATTGAGATTTGACTCACATCCTAGGGTGAAAAGGGCTGATCCTGGCTCCATCTCAGCATATGTAACTTCTTCCATCTTAGGGAAACGGTCACTTGGCCAAAGGTGGCTTCCAGGGATAACTAGAGTGGCCTAGGTTGCGATGTGAGTGCCCGATAAGTCATGAGTAACGGAGAAGAACATACCCCGTTCTTCTTTGTACATCGAGAGCCAGCAATGAGACATCCGATCATGGGGGTAAAGAGAGGGTTGTTGGGGTCGGGGTTGCTCTGAAACTTGATTTCATCCTATGGACCATAGCATCAGCCCTCTTTTCTTCTAGTGTATTGAAATGCTGCGGGCAAACCTACGCGATGAAGAGGCTGAGGCTTGGCTCCAGGCTCTAAGCGGAGGCCAGCAGTTGTGGCAAGCATGTAACCGCTCTTGAGTGGGAGGTACTTGTCTCCTGTAATCGTGCTCCGTTCATCGCTGCATTCCATGTTAATACATGATCTCTCATGTAAACTCTAGATAGGTCATGTTGACCTCAAGAACTTATCCATGATGCCTTGCCATACCTTGAGGCGCAAGACTCCGCTGATGAACATGGGCATCTTTCCTAGGAGACCCTATTTTGGTGAGAATGCAGGATTATCAGGAATTTCAGGCCAGACGTACGTAGACACGTTGTGTGCCCTCGGGGAAGAAATCAGCACCCAGCTCGCTGTGCGATGTGTTCCCTTCAAAAATCTTCTTGCGCGCAGCAAATTCGCGGTTGACTAAAATAAACCACGTGTCAGTGACTTCTAGACAAGAGTGATATTGTTAGAACTGCAGCGAAACACACTTCCGTCCATGGCTTCCTTCAGCAGCTCCTGGGTGAGGAAATTGGATACGATTACTCCCCCATCACGAGCAACAATCTCGTACATCTTCTCCAGAGGTTCCGAGGAGTCTATAGTGACTAAAGAAGGGACCCCCATTGTGATTGTGAGTTTGATCAAGAATTGCGGATATGGAATAAAAGATGTCTGGAAGTTGATGATTGTGAACTTGATAGCACTTGTTGTATTGAGTTGATCAGAAATCATATAGCGGAACCCGAGATTTAAGATACGTGATAAATCGACACGATTCCCGATCTCGGGATTAGACTAACGGAATAAGAGACCGTCAAGGCACAGGTTCCCTAGTGATCAACGGAACCATGGTCCGGAATAGAAGTGCTGGACTATGTGAATCAATAAACAAAGAATCCGGGCCGGGAATGCGGGGTGCGCGAGGCAAAGTTCTTGGTTATCTTTTACTGATCTAAGGGCTACTAATTGCTGGCTTGAACCTCAAGATAGTGTGTGAAGGTGTCAATATGTTCCATGATGGATCATTATCAACCTTAGCTTATGCGTACGCGTGCCACCTGCACGCTGCCGAGCGGAGAGATGGGCATGGAGGCATGGGTAGGTTGATAAGTGAGGGCTTGGTCCAGTCCTCCAGGAGTACAGTTCCGTCCACACGGACCAACCTTCCGTCTATAGATAGCTAGTGGAAATGGCCAACGATAGTATACATGTAATCAGGAGTGTGTGGAGCGCAGGTGGAGTTTGCGGGGATATGTACGATGATAAGGTTGTCTGCTGTTGAAAGAGGGAAGCTCTTGGTACATGCCAATCACCAGGCGGTAATTGTACTACAAAACTCCAAAGGTTCCTACACCTCGATGTTTTTCCTTTTTCGGGAGCTCATTGCAGCTGCAGCAAGTTGTCACTTCTTACATCTCTTCCTTTACCGCAACAAGCCATGGCCCCTGCTCAGGCTGAGGCCTTCAAGAAGGAGGCTGACGTGAATTGTTCAGAGTCAATTCGGAATGGAGAAAGTGATCTTGTGAGTCTGATAGAGCGATCCCACTCTGATACTCATGTGTTGCTGATTCCAATTTTCAATGATAGCGAGGTGCTACCATCAACGACGGTACAGTTGATCAGGTGACTGCCCTTGAACTGTCCATCAATCATCGACGTTTGAATGCACGGCAAATCCAGCTGACCAGTATTGCCGGCTCAATTGGAGCGTGAGTCTTAATGCATAACCAATCTCAGACATCCTGACTCTAACATGATGATAACCTAGAGCTCTGTTCGTTGCTATTGGGTCAGGTTTGACTGGTGGCCCTCTTGCACTTCTTCTTGCTTTCATTTTTTGGGCAACTGTCGTCTTCAGTGTCGCCAAGTGCCGTAAGAGATCCCCATATCTCATGAAACGCCTTGGAATATGGTTTCTGACGAAGTCTGAAATAGAATACGAAATCGTCACCCAGTATCCTCTCGATGGCTCATTCATTCGTCTGGCTGGCCATATGGTTGACCCCGCCTTGGGTGTGGCTGTTGGCTGGAACCACTTTGCAAGCCCACACTTCCTCTTGATCACTCACGAATATTTCAGCTAACAGAATCAATCTCTCCAGTTTGCTCAAACGTCCTATGTAATCTTCGAGTGCACAATTATCAACTCGCTTGTCCAAGTTTGGGGTTACGATCAGTCTCCAGCTATCCTCATTACGATTTCCATTGTACTATATATGGCCATCAACATCTATCGTGCAGATCTGTTTGGAGAAGTTGAATGCAAGTCGGAGTAATTTGTTATTGTGGTCAAGAACTAGGTGCTAACGAGGAAATATCTAGTCTGGCTGGCTCTTGGCAAAATTTTGTTGGCAACTGGACTGCTGCTTTTCACTTTCATTGCGATGCTGGGTGGAAACCCCCTGAACGAGTGAGTTTCTGGCCATAGGAGACAGTTTATTAATGCATCATCTGACTTATTGTCGTTTCTAGCCGATTTGGATTCAGGCACTGGAAAGATCCCGGCCCATGGAAAGGTGAGACTGCCGGGGAGCAACTGATGTCTTTCGTCAATGGAGTCAACGTTGCTGGGTTCGTCATGGCTGGCCCAGAGTACATCTCGAGTAAGAACAATATCTTCGGGTCCATTCTATCCATCCTCTGACAAATCGGGTCTATAGTGATCGCGGGAGAGGCTAAAGACCCTCGGCGCACCATTCCACGAGCTTTTAACACCATCATGTACCGTCTCGTGTTCTTCTTTATTGGAGGAGCGCTTGCTGTTGGAGTAAGTCATATTCAATTCAAGATGTAGCTTCCAGCCAAGCTAAGAGATGTCAATCTAGATTCTCGTTCCTTATAACGACCAGACGTTGGTTTCTAACCACTCTTTTCTGATGAGATTAATAAGCTAACAAAGCACAGTTTGACTGGAGGAGCTGACACCTACGCTGGTGCTTCGCCCTAGTAAGTCATCTCAAAATATGCTGTTGAACCATCATGACACTTACCTATGGGTTCCCTTCATAGTGTAATTGCAGCGGCTAGGCTTAAAATTCCGGTCCTACCTTCAATCATTACCGCTGCCCTTATTACCAGCATCGTCTCCGCTGGAAATGCGTACACCTTTAACGCCTCTCGTAGCCTGCACGCTCTGGCACTTGAGGGACAAGCACCTAAGTTCCTGCGGAAACTCAACAAGCAGTATGCCCCATGAATACGCAAACCGAAAATCGCAGCTAACTTTGATATAGTGGTGTTCCCTATATGGCCGTTATCGTTGTTATGGTTCTGGCCTGTCTGTCATATCTGGCGCTTAGTTCAGGAACTGCAAAGGTTTTGAACTGGATTTTGAAGTACATTCGTCCCTTCTGTAATTGATATGTTACCTCAATACTAACAAGATATCCTCTAGCTTTTGTACTGCAGCCACTATGCTCAATTGGGCCGTCATGTCATTCACGTACATTCGATTTCACCACGCAATGAAAGCGCAGAATATCGACAAGAAGTCATTCCTACCTGTTGTGTCACGACTACAGCCATATGCCGGATACTGGGCATTCTTCTGGTCATTCTTCTTCCTTTGGTAAGTGAAGGGCGTGTATATGGACTTAGAAAGTTTGTTACTGATGAGAACTTTTTGTCTGTCTAACATTTGCGCTAACATGTGAAACTACAGGGTCCAAGGCTATGCCGTGTTCCTGGATGGCAAATGGGAAGTGGCTACATTTGTCTTTAACTATGGCATTGTAAGTTTGGCATCTGTATTTTGTCTCTTAAGCTATACTGACTATACTGTCATCGCAGATAGGTCTAGCTACTATCATCGCGATTTTCTGGAAGATCTTCAAGCGCACAAAGTGGCACAAGTCCAAGGATGTTGACCTTCACAGCGGCCTGGAGTTCTTCAAGGCTTTGGATGAACACTACCTCCAGGAACGGGAGAACAACCCTCCTTCCAGGTTCGGCAGGGCGCTAGAAAAGGTGTTTTAAATTTGAGTTGATCAAATGACCTGCCTTCTCAAAGTTGGATTGATTTGACCCTGAGTACATCAAAGATGTCGTCGACGCCACTCAGGATGTGCGTACTGGCGGAGAAGAGAAGGGCATTAACTTAAGGGTTTCGGTGTATTGATTTAAAAAACCTGAAAAAAAAAAACTACCTTGACTTTCTTTCCAAGGGTTGGGATACTCAACCCCTTTTTATATATTCCCCCCTTAATCCAAAGTTTTTATTGTTTGCTTTAAATATTGCTTATTGCGAGTGGCATCTAGTAAACTATCTACACCTCAATCCCATTATAAAGAGAAACCGAATGTGACCACCATTGAAAACTATTTAGAGTCAGCAGGGATAGTTCGTTCAAACTCCTCGGGATCAAAACGCAATGACGACGAACGCCTTTACCGCACATGTTTGGTTTGTGATAATATTTGGGTAACGGTTGTTTCTGGTTTGGCTAATTTGTAGTTCATTTATGCTGCGGAGGAGGGAGAGAATAATAAAACTTCAGTGCTAAATACTTGGTTAACTTGTTTACTGGCGGTTTAACTCACGACGTTCCAGATAGGCTATTGGAGGGACGGCTCAAGCCTTTGTGCCCGCTATTTACTCCAGTCAAAGAATACGAAGCTTATGGGATGGGTACTGAGAGACCGAGCTAGAACTACCTAAAAGCACCGCTCGAGGACGATGTAGGTGCTTGTGTCGTAGCAGGATTAGCTGCCGATGAGGCTGACCCTTCAGAACTTCCAAAAAGATCAACAGTGGTACTTGGTTTGCAAAGGGGTTGAATATTGAGGTATTCGTTTTCCTAGGCCCTCTAATAGGCTACCGGAAGTTACTTGAGTTATTGAAGTATGCGTACATAGAGGTAGAATTAATAATGCAATTCAATATTCCTTGCATATGCACGGAAGAGATATCTGGCCCACTTTACAATACAATAAGAGGCTGAAACTAAGGTTCCGGATACGATATGCATTTACCCATCACATTATTTAGTCAATGTATAATAAACCCAAGTACCCCGACAAATCTTGGAGAGCATGTTGAGGAACTCGGGGCACGTGACTCCCTCTGCACACTTCTCCGCGTGGCGCCTAATTTCTCAGGCCAACACTCTCCTCAGGCAGAACTCTTGAGAGGCAACTTCTCACAAAGAAATCACCTGCTACTTCCTCCATTCTTCCAACTTTTCTATTGCGTTTAATTCATGCAAAGATCACCTGCAATCCATACGCTTCACCTCCGACGTCCTCGGTCTTGAAGATCTCCAGTTACACAGCGACTGGCTTACTCGCTTCTTCCCATCCCTCGAAGCCCGCCTTTCTACCCGAAGAATCCATTCAACTCCTTAATCGTTTCAATGGCTTCGGACGAAATCCAAAAGGCCTCGGCCGTCAAGGCGAGAAAACGACCAGCCCCAGACGAACACCCTCCGGCCGAGAGCCATGGCTCCGATGCCCCCAAGGCTGGCCACGAGCCCCCCAAAACGAAAGTCGCGCCCAAGACCAAAGGCGAGAAACTTTTCGATAAAATCACCGAGACACCCGGGGCGTTTGTGTACGTGGAGGTATCTCGTTCTGGCCGTGCCAAATGCCGTGCTGGACGCGACTGCCTTCATGTCGATTCCAGTGGGCCTCAGACACAGCAAATCAAGGACGAGTTTCGAATTTGCGTATTTGGCACTGGGATGTCCCCTTTTGGCGATGGGGAGTTTACAAAACGATACTACCACATCACCTGCTTCAGCTCGTTGGTTTACCCCGAAGATCTCATCCCTTCAAATAAATTTCGACTCTACAGCGGTGAATGGGGGCTGCTCGTTCGAAAGTGGCACGAGCACCGTGGCTGCATCGATGTTGATGTGGTTTCTGCCTACATCGCCGCCCACAAGACGTATGTGAACGAATTAAAGAAACGCAGCCAAGACGAGAACGCCCAGCCGCCGACAGAACCCACTCTAACTGATTACACCACCGGCGATACCGTTTCTCATTGTCTTTGGGATATCTTGAACCATGAGGATTCTGAAGAGATGAAGGCCCCGGTCCCCGAGATTTCTTTTTACGATTAAATACAGCCCTACCACAACTTAGGGACGAGAGATATCATCCAGTTGAGTTTTAGTCAACTTTTATTGTGTACGAGGGCACGCACGAACGACGAAACTCGAGCTGGGAACGAATCATCCAAAGAATGTTGAAATAGGAGGCCCTCTACAATGGGTGGAAGAATTACGGTGAAGATTGAGATTTTTGTCTGCTGGTTCCTAGGGTCAGGGTCTACTTTGAGGGTCATGGGTACTTGAAGAAGTTGAGAAGATCTCGCGAATGTAATTGAACCAAAATGCGCCAAGTAATACAGGATGAATAACAGATGCTAATTCTGCGCGCGGATTAGTAAATGATTTTTAGCAATGATTTGTGTGAACGGGGCATCTCAACTCTCTTGTCATTTACGGATGATTCCATTTATTAGGGCACGAGATTCAATTCTAACCCTCTTTGGTCTTCCTTCAGAGCTAACATGCCCTTCCTCTTTGATTAAACCAGACAATAAGAAGACTGAGGCCCGAATTTCTCAATTTAGTGGAAGGTACTTGTATAAGACTCTTGAATAGAATATCATGAACAAATAGGGATCGAAGGCAAATGCAATCGTGCGGAATCTGCAATCAAATAATTTCTATTGACAGGCAGCACCTCTTACGAACATTAATCATCTCGATATAGAGGGTTAAAGAGAGTACTCAACTTAGTAGATCCGTCACCTGAACAGATTAGATTTTCGTTTATCACTTCAATCACATGGAGGTTCTCACCAAATGAGGCACCCGGGCTAAGATTTGTGAAATGGGTAACGCGGAGGCGGGTCTATCGAGGCAGGCAAACAAATGGAAAGGCGAGGGGTTTTTGACTCCGTTGACCTAACTAAGAGCTGTTGATTCCGCAAGTGAAGGGAGAGCATGTCACACTCTTCTTCCACGCCTTATGCACCCATCTTTGGAGCCGTGCAGGACTTCAAGCTACTTAACTTGCTGGTGTGCATGGAAGATAAAAATGATCACCCCATAAAGCAACTTTAGGAGTAGCTGATAGAGAGCTTTGCAGCTGAGCAGCAACTGTTGGGGGAGTTGACAGCAGAATTCCGATACCAGCCGAAAAAGAGACGCAAGGCAACAGGAAGTCAGTCAACACGACTGAACTAAGCGACAGACATGGGCTCAAGTATGAAAAGTTGAGGGCGGAAGCGACGATCCATGAGTCAATCCAAGCAGCTGGAGGCGACAGCCGTACTTTGATTGCATCTTGCGGACCCAAGTCCCTCATGGCAGCCGTCTCGTCTGCGGCGACACGACATATGACACCAGAGAGCCCAAGTATTGATGTTCATTGTAAGTCTTTTGGATGGTAACTCACTGAGGATCAGAAGGTCTCCCACCTAGTCTTAGGAGGGTCACTTCTAGCTCTCGGTAGATAAAAGATATATTTCTTCTGCCTTCATTGCGTGTGTATCTTTCTTGTATATGATATACTTATAGAGTCTATCTAATTACAAGCGTCAGATTTTCCCAATTCTCCAAGCTGATGACCTCTTCCTCCACAGAAGCGTATCCGAGACAATGAAATTTCTCCTCTTTGGATCTTTTGGCAAGAAGAATCAGATACTTGTCAAGAATGACCTGAGGGGGGAATTTGATGGCTGTGTACAGGCACTTCTCTCCCAGACGAACCGCATAAATCTGTGGGCTTTTGTTCAAAGATAGAGCCCACTGCCTATCGGTGTTCTTAAATATCACATCGCCACTCTTAGGTCGGACGGATTGAATTGGCAAGCATGATGCCGAGATGTGCAGATATCCGGCATCATCCATCCTTAAGCCAAGAGGGATATCCTTGATCCACCAATTCGAACTCCATACGGGCTTCCCAAACGCGGCCCTTCCATCTACGTCTGGCTGCGGGAACTCAGGAATCATTGTCAAATGCTGGCCTGGACGTAACGTCTCCATTATCCCCAGCCACTCTGGTCTCTGTCCCTCCACAATCATTGCTTGCATTAATGCAACCGTTGCACCTATTTTGTCATCAGGTGCGAATCGAGAAGGATCGAGAGTTATGCCAAAGATACCCATGATACTCAGAGCAAAGCCAACTGGTCGTGATGAGAATCTTGTCAAGGCTACCCTCCAGACCGCGTTGCCCATGCCCTCCCTGCCCTTCCGGTCAAGAGCACCGATTAGAGCATTCAAGGAAACGCTATCTTCGTCCTCAATTTCATTACCCAGTAGTCGAATCTTAACTTTCCCGAGGTTGTCTCTCGGTCTGCCCTGCAAAATATCGCAGTTCTTATGTGTTATGTTTAACAGGCTTCTCATCTCAGAGATGGCAGCCCTCCCTGGCTCCACCTCATGGACTCCAGCAAAGCTCACTGTCTGCAGCACGCAGTCACCGTGCGGCCATGCGAAGAGGCAGTGGCACGATGGCGGAGCGATAGCCTCCTGTAGAGTCCAGGCACGGTGAACCCACCTCGTCTCCTCGTCAATAGCAACGAGTCTTGACAATCCTCCGGGGATGATCAAGCACGTCTTACACAGGCTGTAGACCTTGAACATGTTCTGAATTTGCCAGTCTTTATCATTGTCGTTCCCTTGTATGATGCAAACCCCATCAAGCCAAATAAGAGGGCAGTTGAGCGTCAGCGCGGTGTTGCAAGCGATCCGCAGCACGTCGATAGATATGGGATCTGCGTTGACAGCGTTCTTGATCTTCATGACTGGGCCAAGGTTGGGAGAAGCATCCGCGCGTAAACCTCCTTGCCAGACGTACGATATAGCCACATAATACGACTCTGGTAAATCGGGAAGCTCCAAGATTCGGAGAGCACCTTTTTTACAAAAGTTTTCGCAGTCAATGAACCGGAATAGGTGCGGTGTTACCGAGTCCATAGATACAGGCCGTTCCATAATCTCGTCAATTGAAATCTCGAAAGCACAATCGATGGCTCCAATATCACCGCCCATAAATCTGAGCGCTCGACTTGCTGCGCGCAGTCTTCCCCCTTCTTCTTCTGCCAGTAGGCCAGCGGCTTCTTCAAAACAAGCAGCTGCCATGTTAGTGACATTTCGGGGTTCCTCAAGCCCCCCTCTGAAGAGTCTCTCAGAGTGTATTTTGGCGAGCTTCCTCAGCTCTAGTACTCTAACAGTTGCTTCGCGGAATTGCGGCATTTCTAAAGCAATCTCCCGCAAGCGAACGGCGTATCCCAGCAGCTTCTATGAATGCTCTACACCATGCGTGAGCACATGTCTCGCCCTTGCATAATAAGAATCGCTCATGGCTGTCAAAACCTCGGCTTTGACAGCATCGTTATGCTGGAATCTAGCGAGCGTCTGTTCCCCAGTGAAGAATGCTCGGAATAGCCAGTGACCGCTGTTCTCGAATGAGCGCGATTTTGCAGCCGTTTCTCTATGATGAGTGAGCAAGGCCTCATCGCTCATGCCCAACATTACCGCTGTTTCTTGCTCAATTTCCTCTGAGCTCAGCCTGTCCGGGGCCGACCCATCCAGCTCAGCGATAGCCCAGAAGCCCTCGGCAAGTCAACGGCTGCTGATTGCGTTGACAACATCATGATCCGTGTCTGTAAGGAGATGTCTATCTTCCCTATCCATGATCAGCTGTAGCACCATGTCTGGGCAGTAATGCTGGTTTTCGGGGAAAAAACAAAAGAGACAGCAGCCCTAAGCAGGGGTCGTGTTAGGTTGATAATACTTATTGCTGGGGTCAACAATCTTATGTTTTGCGCCATATTATTTCAGCTGTAACGCAAATGACGCTTGGATTAGCTGTCAGCTTTCAGCTGTCTTAAGCCAATCATTTGTCACTTCAAGCCAGTCAAGTAATCAATCATTTCAGCAGGCTTCATACAGCCACGATCAATGTCAAAAACCCATCATTGGATTATTTTCTCAATGAATCAAATTTGCCCCTACTGACAGAGTAGCTTCCGCTTGATGTCAACAGCAAGGGGATGTAATAACAACAGACATAGCCGACGGCTACACGAATTCCGATTTGATTGAATAGGTAGATGTTGATCCACCCTAGACTTTATTTGTAGTTGTTTTTTCCCCGGGGAAGCGGGCATGTCTCTTAAGAAACAGTCTTGATCCTTGAGGTGTCGTATGTCGCGCTCGGAGAGAGCACATTTCCAGGCAGTGCTTAGTCTCTACAGCTATTTGAAACATTCCTTTGTTTGTCAGCTGAAGATTTATCTAAGCCACTCAGGTGTGATCATATTGTGGCGGGATGATTGTCCCGTAGTCCTCCACCCAGAGGGACCAGTAAGGCGTCCGCTTGGCCAAGGTATTTCGTTGGTAACGACTCTGTTCCAATGGAAAGCTGTATATGGTCGACGACTCTCTGCTCGAGATCCCTGAACGCATCTGCGCTCATATTTTTAAGGATTTCAATAGACGCGGCTCTGTCCACGTCTCCTTGGCTTTGAAAGAAGGCGCCGAGGCTGTGTCTGCCAAACTTATATCAGCTGGAAGTGTTCTGATTAAGGGGCTACACATGGCCTAATAATTAGCTAAATAAGTAGGGTATAATAAAATAGGTAATCTAGCTACCTTAGTATAGATAGCTCGAATAAATTATATTATATATTAATTTTATTAACTATATTAAGTAAACTATATAACTAGTTTATAATAGCAACTTATTATTATAATAAAGATTTTAATAATAAGTAAGAGAACTATATATTTATATAATAACTATTTAAGAAAAAAATCTAAATATTAAAAGTTTAAAAATATAATATTATATCTAGTTTTATAATATATTAATTTTAGTTTTTTTATCTAGTTATAAAGATTATATCTAGCTATATATATATATATAATATCTATAACTATATAATATAAGGGTATATAATATATAGTAGTTATTATATTAGTTAATAGCTTTATTACTATTATAGATTATAAATAACTAGATATAATAGTCTTATAGAGGAAGAGGCTTTATTATAGTACTAAAGCTTAAAAAAGTAAGTTCTTCTCTAAGGATTTACTATAGGATTTACTCTTTTTACTAAAGAAATCTTATCTAATTTATAAGATAGTAATATAATTATATAATCTTATTATTTATCTATTATAATTATCCCTTCCTTTAAAGAAGCTATTTTCTAATAACTATAAATAATAATAGTATTACTTATTATAAAGTTTAAAATATCCTATAATCTATATAATATTTATTTACTCTATAGTTATAATATATAAGTCTGCCTAATAATAACCTAATAGTATAAATTTATAAAAAATACTAATCTTATTTAAATTAGTAAATAATCTTTATATAAATTTATCTACTTTATATAACTCTTCTATTATCTTATTATACCCCTGACTTTTATATATTCTACTAGTAGAAGCTACTTTAATACCTATAAGAGGCTTAATTACTAAGGAATTCTCTCTTTTCTACTATCTAATATATATTATTTAGATATAAGAAGATAAGCTACTAATTATATATATTATATTACTTAAGGGCCTATCTAACTTCTATATAAATCTTATAATCCTATCTATAGTATTAAGATAGCTTTTCTAATAATAATCTCTTCTGATCTTCCTTCTTAGGTTCTTAAATAGCTAATTAAAGATAATAAAAATAAATATAAGTTTATATTAGCCTAGTTTATTTAGAATTTACTTAAGGAAAGCCTAGATAATAAAGGCTTTTCTATCTAATAGCTATATAAGCTACTTTCTAAAGATAAGAAAATAAAGAAGTAATATTAAAATAATCTAGCTAAAATAGCTAATTATAGACTATATCTTCTTTCCTTACTAGAGGAGTAATTTTATTATATATTCCAAATAATAAAGATAACCTTCTATTTACTTTATAAGTAACTAAGAATAAATATATTCCTAATAGTAATAAGATTCTAGATAATTAAATTTAAGATTATAGTATTTCTTTAGATCTATATATATAATAAGCTATAAAGAAATATAGCCTATAGATTTAAGATTAGCTAAGTAGATATATTCTATATTTTCTATATAGTTATTAATCTAATAAGATATCTTTATAATTACTTTATTAAGTAACTAGATTTAACTTATTTATTAGATAAAATTAAATTAAACCCTAAGTTTATATAATTTAATAGAGTAATTAAAGCTATTAATAGAATATATATTTTAATATTTATTCTACTTATAAATTAGAAGAGATTCTAATTATATAAGAATAATATATTATAAAATATATTTATAGCTATTTCTTTTAATAGGCTTTTTATATATATATTAGTAGGGGCTAAGGGTTTAATTTATAACTTAATATTATTATTATATATAAACTTAAGATCTCTTAATATTCTATTAAATTACTTTCTTTTTATAAATATAGGCTTTAGTCTGAGCTAGAGAATAATAATACCCTTTAAGGATATATATTATCTCTAAGACTTTAATAATTATAATAAATAGCTATAAAATACTAAGAAACTTTTTAATCTTTATTATACCTAGTTATAGAGCTAGATTAAGAGAATATTTAGCTATTATAAGCAGAAGTAAAAGATTATCTAGTATAGTATATCTAAATATCTTTTCCCTAATTAGATAAAAATTATATATATTATAATAGATCTAAATAACTTTATTATATTAAATAGAATTCTATTATAGTAGATCTTAAAAAAAGAGATAGAAATACTTACTATAGCTAATAGATAGATATTTATAAATATAACTCAGTATACTAACTATATTATCTCCAGCTGCTCTATATAGTAGCTATAGAAACTTATTATAGATTAGATCTAGGAGCAGTATAATTTATATATTAAGATAGAAAGTAAAAAAGAAGATAAAAATAAAGATTATAGAAGTTTTTCTAACTTAGAATAGCTAGTTTAGTAGAATAATTTATAAGTATATATATACTATAATAAATAAAAAAGTAAATTAGAAGCTAGCTAGTAGATAGAAAAGTAAAACTATTTTAAACCTAGCTCTACTTTAACTTCTAAATAGCTTTATAAGCTATAGCTCTATAAGGGGTTAAACTTTATTTTAATATATAAATTCTTTAAATTTTCTAATAGTAAATTTAACTATAAAACTATATTCCTTAGCTCTAAATTTATCTATTCTACTATTTTTATTACTATTAGTAGGTTATTCTTACTAATAAATATAAAATAATTCTCTAGAGCTTTCTATAGTTTATTAGATAAAACTAGAAGTATAATTACTATATATAATTAAGACTATAGTATTTTAAATATAATTACTAACTACTTAAAGCTACTATCTAGATTAGCTTATAATATTTTTCTTTTTCTTATAAGAGAAATAGTATTATTTCTACTTATTCCTAGTAAGTCTTACTATAAAATTAAAGTAGTATATAGTTAGATAACTTATACTAGACTAGGTCTAGAGTAGATTAAAATTAAACTAATTAGAGTATTATTCTAAGTAATATAATTAGATTATTATAGGCTATATAATATAAGTTACTATTAATATATAAATATTATAAAGCTAGTAATAATAGATATATAGATAATTATATTAATAACTATTTAAAAAGAGTATTCTATTTAGTAAAATAAATATATATATATACTAGAGAATTATTAATATTTAATAATAATCTATTATTTTAAATTATTAGAATTATTATAAGATTCTAATAATCTACTATAATTAGTTAGAAAAAGTAGAAATAATCTATATAACTTTAATATATAATAATATAATTTATAATATAAGATTCTCTTTTTATTAATTATATTCCTAAGATTATATTTTATAGCTTATTAATAAGTTTTTTCTAATCTAATTTTATATTTCTCTTATAGTTTATAATAATATCTAACTATATATAGAAAACTTTTTATAAAAAGATCTTTTAGTATAATACTCTTATTAATATTATTCTATTAAATTCTTTAATAATATAATTAGAATATAGTTATTATAAATTCTATAGTTATAAATACTTTAAATTAAAAGGTTTTTTATTTTATTATTTCTACTATATTAAAAATAATTAGTTATATTATAATACTTAAGATCTTATATTAGAATAATTAAAATATATTATTAATTAGTATAGTAAACTAGAGTTTAAGTTAGAGATAGTAGAGAAAGTATATTATTATATAAATATAAAAATCTAGTATTTTTATTAATTAAAGAAATTATAATTAAATAAGATAATATAAATAGTATCTTATAGTATTAATAGTATAAAGAAATTAGAGTATATTAAGTAAAAGAAGATAGAAGAAATAGTTTAAAAGTAGATTTTATTTTTATTTATTTCTTTATTTAAGTTTATATTTTTAGAGATTAAAATTAATCTAATATTTCTTTAAAAGAATATAGAACTATCTTTTTCTTAGTTTATTAGAATAAATATTTCTAGTTCTAGTAATACTATTAAATAAACTATTAATAATTTTTTAAAT